AAGATATTATTAGAGTCTTAATTACTATTTATATTATATATACTTACTATAAATATTAGATATTTATTATTATTATTATAAATATTAAAGCTATTTTAAATCTTATTACTATTATTAAATCTAAATTATAAGAGTAACTACTATCTAAGTTTACTAAATTCTATAATATATTCTTACTAAAGGAGGCTAAGTACCTACTATCCTATTAATTTAATAATTATAAGATTAAATTACTATCTAAAAAAATTCTATCTTTTAAAAACCTATATAGTATATCCTGAGATAAATTAAAAATTTTAAAGAAATAAATTAAAAAAAATTTAAAAAAAGATTTTATTTATTCTAGTTTTTCTTTTATTATATTTCTTATCTTATTTATAAAGAAACCTAGAGAAGGCCTATAATTCTATATAAATTATTAAGCTTTAAATATAATTATTATAAAAAATTATTACTTACTATTATTAATAAAAGAGATATTAAATAATTTAAAAGAAATAAGATATTTCTTAAAAATTAATATTATTTTTACTTTTAATAATTTATAGATTAAAAAAGGATAAAAATACTTTATTATTTTTTAAATTTAGTTAAATTTATTTAAATCCTTAATAATATTATTTAAGCTTACTAGAGCCTTAATATTATTCTAGAGATTTATTAATAAAATTTTATATAATTATTTAAATATCTTTTATATTATATATTTAAATAATATTCTAATTTATAATTAAACTTATATTAAATATATTTATTATATTTAATAAATATTAAAATATCTATAAGTAGTAAAATTTTATACTAAATTTAGTAAATATAAATTTTTTATATATAAGATAAAGTTCCTAGAATTAATTATAGATAAAGATAATTTTTAAATAAATCTTAATAAAGTAAAAATAATTATTAAATAAAAAATACTAATCTATCTAATTAATATTTAAATCTTTATTAACTTTAGAAACTTTTACTACTAATTTATTTATAATTTTTTAAAAATTATTAGATTATTAATTAACTTAATTAAGAAAAATATTAACTTTAACTAGATATTTATTTATTAAGAAGTATTTAAATAATTAAAAACTATTTTTATAAATATCCTAATATTAAAATCTTTTAATTAGTTAAAAAATATAATTCTAAAAATTAATACTTTTAATTATATATTTACTAGAGTATTATTATAATATAATAATAAAAATATATTATATTTTATTATATTTTTCTTTAAGAAATATTTTATAATAAAATATAATTATAAGATTTATAATAAAGAATTATTAATTATTATTTATTATTTTAAAGAATAATATTTTAAATTAAAAAAGATTTTATTATTTATAAAAGTTATTATAGATTACTAGAATTTAAAGTATTTTATATTAACTAAGTTATTAAATTATTAATAAGCCTGCTAGTCTAAATTTTTATTAAAATTTAACTTCTAAATATACTATTATCTTAAGAAATTAGGTATTAAGCCTAATATATTAATTAAAAAGTTAGAAAACTTACTTAAGAAGAAGAATAAATAACTTCTTTACTAAAATTAAATTATTCTAAAATCTAAAAACTTACTACTTAAGATTATTATTAATTTAAGATTTAATATTAATAATTAATATTAAATATATTTTATTAAATAACCTATTACTAATAAATTAATCTCCCTATTATTAATATTATAATTATTATTTAATAAAACTTATTTTTAAGATAAGAAGCTCTAATCTATTTTAAATATTTTAAAAAATAATTTACTAAAATATTTTAATATTATATTAATTAATTATAAATATACTAGTCTATATTTAAGATATTAAGACTAACTTTATATACTTAATTATAATAAGATAAAAGTTAAAATATTAAGACTTTATTATAAAAATCCTGCTACTAAATATTTTAGAAAAATTAAGATATATAAATTAATATTATATAAATATTTCTAATTTAAGATTTATAAATATATTAATTAATAAATCTAGAATTATTATTTTTATTATTAAATTATTTCTTTCTAAGAAATAAAGTAAAAAATATTAAGATTTTTATTAATTTCTAAATATATCTAGTAAAATATAAGTATAAACTTTATTATATATTTATTATTAAGTAATAATTATAATATTATTTTAATTATAATTAATTACTTAATAAAAATAAAATATTTTCTTTTCTATACTAGAATAATTAATACTAAAGAAATAATTAATCTATATTTTAAGTATATTTAGAAATTCTATAATATTCCTAAAATAATTATATTAGATTATAAAGTCTAATTTATTATTATTTTTTAAAAATATTTAATATCTTACTTAAAAATCTATAATTTATTATTTATTATTTATTATTCTAAAATTAATAATTAAATTAAATATATTAATATTATTTTAGAATAATATTTATAAATATATATATTATATTTATAAAATAATTAGTTTAAATAATTATTAATAATTAAATTTATTACTAATTTTATTTACTCTAAGTTTATAAAAATATTATTATTTATAATTAATTATAGATTTTATTTAATATTAAGATTTAAATTAAATTACTTTATTATTTATTTTATTAAAAAAAATATTAAGAAATTTACTAATATTATATATAAAATTTATAAATTTATTTATATTAAAATTTTATTTACTTAAATTTATTATAAAATATAAGTTAATTATTAAAAATAATTTATATATTATTATATTATAAGATAAGAAATCTAGCTAGATATTTATAATATTTAAATATTTTATTTATAAAAAAAATTAAATTAAAAGAATTTTAAATTATATTATATTAAAAAAATTATTAATTTATATATTTATAAATTTAAATTATTTAAAAGTATAAAAATCTATTTTATATTTAATATATTTTTACTTTACCTTATTACTAATAATTTTTTATCTAATTAATATTCTAATTTATTATTACCTATTAAAGTAGAAAAATTAAAAAAATAAGAAATTAAAAAAGTTCTTAATTTTTAATAAATTTATTAAGGCTATAGTAAACTTAAGCTATAATATATTATTAAATAAATTAAATATAATAAATTAATTAAAGAGCCTACTAAATATCTAGAAAATATTTATTAATTAATAAATAATTACTATCTTTATTATCTTAAGAAGCTCTAGCTAATTCCTCCCTAGTCTTAATAGAGCTTAATCTTAAGGAAGGGGGTACTATTATAGTATAAAGCTATAGTATCTATCTAGTTAGATTCTACCTTAACTATCTACTCTTATTCTTATATTTAAGCTATATTATTCTTAATCCTATTATAGCTCTTTAAGCTATATCCTATCTATTACCTAATACTTACTATTCTACTATTCTGTCTAGTTAGCTCCTAGTTAATGAATATCTGAATCTGACTCTGCCCCCTAACACATGATAGTAGTAATTAACTTCTAGTAAAGAAAAATTATATAATATTAGGGTATAAAATTAGATTTAAATATTTATTAATTAGGAGCTAATTAAATAGAATAGTAGAATAATAGATATTAAATAATAAATAGGATATAGCTTAAAGAGCTATAACAGGATTAGGAATAATATAGTTTAAATATAGGAATAAGGGTGGATAGTTAAGGCAGAATCTAACTAGATAGGTACTACAGCTTCGCGCTGTGACACTAATATTTAATTATATTATTTTTCTATTAAATATAATTAAGAAGGTTAATAATAATAAAGTATAAAATAAATAATTTATAAAAATTTTTTATAATAGTAATAGAAAATTAGTATATTTTAGTAATATATTATCTTAATTTATTAGGGGTATTATATAAGAGAGCTTCTATATTTTTAGATAATATAAATAATAAGATAGATATAATAGTAATAATTAACTTCTAATAGAAAGGAGCTATATAGTATTAGGGTATAAAATTAGATTTAAATATCTATTAACTTAAGAACTAACTAGATAGAATAGTAGAATAATAGGTACTAGATAATAGATAAGATATAGCTTGAAAAGCTATAATAAGATTAAGAGTAATATATGGCTTAAATATAGGAATAGAGGTGGACAGTCAGGGTAGAATCTAACCAGATAGGTACTATGGCTTCACACCATAACACATATATTATATTATATTAATTAGGACTAGCTTTATCTTAATAAAATATTATATTAAATTAAGTATAATATATTATAGTATATAAATATATTATTAAAAAAAGATAATTATTATAATAATTATATAATATAAATAAAGCTAATTATATAATAATTATATAATATAAATAAAGCTAATTATATAATAATTATATAATATAAATAAAGCTAATTATATAATATATAATCTTATATTAAATAATTAAATAATTAAAGATATTTAAAAAATACTAGTAATAATTAAGTTACCTATATTATACTAGTAACTTAACTAAATAATATAAATAATAATATAATAACCCTTAAAGTACTAGGAAGCAAGTACTTTATCTTATTACTACTAATACCTTCCTACTATTATACTCCGTGTAGCTTTGCTTCCCTTCCCAAAACTATCAATACCCAAGCGCCTCGCCAGCGAGACACTTACACTATTTTAATACCTATTTTAATGCCTGCTAATACTTGCTTTAATACCTACTTTAATGCCTGCTAATACCTCCTTTAATACCTCCTTTAATACTTATTTTAATACCTATTTTAATTCTAACTTTCATGCTATATTTTAGACTATACTATCTTCTATTTTAGCTTTAGTTTGCCATATACCCAACCTACAAGCCGCCGAGCGTAGCGAGGATTTAAGGCTAGTATTGAAAATAATAATATACAGGCCATAGAATTTAATCACTGGAATATTTCCTCTCTATAAATGATCTTCTAGACTGTCGATGTTGGCTTGTCAAGCGCCACTGGACTGGAGTTGGAAACTTTCCAACCGTCGCAGCCAATTAATCATAATTACTGCGAACCCACACATAGAATAGCCTGCAACTTCTAATACCAACACTTACTTCGCACCTAGTTGGTGTATTATCATATCGACCTGCTAAAGCATCTGGGTTACCCACGTATATCACTTGCGTGTGTTTGACAAGCACCGATAGGCAAATAATCGGATCTTCTCTCCTCCCAAGTTAGCCTTTTCATCTACCACCCGAGTCACCAGGAACCTTACTGAACAATTGCGAGGAATACCCAAAGCCGAGCACACTGCAGGGCCTAACAACACAGACAGCATCATGGAATGAATGGTTTCGATAAACCACCGTCACTTTCTCCATCGATATCCATGTTGTCTAAATTTACGCCACAGTGAACAGTGATGCCCGTATCCGCAAGCTCGTTCGTCGGATTCTGGCTCCGAGCCCGGCTTCGACTAGTAGGGCTCCCATCTCGCAATCGATGCAATCTTGCTCGCTCCCTACTCTCCATTATAGCCCTTCGCACGCCATCCTTCTCCCTCGGAATCGATAGAGATGTAGGCTCTCGGTAGAGCACTATTTCGCTGCACGGGGGTTTGGTATCAGTAACCAAGATTCTAGACACCGACAGTTTATCCTCAAGCCCCGGTAGAATCATGATAGAGCTACCGACGGGCTCATCGTCAGCTAGCTCCCGTTCTAGGTCGTGGATGTAAATAGTGTGCTTTGTATCATCCAGCATCATTGCATCGTTAGAATTAGATACTCCCGATGAAGCCTGTAATCGCGCCTCTTGGTTATTGCATGAAGAGGAGTGGCTTATCACAGTGTCTAAGAATCGAATAAAATTAGATCGGAGTCCATCTTATATCGTCAATACCAGTATTCTGCGCGTACCTATGTGCAAGCGATCAAATTTTTTGGCCAGAGGCTGATCTTCTTCTGGATCATCCTCTGCGGGGCGCTTCCTTCCGTGAACTCCCACATTAGAATGTTGCGCCATCCACCACAAACAATGTTCAACAAGTGAAATGAAAATGTCAAAGGATAGGATATAGTCCTACTTCATACTAATTTAAAGCCTTAAGCTTTTAACAGTATTTAATTCCCCTGAATGCGCTCTTATGTGTGTTGCTTGATGATCATACCCAGACTCTCCAAGACTTTGGGGGGGTTGACTCATTTCTCTCACTTTGGGTCCAAACCTAGAACATTCGACCATCTTCACATTCTCACGCCCTTACCAATATTTCCTACCAACACCTGTATAAAGCCTTTCACCATGGCTTCAAACAAGAACGATAATATAAAATGGACCTCCAAGTGTGTTCGGGACACTTTTCTTCAATATTTCAAGAAAAATGGCCACAAATTCGGTAAGTGAATCAGTGGCGGGGGAAATTTTCAAGACTTCAGAACAAGAGCTAAAATTCAGCGTCTTTTTTGTACAGTGCCTTCAGCTCCTGTTGTCCCTCATGCTGATCCAACCCTACTTTTCACGAATGCGGGGATGAACCAGTTCAAGTCCATATTTCTGGGCACCGTCAATCCCCATTCTGATTTTGCAACCTTGAAGAGTGCAGTCAATTCGCAGAAGGTTAGCCTTCATGTTATTGTTTCTGAAGCATAGCTAATATATGTGTAGTGTATCCGCGCCGGCGGTAAACATAATGTTGGTTACAGTGTACGCTTTCTTTGGACGTCCACTTGCTAATATTTTGATTTAGGACCTCGATGATGTGGGCAAGGACAGCTATCACCATGTAAGAACACTATTTGAACCGGCTGTTACCCTTGACGCTTCAATTTCTAACCCTATCTAAATAGACCTTTTTTGAAATGCTAGGAAATTGGAGCTTCGGTGACTATTTTAAAAAGGAGGCGATTCACTATTCATGGCAATTGTTAACCGAAGTATATGGACTGGATCCCAGCCGTCTTTATGTCACTTATTTTGAAGGTAATAAAGAAGGCGGTCTTGAACCAGACCTTGAAGCCAAGGAGCTGTGGACAGCTGTGGGCGTCCCCAAAGATCATATTCTCCCAGGCAATATGAAGGATAATTTCTGGGAAATGGGAGACCAAGGCCCATGCGGTCCTTGCAGTGAAGTTCACTATGATCGCATCGGTGGACGCAATGCTTCCTCCCTTGTAAACCAGGATGATCCTAACGTTCTTGAAATCTGGAACAACGTTTTCATCCAATACAACCGCGAGTCTGATGGATCTCTGCGTTCGCTTCCAAACAAGCACGTCGATACAGGAATGGGATTCGAAAGACTGGTGTCGGTGCTTCAAGACAAGCCCTCGAACTACGACACCGATGTGTTCAGTCCAATTTTTGAAACCATTCAGCATATTACCGGAGCACGGGAATATCGAGGTTATTTCGGTGCCGAAGACTTTGATGGTATCGATACTGCCTATCGTGTGGTGGCGGATCACGTCCGAACCTTGACATTTGCGATTTCCGATGGCGCAGTACCAAACAATGAAGGCCGTGGTTATGTCATCCGCCGTGTCCTGCGCAGGGGTGCTCGCTATGCTCGGAAATATTTCAAGGTCGAAATTGGAAGCTTCTTTTCGAAGATTGTGCCGACTGTCGTAGACCAGCTCGGTGACATGTTTCCAGAGCTGAAACAGAAACAACAGGATGTTATGGAGATCCTAGATGAGGAGGAAATTTCTTTTGCAAAAACACTGGACCGCGGTGAGAGACAGTTCGAGCAATACGCCCAGCAGGCAAAGATAACAGGGGACCGCAAACTACATGGGGCTGATGTATGGAGGCTCTATGATACATTTGGCTTCCCAGTCGACCTCACCCGCATTATGGCAGATGAGCGCGAACTCTTGATAGACGATCTCGAATTCGAGGAAGCACGTTCAAAGGCAAAGGAGGCGAGCAAAGGCCAAAAGAAAACAACTACAGGGGCAGTGAAGTTGGATGTTCACGACCTGGGAAATCTGGAAAAGATGAATGATGTTCCTAAAACAAACGACGACGCCAAGTTCGAGAAGGGTAACATCACTTCTCAAATCAAAGCGATTTACCATGGAAAGGCTTTCCATTCATCAACTAACGCAATACCTGAGACGGAGCAGTTAGGTATTATACTCGACCGCACCAACTTCTATGCCGAACAGGGTGGACAAGAAAATGATACAGGCCGCATTGTTATCGATGGCAAGGCAGAGCTGGAGGTTGTCGATGTCCAGCTCTATGCTGGTTATGTCCTTCACACCGGCTTCATGAAGTATGGATCCTTCAATGTGGAGGACACTGTCATTTGTGAATATGATGAGCTTCGTCGATGGCCAATCAGGAACAACCACACAGGAACACACATCCTGAATTTCGCCTTAAGAGAGGTGCTCGGTGATGGAATAGAGCAGAAAGGGTCACTCGTTTCTGCTGAGAAGCTGCGGTTTGACTTTTCTCACAAGTCTCCTATCACAGATGCGGAGTTGGCTAAAATCGAAGAATTATCGACTGAGTACATTCGACGCAATTGCAACGTATACTCGCAGGAGATTCCTCTTGTCACTGCGCGCCAAATTTCCGGGGTCAGGGCTGTTTTTGGCGAAACATATCCTGACCCTGTTCGCGTTGTTTCTGTCGGCGTGGATCTCAAACAAATATTACGAAATCTTGAAGACCCAAGGTGGAAAGAAGTTAGTATCGAGTTCTGCGGCGGTACCCACGTACAAAAAACAGGTGATATAAAAGAACTGGTCGTTCTGGAAGAAAACGGAATCGCAAAAGGCATTCGCAGGATTATTGCTGTCACGGGTGAGGATGCCTATGAAGTACAACGCCTAGCGGCAGACTTTGAGAAACGGTTGGATCAGCTGCAGGCCTTGGCTTTGGGACCAACCAAGGAGCAAAATGCAAAACAAATCCAGGTTGAACTTAACCAGCTCTCTATATCCGCACTACAGAAGTCGAAGTTTCGGGAACGCTTCATGCAAATCAACAAACAGATTATCGACGAGCAGAAAGCGCAACAGAAACTCGAGTCCAAGAAAGCTATTGAATCTATCACTTCCTACTTTCAGGACCCGGAGAATGCAGCCAAGTCCTGGCTCATCGCCAGACTCCCAATATCGGCAAATTCAAAAGCCGTCAGCGAGTCTTTGAACTACGTGAAGTCAAAGCTCCAGGATAAGACAGTCTATGTTCTTGCTCCAAGCTTAGAGGAGGGCCGTGTAGCCCATGGCTGTTATGTTTCAAAAGTAAGATATCCCCTTCTAGTCACACCTTCACATACCAGGATGGAGTTCTAATGAATTATACTTGGCGTTTCCAGACAATGAGTGATCAAGGCGCTTCTGCCAGTGAGTGGGCAAGTACCGTGTCACGAGCCGTTGGGGGCAAGGCTGGGGGTAAAGGGCCGACTTCCATTGGCAATGGCATCAACGCTGACAAAGTCGATGATGCTATAACTTTGGCTTCCGAATATCTCAGTAGATTTAAGCTTTAGTTTTATGTCCTTGAGTATGCAAGGATGATTTGCTATTTATGATTTTTTTAAGGAAAATATATCTTTTTGGGGCAATTCAATGGTGTTTCTATTTACATTTCACCACACTGAATGATTGTCACATCTTGGTTTGGCTTTTCCCTCGTGGTGCGAGTGTTTTCAATCATTTGTACAATGTCCATTCCTTCCACTACTTGGCCGAACACAACATGTTGACCATTCAAATATGGTGTTGCAGTCGTAGTTATAAAAAACTGGCATCCATTCGTATTTGGCCCAGAATTCTGGAAGCATTAGACTCGTACCACGAATTTTGTTTCTCGAGGGCTCTTACCGCCATACTCAGTAAACCTGCGCGATCATGCTTGAGTTTGAAATTCTCATCTGGGAACTTTGCTGTCCCATACACGCAACAGGAACCTGTACCGTCACCATTGATAAAGTCCCCCCCTTGGATCATAAAATCCTTAATCTAAACAGGAAATAGTTAGGACTAGAAACAGGTTGGATTGAAGAAATAACCCCGGACATACTACTCGATGAAATTTGCTATTTTTGTAGCCCTGAGGTCGTCCTTGGGGGTTCTTGCTTTCGCCCGTGCAGAACTGACGGAAATTTTCAGCCGTTCGAGGCGTTGTATTCGCAAAAAGCTCCATTTTAAGACGACCCAGAGGCTCGCCTATAGAACCCGGTAAATTATTAGCTTCCAGTATTATACCGTGGCCTAATATTGTAGGGTTCGATTTGATGGGGTGGAATGGGAATGTGCAACATGTTCTCGTTCAGACTTACCACCGAGGGCGACATCAAAGAAAACAACTGGATTGTTATTCTGGGATGGTCCTGTATTTGGGTTACTCATCTTTATGTCGCCGATTTCGCTAAACAATATTCCTGTAATAGATGATGTGCTGGAACTAAATAATGAGAACTGGTGTGCTGTGGGATCTCTAAACTGTAAGTCAACCAGCGCTTTCTGGTGGTGTTCATTTCTTGGCATCCACAAATGAGACTGTTAAAATTCATTTATAGTCGGGTATGATATAGCTCTTGTGCTAATATATAGTCTCAGATATAATTACCACTGGTATTTGCTGAATGGAAATCATGCAGTTTGTATTTTATAAATTAGGTATCCTCTTGGACCAGAATGATTACTGGTCTTTCTTCTCTAGGTAGTTATTCTCAACAGTAGGCTATATCATTCTGCTGAATTCAACTTACAACTCTCCGAGTGTAAAAAAAGTATCAATGGTTTATTCATTAACCCTTTCTCCTACATAAACCAAGGTGATAGCTAGACTAGAAATGCGACAGATCTCTGCTCCAGTCCCCAGGTCGTATATGGCCCTTTTTAGGTAAGCGTGATCTCTCCCCGGATTAATCAATGTGGGAATAAACTTGGCGCGAAGGATGATCGTCCCGTGACCAGTCACCTCATCCCCCCGGGGGGGAATGGCTCTAGGAACATATACATTCTCTGCTAATCTAACAACATCAAGTTATAGCAATAGCCTGGGTGAAACCAGGGCTCTGGCCCACCGAAAGCAAATATCATCAGTGATGATCCATCAGGTGCGCGTCCTTACGTGTTCCCTGAGCAGCCCTCGACTCGATGAACCGAACCACACTGTGGTGGACCTTGTTTACTGGAGCGCCCAACGCTGTACACCCTCCACATCCAAAGAAACTAAAGCCACTGCTATCATCGCTTGAATTAATTACACCTCTGCCCTCCAATCGACCCCTTTGGGGCACGTATTCCGAATACTGTGCTCCTAGAACCCCTATTCTTGTTTATCTTGTTGCCGGAATGGCTTCAACAACGAGCTCCTCGACCGGAGCAACTAGTACCGATCACAATTCGAGTAATGGAGGCTCGAGCTCTACGAGCTCTCCATTCTTGTTTTTTGTAGCTCTTGGTTTCGGTGTCGTTTTTACAAATCTATGGTATGTTGTTGTCGTAATGACTTCGGTCCCGGCCTTTTTTTTTTGGGGGAGGGAGGGTTCTAATAATTATAGGATCATTGTCGGCGTCAAGTATTGTTTTAGATACAATCAACGGAATCGCCAGTTGCGCAATGAAGAGACTGGGGCGCCCATAGATTTAATAGCGATACCTCGAACTCATCGAAGAAGGAGGGAAAAAAAATTAATGACCATGGATGAAGTAAATGAAAGATTTCCACTGATAAAGTACAAGGTTTGGAGATCTTCAAGGGCGAACGCCGGCCTTTCAACCACAGGAGGAATATCTGCCCCAGATACTAGCGAAGAATTAACAACAAAAGCGGAAGATGCCGATTTATCTGTCCGTAATGGGGACGCATCGTCGTTGGCAACATCGCCACTCAAGACTCACCAGCGGCTTAATTCGAATCCATCAGAGTCATCGATGCCTCTCCAGCACACCGAACCCCGATTCACGCAACCGGAAGAAAAAGCCCTGAATGATTTAACAGATCCTGGTCAAATGTCCCTCGACATAACTTCGGGCGCAAATAAACAAGAAATAGGACCGCATGACGAGAATATCTTAGACCAGGACGATGATAATGATCACTACATTCCCACCGCAGTACCCCCCGATTTTGCCGCGAGCCCCGGAGACTCATGCGCAATTTGTTTGGACTTGATTGAGGATGACGATGACATACGCGGTCTTGCGTGTGGACACGCATTTCACGCTTCATGCGTTGATCCGTGGTTAACAAGTCGCAGGGCATCATGCCCCTTATGCAAGGCTGATTACTACATTCCCAAACCCCGTTCTGATGCCGCTGAACCAACGACGGGATCTGAACGCAACGGCCGCAATGCCACTCATCGAACTACCGTTCCAAGACAGCCGCAGGCGGTATTCATCCGGGGACGGGTCAATCCATTTCGCCAGCCAATGGCATTATCCGAGCCTCACTCACAAGCCGGTCCTAACAATACACCGATTTCATCCCAGCCGGTAACCCGACTTTTTTGGAGACTGCGGGATGTTCGCTCGCAGTCCACTGATCACTCCCTGCACAATAATACAGAAGTAGAACAGTCCGTACCCCATAGCCGGGGATCAAGGATATCGTCTCGACTATTTAGCATACGCCACCCTTTCAGCAATGGGAATCGGGATTTACCAAGGAATACAGGCGCTTCACCTTCCGGTACTGCCCAATCTCCTAGCCAGCTTGAGGCTGGCCATACCTTGTGAACTTTACTGGGCCTGATGTTTTCCTGGCTTCACCTTTATCCCTTTACTCGCAATATTGTCAGCATCTGGAATGCCCATTGCGGGATCTTATTATAGATAGATACCAACCCATAACCGTCAAGACACACTGTTGTTTTGTATACAATTTCAAGCAAAGTCAATATCCGAACATTGGCTTTGGGTTCGCTCACATCTGTGGATGCAATAATGCCCACTCTTTTTGTCCGATTTTTATATTGGCATTTTTTGTACCGTCTCATTTTAAAGGCGTTGTCGGTAGATACTCTATTTGTTTTATTGTGTTTTGCGCCTAGGAGGTCTTCGCAGGTTGGGAATATATATATATATCCCGAATTTAGCTGGTTCACTTATGTCTTCGCCAAAAAGGTAGAAAACCTGGCTAGTTAACGCATAATTCTGGTATTTGTACAAATACACTAGGTGAGATGTGGATATCAACTATCATGATGGCTAGCATCGGAGCAACTATTGCTTCCGTGACCCACTGATTCACTTTTGAGCCTTAACAGTTCCTACCCCAGCACTGATCACACCGGGCAGTTCGCTATTTCCGACTTGATATATCATCCCGATCGCTGTGCTGACTGCAACTGCCACTGCTACAGCGACACCAGCAATCAGGAAGAACGGAGAGCTTATATCCCGCTTTTGGCAAGCTGACCCTCCCCACTGCACCCTACGCTCACTACCATCCGCACCTTTGACAATAGTTTCATAGCATTGACATGCGTAACAGTCGCCGGCACCCCGGTCATTTTCTGACCCCGATTTCCTATAACAGGATCCGTGCCCAGAGCATGTGTTTGTGGCTTCATTGCAAGATGAATTCGACGCATAACAAAGTGGCGTTAGAGCAAGGGAGCTCTTTGTCCTTTGATCAAAGGCTGCGAGTTGCGCTTTGTTGGCCGAGTTTAGCGAATCCCGTCTCATAATGGGCTGGCCAGTTTTAGATTGCTTTGAGTTTGACAACACTACTGCCGTGACCCTTCTATTATCCGAAGAAAGCGCTGAAAGGTCGCTGAACAAAGATTTCAAGAGGATGGAGGTTGATGGACGAATCTCTGGCTGTATTGTGCGAACCATCTGGCATCAGTGACTACCAATGAGAAGCAATGAATGTTAGAGAGTACCTTGAAAGCGAGCCGAAAAACCGCAGTGGATGTGCGCTCGTCAATCTGGGATTCGCCCATGGAAATCTGACTTAATAGTTCATCACCGAAGAGGCGAGGCAGAGTTTGGAGTTCAACGTCTGTGGGAGTACAGAGCTTCGTATCCTAAAATGAGATAATAATGCGACTTTAGCGGCACCGTAACACGTCAAAATAGCATCGCCATTGATAGAGAGGGCGCATGTAGGGTTACCTTTGATACTGCAGATTCTACCTCAATGTCGAGGTAAAATTCACACCGTTTGCTATCGGGACCGAGGATGCCCTCTGGGCTGGCTTGGAGCAAGGAATCAAAAAATGAATCCCTGGTAAGGAGGCTCGGAAAAGATGCGACTGTAACTTCGCCCTGGTATTCTCTTCGGATTGATGATTCTGGAAAATAGCATTGTTAGAATCCCATACAGGATACATGTTCACGAAGGTATTAACATACCAACCTCATCAGTTATGGCCTCAATCATAACAAGAACATTGTTTAAGCCATCTCCCAAGGGGACACTAAACAAAGGGCTTGAGGCTCCTCCTAAATTGCTCAGAAGTTTAAGAGTGCTTTCGTCTGGTTGTCCTAGTGTTGACAGTGTGGATGACTGTGTTCGAAGCTCCAATAGTTGGCGCAAAGTGCTGTCGGATATAACCGTGGTCTTTGAGATAGACCCATCGTTTGTTGAGTCGAAAGTGAACACAGAAGCTTCAAGAGCATTTGTTCCAAGGGCTGTTGCTGCCAGCAGAGTGAAACAGCTCGAGAGAAGTCGCATGGTGGTATAAATTGACAGTTCTTAATGTTTGGAGATGTGGCGACTTCTTTGGCCTAGGAGGATCGCTGTTTTAACCTGGACGTCGTAGTCTATAGGACCGAGTTTCCTTACGCAGTGGAATAATTCTGTGGATGGCTGCGTCGACAACTCTGCTGTATTTCAACCGCCAACAATTGCCAAAGTACGGACTACACATGATATGAACAACGAAGTTCTTCTTCGATAAGGGGTCACGTGGTGCCACACGCTTGTACGATTGTCCATCGGCTACCTCGTACCTAGGTAGGTACGCATATAATGATAATCAAGTCCATCACTATCTTTTTCTTGTGCAGCATACGCTCCATGCCTAGTCATATTTCCATAATATTATTCTGAGATTACCTGCTCAATCCTGTGTTGATCGTGTCTACCTTTTCAAGCGCCTCATTTACAATCCAACCTCAACCTCCAAGGTTCGAATGCAACGGATTTGTCATAGCTAGCCTTTCTGTGCAGATGCAATAGACCAATGACTCTGATGAGGCGATTACTTCCGAGCTCTCAACTTATATTTCGAATCAGTCCCCCATTTCGTCATAATTTGCATCTCGCCAATGTCCGTAACGTGAAGGTCAAACGACCGTGGGTTAGGTGGGTAGGCCTTCTCTACGCTGAGTTCTTTTTCCCTAATTAAAATAACAGGAGATTTTTTACCACGTGCTTGCTTTATGGTGCTGCAATTCATATATGGAGCAGTTTCGTCCTCGTGAAATTTGATGATCCATCCCATGATACCAATAACTCGCTAGAGCGTTTCCCTGAAGATGAACAGGATGAGCGTATGCAACGTAAATCGGCAATTGACAGGGACAGACGACTTTCATTTGATAAAGGGCAATCCGCTGGGTCTGATTCTGTGTTCATCCCACTAAGCTGGCCACGGCTGCGTGATGGTGACTACTATGCAGCGTCAGACCCTGAGTGGCAGACTTTTATCAAGATCGCCCGCGATCGCGAGAGGCTTAAGGCTCTTAAAGGTAATTTCCCGGACTAGCTCTTCTACTAGGGAGTCTCGCTCACTTGTGGGTAGATGAATTGGTATCAGTAGTCCTAGGTGATGCGTCACAGTCAGGTCTACTGTTGCGAATGATTGGGGGCCCTTTCACAGTGACAGGATCTTGGCTGGTTCATCACTTCCCGTCTCGGGCCCCCCCTGTATATTATCGTTCCGGGTATGTATCCTCGCTATACCGGGGCTTCACGTCACTCATGATTTTTCAGGCTGGAATTAACGGATGCTGGAACATCTTGGGTTTCGAAGGCAATGTCTGATGAGGATGGGGGGCGGCTTCAGAGGTGCATACAGCCCCTTTTTGTGACACTTGCTGTTAGGGATGCCTATTTGGTTTTCTGGAGAAGTCTTCTTTCGCGGTTTAACTTTGGCAGCTCAGAGGATGAGCCCGCATTGACCACGTCGAATCTATCATACAAGACGTCCTTGACGTCAGATTTTAAAGCGTTGGGCAGGTTGGGTGATTTAACACGCTCTGAACCCCAGAATACCCCATCTCCTAGTTCCCAAAGTACTACATCGCCCAGCGACGACGATTCTCGTCTTCATCCCTCCATTATCCTCTCTACATTGCAACGTTTACCTTTGCCGAAATTCGGTCCTGGCTCTGACCTATATGCAGCGTCTTTGGCCTTTAAGCGGCGATTAAATGAATGCTGGGCGCGCGAGTTGCATGCTCACCGTCGTGGCACATTTTATATTGCTGGGCCTGTCGGCCTCAAGGGCTCCAAGGGATTCTGTAGGATTGAGGTCAAGGGTGAATACGATCCAATAACTTGCAAATGGATATCTGTCTCGATGCAGCTCAAGGACCTGAGTATTTTCAACCAGAGACCTCTTGGTGGTTTATGAACCTGTGCTTTATGCCGGGGCAATTGTATGGATAATAGATCGTTGTTTCACAAAAAACGTAAAGTTTTTTTTATGATGACAAGGTTCACTTCAAAAGATTTAAAGGATAGAGAGAAAGTGTTAGAAGAGCAAAAGGACAGACAGAAAGACAAAAAAGAGGACAACCCCCATGAAGACACACACGATTGTAAAGAAAAAGTCAAAAAACAGAAGAGAAGGTCTTGCCCGGATTCGAACTGGGGTATTTGGAGTCAAAGGCCAATATGCTAACCACTACATCACAAGACCGTCTTATAGGCTTCAGATTTTTTGGAATGTATTATCAAAGTATGATCAAGAATGTGAGGGCTTACTTAGGCTAATTGTAGTCAAATGTCATAAAAATGATATCATCATCATCATAGCCCAATTGCAATTTATAAAACCCCAGCCAGCTCTCGTAGTACCTACCACCCCATAATCGAATATCGCCTTGGCAAGTATTGTCTGGATTTCTTCCAACTTTTGTTAACAGTCAGTGAGCCCTCACTATTTATAACTCACTGTCCACAACTCACTAACCTTGCTATTAGACACATTTGACTTTCGGGATTCTTGTTAATTACTTGCCCCTCTTCGCGCCGCCAGGAACAGAACCCATCACAGACATAATATAATGGCTCTGGCTCCTAAATTCTCAGGGCAGAAATTGACGGCCCTTACAGCGCAGCAACCCCAACATACACTAGAACTTTGTATGTCAAGTCTAACATTGTTACAGTGCGGGCGAGGCTAACTGTTTACACAATACCTGCGAAGACCTTGACTACGTTTGTCCTGTTGGTCTATATACACCATTATACCTGTTAAGTTTTTGGTACTGATATTTAACATCAGTTTTCGGCAAAGCTATTCGGAACTTTCTACAATTCAGTTCAACCCGTCATCGCTGAAAGGTATCAACCTCGACTCCAGGTTATTTTTCGCCAGCATATTCAGCCCTGGCATCCATCGTCAACACTCACCCACGAAGCTGGGGCGGCGGTCCTGAGGCTAGCCCCGCACAAATTCTGGGAATTCAGCGCCGCCTTGTTTGCGAATCAAAAGGAATTTTTCGACGTTAACGTTGTCAACGAGACGCGCAACAGAACGTACGAGAGACTTGCCAAGATTGGAGAAAGTGTTGGTGTGGACAAGGATAAAATCCTAGAATTGCTGACAGTATCTGGGAAAGCTGATGATGAAGGGAATCTGAACACCGGTAACAAGGTTACCAATGATGTCAAATTAATGGTCAGGGTATGTACTTGGTGTGATCATTACTAGAGTGGAGTCCACGCGATCTAATATCAGGCACAGGCAGATCGAGTGGTTGGAGTTCATGTTTCTCCAACCGTGTATTTCAATGTGCGAAACCTCCACCAAATCAGGCCTGCAAGTCTCGGAGCACTGACTTTATGATCTAGGGTATTGAAGAATCAGGAATCAGCAGTAGCTTCACCGCTACTCAATGGGAGCAATGGCTGGCCAAAAATGTGATTTAGAGCCCTCAACACATAAGCGCAGGTCGAAGGATATGAGGTAGCAGCGGAGAAAAACCATGTGACAAATTAATCGTGGTCGTGGTTTTTTTTGGTAGATGAGACATTTCCCATTAGGATCAAACCATATCGCATTCCCAAGCATCATGTGAGGTGTATCAGATTGCCCCGGGCAATTTTATTCTATGCATTTCCCTGCATATTTAGATGTGGAGCTGCTCCATCTTCTTTCTTGGACCTAGAGGCGAGTCAAAGAATGAAAAGGAGTGCACCTTTTCTTGCAAGTAAAGTCGATTAACTATTGGGAGGTCGGCGGCTGATAGTTCAAGGGCCGTCTGTATACACGGATTAGCCATTGGAAAACAGTGTGGGACGTCCACATTTAAGACATACTTGAAGAGAAGAATATGTGGCTCTGGTTCATGAACCTCGTAATGCTCCCACCCCAAGCTCTAACATATTCAAGTTAGTAAAAATTCCACCCCCAACAGATGTGATTGACATGACTGGAGATTATTACATACCTGGGTGATCCCGAGTGCTCGCCACTCCTCTTCCCACAGCAGTTTCAAAGTTCCCTTGGCGCTGTCAAAGTAGTCGGCGGGTATTTTCTTGAGCATGTTTTTGGGAAGTTGAACGTGTCGGTATTCGAATTGGTCATCAGAATATCTATGTGCGTCGTCAAAACTACCGTTTCATTATCTTGGAGAAGGCCCGTACCTTGCGGAGTAGTGAATAGACTCGATAAATTCCTCCAGCTTCTCACGCTCAGATTCCAACAAAGGGCGAGCCTTCTTGTTCCTCCGACTCATATCGATCTCCATTGGGATGCGTTGAAAATATGTGGAAGGAAATGGTGTCGCGGCTGGAGGAATCGTACAGCGAAGTGGGCTTGAACGGACCGCACTGTTTACGTCTATGGCGGGGGGGGGGGGGGGGGTCGGGGATCAAGGGACTGGTCAAAACCAAACCAGATTCACTGTATTTGATGACAAGTCAGCTCCTAGGAGGGATATGGAATATGAGAAGTAGACTGACAATGTATTGGAGGACTCAGTGCGCGTTCTGAGTTGCACTGAAGGGTAATAGGAATAATGAAAGGCGGAATAGGATGTGATTACAGAGCTTGCGGGGACCTAATAATAAATTCTATCGCAAGGACTAATTGGTCAGTCCTGTTGATGCCTTAGGCTACAAAGAGGAGGGACCCAGGTCGAGTACTCCGTAGTTTTCTCCCGGTTTATATTCATTCGGAGTAGTAGATGACATTTACAGCACTTAGAGGATAACAGTAGTATCTAGATAGCCAACTACCGGTAGTACAAGTAACTCTACAACAAGGGACTACTTTAAGTTTTCATGTGGCAACGCTCTACAGATCCGAAACTTGGGAGGAAAAGAGCATGCATGCATGTACAAGAAGGTAGATTGATATATACTGGGGCTGGATGCAACTTTCCACTTCTAGATCGCCCATGGTATATGATGGTTCCTAATAAACAGTGGTATTTTAGGTAGAAAAGGACTTCCTGACAGTCTTCTCCGTACTAGTTTACATCAATCAAGTCCATTGAAGTTCAATCCTCCACTATTTTCTATGATAAGAATCACGTTGTTGGCTTATCTAATCGACCAACCATGGATTTTGGGGTTTGCTCCTCAACCGAGGGGCGCGAAAAAAAAAAAAGAAAGAAAGAAAAGAAAAAAAAAAAGTTTCGAAAGTGGGTTAATTTTTTTGCCCTCCAAAAATTTTACCGCTCCCACTTCAGGTTGAAGTCAATTATAAAACTTCCTCCATCCTACCCTCTTCTTCATTGATCATCTCTCTGTCTTTTGACACACCCTTTTTCACCTTCTTTTTTTTTTCTCACCTTCCCTTTTTACTCAAAATGTCTGACGAAGTTTACGAGGGTGCCATCGGCATTGATCTGGGTATGTTTCTCCGGTTCTTTTTTCTCGCCCGAAGTTTTGGCCTTTCTCTTCCTTCGCCTTGCTGACTCGCCCTGTAGGCACAACCTACTCCTGCGTTGCCAACTATGAAGGCACCAATGTCGAAATCAGTATGTATTTCCCAGGATCTTGACTTCATGAGACCAGCTTCCAACATTACTCTTAGTTGCCAACGAGCAGGGTAGCTACACAACCCCATCTTTCGTCTCTTTCACCGAGAAGGAGCGCTTGATTGGTGAGGCAGCCAAGAACCAGGCTGCTATGAACCCGAAGAACACCATCTTCGATATTAAGTGAGTGAAACCTTGGCTTACTGGTGGTGGCTTTATATACTCATTGGCCGAGATGCTGACTATGCAAAGGCGTCTGATCGGTCGTCGGTTTGATGACCCCATTGTCAAGAAGGATGTTGAGTCCTGGCCTTTCAAGGTCGTCGACGTGGGTGGAAACCCTGTTGTCGAGGTTGACTATCTCGGTGAAGTCAAGACTTTCACCCCTCAGGAGATCTCCTCCATGGTTTTGATGAAGGTAACTAAACTACCCGGGTTAAAGGAAGTCTGGGTTTCATTATGCTGACTGCACTGTGTGCGATTAGATGAAGGAAGTCGCCGAGACCAAGCTCGGAAAGAAGGTTGAGAAGGCTGTCATCACTGTGCCCGCCTACTTCAACGACAACCAGCGTCAGGCTACCAAGGATGCGGGTGCCATTTCCGGTCTCAATGTTCTCCGTATCATCAACGAACCCACTGCTGCTGCCATTGCTTACGGTCTTGGCTCTGGAAAGTCCGAGAAGGAGCGCAATGTCCTGATCTACGATCTTGGTGGTGGTACTTTCGATGTCTCCCTCCTTAACATCCAGGGTGGTGTTTTCACAGTCAAGGCTACTGCCGGTGACACTCACCTTGGTGGTCAGGATTTCGACACAAACCTTCTGGACCACTTCAAGAAGGAGTTCCAGCGCAAGACTGGCAAGGATATTTCTGGCGATTCCCGAGCCCTGCGCCGTCTGAGAACCGCTTGCGAACGTGCTAAGCGTACCCTGTCCAACGCTACCCAGACCACTGTTGAGATTGATTCCCTCTTCGACGGTGAAGATTTCAACACCTCCATCACTCGTGCTCGTTTTGAGGACCTCAACGCCAAGTCTTTCTCTGGCACCTTGGAGCCCGTCCAGCAGGTCCTCAAAGACTCCGGTCTTGAGAAGCGCCAGGTCGATGAGATCGTCCTTGTTGGTGGTTCCACCCGTATCCCCCGCATTCAGAAGCTCCTCAGTGATTTCTTTGATGGCAAGAAGCTCGAGAAGGTAAGTTCGGCCTGCTGAACTATGATGTGATATATATATATATATATTGGTTTTTAACTAACGATGATTACAGAGCATCAACCCCGACGAGGCTGTTGCCTACGGTGCCGCCGTTCAGGCTGGTATTCTGTCCGGAAAGGCTACCTCTGCTGAAACTCAGGATCTTCTGCTCCTTGATGTTGTTCCTCTGTCCCTTGGTGTTGCCATGGAGGGTAACATCTTCGCTCCTGTTGTGCCTCGTGGCCAAACTGTCCCCACCATCAAGAAGCGCACTTTCACCACTGTTGTGGACAACCAGACCACTGTCCAGTTCCCTGTCTACCAGGGTGAACGTACTAACTGCGCCGATAACACCTCTCTCGGCGAGTTTACATTGGCCCCTATCCCCCCCATGAGGGCCGGAGAAGCTGCCCTTGAGGTCGTCTTCGAGGTTGACGTCAACGGTATCCTCAAGGTTACTGCCACTGAGAAGTCTTCTGGCCGTACCGCCAACATCACTATTTCCAACGCCGTTGGCAAGCTTTCCACCACTGAGATTGAACAGATGATTGATGGTACGTTTTGCCCGATTAATTGACCATACGTCAGAATTGTCACTGACCTCTCTTGTCTTAGATGCTGCCAAGTTCAAGACCAGTGATGAGGCTTTCACCAAGAAGTTCGAGTCTCGCCAACAGCTCGAGTCCTACATCTCTCGTGTCGAGGAGATTATCTCTGACCCTACCATGTCCCTGAAGCTGAAGCGCGGTAACAAGGACAAGATCGAGTCTGCTCTCAGTGATGCCATGGCTCAGCTTGAAATTGAAGATTCTACCCCCGAGGATCTGAAGAAGAAGGAGCTTGCCCTCAAGAGACTGATTACCAAGGCCATGGCTACTCGGTAAATGTTAGGTTGTGAACACGAATGACCAAGGCAGGGGTCCTGATGAACCTAGTATAGGCTCCTGGTTGGATGTGTTTCTGCAACGGTTGGGAATGAACATTATCAAAAGTATCTTTTTAGATTTCATTTTCATAAATGAGGTTAGCTTGGCAGCTTTAATGACTTTGACGAGCTTGTCACCATACATTTTCTTGACTCTTCGTGGTCAATCTGTTCAAACTTGCAATTTGGTCCTACATAGAAAGAGTAATTGCCATATAATGAAGAGCCTTCCGGAATTTCAATTCTCTATCCTTGTAATCATCCCTACATTTTGTTTTTTTTTTTTTTTTTTTTTTTTGACATGCTGCGCACTTTTCTTGGCGTTGGTATTCCTATAAAAATTGGTTAATAAGGTAGGCTGCGGATCGGGGACTGGGATTATCCCATGGAAAAGCCGAAATTCATTATTATTACACCTTTCTTATCCTGGCACATATACCAAACGCCTCCGAGTTTCCACGGGCCACAAAGATGCAACGCACAGCAACCTTTTCGCTAGTTTCCCGGCTTCATTACCCGTACTCCTCGACAAGCTCGCACCTGCGGTTTCTCTCCCGGGCTGAGCTCCCGCGCCATGCTTTGCAACGAAACTTCTCTGTCTCCCCCTTCCTGAATAAAGGCAAGAAGAAGGACAGTACAAAGCAAGCGTCTGGTTTAAGTTCTGAACCGAAGACTTCCCATGCAAGCCCAGGGTCCCAGGATCCACTTGACCTTACACAACTCGAACATGGCATCGCGACAGCTGTGTCCCGCTTGAAAGAGGAGCTCTCCAAGCTCCGGGTGGGCGGAAGGCTGAACCACGAATCCATCGAGAGTCTCCGCGTGCAACTAAGCAAGGGAAGCAAGGAAACGGTGAAACTGGGGGAATTGGCACAGGTTGTGCCCAAGGGTGGCCGCATGGTCACTGTTCTAGTATCTGAAGAGAGTGTGAGTTTGGGGTCTCTCCCGCCGTATCTCCTTTTCTTCTTCTTCTTCTTCTTCTCTAACATTGGATGGATGTCATTCAGTACATCAAACCGGTTTCTTCAGCAATTGTCTCCTCCAATCTATCCTTGACACCACAACCGGATCCCCATAATGCGCTTCAGCTCAATATCCCCATTCCGCCGCCTACGAAGGAATCCCGAGACCAGACAGTCGCCGTTGCAAAGACAGCAATGGAAAGAGCAGCCGGCAGTGTTCGTGACGCGCGAGGTGCCGTTCATAAGCGGCTCCAGGACATGGTGAAAAAGAAGGTCGCCAGACCGGATGATGTTAGGAAAACACAGGATAGAATGGAGAAGGTGGCTGAGAAGGGACAGAAGGAGGTAAAGGATTTGTTTGAAGCTGCAAAGAAGGCTATGGAACGGGCTTAATACACATGACATGACATGACTGACATAGCTGGTTGTGCTGGACTGTTGGATTCTTTCCTCTCATTATCATGGATATGGATGGGACTGTATAAAAGTGGTAGGGCTTTTACGTTGGTGTTGGAAACTCTTTGCTGTGTATAATACTCTTATGTGTTTGACTTCTGCTCATTCGATGATACAAGTACATTCAAAAGGTAGGTGAAATATAGAGAAATTTTGGGTATGGGATGGAATAAAACAATATATAATACAATGACCTTAAAAAAATTCCATACTCTTATGCGCGTTTGGCAGGACGGCGAGAAGCCATGAGGGATTCGATCTTGGTCATGAATTGCGAGCTCTTCCCAGCAGCCTGGTAAGTCTCGTTGTTTCGTAGATTCCTCACAATTTCACCAAAGAGCGGAGACTCCTTGTTCGGTTTTATTCCAGGGTACTTGCCCTGGACAAGAGACTGAACCAAGGATTTCTGCTCTTCCTCACTAGCACGCTTGAAGTTGACGGGCTGTGGATCAACCAAATCGCCCTTCTCTTGGGAAAGCTTGTCTGCTTGCTCCTGCGCAAGACTTTTCGCGGCAGCCAAAGCCTCAGATCTCTCCTCCTCGCTCAGAAACCGAACATACTGCCCCTCGAATAACCGCTTGCCGAGCTCATTAGGTGGGACATAGCCATCAATGGTGCGGCCACTGAGCAACGACAGCTTGTCAACAACTCCCGCAGCACTAGCCGTGGTACCTATAGGCAACGAAGGCCAAGTCTCGCTCAGATTCTGTAGGCTAGGGGGTTGAGGTTGATAGCGAGTAGGGGTTGGTTTTGTCTTCTCTGCGAGTTCCTGGTATACATTCTCGAGCTCGGCCTTCTGCACATCGTCACCTTCCTCCGCATCCGAGTTTTTCTGGAAGCGACGACGGCCGGCGGCCTTCCTGTCCTTCTGTTGTGGCCGGGACTTTGAGGGAGCTCTGGGCTTGCGAGCCCGGTTTGGTGGACCACCGCGGGAATTTCGGATTGCTGGGCTCCTAAGGATATTTACCGGCTTGCCATCGGTTTTAGAGGCTGCAAGGGATCGAGCATCGACGATTCGTCTAGGTAGAGCTCTGCTGGAATTGACGTTCTTGGTGTTCAGATTTGCAGGTGGAATGTTGGTCTTTCGGGGTCGGGTGGAAGGACTTTCTATAGGCGCTGGTTAAACACGGAATACAAGGAGAGTGTCTCTGAAAAGGGTGGGAAAAGGACGAATTCGGTTCGAGGCCAATTGGAATTACGGAAATAGCCAGACACTGATGGAAGTTTGGCACTTACTGGGAGCGCTCGGGTCATTCTCGAAGCATTTTCCAGATACGGAGAAATGGCGAATTGCTAGAATGGGTCCTTCTACCCATCCTGCACGCCTTGGGCGTAAGAGCATAGTCCGGGGTTGGAACATCCTCTGCAATGACATTTGATGATATCAAAGTTGAGTTGGAGTTGAGTAGAAAAGTTCGCGGGACTGCTGCCGAAGCCTCAAACTATCACGTGACCACAACAGACTTTAGTTCTGGCATGTGTCCAGGAAGAACATCTGCCTCAGACTCCCTATCTATGCTGTTGAGATTCAGTTGAATAAACTGACCAAAATTTTTTTTTTCTTATAAAACATATTACTACCGCTAAACACTCGACACAGTTCATTCCCTCAATCAAACCTTGCCTCACGATGATCCGCCGCAAACCCACTGCTATAGCAATCACCTTCGATGACCTCACAATGTTTGAGGAATCCCGAATGCGCAAACTAGAAAAAGAAAGCAACATTCAAGACCAAGGCCAAAATAATGCTCGCGTGAACTTTGACCCGAGCGATGAATTGAAGCCTTTACCGGGAGACAAAGCACGGATTGTTCGATCTCGTGAGGAGCGAATTGGTATCAACCAACGGAATTGAAAACAGCTACATATTAATATCCCTCGCGGCCCAACAGATCTTGCAATGACCTGACTCAACTATTTGGGGGGGGGGGGGAGGTTCTTCTTCCTCCTAATTCATATGTACCCCACCCTTTTTTTCTCTCTCTCATATATCTAAGCTCTCGAGATGTTTTGAGATTCCCTAGATGACTGGTTTCTCTGCGAAGAAAACCACGAATTTGCTTAGACGGTACATGGAACGAATGCGACGCTTTCTGACCTTGATTGTGAGACTACAGCATATGCCAAAAAAAGATCTACTTTTCACACTTCAATGATCTCTTGATAAACTTTGCTGCATCTACTGCTTTTTGGCCTCGGCGAACAAGAAATATCGAAAACATATTCAACTTTTCTACTATTTTCAATTGCAAGGCCATGAGGGTAAAGAAGCGCGTCTCTTTGAGGCTGGGCGCCACCGAGCTACCCTTGGGAAGGAAATGGGCAAATCGCAAGTTTTTCAGCCAAGGCCGTCGAATATACATTGATATATTCATTTTATAGGCAGTGCTTAATATTTTCATGATAATTGCTTGTATTATAGGGGGCTCAAGGTTGTGGATGCATGAGAAGCGGTGAATTGGGGATTATGATTTACGAAGCCTTTGGAGTATGAATTCTGCGATATAAGAGCATCATGGCATTAGAGAGAAAAAAAAAGGCATTGATAACAACCGCGTCATCGTACAAGTATATGCTCTCATAGTTGTTCCCATACTATATAGTACTTGAAATGCGAGGGTGATGGTGAGGCTCGAAACTGAATATGGACTCACTTCATCACCGGTGTCTCTTGGGGTTATTATCGGTTCCAATATCGGCGGAATAATTCCACCTCCTTTTCAAGCCATTCGGGTCATACACGCTTGCAACGCTTTGCTGCCAATCACGTGCGGTAAACACCATTGGCTGCCCGCTCATCTGTGACTGGGAGACAGTCGGGGTGGGCAGGACAGCAGCCATCTTAGTGGGTTGTTGATATTGAACAGCATATTGGTCCACCAGAGGAGGTGGTATCGCTTGAGAAGTGTTATTTACCGGCACTGGAGGCGAGTTCGGATTGACAGCCGAAGAACCGAAGGAAAATGCCATGTCCCATTGACTAAATATGAGGCATTAGCATCCAATGAACCTTGATAGAGCAGGCATTCGTTTTTCTTTCTTACTTAATGATACGGGTAGGATCCCAGCTATTCTCATCAACCAACGGGGTCTCCACAGGTGGACATGAGACTGGATGTGGTTGAAGGATCCCTAAAGGCTGCATTTGAGGCGAGTCGGATTTAACATCATCAGGGCCAGCGGATATTGGGGGCGTAATGGGATACGACTGGTAGCCAACCCTGGCCTGTAAATTGGACAATTGGCTGGGTTGTGGTGGGAACTGAGAATCAAGAGTAGGGCTGGGTTGATATGGTTCTGACGGGCTGCCATATGGGAAGGTGGGCTTTAGTTCGAATGGGCGAGTGATGTTGGCAGAAAATGCAAGTCGCAGCGAGTCGATCTGAGCTTGTATTTCTGGCATCGGCCAAGCCGAGGAGCATATTTCTAGAATCCGCATGTGGCGCGTGAAAAATTCGCGCGCATCTGTATGGAAGTCAGGGTCAGGAGAGGTTATGGCAACCTTCAGAGGCCAATTAGTACAGTCATATATTAGTAGCCAAACAAACAAGGTTAACTCACCAGGTGCAGCATGGTGCATGTTAGAATGCAGTATATTGTAAAATTGATACCCCGTTGCATAAAGAGGAGGCCTGACAATCCAAAGCGATCCAGTATCGCCTCCTGAAGGCGACACAAATATTTTGCTGAGGAGTAGCACAGCGCCATATGCATCTTCCAGCCTCCACCTGCTGTAAAGGACTTAGAAGTAATCAATTGTGGTCTGTGAAGCAGAATTATCCCCAGATGACAATGTGAATGCATGTTCCCCACGAAATGAGACAGAATCCATGGTGGTGAGCCATCAACTGGATAGTTGACTTGTAGGTCAGGTGGCAGATTTTGCAACCAATCTGTGAAAAGAGGGTTCTTTTCAACAAACTTGGGATTAGATCCCCAGTCCCTCTGCCGCTTAATCTTATGGTAAGTGTCGGTTATTATACGAATATGGTACGCATTGCGGACGAAGTACGCGTATTGCCTGGATCGATCAATTTCAAACTGATCCAAATCCTTTATATCCAGATTTGGTTGCATATTCACAGTTGATGGATCTACACCATAGTCTGATCGACCTGCATATACATGTGTTAGTATTAGTTTATGGAAATAGGTATGTATAATAATGTACCTTGTGGAGCACCAATCATGACCTCAACAACTATGAGGATTTGCCACACTCTGGTCTGAACCAAGCACTCAATCGAGCTTAAATTGCACGATTTTTCTTCCGAATGTAGATTGTAATGTTCATGAATATCCAAATCTTTGGCCATCGAGATCATGGTTTTGACAGTTTGCCATGATCGGTAATAATAGCCCTTTTTCGGAAGCGATTCCCGGGCTTTTAGGAGCAGAAGTAAGGCCTGTATCGTGCTTAATCGTGGGACATCCATAAAACTCGATTCGTGCCCTTCGTGTGACAGAAAAATCAAGGGTTAGCAGAAGCTCCTGCGAGTATTGCACAGCTCTTTTTTCGAGAGGGGGGATTAGGCTTACTATTTGCTAAAGCAAGCCACTGAGCGCCCTGGGAAGGATCGTCCGACAACCTGCCTGCGCATGCAAATAATGCCTCGAGAAGGAGAGGAGAAATTGATTTCCGTTCGTGCTGCCACTGATAATATAGATGAGAACGATGTACAACGGGAACATATGGATGTATGTCATCGAAATAAATCTTGAAGTATTTCATGACTTCATCATCTGATGGCATAAGTTCAGGGGGGATGCGGATTTTGGAGCCTGCTCCGGTACTAAGCGGAGGAAGGCTCTCCTCAAGTTCGTCTTGTGTGGGGAGCTCTGGTTCAGATTTATCCATTTTCTGCTGCCTGATGTAAGGTGCTACTTGAAATTTAGCGAGCTTCTCAATCTATCAGGAGGCTTCAATCTTACCAATTCCAGTCTCGTCAATTTTGAGCTGCCCAAGGACCTCACTAAGATTCTCAGCCGTCGACTGATCGTGTTCCCCAAACTGGACACCTTCAGTGCCCCGTAGAGGTTGATTACCAGAAACAGCAAACATCTGTTGCTGGTGATATGAATCATGCGAAACAACTTCTTGGTGAGGTGATCTTGTTTCATACATTGCCGGGTGATTCGAAACTTGGTGCGGAAATTGTTGAAACATGCCCATTCCCTCTGTACCGTACTGATGCATGGCTTCAACGGGAGGTTGCACATCATCTTGGTAAGCTTGAGGCATAGCATATGATGAGAGTGAAGCCGAAGGGTCGGGTGCATTTATTGCACCCATAGAACTTGTCGGGTAAGGATCAACTCCTTGGCCCGACGAGAAATCACCATCCTGGCCGATAGTGGGAGGCACGCATACGATATTCAGTCTAGTGCACGCAGAGCACGGCCAGGTATTTGTTGTTGCGGCGTCACATTTTATTTTTCGCTTCCGGCAGCCATTGCAAGCTCGCATTACTATATTACACACCGTTAGCAATCGGGAGTGCGAGAAGATAGAATATAAATACCTTTGAGTCTTTTATGCCTATTATGTTCGTCCACGAATACATAATCTGCATGGAAGAAATGGTGAGTGACAGCTCAGATACACATTCTGGAATCCGTTGCGCGCCGGGATCGCATCGGAAGAAAAGGAAAGCCATTGGGGGATGAGGAAAAGCGTCTTACTTTTCTGCCCTTCTCGGGAAGGGCCTGTTGGAGGTGCGAAGGAATAGCTCTGCATTCTGTCTAGATTTTAGGAAGTAATGGGGACGAGAAAAAAAAAACAGAGAAGAACAGAAAAGAAAGAAAAGAGGATATTAGTCGCAAGGCCGGCCTCGCGTAGTTGACACAGATGGATAGTACGGCACTACTTGGAATGCCCCCCTTTTTGTCTTTTGAAGCCCAACTGAACGAAAGGAGATTCGAAGTAGAGGCGCTAGCTGTGGCCCTGACCACGCCACATAAAACTGTCTATTTAAGATCTCGTAGCCGATCGCGTGAGGGGATGGCGATGATATGAGAGGAAGCGTTGCGTTCCAACTTCGAGAATACCCGCTATCACACCTTTTTCTCGGAATTGTAACGTCGCAAATCTGATCACACTGGCTAGTATGGCTGCGATGAGGTTATAATCAAGGAAGGATAGAACCCGAAAGGGTTGATTTTCGGGGCCCGAATAGATTGCCAGGTTGAAGGACCGGTCTTTCGAGAGAGTCGAAGCGCGTACCTCGGGGCGCTGCGATCGATAGGTATAAGTCCCAGCAGGAGGGGGGGAAGGTGGTATATATACTGAGAGATTGAGATATCGTGCTTGAATCTAGAGAGGTCGAGAGTCAGTCAAAGCCGTAGCAACGATCTGGACATTAAAGACAGTAATAAGCTGGAGAAACATTTGAGAGCTGCTTATAGGCAATCTCGTAGTCATAACTTGGTCATCGAGGTGAACCGCAACGCGCGCGCGGCCTTACAACATCAGGCGTCACATTTGGAGGTGTTTCAGAAAGCGACCGACATGTGAGTAGGCAAAACATTCTTCACTTACAGTCAATGAAAAACAGAGCTTAGGTAGACTGCATGGTCGACTAGAAAACCAATATTATTTGTGAAACTCGCTGGTGACTGTGTATTGGGTTGAGGTAGGAGAGCTGGGGCGGCGCATCATAAAGCAATTGACTATCGTCACCATTTGAATGGTACAGGAGTAATTAGGAGCCTAGAGAAATGCCTCCAGGCCGCGATGGTATAGGAAGGCAACGAGGAAAGCTGAAGATCGAGATTCTATAACGCGGCATATAAAAGACGTATATAATTAGGAGGAGTAGAGGGAGAAGTATATCTCGGGGGGGGGGGGGCAGATGTGCAGCAATGCGATAGGATTAGCATGTGAAGTATCGGGAGCGGACCAGGGCAGATGCGGCTAAGTTGGAGCTTTCATGGCTTGAAGAATATATATTTATTCATTCGGGGTTTCAGACAGGGAGCGTAGTCAAGTAGAATGATATCAGAGGGTCGGAGAAGTGTCTGAAACGAATGATCCGGAAGGGTAGACGAGCAATCACTGAAGAATATTAGTATAATATAATTAGAAGCGGAACGAACCAGCCGGATAATTGAGAGAAGAAGGGAGGAAATGTGGGATGAGAATCAAATCATTATCAGCATTCTTTTGGGGGGGAGTGCGAAAGCGAGAGCGAGCGAGAGAGGATCGCCTCGGTCGAGTTGAGGGGGGCGCCTTGGGAGGTGGCATCCAGTAACATTGAGGATACCAACAAACCCCCCCCCCTCTTCAATTATGGATTTAGCTGCCTAGGTAGGTCCTTACTGACATTATTGGCTGGCTCCCTCCCTCCTTGGTGTTCTCGAACCATGAAGAATAATAAATGGACGCACCGGGAGTATAGTAATTTATTTGGAGCAATTCTTGTTAGAAAGTCCACGGATTTTCTCCATATTTCTCTCTCGTGTCACTCCTGGTATGGTAGAACTTCTAGCTTGACGGAATCGGTTCAGTTCATTTTCAAAAGCTCCATTTATTCCCCTGTGGTCCGATGGATCTAGAAATATATATGATTAGAGTCCTGATTGGACCGCCAGGAATATTTAAGCAGATCCCCGATCACTCTTGGAATATTCTTGGTGGTGTTTCTTTCCTGAGTTTAATTTACCGAGTACCATCATGGTAACTCCGAAAGAACCTAACTACTTAGTAACTCCCTAGTAGGCGTTGAAAACGTTATAACAGAGCTACTAAGTTCCCAAGTTATTTTAGTGGGGTTTATGGAGATTTATGTTAATTTGATGCAGGTAATAAATAGGGTAGTGGTGGATTCCGTATCCGGGAGACGAGAAAAGAATTGACTTTGAGGAATCAGGATAGTAACTCCCGAAGCCCTATAACTAGTAAAGTTACTGATGGTAGCAGCTAGCTAGTTAGTCAACTAACTAGTAGTTAATAACCAGCAAAAAGGAACGAACTGGTGTGACAGAGGGGGAATAAGATGAAACTTGAGGTGTTTCACCATCAGTATCAGATTATTTCCACTTAGGCCTCTAGTGCCACCATGGAAAATAGTTGTTCCTAACTCATTGCCCCTCCGTTCTCTTCTCCCCTTCTGCCAAGTTACTAATTGCTTCCCCCCACCCAAACCCTCCGATAATAGTTTAATGATTTCCGATACTCACCATCAACATGGCGTCTGAAATGCAAAATTCAAATCCCACTATTCTGAATACCGCGGACCTTCCAACACGCTTGCGTCCCGCGGGGTCCCATAAACCTGGCACCTATGGCGGCGGATTCTTGGCCTCCGCACTGCCTTTGCCGGGAGCCCAAACAACTGACCTTCTGTCCGACTACCCACAGTCTTCGTCAGAATCGGAGAGTGGTGATGATTTGCTGGAAGAGCCCATAGATGAACAAGAAATTTACGGTAAGGCCCTTCCTTTCATATTCCGCCTCCAAAGGCAATGGATGAGTGAGTCAAGTCAAGCTGATAGATCTCAGATCTTATTTCGACCATTTCCGACCCCGAACATCCAATCTCCTTAGGCGCCCTAGCTGTGGTTTCGCTCCCTGATATTTCCATTAAACCTACTCTCCCGGATGTGCCGGAATCACCTCTTCGGACGGCTACTGTTCTCGTCACCCCCACGATCACACACTGCAGTCTGGCCACCGTAATTGGTCTTGGTGTTCGCGTCCGACTCGAGCAATCGCTGCCCCCCAGATTTCGCGTGGATGTCCAGATCAAGGAAGGGACACACAGTACTGCAGACGAAGTGAATAAACAGCTAGCTGATAAAGAAAGAGTAGCCGCCGCTCTTGAAAACGGCACGTTGATGGGCGTTATTGCAAAGATGCTGGAAACATGCCAATGAGCCGATCTTTAACTCCAGAATTATGTGCATTTCTATACTGGGAGTTGCATACTTCCATGATAATATGCATTATCCTTGTTTAAATTTTTTTTTTTACAGTCCCGTGGAAATTGTGAATTTAATTATGCCACGCCCATTCCGCCCTACTAGTTGGGGGGGGGGGGGGGAGGTCACGAATCTAAAACGCCACTCTCCTTCAAGCCCTTCCAAAGCTCTGGTTCCAAGAATTTGCTTACAGTTACATCTTCCGCCAAGCCCTTGCGTCTCCTTGTTTTCAACACGAAATCGCGAGCGGTTGCCATTGCATTCGCCATCTCTAATGGTTTTGTCTTCACCTCGCGATCTAATGGATCCCCAGGGACAACACTCCACTTGTCAAACACAAGACTGACAGATGCCTGTCCCTGCGTGTGAATACGAAGATCTGTTTCAAAGCCAAACGAGTCGATGACTGGAATCAAACCGCGGACCGAGTAAAGCGGTGTTCCCGCGATTGGCCCGTCAGAGAGCACATGGCCTCTCCTTCTGGACAGGACGGTGTATACGGATGCAACAGCATCTGGAGGTCCCGTCATCGAACAGGAATAAATAGGCTCCATGAGGCGTGGAGATGCCATGAGGAACGACGAGTAGACGGCGCGTCGGGCCGTGGGGATAATTTGGCCACCTCCCCTGTAGATTGCTTGGTCAGCCAAGGAAACATCCGTGAGCTTAAATTTAGTGTTGCGAATAGCTATAATTTGAATAAAACAGTCAATTTTGGAGGACCAAAAAGAAGGGGGGCGAAGAAAACCTACGTTCTTCACACAAGGGACCTTCTCGGGTACCCCAGCTGAAGCCCTGTGTAATAGAATCTCTGACACTTCCAAGTAGCTTTTTGTCGATTTGGGACGGTAGGGTGTCATCCTGCAAGATATTCGGTCCCATGTCATCGGGCCCGAACGCCCATATGCTTCGCGCCGCAAGTTTATCCCAATCATACTTTTCCTCGAAAAAGCGGGCCACCTTGCGAATCGGGTCTTTGATGCTCACTCTGCCACTCTCAATATCTTCGGCGATTCCATCGTCCAAAGGCTCAGCAATCATTGTGATCTTATTCAACTTGTTCGGTGTGATAGAATAGCACATGATAGCTGAAGTCTCAACAACAGTTTCGCAGAAGCGGGTAACTGGATCGGAGACCTTGATTTCCATCTCGGAGTAGAGCCTTCGAAGGTCGTGAAGTACACAGTCCATATAAAGCTCCCCTGTTCCCAGGACAATGTGTTCACCGGACTCTTCGACTTTTGTCGAAATCAGAGGATAACTCTTGTTGACTCGTCGGAGACCGTCAAGCATTTTGGGGAGCTCAGATGGGTTGACAGGTTCAACAGCGACCTTGAAGACGGATTCAGTTATATGCCGAATTGGCTTGAAGATGTAGGCTTCCTCTTCATCTTCGAACCGCTGAGAGACAAGAGTGGCGGTCTTTACGATGGAGTTGTCCACACCTCCGAGAAGAACCAAGTTACCAGCAGGAACACCACTGGTTGGGATATTATACCGCGTCTCCGGGATCCATGTGTCGGAAATAGTGGCATTTACCATATCTTCCTCATCATCAGGTGTATAGCCTTCACCTAGTACCCGGACTTGCGAGCCCGGGCGGGCGGTTCCACTCATGATCCTTCCAAGAGCGTGGAACCCCGAGGCATCAGTGCTTGTAAGGAGCTTAGTAACATGGACAACAAGGGGACCATCTGCATCGCACGTCGACATTGAATTTGCGACCTTGGTGTCAAGCGGGCCAGTATAGTATCGTTCCAGAGTCCTCTTCGCACCCTCGGCCGGGGAGGGGATATGTTGCAAGACCATGTCCATAAATCCGGTTGCAGGCCCAAAGAACTGTTCGCAGACTAGACTGAGTAGGACCTTGGCATCTGATTTCAGTTGAGATGGTTTCAAGCTGATACCAACGCTAGCGAGCGTCTCCTTCAAGTCTTCTGGACTCTCACTGATAGTGTGTGAATAAAGCTTGTAAATGGGCTCCAGGACAAATTTAACAAATGATCGCTTGGAGTTCTCTTCTACTCCCTTGCGTGTAAACTTTCGACTCTTGGGGTTAAAGAAAATATCGCCCCAAAGGCGTAGAGCAAAATCTGAGGTTTCAATCTTGGGATACGTATTCGCGTACATCTTTGCAAAAGACTGCAGCGTGAAGCACCAGCCCATGGATGCACAAGCAAAAGCAACATTGCCCTTTTCGGGGCTCAGTCGTCGTTTTTCGCCCTGCCCTGGCAAAACATTTTCAATCACTGTGTTGACCTCTTCGATGACATGTTTCAGTTTGAAATAAGCGTCATTTGGGGGGATTTTTAGCTCAAGGATTAATCTATCCATTTTGCTCACGACGAGTGTTAGCGGTAGGTCCTCCAGGACTGCGTGCTTGATGATTTGCTCTGTATTGGCCTGCACACCTTCTACCACATCGACAACAAGGACGACGCCGTCGACCAAGCGAGACGAGGCCGCTACTTCGTCCACGAAATTCACATGTCCCGGAGTGTCAATAATATTAAGCAGGTGAGATTTTCCCTTGGTGTTTTGAAGAACCAAACTCATTGGCGCGGACTTGATCGAGAGGCCCCGCTGCCTTTCTAAGTAGTGAATGTCGGTATACCGAAGCTGTTCTTCCTTCTTCCTTCCTGTTTTCTTCTCAAGGCGTTCAGCCAAGTCGTGTGTCTGCATGACGAGCATATCCATAAACGCGGTTTTTCCATGGTGTAAATGGCCAACGAGCGCAACGTTTCTGATTTGATCTGGAAAGCTAAGCAAATCCGTCATGAACTCACGCGAAAAGAAGACTGGTGGCAACTCCGTCTCTTCAATGGAGAATTTCTTTTGCGTGACAGGGGCAATGATGGGCTCGGAGAGAGGCTGGGCATCCTCCTCCTGTACGAGTGTTTCGACCTCAGAACCGTATACTTGTTGTGCGCTAGGGTAATACTGCTTGTCTTCGTGGAGGATAACGGCGTTAGAAGGACCTTCTGTACCAAGTGTTAGCAATACAATACACGAAACCCAATGCGCATAGGGAAAGCCCGAGAAGAGCGCACCATCCACCTCCATCAGCTCCTGGTGATTGACTTCTTCATCTTCATCCTCCCCAAATGCCTCTTCATAGTCAAAGGCTTGGGCCTTGGGCTCATGGTGAGGCTCTTCATCCGATTCTGCAGCCTCCCCGATGTAATTACCGAACCTGGTTGACTGGTCAGCAGGAACGCACAATTAATCCAAATAAAGCCAAAGATTCAATATCCAGGCCGTGTGATAACATACTCATCATATAAATCGTCCATTGTGCCGCGTGGAAGGATGGCTCAGTTGCACCAAAAGCGATCAAGCCCGAGGGAGCATTTCTTTTCTCGAGGTAGGAGCTTGTTCGGAGTAACTAAACCTTTTGCTCACCGATCTTGGCGCGTGCCGCCTGCTTGATTTCCTTCCACCGTCCCACCAACCCACCAAAACCTCCCCACCTTTCCTTCTTCAAGTTTGGGAAATATATAAAAAAGGGGTCGAGCTCCTCCTCTCTGTTTTATCTCATTGATTCTTCTTTTCATCTGAAACATTGTCTCGTGTTCCAGCTTGTGAATTCGAGATTCCCAAAAGTAGCCCGCATCTATCAATCAGCCCTCCAACATGTCTTCCCTTCCTCCAGTTTACATTGTTTCTTATGCCCGTACCCCTGTGGGCTCTTTCCTAGGGTAAGTCTCGTTCGAGATTTATCTGTATCTCCTACCCGTGATAATATAATGATAAGAGCAACAGCTAACTACCTTTCGCTCATGCAGCTCCCTCTCTGCCCAGACTGCCCCGCAGTTAGGCTCGCATGCAATTAAAGGTGCAATTGCTCTCAACGAACCATGATTCCTTATTTTCTGACAGATATCGAATATAGCTGCTCTTGAAAGAGCTCAGGGTGTGAAGCCCTCCGATGTTCAGGAAGTTTTCTTCGGAAATGTCCTTTCCGCAAAGTAAGTTCGACGAAGATTAATCGCCGAAGTTTATCATCCCGATTTTGCTTACTGATATCTTCACACTGTAGTGTCGGACAGAACCCTGCCAGACAGTGTGCTCTCGGAGCTGGTCTCAGTGACTCCACGGTGTGTACCACCGTGAACAAGGTCTGTGCTTCCGCGTTGAAGGCCGTCATTCTAGGAGCCCAGACAATCATGACTGGAAACGCCGACATTGTCGTTGCTGGTGGAACCGAATCCATGTCCAACACCCCTCATTATCTGCCAAACCTTCGTACTGGCGCTAAGTATGGTCACCAGACCATGGTGGATGGAATCATGAAGGATGGCTTGACCGACGCGGGCAAGCAGGAAATCATGGGTTTGCAGGCGGAGGAGTGTGCTCAGGAGCATGGCTTCAACAGAGAACAACAGGACGACTATGCCATCCGAAGCTACGAAAAGGCCCAGGCTGCCCAGAAAGCTGGTCTCTTTGACTCTGAGATTGCCCCTATTGAGCTCCCTGGCTTCCGTGGCAAGCCCGGTGTGACTGTCTCTCTGGACGATGAGCCCAAGAATGTAAAGCAGAGCCCATCTCTCGGAATATTCTTTGTGGGAATTAAGCTAACAAATCCCTTTTCGTAGCTCAACCCCGACAAGCTCCGAGCTATGAAACCCGCGTTTATTCCCGGAACTGGCACCGTGACTGCCCCCAACGCTTCCCCCCTTAATGATGGAGCCGCAGCTGTTATTCTGGTCTCCGAGGCTAAGGTCAAGGAGCTTGGCCTGAAACCCGTTGCGAAGATCCTTGGCTGGGGAGAGGCTGCGCAGCAGCCCAGCAAGTTTACCACTGCTCCCGCCCTTGCAATTCCCAAAGCCCTCAAGCACGCTGGCGTATCTCAGGATGCCGTGGATGCTTTTGAAATCAACGAGGCCTTCAGTGTGGTTGCCCTTGCCAACATGAAGTTGCTCGGCCTCTCCGAGGAGAAGGTTAACATGCACGGAGGAGCCGTTGCTATTGGTCACCCCCTGGGAGCTAGTGGTGCTCGTATCCTGACCACCTTGCTCGGTGTCTTGAAGGCCAAACAGGGCAAGATTGGTTGTGCTGGTATTTGCAACGGCGGTGGCGGTGCCAGCGCTATGGTGATTGAGTACCTTGCTTAGGCGCCGATTGTACTCCGGCCATGAGCTTCGCAATGATGTTATCCTAATAGATAGCCACGATAATTTTCTGTTATGATGTTATGTATCTACCGGAATGCATGCTAGGTGAAATATCCACCATGCATTCGTTGGGTTGGAAAATTGATCTAGCTCACGGAAAGTTCCCAATATACCAGTTCTTAAAGTCCTTCTTTAGGCGCGCTCCCAAGAGACCTTCCAGTACACCATGGAGATGACTGAATGTGTAACATGACATTAATCTTTAATCTTTCTATTGCATGACACCCTTGAAGAGGAAACAAATATATGTACTATATAACACACGTACGGTTTATACCATTGTAATAACCTTAAAAACGAGACCGAGCCCGGACCAACGACCTAGGCGAATGCACCCACAAACGACATCAACAAAGCGCCAGCGGCAACCGCTACGCAAGCCTCCACGCGCCGCTGTCCCCGAAGGGTCATATAACTCGATTCACTCAAAAAATCCTCAGCCAAAAGTTCCACCAGGCCAGCAAAGACGAGAAGCCCGCTACTGATTGCGTTGGTAATGCCAACCATGAGCAGGCCGCTAGTGCTAGCTGGGTCATAGAGGTTATGGAGAAGGAGGCCGATAGCTTGTCCGATTGGGGTCGTAGTTCCGTATGCGAGGGACATGAGCCATGGTTTCATAGAGGAAGGGGGGAAGAGGTCCGGAATCAGAGATGCAATCCGGGACCCGAGCGCAAATCCTTCAAAGGTCTGATGAAAACTAATAGCCACCAGCAGCACGACGAACGAAGTGCCTGTGGCTACGCTCACAGCCATACCGATGAAAATGCTGTGGAATAGAATTCCTGCTTCGAGAAGAAGACATTGCAAAAGTTGGCGTTGTGGATTCTGCATGGGCAATTTCGACCCTGAATGGGATTGATGAGGGTGAATGCGAGGGTGCGAGGAATGGCGTTGGTTTCCGTTGGGCCCGGGCATATGATATGGGTCGGCCTCCTCATGGCCCATATTTTCGTCATCTTTTACTGCACTGGCACCTGACGGGTCTTCCATATTGCGTTCGTCCATTGAATTCCTTGGAGGGGAATCATACTCTGCATGTTGTGGTACCGGCGTGCGCGTATCTTGTATCGGCGGAAGATGAATATTGTCTGTAGACTCCCTTCCTTCAAGGCGCAGATAGCTTAACTCGTTATTTTGCTCATTGACGGAGAAATCCGCGCTTACTTCGCCGATTAATTGGTCGTATTCACTGCCATGAACATGGCCGGCGCCTTTCATAGCGAAGAACATCTCCACCACAACAACGAAGAAGACGGAAATCATTGCGACAAATCCAGCCATGGCACGATATGTCTCGCTCCAAAACCGAGGCAGACAAGGGTTTGTCAAGGAAACAAATGCGGTAGGCAGCAAATGGACAAAAGCCGTTGCGATGAGTACACCTGTTCCGAAATGTCTTGATAGGAAAATAAAGTGTCGAGGAATCGGGAGACGCGGGAATCGACGAGCCAGGATAGGAAAGGAACAGGCTTGCAAAAAACGCCGAGTTAATAACGGGGTTCCCTTATTATAGATAGAATGCGAACCTACCCAATGTACTTAATACCCAAATGAGAAAGAGCGCCATTATATGGGCCGGAGTGTTGTAGGCACCCCCCTTAAGCGAACCACATGCTGGTTTATCATTACTTATATCTCGATCTATAAGCCTGCGAGAAAGTTCTTCCCGAAGCAGAGCATCGGGTATGTCGGAGAGCATCGAAATGCTGGGTTGGGATCCTGTAGAGATTCGCGATTAGCACTACTTGCTCAAGAGAGGAGTGACTCGCAAGTCGCAACCAGCTACTAAACACATCCAACATGTATCAATGGTCTCCAGGGCTTACCAGCGAGGTCCATGCCCAACATTGAATAGCGGGTTGTATTTATGCACACGGTTGCGCTTCAACTGCATCCATGACCTAACCGGAAGCCAAGACCAACAGAAGGATAGGTGAATCCGAATCGTCACCAGGCGCCAGAACTTCAAACAGCGTGTATCATAAAATTATCAAGTCGCAATGCAATTAGTCAGCCGTGAGAGGAGAACGTGGTTCTCGATGATCGGAGGAAGGCATATCGCGGAACTTTGGAAGGGGTTTCGAGAAACTGAACACGCTGACTTGTTGATAATCTTATCAATCAGTTGCTCCGTGCTTAGTAATACCGCCCTCCATGACAAGCAGGATAGCTCTACGTGAACCTGGGGGCACTTCATTGACCTATAAATAATAATGTACATGCTCGGAGCATATAGAGTAAGGGGCAGTGCCCATAAAGATGGTGTTAACCACGAGAAAACTATACTCTGGGGCTTTATGAGTAAATAATTGAAGGCGATAATTGCTCAATTAGGTATATCTATGACGAGGCCTCCAGGGCCGACGACTCAAGGGTCGTGCATATTGGTGTGGCAAATAAGTAGCTCCGTTAATCTATTATCTGTTTCTCAGCTTAGTCCATCCACTGGTTCCTTTTGACCGTGCTGGGCTATTAGCCGAATCTAAAGTTGCTGGTTGAGATATTATGGACCCTGCTCCACCGACCCTCGGCTTATTATCGGACGTTGGGTCTGAAACATTCACAGGCTCCTGAGGGACGGCCTGTGTTGGTTCTTGAACTGCGTCGTCCCATTCCTTCTCCTCTAGTAACTCCCATTCAGCACTGGCCATCTCTCCAAGCAGCGTGGATTTCAACTTGTCAACGACTTTTGTCGGAGTGGGAAGTTTCCAGCTTCGAATGAATTCTGTTCCCTCGGAGGCACCTAGGAAGGAATGTGCAGTACCGTGAGAATAATGCCCGAGCATTGGGAAAGATTTCGTCCGTTGGATGGTGGTTTTCGGAGAATCCTTGGGGGTTTTTTTTATTTTTGTCTGCAGATCGTGAGCGGTAAGTGCTCTAATCAACGAGGATGGCTGCGCAGGCGGCGCAACAAGAAGTTGCCACATATTCTTTCCGATATCACAAATGTCTTCCCAAGAGTCGGAGGCTAGATTGAGCCCCTGACTTCGACATAGCCAAGACACATTCCAAGCCAACAATGTGACTCCTTCAAGAAATAGAGCGTATGTGCTGGGATCCTCTCTAGCTAACTTGGGAAGAGTCTTGTCGATTGAAAGAGGTCGCGGTCGATGTGGAGGCGGACGCGAGTCCGCTGTACGAGATGATGTTGGGCTTGAACCTAATGACTGCGACGGGAATGATACTGAGTAAGCCTCTCGAGGGAGGTACGATGCAGAGGGAGTATATATAGTAGGTGTAGGATAGTTTCTGTGGGGGAGGGTTATTTCGGCTGGAAGTCTTAGAGACAAATAGTGGGAAACTAGGACGAGGAGGTGGGCAATATAGGAGAATAGTGTTGAGATATGGTCTGGCGAGGCCCCTGCTTGTGTATTAGCACTCGTACTGAGATGAATAGAAATGAGCCGAGACTTTCCATTTAGGTTCCTGAGCTCAATGATGCTAACCCCCCCAATCACGTATGTTTCCTCCGTAACATTATCCCTCCTCCTGACCTTTTGCCTTAAGCCATAGAGACTGGCAGCTTCCCTGCAAAGGAATATGCGAGCCTCGGCTGTTTTGCTGTGAAGGGAGTGCCAAAGGTGATCCGTCCTCTTGATATTGTTTTGAGTGCTAGCTAACATCGCTCCCTCTCGTTCTGCAAGTTGGTACCTGGCGGATTCGGAATCTGAACGGCGTCGAGCCAGCTCCAATTTGCGCTGGGATATTTCGAACTTCTTATTCTTGATCGCAGACCCTAGGCTTTCAATCTCGTTTGCGATGATCTTTATCCTTCCAGACGACTCGGCTTGCATATTCTCAACATTTTGTAGCGCCCAAACCCCGCAACCCCCATCTTTTAGTCCAACAGGATCCTTCCCATAGCCCGTGGCCTCGTTTGATTTTACTGCGACTTCGATTTGACGTCCAAGAGATTCTCTCTCCAAAAGAACAGATGCATTGTCAACACGGAGCTGATAAAGTTGATTACGGGCACAGGTAGGGCATAAAAAACGTAACCGTGAAGAGTGAGAACGAGTACATATGTGGCAGCTCATTTCAGAGATTTGGAAGTTTTTTAGTCGGACGTTGCGGTGATGATTCGGGGTTCCAAGTCATCAGGTATTGATCAGTCGTCCAGCTATTCGGACGGAACCCATAAGTACCGGCTGCAGAAGGTGCATGGGAACAGAGACAGTTCATGCCTTTCTGTCGATTTGATCGTAGTCGTCGTTACCGTTGCGAAATCGTGTGATACATACATGTAGAGTAGGCTAATCGTGAAAATGATCAGCCAGAACACTGGCAACGTCACCTGACCGTTGATGTCGGTGCCTGAGGCCAAAACATTGCTTAGAGCTGGTTTTCCCGTGGTTCAGCTCGCCAGCATCCAGCTTTGCCTTAAGGTGGTGATTACTTACTTATCTTGAATAACTTCGTTTAATATTCCTGGTTCCTTTAATAGGAGGCGAGTCAAAACGGAGCTGTCATTCTGGGCCAACAAGCAGTAAGAGATAGTTGATAGAATAGATAATATAATATTTTGGGTGTATGGGAATGTTGGATATAAAATACCAATTCAGAACTTTGTGGAACTATTGAATTATTTCCGTTCAATAACAACAAAAAGCGACGTTATTATTCTATAGAGTTGGAGATTGTTCTGACAAGGCGCTAGAAAGCGGTGACGCTGCAATCTATCTTGGCGAGACAAGCAGCAAGTACTCCTTCTATCCAACCCTCATTTGGTTGAAAACTCTACGGCCATGACCCTCGATACCTGATTAAATGTTCGTTGTATATTTCATTTCATGATCTGAGTTTATTCTAATTTTATCTCCCAGGCCTCTAGCGAAGAAAAGCTCACGTGCGGTAGCAATGAGTGTTGACAAAACACCGCGCTCAGCTCGATCTAGTCAGGAGCCAGCTGGATTGGCTCGAGACAAGCCGAGTGCTGGGAAGTATGGCACTTTGCAAGATGAATTCCAACTTAAAGAAGATATAAAAGATTACGATTGGAATGAGCTTCAGAGCCAGTATATGATTATGATGGAAAAGCATGGAAAGGGCGAAGAAGAACTACGAGACCATATCGCGACATTGCTTCAGGTGCTTTGCGATTACTACCAACCTCGAGGGTCCTTTCTGACCATGCCTACCTATTAGATCTTCACGGCTTGGTCGCAAACAACTGTTGTCCACGACGAAACACGAGCGCTGAAAAGGTATGTTACCCCTCCTAGTGTTTGTTTATGACGATAGAATCTCGCTGAGGCTGCATCATAGATTTAGAACCCAGATGCATCACGTCCAAAATTCCGAAGAGAGCTTAGAAAAGAAGAGAAACCATTGTATAACTCTTTTTGCCTTGTGTTTGATTTAGAAAGCTAACAACTACATGCAGATATCGACGTCGTCAAGGCATTTGAAAGCGCACTCGCGCTTTTAAACGACCGCGTTAAAATCTAAAAGTAATGAATCGCCAGTCGCTGGTTCTTTATTGATGACCTGAATCAATCTCCTAGCATTTGATATATCAGTATTTGACGGGCGAGGCTAAAGAAAACTTAGCTAAAATGTGCTGGTTTAGTACGGTAAACTTCATCAAACATAATATTCAGAAAATGATTAGGCAAACAGTCAAGCATAACTACAAACAGCGCTAGTCTTCGCCTCTTGTGCCATCATATCTACGGGCCCTACTGATGATATCTTGCCAGTCAGAATCAGTACCTCTTCTGTTACTCGCCAGAAGTCCTTCTTCCTCAGCTTCTTCTGCGTCTTCGTCCAGTTGCCCCTCATCCACTTTGGAAGGGCGGAAAAGAGCGGCTACAAGAGCAATCAAGTAAAACCCTAGTTTAGAGAAGGTGCATTAGTTAAATTGAGCCTCGGATCAATTGGGGGCAATTATGGGGTTTTAGTACCGAGAAATACAAATTGAGCCCAGAAGAACACGGCACCAAAGAATGGAAAGTTGATTGACACCCGATTTAGAATCGTGCTAGCGACGCTAGGTGTACAGACTTTCTTTGCAGCCTCATTTTCTCCGGATTCTGAGCAAGACCTGACGAGATGTTTAGAATCTGCGCAGTCCAGTAGTGTTCCGGGGGAGTCCGGGGAACGATCGCAGAAGGTCTGCGGTCCGAATGTTGCATATTGTGGAGCGACAACCATAGATATTGAGTAGTTGAGAGCCAAAATCATTAACATCAGCATGGCCGTCATTAAAAGCAGAGCCTGGGGGGACGTGTGACCCTTCCGAATTTGGAAGATTCTTATCCAAAGGAAGCGAATGCCAACGGTGGCAATCCCAACCACAGAGCCGGAAAAGAAAAGTAGAACAAGCAGCGTAAATATCACATAGTCGATGGGGAAGACTTTGGCGGATTGAACGAAGACCTGGTTGATGGGATTAAAGATATTGATATGCCCCAGTATATATCCACAGCGGTGTTTGCATATTGAATTCTTCGCCTTGTCGATCGCTGTGAGGAGCATGGAAACCCATGTCAGCAATATAACTAAGAATAGTATGATACCACCCAACAGTTTAAATGGGCGGAAGAATGCTTCGATTCTCAACCATGCTCTTGTGAAGAATTTCTGTTCTTCTCCTTGAGCTTCGTCTGCCAGTCGCTGTCTTCGAATCAATGTCCTCTCCTCTCGAACCAAGGCGTCCAGTTCTCTGCGGTCCTTTGAAGACAGGAGCTCTGGGTTCCCTGCACAGCGTCCCTCTAGTTGGCGCTGCCGTTCCCTATTTGATTCAAGCTGTGTGGTCGTTGTTGCTCTCCAGTTTTTGCTTGATATCGAAGGGGCGCCTCGGATTAAACGAATTGGAAGAATCGCGAGGCCCGTGGAAGTATACAAAGCGTATAAACACATGCCAATTGTAATCAACAAGCCGACAGAAAAGCTAAGAGCCCGTTCACCACCTGAGTTGTAAAGAAAGGTTAGCTGATGTCTTGGAGAACTTGGAACAAAATTTTGGGTCTCTCACGGTTCTCAGTGAGCAGCTTCTTAAAGAAGTCCAGGCCATGCCCGTTTTTATCTTTGGAGATAGGTACAAAGAATCCAACCAGGAATAGGACGACCACGATTGCGATGAATGACAGGGTATACTTGAATGCCCCCAAAAATCGTTGTGCGCTGGTTTGTTCCCCAGCCTGAGCAGCAACCTCGTCATACTCTTCATACCAAAAGTAGACGAATGGGACCACAAGAAGACAAAGGAGGACATCCAAGGAATATAAAATGTAATATACAAGCTTCAAGGAGAAAACGATTCTCTCCACCACGTCGTCAGTAGCCCAATCTTTCCGCTGACCCAAATTCGAGGAGACAGTAGAAGAGATCAAGGCCACATCAACGGGCAGGAGGAGAATAGTCGCAAGCAGGCATGATATGGCAATAATACATGTGAAAGTCACAGATGGGGAGCGATCGCGAGGGGTCTGGTAAACATAAATGAAAACCGAGGCCAACAGAAATAGAATGGCAACCACAATCGCATAAACGACCCAGATGAGAGACGTTTGCAGAAGGGCCATACTGAAGCCGCGAGATCTCACATGGGAGGAGAAGAACAAATAATGTTGACTGAAGAGTACTAGTTATACCCTCAAACTCCTGACAGGAGATTCTTTTACTAGGGATGAATCTAAGATCTGGGGGCTGGTAAGAAGACGCCGTTCTACCTTACGTCATCGGTACTCCGTCTCCATAAATAGCGAAATGCCTGGGTGGTCACGTGGAACCGCGGAGCTCTCCTCGTTGCGCGGAGAGAAATCCATTTGGTGAAACTTGAAGAGATTGAGGAGCTTCTTATTCGGGGTCACACGAAAGACCCTTCGATGCTCTTGCGCAGTTCATGGGATATTAATTCTTTCGGAATCCCTCTTCATCCTCAACGCTTACTTTTTCTCTTTCCGGCAATGTCTTTCCTTGCATGGGTTAGTTAAAGTGCAATAATATAGTTGACGGGGACCATTCGAAAGCAACACAAACACTTCCTGCCCCCTATAATAGCCAGATGCAGTGCTATACCGAGCTCCTACCCCCAACTGGGGTCACTCACGCGTTAGCCGTGCCTTTTGTCTCTGCAACGGCCAACAATCTCGTCGTTGCTCGTTCATCCCTCCTCCAAATATTTTCGCTGCGTACCGTTCCATATAAGCCAGAGAACCCAGACGATCGGCCAGGACAGCAAGGGCAGGAAACAACCAAGCTGGTCTTGGAAAGGCAATATCCGCTTTCTGGAACAATCACTGATCTTTGTCGTATCAAGACCCTGAACTCCAAAAGTGGAGGCGAGTCCATTCTACTTGCCTTTCGAGATGCTAAACTTAGCTTAATTGAATGGGACCCAGAGCGTTATGGAATTTCCACTGTTTCTATTCACTACTATGAGCGCGATGATCTGACCCGCAGCCCGTGGCTATCTGATTTGAGCAGCTGTGGTAGTATCCTGAGCGCAGATCCAAGTAGTAGATGTGCAATATTCAACTTTGGGGTTAGGAATCTCGCTATCATCCCTTTTCATCAGCCAGGCGATGATTTGGTGATGGATGATTATGGCTCAGATATTGATGGGGAAAATCAAGTCAACGAGGGCCCGAAGGATCGCGACGACGCTAATAAAACCAAAGATGGTTCCGTATATCAAACACCTTATGCTTCCTCATTTGTCCTGTCCTTGACTGCATTGGACCCTTCAATTCTTCATCCGATTAGCCTTGCATTCTTGTATGAGTACCGGGAGCCGACTTTCGGCATATTATACTCTCAGATTGCAACCTCAAATTCCCTGCTCCACGAGAGGAAAGATATCGTTTATTATACCGTTTTTACTCTGGACCTGGAACAACGAGCCTCTACAACGTTGCTTTCTGTTACTAGATTGCCAAGCGATTTGTTTAAAGTGGTGGCCCTTCCGCCTCCAGTCGGAGGGTCGCTACTAATCGGGTCTAATGGACTCGTGCATGTTGACCAGGCCGGCAAAACTAATGCAGTTGGGGTCAATGAGTTTTCTAGACAAGTTTCTTCGTTCTCCATGGTTGATCAATCAGACTTGGCTCTTCGCCTCGAAAATTGTGTCGTGGAGCGGATTTCCGAAACTACCGGAGACCTGATTCTGGCACTTTCAACAGGGGAAATGGTCCTAGTTAACTTCAGGTTGGATGGAAGGTCGGTGTCCGGAATCTCAGTTCATATTCTACCCGACCAAACTAGCGACTGCTTTTTGGCTTCTGCTGCTTCATCGTCGGCGTTTCTTGGTGACGGAAAGATCTTCTTTGGCAGTGAAGATGCGGACTCGGTACTTTTAGGTTGGCCCTGCGCATCTTCTGGGTCGAAAAAGTCCAGGCCGCATATTACCGGCGAGTCTGACACCTTCTCGGATGAGGATCAGAGTGAGGACGATGTTTACGAAGATGACCTGTATTCTTCCGCGCCCGATTCTGCAATTAACAATCGTCATCATTTACCGGCCAACTCATCAATTGCCGGATTAGGTGACTTACGTGTTCATGACAAGTTATCCAGCGGCGGCCCTATCAAGGCCATTGCACTGGGAAGGAACTCTGCCAACTCTTCGAAGGGAGATAATGATATCAATGATGCATCTTCCGAGCTCGAATTGGTAGCATCCCAAGGCTTAGATAAGGGTGGCAGCTTGGTGATCATGAGACGAGAAATTGACCCTTATATCCTTTCATCTGTGGAAACAGATTCTGCGGACTCTCTCTGGACAGTATCTCTAACTCGAACAGTAGCCGATGCCAACGAACACCGTGGTTATGTCATAACTTCAAAGCGGAAAAGCGTCGATAAGGAAGAATCTGAGATTTTCTTACTCGAAGACGACCTGAGGCCGTTTAGAGCGCCCGAATTTAACCCCAATGAGGATGTGTCCATAAAAATCGGGACATTAGCAAACAGAAATCGGGTTGTTCAGGTTTTGAAGAACGAAGTTCGAAGCTACGATGCTGGTGAGTCCGAATTATAGCTGTCTATTACTGGAGAAAGGCTGACAGAATAGATCTGGGTTTGACCCAGATATATCCCGTCTGGGATGATGATAGTAGTGAGGAACGAGTCGCCGTTAGCGCTAGCCTTGCAGATCCTTACCTGGCGATTATACGCGATGACTCGACACTACTCCTTCTTCAAGCTGATGATAGCAAGGACCTTGATGAAGTGACAGTTCCCGAAGATATTGCAGCCCAGAAGTGGCTATCGTCCTGTTTATACTCTGATAAGACCGGGTTTTTCACGTCTCTTGACCCAAGTACAACCAAATCACCCCAAAGTGAAATCTTTTTGTTCCTCTTGAGTCAAGACTGTAAACTATATGTATGTGCGTTCTGAAATTTTTCGCGTATTCGATTTTAACGTTTGGTTAGATATACCGCCTCCCAGATTATACATTGGTTTCAATAATGGAAGGGGTCAATTGCCTTCTCCCTATTTTGTCGGCCGAAACCCCAAGGCGATCGGTTATGCGTGAGACCTTGATACAAGCGATTATCTCTGATCTTGGAGATGCCAGCAGCAGCTTTCCCTACTTGATTGTATGAATATTTGATTCAGTCTCCTTCCTGAGGTTTACTATACAAATAGCTAACTTGGTCGCTTAAAGCTACGGACTGAAAATGATGATCTTGCGGTATATCGACCCTTTTTGACTAGTTCCTCTGATAAAGAGGTACCAGGCTTGAAGTTTCTAAAGGAAGTAAATCATGCCCTTCCGAGCATTCCTTCTGCCACAACAAAGTTAAACGGACAATCGGAACCAAAGCCGCTTCGTATATTGCCCAACATTTCGGGCCTCAGCTCGATATTCATGCCCGGAGCATCTGCAGGTTTTGTTTTCAAAACATCATCATCATCGCCTCATTTTGTTCGTTTAAGAGGGGGTTACACGGAGGGGCTTGGTTGTTTCGACTTTCCGGATAGCCGTTTTGTGTTCCTAGACTCAGAGGTGCGGTATACCGTCCCATTTCATACATGCTCCATGCTAAATCAAGTACATACAGGGGCTTGCTCACTTGGCCAAATTGCCTGACGCAACACAACTTGACTACCAGTGGCCATTACGAAGAGTGCCGATAGGGGAGCAAATTGATCACTTGGCATATTCATCTTCCTCCAACACTTATGTTCTTGGAACCTGCCATAAATCCGAATTCAAGTTACCTGATGATGATGAGTTACACCCAGAATGGCGAAATGAAGGTTTGTTTTAGAATCCATATTTTCAGGTCGTAAACTAATTGTGACTAGTGATCTCATTTCTCCCGGAAGTGCACCAAAGCTCTCTTAAAGTAGTTAGCCCGAAAACATGGGGTGTGATTGATAGGTATGAAGCTACCAGGTAATTGTGAGATCCCGAAGGCTGACAATCTCGACTTTTTCCCATAGCTATTCCCTTGGTCCTGCTGAACACGTCATGGCAATGAAGGCCATGAGCTTGGAGGTATCTGAGAATACCCATGAGCGTCGAGATATGATCGTTGTAGGCACCTCAGTCGCTTGGGGCGAGGACATACCCTCACGCGGCTGCGTGTATGTTTTTGAAGTCATTAAAGTGGTTTCTGACCCCGATCACCCCGAGATGGACCGTAAATTGAAGCTTGTAGGGAAAGAAACGGTCAAAGGGGCAGTGACTGCGTTATCTGAGATCGGTGGTCAGGGATTCCTAATAGTTGCCCAAGGACAAAAATGCATGGTTAGAGGCCTTAAAGAAGATGGAAGCCTTTTGCCTGTAGCATTTATGGATATGCAATGCTACGTCAATGTGGCCAAGGAGCTAAAGGGCACCGGACTGTGCATTCTTGGAGATGCAGTCAAGGGCATCTGGTTTGCGGGTTATTCGGTACGTATTCCCAGCAAATCTCCCGCACAAATTACAGAAACGGCAGACAGCTAACAGGTTTTCTTACAGGAGGAACCTTATAAAATGAGCCTCTTTGCGAAGGATCTTGATTATCTGGAGGTTTTGGCTGCAGACTTCCTCCCAGACGGAAATAAGCTGTTTGTCATTGTCGCCGATAGCGACTGCAATCTCCATGTTCTCCAATACGACCCTGAAGGTATGCGAGCCCTTTAGCTTTAAAAGAGGGAGAGAAGAAAAAAAAAAAAAAAAATCCCTCTCTGCCCAGCGCGTCCCCGCTAATTAGGCATACTAGATCCCAAATCGTCCAATGGCGACAAGTTCCTCAACCGCAGCAAATTCCACACAGGCAATTTTGCCTCGACTCTAACTCTCCTCCCACGCACTATGGTCTCATCCGAACACATCATGTCCGGCGCCGATGAAATGGACGTGGATAACCAGGCTCCTCTGCACCAAGTACTGGTCACCTCTCAGAACGGATCTATTGGCCTGATTACCTGCGTCCCAGAGGAATCGTACCGCAGACTATCCGCTCTACAATCCCAACTGACAAACACCGTTCAGCACCCGTGTGGACTTAACCCAAGGGCCTACCGAGCGGTCGAAAGCGACGGTAGTGCCGGGAGAGGCATGCTAGATGGGAGCCTCCTGTTCCAATGGCTGGACATGAGCAAGCAGCGCAAGGTCGAGATAGCAAGCAGGGTTGGGGCAAATGAATGGGAAATCAAGGCTGACCTTGAGGTTGTCGGTGGGGGGGGGCTTGGATACTTGTAGTAAAGTACGCGCGCACCTGCACTGCGCTGCGGGGGGTGTGTCGTTTTGTTTTATCTATTCTATCTATCTATACTGGCTCAAAGCAACGATACGAATCCAATTTCTGTTCTTTTTTTTTTTTTTTTCCCCGTCCATTTAGTCCTAGAATAAGCCTTGAGAGAAACCAAGGCCTACACTACAGCCCCAAGTCAATATATATATATATATATATGAAACCTTCGTAGTGTACTACAGCTTATCGAGCGAGCTATAACACCCACCTACTCTGTAGTTTCAACCTACCTAGGTAGTCTGGGCATAAGAATACCTAGAAAGGTATTTATTTAGTATGGAAGAGCATCGTCATTCAGATCAATGTCTCATTGTATAATGAATCTCCCCACAATCAACCCATCCATCTAGTATTAAATGTGGAAAGTCTCTCCAATTCTCATGCTCGACCAATCACACACTCCCCACTAACCCCTACCCCGAAATGAAACCAATGTATAAATCGAGGTATGGACGGGAGCAGGAAATAGAAGAAACCCCGGAAGCAAGGAATAGGAATATTGAATGGGGATTTGAAAACCAAGAGAAGAGAGAGAGAGAGAGACTTTTTTTTTTCCCATTGGATAAGAAATTTCTTTAAAGCGGCCAGCCGGGTTTCGTTGTCCCCTACCGAAGGATCATACTCTATTTCAAGAAGAGCATGATCGTTATGAGATATATGCATCCAGAAAGAAAAAAAAAACAAGACGTACAGGCAAGAAAATGAAAATAATTGAATACCAGAAAGAATAAATATCAAGTGGGAAAAAAAAAAAAAAAACGAGAATGGGAAGAAGAAAAAAGACTCCATCACGCCGCAACCCAAACCCCGGTAGTCATTCCCATAACCGTACATGTCTGGAGAATAAGACGTCAAATCATTTTTATATATGAAGATGTCCATCCAGGGACACATGATTTCAATAAGTAAAAAGAGGATCAGCAGAAGAATATATAAAGGAGGCCGAAAGCAGCGCTCGTGGACCGTAAGATGATCGGATTGAGATGATTAGAAAACATCTTCTGCGGCAAAATATCGCTTGCTCTGGCCTCGTGCAGTCACATATTTCAGCTGGGGCATGTTGGTATGGTGTACTACATGCGGACGATATACAGCATCGACAGGGGTTTGCCAGTCGTCAAGACCCAAGGGGAAGTATTCATATAATAAATCCGCACTTTCGTTGGGGAACGGGAGAGTAGATGCAAAGGGCTGTTGAAGATTCGTGGTGCTAAGCAAGGGGACGGATGCGGATGTACTTCGAGATTGGGTTGGAGGTACCGCATGGGATAGCTTCCGCATCTTGGCAGGCGGTGCAGATCCATCCAGATTTAGGGGTTTATGCGACAGATCATGCGGGAACATGGAAAGAGATCGAACCTGGCCATTTAGATGGAGAGCGTCCGGGTCATCATCGTCGAAGAGGGAGAGGTTTATTGGGGCGGCAAGAGCACTGGCGCGCCGCACTTCGGTTGGGCGCGAGAACTCGGGGCTAGGCTGCGAGTATAGGGATGAGTGAGGCAATGTGGTGGGAGGGAGAGCGGCCGCGCCTGGTACAGGGGTGATCTGGGTCCAATCCGGGGACGCTTGCGGGGGCACATTTGGCTGGGAAGCAGAAGTTTCGGGGGAGCTGCTCTTCATGGCATTTTTGGCGCGGGCGGGAGTCGCGTTCGAACGCGGGCCGGTCTCACTCGTAGGAGTTCGGTTGACCCCAGCGGCATGAGCAGCTTGGGCATTCTTTCTCGACGCGGCGGCACTTCCGCTGAGAGGCAGGTCCTTGCGGGACTGGAAATTGCGGGGGCTGCGACCACGAACGATGACCGGACCCGAGTGAACCTCGCAGATCGGGATCTTTGCGCCCGTCGACAAGGTGGCAACAACTCTGAGTCGAACAACAAAGTGTTGTTGGAGCTCTTTCCTCCGCCCATTGTTGGCGGTCGCGACGCGGAATTGGAGTCGCTTCCACGCAATCGGGAAGGTCGCGTAGTCCGTATCAAGGTCCTGTCCAGCCATGATATCCAGAGGGATTGGTGGCGGTTCTTTTTCAACCTTGGGGGTGTTTCCATTATTATTATTATTGTTGTTGTTGGTGGTGTTGTTGTTGTTGTTGTTGTTGTTGCTGCTGCTGCTGCTGCTGCTGCTATTGTTGTTGTTATTGGGATTCCCATCCTCGCTGTTTGGGTTGCCATTTGCCGCGGGGGTTTTCCAGGGCACAGAAATGATTTTGACCGAGTTACCTTCGACCGACTCGGTGGCTGAGACAGTTAATTCCTGGGCGAGGATAGGAATCCGATCGCCTTGTTCTGTCATGATATAGCGTAAGCTCCGTGGGAGCGTGACCGAGCCAGTAATTTGAAAGAGATTGCGGCGGTAACAGGTGAGTTCAGCGCCTTGTTGGGGCGGAGCATTCTCGTTGGGGGAGGTGGTCCATGGGGACTCAGCGAGAAAGAACATGCCATGGAGCTGAGCGGCGAGCGATAAGGAAGTGCGCCGTAACGAATAGTCTAGCAAGGTAAAGTTATAGGCCGGTATTGAGAAGCTCAGAAGCTTGTTATTGTGGTCGATGGAGGCGTCGGGAGGCGGCTGTTCTGCGGGGGGAGCGGGGTCAAATTGGGTCACGATGTCCGTAAAATCCTCAAATCCCGAGGGGAACCGTTTTAGGGTGGTAGGTGGCAGTGCATGATGAGGAAAATTCAAGTCATCGCCACTAGAGAAATGGTGGATGTTAGACCAGGTACAGGAAAGTGGGGGAAGATAAATCCGCATACCTAACGAAAGTCTCCGATTCAAAGGTGGAACGCTGGTCGGGCAGTTCCATCCCCGGGATGGAACTGAGATAATCAGTGCCCTGGATATTACCGAGCGAGAGCGGAGACGCCAGATATGGCATGGCCATGGTGTCGAAGCCCTCCATGGCGAGGGGGGGGGGGATATTGATATCGCGGTTGGGTAGATACTGGATACTCAAGGTTGGGAGGAGAATAGACGGAGAGCGCGTACGGCAAGATATAAAGTCAAGAGACGAGAGACGGGAGATGAGAGCGAAGAGGAAGAGCGAAGAGAAAGAGAGAGAGAGAAAGAGGGAGAGAAAGAGAAGAGGAGGAAGAGCGTGATCACCACGAGCGCGGACAACGCGGGAAATATTAGAGAAGAGAGAACATGGGAGCTAGAGTAACTGGAGCTAAACGAAGCCCGGCGATGATAAACCAGAGAGCTCAAAGAAGAAGGTATCTGGATAGAAAATAGTTACGGACCTTCCAGATTAGGCAACACTATGAGGATTGCTATCTTTTCCTGAGAATTTATATTAAAGAGTAATTTACAAGATAGCACTAACTCCACTTGATTCTATTGTCCCGGAGTAATTAGATACTCGGTACTAAATAGTTCTAGATATAACTCTTACTTACTCCGGACTTGTAAAAAATCACATCCGAATGGAAGGGTGCGGAACCACAGAATTATGACCAAATGATGAATGCAGAACTTTCTTCCTCTGAAATAGCGGTGGGCCTGCTCCAGTTTAGTCTGGCTGACATGCATTCAGGTACTCTTTACTATACTCTTACTGGTGTTACAGTATTACTGTCTGTTCCAGAATATTTCTAGTATCATCGAGATACTAGAGAATTTTCATGTGATCGCCATCCATCGTCTGATATCATCCTAGGCTTAAGTGGATCGTGGTTTTCTTTGTGAAACAAAATAAATCAATAACAACCCTATTATTTCTACTAGTACTCTGCATGATCTTAGTATTATAAGTTTGGTTAACTTCTTCTGATACCGAATACGAATCGTAAGTATATAGTTGGTATAGGTATTGAACGCCCCGTTCTAGGGGAACTTTATGGGACCGGCCCGGGTACCATCTAAGGCACAGTGGCATGACTGGATAAGTCGAGATTCTAGTACTCGACTAGAATCTATTATCTAGATGAACTGAATCGAATTGACTACCTACCAGATAGCATTGCAGTACACGTCTGTATGGACTACAGCACGTCTTCGTATAACTGCACAACCCTCAGATTCAATTGCCGCCTCGGGAAGTGCGTAAGATTGGGAATGGGAAGTGGTCAGACTATTGCAGCATTGCAGCATTCCTCAGTTAACAACCGCCGCCGGAAAGAAAAAGAAATGAAGGAGGAAAATCGTCAATGGCGTTGCTGGTGGCGGCCGGCCCACATTTCCCATCTCGTCCATGATCCCAGCGGCGCCGCAAACGGTCGGGGAGCATCCACTCAATCCACAGGAATTACTGTGTACAATCAGTCCCAAAAAGGTTCCTTCGAAAAGCTCGAAAGCTCGAAAGCTCTGCCCTCCACTTGACGGACAAAGACACCACCACCCCTTCCTTACTAAGCCCGTCGCTCAAGCCTAACAAGCCATCATCGAGTCCAAAGATCATCGCCGCTTGCGCGCTCCGTAGGTGTGGGTGCTTGCTGCTGAACGGGTCCAAGTTAGGCCCCGACACTCCGAGCACCAAGCTGAAGGATGGATGAAGCCTCTAGTTATGCCTGTCAGGCGATCGCTAATCATAGCACAAGGACGGGACCCTATGACTGACACTAGCCTAGTTATCTCGGATCAACCATCCTAGTGTCGTTAGTGTGGGCGTGCCCTCCCCAAGTCTCTCTTCCTATCAATGGTCTGCTTCTTGGACTTCTTCGGACAGCCCGTCTCAGAGTCTCAGACACATCTTATCCAGTGTCCAGTCACCATTCGAATAGTGCCTTTCGGTTCCGGCCTTTCCCCTTGCGTTTGGAATTTCGTCTTGTCTGGACTCCGGAGAGGTACAGAAAGGTTAGCGTCGACAGTTTTCGAAAAAAAATCCCCGACCACGTCCCCACGCCACTAAACGTAGCCAACCCGATACTTCTTGTTCCTGCACCTGTACCGCCGTGCAGATCATCCGTGACCGGATCTGCTCTTTTCTACCGATCCTCGTGCGATCGCGACGTTGTCGTAGTGAATCGTGCAAATTTTATTGAATGTATGCTCGTATATCATTCACATCGCCGTGTCCTTTAATATCAACACTTTATCAAATCGGAAGATCCCTCTCCAAAGCATGACGAAATGGAGGGTGAAGATCATCAAAAAAAAAAAAAAAAGAAATAGATACGGAGGGATATCATCATATATGCATTGTCAATTAAGACGGAAGCGTAGTAAATGGACATGAAAATATAGAAAAGGGGGAAGCGAAAAAAAAAAAAAAAAGGAGGGGTATACAAGAAGACCGTCTCACGACGCAGACACCATTGTCCAGGTAGCTGCATCACAATTGACTTCCTCAAAACTATGTAGGGTGTCAAAGCCCAGCCCTGATAAGCAGTCAAAGTTACTGTCCCCATCGACCTGCAGCATTAAGAGGTCAGTAAAACGAAAGAGGGGGATTTCAGGTGCAAATAAAAACAAAATCAAGGGACGAAATATGGGGTAAGGCTCTAAAAAAACTTACACAGTCAATAATAACGGCCTCCGCGGCTTGTCGCCGGGATTGTTTGATCCCTAGCAGGATTAAGCCCTGCAGCAGCGTAGCGTACTCGCCAACAGACGGGGAGATAACTGGAGAGGAAATCCCTCCTGTTGGTGCATGGGTGGCTTTCATTGCAGGCATGTGCTCTGCCAGGCTCGCTCGTTCGTTGTAGATTACCACACTTCCGAGCATAGCCCCATCCACGGATCGTGTTGCCCGAATAACTCCACAGTGAGGCGCTCCTCCCAAGGCCACCCTGTAGATGTCTATCACGCCCTGCCGGGAATTCGTTCTGACATGGTCGAGAATTGCGTCCGCGTAATCCCATCCGTAAACGAGGGCGTACGTAACATCTGTATTCTCCAGGCTGCGCACTAGACCGTCGGGCGGCGTCCAGGTCTGCAAGTTGCGAAGCACCACGCTGCACACTGGCCGAGAGAGCGTCGTATTCCACCCCAAGTTTGCAAACCACTGCCGAAGTCTCTTGCGCTCCACCGGATTGGCGGATGGAATACCTAAGTAGATTCCAGGTAAGCGAGATCCCAGTTGGAATCGCTTCATTCCTTTTCGCTGCAGTAACGTTCGGATAGCGCGATTGTGAAGAGAATTCCCGATAGAGAGCTTTCGTCGCGAAGGATCCACGATCAGCGATCCAATAACTCCCGTGCCTGTGGCCCGGAAAAAGTAGGTAGAGCAGAACCCGTAGAGGGCTCGAGTGCTGCTGTTCCGGACAACAAAGTGCGCCTCATCGATCTCTTCCCTTCGTAAGAGAAAGCTGCTCGATGTCACGCCCCGTAGTTCTGAGCGTTGGCCCCGGCTATCCTGTCTGACTGCATCAAGTAAAGTATCCAAAGCATTGGAATCCCTTTCTTCATTCCAATTCTCGACAAGCCAATGCTGTCTTGCCTGATGAAGCTTTTGGCTGCGGCTAAAGGATCCCGGAAGTGACCCCTTAGGCGCCAACTCGCCGTAAAGGACTTTGACTAGAGCCTCCAGAGCCGTGTCTGTGAAATCATATGTGCAGAGGTATGTTCCAATGCTTGCATCCATCGCAAAATCGTAAGGCGAGCTTGCAGCCACCACAACCATGGGTTTCTCCCGGGGTTCCCCGGATGGGGTAAACTGAGATCTACAAATCATCGATACATGCTTGGTGAATCCCTGTTGATAAATATTCCTAATGGCATCCGCAGTGACGACGATGACGGCGCTGGCTCTGTCTATTAGGCTCTCGTGAATGGGCCGGACTCCATTCGACGTATAGGAGGTGTGTAGGACACGGCCGTTCCGGTGTCGCGAAAGAGACCTTCCTAATTCTTTAAAGACACTCTCGCCACTTAGCACAGAGGAGGTCCTGTCCCAGGCTACTGCATCAACCGATGATGTATCGAGATGCTCAGCCACCGAGTGGGATACAGCAGAGGCGGGGAGAGGTTTCACCAATGGTGTCAAAAGCAACAATTCTTCGTTGGGGCCGAGGATATTCGAGAGTGGTATCAGGTTCTTCGTGTTACGTACGACTGAAATAGAGGTGTTGTAAGCTTTGATGGAAAGGCTGGTGTGAGAGGGTTGCATTTGGGTGAGCGAAAGGATCCCTGGGGGACTGAGAGCCTGCTCCCAGGAGGTGCATTTCGACTTCAAAGTCAGAACTCTGCGCAATGATTGTTCGATCTGCGCCCGACTGATGATGCCGTTCTCTACACCCAGCTTCAACCCATTGATAGCCTCCTGCTGAACCGGATACGACCTGCAAAGTAGGATGATATCGCAGCCTGCGTTCTTCGCCATGACAGTTCCACCGCCGACGCCGATATTATGCGTCAGAGCCTCCATCTCGAGGCACTCCGAAACCACTACCCCGTTGAATTTCATATCTTTTCGTAATAGGTCATCAACAACCTGCTCACTCAGGCAGGCATGCATCACGTTGACACCGGCAGACGACATGGAAACGCCGCCAACCATCATTGAATCAAGACCGTGGATAATGGCATTTCGAAAGGGAACCAATGCGGTTAGGCTGAGTTGTTCCAAGGACTCGGTGATGATGGGAACGTCCGTCTGGGAGCCAAGGAATTCGAGGTTTCCATACGATGGAAAGTGCTTGCCACAGGTCACTAGACCTGCCTCCTTGTAGCCCTTCATAAACTCTACTCCATACTGAGACACTTCTTGAGGGTCATCACCGGAGGTACGGACCCCTAGAGGCTGGTTCCGGACATTAGTCAGGACGTCTAGGACCGGGCCTAGAATCCAGTTGACTCCGACAGCTTTGAGCTCTTGAGCAGTGGCGAAGGCGACATCATGTGCTAGAGCTTTTGACCCGGTGGCAGCAACGCCCATGGCACTGGGAAATTGTCGGATATATATCTCGTCATACAAACTGTTCACGCCGCCATTTTCTTGATCAACGGCGATAAGCAAAGGCACGGTATGGCCAGCATCCCGAGCGATTGTCTGTAACTCGAGAACTAATCGAGTTGCCTCTTCCGCCGCTATATTAGGGTTAGCATCTGACTGCGCCCATATGCTCAGTAAAGTGGTGTATAATACATTTTAAGTTCTTAGCTGACAGTAGAATGGAACCTAGATGATAGTTCTCAATTAGAGAGCGGATTTGAGGGCTGACGGATGTGCCGTCAAAGCCCATCATAAAGAGCTGCCCCATCTGTCTGTTGACAAGACATGATGATGATGATGACAATCAATACACACGTTAGCGAGGACTAGTTCCTGAAGGGTGGGTGGCAAATAGTTAGGTGGGGAGAAGGGTGAGAAAGCAAGGTAAGCAGATCAGTCCAAGATGAAGTGTACAACAACCCCAGGAACAAAGAAATGTACCCATAACCAGTTCAGAAGCAAAAAGGTCCTACCTGTCTAGATTGTCCCAGCCAGGGGGCAGCATTTCCTCTTTCGGGGCCATAACGGCCCTGGGGATTCTGTGAGGAAGGTCAGGACAAGAGAGCCCAGTCTAACGTGACAGGGTGAGGAGAAGTGGCCCGCCCACCTGAGGCGGTGATCAGAATCCGTGATGGGAAAGATGGATGGATGGGGTTTGTGACAGGGCTGAAAACAGAGGACCGTGGAAACTGACGACTACCAGAATCGGCGGTTGGACTAGCCCACTAGCTAGTACGGAAAGTCCCAGGAGCTCCGAGTCGGGTGAGATTCTGTTGGTCAAGACAAAAAAGCTCATTACAAAACCGACCTGGAGGGGTTTCGTCCAGATTAGGATTCCACGGAGAGTTTCCTTGAATAGGAAAGAAAGGGAATAAAAAAAATAAAAAGAAAAGAAAGAGAAAAAGAAAAGAGGGTCGGGAAGAAATGCAAGTAAATCGGGATGGTCTAGAGTCCTAAAACAGTACCATTTTGGGCAGGGTGATTTCCGCTATTGGAGGAGAGCAAGGCCAGTAACAATAAATTGGCCATACGATCTCCCTATTTGCAGTTTGAGTCTTGAGTCTCACGATGTTGAAGCTGAGAACGTGTGGGGGGGGATAGGAGAGTCACGTGTCTGCAGAGGGCTGGGGAAGGCGTAAGATTTCGAGTTCCCTGTATGTATTGATACCAGACCGGGTACGATACCAAACACGCAGGACTTTCCCCGCCAATCCTGGTAATTAATGGGCAATACCACGTAAACTCAAGGGTTGCACTCTTGTCTTTCCCCGGAGTTCCAATTTTGCCGAATGCAACAGCAGCGCCTCTTGTTCGTCTTAAAACAATCTTTATCCAGCCTCACTTCCTGCCACCTACGACTGCAACATCATAGTAATGACTTTGTTCTTTCTTTAGATTTCTCAAGTCACTCACCTCAGTTGATATGCTTGCATCATTCTATCTCTATGGCTCCCAGGAACCAGATGACGATGATGGTGATGATATGATCAACGATCACCATTATCATCTATCACTACACTGCAGACTTCCCAAGTAGATAGAAAGGTCCCATATCATTCCTCATTGCTCAATTTGGGCCATCATAGAGAACAATAGGAATAGCACGAGCAAGAAGAGGACCAGTAGCAGTTCCAGGTAATGTCACACTCCACCCAACATAACTGACCCAGAACGTAGAATTGCAACGGAGCCATGGGATGGGCCCGGATGGCAACTTACACCTACGTCTTCAGACTTTTAATAATAGCGCTCTTCTTTTACCTCTCTCTCTCTCTCTCTCTAAACCTCTACCTCTGTCAGGCTTGATTTCTTCTTCATATTTGATACCAGCTCCTCTTCCCTATCTTAGTGCATACTTGAACTCTCTCTTCCATCTATACCTTATCAGTGACGTAGTGTCGCATCCGTCATCATGTATGGCCTTTGCACCTTCTTACCACCTATCTCTCTATACTGACTGACACACCTTTTAAGGAGAGTTATCATCCGTGACACTGCTCTAGAAGCATCAGAGTATATCGCTGATTATATTATCAGTATGTTATTGGTTATCTGCATTACAATTCATTCAGTACGTACTAACCCCGGTTCATATAGGCCGTATAAAGGCGTTCAAACCCACTGAGGAAACCCCCTTCGTCCTTGGTCTTCCTACTGGGAGCAGTCCAGAAATCATCTACAGGACTCTAGTCCGACGTCACAAGGCTGGCGAGATCTCATTCAAGAATGTCGTGACTTTCAACATGGTATGTAGCTCGAGGAGTTACAGAAATTCAATAAACTGACCCACGTAGGATGAGTATGTCGGCCTGCCGCGCGACCATCCCGAGTCGTATCACAGCTTCATGTACAAGCACTTTTTCTCGCATGTCGACATTCCTCCCCAGAATATCAATATCCTTGACGGCAATGCGCCCGACCTAGTTGCAGAGTGTGCTTCCTTCGAGGCCCGAATCTCTCGATACGGTGGTATCGAGCTTTTCCTTGGTGGGGTGGGATCTGACGGACATATCGCCTTCAACGAACCAGGCTCGTCTCTGAACAGCCGCACCCGAGTCAAGACTCTGGCATACGACACAATCCTCGCGAACTCGAGATTCTTCGGTGGTGACGTGAACCAAGTGCCTCGCATGGCTCTGACTGTTGGCATACGAACCATCATGGAAGCAAGGGAGGTCGTGATCGTCGCGACAGGTGCGCACAAAGCATCGGCACTGGAAAAGGGCCTGGAAGGCGGCGTGAATCACATGTGGACAATCTCCGCCCTGCAATTACACCAGCACCCTCTGGTTGTCTGCGATCGCGATGCCACTCTAGAGCTTAAAGTCAAAACAGTCCGCTACTTTGAGTCAATTGAGCAGTCGGGCACCGACGCCCGCACCCAGGGCCCTCCCCTCGTCTACCGCCCCAAGACCTATGTGCCTTCTCCTCTGGCGACAAGCAAAACCCAACAGCAACCCACTCCGGCTGCCACACCGGAGAAAGTAGCCAAGGACCTGAGAATCAACACTGATCTCAACCAGGCCTTCGAGGACGACGAACTCACACCGGACAGCATGTCCTCGCGGATCGGATCAGCCAGAATAGACTCTGCGATCGCGGGGCTCGACTCGACCCTAAAAAGTGATCTGATGTTCGATCGCATGGGCGCGAGAGTAGTCTCTCATTAACCTGCGAGAACCCGGCAGACAGACAGACAGACCGCCAGACACCCCTGGGCCTATCACTGTGCTGCCGCCGCAAAAGCGCGCAAGGAAGAGGAACCCTGTTAAGGTTTGGTTTGGTTGGATTCAAGCAAGCGATATAGTAGCCTGGTGGAACGAGTTTCCGACGCGGAATTTCGTTAGTTAGTTACTGGCGAACTAGTTGACTATGTAACTGAAGAAACTACCTAACTAATGTATGTATGTATGGGCTTTGTTTCTGCTCTCCGCGTGCTCAGGCTTTGCCCTTTTTTTTTTTTTTTTTTTTTTTTGATCAAAATCCGGTGCTGTTGCTTTAGAATAATGACCATAGAAATTTGGTATTGGTATGGTGTTGAGGTGAATTTATGTACTACTTAGTAGTAGGATACTATAGATCGCAATTCTATGTTTTGTGTGATACAAGTGATACATCCAAGTAGTTAAGGCATGGTCTGCTTCGTAGTAGGTAAGTGGGAGAGTAGTTATAATTAATTACTTGAAAAGGCAATTATAAAGAAAAAAGAGGTAATAGAATAAATAGGTCTCTACCCTACTAATGTTTTCATTTTTTCACCATTGTAACAAGGTATATAAAAGTTACAACTTGGCAAACCCCGTCGCAACAGTGTTGCTCATATCCACCAGAGTACTTTTATTTCTCAACCAGGCCTCAATTCCTCTACGACCATTCTCGACGCCGACACCGCTCTTCTTCCAACCACCAACGGCCATCTCGGCCGGACTTTCCCCCCAGCTATTAATCCAGGTAATGCCGGCGTCGAGCTGGTCAATGACGCGATGAGCCAAGTTGAGATCCGTGGTGAAGACGCCCGCAGCAAGACCGAGCTCCGTGGCATTCGCGCGCCTCACAGCCTCGGCCACCGACTCGTAGGTGAGAATCGACATGACAGGGCCAAAGATCTCCTCCTGGACAATGCGCATATCGTCCGTGCAGTCCGTGAACACCGTAGGGCGGACCCAGAAGCCCGCCTCGAGCTCCGTCGGGAGACCAACAGGCCTGCCCGGACCGCCGTAGAGTAGAGTCGCTTTATCCTTCTCAATGCCGTGGCGGATATAAGCGGCGACTTTCTCCTGGTGAAGCTGGGAACTGAGCGGGCCAAAGTTGGTGGCCGGGTCAAAGAGCGGCCCGGGACGGACGTACTGCATTTTCTCGACGAGGCGTTTCTCGAATGCGCTCTTCATGCTGCGCGGGACGAAGACGCGGGTGCCGTTTGTGCAGACTTGGCCCGTACTATAGAAGTTGGCCATCATGGCGCCGTCAACGGCGTTGTCAAGGTCTGCATCGGGGAGGATGAGCAGCGGGCTCTTGCCTCCTAGCTCCATCGTGACATATTTCATGTTTCCGGCTGCGGAGCCGGCAACTTTCATGCCTGTGGACACTTGGCCCGTGAAGGAGACTTTGGCGACTGTTGGGTGGGAGGTAAGGTAGGCGCCGACATCACCTGGGCCGTAGACGACGTTGAAGACACCAGCGGGAAGGCCGGCTTCCCGGTAGATTTCTGCGAGTATTTGACCGTGGAGCGAAGTAAATTCACTAGGCTTGTAGACCATGGTGTTTCCGGCTGCGAGGCAGGGTGCGGATTTCCAGAGTGCACTATTATTATGAGACTATAGCCCTTATTCTAGGTTTTTTTTTTTTTTTTTTCGGTGAGAGATAAAGAACCTACATCTGGATAGGGTAGTTCCATGCTCCAATTCCCACACAGACTCCCAAAGGAGCTTTCTTGGTATATACCCACGCGTCCTCACGCAGCTGGGTGGTTTCACCGTTCAACCCGCCACCACCGATAAGATTCGCATAGTATTCTAGCACATCCGCTCCTGTGACAACATCGACGGTACTGGTCTCTGTGTAAGCTTTTCCGGAGTCCAGCGTTTCAATGCGAGCAATTTCGTCGTTGCGCTCGCGGAGAAGGGCTGCGGCCTTTTGAAGAATGCGGGCACGAACAATTGGCGGGGTTTGCGACCAGGATGGGAATGCGCGCTCTGCGGATGCAATAGCAGCGTCTACATCTGATTGCGAGGCGATAGGAACTTCAGCGAGTTTGGTGGCGTCGCCAGGATGAATGGAGTGAAATGAACGACCGGACGAAGCAGGCTGCGGCTTGCCATCGTAGAAGAGCTGGCGTGGCTGGAACGGGAGGGAAGAGGAGGGCATGGTGGGAAGAGGTCTAACGGCGAGCTGGGGAGAAAAAGAAAAAAAAAAAATAAGTAATCGCTCGGGATTAATACAAGAGGAAGAGGCTGAGCAGCATGAGAATATGGATCATCATCACCGAATGGGCTAAACGAAGGAAGCAAAAAGATCCAGTATAGACTAATTGAGGAAAAAGGCCCTGTGGCTTCCCACACCGCCAACCATGATTTGCTCTTTCTGCTTCCCGAACCTCTTTTAACCCCAGAGCGTGTTTCACTCCAACTTGGGCAAGATGTCACAAGCAAAATCCATGATTCGTCATGGATTCATTCACAGCCTGGCTGCGGGGAGTGGATGATTTGGAACCGCCAGGATCGCTACCATGGTCGAAGTGGGAGTGCGCAGGAATGAATTCGAAATGAGCTTGAAGCGAGATCACCTTCAACAAGACGGACAGAGAAAGTGAAAGGACCTACATAGATTAGTTAGTTAGGGATAACTAACTAGTTAGAAGAGGAATGAATAGTAAGCGAGTTTTTTTTTACTCCATTCGGTATGATTCTTTCTCTGTCCGGCAGCGTCAATTCGGTCCCAAGGTGGGCAATTCCATCCGGAGAGCGAAACTAGTCCCCAGAAGATAGACAGCTGTGGTTTAACCGTTAGTTAGCGTGCATTTAGAGGGATTGTGGCGCTGGTTAGTGTTCGACCTCTCGTGTGGGTTGTGGAGAGCGTGACGTCGGTGTAAGCGGAAGGCTGTAGGATGGAGAAGAGGAGTTTCGAAGCGCAAAGGACACTGGTGATTCGGTTGAGGTTGGAGTAGGGAAAATAAGCAATTGATAGGGAGGTAGAACTGGAGAGAAGACTTGTGAATATCCTCATCTCTTCACTGAGTAAGAAACCAAGATCATGCAATGAAGCAGGGGGAAAAGTGCATTATCTAATCCCAGTTGGATCCACTGCCAAATATTCCTCCCGTCACAACTTCATCCAGTGAGCGTTCCAGATACTGTGTGCCTTTTTCCATGGCAGTGGAGAAGTCTTGAAAAAAAAAAAATTTATAAAAAAGTTCTCGAAGAAAGTCCCAAATGGATTTTTACCTTGGGAGACAGTTATCGTTCATCCTGAACGTATATTATCGCCTTATATTACTCCAGGAGCCTTCCCCCCCCCTGCCTCTTCTTTGTTTCTCTCCCTCTCTATCCCCCTACACCTCTCTATCTTTCTTGAAACCACCTGTACCTGGAAATCAACCTCATTCAATATGGCCCCTGTTACTACAAATGACTTTCCTGCGAGCGATGTCAACAGCTACGACTATGTGATCGTTGGAGGAGGTACTGCTGGCTGCGTGATCGCCAGTCGCCTGGCTGAATACCTGCCTAACAAGCGTATTCTGGTCGTCGAAGGTGGTCCCAGTGACTACATGAATGACCGAGTTCTCAATCTGAGAGAGTGGCTCAATCTGCTGGGAGGCGAGCTGGACTACGACTACCCGACTACTGAGCAGCCCATGGGTATGTGGGACTCAATTCTTTCTGTAGTCTGTATTTGAAGAGAGGAATTCGAATAGACATAAGTGAGGGAAAAGGGGATGTGAAAAAATGTAGAGGCTAACTCGAATGTGTAGGTAACAGCCATATCCGCCATTCTCGCGCCAAAGTCCTGGGCGGTTGCTCCAGCCACAATACCTTGATCTCTTTCCGCCCCTTCGAGTACGATTGCAAGAGGTGGGAGCAGCAAGGATGCAAAGGATGGTCGTTCGAGACATTTACCCGCGTGCTGGATGGCTTGCGCAACACCGTCCAGCCTGTTCATGAGCGCCATCGGAATCAACTGTGCAAGGACTGGGTGCAGTCTTGCTCCACCGCGATGAACATCCCCATTATCCCCGATTTTAACCAGGAAATCCGCTCCCAGGGTGAATTAACCGAGGGAGTGGGTTTCTTCTCCGTTGCTTATAACCCAGATGATTGCCGTCGTAGCAGCGCCAGTGTAGCATACATTCATCCCATTATCCGTGGTGACGAGAAGCGTCCTAATTTGACCATTCTCACCAATGCTTGGGTATCCCGTGTGAACGTGGAGGGTGAGACTGTTACTGGAGTCGATATTACTCTGCAGTCCGGCGTCCAGCATACTCTGCGGGCAAAGAAGGAGACGATCCTCTGCGCAGGTGCCATAGATACTCCCCGTCTCATGCTCCTCTCCGGTCTAGGGCCCCAGAAGCAGCTGGCCTCTCTGGGAATCCCTGTGGTGAAGGACATCCCCGGCATGGGTGAGAACTTGCTTGACCACCCCGAGAGTATCATCATCTGGGAGTTGAACCAGCCTGTTCCTCCCAACCAGACCACCATGGACTCCGACGCAGGCATCTTCCTGCGCCGTGAAATCCCCAACGCCGCGGGCACCGATGGCCGCGCTGCCGATATCATGATGCACTGCTACCAGATTCCATTCTGCGTCAACACCGAGCGCCTGGGCTACGACACCCCCGTTAATGCTTTCTGCATGACTCCCAACATCCCGCGTCCTCGCTCACGCGGACGTGTTTACCTCACCTCCGCGGACCCCACCGTCAAGCCGGCTCTGGACTTCCGCTACTTCACCGACCCAGAAGGCTACGACGCGGCCACCATCGTCGCCGGGTTCAAGGCCGCGCGTGAGATCGCCAAGCAGTCTCCCTTCAAGGAATGGATCAAGCGCGAGGTCGCTCCCGGTCCCAAGGTGCAAACCGACGAGGAGCTGTCCGAGTACGGCCGCCGGGTTGCGCATACCGTGTATCACCCTGCCGGAACCACCAAGATGGGAGACGTCACGCGCGATCCAATGGCTGTGGTAGACCCGCAGCTAAAAGTTCGCGGCCTGAAGAACGTGCGTATCGCCGATGCCGGTGTCTTCCCGGAGATGACCAGCATCAACCCCATGTTGACCATTCTGGCGATCGGCGAGCGTGCCGCGGAGCTGATTGCTGAAGAAGCGGGCTGGAAGCGTGAACAGCCTAAACTGTAATTTTTTTTTTTTTTTCTTTATATATATCACAAACAGGTATCCCAACTCCTAGCATTTTTTTTTTAAAAAAAAAAAAAGAGTAGTCTAGTCAAGGGAAACGATATACAACACCACAATAACAAGCACTGAATGATTGATTGCGATTTAGGGAAACATGTGACAATTGATTTGATATGATTTTCTCTTTGTCTCTCTTTGGCATTGGAAATATTATAGCTTTCTGGACGGATGTATGTACAGAGAGAATCATATTATATAGGTGCACAGCACAATAGAGACAGACATTCTAGAACTTCAGTCACACATCAACTTTGAACATAATTTAACAAAAAAAATACAGTAAAATAAATGACCATAAATAAAACATCATATATCTATCTATACATAATGAATGTATCATTATAACTAAACAGAGAGTCTGTCTGTCTATTTCATGGCTTTCAATGCTTGAAACAAGTCCAAATCAAATGGTACATAACAGTCTAACCAACGCCAAATACTACCTAAATAACCGAGTAAGTAATTAGATGAATCAAGCATAGTAGAGTAGAGTATAGCAGCCAACACAATCAGGGAGAAAAAAAAAAAAAAAAAAAAAAAAAAAAAAGAGACAGAGAGAGAGAGAGAGAGAGAGAGAGAGAGAGAGAGAAAGAAAGAAAGAAACTAAACCATTCCTGCATCCTTGGCAGAATCATAAATCTTAGCCCCCCTCTTCCAGACCTGGTTGATCGTCAAGGTAGGTCCAGAATCAGGATCCGCGTTGTCGTCGTCGTCGTCGTCGAGAACGATCAGGTCCGCGTCGGCCCCGCTATCCAGGGAGCCCTTGGTACCCTGGAGACCGAGCATGCGGGCCGGGGCGGCGGTGGCAGCATTCAGGGCGAGGGCCGTCGACGCGCCGGACCAGCGGCGGAAGTTGTTGACGCATTCGATGAGGGTAGCAGAGGAGCCGGCGATCTTGTCGGAGCCCTCGAGGGTGAGTCTGGCGCCGGACTTGACGATGCGCTCGCCGTTGGTCCATTCGTAGACGCCGTCCGGGAGGCCGCAGAGCTTCATGGCGTCGGTCACGAGGATCAAGCCATCCGGGTGCGCGTTGTACGCGATGCGGATCGAAGTCGGGTGGAGGTGGATGCCGTCGGCGATGACCCCGTAGAAGGGACGGGCGCGCTCGTTCTGGCCCAGCAGGCCGAAAATCCCGGGGTTCCGGTGGTAGAAGGGGCGCATGGCGTTGAACAAATGGGTGATCATCGTGGCGCCTTGCGCGGTGGCCGCCATGGCTTGTTCGTAGGTGGCGTCCGAGTGGCCGATGGAGTAGATGATGTCGTTGGCGACCAGGTCGGGGATGTTGGCGAGCATGGTCCCGACTTCGGGGGCGGCCGTGATGAGTTTGACGGTTTTGGTCGGGCCGGTGAGGTTCTCGCGGCCGTAGCACTCGAGTAGGTCTTCTGGGGTGGAGGCTGCGCGGAGGACCTCTGTTTTGTGGATGCCGTTGCGGCCGGGGCTGAGGAAGGGGCCTTCCACATGGGCTCCTAGGGATTCGGCCCCATCTTCAGGGCGATGGGAAGTGCCAGAAGGGCCGAGAGACGGGAGGACCTAGTTGTTATTTAGTTTCCGTTTCTGGACTCTCTCTCTCTCTCTCTCTCTCTCTTTTTTCAGGTAGAACTTACCTTCCAATAAACTTCTGGAGTGGAGCTAACAACGGTAGGAAGATAAGAAGTGACCCCGGTCCTGGCAAGCCCCTTATTCACCACGCGCAAGCCTTCATCGTACTCTTCTTTGGAAGCGTGGGGGACGGAGAAATCGAACCCTTGGGCACCATTGAGCTGCACATCGATCAGACCCGGAGCAAGAATGCGGCCTCGGAGATCGATGACCTCATCAGGGGAGAGGTGTAGTCCGTAGAAGGCTTCTTGGTCCCTCAGGATCTTTCCCGAAACCGAGTCAATCCAGACATCCTGTTGGACCAGATCAGATCCCTTGACGATGCGGCAGTTTGTGAATTTGATGACGTGGGAGTCGAGGGTAGGTTTGCCGGGCATTTTGGGTGAGGAGGTGATTGTGATTTACCGGGGGGGAAAGGAAAGGAAAGGAAAGGAAAGGGAAGAGGATGGAGGATATTATCTACCAGTTCTGCAGAGAGGCATGTAACACTCCGGATGGAGTAGAGGATATGGAGTAGTATAGTTATAGGAGAGATGGGTTACAAACCAATACCGGTTATAATACACTGCTGACAATACATTACAATCCATAAATACCCTTGAAATCAGAAAGATTCAGAATCTGAATCCTAGGTACATAGGTACCTCTAGGTACATAGGTCAAAGGTACATAGGTACCCTATAGGTACATAGGTATAATTCGGCTCCCCGCATCCGGCTTTTCCCAGAGTGGTTACCCTGATGTTACGGTGACTTATTCTAATTCTTCAGCCAGGATGAATTTGCACGCGACTTCATGATTCTAGTGATGCTCTACTAGATACCGATCATGAGGCTATACTCAAGTTCTTCTACCCCGGATCCTGCTTTCAAAAGGTAAGCAGGCTTGTCTGATCAGCCAATCTCTTATATCCCTTCCTCGCTCCCCTGCGTTGCTTGGTATTTGACTTCGCCCTTCTGGAAGCAACCCTTTTTTTTCTTCTTCTCTCCACATCCCCTTTTTTTTCTTTCCTCCTTTCCTTCTTCCTCCATCTTTCGTTCGTAGATTTTTCTTGCTGACATTATCTATCCTGGCAATCTGGACAGCTTAATTTCCCGCCTCTCGAAATAATGGCGTCCCCCAACACTGAAGGGGATCATCATCTCCCTGAAAAAGACCTTCCCTCTGCCACCTCCGACCCTGAAGCTCATCAGGACTCCCCTGTCTCGGGCAAGCCATGGATGTACAAACCTATCAAACTCGGCCCTTTCACTCTCCCCTGGTTCGCGTCCCCGGAGATGCAGCTCATCCTGGTGTCTTTCGTCTGCTTCCTCTGCCCCGGAATGTTCAATGCCGTCTCCGGTCTTGGTGGCGGTGGTCAACTCACCCAAACCGATGTCAGTAAAGCCAATACCGCGCTGTACAGTACCTTCGCCGTCGTGGGGTTCTTTGCCGGCTCCATTGCCAATCGCATTGGTCTCCAATTGACTCTCTCCTTCGGTGGCTTCGGCTACTTCCTCTATGTCGCTTCTCTTCTCTCCTACAACCACACCATGAACTCTGGCTTCCTTATCTTCGCCGGTGCTTTGCTCGGGGTTTGCGCCGGTCTATTGTGGTGCGCCCAGGGCGCGGTTATGATGAGCTACCCCAAGGAGAACGAAAAGGGCAAGTTTATCTCCATCTTCTGGGTGATTTTCAACCTGGGTGGTGTGCTTGGAGGTTTGGTAAGCTCTATCTATATCCTATCTATGCGCATTCGATTCCGACTCCCAAATAACATGATTAATTAATCCCAATCTAGATCCCCTTGGGCCAAAACATGCACTCCACAGCCGGTCGTGTCAACGACGGAACCTATATCGCCTTCATGGTTCTCATGGCCGCCGGCTTCGTCCTTGCCTGGTGCCTGATCGATTCCAAGTACGTTGTGCGCAAGGATGGTACTCGTGTCATCGCCATGAAGAACCCCACCTGGAAGTCCGAGTTTATTGGTCTCTGGGAAACCCTCTTCACCGACTGGTACATTGTTGCCTTCTTCCCCATGTTCCTGGCCAGTAATTGGTTCTACGGCTACCACTTCAACGCCGTCAACGGCTCCTACTTCTCCATCCGGACCCGTGCCCTCAACAGTATCCTGTACTGGACCATGCAAATGGTAGGCGCCTTCCTCTTCGGTATCACCCTGGATCTCAAGTGCCTTTCGCGTCCCACTCGCGCCAAGCTCAACTGGGCTCTCCTTCTAGCCCTTACTATGGGTATCTGGGGAGGTGGATACGCATTCCAGAAGACCTACACTCGCGAGACGGCCGACGGTGAGAAGGACTGGACCGAAAGCGGTTACATTGGGCCCATGTTCATGTATATGTTCTATGGCTTCTACGATGCGGCATTCCAAACCTGCGCATACTGGTACGTTGTTCCTGTGCTTTTCTCGCGACGGTCCCGGAATATTGCTAACGGATCCCAGGTGGATGGGTTCGCTTTCCAACAACGGCCGGAAGCTCGCCAACTTTGCTGGTTTCTACAAGGGGATTCAGTCTGCTGGTCAGGCAGGAATGTGGGCGTAAGTATCTTCTTTTCTTTTCGTGTACGAACAACCTATAAAATACTAATTGGCATATGTAGCCTTGACTACAACAAGAAGCCCTACATGACCATGCTTGCCTCGTGCTGGGGCCTGCTTGCGGGCAGTCTTCTGATTGCTTCTCCAGTCGTCTTCTTCAAGATCCAGGACCACACCGCTATTGAGGAGGATCTGAGGTTCTCCGACGAGACCGTCCAGGAGGTCACCGGCGTCGCTGTTACCGGGCAGGACTCCACCTCGGAGACTGAAAAGCGCTAAGATACCCGGTCTACGGACTTTAATGTTACGGTGATGGAATCCATGAATTGACATGATATTTTGGACGGGCGGTGAATTCGGTATTGACTTGCTTACATATGCGCTGTAGGGGACTGGCATAGCTTACCAGTCAGAAGATTCTTACATAATAATATAATCCTTCAGCGAGCATATTCTATTCTATTCAGGTGCAAAAGAAAACACCTACTACTACTACTGTTCACCTCTCATGCTCGGATTGGTCTTTTTCAGGGTCCATAGCTTCTAGACCCATGTACTAGTTAGTACTAGTTAGTATGTACCACAGTAAGAAAAGACAAAGCCACCCACCCAGCCTTGCTTATCTCAATTCAACAACAACAACAACAACCATGCCATCAAAGGAACCAGAATCCGAATCCGAATCCGAATCTCATAGACAAGTGAGTGACATGTGTGAATTTCACCCCCCCCCCCCCCCCCTATGAGGCTGTCTCGTCAAGTAGAACAAATAAAAAAAAATAAAAATAAAAAATAAACATTCCATTCCATAAGTCCCTACCTCTCTCTCTTTCTGGTTATTTCGAGCTTTCATTCTGCATTGCATCATCATTGCATGTGACAGACAGATCTGATAGATACATTGGGAGTAAGTATGGTTAGGATAGATAGATAGTATACTTACTTACTTACTTACTTACTTACTTACTTACTTACTTACTTAGGTGGTCGAGTGTAACATGTCAAAGAACTAGAGAACTAGAGATGGAACAAATCAATCAGGAAACTTGCAACTAAATCAAGAAATAAGGCAGGTATCATTCAAGACAAAGAAAGTATGTACAACAAGACAAGACAAGACAAGACAAGACAAGCATTTAGCTGGGCATCGCATCATACTCTCGAGTACCGCTGCTCACCGGCTATCAACCCCGAAACCCACTTTATAGCGCAGGCTTTAGAGTAATGTTGAATTCCAAGTGCTGTGTTGTTGCAGAAGGCAAGGGCACAGACGACTCCGTGTGTGTTGCCGTCGCAGTGCCGTTCGTGCTGTATCCAGGCCAAATCCTCGTCTTTCCCTCGGGAATATCCCAGCCAAAGAGTGTCCGGTTGAAGAGCTGCAGGGCTGCAATGGGCTGGTAGTAGGGGACCTCGTGGCCTGCCTCGTAGACTCGGGTGAAGGAAAGGTTTCCGTACTCGCGAGTCTCGCCGTATTCCACTCCGTCCACGAGCAAGGGGGTATAGCCCGCCTTGCGGAACTGGGAGGAGTGCGGGTGTTCTAGCGCCAGGGAGACGGCTTGGCCGCCGAACCAGTTGCAGATGTAATCTGCGTCGCCGTAGATGAGGGAAACGCGGACCGGGTAGGTGAGGATTTCTTCGAGGTCCTCGATGAAGTTGGGCCATACGAAGTCACCCGTTTGCTGGAAGGCGTAGTAGATATCGGCGTTGGATTCGGTGTAGTTGATGTTTACGCCGATGGCGTTCATAACATCGTCTTCCTGGAGGTAGGATACAAAGTAGCCAGGTGGGGTTGGGTCCTAATCTTCGATTAGATGAGTTCAATGGCACAGACAGCTAGACGTACATCGTAAGGGTGGCGGATGTCGTAGACTCCACGGTCACCAAACTGGTAGTACGGGCCCTCTGTATTCATTAGTATCGGCCAATGACAACTTGCGGGGGGGGGGGGGGGAAGGAACGTACCAACGTTGTCGCGGCACATGTTTGTAGCCTCAGTACAGATAGCGTAATCAGCCAACGAGGTCCGATTCATGGCCTTGCACCGGGAAACCTGATCCTGACATCCGCCGGGCATCTCATTGGCAAATTTCATATAGTTGTATACGGTGTCATTGATCTGAATCATCAGTGGTTACCCAGCCATCTAGAAGTTCCACACTCACGGATTTGATGCCGTAGGTATTGTGCACGGCGAACTCGGGATAGTAGCTTGCCTGAATACCCTCATCAATGATACCGTTGATGATACCCAAGGAATTGAAATTGAGCTCAATGCCCTCCAGAGTTCCATTGGCGATCTTCTGGTTTTGCTCGTAGAAGTGGTTGAAGAACTGCATTGTTAGCCCGGTTCAAAAACAGCTGTAAGGTGACATACTGCAGGACCATAATGTCTACAGACGTTAGTTTAATCACCAACGTCGGCATTAGGGGTTTCTTACCCTCCGTAACTCTCAGTCCACAAGCTGAAATCCTTGGACTTGACCTTGTGGTCCAGCTTAGGCAGACCACCCAGGAAACCCTGGACGACCTCCCAGGCGGCGCGTGCAGCGAGGTCGGTGGTATCTGATTATGCATTAAGAATAATGGAGCCGCAGAATGCTTTTCCGGTCCTTACCGGTCAAGGTAGCATTGATCACAGGGTAGCGGCCCCGGACCCCGTTGTAGGACGCATCCTCCACAACGGCCGTGAATTCATTCAGCGAACCATCCACAGTCTCGGCATAAGAGAATCCTTGTACCCATTAGTGACGGCAGATTTATGCGATACGACCCCTCATACCAACTCCCAACGGCTGGGACAAAAACAGCATGTTCGAAACTTCGGTCCATGAGTGCGGGTTGATAGAGCTCTCGAGCTTCTCGTTGATATTGCAGGGACCCAATTCTATAAAAACATAAAATCAGCGCATTCAGTATCATCACACAATTCTCGGGCTCCGATTTCAAGGCCATACGGACCTTCAAACAGGCCAATGAGAGAATCACTGCCCGGGCCGCCGTTCAACCACAGCGTCAGCGGCGCATTGGCAGGATCATGACGAGCCTCGAAGAACCAAAAGAAGGTGTGCGATGTTGGTGACAGATCGACATATCCGGAATAGGACTTGACACCCGGGGTAGTCTCGCAGACACCTTCTTTACCCGGCTCCTTATAGCGGATAGTCACGCCACTGGGGGTCTTCAGGTGCTTCACACCCGTGGGGTCCTTGGGGAGCTGTCGACGGTCAAAGGAGAAAGTGGGATGCTCCTCCGGCTCCGGTAGGCCCCAGGAGGCTGCAGCCAAGGAAAGAAATGTAACAAAGCTTAGATGCATAGTCTTCCGTTTGATGGAACTCTTTTCCCTCGAGAAGAGGACAAGTAGGAAGAGAAAGAATAGGGGGCCAGTGGAGGGTTTTATATATCGGATCTGATCAGAGGCTCAGTCAGTGACTACGGGGTCACAACAAAGGAACGTCTGGCCCACATTAGAATGGAGTAGGCAAAGGGCAGAGGGTGAGCAGTAAGAAACGAGCAGGCATGCATCACGCAAGTAGCCGGGGGTACCTAATAGTGAATACCCAAGCAGAGAAAAAGAGCTGGGCTGGCCTTGCAGATCGCATCATATTCGCCTGGATTGACTTGTAAAGAGATGGTCATTTTGCAGATGAGGGGGGGTGATCGGCAATCCATCTGGCTCAGTGTAGTATTCTGCGTCATTTGGGTGCATCATTGGGGTGATAGAGAATAGGATGATGTGAGATGAATAAAGGGTGCAGGGGAGAAGAAGAAGAAGAGAGCTGACAGGGGAATCAATCCAAGTACTGACTGTACATGTGATCATTGATTTCCTTGATACACAATTGACAAATAGTATAGAAAAAGTAAATTCTGCCAGGATCTTCTTCTTCTTCTTCTTCTTCTTTCTTTTGCCAGAGTCCCACAAGGCTTGGGATTGCTTAGTAGTTAGTCCACTCAGTACATTACAGAGTAAGTGGATGATGGTTCACTTACTATATATATAGATAGCTTCAATACCTGCTTTGATTGACATGGTGACCACTACTTTTGTTAGGATAATGATATCTTTCCTCCACCAAGATAAATATAACCAACCAAACATTCATTGTTGCATACAACTCACCCCACCAAGTACTGAGACGAAGTACAAAGAATAGAGAGAGAGATATCAAAAGAAAAAGAAAAAAGAAATGGGGTGACCCGGGATCGAACCGGGGACCTTATGATTGCCTGTGGGCTGGATTGAAGTTGATCTTCAGTCATACGCTCTCCCAACTGAGCCATCACCCCATTGGATGATTACTCGGAGGCCCAAATATATTTATAATGGGGAATCATAATGTGAAGGTTGTTTTTTCAAGCACACTCTGTTGATTATTACACTCTGTGGTTTCTGTCTTTAAATATAGAGTAGCGTAGCTACTCTCCATGGAGAATTATTTATAGGTTAATTGGGTTGTACTGCTCATGGTTATAAATGTCTATATTATTGTTTTCAGATTTCTTCATGTTCCAGATAATTCTATCAGATGATAATTTCTGGTGTATTGGCGAGATACCGGTCCTAATATATATATATATATATATATATATACCATTAACAAGCTATGCATACATTTAGTGCTCGCCAAAACTTGCCCATCACCCGTGACAACTCATTGTTTTAGAACAGATGACAGTGGCCGGAAGGTTAAACTCTCCAATAGTGCGCCATCAATATCATTATCAAAAGTCATCATATTCTCGTGATCTACCCTCAACAACAAATCTCTATGTACACGGTGGTAAAACAGTCCCGACCAGATATAGATACCCAGGAACGAGAGAATCCAAATGAAAAGGTCCAATCCAGAACTCCATTCCCATGTCTCGTGGAGAATCCTGCAATAAGACAGGCAAGATAAAAAAAAAAAAGAACCAGAAGAATTAAATCCCGCCCAATCCAGGTACCAAGCAGATATACAACCATCAAACCCAAAAAGAAAGGAAGAGAAAAAAAGGTAGAATGAATGCCCTAGCTACTGACCCCCAGTGAAAGATCGACGTCTAGATTCGCAGGAGCATCGACTCGTGACGATCCGATATTCGCTGTGCCCGTGGAAGCCTCCCCCAGACCGTCCAAGTCAACTCCCTTGCTTTCGGAACCAAATCCGACCATCCCAGTAAGTGTGTTCATCCCCATGGACCCTAGATCGAACCCAAAAGGCTGCTTGCTATCGACGTCGGCAGATGCATCCATAGGATTCTCGGCAGAAAAGAAATCCGCCCCAGCATCGTCAAAGTTGATCAACGCATCGAAGTCGTTCTGAGTTACTTCCGCATCGTTGGCGAGGTCCATTAGTTCGCTGAGACTCAGGTCCGAGTCAAGATTAGGGATGCTAAACGCATCGCGGTGATATTTCGGGTTGATGTTGTTGGTGCTGCCATTCTCGCTACCGTCAGAAGGTGGAGGAGTGGAGACAAAAGCCTGGCTGTCTTCCCGACGGGCAGCCTTGACTGGATCCTCCTTGGGATAGGTGAGGTCGGGAATTTTCTGGGCAAGGGACTCGGGAGGTGGTGTCAAAGCATGAGTGCGAGAGCTGGAATCGCGAGAGCTGTTTCGGTTCTGTAATTCCCGTGGTGGCACGGGGAGCTGGATGCCCGCCTTTCTGATTGCAGCCTCCAAGAATGATGTCGCAAAGTCGGCGGAAGCATAGATCTCCCGCAGGCGCTGTAGGATACGCATGCACTGGTAAAAGCGCTGCAGACTGGTCATCCGGACACTCGGATCGCTGGACTTGATATCGAGAAGGTGGATGATCACAGCGGGAAGAAGTACCGTAACACCGGTAGTGGGGAAATAGCGTGTCAAGTCGAGGCTGTGTAGATCCTGAGCAATATTTGTAATTTCGATTGCGGCGAACCGAACCTTGTCCCGGGAGATATCCTGCAACTCAGTGTCCATGGATGGGAAAGGAACAGCGGGAAGCACCTGGGGTCGATGCAGCGCACTAGAAGTGGTCAAGTACACCATCTTGAGCAAGGCTCTATGAGAGTGTAGAACCCCTTGAGCCTCGGTTAGTTTCGCTGGCGCAACAGGGGAGTACCGGATCTCCGTGGGAAGGTGGGCCAGCCAGTCTTCCAGCTCTTGATCACAACGTCGCACCTCGAAGGTCTCTGCGGCTGACTTCTTTGGCACCAACATCATGGTTGTCTCCATAGTACCGCCGAACTTATGGCTTAGGACCGAGTATTGCGCAGAGAGAACGTGACTGACGCAGAGGCAGAGTTTTGCCTTTTCAATAAACATCGAGGCGAGTTCTCTCTGACAAGACACACTCTGGAGAATCTCGGAGTTGCCAACCATGTTCACAATCTCGGGGGAAAATGAATGAAAATCAAAGTCATCCAGCGTCAGCATGGGAACATCGCAATCATCGTCCTTGACGCGCATGGGACGTCTCATTCCCAGAGCAATCAGACGATCACGGGTGTACGTGCTCCACCAGATGCGCTTCCACATCCGCTGGCGCCGGGCGTCCATGCGAGAATTGGCAGGGTCGCGATGTAGGCCAATAGTATGAGCCAGGGACAAGCTGACGCCCATCCAGTGCCAGGTATCCTTCTGGTCATCGGGAGTCTCGTACCAATAGGTCATGAGCAGCAGGGACTGGACAAGCGAGATGCGGTCAACCTCATAATCAAAATCGTACAGGAGCCTTGCACGTTGAAAAAAGGCCTTTCGGGCCGCTTTTCGCGTCGAATACCCGGCTGCGTGGAGGTGTCTCAATTCAATAAAGGCGGTACCGGCGAACATTACTGCCTGGAAGAGCAGCAGACTCATGCGATGGATTCCATCGTTCTGGGCGATGGTCTGCAGAAAATCATCGAGGTCTAAGAGGGGCATATATGTATGCACATAGTGGATGTATGCTTTCAGCAGCTCATTGCGCAAAGACACGTCGGGCACGGTCAGTGCACCTTTCATTGCCAGGTAGTCGATATCTTCTTTCTGTAGACGAGCCGGGAGTCCTCTGATGTAGTCGGGCAAGATGATGCCGCTGGGCCGGGGGGTGCTGCCGAAGGAAGGATCCAACAGCTGTTGGATCTGTGAAGTGACATGAGATAAAGGAAGAGTCGGTGGCACCGAAGGATTCGGGGCCATTCGTCTTCGAAAGCGGTCGCCAGAATCAATTTTGTTGACCTGGCTTTGATCTATAATTGGGACTGGTTATCAGCATTTTGTGCTCGTGTTCTCACATCTTATACAACAGCCACAGCCGCTGTGGGTACACGCAAATACGAACATAACAGGTGAGGCATGTGCTGCCCTTGGTCCAAATCTACAGAGCCTTGCGAGGGAGATGTGGGAGTGACGTCAGGCAGCCCATTGTCTCCCAGACCCCGGAAAAGACCCGCGCCATCCTCAAGAATCTCCGCAGGGGACTGTGAGAGCTGATGGGTGGTACTCTCCGCGTCAACGCGAGATTTCCTAGCGGCACTTGAATTAGTTCTGCGGCCCGTGTATCCAAATTAGCCAAGCGAGAAGATTCAACGAACTTTTTCCTCTTGCTCTCTGTCACAACACACTCTACTTGGTCTAGCCGGCAATTTGTACACGGCGAGCCATTCTCCACCACGTCGCAGCGCACCTTACGAGCCCGACAACAGCAACAAGCCTTGGAAGCACGCCGTTTTACAGGACGAGAATTAGCCGAAAGACCAGCTGTCGAGGCTTTTCGCTTGCCCTTGGGCTCGGAGTAGGTGGTGGGATTTGGAGAAGTAGGGGCGTTAGTCATTATGGGGCGTTAAAAAATGGTCAGAAATTGACTCTGTTTCATCCGTTCACAATCCGCAGTCAATTGCTGGAGGTCAAAGTCGAGGTTGAAAAGCCGAGTGAAATCGGGGGAGAGAGAGAGAAATCGAAGTACTCTGTATATGGCGAGTCACGAGGGAGGAAAGAAAATGAGGTAAATAAGGCAAGAATAAGAACGTGACCCCTAACCAAACAATACAAAAGAGAGGAGAGGATCCTTTTTTGGATTTCCTAGTGGATTAGAAGTTTTTATAAATTATAAATTTTTTTTTTTTCATGTGTTATATATACCTGGGAAGGCCGTCCAAGGGGATGAAATTCAACGCGAGAGATGGGGGAGGTCCCAATGCTTAAGTAGCAAGATGGAAATCCAGAGACCGGCCCTTTTTTTTTTTTTTTTTTTTTTTTTTTGGCCGCCAGAGTCATGAGGCGTTGGGGGAATAGTAAGTCCCCCAGATCCACTTACCATAATTACTCCTACTTTTCCCCCAGACAGAACCAGAAGGTAGAGAACTAGAACCAGAACCGTAGTCCAAGAACTGCATCATCAAGGTCCAAACACTGTAATGGAAGTGGCTGAAATGGACTATGCCGAATTCGGCCTAAGCCGAGAAACCCGGTATTGTACAATATTATTATTATTATTATTTGGCTGGCTTGATCTTGCTTGAATTCTCAAGGAGTTAAAGCGGGCCAAGTTCGGCGGGGTGGGCGGGCACAAATCTGATTACGAGATTTTCTTTTGGGCCAGTTATATGGGACAAAAAGAGGAAAGGACTCCACTCCGTCCTGCGAGTACTACCTACTCTAGGTAAGTAAATCACAGACCAGACGGACTGAATGTAGTAATAAATCGAGGAAGCTGTTTCCACTTTCCACATCATCCCCATCATTCCTCCTGCCCCACCACTTGAATTGAGAATGGAAATCCCCCATTAGGATCCCTTCGGCCCGGTCACGTTACTCCCCTTAGCCGCCACATCCACTCGCTGGAAGAAAAGATAACGAATAGTTAACTAGTATCCCAATTATTAGTCACTATCGTCCTATCCTAACTAACTATTCTGTATATAATTTATTCATCATATATTCTGATAATAATAACTAAATAATAAAAATAATGATAATGATAATAATGATAATGATAATGATAATGATAGTTTGAAAATAACCCTACGTGCGTCCGTGTTAGAGGTAGCTGCGTCATAAAATTCATCCGATATACTTAGGTAGTAGTAGTTGCGCCGGAAAAGATTCCGGGCCTCTTACCATAATTGGCCACAGAATATGGCTTCGGCCTGTTTACCGCAAGTCTGGTTTATTATCAAATTCCCACGGGAGAAAAAAAAAAAAAAAAAAAAAAAACCACGTTGAATAAAAAACACCAAGCTCGAGTCTGTGAAGAAATGCTGATCGAAATACACCCGTTACCTTCATAAACGGCCATGATCATAATCTTAGGCCATTGTGAACATGGTTCGTGAACATCCAAACGCCACCAAACTGTCAGGAGCCGAGGTCGGAATCATCAGGATGCGTCGAGCTGATAATGAATCAATAATAGGAGTGACAGGGGGTTTCTTTTCATTACCCCTAGGATTAACCCGTTTAATTCGGATCGACTGTTTCGATCCTTTAGTTTTTACAGACTCCATTCCACCTTTTATTCAGGTTCCCCAGGATTCTCGGTGGTAGGATCCAATCATACAGAAAGGAAAGATCGTCTGGCGCCGGCAAGCCGTCATGACAGTCTGTTTCTCACAACGGGCCGCTTTCAGTCTCTGTGAGGGATCATGAAGATCGCGCATGCCCTTTTAAACTGGGAGGCCTGAAAGCAGGGTCCCTACACTGGTTTTCTCCTGGCTGGCGCTGGCGAGCGACACCCTGGAGACTCCCATAAAACTTGATCCGACAAAGGACTCAGAAGACTCAGAAGACTCCGGGAAAGGCTCCAGTATCCAGTACTGCACCCCGCTAATTGCCTAACGTGGACTCGTAACCGATCCGACAGCTTCCAAATTCCACTTGAATTGGGACTCGAAAGTTAAAGCCCCATGGGTAGGACTGGAGAAGCTGAGGTCTCCCAATAATAATAATTATAATAAGAATTATTATTTTTATATTATTCTTATTTGTTGAACTAAGGACCTAGGTCGTAATTCTCCGACCTGATGATGCATAAGACTGGGACCAAAATCCACTAAAATAGAGCGCAATCCCAATCGGTTTCAAATGGTATTTGGAAGCGAGAAGTCTTGCGCTCTGGGGGATCTCCTTCCTTTCCCAATTGATATATTGGATGGACTCCTGTCGAGCTCGAGAGCTGCCTTTCCGCCGGAGCCAGTAGTCCTTGACTCCTTCGCGACATCTTGACAGCTGGAACCTTGAGAATCCCACGTGATACAACTAGAAACAGTCTCATAGTTAATAAGAAGAACCCACTTTTCCGGGACTATTGGATTGCTAAAAAAAAAAAAAAAAATTACCGGGTTATAATAGCGGACGAAGTCCAGTTTGCACGCCACCTCTAGACACAGGGGCTGCGAAGCCCTTGTTGGCGTTCCAGAATTCCTGTAAAGGTCTCTCTCTGTCCCTGAATCCCTACTGCCAGATAGGGATAGGAATGCAGCTCACCATGGTCAGAGATTAGGTATGCAGGCAAGCCTAGCCACAGCCACGTCGAGAGTTATACACCATTCCGGGCTTCGGACGACGCCGAGCTATACACACGATGCTGGGTGTTGGGTTTTCGAGACAATCTGTTGAGTATCAATTGAATTGTTCCGTCTTGCATTGAACGACAAGTCCGGGATCGCACAGAGATCATGTCGAATCTCCATTTCCCTCATATTCGCGAGGGGATCCAGGACGCTCAAAGACAAACCCATCTTCCAGTTATGTACTTCAAAGGCATAGAAGATATTGGGTTCTTATATGATGGCCCCAAGAGGATGAGTCTGTTGCTGCAGAGTCAATAGAGCCTCACCATGTCACTGGCTATGCCTTTCCTAGGGAATCACAAGAATGCATCCAGACAAATGGTTAGACCACATCGTATATTCTGCGGATCTTTCCAAAGAGGGCGCAATAGCTAGAACGCTTCTTAGCAGGGGCAGATTCCAATCATGGTAGTCAATCGATTCCCGTATTTTTCACACAATATGTTTAGAATCAACTGCGTCTGGTCTAGGGTGCAATTGGATATACTTTGGCATTCTAGTTTCTAACTACACGCCATGTCTGTCTGAGCTCGAGCCCGGTGAATTATCCATCCCATAAGTTATGATTCGATCCAATCGACTCCACTAAATAGGCAGTGTGATATTTTCTATGCTATATGCTTTATGGTCTGTCTGGCTTGTCTTGGCTTGGGTGATTATTATTATTATTATTATTATTATTATTACAGAGTATAAGTCTTGTTTCACTCTTTTTTTTTCATTTTCATTTTTTCTTTTAATTAGCTATATATTAAACTAAACCTCAGTAATAATATATATAAGAAACAAGAATGCAAGATAGTTACATGGTACCCGGACAGTATTTCCGCTTATGTATTTAGCTGAGCGGGCAAGAGTCCATTGACTCCATTCATCCATTCATCCCCGCAATTTCGATCCCGCATTTTATTCCATTTTAGGTTTATTTGTATTGAGAGAGGGGCAGGAGTACTGTACCTGTACCTTGGGGCCTGGGCCCGTTTATATTTGATTTTATCTAATTTTATCTGACAAATAAAGTCAGTTAAAGCAGTCTATACTATGTAAATAGTTAGTGGTTAACAACAAGTTAGGTGAGTTCTAACGCAAATCTACCAAGCAAAAAGCGCAATTACTAGCTTTGATTGTAGGAGAAGGAAGGTAAGTGAGCACGAGACAATGATGGATCATGGCAGTGATTAGTTAGGTCGAAGGAAGGGGGGTGCGTTTGATTAACTGGACAAAGGGGTTGATATGATTACAAAATCAGGTGTTCTGGCAAGGGCTAGACTCGACGGCCAGCCCAGATATTAGTCATTACTAGCGAAATTCGGCGGTTCTGGAGCCAACCAATACAGATTTTGCTGACCAAAAGGTCACGAAGAACAATAAAATCCTGATCATGGAAACAGACTTCAATGTCGTCATTTTAATGACGATAGTTGGTGATTCAGATTAGTGGACTCTCACAAGTTCCTGAATACGCGTCCAACTGCACGGTCCCGTCTACGTAGGTAGGTACTGTTAGTGTCAGGGATAGAGAGTGTGAAAATGCCTCATCTTCTGTCCAAGTTACTACCCAGGTATTCTCATCCTGCAGGCCATTATACCTCTCTGAGAGGATTATTCCCGCATGCACTAACATCAAGAGGTGAAAATTCAACTCATCACGAGGGACCTTCTTCTTTCTCTGCTCAGCTCAGATCCATCCCAAGGTTCAAACCTCAACGTGCGAGAAACCAAGTTCTCCATTCCGCCCGACTGATTGGCCAGCTGATGATCCCAGAGCCTAGGTCTCACAAGGAATCACTCAATCTGCCCCTAATCAAGGCTACTTTGGCGGATACTAATGTAGGGCTACTAGAAGAAGACCGGACCGATCCAAACCCTCGACCAACCACACAGCGGATGACGAATTTCCCCAAAATGGGCTCAAGAAGGCTCAAGAAATGTGGCTGTCAATGGTCACGTAACAATGGAGGTGGCGCACGACCACAAAGGTGCAGATTTAAATTTGAAGTGGGAGTGGATGCCGTGATATCGAGTCAATTGACGTCTCCGAGTCCGTGGATTCCTTTTCACTCGCTGTATTGACAATGTTCCGGGGAAGGGATAGTCCACGGAGAGCATCAGTGAGACAGCGACCATGTCTCGAAACTAGTAGTATTGGGCTTTGATCCATGTGTCAACTAATTTCAAGTTTCCCCAACATGAGCCCCAAATTTCCCCATGAAATTCCCTCGTCCCGGCTTTCCCCATACGATCATTTCTTGATCCCTTGGCCCGACTGTGACAGGGCGCATGTACGATGTAAATTCATACATACTCTAATGATCATTGATCACCCCTCCATACTCCATGCGCTTCGGGAAGCGAGTACCTTGAGCAAAAGCTAGATTCTCCACTCTGTCCGCAAAGTTACCACATTCCTCTCAGTCCCTCCACCACGCCACATAATTCCTTATTGAGTCACATCTTCCGAGGACCTGTTCCTGTTCCTCAACAAGCTCTTGTCCCCGTCGTCCCGGATTCATCACTGAGCCATTCGACATTCCCCCGACCCTCTCTACTCTCTGCTGTCTATAGAGTGAGTTGTAATAATGCAACTAGCGCTTAGCAAATACCGTATAGTTACCTAGGTAGTTATTTACCCCTCGATTCCTTCGATTCACACTAAAGAAACTGAAAGAATTCATCGGATCCGATCCTAGTACCTAGTTGCCAAGATGAAGTCATATCAATCCAGTGTCCGTGTTATACCTACTTCTGACTGGCCAACGCCGCATAAAGTTCAAGCTTGTAGCTTTGTATGAGAGGGGATACCAGTTAGACGGCCAAAAACTGCTACACTGGACGTGGTTTTGCGAGTCTGGGTACATCCACCTGTAGGTTAATCGCACGCGCAACAGTATTTAACACCACGGCCCGTCGCGATGGTGGTCTATTTGACGCCCATCGTGCTGCCGCCGCCTGGGGCTAGGTACTTCACCATCATTCAACCTGCACCTCGATTTCGGAGGAGGGAACTACTTTGCTCTAGTTCTAATAACCATGATACTCTCACTCTCCTTCCTTTATTTCAAGTGATTTCTTTACATCCCATGAACTAGTCATGTCCGACAATGACAGCAGCAGTAGCAATACTAATATAATAGATGTCTTCTTAGATACTAGTGCCGATGAATCCCTGGACAGTGCATCCCAATTAAATAGTAATAAAGACTGATTCCGCCCTTGGGAATGGCCTTGATGATATACTATATACTGCCCAGGTGCATTAGCAATTAACTATGGTTTTGATGCTGATATAATCAAGCGCACTCTACTCCGTAGCGCACTCTACTCCATTTCCTTTCTCAGGCCAGATTCTATTTTCTTTCCTCCATGTCATAGGGCCGAGTCTTTTTCACCTGTTTGACCTTCAATCGCCAATATGCTACCTGAATTCTTGCAGAGTAGTTACGCCCGCTACAAAGCAGATACCAATACATTTGCAACGTGGCTACTGGAGACAGCTAACCAATGTGGCTATCAACCACCTACCCTCTCTGCTACCCTTCCTACCGCAAAAAAGGGTAAACGCAAAGGCAAAAAGAATGACTCAGATGCAGAACCACTTCACTATAGTGCGACTACCAAAGATCTGCAAAAGCTTGCCGAGGTGGTTGCCAGTTCTGCTCTCACAATACCCAAGTCAGTTCTCACCATCGCGAAACGCGCCATCAAATTGAGAAAAGCAGTCACTTCCTGGTTCTTGGGCCAGGGCGACTCCGTGAACAACAAGCGGCATGCTCATTTCATCACTGCGCTGGAGCAGATCTGCGAGACTCTTGAATGGAAGACCAACAACCAGCCCTCGAAGTCAGACGCTAAGCAGCCACCCCCGACTTCTGAGGCTCAAAACGACGACGCCGACGCCGACAGGTTTCTAAACAAATTCGCTGTTCTCACGGTGGAGGAACCCCAGGATACTGCGCATACTCAACCGACGCCCGCAGACTCGAAGAAGATCGTCAAGGTGACTGTTGTTGAAGAAGACGATCATGAGGCAGCAGACGACTTATATCTTGGTCAATTGTTCTTCAAGACACTCTGCTTACTTCAAGACCTAAACAATATACGGATATTCATTTCCACCACCTGGTCGGAGTACCGAGATAAGAAAATCGATCTTATGAACGCCGCTGTTGTGACTGACAGTGCTTTGCAACTTTCCCGAGATCTTGTCAAGGAGGTGGAGGCGGACTGGCACACTTCCCTTACGTGGGAAAGGGATAATGTCCAAAAGATTGTCTACAGTCTCGCTGCTGTTACCCGCGGCATTTCTGCGGCCCCATCCACTGAGATTGGCCTGCCATACAACAAGAACGTGGCTGATATAGCCGACTGGTGCTATATACCAACCAAGGTCCTGCTTGGGTCCTTCGCAGATGTACTCCAGGAAAATCACCAGCCGGTCTTCAAAAAGGGCTACTTCGGCACATATAATCCGAAAGCGGACAGAGAGCGGATGTCTCTGGCTCAGAAATTCAACGAAGACAAAATCATCCTTCTTTCGATTTTGCCGGAGTTTTGCATGGTCAATAAGTTCAAAATCGAGATGCCTATTGAGGACGCGATCACTCGAGGCCTTGCTGAGTTTGCCAAAACCAAAAGGGTTACTCTGTGGCTTTGCTTCGCCTCCCAGATCTTCCTCGACGTTCATCATATCATGCGACACAGTACCTTGGATGCATTTGGAGACCTCCGAATGTCTGGACTTCGCATCCAGAAGACTATCGATGACTACCTGAAACTGTCTGGAACACACCCTCGGCCCAAATTTTGGCCAGAAGAGGGTGACGAGGAGATTCGACGTATAAGTTCAACGGTGAAGTCATGGATCTTACAAGATCCGCTCCTTGATATTCGAGTCCATTATGGATTCGACAGAATAGGCTCCCCGCCCGAAAAGCATGCACTCTTCTCGCAACACGCCATCCTCTGCGGGTTGATCCTGTTCAGCCTCAATGTTCGAATGCAGGTTATTGGCCAGCAGCTCGTCACCCAATGGTACGACGTCCAGCAACTAGCCTTCTTGCAAAACCTTGTCATAAATTCCCCAACGCACAAAGAGCTGAAATGGCCTGATATGGATGCTTTCATCAAGATCCATGGCGAATCTCATATTTTCATTGGTTCGCGGCCAAAGAACGCCAATGAATCGCTGAATAGGCTTGAGTTGGCCACAGGCATCTCATCCGCTGCCAAATTTGCCCGCGATTCTCGGAGCAAAAGATTTCGATTTCATACCCCTGATGGCAAGAATGCCCGCGTGCTCGAGCCCACCACTGCAGTCGCGAACTTGCTTTTCTCCCAGTACGTTGGTGATCCCGAGGACGATGGCGGGATTGCAAACTTCGATCGGGTCCTGGACGAGCTTTCGCGGAAATTGAAGCCTGAATCATCCAGCAAGAAGCTCCAGAGAGCCAATCCGGAACTCACCATTGCTCGAAAGTGGTCTAATACCCACAACATTGACACGCTGCAGCTTCTTGCCCTCCTGAAGACCAAGCTATTTGAAGAGGAGCCTATCATCTTGTATAACTACTTCGGCATGCACAAGCGCTCCGTCGAGTTACTCAGACTGATCCGAGACAAGGAGCATCAGAAATTTGTTCAATATTTCACGTCGGCGTATATGCCTGATGAGTCCCTCATATCAAACATCGTCCTCCTCATCCATCACGTTGCGCAGGGCTCGGCCCAAAATGCACGTGAAATGGGACTTACATCTGGCGGAGTTGAGATCGTGAGTCGGATTGTCGCGAGCGCTGGCGACGTGATGCGGGAATACTTGGAGAAGAATGGAAGTGTGGCATGCAAAGAGCTGAGAGTATTCTGCAAGAACAAAAAGCCGATTCAAGATGATGATTTTGCTTACGACAACGGCAAATCGGACGAGCTGGTGTATTCTTGGCTCAGTCTTGAGGACATTCTGGGCCCCAAGGGTGTAGCCTCGCTCATGACCGGGATCCCGATAGCGTAGGCTTATTATGGATGGACCTGGTGCCGTCTTGATGCCGACGACAGCCCGGACGTGCTGCTATATCCATTCCAATTAGTAGGGGGTTTGCTCAGCGAGTTTTTGGGATGGAGGTTTTTAGAATTCTTTTAAGCAACGTCAATCCCTTGTACCCTACCCTAATCCAACGCATAGCTGGAGCGACGTGGTCATGAATAACAATCAATAATATCCAATCAGACAAGTCATGGAGCCTCGGATGACCCAACATTAAGAGGTTCTCCCCGTTTATCTTCAGACCACTGCGCTGAAATTTACAATGTAACTGGGGGGTGGGTATATGGTAAGGGATGATTCCCTTGGAACATGATGATGACTTACTCCCATGCAGCTTTGAAGGTGTGTGTGTGGAATCCTATCACGCTCCCGGCGCCCTAGCACCCAGCAGGCTTTCCTGGGGCCCTTTTTCGATGAGGAGATAGAGAGAATAGATCCACCTGGAAGCCAGCCTGTGCTGTCTTGCGGACTCCTGTTTCATATCTATCTAAAAAGACCGTGCAGCGGATTCTTTGCATTCCCTTTGTCCGGAAGGTACCATAGCATAGGCATCTATCTAACATAAGCTGTCCATAGTAGGTAGGTAGGTAGGGAAGGCTGCGAAGATACTCCTCCGTACATACTTACTTACTTGGTGAGCGAAACTATCGGGTTTCGCGCCTGCATATGGAACTCTTTGAAAAAAAAAATCGTGAGTGAAAAACGGGCCAAGTAGAATGGTAGAATGGTGGAGGGGGCTCGATCTGAGGCAGACAATGGCATGTATGTAGTTTAGAGACTAGAGTAACCTAGCTTAGGTACCTAGTAAGTGACGTGGTTGGTACTTGATACTCTATAGTATAGGATAGACCATGGAATAATCCAGATATTTATATCTATACTTGAGAGCTTACAAACTAAAGCACGCGTTTCTCAGTACAGACATCGTATCAGGAAGATATATGTATATATATACTTCCTTGAATCAGCAGAGAAACAACGTTACGAGCAAGCTGGCATAATCTTGAATTGAATGCGAGGAGGATATCTTAAAACGACAGCAATCTGTGCTAAAACACCCTTGACGATATCCGGTCATAAAAACGTAGCATGGAATAAAAACAACACAAAACAAAACAAAACATAGCTCATGTCTTAGACGCCCCGGCCCATCCGTTCAATAGAACCCATAATACCGCTTCGTCCAGGAGTGAAGACAGCTATCCCGGACCTGCTACCGCTGTTTCCGCGCGCATGTCGGACCGCTGGAGCGGGAATCTTGGGGATCCGCCGCTCGCCATTGCTAGCGCTCGAACTCGAACTCGGACCTCGGGTGATCGGTGGATTGCTGCGGATGATGTCTTGTTCAGGCTCTTCGTCGGCAAGGAGCTCGATATCTTGAGGAAGGGGCTCGGGTGTTTGGGATTTTGGCGATGAAAAGTTGCTGGGTTGCTGTTGCTGGGGCGGATTCTGCTGTATAGCCAACCATTCATCCACAGCCGCGACAAGCTCACCCTTTTCTGCTCGCTCGACCTTCAACTCAGCGCGCAGCTGCTCACTGTCTTTCTTAAGAGCTACCATCTCCTGTTGTAGACCTTTGATTTGTGCCTCTAGCACTCGCTTCTCAGCCTCATGCTCCTCCTTTTCGTGCACAATCATACTAGAGTCAGGGCGAGCATTTTCCATAACACTATCCCGCTCAGAGCGTAAACGTTCGTTTTCCTCGTTGGCAGCTTTCGCCTTATTCTCAGCCTCCCTTACACGTTTTTCCCAGCGAGCTTCGTAGCTCTTCTTCAAAGCCGCAACTTTGGTCTCATGTTTGTTTTTATACAGCGTGTGAAGCTCACGGGCAACCTTCTCGACTGCATCCTGGACTTCATTCGCTGTTTCTTCCGCGGTCTTAGTAGGAGGAGCGTTTCCAGACGGTCCATGCTCACCAGCCGCCGATTTACGAGCCGCAGTCAGTTGGGTCTCGAGCTCGACAATTCGGCCCTCTAGTTGTTCCTTGCCCCGGTCTGATTCCTCAATCTTCTTTGTTAACCGCTCTCTCTCCCGCTCACCCTCGAAAATATCGGCTTTGACAGAGCGCAGAACTTCTTCCATTTCCCGACCTCGACGCTGCCATTCCGCTTGGTCAATCTCAAGGGCTTCCTTACGGGAAGCCTCATTGCGAACTTCCTCTAGCGCCTCTCCAACACGACGTTCCGCGTCTGCGACGGCTTGCTTGAGGCTAGAGACCTCGGCTTCTTTTCCGCTAAGGGTTGCTTTGAGGGAGGAGATCTCAGAGAGAAAGCCAGATTTCAAGGACTCAAGCTCTCGGGGTGTGATTGTCGGAATCGATCGAGGCGTAGGGGCACTGGGAATATCAAAATCCAACAGGGAAACTTTCGCCGGTGATCTGATCGACTCTCGAAGATTTCTCAAAGGGGATCGACGTGACGGAGAATACCTTTCGTTTGGTTGAAGGCTGTAACGTTGACGACGGGGGAAAAAGTTGGACTGGTCCGTAAAGTCTAGCAGGTTGGAAGCTTCTCGTGTGTCCTCATGATCTCCAAAGTCCCTCTTCCGTGGAATAGGCGAAATAGGAGAACTCATATCAATGAGGGCGTTTTTCCTCGGCGACCGTTTAGCTGTAATGGGAGTTCCTGCCTCGAGATCCTGGCGCTGGGTGTCGTCGTCGTCGTCCCTACCCGGACAGCTGGGCAGCGGCCGAGGACTTTTAAGCGGTGATTCTCCATGCAGGTTCGCAAAGGCAGTCATATCCACATTTGGAACGGCCGAAAAAGTGCTAAGACAGGTGTCATCCATTAGATCGTGAGAGTAATCAATCATATCATCGTCTGCGTCGTCATGAGAATCTAGATTCTCCTTGCTACCCGAAGTAGCCTCCTCATTACTTTCGCGAAGAACCGTGCTCATGCCTTCGTTGTTTTGTTCCTCCACCATGCTGCGCGCACCAACGCTTCGATTATACTGGCTGAACTCCGAGTCCTCGTCCGCAAAGACATGAATGTCCGGAACATCTCGTCGACCCATTCCTTTCTTGTACCGATCATCAATCTCTTCCTCCAAGTCATGGAAATCAGGCACCTGCTCATACGACCGCTTTCTCGGGGTCGCAGAGCGCTCACTCATTCCCAACGAAGCCTGACGGAGACGGAGCATTTTCTGGTCGACAGTGTCGTCTCTTCCATCGTACCGGAAGGGTGAACTTGGCGTCTCTTGATATGATTCTGCGTCTTCATTGTAAATCTCCGGGCCTTGTGTTTCGTATTCTGTAGCGTCATAACCAAAGCTTGAATCCCTACGCCCGTCACCGACCAACTTCCTGGGACTCAGCAGAGGGGTTTCTATGACGCCGTCGTACTCGGAGGAGAGGGCTCGTGAGTTCTGTCGGGAGGTCGTTAAAGGTGAAAGTGGTGTTGACATGATTGGGTGGCTGCCAAGTCAAAGCCAAAATGTAATCAGAGTGAGAAGCTAGATGAGAAAACACAGCAGTGAATTCGAGGAGGGTAGAGTTCTAAATTGAACGAGTCAAAGGACCCGTGCAATTCAAAAAAGGTGCTGTGATGGTGCTTGCAGAAAACAAACTCTGGTTTGTTATGATGTATGATTTCGACTGTTGCTGGGATGCTAGTCAACAACCCCTATCCTAATTGGGATTAGTGGGCCAACCCCGGGCGGTGTGGGATGGCAGTACTGATATACAACTTTCTTTACATACTTGGTTGTTGCCAATGAACTATTGATTTATGACAAGTTGATTTGTTTCCAAAACTTGGCTATTGCATTCTATTGTATTATTTAACATTATAAATCTCCTAGATATTTCCGCACTCAAAAACCAAAAGAAGCAAAAAATCACCTTGAACAAACTCTATATCATTATTCATCATATCGTAAGGGTTCTCTTGCCTTCATACACTTTCTGTGACTCCATCAACGTTTGTCACGACAATTCGAATCGTCTCTTTCTGTCCCGGAGATTTGGCCCTTCCAAAGTGACAGCATGTCGCTGGCTCCACTGAGATAAACGAGTGCTTCCTCTGGTTCATGAACCAGAGTTGCAACGCTCCAATCATTGCCACCAAAGCGCTTCCCCACCATGCCAAAGCGGTACACTTCATTTCTGCTCCTGTGCTGTATAGAAATCCGGCGATGGGAGGCGCAACAGTGCGTGCGGCAGCCCCGGCAGACGCAGCAAGTCCGTTGATCTTGCCTAATACCGAATCTGAGGGACTAGCCTGTTTAATAAGAATCAGAAGCACCGGGTAGGCAATGATTGAAAGTATGTTCCGAGTGACCAGACATGTATAAATGCCAAGGAATATGGATCGAGAGGGTAAAAAGATCAAAAAGGGGACCATGAAATACGCTGCAGGATGAAGGATGGTCACGACAATGAAGAGTCTCCAGATCCCCAGAAATTGGGCCAAGGCGGGAAAGATGATCCCCTGGATTATGAGCGCGATGACACCATCGGAGGACATGATCAAACCGACAGCGCGGGTTGAAAGGCCCACTCCACCAGGGAAGCTGAAAGTGGAGTTGCCACCACGATTTGAGCCGTAGTCACCGCGTTGGTCTTGTAGGAAGATGGGGAACAGATGGTCGTAGGTCATCGAATGGTAAGTGAAGATGCCCAGTGCTGCAACAAGCATGATAACTCGATGGGTAAAAGCCGCTTGTTTTTGTGAATCAGACTCCATTTTAGAGCCGTCTGAATCTCCCCTCCAAGCGTCATCACCTTCATGGAGGCGGACTCGATTGAATGTGCCATAGGATTCTGCACGTAAATCAACAGCCGCATTTGTGGTTGCACCCGCTGTGGCTAAAAGAGGTTGTTCGGCGGAAGTATTGTCCAAGTGATCTGGAACGCCCCCAGGTTGCATATCAGGATGGGTCTCTTGCAAAAAGAGCCAGCTAAAGATAATACTGCCGAGAAGTAACACAGAACAGACCAGGTTCGGGAGTAGGTAAGGAAATTTGCCAAATAGGCCGTGATGGGAAAATACAGAGGGGAAGTTTTCAGCGGGCTTTGCAAGCAAACCTCCAATGGCTGTGGTGGAAAGGAATTAACATCCCTATCCTTCGGGCAGTGTGAAGAGTGGGTGTATACTTACCTGGCCCAATAATTGTTCCAATCGACCAAACGAAGGGCATTACAGCATACGCGCGAGCTATGTTCATTTCATGTCAGCTAATGCTCTCAGACCGTGCCGAGCTGGGCTTGCATACGTTCATGTTCGGGCCGTTTAACGAGTTCGCCAACCATGGTCTGGATGACACCGATGTTTCCGTTTAGTATACCTCCAAGAGCACGACCGAAGAGTGCCATCCAGAAATTGGTGGAGAACCCAACAAGAAGGAGAGACGCCATGGTCCCAAGGCAACCAGAAAGGAGTACTGGTTTGCGTCCGATTCGGTCGGAGAGAGCGCCCCAGAACATACCAGTAAGGGCCTCTGCTAAGGAAAAGGCCGAGACAAGAATACCGGCGTAGAAAGAAGCATTGTTGCCATCATCCATGTGAAAATCCCGGACCATCACCCAGGAGTATGGGAAGATTGAGGTGAGGGCGATCGGCTCCGCCACGCGACATATTGCTGTTCAAGAGGGCATAAGCAACGAGAACTCTAAGAGAGCAAGTAAAAAGATGGAGGATATTATGATCGCAGACTTACCTAGAAGGAATAGCTGTGCAGTTGGAAATTTATCGGTCGATTCGGTTGGTCTTTCCTGGAGTGTCAATACCATCTTCTTTAGAATCATCCAAGATTCTTACAACAAGCCGTCCACAATACAGCAAACCTCCTCGATTTTTCTTTATTCAAGATTGTTTTCTTTGCTGCTTGTATCTGGCTTCCCTAAGATTTCCTGTGTATATCTCTTGGTGGTGGTTGACCGCAGAGCTCCTCTCAAACCCTTTACTATAGCACTTATTTTTTAACCGTTTTCGAGTGAAAATTTGTTTTTTTTTTTGCTTTGTATTGGATTGAAGAAGAGAAAATAGAAGATAATAAAACAATTAGAAGATTGGGGGTGAAAGGTAGTGGGTGTCTTAACGTTGAGAGTAAGGGGATGGACGGGAAGAGAGATATAAAGCGAGAAAAGAAAACTGATAACAGGTCGGAAAGATGTTGACAGCCACCTGATTTTCCAGCAAACCAGATTCAAGCGCGCATTAAAAACTTTGTATGCACTTCTTGTCCGCCAGACTAATCCATGGAAATCTCGGGAGCAAGCCAGGGATAGTTTGCCACTTTAGGACTTTGTGAAGGAGTAAGTTATCTTGGTAGAGCATAGTATATATATATATATTACCTTTCTTCTTTCTATATGAATGATAAATGGTTGTGAATCCCCTTTGTAGCCAAAGGAAAAGCCCTGCAGCTACTGGGGTCGCTTGATGTGGACCTGTATAACCCTACCTAGTATTGTTCCCCCTCAGAATGACACCGCTGATCAGCAGGTCCTATGTCCATCACAGATTTAACAAGCAGGAGGGATAATGAACGCCCACCTCTGTTGTATCTATAGTCTCTGGATTTATTTACACTTCCTAGCGGGGGGTCTCACTGCAAAGCTCGCTGGTCCGAGCTCCTTCTTTGCAACAAAGAGAAAGAGGAATCTAACACTTCAGATTTCAGGAAAACAGACAGAACCCAGCCTTCGAATGCAGAGGACGCTCCTAGTAAGTTCATCATCCGCCGGCTAAGTTTAGGAGTGGAAGGTGGTAAGGACTCTCCAAGCTTTGCTCGGATATTGCCTACCTATCTTGAAGCGTGGAAATGTTCCTTCAGCGAAGAGATTAACAGCCAGCCAAATACTCAATATCATCCATCGACTAGGATGGATGAAGAGTACATAGTATGGCTTTGTTGACTAATCAAGCCCCTATCAAGGGTTACATAGAAGCAATACGCGACTTATGCGACAATGAAGAGAGAGACTAAGAATTTGTTTTTGTAGAAAACATAAACATTTCATAAGGTCGGTATCGCCTGCGATATATATACATATAGAGCTTGGTTGAGAAGAAAACCCAAAACTCAAAGCTGGGGACTTTCGGAGACAGGGATGTAAGATCGTCGTTCTCGCGCAGCCTAGACACCGATTAGTACAATGCCACCCTATATGAACAGTTTTCAAACCACAAGAAAGACCAGGGAGACACACCTCCAGCCACTTTTCCACCCACGGCTTCAAAACAGCCCACAGCAGCAAGCTGCCGGTAGCAATGATAAATATAAAGACTATAGCCTCGTCCTTTCTGGAATCCCTTTCTGTATAAGCAATTAGCGTCAGCATCCGAGGCCGAAAGCCCATACTCTTTTTTTTTTTTTTTTTTTTTTTTTTGTAGCCTCTCACTAAAGTTGGGGCTTTGACATACGGAAACAAGTTGTGAAAACATCTTCTTCTTTCGCACCCTTGCAGGTGGGCAGGTCATAGCCCAGACAGAATTTCCGATTGCAGTCGTTACAGCTCAGCGGACGGTAGTTTCCGGTCCTCTTCTCATTGACGGCATCAATATCCTCACTTCGAGTCAGGACATTAAGCATGCTATTGAAGGACGATGAGGAGTCTGCTTTGTCTGGATCGAGAGGGATGATGGTGCTATTTGAGAAGCAAGTGCATTTGCAGAATGAGGTAGGAGCTATATTAAGATAAGGCTGTTAGTCGGTGCTATCCCAAGGGTAAACGAAGGGAGACATGTACAAGAAGCTAGTGTGAAGGATGCACAGAAAAGAAAAGCCAGGAGGAAAAGGAGAAGGCGTGGCATGTTGGTTTGTTGTGGTATGACTCTATAATTGGATTGATTGGCAAAAGCGTCGAATTCTCGACTCCTTCTCCTGATTGTTCAACTGGGTTAATGTCAGTTGATTCTCAATCATACAGAGCTTCAATCTTATCGAAGTGTTCAGCCACTAGGCCACTTTTGGAAGTCATGAATATTAGTCATACTGGGCGGTGAAAGCAGCCCGTCTGCCCCAAAAAGCACACAATAGCAAAGCAGAATTTGTAGTATTAGAAATAAAAGATAAATATTAATACTATTTGCAATAAATACATAGACACATGGACCTTTCCATGTGAAGAACAATGGGTGTTTTTGCAAAGAAGAGGGAGGGACTAGGAGTGCTTTCATAACCCTACTCCATGGGTTCGACACAGATAAGAATGATTGTAAGTATTTTCTAGCCTTGTGGATGGAGAGAAATCATGCCACCACGGGTACTACTTTTGTGATTGATAAAATAGAGAATGGTTAGCCTAGTGACACTGTTCTAAGAATCCTGCTTGACAAGGGAGATCATAACTATGGTTGTACAGGCTATTCTGCACCCTTTACCCTCTTAATGGGGATGACTGTCCAGGCAGATATTAAATAATATATGAAAGTCCCCCTCAAACACCCGTGGTATGACCCGTACACCGTGCTGAGTTCTACGCGCGCTGGCGGTTCGGAAGAACTATGGCCCGCAGGGCCATCTTTTCCGTGCTGTAGAACCTGGGGATGTTAGTTAACCTGTTAGCTATAGAGATTCCTATATTATCTACTTTTATAAGCTATTACCATGCTAATACCTACTTGAATACCTACTTAAATGCCTACTTAAATGCCTACTTGAATGCCTACTTGAATGCCTACTTGAATGCCTACTTATATGTCCTTTAATTAAATAATATATGAAAGTCTCCCTTTTACCCGTGGTATGACCCGTACACCGTGCTGAGTTCTACGCGCGCTGGCGGTTCGGAAGAACTATGGCCCGCAGGGCCATCTTTTCCGTGCTATAACTAGAACCTGGGGATGTTGGTTAACCTGTTAGCTATAGAGATTCCTATATTATCTACTTTTATAAGCTATTACCATGCTAATACCTACTTAAATGCCTGCTTCAATGCCTACTTGAATGCCTACTTGAATGCCTACTTGAATGCCTACTTGAATGCCTACTTGAATGCCTACTTAAATGCCTACTTGAATGCCTACTTGAACGCCTACTTGAATGCCTACTTGAATGCCTACTTGAATGCCTACTTGAATGCCTACTTGAATGCCTACTTAAATGCCTACTTGAATGCCTACTTAAATGCCTACTTGAATGCCTACTTGAACGCCTACTTGAATGCCTACTTGAATGCCTACTTGAATGCTTACTTGAATGCTTACTTTAATACCTGCTTTAATGCCTGCTTCTATACCTGCTTCAATACCTGCTTCAATACCTGCTTTATTGCCTGCTAATACCTCCTTTAATATCTACTTTAATACCTATTTTAATTCTAACTTCCATACTTACATTAATATAGTAGCTATCATACTAATATGCAAGCCGCCGAGCGTAGCGAGGGTTTGAGGCTAGTATACCTATTTTAATTCTAACTTCTGTATATGTATTAATATAGTAGCTATCATACTATAATGAAGACTATACTATTAGTTCGCCACAAGCCGCCGAGCATAGCAAGGATTTAAGGCTAGTGTAATCTAATGAAATTGTGAATAGCACGCGTCATGAAGATTCCACTCTTAGCATGGATACCTGTGGCACAGTAGAAAACCTACCTGTGGCATGGATTGAGGTCACTCAGGAGGCCTGGTGACTTTTTTTTATTACAGGAAGTAGCCCTGCCTGGCATTCAGTTACACCGCGAGACCCTGACACATTTACTACCGTTGAGATTGATGGCAGGGGTACCATCCTAGCAAAGAGACTCTTCCCTATCACTTGATAGTATTCTCAGTTACTCGGCTTTTACCAAGTTGGAGTGGACGGTGGATTGAGAAGTTATTCAGCTAAGAATTATTAACTATCAGTGGCATGCAGTTTCACATATGACATCACTTATAATTATTTAGTTGTATAGATCTTTTTTCCTAGTATGATGGATTATAAGTAGTATAGTCTCCCCCCTTGAGTTTCGACCGCCAAAAAAGCCTAGGATTTGCCCTTCATGCCTTTCCTCCGGTTCTCTCTCTGTCTCTGTTCCTTGGCTACGTCCCGTCGTCTCTTCTTCCAAGCACGGTTGTTGTCGCCTCGATTCTCCCAGAACCACTTAGTGAAATCAGACTCATCTGTCAACCGTGGCCCGGCTTTGGAGAGAGGACTGTTGTTAGCATACGGAGACGCCTCAACGCCCGTGGAATCGGAGTGTCCAGGAAGGGTCCAGTTTATAGACCTTCCGACTTGTGTTGTATCGGGAGTTGGAGCCGCGCTTCTTAACCCACGGCCTTCAAAGTCTCTTTTTGTAAACGGTGTAAGAGGTTCTATGGGCTCCTTTGACTCTTGCTCTTCCTCGGATTCCAAGTCTTCCTGCCCAAAGAAACTAAATTGTGTGGGGGCTTCCAGTTCGGCTTTCTTTCCGGGGGACACGGGAGCAGGTTTCTTGAAGAGGGCTTCTAGGGGGTGAACCTCTTTTGGCTGTTGTTCATTATCTGGATCTGTCTCTTCGGATTTGGCGGTTGAATCTTGTGCATCGCTTTTGGCGTGGTCACCCTTGGAAGGGGACAACTGGTTTTCTTCCTCATCAGAAGCTACACTAGACTCCTCTGATGAACTAGAAGAAGCGCTGTCTTCACTTTCAGAATCTGTGGTGTCATCATCTGACGAAGATGAGCCACTGGAAGATGTCCAATCTTCCGACTCGTCGGTTGACTCCTTTCCTTCGACAGGCCCTGATTTGCGGCTCTTGGAATTCGACGAGGCGGCATTTTCGGCCTTCGTGACTGTCTTGGTTCTGATGGCCTTCTCCTTGTAGCCTGGAACTTGCCCTGGTGTGTATTCCTTTTTCTTGATCCGGTCACTGACATTTTCTTTCAAATTTCCTTGCTCATCGATCCAGCCCTTGCCCTCTTCAAACGTAGACGTAAGAACTGTGCCGTTCTCCTCTTCCCGCAGAAAAGATGGCTGTGTAATGGTTTTGGAGTATTCATGGACCACAGTGTCCGACGATGACTTGTTCCTCTTCTTCGACTTGCTCGACTTGTCATCCAGGGACAAGGACTTGTTCGCTGGAACCTTGGTTCGGAAAAGACACTCTGATTTTTCGGAATATTTGGACTTTGTCTGAGGTTTTGCGTCTTTCTCGCCCGTCCCTTTCTGCTTCTTTTCCTTTTTGCGCCGTTCCACCTTGTCATTTGCCGACTCGGTCCAACCTCGTTTCACCTTGCGATCCGACGGGAGCTCATAGCCGTCCAAAACATTCTCCTCCGCCTTGCGCTTTTTAGACTTCTTGTCGGAGGAATGCTCGACTTTGGACACGACATTTTCACTGTCCTCCTCATCCCTTTGCCTTTTCTGAGGCCGAGCAGCTTCTACTTTGAACTTCCTTCCCTTGAGGATCGAGCCATTGAGCTTTTTTTTGATCTTGTCCGCCTCCATTGCTGGCAAGGTAACGTAGCCGTAGTTGTTTTCCGGGAATGTTGGAAGGTCGTGGAATGAGACGTCTGTGGCGAGGGGACGAATGGAAGCTGGGAGCACTAGGGGAAGGAGCTCGGAGGTAAACGGCGTAATGTATAGACGGGTCGTATCTGAGGATGGAGAGGTCATTTGCGGTCGGTAACTTCGGTCAATTCCGTGAGATGAATGTGGCTTGTTGCTCGGAAGAAGCGAGTTTATTTTTGCTATATCAAGCCCTGCTTCACACGACCTAAAAAAATTTCCTGCAATTGATAGAAGACAGAATAGTAACCATTGCACTAGGATGGAGGTTGGCCAGGAGGTCGTAAATTCAGTTCTTGAGGGGATTGTGATATATCGACAAAACCTGTAACTATCTGTTTAATTTAATTTTTCCCTCCCTTCTCAGTGGACCGCAAAATAACTGTGGTGTGGCGCAGCAGGACCCGAGCCACATTTAGAATGCTCTGGGCCCAGCCACATGTGACATGTATTGCCAAGCATCACCTGCGCTCCAGTGACATGGAAGCCCCGGTACATGTCATTACTGGTACTGTTACAGCATCATTACAATTCTACCAGTACTATCAAAGTAGTACCTGTCCCTCTAGAGGGGACAATATTATTCTTGATGCAATGTTTGCGCCAAAGAGACTGTTATGGAAATTCTATTTTGCGGCCCAAAAGCCATTTATTGTATTATATAGGGCTACGGGATTTATCCATGATGAAAGATCCCCTTTCCTCCTGTCAAGTGGCGCGGCATCTTCCCCGGAATGGAGCAACAATACCTCAATCTCCCCAAGCCCCAGGGGTGTATTTAAATTTCCCTTATATACATCGTTCGTATCACCAATGTACCCCGTACTACATAACATTACAGTACTACTATTGAAACGTGGTTTCCCTCTCCTCCTCCTCCTCCTCCTCCTTGGCTTGGGTCTGCGGCCTCGCTTTTCATCCTTGTTGCTACGACTTCCATCTCAAACAATCAAGCCTTCTGTATCTCTTGACCTTCTTGTTGTTCTGGACCTCAGCCTCTTCTGTTTCACTTTCCCTCCCGTTCGTGGCCTGTCTGGCCTTTCCGTGGTTGGCCGAGAGTCAAACCCGCACATCTGATCTCATCGCCGCCTGTCCACCTTCCACTTTCGAAACTTGTTCGCTCGTATGGCCACATCGGGCTCATCGTCATCAATTTATTTTATACCCGCTGGGCCTCTTTCACCATAGACTGCATCTGCGCTACAACTGATGTTGCATTGTCTTCGATCAATCTATGTTGGATTTCTCCCACTCTCTTCGCCTCTCTTTTATCGTTCACTATCTACAGGGGCGCTTTCTCCGCTTTCCTCCTTATCCGGCAGCTCACAGCCTCATCCATTTTCACCCCTCCCCATCCCGCTAACTACACCCTGATTCATATAACTCACCTCACATATCGCACCTCTCTGCTGGGGCTTTAATTTAAGCCCCTTCGTTATCTGCGATGGGTAACACTCAGACCAAAGAGACGCGACCGTCTCCCTCACAGTCAACAAGGCGAAACCATCAATGGGGATCGAGCGAGAGCCATCGAAGGTCCCCATATAGTGATCGACACCACTCGGCGGGCTCACGGTCGAATCGAGGCAGTAGGCCGGATCTCTCGATTCTCGGAATTGGCGGAAGTTCAGATCGTGATGTGGCGACGCTGGAGCATCGCCGGGAAACAAAACAGGAGCGGGAAGCTCGTCGGCTCGAGAAGGAACGGACGGCTCGGATTAAGGAACGAGAGCGAAGTATGAAAGAGGAGCATGTTGACGGGGGTTATTTGGTCACACAGGGGGTGTATACAGGAACCGAGGACTTTAACAAGCCGGTCGTTCGACAATTAATGGTAACCTGACATGCAGTATGCCGAGTGTTGGTCAATGCTGACTACCTTATACAGATCGAAAGGCGACTTGCTCCATTCTGGAGGGGTCTGAACGACTTTTCAGATTCATGGACAGAGCATCAGCTCATGGCCGCAGCGCGAGGCTTGCCCATTCCTCCACCCGACGAAATCCCTCCGGAGTTGGAATACAAAAATCCACCCAAGGTTACCGATGAAACAAGGGAGACGTCTGCCATCCAGCATTTGACAGTTCCGATAGCCTCTCGATCACCATCCTACGGTTCCGATGCTTCGCACTCCTCCACCCCAGCTCTTTCATTGCCCTCCCAAACATCCCCCATAGCCTCAGGCACTTCCAGCTCCCCATTGTTCCGGTCTCGGGCCAAGACCCTTGCGTCATTGACCTCCAGGCACAATTCCCAAAATGATTCACTACCTAAAGAAATTCAACTTCCTCGCGACCCGTTTGTTAACGGCCAGCCCATTGAGGCCTATCTTTACAAGGATGCGGCTGAATGTCCCATCTGTTTCCTTTACTACCCTCCATATCTTAACCGCACTAGGTGCTGTGACCAACCCATTTGCTCTGAATGCTTTGTCCAAATCAAACGGCCCGATCCTCATCCTCCGGAGCATGGAGAGGCAGACTCAAACGCGCCAGCGCCAGCCGGTGAACCCGAGCGCCCCGAAAACCAGGATGGCCAGCTTGTATCGGAACCTTCTGCCTGCCCGTTTTGCGTTCAACCCGAATTTGGCGTAACATATGCTCCTCCTCCTTTCCGCAGAGGGATGGCCTACGCATCCGATCCGAGCGGCCGCCCAACGCTCGCAACGCCTGTGTCATCTACATCGTCACTTTCGTCTGCTGGCCCGCCTGCGACTGGTCGTCGACGCGCGACATCACTATCCGCCACCGACCCTACTGTCATTACTACCGACAGGGTTCGCCCAGACTGGGCTCAGAAACTTGCCAATGCTCGTGCCCATGCTGCACGAAGATCTGCGGCGGCGACTGCTCTTCATACCGCGGCATATCTCATGAACTCGAATGGATCCGGAAATGATTCCAGAAACTTTAGCCTCGGCAGGCGAGGTGTGATGCGACGGACCGGCACGCAAGACAGTCCAGGATGGGGTGGCTCGCCCGCCTTACAGGCTCTTGCATTTTTGACCGACAGGCGTGCCGCGGGCCATGAAGCGGACTCTCCAGAAGAAGGGACGGGGAATTTGGCTCCGCCGCGGAGCAGCTCGAGGAGGAATCGCATGGATGACTTAGAGGATATGATGGTGATGGAAGCCATCCGGCTAAGCCTTGCGAGCGAAGAGGAGAGGCGCAAGAAGGAGGAGAAGGAGATTAGGAAAGAGTCAAAGAAACGAGAAAAGGAAGCCAAGAAGGTTGAAAAGGCGGCGCGCAAGGCTGGTCTCTATAGTAACAATCCGAGCAGCTCCGCTTTGGCCTCACCTTCGGATGGTAGGCTAGGAAAGGTTCCTAGCAGCTCTTCTTCGGTCGTTACGGAAGACACAGCACCTACGGGCAAAGGAAAGGAAGTTGAGCGGACGTCTCCCTCCGCCGAAGACGCCGACCATCCCGATTCTGCCGCCGTCGACACGACACCCAGTCCTTTGGTGGCGGAGCAACATCCGCAACCGTCATCTTCTCTGTCTCCGTCGAAACCCTCTCATCTGCGTCAGGTTTCCAGCGCCTCGTCGTCATTCTCGTCGCTTGTTGAATCGATGACGGAAGACCACGCGGGGCCAAATGGCGAGGGAACCAGCTCCTCCACGGAGCCATTGTTTAACTTTCGCAGTTTAGCCGCTGTCATTGGCGACGATGAGAAAGGCGAGGAACCAGCAGAGCATATTGAAGACACCACCTCGCAGGTAACACCCAAGGGGCCTATATCGGCATCGGCGCCTCCCAGCAGCGAGCCTCCCGCGTCCGGCTCCGGGGTCGTTGTTGAGAAAGAACTCCAGGTTGAAGAGAATCAGGAGTGCTATATGCCTAAGAAACTCGAAGCGCGTTCCGTGGAGATTACTGAAACACGAAACCCAGAGGCAACCTCGTGAAGCTTCGAATTGTGACACTCTACAGCGCAACTGGTCGTTCTTTGAGTTACAAGCGTTTAACAGCCATCTCTCTCTCTCTTTTTTTTTTTTTTCAGTCATTCTGATGGATGCGTTTTCTTTGTTTTCTTTTCTTTTCTTTTCTTTTCTTTTCTTTTCTTTTCTTTTTATTGGCATGAACGGTTCGGATGTTTTCTTTCGTTATATACATACAGTGGCATAGATTTCTTTATCTCCATTAGTTTCCTATGTTTTCACGTGTACGAGCAGGAATGGACCACCTCGCGTGGGGGTGATGACAGTACGAAGCGAAAGGCTGGATTTTTTTTGAATCCTTTTGGAATAGAATTTGGAAATACACACCCGATGCATTTGACGATATTATGTCTAGAGGTGTCCGTAGTGCATGCAGAGGCATTGTGGAACCGGATTATTCTTCCTCTTCACACTGTATGTATTTCCATTAACCGACTGGGGATTTGCCAGGTACCCGTGTAAGAAGAATCTTATGAGGATCGGCGGAGTACATCCATCATCCATCATCCATCATCCATCATCTTGCATCTGGATTTTGTTTTTCTTTCTTTTCCTCTCTGTGTCTCTCATTAATCTATCTCATTAATCTCATCGCTTGAATCGCCCTGTACTAGTCCTCTAGTCGCCACTAGTAGTCCCATCCACTGACTAGTGTCTCTCCAATCGCACCGACTTTCTCACGGTCCCATGGATAGAGGCGCAATCCATCCACATTCAAGGTGACCGGGTCCAATCTGCATTCGACAGCGAAGACATCCGTCATCTGAACCCTGGATTATTGTATTGGATGATAGACTGTCTGTTACTCTGTACCGAGACGGATGAATGGCTGGGAAACAAAACAAGAGCTATCACACAGGTAAACTAACGATCTAGATCAGAGGAATGTCAGATCAGACATGCACAGAGAAATGTGATTCATGATGCATCCCGAGTTAGTTACCAGTTAACTAATTAGTATACTAAGTTATACATATTATAATTAGCCTGATTCCGGTGGATCCATCCGTGGTTCAGCCTTTTTTTTCTTCGTTCCTGGTTTATGGAGTTATGTACTAGTACTACTACTAACTTCTCACTCGCTTCCAGTTTTTTTTTTTTCTTTTCTTTTCTGTTTCTGTTTCTGTTTCTCCTATTCTGTCGGGCTCGTTTTCATTCTCATTGATTTTCCTTCGGGGGGGTGCCCTTTTTTTTTTTTTTTTTTTTTTTTTTTTTTTTGGACAAGTTGATATCTTCGATCTCCGTGGGTCAACAACCAACACATACCCTCTGATATCATTCTCTCCATCTATAACAGTTCCCGTCAACTGGTTTAACCCCCCTGGAATTCTCCTCGACAACCTGAACATGGGCGTGCTGGACAAGGACCGTCCTCGCGGCTTACGAGTGCCTTCACTCGCCGCCCTCAAAGCCTTCAATAAAAAGGCCCCCGAATCTCCAACGCCCAAGGAACTCCCGGCTATTCAGTTGCCTGCACCGTCCCAACTCTCTTCCGACTCGATCCCCGTTCGTCCCCCGAGGCCTCTGGAAAAGGAACTCCCTCCTAGTCCGTTGCCGTCGTCTCTGCCGCAGTCTGCACCGCCCAATCGTCCACAGCCACCACTGCCTGCGCCTGCATCCAACTCAACCCCTCCTCCAGGTGTCGTAAATCCAGTTCAGAGGAAGCCGCAGCCGCAGCCGCAGCAACAACAACAACAACAACAGTACCAACAGCAACTGTACCAGCAGCAACAGCAACAACAACTGTACCAGCAACAACAGCAGCCCATTCGCAATGAGTACCCCCCGCGCCTTGCATCTGCCTCCAGACCGGCTCCCCAGCATGCCCCTCAGTCTCCTGTTTCGCCCACCTCGCCTCTCCGGCATCAGTTTCCACAGCCGGCGCAACCCCTTCAACGCCCCATTCCTAGGCCTGCGCCCCCTCCAGTAGTCAGTCCAGTCGCCGTGCAACAGAGAACCCCTCCATCCAGTGAAGGCGATCCCGAGCAGCGACATTCGAATGGCTCTTCAGACGACTCCCTCGAAGGCTTCATTCCCGATCCCGAGCCGGAGCCCGAACACGACGGCGCCAGCAGTAACCCCAATGAACCCGGGTCCAGCGAGGATGACGACAGACCGTGGACACCCCCCGAGGTGGAACCCGTGGTCGTCCCATTGTCCAAGCTGCATTATTCCTGTTATCAAGATCATCGGGCCATGCCCACCTCCAACAATGTGTGGTATGCGCTACCGTGTATGACCTGTCAGAAGTTTGACCGCGAGATCCGACATCGATGCGTTTTCTGCTGTCTGCGTGTCTGTGCAGATTGCTTCCAAGCGCTGCAGAAGTGTCCGCGCCGTTCGTTGGCCCAGCTGATGGAGACCCTCTCGGTTGATGAAGCAGTGATCAGTGACGAGTGAGATGTGATTTCATTTTTTTTTTTTTTTCTTCTTCTTCTTCTTTCCCCCTGCGTGCATTATTCCCCTCTTAAGATAACGGAAAACATCGGATGTGGTATATCTCTATATATATTTTCGGCTTGTCAACCATTTATCACTCAACCCTTTTTCTTCTTCTTCTTCTTCTTCTTTTCTTTTTGGTTATGGGGGTAAGTACCTCCTTTGATTGTTATCAACTTGATGCCCGCGCAGTCATCTTTCTAGATTGACGGTGGACCCATAATTTCTGATGTTGAGTGTAGTAGATAGTATGACCATAATATAATATACCCCAGATCTTCTGAACGATCACCATGATTTGGCTCGAACTTGTCATGGCCAATTAATTGACTGATTATAACCCTGATGTTATTTCCCGTCCTCGAAGCCAAACTCCGAATGGCAATGCAAGATGAATGTACATAGATACGATAACCCTCATTTGTAGTCAAAGTCAAGGACCATCAATCGTGGTCTTCCTCCGTCTCTCCAGGACATCCTTCCATCGCCGCTGATTCATATCGATACTTGCACCAGAAACAATACTGGTGTTTCTCCCGGAGGTACTGCACCAACTGTTTCAACCGCTCCGTCGGCTCAAGAGCATTGAACTCGTCCAGCTCCGGGTCTTCGTCTTCTTCCAATTCTTGCTCGAGAATACTCGAGAGTTCGCGTCCGCCGCCAAGCGCTTCCCGGTCTTCTTGCTCTAGTGTCGCGTCGTCGTATCCCGGTAAGCGCGGACTAGGGAAGAATGACGATGGAAGGGAGGTTTGTAGCATATGTCGTGTTTGGAGATTGCGTTCTTTTTCTTCCCGTTCGCGCACCAGGCCGCGGTAGAGAACAGGTATTTGTAATGTTGGCCTTACTTTCACTTTCCCTTTTGTTTTGCGCGGCTCGTTTTCTTCTTCTTCTTCTTCTTCTTCTTCATTCGTCGTCTTCTTCTTCTCACGAAAAGTGGAGGGTTCATCAGACCTCCCTTCCGCTTCAGCATCTAATCTCTCCGCCACCCTCTGTGCCCCGTGTATCTGCGCCTCTGTTCGCCGGGTCTCTCGCTCCATCCTCACGCGATCCCGATAATCCCCTTCGTCCTGCTTAACCTTCTTGACCGCATCCTCGACTTCCTCTTTGAATCTGCGCTTCCGCTCGCTCTCTAACCCGATACCGCCTCGATCTTCCTTAAACACGAGATTCAGGGGTTCGGTGCGTGGTGGCCGCCCATTCTCTCCACTTTCATTCCCACTTCCGACTTCCCCTTCTTGTTGACGGTTGTCGTCAGAAGCCCCAGTTATAGAACTCTCTTTCGCCGTCGACGAACACGCCAATGGAGTCGGAGGTGTGACCGGCTTTCCGAGACTCTGGCCTGGTTTAAACCCGAGCTTAGCCATCATCTGAAACCCCTTGTTCGAGGGGTCCAGGGTGCTGGTAGCGAGAGCGACATCGCGACGGGCGGCTTCTTGGGCGGCGCGTTCAGCTTTCGAGGGGACTTTGGCGCGAGCTTCGGCCTGGATTAGTATATGAAAGGTGAGATTAGGTAGGTGTTATTGGTGTATTTTCGCGATGTGTTTTGTAAAAAAAAGAAGAAGAAGAAGAAGAAGAAGAAGAAGAAGAAGAGCTCACCTCTCGTTGTAGTCGACGTTTCTTCTGCGTGAATGTTTCCTTCTGTTGCGGCTCTTCGATTACCATGGACATGTAGTCATCATCATCATCATCATCATCATCGTCACCGTCATGTTTTATCCCCTCTATGGGATTTTTTGGTGCGGGGTCGCGGGGATAAGGAGCCATTCTCATTCTACCTGGACCTTGGTTGGTAGGAGGTTGATGAAAGATTTGGTCGGGAATCAAAAGTAGATGCCGCTTTGATCATCCCGAAGAAACCCCGTACATTGATTGCAATCTAGAAAGAAGAAAGAAAGAAAGAAAAACGGAGACGGAGGAGAGAATCCACCAGTATCGTTGCAGTATGTACGTAGTTAGTTGAGGATTCTGGAGAGCCGTTTTTCCTTTTCCGGAGTCTTAAGAACCATACTCGAAATGTTACTTCTGTTCATCTTGCACTTTCTTGTACGGAGTATACTTACTCTTACTATACCTATTATATCAATCATCCTTGCTTAGGTCCTGCGCCGGGGAATTCCGTCCCGTTTCTCTCATTTCCCCTATGTATTCCTCCCACGATGCGACAGGGGATGATAATGCAATGCATCATACCACTACACATTACTCTACGAGTCTACATAGAGATAATGCCAGGCCAGGAGAAATCTGCAGAGCAATATCGAGACTCACCTACCTTAATTATTGCTGATCAGAGCGATGTGGCTTCGATAGCGTCTAGTTGATCCTGACGAATATGGGCGCTCTCCATTCGATTTGGACCTCTACCGGACCTCTACTATATGGAATCGAATATCCGGCTGATCCTTGTTAATTTCGCTGTCTTTCTTTATTTGAATTTAACCTAGTCCCTCCCTTAATAGGTACAGATACATACCGACATGTGGGGAGAGCCTGCATCTGGCCCCTTCTCCTCTTTTTTGTTCGGAATGTCGCATCAAAAACAAGGGCCGGTTTTTTGTTCCCCCCCCCCCCTCTCGCGAGGCCATGTCTGGATCTTAGAGCCCTGCTCTTCCGGTGCTGTGAGTTTGGGCTGTACTTAAGTGTTGGGGGGGGGGGGCACCGTTCCCTGACTGCCCGGAAGGGGGGCTGTTCTGTTTACTCACACCTACTTCTCTCTGGTGCTTGTTCTATTCTATTCTTATTGCATGATCAGAATGGTCAGAAGGATGCTTGAGCGGTTAACCCTGCTCATTGCCCTTTTTGCCGTAGCGTCCGCAAGGCAAGTCGTGGTAGACCTAGGATACGCCCGATATAGCGGACAGGCTCTATCGAATGGTGTTGCACAATGGCTAGGTGTGCGTTACGCGGAACCTCCGCTGGGGCCGTTGCGGTTTGCTGCACCGCAGGATCCGGAGGATATCGAAGGAATTCAAGATGCATCTGAGGTAGGGTTTGATATGATAACAGATCAGCGTTGAAGATCGAAGTTAGTTGCGGAGTAGAAGGGTCAAGGGCTAACATGATATAGCATGGCCCTCTATGTATTCCAACCGGGGAATACCCGATTCCAAGCAATACGTCTGAAGATTGTCTCTATCTTGATGTCTATGCCCCCGCTGGATTCAGAGGCTCTTCGTCGAAGCTACTCCCTGTCTTTGTTTTCATCCAGGGGGGTGGTTTCAATAGCAACGGCAATGCTTATTACAACGGGACAGGCCTGATCCAAGCCGCCAATATGGGTATTGTCGTCGTCAACTTCAACTACCGTGTTGGACCGTACGGATTCCTCTCCGGCGCGGAGGTCTCTAAAGACGGTAGCCTGAATAACGGTCTAAAGGACCAGATCCAGGTTCTCAAATGGGTCCAGGAATACATCAGCAATGTAAAACTCCCCTCAAACCTCCCTCCAGGGGGTTTCAGATCCCAGCTAATATACTACCAAGTTCGGCGGAGACCCCAATCACGTCGTCATAGGAGGCGCCAGCGCAGGCGCAGCATCTGTCACTCTTTTACTGTCTGCATACGGCGGCCGTGACGACGGCCTCTTCCACGCTGCCGCCGCCGAATCGCAAAGTTTCGCAACCATGTTGACCGTCGAGGAGAGTCAATTCGCGTACAACAACCTCGTCATCCGCACCGGCTGCACCAGCTCCCCAGATACCCTCGCGTGTCTGCGCAGTCTCGACATCAACACCCTGCAGCAATCCAACATTGCCACGTCCCTCCCCGGGGCCCAACAAGCACCACTGTACTTCTACGCCCCCGTCCTCGACGAAGACCTAGTCCCAGATTACACCTACCGCCTCTTCGAAGACGGCCGGTTCCTCAAAAACCTCCCCGTGATCTTCGGCGACGTTACAAACGAAGGAACGCGTTTCGTTCCAGCGAACATCTCCTCCCCCGCACAAGCAGACACATTCCTCCAAGCCCAGTTCCCCGCCCTGCAACTGTCCCACCTCGCCCATATTAACGCCCTTTACCTCCAACCAAACCAAACAGTCTCCTTCCCGGACTCCGCGCCCTACTGGCGCCCGACAAGCAACGCCTACGGCGACATGCGCTACACCTGTCCCGGAATCGCCATGTCCTCTATCTACGCTGCCGCCTCAAGCTCCGCATCGAAATCCTGGAACTACCACTACGCCGTGCAGGATCCCATGGACGAAGCCTCCGGCGTAGGCGTGTACCATGTCGCCGAAACAGCCGCAATCTGGGGGCCCCAGTACGTTTCGAATTCCGTGCCGTCGTCGTATTTCACCACGAACGCTGCCATCGTCCCGGTTGTGCAGGCTTACTGGACGAGCTTTATTCGCAGCTTTGATCCCAATACCTACCGATCCCCGGGATCTCCGGTGTGGGAGAGCTGGAATGGTGATTCTTCGGGCGCCACCGCCGCCACCACCAGCGCTGCGAGCGAGAGTGGGGGAACTGGAAAGAGAATCTTCCTTCGCACGGGGGAAACCAGGATGGAGAGTGTTCCTGTTGAGCAGAGGGAGAGATGTGATTATTTGATTGGGATTGGGGTGGATATCAAGCAGTGATTTTACTTTCTTTCCCCTGCATATATATAAATTGGATGCTAGGGAGGGAAGGAAGGAGGACTTGATGTATAGATCTATCATATATATATACTTGGTATATTTAGGGTCAAGGTACCGGTACATACTCCTACTACTACTACTACTACACAAGTCAATGTCGAAATGAAAATAAAATAAATGGGCAACTTTTAATTCGGTCTTCGTCGTTAAGTATATACACAAGTAAAACGACATACTTCCATCCAGCCCGATAAAGAAATAATAATAATAATAATAATACCCTGCCAATACCAGCCCCAAATCCAGGTTTTGCTTGCCCCAAAACCCAAGGCACACACAAGAGATATAGAAGAAGAAGAGGAGGAGGAGGAGGAGAAGGAGAGAAAAAAAAAAAAAAAAAAAAAGGAAAGAAAAAACTATCGCTTTCCCTGCCGCAACCGTTTCTCTCTCTCGTAAGCATTCGCCTCGCGACCCTCCTCGTTCTGCACCTCCGCCACAAGTCGCTTGTACTTGCGCTCGTACTCTGCGTCGCGCTCCTTCTTCTCGCGCAGCTGCTCGCGCGCCATGAAGTTGGCGTCCTTGCGGAGCTCGCGCATCGCGCCCTTGTGCTCCCGCTTGTACTCGGCCTTGAGACGGTTGAGCTCTGCGCGGTCGCGGTTGGGGTCGTAGTGTTTGTCTGGGTTGAAGGTGTCCTCGAACTTGGGGATGGCCGCTTTGATCGCCAGCGGGCGGTGGTGGTGTAGGAGGAGTGGTCGACGGGACCGACGGGCCTGGCAAAGGTGCGAGTCGAGTTTGTCGAGGGCGATTTGGATGGTATCGCGCGCCTTTGGGGGGACTTTGGTGCCGCAGGAGCGCATGACCTGCTGGAGGGCTTTCTGGGCGGGTTCGAAGACTTCCGTGAAGGCGGATTTGCTGGCCCACACGTCCGAGGCGCTGGCTACGAGGGAGGCGAGTGTGCTGATGAGGGAGAGTTTGAGTTCCTCGTGAGCTGTGTGCTGGTTGGATGTTTCGGGGGAGATGTCCCAGAATCGGAGTTGGCGGTGGGGGATTGATTTCGAGGGCTTGAGTCGGAGAGGCTCCGTGGGCAGGCGGAGAGGGAAGTATCCTACGTCCTTGCGGGGTTCTTCTGGGCTGAGGATGTACAGGGCGTTGAGGACGTAGTTGATGAATTCGGGCAGGTACCGTTTCGAGGCTGTCTGATACTGGAGACACAGGCTGGCCGCATACGTCCCCGTTGTGAGGTCCATGAGACTGTTCACAGGGCCCTGTCCGAGATACCGTGCAAGACACAGGTGTGCTGGTGTTGCGATGGCATGGAAATGATCAGATGTCGGGAAAATAGCTGCAACTCCCGTTAGGATGATGAGATCTCTGGGACGGAGGTTGAGTGGGCGTTCGGTAGCGATTTCGCGTAGCTGAGCCCGGAACTCCAATGATACACTTTCAGCATGGCTCTTGGCTAAGGAGTGAATGTGGCGGAGGGTGTTCTCCACAATCGCAAACGGCGGATGCTCGGGCTGTTCAACCATGTAGGCGACATGCTGAATGAGGATCCTAGCAAAGCGACCAAGCTTTGCCTTGTTATCGCTGTGGAGACGAGGATGATGCAGAGCTCGAATTCGCTGGATGACTGTAGGGAGATCTCCTATGGGAACATCCTTAATCACTTCGAGGAATTCATCATGGCTTCCGGGACAGGGATATGTGTATGCCAACCCTTGAGCGTCCTTTGCACCGTTGGGCGCATTGGATCCATCACCAGAGTTGTCTCCTGGGATAGCTAGGTCGTTGATGAGCTCATCCTCCTCCTCATCCTCCTCTTCAGACTCTTTGGCGGACTCGTCTTCCTCTTCACTCTCGTCGAAAGAAAGGCTCACATCTGATCTGGTCTCAACGAGATCGTCCTCGATGATGAAGTCGTCCTCATCCTCAACACCATCGGGCCGGGATGTGGTGTGACTCGTAGAGTGTTCAAACCCAAATTCCTTTGCATCATCTGGGAGTGATTCTTCGTCCCAGGGGTCGGCTTCGTCCTCTTCTTCAGCTGCCTCTGGTTCTTCCTCACTCAAATCCTCACCACGCATTCTGCGAATTCGCGCCTCTTCAAGAGCCTTAAGCCGTTTCACTTCCTCCTCTGCCTTTTCTTCTTCCGTCTTAGTACGATCCGTGGGCGCGGAACGCTTGTCGAAGGTCAGTTGCTTTAAACGTTGGTCGTATTCCTTCTCAGTGTCGACTTCCGATTTTCCTTCCAAGAGAGCAGCGCGCTCAGGGTTCATTGAAGCTAGGTCATCCTTTGCCGGTTCAGGGTTTGGAGGTGGTTTTATGGTTCTGAGCATATCAAACAGATCAGGAAGTCCTTTGTCTAGCTCCTCGCGGAGATCATCATCATCCTCCTTGGCCTTCTGACGCTCGAGTTTGTGGAACTTCGATTTTGCAATGAGTTCCTTCATAACTTCGTTCTTTGATTTCTTGCGTTCCGGCAGTTCTTCATCATCTTCCGAGTCGACATCTTCCATCTCGCCATCATCGTTGATTATTCGCTTCCTTTTCCGAGGCATCTCGGAGTCGGACATATCCTCCGCAGCGTCCAGCTCGCCTTCTTGGAAATCATCGCCTCCAAATGATAAAGATTCACCCATATGAGTAAGCTGGAACTCTTCATCATCCTCCTCTTCTAAGTTGAACATTGACTCCTTTCGCAGCTTCTTTTGACTGGCCCTGGCAAATCGTTCCGCAGCTCTCTCCTCCGGTGTCATGGTTGGATCATCCTCACCAAATCGGCGATCGAGAATACCACCGACTTTGTTCTTCCGATCCATCTCGTGCAACAAAGTTTGGCGTCTCTGTAACGCAAAAAACGTCAGTTATCTGGCCTGCAAGAAGTGAAAATCGCAAAACGAACGCACCTTCTGTTCACCAAGCGATCTGGTGACCCCAGGTCTGCCAACATTTGAGTTAGAGCCCCCATCTCGAGTGGTTACATCGAATTTGGGCCGAGACGTTGTCCTAATTTCGAATGGATTGAATCGATCTCGAATAGCCTTCAGAGCGGCATCGCGCTGGGCTCGATTCTGCCCATTGGCACCAGTCTTCGCATTTTGGCGCTTTTGTTTCTTGGACTTCTGGGGACCAAGCACCCCGCTATCGCGAAGAGAAGCCTTGAGCTGCTTCAGCTGCGATGGGGGCATTTTTGCGTGGTTGACTTCGAGGTGAAGATAGCTTTTTGGCTTTAAATCTCCACCGAAATTTTTGGCTGCGGGAAAAAAAAAAATTCGACCCACCGCCTTGGTATTCTGCCGATACATCCACGCCGCTTTTGAGCTCCGCTTCCTTTTGACGACATTCATGTTTTGATAGTAGGCTAGAACGATGGCGTCTCATATGAGTGATAGGTTACTATGGCTGTGTCTAGGTACGTCGATAAGATTACGATAACGGCCATGACTGGACAGATGTTGACTTAACTAGGTGCCTCGCTATTATTCGCTGTGCGCGGGATTACTACCGACCTTCGCCGCGTGAACGAGTTGACGGAGATTAAAAATGTTGAGAAGGACGATAAGATGATCAGTGAGGGCACAGAAGATGGTTCGCGCCCATTCCTTGCAGATATTTGTGGCCAGAATCTAATCATGCCCAGCCCTGAAACTAGATACATTGTTGAAACTCTCCAACAGCACAAGCTACGATCTTCGTTCTGCGTACGGATCCCAACTAAGCTATCGACTGGTGCGACGAGAAGCTGACATTTGAAAGTGCGTTGCGCATAATCGCCGAGAGATCTACAAAAGGCGACACCCGGGATTTTCTTCTGAGTGATCTAGCCAGCAAGAATCCAGAGCGACGTGGCAAGGCGCTCACCGCAATGTACTTTTTAGTATCCAACCGGGCTCGTACGTCATCTGCATAACCACAGTGCTGTAACCCTTTGGACGAATTCACTGATTCAGAGCAGTATCTCGGACTTCCGTGTGCTCCCGATTGAAAGATCTCTCCACATACATTGCCCTTGTCGACTGTCTTTGCAATTTTCTAGATGAACATGTTGAAGAGACCTCCGACACAATCTCGCCGATCTTCCCAAAAACGCGACCGTTTGGGGAGAAGAAAGCTTTAAGTACACTAAACATACTTCTTCCGGAAAATATTACCGCTGCGCTAGAGGCTGGGGTTGTGAGTCGATGGCTCTCTAACTATCCGTTTCCATGCGCCTTGACCGAGCCCTCTCGACGACGGGATGTCGTGATCCTCATGAAGACATGGTGGTCCGATGATGCAGTAATGAGTTCCATTTTTGCCACACTCTCGTCACACCCGGACGGCGCGAAACAGCTTCGAAAACACGGTTTGATGGGTAGTATGATAGAAGAGAATGACCATGACGATGTTAGTGATGACAACGATGATGAGGAGGAGGAAAGCGACGTGTGGATGGTTGATGGAGATGATACTGCTGGCTCGAGACGGATTCCTGGCCGACGACGTCGAGATCGCAACCCGGAGGAACAGGCCGTTAGGAGACGCAGGAGGGAAGCAATGGTACTGAGTGACGGAAGACGTCCACTTGGGAACGACGACATCATACAGTTTCCTATTTCCGACTGATGGGCTTTTTTTTTTGGGAATTTACCCAAAGACTGGCAGTTATCGTTGTGTTGACTACATCTTTGAGCGTTTATGATACCCTCTCGCTGTTTATGTTCATCATGTCAATCTTTGTTTCCAATGTATTAATGTACGTTACATGTGGTTTCACAGTCCCATCCACGCTGATTTTGCTGCGTGATCCACCTTTTTCCGGCTGGTTTTGAGCATCCCAAGTGCTCTGAGCTCAGACACCGCTCTATAGAATAATGTCATGGTCATTCGTTCATCACAACTGTCACCTTGTTCACTTTCAAATACAGCACGGAAAGCTTGCCAGAGGTCGTGGACATTCACAAGCGCACTTGACTCAAGGTAGAGTTGATACAAGATCGCTGTCGCGGGCTGCGCTGTGGAAATTTTACCTTCCGCCGCCTGCGATGTTGACATCAAATAGTCAAATGGGTTTGATAAAGCCCGCTCAATCGCAAATCGGGGGCGCGGGGAGAAAATTTCCTTGAGAGGATTCCTCATATCAAGAAGGAAAACTTCATGCATAGGGAGCTCCTGCGGCGTCAGCAAGGTTTCGCTGAAGTAAGACTTTAATAGAGCGTGCAAACGGTCCATAACTTTTGTGTATTTGATACACTCTTCGGGCAGTTTTGCCTTTCCCTTGTTGAGTTTGACTCGTTGCTGTACAATAGTTGTGCCCATAACAGAGTTTTGACTATCATATTCACTGCGCAGGGGCTCTGGACCCTTATGAGCCTGAGTAAGAGCTGTCAAGTCTGTTTGAAGTTTCTGGAATTCCGGGCGTTTCAAAACCGATTCAGGAATTTGCGTAAGCAAATCTCCAACCTTGGTAGAATCGAGCGGTTTGAATGCCGTGAGAATATCATCGACCATGGGCGAATCTTGCAATTCTCCTGACAAGGCGCGGATACATAATTCAGACACATTCGTCCTTTTCGTCACATTGAGCTCATCGAAGAGCACATGTAGAAATTTCACGGCTTGAAACATGTCGCACATCGATTGCTGTCCAGATCTGAGAATCTGAAGTGTATGCTGAAATAGGAATGAATCATCCTCTAGTAAGCTTCGCACCAGCTTAGTAGAGCCTTCTTCCATTAAAATTTCGCAGTGTCTACGCCACGTTAGATATGTCGGGGGTATTGATGGGGAGGAAGAAAGCAACCCACTCTTGGAATGATGGTAGATTTCGGATTGCCTCACAGAGGTTGCTTTGCTGCTGTAGCTCTGAAGGGAAGTCGTTTGCAAGAAGAACAGAGAGGGGGTTGGCGAAAAAATGAGACATATAAGCATACTAGTCATTTGGTTAATTTCAATGGATGTAGCACAAAAGTTCAACAATTACCTTCACTGTTCGAGCAAAAGACTCTGGGGTCTGGAAATAATCGTTCGATTTCTCAAACAAAATGCCGGTAATATTCCGACCCAACCAGAATTTCCCATCTTCTGCCTGTATCCTCTCGTATATGCGATCGACGCAATTACTTGCTTCATGGATTTCAAAATATCTCCCTTTGAGCAGCGCAACACTTGATCTTGGTAGTCTCCCTTCAAAAAGCTCGACAGATGTCGAAATTCCAAACAATAGAGTGAAGGGTATTCGATCTATCCAAGAGCTACACAATGAGCAACTGTCCGGCAATACTTGCGGCAAGTAACTCACCTGAGCAGGAAGAAGAGATCTGTTAGAATTCCGGGATCAAAGGCTTCGCTATCTCGAAAAGCGAGAACAAGATTTTTGATATCTTTCTTCGTAACATAGTCTCCCAACAGGTCCAGATCGTATCCGAGAAGTCTTGGGCCCTAGGTTGTCTTAGTATTAAGGCGTAATCTGGAGTTGAGTTCCTCAGCTCACCTCCCGATCATTCAGGAAACTTTGATAGCCGTCATTTCCCTCTGTATTTATGATAGCAGCGCGAATGATATTCTTTAACGTTGTCTTGAGGTTAGGGGCGTCGCCGGATTCTAACACGATTACAACCCCCTCTCCCGCCAATTTCAATTGGTCATTGAGCCTGGCCAACAGTCTGGCTAGGGAGGACACATTGGATCCCACAGTAATAAGGGCCGCAGGTATGCAACCGCCGAATCTATACTGCGTTAGATTTGTGCATTCGAGCTTGCGTCGTGTAGTTCGGCTTACGTCTCAGAGGAGGTTGACTTGACGAAGGATGAAACATTCTCTAGAACCCCGGCATCAACATCATCTAGGACTTCCTAGAGGCGTATCAGAATCCATAAAACCACTGTAGGACAAGGGAATATCCCGTGCGAACCTTGATCTTTGCCTCCTGAGCAGACCACAATTGCTGATATGTTTGGTACCTCAGCTGGACGGATTTTTCGACTTCATCGCCGTTCAAAAGTGGTACGAAAGGACATAGATCCTTTGATGGCCCCCTAACCTCCTGAACTACCTTTCGCCGTTTCGAAGGCCGTTCGCCGTGGGATTTTCCCAGGTCTGCTGGTCGGTAAATATAGACGCCCTTGATTTTGTTAGCAACTTCTGGGGTATTCCAATCGAGTGCCGGGCATACATGGTTGTTGGAGAGATTCTCCGATGACACGCCAATCTCTGTATCTACTTGATCGGCGACCATTTTCCCTCCACCGTGCCAACCGTGCAAGCGTAGGAAATTCGATAATTGAAGGACTGCGGAGAGCTGGAAACCGTTCTTGGGGATGTTTGTTGCATGCCTGAAATCCGCGGCAGAGCTCCGCCGGGACTAGACTAGATCGGGAATTATCTTGAGCATCAATTCCATCCATCCATAATCCATCTTTTTTCCACCGACGCCTCCGTCTCACCTTCCGCCCCGCCCTCCATCGTCTTTGGAATCGCTTTCGGTGCTATTTACAGTCGCTATTATATGTGTCCAATGCGATAATTACTCTCACTTCATGCTCCGCCCGGTGGTTCAAGGAGCTCGGTGGTATCAGCATGTGGCCCGCTCCAGCAAGACGATTTCGCCTCTTCCCCTCGCACGGGCATTCTCCGTCGTAGCGCCACGCTCGATTAACTATGGTGGACCGAATGACAAAATCAAATTTTACGAGCAGGATACTACGGGAAGCAAGAAAAGGCGGAGGGTTGATCCTGAAGCCGATGATCGCACCGACCAGGAGGATGTTGAGCGCGAGCTTTCGAAGCTAGATCAGGAATTACAGCTTTTGAAGGAGGGACCCTATGGACCCAACAGTCCTTTCATAAGAAGTCTGCCGGAGAAGGAAAGGGCGATTGCACTGGAAGCTCTCCGGAAACATGAAGCCGAACATGGCAAAGATGAGCCTACAGTTGAACTAGATGAGATTTTTGATGAGGAGCTGGATGACATGCTCAAGGAGGAATTTGAAGGCCTTGCAATGGAAGAAGAAGGTTGGCAGACTGGAAAGAATGATCAAGGCCCACTCGAGCACGCCGTACGAGAGCCTTATGAGGTCACACTCGGGGATTCAGAGCCCAATCCTTACGTCGACAAATTTAACATTTGCCTAAAGCGATTTGCGAATGATAACTCCAACGAGCCGGCAAGGAATGACTTGTGGAAATGGTATCGCCGCTGCAAGCAAAGCATCCCCCAATTTCTAACCTCGATTCCTGATGAGGCTATGGATCTCCTCTGGGCCTCCCAGGAGAAAGGGGTCTCGACAGCAACAGGCGCAGCTCATGTACAAATCCTTGCGGAGGATGCTATATCCACTGGTCAGCCGCTTTCAACGTCGAAAATTCTCTCCTTTATCCAATCCTTGCAGCGATCGGGTAAGACCAAGGAAGCGCTAGATCAATGGGAGACGCATCAGGCAGGACTCTCCCAGCGGAAAGAAGACTTAGAAGAGTACTGGAGACTCGGGGTACAGATTTTTGCTGCGGAAGATGATCCCCAGCGAGCTCAAGATATTGCACTGGCGTTTTTGGCAAATGATAAATCCCGACAGCCCCGGATACTTATTCCCGTTATCACTGCCTGGGGTAGACAGCCCGGGAAAGAGGCAGAAGTGAAGGCATGGGCCCTCTACTTACAGCTGAAATCTTTACATGAAAATGAGATGACCATGGACGATTACGACCAAGTCAGTATTGGCCTTCTCAAGGCAGGAAAACTTAACCTCGCTATTGCTGTGTTTAAAGACATGATGATAACCGGTCAAGATCCGGCCAACGACTCAACGGCTCTTTACAAGGCTGCTGTCGGGCTGGTCGGGAACCTGCAGGCATCTAGCGTATCCGAACAGGAAGTTAACAAGGTCTCGCTTTCGACTCTGACGGTTCTCCCTCGACGATTTCAGAATAGGTTCTTCTATGCCAGCTGGATGAAAAAGCTTATCGGAATGGGTGAAATTGATTCCGCTGCCATGGTCATTGAGCTGATGTACGAGCGAGGTGTGAACCCAGACCCGAAACATCTCAATGGTTTAATCGCTGGTTGGCTTCGAGTAGGGAGCACATCTTCCCGAGAAAAGGCTGAACGTTTGGGATGGGCGATGATCACACAGCGAATTGACCGGGTCGTAATGCAAACTCAGCCACAAGGAATGCCTTCTACATTGCTTGAGAGCCAAGACACAGCTCGTACTCGGATACCCAAATTCATGCAACGACCAATGCCACCTGCAAATATCGAGACCTTTTCAATTCTACTGCTTCACTTTACACGTAGAAGCGAAGAAGACAAAATTGAACACCTGGTCAAGAGCCTCGAAGGTGCGCGCATACAACCAAACTCCTACTTCATGAATCACCTCCTTTACGCGGAGCTACGCAAACAGAACATCAACGCCTTATGGTCCAAGTTCAGAGCCATGTCTGTTTCCGTCCAGCCCGACCTGGAGACATTTGCCTGTCTCTGGGATTGCGGAAAACTCCAGTATGACCGTAGCCGCACGGCATTCCTTGCAGACTTCCCCCCTGTTCGTGATCTGTACGCGGAGATGATGCGCTGGTACTCCCAACTTTCATCACGAGGGAAAGCCACCGCCCGGGAGGAGTTTTCGAAGGATCTCTACGACCAAATTATCCGGTGCTTCTGCCTGTCCAAAGATCTACCAGGGACCCTAGTGGCACTCTCGTCGATGAGAACCACCTTTGGATTCTCCCCTGATGAGGCCACCGCCCGCTTAATCATCCTACAGGTCGCGCGTCTCGCCGGAGTTCCCGCAGACACTCCCAAACGCCGTCTTCGCCGTCTTTCATCTACTCCAAAGAGCAAAGAGAACATCTCCCAGATCCAACGCCTAGTCGAACTTCTCAGTGAACAAAAGGCAGCTACCCTCCAAGCCCGTGGTCTCCATCTCGAAAGCCTGGATTCTCAAGAGAAACAGGCCTATCAATTGGAAATCATGACTGATCTCCTACGAATAGTCATGGGCCGGGCATCTACTACCAATGCCAACCAGGTAGAAGATCGACTTCTCTCTGTCGCTGGAGAAATGGGCGTACCCGGAATTGATCTTGGACCTCCTCTAGGCGATGATAACGATGCTAGTCTTCTGGGCTGAGCTCTTTTCTGCACTTCTGTGGACCCTACCCCTACAACCCCATCCCCGGTTAATATATTGAGGTCCATATATTTTGTAAAAAAAAAAAAAAAAAAAACCTACGGGCGTTTTTTGGGAGGGGCGAAGCTTTATTATTATTATGTACATTATATGTATAATATATAGCCATACTTCTTTCTATATACCATTTTTACTCCACACATTAAATCTCAACCCATCCATCCATCCATCCATCCCCCTCTTAGATTCCATCGCAGATCTATGTTACTGATTACCGCGGAAAACAAAATACACAAATAAATATATATAGTTGTAGCTGTAGCTGTCGTCGTCGTAGTCCTGCACCACGCCACAACATAACTAACTAACTAATACAAAATAAATATATGTAATATGTATAATGACCCGAAGCTGGCTCAGCAAGAGATGTTGAATTAGGGTTACATGTATATAACTATATATATATTATCTATATGCTTAGTTCTATACTTAGTATAACTAGTGTAGTGTAGTATAGTGTAGTATAGTATAGTTCTACAAAGTAACTTGCTTGTTACTGTTGATAATAGAGTAATAGAAACCACAGAGCAACCCCACAAAAAATTTATAGATTGTACGACGACTCGAGTCCAGATTCGCCAAAGTGAAACCATAAACTCCAGTGTAGTGCCCTAGCCGTTTAACAGAAGTATAATAAAGGAAGGAAGGAAGGAAGGGAATGATGCAAAACCTCTTTCATAAAACAGGTCGGAATCGAAAAAAAAAACTTAAAGAAGAAGATACAAATTGTCTAAAAGATTCATTTCTTGCCCTTCTTTTTCTTCTTGCCTCCTGTTCCTCGACTAGGACTCTCCGCATTCGCAGCTTGGTCATCGGCCTCTACGAGAACGGCATCGTCATCGCTCTCAGCGGTGACAGACGGGGTCTCGGGCTTCTTTGGTGTAGTCGGTGCAGGAGTAGCTACAGGAGTAGCAGCAGGGGCAGGGACAGAGGTAGGAGCAGCGGTTGTGGTCTTCTGCTGTGCGGATGCACCCTCTGCATCCAACTCTTTCATGAATCCTTCTTGGATACGAGACTTCTTGCGCTCCCACCATTGCTTCTCCTCTTCGAGTTTCGATTGGTGGGCTTCAAGTCGCTGGCGCACCATTGCGTTATTGACCATTTCATTTGCAGATTGGAAGATCGTCTGGCCCCAATTCGGTACGTATGCATTGGCCTTGTTTTGGGGTTGGGTTAGCGCACGGTCTCAAAAAAAAAAACCATGCCCAGAGAATGCATTACTCAAAATAACTCACCTCAGCGACAACATCCCGAACCTCTTCCTCCATTTCCTTCTCGGCGCGGAGAAACCGTTGCCACAGATCGTCGCCAACACTGCCGCGCTGCAGAAGCAAAGATAGAGCTTGTTTCTGGCTTCGCAGGGTCATGAGGCGTTTGATATTCTCCGCGGCGCGTCTTAGTAGAGCAGCCTTGAGGACCGACTCGGGAACTGCGGGGGCTTTTTTCTCCTTCGATGACGACGAAGTGGCTGGGTCGAGGTGCATGAGGGAAAAGTAGATATCTCGTTGGAGGTGCGGAGGGAACCATGGTTCTAGGGAGGAAGCATTTCCTATACGCGCAGCCAGAGTGAATTATCTTGTGTTAGCAGTGGAAATTTGGAGTGCAGGGAGGGGACGCACTAGCTTTGCGTTTGCGGTATAGAGAAGAGAAGGTTGCGAGGGAGCCGATGAGAACGCTCAAGTAGGCGAATGGCACGGCGAGAGTAATCCAGTCTACCATGTTGGCGACAGAGAGAGTATGTGTCTGTGTGAATTGAAGGGGGTTGGTTGAGTTATGAAGTTGAGCTGGTTTAGTTGGTCATAATAGTGGCGGTAGTGCGTTAGACGGTCGAAATGGGGTATCGACGAAATTGAAAGGGAAAAAGAAGACTCCGAGAAAGAAGAGAATAATTATAAAATCGGCCAGAAGAACAGGTGTGTAGGACCTGCCAGAGAGTGGTGGTGCAAAGGAAATCGGAGCTGGAGGATGGAAGATGGGAAGAGGAACAAATAATACGATGATGATCCAAAGGCCAGCCTGGTGTCTTGGCTATCTCAGTCACATGTCCTCCACCACACCACATCCACCTACAAAACATGTCAAAACCTGTCAAAAAGAAACAAGAAAAATCCCGGAAAATCGAGAAAGAAAATGGACTGCATTATCTACAGCTCTAGTAAATCCGTTTCAAGGCTTATTTCTTTGATGATACAATCATAGCTGGCCGCAGAGACAAACAGGAAAAAGGGCAACAAGCTACACTCCCACACAAGGCTAACAAGACACCAAGATGACGACAGATTCAAGGGGGAAAAAAAAAAGGAGGTATACACTAAGGATGATGACGGTGGTAGAGATAGGGTAAGAAAGAAAGAAAGAAAAAAAAAAACATGCAAAACAATGCTCAAGGAGATCCGAATTCCCGCCATCAATCTCATTACACAAATCCATAGCCGCTTTAGAATATTCCCGACCCGCCAAATTGTGTGCTAGGGTACTAAATCATAGGGGAGGGAGGATGAAAAAGGAAATAGAGGGAGAGAAAAGAGGGAAAAGAGAAATCAACAAGGAATTCGACTGGTTAGGGCCAAAGCTAGTACAGCGGGACCAGTTGCTCTTTCGTCCTCTGGCTGATAGGTCCAATCTCTTGCACGGCTTGCATGTCTTCGAGGACTTCGTTGAAGGCATCGCGAATTCCAGCAGCTACTTTGCTGCGGTTCCATTCACTGCGCATTTGCCAAAGATAATCCATCAGCATAGTAGTGATTTGCTCCAGCTGCTCTACAGAGCATCCGCTAGTCCGCTGAGTCATCTGGTCATGCAGATTTTGCACATAGTCCAGATCAATAATCAGCTTAGGGGAGATGTCTTCATTATTGAGGAGGGATTGGAGGCCGGCTGAGCCCATAGTAGGTTGCTTGGAGGAAGCGTCGAAGAGAGGCACGGGAGGTTGTGACCTTAGCTGTGATTGACTAGCATGAGGCCCATCGACATGCGCTGGCAGCGAATCCCGCGCGCGAGGAGATGGCTGGCTGCTATCGCCCTGTTGGGTATCGGGAAGATGCTCCTCCTCCTGTGAGACACGGTCGGGGTACTGGGTAAGATCTGGGTAGTCGTGTCGCATCCTGTGTGCCATGATAGGACTCTGTGTGAGAGGTTGCGGGACGGAAGAATGGTCAGAGGACTTTTTGTCCGAGGTCGTTTGCGTAGTGGAGGCTTCATTAGTGTAGTCTCCAGGTTGAGATCCAGGAGCCAGAGGGGTCATCGGCCCTTTTTGGGAGAAACTGGATAGACCCGACTCCCGTCTCACTTGTTGAGAAGGAGCAGTCAGCGAGTAGGCTGGTTTCGGCTGGGCGGATGGCCCAAAAGAACTGGCTTGTGTGTCCCTTCCAACCGATTGATCAGAGTTTGTCATGTAGACATCTCCATCTCCGTCAGGATGGGACTCGTGGGAGCCGTTACTCGCGTTCAGCTCGTTGAGATCAGACCCGCCACCCCGGTGATATCCATTCGCCATGAAGCTCCCTGTTGTCGACGGCCGAGTGGGTGTCACCGGTCGATCGAGGCCTTCGGGTCCACTGTTGGGGAACGAGGCGCCGAGAACGACGGGCCCAGTAGAAGGATTCGACTCGGTGTTACCATGGGGAACTCTGTTGGCGGCCGCCGGACGACCCATGAAGCCTTCTTCCTCTTCCTCAGCCTTCCTAGCCTTCTCTAAAGCAATCTTTTCCCGCTCTAGCTCGCGGACATACACATTCTCGCATTCAGTGACCAATGCGGGCTCAGCCTGCTCAATCGTAGCAATATCCACTTCGACATTGGAAAGAAGTTCATTCGCCCTGAGCAAACGTTCTTGATCACCTAGCTGGCGGGCGTCCCTGGCGAGTCGCTTGATATCCGCCAGGAAGTCCTTAGGCCGCTTGTAATATCCATTCGAAAGACGTTTTTCAATCGTAACGATCTCCAGGTTATAGAAGAATTTGCCCGATACGGTCTCTCGGAGGCCCATAACACCTTGCTTATCAAACGCTTTTTCAAACGGCCGGAAGGAGGTTCGCTGCTCAATTGGCAGGTCACTGGTGACAATGTTCGGGTTCTCCTCCTCCCACAAATATCTGATCTGAGACTCGTCAATCACACCCGTCCTGAACCGCTTATATTTCTTAATCTGGTCCATGATGGGTTGAATACGAATCTTTAAAAGATTTAAAGTTTGATAATCTTTTTTCTTCTGAGCCTTGAGCTGCTCCTTCGTGAGAGGAGTTGCCTCTTTCGGTGGAGGGGGCGGCGCAATCTCCAACTCCTCCAACTGCCTTTTCTTCCGATTCTCCGGATCAGGGAAGTGGGCGGGAGAGGTTTTGATATACTCGATCACTTTGCTGAAATACTCATGCCGGGACTCGCTGCCAGGCGCTCTAAGGTCGAATATGTTCTTTTTCGAGTACCCGAAGAGATTTCTTACGAGACCAGAATCGAGATATTCAATGCCAGACTCCTGAATTCCGAGCAACAGAACAGGGTCGGTGGGGGGGACGGAGCGTAAAAGTCCTAAGAAGGTAGATATAACGGCGGGGCCGACGGTATCGGACCAGTTCTGTAGGGCTGGAATGTAAATAACGCTTGGTTTGTGTCGTTTGACCTCTGCAAACAGCTGGATGACCGCGGCTTCAGGGGATCGGGTTGAATCGCTTAGGAGAGTGGGGAGATCAAATGATTGTACATGGAGTCCTTCAAAGTGATGCAACAGGGCGCCGGCCAAGTACTGTTGGCCCATGCCCATAGACCCCCGTAACAGTAGCCTAGGTCGGAAGACTCGAGATCTCTCGAATTCCTGCTGCATTTGCTCCCGTTGGAAACCTCCCGATCCTTCCGGTTCTTCGAATTGAGCCTCTTCCAGGGCGGTAAGACGCTTGCGCTGAGGAAGAACTTCAGACAATATGCTCCTCAGATCAGCCAGAGGTTGGCGAAGGAGGGGCTCGATGGGTTTAGGTAAAGGTGAAGCGCCAGAAGAAGTAGACCTCTCCGACGAGGGAACCATTTTCTTAATCGCCAACATAAAGTCCTTCGGGGTGACTTCAATCGTCTGGGGGTCGATGAGTAATTTCTGCTCAGACTTGTAGATCTGAGGATACCTTCGCTGGACTGCGTTCAGGGCAGCTTCGGTGCAAAGAGCGCGGAGATCTGCTCCGCCGTAACCCTTCGTGATCTCTGCAAGCTCATCCTTGATGGGGTCCGGCAGGGGTGGGTCCCAGCCCTTGGTGTGGATATCTAGGATAGCACGACGACCTTCAGTGTTTGGTAGAGGAAAGTAAAACTCGCGATCAAAGCGGCCGGGACGACGGAGCGCCGGGTCAATGGAGTCTGGACGATTGGTCGCACCAATGACAATGACCTGGCCACGACCGTCCATGCCGTCCATCAACGCCAGTAAAGTCGAAACAATGGAGGCATGGATTTGCTCCTGTTTGCTGGATCGCACGGGCGCCAAACCTAGGGACACCGCGTTAATGTTTGGAGCTTAGACAAGAGTCGAGCGAAAGAAGTACTTACCATCGATTTCATCAAAAAAGATGATACTCGGTTGGGTTTTGCGAGCTTCCTCAAACAATAGACGAAGTTGGCGCTCGGCTTCTCCCACCCATTTGCTGAGGGCGTCTGCTCCCTTTCTCATGTAAAAGGTAACCTTACGGCCTTCGGAGCTGACACTATTTGCTAGAGCCCTAGCTAGGAGTGTCTTACCGGTTCCAGGGGGTCCATGGAAAAGCACACCTCTAGGAGGAACAATGTGGAACCGCTGGAAGATCTCCGGGTACAGCAGCGGCAACGAGACCATCTCCTTCAACTGGTCAATGTGACCCTGCAAGCCTCCTACGCTGTCAAAGTTGACACCCATATCGACACCTAGCGGATCCGCATCGGCAAGTGCCTGCTTATCTTTGATCTTTCCAAGGTTTGCCGGTGTTCCGGCAGGACCCTGTGCTGGATCTGCATGTGTTTGAGTGGCAACAAGGGCAGGAGGACCAAGAGCAGGACCCCCAGGCCCTGACCCTTTTGGATGTTGCATAACCTCGTCATCGCTGCTGTCACTGTCGACGCCTCCAGTTGCCGCAGGTGCTCCGGGGCCACCTAGAATGGCAGACGGCCCGCCGCCTCCAAAAGGCCCGTAGGTTGGAAACAGGGTGCGTTGCCAGCTACCACCACCTCCGCCGCGGCCCCGACGGGAGGGGGACTCGTTGACTTCATTCTCAGCTTCCTCGATAGGCAAAATCAAATCAGGGCGAATAATGCGGTAGTCAACGTCTTTGCGGCTCCGTCGCGGTTTCTCGTAAACAATTTCCTGATGCACTCGTCGGCGAGGGCGACCACCGCGAAGATCTTCAAGCTCTTCAGCGAGCTCCTCAGCAATGTCGGCGCCAAGCTCGGACTGTCCACGAGATCGAGATGCCCTCTTCCGGAGTCCAGGGCGTCGGCCAGCTGAACTCTCGTCATCTTCATCATGAGGTTGGCTCGCTTTGCGCGGAGAGGCTTGGGATCCTCTGGACTGCGAAAGGCCATCATCATCATCATCATTGGAGTCCTCTTCCTCGGGTTCAAAATCGCTCTCCCCATCATCTTGGGATTTTCGTTGTGAAGACTTGGGTTTTTTGCGACTAGAACGACGTAGGTGTGAATCACGCTCTTCCTCTGGTTGTTCAGCCTCCTCCTCGGCGTCGGGGTTTCGGTTCGGTCTGCTTCTTCTCCGGGCAATTGGGCCGTCGTCGTCGTCGTCGTCGTCGTCGTCGTCTTCATCATCATCATCACCAGCCTTCGCGTCTCCATTCTCAGATTCCGGGATAAAACCTGGATCGTCGGCTCCCCCTGCAGCAGCTGGAACGCCTTCTTCAAAATCGCCTTGGGCATCGCTCTCCAGAATCTCTAATTGTGAAGCTTTAATTTCAGTCAGTGTTTCTTCAATAACCTCGAGTTCCTCTAGCTTCGGCGCCGCTTCGTCTTCTTCAGCACCGGGAGCACGCTTGGAGGCACGAGATCCACGACGTGCGCGACGGGCCTCAACCTCGGGACTATGCGTGCCTCGCTCCACTGTCTGAACGTGACGACCTGAGTTCGTCAATGCATAGATATCTTCTGATGGATCACGCGTACGTCGAGTCGTTCGTCGTGTGCCCTGTAGGTGATCTGATAGAGGCTGGCGCTTCAGAGCGTCACCTAGTTTCAAAGTGACGACTGTGCTCTTTCGCTTTTTGGGGGGCGAGAGAGGCTCCTCATCTTCATCATCCCCGGGTTCATCTCCAGCGCTACTAGACTCGCCCTCGTTGTAAATGGGTCGATTAGTAGCGGCCCTTCGGGCAACCAGGCCTCTCGCATTTCTCTGGGCATTTGTGTCGTCTTCCTCGTCGGAACCTTGGAAGGAAAGCTCATCAGCATCGCTGAGGAGTTCATCATCGTCTGAGGCCATATCGTCGTCAGAGTCACGGCGTGCTCTCTTCTTGATGTGTTTGGGCTTCTTTCTCGACTTTGGTTTCGAGGCCGAGCGCCGGCTGGAACGCACGGGATGGTCGCTGTAGTCACCATCATCTGAGTCAGATTTGTTGGCGAGCTCTTCGATGGAACGTTTTGTGCGAGCCATGATTCTTCGATTAATACTATAAGATCTTGTTCGGTTAGCCATATGAGCAAAGCGTTCAATCTCAGAGACGGGGCCACAAGGGACACTGATAAGCATATCAAGAGCGAGGGTTGCGAGGCCTGAATGACAGGGATAAAAAGAAAGTCGACCTTGCAGTACAGAAAGAGCCATCCATCAGATTGAACTTGAAACTTAAACGGAACTTACCGAAAAAAAAGAGGTCCTGGTGAATTACTCCAATCCGCAAATCCAAACAAGCACCTCCAACTCAGCAATAAAGCAGCGACCGTACTTTCATCAACACCAACGGTGATCCACTCTCAGCAAAGACCAAACATCAATGGTGAGAAGACGGACTCGACCCGGGATCAGCCAAGCAGGGGAGATCGGGTATATACACGGGTGGACGAGGGACGAACACCGGCAATGCGCCAGGGGGGCGAGAGAGAACGAGCGACGCCAAACAGATCTATCCACGACGGCAAAATCGGCCGAAATGGGGGGAGAATGGTAGAGAGTGGGGTAAGGTATAAGGACGCGTCGCAAGCAATCGAGTCTGGGAAAAGCAACAAAAGAATCAGGGTCAGCGCACCGACAAAATAAACCAGGCGATACGATGGGGGGAAAATCACCTAGGAATCAATCAACAGGCCCAGCGACGACAATTACAAACAGCATGTGGGTACCGTGGAGACGGAGTCGATGAAGATGAAGTTATGGACGACGACAATCTCCGGGCTGGAATTTGCGACTCGCTCTTCTCTTCTCTTGTCTGTCGGTCTTTGTCAATCTCGCATGGGTGAGTCTTTCAGGTGGTGTCAAGCCACAGGGCACGCGCCACAACTAGTGTTGTTTCAGGACTAGCGTCTCCCTCTCCAGCCGCCGGTGCCTGAGAGATCTGGTCTCCACGGCATCTCCTCGGCGGATTGTGAGTTGGCTCTGAAAATGGGGACAACAACAACAACCTCAACAGAGATGCCTTGCTGCGAAAACATCCAACACCCTCATATTCCATGCTTGAATCCTCGGACACACTCGTTCCAGACCATATCATTGAATTGCAGACACGGATCACGGTGTTTCCACCACACCACGCCCGCTCCGCACCAACAAAAAGGGCATGATTAGAGAGGGGGGGGGGAAGAGTTCAAGATCTCACTCACCGACTCTGGAATATTTTTTTTTTTCTCCAGTTTTTTTTTTTTTGGCATCAAAGCTTATCGCTCTTTTGACTTCTCCCCGCTTGTTCTAAAACCCATAACCTTAGCCGCCGCTGCCGCTCGCTTGATATCATGTGATGCACTGCTGAGTCATCCATCCTCAATCCGCATTTTTCCTCGCCCGTCCTTCAACCTACTAGAAGTAGCTATCTATCTATACCTATATACAAGAATTAATTCTCCAATCATCCACCAGGAAAAAGAAAAATAACAATCGAAAAAGAAAAAAAAAAAAAATAACATAATAGAAAAAAAAAAAAGAAAAAAGAAAAATGTTGTCTCGTTCCCTCCGCGTCCGTTCAATTGCCTCCGGGTTATCATCATCATCATCATCATCATCATCATCCAGCCATTCTCGAAATCTCTCCAGCTCTCAACCCCCAAGCACTTTCAAACACGTTGTAAGTTGTCACTGACAATCAATCATCGCTTCCTAGTACCTTACCTTACCCACTCTTCTTCAATTAAACAGTTCGCCCGGTACAAACTCTTCGCTGGCCCCTTTGCAAAGGTCTTCCTCGGTGCCGTCTTCACGTACCAGGTGATTCGCTGGACGTGGCTAAAGCTGGAGATGGACGAGACCAAGGTGCACCGGAATCGTAAGTGCTGCCTATCTACTACTTACCTAGCCAGCCAGCCTGCTTGCCTGCCAGCTAGCTAGGGACCGGGATTTAAAAAAAAAAAAAAAAAACAACACCACCAAAAATGGTTCTAACATGCACTACTAGAAGAAGTGATTGTCTTGGAGAAGGAAGCAAGGGAGTTGACGGGGCTGCAGCAGAAGTAATTTTGTTCATTGATTGTTTCATTCATGGCCCTTGACACATGATTGATTGATTGATTGATTGATTGATTGATTGATTGATTGATTGATTGATTGATTGATTGATTGATTGATTGGGATTCTCTCTATCTGTGTCTATTAGGTACCTAAGTTTAGTATAATTCAAATCCTTGCGAGAAAAAAACTGTTTTCTGGACTATCAATGGTATAAAGTGGTAAAGCTATGTAGATTCAAACTATTTACAGTCAATCATAGAAAATCATAAATGTGTGTTAGGGTCTCACTACACCCCCGCACACCCGATGTCGACAATACAGGCAATTATTACTACTACCTCCGGTGCTCGATAAGCCCCCAAAACGGCCCTGTGCACACTGACACTATGCATCGGTCAGCTAGCTACATATATTTCCCATCGATACGGCCAAGGAGGATTTGTTCAGGGAGAATTTACACACGAAACGGGCTTGCCCGGCTCAGCCGCGACTCCGGTTGACCGTGGATGCGGCTGGGTGGATCTTGTTCGTGACTTCTTTTCTACATTAGGGGCGGCGGGGTTGTCAAGCGGTTGATAGGAAGGTAGCGATGTTTGGGGTTCTGCGAGTTTGCGCTTGCGGTGGTTTGTCCTGGTCCGCTCCGCAGTGCTGTGGTCGAATCGTGATATCGATGGTGGTTGATTATGGGAGATGCCCTGGTCGACGGCCATGGCGTCTTTGTGAATGAGGTCCCGATGAGAGTGGTTACTGCGGCATACGGACTCATCGTCACTGTTCTCATCCATGATGGGATCGTTCTCCCCCTCCCGGTCTTTTGTCATTTGCATAGCGGGCAGAAACCAGTCCCCGATGCGCTCACCCTTCTTGAAGTGCTCGAGATCAATGTGGTTGAATCGCTGGTTCCACGCCGCCAGACCGCGCCCCCGGAGATGTATAATATCACGACAAAACCCACACCAAAATTGCGGCTCCCCGTTCCAGCTGAGGCGGTCCTTGCGGACCAATGTCCGGACTTCTTCCTCATCGGCTTGATGGTGTTTCTTCAAATGTCGGACGTACTCCTCCTGTCGATGAAAGGGCCGAGCGCAGAGGATACTTGGCTGTGTGGGGTCAGGCAGGGTGCACTGCCAGCCCTGCAGGCCAAAATGCTGGGACTGTTCGTGACGTTTCCAGTCAGCTTTGCTGCCAAAGGTTTTGTCGCACTTGTAGAATGTACAGCCGTACGGTCGTTCATGTCGCTTTTTGTGTTTCCTAGCACTCGTTAGCAGAGGCTGACATCGAAGAATCTTGTGACATACTTCATTTCACAGCGCAGGCGCGTTCGCTTCGTGCAGAATTCGCATTGGATCCATCCCTTCTGGTCAGATTCGCCATTGGCACTATCCTGATGTGTGCCTGGGGTTGGCCCCGAACTGCCCGAGAGGCGTTCCAGCGCTGCTGTTAGAATCCTCTGCAGCATCTCTCGCTTTCGATCCGACAACTCGTCCCCCTCTTGCTCAGCGAGATCGTAGCCATCGCCGCGTTGGCCTCGTCTTCGCTGGTGGTTGTTTATCATTTTCGTCATGGCGTTGATCACGCTCGCCGCAGCTTCGGAGATCATGTCGTCCATTTTGTCAGCCTTGGAATTAACGAACTGTGATGGAATCGAGGCCCTTTGCTCGAGAGTGGGCTCAAGGTTAAGGGCATTGAGTGTAGGCAAGTCGATAGTTTGCATCGGAACATGGTCCTCTGGATGGTTTTCGTGCTCCTGGTCCAGCCTCTTGATTGAATCCATGGTCAACATCTCGACAGGATCCAGCACTGGCGGATTTGAAAATCCTGGGGTGCAGAATTCCTGATCCAGATTTCTGGCCAGATTATCTGACTCTACAATCTCTTGCAACTGCGAGGCTGTTGCGTCTTCTAAAAAGTCCTCGCTACAAGGCGGCCTCATTTCTCTCAGTTTCACGCAGTTCTCATACCATTCATGCGATCTGCACCAGTCAATATCGATAGGCAACCAGTGAAAGCTGCAGCTTACTTCCTCAATAACTCTTCGACGTCTTCGTCATTGTGCATTCGCGCAAGATGCTGGCGGAAGTTATCCAGTCGGGGCCACTTCTTGTTCCTCCGGGGACAGTTCTGTCCAAAACACATATATAGAACCTTGGGTCCCCGCTCTGGGTCCCGTTTATGGACGCACTTCTTATGTCGCGCGAGGTCGTTGATTGTCCCGAATCCCTCTTTTCGAGAACAGTTGGGTTCGTCGCATTTGAACAGTTTTTTGTGTCTAGCCTCGTGTTTTCTACGCAGGTCAGTTTGTTAAAAAAAAAAAAAAAAAAAAAAGCCACCCGAATGGAAAGGCACCTCTTATCGGACGGACATTTTCCAGTCCATTGACAACTTGGATAATCACATTTGATTGTATCGTAGCATAATAGTGACGGTGACTCAGGGCGTTCGATAAGGTCCATCGGTTCACTGTGGTGGGTTGAGCTGATATCCAATGCTGACATCTTATTATCATTTTCGTGGTCATGATGAGGTGCAAGGTGCGGGCTACAAACAGAGTCCATAGCATACGAAGCGGCTATCGAACGTGTAGTACAGCTCTGGGTACTGTATCCAGAGTCGGATGAATGAAGACCATTATACTGGCTCCCGTTTTCGGACGGAGTGCCATATTGGCCTGTAGAACACCTGCGGTCGAACCCATTCATGTGGTGCGCCTGCCCTAGCGGAAGCATAGGGAAAGCCAATGAATTGGGTGGAACGCCAGTGACCTGCAGCGGGTTCCACGAGTCCGGGTTGTTCATGAATCGCGGAGGGTGGTAATAGGAATAATCTAGCTGATGCGGGGTCGGGGAGGACTGTTTGTGCAGTGGGGGGCAATGGTTGAGAATGGACGTATAGTTGTGAGGCAAGATCCCTGGGTCTGTCCCGAATTGGAGGCCAAGAAATGATGCTGGGTCTTCGAGAGCAAGGCCAGGAGATGTCATTCCGTCTGGTAGGAGTTCGGCCTGCGTTGCGGTTATCCGGGGGCCGATGATTCCTTGTAGGACATCGCTGGAATTGTCCCAGGTGAAGCTAGATCCTGATGCCTAGTGGTCCGAGTTAATTTGAATTCTTTTTTCTTTTCCCTCTCTTAATTTACACTCCTTGTTGCTCTTTTCTTTTTCAGCGTATAAAGGTAGGTAGGTAGGTTTCCGGGGAACTGGGTATCAACGTAATGGGTACCTACACTCATAGCGGCAACCACGAGAAATTCCCTTGATCAAAGCAACAAAGACACGCACTGGCTTGTGCTATGGACAGGCTGCAAGGGGATCGTGCCAAAAAAAAAAAAAAAGAATGGAATCGCAACAGAAGGGTCGGTCAAGTCTTCATAAGAGTCCTGTCGCAGAACGAGGCGAAGATCGAAAGTTAGCGTACCCAGATGCGGGGGGGACTATCGAAGAGCTTGAAATTTGACAATCCCAGTCAACTTCCAGACTCGGGGTTAGTTGAACTGTTGGTTGTTGTGTGGTCTGTGTGATGAACCGGGGGGTGTGAGGGGGTCCAAGCAGGAAAATCCGATCGAGACGAAGAGACGGGAAAGGCTGAGAATTTAGGGCGAATGAACCCGATGGTCGAGTGCCCGAAAAAAAGAAAGAAAGAAAAAAAGCAAGCAGGGGAGGAGGGAGGATGAGATAGACTGCTCCATACGTAGAGGATGCAATACGAATAGAAGAGTGATGAGATGCCAGAACTTTCACGCTTGAAGCTGAACCCACGTGATAATATTGTATACCATCGTTTAACCATCAGATGTATCCCTTACTGATCTCTTACTACTAGTAGAAGGGAATGAGTATTAACTATATAGAATGTTTATTACTAGTTGTAATACTACTGTACTTTCTAAAGAGAAGAATATCAGGATTCCGATATTCGATTTCTCCACGTTCTTCTGTCCTCGTATCGGCTTTGAAGTCACTATGTAGATATGTAGTTCAAGTCCATCAGTAAAGAAGGAAATCTTGGTCGGAGCGGACCGATCCGCAGAAATGGAGATTGATGGGATGGCTATTAATGTGGAGTAGTTAACTACTTTCCACATAATAAATGCCCTGAGGAGGAAGAGCAGCTGCTGGGTTCCTTTCTTTCTCTCTCTCTCCGTCATACTTCCAGCGCACATTCTCTTTGCTCAGTAGATTTTTGATCTTCCTTCCGTAAGTAATCTACCATCCATCATCATGATCCTCATCGTCTCATGGAATCCCGCAATGCAACACAGAAAATCCACGCGTCTAGAAAGGGATAAACAAATCGCTGTCCTGCCCCCCCCCCCCTCTCTCTCTCTGCCGAACAACAACCAAAATCAGGGGTAGTTACTAGTATACTAATCATGGGTATATAACTAACGAGATGCTGATCACTGGGTACGGTGGGTATAACAATGGAGAGGGCAAACGCCGATCGTGTAGCCGATACATAGCCAACCTGGAACATAACCCAGGGAAGGGAATCCAAAAAAAAAAAAAAAAAAAAAAAAAAAAAAAAAGAGTAACCATGGAAAAGAAATTGAAATCGACACAAAACCCCCACGATCTGTCAAAATCTGCCCCGCAAGGGTATCTTGAACAAGGAAGTCGTAATGGTTGGGGTCTACATAAAATTTTTTTTTTTTTTTTTTTTATCAACGCCGACTCATGGGCGTTGGTCTGGATAACAACCCCCTGGACCATTGTACGGCATCGTCGAAGCCATCGGTCCCTGGTAGGGGTAGCTGTTCTCCGCCGTGGTTGACACATACACGGCACTCTGTGGATCATACTGCATCTCCGTGGGGGACATGGAGAAATTATTATGATAATCCTGCAAGACGCTCAGCTCCTGATGGGAGACTCTCGGCCGCGGCCCAGCATTAAAGGGGGGAGGATAGGTAACTGAGTTCTGATGCATGAGCAGCAGCCGCGTCTGGTCATGGCCACCAGCCAGCTCGGGTGGGTCAAATGGCGACACACTTTCCATCGAATCGGGCTCGGCGGAAATACAACCACCACCCTGCATGAGCATCGATGTCGCAGGAAGATATGTGGGGTTCATGTTGAAATGTACTCCATGGCCATTCCCGTATTGTGTCTGCGTGAAGGTGATCGATGGCCCCAGGCCATCGGGCACAACCTCATTCATGTTCGGAGTAAAGCCGTTGTCGCTGTTCTGCACGATTGGGATTGAATCTACACCGGGATTTGCCTTTCCATCGGGCGCGGAGATCGCATTAGGGCCATGTGAGAAGTCTCGTTCATCCACCAGCCCCAATATCGGGATGGCGATCTGCTCCATGTGTTTGGCTAAATGTACCGTAAGCTTTTTCCAGTTCGTACAGACATTGCCACAGAAGCGGCAAGGCTCATCTCTTGGGCTTTTGGTCGTTTCATGACGACAACTTTCTACCAGACGCCAGAGCCGGTTGAACTCCTGCTCTCGATTGAGTTCCTCCTGCATCTCAGGCGTCATTGGGTCGCTGGGGACTCTTCCTCCCGATCCCTTGGTCTTCGTCTTCTTCATTTTGGGTTCTGGCAATTTATGCTCTCGGACAAGGTGCTGCACGAAGTTATCTTTTCGATAACACTTATGGCGACAATCGGGGAACGTGCATTCCCACCATTCCAGCTGTCGATGTCGCTCACTCTCATGTCGGACCCAGTCGGCTTTTCGCTTGAAAGACTTGGGGTCCGGGCAGTCGGGGAAAGAGCAAGTGAAGGGCTGCACATCCTCATAGATGTGCTTGGTCCAATCCGAAGGCTTCTGGAATTTCTTGACCTGGAAACACACGGGGCATTCAAACTCGGCTGGCAATACCTTGACCTGAGATGGTGGAGGGGGAACACCTGGGGGGAATTGCGCCGTGGCAATTGCAGTCTCTCCAAGAGTTTCGGGATTGTCGACGGTTTCCCCACGTCCAGGGATTTGAAACTGAGTATGCGTGAACTCTGAATCTTGGTGGGATGGCGGGGGAGGCAGGAGTTTGGCTTGGCCGCCTTGAGCAAAGCAATATTTGCCGGCCTTACACTTGCCACTCCTGACTGCCTGAGCATGGTTCTGTTTAATTTCAATCAGCTTCCGGTATCGCCGAAGTTGTTCATGTGCAAAACGTTCAACCAGTGCAGGGGCAAGGCGCGGGTTCAGCTGGATAATCTGGTTTTTGAAGCCTTCCTGGGTAGGAACCGGTAAATTCGGTTGAATTGGAAATTCCATCACAAGTCCCTTTTCATCATCATCATCAAGGTCTTCATCCTCATCTTCGTCACCTGCATCCTGTTTTGCGGTACGTTTGACTTCCTCCTTCTTCTCCATTGCCCGGATGTAGTTAAGGTTAGGAACGGGGGGTCCTCCATGATTTGTCATGAGTTCAAACAACCCTGGTGCCTTTGGAACTTCGCTTCGACTCCGTCCACGGGCTTTAAAAGAGGCCCAGGGCTTAGTGGTTGAGCTTGGGGATACAACGCCCAAAGAATCCTTGCCACCAATGGCAGCCATCTGTCTCGTCATCGCAATGACCGCCCCTCCGGTACTATAGCTAGGAGACTTTGGGGACAGGCCAAGACTTAATTTTCGGTGGGGGAAGCTGTCTTTTCTTTGGGGGGTGGGCTTGTTTTCACCCGCCCTGTTGACATTTTCCGAACCTGGTTGGTCGATAGAAAGATCGGTTGGTTGGCGTTGACGCTTTAAGAGATTATTGGCCTGTTTTCCAGGTAAAAATCTGAGCAGACTATTCCGCCGCTCGTGTTTTTTCCCTTTTGCATTGATAGTCAGTTTCTGGAAGGATTTGATGCTGTTGCCATCTATGTCCCGGGTCCCCCAAGTCGCCCAACGAGATGCGGCGTCAAGTTCATTGGCGCGTCTTTGGTATTCAGCCATAGCCTGGGTCGAGTTGACTGGCTGGTTCCTTGTGGGTTGGGGAGATGAGTCGGGCTCAGGATCTCGCCACGGTGCGGCCCCAAGGAACTGGTGAGGTAGCGGTCCGCCCTCTTCAGGAACGGGCTCTTCGGGAGGGGAAATTTCCGCGGCCTCTTGGGTCCATCTCTCCTCGTTCACACTGACAGGAGGTGATTCGCTGGCATCATCGCTATAGTCACTAGTTTCTTTGATCACAAGACCCGGTCCTGGCACATTCGCTCCACCATCGTAAAACTTCAAATTGAAGTAATCTTGTTGGAGAGACGGATCCCCAGCACTTTTCGCCCGGCGTCTAGTACGGTGATGGTCGGTACGCCCTCGCTGCGAGGGCATGACGTCGCCTGCGTCGCTGTGCGCTTCGCTTACAGCTTCCGACCAAATCCTGATATCAGCGTTTCTCTCCGCCAGCTGTCGCTGCGACTCCATCTCATTGGGACTGGGAACGTAGATATCCTGTCGGGCGGTTGGTTCAATACCTGAATGGCCGGTGGTTTTGCTGGGGACCCAAGCACCGTTTGGTGCTCTTGTAATGGAACCTTCATCTTCCTCCGAGCCAGTGGACATGCCTCCCGGTGAGAGATGTACGGACGATTGGCTGGGGCAACGAGGCCCCAGAAAACTCTCCCTAACCGGGGAGTCGCCCCGAGAATAGCTTTCTACCTTGACGATTGGGCTGATTGCCCTAGCTGAGTCCGGGGCCACCTGAACTCCCAGCGAGTCGCTCAAAGAGGTGGTGATCAGGGGGTGTATCGCAGGGTAAGGAACCGCCCGCGACCCCCTCTGGCTCTTTATACTCGAGGTGTCTGGAGATGGGCTTGGATTGTTGGTGAGATTTGGGGTTAAGAGTTGAGCTGGATTCATTGTCGTCTGCGGGGACGAAAGGTCGCTAGCCACGGAGCCCAGTCGGTCGGGGGCGGGGCTGCCGTCGAGCTGCCAAGAACCTGGTACTACCATGAACTCTGCAATGGGGGACGTGTTCGCGCTCAAATCGCTAGTAAATTCGTCGGCTGGGCTAAGAAATTCGGAAAAGGAAGTCGCATAGTCCTCATTATTAGCCGGGCTCGACACACTCTTGGTGGGGTAGTCTCGCGGGGAGGCCGAGGGATTGTGAGCGCTGGGCTGATCATCGTCGCGGGCCGGTGTCAATCGAATTGCGGATGATCGGAAAGAAGCTTCTTCAGGGTCCACCGGGGTAGAAAGATAGAGATCGGGAAAACTGGGGTCGTTCAAATGGCGATCGGTCGCAGAGTCGTTCTGTACAAACTGGGGCTGCATTGTGGTGGACATTTTATTTTATATTGGTTTTTCGCTATTACGCTGAGTGGGGCTTCGTCGGGTGTAGGATACGAGATATCGGGAGGAATTGCACGTTTCTTGTCGTTCTCTCGTCGGAATAGTTTTCAAGCAGCGATACTGTCGCGAACAACCCAAGCGCATTGTCTAGCAAACCATGGGTGTGATCAGGTACGACGGAACCCAAAAAACCAAACCCTAGTTAACAACAGAGGAGCAATATTTATTGAGGGCCAAAGAGCCTCCAAAGGTCCCTGCGGCCAAGCCCAGGTCCGGGGTTATTCCAGTGTTTCCGAGAGATTTAACGCTCCGGAAATTTATTGTAGGCTTCATGCGACAGTCCAGAATGACGTAGAATGGTGGAATGGAAGGAGGAATGGTAAGCAAGGCAGTATGGAGGTCAGGATGGGAACGACCCAGCGAGACAAGGCTGAAGTCTGCGGGACGATGAGAAGCCAACAAGGACAGAAAAGGCGATGAACCCAAGGCTGAATTGAGCCGCCAGGGACAACTTCCACAAGCAGAATGGAATAAAAGATGTCTTGGTCGATAGGGTGGGTGGCAGGAGGCTCTGCTCAGCAACGTTCCGGGGAGGAAGAAGGACTGACTGGGCTGAGCCACGAGAGGTGAGACAGGGTTGAAGAGATGAGTGGATGAGAGAGAGAGAGAGAGAGAGAAATAGGTGATGAGAGGAGAGGATTTGAGAGAAAAAAGAAAGGAGAAGAGAGGAGAAAAGACGAGAAGAAGGAGTTGGAGGAATGAGGGAGAGAGAGAGAAAGCTGCCTTGTGAATCATGGAGGGGAGACGGAGGCTCAACTAACCATAGGACACGACCTCAGCAGATTTACCTGTCCATCTCCGGACGTGACAGCGTCCCCTGACTAGGAAGATTAGTGTCGACTTCTCTAATCCTCATTCCCTGTTGAAATGTGGATTAAACGAGAGTGAGAATCATCGCGACGGAACGATATGGGACCTGGCGCCAAACTACAGCCATTCATAGAGAAGCGGGGGTTTTGGCGGGAAACTGGATTTTTTACCATTGGATTTGTATGACTGTGACATGGGATTTATCTGGGTCTGTCAGTATGTAAGTATATCCTTCTGTTGTATAGTTCTATCTGCATTAACAGGTAGTTGTGTACTTTAGTTACCTTATTCCTATTATCGTGGATACTTGTTACTATTCACCCACTTGTCCCCATAGTTCCCCTCTCGAAAAAGCCAGGGTGATACTAATTCCTTAGTTTGAATATTTTCTCTTTTTTTTTACCTTACTTTGGTCTATAATATTTTTTTCCATTTATCTTCCTTTTTTTGCGTTCTGTGATTCTACTGGAATCGAGACATTCATTCCATGTTCAGCCACAACCCAAGCCACCACCCACAAGCCACAACTGATTGTACAAATAACAGATGTCGACAAGGCAGATTCAAGCCCTGACTTGGGACTCTCTCAGCCACCTACTCTAGTAAAGACAAGGGAGGTTTTTTTTTTTTTTGTAGGGAAATGTTATGTGAAGATATTTGTAACCCTGATAGCCTCGATGCATCAACACAGAATAGCTTCCTAGGGGCCAAATAACACAGGAAACAACACAACCAGTAAGTAAATCAAGAGCGTACGACAATATGAAGTTACAATGTATTTTGGCCTAGAGTATTATCGAATATCTTTTACATTGAGAAAAAAAAAACGCTCTTATGTTGTGGTTATTCTGATGGTTGTGTCTACTTCCTGAATAGCTTCAAGAACCTAGGTATATCTCGAGTCCTCCTTCCAAGGCTCTTTATCTATCCCTGCATCTGAATCTCCCTCGCCACCTTCGCCGCTACCCACTATGCACATTCGGCCATCAAATCGATTCAGCCTTAGGTCCTCAGGTATCGTATTCTGTTGAGTGGATGTAGGATGTAGTATCTAGTATACATAGGGGTCTCTTCGGCAGCTGATGAAAGCACATATTGCTATTCTATTAGATAGAATCGTACATGAATAACCGCAGAGATGAAACAAGTTTCAAGGAGAACATAAACTAATTCAAGACATAAAACCCCATCCCTATGGGACAAAATACATGCTGTAATGATCGCTAAACTGCAAGACAAGAAAAAAAAAACACCTTGAAAATACAGGATTTAGAATGGTCAAATCTGAAAAAAAAAAAAAATGAAAAAAATGAAAAAAAAAAGCTTCACAAGTAAAACAAAGGAAAAAAATAAGAGCGAAAGATGCAAGAAACCTGCCTTACCACACAAGAAGACGTACGGAAAGGAAATATTCAGAAGTAGACAGCCCGATCTGTCTGTCTATGCAGTCGCGCAGTTGTCGTCCCCTGAGCGCCTGAAGAATGCATCTTCCCCTGCAGTGAACAGGTTCCCATCATGCAACTCTTCCTTGCTTCTTTGTGGGGAGGCGGGCTCGTAGCGGTTGGACGCTCTTGAACCCCTCCGGGGCGAGTCGTCCCCGTTGGCCAGTGCATCGGTGGACTTTTTTGCAAGTTCCTGGAGACGCGCAATAATGATGGGCGAATCCGAATACAGGACTTTACCGCAGGAATAAGTGCAAGGGTTCGCCTTTTCTTCGTCTCCCACAAAGTCCTCGTGGGCGGCCTCGCGGATAATGCGAGGGAAAGGTCGGAGAACAACATGGCGAGCGGGATCTCCTCCGGGGGGGCTGACTGATCCATCTCTCGTAGCTCCGTACTCGTCCCAGTCTTCGTTGGAGACGCCGTTCGCCTCGGGAGCGGGAAGTGAAGCCAAGATGAGTTCTCTTTCAACACGCGCATGTCGCCAGGTCTCGGCAGCCAGCTTCACGATTTTTCGGATGCCCGTGAGGAGAGAATCTATCTGTTTTGGGTCCGCGAAATGCTTCAGGTGGTTACTGATCTCATCAACGATCACCGCAGCCACCACATTAATCGATTCTTTCGCATCAGATGTCGTGTATGCTGCCTTCAATGTCTGCTGTCTCCAGAAGGCTTCACGTCTGACGGACTTTCGTCGGATATCCATCGAAAGCATCTGGAACAGAATATCGGCCTTATCATACCTCCGTCCTAGAGTGAACAAGAATGGGTGGAAGATACGGTACGTTAGAGTCTTTGAAACGACATGTTGCACATACGCTGAACGCAGCTCGCGCGACGCTGGGGTGTTATCAAGGAACGAAGGTAGCTCTGGTGGAAGCTTGGAGAGGATTTCCTTGGGAGGATCAATTGGAAGGTACGAGAAGTGGTCCTTAGACAGAGTAACAATAAGACGAGAAAGTTGACCGAAGCAGTCCAAACTAGATTTCGGATTCTTATCAGAACAGGTACATTTATAACGTTTATCGACATATCATAATCTTCGTGAGCATTCTATGGGAACGAAATGCAAGGCAAGAAATGAAGAAAACGAAAACATAGGAAAATATAAGGAACGATCTGCTCATCATGACAAAAGCGTAGTATATATAAGAATATAAGAAGATAGGAGAAGAAAATGACAGGAAAAGAACAGAAGATTTCGCGTCACATATAAAAAAAAGGAAGAAAAAGGAAAAGAAGAAAAAGAAGAGAAAAGGAAAAGAAGAGAAAAAGAGAAATAGGAAAAAAAGGAAAGAAAAGGAAAGAAAAAGGGAAAAGAAAAGGAATTGAATGAGAGACTGTATCCGAAAGAAATCGGAAACTAAAATGCATTCTCAATCCAGGTCACTTACAAGAATGAATCGCCTTTCGTGCTTTTGAGGTCAGTGGCTTCTCCTAAGCTATGTAGGGTCTTCCTCAACCTGTCGCAGTCCTTGTCTAGGTCGTCGATCGTGAGGCGCATGCTATCAACTGAATGTTCAAGCTGCTTCTCTTTGGCGATAACATCCTCGGATAGCCGTTTATTCTCCCTTTCGGAGTTGGCAAGCTCTTCGGATTTCTCGGAAAGCTGGGTTTCCAAACCCGTCTTCTCCTCGTTCCAATGCTGCTCCTTCTCGCTGAACGCGGCCTCCATGCCAGCCACTTTGTCTGCATGAGTCTGATGGAGCTCCTCGAGCTCCTGAGCATGTTGAGTCCTAGTGTCTTCCAATTCTTGGTGTTTCTGCTCAAGCTCCTCCTTGGTCGAAGCGAGCTCAGCCAACTTGGAATCAAAGTCTGCTTGGAGAGCGTCGTGCGATTCTTGCATCTGCTGCTTCTGCTGCTCGTAATCTGCTCTCATGACTTCTTTCTCCTCCGTCAATTCGGCCTCGCGAGCAGCTAGAGCGTCTGCTGCCGCTTTCTCATCTTCGGCTTTGATCTCTTCAAAGAATCCAGTGAGCTCATGCTTCTGTGCTGCAAGAGCCTCTTCCTTCTCGATTTCTTTTTCTGCCCGTTGCTTCTCCAATGCCTCTGAATGTGCTTCGCGCTCCTCTTGGATTTGGTTTTCAAGCTCGTCTTTTGTCTGTTCCAGCTTCTTGACTGACGCCTCGGATTCTGTCAGCTTTTCCTCAAAATCCTTTCGCTTTTCTTCCAGATTTCCGAGTTCCATACGGAGCTCATTGATCATGTTCTTCAACCTTTTGGCCTCCTCTGCACTTTCGTTTGCTGCTTTACGCAGTTGACTTTGTAACGCTTCGACAAAGAAATCCTTGTGCATTAGTGCCTGTTTATGCTGACTCTCCATTTGCTTGAACTCTGCTTCACGAGACTGCAGCTTGGTTTTCGTATTCTTGTAACTACCCAGCAGTCGGTTAATATCCGGGATGGCATCCTGAATCCTTTGCAACAATTCAATGGGTTCTTCATGTTCCAGGGGGCCCATGGGCCCTCCTTTGCCATTATGAAGATGTTCGTGACCGTGACCGTTCATGTAGGCTAAGTCTCTCAAACCAGCGAATGATCCTCCACTATGAGGAGGGCCCATAGAGCCTCGAGAATTCGGGTGCATCTGAGGCGAGGGCTGGTAGTAGGCATATTGAGGCATATAGGCGGGTGAACTCATTACAGGGGATTGATAAGCCGTGGCATAACCACCCGCAATTGAAGGGGGCATAGAAGGAGCCATTGGTGGCGGCATTGGCATAGAATGAGGAGCCATCACGGGCGAGGCGTAAGGGTGTGCTAGAGGGCTGCTGACTTTGGGTAATGGAGACGAAGCCTTGCGTACAGGAGAAGCGTATTTCTGTAGAGGGGATACGATCTTCTGGCGAGGGGAGTAGGATTGGTCGATGGGATATGCTGCATGATATATAGGTGAAGCACCTGGTGGCGTGGGAGGACCCGCTTTTGGGACTGCGAAACCGGGCTCCTTTACGGGAGAGTAACCGTAGGATGAAGGTGATGCTAGTGGTGGCGTGGGAGCAGCTGGAGGGGGTATAGGCGAGGTCATTGGAGAACCCCCGTGAGGCATTGTAGTGGGTGACGCTGCTCGTGGAATTGGCGAAGCGGACTTCAAGGACGGTGAAATGGTCCGTGGTTCGGGAGATTGAGGCTTGGAAGCAGGCGGCGTAACCTCCTGTACTAGGGGTTCCTGGAGCTCAAGCTCAAGCTCAGTCTCAGGCTCGATCTCAGGCTTAACTTCCGTCGTTGGTTCAGGCTCAGGTTCAATCACCTGCTCGGGTTCAAGCTCGACCACTGGTTCAGATTCAACCTCAGCAACCGGCTCGGGTTCAATCTCAGCAACTGGTTCGGGTTCAACCTCAGCAACCGGCTCGGGTTCAGTCTCAGTCACTAGTTGAGGTTCAACCTCAGCAACCGGTTCGGGTTCAACCTCAGCAACTGGTTCGGGTTCAATCTCAGCAACTGGTTCGGGTTCAGTCTCAGTCACTAGTTGAGGTTCAACCTCAGTCACTGGTTCGGGTTCAACCTCAGTCACTGGCTCGGGTTCAAGCTCGACCACCGGTTCAGGTTCAACCTCAGTCACTGGCTCGGGTTCGAACTGAAATTCAGGCTGATGCTCAGGGTCAGCCTCAGGAATTGGAACAGGAGTAGGAGCACGTTCGGTTGGAGTCGGTTCGTCAAATGGATCAGTAGTGGGAGGGGCGTCAGTGTGAACTTCAAATGGATTGGTATTGACTGAAGTTGACTGTGCTTCAGGCTGATGCTCTTCGTCCCAAGCCGTCCATGCGCCAGCGGAAGTCTCTTGTGAGGAAGGGAAGAAAGGCGACTGTGGCGCTGTAACCGGTGTTGGCTCAGGCGCATCAACAGTACCGCTTTGTCTATCTAGATCGTCGTTGTGGTCGTGAGGGGCTCCGACGTTGTAAAATTTATCCGATGCACTTAGGTCCTCCTGGCTAGGCTCATGAGATGTCTCGGGGTGGACATAGCTGAACCCGGTTTGCTCACTGGTGGGAGTGCCAGGACTGGTTACCTGGGTGAAAATGTCCTCATTTTCTTTTGAGGATTCAAGTGATAGCTCAGTTTCGGTCAATGTCGAGGATGGCTCGACAAGAGTCTGTGATTGTTCCAGCTCTGACTCTGGTTCGGGGGCGGACTCGAGTCCTGAACTGGATTCTGGAGAAGACTGTGGCCCTGGTTCGGGGGCAAGATCCGCTGTTAAGTCAGGGACAGTATCAGGCACAGGCGTTACCTCTGGTACTTGTTGCTCTTCTTGCTCGGGGGTAGAGGGTTCAGGTTGAGGTGTAGGGGCCTCTGGTGTCTCTTGCCCCTTGCCCTTTTTATTCTTTGGCTTGTTGTTATCGGCCTTCTTGCCCTTCTTGCCTGACTTCGCCATGGCGATGCGTGCCCAAGTTCAATCAGATAATATGAAGACGTGTTTCCAGTAAGCTAGATATCCGGGTCTGTTAGTTAATCTTCGATTGGATAAATGCTGGGTTAAAAAAGTACGCGTGGAAAACGCATCCAGCAGCGTCAGAATATATATCCCCGAATTGATAGACGTACAGAAAGCAAAAAGCTAAAAGTGGCCCGTGTAGAAGCACGAACAACGATAAGCAAGGAGGGGGGAAAAGGAGGCAGGAGATTTTTTAAAAAAAAACTCCCACACGTATCGGAGCAGGGTATCTGCAAGTAGTAACAAATAGTCGAAGTCCACGAAGATAAATGTCAAACAGCCGCAGACGAGTATGCACCCTCGGAAGGCCAGGACAAGTTCAACGTGTATGTCTCAGGAAGAATTGATTTATGAGGAATGGAATTTAAACAGAAGCAGAGCAAAAAGAGAACACAAGTGTTAACTAATAATCTATCTGAAGCGACGCCTAAACAAGTGCACTGCACACGACGAGCAACTTCGCCCAGCCTCAGGAAGGCTAAACAAGGCATTAAGGCGGACCGAGCCTTAGGAGTGGATTGATACCCATTCATGATGAGTCAAAACTAGGCAGGAAGGGTAGGAGCATGGGTTTGGGTGTGAAAGAAAGAACCCAGTGTGGATCGAAGGCTTCGATGCATAGTCCGGAAGAGAGCCAATAACCTTGCATGGGGCCAGGTATTGGGCATCAACGACAAGGTATTCAAGGTGGCAGGGGAAAGGAACCCTCCAGCCCCAGGAGTTTTAATTCCGGAAAAGGGCAAGAAAAGCCAGAAGATAGCGAGGGAAAGGAGGTGAGTCGAGAAAACACGGAGTTCTATCCACAGTGAGGTGAGAATCCTCGAACACCAAGAAGAGAGAGAGAGAGAGGCAAGTATTGTGGGGAGCCAATAACGCTAATGGAGTATAAGCGATGACAAGTCGTTATTCCTATCCCAAGACGACCATGCGTGCATAGGGGTAGCAAAAGGAACCCAATTGACACCATGACAATAAATAGCAGTGGGGAGTGCTGCCATAGTGAGGCAATTGGTTGTGTTGGTCATGCATGAGCACCAGAATGAGTCCGGCGTTCCTCGACGCGCCGTCGTCCAGGAGCGCCAACACAGCAGCTACCCTGCCGATATGCCGGTGCAGTGGGTTGAAACCTTGGAGATAAGAATGTCGGAGAACACCATTGCAAGATCACATCAGGGATCTGAACACCTACAGATGATGCACCAGAAGTACATTTTGGGCGGGTCTGGAGATGTCGACAGAGATGATGATGATGCTGATGCCAGTCAGGCACAAGTAAAATCGGCGATGGCTGGGGTTGACTGAAGTTCTGACCGTAACTTCGGGAGCGCAGGTGACAAGACACTAGTCCATATGTAGTAATCATCACGTGATGTCCGCCTCGAACCGGGTCCGGGCTTGCCCTTCGATCTCCATCACCCACTTGGGTGACGGCATCAGAATTATTCGGTGCTGCCAATTGCTGTTCTCTACACCATGTTTTTCGCCCGGCGATCGGTAGCTTCGGCGCGGCTGATGCTGCGGAATCAGCAGCCACGACGATTTGACTCCCATGCAGCTCATCATGCTGCACCTGTGAACGAGAGCTTCGGTGTACGTCTTCTCCCTATGGCTTCCCAATCCATGGCGTGATCAGTGCCCTAGAAGGGGGAGGGTGTCTTCGTCCCAATCGATTTGTGGCTAATATTGGAATGGTTGTGAAAATGTACAGCGCAGTTTCTACGTCGCCGTGGGTACCTTCGCCTCCTGCTTCGTCCTCTACCGAGTCACCAAGTCTACCGAGGAGTCCGGCTCCCAGTCTTGGATCTCCGGCCTCATTGAGAAATGGACCCCCTCAGAGCAAATTTTCGAGCAGAGAAACGCCATTCACACAGCCGCCATTGAGAAGGCCGCGCAGGACCGCCTTCTGTTTTTCAGTCAGGGACCCCGGCCTACCTATGAATTGAAGCACCAAGAGTACGTTATCTATGGGCTGTTCCATTCCTAGAAAGGAGATAGAGTAATTGAGCTAACGGGGTGTTTTTTTCTTTTTTTTTTTTACTCTTTCTTTGTGTACAGGGTCAGCTTCCACCCCGGACCTCCCTACAATGTTATTGCTGGTGAAGCCGCGGACCTGACCAAGGTTGTCGCCCACTACGAGCGCGAGAACCAGGAGGCTGAGACTGCCCGTGTTGCCCGCATGCAGGACGGCAAGGTTGTTTCCCTATACGAATAGATAAAATAGGTTATTTCAGCTGTTGTTTTTCTTCGAATGTTGGTGATAAACTTGGGGTGGGGCTGTGATGTACATATAACCGGATAGTTCAGATTTCCTTCATTCTTTATTTTCAAGATGTGTTTCCGCACTAAACACGCATCCTTTGGGTAATATTATGCATACGATGTATGACAATCTAGGTAACTGACAGGTACTGCACTCGACGAGGCCACGCAACCAAGTCTGGGTTGGTATGCTAATATCCGGCTTATTTACTCTGGCCAATCTCCAGAATGATCCTCCCAACTCCTTCCGACTTGACGTCCAGCCGCTCCTTCACATCTAAACAATGATCAGATACTGTCCGTAGCACGGCCAAAAACTCATCCACGCCACCCCCGACACCGAAATAGACCTTCTTAGCCGCCACCAGGGCTTTCGTCTCCGCTAAAGGACGACGAAGCAACGCCAGCAGCGTCTCAGAAAACGCAACCAACGACGCAGGCGAGTAAATCGTCTCACTGGCAAGAACCAATGTCTTGTATTCGCTTCGCTCCCCAGATGAGAAGACCAAATCAACAAAGGCCGGAGACCATGCTCCCGAAATAAACTTGATCGTGATGCCTCGCCTGGCGAGATCCCTTTGGAAGCTCTCCACTAGCTCGGGAGTAATGTCTAATTCCCCTTCCTCCTCCTCCTCCTCCTCCTCCTCTTCTCTGGATTTTGCGTCAGCCGCCTTGTCCTCAGTTTGGTCCTCAGATGATGGAGCGGTATTGCGATGTGAGGTGATAGAATTCCACGTTAGGAGCAGATTCGGGAAAGTGACCAGGCGAAGGACAGCCGAATTGTAATCTGCAAATGTGAAATGCGTCCTGCGAGCATTCTCTGCCGCCGTTGACTCCGTCTCCGTTGTTTCGGACAAGAGCTGCGCAAACAGCGCCAGCGAGGGTACACCAGTTCCCGCTCCAAGCTGTCGTTTACCCCGGTCAGCTAGCTCTTAAGCTTATACGGTTAAAGCACAGCACACTTATTTAGGCTTTTTTTTTTTTTTTTTTTTTTTTTGGAAGCGCCTACCTCGATTATATGTCGATCTTCTCGCGTGCTCTTATGGAAGATCCCCCCTTGGTCATCACTGCGAACCAGCAGCTTCGCCAAATCAATAGAGCACTCCCATGTTTTAAAGCCGCCTTCGTAGAAGTTAGGCTTGATGTCGCCTTTTTCAAGACCGGCAATAAGCTCTCCGTTCTGTTCCTCGGCGCTGTCTTCTACCATCAGCTGAGCACGGATATCAAAGACCTCCCGACGGGCAATAGTCAGTGGGGTCGCCGTGGCTGTGGAGGAAGTGATTTTAAGCGTGTTGTATGCTATTTGAGAAGGAAGAGTAGAAGTCTAGGCTCTCGTTAGTATTCATATACCCTTTTATACTCAACAAGACAAGATAAACGCATGTATTTATGCAGGCATGTATGTACGTGTGTAGGCATATATGTCCATTCCCATAGAACCGCAAACGATCTTATGCTGATGGCCAGGGAGGGACCAGAACTCAATCAAGCAAGACTTACCCATTCTTCCATCTCGTGTTTCCTAGCCTCGACAAGACCCGGAAGTGAAGCACCGGCCTCTTGTGCAGCGGAGGGACCCATCTCATAAGCATCGTTAATCTCAGCATCGTCGATATCAATATCCTCCCCCGAAAACCCGAAGCTGAAAGTAGACGTCATTTTCGTTGTATTCAAGCAAGCCAAGAATTTGAATTTTTTTTTTTTTTTTAATTTCCCCCCAGGGGATAGATACTATAACGTTATCAATATCGAGTCGTATCTGGTCAGTTGTTCTTCGCGGTTTCTGTGCGCGCTTATATTCGACAGTAGCGGGATGTGCAAGCCCGTACTAGGATGACTAGGCTAGGATATCCAGTGTCTATGTATTCTCCCAATGAGGACAATACAAATAACGAGGTGTTTAAAAGATGAAATCTAGCGACTTCTGTTGGGCATCTTCTTCTTGGGGAAATTTTTGCAGCTTCATGTCGCTGACTAAGCAATGATATCTTTGGGGTTGAGCAAGCACCAACATGTAGTTATACAATCCCTTACGTAGAAAGGGTTGCTCTTACTTCTGAGGCTAATTACAGATTGTAATGATTTAAAGATAAACAAGGATCCAGAGCCAGGAAATGGAAATTGAATCTAAAGGTGAAATGGTAACCATGTCGTCATTAATTTGAGTTTTAATCTATAAGCTGAAAGCTCTATAACTCTACCGAAATAAATATAACCCTTTATACTAAACGCCGTCGTCTATGCACTTCCATTTGCCGTAGTCTGGCTCGCAGCCACGGCCATCTCGAGGGCCTGGAGCGTGTCGGCCTTGAGATCCTCGGCATCCTCGACACCACAGCTCATGCGGACCAAGTCGTCGAAAACGCCGGCAGCTTCGCGCTCTGCTTTGGGGATACCAGCGTGGGTCATGCTTGCTGGAACCTCGCAAAGACTCTCCACACCGCCCAAACTCTCTGCCAAGGTGAAGATCTTGGTGTATTGACAGAAGAGGTGGGCGGCCTTTTGGCCCCCCCGGATCCGGAAGCTTAGCATACCGCCACCCATTCCGTTGCGGTGCTGCTTAATCGCAATTTTGCGGCTGGGGTGAGAGTCAAGACCGGGATAGTTCACGGAGATCACGTGTGGGGAAGACTCGAGCAACTGGGCGACAGCTGTGGCATTGGTGGATGCCTCTCGAGCACGGAGGTGGAGGGTTTTGAGACCGCGGTGCGCGAGCCAGCAGTCGAATGGAGATGGGACAGCACCAATGGCGTTCTGAAGGAATGTAAGACGCTCTTTCAAAGTCTCCGAGTTGAAGGCTGCGACGCCCATCAGAACATCCTAGATACGCATTAGTTTAAGTGGGGGACAAAGAGAGGGATGCCGGAGTTCACGACTCACCGAGTGGCCGTTAATGTATTTGGTCACGGAATGAACAACGATATCGGCGCCGTGGTCGAGAGGGTTCTGGATATACGGGCTCATAAATGTGTTATCGACCACGACCACGAGGCCATGGCTATGCGCAACCGCAGCAATCTTGCTGATATCGACCAAAGACAGGGTAGGGTTTGAGGGAGTCTCGATCCAAACCAGCTTAGTGTTTGGTTGGATAAGATGTTCCACGTCTGACTCCAAGGACGAGGAGAAAGTCACATCGACGCCATGGGCCGAGGCGACTTTGGTGAAATACCTATGTGTTCCTCCATAAACGTCGGAAACGGAGACGATATGCGAGCCGGGAGCGAGAGAGTGAATGATTGTTGCAGTGGTAGCAGAACCGGAGGAGAAGGCCAAGGCGTATTTAGCGTGCTCAAGAGCGGCAACGGCTTGTTCGAAGTGGTCTCTGAAAAGTAGTCAGCATCCCATTTCAAAGCAGGATCCCCCTTTACTGTCAACGGGTAAACCAACCGGTTGGGATTCGAGCTTCGAGTATACTCGTAGAGTCCTACTGGGTTACCAACGCTGCTCTGAGCGAAGGTGGTAGACAGGGAGATCTAAAGATGGGGTCAGCTCCTGTGTGAAATTCCTGTCGCATATTCTGGGGGTAATGCAGACTTACCGGCGCAATGACAGCCCCCGTGGTAGGGTCGTGGGGAGCACCAGCATGGACAGCCAATGTTGCGAATTGCTGTTCCTTCATTGCACTCACCCCTCCTCCAACCTGGCCGTTCTGGGAGACCATTGTCACGGGACAGGGATTAGCCAAACAAATGAAGAAAAAGCGCTAAATGAGAAATTCTTTTTTTCTCTCTTTTTTTTTCTATCTGATAGATATTGGCTCAAGTGTAATAAACCAACGAAGAAGAGAGAACGGAGTTTATAGAAGGGAGAAAAAAAACCAGGGTATTGGTGATTTGTAAGACTCGAGAATTTGTCACAATGAAACCACGGGCTGGCAATAATATTAATATTAATACTGATATTTATAATTGACCAACAGCACCAGAAATTTCTACCATCCTTCAAGTTTTCTTTTACGTTGCATTTTCATGCTTCACACATATATACTAACACTTAAGGCGCAAATCTTTCGATCAGGTCCCACTAGACTCCACTCACTGGCCGGTTTGACCTTTTGAGTGTTTTTAGTGTGTCCCGGTGATAACCGACGATAAAGTGCTTTCTGGCTTCATATGCCTGATAATGACCCTGAGTATACCCCTAGAAAGGAGTTGGATTCTTCAAGTCTCAAAAGAATGGGTTCTAAACCACGCACATCATTAGGGTTTCATAGGATGCCATCACGGTTGGATGGAACGACCCAATATTCTATATTTTTAATCGAGCATCATCAAATTTAACATGGAGGTGTATCATTCAGAATCCAATAACCAGGTCATTATGCGGTCATACGCCACAACAAGAAAACAAATTCTGTTTCTGTTTCCGTCTCTCAGTTTTATCTGCGGTCTACCACCATGATATTGGCCCTAGACCAGCCATCTGCATCGATGCCTGTGGTTTTCGAGGAAACATATTAGATCCAGTCAACTCAAAAGAGAGGGTAAGCTACATACAATAATCGAATATGGAGGCTTGCGGTCCACTGCAGGGCCATCTCCGAGATCTGGAGCATTAGGGATCTGATCGTGCCATTCTTCAACCTCAACGCGGAAGCGGACAACTTCGCCAACGTCAAAGTAGAAGGTCCCTTCTTCGTTTTCCCAGATCCAAACTTGATCTTGGTAGTCACTGGTGCGCGTTAGTACCTCACAGGAAGGAAGGAAACCTTGGTCAGACGTGACTTACAATCTAGCACCATCCAGGAGGAGGTCAGGAGGCACGAGGATATCGTTGAAAAACTCTACCCCAACTATTGAGAAGTGATAGGTTAGCATCATTACTGGGACGAGCAATACTGTAGCTGCGTACTTTTAATGCCATGTTCCGTCGCGCTGGAGATCTTCCCTAGCACGATCTCTCCTCTGAATGGCCGAAAAACAATAAGACGGAATTTGACTGGGCGATAGGTTAGTTCTTGACCGAATATTATAGGCATACACCCCCGAGAAAGCAAACTCACCATTTACATTCACGAGACCAGTCCCATGACCGATTAAGCCGTCCGAGGACTCTAGTAGGTCGTAGAAACCAATGCAGAGCCCAATCTTTTGGATGACCTTGACAATTTATGCTGTCAGCTTTAAGAGTCCAATATTTCCGAGAAGAGAAAGAGATTAAAAAATTAGGGTACATACTTTATTTGCATATTTTTCGTTGATGTTGTCCTCAATGGCAACAGAGCTGAACTTGTCGAAATCCTCAGGGGAAATCTGAATAAGATCTGAGATTGTAGTCTGCATGATAACTATTAGCATATCTTCGTTACTGAAATTGGGGGGGGGGGGGGGGGGGGGAAGGCAAAATTGAAGCTTTGGAACTGACAAGAATAAACATGATGATGGTTGTTAATCAGATGGGGGATGTATATCTATTTCAAAACGGCAGCAAAGCAGGAAGGTATAGATCATTAGAAGTGAATTCCATATTCAGGATCTACTAGGACGTCCGGAACTACCCTGCGGACCATGCGACTTAAACCTCGTCCATGAGAAATCGAGAGATCAAAAGCCTGAAGATTGATAATTTGAAATGCTCCCACCAATTGCAGCCAGCGGATCTGCCTGAATTTTTTGGCGCACGCAAAAGCAGTACACGTGATACTGGCACTTTTCCCTTTCTAGACTCGGAACGGAAGAACTATCCGGTTCTGGATCGTTCGATGCTGGAAACGCAAAAGGTACTTCTTCGGAGGCTGCAGAGCTTGAAGCAGTCGCCCATAATGTTGTGAGGATGGGGTTCATGTTCTCTGTCTTTGAAGGTCTGTCGAGATCTTCCCGCTATGAACCCTCAGGGATTCTCCTTTCCCCCTCCTCCCCCTCCCCCTCCCACTCAACAGCACCCACCACAACCGCATCATCCTCATAACACAGGCTTTACGCCATATGGACAAGGCCATCATGCACAACGAGGTGGTGGTAGTGGTGGTGGGGCCCAATTTAGGGGCCGTGGGAGAGGATATGGGAATCGGGGAGGTGGTCGAGGAGGTCATTACGTGCCCTCTGATGCCAACCGCCCCGGTACATATCCGACGAATACATCTGTTGGCTATGGACCAATGACCTATCCGGGCTATACAAATCAGCCTATACCCAGTCACTTTACACAATCGTCGTCGTCGAACTTTCAAAACTCCCAGCCCCAAAATGCTACGCCCTACGCCTCTCAACGAACATATCCGCAACCCTCCGCAGTTCATGGTCCACCTTATCAACGCCAGCCCAGCTATGATGCTACTTATACTGGCTCTGCTGCGCAGCAGACGCCTACATACTCCCAAGTCGCACCGGTCCATCAGCATGCACCACCTGCGATTCAACCGGCGATGATGGGCCCGCCTATGCGCTGGGGATTTGAGACGCCAGGTCCCTCGGGATCGTTTGCTGGGCCGCAGCGCCAAACCCAGCGGGGAGGCCGCCCATTCAATGCCTATAACCACCAGAACTCGCAAGCAGAACGATCGGTCAAGCATGCCAACAAGCGTGACCACTCGTCTGCCTTTGGAAAGCCGCAGTCCGTTACTCCACGTGTTCCAGCGCCGCCTCCGGTGCCAAGCTTCGGCAATCCTTTGCCTTCAAAACCACCGCCGCCCGCAGACTCCCCGCGGAAGTCGAAAAAGAAGAAGAGAAAACATAACCAGCTTGGTCTAACCCCGAAGACTGAGGAGCATGAGTCTAGCGAGGAAGAAGACGATGCTGACGAAGAATCGAGATTTGCGGCAGGAGGCGCTGCAGCTGGTACAGGGCTGCAGGTTACATATAAGGGACGAACATCTACGTTACAAACAAATGCGGATATTGCAGCTTGGATAGCAGAGCGTAAAAAACGGTTCCCGACACAAGCAAAGATTGAAGAGAAGAAAAAGGGCATGGAAGAGGCCAAGAAGGCACGGGAAGAGGCTCAAAAACAGAGGCTTGCGCGGAAGCAAACAACGAAACGCGAAAAGAAAGAGCAAGAAAAGCACAATGCCAAAGAACCGACTGGGGAATCTTTAGACCCCATGGATGCAGCGGCAAAGGCCAAAAAGAAAGCTGATAAACTACGACGAAAACTGATGAAGGAAGAAAAACGGATAGCCCAAGCCGAGGCGGACGCTGCGCGGGCTCGCTTGAGATTGGAAGAAGCCGAACAGGAATCTAGGTCGACTGTGTGCGATGTTCAGTCCCAGCCGATATCCAGTGACAACGTGGATAACGACCAGGATCCGGAAGATCCTGGTAAAGAGACGCGGCGGATGCCAGTTGAGCCTGGTTCTAACCATGCTGGCGACGTCAATGCCGTTGTCGAGCCATCATCGGAGATGTCTGACAGTAGCGACTGGACGTCTTCGAGCGGATCCGACCTATCGTCTTCGGATTCTGACGAGAGTGATGACGAGGCACCACCCGAAGAGACGAGTTCACGTCGCGAGGGACCAGAGCGCGTGCCAGCGCCATCTCGCGAGGCGAAGAAGAACGTGTGTCGGCAGTTTGCGCGAAATGGTCGTTGTTCTCGCGGAAACAAGTGCAAGTTCTTGCACGCGATGGCCGACCGTGGGGTGAAAGCGAAGCCCGTGGAGAAGCATGGACGACGGGGACTTTTGCAAGCGGTAAGTAAGATGGATATCAACGATGGTCCCTCCGCTCTCCTTGTACAATGTATAACTAACGGGGGGTATCAAACTCTAGCTTCTTGATCGGCAGAAAGAAGAGGAGAACCGAAAGGTCATGCAGATGATTCTGTGGCTAGGCGAGAACGGGCATCTTGGCGAACCCGAGCAAGCAATTGCGGTCGTGGGGAATCCAGAGCTCGAGGCGACTCCTGTACAAGAATCCAATGTTTCCGTGGCTTAGTCCGTCCAGGCTCGCCAACACACCGTCTCTGTACATGTTCATTTTCAAGCATTCTCTACTGTCTCTCTCCATCAGTTCTTCCTAGGAGTAGCTTTCAGCTCCTGGTATGACTCGTGCTTTGGCCAATAGCGGAGCCAATCGAGGAGTGGTAAGTTGTACTAGTCTAGCGGTAACAACTAGCCAGGACGAACTAAATTAATTTTGGCCCCGATCCTATCTCACTTGAGGACATTTGCTGGAGTACCATGTTTCCTGGGTTCTTGTATAGTATTTCTGTTTCGACTTTGCATGCAACAGTAATCTTATTGAATTCAATATACTGTAGGTGAATATGACTAGGTAGTTAAAATGAGCATGAAGATCTCAATGATTTCTGATACGGATTTGTAAATACATTCTGGTATTTACTAGTAATATTCAATACGGAGTACCGGGAAGCGATCCAATAATACCGTCTCGGCTTTTATTGTCGGGTAAGTTGGGGATTCATGTATCTGTGATTGGTATTGTCTGTCCGGTGTGTACTTTGTACTTGTAAAAAAAAAAAGCGGATCGGCCGGAAGTTAGGTGGTTGTATGGAGTATTGATACCGTACCGTACAATACCAGGCACCAAGTGGATTGGAACGTGCAAACAGGGTCTTTGGGTCCCTGATTAAAGTCTCCTTTTTCTTTATTACTCCCTCGTTCCCTCATCGCATCGAATCCCTTCCTCCTCCTCTTTCCCATCTAACTGAATCCCCTCTTTGGTTACTTCCCATAGAGCAGTCTTTCGTTTCCATCGTTTCTATTCTTTCCACTCTCTTTCACTTTCGCTTTTCCCACCATTCCATTTTTAATTTCCACCTCCCGTATACGTTGTATAGCCTTTCAATTCATCTGTCCAGAGTATATATCATATATATCCCCCCATCAGTCACCATGCGCTCCGTTTTCTACGTTGCTCTGAGCACCCTGGCGACTCTCGCCGCTGCCGCTGAGAACGCCTTCAACATCCCCAGCACCGGTTATCAGTTCACTGCCGGCAAGGCCACCACCTTGAGCTGGGATCCCACCACCTCGGGAACGGTCACGCTGAAGCTGCAGTGGGGTAGTGTGTTGACCGACAGCACTGGTTCTACCATCGTCGGTGAGTATTTGAATTCCCCTCTTCGGTATGTACGTGCGCATCGACGCTGATGTGAGACCTTAGCCAACCTTCCCAACTCGGGTACTTACACCTGGTCCGTGCCCTCGGATCTCGTCAACCGCTCTGATTACAGCATCGAGATCATCAGCGACTCGAACAGCAAGGAGGTCAACTACCTGCCTCGCTTTGCGGTTGCTGGCGCCACTGCTGTCGCTACCACCACCACGGCCTCTAGCACGACCACTACTGCTGCTACCTCCACCGCCACTCCTTCTACCACCCTGACCACCCAGTCCAAGTCTCACTCGTCCACCACTCCTGCAACCTCCACTTCTAGCTCCACCTCCTCTACCACCTCCACTACCTCGTCCACCACCTCCGCGACCTCCGTTCCCAACACGAACGCGGGTATGACCAACCGCGTGTCTGGTGGCCTGGTGGCCCTTGTCCTGGGTGCTCTCGCTCTCTTCTAAGCTAGTTATCCTGAAAAGGGGGGTTTTGCAGGGTGAGGGGGGGGGGTTTCTCTTTTGAAAGTTTCCTTTTTGGTTGAGCCTTTCTTTTCTTTTTTGTGCGCTCTTGGTTGTCAAACTTAGATGTGATTTACACTTTCTTGATCTGGGGTGTGTCCGTGCCGGGAAGAGTGCAGGGGTTGTTTCCTCCCGAAACAAATCTTTTGTAGCGGCCTGGTCGCATCCGAGAGTATCTTTTAACTATATCTGTTTGTACAGACAGAAGGACTTGATGCATCGGTACTGGGGGCGTTGTTGTACCGCATGCTGTATGTATGTATATATATGTATTCTGTAATGAATGTTATTAGCGCTTATGCGACATTACGCTCGGCCCTATGCGGAATCGTAAATCCCTTGATATCCGGGACCCGCCTGGGCAAAGTACTTGACTTTTATCTTGCAGGTTCGGACTGTATCCAGGGACTCTCAGTGGAACAATAGTCTGGGTGATCTCTTGCGCGACGTTTCACAGAGGAACTAGTCTGTACTCTGTACTACGTACAGAGTAATTTAGTAGTATATGTATATGTATGTATGTGACTACCTACTACCACTACTCCTGAGAAAAAAAAATGAATAATTGGAAAAAAAAAAAAAACCGTCTACCAGAGACGATCTAGTAGTCGTATAAAAACATTAAAGTTAAGAATAAACTAACTAACTAACTAACCAACCTCATACCCAAAGGAAGGTAGACTATATAGCACGCTTTATGAGGTAATAAGTAAGTAAAACAAACAGAGCCGCTCCCCCCCCCCCCCAGGGATGGGGGATCAAGCAGCAGCCGCCGCCCATTGCGGACAAACCCGCTTCAGAAACTTCATGAACTTGAAAAACCCAACGGCATGCTCGACGTTTCCGCAGGGGTCGACGACACGCTCGGGAAACGCAATCCCCGCGCCGTGCAGACCGGGGACCACGCGGTCCTGGGCGTCCGTGAACCCGCCAATGCTCGAGTCCCATTTGAGCTCGGGCGATAGCAGGGAGCCGTTGAGCGAGAGCTCTGGGAGTGGGTCGCGGGTGTACCCGATAGCCTGGACGAAATACGAGCACGAGGGGAGATGCTCGTGGTATTGGGCAGTTTCTTGGTCTGCGGAGCAGTCGATCTTGGTGATGAACTGGCCGGCTTCGGAGGTTGGGAGCGCGGTGTCTTCGAGTTGCTGGCGGGCAAAGTCGGCAGCGCGGCCCTTGAGGCCTGTGTTGTCGCGGAGGATCCAGCCGTCCATGTACTCGGCATACCGGAGGGGGTGGCGGGTGAACCACTTGATGCGCAGGTGCGGGTGCGAAGTGCGCGCGAGATCGACCAGGTTGAGGAGGGCCAGGATGGCGCTGTGTGAGGCGCCGATTACGGCGACGGTGCAGGGTGTGTCGTGAGGGAGGGTTGAGGCCAGCTCGCTGGGCTTGAGGACTACGTCGAGATGGAGCCTCTGGACGCTGTTTTCGGAAACTGGAACCGGGGCTTCTGTGGGGGACGATCCGGTGCAGAGAATCAGGCGCGAGGTCTTGACCTCGACTTCATCGAGAGAGTCGAGGTGCTTGATTCGAACGGTCCACGAGCGTGCCTATCGCAGTCGGAAGGTTAGCGGAGGCTGGAAGGGGCCAAAGAATTGTTGCATTTTCTACGCAGATCGGAGGCTGAACTAACATTGTCTAAATTGGCAGCCGTGACATGGCCGCGACAAGCGTGCACCTGGTCCATCTTCAGGAGACCATCAGTAAGAGCTTTGACTATGTCTGCGGCATGATGGAGATGGCATGTCTTCTCCTGATCGAGCTTGGCCATGGTCGAGAATGCATTGGGAATACGCGTGCTATTGATAACGGAGCGGAACGGCTGGACCGCCGTAGCAAATGCCTGGAAGAGAGCCACTTTGGTATTACTATTTCAATCGCAAGGCTGTCAGTTACGAGCGCTCCTATTCTGACGGCGACCTTTGGTGCACAACCCACCAGCCGGCCAGACGCAGGAACACTAACCTTGGCACCTCACGATATTTGCGGTCTACACGGCCTCCTTGGAAATAAGGGTCGACCCAGACGATTTTACCACCAAGCTGCTTCTCTAGGAGGTTACCCATCACCGCTAACCCGGCGGGACCTGCTCCCACGACAACAGCGGCACATCTCTGAGGGGCGCTCATTCTGGGGGTAGTTCACGTATGGTGGGTGGGTATATATAGAAAATGAAGGGCGAATATCCAAAATCCCAAGTTTGAGGGGTTGGAGAAGGAGGAGGAGGAGAAAAAGAAGGTCTACGTGGAAGGAAATCCAAGACGCATGGGCAAGAGAAATTCCAGGGCAGAATCAACGGGGAAAAGGCGGGCCTTTATGACAGAGAGTCGCCGTCCAGAAGAAGTAAGGCTACTCCCGGACAAATTCTCGGGGGATCAGACGAATGGTCCGCATTCTCGATTTCTGGGTGGGAAAGAGGGGGCGCCGCCGAGGACAGTTAAGGTTGACGAGAACAACGATGCGGCTTCTCGGGCGAGAGGCGGTCAGGCGATGGTATTCGCGATCGTGGACCCCATGTTGCTCGCTTGGAGAGGGGGGGCTTTTAGCATGTTCATCGCTAAGAGGATCAAACGAGACGATAAGAGCGTGATTCGCCATTACCGTGGACAATGCGTACGACTCATCATTTCGGTTGCGCAACTGCACCAACTGCCCCACCGCACTCGTTTGCCTCCGGGTTCTTGTCGTCGGTCACATTATTGAGTCAAGTCAAGGGAAACGAGGACCCGGGGGCGACAAAGCGTAGGGAATGGGGGTCATTGGAGTTGGGGAGAACCGAATCAACCACGTCTTGATCGACTGACAGCGAAGAGGATAAGGAGAAAAAGATTCTCGTCGCCAACGGGCTCACGATCTTAATATATAATAAAATATCGGCCTGAGACACTTTAAAGTGCGGGCTTGGCGAAATTGCGTGCTTTCGCTGCCTCAGGCACCCATAGTGAATCATGTGATACTTCGTCATCCTCGATTTTCGTTTTGTAGGTTCAAAATATCATATCGCAATATACCTAGGTAGTATAAATAACCATACCCTCACCAATCCACAAGGCTTACACTGCCCAAAACACCCGGACCGACAGCTCCACCGTATAGTTGGTCCATCCTGGGAACCGAGCCCGACCCCAGACCATGATCGAGTCCCCAATCTGCAATCCTCGTACTTGATTCCCATCCAAAGTAGCTCGGCCTCGACCTTGGATGCGCTCGATTTCTGCTGCCTCTGGAGAGTCCGCTTCGATATCGTCAAGATAGTGCCAGGTGATTTTATGAAGGTGAGCCGGTTGCACCCGCGCGCGGTTGGATTGCAGGTTATGCTCTCGTGGAAGGAGTAAGGGGTCATCGGGTCCAAAGTGCCGCGGGACCCTTTCTACTGGGTTCATTTTCGCTTCTATAACCTCCCTCTGAGAAGGATCCTGTGCGTTGTGGATCACCTCCACATCGAACCATGTATATGACCCATCGTAGGGATTGGGCATTCTTGCTTGACTGGCACCACCTTGGTCGTGGGAGACAATGGAGAAGATGACTTTACGGCAGGGATGCGCGGCTCTATGCGGGAGTTGCTTCGGGGAAGGGGTATCTAGAGTCTGTAACTCGTTAGACAATATATCAGCAACAGTAACTATGCAAAGGGTTCTAGTGAAACTCACCCGCTCATCGTAACAAAGAGGGCTCGTCCTGACCAGCGCTTGATCTACATCCTTTCGAATAATCCGCTGTCCTTCCATTCGAAACTCAACGGATGGCCAGTATTCCGCAGCATCGATGATCATATCTACAACCTCGGCTGGAACCCCCCCGGCGATTACTTTCCATGCCAAAATATGGCGGACTTTAAGCACGTCATAGATGCCTGGATAGAACTGCTGTTCTGCCTGCTCTGGGTTGTCTGGTTGTTGGTTTTCCGGGGGTGGATGGCCCCGAATAGGACGTCGACGCATATAGGGGGGGAGCAAAAACATCTGAAGGGCTGGTAGAAGCTTGACTTCCTGTAGACAGGACTAGATACCAGCTGATTCGTTGGGCGGAATAAGATGTAGTCTCTAAACTAGGGTAGTGTTGAATACTATCGAGTGAGGTATACTGTACTGTAACTGCTACCTGGAGATTCCCTGAAACTCACGTGGACTATCCGCTAGAGATCCGTCAGTATCAGCAACGAGTTAGGCATATAGGAGGGGTATAAACCTCATCATTGATAGGGTTCAACTTCATCACATAATAAGAATCCTGTAAAAACTTATGTATGCTTCCAGCAACATAAGAGAATTTCGATGTTTATCGCCGGATTTGGCTTGATACATGACGTCATCGTCTTGTCCCAACAATCCAAAGAAATATAATATCTTGCAATATATTTGCTCGTTGGTGTGTAAATAGCGGGGTAGGAGTTGTATTACAAGGCTACCTAATAGCAGTATCTTCGACCCACGCGCGTAGAAGATGTGGTGAAAGTACAAGAAGTCATAAAACGAACATATCGCCAAACAGCAAGTTGCTACATCATCCCCATAACTCCATATATGCATAAAGGACACTCCATAAAACACCTGAGGCGGACCCCCGAATCAACAAGGAGGAGGAGGGAATACACATGAAAATTGTTTGTTCGCATTAGAGGGGGTCTCAGGAAAACGCATTATTCTATTGAACGGCCGTTTCATTCAGCCACTAAGCATGCCCGCTGAATGATGCAGAGAATTGACTGGATTCGAAGGTAAGGCTGAGGAAGTATGTCACTTGGATGTGGCCGATTGGAAAAAGCCTAGTCGGGTGGGAGGTGGGGAGTAGTCGGGATTTCGTGAAGTGCCTTGCGCTGATCGATGATCCAGGGCAGGGTAAGGTGCAGGATGAGGTTTGCGAACGTCCAGGGGGGACGCGCTCAGAGATCGGAATCCAGATTGTCGGTCTGCTTCGTATTGGGGATACAGAGCGGCACCTGCTACTGGGTGCTCTTGCTCATTACCGTAAGGGGTGTTGTTTGCAGAAGAATTCTCTGCGATCGTTGAGGCTGACCCATTGGGCGCGTTTACATCAACGACCCGCATTTGACCCGCGGGTGTATTATAAGTGGGCGCGCGTGGATTCTCCGAGATCCTACTCTGCGGTCTTTGGGGTATTCGCTGCTGATAGTGGTGGATCGGGTGCTGAGGGTTCGCCCACGGCGTTTGCTCGAGAAAGGCCTCCTCCGCGGACGTATGATAAACACTCGATGGAATGGTCGACATGACCCCCGGGGGGACTGTGCTTTGGTGCTGAGAAGCAAAAACTTTTGTTTCGACAGTTATCTGCATATAAACTAAATGTCAGCCTGGGGGTCTGAGAAATTAAATAAGGAGTAGACAAGACTTACGCCCATCTTCTCCAAGTCCTCGTCGATCTCTGAAGGGCGCGCAGCCACCAAGGATGATGCAGCTGGGAAACCAACATATTTGGCGACTCCCGCCAAAATGGATACCTCTTGGTTGTATGCAGTTTGGTTAGCGATCTGTTGAGAGCGGCGGGTCGGGAACGGAATATAATGCTGCGGGCTGACATCATCCGTCTTGAAGCGATCATGCTGGATCGAATAGAATTGTTTGCTAATGGCACTCGAATGTCTTTCACGTATATCTCTGATTCGCTGAATATACGAACTGTGTGTTTGAGCACGCTCTGCAAGACTTTTGTTCACAAGAGATTTAAGGCGGTATCGGAAAAGGGTGTGTTCGTAATCGACCTTGGCGTCTGTGTACCGCTTAACACACTCGAGTTGGCGCAAAAGTTCTGGATGTGTCGGATTTGAGCCTGTGAGCATGTCTAGTTCACGATTCAATTTGGATATCCTTTCGTCATAAATCCTAATATGGCAAAACTGTTAGAAACAAGGCCAGAGCAAAAGCTTAAAATATGAGGGAAGCGATGGATCATACTTATCACGGAGGATCGCGAATTCTCGCTCTAGAACAGATAATGAATCCATAGCGGATGTCCTTTTAACTGCTGTACAAAAAGACGGTTAGTAATACTGACGGTCCGGGAGTGGTGTGACAACTTACAATCCTCTACCAGCTTTGCAGCAGCTTCGCCGGCATCAGCATCCTCCGGGCGTTCGGCTGTATCGTCATCACCAAGCTCCTTATCAGCTTGGTCGTCTTTCCCGTGAACACCACTGTCAACGTCGTCATCGACCTCTCTAGTTTTATGTTTTCGTCTGCTTTTCTTGGGTCGGGGGCCTGTAATGGGAGCGGATGGTAGGTCGGGTTCAGGGATTTCGTCGACAGGGGTATTTTCAGTCTCATCTAGTTTTGGAGGTTCTTCAATACGTTCTGGAGTTAGAACGAGATCTGGAGGAGGGTCGCTGAGGTCGGTTTTGGCCGAACCGCGACGATCACGAGGGAAATGATCCACGTCTGGTTCAGACCCAGCTTCATTAACGGATTCTGAGCGCTTTCGTTTCTTTCCAAGACTGTCAGAGAACTTTGAATTTTCAGCCCCAGGCGCGAAATCTTCAACGCTCTCTAGAACGAGGTTCTTTGAATGAGACGACTTGCTGGGCGAGCCGTCAGCTGGAAATTTTGCTTCTTCGTCCTCCTCAATGTCGCCATACACTGTTGACTGCGCCATTTTGCTCGGACTGGGGCTGAAACCACTTGCGCTGACAACAATATTGGTCCTTAAGTGGTACTTGTTCGGCGACTCATCAATGCGCTCTGTTTCGGCCTCCGATTCGTTTTCCGGCGCTGGTAGTGGTTTTGGTGACTCAAAATCAGAGACGTCGTCAATCTCGCTCAAACTACTCGACCGTTCGCCATCTGATAGAATATCATGCATGAGAATGTTTTGGGTATTATGGGCGTCACTCTTCCGCGCACCAATAGAGGCTGGGTTGCCAGTCTCAGCGACCTCCATAAGGAAACAAGGTGCGTCTCTGAGGAAGCAGGGAGGTGTGGCGGGGAGGGAACAGGGGTGAGCTAAAAGGAGGGGTCAATGAGGAACGAGACGGTCAGTCAGTGATCTTAAAAGCCCATAATCATAAGGATGGAGGGAAGAGAAAATAGAGGGAACGGGGTAGGATGGAGGGCGAGGAGGAGATCCGGAAGGCGGTACGGAGATTCTATGATTAGATCAGTCGCTGTGTCACGTGATATAATGCTATCTCCGACCGCCCGGGGAAAAAAAAAAAGATATAGAAATTAATCCAATACTGACGGCAAGTGACAGGCAACGTTTGCAATTGGGATTCAGAATTATCACTAGGATAATTTCACCCTTCCCCAATAAATTTGATCGAAGATGGGCAAAAAATCCAAGTCGCAGACAGAAAAGTCTGCCCAGACGAGCAACACAAATGCTTCGCTACCTTTTCTAAGCGGAAATCCCTCTGTGGATCCTGCGTTGGCTTCGTTGTTCGAGACAAGTGTGCGTATTTGTGCCTTTCCGCCCTTGATAGTCTCATATATTCTAGGAGAACATATATCTAACTTGGATACACTAGGCCGGCCCGGTAAAAGCTCCAGAAATTCGTCCTACCCTTTCGATCTCAAGAGCTGGAAGGCGGGACCTGGAGAACGACGAGGAAGAGATCTCAGAAAACGATGACGGCTCTATCGCCGAAGATGAGTCCATGGAGGATGCCCCAGCAGCAGCCGATAGCGCAGCCAATAATGGTGTACACGAAGCTTCGGAACTTCCTAGCCGAAAACGAAAGCGCGCTGCTGCGGAGGATATTGAGGACTCATACATGCGCCGCCTAGAAAAGGAAGAACAAAAGGAACAAGAACAGCGCAGCGCAGAGCAAACGAAGCGTCATAAGGTTGATGGGGAGGAAGATGAGGAGGAGGAGGAGGAAGAATCATCCAAGTCCGCTGGCGAGGAAGCGGAGTCCGAAGACGAAGATGAAACAGAAATTCCTAAGCATGAGTCTCAAACTGGCGGAGGATCCGGGGATGGTAGTGAGATTGAAAAGTCCAATCGTACTATCTTCCTAGGCAACGTATCCAGCCAGGCAATCACCTCTAAATCGGCAAAGAAAACCCTGATGCAACATCTGTCATCGTTCCTCTCCGCACTTCCCGAGTCGACAGGCCCTCACAAGGTTGATTCTATCCGTTTTCGCTCTACAGCCTATGCTGGTGGTGGACAGACCCCCAAACGTGCTCTATTCGCTAAACAGGAGGTTCTTGACGACACTACGCCGAGCACCAACGCCTATGTTGTTTATAGCACAATCCAAGCTGCCCGAAAAGCTCCTACAGCGCTCAATGGCACGGTAGTCCTAGACCGACATCTACGCGCCGACAGCATCGCTCACCCCTCCAAGGTTGACCATAAACGATGCGTCTTCGTTGGAAACCTCGACTTTGTGGACAATGAAGCTAGCACTGAGGAGGGCCAGCAGAAGAAGAAAAAGAGGGCGCCTGCAGATGTTGAAGAAGGCCTCTGGCGCACTTTCAACGCAAACACTACTGCGTCCAAGGACGACAAATCGGGCCGCGGCAACGTCGAATCTGTCCGGGTAGTCCGTGACCGCTCTACTCGAGTTGGAAAAGGATTCGCCTACGTCCAGTTTTATAACCCGAATTGCGTTGAGGAAGCTCTGCTGCTTAATGAGAAGAAATTCCCTCCCATGTTACCCCGGAAACTTCGCGTGGTGAGGGCGAAGAAAATTACAAAGAAGCCTGAGGATAACAACGCCTCATCCAAGTCGCTTGCAGATGCCGATCGAACACTACATGGCCGTGCTGGGAAGCTTCTGGGCAGGTCAAGTGCCGCTAGATTAAAGGCGTCTGGGAAGCAGTCTATCTCTCAGAATTCATTGGTGTTCGAAGGCCACCGGGCAACAGCGGATGGGTCGTCTCGCATTCGCGTGAAGACGAAGAGTCGCGGCTCTAAAGCAAAGCGGGACAGCCGAAGCAAGAAGCGCGCAGCTGCTTATAAAGCTGCTGGAGGCAAACGGGCGAAGATAGCTAAGTAGGAGGACTTGTGATGAAATGCTTTTAAGAACCTTGCTTTAGTTCCCATGTTTATAATATCAAGATTTTCAGTCACTTTTGAAGAAGAATGTATACAAAAGCGATATTTGATATCAAAATCGTGTGAAAATTGACCATTATTATATTTATTCCAGGTATATTTGTCACCCAATTCTCAATTATGTTTCCCGTGCTGGACAGATGCAGAAATAATCAATCAATCCATTACCAACTGGGCGCCTGCGGGGTATATGCTAAGTTCAATCAAGGCACCACACAAAGGGGAGAATTAGATACAGATTGAATAGGGGGGGGGGGGGGAATACCAAAGAAGAGCATTAAATCGGGGGTTTTCTTTGTCGCATCCTTCCAATCAAAGGACATGATATGATACTGAGTGAGGGCTGCTTGCTGAGTTGCTCGCTTAGTTGAGTCGATCCTTCTGCTCTAATTTACTAATGAGTCGCTTCATCCCTGTCCATTCTTCTGCAGGGACATCGTCGGGAGTACCGCTGAGACCCCTGCCCACTTCGAAGATGGTAACGACGCCATCGAGGCCACCGGTTGCGAGGCGTCGGCCTTCCCGTTCCTCCCAGGCAACCTTGTTAAGACTTCTTGTGAGAATGCCGCCGCGGCCCTTGGACGGGGTAGTGCGCACAACGGGAACTTCGGTGTCTGTGTAGAGATCCCAGACCTCCAGGTTTCCTGCGCCGTCAACAAGTGAGAAGACTCCCGGGCGATGGGGAGACCAGCGGGCATCGTAGACAACGTCTTCGCGGTTGATGTCGAGAATGGGAGTGACAACCTGGGTGTCTGCTATGCCGGAGGTTGCTGGGGCGGTGGCGGCTGGGGGCCGGACGCGCCAGAGCTTCACGCTCCAGTCGAGACTGGAGCTCAGCATCAGATCTCCGAGGTCGACGGGACCGCGAGCGGGGTGGAAGGCCGTAGACATAACGGGGGCAGCGTGCCCACGGTAGGCAAGACGGTGATCAGTTCCAGCTTTAGCTCCTGCTCGATCATAGCGGTGACAGGGGTAGATGCCGCCTTCTTCAGTACCGACGATGAAAAAAGTTGGGTCGGATTGGGGGAATGACATCGTTGTGGGTGCCAGGTCTTCTGTTTTGGATGGAGGGGGAGTAGACAGCTCGAGATATTCCTGGGGTTGGGAGAGCATGTCGACGGTCCAGCCGCAGACGACGCCGTCCGTGGACGCAGTCAAGATATTGTGTGCATTCTGTGTTCCAATGATGGAAATACTGTAAACCGGATGGGTGTGGCCTGAGCCGGTCAAGGGAGTCTTTTGTACAGGCGCACCACCACCAGCACGCGATGATCGGGTATCCCAGAGGAGTACCTGACCTGAATATGAACCTCCGACGATTATATTAGGATGGAATGGGGAGAACTTGGCGGTCAAGATATCCGAAGTTGAGTGAAACACATACTCCGGGCGAGAGTGCAGGTGCTCATTCCAGATTTGAACAAGGCCATCTGGCTCATGTGGTGCCGAGGGGTTCTTGGTATATGCGGCGAGAACCAGCTCGGGGAACTTTCAACATAGTTGTTAGTAAATGAGGCTAACTTGGGGAATAGGAGACGATTTACCTACCTTCGGAGAAAAGGAGATATCAGTGATCATGCGCTTCTTACTCCATCGCTCATCCCAGAACTGGCAGACTTCTTTGATACCTCGCTTCTTTTTACCATGTTCCTCATCCTCCTCAAGCTCTCCATCGACACCTCCGAGTTCGTAGTCTGCTAACACATCGTATTCTTCGTCCAAAGCACGCTCGATCACTTTTGCAGACCGTTCAACGAAGTCCAAAAAGTCCTCAGATGAAGTCACCGCCTTAAGCTCATCATCATCAAGGGTGCGTAATGGGTACCGCAAAGTAGGATCAGCGCCGGTATCGTCCTGGGTTTTCTGTTGAGTAGCCAGCAGTTCCTCCTCAATCTCTTTGCGCAGCTTCTTTCGAATTTCTTCGTCGCGTTCGCGGTCCTTCTTGCTCACCCGTTTAGGATCCGAGGGGTCTTCACTGTCTGATTCCAAAGACAAAGTATCTTGTTCATTCTGCCTAAGGTCGTCTGTTTGGACACCTTTGCTGTATGTAACGACTTCCGCTCTGGGCTCAGGGGGCGGTGGGGGTTCAGGGATGGCGACGAAAGGTTCTGTTCCAACTGTTTGCACGGCAATGGACTGGGAAAGTGGTCGCGTAAGGGGGCTGATGGCCTCTGTATTGTCTCCACTCAGTTGACTGGCACTCAGGACTGAATTTGGCCTGCTTCCTTTTCGCGAGAAGCCATCTGCTCCGTGGCTCACCGACGCTGAGCCGGGACGGTCAACAAGACGCGAGATCAAATCATCAAGCTCTGCTCTGCTATCAGAACGGCTAGGCACTGGTGACACAACCTATGTAAATCCAGACACTAAGTAAGCAGTCCTTGCAAATAAGACAGCTGGGAATGATTTATACCTCTGATGCGTCTCCAGTGCTGGCCCGTGATTGCGAGAACTCTTTCTGTCGTAGTTCCCTCTGGCGCTTTAACTCTGCTAATTTGGCACGTTTAGCGAGGATCTCCGCCTTTCTCTGCTGCATGGACGACATAGTGTTCCGAGGAGGGTTGTCTTCCCACTGATAACGTGTTCAAACCTCCTCGTCCTCCTTACTATTTACCTATTTCCATACCCGTGTTGGTTCGGCGGCACCTGGGCGAGGATGACATAAGCTCAGGTCCGACGGCCCGGAAAAACTCGCGACAGGAACTTCGCCTTTACCAGCATCCGATTATCCTGCTCAGTCGGCAGCCATTGAAACGCTTGATAGCCTTGGAACTGCCCGTCTGGACTCCGGTCTTTTTGTTTCTTCAACCACTTTCATTTTCCCACTTGTTGCTCCGGAGGCAAGGATCTTTTCATAATGGCTGCTGCACAGGGTGTTAACGTGAGTCTTTGCAAGGGTTCCGTTTTGATAAATCAACCATTCCCCCTTCCGTACTGACCGGCTGCCACTTCTCGCAAATATAGGTTCTCCGCTATTCGGCTCTCGTCGCTGGCCTTATCTACGGTGTCTACCATCAATCCTCGATTACCGCCGGTATTAAGCGTGCAGAGGCCGACCGTGAATATGCTCGCCAGGAGCGCCTGATCGCACAGGCGAAGGCCGAATGGAAGAAGAAGACGGCACCTCAGGACAAGTCAACAGACGGTGGTGGTATGTGTTTTTGGAAATTGTTTCTCAGTTGCCAACCATAGCAACTGGGGCAATAGCGGAGTGTTCTGCGTTGCATGACGCTGTCCAATGCTAACTACTCTTCTACAGTCATCACGAATCCCGAAGACAGCCGATTCGACCTAGAGGCGTACCTCAAGATGAAGGCCGGCGAGAACTAAGGAAGTCAAGGCTATAAATGAAGAAAATAAAAAGGAAAGACGGAATGAGAGGCCTTTGAAGGTTGTACCCCCCTCTCGGGTGCTTAGAGAGATGTTTCGGGAGAACCCCGATTATGTATTATTGTTTGGTCTAATTTCCCAGAGTCGTGTCATTGCGAGCGAAAGGAATGATTTTCTTTTCTTTTTTCAATTATAGAAATCCGATCCGCATTTTGTACATACCCTGGGCTGTTGCACCTGTACTCTATATTGGACCAGAGGAGCAAGAGATTCTGTTCTTTGCATCGGTTTGGGCGCCAATTCTATCGTACTATCCCAGTATGCTCTGGTTTGATGACTGTCATTATTGGTATTGTTCTATGTTCGCAAAGAATATCGTAACCCATTAAGAAGTAGACACCGCGTGGCTCGCTCAATGCCCCAAACTCCCTTGAACCTTTTATAGAGATGCGTGAAGGTAGAGACTCCCAACCTAGATGTCCATCCACCCCTCTAGCTGCCGCTAATCAAGGCCATTACCCGACTTAGTTCACTTTGCAGACGACTATCTTTCGGGGGAGCGGTAATGATCGGCTTGGGGTGTAGTAATCTCGTTTCTTCATCCCACCTCCACCCACATGCTATAAACTTTTCGATAACCGCCGGGTCGCCTTGTTCGGCAGGTGCTGGGTCGAGGCCGAGATAATTTGCGGCTACTGCGGGCCGGATAGCCTCATAGGAGTTGCTGACTTCTTTCAGGGTTTTCTCTTGGAAATAGCCTGGGGGCTCTGTCAGAATGGAGCTGTCATCACGTCAAGGTTTTCCGCCTTACTCTCATAACTTTGCACTACGGGCTGACATCGCTCTGGCCATGGCAATTCCCGGAGGATCTTGTAAACTTGCTCACACTCCCGTTGCCAAACAGCTCGCAAGAGAAGCAAGCAATTTTGCAGCGATGAGTCTTTTAGTAACTCGCGAGGTATCCGCTTCGTTAATGCTCGGGCTTCGCAACTGTTATCTCATATTAGCAGTCTGTAGGAATTATATAGTAGAAAAAATTAAAAGCCATAGATATCTATGATCTGGGAGGAAAGGAGGGCAACCCACATCTGATCACTGAGAAGATGAGAGAAAAAAAAAGTTGTATAGAAATTGCTTAGTAGCTCTTGCTCCTTTGAACCTGTCGTTGGGAGCAGACAAGCTTGATCTTCATAATCTAAAAGATTGTTATAGAGGTCGGTTGGCGTGGGAGAGGATGTGAGAACTGCGGATAGTTGATCTAGGGAAAGCGGAGGAAGATCCATAACAGACGACTAGAGGAGATGAAATGAAACGAGAGTTGACTCTGTACACAGTAGTTGTGCGTAGTGGTAGGCGTGGTAGTGACTATCTGACTCGTTAGTATGACGATGCGGGGGACCGCTCGGAAGTTCATTGATGACTTTTGAAGTACCTGGCGCCAAGACTTCCAAAGAGACCACCTGGCGAAGCTCTCCCAGTCTTTACAACATCGCAACTCTCCAACCCCGGTACCATCACTTCTCCGGACAGGACGAGGGCCCTCCTGTCTTGTTTCTCTTGTCCATTGGAATTTGTCTTTTCTTTCCCTCCTGGCCATCATGGCCGAATCTTCCATGGATGCCCTTTTCAAGGGCAGCTCCGGCAGAAGTACGCGCGGTCTTCTACGCATCATCATTCTAGTGACCATTGCTGCCGCTGCTGTTTCTAGTCGACTGTTCAGTGTTATCCGTATGTGTCCTATAACCATTTAGGATTCGGGTTGTCCCTTACACCAGCTTAAAGTACATTGCTAATGTGATTGTCGTTTCTGCCGTTGTAGGATTCGAGAGTATTATTCACGAATGTATGTATACGATCCGGCCTCTGCAGCTCGCATCTGCCAACATTTTACTCGAAAACACAACGGAAATATGTGGAATTGAAACTAATCCTTTCTATTTGCTCAGTCGATCCTTGGTTCAATTTCCGTGCTACAAAATATCTAGTTCAGCATGGCTTTTATGAGTTCTGGGACTGGTTTGACGACCGTACGTTGCGCTTCCCCCGCGAGACTGGCAATCCGCTAGTAGGCATCAATTGGACGCTATGCCACGTTCTGAAGTCTATACTTACGTATTCCTAATATTTAGGCACATGGCATCCTCTTGGGCGGGTCACCGGAGGTACCCTGTACCCTGGCCTCATGGTAACAAGTGGCGTTATCTACCACCTTCTCCGATTCCTGACGATTCCCGTTGACATTCGCAACGTTTGTGTCTTAATGGCACCCGGATTCTCTGGGTTGACAGCCCTGGCAATGTATCTTCTAACTAATGAGATGACGACCTCCCCCTCCGCCGGTCTCCTTGCCGCTGCTTTTATGGGCATCACCCCCGGATACATCTCGCGCTCCGTGGCTGGCAGCTACGACAACGAAGCCATTGCTATTTTCCTTCTGGTTTTTACCTTCTTCCTCTGGATCAAGGCTGTTAAGATTGGATCCATCATGTGGGGCGCCCTCACTGCCCTTTTCTACGGATACATGGTTTCAGCATGGGGTGGATATGTCTTCATCACCAACTTGATTCCCCTGCATGTCTTCGTCCTTCTCTGCATGGGCCGATATAGCTCTAGACTTTATATTAGCTACACCACCTGGTATGCGCTTGGAACTCTGGCCAGCATGCAAATTCCTTTTGTTGGATTCTTGCCAATCCGGAACAGCGACCACATGTCCGCCTTAGGTAAGGCCCTCACCTGATCGCAATGGTAGGTTTGTACTAACTTAGGGCTAGGGATCTTTGGTCTCCTTCAACTTGTTGCGTTTGCGGAGTTCGTCCGTGGTTTCATTCCAGGCAAACAGTTCCAAAGACTTCTTACTGCCACTATCATACTCACTTCGGGTATCGCCTTTGTTGGACTGGTCGGATTGAGCATGTCAGGTGTCATTGCCCCCTGGAGCGGTCGCTTCTATTCCCTGTGGGACACTGGCTATGCTAAGATTCATATTCCAATCATCGCGTCTGTTTCTGAGCATCAGCCCACCGCCTGGCCATCGTTCTTCTTTGATCTGAACTTCCTGATCTGGCTCTTCCCTGCTGGTGTTTACATTTGTTTCCGTGATCTCAAGGATGAGCATGTGTTTGTCATCATCTATGCGGTTCTTGCAAGCTACTTTGCTGGTGTCATGGTTAGACTCATGTTGACCTTGACCCCAATTGTGTGTGTTGCGGCGGCGCTGGTCTTGTCTTACATCCTCGATACTTACCTGAAGACATCCCCTGGCCCCAATACCCGTGGTAGAACCAATGATGACCCCTCTTCCGAGGGTCTCCGTTCTGCGCGGACCCCTGAAGTTGGAATCACCTCTTACTTCTCCAAGATCGTCACCACGGGAGCCATGATTGTTTACCTCCTCTTATTCGTTGCCCACTGTACCTGGGTTACATCCAATGCGTATTCATCCCCATCCGTGGTTCTGGCTAGCCGCATGCCAGACGGGAGCCAATTTATCATCGATGACTACCGAGAGGCATACTATTGGCTTCGTCAAAACACCCCCCAGAACGCCAAGATCATGTCCTGGTGGGACTACGGCTACCAAATTGGTGGCATGGCAGATCGCCCAACGCTTGTTGACAACAACACATGGAATAACACTCACATCGCCACCGTTGGAAAGGCCATGAGCTCGCGTGAGGAAGTTAGCTACCCCATCCTTCGCCAACATGATGTCGACTATGTCTTAGTTGTCTATGGTGGCTTGCTAGGATACTCTGGCGATGACATCAACAAATTCCTCTGGATGGTCCGTATTGCCGAAGGTATCTGGCCCGATGAGGTCAAGGAACGGGACTTCTTCACTTCACGTGGAGAATATCGGGTCGATGACCAGGCCACTCCCACCATGCGCAACAGTTTGATGTATGATCCATCCTTTTCTTCACTGTTCGTACTCGTAGGATGCTAATTGCGATCGAATAGGTACAAAATGTCGTACTACAACTTTAACAAGCTTTTCCCTATGGGTCAAGCCATGGACCGTGTTCGCGGCTCTAAGCTTCCTGCCGAAGGTCCTCAGCTTTCCACCCTCGAAGAAGCTTTCACCAGTGAGAACTGGATTATCCGTATTTATAAGGTCAAGGACCTCGACAACTTTGGCCGAGACCACAACAGCGCGGTTGCATTTGACCAAGGCAGCAAGCGAAAACGGACAACTAAGAAGAAGGGTCCCCGAGTTCTCAGGTCCGAATAAGTGAGGGGGTTGAGCTTCCTTTATTTAAGGATCGTGTAATTAAGGGAAGAACTCCCTTTTGTTTGTTTAGAATTTTTTTTTTTTCATTTTCATGTCTTTGTATTTATTTTTTACCTGTTCGGATGGGGGAAGAAGAAGGTTCATAAAAAAAAAAGCATCTAAATGCCCCGAAGTCAAAGACATTTATTTGGCTTGTATAGCCAAAACCCAATGAATCCAACAACGATCACCATGTACCCGACCAATTTTCCCTTGGGAGGCAAATAATTGCGTCAATGTAATGAATTTTGGCTCTGAATAATATACATGCAGACTAATGTACCAGACCTAAGTCAACAAAATGAATGGAGATACTTCTTCTCACCGTTGAGGGCTACTCACAGATCCTCCTCGGATGGGGTAGAGCAGAGTAGGACACAACAACGATCACATCTTTCTCCCCTTGTCCCAATATGAGACCGTATCAACCCTCGAGTTTCCCAGCTGCGTTACATCTGCGATTCGTGATAATTCCAGAGCTAGATACGGTGGCTCTCCGCAAGGCATGGTCTGTTCAAGCAAGACAAGATCTCCCACGATATACTCCAGAAACCCCTATTACACCGTAGCTGGAAAAAAGAAAATATATATATCTAAACGTTGACCTGAAGGGACGAACGTATACTGAGGAAGACGAGCGTCATATGCGGCGATGGGTTTCTATTGCTGTTTCGGCGACGTGGCGGGGGCATCGGGAACCTTGACATCTGAGAACTCGTCCTGGCCGACAGCGCGGATAGTATAAGCATCTAGTTTGAGAGTATTAGCAGGTCCCGGCATATATTGAGTCGTGCGTGAGTTTGTGTGTGTGTGTGTGTGTGTGGTGTATGCCCGCCCGGGAATGCAGTCAAGGGCCGTGTGGTTGATTGTGGGCTGATCCTATCCTCGGAGGTTTGGGGGAAACGTACAGACGCCGATGGTGAATGCGCACAGGGCTAGACCGGTCGCGGCATTCTTGAAGAGATAAGGACGGCGAGCACGAAGGAGAGCAGCTCCTGCACGGTAGTCTTTACCGTAGTATGTTGAGTTGAAGCTGCATAGCCGGAGAGGGTCAGTTGGTTTCATGCGAGCAGCAAGTTGGCCCAAGCGGAAAACACTGGCAGAGGGATATAATCGGGGGCGCAAACGTACATTCCAACCGGCATATTGAAGGTTATCTGATGACGAGGGTGCTGAGAAGAATTGACCGAGAGAAAGGAGTAATGATTAGAGAGCCGCCGTGAGAAAGTGACGGCGCAGGAAGGAAGCAAAAGTGATGCCGCTGGGCCCGTCTTGGCACGTGATCTGTACATAGACAAAAGCGACGATTCTCTACGGATTACTTTGTCAACTAATCATCGGATTTCGGGTAAGATGAGCCAGTTTTATGCCTGGAATTCGTGAGAGTTCTGACGCAGATAAGCCTGCTGCTTGGATTCCCAGCTGTGCAGAACTCCTACGTTGCCGGAGATCACAAAATGCCATTGCGAATGGGAAATTTCCCGGTTTGTATGTCTACTATTAACTATTCGCGTTTGCATGCAATTACATGTCGGTCACTGTCCACTATGACTAGGAGAGGACAAAGCTCCGAAACCAAACTTATAGGTAGCATCTCCTTATCCTGGTAAATTTACCCTGCTCACTAGCTTTTGGATTGCGATTCGGGGGACCTCTATGCCTACTCGGCTCAGCGATGGATCTGGAACGAAGCACAGCAGCTACGAAGCAGATACGTTTCATTTGACCTACATACGCTCATTCAGATCGCAGAGGAAGCCGGCGGGGATAATGCAGTTTGCGTCAACGTCTCGAAGCTACCAGAAGGGAACTTCAACAAGGCGTTTCTTGTTACTATGCGGGATGGACTGGAGTTAGTCGTCAAGATCCCAAACCCGAACGCAGGACCTAGTCACTATACGACAGCGTCAGAAGTGGCGACAATGCAATATGTGCGAAGTCCCGGATGATAAACCAAACGGGCGATCAGGATAGCTTATTTGGACTAACATCTTTGAAGGCAAGGGAAAATCTTCAACTTCCTGTCCCTAGAGTTCTTTCTTACTGTTCCCGTGCTCTGGAGAGTAAGCTAGGCTTGGAGTATATTATCATGGAGAAGGCTCAGGGTATTGAGCTCAGCCACATATGGGAAAGTCTTAAGCCGCGTGACAAACTATCTATCGTGAGGCAAATTGGCTCCATAACTTCCATGCTCTCTAAGGCAAGGTTTCCATTCCACGGTTCATTATACCTTCGCGAGGATATCTCTAAGTCCGAAAGCATCAAAATTGATGATACCTTCGTAATTGGATTGATAATAGGGAGAGCTTGGTTTGATGATAGAAGAGGTGAGGTTGATGTTCAAAGAGGCCCCTGTAAGCTATTTCATTGCTTCCCAAAGTAAACATTAGGTTGACCATATCTTGACTAGGGACGAGTACGAACTTCACCATAAATGCAATCATTCAGCGAGAGCTATCCTGTATAAACAAATTTTCAGGATCTCCTCGCGCTTGTCAACAAGGCATTTTCAATGGACCTGGTGGTTACCATCCCACAAAAGTAAGAAAGTTATCTGTTCTACAAGACTTTCTTACAATATATCAATATATCCTTCCAAAGGATGAAGGACTCAATGCGGGCATAATCTGGCATAATGATCTACACACGGGCAACATCTTCGTTGATAAAGACAATCCTACAAAAATAACTAGTATTATTGACTGGCAAGCCATCCCTATTTACCCGATCTTTCTTATCGCCCATCATCCTTCTCTTATAGAGTATGATGGTCCAAAGCCAGAACGGTTTATTCAGCCTCGCTTGCCAGAGAATATCGAAAAGCTTAATTCTCAGGATCAAAAAGTTGCTAGGGAGCTATTTCTTGCACAGACATTCTGGCTTTACTACGAGACACAAGTCTATAAGGAAGCTCCGGACTTGCTTCAAGCGTTTAAATATCGGGAAACCTTGCAATCTGAGCTATTAAGCCTAGTGGGGTCAATATTTGACGATGGAGAGCCACATGTCCAAAAGCTTCTTGCGAATGTTGCTAGAGATAACATCTGGAAACAGCTAGTTGGGGAGGATAATCATGGCAAACCAAGTGTCCCATGCCCCCTGAACTATACAGAACGTGACTTGGTTAAACAGAGTAAGGAGTACGCCAAATGGGAGAAAGACATCGAGAGAAAAACGCGAGTGATTGATGAATTAGGAGTGTATACAGGCTGGAATGGAGCTGTATCTCCCGGTGACTATGAAGAAGTTGTTAGAAGACTTACTCTTTCCAAAAAGAGGTTTTTAGACCGGGAATCGAGAACTCCGGAAGAACTGGTGTTGTGGGAGAAGGCATGGCCTTTCGAGGCTAAACCCGGTGAATGAAGAGGCTCTGTCATACCCTGTCGTCAAGCACACTGACGGGACGCAATCTGCCAACCAAGTATTAATTAACTTCAAATTCAATGTACCAGGGAGGTCGAGACAATGTGATCTTTCCCAAGGCTCATTCATGGTACGGGAGGTGGCCTTGATCTGTCGGAGACGATATCTGAGGGATATTTATAGTCTACCTGTCCGTCTCGAAAGGTAAGCTAGAGGTTGTTGGTTATGTGAAAGCTGGATAATAACTCTATAAAGGAACCGCAATACCAAAATCCTTAGCCCTTTATCGAGAGCGAGATTCACGATTTACCCTTCAGCCCTCGTACCCTATGACTTTGCAAGGTATGTCGCGCTATTTGAACATTCCAAATCATCGCCAAGTACGCAGCTCTCAACGAGACTCTCGCCCATTTCTATACCACGGTTTGCACTTCGACGCCTTCAGAAGAACGGTTGGAAAAGAATCCCTACAGCAAAGCATTTTTTGATAATTTTGGGGAGTGGATGGGTAGCTAAATGATTAGCTGTTGATATCCACGTCTGTGTCTTGTCATCCTGCGACAGACTTGGTACGGTGGAAGTAATCTAGAAGTGCACAACTTCAGGGGGGTTTATAATATGTTATGTTATATATATGAAGAAGTGGCAGTTTGATGCCGTACGTAGTGTAGATAGTTTGGAATATATTGTGTTCTAGGTAATTCCCTCATAGTGCACTAAGCCTATTTCAGATATCACGTGTTGGAAAGCGGGGTCGGTCGGGAAGCTAACCAGACTGAGACTAGTTAATGGAGACAAGGTTCCACAGCTCATTCCGTGATTGATTATATCTGCCGACCGAGTCGCTTAGAAGATGTCTATTATAGAAAGTCTGGCGATCTATCTATACTGAAAGACATGGTATGAAGGAATTGGGTTTGATTTTAAGGGTGATTGCGTTTAAAGGAAGTATTGAAGTATATTACTACCCATTCAACCACCCGTGGCGGAGCACATGCCGACGCTGAGCTCCACTAATAACTAGCGATTCAGCTAACTAAAATCAACCACTGTTGAATGTGGCCCGTTTTAGGCGCTTTTGGGGTGATTTTTGTATGATTTCAATACAATGAGATCCTCACTATAAGAGCATCTTTATTGTTGAAGTGAGATGTTGATTGGATTGCTAGTCAAGGCTATCTCTTTTCCACATATTCCAGTGTCACGTGTCCAACGGACCATAGTTAATCCGAGAACATTTGGATGCATTACATCAGCATTTATGGAAATATCACGTGATGTAAAATTCCGGCACGGCCCACGACTCTTGATAACCGTGATATACACGGTAGGCCCTTGGCTTAAATTAGGGAATAGCACTCTAGATAGAAATGCAAACAGAGCAATGCCTGTAACAATTACCGCTGACGCTAATACCGTGGTTCAATACTAGATGGGTGTTTCAGAACTTGTTGCGTCGGATCGGCCAAACCTGTACTCCGACTGGTGCGACTTTGCAACCACCAAAAGATCCGTCATCAACAACAACTTGATTGGGATCCATTGCCCTTGAATTCATCTATCATGAGACAGACCACCAGCTCCTATCGACTAATCCTTATTGACCTGCAGTTCCTCTTCTCAACCCCAAGCTTTCACGTCTCTACTGGTGGTCTGATTTTCTCATCATCTTGCGACTAGCTCTAGCTGTTTCACGTGAGCAAGCGGCAAGTCACTCGTCGCGCCTTTACTCCGAGCCGCCTTCTATTGATCCTTCCTCTTCACCGTCTACCATAAATCTCTCCCGACGTAGATATCTGTCAGAAATCCCAATCTCGCTTTACACTTGAGCTTTCTCCTGGTTCTTCTATCCTCTACATAGCCCGACCCCACACCGTTGGATGGAGCCGTCATGGCCCAGCCTGGAGACCATCTTGTCGACCAGATCGCGCAGCTAAATGCTGCCCGTAACCTTGTCCTCGGAGATGCCGCATTTTACCCTCAGATCGTGAATGGAGTTCTCCCAATTATCGGTGCACAGGCGCGATTGGAGTTGCGACGATGGGGAACCGAATTCTTAGCCGAAACATTCGCTAGCCCTGCATTTCCTGCAGCTCAGAAGGAACAGTTGACAACAAATGTATTGCAGACAGTACGGAATATTCTGGAGCTTCCGGAGGGAGATCAATTGGTCTTGGAAAATATAGTTCAGACCGCTGCCAGTTTGTATCCGCTGGTTTTTAGGCATATGTAGGTCATCAGTGCTTGCTCTCCATTTTTTTACCCCGACGGTCACCATTCGTAGATGTTGGCAAAGTATCGGAAAATATGTTTATACTGTTGCTTGATGATATGATAACTAACACTTAACGCTACAGTATCAACAATGCGGAAGCCAAAGAAGCCTGGGACAATATGTCAGCCATTAAGCAGGATATCTTACGCAGATGGGATTCATTTCCGCACCCTGTGAAAATATGCTGTATCAAATTTGTTCAGCGAGTCGTTCTAGTGCAAACGCATGGCTTAATATCAGATCCCAGGGTATGTGTTCAGTTTATTGGGTTTAGACGAGAGTGAAGAAAAATCATTGACAGCATTGTCTAGCGGCCTGAACAAAACGAAACGTCGTTGGCCATCGTTCCTCGAAGTCACCCCATCCTCTCTCTCCCTAACCTAGAAGCAGAAGCTTCCGGTTTGTTAGATAGGCTCTTGTCAGTCTTTCAAGAGGATGCAAGGTAATCAACCCTCTCTCCAGCTTCCTATGAGAACAGAGACTAATCATCGGCGATCCTTGTCTAGTGATCCTCTCCTTGTAAACGCGACGCTTAACAGCCTTGCAGTTCTTATCCGAACACGCCAGTCCGTTGGCAACAAAATCATAAATGCAATCTTGAACTTTTTCCCTGCGAGACAAGCGCGCTCACCGGTAACACCTGCCGTGCGAGTTGGCGTCAAGTCGATGGAGCGGACGACACGAGCATTGCTGATAAATATTATGAAGAGGTGAGGAGTGCTCTTTTTTCTCTAGCGATAGGGTTCTGACAGTTTTCTAGGAACCCTAGTCATCCTCTTGTGGGAAGGATGCAGCAACATATCGAGCGTTTAATGCAATCGCGTATTGAATCTGTAGAAGATACGTCGCGCAAGCGGGGACTACCTTCTGAGCCAACAGATGGTCTTGATGTTGCTAAACGGGCGAGGCTTGATGCTGAACCCCCGGCAATTATCGAAGTCCCACCTCTTCCTCCAGGTCGCTTAAGTTATGCGCAGCTCTTCACCCTAACAGAGGATACGGGACTCTCCTCCTTCGACGTAAAGCAGCTCCCTACTGACCTTCTCGTTAAAATCGTCATTCCTCTTCTCGCGCGTGTTGACCAGTCTTCAATGAACCAATCTCTTGATGTATGTTAAATGGCATTGAGCACTTAGGACATATTCTAACTTGATTACAGGCTATAAGAATGCGATACGAGACCTACCAAAAGCAACAAATGACAACCCCTCAGGCAGCGCCGGTCGAAGAGGAAGATGATTATGAGCCCGAATACCAGCCCATGGATGTTCCACCGCTCGCTGCAGATCACGAAGACGCTGTGTCCGCGGAGATCGTAGGCGAACAACCAGACCTTGTGTCCCTTGGGCCATTCGTTCTGCCTCAGCCCCCACCTTTGAGCGAAGAAGAAGCCGCAGAGGCTGGACGGGGCGCTGTTGGAAGAGTATTTGGCATGGTTGCATCTACGACAGTGGCTCCGGCCTCGGGAAAGAACAAAGGTCAACATAATCTTGGCTTTTCTAGATTAGCGGGTAGCACATTTGACCGGGACGCCTGGGTAACTCTACTCGTTCGACTTGCGACAAGAGCCCCTGCTGGACTTGAAGCAGGGGGCCAAAAGACGGAGTCGGATATGTCAGCCAGGAAAAGGCCAACAATCTCGGATTCAATCCGAGAAACACTTTATCGACATATCCTAGAAGATTTCAGGGCACGTGTCAATGTTGGGATATCATGGTTAAACGAGGAGTGGTACAATGACCGAATCCAAATGAAGCTGACCGCTTCCCAGCGGACAGAAGAAGACGAGGAAGTTTCGGTACCGTTGCATTATGACAAATGGGCTCTACGACTCCTGGATGGGTTTCTACCATATCTGGATTCTCGCGACACTAAGATCTTTATTCGCTTTCTCAGTGAGATTCCTGAGGTGACGATCCCGATCACCAAACGAATTGCTAGCCTTGCCAAGGATCCAGAGCGAGTAAATCTTTGTGTCCAATCCTTAATGTATGTTCCTTTCGTTTTTCTCCAAGATTTCGTCAACTGACCAGCATTAGGTATTTGATAATGTTCCGCCCACCGGCGCGAGAAATATGTCTCAATGCTTTGGAGGAAGTTTATGAAACCTGTAAGCCATTATGCCGCGTATCTCAGCGTTTTCGCAGATATGGTTGCTAATTATGATCGATATAGACGAGGAGTCACGTCCTTCTGCAGGCAAGGTCCTGGCAAAGTGGCGACCACAAAGAGTTGCACAGCTAAAAGGCGAACAAACTACCCTGGTAAGACGCTCTGCTGAAGCGCAACCGGCCGGCGTGCCACTTGCGAACGGTGTCAAAGACCCCAGGCTCGCCTCTTTGCCGGTCTCTCAGGCCTCCGATACCACAGCTGCTTGATTTTGAGCGTTCTGCAAGACATTCCGAAAGAAATCAATGCCAGTGATTCCCCATCAACTTTTATCCGGCCGATATCCTTGCCAGATATACACCCATTTTGGAGCGAGCACATGCAGTGGTTCTTTTACGCTGCATTGCTGCAACAACTGCATGATGTACTTTTACGACTACATGGCTTGAGCATTAATTCTCAGACCTAGTTATAAGAATAGGTCGAGATGTGAGATGTATAGTAGTGAGTGAAATGGAGTTATTTCCAATACTATTGCCTCAAGTACGTACGACCGGATAAAGGTATCTTTGAGTGAAGTAAGACTCTTTATACCTATACATATATCAGATACGGTTATTTGATAATTTATGTTATATCAATCTTTGATTTGCACTTTTATTTCCTTTGATAGTATTCCAGTTGTGCGAGTGTACCATATACCTAATGTTTTCCCTTTTCACTTTTTCTCCTCTCTACATAGAAAGACCAAAATTAACAGAGTTAAATGTATAAGGTGATCCCCATGTACCTGAAGACAGAATGAAATATAATATAATAGTGTGTATGTAATTTTTCTGTATTTTCATGAGCGTCATCAAATCTCTATATAGTTAACGTTATCTATTTTTCTATAGTGATACTTTTATATATACTGTAATAAACCCCAACTAACCTTTTACAGGTTGTGAAAATTGAATCCCGCATAATGGCAATTACTCACTCAGTAGGTATATCGGAAGCCAACCTGAACGAAAACAATTTTTAGCACAAACCTGTGACTTGACGGGAATCGGGGAGGATGTAATACAGTGTTCTGGAGCACTTTGCCACCCCTTTGTTGGCGATTGTGGGTATAAAAGCCTATGGTGAATAGTCCCACGATTGCAATCATGAGGAGATGTGATCTGGTAAATAATATAAAATAATAAATAGGGTTCCCAAGTTAGTACGTACTATACATAGAATCTCGACGTGGGTGTTCTTCTGTAAAGGCAGTGGGTGGGTGAGTGGGGACTGGTTAAGACGACTGACCCTATGGAAACCCAGACAGCAGTTGGATACTCCGGTGCCTCGTGCTGACGCACGATATAACTTCCTGCGATTCCACCGAGGCCGTTACATGCGGATACGGCTGCCGCGGTGGTGGCGCGCTTCCATTGGCCGACGACGTTGTTCGCCATGAATGCGTTCAGGGCTGCCCAGTTCGAGACGTATGCGCCTGTTGCTAGGAAGGTGCCGATGTATCGGACAGTTACTTGGGTTGAGGCCGGAAGGCCGAACATCAGGAACCCCACGATGAGACATAAGGCGTTGAATGTGATGAGGGGGCCGCGGAGTTGGTATGTATCTCCTATTAGTGAGGTGAAAAGTACGGGGATAATGGACCAGTAGTATGGCTGTTTGAGGTTAGCGCTTGGGTTAATGGGCTTTTTTTGATGTTGAGTGGAGAGAAGAACGGGAAGAAGAAGAAGAAGAAGAAGAAGAAGAAGAAGTAGGAGGTACCGGTGTTGATAGCAGGATGGACTCGTTACCCGAGAAGCCCATTCCGGATACTAGAATCATAGGGAGGAAGTAGTTTAGTGCGGTTGATACTAGATTCAAGAGGAAGAACATGCACGCAAAGCCGTAGAGTTTAGGATCTGTGAAATTGACAAGGACTTTGCTCCAGGTGAATGGGTCGAGAGCAACGTCTCCGCGATCAGCCTGGATGCGCTGCGTAGCGATCTTGGCTTCTACGTCGGAAAGGAAGTAGAAGCTCCTCTGCGCATTCTCAGGGAAATCAATCATCCACCAGTACGTGACGACCCCTATGACAGAGGTGACAAGGCCCTGGACCAGGTACATCCAGCGCCAACCCTCCATCCCCGCCTTTCCGTGCAGTTGGTTCAGGCCATAGTTGACAATGTAGCCTGTCGCAAGCCCAGCAACCTCTCCGGACTGAAGGAATGCAAAGCGCAGCTGCTGCTCGCGTCTAGTGTACCAAGTGCTGACAAGATAAGTCAGACCAGGGTAGATCCCAGACATGGCCATGCCCAGCAACACCCGCATAACGATCATTTGTCGCCAGGTTTGAACAAACGCCGTGCAAAGCGTAATCACGCCGAAGCAGAATGTGATCGTCGCAAACCAGATACGAGGACCAACCAAGCGTACTGCAACAGTACAGGGAAGCTGGAAAACAACGCTGGTAACAGTGAAGATGAAGATGGACAGCGAGTACCGGGTTCCCTGGAGGTCGAGATCACTCAGCATTGTCGTCACGGACGCTGACGAGAGGATCCCCGAATCAAGCAAATTGAGACTGCATAGGACTCCGGCAATTGTACATAGCCGCAAGTCTGTCTTTCGGCGAATCTGGGCCTCGAGATGCTTCAATTCCCCAGTCTCGGGAATAGAGTCATCGGGACTACTTAAGACCGGATTGAGGAGGGAGACCGTCTTCTCAGAGGGCAAGACATTGCCATCAGTCTTGATCATTCTGTGCGCAGAACCTGGATGGTGGAAAGGGGGGAGGGGGGATGTTGGATGACAATGAAGGGGCTGAATTCGAGGGATATTTAAATATTGGAGGCTATCACCGACGCCATTTTGGAGTTGCGTAATGAATGTTTGTCTTATCAATCATCGCACAATCAAACACACCAAATTAGTAATTCCTTTTAGAGTCACATCGAGGTAGTTATCATTCTCTCTTTACAGTAGAGAGCCAGAATCATTCTTTGTCTCTAAGTTGAATTAATCCCTTTGAGAATCCGGGGATGTCTACTTTGACGGTCCTGGGAAGAGGAGCCCATTCGATCGAATTGAATTTTAACCGAACCCATTCTTGCTTACTGGTGGCGTTGAATGAGAGGTGCTGACCGCGCTTCAACCCCCCGCCTCGAGCGGTGCGAGAGGAGGAGGAGTGCCTGTCTCGCAAAGATGATGAGTTTATCCCATATCCAGACCGCAGGACAGTCCAACGGAGTCGGGGTTGATGATCAAAGTTCGATAGCGATTCCGAATTCAAGCAGTGGCAGTGCGCTCACAGAATCATAAATTCCTCCTGACTTCCAATTCAACCCAGGATTCTAGTTGGCAACTCCAGCAATTTCCGGCATGGTGTACTGAGGACTTGTCGGCCACTCAAACGCTGAAGGACAGTATGCTTTCCCTACTCAGACCCTCTGATGGTTAGTTTGCGTTGCTGACTTCTATTGTTCGTACGACCGTACAGCCGGCCTTGACTCCGACTTGCAGTTGCCCATTAGTTCTCATAGTATTGGTTCTGATTGTCGCAGCCCTCTACCGAAGACGGAGTATGATGACGATTCAGAAGACAGCTGGTGGTGAGATTGAACAGAGGCATGGTAGATGTGCAGGTTCCCGCTAGGGGGTTCGTATGCATGTAAGGGGAACAGGTCAAGAGGTCATGAATGGACCGCCACTGCATAATGACTACTACAAAGTAGAAGCAAATCTAAGAATGCATTCTTTCCTGCTAGAAGGGGATGTGGATATAAAGCAGATCAGGGGGAAATGACGTTGAGAATAGCACCGCGGACACCACCTTCCCCTACCTGTACTGTATTATTATATCCACGGAGTACGGAGGACCTAGTGTTACTCCACAATCCAATAGGTTAGTTAACTACCCCATATACGGAGTATTATTAATCTTGACTTCATTTGTTGATTGTTCATATAATTCAACTCGACCCCGCCGCCATCTATCCCGCGCCCGCTGCTCCATCGGGCGAAGGGAGAGAGAGAGAGAGAGAGAGATAGAGGCTTGGGACTAACTGAACAACGGAGTGACGGAGTAACTGCCTTTCTATCGTCTTGTGTACAGGAGTATTGTTTAAGGCCAATGGAGTACCTCTCTCGGGACTGATTGTCATACAGTGTCTGCGGCTTATCTGCCCTGAAGATTACTATTATTTACTCCGTACCTCGCCCTCTTTTCTTCTCTCTTGCAAGTTTCACCACCGCCTAGAAAATTAGTCGGTCCATCGCCAACCAACCGACTGCGCATCATCTGGTCGCAATCTTTTCTACATCCGACCTGCTTTGAAAAACAGCCCAGTCACTAGCATACGATTCACAATGGTCGAACTCATTCCTCCTCCCGATCCTCGTACCCTACTCCCTCCGTTGTTAGCTTGTCTTCCTACGGCCTTTATCTCGTCTCGTCCTCCTCCAGCTCTCCTGTCGCTTCTATCGCCTATCTTACGCCAACGGGTTGAAGTCCTGAGCTCTGTGTCTGCGTCATCGACTGATTCATGGCTTCGATTACTCTGCTGGGACCCCCAGAAAGGGGAGCGCCTTCAGTCGCTAGTGGACGGCGCCAACTTTGAACCTCATCCGGTCTCAGGGGAGATTGAGCTTCCCGGTGATATTCCCGTCGCCTATCGCCGATTGGACGAAGAGACGCTCCAGTCGCGTGTGCTAATACCTGATTATAATCTTCAAGTCGTGTATCTCTGGTGTCCTCGGGGTCAGGATGAGACTGTCCCCGGATGGCTGGTCGCCGAACTCCTCCCCGATGAGGGGGGTGGGGAAACTGACGGAACTTGGTTGTTCTCGATCGGAGAAGCGAATGCTCACGCGAAAGAACAACTTCTGGAGGATGCTCTAAGAGCAGCGGAGAGTAATGAGTTGGCGCCGCCCCAGAAGGAAGAGGAGGAAGAGGAAGATGACGACGACTACTGGGCTCGATATGATGCTACGCCCGCACGTACCCCTTCAGCTAAACCTCCTGCTCCGGGTCGATTATCATCCATGCAGCAACGGCATGGTCCGTCGGAGTCTTCCTACTTTGACCGCTACGCCGACGTCCAACCTGCGATGGACAGCCACGACCCAGAAGAAGAGCATCCGGAACTTGGACCGACCTCACTTCTTGGTGATATAGCTGCTGAGGTGATTAAACGGAATATGGAAAATGAGGAGTCTTCCTACCCTGATCACCCCAACGATACCCACGAGATGCCGCTAAGCCACCCCCGCCCGTCCTCTGTTTCGTCTTCTAGCTCAGTGGCGAAACTCGAGCAAGAGGCGGCGAATCAATCTACATGTGAAGTGGGAGTCAAGCAGCATATTGGCTCGAACATCAAGAGCTTGTTCCGTCTCGCAAAGGCGACAGGTATCTCTCGGGCTGAGTTTCAGTCGATTGTCAGGACAGAGCTGGACCTCTTGAATGTCTCAGACCATGACTAATTTGCTGTGAGACTTGTTTTTTCTTTTGACATTTGCGAGTTGGATTTTACAATTGAAATTGGCGTAATTTTTTTTTTTTTTTTTTTTTTTTTTGCATTTTTGAAGCGTGTTGGGTGCCTTGGACCTTGCATTTGGATATCCGACCAGTCAACTAGGAATTGCTGGTTTGATTATTGATTTCCCATCGCCAATGAATGACCTAGATAGAAGCAAATCTTAACAAATTTCGAACGAAATCCTAAAAACCTGTACTTCTCTCCCCTGAGCCAGTTTGCAAGTTAGCTCCTCAACTCACATGGGCAGCCGATCGGACCATGGGCTTCTTCCGTTCCGCGCGTTTTGGATAAAGACACGCAATCCAGACAGACCCCATCATCGCCTGCATCGGTCTCTCGTCGGAAGCAAGAAGGCCTTGGGGGTTTTATTATGCTTTCTTCGTGATTGTTCTTGTCGGTAATTTTGATCGTGAGTTTTTCCTGTTGCTCTATCTAACTAATCCTTGCAGCATCCTTTGATTGGGCTGACCTGACCCCTTGTTCCGTTCCGCAGTTCATTCATTCTTCCATTCATACTTTCATTCATCCTCTTTGTTTTGTTTCAGTGGTTATTCTTATTATGTCTTCAACTTCTTCGCCCTCTCTTCGTAAGAGGGGCGGCAAGAAGGAGGGTACTCCCGGTCCCTCCGACCGTTCTGACGCTCTTTCGTCTTCCGTTCCTTCGAGTGCTGCCCGGTCAGAATGGGACTATCGGCTGGCCATTACCATTCTGACGGTGCTGGCGTTCATCACTCGATTCTACAAGATCTCGTACCCTGACGAGGTCGTTTTTGACGAAGTGCACTTTGGTAAAGTAAGTGACTTGGGGAAATTGCACGAGTAGTATTGGTGCGACTTGTATCTAACGTGGCTTGCCTCGCAGTTTGCGTCGTACTACCTGCGGCGGACCTATTTCTTCGATGTTCATCCCCCCTTCGCCAAGCTTCTGCTCGCCTTTATGGGCTGGTTAATTGGATACGACGGCCATTTCCTGTTCGATAACATCGGTGACTCGTATATTGAGAATAAAGTCCCTTATGTGGCTCTGCGTGCCATGCCCGCAACCCTCGGTGCTCTCACAATCCCCGTGGTGTTTATGATCATGTGGGAGTCGGGATATTCCTTGCCAGCCTGTGTTTTAGCATCGGGACTTGTGCTATTCGATAACGCCCATGTTGGAGAAGATAGGCTGATTCTTCTTGATTCAACCCTGGTTATTACCATGGCCTTGAGCGTTCTGTGCTATATCAAGTTCTACAAGCTGCGTCATGAGCCCTTCAGCCGGAAATGGTGGAAGTGGCTTCTCACCACTGGTGTGGCGCTCAGCTGTGTGATTTCCACCAAGTATGTTGGCGTCTTCACGTTCGTCACTATTGGCTCTGCCGTCATGGTTGACCTGTGGAACTTGCTGGATATTCGACGACCTGGTGGTGCTCTTAGCATGCTCCAGTGGACCCAGCACTTTCTTGCCCGCGCATTCGCCCTTATCGTTGTCCCATTCTTCTTCTACCTTCTCTGGTTCCAGGTTCATTTTGCTATCCTGACTCACTCTGGGCCCGGCGATGACTTTATGACACCAGCATTCCAGGAGACTCTCAGTGATAATGCCATGGCCGCTCAATCCGTTAGCATCGAGTACTTCGACAGCATCACCATCCGCCACAAGGATACCAAAGTGCTCCTGCACAGTCACCCCGAGACCTACCCTCTCCGGTACGATGATGGCCGTATCTCTAGCCAGGGCCAGCAAGTTACTGGATACCCTCATAACGATACCAACAACGTCTGGCAAATCCTCCCTTCTGTTCCTCTGGAGCAGAATGACGGTCAAGGCCACAAGGTTCGCAATGGGGATATTGTCCAACTTCGTCACCTGGGTACAGACAGCATTCTTCTGACCCACGACGTTGCATCTCCCTACTATCCTACCAACCAGGAATTCACCACTGTCTCGCGTGAGCTTGCCAATGGCGACAGACACAATGATACCCTTTTCGAAATCAAGGTCGAACACGCCAAGCCTAACCAGGAATTCCGCTCCCTTTCCAGTCAGTTCAAGTTGATCCACGTGCCCACCCGAGTGGCGATGTGGACGCATTCAACTCCTCTCCCCGAGTGGGCCTTCAAGCAGGCAGAGATCAACGGTAACAAGAACATCATTCAGACCAGCAACATTTGGTTTGTTGAGTCAGTTGAAAATGTGGAGCCCGATAGCCCTCGTCTCCAGAAGGAGGAGCGGAAAGTAAAGCATATGCCCTTCTGGCGCAAGTATCTGGAGTTGCAGCGGGCGATGTTCTTCCACAACAACGCACTGACTAGCAGCCATCCTTACGCAAGTGAGCCATTCCAATGGCCGTTCCTTCTGCGGGGTGTCAGCTTCTGGACCAAGAACGACACCCGCGAGCAGATCTATTTCCTCGGAAACCCAATCGGATGGTGGATCTCTAGCAGTCTTTTAGCTGTATTTGCCGGCATTGTTGGCGCTGACCAGCTTTCATTGCGACGTGGAGTCGATGCTATTGAAGAGAGTAAGTCCCAAGTTCCTGTTTTGTCATATATATTTTCTTTCGGGCACCTACTAATAGTTTCCTAGTCTGGGGTGCTGGCTCCCGCTCACGCCTGTACAACAGCACTGGCTTCCTATTTCTCTGCTGGGCTGCCCATTACTTCCCCTTCTGGCTGATGGGTCGTCAGCGCTTCCTCCACCATTATCTCCCCGCCCATGTCGCATCCTCGCTGGTCACCGGCGCGTTGATTGAGTTTATCTTCAACCTTGAACCCACCGCGGTCCCAACGACCGTGCCTACCTCTCAGGATGATCCATCGGGCAAGTCAAAGACTAAACGCTTCGTTACTGCGAGAGAGCGCATGGGCTTGAAGTCCATTCTGGCTGGCTGGATTGCTAGCCTGGTCATCCTGGCAGCCACTATCTGGGGCTTCTGGTTCTTCGCTCCCTTGACCTACGGGACTCCTGGTCTGGATATTGAAGGAGTCAACGCCCGCAAATGGCTCGGTTATGATCTGCACTTTGCCAAATGATCAGCTTCATACTAAGGCAAGTCATCTAACGCCTGAGAAGCTCTAAAGCACTCGCGCTACATGCGTTCTATGCCATGGGACTGGTGTTGTAACGCCATGTCAGAATAGGCATGATTTGGGGTTCAGGATCTACGATTAATGTGGGGTTTGTTGAAGGGAGTATTGGGAACGCCCGAGTGACAGCAGCAGCAACGGCGATTTGAATCATCGACTTGGATATTTTGAGATTGGCGGTGATATCCTTCTTTAGTCTCCGTTTTCTTCTCTCTCTCTCTCTCTCTCTCTCTCTTTTATTTTCTCCTGTGTCTTGGTATAATATGTTTTTCGATCTGGAAGCATTTTTGTGAGTTGTGTGTAATAATTAAAAAGATTTTACGATCCAGGCAGTGAGTGTCAGTTGGGTTATTAAGATGAAATTCATCATTGATTCATCAGAATGGTTATAAATTCGACCCGATCATAGTTAACTATATCAAACCGTAACGCCATTTACCTATATATATATACATCGAGCAGAACAATACATGAACAGAACCTAAAAAGCCATACGCTTGCCAATTTCACTCTCCCAACCGCGCGAGCGCTCAAAGCCATTCGAAGCAGTCTGGTAGTCCAGCATCGCCTGGTACACCTCTTCCTGGCTGGTCAAGACAAACGGACCATACTGGACAACTTTCTGATCCAAGGGCTGGCCAGCCACAAGAATGAACCGGGCCTCGGCGGCGGCGGTATCCGGAACAGAGGCCTCGACGAAATCCCCGGGCTGGTCGAAAACGACATTATGGAACTCCTGGACCAGCTGGGTGTGATCGGCGGACCCGAACACGGTGGCGCCGGAAAGCGTATAGGCAAAGGCATTCCAGCCCAGGGGCAGCGGCTGGGCGATGCGACCGCCGGGGCGGACGGTGACATCCAGCAGCCAGACCGGCGTATAGGCCAAGTCGCGCACGGAGTCGACGCCATGCGACTGGCCCGAGATGACCTTGACGACGACGCGGCCGCCGTCGAGCTTGGCCAGGGGGATCTCGGCGGCGCGGAGATCGCGATAGCGCGGCTCGCACATCTTCAGGGGCTTGGGCAGATCCACCCAGAGCTGCATGCCGACGTTGGGGCTGCCGTCTTCGTTCTCGTGCGGCATCTCCGCGTGCATGATTCCGCGGCCCGCCGTCATGAATTGCAGGTCGCCTGGTCCGATCGTGCCTTGGTTCCCCGCGAAATCCTCGTGGTCGACTCCGCCCGAGAGGAGGTACGTGATTGTTTCCTGGCCGCGGTGCGGGTGGTCCGGGAACCCGGCGCCCTTGCCGATGGTGAAGTGGTCCAGCATGAGGAAGGGGCTGAAGTTGCGCAGTTTGGCGGTGCCGATGGATCGGCGGACCCGGGCGCCGGCGCCCTCTGCTTGCTCGATGGCGAGGAAGACTTGGCGGATGGTGCGCGGGACGGACATGTTGGTGGTGGTGGTGGTGGTGGTGTGAAGCTTTAGCGGTAGGTAGGAAACTAGGCTCTGTAGCTGGTTGGTGTGGAACGCAGTAAAGACAACTGTAGCGATGGCAACGAGAAAAGACCAAAGCAGTTTCATTGAGGCAGAAACCCGGCTCTTTATACTCAGTACAAGAAGCTGGGTAGGAAGTCAGTCCAGGAGATTCGTCAGATTTTATAATGCTGGGTTGACGTAGTTCACTCTTGCTGAGCTGATAATTAGTTAAGCGTGATTTGCCTAAACGGGAATCCATGAGGAAATTTTTCGATCCTGACAAAGAATTTCGTCAGCGGTTTTTTTTTTTATTTTTTTATTTTTTTTTTTTGTTTTACAGACTCATCCACAAGCAATAAGGGACTCAGTTTTAATTTATTTCAGTAGTTTATCTGTCTATGAACTGGAGCTTCATCAGAATTGAGGCTACTATAACTGTAGTTACAGGGTGGTAAAGCACGTGCTGATAAGATATCGCCTCATCTTCACAGCTGTCATCAACAATTCATCCGGGGGGTGTTTTTGCATCGCGCTGTTTCTTGGATGAGGTTCTTCTATCTTTATTTATCTATTTAGTAATGCTCAATGTCTGGAATCAAGATCCTTCCCGCTTGTCTATCTTGAATCGCCCGATCTCAACCCGCCGGCTACATTCACTTCCCCGTGAACAATACAATACTCATTGATGCTTCTTCAAGGATGAGTCGACAAGCCCGCATCGTAGCTTCGTTGCTTGTGCTGGCCTGCGCAAGCTCCAGTGCCTGGGCTGATAGGAAGTTTAATATCCATGATGACCTCCTCGCGTTTCCTCAAGTATATACCCGGTCCGAGAAGCAATATGGTTTATGCTGGCCCCCCTACTAATCAGCCTGGCTTGGGTAGTTCCAGATTCATTTCCCTGCTGGCTACGTTCTTGACTCTCGAGCGCGCATCCTCCTAGATCAAGCCAGCGGCGACTCGACCGCCGATGAGCGTCAAACCCCCTCGGACCAAACCACATTAAGCGATGGTGTCTATGTTGCGACAGACGGGGAACCCACAGAGAACCCGCGGGTTTCCTACGAGGAACTCATTCTCCGCGATCAACGATACCTTTGCCAAATCCCACTGGTGGAGAGCAAGGAGAGAAACCGGACGAAAGAGGCGAACGAAGAGGACGAGCGCAAGGAGCTCGCGCGGGCGACCGACCGTGGCCTCGAACTCCTGCGCGAAATGGAGGGGAAATGTCTGTATTATATTTCGGGGTGGTGGTCGTATTCTTTCTGCTACATGAACCAAATCAAGCAGTTCCATGCCCTGCCGTCCGGAGGCGGGATCCCCAACTACCCGCCGATGGAAGACCCGACGACCCACTCGTTCATCCTGGGCCGGTTCCCCAGGGAGGACGGCGGCGAGCACGAGCACGAGCAGGACGGAGAAAGCGAGACGAAGCCCGGCAAGGCAACGACCGACGTGGCCGAATTGCAAACCAAGGGGGGGTCGCGCTACCTGGTCCAGCACCTCGAGGGGGGCGACCAGTGCGATCTGACGGGGAGGAACCGGAAGATTGAAGTCCAGTTCCACTGTAACCCCCAGTCGGCCGACCGCATCGGCTGGATCAAAGAGCTGACTACCTGCTCCTACCTGATGCTCATCTACACGCCTCGTCTCTGCCACGACATTGCCTTTTTACCCCCGCAGCAGGATGAGGTGCATCCCATCGAGTGCCACGAGATCCTGGCCCCGGAGGAGGTATCCGGCTGGGAAGCACGACGGGACTACCAGTTGGGCCAGAGACTGGTCGAATCCGCCGAGACCCCCGAATTCCCCGTGGTGGGCGACATCCAAGTGGGGGCCCAGCGGCTGGTTGGGTCGGAGGGCAAGCAGATCGAAAAGGGCCGCGTGGCGATGGCGGGGGAAGAAAAGGTGGACGTGGTGGCCAAACGAGTCAACGGCGAGCTGCAGTCGCTGTCCAAGGAGGAACTGAAGAAGTTCGATCTCGATCCGGAGAAGATTGAGTCTCTGACCAAGCGCCTGGAGGAGTTGGCCAAGGGCAAGGACTGGACGTTGGAAATGGTTACCACCAACGGAGAGCGTGGACTGCGTGGCATTGTCGACGCCGAGGATGACAACGATGAACCGACGGACGACCAGGCAGAAAATCCATCCGAGGGTCAGGATAGTCAGGATGGTCCTTTTCCGGACCCTCAAGAAGAGGCTTCAAGTCCACCAGAGCCAGTCAAAGCGGGTAAACGCGAGGAGGATTCGACATCGAGCGGAGGAGACTTGGAGGAAGGCAGTGAAGAAACCTTCAAAGACGAACTGTAACATTTTCTGCCATCTATAGGAAATAGCATCAGGTCAAGATGGTGGATCGTACCCCAGTAGATTGTACGATAGATCAAGCTCAATTGGTGGAAGGAATTGTAGTCTTGCTTATCCAGTCGTACTGTACCTAGTAACTATACAGACAAGAGCTGTACTGGATGTATTCACTACCCTCCTCCCCAACGATCGGCGTGTCTCAGCTTTCTTCTGAATCCTTTTTTTTTTTTTCATTTCTCAATTCTGTTATTTTCCTCTCTTTCTCCTTCTCTATTCTACCATCATTTACCCCGGGATTCATGCAAAGTCGGGAGCTGCCAAGCCCAATCCACTTCATTTCGACCACAACGAACTGCATTACGACGACGACGACGACGACGTCTAGCCTGCTCTGGATCCATTCCTCCCTCTCCCCCGACCGACCAACCAACCAACCACCCAGCCAGACCTTCCATCGAAGATTCCAACTCTTTCCTGTTAACCTCTGGGTTTACCATCCGGTCGGGTTTCCACCGGTTCGAACGGGTCACTTATCTTGACACGCACTGCCCCCCCTCCCCTCTCCCAACTTTCCTGGACGCAGCTGCCGTCGTGCAGCTCCCACTTTCGACCACCATCCAAAAATACACGGCTGATCGCTTGGTCGGTTGACCGGTGCCCACCATGGGTTTCATCGGGGTCTATACCGCCATCTTCGACTACCATCCACAGGCGCAGGGGGAACTGGAGCTTCGTGAAGGGGATTTACTTTACATCCTCGAGAAGAATGAGGAGGAGGATTGGTGGAAGGCCAAGAAGAAGGCGAACCGGGATGATGAGGATGAGCCTGAGGGTCTAGTGCCAAATAACTACGTGGAGGAGGTAAGAACTCATGCCTGTCTGGGGGGTTTCTGGTGGAAGTTGACCCCGCCGACAAGTGCGTGGTCGCAGCTCCTGTTGGATTGGCGAACGTTCCGGGAGGCGGGATTCTACCGTTCAGGGGTTCACACGGAGATGTGAGAGATGCCATGGGCTGACCGCAAGCTGCTTTCTCAAATAACATAGGCTAAGCCGGCTCACTCCGCGAGAGCGCTCTACGACTATACCCGCCAGACAGACGAGGAAGTCTCATTCTCAGAAGATGCGAGCCTGGTCGTGTATGACACCTCGGATCCGGACTGGACCCTCGTTGGAGTCAATGCCGATTTCGGCTTTGCCCCTTCGAATTACATTGAGATCTTGGAAGGGGCATCAGCTCCCGCTCACTCTCCCGCATCCCCAGTGCCTACGACTACTGCTCCGGCTCCAGAACCAGCACCTCCCAGCCTCCCGCAGCGGCCGCCCGCGGTCCCTGAGGCTCCCGCAGCAGACGTCAGCGAACCGGGCCCGCGCTCTCCGATTGACCCCGTCCAGAACCCTGCGGCGGCTGCCATTGCAGATATCATTCACAAGCAGCATGCCCCTTCTTCGGAATCGCCGCGGGACATTCTCCCTCCTCTCCCGCCCCAATCGCACCCATCATCCGAGTCCCCAGAGACCGTCGGGCGCGAGCCTTCCCCTCCGCCGCCGTCCTTACCCCGAAGACCGCCATCGGAACAGATCGCGTCCCCTGTTCATCTGGATACCCCATCCGGACCGTCCCCAGCTTCTCGCCCCCAGTTTGCTGCCGTTCGAGATAGCGATGGTGTTAGGGAATCCCCGCCTTACAACCGCGTAGGACGGACCGCGCCCCGGTCGCCTTCCGGCTATCACATATACAATATAAACGAAATGGTCGAAGTCATGGGTAAAAGGAAGAAGATGCCCACCACTCTGGGGATCAATATCGCCACCGGCACGATCTTCATTTCCCCCGAGGATGATGGCGATGTGCAGGAGTGGACGGCTGACAAGCTTACGCACTACTCAATTGAAGGGAAACACGTCTTTCTCGACCTTGTTCGCCCAAGCAAGAGCATTGATTTCCATGCTGGTGCCAAGGATACGGCTCGAGAGATTGTCTCCGCTCTTGGTGAAATCTCTGGCGCCTACCGGGCTGAAGGCTTGCGGGAAGTTATCGCAGCTGGCGCTGGGGGCAGCGGACAAAAGAAGGGTCTCATCCTCTACGACTTCATGGCCCAGGGTGATGATGAAGTGACCGTGGCCGTGGATGATGAGGTTATCATCATCGATGACACCAAGTCTGAAGAATGGTGGATGGTGCGGCGCGTGAAGAACGGCAAGGAAGGTGTTGTTCCTAGTAGCTATGTAGAAGTGACTGGATTTGTGACCACCCCAGCGGCGAATGCCCTCGAGTCCGGATTGTCGGCCGTGGAGAGAAACCGACTGGAAGAGTCCAGATTGGCGAGGGAGGCCACCAGGAAGTCTGTCGCCGACTCTCTCAGTCCACGCAGCCCAAAGGTATATATCATATAGTTTCCCCCCCCCCCCGGGAAAGATTGTTGAATGAGATGCTAACAAGTTCACTACAGCACCAGAAGAAGGACAGTAAGAGCAGCCAGCGATCCAGTAAGTTTTTTTGGGGGGTTTCTCTCTCCAATTACACTTTTAACCATCTCTAACGTAAAAAAAAAAATAGAGCCCGATGCAAGCAAGGTGAGGACGTGGGTCGACCGTACCAAGTCATTTACCGTGGAAGCCCAGTTTATTGGCTTGCAGGACGGCAAGATTCATTTGCACAAGACCAATGGAATCAAAATCGCAGTCCCTATTCCCAAGATGTCTGTTGAGGATCTGGAGTATGTTGAGAAGATCACCGGTGTCTCCCTTGACGAAGACAAGCCTTTGTCCGACATTCGACGCCGATCCCAGCGCATTGAAGCCGAAAAATCTCGATCCTCTGGCGAAGCAAAACGCACCGGAGCCCTTGCTGGAGCCTCTTTCCAACAGTCAGATTACGATTGGTTCGATTTCTTCCTCAAGGCAGGTGTTGGCCCTCACCAATGTGAGAGATACGCACAAAACTTCATCAAAGACTCAATGGATGAAGGTGTTCTTCCGGATATTTCTCCCGAGACTCTTCGTACCCTTGGCCTGAAGGAAGGTGATATTCTACGGGTGATGCGGTACTTGGACAACATGTTTAACCGGACTGGTGCCAAGTCCAAGCTACGGAATGTCAGCTTCGGCGGGGAGGAGGTCATTACCAACGGTGAGGATGGTTCGGGTGGCCTCTTCTCTGGGCCTGGCGGAACACTGCGCAACAATACTCGAAAGGGCCGTCCAGCACCGGCCGTTCAGGCAACGGATGTGGTCGATCCCAAGGTATTTGAGCAGAAGGATGAGACAAAGCCTGCCGAAAAGAGTAGCACTCCTCCACCAACTGGTGCAGCCGCCTCCGAGACTGTTCAGAAGGGATTCGATGACGATGCATGGGAAGTTAAGCAACCCCAGCAGCCTGCCGCCACAGCTGCTGCTGCTGCTGCAGCGGCTAGTCCACCCCCAACATCGCCAACCAGCCAGCCGGCAGTCCAGCAGACACTCACTGGAGCGATGGCAGATCTATCGTTGCTTCAGGCGCCTCTTCAGCCTACACCTGCCGCACCAGCCCCTGTTCCCGCCCTTTCTCAATCACCGCCCGTTGTGCAGCCTATTCAAGTCCAACCGACTGCAGTGCCTGCCCCTCAGCCACAGCCGGGAGCTACTCCGGGTTTCTTCGCCCAATTGGGCCAACCTGGACAACAACCCCTGCAGAACAATATGCAAACTTTTAGCCCTCAGCAGGCCGCCCGACAACGTCCGCAGCCACCTCAGGCCATGGGCCAGAGCTCTCTTATCCCTCCTCCCCCTCAACGACCGCTCTCGGCCCCTCAAAACATGCCGCAGCAACAGTTTGGTCTGCCTCAGCTTCAACCTCAACTGACAGGTGTTCCTCAGCAAGGTCCTCAGCTTGCCCCGCCAGGGCAGAGTCTGGCGGAATTGAATCAGCAACGTTTCCCGCAGCCTTTCCAGCCGCAGCCCACAGGATTCATGTCTCCGAATCAGTTCCAGAACGGTTTAATGCCACAGCCCACCGGCTTCCAGCCTCAGTCACAGTTTGGAATCCAGCAGCAGCAAACAGGATTCCAGAGCCTGGTCCCGCAACCCACGAGTTTCGGGGGGTTCCAAGCCCCTCCTCAACAGCCAATGCAGACCGGTCTCAACTCGATTCTTCCTCCAGCACTGCAACCCCAGCCAACCGGTCTGAATGGCTCTGCCTCGATGCCATACAAGCCTTCCCCTCCACCAATCCCTCAACAACACACAATTACACCACTGCAGCCGCAAAAGACAGGGCCCGCTCCTCACATCCGATTTGGCGTCAAGCCGGAGGTTCCCAAGAAGCTTGCTCCACAGCCAACCGGTATGAAGGCCAATCTTGCACAAGCCAGTAAGTTTTGATTTGCCTTTTTCCCAAGTTGATCTGAAGGCTAGCTCGCTAACATGCATAGCACCCACCAACCCGTTCGGCTTCTAATTGAACCCAACGTGTGTACATAGCATCTCTCACTCTCACTTTGCAGCACATGACTCTTTTTTTTTTTTTTTTTTTCTATTATGCATGATATTTTTGCTCTTCCTTGCTGGCAGGATTGCAAGCATGTCATACCTAGCAATTGCCCCAAACCAGTTTATTTATTTCTCCCCCCCCCCCCCCCCCCCCCCGGCTAAAACACCATGATATACATGCAGCGATCTAGGCATGACTACCTCGAGGATCTTGTTTCTGTGACGCAGTTAAGCGAGCTAGACTTCGATATCTTTCTTTCCTTTTCCGTCTGAGCCAACCGAACCTACCCTTGAACATATACGTAATTTTGGAAGCATTGCTCTAACGTCGCCCACTACCATCTTCCCTTTGTTCCCCCGCCAGCCAATTATTCCGTTGGTCTGAAAGCCCCAACATTACTTGATCGAGCCATCGTCCTGGCATGTTTCTTACCTGCTGTCCTGTGTTCCCTGCATAGTGTTATTCTTCCTTGTGGCTGGGAGGTTGTTTGCGCTATTGTGTACTTGTTCTTCTTGTCGAGTTATTGTAATCCCATTGCTTTTTATTCCAGACTATAACATCCCATATGTAAATTGCCCTTCTCCCTCGTTTCCTAAAATGTATGTATGTATGTATGTACTACTTTATATGTACCCTCGTGTAGTATTTACCTAGGCAGTGTTAGAACAAGCCAAGCCAAGTCAATCCGATTGTACCTCAATCAATAACCAGAAGATGAACATGAATTAAGTTTCTTCTATTATATTGCAGAGAGTACGCACACCCTACCCAAGTTAGATCTTATTAAGAATAACTAGTTCATGTATATTTTTTTTTTCCTACAAGCTATATATATATATATATATATATAGTCGTTCGCTAGATTTGGCTGGAGGGAGGAGGAGGAGGAGGAGGAGGAGGAGGAGGGGGTCTTGCACAACAAAACGCACCTGGTTGGTGTTGCTTTTTCGGCCGGGCTTGTTCAGAGGATATAAATAAATAAATAAATAAATCAATCAATCAATAAACGGAAATAATTTCAATCTAGAGAGAGATAGAGAGAGAGATAGATATATATATAAATATGTATGTATATATATATATAAATGGGTGATCTGGGTAGTAGGGTTATTTAGGGGGGGGATATCTATAGTTATGGTTGATATGGTTTATTTGTGGTGTTTCTTTTAAAGGTACTTGTGTCTGTATATATATATTTGTGTGTGTGTGTGTGTGTGTGTGGTTTAAGGTGTTCACATACTAGATTACATTACTATATTTCCCAAGGAGTGCTAAACACAAGCCTGACCTCAAATATACATACATATATAATACTCCTATACACAATGTGGCCCGGGGCCACCCCAAACAAAAGAAAGTCATAAATAGTCGTAGCACCATCAAAAATATAGGATAGGGACGCATAACAATCAAGTGTCATCCCATAGGCCAAAGACCGGGAGATCCTCAGCCATGTACAAGAGGCCATTGTCTGACAGAACCATATCTGAAAGAGGCGTTTGCCCTCCCGGCTCGACTCTGATGCCGGAGGGTACAGGACCTCCAGGAGGAGGAGGAGGAGGAGGAGAACCGCCCACGGGAATGCCCGTTGTGGTCAGGGTAGAAATGGCCGAGTCATACGGCAAAGTTCCAGTGGCTGCGGCACCGCACAGCGCATCCCAGATGTTGTTATCATGGTGATGGGGAGGCAGAGGACCGCCGCCTGCGGGGAATTTATCGGGAGAGGAGAGAGGCGATGGGACGGTGGCGGCTTCTGCTTGGTGGCGCCGCGAGGACATGGTGTCCGCGGCCGCAGGCGAGGGCTCACTTGCTGGGCCGACCTGGCCGAAGAGCTGATCGACTTGGCGACTGCGTCGTTCCATCCATTGGCGGTTCCGTCGGCGGACGTACTCGGTCACCGCATTTCGTAGATACTTGATGATCTGGAAAAAGCGGCAGGCGTGGGGGTCGTGTGGCACGAAGAGCCCCAGAAACTTCTCGGCCTTGTTCAACCCCTCCTCTAGCGGGAGGAGGTTGTCGTAATCGGCGAAAAATGCCGCCCCCAACACCACGGCCGAGTTGAAGACCGAGTTGATGAGAAATGGTAGCCGGCGCGGAAGCGCGGTGGTATAGCGGGCCACCAGATCGTCGACAATGCTGAGACCACGCAAAGCGGAGTAGACGCAGGCATCGGCAAAAAGTGAAATACGAGAAGTGCCACCACTCCTGCCGTCCGGGGCCTCATGTTTGTTCCGGACGTACTGCGACACCCAGAAGATGAGGAACGGACGGGTTAGAAGAATGATCGACCAGTAATATGAGCCGAGCACCTGGGCAGCGGCGAGGCTCTCCTCTAAGCGCTGCGAATCCAATCGCTCGGTCTGCATTTGGAGGACAGCCGGGAGATTTTTGACCCAGGCTCGATGTTGGTTCGAGATATTTTCGGCGACGTGGATCGAGACCACCTGTCGCATATAGACCTCGGTGAGAATTCGCTCAAAAATGCGAGCGAGGGAGACGACGGTTGAGGATAACGGCTCGCTTCGTGGAAGGTCAGGGTGGTCGTCTTTTCGGACGGTATCCTCCTCCTCCCGTACGTCGTAATCAAAATCCGATGTCGCGGGGGGACGTCCCAAGGACGCACTGAGAAACAAGTCCATCATGCGGAGGCTCCTCCACACGCGTTCTCGAGCCCGTCGCTCCCGGTCACAGAATAGCGCGTTGGCGTCTTTGCGATGGATCCCGACCGCATAGGCCGCGCGTAACGCAATGCCCAGGTTCATGAACGCCCCATTCCGACGACAGGCGCCGAGCATATACATGGAAATCAGCACATAGGACTGAATAGTATAGAGACTGGGGGTCTCCGTGAAGGCCGAAAAAGCCAGCTGCCGGCCGCTGACAAAATATTGCTCCGGTACGGTTTGGTTGGTATCCGATACCTGCGCTCCAATGGCTAGAACTAGGTAAAATATCGAGCTCACCGTATCCTCATCTCCGGTTGGATTTCCAATCCAATTGGCCAGGCGGGGGTGGAATTCTTCGAGATCGAATAAATCCAGCAATGGGCGGGTCGCAAGCATGTATTGACGGACGAGTCGCTGGGCCTCGTCGTTGCTCGGTGGCGGAACCAAGGGCCCCATCTGCGTGGTCGAGCTGCACTGGAAGGCCTCCAGCATGGAATGGCGCGAGGAATCTTCGGTAAACTCACAGCGACCGATGGACAACGACACGATCCGACGCACGCTCTGCAGAAACGACAAGCTCGCAGAATCGCCGATATACATAAACTTTCCCTGGCCATCGCGGAGCAGCCGCGCAACCTTGGGCACGGGCGCGGCGCCATCTTTATCCTCGTCTGTTGCTTGTTGTTCGAGAGTCGCGCTTTGGTCTTCGAGCGAGTTGAGGAGATGCTCCATCGCGGTTTGTCGCTGCGGGGTGGGCACCATGTGTTCGCTCAGCAGCATGGTCTCCTTGGGATTGCTATTCGGCCTGAGTAACCGCGCGGGTTTGTCCGAAAAGTGGCACTCCGCTTCCTTGCGGCGCTGAACGCATATCGTACATGGCTGCTCTCCGTTGCATTTTTGTTTCCTCCTCTTACAACTGTCGCACGCTCTTCGACACCGGAGTCGGGATCCGGGGGCCGTACTGGCCCTCGGCATTGGTAAAAGAAAAGGAAAGGATGATACCAGAACAGTCTCTGGCGCTATATATACTTGAACGCGAGTAAATTCGGAGGTCAGTCCGGTCAAGGGTATGGGGGACTTGAGGTATGCCGGATATACGGAAGGGGGTGGGGGGGGGGAGAGGGGAGTCGTTCGAGACGTGAGAAAGCCGAATCTGGCCAACTGTGAAATATGATCTAGGACATGTCTTAGCAGGAAGAAGTCATCGAACACGCAGGTGGCTTTGCTGGTGTGAGTGAGTGCTTGGATGTTGTTGTGTTCTCAAAAATCACTTTCCCGGGGACGTTGTCCAATCCGTGGATGCCTGAGGCTTGACCAATCGGGTTAACTCCAATGTGAATTTTGATCGAACCGAACATGATTATAACTCAAGATCCCGATTGAGAGAATGCATTTCGAATTATTCTATGCTACCTAGGTACCTAGGTAGAGAATGCATTTCGAATTATTCTATGCTACCTGGGTACTGTAGAGTACCTAGGTACCTAGGTAGGGCATCTTAGTGCACGCGACAGGTCCAGAGGGGTAGTGATGCCTCAGGCAATAGTTACTGCATTGAAATACTCTGTAAACCCGTACAATTCCATACTTTCAAAAATACACATATAATACTCCGCCAGGTAACTTTGTATACAGGGTAGTATGCCAAGACAACCGCCAAGAACTGCGACGTTGATTGCCTTCGGAACGGAAAAGCGCGTTAAGGCCGAGGAAGTACCTAGGTAGATCTTGAAGACAGAAGCTACAAGAAAATGGGTTATTTCTCATACTCCAGTACTTTATATCTCAGCCTCAGTCCAGTTCATACTTAGGCAGATTCAGAAACTGAACGCTGGGATAAGATCGATTCGATATCTTAGCTATCTACTACATAATCCCTCCACTTCATCCTTTTCTTTGTTCCTTGTTGTTTTGACTTTTTTTCTGAGCTAAACTCCGAATCCCGACAAAATGGCCCTTACTGGCCAGTCGTACATACACATATCCTGTCCTGTCATTCCTTCCTTGCTAACCTCTGGGATGCCTTTCTCCCCCTACGCTGATTTCCCTGAATCACCGGCTCTTTACGATTTACACATCCCCCCTCTCCAGAGAAGCCCTTGACTCTTCACGCTCATTCTCCTGATCGTTGGACCATCTAGTTTCCTCCAGGACAGGGAGCACGTGAGCTCGCTAACTAGAACACCATGGGAGCGGGTGCTATCCTGGAACCCTTGCTGGTCATTGTCCTTCTTTTCGGTGGCACTTGGATCAACCGTACTACAAGCTCCGTTTCTTCTGCCCATCGTACACGCCGCAAATCCTCTAGCTATCGAGCAACCTCTCCGGATTCAATTGAATCAGGGTTCTCCTCATCATCTCCCAAGGATGAACTCCTAGGCAGTCGATCGTCCTCTCCCTCGACGTCTCTCTCCGCCCGAGACCCCTGGCGTAAACGACGGATTGGGATCTTCTCCTGGACCTGCGAGGTTACCGCTCCGAATACCGTGGTCTTCAAAGATCGGGTTCTCAGTCGCCTGCTGCGGAAGCTCCCTTTTCTAGCTGAATGCTGGTACTGGGCCTTGGTTTACTGGGTACGATTCGTCCACTGAATCCTTTGCTCTTCGCTGGTGTTGATGTACATACAATACAGTACAGCAGGCTGACTCTACCCCAGACGTACCAACTAGGACGAGCGTTTACCGCCGTAACACTCCAGGAAGGAACCATTGACGTAGCTAGGAAGCATGCGTTGAGGCTGATTGAAATCGAGCAGGCGCTTGGATTATTCTGCGAGGTTCCAATCCAACGGTTCTTCCTCCAACGCCCAGTGCTGATGAAATACACCAACTGGATTTATTCATTTATCCACATTCCCGGAACCATCGCCTTCCTGGTATGGCTCTATTATTACACCACCACACTCAACCGCGTTGATGACTCGCAACCGGGGAAGCCACAGGGAGTAATGAGTGGTTCACCAGCAGGTCCCCTCCTCTACCAGGCCCGACGCCGTACCCTGGCCGTGTGCAACCTCCTTGCATTCGTGGTTTTCACCATCTGGCCTTGCATGCCCCCCCGGTTGTTGAGTGATGAGAATGTCTCAGGCCCCCAAGGGAAATTGGCACGCAGCTATGGCTTTGTCGATACAGTGCATGGAGAAAAGGGTGCTGGTAGTGTTTGGACCGAGAACCGGTTCTGTAATCAATATGGTTAGGCGACCCCTCAAACCCATTAGGATCTGGTTGCCACGGCTAATCAATGTCGCAGCTGCAATGCCCTCTTTGCACTTTGGATACTCGCTCATGATCGGTCTGACTATTCTGACCATTCCCTTGCCCGTCCATCACCGTCGACGCACGCGCATCCGCCTTGGCTCTATTGGATTCCAGATCCCGTCCTGGCGCCGTATGGCCTGTTTATTTCTCGGCGTCGCATATCCATTCACAATCTTGGTTGCAATTGTCGCAACCGCGAACCACTTCATTCTCGATGCCATCGCGGGCGCCGTTGTGTGTACAGTGGGATGGAAATTCAACGGAATCCTGCTCAACCTGATCCCGGTGGAAGACTACTTCCTCTGGCTAGTCCGTATCCATAAACCCGACCCAGCAGAAATGACGAGGGTTACTGATATCGACGGATGGATTGATGATGATGATGATGATGCTGCCCCAACAGAGTACTCATCGTCGTCCCCTTGCTCCTTTCCATGTCATTCATCTTTACGAAATTCCCCCTCGCATTCTTATTCACCTTGACCTTCACTTATCAACCTTTTGCATTGCGCGTCATCACATTTCGATTCAATGATACCCCTCCTCTTTATGTCCAGTCACGGCCTGTCATTATTCTCGTCCGTGCCGCGGACTAACAGTCTAGTTCTCTCACGTTATATCTTCTTACGGTCCCTGGCTTGCTGTATATTCTTACTGCGAAACATGTATAATGAAGGCCCCCAGGAAGATTCCATAGTTTTGTTAATGATCATGGGCTCCGCAATACAATCTTCCATGCTCTTTTTGGGAACTTTGATCGTATGTCGGGTATGACATTTGAAGCACCATCAATTATAGTGATTAGTACGGAGTATGCATACCCCCAACCGTATCCAAAACTGAAACCTCGCGGTAAGAAAGAAAGAAAACGGTAAAAAAGAATAAGCATTCAAGGTACCTAGCAGGTAGTTTATGTAACTGAACTGTGACTATGACGGACCTCGCAGCTTCTTTCTTTCTCTTCTCCAGACAACTGAGCTTGGGTTCTCAAGACCAAAACAAGAACTACCTAATACAACAGAATAACTTAAGGCGTTGGAACTAAAAAAAAAAAAAAACGGAGCAAGAAGGGAAGAAGGGAAGAAAAAAAAAAAAGACAAATCAAATAGCAATTACTAAAGCACAAGACAAGAACTAAGTAACTAAATCACATAACGTATAAATAATAAAAGCTAAGGAAAAAGAAAAGGGGAAATAAAGACACACATACACACACACACACACACAGAGAGAGAGAGAGAGAGAGAGAGAGAAATGAAATAAAATAAGGAGAAAAAAAAAAAAAAAAAAGAATCACAGGGTAGTGCCAACAATGCCAATTTCAACAAAACACATGCTTTGCTGTCGTCCTATCCTGTCCTATCCTTCCTTCCTAACTAACTAAGTAATCCTTTTTTTTTTTTTTTTTTTTCACGCCGCAGCCTCTGCGGTCTTTTCCTCTGACTTCTCTGATGCTTTCGCTGCCGAGGGCTCGCTGGTCTCTGGGGCCGCTACCTTTTCAGTCTCGCTCTTTGAAGGCTCGTCTGTCTTCTCTGCGGAATCGACATCGGCCATTGGCTCGTCCTGAGGCTCGGCAGGTTCCGGCTTGGACTCTTCTTCCTTTTCGGCGCTGCCCTCCTTGTGGACGCCATTAGCCTTGGGCTTGTCCTCCTTGTCCTTGTCTTCCGCCGCAGGGGTCACGATGTCCGAGTCGAGAACATTCTTCCACTTGGACAGGATGTCCAGCGCGCGTTTTCGGAACTGAAATTCCTCGTCCCGTGGGATGGAGGGGAGCTTGATGATCATTCGCAAGACCTTGTGGATCTTGGTGCTGCGGATAATCGAAACCTCGAGGTCTTCGATGTTCTCGAGCTTTGTGAGGAAGCCGGACATCGTCTGCATTTCTTCTTCCTTAGGGGGTTGGTCGCGGGAAATGAATCCCTTCTGGAGTCTGTGACGGACGAACAGCACTAGAATACAATGAGCAAAAACGATTTCATTCTTCTTTTGTAATCATCGGATCGTGGAGACATACCCTCTCGTTCCTTCTTTTTCTGGGCTTCCTCGGGGTTGATCTGCTTCTCGGGCTCCTTGGATACGGAACGGGAGTCGCCGCTCTCATCGCTAGCAGCCTTCGCTGACTTCTTGCTAGCGCTCTGCTTGGCCTTACTGCCTCCGGAAGACTTCTTCGTCTCGCTGGCTGGGGTCTTTGGGGTGGTGAGCTTCAATTTGGTGCCGGTCTTTGGGGTCTTAGCGGGCTATATTGTAGCATTTGTTTTTGTTAGCTTATAACCTCGACCCTAGGGAAGAGTGAGTTCTCGTGCTAACCTTCTCTTCGCCTTCAGCCTCGGCTTTTCTCTTCTTAGAGCTCTTAGGCTTCTTGTTATCCTCATCTGCGTCTTCCATATCAACATCGTCGACAATCTCCATGCTCTTGCGCTTGTTTTTCTTCGCCTCCTTCTCGGCTTTGGCGGCAGCCTTGGCAGCAGCCTGGGCTTCCCGCTCCTCTTCTTCCTGTTGAATTGCACGTTGGTGGTCTGCTAGCAGGTCTTTGAAGTATGGGAGGTCGTGAGCCTCAGCAGCGACGCCGTAAGCCGCTATGAGCAGCTTTGACTTGCCCTTTTCCGATACCTCCTTGCAGGAAGTTGGGTCGAGAGGGTTGAGGTCAGTGTTAGGAATCCAAGCGCTGCCGTTAAGGTTAGTGAGCCTGTTTTTGTCCAACGCATCAAAGAGGGAAAAAAAAAAAAAAAAAAAAAAAAAAGAACGGTTGGGTTACGCACAATTCGTTCGTTTCGAGGAACATGACGGGGAAGGTCCTCTCTGCGGCACGCTTGCCGCCATCAGCGTAGTCGTCTCTATATGTCCCATCCGGTCGCTGAGCAGTTACAGGACGAGTGCTCAGAAGACTCTGGGGGAGAATTTCCTCGTCGCAGACGATGGCAGGCCATGGAGGGAAGCTGCGAAGGCGCGCCAGGTAGTACTCGCCGGGCTTCGCGTCCAGGTGCGTAATGCGACTCATAGACTTCTTGCGGTTCAGCTTCGACTTGTTATCGCCGCCCATAGACTTGCGCTTGGAGCTCCCCGACTTTTTTGCGGAGGAGGGAGTGCCGTTGGGCTCCGCTCCGGTGACGGGCTCTGACTCTGCAGGGGCAGCGGCACTGTCTTCAGGTTTCTTCGCATCGGACTCAGGGGAAGACTTTTCAGCGGAGGCTTTCGATGATTCTTTCTTCTCTTCGGGTGCGTCTACATTGACCGACGCGGACAAGAGGTTAGCCAAGCCACACCACTTGACCAAGGTGCACGCGGTCGCTTCCCATCATAGATGAGGGGACCAGCTAAGAAAATAGCTATGATGAACTTACCAGCAGACTCATCTTCTGCGCCATTGGTGTTCTGCTCTGCCTTCGCCTTGATGGACTCTGACTCCACGGGTCCAGCTTTGACCTCAGCAGGAACGCGCTCGGCGGACTCACCTGCGTCGGGAGCAGAGGCCAAGGGAGTGGCAGTGGCTTCAGCCATGGTGCGCAACGGAGCTCAATAAATAATTAGGGGAACAAGGTTATGTCGTGATGAATTCAAACAAAGCCAAGGCCTTCCTGCGGGAGGTGGTGGGAAGGTCGAGGTGATGTGGGAGTGAGAAGAGAAAGTGGTGGAGAAGGTCGCGACGCCGGGAGGCGGGAAAGTCGAACAACGCGTTGCAACTTGGGGGGGAAAAAAAAAGGGACGCAGACCGCAAATGACGCAACGCTCGAGCTCAACAACGACGAGGCGAAACAAAAGATCAACCCTAGAACGAATTCCGCGTTGTCTAGATAGCACACCGAGTTGTCGATAAATTAAATAATTCTCTACTTTCATGGTTAGCAGAAAAGCCCATCAGCCGCAAGGGTAGATCTCACAAGGTAGCAAGCAATGGGGACGGCCCTCAGAAAGACCGTGATCAAAAAAGGTTCTGCGACTCCTGTTCTGATGGGGACCCTATGTAAGAGATGCCAGACTGTGTAAATCCGATGGAATAAACAGAGGGTTGATGGAAAATGGTGGTGATACTGGTGATCCGGATTTTGGCGCGGGTCCTTCAGCGACAGGCGATCATCCAGCCCCCTTGAACGCGGACGAGCTGCACGACAGACAATTCCAGTCAAATTGACAGGATAGAATAGAGAGCAAGGCGAGTTTCTGCACCCCAGCAGAAGAATCAATATGGGTTGAGATAAACCACCCAGGCGTTCGGGGATAGCGACGCGACTGTTCACAACGGCAGTCAGGACGTCGGAACACGCAAGATAGATATAGCAAGCGTCACCAAGAGACAGCCCAAAACAACGAGATACCTGGTGACTGGGGTTAGAAAAAGCTGATGTATAACTATGAGGAGCGGATAGAGTCTCGCAAACTGACCTGTCGCCACACGGTAGAACTGGCAATTCGTAAATGCAGGCCAAATAGCCAAGCGAGAACTACCTGTACCCCGCTATCGTGATGACACTATTTTCACGAAAAAACCGGGAGTAAATGAGGGATAAAAAGTGTGGCTTGGGGACAGATTTTGGGGGGGGGGGGGATTTTAGGAGCTTGCTTAGGAAGGGGAGAAGAGTCGGTGTTGGGAGGAAACTGACGGAAACCGTCCACATAACTATAGAGAATAGCCCACGGAATAGCACACAGTTAAGATCGCTTGGGGGACTCGGGATTATCACAAGAGAAATTCATCATTCACACAGTCTGGATTAATCACCACTTTCACTATTTTCCTAGTTCTTCTTCTATGTGTGCACCCCAGCTTAACCGCTAATTCCCGTGGTAGAATACGTAGGCATATATTGTTTTACACAACGAGGAGTATTATTTCGTATACCTGTGCTTTGCGCAGTCAATTCTCTCTATAAGACCATCTATATAATCCCAATAAACCAAGAAATATGAATAATGAGTATCAGTAGCTCCCTTTATACCCAAGTCCTGCTATGCATGCCAGAGAATTCTTTCTTTTCTTTTTCGCTCCTAATCCGAGGGATAAAGTATGAACAATTGAAGAACGACATTATGATCCTTGCTCAACGGCTACGATGATTAGAACAGTTATGTCATCGACTTTTCCGCCGCGGTAGTGGTCGCCCGGGTAGTACCGTTGAGCTTCTTTGGCGAAGGGGCTGTCGCGGCGTAGATCCATGCTGGCGAGTTTGGCTTCTCCGGCGATCGTAGCTGCGAGGACGGATTGGAGGGTGTGTGCGTGGACTGGAGCAGTTGACGCCGCGGATTGAGGTGTATCAGAGGAAGAGGGGATTAGCGACGATAATCCTTCCGGACCGGTAAGTCGGTCGAGGGCATCGGAGGGTGTGATCCCGACATTTGGTGTGGCCGTCCAGGCACCCGTGAGAACCATTCGACTTGTGATGAGTTTCAGAATATCCTGATTATTGAGGTTGTCAAATACGCCATCTGTCGCGAGCATGAGCACATCGCCATGCTGCATGTGGAGGTGGGTGGCGACCGCATCGCGGGGAAAGTCTTCTAAGAATGCACCCCCGAAGATGGAGGCTTGGGCGCGCATGCGGGGAGGGATGATGCTGAGCTGGAAGGGTGTATTGAAACCGTGAGTTTGTGCAATCGAATAGTGATGTACGGCAGCTTGCCGGAGCAGAACAGAGCCTGAATCGCCTAGATTTGCGAGCTCGATTCGCCCGTCTTCTAGCCCTATCCCGACGGATGCGGTACTCCCCCCTGCGCGAATGGTGTCATCCGCCACGACCTGATCATAACCAGCTTGTAATAAATTCTTTGGCCGTAGTCGTTCTGCTGGCTGGTCCCAATCCAAAGCCGTTTGGGCCATGTAGCCGCATAGGCCGTGCGAGAAGTCTGCTGGGTCAACCCGCGACTCCGCCCAACCCCCAACCCCATCCGCGACTGCAAAGGCGATGGAACTGGAGCTCGCCCGGCCGACCTTGCTCACAAAGAAGGCGTCCTCCCCGCTATCTGGCCTCCGTTTTCGCCTCAATGCACGACTCTCGGTGTCCACAGCGACGCCCAACACATCATGGAGACGAGGATCGAAGTCATACGCATTTTTGGCGGGGAGGAATCGGCGGCCTTTGCCGGATGATGAAGCCGCTACCCGATATGAGATCCGGGGAATAGACTGGTTAAGTTTCGTACTCGAATGGAAAGTTCTGGAGGACGACGGCGAATTTGGTCCGGAGGGTGCATATCGTGTTCGGGGCGGCGCGAAGGCGGAACGGTATTGCGGAAGTTGTCGGAGCCATCTTGGACTGGTTGCAGCTGACGAAAGACCTAGTGTCTCTCTGGCGACAGATTGTAGGCTACTACAGGCCGGACTGCAGGCTCTACCGGGTGAGACAGATACGATCATGAGCAAGCACGCGGATTTTCACCGAATCGTCTTGCCCCCCGAAATTCTAGACCACCAAAAGCCGTAATCAAAATAAGTAACAGGCGTGCTCCGATCAGAGCCAGGTGCATGGAAGAGCCAATGAGGATGTCGAGACGAAGGCCCTATAAAACAACGAAGAACAACAGGGGTTGAACGAGGAAATCGGCGAAAAAGTCGACGGTTCGATTGCGATTTGAAATCTGAACCTTGGTTGATGACGAGCAGGTTGGAGTACTGGTACTCCCGACCGCCTGGCTTTAGCAACCACCACGCAACAAGGAAGAGGGAAGGGTGGCTATTAACAGAGAGATGACATGTAGGGCATCGTATCTCGCTGGTTGTGTATCTTGCATTCGTTGTAGGGAGACGGAGAGCGATCCGTAGCTAGCCGCATGGCTGGTGGGGATGGCCTGCGGACAAGACTGGGGGAAACGGGAATGAAAGTGAGATATATCTATAGTCAGAGAGCTTAGAACGTAGACAATTGTCTGGGATTTGGATAGAAGAAAATACCTTAGGATACCTCCAGAGTCTTCCAGTCTCATGGCGACAGGGCTGGAGCTGGCGGTCGAGAGTTTCTGTCTGTCTCTTCGTCTGATGGCTTCCGCTTTTTGACTTTCTGCCTTCTTTTCGCATGTCGAAAAGTCTCGACGAAAGGAAGCTACCAACGTTCACACCCAACCACTACGAATCGGCCGCCGTTTTCTCTCGAAACCACCCCGGGGAAAGGCTTGAATCTCGAGAATCGACTGGCTTTTGTTTCCCATTTGCACAAACGTACCATTTCCCCGCGTCGTCTTGGGGTGAATCCCCTCATCGCGCCCAGCATGATGCACCCATCGAGACAGGCCTACGTGGAGGAGGCGGAGGTAAGAGGATTCCTAGTTCTTCTGGAAGCTGGTTTAGAGTCTTTTATGGAACTGGAATGGTCATACGTTTCCGGATCTCTTCGCGACGCATACTGACGTTTCTTGGTCATGTTTAGGAGATGGATACGGGTATTGATCTAGCAAATATCCGTAAATCTGCCCCTCCTTTGTGATCGCTGAGATACTTGGCCTTCGTTATCAACTGCTAACTATGGAATGAAACACTAGCGGTTGATCGTGATTATGAGATCCCCCCATCTGCGGCCGGTATTCCAGCAGAGAAAGCGTCCGCAATTCTGTCCCAATTCGAGCGCAAGCGCCGAGCTGCTGCGATGGCAGTACCAACAGACGACACCAGAGTACGGGCGCGGTTGCGAGAGCTAGGAGAGCCTATCACTCTCTTTGGCGAGGGCCCAGCTGATCGGAGAGACCGTTTGAGGGAGCTGTTGACGGATATCGCAGAAAAACAGGATGCGGTCGCTGCGGAAGCAGATATCGAAATGGCGGAGGCTGGAGGCGAGGAAGAAGAGGAAGACGAAGGAGAACAACAGGAGGAGTTCTATACAGAAGGCTCTGACGAGCTGTTGAAGGCACGAAAGGCGATTGCGAAGTTCTCACTTCCGCGCGCAAAGGCTCGCGTGGCTCGACAAAGAGAAGAGTCGACCATTTCTTTACGGACACATATCAAGCACCGAAAGGCAATCAAAGAGAAATTGCACGGGGTTGATCTTTATGGTTCTCAGATCGCGGGCGACCGGCCCGTTAGTATCTGTCGATTTGCGCCGGATGGGCAGACCATCGCAACTGGTAACTGGGATGGTAGCATTCGTTTGTTGACTGTACCGAACCTGGAGCAGAAGCTTTCTATCAAGGGCCATCCAGACCGTGTTGGCGGTCTGTCGTGGTTTCCTGGTGCTACACTTCCTACCTCGAACGTGTCCGAGTCAACTGTTAATCTAGTCTCCGGAGGTGGAGAGGGTACTGTTCGCTTATGGGCCCTGGATAAAGACCAACCGTTAGCTACCATGTCAGGCCATTCTGGGCGTGTGTGCCGGACAGAGTTCCATCCGTCCGGAAAGTATGTCGCGTCAGCATCCTATGACACGACATGGCGATTGTGGGATGTCGAAACGGCGACGGAGCTACTCTTGCAAGAAGGCCATTCACGCGAAGTGTATACTGTTGCCTTCAACAACGACGGGTCCCTCCTGGCAAGCGGTGGCCTTGATAGCATTGGGCGCATCTGGGATCTCCGCACTGGCCGCACGGTGATGATTCTTGAAGGCCATATCAGGGAGATTTTCGGTCTAGACTGGGGGGTGGATGGGTACCGGGTACTTTCCGGTTCGGGTGACGGGTGGATTAAGTGTTGGGACCTGCGTCAAGTCAAAAGCTCTGGAGGAATCGGAGCCCACAAGAGCCTAGTGTCAGATCTTCGATGGTATAAAGGAACCGAGTCCGCCTCGTTTCTGCCGTCGACGGAAGGGCAGGCTGGACGCATGGATGTTGATGGCACAACGGCTCCCACACAACCAAGAAAGTCGGGGACTTTCTTTGTCAGTAGTGGTTTCGATAAACACGTCAATATTTTCAGCGCAGACGACTGGTCACTGATCAAAACCCTGAGTGGCCACTCAGGCAACGTGCTTAGTACGGATATTAGTGACAACGCCCAGTGGATCGCGAGCTGCGGACATGACCGTACCGTGAAGATATGGGGCATCGAGTGAGCTGGTTTATGACCAGAAAATGGGTCTTCCCTCATCGTTGTAGCAATCTACAACTGGAACTCCAAACATTCCGCCCTTTTAAGGCAGCAGAAGCCTTCCAGCAATACCCTCATCGTCGACGGAGAAGTTCGACCAGAGCCGCTTCGCGGTTATATTGGGCCTCTAGCTAGTCTGGAGATGCGCAGAGTTAATATATCTACTACTACACCCGATGAAACACTCTAAAAATCTATCTTGTAAACATCTTATACAACTAGTTACTTCCTGTGACGTCACACCCCATGGCCAGAAAGCTGACTAACCAGCACGTGGTCGGATTCCATTTCTAGATCATTTTGAAGCCATAACCAGGTCCTGCTGGATTCTTGTCACTTTTCTCTCGTCAGTTCCTGGGACAGCTCCGAAATTGTCCACAGCTCCGAGATAGAGACACCGGTTGCACCCCCAACTGCATAGCGGCATTTTTGCTCCAAAAAGCCCTCCCAACATGGCAGCTTCCCTTCGTTCTCGACGGGCAATTCCACGCCTTGCTGCCTACACTCCAGCACCAGCAACAAGACGCACGTTCCTGCGAACAACCTCCCAACCTCCTGGTGTCTGCATCCTCTGTCAACTGTACCCATCACGCGCCGCGACACAGCAACAACGCCGCTCCTTCACCTCGACACCCTACACACCCAACCATAACAACTCCCCGACCTCGGAGCCTCTCAACAATGATAGCAATACCAGTAGCAGTCACAGCACCGTAAACGGGGCCCCCGATACAACCAACCACTACACGATCTTCCCCAAAACCCTCCCCTCCGGCCCGCCGCCCGCATCCCCCTTCGCCATCCCACCCAGCGACCTCCGGCGCGAGTTCCTCCAACTGCAAAACCTCATCCACCCCGACAAGTACCCGTCGGGTCCTCGGAAGCAGCACGCCGAGGCGCTCTCCGCCCGCATCAACGAAGCCTACCGCACGATTCTGGATCCGCTGCGGCGCGCGCAGTACCTTCTCCGCGAACTGCACGGGATCGACGTCACGGCGGAGGATGGGGCGTCGCATCACCCGCTCGACCCGGAGCTGCTGATGGAGGTCATGGACGTGCAGGAGATGATCGAGGAGGTGGGAGCGGAGCCGGACGCGGAGGCGCGGATCGCCGAGCTGAAGACGGAGAATGACACGAGGATCGCCGAGTGTGTCGGTCGGCTGGGGCGGGCGTTTGATGCTGGGGATATCGAGGTGGCGCGACACGAGTGTGTCCGGCTGAAGTTTTGGTATAGTGTTGGCGACGGCCTGCGGGAGTGGGAGCCCGGCGCGACGCAGATTCGGCTGGTTCATTGATTCGGACCGTTACATGCGCTTATTGTATGATTGTACTCCGTATATAGGCGTGACATTCTCTCTCTCTCTCTCTCTCTCTCTCTCTCTATTATGATTACAGACCCTGCTGCACGTTCTGCGTGCTGAACATTTATATTTCTAGCAATATCCCCCAAGACGGGTAGTTGACCGGAAACGCTCCCAGGATGGTATTCTTGTTAGATGAGGGTATACCTAGGACAGTTACAAGACCTCGTCTTCCTGTGTAGAATTGCCGGGAACTCAAGACTAGTATCAGGGCTCGGGAATAACGGGATTTGGGATTTGAGAGCCCAGCGCACAAAGAATGAGTCTCGTGTGGGTTCGAACTGAATCCTTTGTTTCGATTATAAAGTCGGGGGAATTCGTGATATACTAATCGCAGGTCAACGTTGCGGAGGGTCAAGAACTCGTCTCTGGACAACAGCTGTTGGGTCTTCAGGGAATGAATGCATCGGGCAACAATCATCGACGGATACCCCGTTGGCGAAAAGGCAGTGTGGCCACTAGGAGAAGGGAATACTGCATGTGGAGTGAGTGGAGGCGTCGTAAGTAGACCTGCAGAGGTGGTCTCTCTTGTCTTGCTCTATCGTAGCTCTCTGGTGTGCGTGCTGTGCTGTCCATGGATTCCTGGACGAACTTCAGCACTCTCCATCTCCATCACACGATAAGAGAGGGGATCCCTCACCATCAATGCAAACGACTTGGTTCCTCCCAATCCCAGTTCCAGGAAAGCCAATCTGCTGGCATCGATCGCGTAAAGGCTGGTGGTGGTCAATCCACGCCTCAAGCCCCATCATGACAGCACACGTAGCAGGCTATCTTCGCCAATTTGGGTCGGGTTCCCGCGCTTGTTCATCCAGCTTGTCAGGATAGTTAGTTAGTATTAATACTGGTCGTGGTGGTCAAGAAAGAGGGACGAGGGAGGGGAAGGGGATTATTTATTATTTATTCCTGGGGCCAATTTTCACACTTCCAGCGACCTCACTTGCATTTTGTCACGGCAACACCCTTCATTTCATCCTGCGCAATGGAGGCTGGCCGGGATTTCCGAAGGTGAAGTCGTCCCGCTCAACTTCAATCTGAATTGACTGCGACTGACTCTTTGAATCCTGCAGCATCATCAATTCAGTCCCCTTTACTTTCCTGGTCGGTCCAGGCCATACCAAACTTACGGTCCAGTCGGGTCTCGCCCGGCATGTCTCCCGACCCTTGGATCATCTGATGAATAGTGGCCAGACGCGCGAGTCCAAGCATCAGATTGCTGTCCTGGAGGACGAGGATGTGGAAACCTTTGTAGCATTTTGCGAGTATGCGTATACGGGCGACTATGCTGTGCCGCCCCCAGGGGGTAGAGAAGATGATAGAGAGCAAGACATGATCAACAACCCCTTCAGGGGAATGTTTACGAGTGACTCGAACGCTTCATCTCCTCCGTCGGGGCTCGCTCCCTCGCCTGGGAGGCCAGCGGCAGCCGCGCCAAGGGCATCGGATAGTCATCCGCAAGACAGTGCCAGCTACGCGGAAGACGGTTACGATGAGGAGACACCGGACGAGAACGCAGCATGGTATCTCTCCACGACGACGGACTATCCGCCGCAGGACCCAACAGCCACCCCTCGAGATTCCGATAGATCCCCTGTTCCATCGCCAGACGCCAGTTCGTCCCGGGGCCGGAGGAGACAGCGAGGCCGGAGGGGGCGGAAGAATAGCAAGGAGCCGCAGCTCCTGACCGAGAATACGGTCTCCAAACTAACTCCGCCCTGTACTCCTCCGCCGGATGGTGCTGGATTATTCGAGGAAAAGCCCGCCACCGCCGCCGCAGCAGTTGAACTGGATCCAGCCGCGGTGTCCCCCCCCGAGGTGGACGAAAGCCCCCCGGAGGAAGAGAGCTGGGAACGATCGATTTCGGCGTCTACCAGCGCGGAGGAAGAATTCCAGGCAAGGTGCCGGAGTCGACGGATTATCGACACCTCCTTCGCCAGCCAGGAGTTCTCCTCCCGTCACGGAAAACGGACTACGACTAGTCTCTGGGACGAGTTCACAGCGATGGACGACCGTGAATTCCGGCCATACTACTATCGAGCTCGGCCGCCCAACTCGTTTCCCGGATTTGGGTTACCGTACTTGATCTTCCATGCGAAGATCTACGTCTTCGCCACCCGCTACTTGATCCCGGCCCTCGCGCATCTGTGTCTTTGCAAGCTCCACCGCGACCTGGTGAATCTCTCCTTTCCCGATCCGGACCCAGACCCGGACAACCAGTACGCCGAGCAATTCGTCCTGACCACCACCAAGGCGCGAATGGTGCTGGACCTCCTGCACTACACGTACAGTAAGACCACGCGGCTGGAGCCGATCTCTCCCACGGCGGCCACGCAGCTCCGCGACAACGAGCTCCGGAAGCTCGTGGTGCACTATGCGGCGTGCAAGATCCGCGACCTGGCAGAGTACTGTCCGCCGGTCGAGACGATTGTGGGATCTCCCGGGTATCCCGAGAAACCGTCGGCGCGGGGCCTTCGCGCGCTGCTCGATACGACGCCCGAGCTTGCATCGGATTTGATCTACCGCATGATATGACGGGACAGGAATAATATAGCATATGGAGCCTGGAGTTGACGTTAATGTTCAGTTTGTTTGAGATATGTTGTAGTTAATCTTGTTTACTCTTAGCAGGTAACATTACGGAAGGCGTCCGTCGATCAAGTTCCTGAGTATCGCTAATTGCGGTTGTCACTGTAGTATTCTGATTTTACTCTCTAAGAATAGTACATAGTGAATTGTCTCTGATCGGCCCGAAACGACGAACCCGGCCCCGTTGACTCGGGATATCCTTGGATATCCTTGGATATCCAAGGATCAGTCAGGGTACAGTACGCAATTGAGACTCTATTGGTTCTCCATTGGGCGTCTATCAATGAGACCCTGCGTGGCAACCATGTGATGGTGAAGCTATTCAAGACGCCAGGGGGACTGCCAGGGGCCTCCGGAGACTGTGACATTCTGCTTCTTTTCCCTGTCAAGTTGTTTCTTCCTTTGCCCCTCCGTATGTATCCCGGATCGGAGATGCCTGTTCTCTCACCGGAATCCTGGTCAAAAGTCTCTTATTCTCTCGATATAATAAACCCATTTCTTCTCCGGACCCCTGACTCCTAACGACACACACACACACACACCATGTTGCAAAACTCTTCGCCTCCAAGCTGCCAGATGTCGGACGCCGCGCCAGCCCTGGGCGTCGAGGTCAAGGATCCTGCCAGCCTGCGAGAACGACTCCGTCACTTCACCTGGGCATGGTATACCTGGACCATGAGCACCGGAGGCCTGGCTCTCCTGATTGCCAACCAGCCGCACCGATTCCCCGGCATCGAGCAAGTCGGCCAGGCGGTATACATCCTCGACCTCTTGTTCTTTGCGCTGGTGTGCTCGCTGATGGGCGTTCGGTTCATCCTGCACGGCGGATTCCTCGACTCCCTCCGGCACGAGCGAGAGGGCCTCTTCTTCCCGACCTTCTGGCTCTCCGTCGCAACCATCATCTCGGGCCTGGGCCGGTTCTTCGGCGACGACGATGCGGCCGGCGATTCGGGCGTCGTCGTGCTCCTCGAGGTGCTCTTCTGGCTCTACTGCGCCTGCACGCTCCTCGTCGCCGTCGGGCAATACTACTTCCTCTTCTCCGCGCGCTCCTACCGTCTCCAAACCATGGCGCCCTCGTGGATCCTCCCCATCTTCCCCGTCATGCTCAGCGGAACCATCGCCTCCATCCTCGCCGAGCAGCAGCCCCCGCGCGCCGCCCTCCCCATCATCTGCGCCGGCCTCACCTTCCAGGGCCTGGGCTTCTCCGTCAGCTTCCTCATGTACGCCCACTACCTCGGCCGCCTGATGGAATCCGGCCTGCCCGCGCGCGACCACCGACCCGCCATGTTCATCTGCGTCGGACCCCCCGCGTTCACTGCCCTAGCCCTGATCGGAATGACCTCCAAGCTCCCAGGCATCTTGGAAAACACCACCACCACCACCACCACTACCGCTATGGGCCACGACAAGGAGCTCGCCGCCCAGATCCTGGCCCTGCTCGCCATCGCCTGCGCCATCTTCCTCTGGGCCCTGAGCCTGTGGTTCTTCAGCCTGGCCGCCCTCGCCGTCGCGCGCGGCCCGCCGCTCGCCTTCCACCTCAACTGGTGGGCCATGGTCTTCCCCAATACGGGCTTCACCCTCGCCACCATCTCCCTGGGCGACGCCCTCGACAGCAGCGCCGCCGTGGCCGGGGTCGCTACGGCCATGTCCCTCGCCGTTCTCTGCATGTATCTGTTTGTTCTGTTCCGGAATCTCCGCGCCGTGCTTCGGCGCGAGATTGTGTATCCGGGCAAAGACGAGGATGTTTCCGACTAGCTCCTCTCTTCTTTTTCCATCCCTCTGGTCTTAGAAACATCAGTCGTTTGGATTCTGATTTGCGTTGCGTTGCGTTGCGTTTGCATTCCAGGTGTTGTTGTGTTCCGCTCTCGTTCAAGACTTCGTAGTAGATCTAGACTAGGTATTTCATGCGGCGTTAGAAAGAAGAATTAATACACTAGATAGACTATACATCCAACCCATTCTCGAAAAGCAAGTGTATACCTAGTAAGTTACTTACTTGGAAATAAATTCAGAATTCGGTTTCGACTCGCTTGCTTATATTTGTAGTAGAGTACTACCTAGCGATGTACTAGTATGGATAGAAATAGTTATTACATACGAGTAAGAAGAGTGTCATGCTTTGATCAAAGATCATACATATCTCTGTCTACTGTACATACATGCATCCTCGCCAACGTCAACCAGTCCAAGCCATCTGACAATACTATCACATAACAAGTCCCCCCATTCGGGCTGAGACCAAGGGAAACTCCTCGTAAGGTAAAAACCTGGTCAGGACACATAAAAATACAAAGTAAACCCCCAATCTTCGGTATGCAGGAAAGCTTGTGTAAGAAGACATGCACAAGGACACTGTATTCTTGTCAGACCGTTTCTTTGATGAACACAACCGAGTCACTTACATTCCAAACATATCTCTCTCACTTCACTGCGGAGTGGCATGTTTTTTTTTTTAGCCAGCCTAGGTGATATTAGTATCAAGCCAGTATATAGGGTTGGGGTACGTACAAGCTCTGTCACTTACTGGGCCTGCCATCATGCAGCTACTGTGTGTCATTGTTTTTTTTTTTTTTTTTTTTTTTAACTCAGTAAAATAATGTGTGCTCTGGAGAAGATGTAAGAAAGAGAACACATAAGAGTGAGTAGTACTTACAGTCATATGCTGTCAAAGTCGCTATGCCTGCGGTGTGAGCGGTTGTTTTTAGCCAGCCTAGGTGATATTAGCATCAATCAGTATACAAAGAGCTGAGGTACTTACAAGCTCTGTCACTTACTGGACTAGCCCACTGTTGCAGGCAAGTGAAGAGGGACAGTGACAGTGATGACATAGAAAGCCAAATAGAATTGTGATCTGTGAGCAGCTAGTTAGCATTGCAGTCATGCTGTCAAGCCCTAGGAGGCAGCTAACATGGCTTCATCCTTCCAAAGCTAGCCTGCGGTGTGGACTGAGTTTTTTTTTAGCCAGCCTGCAATTCATATCAGTATGTCCATGTGATAATAAGCTCAGTGAGTTACTTACAAGCTCTGTCACTTACTGGGCCTGTCCACGATGCCAGGCAAAGACAGGAGAAGGAGCAACGAGGAACTTCATGAATTTTCCATAGTGAAGTCGTTGCATTTGTATCCTGAAGTCTGTTAGCTATTGACCTTGTTACTTGGTAAGATGATGTATTTACATGAGCAGTCCCAGGTGGGAGCTGGCCTGCAGTGTGAGCGAATTGTTTTTAGCCAGCCTGCAGTTCGATATCAGTATGCATGTGATAATAAGGTCAGTGAGTACTTACAAGCTCTGTCACTTACTGGGCTTGCCCACGATGCCAGGCATAATGCTCAGAGAATGAATAGAAGCGTGATTAAGGTCGTGTAAATCAATTGAGTCCAATGGTGAAGTTCAATGGTGTAGTAAGCTGAATCTGAGATGATGATTGTAGATCCTAACATTCTCCAGTTAGCTATGCATCACCTCAGTAATCAGACGAAGGAATAACCTACATGAGCAGTCCCAGATGGGAGCTGACCTGCAGTGTGGACAAATTGTTTTTAGCCAGCCTACAGTTCAATGTCAGTATATCCTTGGGATGCAGTGGGTGAGTACTTACAAGCTCTGTCACTTACTGGGCCTGCCCACGATGCCAGGCATAATAATGCTCAGAGAAAGGAGGATGTTCAAAGTCAAGCTGAGTAAGTGCCGGATTAGTTGATTCGGGTCAGGTTCCGTTCCTGTTCATTATTTGCTAGCATATTCTGTAAATGTAAACCGGGGGTCGAGTTACCTACTAGGACTCCCTCTAACGGAAGGAGAGAAGAAACCTTAGACTGGGGTTAGCTTAGTTCAATTGGAGTATCTGCCTTGTGGAAGACATGGACTCAAGGAGACTACATTGAGAAGAAGGGCAAGAACGCAGCACGGTAGTCCGGAGCGAGATTGTTGTAGAAGGAAGGAAGAGGAAGGAAGAGGGAAGGAAGGAGCAGCTACCTATATATACCTGGGATCAACCCCTCTTCGTGATCTTCTGGTGGTAGCGAAAGCTTATGAACTGGGAAGGCGCAATGGGTCGTTCCCTCCTATTCAGGAAATTGTGAGGGGTTTATCAGCGTATCATACTCAACAATACTGTAACGAGGATTGACACGGACACTTAGGGTCTGCTATCTCCAGTAGCCAGGAGGTCAAAAGGCGTCCCCAGGAAGTCAGGGAAAAGTCCAAGTGAAGTGTTGAGGGCTCAAGAGGCCGCTTGGGGGACTTTTGAGCAAGTCATGGACGGGGGGGGGGGCGAGATTTCAGTGAGGTGGTGAGTTCGAGGATTCAAGTCTCTTGGTATTGAGCTGTCACTGGTATGAAAACCATTGTAGTCCTTGCTCTGGTTCTTGGGTTCACGAAGGGTTGGAGGTGATGTGAGTTGGTTCTCTTTGGCTACCTAGGTACTCGTGAGGCATTTCTTAGTTGGGATACACTGGTTTGTATCTCGAAACCCTGGAACGCTGGGGATCGGCGAGAGAAAGAAACGAAGGGAATTCGCTCAGGTGCGGTGGAAGTGACTGGAATAAATGAAAAGAAAACAATAGAGGTTACATTTGTATGCTAGGTACAAAATTCAGAGAATGCAATGGACAAATGTAGTGCTGGCGGTACAGTATAGTATGTATATCTCCATTAGCTCAAGCTAGCAAACACAATTCCAAGATTCCAATCCAAGCTTTTTAAACACCATCATCCTCCAAGCGGTGAGGTCATTGGAAGCGCAAAGACCTAACACAGTGGGTATCATGAAAACAAAACATGTAGCGATACCAAAGCGGATGACGAACGCTGTGCTCCTTAAAATGAGCGAATCGCACCACTGCAGCCCTCGAAGTGAGGGTGTTATAGTGTTGTTAGCTGTAGTGAGCTCAGTATCTGTACAGTTGTCCGCTTGGCGTGAGTCTAACCACGTGGCACAGGATTTGACTCGTCGGTGAGACATGGCGTCGAGTCAGGCGATCTGATAGTCGAGGATAGCGCATAAATCGAATGAAAAAAAAAAAAAAAAAAGGTTATTAATATGTCGTGTCGAAGCCGCGCTGCGCTGGGGCAAGTAAGTTCAGGCTCCGCTGATCCTGTTCCACCCCATGAACGAAACCGGCCTGGACGATCAGACGGCAACCCGACGGCAACCTGAAACAAAGTTGCGACAATGCTGTCAAAACCTTCGAGGTGGACTCTAAATCGGGAATGATATTGTGACAACCACCGACGAGGGTGGCCACGACAGTGGGTGCGGATACTTGGGGGACAAGGCTGCAATCAAGCGACCTTTCGTCCCACATTACCAATACCACGTCCAACAACACTGATGATAATGTCTCCATCAGGGTTCTCTCCCGGAGCATCTCTGAGACCCCATCCTGGGGCGCCAAACTGCGCCAAATCCCTCGCTAATTGGATCACATTCTCATCCGCGAGAACCTCGCGACCGACCTGAATTCGGCCAACATCCTCAGAGCCCATGGTCATCAGTCCCAACATCGTCGGCATAGCTGCAGGGGGGACGCAACCACCCTTCGAGATGGTCTCAAGCAGCTGATAGGCACAAGCCTTTCCAATATCCTCAGGAGGTTGTCCCCCACTGGGAGGCGACGCCACATCGGCAGAGAACAAGCAACCGGTTGAGGATTCCGCCACCAATGACAAGCCGAATCCAAGGCCAATCTTCTTCTTTGCAGATGGGTTATTCTTGTCATGGGCGGGGACCATGGGCGCGGAGGAGACATCAGAAAAGATGTAAGTATCCGGGGAGAGGGGGTTGAGAATGCCACGAGCGACATCAATCATTCTCGCGTTGTTAGAGGCAGCGACGCCAACCGAGTACGCCACCCCACGTATCCGCTTAATTTTCCCGGCATTCATGAGGTGCAGAGTTTTCGGAAGGCGGACTTGGTGCCCAAAGACAAGCTGAACCTCTCCACCACCTCCTCGTCCATTCGGGCCAGGGTTCGATCGCCGTAGAACGCGTAGCTCGATGTTGTTGAAGATTCCGAACTGATTGAAGAGCGGCAGGATGGCAGTTCGTACGCTGTCGACGGACATGTCACCGTTTGGGGTTGAAGAGGTGATGACACCAGGGCCAGTGAAGAGGACCTTGATAGGAGCCTTGGAGAACGGGGCCATGAGGCAGAGAGGAATCAGGAAATAGCTGACACCGCGAGTACAACCCGCGGGCAGCTCATGGCGAATTACACCACCCGTGCTTGCGGCGGTACCCGAAGAGCTGCCTGTAATAAGACCCGGCTTGTAAACCAGGATGGTACCGGTGTAGGAAATCTCCATTTGCGCGCCATTGGTCACAGATTCCAGGAGCCGGAGGAAGGAAATTTCATGCGCTGCAAGACCTGGGTTAGTCGGCGAGGAAGCACGAATCTGCGAAATATGAACGGTTCGGCCAGTCAGGGTTGAAAAGACAAGCCGATAGACCAAATTCCTATGGGAGGTAAGTCGCAGAGGAGGTTGAGAGGTCGCCATGGCTGTTGTTCCACCTCTTGGATCCTGCTCTTCTTTTTCAACACTTTTGGTATCCGAAAAGAGAAAAACGCGATTGCAAGAAAATCTTCCGGCACCGACAGATGTTCCGTTCCGGTGCGGACATAAGCTCGGGGTTTATCTAAACATCATTTTAAGAGTACTTTAGATGTCAACTCCGATACATCAGATACATACATTCTCAACTACTCAATTCATTCCATTTATGTTGTATTCTTCTGCAGCTTCAGTCCAAGTCAACTAACAAAAATCAATCAAACCAATACTCGCAACGCCCAGCTCCGAGATGCTCCCACCAGCCCTCAACATCCCAAAATGGTATCTTTCCCCCTCATATTACCCTATACCCCTCCTCCCTCCACAATAGAGATATTTTTAATACAACCAACCCCCACACAGGCTAGAAGCCAACTCCCACCTCCTCCAACCACCAGTAAATAACTACTGCGTATACCACCCGTCCTCCCCCCCGACAGCCGGATACACCGTGATGATCGTGGGCGGCCCCAACGCAAGAACCGACTACCACATCAACACAACGCCCGAGTTCTTCTACCAGTACCGAGGATCGATGCTCCTGCGGACCGTGGACACGTCTGTCTCGCCCGCCAGATTCCAAGATATCCCCATCCACGAGGGATCGATGTTCCTCCTCCCCGCGAATACACCGCACTGCCCGGTGCGGTTCAGGGATACCGTGGGGGTGGTGATGGAGCAGCCGCGGGCGGCGGGGGCCGTGGATGCGATGCGGTGGTATTGCGCCAACTGCGGCCAGATTGTTTGGGAGAAACAGTTTATCTGTACGGATCTGGGGACGCAGGTGAAGGAGGTTGTGGAGGAGTTTGCGGGGGATCCGGTGAAGCGGACCTGCAAGGCTTGTGGGACTGTAGCGGAGTCTAGATATAAAGAGGGCGAGGTGGTTCAGCCTCCTAGGTTCCCGGAGTAAAGAGAAGGGAAACGGTTATTATGATTTGGACTGGACTGGACCTTGCATGATGTGATGATGGCAATGATGATGTATTTTAAGACGTGTATACGAATGAAGCTTGGTTACGTTTGCAACCGTGGGGGACTGCATTGTTATTGTACGTAGCTCGAATGAGAATACTCGGTAATAAGGGTTTGAATTAGGTCGATTATTATGCACTCTGGCTATAGTAAGTGTATCAGGGATGCGAAGGCTGTCTAGAGAAGAAATGCAAAAAGAGAGAAAAAAAGAATCGAAAGAATCGAAAGAATCGAAAGAAAACCAACACCCAGCTAAAGCAATGGTATAGTAAACTTCATGAGGTAGGCGATTCGAGAGGAATGAATGGCGTATAAAAAAGACAGAAAAATATTAACACAAACCTCCATATGACCAGACCCGAGCTATGGAGCAGAACCTGCTTCATCAGTATAACAGACAAGACGAGGCAAAAACACCCCCAAAAAAAAAAAAAAAAAAAAAAGGAAGAGAATAACAAGCCCGCAAAGTCATTTGGAAGGAGCCATGTCATGTCATACAGGCAAAAAGCGTCAAAGTCGGCAAAGGCGGACTATTCATGGGCATTAAGGACTAAGCCATTAGTTATGTCTCGTACACCGACGTCAAACCAGATAACAGCCACAAATTTTAATCATCAAATGGACAGTCAATGCTTTCATGACCATCACGCTCGCAGAGGGCACACCACATTGTCTCATCAACTATGCCGCTAACTTTGCCTGCAACAGGAGCCATGGAGGAGGTGAGTCCAACTCCGCGAAGGCCCTCGAGGACGACGTCACGGCCAGTCTTTTGTGGTGTGGTGTCTTGGCTTGGACTTGAAGCTGTCGGTTCTGCAACTTCAGTGGCTATAGGTTGGGGAGCAGATTCTTCATCTACAGAGGGACTGAGATTGGATGGATCCTTGGCAGTGCTGTCTTTGTTCTTGGCCTCTGCGCCAAACATGTTTGTGCAGCTCAAGATATCATGGCCACCGGTCTCGCATATCTCGCACCACAAGGAACCACCGTCTTCTGAGCGGGTATCCGACTCGTGCATCGTCTCCAGGCGCTGACGCGAAGCCTCGGAAGGGCCCTGGCGGTGCTGCGCGTACGCTGAGTAAATACCCTCTTGCCGAGGCTCGTCCTGCCAATCGCTCGGAACGACAGTCCGGTCAGACAGTCGATGGGCGTGATTTACGGCATGCCCGTTTGCAATGTTGCCGGTTGAACCCGACGCTATATGCTGAGGCCCAGATGCGGTAAGACTAGAACTGCGAGTATGGCCGTCGCCAGACAGTTGTAGCTGCTGCAGCTCACGTTCAAGTTCTTCAATGCGATAGGTCTTGTGCTCACTAATCCGTTCAAACTCCTGGACCTGTTGCTCCAAGTCAGCCACATGGTCTACATTGTGATCTGACCGGACCCCCGCTCCGAATCCGTTCTGCTGCAGGGTATGCAGGTCGGGGTCACCCCTGCTCAGAGAATGGATGATCGCCTTCAATCCCCGGATCTCATCATCTTTCTGCTCCAGTTCTCTCATGTGGGATTGCCCATCCGGGCTTATGGGAGTCTCCCTCGGCATGCCAGAGCTCTCCCGCTCTTTCTTCAGCTCCAGCTTTGTTCGCTCCACCTCTCCTCGGAGGAACTCGACCTCTGCTCTCGCTTCAGCTTCTCCGCGGCGTGCGTCCTCTAACCCTTCCTCTAGCTCTGACACCAATTCTTCAAGCTGTTTCAGCTGCCTTGCGACAGCTTCGACATCCTCCCCGCGGTCCTGGAGTTCCTTGTTCTGTTGCATAAGCTCATCGATGCGTTGTTCGTAAACCCGCTCCGTCTCCGAGGCGGCCACCTCCAGTGTGTCGAGAGTGCATCTGAAATCCGCACGATGCAAATCGAATTCCGTGGTCAACTGAGCAATACGATCATTCTTCTCCCGCAGCTGCGCCCGAACTGACAACGCATCCGACCCCTCAAGTTCCTCTAGTGTCCGTTGAAATTCCCCTAGCGTGTTCGCCTGTTCCTCTAGCTGCCGGTCACGGTCGAGAAGCTGCTTCTCGAGGCCTTTGACCTGCTCCTTCAACTCCGCGACCTCTACGCCGATGGAGGAGCTCCGGCCGAAATCCGAAGTTCTCACGGATGGGAGGTCATCCTCTATGCTGAAACGCGAGGGGGGGCGATCAGAAGCGCGCGACGGGGCCTTGACAGGGCTTCGCGAGTAGCCGTTCGAACTGGGGGGTGCTTTGGATGCGGCTGACGGGGTTCTCAGACCACTCAACCCTAGCTTGGACGACGGCGCAGGGAGTCGGGGGGATTCTGGTCGAGGGAGGGAGGGGCGCCTCATCCGCGGCGGTCGGGGCATGGAGGGGTTCGGACCAACCGATTTGCTGAAGTTGGTCGGTCGTGACGGGGTCGGAGGGGGGCCACCGGACCCGGAGGAACGCTTCGTCACGTATTTGTTGTTGTTCATCGGCACAAAGATCCCTGACCCGGTCGTCGAGGTCGAGAAATAGCGTCTCCCGTCCACATCGCCGCTATTCTTTCCCCTGCGGGCGTGTTCTGCAGCCAACTCGATCCCTGCAAACTTGCCCGGTTTTCCGGCCACGGTCCCCAAAAATTTAACGGTGCCATACATTCCCCCGGGGACATTGACGACGTCGCCCACCTGAATCTCATCCAAGAGCGCCATCTGGGTAGTATTTGAGGTTTAGAAGGTATGGATTAGGCGAGGGGGAAGAGAGGAGGAGAGGAGGAAGGGGAATAAATCGAGGAGTGCGAGTGGGAAAGAGAAGAAAAGGAAAGAAAAGGGATGATGGCAGTAGAAGTGGAGGCGCGTAAATAATGACTGATCAAACACCAATCATTATGACCAGATTCGGAGAATTTCTGGTGCTTTAAGAATGATAATAACAGCTCGAGAGAGAAGGGACGAAGAAGAAGAAGAGAAAAAAAAAGCAGGGGATCTGCAGAGATTCCAGGAAGAAGTGATTTTGTTGTGAATGATTGGAGTGTCGTCATGATAATAATATAATACTAGTACAACAAAGGATCGAGATATTTCTGAGCCTAGAATAGTTATATTCTCTCTTGATAATAATTAACTACCTACCTATGATAATATGGGTTGAAGAATCCCCTCTGCGTACTAGATGCGTACCGTAATTTCTGCTCTTTCCACTGATTTTCTGAATGGCTTCATCCTTTCCCCAGTCTTCCTACCCGAGACGTGAGTCAACCTCTCTCGAAGCGTCAAAATATAAGATTCTTCCATTGCTCTTCACTCTCCCCCTCATGTGTGGATTCTATCATGCTCAATGAATGATGATCCGTCAGTGCATACCCCCATACCACTAGACAATAGTCGTCGAGACATCCCGATTCAATATGCGCTCAAGTCTGAATTTTACCGCTGGAGCTCTAATTACCAGTGTCTTCCCTGCGACGTGCATATCACCTCGTACATCAATAACTTGCATCCGAGTCACTCATCTCCCTGTCAGTCAAACTGTGGAATGGTCAGAGACTGGCATTGCATTCCCAGCCTTCAGGATTAATAGTGGAATCACTGAGGCGGCAGACCCTCAAATTTTCTACCACCGATATATGAACAAAATATGTAATTTAATGTCAATGAAATGTTCTAAAATAATATAATATATATATATAAGTTATGCCTCATTTGTTGATTAATTTATCAAGAATGCACGCCTTCTGGCCACCTGGCGGCCTCCCACTTCCGCCTTTCTCTCCGCCCGCAGCCGTTGTTATGAACTTGCGTCTACTCTTCTTCATCAACCCCCAGTTGATTTCGATTTTACGGTCATTGCTTCAACATGGCGCAATACTTCTTCGACCTCCTGTACAACTTTACAGACTGCATGTGCTGCTTCCCCAGCACGCCGCAGCTGAAGATTAACAACCGCAGCTTTAAAATGCTCCGTCTCCTCGGCGAAGTATGAACATTGCGATCCATCCCCATTCCGCCCTGCCGTACGTTGGAAGCTGACTGGCAATTATCGCGCTAAATTAGGGAGGCTTCTCCTACGTATACCTTGTCCAAGACAAAGCATCATCAGAGCTGTTCGCCCTCAAGAAGATCCGATGCCCGTTCGGCCAGGAATCCGTCTCCCAGGCCCTGAAAGAGGTGGAGGCCTATAGCCTGTTTACATCCGAGAGCAATATCATCCACTCAATTGACCACTGTGTTTCGACGGAGCCGGGCTCGAAATTCCGCTCCGACGGCGGCGATCCGGGCTCCAAGACCGTTTATATCCTGCTGCCTTACTATCAAAGGGGGAATCTTCAGGATGCGATCAACGCGAACCTCGTCAACCATTCGCGATTCCCGGAGAAGCGCCTAATGATACTGGTGCTTGGAGTTGCGAATGCACTGCGTGCGATGCACCTGTACCGTGTCAAGAGCGGCTCGGGACCTACGCGTAAAGCTAAGGCCGCGAGGAGGGAGGGGGCAGAGGCCGGTTCAGAAAGCACAGTGCGCATGGGGAAGGCGAAACGACGCGCCAGCCAGCTTGCCGGCGAGGATGACTCGGAGCATGAGCCCCTGATGGATGATGAGGTTACCCAGAGCCAGGAAGGCGTCCAGGATGGGGGCCTACGCCCTTACGCGCACCGAGACATTAAACCTGGTATGACTGATCCCTTGCGCCTCTGGTGGCGAAACCCGCGTCGGGCCACCTGACTAATGGATGTAGGTAATATCATGATCGAGGATGATGGACAGACGCCGATTCTTATGGATCTCGGATCGCTCGCGCCCAGCCCTATTGCAATCACGTCTCGTTCACTTGCCCTAGCCGTCCAAGATACTGCTGCGGAACATAGTACGATGCCATACCGAGCGCCAGAACTCTTCGACGTTAAGACTGGCTCTATTATTGATACCAAGGTGGATATCTGGTCACTGGGATGCACACTTTATGCTTGCCTAGTGGGCAAGAGCCCGTTCGAAGCTCGAAGCGAAGAGACTGGCGGTAGCCTCAGCATGTGTGTATTAGGTGGGGATTGGCGATTCCCGGACGAAAAGTCCGGGGCAACCAAGGGCAAGGGCAAGGCCGGTAGCGAGGAAGCAAAACCAGACAGTGCAACCTTTATCAGTGCGCCTGTTAAGGAGATCGTCCGCCGTTGTCTACAGGTCGAACCCGCTGACCGACCGGATATTGACGAACTCATCCAGATTCTCAAGGATGTGATCCAAGAGCTCCCGGATGACGACGACATTGGTGGTGGATTAGGTTGAGCCGGGGTTTCCTTAGCGTCTTGTACCGTTTTGCCTATCCATTAATTCCCTTTTGTTTATCTTTTCTCTGGTTCCCCCGAGCTGGCTGGGCCGTAGCCAAAGGATCTTGTCAAATTCCCTGGTGTTTATGTGTATCGGATTGTATAGTATGAGCTAGTATTGAACATATTCCCATTTTTTTTTTTTTTGAAGACATTATTATTGCTGTGACTAAATCTCATATCCTGCTTTAGACGCTACTAATCCACTCTTTTGAGCTTTCGGTAGAAATTTTATCGACATTATTTGAGAGAAGTACTGGTGAGAGAAGAATGTGCTTAAAATCTAATATAGCGGTATGTGAATTATGAGGGAGAAGACAAACAACCTGCACCTCTTCACTTTCCCATCTTCCACCACCCAATGAGCAACTCCCAGCTTCAAAATCTCTTCCTGCATGTTTCTTTATCCTTACTCTTACTCCAACTAGCCTGTTATCATTTAGACTCCGTCATTCCTACTCGACGATCCGCTTTCTTTGCTTGAAGCCCCGTCTCGCTGCTGCCTCTAATCGACCAACGTGCGGGGAAGGGAAGGATAAGGCTTAAGCAATGGATGCCGCACTCCTTAGTGCTCTCTCGATGCATAGAAATCCCTGGTTTGGTGTATCACAATTGACGAGCTGGCATCCTTGATGATAGCAGATCTCCGCCCAAGAATTTCCGAAAAAGCACAGCGCACTCACTTATATATTCTGAACTCGCTCCCCCCTGCAGATTGCTCGACCACCTACCTTGCATTCGCGGCTCTCTTCTTATTTGATTGTAACCGACACTTGGGTCTCCTGGAGTGGATTGCTCCTCTATAATGGCACCATCCATAGATCAAAGTGCTATCCCCGGCACCTTAACCATTGTAGATACAGGTCACGTTCTTGCAGCTCGCCATCTAGAGCGTGGAGAGAATGATATCGTCCTGGTGCCTGAACCTTCGAGTGACCCAGATGACCCCTTGAATTGGTCTCCACGGCGGAAGCTCTTATCCACTGTCTGTGTGAGCGTGTAAGTTAGTCTACATGATTAGAAGACCCCGGTTAACCGAGGTGAATTTCTTAGATACACCTTGTTCGCCGGTATTGCGTGTGCGGTAGTGTATTCCGTACTCACACAGATCTCCGAAGAAACCGGGATCTCTATCAGCACCCTTAATGAGGGAACTGGCTATCTGTTCTTGCTGGCTGGTTGGGGTCTCCTTTTCTGGCAGCCTTTCGCGCTCCAGTACGGAAAGCGGGTGACGTACATGATATCATTGCTTGGAATTTTGGTAAGGAAACACCCATACTGATTATGACCGTCAATCTCTCATTTAATTAACCGTCCGAATAGGGAACGATGGTTTGGGGGTAAGTCGTATCTGGCTCCGGCGGGTTAGAATCTAAGTGGCTTATCCTATTTCCTGTAGTCCATATGTGAGCAGCAATGGGGAATGGATTGCGAGAAGCGTCATCTCGGGATTCTTTGCTGCGCCGATTGAAGCTCTTCCAGAAATCTCCGTCACGGATGTGGTACATATGTCTATATGGGTTGTTTAAGTGAGACAAATGCTCCAGTGGAACTAACCATCTGCCTGCAGTACTTCACCCACGAGCGCGGCACATACATGGGTCTTTATGCCTTCTTCTTGGCGGGGAGTAATTACTTTGCTCCTGTCATTTCCGGCTTTATTGCCGAGTACCAGTCGTGGGAATGGGTGTTCTACTGGCCTGCCATATTCAGCGGCGCTTCCATCGTCATCCTTTTCTTCTTCATGGAAGAGACCAACTACATGCGCAAGAAACCTGGCAGTATCCCTGAAGCCCCGACAGAAGCACTGTCCCCGTCACCCGAGTATGCAGACAAGGAGAAATCTCCCGCTAGCAATGCGGTTCACCAGAGTGACCCGGAGGTTGGCGCGGTTTACAGCAAGAAGACATACCTCCAGAAGCTCTCCCTTGTGGGTCCGCGACAAGTTAGAAACAATATGTTCCGGCGTCTTTGGCAGACCATTTACTATTTGAGCTGGCCTGTGATTTTCTATGCAGGGTACGTAGTTGACGCCCACTTCTACCACTAGAACTAACTGATTCATCTAGATTCTCGTACGGGTCGTACCTCATTTGGTTCAATGTGCTAAACGCAACCTCCTCTTTGATTCTTGGTGGTGCGCCATATAACTTTGGGTATGTCCCACCATCTCCTTCGGTGGATGTTGCATTCCAGCTAATACCAGTAGCTCCTCAATGGTCGGGTTGAGCTATTTTTCCTGCTGTCTGGGTGTTATCCTCGGGTAAGTTCTCCCTTTTTCTGGGGAAGGTTCATGTACTCATCAACTTCGAGGTCTCTCTTTACCGGCCGATTTAGCGACTGGCTCACTCTCAAACTCGCCCGACGGAACGGCGGAGTCATGGAAGCAGAACACCGCCTGTGGCCTTTCGCTCTTTGCCTGGTTCTTGTTCCAGGGTCCCTTCTGCTCTGGGGGATTGGTGCTGCCCACGAGGTCCACTGGTTCGGTCTCTTGGTTGGCATGTGTCTGCTGGCACTAACGAACACATGCGGTATCACTCTGAGCGTCAACTATCTTGTAGACAGCTACCGTGAGTTGAGTGGCGACGCAATGGCGACAGTTATCCTGGTCCGCAATACCATGTCCTTTGCCATGAGTTACGGGTATGGTTCCCCCTCGCCCCTCAGCTGAAATTTGCTTCAACCTCCCAACTGATTTTCGAAATTCGAAATATAGCATTACACCATGGATCCAGAATCTGGGCTACCAGAACTGCTTTATCTCTGCTGCGTTCGTGGGATTGGCATGTTCAGCTCTCTTTCTACCTATGATTAAATGGGGCAAGATGTTCCGGGCTCGCAGCCGCGAAAGATACTGGATGATTGTTGAAGAGAACTGGGAGAAGGGAATGGGACATAATTAGAAACCTTTTTTTTTCGCGGTATGTATATATGGTATACATATATGATATATATCTGTCCAGATAAAATGCAGTACATATCTAAACAGGACGGGAACTAACTATTCTATTCTAATCACACGATGAAATAACCATAGCAAATTCTGGCAAAGTATCCCACCCCCTTTTTCTTCCCAATCACAATACAAACTAGGGCAGATAAAAATTCCTCCATGCAACTCTTCTAGTGGCTCCCCTATCTGGCTTGATTAAGGTAGCCATCAGATCAGGTATATAGTACATCGGTGATTCAACATGTACCCAAACAGATTACACCGTAACGGCCTCTAATCCCAAATTATGGAAAAAGGTAATCAGATCCTGCGCAATATTGGCTTCTTCAATCAAGCCCGTGCACGGGTCCAGCAGGAGGAAATCCGTGCCGTTATAGGTCACCGGGTCCCCGGGCTTCAACGTCCTAGGTAGGAAGCAAATTGACCGCGTTAGCACAAGCACAAGCACAAGCACAAGCACAAGCAATTTGAACTGGGGAATCCAGGGTGCAGGGAGCGCCTCACGTTGGAGCAAGAGTGAAATTGTGGCCCATTACGGCCTCGAGGCGCCAGCGGACCGCGATGTTCAGTCCATCCGCGGCCCACTTGTACGGGTGGAATGTATACTGGTTCCAGCCTGTCCGGGACCGGATGACGAAAGCGCGGAATGCCTGCGCCGTGGGGATTTGGATGGCGACGCTGCCGACGCCGGTGGAGGAGGGGAAGCGATCGGAATGGAAGGCGAGGTCGGGGGAGAAGGTCGAGTTGATGAGGGAGAGATCCCCGTTCCAGATGTCGAGGTAGTTGTTGAGGATGTATTCGTGGTGCATATGGGTTCCCACCTCTGGGTTACAGCATGATGTTGCTGCTGCTGTAGGAGGAAGAACGAGAGAGAGAGAGGCGAAGAAAGCACTGATATACTGCGTGATGGGGGCCATTTTGGAGAAAAAAAAAGGAGCGGTTGGATTTCTTTCTTTCTTTCTTTCTTTCTATCTGTGTTCTGGTAAACATCCATCCCTTTTATACTTCTTTCGGGACCTCTCCTTTATTTTCAAGCCTTTTCTTCTTCTTCCTAAAAGTATCTATATCCCGCGCTGGATATAAGCCTGCAGCTGCATGTCGCGCCAAATGCATGCTCTTCGGGGTTAGTCTGCTGGGGCCGTCTTCTCCATAGCCACTCTCGAGTTCTCAACGTCTCTATTAATCCCACCACTTTCATATTACCCGCTATCCGCATACCTGAATTGAGTAAGGGGAAAACATCCTGCCAGAAAGTACTGACGATGGTGGGCGTTCCTGGTCGCTCAAAGGCCTGTGTGACCTGCCTTAGGCGCAAAAAACGCGTACGTCTCGTCTTTCCCCTGTACGGAGTATATCTTGTCTGTTCCTCGAGGGGCCTAACTGCGCCTGTAGTGCGATTTGCAGAAGCCACGTTGTGGACCGTGTCGGAAAGCTTGCATCGAGTGTGGGGGCTACTATCGCCCTCGTATCTTCATCAACAATACCGTGCAGAACCCGGACACGAAGGTTCGGACTATGGGGGCTAGCTGCGAGCTGCGACACGACACGTTTGGGAAGAAAGCTGGCAGGAATCCAATTGCAGCGGAGAGTGTTGCTCTCCTGCCATCTTTAGCTCGGTCAGCGTACCAGACCAAGTATCTCGACCTATTTTGGAATCTGTATCTGCCCAATGGCGTCGCCCTCTCCCCCGAGGTGACCCAGCCTACGCTGGGGGGGTGGATTGGGACCATCCAGGAAATCTACTCCACTGAGGAGGTTCTGAGAAAGGCTCTGTTGGCCATGTCTCTCGCAGCGGTTGGGAAACATGATGGGAGTCAGTTCCTCAAAGAAGAAGGCATGGAGCTTTATGCTGGTGCACTGCAGGGCATGGCGGTGGCCTTGAAGAATCCAAAACGAGCGCTGAGCGACGGCATGCTGACGGCGATCCGGATTTTCAGTCTGTATGAGGTTGGTAACACCCCCCCCCCGGCTACTTATAACTGACTGGTTTTGAGCTCACACCATCCTAATCCCAGTCAATGCATGGCAACAATGACGCTAGTGGACTCGCGCAGGCGAGGAGCTGGGTTGTGCATAACTCCGGGGATGTTGCTCTGTTGATGGCCCGAACGCCACACTCGTTTACTACGGGCCACGCGCATCGTCTCTTCGCAGACGGAAGATTGCACTTGGTTGGTTTGTTGCTCCACATAACTGATATATACATTACTGACGTTTTTGATTGCGGTAGACTCTCTCCGCTCTTCGAACGAGGAAAAGGACGTTCCTTGCAGAGCCAGCTTGGATGGCAATACCGTGGAGCCAGCAAGAGAAGTCCCCACGAGACCATTTGATCGATATTCTGATCGACATCACGCCTGTGTTCGAGGATATGGATATCATGAAGTCCTGCGAGCATATGCAGCAAAAGGAAGCCCTTAGGCAGCAACTAATAGCTCGGTATCTTGACCTGCAACAAAGGCTTGTGGACTGGAACACGCGATTTGCACCCGACTTTGAACCGACAGGTGAATGTCCCGAAGTCATCCTCCCTAGCAAACTTGCAGCAGCCCATCTAAGTACCTTGCTGTGGAGTACACAGCTCGTCGTGGCAATCAATATCAATCTCTTGCTCCACACAAGCGAGAACTCTCTCGTGGCAATGGATCTGGATCGTCTCTGTGGAAACATTGTTAAAACAATTCCGTTCTTCTGTCACCCATCCGTGGGACTATTCCGTGTACACCTGACCACGTATCCTCTCAGTGTTGCATTGCAATATATCTGCGACGTAGGAGCTGGGCGAATGGTCGCCGAACGACGGTTACTCGTGGATTGCCTCGATAACCCTGCCTGCGTGGGAATGCGGCAATTCATTACTAGCATGAACGACAACCTTCCGGGTTTTCTGCAATAGAGTCCGTTCACATTTGCTTAGATCAAGATTAGAGCCAGGTCGATTCTATCAAGGTATCTATATACATTTTTCCAATGAGTCCAGCCATATCGTGCTCACGATCAAAGAAATCATTCAAAACCAGACCATATGATAGATAGCATTCCCCATCACGGCGAAATCTAATCACTCGACGCAAGATGAATAGCCCCCTCCGCATCATGCACGATTTCCCTCATCTTTACACTTCGCAGATGATCCACACCCCCCGAGAGCGAACAATCATGATAAAAGAGATACCACTTGCCCTGGAATTCCGCAATGGAGTGGTGTGTGGTCCATCCCAGAACAGGCTCCAAGATCCGGCCGCGAGAAGTAAACGGCCCCAGCGGCGAGTCTCCCGTCGCATACACTATATAGTGCGAATCACCCGTCGAGTACGAGAAATAGTACTTCCCATTGTACTTGTGCATCCATGCGGCCTCGAAGAATCGCCTGTCATGGTCATCCGCAGCCAGCGGGTTTCCGCTCGCATCGAGAATCTGCAAATCCTGTACGGGGGACGCAAATGTCACCATGCCCCCGGACAGTTTCGCAACGCGTGGAAACAGCGCATCCACCCCTTCCCCCGCAGGCTCCTGCGGCCCCGTCTTCGACTCATCAAACACCCACTCCCCTGCTGCATTCTGCGACCAGCACTGCAACTGGCCGCCCCACAGGCCGCCGAAATAAAGATAGCCCTGTCCATCGTCATCGACAAACGCAGCGGGGTCAATACTATAGCTGCCGGGGATAGGCTCAGGTTCCGCCTTAAAGGGCCCCGAGGGGGAGTCGCTCACAGCGACTCCGATGCGGAAGACATTCTGCTTGTCGCGCGCCGGGAAGTAGAGATAGTATTTGCCGTTCTTTGTAGCCGCGTCGGGAGCCCAGAGCTGTTTCGACACCCAGGGGACGTCCGGGGTCGAGAGGACGACACCGTGGTCTGTTACGGGCCCGCCGACTTTCTCCATAGAGAGGACGTGGTAGTCATACATGTCATATTGGTCTCCGTTGTCGTTGAATTGGATGTCTGTCTCCCGGTCGTGGGAGGGGTAGATGTATAGTGTGCCGTCGAAGACGTGGGCAGAGGGGTCTGCGGTGTAAATGTGGGTGACGAGGGGGTTGTTGCTGGCCATTTTCTCTAAATATGAATCTAGACTTTTTTTTATTGGTTTATAGTAGATTCGGGCAGATGTGTCTTTATATAATAAATATAAATACTGATATCGTTTTATCCGTCCCGGCTAAAGACAATTTACCCCGGAAACAATGCGAAGAACAGCAGATGGATACATAACCTGCGGCTAAATGATTGATATGTATGATACTATCTCCAGGACTGTCTTTTGTATATATATATATATATATATATATATCCGTACGCCCTCTTTCTTCTTCTTCTCCTTCATACATCTATCTATACAGTACGCCGCAATACAGAAACATACCTAGACAATATCTATAGCTATCCAGCACCAGAAGACCCAACCTAAGAAAAAGTATACACACGTAAAACAACTACACCAGTCCAGAATCCAGATCGATCCGGTCCATCCAGCCTGGCTAGCTAAGAGAAAGAATCAGAATCCCACCCAAGCTTCCTCCCCGCATGGCGATCATCCTCTTCCCGTACACGACGGAAACACTCTTCCCACGCTTGTTCCAAGCGCCCGCGAGTAGTCAACCCTTCTTCCTCTTCACTTTCGCTTTCACCACCAGCACCACAATCCGCATCCCCCTCCGGCGCAGGAGACCCGCACCCCCGTAACCCGATAAACCGGCCGAACCTGCGCCTCTTCGTCGCGATATCCACGGTGCTCTCCTCCGGCGTGCCCAGCCACGGCAGGACCGCAACAGGGTACTCCCAGGTCTCCCGGGAAGGCGGCCAGACCTGGTGGAAGTGGCGCGCGAGATCATCGAGCTGCGACGACGTCAGGAGATGGTACGAGAGCATGGTGGCTGGGAAATCCGGATGCGGCTGGCCGGTGGAGCAGGAGACGAGCGGGGCGAGATGCGTGGCGAAGTAGTGGATCGTCAGGCGGAACCACGGGTGGGGTTTGCGGGGGTGCGCTGGTCCGGGGTTGTGTGTGCTTTGGGTGTTTTGTGTTCGCGGTTGTGGTGTTTCCGGTGGGACTTGGGCGCTGGACCTGGGTCTGTGGGGTGGGAGAGGAGGGTGAGTTGAGGTTGGAGTTGGAGATGGAGACGGAGATGGAGACGGAGATCCAGACGGAGGTGGAGGTGAGGTGCATTCGGATGGACGGCGGTAGTGGTTGTTGTTGTTGTTGTTGTTGTTGTGCATTGTCAAGGGTTTTATTGGCAGCGGGTAGTACTCTATACTGAATGTGTTCTGGATTCAAGCAATGGTGGTGGGAGGTTTAGCTCTCTGCGTAGATGGCGTGGGAAGAGATTGTAGATGCTGTTATTTCAACACACGACTGTCTTCAGTAGGTGCAGTCGGCTCATATTATAGTTATGCGACTATAAAGATAGTGTGGACAATAATAAACCCATCGTTGTCATAACTGAACCGCTGCGTGGATGCGAGTCTTTGTTAGCAGGAACATCAACGGTCGAATCCCTTATCGAGTTTGAAATCCCCCTCGGCTGTGAAAGATGTTTCGAAGAACATACAAAGACATGAAACCGCGTGGTCTACATTGTTTCTAAAATAGCACACAAAGAACAAGTGTCTTTAGAGGTATCGGACAATGAATGAATTCAACTATAACCCGTACGTGGAAGATATCATGATCAAGGACGCTCCGAATGAGAACAACAAACGCTGCAGTTGTTAAGAAAGACTTAGGTCAGCCATGCGGTTTTGCAGTGGGGCCTTGGTGTTTGAAGTAAACTGCTGATACCGCTCCGATGCCACAGGGAGCCCAACGTGCTTGTTAACCCAGTTGAAGATGGTGTAGTGCCACATGAGTGCATTTTCCGGGTTCAAAACCCAATGGTTCTCATCTGGAAACGTGAGAAACGCGCTCTCAATTCCCTTCATCTGCAAAACATTAAACGCTGACAGACCTTCGGCTACGGTCAACCGGTAGTCGAGCTCGTTGTGGATAATCAGGTGCGGTGTTTCCCACTTGTCGAGATGTCGAGAAGGGTCCCATTGCGCCCAGTTCTCGGGCGCCTTCCAGAGTGTACCCTTTAGGTCATGAATTGGAAAATACAACTCCTCGCTAGCAAGCAAGGAAGTTGTACTAAAGACCCCGTCGTGGGTCACGAGAGCTTTGAATCGACGACCAAGTGGTTGGCCCTGAATCCAGTTCATCATGTATCCACCATAAGACGCACCCAGCGCCACAGCCCTAGAGGTGTCCACATAGTCCAAGTTCTTTTCAATATAGTCAAATCCCTTTTCCAGATCAATATATGGTAAACCACCCCAAGAGCAGCGAATGGCGTCCGTAAAATCTTGGCCGTAACCTGTGCTACCTCGTGGGTTTGGCGTGATGACAACGTAGCCTTGTTCCGCAAAAACGGCGGGATTCCATCTCGTACTCCATTGATCATTCCAGGCCCCCTGTGGGCCTCCGTGAACCAAAAAAGCGAGGGGGTATTTGTTACCCGGTTTGAAAGTAGACGGCTTCACGACCCAGGCATGAACCGGACAATCATCGGCTCCCCTATACCAAATTTCGTCGACCTGGGTAGAACAAAGGCCAAAGGTAGCCCCTCCACGTCCAATTGAAGAGATAACGCGGGTGTCCTCTGGAGCCTCAGGGTTGATTACCGTCCATACGCTATTGTCGACGAGGTTATTGCTAGAGACAAGCAGGTTGCACGAGTTAAACGCTGCAGGGTAGACATCAGTCACGTAGCCTGAATGAGTAATCTTCTTCAGCACTTCAGGGGTGGAGTGGCGGATGTTGGCTACTGGCATTTGATAAAGAACCCCACGGCCATACTCCTCCACTTGGATGAACAAAGACTTATCATCGTTGGAGAAAGTCAGCGCCGATGGGCTTAGATTCCACAGGCCCTTATCATCCGAAGATGCAAATGCTTCGATCATCTCCCCATTCCAAGGGTTGGGGATGTAGAGGATGCGATTCTTATCCGACTCATAACCGTCTTGGCGCATCGCGAGGACAGCAATGGAGCTTCCGTCTGACGTAAGAACTGGGGACGACATAGCCCCTTCAAGGCCCTTGACTTGACAGATCTTGGTCTCCGATGTACTGACGCCAGTCCACAAGAACATGGGACAGTAATAACACGAGCAGGTTGTATGGAGAGCAGGATTAACGCCAGGATCCTTTGCGACAAACACAATGGCCGAGGCGCTGATATCAAAGTCTCCGGAGCCTCCAAATGGCGGAATTGGTGATTCCACTCCCGTAAGTCCACAGATTGCGATCAAGTTCGTCAGGCCTGATACGGAGTATCTCCCCGCCTGTCTGGTCGCCGGAGATAGAGGAGCGCGCTGAAGCAATCCGTAGAAGATGGCATTCTGTTGGGGCTCGACATACGAGTCCCAGTGTCTCACAAAAAGCGAAGTGTATACCCGTCCCGTACTAAATGGCTTCTTGGCGTCGTGCGGGTTGTACAGCGACCCATCTGGATTCGCCTTTCCGGTCACAGCAAAGCCGACCTTGCCCGCTTCAACGACCGTAACCTTGAGATCAGAGACCGGTCCTGGAACTGTACCGGCGGTATAGGTCTTGTCCGCCTCCCGAGCATCTCCGATGATAAAGCTAGTGTTTCCATTGGCCTTTGTTTTCAGCCAGACCAGCTGATCAGTGTTATCAACCCATTGGGGACAGCTGGCGCCTGGGTCATTTGTGACGAGTGCCGATCGACCAGTCGTGAGATCTAAGACTCGGATCTCATTCGTCTTGGAATGGGACTCGAAGGAGTAAGTAGTCTGGGTGTAGACAGCGAGGGTTCCCGTGGAATTAGGTACTGCGCCCGACCGTCGAGGCGCCCCGAGAAGGACCCTGGGAGAGGGTAAGTCAGCACACAAGGGTATTCTGATGCAGGATCTCAACTGAGGGACGAATCACAAGATGTAATGGTTCGGGTAGTATTAGAAATCATCAAGATGTTGGATCTCAACTGCAAAGGGACGCAGAGAGCAGCTTACTCTGGGGTGAATTTCATGGATCGGATCGTCATAGCCAACTCTCCACCGAGAGACGATAAGCAGTGATAAGATACAGGCTGGGGAAGGAGGAAAAAGCCAATGAAGGAGACGATGAGATGAGGATTGAAGAAAACAATGAGGAGATATAAGGATGATGAAGATGAATTACTTGAGGATGGAAGAGGAGGATGAAGATGGTGAGGATGATGATAAGGATGATGGTTGGAGATGATGAGGAGGGAATGGAGGCGGAGAGCTTCCGATTTGGTACAGCTTCTTCCCCTCACTAACGGCACCACCAATAGAATAGATACGTCAAAGAAGTAACTATTGCAAGAAGAATAATTATAACCCTGTTCTAATCATTCCGTATAATTACATTTGTACTCAGACAGATTAAACTTCAAATCACTTAATAAACCAAGAAATTTCAGCTTCTTTTTCAATAAATCATTCGTTACTCCTCCTCTTCCTCGTCGCTCTCATCCTCCTCCATGCCTTCAGCGGCCGTAATATTGAAGGTGGGAGCTTGATCCACACCGACGTAGCTGTCACTCATCAAGTACAGAGTCAACTCGTGATCACCAGGGTTAGGCACAGTGTACTCCAGGCGAAGTTCCAGCTTCCGGCCAATGGTAACTCGCTTGACAGCAAGCAGGCTCTTCGTCTTCTCGTCTCCCACGAGTAGCCACCAGTTCTCCATCTTCTGGCTAGGATAGAACGGTGCATGAACTGTTGCATCCACCTCATCGTCCTCCTCCATTTCTCGCTCAACCTTGATCTTAAGGAACGCTGGCTCCCCAGCGGTAATATTCTCCGGATCTTCGACTTCGAAATCAAGCTCGAGAATAGGGTACTTCTCATTCGTGAATGCGGCTGCCTGTGCCAGCTGCTTGTTATCGAGCCCCAGGCGTTTAACCAAGGTGGCGTAGTCCTTGTTCTCAGAGGGGTCCATTGCGTCCATGAACTCAAAGATGTCATTGATCCTAATAGGTCGATCGGAGTTAGTAGAATATCTAGAGATTGAAAAAAAAGGAATGTACATACTTATATTCATTGGCAACCTTGATCACCTCAGGACCGAAATGGGGAATCTGCTTGAGGGGGCTATCACGATCCCACATAGCCTGGACCACCATCTGCGACATCTCCATCGCGTTCATAGCGTTCAAGTGGCCCTCGGAAGAAAGGATATCCACACACGCGCTAAGAAGGTTGAGCACCTTGCTCACAATCACCTCCTGGTCTTTGGCTAAATCAATGGGCAGTTGCATGCGCGAGAAGTGGGCTTGAAGCAGCACAAAAGCTTTGAAGTGAGGCGAGTCGAACGCGACTTCTGACATCTTGACAGGAACACGATCGTAAACCCGGCGTAAAATATGATCTTCATGGCGACGCATTTGGACAGACTCGAATTCTGTTGCAGATGTGATAATCTCCAGAATTCCCTTGAGCTTGGTTCGTGCGGACAGAGAAAGAAGGAATGTCTGCATAGTGATATACGAGATGTTGTAGTAGGCCCCAATAGAAGCGGCATTCAGAGGCGAGACACTATCATCCTCTTCATCCAGATCAATAATCTTAGCTTCAGATAGTTCCTTCAAAGTATTTTCAACCATCTCCGATAGGAAAGTACTAAGACCCTCATGACTGACGTCAGTGAGGCCGTAGAAACTAGGGTTGGCAAGAAGGCGACGATAAAAGTAGGTATATGTTAGCCAGTCAACAGAGTCTTGGGTAGAGCCAATTGTTCCCATGCTGATTTCGGTGACAAATGCATCGTGCAGGTAGAGCTGTAGATGACTCTCGACCGGCAAGGCTTCGTTGAGGAATTTCTTGTAGTACTCGCGTTTGACTGACGGTACCATCAGGACACCACGACCGATCCGATCCTCTTGAGGGCGAGATGCTTTGCCAAACATTTGGAGAATGTCGCTGATGGGATAGTCAATGTAGCGATGTTCACGTCCCTCAAAGAACTGGGTTCCCATAACAATCACGAGGTGTGCTGTGAGGTTGATTTCCCAGCAAACATCCCGGGAGGCAATAACAACTTGAATTGCACCAATAGTAAAGAGATGGGACACAATACGCTTGTCGGTGGCGCTCAGAGCCTCATGGTAGTATCCAATACCGTGCGATAGGGATTCAGCCAAGGTATGCTCCTGAATTCTACTAAGGAGTGGGTTTAGTTCGTTCACATCCGCATGAAGGAAACGGTCTTCATCGTCATCAGTGGCACATGCAGCCAAAAGATCCATAGCAGTTGACCGTGTTTGCTTGCGGTTAGGCACGAAAATAAGAGCAGCCTTGTCTGGAGACAGTTGCAAAATCGATGAATACGCGGGTCGAGCCATTGCAAGCATAAGCGAAGGGAAGTGGGGAATGCTGAAGGATTGGATATGGAGCTCCAGAGGCACTGGACGGGCGTGTGGACTGAAGTTGTAGATTGTGTGTTTGTTCGCGCCAATCCACTCTCCGATATCCCGGGCATTCGCAAGGGGAACACTCAGGCCGACAATGCGCATCCCGCTCTCAGTTTGCAGCGCAATGGAATGCATTCGTGAGACCACCACTTCGTAGATATATCCGCCATAGCCTCCAAGCATGTGTAGCTCATCTGCGATGAAGAGTTGCACAGTTCGCACATTCTTACGCTTTTGCCACTGCCTGCTGATGACGTCCCACTGGCTAGGCGTAGCAAGGACAAGGTCCGCACCGGCCAGGATCTTCAGGTCTGCTGTGGTTTCCCCGGTGAGTTTGGCGATAGTCTTGCCACCGGCCAGTTTGCTCAGTCGCTTTTCCCAGTCCGCAAGACGGTGGTCGACCAGTTCCTGGAACGGGGCAACATAGACCGCACGGCCGCTGTCCGCGTCAGCCCAGTGACGCAGCAGAGCTAATTCCGCACAAACAGTCTTGCCAGTGCCAGTAGGAGCACCGATGAAGACGTTTTCGTCTGAGTCGAATAGAGACTTAAATGTCTGCGTCTGGATCTTGTTGAAATACTGCCAATCCGGGTACAACTGTTGATATTCATCGCGCTTAAGAGCCTTCACTGGAGCTCGCTGCATGTCAAGCAAGGGTGTGTGGGGAGGGAATCGTTCGGGGAGGACAAGCTTCTGGAATGAAACAGCGATACGGGTTTCCGAATGCATCCAGCGGTCAGAGACAAGAGAGATGAAGTAGTTGGGTGGCATAGGCTCCGTAATAGGAACAGTGAACTCGACCAGATGCTCGTTCATCTCGGATTGAGCATAATCTTTCCGTAGGACGAATTGGTCATGGAACAATATCTCCTCGCCATCGCAATCTTCAACCATGATCCAGAAATCCTGAGCATTTCCATGCAAATTCTCGTCCCAAACAAAGTTTGGCGTAAGCGTCAGCTCAACTCGCAGCATGGAGCGAGTAACAGGCTGCACTTGAGCCTGCACTTCCAAACGAGGGAATTTGGAGACAAGATCACACACTGTTTGCCCAGCTCGGGGCATGCCGAGGAGTTCGCCCATGCGAGGCGGGTCAAGATCAAAGTAGCTGGCCCAAGGTACGTCGATTCTTTCGGCCTTCTGAAGGATATCTCTAGGGCAGGTTGGGAATTGACGAAGAGGCGACATAGTAGGCCACATCCGTCGTTCGGCCATCTTGCAAAGATCGAGGGCATTCTTGGCAACAGACGACCAACCCTTCCTTAGGCAGATTTCAAACAAGGCTCGAAGAATACGGCCAGCGGATTGGGTAACGTAGACCATGTCCGCCATCAATGCAAGACCCTCAAGCTTAAGTCTAGATATGTAGGCCTGTAACAAGACGTTGATTTTCGAATGAGGTTCATCAATGCCTTCTTTGACCGGGACGGGTACACGGCCCAGCATTTTAGCGAGTTCCAGTTTTTCATCTTGACGAACTGGAATATACTTGAACTCATCGCTGAGGGCGAAGATTCGGAAAAGTTCAATGTTGCCAATAGATGGCTGAAGGTGCTGGGCGTATGTCAACATGGAGTTATGGCCGATGTAATAGTGCGAGGCAACGCGTCCCAGTTCGGTTGACTGGAGTCGTCCTGTCTTCTTGTCGTACTTGACCAGGCCGGCCTTTTCCAAAACCACAGCTGCGGAGTGAATAAGATCAACCCGCTTCTGCTCCAGTGCATCATCGTTCTCATAATCGGCCCCAACACTGTAGAGGCCAGGCGAGCGTAGCATGCGGACGAACAAATAGGTGTAACCAAGCCAGTCAACACCCTCATCGCGAGTGCGGATATTTCCAAGCACAATCTCTGCATTCATGTTGTCCGCGAGCTTACTCATAAGCTGACTCTCGATTGGAAGTTGTTGATTGAGGAGAGAAAGGTAATATTGAATTTCGGCTTGGGTAGTAATGATAATACCCTCACCATAGGTGTCGTACTGAGGACGACCAGCACGCCCCAACATTTGGAGGACATCCTGGGGACTCAATTCCACCCAGCTACCCTTCTCTGGGGAGTAAACCTGCGTTCCCTTAATAATAACTGTGTGCGCCGGTAAGTTAACACCCCAGGCGAGGGTTGCGGTGCACACGAGAACCTGGATACTGCCATCGCTGAAGAGCGCCTGAACGGAATCACGATCTGCAAGACTCAGTCCGGCATGGTGAATACCGAATCCGTAGGGCAGAAGATCCTTGAGAGAAGCGTCATCGACGTTTTCTGCTTCCTCTGCCAAAATAGCTCTGCTTGCCGCATCACTTCTCAAAATCTGGCCGATTGTCTCCATTTCCAGAGCTTTATCCCTGATGTATTTGGCGGTCTTTGCCGTTTCCTTACGAGAATGAACGAAAATGAGCATCTGGTTTCTGCGCTGTCCAACCTGCTCCATGACTTTGTTGTAACAGATATCGTTCATGGTCTTCAGCTGCTTGATTGGCTTCTTATCAGTGACGCCAATGAACTCCTGCTTCAGGGGACATGGGCGGTAGGATCCGTCAAAGTGGAACATACCCTTTTCAGGGTCCACACGAAGGAAGTTTGCAACATCCCGGTAGTTCGGAAGAGTTGCACTAAGACCAACGATTCTAACGGGGTCGCCAGTCTGCTCAACCTTGCGAATAGTTCTGCTTACAATGCTTTCAATGACAGGGCCACGCTCATCGTGAAGCAAGTGGATTTCGTCAATGATGATCAGACGAACCAGCTTGGTGTAGCTGGTCTCTGACGCCTTTCGTGTAATGACATCAAACTTCTCGGGTGTGGTAACGATGACTTGAGTATCGGCAATCTGCTGCTTCGTGAGTTGACGATCGCCGGTCAACTCAGACACCCGGATACCATACGGGGCAAGGCGTTTCCCGAAGTTTCCAACCTGCTCTTGCACAAGAGCCTTCAAAGGAGAAATGCAAATGATCTTAAAATCGTCGAGCATGATCTCTCCAGTTTGGGGGTTGCGATTTTTACCGATCTCACGAAGGATGCTAAGCATAGCGACATTAGTCTTTCCCGAGCCCGTAGGCGCACAAACGAGCATGTTTCCGTCATCCTGAAAGGCGGAAGGATAGCACTTGGTCTGAATACGGTTGAGCTCCTTCGCATCGCCAAATCCAATGCGCGCCCATTCAGGCAATTCCGTGATGGGGATGTTCTTCTCCCCGGGTGCCTTCTTAGGTTTGGGCGGTGGGACATGGATTTCTTCGTATCCTTTGAATGTTCGCTTCGTGGAGCCCTGAGGTAACTTGACACTAGGGTTCGTCATCAAATGATTGCCTTGGTGGAAGACAAGGTTTTCCAAGTTTATCAATCGCTTTGGTTGCAGGCCTCGGGCTAATCCGCCCTCAGTAGGTTTCTCTTCCGCAGCAGCTGGGGCATTAGGGACGTCAACATCCATCAGGTCGAGCTTTATCTTCTTCTCGGGGCGACCTGCATCGTCATCACGACCAGACTTCCCACGGATCTCGTCCAAAATAGCGCGATGACCAGCCTCAACCATCTCGCTTTCAACAAGGTGGCGAGCATCAGCATCCTCAGCCACCCGTCGCCAGCGGGTTGCCCAGACAATTTTGTCACGGTTTGTAACTAGTTTGGCAACAAGGTCTGGGTAGTCGTAATCGAAGAGCTCCATCAGATCGTTTTCGACGTCTCGCAGTGGTCTCTCTGTGCCGTCTTCTGCTTTACCACCCATAATTTCAAGTGCTTCAGTAGCCTTTTCTTGCTGAATGTGAGCATCGGAGTATGCAGAACCAATCTGACGCTGAAGCCAGTAGGCATCGATTTCGCGAGCAGAAATCTTCAACCCTTTCCCTTGTCGATCCCCATCGCGCTGTAATCCTCCATCTATCACCATTTCTTCCGAGGGCAAATCATCATCTGCATTCTTCCCAGCCTCTTCATCGCCGGATTCCCGCTGCTCGGCTTCTTCATCCTCCGACAATTCGTCATCATCGCGGACCTCATCCAGGGTTCCCAGTCGATCTTCGTCTTCATCTTCCTCGTCGAAGACCACGGCGACACCCTGACGTTCGTCTAACTCCGCCTCTTCTTCGCCAGCAACGCCACCGTCCATCTCTTCGTCTTCATCTTGTGCGTCGTAATCTGTGATCTTCTTTCCCAGATTTACCAGCTCATTAAACTCTTGAGGATTCAAGGAGGTACCGATAAGATCATCAATTTCCTTCTTCTTATCGAAGTCCTTCATCTCCTCATCCTTCAAGGTCTCCAGGACGGCATCGGCGGCGCTTCGGACAATTTCGTGGGACACGTCACCGAGACGGCTGGCTGTCAATGTGAGGATTAAATCGTAGGTAGCGCGGGTAGCCGGTGTGCGAGGACGATATTTCAGGCCTTCGATAAGGGCGTCACCAGCGGAGAGAATCCCCTGGCCGCGAAGCTGGGTAGCCTGTCCCTTCTGACGCTTCTTCTGTTCACGCGCAAGAACATCCTCACCCTCCCGAATCGAACCCCGCTCGATATCTACCAATGCGGTCTTCTTCTTTGTCTTCGGCGCATCATCACGCAATATCCTCCCGCCCATTTCCCGGATGCTAATGCGGCCAGCGAGCGACTCGGGATCTCCGGTGGGTTCATCGTTGACACGAGAAATGAAACGACGGTCCGCCTGGAGAACCAGGTTGGACATCGCCGAGTACTTGTACTGCGAGATATTTTGGTCCGCCATTTTGATGATATAGGGGTATAATTGAATAAAAAGAACAGAATGGCAACAAAAACTTGACGAAATAAGTCGTCACTGAACTCGGTGGAGCTCAGGCTCAGGTTTCGGCGGCGCGTCGAGACACCTACAGCCAGGAATGAACTCAGCGATAAAAAGATCTCCGTAAGGCTTCACAAACCTGGACCATCCTCCTGCAGCAAGCAAGCTCACTTCCAAGTGCCAAGCTGCAAACTTCTGCAAATGATAGAGGAAGGAGGAGTGGAAGAAGTGGGTGCGTAAAAGCTGTCGGGAACGTGAAGTTCTGGAGCTGCAGATTTCAGTGGCGGAGACGGAAATTGGTGATTGCGGCCTGAGGTGTCGATATTTTCTGCCGACAGAAAAGCAGCCAAAATTTACCTCACATCAACACGCTCAACGCGTTGCACCCTCCTTTACCACGAAGCTCGCCTTTGAGGACCATGTCCATCAATGGAGCTCAGATACCTTACTTGATTCAGTCGCAGGTCAGATCTCTGGCCCGACTCGGGATCGCTACTCCCCATCGCTGCGATGTGCACCGAACCATTTGTCACCATGCCCACCGGCCTCTCCGCGGCGCAGGCCTAACGCTATTCCCAGATGTTCATCTCCTGCAGCGTCGCCATGCCAAAACCCAGTCAACAGTGAAGCTAAAGGACCTGCCTCAAGGCGCGGTGAAATTAGAGCCCTATCGAGATGTGGTAGATGACGGACCGCGGTATCCCACGGTTGTTCAGGGACATCGCAATAATATGCACAAGTTCAAGAACTGCGTTATCTTGACGCGAGTCGGGGGCTTTTATGAGGTACGGATAGCCTTCTTGTCCAACGTCGACGCGGAGGATGTTTTTCTGGAAGCGAAGGGTTCTAACTGCGCTCCAGCTCTACTTTGAGCAAGCGGAGGAGCTTGCCCCGTTGCTTAATATTAAGCTGGCTTCCAAGAAGACAAGTGCCGGTCCTGTCCCTATGGCAGGATTCCCATTCTTTCAGCTAGATCGGTTTTTGAAAATTCTTGTCCAAGATCTCAACAAATACGTAGCCATCAGTGAGGAGTTTGCGCACGGTGCGGAGGACAAAGCCCGGTCAGGGGGCCTTCTGTTCGACCGCAAGGTCGCGCGAATCATCACTCCAGGAACCCTAATCGACGAGAAGTTCATGGATCCGTCCGAAAATAACTTCTTAATGGCCATATACATAGATTCCTCGAGGATAGTGAAGTTGCCCGCCAGTAGTGATGACTCGTCTTCCCACCAACACATTCTCTCCTCTGCTTCCCAAAATGTGGGCTTGTCTTGGTTAGATCTTTCAACTGGGGACTTTTCCACCCAGTTTACTACTGCACAGATGCTTCCGTCGGCCATCGCCAGGATTGGGGCTCGAGAAATTCTCGTAGATCAAAATCTTCAAGATTTGGTCGGCCAAGAGTTACAGCTGTTAATCGGACATGATCAACGGCTTATGACTTTCTTTCAATTTCCCAAGCATATTGCGCCTATGTCGCAATGGACTTCTATGCTAGAAGCTCCTCTTTCGTCCAAAGCGATTGAATCTTTTACGCAAGAGGAGGTGGCTGCGGGTTATAGCCTGTTAGAGTACATCCGAGTTCAGCTCCAGGGCCTCAATATGAAGCTTCAACCACCTCGTCGTCGACACTTAAATGAATCAATGAATATCGACCGGAACAGTCTCAGGGGCCTAGAAATACTCGAAACAGCACGCGATGGTTTTGGAAAAGGCAGTCTACTTCATGCTGTCCGACGGACTTCGACCAAGAGTGGAGCGCGACTGCTGAGAGATCGCCTGACATCACCGTCTACTTCTTTGCCAGTGATCAACGAACGGTTGGACCTAGTATCGGCCTTCATCGAAGATAGTGATCTACGAAATTGTTTGACACAACTGCTCAAACGCAGTTACGATGCTCAACGTTTGGTTCAGAAATTTACCCTGGGACGAGGAGACCCAGACGACTTGATCTGTCTATCCAGGGCAATTGAGGCTTCGAAGGAGGTAAAGAGGGTGCTGTCAAGGAAAAAGCACGAAACTACGACGGAAAGAACCCGTCGATCACTACAAACAATGATTAGTCGTCTCAAGCTCGACGGACCTCGTATTCTCGCGGACAAGATCCTGTCTGCAATTGATGAAGAAGGGCTACTCCAAAAGCAGCGCATTGAGGACGATACAGCTGCGGAAGCGGCTATCCTAGCGCAAGAGGTTACCATGAGTGAAGGCCTGCCAGGAGATCTAGAGGGTCTTCCGAAAAAGATCAGATCTAAGAGTGCGGATCATCGCGCACCTGTAGATGAATCATCCACCATCGATACCTGGATCATGAGACGCGATGCGAGTCCTGCTCTAGAAGGACTTCACCAGACTTTGGAAAAGTTACAGGACGAGAAACTTGCTCTCACCCAGTGTTTACGTGAATCAGTAGGTTCGTCTACTTTGACGCTCAAGTGGACCCCAGGATTGGGCCACATATGCCATGTCAAGGGCGCCAAAGTTAGCCAAAAATCATTAGAAGAGCTCGGCGTAACACGAAACGTCTCCTCTACTAAAACTACTAGGTCGTTTTATTTACCAGCTTGGACCGAACTCGGCGGCCGCATGGACCAAGTAAAGCTTCAGATCCGCCAAGAAGAGCAAGCCATCTTCGAAAATCTGCGGCGCGAAGTTATCTTGAACCTCGTCAAGATCCGACGCAACGCCTCGGTTATGGATGAACTGGACGTGGCCTGCTCGTTCGCCACGCTCGCGCACGAGCAACAGCTTGTCCGACCCATCCTCACACAAGGCACCAGTCATAAGATTGTCGGGGGGAGACATCCTACTGTCAAGCTGGGGCTCGAGGAGCAAGGCCGGCATTTTACCAGCAATGACTGCTTCCTTGGCGAGGCTGAGCGCATCTGGCTAATTACGGGGCCCAACATGGCGGGTAAAAGCACATTTCTGCGCCAGAACGCATTGATCACCATCCTCGCGCAGGTCGGATCGTTTGTTCCCACGGAGTACGCAGAAATCGGCATCGTCGACCAAATCTTCAGCCGCATCGGAGCGGCAGATGATCTATTCAGAGACCAGTCCACATTCATGGTGGAGATGCTCGAGACAGCTGCAATCCTGAAGCAAGCCACGCCGCGGTCCTTCGTGATTATGGACGAAGTCGGTCGTGGGACAACACCAGAGGACGGGACCGCCGTGAGCTTCGCCTGTCTGCATCATCTACATTACCGCAACCAGTGTCGAACACTGTTTGCAACTCATTTCCATGCGCTTGCTGATATGACGGACGGTTTTCCTGCGCTGGGGCGATACTGCACGGATGTGAAAGAGACCACCTCTGGATCATTTTCCTTTGTTCACCGACTGCGAAAGGGTGTGAACCGCGAGTCGCATGCTCTCAAGGTCGCCCAGTTAGCAGGACTGCCCCAGGAAACTCTCGATCTGGCACGAAATATACGCAACAGCATCCACAAGACACCTCTCCTCAGCGCATCTACTGTATCATAATTCATTAATTACTACCTATGTACAATAAAAACAACCTACCCACCTATCCAATACCATACATCCACCCACCTAAGTACAGGTCCCAGACAGGGCACTGGATACTGGATACTGATCCCAAGATCCTGGGGATCGAGTACATAAATCCAATCACTACCTCGTAGCAAGCAAGCAAGCACCCCCTTAACTTCACTCCTAGAGCTTCGCTCCAGAACGAGATCCAGACCTCGCGCCTTCAACCCCACAATCCACCACAAGTCCCTCCCCAAACCTCACCTCCTGACAATCCTCCCCATCAACCCCATTCACAAATTGCACAACTACAAAATCCACCCTTCTTCTTCCCAACACCACCATCGGCGCATGCCACGTCCCCGCTGCATACGTAACAGCCTGCCCGCCACAAGCAAGAAATGCCCTTGCACGGCCCAGATCAGGCGGGTCACGAATCGATACCTTCGCACCGGAGTCAGAGGCAGCTAGTGCAGTTTGACCTTTTAGCGTGGGGGCAACAACAACAAGGTAGTGTGCTTCTTCTTCTTCTTCTTCTTCTTCTTCTTCTTCTCCCCGTTCTGTGTTTTCTTCCTTCTCTCTCGCTATCCGAGTAGCTGTACTTATACTTGTACCTGTACCTGTACCTGTACCGGTACCGGTACATGTAGATGTAGATGTAGATGTAGATGTAGATGTACGAAACCGACTCGACAAATCCAACGGGATAAAAGTCTGCGTCGTGAACGGATGCCGCTCCAGAATCCGAACATCGAAAACACCCTTCTCTGCGACTTTCCCTCCTCCTCCTGCAGCCCGATCAGAAACCAAACGCAAAGATCTCGGGAAACAGGAAAACATCGTCATGCGCGCCTCGGACGCTTTCCCGCTGGGGCATTGTCCCGGGTACTGGTTTGTTACCGGGGAAATGGGGCTGTATTTCAATGCGGAGCCCTGGTTCGCGAGGGCTGGGCGAGGAACGAGGTTCTGGGTTGGATGTGTAGAGAGGGGGGTCGGGGGTGTGGTGGTGTTGCGGGGAAGAGGCGGGATGATTGCTGTGCCGAAGGGGGCGAACGACTCGCGGGTGAGGGGTTCGGGGGCGAGTACTAGTAGATCGGGTGTGGTTTGGAGGGTTGGAGGTGGCATTTTGCTCTTTGTGTGAATGGGTTGGGATTTATTTAGGTGAAGGAAGGGAGGAAGGGAGATGTTGGGGTTGAAGGTTAGGCCGTGGGTGGAGAAGAGAAGGTTGATGTCGCCGCTAGCCCTATATACTAGTCTTTCTGTTAGGGATTCTATATTCATATATCTCTCTCTCTCTCTATATATATATATCTACGTGTGTGAATGTCAACAATAACATTTGATTGAAACAGCTATCTGAGGCTTAGGTTTCGGTTGCATATTAAAATGTAATCACAGCGCGGAATCGGACTTTGTTGTGCAGCATGGCTTCTACAGAAAAAGGTCAGAACAGCCTCATACTCAGACAGGGGAGATATATATTACCATAAGCCTCCTGGACCTTTTCCAGCGGGAAGCTTTCAACCATGCAATTGACACCCGCCAGCTGCGTAAAAGCAATGGCTTCCTCTGAATCCGTAGCATGACCACTCGGCCACGAATGCACGGAGAGACCATTGTTGATCTAAATAGAGTCAGCATCCTATACATTCTACGGTATATCAAGCATGCTCGAGCTGACCATGACGGTAATATCCAGCGGAACCTCTCCCGGCACTATTTCCGGCGGATTAGAGAGATACATCAAGAAGGGGGTATCAGTTAACCCAACTTACCAGACAGAATCAACAGCTTGCCTAGAATCCCCAGTCCCTTGAGCAAAGGGGTAATGACACTCGCAGACGGCGCAGTCGAAACAATCAAGGACGCCCCGCCTAGTTCCTGCAATGCCTGGCTAAGATCCTGCTTGCTTCCGTCAATGTATTCATGCGCTCCCAGCTCGCGAGCAAATTGCTCCTTGCTCGCATCTCTGGACAAAGCGACTACCCGATATCCGGATTTGTTTGCATACTGAACAGCCAAGTGTCCCAAGCCACCTAGGCCCTGAACAGCCACAGTTGAACCAGGCGTGATATTCATGCGGCGCATAGAGTTAAAGACCGTCACTCCGGCGCAGAGAATAGGCGCGTACTTGACGGCGTCAACGCCCTCGGGAACCCGGACGGCAGATTCAGCACGTAGAAGGCAGTATTCGGCGTCTAGATGAGGTTAATTAATTCATATCCTTTTTTTTTATTTTTTTTTTTTTTCAGGGACAGTCCGTAACATACATCCACCGTTCTTGGAGATTCCGTTGATAGCCTTGTTGCTGCACATCTGATAGTACCCGTGTTTACACGCGTTACATATACCATCATGTCCTCCATGCCAACCGCCTCCGACTCGATCTTTGATCTTCCAGTCTTGGACTCCTTCTCCGACAGCAGCAACGCGGCCGATCACCTCATGGCCGGGAACAATAGGGCTGTTCCGTTAGTGCTCTCCTATGCAGGAGCAAGAGAAACCTACAATGATCCTCCCATACCAAATTTCTGCGCGAATGTGTCCGAGTGACAGACTCCACAGGCCTCGACCTTCACAAGCAGCTCACCTGGGCCTGGGGCAGTAAGAGATATCTCTTCGATCTCGAGGGGAGCTCCCGCAGACCGAAAGACAGCCCGCTTGAAGGTACTTGGAAGGGACATGGTAACCGGATTGCGATGGGAATTCGGTTCAGACTTCGAGTACTATGTGAGTTGGAAGTATAGAATGAGGGGTAATCGAGTTCATGAGAACTGGGTAGCCTTCTGCATATATATATGCATGTATGCATGTCTGGGTGGTGTGTACATTGTTGTTGCGCATAATACGAGAGAAAATAATGGATTAATCATCAGTTTTTGATATGTTTCGCAAGCCTGACATCACTGTATCCAAATTAACCTCGTTCCATTCATGGTTTATCCTGCAGTTTCCGGGAAGATGAGATTGACTCTTCCGGTCCGACTATACCAGGTATCTTCGCATATCCAGTTAGTTAACTACCTAGTTAACTAGCTGCAGTGCCAGCAGCTTTGTCATCGCCGCCCACTGTCTTTCTATCTGTATTAGGCTGTGAGGGGTCTCAAGGCCCCCAAGATTGGCTTTGCGCATGAAGACCTGCATCGCGGAAATACTATTCGCTAATCGGATGGAACTGTGGTGCGTCTGGATTAGGGTCAGCATGGCTTGACTCGCAGTTTTATCAGGTATGTTGGTTGTTGTTGACCTTTACGGGAGAATGGAATGGTGTCAGATGGTGGAAAATTTTTATGGCAGCCCAGGCCCCTTTTATTATTTAATATTGCTCGGTGACCTCTGAAGACTGCGTCTGCGTCTCCGAAGATGGCGACTTCTCTCTCAGCCCCGTCTTAGTCTCCACATGCTCCTTGCTGAGATGCTGCTTCGTGATTAACGCACTCGCCACAAGCCCAATAGCCGCAAGGCAAGTGTACAAAATCCAAATATTGCGCACACTCCACGCAAAGGCATTCTTCACTGCCATCCGCTGAAGCGGATCTGGGATCGTCTGCACAGAGAGAACATTCGCCGCAGCTTCCGCGCCGGTGAACTCGTCCAGCAAAGAAGTCGACAATCCCGCATCTCGCAGAGAAGCCTGTTTCAAGTTCATACTGTTTTGGAAGACGACACCACCGATCACGACGGACATCGCCATCGCAACATTACGGACGAACCCGAATGTAGCGGTAGCCGTGGCGGTTTCCTGTTGTGGGATGTTGCTTTGGAGAGCGAGGAGCGGGGGGAAGAAGAGTAGGCCACATCCCCAGCCGGCTACGAGCTGGTATCCGATGATTTTGCCGAGGGAGGAATCGGGGCTGTAGTTGATGAAGAGACCCGGTCCGAGGACGACAAGCGTGGTTCCAAGCCAGATTAGTTCACGGTAGCGTCCTGTGCGGTGGATGGTGATCCCTGCGAGCAGGCTCGATGTGGACTCGGTTAGGACGAAGGGGAGGATCATGAGGCCAGAGTGGAAGGGGGTCGCTTCCTTGGCGGATTGGAAGTAGAGAGGGAGATAGTATTCCGCTCCGAGGAACACCTAAGATTCGATGTCAATACCGTTATCCGGAGGATCAGGCCGAAATACGTACAAAGCTATGCGTAAACCCAACAAGGAAACACGCAATGTTTGAGCGGTTTTTAAATATACCAAGAGGCATGAGGGGGTACTTGGCTAGACGCTTTTCGGCGTAGATGAAAGCAATCGACATCAAAGAGCCAAATACAATCAGGCAAATCACCTTGGGCGAGCTCCATGGAAAAGCATCGCCACCAAAGTTGAGGCCAAGGAGAACCATGAGGGAAATAGCGAGGATAGAAACGCTGCCAAACCAGTCGATTGCCTTGATACCATCGAAAACAGGCGTTCTCGGATTATGGACGTCCAAACAGAGAATCAGAAGCAGGAATGCTGTTCCACACACTGGTAAATTAATCCAGAAGATCCATCTCCATGAGATGGATTCAGTGAAAGTACCACCGAGTACGGGGCCGAGAGCGCCCGCGATTGTCCAAATAAACTCTATGAGGCCCATAAACAGGCTGCGAAGTCTTATCGTGTTGTTAGCTGCGGGGAGCTAGAAGTCAAGGGGAGGGTCTTCCTGCCTAACACTGAACAAATCGGAGATAGTGATGAGGACCAACTGAAGGAGACCTCCACCAGCGATTCCCTGGAGTGCACGGCCTGCAATCAACATCGGCATATTAACAGCCGTAGCACAAATGATGGAGGCAGCGAAGAATAACGCAACAGCTGACAAAAGTATGGGCTTTCGTCCCCAGATATCGGACAAATTGGCCCAGATATTGGCGCTGGCCGCATTGGCAAGAAGGTAGGCACCACCAATCCAGACATAGCCAGCTCCAGAGTGAAGATCTGCGGAGATCGTAGGAGTCGCAGTAGCTACAATGGTTTGATCCAGAGCAGCAATGAATAAACTAAGCTAATACCAGGATTAGACACCGAGCCCTCACGTCTTCTCGAAGGATAAATATATGTAGGCGGGGTCACATACTGAGAGTGCAATCATGGTTGCGAAAATCCTCAAGTTACTACGGGGGTTTGGTGCTTCCGAAGTCGTATTGAACGCTTCAGTTGTTTGAGAATTGCATTGCTTTGTGCTACCCTCCACTCCATGCTGATCTGCTAGATCTTCGCTCAGTGAATCTGAGATATGTGTGATCTCGTTCATCTGAATTCGTGCATTGTCCGTACTTGGAGGTGTGAACGACGACGCCATAGTTTCAGAATAGCAGCCACCCTGTGGTCGATTAACCCACCGAAAAAAAAGAAGAAAAAAAGGAAAAAGGAACGAAAAAGATATTAACAAAGTAAAAGAAGTGAATGAACGAATAAGAAGGAGTTTATTCAATCTCAATTTCAAGAAACCGAGATTTTAATTCGAGTCACTCAATGTTTGTTTCGTTTGTCTAGTCCTTCCGCCTCAGGCAGTTCGGCAGCAATATAAGGATTCTACCTGCCTAAGGCACTCCGTATACTTCCAGGTTATCTTCAATTGAAGTTATTATAGGGTACGTATGGAGGAATTGACCAGGACTATTGATCCCTCTCTCTTCTCTAACGATGCAGCCAGCTCTATTTGCCACATGTTGCAGCTCCAACTCTCGGAACGATGAATTACCGTAATGGATTGAGAACTAGTTAGTTAACTAGCTAAAGCGATTGATGATGATGAAGCAAACCTACGGGATAGTTAACTAACTAGTTAACTAAGTAGTTAGTTAGTTAATACAACTTACTAAAAGGAAATAACGCCTCGGTCTCGGATAAACCAGGTTTCTTCTCCAGACCCTTCCTGCCGCCTTCCGCCACAGTGTGCCACAGTTTTCTCAAATATAAGGCAGATTGGAATCATCGCATTCGATTGTGACATCTGGGTTGTCGTTATCTCCCCCAGGCAGCCTTTGATTCTGGTCGAAGAAACCTGCCTGTTCCGCCTCAAGCCAGAGTTGATCCTTTGAAATCGCCTCAACTTCCCGAAATGCGCGCTCAATATTGTTGAAACGGTCCTTACACTGGCAGATCTGTGCGCCAAGTGTTTCATCGTTGGTGAGACCATGGGGAAGCCAAAATCCAAAAGTATTGTCTTGAGGCATTATGCTACCATCTGCACCGAGCCTTCCCTCCCGCTCCCGGGGATGCAGTGATAGTTTTGCTGTCCCTTCTGGGTACATCTTTTTAGACTCTTCTAGTTTTTCCGGTAGGCATTCTCCGAAAAAGCGACTGGTATGAATTGTGTCGAGAAGCTTTTCGAGTTCTGCGCCACTGCGGACGATCATTGTTGCGAGCCTAGTCATAGAAGTTAGATTCGATGTTAGATTTGACAGGAAGACGGGCATCTAGGTTTTGATCCTACCATCCGATATCTACATCCCAACTGGTCGACTGCAAAGGAATATCACCCTGATGGGCTGCGTCCTCATCATGCAGAGGGGCTGAGAAGCAAGTGAGTAATTGTGTAACGATACCAGTATCACGGGTCATGGACTGGAGATCCACTGGGGTCGTCAAACAGCTTGGGTGTATGAAGCCTCTCATTACTAACAGCTCGAAAACGTCCCATACTGCTGATTGTCTCCGAGCCCGCCAATACAGATTCCGGAGTATGCTCACCCAGTTTGTCGATTTCATAAACAATTGATCGTATACATGAATGTCGGGCCGGAAGCCACCTCGAGTGTCACATTTTGACAATTCGACATCTACTATAGCCTTTGCTGCGTCGGTCATTGAGGCTGGGGAGTCACTTCGGAGGAGGTCGAGGATCGCTTGGTCTGTTGTGGGCCATTCACGTCGGCGGCGACGGGAGGATACACAAGGGTCGTAAAGGATATCTACCTTATCCCTGAAGATCAACTCTTCTAGAATGGTCATTCCATCTACAGGCTGACTGGCACAAAATTGAGGCTCCACGGGTTTCGCGCCAGGGGTAAGATTTCTGGTAGTTTGCAATATCATAAACTCTTCGTGGTCCTTGATGCGCCAAGTGATGCGCCTGCGAGGTACTCCTGGGAGTTGGATCTTGGCTAATGATTGGACAAAGGCTTGCGAGAATCTGCTGTTGCGTATCCTGTTGCTGATGCTGCGGGTTGGAGACAGTGCCAAACCATCGCCGGGACAAGCGACTGCAAAGTACCGGCTCCTCTGGTTCGATGCCTGGATTGCATTGATAAATTGACCCGAGTAGCATGCCCCCGAGATGGCATTTACCTGGACGCCATCTTTAAAACCAGCAAGAAGATTTCCGAAGACATCAGGGTGGACGCGACGGTCTCCAATGCAGTATCCTTCCTTCCGAGAGCCGTGACCTTCAAGAATAATGCTCACAACATCACCATCCTCTGCTTGTTGCTGCTTCTCCCGAATCCATGTTTCCACCCGGCCTAAAAGCTCATGAACACCAACTTGGGTCCACCAATATTGTCGGTTAACATAAGCAAAGCGCGAGTACGTGTAAAGAGCCTTGTGACCATTCGGGCCCAGTTTTCCAAATTTGATCACGTCAATAGGAGGACTGAACGTGTTTCGAAGCCATGCAAAGTGCTGTTCAAGTGGGAAGCATGATAAGAAGTCTCCTCCGACGCCATGATCTCGCAGCGCCATGCAGAATCCCATGAAGTCAGAGAAAATGAAACCATCCATGTAATTCTGCGCACCACAGACTACCAGGTAGTATGATCGTGGCTCGCGTATAGATATCTGAGAAGAACCAAGGGACTCACGCTGCTTTCGCGCCTTTTTGGAGTCGCGAGCAGATCCCTGGCGTTGCAGGCTTTCTGACTCCATGGTGACAAAAGACCTAGAGGGTACTCGAAAAAGTGAGATGGGAAAGAAGATGGAAGAAGAAGAGAAAACTAAGAGGACAGGATGATGATATGATGAAAGATGATTCTATGATGTGATGCCTAGGTACCTGAGGAACGTGCCTGGAACAACCTCCGTCGGATACCCTCCCGTAGGACATTATATCATTACTTGGAAACATTCTACGTCAGCGTAACTTTGTATATTCTGGCACCACAACGGCCCAGCATATCCCCAAGCCAAGTCTTCATCTTGTTGGCAATCTCCGCCGCTCCCTTGGGAACATTGATCTTGTGTTCGCGATGCTGAATGAGGGAAATGGGACAAATCAACCACGAAATCTCTCGTGAGCAAGATCGAGGACACTGCGACCATCCAGAATAAGCTGGTCCTCCAACGGCGCAGTGATGAGCTCCTTCTTGCCGTCTTTTCCTCCAGCTTCAATACACAGCCCTTCACTTCCATACAGCCACAGAACCTGATGGAAGCCGGTCTCGGACCGGGATCAATGGACTTATTCCTCGGAAAGACAGGGTCCTACTTAACCAATTATCTACTTGGGGTAGAAGTGCACAACATCACGGAGCATTTGCAGGTGTCGTACTTGCTGCTGAGTGAGGCTTCAAGCATCACTGTATACTGTGTGTCCATCTACGTCCAAGCGGATATAGCGGGGATTCCGAATATGCTGTGACCTAAGCTGAGACATGCATTACGAAGCCGAGGATATCTTTCTGGAGTCCTAGACAACTCAGTTGATCGGAGACGGACACCAGGCTCCCCGCATCCCACAGCTATAGCCGAGGCCAAACGCTGTTCAAGAAGCAACGACTACTCGTATCCCTTGACCCTCGGTATAGCCAAATAACTCCAGCTTTAAACCCCGATAATTTCTCTCAATATCTGCTTGTCCAGGAAGATTCCAACCTCATCACGACCAATTATGACTTCCTCACTAGAGATTCCCCGTAAACTGTGGGAGCATGCGAATCCCCAATCCACCCAGATGTGGAGGTTTAAACAAAACCTAGAGAAAGAAAAGGGCATAAATCTTCCAGTGAGTAATTCTAAAACATCTACCTAGATACTCGTAATGGGGTTAGCTCATAAAATTCCTAGACTTACTACGATCTCTACACTTGGTCTGTACAGAATCGCTCTGCCTTCTGGGACTTTACCTGGAACTACTTTCCAGTTATCTATGAGGGATCGTACACTGCTGTTGTTGATGAATCTGCCCGCATCGATAGTATTCCAACCTGGTTCGATGGCGTACGGCTCAATTTCGCAGAGAATATGCTTTTTACCGCCGAAAAGACGCCCGATGGGGGGGGTCACATCGTCACTCAATCGGGCAAGGAGGACGGCGAGATAGTAGCGACTCAGATCCGCGAAGGGGGGTCAGAGCCTGCCATCTCCCTTACTTGGTCTCAGATGAGGCAGCGCACAGGAAGGCTACTCCAGGCTCTGAAGGCTTCTGGAGTCTCGAAAGGAGATCGCGTGGCCGTCGTGGCCAGCAACAGCATCGACACGTTGACTGTTTTCCTGGCCACTACTGCCCTTGGAGCCCTATTCTCCTCTGCTTCCACGGATACGGGGGTTAAGGGTATTCTAGACCGTCTCCTGCAGATTAAGCCAAAATGGGTGTTCTTCGATGACGCTGCTGTCTACAACGGAAAACACATCGATCTCCGACCCAAGATTAATGAGGTTGTCAGCGGTCTAAAAGACATCCCGGAGCTCAAGGGCGTCGTCACCATGCCGAGGTTCCCTGGCCGTCCTGTAGATGTCAGTGCCGTTCCCAAAGCTCAACCTCTTGCGCAGTTCCTTGCCCTAGCACCTTCCGACAACCTAGAATTCACGCGCATTGGCTTCCGCGAACCATTCCTAGTGGTGTTCTCCTCAGGAACCACCGGAAAGCCAAAGCCGATTGTCCACAGCGCCGGTGGCTACATCCTCAACTCTACCAAGGAAGCCCGGTTGCACCACAACCAGGGACCGGACTCCGTCACCCTCCAATACACTACCACTGGCTGGATCATGTACTTGGCCGCCATATCCGGTATGCTTTATGGCGGAAAGTCGATCCTCTACGACGGCAGCCCCTTCTTACCCAGCCCTAAGTTCCTGATCCAACTCCTCGGCCAATACAAAGTGACACACTTCGGCACCTCTCCACGCTACCTCCACGAGCTGCGCAAAAACGGCATCCAGCCCCGGAAAGAAGAAGAAGAAGAAGAAGAAGAAGAAGTAGTAGACCTGAGCAGACTCTCCACCGTCACAAGCACAGGAATGGTCCTTCCTGAGTCTCTCTTTGAATGGTTCTACGACGACGGCTTTCCAGCACATTCCCAGCTGGTGAATATATCCGGTGGCACTGACCTCGCCGCCAGCTTCGGGCTGGGAAACCCGCTCACCCCTCTCTACGTAGGCGGATGCCAGGGTCCTGCGCTCGGGATACACGTCGAAGTCTACGGCCAAACCGAGGAAGGCGCCACAGGCGTCAAGGGAACCGCGATCCCCGATGGCGAACCAGGAGAACTAGTCGCAACTTCATCCTTCCCTACGATGCCGGTGAAATTCCTAGGAGACGACGGACCCCAGAAATACTTTGATTCGTATTTCGCCCGGTTTGACAGTGCGTTATCTCCCTCCACCCACTAACCTTTGAAATACTTCTAACCCCAGGCCCGAAACAAAAAAAAAAAAAAAAAAAAAAAAAAGACGTCTGGACCCACGGTGACTTCATCAGCATCCACCCCATCACAAAACAAATCTTCTTCCTCGGCCGCTCGGATGGCGTTCTCAACCCATCAGGAATCCGCTTCGGGTCTGCCGAAATCTACAACGTGATCGAGACGCAGTTCACAACCGAGATCACGGACTCGCTTTGCGTGGGCCAACGACGGCCAAGGGACCCAGACGAATCCGTGCTGCTGTTTCTCCTCATGAAACCCGGATACAGCATCACTTCTGAACTAGTCTCGCGCATCAAGGAAGCAATCCGGAAGGCGTTGAGTGCTCGACATGTACCGAAGTATATTTTCCCGACTCCTGGGATTCCGGTGCGTAGTCTTTTTTTTTTTTTTTTCTTCCTCCCTCCCTCCCCTTGATTAACTAGTTACACTTATCTTTTTGTCATGCATGCATGGATAGAAAGACAACTCGTTGCTAACACAAGCGTTCTAGACAACGGTTAACTTGAAGAAAGTCGAGCTGCCCGTGAAACAAATTGTCTCGGGGAAAATGATCAAGGCTTCGGGGACACTCTTGAACCCGGAAAGTTTGGAATACTACTACCAGTTCGTGGATGTGGAGAGTCTGATTGAGCCGAAGAGCAAGCTATAAACCGCTCCGTCCGTAGATCTTATACATATACTGTTGAAGAAATAGAGAATCGGATTAGCGCTATCAAGTCATGAATCAAGAGCAACACATAACAATGTTGTACTATGTTATGTTAGCGAATTGTTTCTATTTACGACTTAATTATCTTCGCGGAAACGTGATATGGATATATATATATATATATATATTTATTTATTTCTACACCAAAATCCAATCGAATCATCATATGAATTCAATCCAAAAGCATCAGCGCCACGTCGGCATACATACCAATAGCGTATGGCAGTTACAGGAGAAAAAAAAACCTCTATCATCAAAACTAGAATCTCAATGGCTTCTTCCCCATCCGCCTGCGGGAGGGGCAATAATGAATTTCAACGATTCAACACGCTATACCACCATAGACAGCCCTAGGTTTGAGGCGAGCAAGTAAATAAGGAAAGGTAGGAATAATACAGGGTAACAATGGATATGAAGCGAAAAAAAAAAAAAAAAAAAACAAGAGGATGGGGTGGAGACCGGGATAGGGACGAGATGAAAAAAAAAAAAAAGCAGAGAATGCACCGGTTCTATACACCAGGATCAACGGAATAGGATGGGGAGGGTTGTCTTCTAGCATCGTGTGCAGGGAGTCGTTCGTCTACTTGTTGTGGATTAGGAAATTGCGGAATGAGTCCCAGTGGTCTGAGTCGGCGTAGCTAGATGGTGGTGTGGTCAGCACAATGCCTACATTAGGGGATAGTAGGAACGAGGAAAGCATACATATAAACCATGCTACTTCTTAAACTAGACATGAGGGTCTCTGGGTGCCAGCGGAAGAGATACATGACGAACGCCCAGCTCAGAGACGCAAAAACAGCCCAGGCATTGCCCTCGATCTGCTTTCGGGCCTCGGGTGTTATAAGGGATGATAGCGGGTGCATATTAGGTTGCACAGCGAGTTTAGCATAGGCGAGCACGACACGCGCAAAGATATAGATCACGATCTATGCGAAATATTAGCTGGCTCCTTCCACACAGGGTTCGCGCAAATATTGTCGTTCGTACCTGTTGAGTGATGCTCGACTTATGTCTACCAAAAACCGCATATCCCCCAAGTAACCCCGCAAAAAAGCTATCATACTGCCCCTCCTTCCCAACGCCCGCAGGGTTGATATTACGCAGAACGATCAGAGAGCTTTTGTATACCAAAGCGAAAGTTGCCAGATTCCGAGCATGTTGGCGTGTGGCTTTAAGAACAAGCTTGACCTTTTCTCGCACACTGAATGACGCGGAGTTAGTAACTGGCCGGGACGGAGAGGAGCTTCGGGAATGCGAAGGAGTGGGGGGGAACCTTACGTTCCAGAGCGAAATAGGAAGATCATCCTATGAAGAGAGGCTTCATGTTAGCGCTTCCAGACAATATACCTGATGAAGCATAGGGAGGAGTATAAACATACACCAGAGCGTGCGGAAACCGCACTTTCGCGCCGTATACTGCGCCATTGCGGATACCTTTCACGAGCGACAGCAGCGGCGCAAGATCGGGGTTGGTAACCAGGGCATCCAGCCGGGACTACAGAGAGGATTAGCAATATATCTAACGGCCAAGCAGCCGCGGCTTCAAAACTTCCTACCACAATAGCATCCATAGCGTCAGGTGTTTATGAAGTGGCAATTTCTGGGGGTTGATCGTGTAGAACCTCGGCAGGCTGAGTCCGAGCAGCGGGCAGGTTCGAGTTTCAGTTGCACCGGCGGATGGCACCCGGGGGGACAGGGGACATCGGGAGGAGGGGAAAGGAAGAACAGATCCGGATAGCCACCGGGAGGATAGCAAAGAAGCTCTTTTAAGGATGAGGGAGAAAAACAGACAGGAAAGGATGTGGGGGGCGGCATTTCCAGCATTTTTGTATCCGCGTTGAAGAGAAAAAGATCCTCGGCATGTGAGTAACGTCATGGTCACGTGGATCAGTCCATCATTGAAGACACCAAGACTATCGACTATAGAAGTAGTAGTATAGACACCGTATGAACGCCGGGGAACAATAGTAATAGAGAGAAAGAAAACGGCCGAGAAAATGGGAAAGAAATCATCATGCCCGCTTGGGTCTTTTGCGGCCCTCATCCTCCGAAATCTCATCCACGTCCATCATGTCCACATCGCCCTCGTCCTCCTCGTCCGATTCCACGCCGGCCCGTCGTTTCAATCCCTTCATCTTACGGGTCTGCAGACCACCCAGATCCTGCTTCGACAGATGTACGCGACCGACCTTGTCACCGATGACATCCATGCTAATGTTCTTTTTCGTCCTCATGTTCTCGTTGGGCCGCTTGCCCTGCTTCATAGCCTCCTTCATTGCATCCCGGGGCGCTTCCTGAATACGTCCAACCTTGAAATCAAACTTGGGCCCAATCTCCTCCAACTCAACCCGGGGCAGTTTGTGCCCACTCCGCTTGGTAACCAGCTTGTACCACCGTAGATGAACAACGGGGGCCAGTCCCGCAGCTGGTTCCTCGGCGGCAACCATCAACGCATACTGCAATCCTTCAACGTCGATCTTCTCACCGGTCTCACCCTTGAACAAATCCACAAGCATGCTCTTCAGAGTCGTGTGCACCGTCGAAGTAGAGTCCTCCCAAGCACTGCCCGAAAAGAGCATAAGCGGCCGTAGTCCAACACCGATATGCATAGCGAGCTTGTCCATAGAGGGAACCTCATCGCCCTCAGAGTTAGGAAGGAGCAGCAATTCACACATGTCCAGGACCTTAGAGTCGAAAACCCGGGCCATCGTCAAACAGTTAGGTCTCTTCTTGTTGCTACTTCCGAAAATAACCATGCCGCAGTCATTTTTGTTGGCCAGAAACTCCAGGCTTTCGACATTCTCGAATGGGTGGATGTTCTCGTTTTTCTTGTGGAAAAGGACCGAGTGTGGTGTTGTGAGGGAATGGAAGGTTTTGAGGACCGTGTGGAGAGGGGCCGGGCATTTTGAACCGTGCAGCAACAAGGTGCGTTTCGGTTGTTCAATCAGCTGAGGCTCTTTGGCCTTGAGAATGCGGGCTGTGCGCGGGTTCTTGGGTTTTCTGTCGCAGAGATTTTTTATATCAGTGATGGGGTCTTCAGAAAAACAGCAACTCTGAGAATCATTTCCTCCTTTGTTCAGTGACGATATTAAGGGGATAAACTTACACTTCGCGAAGCATTTTGACCAGCGTGATGGACACTTGGGGGATAAAAACTAGTGATGTTGGCTGGAGTTTTCCAGTCTTCGTAAAATCAGCGACTGGGAAAAAAAAAAGGCGGAGTGAAAAAGTTTTGGCGGAAAGGTCTTGGCGTTGCTTATCGATAAGCGATACAAAATAATCACAAATACAAGAGGCCAAAAATAGAGAGAGAGAGAGGAAGGGGAAAAAAAAATGAATATATCTTGAATTCAAACATATCTTCTATATGTAGTTAATGGTTTACTCTAATCGCAGCTTTTCGAATTCGCGAATCTGTTCTTCCAAACGAGCGACTTCACTCTCCGCATCCCGAAGCTTCTTCTCTTCGTTCTCGCGCACTTCAGGCTTTGCCTTCTCCTGCCATCCAGCACCTCCAATAAGAGTCTGCTGGCGGCGTACAGTCTCGCGGGCCTTGTCCAAGCTAGCCTTGGCTTTCTCTTCCTGTTCAAGAGCCACCTCCTTGGAGACACGGAGGTAAACCGCGGCTTCGGAGCCGACGGCAGACACCACGCATCCAGATGGGGGGGCAGTGTTCTCGGGCCCGAGCACGCTGAGCTCACCGAGTGTCTTACCACCGAGAGACTTGACGATGTGGAGTTCGTCAGAGACGGTCTTGAAGCTGGTGGCATCGTAAGTCTGGATGATAATATCACCCTTTGTCTTGACGTCGTACTGAGCCAGGATCGAGCGAATAGCCTTGGAGGAGTTGAGGATCAGCTCATAAGCAGTTTCAGCCGCAACGTCATCAAACTCAGCCTTGTACTCTGGGAATCTAGCCTTCATGATGGAGATTGTGTCGTCGTCCGGGCGACGGGGAAGGCGCTGCCACAAGTGCTCGGTGATAAAAGGCATAATGGGGTGGACCAAGGTCAAAGCGCCTTCCAAAGCAGTGTAGAGAGTCTCCTTAGCAGACTGCTGAACCTCCTCAGGAAGCTCTGGAGCCAGGAGAGACTTAGAGTTCTCAATGAATACATCGCACAGCTGGCTATACCAGTACTGGTAGATGGTAGTAGCAACAACAGAGAAATCACGCTGTTCCAGAGCCTCGTTCACCTCTTTAGCGGCAGTGTTAAATTTGTGCAAGATCCAGCGCTCAGAGAGAGACTCCTTGCCGGTCTTGGAAGCAGTTGCCTGGGGCTTGAAGTCGTCACCTAGCTTACCCATGACGTACTTGGTGGCCTGGTAGATCTTGTTGCAGAAACGACGGTATCCGTGGATTACCTGGATGTCAAATGCAATATCACCACCTAATGTTTCTTTAGAAGATGTTCGTGTCTCTGAAAGTATTGTGGGGACTTACCGCCAGTAGTATAAGAAACAAGGGAAAAGCGTAGAGCATCAGCACCGCACTCGGGGATACCCTTGGGGAACGCCTTCTTCTGGTACCGGGTAGCCGTAGCGACTTCCTTCTCCGCAAGGTTTCCGGTAAGGAGCTTGGCATGGAGGTCCTGAAGTTGAATACCCTCCATAACATCCAAGGGATCAACGACATTGCCCAAAGACTTGGACATCTTGCGACCCTCAGAATCTCGGATCAAAGAGTGGCAGTAAACCTCCTTGAATGGGACCTTGCCGGTCATCTTCATGCCCAACATGATCATTCTTGCAACCCAGAAGAAAAGAATATCCCAACCAGTCTCAAGGACGGAGGTGGGGTAGAGGTTCTCCAGGTCGTGGGTCTGGCGAGGCCAGCCAAGGGTGGAGAATGGCCACAGAGCGGAAGAAAACCAAGTGTCCAGGACATCAGGGTCTCTCATGAGGGTAAACTTCTTGCCAGGGAACTTGGCCTCAGCCTTCTTCTGGGCTTCTTCCTCAGTACGGCCTGTGACCCAAAGGTTACCGTCACTATCATCGACTTCCTCGCCTTCAAGCTTCACCAGGTAAGCAGGGGCTTGATGACCCCACCAGAGTTGTCGAGACAGACACCAGTCATTGATACCTCTCATCCAGCGGAAGTAGTTCTTTTCCGCAGACTCGGGCCTGATAATGATCTCTCCATCCTCGACGGCCTTTATGGCGGGCTCGGCAAGGCTCTCCATCTTCATCCACCATTGGGGCTTGAGAATAGGTTCGATGACATCGTTGGATTTAGCACAAAGAGGGACCTTCATGGGGTTGTTCTCCCACTTGACGTATAGACCCTTCTCCTTGAGCATTTCGATGACTTTGTATCGGGCATCGAAACGCTTCATACCAGCGAAAGGACCTCCACGCTTGTTAAAGGTACCGTCATCGTTCAAGACAGAGATGAATTCCAGATTGTGGGCCTTTCCGCGGTTGAAATCGTTGAAGTCATGGGCGGGTGTGATTTTCACAGCACCAGTACCGAACTCAGGGTCAACCTCGGGATCAGCAACAATGGGAAGCAAGCGGTCCACGAAGGGGTGGCGGGCGTTCTTGCCAATCAAGTGCTTGTAACGTTTATCGTCAGGGTGGACAGCAATACCGGAGTCGCCGATCATGGTTTCAGGACGAGTTGTAGCAATCTCAATTTTCTCTGTGGAACCATCCATCTCGTAGCAGAAGTGGGTTAACACACCGAACTCAATCTTTTTGTCATATCCCGGCACGTCGAGCAGGGTGCGTCCTTCAATTTCCTTATTCTCCACTTCGAGGTTAGACAGAGAGGTGTTCAGGGCAACACACCAATTGACCAGGCGGTTGGCACGGTAGATGATACCCTCCTCGTGGAGGCGAACGAATGTTTCGGTGACGGCGGCAGAGAGATTCGCATCCATGGTGAAGGCTTCCCTACTCCAATCAAAAGATCCGCCAACGCGACGCAGAGCATTGCCAATGTTTCCATGGTATTCGTGTTTCCAAGCCCAGACTCTTTCCAAGAAAGCCTCGCGACCCAGGTCGTGACGGGTCTTCTTCTCCTTCTTCCAGAGCATCTTCTCAACCACACTTTGAGTCGAAATACCAGCATGGTCCATACCGGGGAGCCACAGGGTAGTCTTGCCCTTCATGCGCTGCCAACGGATCATGGTGTCCTGGAGGGCATTGGTGAGGGCATGACCCATGTGAAGAGAGCCAGTAACATTGGGGGGAGGAATGGGAATAACGAAGTAACCTTCGGGTTTGACCTTGCCGTCAGGGCCGAATTCAGGCTTGAAGAGGTCACGCTCCTCCCACCACTCATATCGACCTTCTTCAATAGTTCTGGGATCGTATGCATCGGTTGTCTTCTCCTTCTCAATCTTGGGTTTCTTCTCGGCTTTAGGAGCCACGGGTTTAGCTGCCTTTGCGGCCTGCTTTTCCTGGAACTTCTTCAACTTTTCGGCCTTTCGACGTTCTCGCTCCACTAATACGAGTCCAAACCCGGTTAGCAGACTGCGCCCGCAAAGATATCGGGGTCAAGAAGCGGCGATTCAGATTTCAATGCATGCTTACACTCTTTCTCACTCTTCACCTTCGGAACAGTGGGATCCTGTCCAGATGGACCATCGACCTTGGGAGCCGTTGGCTCACCAGCTACAAACCCCATCGATCATGTTAGTGGTGCTAACTTGCCATGCGCTGATGAGGGGGGGGGTTCAGGAAGAGCTCACTTGGATTTTCGGGAGCAGAGGCTTGAGCCATCTTGGAAAATGGTCGGTATATTGGAGGAGAGAGACTCCTGGGCGCCACTCGCGCCACAAATCGCCGTATAAGTATCTTGACCACCGATGACTCAACGGCGATACAGAGCAATGGAGGGGGAGGGGTAGGAGGTTGTGCGAACTGCGGGCAAATTAAATTTCCCAGGTGCAAAGCAAAGAGCGGAACGAATCAAGTCTGTTAGTGCGGGGCCCAGGAGAACCCAGGCGGCGGAGTGCGATTGGAGGGAAAGCGTTTGAAGCCTTGCAATCAGGCTGACGGTGCATCAAGTGAGGTATTAAAATAGAAAGCAGAATAAGAGAATCTGACTGTGTTGCTTTCTGTCCTTCTGTGCTATCTCATGGACTCACTGCGCAGGGAGAAGCCGCCGAAGAAAAAAAAAAGTTTCAAGCTCATACCACGTGACCGGTAAGCACTCATCTCTGTCAATTGGGCCGTTTCTATAATATACACGAGACGAAGGCTGGAAGAGAATAGGATGCAATGGCTGATTTCTTTAGGTATGATCATGATAGGATTATATGAGCACCAAACTAGACCCCCACGCCTTTCAATGACGCATAAACTATGTATAAACCCTTCCGACAATTGCAATATCACTAAATTGAAAAAGAAAAAGGACAATAAAAAGACGCGGAAAGTTTCGTAGAGTATGAAAGGAAAAAAGGAAAAGAAAAGTAAGGCGGAGAACAAAAGGTGAAATCTCATGATGAAATGGGGAAAGTGAAGTCTGGTTACGCAGAATACACAGAGAAATAAAGCCTCATCCCTATTGAATGACTTCCACGTGAATCCATCCACTGGATACGCCAAAAGAATCGAGCTCCAGGATGGGCTCGAATGGGTCCAATACCCAACATGATATTAGTTGTATGTCGTCTGTTCGTCATCGTCATCGTCGTCTCCGTCCGTATTCCATCACTCGTTTTACCCGACGAATTCAAGCAGAGCGGAGTATTTCAGGGTCAAAAGTATAATTCCGATGTTGGGTGTTTAGGCATATCACGAAGACATAGAGTTGTTTCGGTTAGCCGCTTCTTCTGCGCGGACTTGGGTGAAGTAAGGATGAGCCATAGCTTCCTGGGCGGTTAAACGTTCCTAAAGACTGTCAGCGACTAATAAAGACAAGCTATATTCGGTTGGTCTTACCGCGTGATCATAACGAAGAAGCTTATCAAGGAAATCGATTGCTTCATCGCTAACAAAACGCTGGTTCTCCGCGTTGACGAACGAGGGCCAAGGCTTGCGGGGGAAGCGAGACAAGATCTCATCATACTGAGGATCGAGCTCAATCTCATACTTGTCCAAATATTCAAACAGTTCTTCGGTTCCCAGAACCTTGGCAATCTTCACTAACTGGTCGGAGTTGCTGTTGCCGTGGAAGAAAGGTTCCTTGCGGAAAATCATCGAGGCGAACATGGCACCCAGAGACCACATATCTAGGGAGTAGTCATACTCTTGGAAATCAACGAGCAACTCCGGACCCTTGAAGTATCTCGAGGCGACTCGCACGTTGTATTCTGTACCCTTGTGATAGAACTCGGCGAGACCCCAGTCAATTAGGCGGAGCTAAGAGGTTGTTAGAGCAAGCTGCATACTGCCAGGAGTAGAAAGACAAACCTTTCGCTTCTCGTGGTCGATCATAACGTTGTGGGGTTTCACATCCCGATGCATAATACCCTTACTATGACAGAAATCCAATGCCTTCAACAGCTCATACACGTAGAAGCGGACATCGTAGTCGCTGAATCGGGGGTAGAGTGTGCGAAAGTCGGTGTTATTGACGTATTCAAAAACAAGACTCGGGGTCTTGCTCTGGCTATCACGGACAACATCCAGAAGGGCTACAACATTAGGTCCGCCAGCCAAATTCTGAAGAATCTTGATCTCCCGCTTAATCTTCTTCTTCTTGACCGGCTTGAGAACCTTGATAACACACTTCTGGTAGTTGACAACATTGATACCCTCGAACACTTCCGAATACTTTCCCCGTCCTAGACGAGCGTTCATCAGCATTTACGGTCCTGGCGCAATCCTGGTATCTTGGCAGATCGGGTACCAAAGATGAGGCAACTTACCAATCTTGCGGACCACTTCGTAGTTCTCCAGAACGCCCCAGGAGATATTCACGCTATCATAGTCCCAATAGGACCTGGGCATATGCTTGTTAACATCAGCATAGACGCGCGCCATGGTGATGGCGGCTGAGGAGCGATTTTAAAATCTGCCCACAATCGGAATATTCAAAGCTTTGTCGAAAGCGGCGGGGTAGGTGAGGACGGTGCGATGAGACCTGAGATAATTCGCGACAGTGAAGACAACAAAATTGAAGAGGACAGACAACAACAGCTGCAAGACCAGGGGTCGATGATCCTGTCCAAACAGTTGCAGCCGCGCTATCGCCCTGAACAACAATCAGACTGGGAAGAAAGTGGTCTGCTCAACCTATTCTGCTAATAATCTCGGATTGGCCCAGACAGTTTCGCTCCGCCTTGTCAGTCACGGGACCACGGCGGTCATGCGGCCGGGCTCCGGAGAAACTATTAATGCGGCGTGATTTTGGCTTTCCTTTCTGGGACAGTTGGAGCGAGCTGCATTGATATCTCTTAGAAGTACGAGGAGAAGATACAACTGAGGCTGGCACTGAGCCTTTAAAAATTTCAGGAGGTTCACCATGTTCTATGACCTTAATGTGCCGTTCAGTCCAGATGACCCGGATATATCTGCGACCCTGAGTTTTCTAGCTGAACGTGAGTGATCATCTTTTTCCTTCATGTTTTTCCCCAGGCACGAGACCCAGCAGAATCTACATTCAAGGCACATGAAAAGCTGACCTGACAACTACCTAAGTCGGTTACACAACGGTAGCTCTCTCCCAGACCATCAACGGCAAACTTCCTCCCAACCCTACACCTCCTCCGCTTCCCGCCAACATTCCCCAAGGTCTCACGGTCCTCACGCGCCTCAACCTGGCGCTTTCTGATCCCGCTCAAAACCAGCGTCTCGTCAGCCTGGCTCAAGTCTATGATCTTGTTGCACTACGACCGGTAAATGAGAAAGCATTGTTGAATGCATGCACCAATGTGGAATGCGATGTGATCTCTCTGGACCTCTCTGTGAGACAACCTTATCACTTCAAGTTCAAAATGCTCTCTGCGGCTATCGCACGTGGAATACGTTTCGAGATTTGCTATGGTCCAGGGGTCACAGGCAGTGGACTAGAAGCTCGACGAAATCTTATCGGCAATGCCATGGCTCTAATTCGAGCGACTCGCGGGAGGGGAATCATTGTTTCAAGTGAGACTAGGAGGGCGCTAGGCGTGCGGGCTCCATGGGATGTGATTAACCTAGCACGTGTTTGGGGCCTATCACAGGAGCTAGGCAAGGAGGCTATTTGCGCAGAAGCAAGAAAAGTGACCGCTTTAGCTCGTCTCAAGCGAACCAGCTGGCGCGGGATTATTGACGTTGTCGATGGCGGGCAAAGACCAGCTCCTAAATCAGCTGCATCGGTGGCTAGTCAGAAAGCTACCAAGTCCAAACAACAAGCAGAGGGCAATGGTGACAGTCTGAAAAGGAAAGCGTCACTTGCTCCTGAGCCAACCGTGGAAGAGAGCGAGACCCCTCTTTCTAAACGGGAGATGAAGCGTCGAGCAAAAAAAGCCCGCCTAGAGGCAGCCATGGGAGTTTCCGATACAACCGCCAGTTAATCGGTGCTTTGTTAAGTTACTAGATCTTACATGACTGCTTGTTCTCACCTTGAATCACTCATGGATGTGTCAACTTTGGGCGACAGGGTTCGCAATCCGCTGCTTAGCATGAGGCTTGAGAAGAACAGGTTCTTCTGGATCCATCAGTCACCTGGCTAGCGGCTTCAAAGTGAAAGAAGCTAGGTGTAAATGCCCTTCCGATGTCAAGGACAAAACGGACTGCACATCGACCGCAACGCAACCGCGCATCGAAATCCCGTCAAACAAGGCTTACGATATGACTCCCACCAGAGAATTGTTCGTTGACTGAACTACTTGTGTGAACAACAACACGAAGCCCAGTCCAAGCCTGCATTGAGCACGACCATTAACACATCACCCGATGCAACAGGATTTAAGCTGCTGCTCCATCCTCTAGGACAAGGGTTAGATCGTCCTTTTGTGGTCGTTCCCGAAGCCTACTTGCTATTCAGGTTACCAGCTCTTATAGCTCTAAATATCAAAGCATCGTGATCGAATGAAGACTGAAGGATCTTGAATCTTGCTTGACAGTAGAATAGAATTATCAAGTCCTTAGCTCCCGCTTATAGATAGAAGACAGTGGGTAAATTCGTACATCCCATCTAGGACCGAACATGCTAGCCTGTGCTGAGGATATGAACACCAAGGTAAATTCCCCAGTACTTCTTAAATACCCCACTTGCCTGCGCCATTCAAGACTGTCGTGATAGATAGTATGGATTCCGAGTTATATTTACCCGTTAAGGAAATTGATATTTGAGCGCCCGTTGGGGGGGCCACCGCATCTTAACAGAGGATATGTATATCTATCTATCTATCTATCTATCTCTGGATATTCTTCTTCTTCTATACTTTTACTTCTACTTCTACGCCTGCTTCTGCTTCTGCTTCTGTTTCTTCTTGTGGTAATAAATCGAATAAATCATAACGGAGGCATTTTTATTGTATATATATTCATGTTTCTGGTCGATATCTCTGCATAATCCCCCCCCAAATACGGGAGTACCTAGGGTACCCATGGGACGGGATTTCTCCTGTAATGCAATCAGTGTATCGATAACCATTTCGATGTGTCTAGGTGCTACTGGGTAGGAACGGAGAGACTCCTGATCGATTCCTAACAAGCAGTACTCCGTCCCAAGAAGCTCCACTATGCAGTGTTGGTGTCATTCTCATTCTCATTCCCCGACTGGTTCATGATGACATAGCTCTAAGCCGGGCCTTCTATAAGTGCGTGAGATACCAGTATCAAGAGACAAATGTAGCTCAGGCTTAACCTTGCTAGAACTCGGGAAAGAAGACTATAATGAATCGTGTAGTGCTTGGAGGGTGATTGTGTATTAGTGTGCATATTCATACAATGTCCACACATTAACATTAGCGCTGGCGTTGACGTTGGCTTTGAGACTCAGAGACACTTTAAGCGACATGGGGGATTCACAGAGAAAAGAAAAAGGTGGCGAAGAAGAAGAAAAAAAAATATATTCTGAAGAATACAGGTGCGCCGCTCAAGGCGATTCCTTAATCAAGAAGAAGAAAAAAACGTCCCCAGGGGAAAAAAAAAAAAAAAAAAAGGCAGGACAAAAAAGTAAAATTACAGTCATCATCAAAGCTTTCAGCAAGGTGGGTATGATGGTTCGTAACAGATTCGAGAAGGTGTGCCAGGGAATCGCGAAGAATAAATTATGTATCAAGGTGCAATCAAGAGGTATCTTCTGTTTCAATCAGGACTTTTAATTCCCCGTCCATCCATTCTACCTTTTCAGCAGACAGGAGGGCAAGTGTCCAGTCGCCGTCATTTTCGATAGGGGTTAGTCCATCCGGAAGCCAGACTTTGATTTGCCAGCTGGCTGATGAGTTCCAAGGAGCAGTTTCCATAGTCCCGTATGATGGGATGGCAGGGTCCCCGGTGTATCGACGGCAGATGAGTTGTTTCGTAGAGGGAATGTCGGGGCACTGGTTTGCGGGTATATCTAAATAAGAGAATATGCGTTTGCCGCTTTGTAGGATATTTATTCGCAGGTGGAGAGGAGAATGAATAGTCGGAGCTGTATTGGCAGGTTCGGATGGGTGCGAGAAATTGGGTGGCGGCATTGGCTCGGCTTGAGGCAACGGATCATGGCTGTGGCCATTATTATGTCTTGCTAGGTTATCCCGGATAATCCGCGATACATCACGGGTAATGCTGCTTGCACTGGAGGGAGGATTAACTGTTAATGTAGGTACGTATCTGAATTAAAGGAAGGCAAAGCTTACAACTCGTTTCTGGCAGGAAGATTTGAGCTTCCACCAATGCGCCAGCGCAAATCTGAAGTTGCATCCGAGTTAACGATGCGGCCAACATTGTCACTCTCACAGTAGTTGTTGCAGTGATAATCGCCACCGTGGATAACTTGGTAATGGCTATCAACGGCCGCGACTAGTCCACGCCAATCTCCCAGCTGCAGGCCAGAAAGCGACCACAGGTTGTCAAGTTCGTAGTTCTCATTGTACATATCATAGGATTTGGCAAAAGTATTCCAGTCATTCGTGTATCCGTCCACGAAGAGGTCCATTAGACCTAATTCTGCCATCGGGGCTGGCTGCGAATGGGGTAGTGGTGGGGCTGATAATGGAGGTTCGGTTGGCGTATACTCGTCCGGAAGGTGATGCTGCGCGTGCATTTGAAGATGTTCTTCCGCCGTGAACTTGGGAGGACTTGCACTGTTGAAATTCTGAATACTGTCCTCTGTCTTGCGGCGCCTCCGCTCCTCGGTGCCTCCACCTTTCCTTGTTTCGACGGCATACTGGCGCTGGCGTTCGTTGGTGACCATCCTCCTCAATAACGGGATAACGAGAGAAATGATTTTCTGCTGGTCCCTCGGCCATATGTAAGTGCGCGGTCCTATGCCTTCGTTGACCACATGCTCCCCAAAAAATCTTGGGCCATTCCCCTCAACCTCGAGAAAGTGACGCACGCAATTCCAGAGCCGCAGCTTAACCATCTCCGTATCCCCTTTACCACGCTGGCCAACGCAGTCGCGACGTTCCGGGTGTCGGTCATCAAGCATGTATGCTTTAGCAGCTGCCTGCAGATGCAAGAAATTCTCCGGGGACAATTCAAGAGAAGAAAACAACTTCGACATAGGCGGACGGGTATACTTTTTATTGCTCGATGGCTGACGGAACAGTGCAGCTGCAGAATGTAACCCAACAGCACGAGCATCCGACAGTGATTGTGGGGGGGTGTTTCGAATCTCCAGGCCATCGCCACCAAACGGATTCGGGTGGTGATTGGGATGATGTTGCTGGTGTTGGTGGTGTGCCTGGGCCTGATGATGACCGCCACCCAACCCAGCCCCAGAGGCCGTCAAAGCTGGATCAAGAGGATCCTCGCCTCGTTTCCTCTTTTTGGTTGCTGTTCGTGTCAACCCGCAAGACTGGCTTGGCTCGTTGGCGGACGCTCCGCGGAATTGTCGCCCACTGCCCATTCCTGACCCATAGGCTGCCTCGCCAAAGCCATCATCATCTAAATGGATGTCTGGGCCGTATCCCTCTAGCTGGTGCTGGTTCCCTGCTGCACCGGCCGCCGCAGCGACTGCTGCAGCTGCAGCCCACTCAGACACGTCCTGACCAGCGGCGGCTGTGGCTGCTTCCACCAACCCGGCCAGCTGATTCTCGCTTGGCGCATACCCACTTGTTGCGAGATGCGAATTCTGATCAGGGTTCGAGGTAGACGGCGGTGGATTCCCGGCGAAGTCGCCTGCCGAAGTAGGTGGGGGATGTTGGTGGTTCGATGTAGACATAGACGCCATGGTGGACGCTCATCCGCTGGGGATGCCCAAGACGCTGCGATTTAAGGATTGTAAGAGTACACCCGGGGAAATGTAGTTTCGATGCACGGCTAGTAGTTCACTTTGGGGAAGATAGGAAACGCTTTGAAGCGACCTCGGATACTTCTTTCCAACAGCCCACAGATCAATAAGGTTCTGCGTTCAAGCTTCAATCTTACAAATTCCTTCGAATAAAATCTCCATCTAACACAACAGCAGTCAGAAACCATTGTCCCAAAGTTCCAAAGATACAAATAAATGCGCTAAAATCCAAGACGAAAGGTCAATACGGCTCACCGAAGCTCCCCTTGCTGACCGAAAGGCACGTGTTCGTGTGTGCCACTCCAACCCTCCAAGGGCGAGAACAAGCAGATACGACTTCGCTTTTTGAAAAAAAAAAAACCTGGCGATAGACGGAGAGCTTGAAGCTTCCAACTCTCGGTCCAGTAGGCTTGGGCAAGTCGCGATAAGTCGATCAATCAGATAGCTCGGCGCGGCGAGATGACGCTGTTTGCGTGGTTTGGAGAATGGACAGACAGTGCAAACTTTTTGGCTCCGAAGATGAGAGTTTCTCGACTATGCCTAATGGAAAAAGGTCGGCCCGGTTGTTGCACGTGAAGGTGGATTCCTCAGGCAACAAGGCCCCATCTACCTGCAGACAAAAAGACAAGTACTATAAACTTCTTGAAAGGAAGGCATGGAAATTACTTTCGATCTTAACCCCTCGTCATTTTATTTTTGGTAGATCAATTTGGAGCCAGCCAAATGTCAAAATAGCGGCAGTAGATATCCATATGTCCCAAAACACATCAAACACCAAACCCAGCGCTCATCAAATCAAGCACGCCGCGATCCAACAGGGCTTTGAACTAAAAAGAACAAAAACAAAGACAACCAAACTCCGGCTGAGCAGTACGATCGGCTAACATGGATACATGTAGCAAGAAATGTATAGACAAGAAAATAGAAGATTCGTCACCTCACCTTCGCCCCCGCTTCTAAGGCTCTGGCAGCCGGGTCTTGTCCCCGTACACTAGCATTAAACAGCAGATCGTCCATTAGCTGCTCCTTAGCAAAAATCTCATCTTCAAGGATGATATCCTGTCCAGGATCGGGAACAGTGAGGTGGCTTTTCTCGCCGAGGGTACCACGTAGCCGAGCAGATTCGATAACATTCGCACGGCTACGCCATCGCTTGAGGTCCTCCTCCAACCTCTCTCGCTCAGTATTTAGATTCCGGAAGTTTGAGTACTCTTCCTCTCCACCAAAACAAATTCCATAGCCGTCGCAGTAACAGATATGTTCCTTGGGACATACTACATTTTGGCCAGTGAAAACAACATGCCAAAGGTATTCCCAAATCCGACCGGAGATATAATCGCTCAGTTCAGTGCGGAGGATCCAGTCCCGGTAAAAGACAAAACGTGCGCGGGGAATGGCAAGAACTCGGTCGCGGGAGACAGCGAACTGCGCGCAGCAAGGCTGCGCTAGCACATCCGGGATGGGGTCATCAGGGAAGATCTCTCCCCACGACCTAGCCAACAGGACTTCCTCCTGTTTAGAGGCGTCTGGCTCCAAGGTACCAGGGTGCAGCCAGTCAGGACAACCAGGGGCCCAACCGCAACGCAAGTTCATGTATCCCTCCCTAATCACCCGCTCTGGGTTGAGGCGTTGCAGCATCTCAGCCGCGTTCCCCCCGAAAAGGTCATCATTATGCCACGCAAACTGGTGCGCGTGCATAAAAGCCATAATATCCGGCAGTTGATCATAGTGCTCGATGATGTAGCTGAGGTAGATCATTACCTCATGTCCTTTGTTCTTTGGTGGGTGTAATGGCGCAGAGGGGTCGTCGACAACATAGACGGCAGACTGCCACAGCGGAAGTTCCCGTTCGATCCACGACGCATCCTCACTGCTAGTCCGCGGCACCACCAAAATTTTCGTATATTCGTAACCCTCCGGTCTTAGAACTCCAGGAATGAACTGGGGTCGAGGAGCGTAGGGTTCTCTCGAGGGTGCGGCGCTGATATTCCAGTGTCCAGACGGTGTTGCAGAGGGCGGGTATACCATCTCACCCAACCCGATAGCTTGTGGCACATTTTTCCATTGCTTGGAGAGATTGTAGAGACCGAAAAGGAAGAAAAGAAAGAAGCCGAAGCCGAAAAGGGGCACAAGGCGCCGTGGTGAAGCCATGGGTAGGGGGCATCCAATGTCAATGCAGATACGAGTGAACGATAGGCGACCTATTGTGCAGTAACCATGTCAGTTAACTTGCATCTTGAGCGATAGATTACTGAAAGTATTAGAGGTCAGATTCCATCATGAAACAAACCTCACTCGGATCCTGACAATGGGGCCAACTTACAGCCAACTAAGTATTTAGTGCTTGACAAGCATCAATGTAACTATGCCAAGGCCACTTGTCTTGCCCTGCGACCTAGAGAGAACATGCGAGGCTGGAACTGCCTGCTTAAAGGAGAGAGAAGAAGAAGCGGGAAAAGAGTCCGACTGTAGAGGAAAACTCAGCCGACTGGTCGAGAAACGTACGCAAAAAGGCTGGAACGGGTCGGGAACGGGAGCTGATAGCTTAGCGGAGCATGAATCGCGACGCAATGATTGAGGATGATGATGGTGGTGGTGGTGATGATGATGATGACGACGATGATAACGAGCGGAACTGTCAGGAGAGAAAAAGCATGAAATCACTTCGGCATAAGTGGACGAGTCTCTTCTGGAAAGTTCAGACTTGTCTAAGTTGTCTTCCCTCCCCCACAACAAGACGAACCAAGGGAGGCAATATTGCGAGGGAAATCTGGCCTGCAGCAGATGAAGTGATAGTAATGGTGATTGGGTGAAGAGCCAGACGATCCCCCTGATATCCAGTTTAGTGCAAATCAATCCGCCAATCGTCTAAAAGAGACAAAAGACCAAGTATCGCATCTTTCCACGCGTCTTTTCTGGATTCTCCCCCAACCTTTATTTAGATGTCAGAGACTTAACCTGCAAAGAAGTAACATATATCACTGCATACGTAACCTGTGAGAAAGGGACGACATCGATCAGAAATAGTCCTCTATTTCAACTCTTTCACCGTACTACAATCCTACTCTAGGGATAATGCCTCACTACCTGGATATCATTTACCTTCTAGTTAGCATGCGCTCTCAATCAAAGCGCGACAGGTTATTGTTTGTCGTGCCCTTGGGATTCTGCCCACCAATATATTGTTTAGGTTAAATCTCAGGGGGTAGTAGATTTCTCATCCTGTTATCCTTGTGGTATATGGATTTTGGCTCGTATGTACAAATGGGGTAGGAACCTGCGTTCACTCGAGGGATTCAACCCTAGAAGGAAGAAGAAAAGAAATTGGGAAACTAGGGGGGCAAAGGATCATCTCTGATCCATCTACAGCAGGCGCAAGAGTACCCGGGTTATAATCCGGACCTGCTGAAAAAAAATGCCGTTCAATGGTTGTCCCAAGGAGCAACTTAGTAGGAGAATATAAAAAAATATGCATCATCCAAAAAAAATGTAAAAGTGCTAAGTGAGCAAAGGGTTATCACGAAAAGCGAAGTGGAAGAAATAATGTATCAAGATTACAATGTCAAGGTCATGTCTCATCATCTGCCACATCTTCTACCGTCGCCATGCGAGCTTTCCCTTTGGACGGTGAGCCTGACGTCTGATGTTCCGCCATAGACTCTTCTCGCCGGCCGGTACCGTTGCTCTCGGTGCGGTTGGTCGACGAGTTAAGGGCTTGGTCTGAGTCCGTCTCCGCGCTCAAATCGGTCCAGTGTTGAGAAAGAGATTCAGCGCCGGTTTCGGAGGAGCTGGATCCAAATTGCCAACTGGGTAGCCCTTGAGGTCTAGGAGTGGAAACAGTTGCAGCGTCATTATTGGCAGTGTCGGCACTGTCGGAATTCACCGCTGAAGTCGAGGGCTGGGGAGAAGAATCATTGGTGGTCTGTGTTGGAATTGCCAGGTCTGAAGCGGTGGCATTGGTAGTTTGGTTTATGATCCCAGAGGAACCAGCATCGGCGGAGTGGAGAGGAACGAGACTCCAGCCTTGAGGAAGGGTCAACCCTTCGGGTAGTTGAGGATCGCCTGTGGTCATGGATGGAGCCCCGGGGTCTGATACAAACTGGCGACGCATTGTTGTTGTTGACGAAGAAGCTATATGTGGAGAAAAGGGTGGCAAAATGTTTGTCTGGGCGTCTGTTGGTTGTGGCTGCAAGGCACGAAGGCGTTGTAGTTCGGCCTGTAGCAGCCGCACCAGGTGTAGCTGATCCGCAGTCACACGGAGACTATTGATATCATGCATAATCTGCTGCTCCATCTGATCCAGTTGGTTCTGCATGTTAGAAACATGGGATGTGGGCGTTGATGTTGTTTGGGATGCGTTAGGTACAGGGGGAGGCCGCCCGAAACCGAATCCAAAGCCAATCTGCCTAGCAGCCGCAGGAATAACATTGTTTGCCTGCGGAAATGGGGCATTGTTGCCTTGATGAACTTGTTGGTGGAAATTATGAAATAGATCTCCTCTTCCTGCCCCAAAGCCGATCCTGAAAGGCCCAAACTGGTAAATTCGAGCTCTAGGAGCCCCATTCGGAGGGCCATTCCTACCAAATTGCTGGTTTCCTCCTGGCATATTTTGCTGTTGCCCAGGTGCGCCATTAGCCTGCCCAGGGTTGGCGCCCTCAACGGCACCGTTGGCTCGAGCGGGCGCAATAACCGGTCGACGACAAGTTGGACAGTTCTGCTGCCTTTCTAACCAGCTCCTCAGACAGGAGAAGTGGAGGATGTGTCCGCAAGGTAGCTTCTTGGGACGAAGTCTTTCCGATACTTGTCTTGGTGGGACAGCTTGCCCATCTCCAGGCTGTTGCCAATGAGTCATCTCCTCTCGGCAGATAATGCACACTTCTTCTCTCGCAACTTCCTCAGCCGTGGCATCCGGGTATCTCTGGTTCATATCACGAGTTGCGTTACGGTATCGAACAAAGTCCATGATTCGTCGACCAAATGAGCGGATGGTGACCACCACGTCGCGGAGAATATGGATGGGCAACCCGTAGAAAGTGAAAAGGATGGCAAAAAAGGTCAAGTACACAGTTAACTTGAGGAAGTCGGTCAGAAGGTCCAGATAGAAAACCCAACGTCCTTTTTCTTCCCAACCGGGAACATCAAGCTCCATCTCATTAATATCGTTTTCATCGAGCAAGTCGGCAAGTGTAGAGTGATCTCCGGACTCTGTTTGTCGGGCCATAGCCTGTTCACGGGCTACTCTGATTTCCTGGCGTCGCTCTTCGATTCTAGCCTTCATCTGCTGGCGATTGATGTATATCTCAACTAGCGAGATTGAATATCTGAGAGCTGTCGAACTCGAAAGAATGGTCAGAACAGCGAATTCGAAACCGAACATGACCATCATATCGGGGCGCGCTTGCTCCAAAACGGTGTCGATGCAGTACTTCAACATGAAGGTGTTGAACATCACGGACAAAAGGAGCGAGAGGGCCAGCCGGGAATGAAATAGGACGGGGTTTGCTGGGGGTTGCTGTTCGAGATATTCGACACGGCCTTCACCGATCCATCCCCAGACCTTCCCTACAAGCAGTGAAACAAACATGACTAAAAACCAAGCCCCGAGTTCCCCCCGAAATATTGTCATAGCCAAACATGTTTCCGTCACCGCAAACCACGCCTTTTCGTAAAGCTGTTCCGTTTCGATAGGGCGCAAAGGTCCGTAGAGAAGTCGTTGGAGCCAAAACAGGAGAAAACCGACAGCCAGAAGGCATACGTTTGTCAGTATCTAGATACAGTTAGGTCCAGACCGGCAAATAAAGCAAAGCATCGGTAGAACGGCAACATACCATGAGATTTGCACTGCTTTGGGAGAGATATACGCAGGCAGCGTAGAAATTTGCCCTCTGATGGAGCGCTTTTAAAAAAACGCCCGTCGCTAAAGCCACGGAGGCCTAGAAAAGTCAGTATCATCCTGAACGGAGTGTCGTGTGTTCACAAGCTCCTACCCCAGCATACGCAGCAAACCTCATGGCCGCAGGGAGATGGTGGGCAGAAAGCCCAAACTCATTGACAAAGTCAAAGTGTGGGACGTGACCGTCACCTCAAAAGTTCATTGACAATCGGCAGAGTGTGAGGCAAAAAAAATATGAGCAGGCAGTCGATTAAAGCGACGATAAAGCTGACGGAAATCGCGTGGGCAGGTTTGTCCTGAAGCCGGGTTCTGGACAGCTATACACTTGACGCTTTGTGTCTTACGTCAGCGGGGCCCGCGCTCTTTTCGGGGGTTGGGGGAGTAGGCCTCGGAAGTTGCAACTCTTCCCAGTTCCATGGCCTGCACAGAACATACCTCCAGATTGCAGTACACTACAGTGTCAGGTAGACAAAGGCCTTTCAACTTCCTCGTTCCCCGCTTCTCCATTCATCATTTTCTTGCATGAACTCGTTCCTCGTTAATTGTCGATCTGCCGGCCTTAGACGTGGTCACATGATATTCAACCAACGTCTCTCTTGACGAGAGCTTTGCTTGAAACTTGCAACTATCACTTGAAGAAGGCCTTGATATTAATTAGTATGATATACCAGGGATCATAAACCCAGCTAAAGCAGTCCAAACAAGCTACATTCGTCCCGCTTCCCAAGACACTGAAACCATTGCCACGGAACTATACATAGGCCAAGAAACTCACCGCCTACCGCACATTATCTACTACGTATTGATCTCCTCTACTCTGTCAACTCACTCGGATCCGACACGGATGACGTGGAGTAGCTTGCCGGGGAATGACTATTTGGGCCGCATTGCGTCTGTCTCGATTGTGATCCTCAGAGCTTTTGTGTCCTGATGCTTTTTTTACTGGCAATTTGAATTCGGAACAGAACGTGTGAGTGAAGAATGGTGGTAATGGCTTCCCGGAGATCTATGTTTACCGCCAGCCGCATACAGGCTTTTACCTATCTGCTGGGTGTCTGTCCCTTCTCGATAGCATTCCTGGTGTTCATCAATTCATCTGTATCATTCGTTGTTACCGACTTGATTGGTCTTCGTGATGGAGAGGGTGATGCTGTTGGTACCCTAGGCTTTGCTGATGAGCTGCTTGCCTTGGTGGCGTGCCCTTTGTGGGGTGTGCTCTCAGATCGTATCGGGGTCCGTCAAGTAAGCATAGTCCGACTCCACTTGCTGAGCGACGAACGAGAGTTCTAATGCATATAAAATACAGGTTTGCACAGCTGGATATACTATTATTGCGCTTGCTCTGCTTCTTTTTGTTCAGGCTAAAAATGTTTATCCTCAGCTTCTACTGGGGAGACTACTCTTCAGCGTCGGAGGCGCTGCAGTGTCAACCATGGTCACTGCAGTTTTGCCCGTTGTGACTGGGAACGCTTGCAACGACGCAATTGACGATGGTGAATTGGAATCCACAGTTGGCGCGCCCTCGTCGCGTTTAGCAGGGTTCGTTGGGATGTGCGCTGGATGTGGCGCCCTCATATCCCTAGTGATTTTCCTCCCACTACCTGCTCACTTTCAAGAATTAGGGCTTTCGCCCCAGGAAGCTATTCAATACAGCTTTTATTCAGCCGCTGCGGTGGCTCTTCTTGTCAGCGTTTGCTGTTATATCGGCCTCAGAGATCTTCCTGGCGAAGATGGGAAAGCATGGACTTCACTGTGGACCGCTCCCAAGTCGGAGAGGACGCACAAAACTTACAGCAAAGACTCCTATTCTACGTTTATCAAGACCCGGCTGCCGTATTTTGACCAACTTATCACTGCACTAGCCCTGGGATTCCGCAATCGTGACATATTCATCGGTTACTTGGGGGGGTTTGTAGCTCGAGCATCCTCGGTCGGCATCTCGTTATTTATCCCCCTCCTCGTCAACCACTACTACCGAATGTCCGGTCTCTGTGGCGAGCACCCTACCGGTGAGACCAATCCAGGAGACATCAAACGCTCTTGCCCCAAAGCCTACGTGCTCGCCTCAATTTTGACAGGTGCGTCTCAGCTTATCGCATTGATTGCGGCCCCAATTTTCGGACTCCTCTCTGAGAGGTCTCGACGGTATCACATGCCTCTTCTTGTGGCCTGTTTGTCGGGAGTCATTGGCTATCTAGCGCTGGCCTTGCTCCCCAGCCCTGATTTCAAGGGAGATAAGGGTAATCGGGGAATCTTTTTAGTAATGGGCTTGATCGGGATCAGCCAGATCGGAGCGATTGTGTGTAGTTTGTCGGTTTTGAGCAACGGTATTTTGAACATGACAGATTCTGATGTTGCTACTGCGGACAATTCTTCAAATACGGCGGAGAACGAGCCCGCTTTGACAATGGGCGGAGAGATCAACGAACAACGGCCTTTACTAACGGCACGCACCAGCCAACCCCCACAGCAAGCCTCGAGCCTGAAAGGATCGATTGCGGGAGTTTACTCCCTGTATGGAGGAGCGGGAATCCTGTTACTCACTAAGCTCGGGGGTCTTCTCTTTGATGTGTTATCGTCTGGCACCCCTTTCTATATTATGGCAGGATTTAATGGCGTTTTGCTAATTGTAGGGACAACAAGTGGTCTGGTAAGCCACTGGCGTGCGAGTCAGTTAGTGTCTTAGCTTAATTTCTGGGGCGACGCCCCGAAGAAATCTGAAAAATAGATCTGCATATTCAGATTGATTCAATCGGAAGCGGCTCTTTCCTCTTTCCCCTCTTTCTACGGAGTACACGATTGGATATGACTTACCTTCAGGGCCTGGAACAGAGGCCCAAAAACCTGAAGAAACTTAATGATAGCGGTAATCCTGCTTTCATTTGCCTCAAGCCCCGACCAATTGCGGACGGAAATTGAGTCTTGGCTCTGTTGGTTTACGAAGGGGGAAATCAGTCATATTTTAAAGCTTCAGCCATTTCCTCTTCGTGAGCTCCTTTTATTCTTTCCTCTCTCTCTTTAGCTATACCAGTCACTCATTGTCAGTTCTCAGCTTCACGTCCTTGATAGCTTTACATTCATTTCTGTTGATATACCTTCCTTACATATAAATCATCGTCTCTCACTCCCTCAACATGCGCCTACAAATCATCCGTTCTATTGCCATTCTTGGTGGTATCTCCCTCGCAACCGCCAATGAAATTGTCTCTCTCCTCTTAATGGACTTTGATTCTCAAGGGATCGTTGGTGAAGTCGTTGGCAGCGTACGTTCCAGTATCAATAGCTACCTAGTAAGGGGGAACCCCCCCCCCCAAGAACTAACTTAAAATATACAGAGTGGCCCATCAACTACCTACAACCTGCACTGTCCCACAGACACTCCCTCTGATGAATGCGGGTTCAGACCCCAGGGCCAAACCATCACAGTAGGCAGCGATAACTCCTTCAACCTCGTCTACGAGTATGAAGATTAGTACGTGAACCCCCCCCCCCCCCCCAAAAACAAAACTCACTACCTGAATTCAACAATACGAGAGAGAGAGAGAGAGAGAGAGAGAGAGAGAGAGAGAGAAACCATGGAACACCCCAAACTAATCAGATCATCACCGTCAATCAATATAGCTGGCTCAAAGAAAGCTGCTCCCCTCGCGGCACCACTTGGATCTCCTGCGAAGCCACAAACACCCAATCCGATTTCTCAACGGAAACCAGTACAGCACTATCTACCAAACTCACCTACCTCCCCGTGACAATCACCGCCACAACCACTCTCGATCATGTCGCCTCGTCTACGACAGGGTCCGCTGCTGGGACTTCCTCTGCGACAGGCGCCCACGCGACCGGGTCCTCCAGCACCGCTAGTGCCGCTGTGAGTTCGAACGCGGCTTCTAACTCTACTAGCAGTGCTAGTGCTACTACTTCCACTCCTAATGCGGGTGCTCCGATGGCGACTGGGGTCGCCGCGCAGTGGGTTATGGGCGGTGCGGCGGCGGCGGCGGTGGTGGCTTTGGTTATGGCTTAGTTTTCTTTTTTTCTGCAATCTTATACTAGGTCTTCAGGTCTTCAGGTACTGAGGTGTTTTCTAGTATGGGTTATGTAATGTGAGGAATGCGTGTGTGCCCATTATGGGGCTGGGATGGCTTGTAGTTACTTGGTGTCCCTAGCTAGATATATAAATCTATAAATCTATGTATACAAATAGCTGTCCCCGAAGTCTTTCCACACTGGTCTTCCCTTATTTAATACGTGTTCAGTACGTTTATAAATATCCGTAGGTACTCTGTTCTTATATCAACTCCTAACAAATAAATCCATACATGTTGTTCGGTCAATCATGTTGATATTCTCCACTAACTATATAACTAGCCTAGTTATTTATATATATACATTAAGAAGATCGCCAGAATTGATGTGTGAAGTTGACTGACTGCTTTCCGTTGTAATTCATGATCCAGCCATTCATATACTAACTAGTAGTTGTCTCCGACCTAATGCTACCGAATTATAGGTTCACTCACCCCTTCATGCTGGAACCCCGAGAAAACATGCCTCCCAATCCACCCTTCCTTCCACCCCGCTCCTCCAATTTGGAGCGTTTCTCTTCAGGCAGCGCCCGCACCTCCAGCCCCGCCTGGATAATATTCGCTCGCAACAAGCGAAGATGCGCCTCCTTTACGTAGTTTTCTAGACTATCTAGTGCTGCTTCCTGTACTTCCATCCGTAGGTCATCCTGACTCGAGACAAGGACCCGCTTCTCGAGGTCGATTCGCGCGTCAAGCGTGCTATCCTGGATTAGGCCGATGAGTTCCTGGACGAACGGCGAGCTGGAGTCTGTTTCGCTTGGCTGGTTGGGCCTGCTTCCGAGGACAAATATCTTGGACATGGAGTCGAGTGAAACGCGGTTGAACGGGATGAGGTACTGTTGTATAGATTTGGTTCGGATTCGGGTATATAGGGTCTGGACGTGGCGCTGAAGGTGGATGTCCAAAAGGTAGTCGGCGCGGTATGCTTCGAGGATCTCGAGGCACGGTCTGAATTTGGAGTTGCAGAAGAAAGAAATAGCTCGGCGAATGTGGGGTTCTAGCTCTAGGAAATTGCGGAAGGAGTTGTTGTCGAGCACGCGGCGTTGGAGCTCATTACGGTCCATGGATGCTAGGGCGCAGAGACCGCCGTAGACTGCCACATCGTTGGATGTGAGGACCTCGTTGTAGGAATCGCTCAGGCTGGGGTCTGTGGCTAAGAAGCTGTTCGCCGCCTCTAGGTAAGACCCAGAGTGCAACTGTGACAAACCCATAGCCGCCGACATCTTTGGTTGGTTTTTGGCCTGTTCTTCTTGTTTCGACTGCAGCCCGCGTAGTCGAGATACGTGTGATTGCACGCTTAACCAGTCTCCACGCTCAATGGCCACATTGATGATCTTGAACAACATAGAGGCGATATGACTTGGAGTTGTGCAATAGTCCCTCATCCGGGAGTAGGCTTTGAAGGCCGAGACAAGGTCACCGATTTGATGGTAATGCTGCCCAAGATCCTCATTTCCCATCTGCAACACTTGTCAGAAAAGAAGATTCCACAAATGCATCCCGTTCCACTCAGTAAACATACCCGAATGCTCTCCTTGATCAGGTTATTTTTATACCCTCTGAGTTCATGCTCCAGCCGGTCCGTCTCGGTCTTGACAACCTTGTGCAAACGTTCCGCCCAATCCATATCGATTGCCGCCTCAGCCTCGTTGGGAGCGGCTTCCGCAAGCGCTTGAACTGCACGTTCATATCGAGAGACATCTTTCCCAGACTTTGCCTCTGCGACTGCTGCTTTGAGGGCTTCGACGGAAAGGTATGTGGAGCAAGTGCCTATGAGAAACAGACGGTTGAATCTGGTTCGACCTAGGAAATGAACAGGTATTAGTCATGACTTTCAGAGGCTGTAGCATAAAGTCTCCAAGATTTACCTGTGTAGTTTGCAATGTATGATTCTAGTTCAAACTTCGGGGGATCTATGAATAGGTGAGCCTTGCTGGGTCCTGGTAGGCGCCAGTTCTAAGCATGGAGAGTAGCATACCATCCACTCGCACAAATGGTGCTGCGGAGGCTACACTCCCAGTTATAGTTTCCATATCTACTCCCATTGTGCCCGGTGCCTGTGCTGCATAAGGACTTGAAAAGCCCTCGGCGGCGTCCGACGGCATAGCATCCATCGTGTCGGCGGGGTGGTGTTTGAGCGCTTGCAGACTAGATGGACCAGAGAGAGCCCAGCCAAGGTATTATGAGATAGTATGAGGAAAGTTGTTTTGCTCGAAACCGATGTGAAGCTATCTGGGGGGCGTAGAGGTGAAAAGGAAGATGATGGTCGATAAGTCACTTGAGTGTGGGGAACTGTCTGGATTCCGAAATCAGAACCTTGGGGAAGGAAATTGCGGTTGCTTATTTTAGTGGACTAAATCAAAATGATATGATAATCTCTGACAGCGCGCCCGCCATGAAAAACAACAGTACACAGTGCCTGAATAGACAAAAGAAAGGTGGATGCCGTGATAATCGATCCCCGAGGCCGTCAATGGAGACATCCACGGTCATCTCTCGTTCATTCATATTTGACCTGTGTTATCAACAATAGGTGCTCACCGCCTCCCAAACCGCCTTCATCTTGCATCCTATGATTTTGTTGAATAAGTATTGTTTGGAATGATTATGAGTATGGCAAGTGGGACAGGAATGAGGAATGATAAGAAATCACCCCTGCAGCTGGGATTTGCATACTTCAGATTTGATTCTTGTACTAATAACCTGCTTGTATTCATTTTCCAAACCATTGCAACGTCGTAATTACTATTAATCTTCGGAGATCATAGACTAGCTCCCCCAAGGTTGGTACATAGATGCATGAGAAGTACAGACAAAGAATGAAGATTATTATTACCAGTAAAGGATCGCTGTATAACCACACATGGAGAAAAAAAAAAGAGAAGAAAAAAAAAAAAACGAGGCGCGCTCCCACTGCTAGATGAATGATAACATGACCACTGATCAGGTAAAGAATCAAAGAAGAGCTGCAAACCCGGCAAGGAATCCACCGACAACGACGGTGAGACCATAGACCTGAGCGAGATCAGTGGACAGCTGGGCAGCCCGCCCCTCTTCTGGCACTCCTGTGAACGGAGCTAGAGTCGTGGTGGTGGTTTGACTCTGGGTTGCGGTGGCCGCAGTACTTGATGTAGCATTGACACGTGTAGGGCTTTGAGCACCGCAGGGGTTGTCAGCGCGGCAGTTGTACTGACAAGTCGAGTCGCTGCAGGCGGCGACACACTCGCTATTTGCCTCCGTGCAAAGGTAATAGGGGATGGTCTGCGAGTATTCTGAGGAATTTGGCGAGAGGCCGTTGCTGCATACACAGCTATAAGAGAGGGTGGTCTGGTCGCGGCAAGAGACATGTCAGAGATCAAGAGATGAGAAACGTGGAGCGGTGAGTTACGTACATCGTCGCAAGTGTTGGACGTGGGTTGGCCTGTGGCATTCTGTACCTGGAAACAGAGAAGAGGACAGGAGGATTTCTGGTCTTGACACCACTGATCTGGAGCCGGGGTATGTCAGATTGAGGCCACCAGGAAGTTCAGGAAATCATACCTCTGGTACTTTGAGCAATGGCGCTTATGTTCACATTGTAGCTGTAGTCACTTGAGGAGTGCACAACGCCAACCATCGAAGCGATTGCGATTAGGGGACGTAAAAGGACCATTGTGACAGATTAAAGTAGTAGTGACTGTAACGTAAGAAGGCAAGCGAACGAAAAGTGACACTCGAGAATGTTCTGTTCCTTGTAGAATGAAAGTAAAATGTCAGTATGGAGTTTTACAATAGCAGCGCAAGATATGAAGGGACAATGAACATACCAAGGAAAGCGATGGTCAGAGGAGAGAAACGCAAGGGATCAAGTTTCCGGGGAGGAGAGGGGAGGGGAACGAAGAACGAGAGCCCCAGAGAAAGGTGGAGGAGTAAACGAATGGGTCCTGGGGGTGAAAAATAGAATCTTGGAAGAAAAGAAAAACTGAAGGGAAACAGAGGTGCCGCGGCCCTGAATATGTATTGGAAATTGTCCAACCCCCCGTGTTACTTGGAGGAGCCTGTATCTTTTCCTGCTTCACAGTGGCGACGCTATCAGTCCCTAAGCTCCGGAGGACTAATGTTAGATCCGGCTATTCCTATGCATCTTCAATATACGCATTAACGCATTATGCTTCGCAGGTAATCGTTGGAAGCGTGTTCAATCATGTAATTGTATCATCAGGCACTCCGCATGCTCTCAGAAATACTCCGAGCTCCATTGGAATCTGAATCCTCCGTAGATTATGATTTATAAAATAAAGGAGGCAAAGTATCAGAGTAATGAGTTTTATCATTGTAACTAACTCCATAACTATTGATTAGTTACTTTTACTGATTCAGGAGGTTGTCGGCCAAAATTCAAAAACATGTCGATCTTGGGGTATTAAGCGATTCGCTGTACGAGGTATCTGTGAAAATGAAAATCTCTCTGGATAGCTACTTTGTTTTCAAAGTATAATAATAGTAATACGTCTTTTTTTTTTTTGGTAATCTCTGCTCACTTCATTTTCTGGATCTACGTTGTTTGTGAGTAATAATGCCGCAGAGTTGGAGCTCCTCCTGCTTGCTACCTGGAATCAGACAATATGCAAATAAAAAACGGTGGCAGAACAACCGGATGTAAGTCCCCACTGTTCCGTGGTTAAGACCTCCAAGAATATAGCCAGACCCTGGCTAGACTCGGAGAAAGAGCCCCTAATAATGCAGTTTTCCAGGTGACACTGTGACAGCCCTTGCCCCCTCCCTTCCAGTGCACTGTCTAATTATATTTTTGGTATTGATTGGATCTTCACGGCTTGCCGACCAAGTTCCACAGAGACATCCCAACGGTCCCAACCTCATATGGTCCTGGAATGTCTTGGAACGAGGGAAAGGTATGATGAAACTTGTCATTCCGGCTCTGGTGCTACTGCTCCTGGAGATTCCGGAGTCCCTTAGTTCGCACATAAAGGGATTAGGGGTCTGGCATGTCTTACTTGGATGTAGTATTTTCCCAAAATATTAGCCCACTGATTGGACAAAGTGATGCTTGGCTTTTTCTAGCGTGAACCCTCGAGCTAGCTATGCTTCGCAACTAGTGAGCTGGCGTTCTTCTAGCTCCCCATACGAGTGGGCACCGGAGACTTTCGCTTTTTGGACTCTGACATACTCCGTACTGTGCGCATCCTGTCTCGTGATGATTAGTGTTGTTCGTCAGACTAGTGGGAATGTTACACACTTCCAGCAGACAACCACATCTTCAATCTCTGATCAAAGCACCAATTTTAGAGAGTGGTGGATGAAGCCAATCCCAGAATGAGGCATTTCGATATCTCGCCATTCCAGTTCGGGACAGGCGTCTTGGCACTCTGCGCTCCCCGTGATTTCCGCTCTCCCTGACCTCGGATGCCATTTTGGCTTGTTGATATGCGCCAGGTTGGCAACTTTTTGACCCAAAGAAGTCAATTCATTGCGATCGTTGCCATTGCCGTCCAATTCAGACGGGAGATAGCCTGCAGAGCGCTCCTGCCACCCTACCTCCAGCACCTTGCCACCTGAAACTTCTACCTCCGCTTTTCTTCCCCACTCCTCATCAATTGAAGGACAATTGTCCGGTGCCAGCAAGCCTCGATAACAATCCACGTTAGTCACCTCAGTCCTTGCTTTGCACATTCCCCGCCACCTGCCCCTCCTCTCGCGTTGTAACTTACTCACCTATTTTTATCCTGGTTAGATCTACCAGACTCTGTAGTATCTAAATGGATGGAGCCAGCGAATGAGGAGACAGGTTTGGTGCCTCGGCCGGGGCCGCTCCCAGCTTCCCCTCCCCAGCCCTCAATGATATCCTCCGATCCTAACACCGCGCCAGCCGCCTCGCCTTCGACTGAGACTAGCCTGGGCGATGGCTCACACCTGCATCAGGCCCTATCGCCCAAAGGACGCCCGGTCTCAGGTGTAGTTCCTCCGTACTGGAGTCACCACCGAAATGCATCTCGTGCATCCCAAATATCTGTCGAAGGGGGGCCGGCAATAACCCTCGAAGACCATACAGACGACCCCGAGTCTGAAACTAGCCGGGGGTTATGGGCTAAAAGCGTTACGATCGATGATCATGTCGTTGTTCAAGGGAAGACTGGTGTAGGGGCGTATGTGGTATGGAACTGCAAGATACGAACGTTGGAGGTGCGATTACTGTCTTGATTTGGCTGCCATTATATAATGAGCTAATCGTGATATAGGGTGGTAGTATTACTGTTCGCATGAGGTATGGATGGTGTCGGCGCTTTTATATTCCAGCGAGGGAGACTCATGCTCACTGCCTATAGATACTCTGAATTCGATGACCTGCGACAGAAGTTGGTGTCGGCTTTTCCGTATGCGAAGAACGCTCTACCCTCACTTCCCCCGAAAAGTGTTCTCTGTAAGTCCAGCGGATCTCATGCCCTATGACTTTACTGATCCTCGGTTAGTCAAGTTCCGCCCTTCTTTCCTCGAGTCCCGAAGAGCAGGGCTTGAGTATTTTCTCAAGTAAGTGTGCGGTCTGATCTGCCATGAAGCTAGGATTGTTAACATTGTGCCCCAAGCTGCGTTCTATTAAACCCTGAGTTCTCCAGCTCCCCAATTGTCAAGGATTTCCTATTCGGGAGAATGTGTTAGCATTCTTAATTAACAACAGTGCATGCGTCTTCTACATTCTACAGCAAAGAAATAATCATGTCCATATCGGGCCTTTCGCTCGGCTGGCGAATTCGCTAAGTATGGGGTAGACTCGCCCCTTACCATTAATAATGACCTTACTTGAATGAGTAATGTATATTGAGATACCAGTACATCTTGCGAGTTGAGAGCTATCTGCAGATTCCGCAAGACAGCCCCCGCATAATTATTTCCCCTCACATGTCAACATTCATATTTTAAAAGTCTCACCATGATAATTTCAAAAACCCCTTGATACGCATTCACTGCATATGCTGGTCCCCCTGGATCTCCCACAAAGTTGGCGGTATAAACTCTTGCCATACATAGCTTACTCTCCTCAAGGACCCCGGGGGAGTTGCGGTTGCCCGGCAAACTAAACTTTTGTTCCAACAAGGTACAGCAGGTAACCTCCTTAGACAAAGTTATGATCCCTTGCGTAGGTGGCTGGACACCTAAACCTTTTTTACTTTTGACGGTAGAGATCCCGAGAAGCTTTCAGCGGGGCCGGGTAACTTGGAACCCTCCAACCTTGAACCTTGGCTAAAAGAAGAAAAGGGACAACAACAGACAAATTTGAAGTGTGATTGTGATTGAATACAAAAACGATATTTTCATTTCTATCGATATTATTATTAAACGATTTATCTATCTATCTTCTATCTTGGGTGGGGTGAGTAGGCGAGCACCGGCATGACTCCCAAAACAGATAGAACTCGTCGTCCACTCTCATGCTCGAATGTGTGCATGTGTGTGTGTGTGTGTGTGTGTGTGGGCCATCGATGACCAAACTGATGTCGTAAGTTTCATCAGCCTCTATGTGCTGCTGGCATATCCAAGAGGACGTTAACAGATTGTATACAGGGGGCAAAAAAAGAGATAACAAAAAGTATGCATATATAATAACATGGGGGAGTGAAGTGGCTTCTTTACGGGGTTGCTGTTTTTGCTGCGAGATAGACAAAAGGTGGCCGCAGGAAACCCTCTCTTGCTAACCAACCTTTCTGTCAAACTTTGAAACTTTCAAAACTGGGAATTTCGTATCAGTGACTCTTCAAGCCTCCCTTGTTAGGGTCGAAGCTAACATTGGCATCGGGGGTTTCCACTCCTAAGGTGCGATAGGCATTTTCTCTCTCGATTGACCGGTCCTTTCGAATAGTCAAGCAGTTGATACCCAGGAAACTTGTAATGCGGTTGATTACAAGGACTGCCCAGTACATGTACGCGACGAGGGCGAACAAGAAGTAGGCCCGGAGGTAAAATACCTCAAAAGATGCGCTGATTGCAGGAAGACCTAGAAAGGGGAAGTTGACAAGTATGGCCCCGCCGACAAGTGGTGTTTGCAGCACTGTCCAGTGAGGAAATGGTTGTCTAAGGAGATGAGCCAGGATGATTTTGGTAGTCATTCGTCCGAACACAAAGGAAATAGTCCAGCAGTACAGCACCAATCGGTTGTCCGACAGCAGGGACGAATAGGGAGAAAAGAGCCACACCATGTTGCATCCAGTGAAGATAATCATCGGCACCCACTCCTTGAAAATAGGAGAAATGGGAAGGTTCTGCTTTCTGCGAGCAGAAATGACGTTGTAAAGGCAGCCGGGAAGATGTCCGAGAAAGAAAGACCCGACGAGGATAGGAACCCAAAGGTCTTTGACGGAATTGTTGCCGAAGATTTGCGGGAAGTTCAAGAATTCGACGATTGGGCGGGACCATATCTGGGGACCATAAATCCCAGAGGCGATCATGATCGCTATAGCAATCAGAAGACCTTCGGTTGGACCGTTAAAGTATCCGAGATAAAGAGTATGGGTGTGATAGGTCTCCCACGTGGAGAAGTACATGGCGAGACAAGGCACAAGAGCTGTATAGGCTCCGAGTTCAGAGGAGCCAAAGCCCATAGCCGCAGTTTCGAGCAAACTGGCAAGCGTGCAGTTTAGGGAATCGATTCCATGACTATAAAAAGTTAGCGCCATTACATCCATTGTGGATGGTGCACTAACTCGAAAAGCTCTCCTAAGCCACTGGAAGTGCCTGTCCTTCGCGCCTGCTTGCCGTCAACATTGTCTAGCGTCGAGTACCTTTATATTTGTCAGAGGCGGTCCGCAAAGAATCAAACGTGTTGCCATCTTACATCCACATGCCCAAAGCAAAGCTGTAATATAGCCACGAGGGACCCTAGCATCAATAGACCTTTGTTAGCCCCTAATATACATCTTAGCTCAAACTGAGATGATCTTACCGGTCCCACGAGATCTGGCATGTACATCTCGATGAGCATCACATTACCCACGATAAACAGGAACCCCAAGAGGGTAACCATATTCGGGGCGATCCAAAGCGGCAACAGCTCGACGAAGGCATTCCACTAATCACCCGATTTGTGTTAGAAGCCCAAATGTAAACGAGAGCAGGGCTACTGTACATAATGCTTCAAGATATAATTCGAGATGGGAGATTTGTCGACGCTCTGGTACTTGTAGCTCTTAAGGGGGAGTAGAATGTCATCGGAGAGGGAGTCTTGGTTCTCTATGGAATGCGCCAGGCGGATTAGCTCTCTGCACGGCTAAATAGAAATTTACAATCTCCTGGTACTGACCCTGGAGCCTCCGGAATATTCTAACCATCTTGACGGACACAGAGTAATGTGATAAATCTCAAAGAACAGTAAAAAAAAAAATGAAATTGTCCAATTCAGTTCATAACGCGCACGCGGTACGACGTGGAAGACGGAACAAGTAAACCTAGGACCGGCCGATGGCTTTTTGACAGGCCAGAACTTTCCTCGAGGACTTGCTGCAGAGGAATGGATCCAGACAGGTGAAGAGCGAGGTTCAGATTCAGACAAGGTGAATGTCAAAGATCCACTTTTTGGTCCGTGGAAAAAGCAGCAGAAAAAAGGGGAGAGATTGAGAATAATCAGGACAAGAATCGATCTTTGGTTCGGGCGGCACATCACGTGCTGGCGGTCTGGTCAGAGCTCCGCAGCTTCTCGGATCCAACGAGACGCGCCGTGAGAAGACAGTCATCGAAACATGAGCAGATAACTAGTCGTTCCTTTGGGGATAGATAGGATCACAGGTACTCGTGATTTCACACGGCCGCTCTCCAGACCTTCTGTTGTTCTTCATTTGTTGGCGTTCTTGTTATGAATTATCTCTCACTTTAAATTCCTGACTACTCAGCTACGTTGGCTGTTCCTCTCCCGCCGCTTTTTCTTGAACCTCGCCCCGTCCTTTCGTGCGCATCGACGATAATCGCATACGTTCGACCTTGCCTGGAAGCGGTATCGGATCTTGAGACGACGGCTCCTTGAGCTTGGACATGACGGTGGATGGTCAGCTTGGCGCTTGCGGCGCAGTGCACGACTGAGTATCTTGCGCGATGCCAGGCGTCGTCGACACTCTCGCCGGCCCAGGCTGGCCAGGCCTGGGCTATACGGTCGCACACCAGAAGGTGGAACTAGAGATCGATTTCACAAGCAGGAGTCTCAAGGGCAGGACTGAGATCATCATTCATCCGCATTACAAGGACCTGCGCACCATCCGGTTGAATTTCAGACAGGGTGAGTTGAAGCGCTTGAATGTCGGCGGCAAGGTCCCAACGGTAAAATATGTCGACCCTTACGAGTCGCTTCAACTATACGGCCCTCATTATCACCAGCGTTTGTCATCTAAAATTGAGGGATTGTTTAAAAATTCTCTGGAACCCGATCTGCTCCTGACGGTCCCGAAAAGCGTTCGCATCGATGAACTTGATCCTTTCTCGATTGAGGCTCAAGATCAAATGACCCTACGTGCGACTGGAACTGCCGATGAATCCGAGGGGCCTTTGAGTTCCAAAGCTCCCGAGACATCTCTTCCACGCTTTACGGCCCTTACAGTGAATATCGAGTTTGTTATCGACAACATACGGGACGGGCTACAATTTGTTGGAGTGGAAAGTGGCGACAGGCGCTATCCACACGCTTACACGACGAATTCGTTGGGATACGGGGCTGGTTGTCCTCTCTTTCCGTGCGTAGATGACCCATCATCGCGTTGCACTTGGGAAATCTCGGTTAAATGCCCCTGTTCTTTGGGGGATATATTTGAACGCAAATCCCGGGAATCTAGTTCAACTGCGAATCGTTCAAAGTCGACGTTAAACCATGACCGCCATTTTGCTCCTGATGACGAGGCCCTCGATTTGTCTGTAGTTTGCTCCGGGGATCTGACCGATGAGATCATTGACCCTAGGGACCCCGGCAAGAAAACGGTTTCATTCGCGTGTTATTCTCCTCTCTCTGCACGACAAATTGGGTTTGCGGTGGGCCCTTTCGAATATGTTAACCTTGCGGACTTCCGTGAAAGTGACCAAGATGAGCAATTAGGTCAAAACGCCATTCCTTTACATGCATTCTGTCTTCCGGGCCGAGGCGATGAGGTTCGAAATACTTGCTTCCCGATGGCAAAGGCGATCGATTTTTTCTCATTGACGTACGGATCTTACCCATTTGCTAGCTACAAGATGTGTTTCGTGGATGATGCACCGGAGGAAACCATGCCTACAGCCTGCCTCTCAATCTGTAGCAATCACTTGCTCTTCCCGGAAGAAATAATCGACCCGATGTACGATTCTACGCGTACCGTTACCCATGCTCTTGCCTCTCAGTGGATAGGTGTCAATATTGTTCCAAAGGAACCAGTAGATACCTGGGTAACAACTGGTGTCTCTTGGTATATCACTGACACATTCATGAGGAAACTATGTGGCAATAATGAGTATCGATTTCGGCTCAAGCAAATGTCAGATAGAGTCTGCGACCTGGACTATGAACGCCCCTCGATTCATGAGATGGGAAATATTCTTAACATAGACCCGTCGGAAATCGACTTCATAGCACTGAAAGCGCCTCTTGTTCTCTTTATCCTAGACCGGCGCCTTACTAAAGCTAGTGGAAAGGCCACAATGTCTAGGATTATCTCTCGACTTTTCTTGAATGCCCGTATGGGGGAAATCTCCAACGGAGCAGTTAACACCTCCCTCTTCCAGAAGACCTGTGAGAGACTAGGACACGCAAAACTGGATGCCTTTTTTAGCCAGTGGGTTTTTGGCGCTGGATGCCCCCGGTTCCAAGCCACCCAAAGATTTAATAAGAAAAAGTTGGTGGTTGAAATGATGATCAAACAGGTTCAGTCAGATCAGCCGAGCACTCGTGACCTGGAGAAAGGTTCTTTCATGCGCGACGTGAAGGAGGAGATACGAGGCGTTTATGCAGGCGCTATTCAGCCTATCTTTACTGGTTCAATGACGATTAGGATCCACGAAGCCGATGGTACACCTTATGAGCACATTGTCGAGATCAAAGAAGGCGTTACGAAATTTGACATTCCATATAACACGAAGTACAAACGGCTGAAACGGAATAAGAGACAAAAAGAGCGTGCAGCAGCAGCTACAGGCGGTGACGGCAACGCAGAAGTCCAGGAGGACGTCCTGTTATACTGTCTAGGTGATGTCCTGCAGACCGAGGAAGAGGTACAAGAATGGAAACTTGCGGATTGGACCAAAGAGGACGAGGAAAGAATGGGCCAGGAATCTTACGAGTGGATTCGCATGGACGCTGATTTCGAGTGGATATGCAAGTTATCCCTGGTGATGCCTGGCTACATGTACCTTTCACAACTCCAGCAAGACCGTGATGTCGTAGCCCAGTTAGAGGTTTGTTGTGCATCTACCTATGCGACTCACTAAACCCTTTGCTTACCTGTTTGATAGTCTCTGCAATATATGGCTGCTCAAAGGGAGCACCCTTTGATCTCAACGATCTTTGTGCGGACTCTCATGGATCGACGATATTTCTATGGCATCCGAGCGGCTGCCGCACAAGCTTTGGTGAAACATGCAAAGGAAGAAGTCAACTGGCTGGGGTTGTTTCATCTTGAAAGAGCCTTCCAAGAGCTGTTTTGTTTGCCAGGCTCTCCCATGACTCGATCGAATGACTTCTCAGACAGGGCAGCGTATGTTCTGCAATTAGTTATCCCAGAGGCCATCTCCCAAGTGCGCGACAACGGCGGCAAGACCCCAATGAGGGTAAAGCGATTTCTCTATGACAAGCTCAAATTCAACGATAACTCCAATAACGAGGTAAAGCCTCTTAACCACTGTGTTGCATACGCCTGCTAACGTTGTTATCAGTATTCGGATAACTTTTATGTCGCAACATTAATGAAGTCCTTGTGCCACGCAATGCTAGGAAGAGTTGAGTCTCGTTCGGACGACCTCGATGACTTTGACATGGACCGAGTTCTTGAGACTCAGGCTGAAGAACAGCTTGAGAAAAACGCGGTGGCTGAAATCGACCGATACAGGAGAATGGACGAATGGTCTAGCTCATTTCAGAACGTGTACTCTCGCGCGGCTTTGCATTGCCAGATGCAGCTCATGCAAGCTAAGATTTCCGAGGTTGATGTGATGCAGTTCCTGCCCTATACCAGAGCAGGCACCTACGACCTTCTACGTTTAGATGCTTTCGAGTGTTTAGTTGAGCTTGATGTATTCAAAGGCCCCGAGCTGCTAAAGTGGTTCATCTTTACCATGTCGAATGACTCCTCTCAGTGGCTACGTCGGCAGCTTCACAACCTCTTCGGAAAGGCGCTCGCCCCTGTGGCATTCGGTCGCGCCTCAACCCATGAACTGTCTACCGAGGCCGATGGCTTGATTATTGAGCAAGAATCCACCACGGAGGTTCGTCAAGCGGATCTCGCCCGAAGGCAAACCGTCACCGGAGCCTTGGCTGCTCTAAAAACCGAAATCTCTGGGGATCAAGCGTTCAAGGAGTCTCTTTGGGCAGCATGTAATTCTCCTTGTATCGGAATCCTAGAGCTCTCTGAATTCACAGATCTATGCAAAGTATTATACGACCCGATAACTTCCCGGCCGGTATCACTGAAATATCCACGATACTGGGGAGTCAAACATCTTGGAAAGGTATGCAATGCAAACCAAACCCCTGTTCCCGTCGATACTCTATCTAACACCTCTTTTCTACATTCTAGGGTCGCTTGCATTTCTTTCGCACTCCTAAAATCCGCACATCACTTACTCCATCTAAAGATTCATCTACATCATCAGCAAAGCGGAAACGAGAAGACCAGGGAATCCCAACCCCTGGTCCTCGCATCACATTCAAACAATCAAAACTGGCTCCGAGTACCCCATTAAATACTCAGCACCTAAGCCTACCGCAAGTCCCCAAATTGCATATCCCGAAGTTCTCTGCTTCTACATCACAACAACCACCCAAGACCACGACTGCACCATCTACACCAGCGACTCCTGGAGGTGGTGGGCTCAAGCTCAAATTGAAGATTGGTCAAAAGCCTAAACCTTAAAAATCTTTTAATGAATTCGTGTACCTTACCACTTTTTTTTCTTCTTCTTCTTTTCTACTTTGAACCCTTTTTTGGGCGGGTGTCGGTGCTTGGATCAAATGAGATATGAGATTCATGGCGTGGGGTTGGAATGGATCTTGATTTTTACATCTTCACTAGCTTCATATCCTTCTCTGAGAATTGCAATGTTGCGAGGGTGTTGGTTCGGTTTCGTTCGCGTGGTTTGGCGTTTAATGCCTCTCTGTATCCACCTTGATGCTTTCTCAACTGTAGACTGACTGCTCTCCAAGGCCCATGACTAATTTCCCAGATACCGTAAATGTAAATTCCAGATTGGTAAATGAACTGAAATTTTCTTTGCCCCTCCTCTCATAAGCCAAACTGTGACTAAATCGAAAATGCCTTGGGTTTGTTCCATGCGAGCAGCCAACCCGTGAACTCCTTATTGATTTAAATTAAACCCGCACGCAGTAAAGGTATAAAACGACGTCCTGTTCCTCCACATTTCCATTTTTTTTTTTTTTCTATTTTTCGCTAATTCGTTCCAGAGCCTATAATTAAAGCTGCATTAGCAAGACTCTGGGGAATGTGAGCGTGCCGTCGGGGCTGAACGAACCTCAAGCATAACAACCGAGTTACCACGAATGACCTGGAATACCTATCAGTGTCTTGTGCACATGCTTTAGATTATTCCAGCTCCGTCCACTTACGACCATGCCGATAGCGACCTTCTCTCCACCTTGCTTCTCCTCGAAAGCCTCGTCCAGAACGATGTTCATGAACACCTATAGCACTTCATTAGATGCATTGTTTGCGATACTCGGCAGCCGGGGCAAATAGTTTAATTTGGTGAGGAACAAATAAAACCAGTCGATTTTGGGCATTTCACGTACATCATAGCCTCGTAGGATGCCAATGACTTTGCGGTTGCCGTTCAGTTGGCAGAATACCCGCTTCTCCATATACTGGAAAAAGGCCGTTATTAGCTCTTGCAACTATAATTTCAACAGAGGCTTCCACGGCGAAACATACCTTTTTCAATTCGGGTTGAGCTTGAGGCATTTTGGCGTATTGATCTTGGTTCAATGTCCTGCCTTAATGACGAGAATGGTCGCGCTGCGGACTTTTGATATGCGGCGGGAGAAGCTGGCTCGGAGAAACGATGTTCCCGCAAGCTCAAAAAGCAGGGTGACGCAGTTAACATCTACGTCCTTTACTGTAGCTACAAGCTCAGGGGCTCTTTTTTTTTTTTTAGAGAGGGATCGAATAGAGATCCTAATTATCTGTGAATTATGAGCTCCGGTTTTATAAACCGAAGAAAGCCCCGCAAAGTGGGCGGGGATGACGAGAATAATGAAGGGGAAGAAGGTAAGAGTGTCTCTAGGCGCAAAGCCATCGCAGTCGATTTATGAAGAGTAGTGGACTGAACTGACCAATTTATAGACCTAGGCCCAGTTGTTAAACGACCTACTGGATCGAAAATGAAGCAGAAGTCTAAAATGCGTATCTCTTTCGGTGCGGGAGAGACTTCAATGACGGATCAAGGCGAAAACGAGAGCGAGGTAGTAATACCAAAGAAACACGGGCTAGGGAGACGCGTTCTGGAGAAGAATACATTCCAACGATCAGTTACTCCATCAGGATTAAGCAACCAGCTTCCAGTCAGGGTTGGCCCTGAACAGGATCGACCAAGTTATAGCCAGGATTATCTCAAAGAGCTCCGAGATTCGACCCCCTCCACCCCGAAGCCTGCAAGTGAAGATGAGAAGAAGAATGAGATTGATGTTGCTGCAAAATTTGGCGAAGTTATGAAGGTTTCGACACCATCTGCGATTCCCACCGAAGCTGAAATTAGAGAGAAGAAAGCTCGACGAGCAAGGCTAGCAAAGGAACAGAATTATAGTATTACGGAGAAGGATTATATTTCTCTGGAGGACAATGCAGATGATGAGGAATGGGACCTCAGGGAGAAAGAAAACCTCAAGGACACAAGGCTAGTGCGTGATGATGAAGACTTCGCTGAAGGGTTTGACGAATATGTCGAGGATGGACGCATATCTCTAGGGAAAAAGGCTGAACGCGAGCAGAAGAAGAAGAAACGCGAGGAGATGCGAGAACTGATTGATGATGCCGAAGCGCTTTCAGATGAGGATGACTCGGACCTGGAGGAAAAGGCAGCCTATGAAGCAACCCAGGCCAGAGCTGCGATGGGAAAAGGTGGAAAAGATGTCATAGATCGACCAAAGACACCGCCAAAGATAACGTCTCTCCCACGTCTTTCAACGTGTCTCGAACGGCTGCGCACAACCCTGATTGTCATGGAGAAGTCGAAGCTACAGATGATTAATCGAATGGAAGAGTTGAGGAAAGAGAAGGCTGATATAGCTGTTCGAGAGGTCGAAATTCAGGCCTTGATCAAAGAAACCGGAGATAATTATGAAAAGCTCAAGCAGGAGGCAGGCATCACTCCAGGCTCCGAGGTTGATACCCCAGGAACTACTGATATAGAAAGTTCACGAGGGTTAGAAAATTTCGGGACATCTCTGGCAGTATCAACAGCGAATTCGGAGAATGAAACTTGAACTTTCACTCAGCCTACCTTTCATCAAAAGTAACCCCGATACCATATGCGCATGCGCCTGCCCTCCAGATCTACAACTGGAGAAAGTGCAATTCGGTTGTACGTTCTTGCCATCTAATGAACCGGACGAGCCGACCGATTTCAGACATTGCTTTCTCACGGAGACTGAACCTTGCAACGTTCATGAATGTTTCCAGAGCTAGCGCTTTACTTACGATATCCATAATTGGGCCGTTGATTTGAAAATCTCTATACAATGAAACGGACGCCTTTCTTCTCATTGACTCGTCCGCCAATATCCCAGCATGAGCGTGTTGGTGAATCTGCTCAGTAAGCATCTTGGCTGGAGACCCTCTTTACGATGTATATTAGTTAATTATAACACTGAAAGGCGACGTAAGGGCTTGCCTTTGATCGAGACTCCCATTGACGAGAAAAGCGGAGGCTCTCCGCACCTCTATCGTCACTCAGATGCAACTCCAATTGAATTGTTTTTCGATCTTTTCTTCGTCGCAAACCTCTCTACTTTTACCGCTACGCATGAAATCAATAATGTAGAAGGTGTGCTGGACTGCCAATCATGAATCTATAAGTCCTAACCATATATAACAGCCTTGGGGGCCTACATTGGATTTCTTGGAGTGATTTGGTTTACCTGGCTCCAGGTGACAATGTTCGATATCCGATTTGCACGAGATTCCATCTTTGAGCGGATCTGTAAGGCCATACAATTAGCTGCAATGGTAGGATTTGCTTCTGCAGGTACAAGGTTCACCACACATGTCCGGGAAGACAATGTGTGGGCTTTTCAATCGTTGAGCCTTTTCCTTGGTGGGAGCCGAATTCTCCTTGCTGTCCAGTATTCTGTCGGTATATATTTCCTACGGAATGAGATGAGAAAGGCAGCCAAATCATTATGCATCATAGTCGCCACTTTATTCGTTTCGAGTTTGGTACATATTGGGGTGAGATATCCCCCCAGCCCAACAACTTATTAATGGCATGAGCCCTGTCAGCTGACAATCTTTTAGATGTTTTTTGCCTTTGGGAAACAAAATGGAGCACGTTCCAATGTGTGGACTGTTTGGTTTGTATTGTTCGGGTTCGAGATGTGGATAGTGATGGGACTATCCTGCATCACCCCGGATATTGGCTTTCAGGACACCCATTTGAATGTCAGGATGGGCCTACTTACGTTGATCATCATTGGAGAAGGCGTTATATCTGTCACCAGGATTGTCAATAAAACGGTGCGCCCTGGTGGCTGGACCAAATGGTCGTTTGTGCATATTTTAGGGGTTACCACCAATGTGGTATGGCTCTTGACGTTCCCGGCTGTACAGTGCATTCTACTGGGATGAACTAATTCTTGTGCATTAGTATTTCATATGGCAAGAGTATTTCGATCTCACGCCTAGAAGAGCTTTTGGTAAATACGCACAGCAAATATGGGCACAGCTGCACTTCCCGTTCCATGTGGCTCTTGTCCTCCTCCTTGAAGGGTCGCAGATTCTGGCCTTGACCCTAGATATCACCTTAAAACTCCAATACCTAGTGGAAACTATCTTGTTTGCATGCGAAGAGCCACGACCCAAACCGGAAACGGCCATAAAATTACTTCGGCAAACCATTGAAGATATGGAAATTGACTACGGCCGCGGTGCAATCCGGGAGCAAAAAGCAATAGAAGAAATCTTACACGACCTTTCGAACCGTCCACTGTGTCCTCTCAACGGAACAATAGGGTTTTCTATCACGAAGAATCTATTCAATGACCTAGTAGGGAACGTAACCGCTGCTTTATTTTCCAGTATGCGGATCGTGCCTCAACATAGCACGGACACTAGCCAAATGGACTCCTCTCAGTTATTGAGGATGTACGTTGAGCTCCTGGGCTTTGTTTACGTCTACTTTTTTATAGTGGCATCGTTCGCGATGTTTCTTTTTGCCGCCTTCGTGTTCCTTGCTCAGCGCCATGATAGGAAAATCGCCACGGGCATTGCGATTACGGTTCGCATTACATTAGGTATCTTTCTTGCCAGCTTGGTTTCCTTTTCCCGGCACTTTGCGCTTGCATATTCCTTCATGAAGTCGCCCACCATCTTGTACGCATTTACTTTCGTACTATTGACAGGTGACTTGCCTCCATCCATAACTTGTTCATGATGTTCCTTTTCTCATTAGGATGCAGTACTCTTGGTTGACCGACTTTTGGATTATTACGCTGGCCAAAAGAGCAGCGAGAATCCGACGGACGCAGGAAAGCGCTCTCGACCTGATGCTTCTTGATGCCAGAGCATCCCCTTTCGACGGGTAGTTAGGTGGAGCAGAAAGTTTTAGCCCGGTATTTGGTAACTTTTGTACAGTCTCATCGCATTCCCGAATATCTGCGCTTTTCTCCGACTGGCGTCGAGCTCTGTTTTTCAAGTCTATTGATCCTTCTCGATAGATCAAATCCTTTCTTAACCAATAACCTTGAGTAATCGATAGAAATCCATGGGGAAACCCCAGCGAACGCTCACGCTTAAGAGAGATAGGTCTAAATTTGCGATGGAACTAAAGTCGGGAATGCAAACCTGCGCCCTCAACGACGGTCTTGCGCAGGAAGTGATCATCCCAGCGGAGCACAACAATACCGCCTAAGCGAGGTTGACATGACCCTACTTGTAGAGAGACCTACATATGCAGTGATATAAATAGACCACGGAACAGGTGTTTCCAATCGTTTGGATCCGGAGGGACGAACGTACATTTCCCCATTTTCCCCATTGGCCAGTGCTGTACATAAAAAAAAAAAAAAAAAAAAATTCAATGACAAACTGGCTGTTGGGTCCAAACGGGAACCAACATAGGGACGAGACTAACTAGTGGGATTAAGCGTTATACTGTAGAAAGTACAGTCAATCATACAGCACCGCACCCCTTATGAATTCTGGTACTTTAACAATTGACACAGGAAACCGAACTGGTAAAGATTTCGCAAGAGGGAAGGGGGAAACATCCCTACACCCGATCACACTCGAGACTCGGGAGGTAGTATACTTTATATATATGTATTATGTATATATATATATGTATCTTAGGTAGCGGTAGGCCGGTTAGCCGTAACCCTAATTCTGGGACGTCTCTCGAGCATTTCCTCCAATATCCACCGTTCGTTACGCTAAAGGGAAAAAAAAAAAAAAAAAAAAGACCAATTGAAATAACTTTTAAAAGTAACGGAGAAAAGGAAGTACTTGACTCGGATAGAATGGACGACGCTGTGAAACATCAGGTATCAAGTTGGATCAGCCGTCTACAGAGTACAGAGAGTACTTTATGTATTCTACGTACCTCCTCTACCACCTAGGGCATATATATATATATATATATACACGTAGGGGGTACTTTTATTCCCCCCCCCCAACCCCAAGTAAAAATACATAGCAGAACAAGATATGCAACGAGCCACGGAGAGAAAAAAAAAAGGAAGACGATGCGGGGTTTTGCATATCTTCCTTTCTTTTCTCCCCTTTCTTGCTTTTTTGTTATATTCGCGGAAGTTAAAAGGTATCTTTGGAGCCGGCGCTCCTCTCTGTAAAAAGACAGACAGACAGACAGACAGACAGACATAGACTGCGCACGCGTGTTTGAAAGGCAAAATAGGAAGGAAGCTGTATCTATCCACAGGGTCTTGGGATCCGCGGGAGCTTTTTTTTTTTTTTTTTTTTTTTTTTTTTTTTTTTTTTCATGCAGGAGCAAGCGGGCCAAGGAAGAAAAAAAAAAAGAGAGAGAGAGAGAGAGAGAGAGAATACTCCGTGCAGAGAGGGTGGAGAGGTAGCTGCTGCTGCATACATCCATGAATGAATGAATGAATGACCCTGGACATTTAGATTAGGTAGGCTGTATGTCTGGCGTTGGCTGTACATATAAGTAGAGTATTAAGCTTATGTATAATTGGAGCCCTACGTCGACAGCAAACCGGGTTCTCGGAAAAGAGACCGGAGGGATAATTTGCGTGCTGGGACAAAAGAGGTTGAGCTCAAAGAGGTCGATCTCATCTGTCTGGTTTAGTAGGGTTAAATCTCTTACAGTACTCTATCGGTAAGGGGGATATATATCTGGGTAGGTCTTTTTTGAGAAGGGGGGAAAACAAGATGTAGGAACACAACTGCAGCTATCTATCTATGTATGTAAAAGGAACATAGAGGGGCTTTCGCTGCCACTGCTTCCTTATGCAATAGGGCTAAACTGCCAGGAAAGGCTGTGAAACCTACAGAAGCAAAACAGTCTACCATCTGTTGCTAGTCTGGAGAAGTCTTGAACATAAAGCTTTCAAGAAAGGATGAATGAGAAGACAAAGGGCAGGCAGGGACTTGAGGATACTGTTTAGAGACTGCACATGAATGAGAGGGAAGGAAAGGCAGGAGAATCATACCCATCCATCCATCCATCCATCAATCCCTCCGCAGATCCAGCAGATCCAGCGGATTTCTCCGATCAACCCTTCCCGTCTCCTGAAGCTAAGAAGAAAAACCAATAAAGACATGATCTTCCGGGTTGGTACTTGGCAACGGTACTCAGTGGTCTCTCTAGACCTCTCCCCCCCCCCCAAAAAAAGGCCGTGGGTGGTGGTGTGGATGCACGAGACAAAAAGCCCTATGTAGCCACCCGAGGCCTGGGCACAGCCCCGTAAAACACACACGAAATTCTAGTGCTCGGTGCTGTATCAGGTCCACTCTATTGATCTTCCCGGCACCGGATCCTGAGTAGAGGCTTCCTCTGCTCTTATTTTCGGCCGCTTGGCTTCCGTGGGCTTTTCTCACGCCACTGGATCAGCCACTGAGGGACTGCATACATAGATTCCAGATGACGAATATTGAGACTGGTCATTGATTGTCATGGGCTGATCAAGGAGAATTAGTACCGCTAGGGTTCTCTCCTTTAGGCAGTATCCAGGTGCCGGATCGCACATCAGTGGGCAAAAGAGACTCCAACGAGTGATCAGGGACCTGGCTCGGGAGAGCTAGCTGAATGGCTTTATTCCAAATCTGCGTTCACGCTTACGCTAGTACACAGGGTTGGAAGGTGTTAGGGAACAAGTTGAAAGAAGTTAGCGACTCCAGGGAGGTGGAATCTAAAACCTATTAAAGGAGGACCGTATAAGAATTGGATCCCTAAGGAGAGTCATGAGAAAAGAGCACCACGATTCTGTCTTTCCATTTCAGTCTCCCCCAGCTACTTCATTTATTCCTTACTTTCTGCCTCTCTTCAGATTGTTGGACTTGCTCTTCTTTGTTTTAGTTTTCAGGCATTCTCTGTGAAGTAAACCACCTCAAGACCAAGCATTCATTCCTTTCCGGAACGGAGTTGTCTTACTTCTCGAATCATCTCTTTGAATACAGCAGGGAACTGAGACATAGTGTCGATTGAAGCTGACCTCTGAGCACGACCAAAGGAGAGACAGCGGCCTAACTTGGTGCACGGCATCTGAGGGGATATTAGCGGATTAAAGTAGACTGGGCGTCTCGTTTCCGAGCCTCTATCCGGTCCCGGGGATCGGTCATCATCCACCTACTGCTACACGCCTCTCTCACTGATATCAGAAACTTTCCGAAACTCCTGCGCCTTAGCACTCTGAAGTAGCCCCCTCGACAAACCCTCCCCCCTCCCCCAAGCCATGTGAGTGAACAGCCTGTTGACTAAAGTGAAGCCCCACAATTTGGATATTGTAGCCCTGACCAGAACCCTTAGTCCTGCAGCTGTCCCAGGTAAAACCCCGTAACGTGCATACCCTGGCATCAAGATCTGATGCACATGCTTTATCCAACATCTATACGACCATAAGTGACAAGAGCGGTGAAGTCAGTAGTAGTGGTGACTACTTACCTTGTTTTAAAGCAATGTTCCACGTCTATGTTGGGCCGGATTACCCAAGGAAAGGGTTTGTCACTAAGAGTAACACGGTCTTCCCATTCACTCCCCATTCCAGAACCGCCAGCACCGCCTTGTCTTTTGATAACTTCGGAAACATCCTGGGAGCTTTCTCTTTCCACCCACACAACAAGCCATTCTCAGCCTCAGACGAGATGACTGCTACTGCCAGCACCAAATTCTTTGACATGGAAAGTCATGTGAGGGCTCATGGGCAGTTCTCGAATGTTCACAACAAAAGACCAAACGAAATGCAATCGACGACGGAGATGAAGGAAGAGCAGTATGGGCATTGGCCTGTGTCATTTTCCCCATTCAAGTCGGGGAGAGACAGCCCACACAATGAAATTCGGAGTCGATCGGTGTCCCATAGCCCAGACCAACAATCGATTGGATGTTCCAGCACCACAGAAGCTATACTGGAGACCCCTTTCATGGTCCAAGAGGTTGGTGGCTCCGGAGATCCTGCTTCAGTTTTGATCCATCCTATCCCCAGACACTGGTCGTATATCTCAGCCGGGCACCTTGCACCTCTTGCAGACTCCCAGAGTGTGCCAGAGTCTAAATCAGCCTTCAGCCTGGCCACCACCAGCCCGCACGAAGAGCATATGCAAGATGGCAGCAGATCTCTATATCAAGCTAGAGGGTGGGCGAACAGTGACTTGGGCTATCCAGTTATTCTTCAGAACAAGGAATCTCCAGACACAAGCTCAACGGTGACCGAACGTTGCACTTCAATTAACAGCAGCACAGGTACCGATGGGATATCCCATCCTTGGCCAACCCTCGGACATCATCAGATCCATTTTGAGCAACCGCCTGAGGCAGTTCAGTACGATCAAGATGACGATGGCTGGACTGAAACAAAAGCATATCCCAGTTTTGATCAGCAAGCCGACTATTTTAATCAGTCTCCAGCCTCTCACTGCCATATTAACGGCTTACCGTGGCCAGACAATGGAGACCAGACCCCTCTGCAGCCATCAACTGTGTTAGATCCTGGCAGAATACTTGACCCTACCTCGACATTTGAAACCGAACAATCCCACGAGGACCTAGATCTCAGCCAACTGCAGCAAATTTCAAATGAGATTTTCATATATCCAAAGGACTTCCCAGCGGAACATTACCCAAATACGCTTAGTGAAAGCAACGAAGGCACTCTACACCAACTAAGGCAGGCCACTCAATCACCACCTTATGCCAGCGACGACAGAAACGCCTTTCTGATAGAATGCAAGCGGCGCGGCCTATCATACAAGGACATTAAGAGAATTGGAGGGTTCAAAGAGGCCGAGTCAACCCTGCGAGGCAGGTTCCGGACTCTCACGAAGACCAAAGACCAGCGAGTGCGGAGGCCCCAGTGGCAGGAAAAAGATGTAAGTGCTCAACAGGCCCCCAAGGATGCACATTGAATGATTTAGCACGAAGGCTAACGTTTTGTAGATTCAACTTCTTTGCGAAGCTGTCGATGTCTGTGCGGAAACAGGTAGACGGAGCCACTGTGTCTCTCTCTCTCCTTCCAGGGGTGCTATTCAGCCGCCCAAGGTTTCTTGGAAGAAGGTAGCTCAGTACATCTGGGCCCATGGGGGGTCGTACCATTATGGCAATGCCACCTGCAAGAAGAAGTGGTGTGAGGTGCAGAGTAAAAGGACTTGAACACATTGCAAAGATTAATTCAACTCGCACTTTGGCTGTTTTCGTTTGTAGATGGGGTTTCGGGCGTAAACATGGAATAAGTATAGATCTTTTATTACCGACGCATTATTAGTACTGATAATATCACATTGATGAAAATATGCCCACGTTACCTAGATTCTTTGTGGAATGATATGCAGTGGTGTGTCAATTCATCCCGATGCACTCAATGGGCCAGGGCTATTGAAAACTCGAGATTATACCAATTATTCAGGCGAATACCTGGTCCTGGATGGAATCATAAGATGGATGCCATTGACATCGCACACTATGTGCCTTGAGAGGAAAGAGGAGGGAAAGAAGTTCAGTGAATCTTAGATGTTTCCTAAATGCCCCTTGAGGCACACGTGATTACAAAACTAAGTACATTATTAACTCTTGTCTAATGTATGCATGCCCTTTAACGATCCTATATCCCACCGCCTATCTCAGGTGACTGGTTCTGATAAATATCCTCGCAAGGACCTTAGAGCAGTCCGTCCTGGACCAACCCCAAGCTGATGCCATGTTACACGAAACAGTGGAGAAGGAAAGCCTTTCCACCCTCCCTTCGTCTCCAACCTGATCAGCGATCAAGCTTCCACGTTCATCCAAGTGATTCATTCCCCCTATAGTGATAACAAAGAAATCTGTCGTGAATCAGGATGAGGAAATCCAATATCTGCAAGCACATTTGTCAGAGTGTCTGGATTCTGGCGTAGCTCATCCCACTCCGCCTCCGCCTTCACCATGAGCGTCCCAGCAAGTATTGTTCCATTCAGCTCGACAACCCCGGCCTCCGCAACATCCTTCGATGCCGCTGCATCAACCGAAATAAAAGCACGCTGGGTTTTCCTCGGGCAGATCATCATCATGGACTCTGTCATGGCGAGATTATAAGGGATGACTGCGGGCCCTGTAGTCGCTTGGGCTTGGGGTTTGGGAACGCCCGCGGCGGCGGCAGCAGCCCGGTATAAGGAAATGTAGATGTCGTGGAGAACCTCTGCGGATGGGTTCGACGGTAGCGGGAGAGCAAAGTGCGCGAGGGGCAGCTGTGCCAGGCATCGATATTTTGAGTCCGGTGATCCGGGTTGCGACGAGATCGCATCAATTAGCGGTCGCCAAGCGCCTGAGGGGTCGTCTTGGGACATTGCCTCCACTGGGAGAAACTGGAGATGCCTGTGTGGCTGACTCGCACCACTTTCATCGCCAGAATTGAAGAACGCGAACAACCTGCGAGGCGTTGCGGGTCCGTTGGTTTGGGGTTCATCTCTCCATTCCTTCACGCAGGCGTATGCCGCGGCGAGGTCCCTTCTCTCGAGAAGATCGGTCTGCGATTGCCAGGCTTTCGTGGCGAGGATGAAGTGGTTCGGGATAACGGGGAATTTGTTCAAGACGAGGAAATGGGTCGGATTATCCCGGGGGATTTGTGCGATTAAGAGGTCTGGGGATGGGTCTTGGAAAGGGTCGAATCTGGGCTTTGGGGAGTCGTGTGCTTGTTTCGGTGCGGCGGAGGGTTTCTTCGCAAGAGCCGGGCAATACCGAAGCTGGTACTAGAAGAAGAATACCACAGTAAGCAAACATACCGCAAGTAAATAAGAGAGGAAAGTCACAGACAGCTAAGGGGAACGAGAAAACGCCATCTGGCATGTCTCTCAATGCTTACTGGAATCCCTCCCGCGTGGACGATGGAAAGGTGTGTCTGGGAGAAGACAAGGTGACCAGCATCTTTGGCTGCAGTAAAACGCCTCGCTACCAGAGCGGGCAGATGTTCTGTAATTCCCAACTGCATCATGCCAGTCCCTCGATTAGATCGTCGCAATTGGACTTGGGAGACCAACCGTTGTGGTTCAGTCAAGCTCTTGGGAGAAGCGGAATGCGGGGTACCCAGAGGATGATCAACCAAGGAACGCAAATCGACTTCGTACCATAATCGACTTCCGGGTGTATTCGACTTCAACTTCTAGGTGCACCCTGGTTGTCTAATTTGTAAGCCTTTACTAGGAGTTACTGAGTAATCATGTGCAGCATGTCTCCTTCAATCATCTTATTAGAAGAGAATATGAAATTAGCAACATGTATGATAGAAATAAATCTGGTAGAATATATTGATTTCCACGAGGGGGAAAAAAAAAAAAAAAAAAAAAAAAAAAAAAAAACAGAAAATTCATGATCCAAGATACTCTTTTCCATCTTCCCTAAACACCAGAAGGTCCAGCCTTACAGTATAAATACAGAATTCTGAAATCAAGACGAACTGAATGGGACAAGAAATCCAAAGTAATGGTATCAGCATATCCAAACACGCGCTCGCTAGCGTCGTGCCACAGGCAATAAAACGGGTAAAAATAGCCAAAAGGGCATTTAGGCAATTAATTCATCGATATCCACCTCAGCCTCATGTGGGTGAGAGAAGTCCGGAAGCAACATCACCGGCTGCCCCATTAGATGGGTTGAGTGGCCCTCGAGCCAAGGGCCGCGCTCCTCATCAGTTGCATTGTGGATGCTGTGGGCGCGCTTCAGCGTCTCGACGTCCAAGTCCGTAACATAGGCTTCCCGGCCGGTGCCATCGCCACCAGGAAGCTTGAGTCGGACCTCAAATTCGTTGTCAAGCATCATCTCGTCCTTCCACAGTCGGCGCTGGCCATCGAAGACGCAGAGGACACGCTTCTTGGTTTTGATGTTGCTGCTCGGACAACCCCAGGACTGGGGGTATCGATCGCGGTTGTTTCTCCTCTTGGCTGCGGTGATGCGCCCTTTGTTATTGGCATTCGAGGAGTGCTTGCTAATGGCATTGCTATTTCCCAAAATCGCACGGGATGTGGCTCCTGAGGCTCCCTTGGGAGCCTTGAAAGTGCCTTTGAGCGGTCGTCGGTCGTTAGAGTCATCATCGTCATCGTCATTTTCATCATCGTATTGATCCACGGAGCCAGCCGCTTCGAGTAGCATGTGTTTCTCCATCGTCTTCTTCACCTCCTCGTCTGACTCGACTTCCGCAAGTCGCTGCTGGTTGATCGCCTCACTAGGTTCTTCCTGTTGCACAACGCGAAGAACACAGTCATCCAGATGTTCATAGAAGTCCTGGGCGTTGCTGAAAGTAGCCGAGCAAGTCGAACACTTGCCAGTCGCGTCGTGGCAGTAATCGGAGACGCTCTTATTTGAGGAAGCAGTAGGACTCCTCTTGCGGCAGTTGGGGGGAGTTTGTTCCACGCTATGAACTGAGGTCAAGTGGCGCTTGAAAACATCGGCCCTGTTGAAACTCTTCTCCGCGGGGGATCCCGAGCCAGGGCAAAAGCCGCAAACCATAGTTCCCTTGTAGTGGGTTAGGGTGTGTCGGTTCTTATCGTACTTGCGTGCGAATCCTTTGGTGTGGTATTCGCATGTAACAATTGGACACTTCTCCGGTCTCTCCGACTGGTGGGTAAGCATGTGGGCTTTCAAGTCCTTGAAGACTCGACCACATTCAGGGTGTGGGCATCGACCCTTTTCCTTTGTCTCTTCATCAAGTTCAACACCGCTGGCGGCTGGGCTAGGCTGTGATCGGCGGGAGTGGATAGAGGAAACTGATGACCTGCGATCATACATGGACACCGGGCGAGAGAGGGATCCCAAAGGCATAGTAGAAGGCGAGGAGTTTGGGAAGATGTGGGATTGTTGCGAAAGTGATTGTTTCAGCAAGTAATCCTCAGCAAGATGGAAATGAGAGGGATCGGGGGACTGAGAGATAAAGCCAGCTTGTGTCAGGGTGTAGTCGGACTGTTCGGGATAAGTGATGGCAGGGGGAGAAAGCTGAGTCTGTTGCAATGGTTGAATTAAAGAGGGATCTAGCAGGCATTAATAATCAATGGTGATTCCAAGCTGCAGGGTGCCAGTTCAGACTCACTAACAAAGCTGTCCTTCTTCTGGTAGAATCCATCCGCGTCCAAGGAGTTTCCCATGCAGTCACCCGGAAACAAGTCTCCCATGACTGCAGAGGGTAGGCCAAGGCCATGGTGTGTATCGACCCAGTTCTCCTGGATAGTATGGGCATTCACTGAGTAGGGTGATCCCATGGCGGAGGAAGAGGCGCTTGCAATCGAAGGGCCGGAAGCAGTCGAGATACCGGACAGGTAGTGATCGGACGCTTGGGAGATGGGGATGGACGGGGGAGTCGCAGGCATATGTGCGAAGGCTTTGCTAATATCTGTGAATGAATCTGCAAATACCGATGGGGTTGTCTGGTAAGCAGATTCAGGTAACCGGGTAGAATCATGTGTCGGGCCAAACGCTCCCAAGCTCTCCATATTGAAACCGAAGGGGTCAACTAAAGCGGGATCCATGGAGAAATCTTGGAAATATGGAGCGTGCTGCTGCCTTGATGATTCCAGGGCCATCATTTTGTGATCGGAAGCAGACTGCGCAGGGAATAAAAGGAAATCTTGGTGATCTAGCTCGCTTTGCATAGCCACTGTGCGTCGTGGTGGCTGCAATGCCCGGGAAATGGTGTCGGGTGACGAAAGCACGAGATCTGCGCGCAGAAGATTAGTGAGCATGATATTCCCATCCATTGAGTAAGAGAAATATAGACTAAGTTATCTCTGCAGGCAGTATATCCCATTGAGTTTCAATAATGGAGGAACGGGCCGCCTGGGGGGAGTACCCACCAACTGACTGGTCTATCTCCGGAGAATGGCGTGCGTGCGTGGAATCTTCGCGACAGAAACAGTATACTTCCGTGCAGTTTACAATTCCACAGCGAGACCCAGGATGCAGGGGGAGGCAGTCCAGAATATGATGCGTTTTGGAAGACTCAACAATGCACTCCAAAATGGGTCGTCTGGTCAAACAGCGAGGGCGGCAGGCAATAATTCTTCCTTCACAAGAGGCAAGAGAATTTACCAGCAGGTGAAATAGGTGAAATAGGTCAAAGGTAAGTTTGGAGTGGAGGGCAAATATATCACTCGACAGCGCAGTTAGGATAGTCAAGTCGCCAAATGCAGCGACGAGAGAATTAATGCGAGAGGGGGAGGGAGTATGAGATTTGTTGTCTTTGAATGTACCCTAGCCTGATCATTCATCAAAGCCCGACTTGGAGAGTTGAGGGGGATAGGAAATGTGCAGAATAAGAAGAAAAGAAGAGGGTCAAAAGGGCAGACAGATGGAGGGGAGCAAAAGCATAGTTAAATGTTCTGTGATTGCTGGCCCTATGAGCAGTGTACCATCTGGACTCATAGTGGATCAGACAGGACTTGGATTGACCAACTGCACACGAACTAAGGAACAACGCTAAGGTCAAGGCCATCCATAGTATTGGGGGTGGGAATGTACAGCAGGGACAGGGGAATTCATTAGCGCGCGTCGAGAGTCGAAACAGACTGGGGAGGAGGAGGAGAAGGAGGAGGAGGATGATGATGATGATGGTGGTGGTGGTGGTGGTAGTGGTCATGGTGGAGGGGGGCGTGAGGAACTAAGGAAAAGTAAAAATCAAATCAAATCAAATCAAATATAAAATCTTGTAAAATAGATTATTATTACAGAGTACATTAGTTAGTTAATTATTTTATTTAGAAAAAAAAGAAATAAACCCAGGAGAGGTGGAGTTTCCGGCCAGGCAGGGGCAGTGAACCGACTACTGTATTATTAGCATCCATCCTTACCTCTATACTCCGTCGGGTTAGATCTCGAGTCTGTATGGTAAGAAATATCACTATCCATGCAGGTTGCACCCAGAGCTTTTAGTGATCTTCACAATGAACAGAATTCGAGGATTTTTCACGTAGTGGTGGTAGTTAGTGGGTTGTTGTTCTTCTGTCGGGTCCAGCCAGCCTCAAAGAGTACGGAGTATTTACGGAGTACTCAGTCCCTAGATACTGACAATGGAATTCAATGGCATATTATCCTAAAACTACTCGTACAGATAATAAGAATAAAGAAAATAAATCAGGACCTGGGAAGTTTCAAAGCTGTCAAGTTTCACCCCCCCCCCCCAAAAAAAAAAAAAAAGGACCAACAAAGAAAACAAAAGAAAACACAAGAACACACAAGAAAAAAAAGAAAGAAAAAGAAGAAAGAAAAAGAAGAGGGGGAAAAGGGATCCACCACTATCACCTGGGCAGTCCAATAATCAATTCAAGATTAGGTATCTACCTACCTAACAAATTATACAAAAATAATCATGAATGGAATAATCCTCAAATTATAAACCTACTGAGCAGATAATAACTCGATCCAACAATAGGAATAATAATTTTATCTCAAAGAAAGAATTCTGGCCATCCATGCAATTCGCTACCCTTAGCTTTTTCCGGAGGCGTCCCCTAGAATAATTTCATGGGGTAAGCAACAAGATTGACTCGCTTATAATGCCTGAAAAACCATGTTAGGAAGAGAATGGAATCATGGATCACCCATGGGTCATGGCACTAGCCACCTCGAAGGGGGGGGGGAAAGAGGTAATACAGAGAGTACCCTCACTCCCCGGAGACGCCGTGTTCTGTCACCTGTGCGCAGACTCCTGACATTCGTATCCACAAAGTGTCATCGGCAAGTCCGTGGCAGACGCTGCGACAGTCTCTCTGTCTGTCATCAAGCCTCCATCCAAAACTTGGCATCGTACCATCGCTCGCCCATTAATGATTAATCTAACCTTGGGGGAATTGTCGACTTCGGCTCCGCTTTCTTCAATATCCTCCCTACTATTATTTCTCTTATTTCTCCATGATAAGATAGTGGCAAATATCCTCCGCCCGCCCGCTTGCCGGATCGAATCAGAAATGTCCCATGCAATTCCCGTAACGTTCGCCGCAGGAAAAGATGATTTGGAATAGTAGTAACTATCGAGTTAAGCGACGACATATGCTTGCTCGAACTGAACCCATCCAAGTCCTGACTCGTTTTCGGTCATAAACGGAGTAAAATGTCAGGCCAAGATAGAAATCGACCACTAGATAATATCAAATGATATATGATCGCCTTGTTGATTTTACCTCTCACATTTTGCCCTCTCTTTACCAAACTCTGCCCCGTTGATTCAGCCAAAGGCGCCAAACTTAGGTACATTGTTCCCGTCAATTTGGTACCAGCCCATTCTTGTGTCCAGATGAAGTGCTGTTGGCGAGTAACAACTCAGTCGGCGGCTTGGATCTGGCTGGACACGGTCGGGTCAATCAAATCTCCATCATGGATGGGCCTTTTGACGATCTTAGTTCAGCTCCACCTAAATTCCACCACTCCCTTTTAATAAACGTGCATTCCTGTCTGCGAGGGATGATTGGCTAAGAAGGGGTGACAGGCAAATGACGCCTTCTTGAACTATGAGATGTCCTCTCCAATGAGATCCTATAGATGGTCCCAGATGGGAAGGCCATCCCTACCTAGTGGACAGTCACCTTGCCCAATGTGGACGAACATGATTTGAGTTGAACCACCCTGCCATCCAGAGCCGCATTTTTATTTTACCGTTTGTGTTTAGGGGTTGTAATTTACTTTTAGTGCCCTTGCGAAAGCAATAGCTGTACCTGGACCCCTGGTACACAACGCATCAGTTACTTATTCCGGGAATCGATGGCTCGGATGTCATATGAACCCGATCTACTGCTAATAGAAGTAACAGTAAGACGAGTTTTTTCATGACTCTTCGTATTATTCTTCGGCGAAATGATAGAGAAATTTAAGGGAGACTACGGAGTACAGACTATGTATGTGGGGCAGCTGTGGCTCATGCAAGGCCTATCTATGGCTTTGGGTCTGGTTTTGTGACGAAAATACGGCCACGAATGTGGACTAACATCCGCTGCAAGAAGGGAAAAGAGACGGGAGAATAGGACGAATAGTTGCTCCGAGGCCACTACTACCGTACTAGAAGCGTTGAGTCAATCTCAATTTCATCTTTGCGCCCGGTACGCCTGTTACAGTACCTGACTGGAGAATGGGCAAGGAATGATGCAAGAACGGCCGTAAAATGCAGGCTACCCTAGTCAATGTCAAGTTCCATCGAGGTGCAGATTACCAATACACAGGACTAGGCTAGGTGTATTCCGAGACCAACAAACCTTCTGTTGTGGTCGGTGAGGAATTGTTCCAACCCCCCAAGTTAGCGCCACATTGCCGACCTAGCCACATATAAACAGCCTATGGTAAGTGGAAACGCGCATGTTGGCCGGTTCCTATTGGAAGATCCTCCGGCTCTAGTGGTGGGAAGGATCAATCGAGGCGCAGTACCTTTATTTTTACACCGCTCCCCCCATTCCCCACCGCGACTTGTCATGACTCTCAGTTTTCAACGATACACGCGCAGGAGCCATAGGGCACATGATTCTGCCCGACCCATTTATTCTAATAAATCAATCCGCGGGCTGTCAATTCACGGAATTATGTCATAATCTCGTCATGCTTTCCCTGCCAAGCACGGTCAGGAACGAGGTTTTCCAGTTCCCCCAACTCTTGTCCCCTGGGAATTGACCGACGTTTCCACCCCGATTCCAGAGCCAAACCTTAACTTTTCCCTACGATCTGGCGGTGGAAAAGACCCGTTTCTGACCGGATGTTCCCTTCTTCCTACGGTGACTCAATCAACCAGCTCAACACAGCGCAGCTGGGCAGCCTGCGGGCGGGCAACCCTCACTTCCATTCTAATGTACTAATTATGTTTTGTTTTTTTGTTTTTTTTTCGTCTGCATCAAAGTTAGCTGGCTAGGGTTCAAGATTCGAGAACCTTTGAGACGCTCAGCCCTGTACCATGCCCGTGAAACCGGGTCGGATATTGACTCAAATCTATTATAAACAATCGATGTCCCAGAAAATATTAATAGCTATATTACGCGATGGTGCAACCGCACCTTTCTAGAATACTGACCCAGTTTCAGGGCCACCTTTGTGTAACAGCACCAAAACAATGGAAACCTGAAATTTCAGGAGAAGATATCTTGACATCCCCCACATCAAAATTCCCCCACACATTTCTATTTTCTATTTGCCTTGCCACCAACTCTCAGTCGACGATTGAATCAACCCAAGCCATTATTACCATCCTCTCTCTGGCCTCCGTATGGATTAATATTACTAGCCTACATTACTACATTACTGGCGATACCAGACGAATGTCACACCCGACCGTTCGCTGGCACGTGGCAGGCCATTTGTTTGATAAGCGTCCGACTTGTGTAACCTAATTGATCCAGATTCTTTCTGACGGGTCTCCATTATCTGAGGCCTATCATCAAGATACTTCACCGCCGACGACAACGTCCATAATCTCCGGTTTCGTTGGTTTTGCCCAAACAAATCTGGATAGGACTCTGCACCGACAATGTTGGTGCTAGAAGTGGGAACTACACAGCCTAGAAGAACAAGCATCTTGCGAAAGGTACTCCGTATACGACCAAGAAGGAGGTACCTAGGTAAGTTCTCCGGGGTCATTCACACGATAAAGGTAATTGGTTAACTTGCCTCGACCCTACTCCAACAAAATAAACAACCCATATCACTGTCCGGTCTGTTTTCTGACTTACTCTGTAGGGGGTACAGACAAAGAGCACACATCCCTGCGCTCCATGTGCGCGAGGATTAATTACTGGCGGTACAAGAACAAACTAAAACAAAGTATAATAATACATAATAAACCTACTCCGCTAGTGAGGGTGGACTCCCTAATAATCTAACCTTTTCAGGAAAAGATTGCTTAAGCGCTGCTCGGAAAATGCCGCTCTGGCTGTTTTACTCGCCAACCTCTCAGCTAATTTTAGAATGTCGGAACCAACAGCATCCGCCAAGGCAATTGAAGTATTATGACAAGCAGAAAACTTGACTTCACCGGGAACAAGACAAAGATAAGCAGAACATACCCGCGTATGAAGAGAGGAAGCACTGTCTGGGCCGCGTTTCCGCATCGCTTTGCAATGTTACACGAAATGTGCACTACAGCGGGCCAAAGCAAGTAAATATAGAATGGAGGCCAGTAAGAAGCCATTCCGAATTGTTGGGAATACGCTCATGGCATGGCATGGACCTAGCTACCGGTTGACCAGGATCATACGCACGCGGCACAGCAATGGCACCAGGCAACGTGCCTCGCTCTCTCGAGTCTGCCCCACATTCTTGATCTCCATGTACGGAGTATGGAGTTCCCGTACCGTCATCCTCCCTTGATATCATCAAAATAATGATGCTCGGTGTGATTCAAGCCTCCACCCACCCTCCCTTTGCCCAAAAATACTTCCTCATAATATTATTGTTATTATTACTCTCCCAAAGTATTCGTAGGATCTTGCCCCGACGAGGCCAGGATGGGAAAACCCCAGCGTAAAACAAACCCGCGAGAAAAAAAGAAAAACTTTGAATTTCGGCCCCCAACCCCTGCATGACTAGATTCTTCTTCCACTCAGCATCCAGATGCAAGGAGAGCGCTCAACTTCACTTTCCGTCTGTCCATCAGTATCTGTCTGACTTTCTGCATCTCGACGTGGTCTTGCAGGGTTCATTCCCTGCGTTACTCGTGGCAGGACATGGTCCACCGTCCAACAGCAGCTCCCTCCGTTCTCTCCAGTGTCATCCCCGGATTCCAATATGATGGAATTCACTGAGCTTCGAAACAGAGCCCGCCTAGCAGAATCTATACTGCTATTTACTATGGGCATGATTAATCTACTTTATTTGACCAGTGAACTAACCGAGCAAGCAATTTAATTATATTGAAGTGTCAGCGCTCACTCACTCACTTCATATGCTCTGCTCTGCTTATCACCTAACTAAATGACTCGGATACTGGGTAGTTATTAACAGCCTTGATCCTCACATTACGATTGCACAAATACGAACCCACTTGTCCAACGAATCTACACTATGAATAATGATATATATTTATTTCTGTACCAAAACACGGCACCAAAAGACATACCATGCAGTATCTGGGCCCAGACTGTGTCTTGGGCTCTCAATGAGCCAGGATTGATTGTTATAATAATACAATTATGTGACTGACTCGATGCATGCAATTGAGTATTTTATCGCAAGGTACAGGATAAACTATTACCTACGCACAGTACTCCGTATAGCCGGGTTATTAGCGCCGCAATGCACTAGCATACGAATCCTAACTACCAACAATGAGATTTTTATCCTTATTTCTATTTCTGGTGATTCTTGGCTTCGAAAAAAAAAAAAAAAAAAGCATTCCTTTCAATGTGAAGCTAAAGTCTTATTTCGAAGATCAGCTGTCATGCTACCTTGTACCCGACTAGGTAATTGATGTCGATATTTGTATGGATTAACTACCTACCTAACTATTCCATGACATTCGGTAGTAGACTTACAAATCACTTTTATTTTATCTCAACTCTACGCAAGCACTATCAATATCTGTCATAGTTAGTTAGTTAGTTCACTAAATAGAGGATCGATCCCATTAATAATTGATAGCCCCGAAACAGAGAAGCGTATTTCTAAGCTCAACAAACAATGATCCTGGTTAGTTAGTGCTATATGGAGATCTGTCAACAACGCATTAGTTATTAATTGGCTGGCAAAGTACCTAGGTGACTACTGGACTAGGTAGTTGGTTCACTAGTATCATCAACTGATTAGGTTGCTTCACCCTGGTTACTTCACTAACGAGTACCCATAATCATATACCTAGTTAACTAATTATTGCAATCTAAATTAATAATCCCGGGGAGGAGCACTCCAACCACGTTTCCGAAGATTCCCCGTCGTCGTGGGAAGTCTGCGGATAGAAGGAAAAACATAACAAGTGATATATCGATCATCTTAAAGCCAAGACGGCAGGCTGGGTAAAGAGGCTCGAATTCTTCGACGCTGCGGCGTGGATGATCTAGGAGACCGCCCGACTTTAGCTAGGGAGGGCCCGGAGGGGTACCTGTACGGAGGACACACACCCAGTCATGTTCTACTACTGGACAGGGAAAAGGTGATTCGCACACTAGTGACTAGTCTGGGTATCACTATCCGCTGCCGGAAAGAGAAAACGTACGTACTCCCGTCATATCATATAATATAATTTAATATAACTAAACATTATTATAATTTACGGATATAGGGAGGGAAATTGTCATTCAGTAGGCGGCGGACACTGGAGCGGGCGCTTAGTGTTGCTGTCAGTGTCAAATTAGGTACCTATGTAGACTAGTTAGACTTGCGGATTCGACCCAGTTGTTAATTTAAGATAGACGGCGGGTTAACTGAGTAGCCCGAGTACAGACTATAGACATTTTCTACTCCGTAGTTAGTAGGCCACAGTGGGATACGCGGGAAATGAGCATGATATGATGCTCCTATTCTATGAGATCTAGAGCACTACGGTTGAGGATTCTAGACCCCCCCCCCCCCTGCGCCAGCTAATCTTAGAGATGTATATTCGTATATTCCATTCCCCCGTCCCCCGAATCCTAAGACTAAGAGTAAATAGAGTAATATGGGACGAGCGGGAGCGGCGTTTCCGTGATCTCGGTGCAGAGACTGGAATTGATTGATTGGATGTGCAAGAGTTGCCTCGGTGTGAGACATGGTCGGGGAACTTGAAGAATGGATTTCCTATTACTGTCTAGCTCGGAAAGAAGTCAGTTGGGAGTTTTCGCTGCCTGACTCGATGAAGACTAAAAGTAATCAAGCGTACGGGGCAAAGAGGGAATAATTTCTGGGGGGGAAGTCAAGTAAAAAAATAAAAATAAAAAATAAAAATAAAATAACAAACATACATACATACATACATACATACATACAGGTACCACCTCACCTTCATGTCTCAGATTTCGCTAAGCTCGCCCTGTCTATTGGGGGGAAATCACTGTGTTCCCGAAGTTGAAGTTACCGTGCAACTTTATGCTGTCATACATAGCACAATGCCATACTGGAATTGGGAGATCTGCCATGTGGTCTCTTAGACTTCGATCACGGAACGATATACTAGTACCGACCTAGGTAAGAATGATACTAGTCACTCGCTAACTACCGGTTCTGAGAGGTGGGAAGCCCAGCCGATAAACTGAAGAGGGTTCCTGGTAAAAAGGCTCTCGTTAAAGGGTCAACATTTCCAGGGCGCAAAGTTTTCAATAAGTTTGCTCCGGATGCCTCTAGGATCTATCACCAGATCTCAACCCCTGGCAAAACTCAATTTTTGGTTGAGATAGGGGCGGTTGCGATTGTGCCACTTCGTGTTCGAGTCCAGAGAGGGAAAATGGAGATTTAAAGCCTGTCACATGGCGTTATAATACATATAGCTTAGGTAGTAGCATATAGAAAGTATACCCCGTACTCCGTATAGCGTGACAGAATCTTGTAAACGACGTTCTTGTCGAAAGTTTTTGCTAGAGACTTCCTCTATTCAGCTCCACTTGAAAAAAAAAAAAAAAAAAAAAAAAGAAAAGAAAAAGTGCCTATATAGAACTCAAGTACGGAGTACGTATTTCTCCTGTACATGTATGCAGTCTGCAAGCCCACCTGCTAGATCAAAATCGTCAAATGTACTCTCCTCCGTGCAAGAAGAGGAGCTCATTCTCCGGTGCTAAACTGACTATTAAATTCAAGGCCCATTCCTCCTTTTCAAAGCCCAACCCACAACTTTGAGACAGACGTCGGAGCAGTCACTTTTCACTAGCCGAAGATCTCAATACGATGAGATCGAGCCGTTTTGCGTCGGGCTTCGGGAAAAGGAGGAGGTTCCCGTGCACGCCCACTCAATAGTGTGAACTTGGGTTTGAGTGGATATTTGCGGAATGAAACTATTTCCAGTAAAAACTACTAGGCGATTTTCTCCGTGCTAGGTACAGACTACAGATTCTATTTCACGTGTTGTTGTTGAGTGTTGATGTTGTCTGGTGATCCAACTTTGAATGGGATAATTATCATCCAGGCTTCTGATGAGTAGATCAGGGAGATTTTACAGGTCGGTAAAATAATTCCTTTGCTTTATTTTACGCCTCCTGATGCCTCCTCTCCTCCGTCGGGGAATCAAGAAACGAGCGCGAGACAATATAACCATTTCTTCGGGTCGATTAGTGCCCCCACTGGACTACAAAATTTTCGAGCACTCATACTCCGTCGTTTCTGGGTTCCCAGGGGGCATCAATGGATGTGTATCTCTTCCCACTTCTCCTCATAATAGGGGGGGAACTGTCTGCCGCGATCGGCATGGCACATTGGATGCCATCACGTCGTGCCAGGAAATTTTAGTCTTCCCAATTCGGACTACCTGAGTCTTGACAAACCCGAGAGAGGTGTTTTACAACAAATAATGCAGTTGGATGAAGCGCTAAGCTCAACTGATGGCAGTTGTTCAAAAGAGGAAAAACTCCTGATGAAGAATGTGGCTTAAGGCCAAGAAACAAGGAAATTCGCTACGAGCTGGTAAGGGCTCTCTCTATCCTTTCCTGATTCTTGAGTCCTTCGGAGGACAAGTTGGAGACTGATCAGGCACGATCAATTATTCCGGATTACCTCGGTTTCTCACACCCAGACCAAAGTCCTAAAACAGTCAGTGACCTCTTCGAGCGTGATAAGCGGGTATTTTATTCAAAAATGGTGGGAACTCACTGAGTCACTACTGACTATTAGTTAGAACCACACCACATGGAACACCTCCAGAGAGCCACCTCTAGTTCCCCGGGATTGCAACCTATGACAACGTCGAATTAGCGACGGCCAGATCTGGTCTCTTTTGGCCGCAGCCTATTTTAGTGACAAGACGAGGAGGCACTGGTGAGTGGTGACTGAGGCAGTGTTTCTCTTAGTCTCGTTTAGCCTGGAGAGAGGAGGAAGATCTGCGGTCCGGGCCCTGCTCTCAGGCCAATAGTTTCGGCCTCCCCGAGTTTTTGGTCTGGATAACTTAAACTGATTGGGGATCAGGCGGTTATCTGCTGTTAGCAAATACCTAGTACGCAGTAGTGCTCTCGCTCTCGTTCGGTTGGTGTCGCATAACGGGGACCCCGATCCTTCGCGTCAAACTTCTGCACCCGGCAACCAACTTTCCCAAGAGTCTCACGGTATCAACGTGGGTGAGAATCATAATTTTGGCGGTCCGTCTTATGAAGGAAGGATGGATGGATTCACCTCCGTACCCCAATAGCCCAATTACAGCGCCGAAACGGGTAGTTTTTTTTTTTTTTTTTCCCCTTCTCGTAGGGCAGAAGGATCAGTACCCTTGCCTGCGAGACGGTCTGGATCAGGTGTATGTACACCGGCAGGAGTAGGGAATCAGGGGACAGGATTTAAAAAATGTGTTGAGGATTGGTCCCTCGCTCTGGAACGAACCGTCCCACTGCTCTGGTTCCATAGTAATATTAATCAATGTTTATTCTCAGCCCTCACGTCGACTGAATAATTACGATATTTGTTTGCTAGGAAGAACCTGCTTTACTCCATGGCTTGCAGCTGTCAAGGCCACGAGGGTAAGTACTCCGTAGCATTGTTGTGTTAACAAAACCCACAACTGCATTAGGAAAATGATAGGGGACTATCTAGGCAGATACTCCGTAGGTACTAAAGCCCCTCTGCCCCCAAGAAGCCATAGATCGTCCCCTCCTCCTTTTTTGTTTGTTCCTCTTAGAGTATTTCTATCGATACGTGGCGTGGCCGTCAATCGAGTTCCTATCTTGGGTAATAGAATGGTTGAACATTCGCATCATGATCCCTGAATCAGGAAAGGGGAGAACCACATGGTCTCCATTGGATAGACAGAGCCTCGCAAACTGGATTTGAAATCATATCTGGGTAGTTAACTAGTTAACTACCTAACTAGAGGTAATCATATTATTAATGCTTAAATGCCTGTAGTTAACTAACTAACTAATGGCTACTAACTACTAACTACTGACTCGTTGTATTTTACTTGCGTCATCATGGTTAATCTACAGAGTCCGTCCTATGCTCCATAATATAATCCACTGGACACACAAGATTTTCACGCGTTTAATTAAATGCTATCAAAAGCATGTTGATCATCCTGAAACTTGGTAGAGTACAGAGTATAGATGGTCACTATTTTGCATGCTTGTCTTACCTACTCCGTACAGAAAGGCAGTCGATGAAGTGCAGTAAGTAAGTAAGTGAGTGAGTGAGTACCCTGCTCGCAAGGTGAATAAATAACTATGGAATGTAACATGTTGTAACATGTTGTAAAATTGACCAAAGGAGCAGACATCACCTAGGTATATATATACGGAATACTTAGCTATGAGTTAAGTAGGTACTAAGTTGTATTGATGCAGAGTAAGCCATTTCCCTCTCTTCTTTCTCTGCCTAACTACGGAGTACTTACCGAGTACTTCTCTGTAAGAAGTCATGGGGAATAGCTACTACCCGTAAGGCAATGCCCGTGCTTACGAATCCCTGTCCCGCTGTTGGAGAAATATGGAGTTGGAGGAAGGAAAAGGGGAAGAAGGAGGAGGAGGAGAGGCTCTGTATAAGGCTACGAACGAACAGCAAGTTTACATATTGTATGGTGGCATGGACAGATTGCATTCTACTAAGGAGTTATAGGTGTAGGTACCCCGCTTAGCTTCGATTTGCCCAGTGGTGAAGTGGGATGTTTTCCAAGTATGTTACTCGCAGCGCTTATTGCATCCGGGGTAGCATTTGGACTTTGATACAGAGGTTTTGCCTGGAAGCTGGCAAGCGGACTTTCGTGTAGAGCCCAGAGTATGAATATTTGATTTAGAACAGATTAATACGTTGAAGGCCGTCAATCTCACCGACCACCTTAGATATAGTACCGGCATTGTGAAGGCAAACCAATTGCGCGTCCGAAGGTATCAATCTGACCCTGAACCCGACTGACCCTGGTCCGTAGGGCTGTGCGGGATGAGATAGTTCTCCTATCCCATGCATCCAAGCACCTCCAGCTTTCAAGAATCCCCCTTCTTTATTTCCGTTGTTCCTTCGATATTCCTTCCTGCGCTTGGAATTATGAATAATAATTTCTTTCAGACTCCTTACGCCTTGCAAGGGACAGGCCCACCAGACTAGGCTACCAGCAAGAAAACCGCCAGCCCTATATTTCTGGGCGTCAGCAGATTATGTACTTGCAACGTCTGCACGGAAAAAAAAAAAAAAAAAAAAAACAAGCAAACAAACAAACAAAAGCTTTTGTTGGCGGGCAATCGTGGACACTGGAGACTATGTTAGGTCGGTGTGTAAAGGCGATGATGTGGTGGTTCCTAGGCAAATCATTTACTTTTCGAGGTGATGCAGTCTGTTGGTTGACAACGAAATCATGCAAATTCCTGATAAGGTAATAGTTAGTAGCTATTCGGCAACCCCGGGGAGACGTCATGGATGGATGATGGGACAGGGAGTCATGGACTTACTAGTGCATACTAGTAGTATAAATGTAGTGACAGGGCTGACAGGGTCTCCATCCCATCATCAATAACCCGGGATGGCTGGACGGACGGGACGTTTCACCGTTTCACCGTTGATATATCTAGTAGGAATTTAAAACGAGCCGTGAAAAGGAGCCTTTACGTTCTCGTTAGTTTGTTCTCTCTCCGAGCAAAGCCATGCTAATTAAAGCTTCCTCCAATTACATCTCATTATGCCCTGCTCGCTGCTTGACTCAAGCTAAGGGGGGTTTTAGATCCGACTATGTCCAGCCAATTGTTTTGTTGATCTTGGGACTTCGAGGTCGAGTCGTTGAAGGCGCCGCTTTGGTCCATGTCAATTCCGATCCCCCTTTTCTATTTCTCTCTTTTCGTGGGTTTTACTTTCTTAGTTTGGGCATTGATATCGGAGTTTCTGGCCCAGGTTTGGGTTGAGTAGGGAGTATTGCGTGGGATGCAGTATCGGGTATTTATTTACCCTACATACCTAGTATAAGGATATTGTTTACATGTACAATGGCTGTGAAGGTAAGGGTATACTCTGGAGAAGGGGAGAAAGATTGCGTGGAAAGATTGGTCCTGCTCTTATTATCCTCATTGTCAATGTTATAGAAATTTCTTTTCAAGTCTACTTGGACAACAGGCCAAAATGTTCGAAAACGCAGTCCTTAACTTCAATTAATTATCGCTGTCCAGATAGATACCCTCGCTTTAAGTAGAATTGCAAGTGAAAGAAACCAATAGAATGACAACGTTCCAGGTTTTCACCACAACTCCGTGATCCCGATAAATAGCAACATATCAACAATCTATACGCCTTGCACCACAATCTCGGCCGGCACATCAAGTCCAGGACATGCTTCGCTCCGCACTTCGGTGATATTGTCATACGGAAAGGGGATCACCCAAATCAGATCATATCTAAAGCCCAGCGTGTTAGCATCTACACAATCAAGAAAGCACATGTAGCAGCTCACCTCTCAGGATACATCGGCGGATGAGGAACGCCCAATTCGCGGGCGATTTCATGAATATTGGTATGTCTCCAGGAAATCAGAATCTCGCCTGGTCCGTGATACTTCCTAACTTTCCGCGCGACGCATTTTGCCTGTTTACGTTTACACGAAGTATCCACGTCCAGGCCAAGATCAACTGCTAACGGAAGAACAGTCTCATAGGGACGTCGATGATGGCCCTCTACCGAAACAAATCAGTCAGCCAGTCACTCCCTCCCTCCAAAGCCTCAAATTCCCTAACTATATAAGAGGGGGGGGGGGGGGGGTTGTATCTGAGCCCAGACGATATATCCCGGTCAAGGGAAGAAGAAACTCACTCTTATTCACAAATGGCGCCATGATATGCCCAATCTCGTACCCGGATCCCTGTCCAAACACGCTTCGAAGACACTCTGCCCGTTTGAACCCATCTACATTTAACCCTTTATCGCCGCGACCTGTTGGCTTCTCGCCATGGCGGATGATGTAAACCGTTGGCGGCGCGTCCTCGCCGTGCGCACCCGAAGCAAAAGCAAGGGGTAAACCTGTGAGAAGGGCAAGGACAAGAAGAAGAAAGAAGTACATTGAAACCCTGCCTTATCTGGTCATATGTTTGCTTTGAGGACGATATTCCAGGTTCTTAGCTAGGGATGTTTGTTTTTTTTCGGGGGTTCCTGCTGTGCTTCCATGCAGTCTGTTGTGGTGGTGGTGGTGGTGGTGGTGGTGGTTTGTCGATGACATATCATCTTGCCCGGGTAGTCAACTATGTAGTTACTGTAATGTGCAACCATGCACCTTTTCATGATTATTAATAGGATATAGACATAACTAGTTATTTATAAAAGCTTAGTTCTATTCTGCTTGATTGAGGACAGAGTTGAGGGACTAGTTTTGATGTGGAATAAGAATAATGATGACAGGGCTAAGCTTCTATCTTGAGTTTAAAGTAGTTTGTTAGATATATATATCTACATACTCGTATTGTTCCTAGAATCTTCCCCTAATATATGTACATTATATGTACATTATTATATAAAATGGGACTCCTTATACGCTGTTTACACGTTCTGAACTCTGATCCAGGTACTGACATGCAAAGTACTTTGAAAAAGATACCCTAATTCTACAACATCCCAAGCTAGGGTTCATAAACGCTCAATCAGTAAACTACCTACCTATCTGGTTGAGCTTTGCCCTGAATGCTAAATTAGTATTTCCTTCATTGATTCATCGCAAGAGTGCTACCTGGGCTTGTGTGACCTATGCATATATACACTCCACTGCATCTAGACCGCATCCTCCCTATGCTCTACACTCTCCTTGCTAGCAAGCTGGCGCGCCAAAGTCTCAATCCCAGTTCCACGGTATTTAGTCGTGTCCACCCCTCCTACAAACCAGGGAGAATCGGTAAAAAGCTGCTTCATCTCCTCTAGGGGAAGCTTCTTTGTTTCAGGGAGCATGGCCCAGAAAAACACCGCGTTGGTGAAGTTGCAAACCTATAGTTTGATGGTAATCCGGTGTTAATTATGGCTTATATCTTTGTGTTGCTCAAATATAATGAGAAGCATCCCTTACCACGAAGAGAATATAGAACTTCCAGCCTGAGTTCGTCATGCCGATGGGCGTGACCTGGCCAATCATTGTGCTTGATTCAGGGTGTAAGAATACGACCGGCCGGGTTGATAATACCTGAAGCATGCAGGGGGGAAAAAAATGCTTACTTGAATGCAAACGAAGTCATACAGCCTAGAGCTACGCCCTTGGCTCGGGTTGCGGTGTCGAAGATCTCAGCGGGGATCATCCAAGCTGGGGGAGTCAGAAACTGAAATGTCCGAGGGTGTAAATCGGTCGAGATTTTAGGAGGAGCATACAGAGTGAACCCATGCTGGCAAAACAAAAGTTATACAACCAGGTCATGATGATGAATCCCCAGTGGGCGCTGGAGTTGTTGTCTTCGGGTGGGAATCGTGCCATGAGAATAGTACTGATGATGTAAGTTAGACACATCGCTAGATTGCCGCTGATGATGAGTTTTCGCCGTCCGATTTTATCAACAACAAGCATGAGGAGGAGTTCGCCTAGGAGACCGATGATAGAGTTGATGGCCTGGTACCTGAGGGTGTCTGTGCCGTCGATGCCAATTTGTTTCTGGACATGGAGGTTAGCAGAGATTGAAAAAAAAAAAAAAAATAATAATAATAATAATAATCAGAGAAGCCAACGCACAAAGATAGTCACGGAGTAATATTGAATTGCTGAAACCCCTGTCATTTGAGCAGCGGCTTGCATTGCACAGGCAAGCATGAGGCGTCGAAAGTTAGCCTTGTTAGAGAATAGCTGAATCACGGAGACTCTGCTCTGTTCTTCCTCCTCTGTCACTTGCATCTGGATTTGCTCATACTCGGCAAGAACCCAAGGATCCTGCGTATCTCCGTTGGAGTGTAATCGGGCCAAGGTCTGCAGGCCCTGCTGGGCCTTTCCTTTGCTAATCAGCCATCGAGGCGACTCGGGGAAGAAGAAAATAAGAGCCGACAAGAGTGCTGCAGGGAAGATCTGCAAACCCAGCGGAATTCGCCATTGCCGGTTGTCTTCGAAGTTCACGTAGGTGCCGTAACTGATCCAGCTGCCACAGACACCGCCGATGCCGAGCATAAACTGCTGCAGACCCGTCACCAATCCTCGAATATTAGGATGTACGAGCTCCGCTTGATACAAGGGGATGATCATGGTAAGAATGCCAATTCTAGACATGTGTCCGGGAATAGTTAGCGCTGGCATTTCGGCTTCTGTGGTCTTTCTATACAACCAGTCATCCTAGGTGGTGAATGCCACTTACGAGGCCCCAGAAATGAGACGGCCGCCCAGGATATAGCCGTAGTTCCGAGCGCCGGTTTGCAATGATCCTCCAAGACAAAAGACAAGTCCTCCGGTCAGAATAGTCGCGCGACGCCCAAAGTGATCGGAACAAGGGTACGCAAGACCAGCCCCGATGACGGCACCCGCAGTTAACAGGGACGCCACCAGGCCAACTTCAGTAGTTGAGGGAGAAAAGTACCCAAGGAACGACTTGCTAGAGACCACTGCAAAGATTTCACAGAGTTAGGTAGGAAATGATCGGGTTTGATTTTCATGACTTGCCTTCGGCCACAATCGTCAAGTCGTATCCATAGAGAAACGAGCCCAAGGCTGCGAACAACCCCACGAGAAATTGGTATACCTTTGGAGGAAAGCCCATGCTGATTCTTTTTCTTTTTTTTTTTCCCCTCCTACCAAGCAAATCGACAATGCTGGGGGGGCAGCTCTCGTGGGTTAAACAGGTTATAGGGCAATGCTTGATAGGCGGCATTATATCCTTTCTTGGACGTGCGGGGGAAATGGCGGAGTCAACCCGAAAGGAAGACTGTTGATCCATGATAGATAGAATCGGTCATAACCAACCCGAGAAGTTCAATTCAACCTGGGCTCTCTTTCCTTGGATATCCAATAACGCGTCGTTGCGAAATGTCTGAGACATTTTAGGGTTCAGTCGCATTGCGCCAGTTTAGGCCAAAACCCGGTGGGTAACGTACAGGGATGTCAGTATGCATTCTGACAAGCGAATCCATTATTTGGCTCATGGGTGCATAGGCATGGATTGAATATGCAGGGTGAGATTATAAGCATTCTTTCACAAGCTAAGACTGGACTACAGCCCATTATCACTCCAAAGTCCAAACATGCTATCGTCCGGCTTGGGCAATCAAAAATTCCTATCTACATTTCAGAAAGCACGAAACAAGAACCACAGAAGATACAATCCATCCAGCGACCTGGAAGATGGCTGAGATTGTTGCTGTGACATTTGAGCATCAATTCCGGAGTTGTCCCATGCACTACTCCTCATCTCTCTTGGAAGTTTTCATGCAATGACAAGGGAGTTCGTGATTGAAGTCAGGTCGCCTGAGGTCGTTCTCAGATCACTATATCTGGTCAAATACAAGATGACGAAGAAGTTCATCGGATCGAAAGCCCTAATTCCAGGGGTTCCCTGACCGGGACAGCCTTCGTTCACGAGAGCGTATGAAAGCTGGTTCATGTCTACGATACTTAGACTGGAAAATCGAAAGAGACGCCGAGCGAGTGGTCTAAGTGAACTGGGGCTGAATGTGCCTTGGTTGACCGGCAGGACTGATGAGCTATCCCAGTTACCTCGGCTTCTTACGTTAATGATGGCAGCGATCGAAGCTCGGCTCCTACGACTTAGTGTACCGCGTTTATCTCAATGAAAGTCCATCTACAACCTTCTTGTATGACTCAATGAAATGCTGGCGGATTGGATGGAACAAATCGCTTATGAAGGAGTTCCTCCATTAACTAGTGGTACCCAGCGTTCTCGATCATGCCTGGTCTTCCGTCCCTCCAGCTGTCTGGGGTGATGTGGTGATAATGGTGCCCTGGTTTTGTACCAAGCTTCAGGGGACCTGCATATTTTGCGCCGGCAGTACCCAAGCATGAGGGCGTGGTTGAGCCAGGGAATCTGCCGTGGAGACGATGATGGCTTATGGGACGCAGATCTGTGGCAGCTCGGAGACTGGTTGGACCTCCAATCCCCCGCGGACGAACCGGGCGATGGCCGAACCAACGGTACTGTGGACGTATACGTAACTTCAATTCTTGCGCGCATCAGCGGCTTGGTAGATGAAGCGCCGGCTACCATTATCAGCACGAGGCAGTATGTTACCTCCCATGGGCTTGTGATTGGGGCCTCGCAAAACCGCTTACCCATTGGGTTAATCTCGCCGGAGCAGCTATTAGTTGAAAGACTCTCTTGCCTGCGGCCAAGTTCCGTGACCGGATGACTAGTTTCAATCATAGTCAGTGGGAATTACAGCCATTGCTAGATTACCTGGAGTGGAGGAGGACAGGACAAGTGCGTGCAGTGTCTGCAGCATTAATTGATGTGTGTTTATGCTAGCAAAGTAAACCGTTCCTTCAATATGACTTTCAGACTTCTCATCTACATGATACGCGCTTTCTGTGGAAACTCAAGCTTTACTTTACCCATACCAATGAACTTTTTAGAGGGAAAAACGCTACAGGGGGGGGGGGGAATGAGAAGTGTCAGTTACTCCGTATTAATCGATGCAAAGAAAGGAGAAGATCAGCTTTCCAGAACTCCGCTGGGAAAATGCAGTTTCGAGAAACTTGTCTCCTGTTCCCCCTTACTCTAAACCCACAGAAGCATGTCTTAACCTGCGGGGAAATGCGGAGAATACGCTAACAGGATAGTTAGTGGCAGCTAAGCGGAACTTTGCAGTAATCGGATGTTTTTATCGGGGGGAATCCCACCGAGGTGCGAAGCTGTCTGGAGTCTGAACTGAGGAGAAACCTGGGGGATAAGATTCCGAATGAAGTATGGGGGGTATGAAGTTTAGTTTTACTGAGACTGAGGAGGTATGTATGATATTGACTCGATGTGGGTGAGTATATATAGTTCGTAGGAACCCTGTCTATAAATGGCTTGAAGACACAGCGTCAAAAATGATCCTCTCTTACTTTCTTTCAGCGGCTGCTGGTGCAGCTGCATTGAGTCTGGACATTGCCTCTTCCGGGGGGAATCAATCTAGTTCTTTGCTCTACGGACTCCTTTACGAGGTACAAATCTCTGTTCAGATGGTCCACTAAGAATCAGAACCAGAAAGGCTCACATTGCTATACATTAGGATATCTACCACTCCGGCGATGGGGGTCTTTACGGTGAACTGATCCGCAATCGGGCCTTCCAGGGCTCCTCTGCGGACGGTGCTGCCAGTCTAGTCCGCAACACAGACTATTGGCATGCAGTAGGAGGAGTTTCCTTGTCAATCGATACTTCCTCGCCGACGGTTTCGTCCAGCCTCCCCTACCAGCTGCGTATGGACGTCCCGGCCGGTGCAGAGGGGACTGTTGGGTTTTACAACGACGGGTTTTGGGGCTTTGATGTAGCTGCTTCCCAAGACTACATTGCTAGCCTGTATATGCATGGAAATTACTCGGGAGTCATCCAGTGTTCATTTCGCAGTAGTACAAGTGATACGGTCCTTGGATCAACGAATATCACGGTGGATCAGACCTCGTCGGAGGGATGGGTGCAGACGTTTTCCCCTACTTTCAACCCAACACAGACTGCGGCGGACGCGAACAACACGGTTTATTTTACCTTTGATGGGGCACAGCTAGCAGGGGAAAGTCTCTACTTTAATCTCTTCAGTGTGTTCAAGCAGACCTACAAGAACCGCAGTAATGGCGTGCGGACGGATCTTGCAGAGGCACTGGGCGGTCTTGGGACCAAGTATATTCGGCTTCCTGGCGGTAACAACATGGAAGGATTGGAGTCGCCATATTATTGGAAGTGGAACGAGACGGTTGGTGATTTGACGGATCGTCCCGGACGTCTAGGGACCTGGGGCGATATCAACACTGATGGATTTGGTCTCTTGGAGATGATGCAGATGGCTCAGGATCTGGGACAGGAGGTGATTCTGGGGGTTTGGGCGGGACTGTACCTGGATGGGGAGGTCGTGCCAGAGGCTGACTTGGATCCGTACATTGATTCCGTGATGGACGAGCTGGAGTTTCTCCTGGTGGGTTCATACCTATATTTCGTATGAAGAGACGGAGCTAACAGTCACAGGGCGACTCTTCTACTACATACGGCGCTCAACGCGCAGCCCTGGGATACCCATCTCCTTTTACATTGACATGGATCGAGATTGGCAACGAAGACTATCTAAACGGGGGGACTGACTCGTATTACGCATATCGCTATCAGGCCTTCTACGATGCGATCCACGCCACTTATCCATCCATCAACCTGATCTCGACCATTAACCCCAATCCCGTCACCACAGCCGGCAGTCCCCTTGATCTGCACATCTACGGCAACGAGGACTACTTTGTCTCACTCTTTAACACCTTCGACCAAGCCAGTCGGACCTATCCAGTGTTCATCAATGAATACGCCGCGACCAACACAGGGGGTAATACGGACGGCCAAGTCGGCGCTCAGACACTGGGTATGGCCTGCGCCGAGGCAATCTTCCTCTTGGGCTGCGAGCGGAACTCCGATGTCGTCGTAGGCTCTGCGTATGGCGCTCTGATCAAGAACTACAACGAAGAGCCCGGCACAGTTGCCGTCATCAAACACACGGCGAACGAGGTCCTCTACACAATGAGTTACTATGTCCAGCAACTTTTTGCTGCGCATATGGGCACTGCTACTCTCCCCGTGACGGTCACAGACGGGGAACTGGGACCTGTCTACTGGTCGGCCACAACCGATGGGTCCCAGGCGATTCTCAAATTGGTCAATTACAATGGGACTACAGGTGCCTCGAACGCGGTACAGATTACGTTTGAGGGGTCGACGAAGAATACCGCGACGCTCATCGCCATGACAGCTGCGAGCTCTACTAGTGTCAATAATTTGCCGTCGATGGGTGGTGAGGCGAGTACGATCACAACCACAACACTGACTGGGAGTGAGGGCACATTCTCAGTTCCGTTTAGCAGCGCGTATGAAATTGTTATTCTGTTAGTGTAGGAGAGTGTTTTATTGGGGGGGGGGGTTCTTTTCCAGCATGAGGAAATAAATCCATTTTTATATGTCAACTACTACATAAGGCATTGATTTTAGTTACGGACATTCTCTGCGTATAATTCAAAGGATTGAAATGAGTAATGAATAATAAATTAAGCACTAGTTAACTATCAAATATAAAACCCCTAACAGCTCAAACCAAACAGTAAAACAAAGTAATTCGGAAGCTTTCCATAACACAATCTTACAGCGCGCCATCACGCCGGAGCCATATCAACATGATAATTAGATGGAAACCTTGGAAGCCAAGAATTTGGCAGCGTCGTCCGCATATAACCCGTAGGTCAAATGAGCAGGAGTGATAATAAGCGTTCCATCGCAGACCAAGTCTCCCGGGGCACAGATCACCTTGGTCTGGCTTGGAGGATAGCCAGGGATCCTTCCGGAGTCCTGTAGATTCCGGGTAAAGCCAAAGAGAACGACCCCCTTGACTTGACTCTTCAGGGTGTTGTCAAGTTCTTGGATAGCGTTATCTATGACGGCAGTTCCTTGACTGTGGGTTGGTTGGTTGGTTGGTTTTTTTTTTTTCGCTGTTAGCGCTTTTTTGGCTTTCACGGGAAATGGAAGAGCATACGAGTATCCGCCTGCCACAATCTGCGTCTTGGGGCATTTGGTAGCAGCGAGCTTGAACATCTTAACCGCCTCACCGATAGCCTGGGGGCTGGTGTTTTCCGGGAACAAATTAGGGATCAAATGTGCCGTGTATGCTCCTCCCACGCCCTGGCAGGCGACATTCTCGGTGCCCAGGTTCTTCTTGAGGTCATCACAGGTAGGCATGCCAGCGATCACACCCTGGGGCAGAACAGTCATTAGTGAGTAGGGAGGGCGCATGAAGCGCTAAAAGTCCGGGATATCATACCATGTTACCCAGCTCGATAGAGCCACGGGCGAAAATCAAAGTGACAGGCTTGCAGATCCCATTCTCCAGGTCATTCGCATTGAGGAGGTCGAGCACTTGGGCTCTCTCTACGGGCATTGGTGCTGCAATAGCCAACGCTGCTAAGGCACTGATAACAAAGGCGCGGAGAGTCATGTTGAAAGATACTTGGTCCTGGGGATGATTGATTGCTGTGAGTCTGATCTGGTAATACCATGTCTTTTCCGCTGGGGATGGTGGTCTTTAAATATTTCTCCGTCTTTGCTCCATCTTCGACGAACGTCGCCTAATGCTCTCGAATATTCATGATCGATGGCTGCATGACCCTATTCAGATCGTAGCCGGACAAGCCCCGGCCTGAAAAGAAGAGATAGTGAGGATATTCATGACAGAATGAGACTAGACAATACGACTCTACACGGCAACCGGACGAGTGTCGATCTAAAGGAAAGAGGCAGAAGGTATTCACAACGGGATGAAACTAGGCCAATCCAAACCTGAAGACCATAGATACATTAACTCATGTATGCGGAGGCTTTTTATGTCTGGGAGGGGGGATAAATAGATTGGGTTTACTATAAAATAGGCGACAACATATGCCACCCCGACCCGCAACGCTCTATAATAGTTCACTATATAAAATGCTGTATGAGTCTAGTATCTCAACAAGCAAGCTAGTAGAGGAACCCCCAAGATACATCAAGATTTTTGAAGAGAACAAGAGTTTAGCAGCCACCACTTGTCTTTAGTGAACAGGATACGTTGCTCTCTATCTACGATGATGATCTCTAGGCTGGGCTTGCCTTGGCTGCCGCTAAATTCTCACTCCGGCCCAGCCAAAAGGAAATAGTCACGGAGATATACTCCGTATGACTCGAATTCTTCAACCCGGGGGATAGCTGGTAGAGGCATTGCATGCATGGTGTGGGACCTCGTATTCCCGCTCAGAACTCAATCTAAACAGCCCTCACCGTCAATATACCCACAGTTTCGCAATGAAGGTGACCTCCTATCAATCGAGGGCAGAGGTTGAATCCGGTGATTCGTATTCTTAACGCGGTTCCCCGTCCTGGACATCTTTTCCAGATTGGGCGATGCTCTCCCTCTCTCTCTCTCTCGGTTTGACCGGGGTTGAAGAAGACAAATAAAACACTGGAGCCATTTAACCCCGGCCTACCACTTACCTAGTTCCTCCGTCTTTTCCCCGGAGATCAAGGAGCGCGACTAGGGCCATGAACTTGCATATATTGCGTGGATTTAGGGACATATCAGAATCTATTCACATGTTTCTACGCGTTAGTTGAAGGATTTTACCAGTGAGCTGTCTGGTGTATGAGCTTGATCAACCCCACAACCCGTGCAAATTCACGAGTGACAGATACTACTCCAGCTAGGATACAGCCGAAGCCATCCGGCAAGTCGGAACGGAATGTGATTATCAATGATAAGACCGCATTTGGCTTACTATAATAATCATGAATCCCGGGGGGGGGGGGGGGTGTATAATCTACTGGTCTTCTCCGGAGTATAGCCTGGGCATATTAACGCGTCATCTGATATTCTGTTGGAATTGCTCAAAATCAAACTCCCGAATACCCCGTATATGGATCCAAAATGACACCAGTGACGAACGGTAGAAGGGTCTCGAGAACTACCCCTGCAGGGAAGGATTTGATAGAGCTGACTTGGTGAACCCTGCAGCCCGCCTAGCTATGGACTCCGTATGCATGCAGGTCCATACATACATTCACCCTACAGGCTTTCCCATCCCCCCCTTTTTTTTTTCCGGGGCAAGAGCCAAGGACTTAGGTATCTTACGACGGATCCATGGGCTTAAACCCCCGTTTAAATTACGCATTTTGACCGGGGAGCACTGATATTGCCACGGATGTCTTACCTATACGGAGTAGACGTAAGTCTATCCTGGTAGTTGTTAGCTAGCACTCAATAAGGTCGAAAATAGCAGATTACGGAGTACCATCTGTCAATTCCTGGAGACCGTGTCCAAGGGTGGCCCTGGCGGATAGTCCAAAGATATGTATGTATATACCGAGGTAGCTATATGCATGCAATTTTCTATGATTTCCCTCGAATGGAAGCCGCAGCAACTGGACACAAAGAGAAAATCTACACCTTACACCTTGTAAACGAATCATCTTAATTTAGTTCACTCAGAGTCGGGTACATATTTCTTCTGTGCGGGGTGTTCATCCTGCTGCCTCCAAGACAGACTCGGGGATGAGCGGCCAACCTTTCAGTTGTGAATCTTGTTGCTAAGTCAAGTGTGAAACCTCCATGGATAACTCACATCCTTGCTTTCTTTCTTCACAGGGCGAGGGATCAGGAAGCTGCAGCACTAGGGTTTCCAGATCACCAGCAACCCTGTTCCAACCTACCTTCGCCGCCAGATGAACCATGTGAAAAGCCGTCGTCCAAGCCCCAAAGTCCCCCAAAGACAAATGAAACTTACAATTGAACCGTCGGGGATTATGAATGCTCTGACTGTTCCTGCAGCCGATCCGTCCGTCGGCATTTTTTTTTTTTTTTTTTTTGCACAACTATGTGTTTGATGACTCTACGGCTCGTCGTGTCCAACTGACCTCCTCCCAACTCGCCGGGCTATGCGAAGTCGAGTCGCGCGGTTCACTATGCCATTGTCAGCTGTCGGGCTGGCAATCCTCGCTAATAGAAGAAACACTTCTCGGGGAAGAGTCGAAGCCAGAGCAGAGTACGCCCAAGGCGTTGCATTTGCGGCTGCTTTTCTGGAGTTATGGGACTGTCGGATCTCGTACAGTCCTGCAGACCAGAAGTGAATTCTCGTATATAGAAGACTTGGTCGGCTTCATCGCTGACCTCAGTGACCTCCTCGCGGACGCGAAAAGGAATGAATGGGCCACCCGACCCTGGCAATTTTGCACTCTGTTGCATGCCAAAGGGGCGGAGAAGTCTGATACATATCAGAGCTCGATCAAGTCTCTATCAGTGGATATTTTCCTGAGGGTGCCGTTCTCCATCGCTATGCAGTTCACAGCCTCGCGCCGGGACCAGAATTTAACGAGGTCTGGCGGTTGTTTAGGGGGGCTATTATATATCTCGTGGCCCCTCCTACGTTGCTGCTCGTGTCCAGCCATCCGGCACTCCGCTTCGTGAATGGGCAGCTGCCCGACTGGAATACAATTGGAAATAACATGGGGGATAGGCCAGGCACTACTCATGGCCAAGGTTGTAAAGGGGGAGCTTGCGCCGGGGATCTTGTCTGTGTATGGTTATTGTAATTCTTACTCTTCAGGCCTGTAATCCGCGTAGTTGGGCATAGCCAATCCGTAGGTAGAAGAATAACTACACGCCAGTTAAGATTTATCAAACCCTCCCAAGATACTTTATCGAGGAGAAGTGTGTCCATGGAACAGTGGCTAAGAATATATATATAAGGTCGCAAAACTCAAGCTGATCTCATCTCATCATCCGGGATGTTTCTTTGTTTCCTAATTTGGCAACAATAAAACCCTCACAGCAGATCAGATTCTATTCACGCCTTCTTCAGGAAAAAGGAGGGAGCCTCTTAACTAAAATAAAATGATATAAAAATACAAATAAAAGATGTTTCTTTATAATGCAGTAACCCAAGCCACCCACCCACTCTGTGATGCAAGTGTTAAATCCTACCCTTCTCCAAGACACGCAGAGAAAAAGAAAAAAAATGACCAAACCCAAGCTCAAAGATCACCACCACCACCATCACCTTCTACCTCAAAATGATGAATCAGAATCGGAATCCCACCACCCCAAACTCGACCCCGAATCCCACCGCCAGTCCCCGTCCAAATCCAAAGCACCCAAGTCCACCCCGAGCATTCTACACCTCACCCTGCTAACCACCTGCACACTGCTCCTCCTCACCTTCGCAATCCTCATCATCGGCCCCTCTCGTCTCCTCCCCGCGCTCGACATCACCGAATGTGCAGTAACTCCCGACGCAACCAACCCGCATCTGAGAGTGTACGCCGACATCCCGGATCTCGAACGAATCCCGGGATCCGCACCGCACCAGCAGGAACATGGACATGGACATGGGTATGAGCCTAGAACCTGGGAATCCATGCTCATCCCCCCAAGTGGCGGCGGGATCCGCATCCTCCCCGAGACCATCGCGGACCCGTCGCCCGAGTTCCCGGCCCCGAACACTACCCACAAGTTCGGACACGGCATTGCCATGTTCCACCAGCTGCATTGCTTGATTGTGCTCCGCGGGGTGGTTTTCCCGGAGGAGGGCGCGAACTCCACGAGGAGTACGAGTCACCATGGGCATGGCCATGGCGGTGCTTTGCGGGGGGATTTGGAGCATTGGGCGCATTGTTTTGATTATATTGCTCAGGTATTCCTCTCTCTCTCTCTCTCTTTCTCTCTCTCTTATGTTTGTGGATGTGGTTTCTGGGTTGATTGTGTTGGAGAAGCTAACCGGTTGTTCGGTAGGCCCTGATTTGTGCTGCGGATGATACCGTCGAGAGGACCAAGAAAGTGGTCGAGGACGGGAGAGCGTATTGGCATGTTGATGGCGTCGGCGCTATGCATCAGTGTCGGAATGCGAGGGCGCTATGGGAGATCTCCATGCGGGCGGATCAAGATCCCGTGGACATGTCCTCGTGGGCCGGGGCAGAAGGAGCGCGAGAGTTCTTTGCAGAGGAGTTAAAATCTCCATATCAGTATGATGTCTCGGATATCTACTTCGCCGGGACTCATGATCTATAATTGTGTGTGGCTTTTGATGCTATGGATGGGTGGGGGAGTTATGTACAATCTGTATCAAAAAGAAAGAAATAGTCCCGTTAAAATCTACTGGATGACCACCGTCTGGTCATAGTAGAGATCACATGCATGTGGATGCTGCAGACAGTACTTAGGAACCAATGGAGCGGCCATCACACCGTTCGTAACCAAATACTCGCGGAAGTTAAGGATACGCTGGGTCATCAGGGTAGTACGCTTTTTGCCATTGGCGTCTCGGTTGCCAGACCACACCAGCTCGGCAAGAGCTGCAGCACGAGGCCAGAACATGGGAGAGACGTTCACATCGTCAACCTGCTCGGACCAGAGCGGGGCGGTAGCACCGATGACATGCTGGGCCTGCGCATCGGTGAGGTTCTGCGTGAAATCGTAGTCGTAGATGCGCTGCCAGGTCTTGTAGGGAGCGCACCACGAGCCTCCGTTGCCTCCCCAGTTAAAGTTCGGCGTGCTTGCATCCGGGTTGGCCATCACATCATACCTGGGGTCATTGGTGACGAACCCTCCGTGGCCACAATCCAAGTACAAAAAGTCAGACGAGGACACAACCACGTCGTAGCCGTTAGCCGTGAGCTTATGAATGTTGTCCAACCCATTGTTCCAGCTTTGCATCACAATGTCTTTGGGGACGTCAGGCGCCGCCTCGGTGGAGAGTACGACGTCCTCCCACATCACTAGACGGCGGGATTTGGTCACACTGCGGAAAATTGGTACGGCTTGGTCAACCCAGTGTTGCAGCAGGTCGTTATAGGTGCGGGATGAATCCTCAGCAAACCATTCGGTAACATAAGTGCTGAAGTTGAAGCAGTTGGGCTGAATTTCGTCACCACCGACATGGAACCAGTTGTCAGGGAAAATACCCGAGAGCTCAGTGTACACATCCCGGACAATATCGTACGTCTTGGGGTTGATGATATCCAGCTGGCCTGGATTGGGCTCGACAGCCGTGTGCAGCGCCCAGTTGTCATTCGACCACCACGAGTCTACACAGGTCACAATATCAGGGTCAACCTGTTTCCAGCCGGAGGAGGAATGGCTAGGCATGTCAATTTCGGGGATCACTCGGACGCCACGGGCGCGAGCATACGCGACGATGCTGCGCATGTCCGCATGCGAGTAAATCTCCCGGGGCGAATAAGCGTCACGGGTCATCTCCGGGTGGGAGTCGATCTGTATAGGCCACGACTGCGTGTCCCCCATGTGCCAGTGGAGGACATTGAGCTTGGAGAGGGCCATGCCGTCAATTTGCTCGTAGATTTTGCCCCGAGACAAGAAATTGCGCCCAGTATCGATCATAATTCCACGGTAGGGATAAAGAGGCGAATCCTCAATGTGAACTGGCTGTTCAATAATCAATCCCCCCTCGCCATTCGAGATGACCAGCTGCTGGAGGGTAGTGAAAGCATGCAGCGCACCCCAAACAGTTTGCGCCTTAATGGCAATTCGACTGGCGCCATCCACGGTGAGAGTGTAAGACTCATCCACGCCATGCTGGAGATCAGCCTTGGTGTCTGTCACATTGACTTCCACGCACTGTAGGGGGGGATTGGAGCGCTTGTTCTTGCTAGAGGCCGACGGCGTCGCAGTTGGGAACGACTCAAAGGACGAAATGGGTGATTCCACCGCAGCGGGGACCCATTGGAGAGACACAATTGAATCCCAAGTCCGATTCCAGGCATTCGAGAGAATTCCCTCCTTATCCCCCGAGACGCGTAAGACTGGAGTGGCCGCGAGCGATTTGGGACCAGACGAGCCCCAAGAAATGCTGCGAGGGGCTGGTAAGGGATCAACTCTGACAGCAGCGACCGAAGTCACCGCGATTAATACGCGGCACAAGCTCGAGAATAACATGATAGTTAGATTAAACCAATGGTGGGGAATTGGGAGCTAAGAAAGAGATAGTTATAACAGGAATCAAAAGTCAGCGGCGCCGCTGATCAACTTAGTTACTTCCTCCCTCCTTATGTATGGATTGATCCGCATTCCAACCAGCTGCCGGTAATACCTAGGCTGCATGCACGATGCTTCCTTCCTTCCATTTCAATTGCCCCTGTGACAGTCTCCTAGATTCCCACTTGTCTATCCTTTACCAGGTATGTAGATGGATGATCAGGGATGGAGTCACCCCTTAGCTTCCGGATCCCAATCTATGCATCCAGATCCCATACTCTGAACTCGCGCAACCAACTATAGTGCTAAGTGCTTTGAATCTAACCAAAACTCTTCATTATTGACATCCTACCAAATCAACATCATCATCATCATCATCATCATCATGGAATGAAACATTCCTTACGTCCGGAGTACCGTGGTTGCGATCTGGAATGCAACTCCACGCTATTGTTAGGCCGGAGACTGAATACTGAATACGTCTATATTGCATGATATGATGTCTCGAGTCAAGTGTCTCCAAATTAAAAACGGGGCAGTATATATATATATATATAGATAGATAGATTTCTCTCGTATTCTATACGACACGCAACCTAAGCAGCTAGCTGGGTCGATGGAATGGGTGATTTACAGGCTCGTATCTGGTAGGTAGACATTCAAATTCATTCATGAAAAAAAAAAAAAAAACAAAATTCCCAGCCTATCAATGTGAAGCTGCTTCTAATTTCGTCTCCAACTCCATCCCCTCCCTGAATGCCTCCTTCAAGGCGGCCATTTCTTCCGATGAGGGTGCAACGCACGGCCGGCGCGGCGGCAGGCCGTATCCCCGGTAAGACTGAAGAGCGCTCTTGACCGCAATAAACCCACCCTTGATCGCGTGCCAGTCCGCACGGGCCACGATTGCCTGCACCTTCTGGGCTTCCTCGACGCGCCCAGCACGGTAGAGGTCCATGGTCTGGACGCAGGTGCGCGGGATCAAATTGGCCGTGCCGGCAATGACACCCGCCCCGCCCGCGATGAGCGTCTGCAGGGTGAAATCGCAGGATCCGCCGAAGGTGAGGAAAGGCGGTTCAGCCTTGGCTGCGATGCGGGCGAGCTTACCGGTGTTGCCGCAGGTGAGCTTGGTCCCCACGATGTTGGGATGCTGTGAGAGAGTGAGGATGTCGTCGCAAGAGAGATCAAGGCCTGCGGCGGCGCCGGGGAAGTTGTACACGAGCACAGGGATGGGCGATGCATCTGCAACGGCGCGGAAATGGTCGAGCATGGCGCTTGTCGAGACCAGGGCCTTGTAGTAACTGGGGGGCAGGACAAGAACATAGTCGCCGCCTGCATTTGCGGCGTCGATGCAGAAACGGATGGTTTCGCGTGTGGAGGGGGCGCCGCAGCCCACGAGGAGGGGCATAGCTGCGGCGCCGTTGGAGTCTAGAGCACTACGCGTGGCAGCTGTGATGAGGTTGCGCTCTTCGCGATCAAGGTGTACTGCTTCGCCGTTGCTTCCTTGCACGACGATGCCGGCAACTCCACTCTTCGCCAGATAGGCGGCATGCTTTTCAACGGTGGAGATATCAACGTCCTCGTTGGGGGCAAAAAAGGCCACTGTAGGAACGTAAACACCAGGAACGAGGGGTCTCGGTGCCATCTGGAAACAGTTAGACAACCATTGAACCTGCATTCGGGGGGGACTTACGACGTGCCTGGGATCAAACTCGCAGCTATAGAGAGTGGTTTGATGAGAGAGGAGACCGGAGAGAACTATAATCATGATACTTTACTATATCAAGTGGAATAATAAGGGAATATATACAAGAACGAACAGGTTTGCAACCCCCACGCAACCCCACAAGAAGAGGGGGTCAATTCTTCTGCATTATATGGAGCAATATATGATGATGATGATGATGATGATGCTCTTACCCCCACGCAGCTTCTCTTTGGCCTTAATATGGTTAATAGGTATAGGCTCGGTTGATATGCCTCGGGTATCCTTGCCATGTCTCGAGAACTAGCTCTTCAAGTTAGGGTTTGGAAGGGTAGATGAATGGCTTGAAAGGTAGAAAGGTATCGTGACTGAGAATAATATGTTGATTCTGCTGAGATGTTGAATCAACTCATAAAGACAAGACAGATGGGATAATGAATATTATCTACGTATGCTACTCTCTAAATTGTTGTTATTTCTATACATTCTTTCCACCCTGACGCTATTCAAATGCAGTAGTTGGCCGCATTCTTCAGCATACTACGCAGAGGTAACCACAGAATATAGAGAGAGAGAGATAGTCTATATATTTAAGATATTATAACTAAATAATAATAATAACATGTGTAAATGACTCTTTCATCACCCATGATGAGTAGTAGGATCGATAGAATTGGTCTGCCAGGTTAGAATCGGAGAATACCATACCGTACCATACCGTACCATACCGTACCGCAAGAAAGAAAGAAAAAAACACGCGACAAAGCTTCAAAAGTTGGCCGAATCGAGTAATTGCAGTGGTCTCCCCCTTTCCGTCTCTTTCAGCAATTAGAATGGATGTGATATGATCCAGCACAAACAGACTGCCCACCTGCAATCTTCCTTTCCTCCCCACTCTACCATCTGCTAATGACCTCCACCGCCCTGATGGCTGTGCGATCCAGGTCGTCTCTCCGTGTCTCGTTGCGACAAGATCCCAACGACGCTGCCGAGAACCTCCTCCACCAGCACTCTCCCACAGACCATCCTCCTCCATCCAAACGATTGCGCCTTCATCCTCCGCCCGCGCGCCGGCGGAAGAGCTCGCCAGATCTATTAGATACCACCATCGAGAACACCCCCTCCTCCGCCTCGAAACTCACGCTTGTTCGGCGTTCTTCAGCGCGACCCCGACCGCCCTTTGGTGCTTCCGCTCCCTCCACATCGTCCCTCCCGTCTTCGTCACCCCATCCACCACCACCTTCTAGCACCCCCGCGCCTGGAACCGCCGTCCCCACCATCATGGTCCTCCTGATTCTCCTCCCTCGGCGGCTCTATACTTGAATGGTGGCCGCGAATCTCCTGATCCTCTCGACACCATTTCCCCGGCACCCTCCGTGCCCGTTCCCCCCCCCAAGTCCTTTCCCCGGGCCTCCTCCCCTCACGGAAGTACACCCGCCCCCACTCAACCCCGGCGTCGTGTTGCGCAGGCCCCTCAATTGGGGCCCGAGCCCGAAGAGCCAGTCATCCCTCCCTCTAATCGACCCGCGCGAGGAAACATTTCCCCAACTGAGGGCGATACAGACTCACTACTCAAACCCATCCTCCCCTCTGCCGGAACGGCTAGTCCCGCTGTGCCGGAGCAACGACGGTCCCTTCGCTCCCACGATGGGGGGTCGAGGGCAAGAAGTGAATTGGCGCTGTATTTCCCAAACTATGAGGAAGTTCTGAGCCTAGAACCTCCAAAGACAGGTAAATCAATCGATCCCCTGTGTACTATCGCAGGCGTCAGTCCTTTGGTCGCAATCATGTGCTAATTCTTAACTGATTGACAAGAGTTCCTCGCCGGCCCTACTATTATTAAGTTAATAGACGACCTTACCGAACCTCCTCTTCCCGCCTCTACGTTGTCCGTACCTGATGCGGATACTCCCTTTGGGAATCCTCTCATCCAGCTCCACGGTTGTGAAGTCATTACCTTACCGGATCCCCTAGTGGGTTATAGTGCCGCATCAGGAAAGGATGAAGACCCCCTCAACGAGGAGCACTATTTCAAAGCTCACCGAAGGAATGAACGACAGGAAAAGCAGCTCCGCAACATTGAGCGCGATCGGGCGCAGCACGAGAAGCAGCACCTGGATCGTCTGCTTGATGAGCTTCAGAGTCACGATTGGCTTCGTGTGATGGGAATTACCAGCCTAACCGATCATGACAAGAAGCTCTATGAGCCGAAACGTGATTATTTCGTCCAAGAGATCTCCGCTCTGCTCCAGAAGTTCAAGATCTGGAAGGAGGAGGAGCGACGACGCAAGCTAGAAAAGGACAAGCCTTCGTCCTTCCCCTCAGATATCGCGCAACCTCCCGAACCTACCCCGCAAGCAAAGACCTCTGTCAACCATCCAAATAACCCAGATGAACCCGACGAAATGCTTGGGTCCACACCCTCCAACGCTCCTAGTTCCGGCGAGCCATCGGATACTAACGATGTTGACGCCTTGGCAGCTCGCCAACTCCTCCAAGAAGCGCGCTCCGCAACAGCCGGAAAACGCCCTAAGCCCACCAACGAAGGGCGCAAGAAGCCCTCGTCGACGGTCCAACCCGAACCGGAAACCCCAGAATCACCCCCGCCGCCTCTCCTCCCCCCGCCACCTCCTGAACCCGAGAAACCATTTACTTCTTTCTTCTCTAAACCGCATGTACGTGAACTCGCCATGTCGAAAACCCGCAAGGGCCGCGCCCGCTTGGCATTTGGCCTCCCGCTGCCGGAACTCGAGGAGCGCGAGTTCGAGCTTCCATCGGATATCTTGACCCCAGAAGCTATCGCCTCCTGTCAGCGGAAACGAAGGCGGATGAAACGTGCAAGCAAGGGGTGATGGATTTACGTTGTATTCTTTTCTATTCTCTGGTTCTCTGGCCCGTTGAATCTGAGTACATGATATGATGTACTTTGTGATATGGTGATGTCATCACCCACAATCCCCGGGTTCAAATTCTTTTTTATTTTTTTTTTTTCGATGTATGATACCTCACCGAATACAATTATATCAAATTTCCATATTCTTAGGTTCCTTTTTGTCTCTATTCATAATTTTTATACGTGTAGTACCAAGGAGAAAGAAGGGGGGTACCCATCATGTATCAAGGTTTATTATCCAGAGAACACAGGGCTGTGCTATATTATGCAATGCAATCCAAAGCCAAGCGAGGTTATTCAACGTAGCTAGGTATAATAGCGGGTATACCCTATATATACAAAACAATGCTGTGTGCTTTTGGTACAGTCGTGCACGCACAGATGCAACGACATTGGAAGGAAAGTTATGTGATCACGACCAAAAAGAAAAGAAAAGAAAAGAAAAGAAGAAGAAGAAGAAGATGGACCCAATCGAAACGCCAATCCGGAAAAGCAAACCCCAAGAAACCCCAAGAAACTCAATATCGCACGAATATGCATTAGTAGGTGTATTTGACGTAAGGCATAATAATAATATAATAATCTATGCGTTATTCGCGCAGGAGAAACTGGCGCTGCTTGGGTTGTCGTGGAGGGCTTTTCCAGAGACCCAGAGACCGAGGCCGCACTGTCAATTTCCATTTCTATTAGATACGATTCTTGATTAGGAAAGAGGGAAAGAGAAGAACGTACTGTTACTGCAGCGACGGTGATGGCGAGGAAGTTGAGGAACGTTAACGCAATCTTCTTGGGGGAGGACCACCATAAGCCCCAGTTCATGTAGAGCCAGAAGATACCGCTGAGACCGTAGGTGAACCAGCTGGCAAAGAGGGCAGTCTACAGTATTTGTTCGTAAGCAGTGTGCTTTGGGGGAGTAGATGGGAAGAAGACTTACGATCAAACTGAGCAGGTTGCCAAAGACAGGAATCGCTTCGGCGATGATCCAGGCGAGGACCCACAAAGCGAGGGCAATGCCAACCCAGGACCAGACGGCAACAAAATCGCGCTTGTGCATGCGGTCGGTACCGCGGAAGATGCGAAGATAGACAAACTTGAAGGCGACGTGGCCATAAATCACACCAGCGATGACGATCTTTGATATGTTAGCCCAAGCACGACCAAAAGAAACAGAGACACAGAGAGCGTACGGTAGGAAGAGCAATGCCATAGGCAACTTTGGAGATAATTGGGCTGGCGGAACCCAGAGCAGGCGAGGTGACATCTGCACCGGCGAAACGGTAGATCACAACCGCGGAAATGATGTACAGGGTGATATCAACGCCTTGGAGCAGACACAGGGCCTTGGGGAAATCGCGGGGGTCCTTCAACTCCGCGGCAAGACCGAAGAAAGCAGCGTGTCCAGCTAAGATTGGTTAGTTAGTTGGTTTCATTTGGGACGAGGATGGGAGACTGCATACAGAAAGCAAAGACGATGTTTGTCACAGCACTGAAACCGTGATAGAGGTCGGTCTTGACAACGGCTTCAACGGCGCCTCCTGGCTTCGAAACACCCACTCCGATCATGCAAACGAGAACAGCGGTCATGATACTGACGAAGGAAACCAGCGAGAGCCAGGACACTTTCGCCAGAGTGCGTGGCAGAGAGAGAATGAAGGAAATGGCCATTCCTACAACGCCAAAAACAATCGAACAGGTTCCGTGGCCGGTAATGGTGTTCATGGCGATGGTAAAGGTGAGAAGATGGCTGGCCATAACGAAGACGAAAAACAGCATCTGAGCGACACTCAAGATCTCACGACCCCAGCGTCCACCCAGGACCTCTCCAGCGTCGGCCATATTCATAACCTGGGGGTATCTCAATTTGAATTGCCCGATGACGAAACCAGTGTATGACGCAAGCAGACCCAGCGCAACCATAATGATGATGGCTCTATAGTAGAGGTAGTCGGTATTAGCGATTTGTTTCTTTCCTTTTCAGGATACCACAGGATCAACGCGAGAGGAACATACGGAACAAGACCCAATCCAGCAACAGCAGCAGGAAGGGAGAGAACACCCAACGAAACCGTCTCAGCCACCATGAGCAGACCGCATTGCCTATTCACGAACAACATCAGATCACCAACATCTATGCGATTGTAGGGGGATACCATCGTTGTACATACCACCACTTCAAGACCTTATACTTGACCTCGGCAAACTCTTCATCACCAAAGGCATCCTGGGGATAGGGAGGAATTGCGCTCTTCTCATCCATGTATAAGGAAGACTCATCCGCAGCGAGATTCTTCTCCTGACGAACATCGAGATCATTCGTGACAGGAGTCTCTGATGAGATTTGAGTACTCATGGTGAGTGTATGTGTAGAGAAAGACGAAGAAAGATCGACGGTGGGAAAAAAAAAAAAAAGAAAGAGCGCAGAAAACAAGCAAAAAAGATCGAGAACCAAGTCCACGAACAAGAAGGAGGAAGAGGAGGAGGAGAAGATGGAGAGAAGAAGTTTTAAAACCTCAAGGAAGGAAGATCAACGCCACGAACAAAAGTCTATTAGTTAGGATGCTATAGAGTCTGCAGAATTCAAGAAAGTTCTCTGGTCGAGCGCCACCGGAGTCCAGATCGTATGGTTCCAAGTGGGCGGATGGAGTCAACTTAGTGTGCCAGCACGAATGAGAACCGCGAGACGTAACAGAAATCCCTTGGATGGAGCGTGGCAGACGTTGAAGTTTTGGAAAACTGGGGAAAACAGTGTCTGGAGGCCATCCGATGCCGGAGAGGATGGAGAGGATGGAGAGGATGGAGAGGATGGAGAGGATGGAGAGGATGGAGAGGATGGAGAGGATGGAGAGGATGGAGAGGATGGAGAGGATGGAGAGGATGGAGAGGGTCGTTGAATGGTCATTGTGAGAGAGAGAAAGTTGTCGATATAATAAAGATAGAAGTTGTGGCATCCAGGAACGAAAACGGGTTGCTCCGAAAGCGGATGCCAACAAATAAGATGCTGTTATTCTCTCCATACAGGTATTCCTACTAGTACTTAGGTAGTAGTTAACTCACTAGTGAGGATGTAGTTAGTTATATATCAAGAGAAAGAATATAAAGTACCCAGAGGCGGGGTTGGACAAATTAGGAACGGATCCCGGGCCTTTTCTTACACACCAGACAGATATTAGAAAATGCCATCGTTACTGGACTTCAACACTGGATCTCTCGCAGGCCCGCAAGCTGGAAAGCAATGGATCACCAACAACAGGACGACGCAGACCTGGAGCGTCCAACAACATCTCCACCGACGAACGACTCCCCTGCTGAATCCCGAAGACAATGGGATGCCCGTGAAGTGATTGGCAAGATCGCAACTACGAACTTTGCAGTTTTCTGTGTAGGATTCAACGGTATCTCTCTCTCTCATCGTTCATCCTCCTGTTTTTCTGGGTCTTCCTAATCCATGCTCACTTCCTAATGGCGGGGTGGGCTGGGGGAGAAATGTAGATGCTGCTCTGGGAGTTCTAATCCCATATATCCTACCCTCCTACGGTATCGGCCTGCTTCAAGTCTCGTACATTTATCTAGTCAACTTCGTCGGACTATTCCTAGCATCACTCGCCAATATCCATGTTTGCTCACATCTAGGGACCGGCGGGACACTCATCCTAGGGGCCACAATCCAGTGTTGCGGATATGCGTTAATGGCGTGCGCCCCGTCCTTCCCCGTTTTCCTGATCGCCTTCTTCTTCAGCGGCGCTGGCGTGGCGTTCCAAGAAGCCCAGGCGAACAGCTTTGCCGTGACCGTCCGCAACTCCCATCGCTGGCTGGCCATCTTGCATGCCGTCTATGGAGCCGGGACTATATGTGCCCCCTTGGTGGCGAACACTGTCGCCTCGCGCACTCCAACCTGGCAATTTTATTATCTGATTACCTTTGCCCTGGGGCTCGTCAACCTCTCGCTGTTGGCTTGGTCATTCCGGGATGGGCTCTTCCAGCCGAATGTCGTCAATGCTAAAGACACCGCAGGACGCGAGTTACGCGCAACCCTTCAACATCCGGCTGTCTGGTTTCTTAACGGGTTCTTCTTCCTTTACGTTGGCGCGGAGATCAGTGTGGGAGGTACGAAGGATGATCCGTTCCTAGTGATTTTTTTTTTTGGCATATGTGGAGTCCAGCTAATACTGAGCGGTACAGGATGGCTGGTTCAATTCCTGGTGTCTGTGAGGCATGGAGATCCAGAGAAAGTAGGCTACATTGCCTCTGCTTTCTGGGCTGGCTTCACTCTGGGCCGTGTTACTCTGGCAGATATCACACATCGATTCGGAGAACGACGGATGATTTTTGTATACGTAACCTTGGCACTAATACTGCAGCTTATGTTCTGGCTGATTCCCAACATTATCGCCAACGCTATTACAGTTTGCTTGCTAGGTAGGTCACAAGCATAAATGCGCGTCAGGTCGAATATGTCCCACTAAGTACGAGACCACAGGATTTTTCATCGGTCCATTCTACCCGGTAGGGCTTTACGTCCTTACCAAGGTGGTTCCCGAGGAACTTCACCTAGGGGCAATCGGTGAGTGGCCATTGGGCTTGCTATGCTTGCGGGTATCAATTGCTGCTACCTTTGCTAACACCCGTTAGGTTTCACCGCTAGCTTTGGGTCCGCTGGATCTGCTGCGTTTCCATTTTTAACTGGAGCTGTAGCTTCCCGCGCGGGGGTGCAGGTTCTGCAGCCGATAATGATAGCCTTGTTGCTTGGAGTTGCATTCTTTTGGGCGCTGGTTCCAAGACAAGAACGCATAATGCTGACGTAGGGGAGAATTCCGAGGACACATTCCAGATGCCGGTAGCTCATTACCGGATGTTACGTTTCGGTGGCGGGATCCCTAGAGCAATATAGAGGCACTATCACTCTCGTGAGATAGTTAGCACATATACTTGATAAAACTTGGTTAAGAACTCGCAGAAAAGACTAGTTCAGAGAGAAGATTTAAGTCGTCAAAGCCTTACACATCTACCAAATGGTATGGCGTTCCGACTAAGGATGATTGATACAATAATTCATCATAAAAGGGGGTTGGTGATTGGAGTAAAAATCAAAGGTAACTAACTCACCGGCACTAGAAGCTGCCATCGTGAGGTTTCTGAGCATGAAACCTCCTAAGCGACTGCAGACAAATGTCTTTGCTTTAATTTCGTAGCACGATTCGCTTTAATCCTCGTACGAGATTATCCTCCGTCTCTTGAACTGCGGCGCCTGTTTGCAAGCTGACTGCAGACTAGCACTCTCCTCACCGTAATCCAGAGGCATATCCGAAGAAGCCACCGCCCGCTTTTTCATAACTGACACGTACGGCTCGGACTTCCCCCCTTCGCAATCTTCCACCGGCTGGGTATCCTCCACCGCGATGTTCGCGTCCAGGGATGCCTTTTCTGGCTCTGTCACTGCACTTTCCTCGGGGTTTGTACGTTCAGCAGAGCTCGAGGATCCCTCCATGAGCTCCTCCTCTCGCAGCTGCTTTTCACGGAGTAAAGCATGGATCTCGCTATGTCTGAATATCCCGATTTGTTCGTCTGTAAGGGTACGTTTCACGCCATCAGGATAATAGCCTAGGCCATCATCCTCGTCATCAAATCCAGGGGTTATGGTATCATGATCAGGCTCACGTGTACGCTGTACGGGTTGGAGACTTCCACTTCCAGGGAAATGTTTAGCCTGGAAGGCCTGCAGGTCTTCCTAAGGGAGATGAAAGTTAGTCTCGCGTGGCTTCAATCGAATGGGCGGGAAACTCACAAGCGTCACTGGTGGAACTGAGATCGGAGGCATGTTATTTATGTCAATATTAGCCGTGGCTTAAAAATGAATAAAAGGCCTTTCAGCTAAAGCATCTCATGCCAAAGCTGCTTCGGGGTGCAAGTGTGTTCATCATGAACGCGGCTGAGGATTTGGTGTTACGCGGTGGAAACATACCACCTACGCTAATTTGAAACTTACTAACCGTTTGTGGTTAGTTCACATTTACATAGTAAACAGGGCACATGAGACTTTCGTGCCACATAGTTGAGGTTTTCAGCGACGAAAGTCTTATCAAAAGTTCCAATGAGAGATATGGATTACTGTATTCATTACCTTATTTGGCATCATGTTTGACCTCTCAATCCCACTCTCTACCTTCTTTGGCCAAAGGCTTCCATGTCTGCTAACTGGGACCTCCTAGAGACCATCCATTTTTCTGGCTAAAGATAAATAAACCCCTGATTGGGCACCTTGTTAGCCCTTGCGAGCTTTGTATGACATGTTCTCTTTTGGTCTAGGATTTTATCGGATGGAATAAGCTGGGATATATGTTTCGACTGCTATCTAAATTGAATACTATTCTCTAGTTCTCTAGAACATGAAGACCTATATACAAGAGAGATGCTCCTTATAAAAATAATGTTGAGCTGGAGAGAGATATACTTGAGACTTGATTCCCGATTTTTACTTTCACGCAGTCGAATCGGATTTTAAGCTCGTTGACTTTTGATAGATCTATGTTCTCCATGCTGGCCTTTTCTTCGGCAGATGGCTCTGTTAGACTCCATCCAACAGAAATATGAAAAGAGTCGGTGTAGTCGTTTGGTGGGCTAGATTTGTTCTCACCAGACCTTGCGGACTTCGGGGTTTTTGAAATGGAAGACGCAGGCTCGTAAAGCGGTGGCTGTTCAAAGAGGGCAACTGCGCGATTAGACATTCGTAATAGAGAATTCAGGGAGTCCTGAGGTGGCCTTTTCACTCGCAGCACATAGAACCACCGAGTCTTTTCAAAATTTGAAACACAGTCCAGGCTATTTGACTGGACATCAAATCTGACAGAATCGATTAGAAAAGAAACCGCTCAATTAGTGTGATGTGTCACTCACACTGATATATCAGAATCTTGAAGTGTGGCTTCAAACGTGTCCATGAACTGTTGTCTCTGCTCAGTTCGAAGGACTACGGGTCTGGAAAGGCTAATATGAAGAGGTAGTTGCGCTCCCAGGTCGCTAAGCAGTAAGCTGTGAACTCCTGTTCCCTTTCCTTTTAGAGTACTTTCGGTTTGATGGATTACATTGCTCAAGATCCCCAGCTCCTCTTTTGACGGATACCCTACCCCTATTAGAAAAACAAGGAATGAACAAGGCTGGAGGAACGTACACTCAAGGTAAATGTGGGTAGGCCAGTTTCCTGCAACATGAGGTATCGCCCTTTTACGGCCACCATGAAGACTTGGATCATCTCTGACACTGACTCGGGTGCTGGAGGCATAGAGATCATGGAATTCAGCAGGTAACGGCGGGAGTGATGAGACCTGTCGGTTGTCACTCGGAAAAGTTTGGGAAAGTTTATTGATTTTCCTAGGACGGGCTGCTTCTTCAGCACCTGACTCCGAGTCAGAATATTCCACCAGAGCCATGATAGTGGGGGAATTTTCCAGATATTCTGAGGATGTTGTTATGAAATGTTGTGTGGTCACTGAGTTGGTCGATGTTGGTAATTTTTCTCATTACTGATACGGCGCCAAGACCGCAATTTTCTTACCCATAACGAACAAAACGAACTGCGTTTGGCAGTAATCAAACTGTCAATACCATCAATAGTGTCAACAGTACTACCCAGAACTGTCGTTCTTCTTTATCATTTGAACGTTGTTAAGTCAGGCTTCGAAGACGTCTGGCAATCAGCCTTACTGAGTTGGTCACACAGAAACCAAAAGTATGGAGTTGCGTGTCGAATGAAACCTTACTGATTGATGAGGCATGGCCCCTGGCCTTTCTAAAGATGTTCAGGGGTAATTCCTGCATCACTAGTGTTCCTGACGATTGTAGCACATGCTGCTGCATGTACTCAAGCAAGACATATTTCTGTCAGGCGGAGAACTAAAATGTCGAATTTGCTAGGGCATGCTCTGCTATATATATATGCTAATGATACACCATGCTCACTTGATATGATGTACAGAGTAGGTATTATCAGTATTAGTATACTGGCCATAGTAAGCAAAGTTGATGGCGGCTGACTGTGCGGCAAGACAGGTTTATGGCCCAATTAGCAGCCATCTACGCAAGTCATTTGCATTTTCAAGTAAATGATATTGTTAAAAATGGTTTCACGATAACTGAGTCATGCTAAGATTGCTAATTCGAAGTTGTTTGGGGTTGCAATAACACAGGCTCACCATACCCATTTGGGTGCCCCTGCGCGGCTAAATCAAGACAACGGTCTCGTGCTAAGGATAAGCTTAAATTAGAGCAGGCGATGAACAATTCAAGAACAGTGTCGTTTCACACCCTGGAGAGGTTCCATCCAGTGTATTATGAACTTGATGACCCTAAAAGCAATGATGTCAGAGACATGATCTGACTCAGATTACGTGCATTCCATCGTGGTGGTGTGTGATGCCCAACATTTAGTAAGCGAGTCAGCTGATCTAGCCCTACGGTTTGACCGCCAGGGTGGAGTAGGGCGGAACGAGAATCCGGGGTGCAGAAGCACATTTCATAGAAACCAGAAAGAAACTGAAAGATTTTCAATTCAATCTTCAAGCTCTAGACCCTTAATTTCGGTCACATTTGCAGTCTATGAAGAGGAGTTTTCATCTTTTCATCATCGACGCTTGGGCCAATGCAACCGGCCTGGCCTCGTTTTCCGAGCAGTTCCAGGCGCTATACCTGAAATGGACATCCGCTAGTCCTATACAGGTCAAGCCCCGGTTTTATCGATAAGGAATCGGCCTGCCGGGACGATCATGCGTAAGTCTGTCACGTCACTCATGGTGTTGAGTAAGACTGACAGAAGAGACGAGAAAAAAAAAGTATGGATGGCGTCGTGCTCTCGTATTGCTTTCTTACAAATGGCTGTTTCTTCCCTTAGCTTTCTCCCCCAGCCTCCATCTCTCTTCCAACTATCGACCTCTTCTCATCGATCATCATCTTTCCATCATATACTTCTCTAAAACCATCCCAAATTAGCTACAAAGCGACCTATCACTTTCCAAGTATCCTCTATTAGCTACAGCTAAAGCCACATTGAGCCCCACCTTCACAGTTCTGAACAAGAGTACGCAGGATACCACTAGCACCTCGTACTATTACCCTACCTACATACATATTGTGCTCGGGCGACACTTCGCTAGTCGCCTTGCAGCCGTGCCCTGAGCACGAAACTCAACACCTATTTCTTTCCAGGCTGCCAGCTTTATTTCTACCATGCATCTTCAGATGGATCATTCCTACCCTTCTCTTTCTTCTCATCACAATTCCTATGATATGAACGTGGACACAAACATGGAGTTGGGCACTCACAACCCATATCAGCGTTTCCTGTCTCCCTCGCCCACCCGCTACTCGCTTGGGCACCAGCGTGCTACTTCCGTTCCGTCTGTCTACTACTCAGGCTTTCTTGATGATTCTCCTATCGAATCGCCCCGACGACCTAGAGAAATTTCTCCTAGCTACAGTAGCACTTCTTCCCCCCGACATTACCGCGGCCGACGTCACCCCGGAAGACACACGCGAGATTCGCAACTTGTTAATCCTGACATCATCGACCGTCTTGATACCGCCACTGGGTATCAGTACCACCACGAAGGTCCTTACGATGCTGTCTATCCAGAAAGAAACCACGACAGTCGTCAAAGCCCTCTCGAGGCCCTGAGAGAGTCAAATGCAGAGGCCCTCAAGGCGACTCCTTATCACAAAATCGTCGATTCTATCAGCCGCCATCGTCCTCTTGATGGAGTGGCCTACTATCCCCCCGGACACACGGACCGCGAGGGCCAGACCTACGAGTACGAAGAAGGTTACAACATGATGAGCGATTACGGAAATTTCATGCGCATCCCCGGTTTGGTAAGTTTTACCCTCTCTGTCGTCATTCACTCGGAACTAACATTCTTCTAGCGCTTCACAGACGAAGATTTTAAGAACGACCCATTTTACAACTCTCCACACCCAAAGCCATTTGCTTCTATCCGCCGGGCTTTCCGCCGAAGCCGCGGAGATTCCGCCTAAACTATATACCAAATTTGCTTGACATATATTATATATGAATTGGATTATTGCTCAGAAGATTACCTGTATTGAATACCTTTCCTGTACTGGAGTTGTGGAGTTAGAAAGGAGCATGTATACGTCTTTTATGTGTGTTTTTGCAAGATTCCAAGACTGAATGAAGATATGTCCCACCACCCACCTCAAGTAGAGTACTTGTCTTCGTAAGAGTAAAGATTACTCGTATCCACATTCCTCCTCCCTTAGTCGTTGCTGATTTAGTTTCCTACCACATCCCTCGCTGCACCGTGAAAGTTAACGGAGGACTATAATTCTTAATTTGTAGCCCATCTTTATGCAATACACCTGTACGTCAGCCGATCACCTGAAACGGTCTCTAGTCTGCCAGCTATTTCATTAACAATCGACGCTACCTAGTTTTCTATTATAGATATACTTGGATATATTTTGTTGGAGTGCTGCACTCAGTGAATGCAACCAGCACCACCATTAGGCGGATAGCGACACGTGACTACCCAGTGTATTTAGGCCACCGTTTCCTTCCAGATCTCCATGCTTCCTCCAAGCATCTCTTCATCTCCTAGTTAGACCCAATTGAACCCATTTCAGTCAACTTTCTACCGTTATAGTTTGACAAACCTCTTATCATATTTCGATGTTGCCAGCACACTGTCTGGAGTCACAAAAAGAAAAGGCGGTCTGCCAACATACATGTATCATGCCTATGTCAAAACATACATATGCGAGACACCTCCCCGGAAAAAAAAAAAAGAAGAAGAAAATAAAAAAAAAATATCAGCTCCGTTCGGCTCCCATATAACTGCTGAGTAAGACCATTAACACCCATTTACGGAGTAGGTCGTCGTCCTCCCTCGCTTCCTAAACAGGGTATATTCGTGCATCCCCTGCGTCCTCCACCACCACCACCATGTTCATCCATTTTGCCAGTTAAAAAAAAAAAATAAAATAAAAAAAAAACTCTTTTTTTCCTTGAAGCAGGTAATTTTGAGCACTTAAGTTCACAGACTCAGGTACCCCGGGGAAATTGCATGGTCAAGATCCAAGGTTCATCTGGGACCACCAAACGTGGCCTGACTAAGAAGTGGCGGTCCAGTTGAAAACCTCAATCCTGGGCTGGGGCCAAAAGTGCATTCCTAGTATCAATTTTCGATTCCGTTCCTTGGAGATATATTATTAATAGGGGAGTAGAGAGTTGGCTCAGTAGATACGGAGTATATATTGTAGACAGCAAGTTGGATGTTGGCAGAGCGGGACTCGGGAATACACCAAGTTCTGACTAATTGCTGCTAGACGGAGGAAAAGATGGGGATAAAAGCCACCGATAAATGAGAAATCGTATCGTGGCGGTTGGACTAAGAGAAGGATGGATGCCGGATTCAGGGTGAAATAGCAGCTTCTGTCCTTCAATTAGTTAGTTAGTTAGATGGTAGTTATTATTAAGTGGTTAATCAATAAGTAGTTGATCAATCAATTCATCAATCAACAATAAAAAACAGATCGGATGATCGTTTCTGGTCTCCCCATACAAAAACTCCGCCGCCACCAAGGACAGCTTGTCCACTTCGATACTACGACTCCTTCATACCTCCACCACATTATTGACGTTCTTTCACTTCGAATTTCCTTGCAGCATTGCGTGTGGTTTTTCTTCTTCTTTTGAACTTGGACAGTATATTGTCTGTCTGCTGTATCTGAATGGCCACGCCATCCGTTTTCTGACCTTCTTTCCATGTGAAAAGCCACTCGTTAGATCTTGGCTTATCTGACCCTCGTTGAAATCGGTTTGATTTGATTTAATTGTATTGGATACCCTGCGTACCGATATTGTTGTCTTGCAATTCTAGTTCTGCAGTGAAAATGTTCTCTGCAGCCAAAGTCTTTTACCTGGCCGTATTCGGCTTCATGAGCCTTTGCAGTGCCGACGCTCATGATCGACCACGTACGCTACACGACCATAATACATGCGCAGTAAGTGGACTGGTATACTTCTTTTGACCCTTAAAGCATTCTACTAACATAATTTGTTTGCTCAGATTAACCCCTCAGCCATGGTTTCAGACGCCTGCGTATCCTACGCCACCGTCGACCAACTTAACGATCAAGTCTACTCTCTCCTTCAAGATATCACGCAAGAAACCGATTTCTTCTCATACTACCGTCTCAACCTCTTTAACAAAGTCTGTCCGTTCTGGTCTGACTCAGAGAGCATGTGTGGCAACATTGCATGCTCGGTGAACACCATCGATTCCGAAGAAGACATTCCCTTAACTTGGCGCATGGAGGAGTTGAGCAAACTTGAAGGTCCCAAAGCAGGCCATCCAGGGCGCAAGCAACAAAAGGAGCGACCCCGGAACCGACCGCTCCAGGGCATGCTGGGTGAGAATGTTGGAGAGAGTTGTGTGGTTGAATACGATGACGAGTGCGACGAGCGGGACTATTGTGTTCCGGAAGATGAAGGGACTGGCGGGAAAGGTGACTATGTCAGTTTGGTGGATAACCCGGAACGCTTCACAGGGTACATGGGGGCTAGCGCCCGCCTGGTGTGGGATGCGATCTATCGCGAAAACTGTTTCCTGAAGCCGGTTCCCGAGATGGAGCTTTCTCCTTTCCCTCCTGTGGGCGGCATCCAGGCTGTCCAGGATTTCCGTAACGTGCTCCAGCAGGAATCGAAGCGCAAAGACTTGCCGTTGGATAATGAGTGTCTTGAAAAACGGGTGTTCCACCGTCTTATCAGCGGAATGCATGCTTCCATCTCGACACACCTGTGTTGGGACTACCTCAATCAGACTACCGGGCAGTGGCATCCAAACCTCCAGTGTTTCAAAGAGCGCCTACACAATCACCCGGAGCGCATTTCGAACCTTTACTTCAACTACGCGCTCGTGTCGCGTGCCGTGGCGAAACTGCGAAAGCACCTGGAGGGCTATACCTATTGTATTAGCGACCCAGCGCAAGACCTTGAAACTAGGGAAAAGATGTCACTCCTCACTTCTACTCTTGCAGCGCGGCCGCAGATCTTCGACGAAAACGCCATGTTCCAGGATCCTAGCGCTGCTGGTTTGAAGGAGGATTTCCGAAACCGCTTCCGCAACGTCAGCCGGCTGATGGACTGTGTGGGCTGTGACAAGTGCCGTCTCTGGGGAAAGCTCCAAGTTAACGGCTACGGAACAGCCCTGAAGGTCCTCTTCGAATATGACGAGACAAAGAATGGCGAGAACCCTCTATTGCGACGAACCGAGCTAGTGGCTCTCATCAACACCCTCGGCCGCATTTCCCACAGCGTCGCAGCGATCCGAAGTTTCCACCGCGCTATGGAAGTTGGCGACGGTGAAGTCTTTGCCATTCCGGCCGGTTCATCAGCGACGAGGAAGGACCCCTCCGGCCAGAAAACGAGACGTCTTCTGAAAGACGGTGGCTCCACTTTCTACTATGAAGACGATAACGATGAAGACTTTGTATATATCGACGAGAAGCTCCCCTGGGAGCAGCAAAGGGAGCGGCACGAAGACGACACTTTGATGGATGACATCAAGGCTGAGTTCGCGTTGGTGTGGGACACTTTGGTGTTTGTGTTGAAGAGCTGGGCGGCCATTCCTAGGACGCTGTAAGTTTTCTGTGGGATCCATCTGTTTAGTCCAGCGTAATTCTAACGAGTTTCCACGCAGGTTTGAGCTCTCTGTTCTCGAGTTTAATCGTCTTTGGAGTTATTGGCTCGGTCTTCCTGTGCCACCTAGGACTTGGAAGATCCGATTCCCAACGCCGCCAGCACGCCTCCGCGACGAGCTATGATGAGTCCCTATTAGATGTTCGAAACATTTCAATTGCTTTCCTGGCGTTAGGTTGTTAGGAGTTGAGGCATGCATGGTGCATGGCATTTGTATATTATGATAGATTTGCGCATACCATCTATCTATTTTCACAACAATTAATTTTCACTGCTAGCCCTCTAATATTACCAGTAATATCGCCTCATGAGATAACTACCTTTAGTTAGTTAATAGTTAACTAATAGTTAAAAGCAGGAACTTTTCCGTCGGTAAGATACGGTGCCTCGGCTTTTCCGGCCACATGCCGACTTGAACTTTTTCTCCACCGCTTTCCTTCCACTTCCTCGTGAGTCTTCCCGTTATCTTTCATCGCCATCGACCTCGTCCTCTCTGCTTCTTCTCCACACCTTTTCATCACCAGAATCCAGAGTTTATCTTTCTTTTAATTCCTCGCCGGGTTGTCTGGCCCTCTGGGTTGGCTTCATTCCTTCTGAGTTCCGATCCATGCGATACTGGTGAGAGAATCTCTACTCGCGCTCCTCCATGGCGTCGGTATCGCCACCCAAACCGTGGGAGAGGGCAGGCGCTGCTGCGGGTAAGGCACTTCAGAATTTGCCCCCGGCCTCATTTATTGTGCTCTGGTTTCGCTCATGCTTTATTTCACTTCAGGCACTACGTTGTCAGCATCTCCAGCGACCGCCGCTTCTACTGTGTCTCCAGTATCCCGCGTTTCGGCTGCGCCGACCGCAACAACTGCCGCTAGCACAACATCAACCGCTCCTGACCTCCCCTCCCGACCTAACACTCTAAGCACTGTTGCAAATCGCAATGCGTCGAACTACTCTCCCTATGGAGCTTCTAGATTTACAACCACCCCGTATGGCGGATATGGTGGTTATGGCACGTACTCCTCGCCCTACTCTCGCTTCGGCACCATGGGCTCGATGTACGGGGGGTATGGAGGCATGTATGGTGGAATGGGCGGAGGGATGTATGGCGGCATGCCAGGCGATCCCAACGATCCCAACAGCCTGACCAATTCCTTCAGTCAGAGCACACAGGCTACCTTCCAGATGATCGAGAGTATCGTCGGGACGTTTGGTGGATTTGCGCAGATGCTGGAAAGCACCTATATGGCAACCCACAGCTCATTTTTCGGTGAGCACAAGTCCCTTTTTCCTTACTGTACACATAGAACTAACAGCATCCAGCTATGGTCTCCGTCGCAGAACAATTTGGAAACCTGCGCAATACACTAGGCTCCGCGCTGGGAATCTTTACAATAATCCGTTGGTTCAAGACGTTGATGGCTAAAATCACCGGTCGTCCACTACCTGCCGATGCTACTGCCCTCACGCCAGCAGCCTTCGCTGCTTTTATGAGCGGCCGAGCCACACTCCCCGATGGTTCTCCTGCACCTCCACGGCCGTCACGAAAGCCGTTCTTCATGTTCCTCATTGCCCTCTTCGGTCTGCCATACCTGATGGGCAAGCTTATCAAGGCACTTGCGCGCTCGCAAGAAGAACAGCGTCAGAAGATGATGGTCGGTGCCAACGGTGAACAGGGCGCCCTAGACCCATCTAAGTTGGATTTCTGCCGGGTTCTGTACGACTACTCGCCTGAATCCCAAGAGAGCAATGGCATCGACTTGGCGGTAAAGAAGGGGGACATTGTCGCTGTGCTGAGCAAGTCAGACCCCATGGGTAATGCCTCGGAATGGTGGCGTTGCCGCGCCCGGGACGGCCGTGTTGGCTATCTTCCTGGACCTTATCTAGAGACGATTCAGCGACGACCACAGCAAGCTGCCATCACATCCGGCAGTGAAGCAGGTAGCCGCAGCAACTCGATACAGTCGAGCCCAGCCGCCGAAACTCCTAGCAAGGGACAGAAGCCGGGGCTCCAGGGCAAGATGGGTGATATCTCTCCCGAAAGTTTCCAGAAGAGCGCCTTCTATTCATAAACGATTTGTGATACCTCCTCCATACATATTTATCCCGCTTATTGGTTACAAAGCTGGCACATGACTGCGTCACTACATACACCGGTGGTCACCTTGAGTTGGTGTTTCGCTGTCTTCACTTCTGCCTCCTAATTCTTGTTCTTCCCGACTTATTCTCTCTGTTTTAGCGAACCTTGTTACAGAGTACCTTTTTTTTTTTAACTTTTCTTGCTTTCGTCTCCGGTTATGTGGACGCGCCAGTCATCTAGGCTGAATGAAACTGTGTATGAACATCTTACCTCTACTGTTACGTAACCATCTATCTAAGATCTCCAATATAGAGTAATGTAGACCCTTGGGATTCTACATTAAATCCATACATAACAAACCGGTCACCAAAAATCCACCATGGGAACAACCCTTCAGTCCCGTCTTCTCTTATTCATTTTTAATTTGACAAGTCTAACAGTCCCCCAAAATCACATAAGATGGTATGGGAACATCTACTCCGTATACAGAGTAGTTGTAATTAGATTCAAGTTAATTACTAACTAGCTACCGCACGCAGGCACTATGTAACAACAACTACTACTACTACACAAGTACATAAAAGTTTATAGTAGTTTAGCACCAGCTCATGATTAAGCATGGGAGCGAGCAGGGTATAATATCAATTATATTATATTATATATAGTTGTTATAGTTGTTATAGTATAGTATACAATAAAAGTAGAGTGAAAAAAAAACCTTATGTACTACAGTACTACTTACTACTTACTGTAACTAACTAAAAACCAGCTCATCCTTTACATAGACAAGGAGAAAAATGCAGATACATAGATGATTGTCATCTGCTTTTACGGGTTCTGATTATACAGTACAATCTATAATTGGTGGGGTGCTACCTAGTGTATGTACTCCATATTCATTCATAACAGGGTAAAGGAAGGACTATTGAGAATTGCGGGCGGAAACTGTTTGTGAGGTTGGTTTTATTCTTGTCTGTTTCTATTTATCTTTATCTTTATCTTTATCTTTATCTTTATATATGTATATGTATATGTATATACGTGCGTGTATGTATGTATGTATGTATGTATGTATATATGTATATATGTATGTAGTACTATACTGACAATTCATGTTCGTACAATTCACAGGATGACGGACGGCCTCTAGATCCCGAGCTCAGCGGGAGGAGGAGGCCTCTGCCGCTGGCGATCAGCGAACCCGGCATCGAGCTCCTGTGTGTCAGAGCCTGGGAGCTCGGATACGGGGGCTCCGAACGGGGACGCGGAATTCTGCTTGGCCGGGCCCCGGGGAGCGTAGGACCCGTCTGTTGGCGCGGCAGGAGATACAGAATGGTAAGCGGGTGCTGGGCCAAAATTGGCTGCCGTGTTAGGATCCGTGGTTTTGTGGCTGGGTATTATTGAGCTGGGGCGCCGCCAGAGGAAGATAGCCAGGCCGATGATGATGATTGCGCCGGCGGCGACTCCGACGCCGATGCCGGCTTGTGCGCCCGTGGAGAGTCCGCTGCTTGATGAAGGGCCCCGGGTGGAGGCTGGGACGGAAGTCGAGGTGGTTGTTGTTGTGGTGGTCGTTGCGGCGGATGTGGATGTGGAGGTAGAGGTAGAGGCAGAGGTGGTCGCGGCGAGGATGTTGAACTTGGGACTGGAGACTTCCTGGCCGCTGGAACCGATCCAGGCGACGTCTGATGGGAGGAATCGAAGGGTCCACGCCGAGGATGAGTTCACGTCGGAGGCACTGAGGTCAACCGTCCAGTTGTAGGAGAAGGTGGTCTTGACGTTGATGCCGGCTGTAGGATGCGAATCAGCAGATGAATACGAGATATGCGAGGACGAGCGACTCTTATCACCTTCAAGTTTCCGATACACATTGGTACTGGTCATCCACAGGTCCACGTTGGTTGTATTGCAATCCGAGCAGTATGCGCTAAAGACTTCCTCCAGCTGCGGTTGCCAGCGAATTTTGGTCGTTGACCCGGTGGTGATATTGGAGTGATAATCAGGGGCTGTAGGGAACAGCCATAGATCCTGGACGGTTTCTGCGATGGCCAGGGGAGCCAGGAGCAGCGGTAGAAATTGAATGTGAGGCATCTCCATCCGCATCATCGCTGGATGCGATGGGGGTCTGAGGGTGAGAACAACAACAGCAGCAACCACGGCAAAAAGAAATTCAGGAGCCTGCTGGCAGGGCAACAGCGGCCACAATGGATTATGAACGGAGAATTAGGGAAATGTGAAGAGGCAGCGTGGCTGGAGAACAGCCATGATCTTCAGACCCTGACCCTTGCGCCTTTACTAGTGCAGAACACACAGCCTTGTTGCTTGCGCCCGTTTTCCCTCCACAAGCCTATTATTATCATCGAGTATATCTGACATGAATGTACTGTACATTTTGATTCGTGAAGATAGTATCCCTATATTCTCGAAAATCCGTCAGTATAACGTACTCCTCGACAGACACCGAATACTCCGCGCTTTGTTATGGGGTACGTACAGAGCTCCCCTATCCTATACTCGGTTAGACACTCTATCCTCCTCTTAAATGTCAAGGCAAGAAAATTCGTAGGAGACATTTATAACATCATCATCGTCATCGTGGAGAGAATGGTGATTTCGCGGTATTTTTGGACTAGTGGGGGTACAAAAGTACACGACACTATAATCCAAGGAGATCCAAGTAAGTATACATTAGGGATAAGATCTCTAGTCTAAAGTAAGTACAATCGTCTAAATGGCGGGGTAGGGTCTCTTTACCTCTCTCTCTCTCTCTCTCTCTCTCTCTCTAAAACCAGGCTAGGAAGATTTGATCGAGCGGACAAATTCGGGGGATGAGGTGGATGAGGTATATTAGGTATATTAGGTTAGGTACCAATACTAGGATATTCCGCACGCGACCACATAGACCATCACATCAATCTGAAATCAAGTTGAATCGTCGATCTATTTACCGGACAAGCGTTGTGATTCGTATACAGTACAACACCTATTCTACCTGATTCGATCCTGATTCCATGTCCTAAGGGGATCGCTTTTGTCTGCGATACCTGGGTACTCAGCACTAACACATACACTAGAGTAATTTGCTTTTAAAATCTTGTTTATGCCAAAAACGAGAGACGAGAATGAAAGGAAGAGAGGGGAAAAAAGGAAGAAAACCGCTCCGTTCCCCGCACGCTTGGTGTGGCACTGTCCCTTGTGTCGCAAAAAAACAAGCTAGGTTAGTCGGGGGAACTGGACTCTCTGTAGGCCCTCACATGCTGTGCTTGAATGGCCATTCTCCTGGCTCAGGCACAAACTCTAGATTTGGTGTTTGGTGCAGCTCTATCAAGTATGGTGTACTAAGGTAACGCAGGCCTGGAACTTTTTCCGATTTGGTGGCTGACCAGTCAGGTGTCTAGAACCTTGGCCGTCCAAATCTATTCAGAGAGATGTGGTAGTTCCTCGGAAATAAATGATGTTCCCGTTGATCGCCTTGACTGGTTTGTTCCGTGGGGCCTTCCAAGGACCAGTCGAGTCGTGATAGGTTGCGCGGTTGGTCTGCGATTGGAGAGAATCATTCTTTGGCCATCGGGAATGATGTCTGGTGGGTCCCGTTGACCGGCTCTTTAAACCCAACTTGAAACCCAAAGCTGTGCTGTTTCTAGATCTCAACGGTAGTCTATTGCAGCTGTGTTGCAGTGACGATTCCCTGTAATCTGCACCAGGGTCTGGATCCTCGTGCAATGGGGATGAGCAAGTCATCCTGGCCAAGTGGGTCGGGCTTTCCTTGAGGGATCAATGGGAACTGGCCTTGGTTCGAAATGGAGATCCAGACAGACCTAGGCCGGTTGGGGATGTGACGGGTGAATGCCTGACAAAGGTGAGGCGGCCGCGAGACCGGGGGTAGTAGGTGTAAGATGGCGTAATATGATCTACCATACCATGATGGATTCCAGGTAATATCGCAAGCAGATCACGGCGATTTGTGAAGACGGTGGAGATATATACTAGAAATCAAGAGCATTAGATATAAGGGTATCATCCAGATCGGATAGACGCAAATCATTGGTCCCCATATTCGTATCTTCATCATCTTGCTCTCCTGTTTTAAGGGAATACCAAAACCTACATTCAAGCCATAGCTCTATATAGACGGCATATTGAAAGGGAAGGGAAAAGGACCACGCAAACAAGGGTAAATCATCGGCAGAAGGAAATGGTAACATTACAGAGCAAATAGCAGACTGATCGGGTGACATACTCTGGCTAAGAAAAAAAAAAACAAAAACAAAAACAAAAACACACACACACAACCGGGGGGGGCGGGGGAAAGTGGATGGTTCCCATATTGAAATTACCCTGGAGATTGAGTGGTCCGCTTCGCTTCGTATTGGGACAGACGTACGTTCACTCAAAACCTCAGGCTACTGTTTCGAGTCGTCATGTGGAGAGATGAGCCCGGCCGTCGTGGTATCTAGGGTCTCTTGTAGTTCGAGAAGACGAGATTGAAACATGGCGAGTGCGTGCCACGGATCTTCGGCTAGAGGCCCGGGGGTTTCTAGGGGTTTGGGGGTATCGTTGGTTGAGGTTGTTGGGCTTAGTGTAATTGGAAGGGACTGGGTATCGTCCAGTTCGGAATCGGGGATGGGGTCTAGTTTATCAACTAAGTTTAATGATTAACGAGATTCTTCATTAATTCACCAAGGCACTACCCGGATAGAACGACGCATCTGATTGAATGGAAAAGAGCGGGTTGTCTCACAAAGATGTGGTTGTGCCTCTGGATGAGGAGACAACGTCGAAGCTCTTTCATCTGGCTCTGGAGTGTAGTAACTCATATCCGACGGGGTTTCTATCTGATGTCAACCTCGGAAACTGAACGAGTAGCGGCGAAGACATACCTGGCTCGGGGCTTGCTTGATGAGGCTCCATAGGATGGGTATCGTTGTCCCAGTTGGTCCCGTATCTACGGACAAAACGGGCAATGCGTTTGGTGTCGACTTTTTGGCCGGCTACTCGAAAGGCTGTTTGCTTGCCTTTGGCAGCACGTTTCTGCTGTTTTCGAATCATGATGTTGACTTCTTTGGCCTTGATATTCTTGCGAATGTTCCAGGCCGCTAGCCGGTCTTTGTATTGTTTTTCTCTAGAGATGGGTTAGAGTGTGGTACGAAGAGGGTTTACGGCAAAAAAAAAAAAAAAAAAGACCACATACGAGGCAACAAATTTGTGATCACGCTCCATGATTCTTTTGACATCTCGAAGTTTTAGTTGGTCATCCCGGTAGAGCTGTTCGATGAAGGGACGATACTTGTTCCAGTCTTCAGATCTGCGAGGACGAAATACGGAGGCAGCCGCTGGAGAAGAGGAGGCAGCTGTAGGAGTGGAAAGGCTGGAGGACGAAGGAATGGAACCTTCCATCATGAACAGAGTACAGATGGACTGGTGTCACTCATAGTCCGAAATGGGAGCAGACAAAGAAATTGACGAGGGTGGTGATATGTATGTAAGAGTACTCCGTAGGGAACTAGTGTGTGTGTAGTGAGCGGATGGAAAGGTGGGGGTAAAAAAGAAAGGAAGACAGGAAAGACAAAGATGCGAGAGTGAGAAAACGGCGAGAAAATCTTATGTAGGTTGACAGAGACAGCGTCCAGGCGTAGGAAAACGGTGGTCAGAGCAGCAGAGCAGAGGGAGCAATTAATTAGTTTGTACCGATGAAGTTGTTTGGTCCGTAATCAGGAAGGGAGAGAGTAAGAGAAGGTGAGGAAAGAGAAGGGGAAAAAAAAGAAAAAAAAAAAAAAAAAAAAAAAAAAAAAAGAACAGGGCAATGATAATTATGATAATAATAATAATAATGTTATTATTAATAGAGATATTAAGCGTTGTGAAAGGGTCAAGAATAAGAAGATATGAGTTGAATCTTCAGTATATGGGCTTGCACAATGCACATTCTTGGTGAGGGTCAAGAATCTGTCACGAATTCACGATGCCTGAGGTATAGATACTCTCGGACAGGACTTTGCTTCCTGACTGGGTACTTTGGTCGAAGTACACATACACACGCGACTCAGCCTGGAAAACGAAGAGAAAAGTCAGAGAAAGAAGGGAAAGAAAGGAAGAGAACAAAAACACAAAAGGTACTTCATCCAGTAGGTACCTACAGGGCAACCGGGTGGTTCGCCGCCGGGAAAATCCTAGGACGGGCGCTAAAAAAGTACTATACTATCGGACTGCAGGATGGCAGACACAAAACTGGGGCTTTGCTTACCGTTTCTAGCGACCTGCTGCTGGAAAAGCCCGCGGCACTTGCAATCCATGTTTCCCCGCTCCAATCAGGGGGGAATTGGACGCGGTCTGTGTATTTTTGTCCAGGTATACTTCGACCTGGTCTTGGGCTATCTGGATCGAGAGGAGGAAGAATACGAGCGCCATCTTAACCTATAAAGATAATATCTATCTACCATATGTACCCGAGGCTACCTAGGTATAAATGAGAAAGAAAAAAAGAATATCAAATAGAATACAGATCTCCATACAAGGCTTCGTTACGTGCGCCATTTCCTGCAGGTGCAACACTTGGATGGACCTGCCATCCATCCGACCACCTCACTACTGTACCTCTAGCGTTCGTTTCTTTTTTTCACCTGGGTAATTTTGAATTCGAATTACCAGGATGGAATTGGACTATGATCCTGTTCGCTTGTTCCCTCCCCCCCCTTTTTTTTTTCTCCCCCAAGGATCGATTCGATTGCAATCAGTCTGGCGGGATCTGACTAGCTAGCGTCTGGGTACTATACAACAGCTCTGGAGTATTTTCTCTTCACTGCTTCGTACTTTTCAACTGACAGCCTCATCACTGATCTAGTTGGATCTGAACCGGAATCAAATCGGAATGGACGCAAATCGGAATTTCCCAGAAGATGGAATGGCTGTAATACTCCATACGCCGTAGGTAGCCTGTCAATCTGGACGTCTGACTCCGTTAATACTACTCTAACTGAGTCTAAATCTCAACCAGTTCCCCACTGTGTTTTGAAAATAATTGCTTTGGTCTATCTAAACGAGAAGAAGGCGAAACAGAAAAAAAAAAAAAAAAAAAAAAAGTCACCCCATGATCGGGTGTGTTGCTGGAGTCCGTCCCAGTCAGACGATATCGGATAGGGAGAGAGAGAGGCCTGAGCTCTTCAGCTGCACTAGAGATTCTTAGCTGATTTGGACCAGCAATTACTGTAGATAAATTATTATGCTAGGTATTTACTCAGTAATATAGAATATAGTTCTAGCCGTAGGTACTACTAGTACTAGTTACCTAGTATGTTGCTGTCATTCGCGACTCCACTACATATTGATGGATTATTTAACCTACGAACCTAACGGTAACTACTACCTACGGTTTCTTACCTTAGTAACTTGACCTACAGACTACTACTACTACTACTAGTACTGAGTACGACGTAGGTGTCTGTATACTCATACTCACTCTAGTTACCAAATTGATTGGTTGACTGATTTATTTCATCCGTCTTCGTCACGGCTATATATACTAGGTATACATAGTACTACTAGTAGATATATTGTACTACTAGTAGGTATATAGTATATAGTATATATATTCATAATTTCTTAATTTAATCCTAGGTATGTCTGCCTTCTTTTACCAGTATACTTCGCTTCTGCTAGGTTCATTCATGCGACAAGCTCAATAAGGCAGGCTACATACTAGGTATTCGATTAGGTAGATGCCGGGCGCCACGTCGATAGGGCTCTACGCACTACGATTTTTTTTTAAAAAAAAAAGAAAAAAAAGAAAAAGAAAAAAAAAAAATATACCCAACCTAACCCAACCGGTTCTCTTCCTAGGTGATCATCACGGTGAGAAACCTGGCTCGGCTCTCGTGCGAGATACATACGGATGTGCAGCACGTTGCATCGGCTTGGGCAGGTACAGGCATGGATATGGAATCCGATTGAACGCTGTAAGCCGGACAGTACTTACTTTCGACAGTACAGTATCAGGGTATATCCTGAGAAAGAGCCTAGACTGGGATCCAGGATGCAATGCAGGTATGTGGCTAGGCTAGGCTAGGGCAAAGAGGATCCCATGGTCGGCTGCTCAGTTGCTGCCTCTGTCTGTCTGCTGTGCAAAGCGAGACTGATTGGGATTGGACTCCCTCCGGCATATGACCGGCCAGTGAAGACCAACAGAAGACCTGTCGGTGTATCGACACGCTTTCTCTTTAGCCGGATCGTGATTGCGAATGCGGTCATGATCTCCGAAGACAGCCACTAGGGTAAGATACTCAAGGATCGTTGTGTTCGTCACTGGCTGGATGGAAGATGAGGTGTGTTCTGCTGCTTTTGCGTCCTGAGCTGGAAAGAAGGAGGAAAAGAGACATTGTAAGAAAGAATTAGAAATCCTTTTAACATAGTAGTAGGTACACTCTCAGACCAGGTTTGTCATTCAGGAAGGGATAACGGTGGTGGAAAGATCAACTTTGTTGGACATTCACCCACAGCTCTTACTCCTTCTCCATCCTGTCCCTGGTAGTGGCTCGGCTACTCCAAGTGGAGGGCTGTCAGAACCGGTGATAAGCAATTGGAGACTGTGAAAAGCGTGTGATGTCGGACGTGGAATAGTCGTCTGTCGAGTCAGTCCTGAGGCATGGGATGGAGTGAGAAATGAGAATCATAATCGGGTCCTAACGGTAAGAGGAGTAAGGGATGAGAGAGATTGTTCGCTAAGCTCGGTTCTTCCTTTTTTTTTTTTTTTTTTTTTTTTTTTTCTGTCCCCTTGATTAATTAATTCATGATTGATTTGGAATTCTGCTGGAAGTGAGATGTGGGACAAAGAGAAAGCAAGTGTGTAGCCGAGATGAGATGGTAAGCGATGGACTCGGTCTGGGATGGGTTCTTTCTTTCACCTCATCTCAGGTTGGTTTTCCATAACGACAACAATAGACCCCTATTCCACCAGTCCAAGGAATGTAATTCGCGGGGAATGTCGGCAAGCTTCCAGACTACGGAGTAAATAGTACGAGAACGGAATGAAAAAAGTTCCCACTCAGCGTAAAAAGTCCCCCCACACTTGGGGCTGACTTTGGCATTGCACTAACTAGTTAACTAGTTGATGATAATAAATGACAGTGAAGAAAAGAAAAGAAAAGATAGCCTCGTGTTGCCTCCCCGGGAGCGGCCCGAAACATTCCTACCAGTTCAGTTGACATGTAGGATCATCCCATCCATCCATCTGTATAACATTCACAGTCCCGGCACCATGGGTCCGCGGAATTTCCGAATCGTTGTGGCTGCATTATTAGTTCCTTTGGGGATTTCTTTCTTTTTTTTCTACATTCCCTCGTGCCTTGTGTTCACCTGGCAAGGATGAGGAAACATCTTGTATACAGAAGTGAAGATAAGTACCAGTATCAACCTAAATGGTGATCTTGTATCCCAGCCTTCTAACCACCATCACTTGGCTAAGCGGACTAGCAAAATCACAAATATCAGCTCTTAGATGATTGTTCCTCGTCAACCTTATCCCTTTCTGAGTTTAAACTATTCTGTCTGGAAATCATGGTCGCTGTACCACCGGATAAAAGGGGAAAAAAAAATAAAATAAAAATAAAAATAAAAGGAGGCCTGTAAGCGTCCAAATCTAGCAGACTAGCCCCATAATCATTCAACATTGTCATCCCTATCCTTATCATCTGCGAGACCAAGGATCCAAGCATGATTCGCGAATCGCGAGTTGGGGCTGACTCGTACCTGATGTGATAATCTGACCCATGACGTAGGACTAGCACTGGTCTGTACGACAGGGGATCTGTGACCTGCTGCGTACAGAACTGGCCCATGCGGTAATGACCTGAGGAGCCCACAAACGGCTGCAACCAGCGTCAGTTAACCCGAATCTGGGAGCGGGAAGTGGCTGATGCGAACTACCCGCTACTAAGTAATAATAGGTATCGATGTGTAAGATAGGGTTTCCTCTAGGTGTCGTCTCAGTCGCACATCTATTTCCTGGTAGGACTGGCTGTGGCAAGTCTCGCTTGTTCTCCTGCTGCAACGGCGGCAGCTGCGACGGCGGCCGAGTTACTCGAGCCTGCACTTGCAATGTTGCTCGCATGCGCCAGCAGAAATTTGCAACATGTCAAGGTGTATTTGCATGCGCGAGTCCAGGTCTCGTCGCTCTGGTTAAAGCCCAACTTAATGCTAGCATCACCGATTTTATCTCGTTTGATATCATACGGAAGTTTCAGCCCAGACACAGCAGCGCTGGCGGGACCTCGGCGGTTAGACGGGGCTGGTGCTGGCGTCTTCTCCACAAACTCCCCAAGTTGACGTAGACAATCCAGAAAGGCTACCATGCCGGCGTCAAACCGGCGGTGAAGCCAAGGAATATGGAGTGGTAGGTCGCCGGAAGAAAATAGCTCAAGACTCGTGACCTTTGGCGCTCCTGACAGGTTGGTATTTTCACCGGCAACCGTTGATTGAGCCGGCGATGGTCGTGGATACTCGATTTTATCAATTTTAGACATAGATCCCATGGGCCGCAGTCGATACCCCCGAAACTGAAAGCCGAGTTTCTCCGCAATGGTAGCTAAGAGCAATGCTGTCTGGCCCCAAGCGGCATTAATCTCGGGCCATTCCACTGAAGGATTTGCCAGTCGACCTAGACGTAAGCCATTGATGGTTCCAAAGTACCCATCGTGCCCAATACAGAATGCATCATTGTAGACATTAGTTCTCTGCAATCTTTCCAGCTGCCGCGAATCATGGTCGTATCTCATATTCAACGCATCGCGCTCATTCTGGAAATCAGAGAGAACCAACGAGAATCCATTCCGATCGCGCCAAAATATTTCCTCTTCCATGTCTAACTGGCGTGACTGTTCCTCCAGCTGTGCAATCTCTTCATCCAACGCCGCTTTTTCTTGCTCGAGGGTTACAAGCTCCGCAAACGCGGCCTCCTCCGCCTTCAACGTTTCTTTCAAAGAGCTCTCCGCGGCCTCAATCTCGTCTGTTGTTGGTACTGCTGAATTAAGGTTCCGTAAGAAAGTTATGTACGCATCGCGCTCCTTGGTGGCATCTACCAGCCGCTGCTGTAGCCCTTCTACTAGCATCTCGGTACACTCAGTGCAGATCGGATGATCAATATCAGAACGCGAGGAGATGATCTCGAATAGTTGACTGGTCTGTTCAACTTGGTCCGCGAATGATCCATTCTCCACAGCCTGCTCATCGGTATGTGCATTTGATGCGCGTTTACCTCGCAACGACAGGCTGTCGCCATTCGCCCCTGGCACAGAATGCGGTGGGCCAAGTTGAGATTCTGTAAGCATAACAAAGGACATATTGCCACTATCCCCTCGTCCTAGCCTAGAAGGTATTGTGAGGCCGCCGCCTCCCTGGCGGGGTGCCTGGATCGACCTTCGATATACCGGCGACGACACATTCTTGGAAGCCCGATCGTAAAGCTCTCGTCTCTCTTGGGGGTAGGACAGCCGGGAGGCCGTCTTATTCGTGTGGTCCGGTACCGTTTTACCTGTAGAGCCTAATGTCAAGAGCAGGTTCTGGTTAGCCTATGACTGTCGCAACGATGGTTCGTTCATATGAAGTACCGATAAGCAAGTCGAAAGCGGCTGGATTAAGCGACTCGAGAGAGCCGTCTAGCTTCAATGAGGTGCGACATTTTTGGCAGTACATCTTTGTTGAATAGTATTGAAAAGTAGCTCTCCATTCATTGTGGTAGCATGATAGATGGGATCGTGAAGACCCGAGCGAAGCTAAGGAATGGGCTTAGAGGTTGGTAGCGAACGTCATCCGGCAACCCGCGTGTTTTTGGTGTCCGCCTTTTCTCCAAATCCGCAGCTTTCTCCATCATAGCAACATCAACTTGTTCCATGACCATGGAGAAAAACAGCCGAATCAACTTTACCTTTAACAATGCTGAATAAGTGAAAGATTCCAAAATGAGGCCTGTTGTCTAATTGTCTAATGACTTCACTTTTTGCCTACAATTTTATTGTATTTTATTTCCCATTCCACCCACCCTCTTTGCGTGCATCGTGCTTACTCGTGCATTTTGCTCCTTAAGCTCCACAGCTCTAAAGTCCCACGCTTCTCTGCTGCCAATATCTAACTGTATGGTGGTTTCTATTCACAGTGTTACACACTAACTGTATCCGGTTTCTTCACTTGCGCTCGTTCTCGCCCGTCGTTCTACGCCACACCCTCCGCGTTGAAGTCCTTATCTCCCACCAGCGAAGCAATGGAGCGGCCATTGAAAAGGCAGAGGCTATCCTTGTCGCCAGATGCAGAAGACGCGCCCAATGAATTTGACTTACAAGAAGCGCGTGCTCAAAATGACCTACGTCTAAAGTCCATCTTCGAGGGTATTTTTGAAAAATACGGTCAGGATTTTACAGATATCGGGGACGAAATCGATTTACAAACGGGGAAGATCGTGGTAAATAATGGCCATCTTCATGGAATGGAAGGGGAGAATATGATGGAGCCTAATTCACCAGCACGGTCAATCCAAGAAGCAGGAAAAATGATGGAGGCGAGCGCTATGCACAATCTGCACGCCGCGGAAGCCGATCACGATATCTCGGACGAAGGTAACACGTATGTTCGGTCGAAACCGGCGTCCATTTTGTCCCAAATGCTCCGTGCTCCGGAAGATTCCCCGGGAAATATGGAAGGCGATGCAGTCAATTCAACGTCAGAGGACGAGGACGAGGACGACAGGTTGAGCGTGGATTCTCTACTCGACACTGCGCTCCATGTCCAAAGCATTTCGAGGACTTTTTCCAGCCCGAAAGCCAAGGCTGACACGACAAGTGACACCGACAGCGAAAAAGCAAATTCTGGAGCTGAAGGATCCCACCAATCCCAGCCCAAGCATACTGAGGGAGTCGATGAGCCCATGGAACATATCTGGCGCGTTCCTGAGATCGATGGAAACTTCTCAACGCCGACCCTGGGCCGATCTCGACCGAAATCTGTCATGGGTACCGTACGATCTCAATCCCCACCTGGGGCAGGCTCTCTCTGGGCTCTCCCCCGGACATCTAGGCGGGGTACGGATGTGACCAAAAAGAAAAGTCGAAAAGATCACAGTCGCAAGAAACGGAAAACGCACAGTTCAAGCCCCATCGTCTGCGACTGGTCGTTCGCAGAGGCCCCGGATGGAAACGAATCTGACGACCCGTTGCAGGAAGACCACGAACCCTCTCCAACCCCAACGAGGCCCTTGTACATTAGAGAGAAACGAAATGGCCGTACTACGTCGGAAAGCTCGAAAAATACATGCAGTTGCTGCAAACGGTCATTTTCCCGCGACGACTACATTGTACATCTAAAAGCTATGCTGGCTGATCCGCCGCTTGACCATCATGACCTCACAGATTTGAGGAGACAGCTGAACACTATCACTGGTAACCCTGCTACCGAGTCACCCCCTAGGGCCACAGCCGATGGTGGGCCTGAAGTTCACTTGGCTTCGACATCAACCCCCAAGCTCGAACCGAAAGAAGTCGACGAGACAAACCTGGATGCTTCACCGACTAAGAGTAAACGTCCTAGAACGACCATGCGGCCAGATGAAGCTAGGCTGATTATCAAGTTGAGGCAAGTTCAAGGCATGAAGTGGAAAGAAATCCTAGACCACTTTCCCCAGAAGAAACTCGTCCAACTTACCATGTGGAATTATACCCACTGGAACGATCGCTGCGTAAACCCTCCCTTATTGTCAAGGCCGTGGTCGAACTCCGAGATTGAAAAGCTAGAAGCCCTTAAAGACCAGCAGGGTCTGACATGGAATGCCATCCGAGCTGAAATCCCAGGGCGTTCCCAGGCCGAGATAGAATTTGAGCTACTGCGGCTGTGGGCCAGTGATGGTGTCGATGGCGAAAAAATCAGTGAGCTAATGGGAGCAGCTGACCCGCAAGGCGAACAAGAGGCAGCCGAATCGAAGCGTCCTCGGCTTTTGCAACCTGCCAGTGCTGCAAATTGACCGACGCACAAAGAATCGGAAATTCCCCTCATGCTGCCCCTGTTCGGGATTCGCCAGAGGCTTGTACGTCGTTTCGCGAAATTCGTCCACGTGTAGTAATAATAACAATAATAGCGTGGTGGCCCGGGATTCCAGAGAAAGTGCAGGCAACCAGTCTCAAATTTGCGCTGTGGAGGACTTGAAGAAATTTCTCAAAGAAGCAGTTCAAACCTGACAATAGACTACACAAGATAGAGCATGTAAATTCGAGCTTGTGTTCTTGAAATCTGTGGTGGTTGCCAGGCGTAATGGCCTGTCTGTCTGTCCGGCGGGTAGCTAGGCAACCACTAGTCTTCCGTTGCATTCAGGACATCTTCTAGCTTTGTGTCCACTGCACCGCCGACATCTCCAGCTTGAGCCCAGAACCTCGAGAGATGTCTTGAGCCCGAGTCAGACAGGACTGTGACAATTCTGTGCCCAGGGCCCATTTTCATAGCTGTCTTGACAGCCGCAAAGCCTAGGTTCCAAGGTCAGTGAAACGCTCGACCTAGAAAGGCTGGTTCTAAACTCACAGTTCACAGCACTGCTACTCCCAACAAAAATGCCGTCCTTTTCTACCAGCCACCTGGCCATGGCTAGAGCCTGCGCGTCAGTTACCCTAACAGCGTCATCGATCAGTTCCCTGCCTGCTTCGAAGTTTGCCGTCACACGGTTGATTCCGATTCCCTCAACGATGGTATCGATTTGTCTCCGACGTCGGGTACCCTCTTTCTCCTTAGTGTCAAACATGACCCCGTAACGGACTCTGTTGTACAGACCGCTTCCTTGGGGGTCTGCTAATACCACATTCAAGTTGGGGATCTTAGGTTTAAGGAAAAGCGCCACGCCAGAGATGGTGCCTCCGGTTCCAGCGCCTGCAACAAAAGCATCAAGTGATCCATTGCACTGTGCATAGATCTCGGGGCCAGTGCCCTCAAAGTGGGCTTTCCAATTCGCCTCATTCTCGAACTGATCTGCGAAAAATCCTCTTCCTCGTTGAGGAACGGGCTCTCCTGTCGAATCCTCCGTCGAAGAATGACCGTGGGCTTGGGCGAGTGCTCGTGCTCGATTGACAAAGTTATTCTTTTCCACGATTGGAGCAGGCGGGACACGGTCGACTATTGCTCCCAACTTAAGAAGCAGGTTTGACTTTTCGATTGCTTGATCGGACGGCATGCAGCTTTGTACGTCTGTTAGCGGAAAAATAGGAAACAAACAGGATGCGTAGAAATGCTTACATATGTGCGAGATACCCTTTAGCTCGGGCCAAGGTCGCTAATGAGATCCCTGTCGAACCAGATGTGCCTTCGTATACTGTATCGCCCGAGTGAGGTGTCAGGATGCCTCGTTCTTCAGCCTGCGTGAACAGTTAGAGAATTGTCCACAAATTGAAGGAGACACGTACAATTTCAATCATACTCAGTGCCACTCGATCTTTCGAGCTTTGGCCTGCTCCATTTAAGAACTAGAAACGGAGTCAGAGATATAAACATAACATAGGGGCAAAGTCTAAGGCCTACTTCAGCTTTTCCTAAAATCTCGCACCCTGTCGCATCGGACAGGGACTTGATTCGGAAGAGAGGAGTATTCCCGATACAGCCCTCAATGCCTTCTACAATAGCAGGAGGGCCATGTCTTGCAAGTAAAGCATCTGTAGGTCCATCCTGAAGTGTCTGTTTAGGGTTGATAGAACGACATGCTCGATACTCGCGGATGCGTTCTTCGAGCTCTGGGTAAAGGAGCTCTTTGAAGGCTATGGAGAGGACGACCCCCGCCACAAAGGCGGAGCCAATGTAAATGTGAGGCGAGTCCTTCATGTGTGAAGGGTGAAACAGCAAAGCAATATTATGATACAAATAGGAAATCCGTGGTAAACCGAGGAATTGTCGACGTAAAGGCAAATTGAAGAGTGGAAGTTATTCTGGACAGAGAAAAGCTCGGACCACCACAGCAGCTCCGCCCGCATTTGATTCAAGCAGCAGATTCAAATCGAACGCTTCGTCCTCTCCTTTCCATTCCTCCATCCTTTCCCACCCCCGTCCGTTCGGTCAAATCTACGTCCAGTAATGGACTCTCCCGTCCTCAACCAGCTGTTTCGACAGCTATTCCGTCATCCAGCCTGTCAGTCGCTCCGGACGTCGCCGTCGCACGCCTTTCGTCTATCCCATCCATCTCGTCCACAGTACCGACCCTTTCTCACGCGACGGTCACCGGCCAAGCGCAAGAGCACAGACGATGGAATGAATTGGACGAAACGCGGGGACTACCCGAAGGATATTGATGAGGAATTGAAGACATATCCGTTAGTTACGGCGAAGGATCTCCGTCATCGGCGTGATCGGCCACGCCAGGTGAAGATGTTAACGAGGGAATTCATTGACGGTACGAGCTTTCTCCATCGGTCCTGTATAATGGAACCAATTACTAACAATATCGTCTTCCGCTATGCGTGTTTAGATAGCTTGTATAATCCGCATTATGGGTATTTTTCGAAACACGCGACCATCTTCAGCCCCGGAGAACCGTTTAATTTTAACACGATCGAAGATGGACCTGCCTTTCACCGGATGTTAGGAGAACGCTACACCGAGTTTGAAGACCTTCTGGATAGCGTGAAACCGGACATAGCTCGCCAGTTGTGGCACACCCCTACCGAATTATTTCGACCCTACTACGGGGAAACCATCGCGCGATACCTCGTGTCAAATTATAAGCTGACCCTGTACCCCTACCACGACCTGATCATATACGAAATGGGTGCTGGAAATGGAACTCTGATGATAAACATTCTTGATTTCATCCGCGACACGGACTACGAGGTCTATCAGAGAACAAAGTTTCGCATCATTGAGATTTCCCCGGCTCTCGCCGGACTCCAGATGAAGAACTTGACCGAATCCCTCCACGCTGCAGGCCATCTAGACCATGTCGAAATTATCAACAAGTCCATTTTCGAGTGGGATACATACGTACACTCGCCATGCTTTTTCCTCGCACTCGAGGTTTTCGATAACTTTTCGCATGATGCGATTCGTTACGACTCCAAAACAGAATTGCCCCAACAAGGCGGGGTGCTGATTGACGCAGACGGCGAGTTCCACGAATACTACAATGCGCAACTTGACCCTGTGGCTGCTCGATTCCTGCGCGTTCGGCAAGCCGCAGCCCGACGTGAATTCCCCAGTCCACTGGGTCCGCGGCTCACCCGCCAGGTCCGCGGAGCTCTACCTTTCCAGAAACCCTTCACCCTGCCCGAGTACATCCCGACTCGGTTAATGCAGTTTTTCGACATCCTCGACAGTTACTTCCCCGGCCACAGGCTTGTAGCTAGTGACTTCAGCAGCCTACCGGATGCGGTCCCAGGTGTGAACGCGCCTGTGGTGCAAACCCGATACAAAAGACGAACAGTTCCTGTCTCGACTCCATTTGTAAGCGTTCCTTGGGGGTTCCCTTCCTGACCAAGGTACACAATCAACTAATTGATCGGAATATTACAGGTCCATCAAGGCTACTTCGACATCTTCTTCCCCACCGATTTCAACGTCATCGAAGACCTCTACCGTGCCGTGACCGGGAAGCTGACACAAGTGATGAGCCATGAAGATTTCATGGGACGTTGGGCATATATTGAGGACACAGAAACGCGGAGTGGCGAGAACCCGCTTCTGACATGGTACAAGAACGCTAGCATGCTAATGACGGTGTAACTGTACATAGAATAGTGTAAGACTATAGGAGCTGTATAGTAGTCAATGTTGATGCATTTGGACGATGATATAATATCCTGGAAAGCCAAGCTCAGCTAACTCAGCCATTGGCGTACCTTTTGGCCAGCCGGAATGAATTACCTAGGCTGTTTATTGCAAAGAGATAATAACCATGGTTAATACAGCTGCCAGATCGCTGTGGAGAACCTTCAGGAACCGACCCCCCTCTTTTCCCCCCCGCTTTATAGCAGTTACGTATACTTTGTCTACTTTTACCAACCTCGCCTAATTAATAACCCACCAGGCCACCAAGCAACAGACAGAACAGACTCATCAAGGCAAAATGACAGTCCCGCACTGGAAACCCATCGTCCTTCAAAAACGCGAAGCCCAGTTGCAATCCATTCCTGCAGCCTGGCACCTCCCCAAATCCACCATCACTTCCCCAGACACCAGCACCCTCGACACCATCCGCAGCTGCGGCATCCTCTCCACCCAGGAACTCCAATGGACAGAGATGAAAGATGTCCCGGAGCTTATGCGCCTGCTCACTTCGCGCGCGGTCAGCTCTGTACAGATGACAACGGCGTTCTGTAAGCGGGCAGCAGTCGCGCAGCAACTAACGGGATGTCTGACGGAGATATTCTTTGATCGGGCATTGGAGAGGGCGAAGAAGCTAGATGAGGAGCTTGAGAGGACGGGGAAGGCGACGGGGCCGTTGCATGGGTTGCCAGTTTCTGTTAAAGATCGGTTTAATGTAGAGGGGTTTGATACGACTGTTGGTTTGTCTTCCCCTTTCCTTTTCCCTTGGGGGGGGTTTTTTTTTATGCGCGTGGTGCTAAGTCTACAGGGTGGGTTGGGCTGGTAGGAAAGCCAGCAGGCAGTTCTAGCTCTGTTGTGCGGCTGTTGGAGTCGATGGGAGCAGTTCTATATGTCAAGACTAATATCCCGCAGTCCTTGATGGTAAGTAGCCAGGTATCTATCGGGGGAGGGGTTGCGGCAAAAAAGATAACAGATAATATGTAGATGTCCGACTCCTACAACCATGTCTTCGGCCAGTCAGTCAATGCGTTCAATCGTCAGTTGATCTCCGGTGGTAGCTCAGGAGGTGAAGGTGCTCTAGTCGGTGCAGGTGGTGCCCCCCTAGGAATCGGAACAGATATCGGAGGCTCCATAAGGATTCCATCGAACCTACAGGGGTTGTATTCTATTTGTCCAACAACAGGACGAGTCCCGTGGAATTGTTCGTTGTATGTTCTCAGTTCCCCTTTCCTGGGACAATGCCCCCACTAACTTACATAGTATGCACCAACATTACCTTGTTCCCCCTGTAGCAGGTCCAATGGCTCGAAGCCTCTCGACAGTAGAATACTTCATGCAGGGCCTTCTCGAATCCGATCCTTGGAATGTGGATCCGGGATGTATTCCTCTCCCATGGCGGAAGGAATTAGCTGCAATGCCAACACGGAAGCTCAAACTTGGTATTATCTACGATGATGGGGTTGTCAGACCTCAGCCTCCGGTTACGAGGGCTATGCGGGATGTAGCACAAAAGCTGAAGGATGTCGGTCACGAAGGTATACTCCCTGCTTCGGGGACCTGATAGGTCCAAGAAACTGAATGGTAATACGGATCAGTAATCGAGTGGGACACTTCCCTCCACGTCAAAGGCACAAATATGTGGACCAAGGCTGTTCTTGCAGATGGTGGTCATCATTGTCGCCAGCTATGTGAGATTGTGGACGAGCCCTTAATCGAGGGCATGGTTGTCGGCACCCCAGCAGACGAGCTCTCAATATCCGAGCGCGAGAAGGTGGGTCCGCCTATACGTACTTTCCCTTCAACGCCAGGTTTTAACAATAATGTACGGAGTATAGCTTGAAGAAGAAAAATGGGAGTTTCAAGAAGCCTTCCTAAAGCAGTGGGTCGAGAGCGGCGTTGACGCACTTCTGATGCCGGTGACCCCATGGGTAGGATATAAACCCAAAACCTGGGTTGTCAGCAAGCAATGGCTAGGGTACACGGCCATGTGGAACCTGCTGAATTACGCGGCAGTCACTATTCCAGTAGCATATGCAGATACGGAACTGGACAAGCCTGATTCCAGGTGGGCGGACTATGTGCCTAGGAACGAATCGGATGCATTCAACCATGCGCAGTGTAAGTTACTTCTTTCGGAACCTTTTTTTTTTTTTTTTTCAAGAGTAATATCTCCGACTAATTGATACTCAGATGATATTGAACTGGTCAAAGATATGCCAGTCACCGTCCAAATTGTCGGAGGTCGTTTTGGAGAGGAAAAGGCCGTTGCTGTTGGCAAAGTAGTGGACGGACTATTTTCTGCTTGACCTAAAATCAGTGCAGCGAAGTTGCACTGGTACTTGAAAATTTGGGCATCGACACTTTGATTATCTTTTGGCCATAGCAAAACAAAGCCTTGGAGTAATTCCAATTTTAGCTTCAAGAGAGGCGCAGTCTGGCACTTTTGGGATCGAGACTCTCTAATACGTCTTTTAAGAGGCAAGTAAGTATCGGGTTGCTACCGGAGTACTCAATTCTAGATCGAGATACGTCTTCACGAGACTCTTTACGATTGAGGAAAATAAATCCACCAGGAAAGGATGATTTCTCAATAGAGTCGGACTCGCGAGTCAGGAGATGGAGACTGCTATCCCAATCTTGCATGGGCCATCCAACAACGGGTAATACGGAGTATAAATGGGTGAAAAGCGAGCCAAAAAAAAAATAGCCCGCCTACCTAACAACCGCCCAGGGCCTGTTAGTTGGCATTTCAAAGCTTTTCTACAGTTAGTTCACACCAAGAGGATCCACCACTCCAGCTGATTGGACACATAAAATGAGCTGGTGGAAATACCAAATGGCAATACTCGCGGCCTCACGGCTTTCCTGCTATGAACGCCACCGCCGCCACGAATCTGAAATTGCCAGGTGCCTCACCCGCTGATTAGGCGTGAATGAAAGAATTCATGTATCGCTCGTTCTCGGATCTCATGGGGAGTGGTCATGTTTCTCATGTGGGTAGGTAGCCTTTTTGGTCGCATTATGTGGAAACATTTATCAAGCTCCGCATCGGCTCTGATAGCAGATTTTGAAATGAGCTATTGATGCGCTGCCATAAGCAGGTCCTATCCTTGTCTACATTGCCAGCGCCGTCTTTGCTGAAGAATGTCCCTAAATATGACATACGATCGCAGTGTGTTTCTATCTACTGCGTTATTCATGGCATTCGTTGCATCCTAGGTACCTGGTCGCCTGCTTGATTGATGTATATCGATGATTAGCCCTTGGATTTTGGTCATCTTGGTCTGGACCCTGGGAGGGGTCGCATTTGACCTCAGTAATGGCGAGGATCTACACTCTTTCATGACTGTCTGTTCTGCTCCCTGGTACCACCATCCTTCTTACCCTTGCTAACCTCTACAGATGCCGGAGGCCCGGCCGATCAAGTTCAACGTAACCTACCATGACCGATCCCGCGTGAGCGCCGGCTTCTTCTTCGTCGCTCCGTACTGGAACTTCATCGTCGACCCTCCAGTGAACCGATGGATGCCCTGTCAGATGGGGCCCCACATCTACGATGCGGATGGTCATCTTGTCTGGAGCGGAGCCTGCCAGTTTGGAGATCACAATGTCTTCGACTTCAGGATGACTGACAACATTGATGACCAACAGCATCTCACGTTCGTCAAGGCTCACTCGTTCAACTGGGATAGCAAAGGCGAAGCCTACGTCCTAAACCACAAGTACGAGATTGAGAACATAGTCGGCGTCACAAACCAGCTCCCCACCTTCGACACGCACGAATTCCGCGTCCTAGACGGTGGCCGCTCGGCCCTAGTCACGCAGTACCGAGGCGCCCAGCGCTCCTTTGCAGACTTCAGCCGCTCCAGCGAATACAGCTGGGTCATAGAAGGCGGACTCCTCGAACTTGACATGGATACCGGCGAAGTGCTCTACGACTGGAACTCCGCGCAGGAACTCTCACTCAGCGAGTCCTACCAACTACATCCCGACGCTGTCCCAGACCCCAACCCCCAGGGCCACGACTTCCTACACGTCAATTCCGTTGACAAAGACAGCCTAGGCAACTACCTCCTCTCAGCCCGTTACACAAGCACAATCTACTACATTTCAGCTGCGGAGCACCGCATCCTCTGGCGCCTCGGAGGCAAGAAATCCGACTTCACGATGGACTTCACGTTCTCGGGACAACACGACGCTCGCTTCCGGTTCACAAACAGCACGCACATGATCCTCTCCCTCTTCAACAACGGCGGCGTCGACGAATACCACGACGAAGATTGCTCCTCGGGCCTCATCGTCCTCCTCGACCTACAATCCAAGCACGCCACCCGTCTCGGTTACCTCCCCCGGCCAGATAAAGGCCTCACCCCAAGCAGAGGCAACTTCCAATTCCTGCCGAACGGGAACTATCTCCTCAACTGGGTAAACGGCGGCTACATGACCGAGTTCTCTCCCGACGGCCAAGTCCTCATGGAAGCCCGCTTCCACTCGGACCGCTACTCCACGTACAGGGCCTATAAATTCGACTTCCACGGCCAGCCGACACACCCACCTGCTGTTGTAGCGCAAGTCCACGGCTCCAGCGACACAGGCTACATGACGCTCGTGTACACAAGCTGGAACGGCGCCACGGATATCGTGGAATGGGTGTTCTACGCACAGCACAACCGCTCTGCGCCTGCGGTACGAATCGGGTCGGCCTCTAAAATCGGCTTCGAGACCGTGTTTTCCACGCCGGGGTATTTCGACTGGATTTCGGTAGAGGCCATCGACCTTTACGGGAAAGTCCTAGGGGGGCGGAGGAGGTCTGGGTTCCATCGCACCCGGGTGCCCGCGGAGTGGGAAATGGATCATCGAGAAGACCGCGGTAATGGTAATGGCAATGGCACGCATCCGTACCCGACGCCTGATAACCCGGAGACTACTTTGTTTGCGGGTGAGGATCCGGGTGGTCCGGTTGTGGAATCTGAACTTCCGGCAGAGGGCAGGTCGACGTTCCTGTTGGCCATGGTTCTTTTTGTATCTTGTCTGGGTATGGGGGCGCTTTATTGTTTCAGATTGAGTTTTAGATTCGGGGGGTGGAGGAGGGCTTATTATCATTTGGTTCGTTCGGGGAGTTGATAAATCATAAGGGTGTATAGTTAGTATAGTAGGTAGTAAAGATGATGAACATAAAAAAAAAAAAAAAAAAGACAAATAATAGCATAATAACGCGATATAATTTGTTAGCCTAGTTAATGTGAATATATATATAATATATATATATTAGTTAGTTACTCTGTACTCTGTAAGGAAGGGTAAGCAAGATCCCACCCATCAAGTTAGCCCCAAAGAATGTTCGTTCTATAGAGTCCAGTTGAAAGCGTTGTTGTATATACGGACTAGAACTTGACCGTTTTATGCAAAATCAAATGCATGGACATTAGAAAAGGAAGGAAGGAAGGAAGGAAGGAAGGAATTGTACAAGATATTTCACCAAGTAAGCAGACTACAACTTCGCCTGTCCCTCCTGTCCCTTATTCTGCCACGCAAAGCCAATCTCTTTACCAATACCCGGCTCAACAATCACATTCACCACCGTGACCGTGTCGCTCAGGAACCCTTCGCGCGTGGCCGCTTCGAGTTCCTGCTCATTCCGCACAAAGTAGCCCCTCCCTCCGCACATCGTAGCCAGCATTTCGTACCGGGTTTCGTAGAGCAGACTAGTTGACCGGAGACCTTTGACTGTGTCTTTCCCATCTGCCTTGGTATCGTTGGACGCCGTCTGGTCCTGCAGGGCCTTCCATGCGCTTTCGGAGGTGCTGTCGCCGTGGTAAATGCCCGAGTTGTTGACTACGTAGATGAGCGCGGGGATACGGTAGCGGGCGAGGGTCTCGATTTCCATGGCGCTGAATCCAAAGGCGCTGTCCCCTTCCAGCGCGACGATCTTCTTCTTTGGCTTGTTGCGGCTCCCCGGGTGGGTGGTGGTGGCGTTGAAGGCTTCGTGCGCTGCAACAATGTAGCCCATGCCGACGCCCATGGTGGCGTAGGTGCCGGCGTCAAGACGCTGGCGCGGGTGAAACAACGGGAAGATAGACCGGGAGATGTCCATGGTGTTGGCTCCTTCGGAAACGTACACGATGCCGCCGTCTTCACAGGGAGTGAGCGAATTGAGCGTTGATTTGATAATGTGATATGCCCGTTGATAGGTCAAGGGCGCCCCCCGCGGTGTTGGAAGAAGAGCTGCCCTTTGGGCTCTCGCTTCGTTCTTCTTTGCCGACTCCGCAAGTAAAGCAGGGAACTGGCCGGATGGCGAGTATCGCCAGTTCGACAGTGAGGTGGTGAGTTGATCAACCACTAGGGCGAGATCGCCTAGGATTCCAAGCTCCGAGTTTCCAGCATTCCGCCCGATCTCCTCGGCCGCGATATCAACCTGGATGATCTTCGCCTGGGGCGACCACTTGGGCGCTTCCCCAAAGTGCAGGATCCAATTCAGCCGTGCGCCTAAAACGAGAACCACGTCGGCGTTCTTTAGAGCGGCACTACGAGCACTGGATACATTCAGCGGATGCGAGTCTGGTACCACGCCCTTCCCCATCGGGGTGGGCAGGAAGGGAATCTGCGTCTGGTCTACGAGCTTGCGGATTCCAGTCTCTGCCCGCGCATACGCAGCGCCCTTACCGATAATCAGCAGCGGCGCACGAGCCGCCTTCAGCAGTGCGACCGCCTTCAGGATCAGTGCCGGATCACCGCCTGCCCTTGGAGGCGGAGCGACCAGGATGTTCTCCGGCAGTGGGAGGGGGAACTCCGGGGATAGTTTTCCCTGGATGATATCTGCGGGGAGATCAACAAAGGTTGGCCCCGGACGACCATACCAGCAGGTCCTGTAGGCATTCTTGACTGCTCCGGGGAGAAAATCGAGGGATGAGGCGCGGACGGCAAGCTTGGTGTGGGGCGTTAAGAGGGAGATGGCGTCCATTTCCTGGAACGCGCCTTTGGTGATGGCAGAGGTCTCGGCAGACCCAGCGAGAACAAGAAGGGGGAAGTAGTTTACAGAAGAGTTGCCAATCTAATTCTCATCCGGTTCTATTAGCCCGGACGTTTCATTCGAAGAGGAGATAGATCGATGGTCAATTGTTGAGAGAAGACTTACCCCTGCCATCGTATGGAGAACTCCAGGCCCTCCCACGACAAGACAGACACCAGGCCGTCCTGTCATATACCCATACACACTGGCTGCATAGCTGCAAGCCTGTTCGTTGCGGAATGCCACGAACCGGATGCCCAGGTTAATGGCCTCCTCCGCAATCTCGACGACGGGAATTCCAACAATACCAAAGATGACTGTGACACCTAGGTCGCGGAGTGTGCGGGCAATGAGCTGAGCGCCAGTTTCCACAGCCATTCTGATGCTTTATTAGAATATTTTACGCGAACAGGCTAGACATCAAAGAAAGAATCATAGAAGAACGGAGGTGGAGGTGGAGACTGGAGAGCGGGAGAGATGGAGAGATGGAGAAGTTCCGAGGTTGGAGGAGCTACAGGTAGAATATGACTACCAGGAAAAGTGTACTCATCCCTAAGCAAATTATATTTGAACACTAATCTTCTAAAGTATTTTTTTTTTTTGAAAGAGACGACTAAAGACTCTTCAAGAAATAGAAGAGAACCACCTGGGCAGCAATGTGTGACGAGAGAGTCTGAAGGCATCTTTTATATTGAAGCAAAGTGATGGTGGATTAGGTACAGTAATACTTATCACATATATCAAAATTGCCGGGGTATCCAAATAAATCATCATGGACGACGACGGCGACCACCTCCTTAAGTCGGGTCAAGATTCCCCAACCGACTGAGCCCCGTCAGTCTTCTTCAATCATAAAAAAAGTCAAGGTATCTCATCGCGCTCAAAATTCAAACTCTTTCCGGAATGCATTGACGTCCATGCCGGCGACCACCATATCGGCCAGATCCCGTCGGCCCATTTGGCTAAAGACCCGGCGCAAAGTGTCATAGAGGTTTGTGCTCTGGTTCTGGCTGATATGGATCATCCGTTCAAGCTGCTCGTCATTGATGCCGCCGTCGTTGCCTCCGACGATCTCCCGGGCGCGTTCCCGGCCTTCTTGCTCGACTACCCGGTGCATGGACAAAGCACCCAGAAGATGCTGGGCGGCTTCGGGGTAGCAGCCTATGTTAATGCATGATACACCCAGGTTGTACCGGGCTCGGACAAAATTCGGGTTGATGTTCAAAGCCTGTTCGTAGGCCTCGATGGCTTCTTCGGACCGACCGGAGTTGGCCAGAGTGGCCCCCAGACGGTTCCAGAGTAGATGCAGTTGCTCTTTCTGGTTGGATGTCCCCGATTCGGTACTGGCTAGAGCGGTGGTGAAACAGTCGACAGCCTTGTCGTATTCTTCCGCGCAGTAGAACAAAACACCAAGACCGACTTGCACATCAGGGTCCATTTGCTCTCCCGAGGGCGATAGTTGGGCCGCCTGGATGAAGAGATCCGTGACACGTTCGTGGAGAATCTGACGGTCTGTGAAACCTAAGTCCGCATCGGAGGACAAATTGTCAGGGTTAACGATCTGAGGATACTTTACAGAGAGCCACCGCTCCAGTGTGCGGTAGGCCGTGGAGTCGTATCCTTCATTGGTATAGGAGACAGCCAGACCCATAAGCGCATCTAGATTGTTAGGATCAACCTTGAGAGCTTGTTCCAATGCCCGAATAGCAGGGATTTCCTTCTCGTTCTGAGCCTGAGCGGCTCCCAGCATTGTCCAGGCTTGTACGTGCTGAGGATCCTTCTTTACAGCGGCCTCAAACGCCAAAGCCGCCAAGGATAAGTTACCACCTTCACGCATGATCTTCATACCTTCCTCGAAAGCGTTGGTGACGGAGCTGAAAACATTATCTTCCTCAAACATGTATTCGCCTAATTGGGGATCCCTAAACCGCGTGTTGAGGGTATCAAATGCATCCCATTCTCCCGCATCGCCGATGTGAAGACTATCGGTGACGTTGAAATCGGTTTCTCCTTCGGCTAGTTTCCTATGTACGTCCATCTCAGCTTGAACTCTTTGCCACACGCTCTCAAAATTGCTGTGATCTTGGGCATTATCGGAACTAGTGACGGGGACTGACCTGTCCAGATCATTCAGCTCTGCCTCCATGGCAGCGTTGGCCTCATCGTCCAGTTTCTGGTTACCAGCCGTCTCCATCTCCGCAAACTGTGCCTCCCAGTCCCCATCGTCAAGCTCGACGACACGGCCCTTCCCTTTATCCTGGGCGGTAGCTTCTGCCGGTTGCTGCTGCTGAGGCTGCTGCTGCTGCTGCTGCTGCATGCCCATGGGTCCATAGCCCGGCTGCATCATACCCATTCCTCCGAGCCCCATGTATCCCATTCCCATGGGTCGCTGGAAGCCAGCCATCATGGGGGACTGGGCGGATGTGACAGGGCTCGCCGATTGAGGGATGCCCATGGTGCTCTGTTGCTGGAAACGAGCAAACTCCGCAGGCGTGAACCCGGAGCCATTATTCATCATGGGCCCTTGAGGTCCAGCAAATGCTGCCTCCATGCGAGCCTGCTCTCCAGGGTCGAACTCCGAAGCCCAGCCGGGGGAACCTGTTCGGGGAGGGGTTGTTTGAAACTGATCTAACTCGCGTCTCAGTTGCTGCATCGCAAACGGCTGCGGGGCAGCGCCGGGTATTTGACCGGACTGTTGGGCGAAGTCGTCCATCATCTGTATAGCACATCATTAAGCAGCCGTTAATAAGAGAGATAAGAGGACGACAAGTGGATGGGATCGTAAGAGATAAGTCATACCTGATCTTGACCTCCCATCATCCCCCGCGAGCGCATGCCCTCCTGCATTCCAGGGCCACGCCCAACCAGCCTGTCACGCTGAAGGGACTTATCATCTTGAACGTGCTTAGTAAATTGTGTCAACGGATTTCCCGCGGTCGAGCACTCCGCGCCACCGAGGAACGACATCTTGTAAGAACCCGCGAGGATTTGTCTCGGGAAAGGAAAGGAGGGAGGCTATGTTAAGGTATAGTCTCTTAAAGGGTATATAAAGGACTTCAACTAAGGATATGATGGAATGACGAGAAGAAAAGAAGTTTGGTCCTGGACTACTACCCCAACTCAATCGTACTACGGCGTTGAAATGTAATGTGGGGGTTTTTGGTGACGCTCCGAACCAGTCGGAATGATTTCGAGCTGCCGAGGCCCCGATAGTCACGTGGATCATCTGCCGATTAAGAGAGAGAGAGATGTAGATATATCGTTTTTGATCTATTCTATAATACAATTCCATTATACACAAGTCATATAATAAAACCCGCAAGCAATCCAAACACCTAAGTAATGCATGCAGCCCAAACCCAAAATTCGTCCCCCATTAAGCATGAGCAGCGGCTCCAATCGGAGTAACCACGGGGAACGCTTCCCGGTTGCTGGTGCTGAAGTCAACCCGTAGCTTGCGTCCATATGGCGCCTTCAGGTTCAGGATCTCGCGTGCAGCCTGAGCACTCTCGGTATCAACAAATTCAGCGTGAGCAAAGCCCCGAGGCTGCCCCGTGCGACGATCAACAGACACCCGGACATCAATCAAATTAACAACATCACTGAATAGTCCATTAATGTCACGGTCCGTCATCTCAAATGCCATGTTGCCAATATAAAGTGTCTTGGAGGGGTTGGTGGGCGCTGCAGTCCTGCGAAGGTTGCTCTGCGCAAAGTACGAAACGACGCGACGACCCTCAAAAATCCGCATGTGCATGCCCTGGATCGCGCGCCTCGCTGAAGAAATGCTGTCAAAATTTACGTAGCCGAATCTATAACCATCACAAGTAAGTTAAAGATCAGCCAAAGTACTCGCAGCCCCAACAGGCGGAGCCCGATTGGAAAGGAACCCCCTAACTCACCCTTTACTAATGCCCCGGCTATCATAAATAAGATTCACCTCCTCCACAACACCATATTTCGACATTTGCTCCTTTAGATCCTCCGGCGTAACATCGTAAAAGAGGTTACCAATATAAATGGTTTCCTTCGGGGTAAACTGATTCTTGACAATCATGTATTTCTTCTCCTTTTTCACGTTCATGGCAATAGCATCAGCAAGTTCCTGTTGCTTACGGTCGATGCCATCTTTGTCTTCAGCGGCTGCATTTCTGATCTGGTCAATGTGGGTCTCCAACGACGATGAGTCCTCATCAACGGCGATTGTTGCAGTTGTGTTCGTGGCGGTCTCTGTTACCGTCTGCGCGGAGGTTGCGGGGGTGATATCTGTAGCAGTCTCTGTAGCGGTTTTCGTTACTGTCTCTGCGGCAGTCTCCGGAGTAGCCCGCGCAGGGGTTTCTGTTACAACCTCTGTGACAGCAGCCTCTGTGACGGTCTCTGTCGTAGTCTGCGTAGTAGCTTCCACGGGTGTTCCGGCCGTCGTCCCCGTAGCCGCCTGTGCGGTAGTCTCCGTTCCGGTCTCTGTCGCAGTCTCTATTACAACCTTTTTATCACTCTCGGCAACAGTGCCTGCTGCAGCCCCCTCCCCCTTCACCTTCGCATCATCGCTATTCCACCTGCTCTGAAGCGATAACTGTACCGTCCGGTGAGGAACCGTAAACCGACGAGAATTCGAAACCGCCGATAATCGCGGTCGAACAGGTATCGATGACGGCGAAGCCAGCAACCGACAAGCAGCGCGGCGAAGAGAATGCCTAGGTCAAACGAAAATGAAAAAGAAGAGCTTCAGGTTAGTGATAGCCCAGTGATAGGTATACGAATGCAGTTATGGATTATAGAGAAGGTGGTGGAGGGGGATATGCCATAAATAGAACTCATACATTTTTTTTCAGACCTTCCAACCCAGTGTATCTCTCAAGAAGAACGGGTTAAAGAAACCTCCTGGTCATTGGGGTTGAATTGCACAAGGCTTTCTTTCAGGAGTGTTCAGGGAAAATTCGCAGGAGCGTGGCGGAAATCCGATGTTTGTGTCACGTGGCGATAGACGATAAGGATCAGATCAGGCCTTTTCAAACAATAACGAATGAGCCCCCAAAAAATATATGTGACGAACAAGATACTAACTTTCACAAAACAAGTATATTTACTATTAATTATGCCTTCCATAGCTATTGCAGAACAATTAGAGTGACATGCACCTCCATCCGTACATACATAATAGTCCCATTATAATCATTCATCATATAAGATCTCAAAAAGACTGCTTCAACTCAACAGAGTGGAGATAATAGTCATACAGGATCCCAGAGAACTCCGCGTGATAAGAATCAAATAAGGATAACTTACCACCATCTAGCGCCGTGGCCATCAAACCCACGAATATACATCGAAGAATACCCCACATGTCCAGCTAAGCATGCGAAGAACAAAAGCAATCATATATCGACGCAGTTAGGGTCAGGCTAAGTCACTTACAATACCCAGAAACCAACTTTTTTACTCCTCTGAGCCAGAGGGAAGCACTGTGGAAATATGAGACGTCTCCGGTGTTAGGATCAATTTATTTTCAAATCAGTTATGGGGACGAGAACCTGCATGTTCACGTGGAGCCATTGTTTTCAAACCCATTGCTGTGGGGAAACATATTGTTTGATCGAGGTAACGATCGCATTCTTTCCTGGGGGCTGCTGGTCTGCGCCCCCGGTAATTGTGTTGATGATAATGGCCCTGGACTCTGCTGCTGTTGCATGTCCGCAGGAGACCACCATGGGTTCGACGTGTCAAGAGTGGGACCTTGAATATAATTATCCCAAGCATCCTGTGAACGGGCGGCGGGGTTAGCACCATAATTTACGACTGTATCCAAGAAACTCCTACCCAATCCAAGTTGACCTGCATGTCGGGCATCTGCCCGAACATATTACTGAAAACAGAGGAAGCGCCAGGGATTGAATCTGCCGGTGTAAACCCGCCGAAATTTGGCAGGAGAGGATCGGCCATCTTCAGGGGTGTCTCGCTAAATGTCGAGGGTCCTTGACTGAGGGGAGTCATTCCGCTGCTAAGCAAGCCTAAGGTCATCGCTGCACTCTGTTTCTCATCTTGTGGCTCAAACGCAAGGGCGGGAGGGCCCGCTGAGGTCTTCTCGGCAACTCCAGACCTGAGCCTGCCTAGCATCACCCCAAGAGCGCCACCAGCCTTGAATGCCTCCATGGTCTCATCTTGAAGTTCATCCCAGATATCCTTACTGCGCTGGACGGCAGCTAGCATCTCATCCCGCCGCTCTCTGCCCCAGGCAAAGGCATCGGCAGACGTCTGTCCACCGCTAGGCACCTGATATGCATGGTAGAGATCAAGGCACACAATGGTTGCAGCGAGAAGGAAGTCGCTGGAGCTCAAGGAAGTGACACGGTTCTGTCGACTTCGCAATCGACCTGTCGGGCCCGTTTCTGCATGAAGCATCGCCTGGAACCTTAGTAGCTCCATGGCAGAGTCGATACAAGTTCTTCGCGAGTGTGTGAATCGCGGGTTCTCCCGTGCACGGATAAGATATTTTCGATGAAGAAGACATTGCGCTTTATGGTAAACGCTCATTACCTAAAGAGGGTTAGGGTAAATACTGAAAGAAAGGAGATGTAACCAACAACTTACAGAAAATCGCGACATGATAAGAACCAAGGGGTCTAACGGGCATTCTTCAATAGGACGAACGAGAAGGTGCTCTGGGATAACATCTCTTGCCCGACGAAGTTCCGAATCCATTTCCATAACCTTGTCATACGATGTACTCTGGAGAGAAGAGGCTTGTTCGATAGCTTTGCCCAGTACGTGTGCTAGACGGGATTTGGTAATAAGGTACGAGAGTGGGGTTGGTTCGCTTGGGGGTCGCGAGGGAGGAAGCTCCTTGCAATTCTCATCGAAATCATCATCGTAAAGATTGCGCGGGAACTCAGTATCACTATCTGCAATGCGGATCATACTGGGCAAGCCAACCTGGCAAGAAAACATCAGATCGGCTTGGCGTACAAAGGCCCAAACCCTTCGACGCATTTCACCCTGGAAAGGTGTAATGTTCGGGAATGCCTTGGAGTCACGATGGTAGCCCATTCGCATGGCCAGTCGCACAATTACGCCAACAAGGACCCAGACGGAAATATCTGCTTCTTTTGTTTGGCAAAAGTCGCCATGGAGGTGAAAAGCCAAGCATTCAATCAAATATGGATATGGCTTAGTATAGTCAGCCAGCGTCAGACACAGCGCCACAAGGTTCCGGAATGTGCCAGCCATGTCTAACGACTTACCCCGGAATTCAGGGGGTTCGTCGCCTTCACGATAATATGACAGCATAGAAAGTCTCATCATGGCAAATAGCATTCCAATCCAGACGATGCAAGTCTGCGAGGGGTCTTCCCAGTGTTTATTGTACTGCAACAGAATTAGAATCAGTTCCACCCTTAGCAAGCTGGGGGTCTACTTACTTGAGCTTGGAAGGTAGGACCATGAAGAAAATCTGTCTAATTATCAGTCTCCAAAACACAATACGGCAAATCACAGAACATTTACGTACGAGTTGCGGGGTCGTAACAGTTGAAGTAGCGCGCTATCAGCATATCTGTTGTATATTTTGAGGGAAACGAAGACATAATTTCTGCTCGACTAGTTGGCTTCATAGCCCCAAAAAGCAGGGTTGACCCCGGAACATCAGTGGGGAGCCGTGTGGTTTTGAGCCTCTCAGCTTGCTCCTCGTATTGCTTCTTGTGCGTGGTAAAATAATTACGGACTTCCGATATCTAGACCGACAAGGTTAGTACCAGGTCAGAAATTAGGCGAGACGTCGACTCACCTCGCTGAGAACAGACGCCCAATGTGCGTCACTGATATAGTACGACTTATTGTTGTCAAACTTCATGATTCCAAATGACTTGGTAACCTGTTCCGTGTCACTCTCCTCCTGAACCGGTTCATCGTCAACATCCAGATCAAGAATATTTTGAGCGGAACCGATGCTACTGCTTGTCCCAGATATTGCTGCCATAGCCGCTGCGGGGCCTTCAGCTTGCGACCCATTGGTCATTAATGATAAGACGAGACTTTCCAGTCGATCAATCCTATTCTGCATGTCATCTGGAGAATTCGAAGCGGCCTGACTTGGAGAGCTCTTTTTTCGGACGTTCGTTTGCGCGTACGTGCAGGAGTGAGCATCACCACGTTTGACGCAGTTTTCGCAGGGATGGGCACGGTTGCATTTAAGCCTGTCGCGGGGTTAGAATGTACGCTGAGGGATGAAAAGGGTTGTCGTCAACTTACTTTCGATGGCGGCAGGGGCCGCACGAAAGAGGCACTCGATTTCGTTTTCGCACAACTCTGAACTGGCCTTCGGGCGACACTGCGCCGTTACTCGAAGACGTTGTCGACGGTGGTGTCGGAGACATTTTTCTTTCTTTCTTTCTTTTTCTTGCGTATAAAACCGGAGACTAAATACAAATGGCGGAATGCTAGAGATAATCCACCAAATAGCAAGGCAAATGAAATGGTTCCAAGATATCGTAGGGAGCAAGAAACGGGTTATCGCTATTCGAAAGCAGGGTTTCTGCGCGTGTACACAATTTGATCCGTTTCTCAGGGCTCGGGTCACGCCAGATTAATAAATCGGAGCCCGCACCAGGATCCCTCTCGGGCTTGGTTCGGACTCAATGACAGAAAACACGGTGTTTCAGCAGCGTGTAGAGCTAAGATCCTTCCTCACCTCACTTGCAGTTGAAATACCAAGGGGTGTTTGGTGAACAAGAGGTGTGGCCAGTGGAAAAGCAACTTTCGCGCCCCTTCGATCACTTTTCAGCGGTCGGGGTCAATGATGGGCTGAAATGCGATTGCGTGCGTTGGGTGAGAAATATCCTATAGTCGCGGATTGAGGGCGATATGCGGGTTGTCGTTATTGCCGTTTTACCCAGCAGATAATCAAGAGCCCAGCTCACACAAAATCGACAACGAGCAGATGAAGTGGATCACGAAATGAAAAGTTTACGTCGCGCTCCCAGGGGGCGAGGAGAGGCGGGGGGAGACGGGTACGAGGGCAAAGATCGAGGGGTTCAACGACTGCCCGTCTGCTGGAATTAGATCTTGCGGCGAAGCTTCGACGGTGCCAAGATGTCGCAGAGGGCGAAATATCAACAGCGCACTCCTCCAAACTACCCAGGAAAGGTAGACGGTAGTTGAAAACGTAGTATTTGATGCCTAGACAAGCCACAGTTCCCGCCACAGGAAAAAGGAGACGAGGAACAGGAGGTTGTCCGACTTGGTCCCAGCAGTTGGAGGATGATTAATTCGTTAGGGATGAAGGCTGACTTATCTCCGTTATCACCTTGAAGGCGGTCAGTTCTGCGCTTATGGTCACTCCAGAGTCCCAGAGGGTCAGAGAATTTCCCTTGAAAGAAGAAAAAGGGACAGAAAGAAAGAAAGAAAGAAAGAAAGAAAGGAGGAGGGAAAGCGCTCTGAGAGGTCTATCCCTCTTTTTTACCATGACGATACATAGGTATGATCGACTCCCAACGGCGACTAACTAACAGGCCTCGCATTTTAAAAGCATGGGTCCCTATGCGACCAGCCTATCCCGGGGAAATCCCTCCAGCCTAAACCTGCCCATTTCCCTCCGTCTACGTCTAAAGGAGACACAAGAGATTCTAGCCTGGGGGTCAAAAAGGCCTCTCTTTGCTCATTTGCTGCGCCGTGTTATGGAGGTTGTGGCTTTGCTCAAATGGTTGAGTCACCTGTTATGCTCCAATCAGCATCAAGACTGGCGGAGGTTGTTGGTTCAGCTGTGGATCAGCCCAGACCTTTTTTTTTGTTGTTTCGGTAGGATCCATGATTTTTCTAGCTTCCAGCGGTTTTGACTTGGGGCTGGTTGGCCGGGATATGCTTGTTCTGACTATCGAGTAACAGTGAATGAATCGCCAGGGATCTCAACAATGAATGAGATAGGGACCGGCCTGAAGACAGTGAGTGGTTTGTCTACTACATAGTTACAAGGCCCAGATGTTCTGGGAGCAGGTGAATTCAGTCGAAGCTATCCAGTGCTCCAAACACTCCAAGCAACGACCCACGGAGCCATGACTCTATATTTTAGTGGATGTGCTGGGATATAAAATTATATATTCAGCAAGCTGGTCTGGATTTATAGACAGTAGAAATAACAATAATAATCAAATATAATCTTAATGAACCTGCTTTTTTTTTTTTTTCATCTTTTTGATAGCCATTAACTTGGAACTATGCCAACATTTCTATATGGAGTATTTATCCACACAGCCTTAACAATATTAAGCAACATCGGGTATTTATAACTATACAAATACCTAGTCACTGCTACCAACTTCACTTTAGCTAGTGATTCATACAGCCTTGTATTATAACCCTCAATTTCACTCTCTCCTCTCCAATCATTTCCTAAGCCTTTACAGAAAACTAGCCTATCTTGACCCTATTAACCCAATCATTAGAAACTACACTGTCAAAGTGATACAGGAAACAAGGATTTTCCAGCCAATGATCCCGCTGCCTCTGTCGTGTCTCTACATAGGTAGTACCAACACACAAAAGAAAACCATGCAAACAGCACCTCTTCATTACCCTTTAAAAGTGGTGGGGGAGACCCGCCCGTATCCAGCGTGGAGGACGAAATCCCTTCCGCCTCCAAACCGCGAACTAGTAACCACGCAGTACCAAGTACACTTTCATCTTCGAAGTTCTTATCGTCTGTGTATTACCTTTTTTTTTTTTCTTTCTTTTAGACCGTCTATACTCATCTACCATATTTTGGTTAACCCTGCAGCTTGACTTGGAGTTTCTTTTCCCTAGATTTTGGTTCTCTGGTCGCGTTGAATTCTATCATGTCTAACGCGGGCGGTCCACCCCAGCGGGGCAGCGGACGCGGCGACCGTGGTAGAGGACCTGGCACGGGGAGAGGTACCGGGAGAGGAAGAGGAAGAGGAAGTGATGACAGCGGCCCTGCTGGTCGCGGAGGAGGTCGTGGAGGAGGTCGTGGAGGTGGCCGTGATTCACCCATGGACCTTCCTATTCGCCAAGCGCCTGGTGATCGAGGTGACAGAGGAGGGAGCTTCAGAGGTCGTGGAGGAGGTCGTGGAGGTGGCCGTGATTCACCTATGGACCTTCCTATTCGCCAAGCGCCTGGTGATCGAGGTGACAGAGGAGGGAGCTTTAGAGGTCGTGGACGAGGCAGAGGGGACGATGTAGGAGGCCGAGGCGGCCGTGGAGGACGCGGGGGACGCGGAGGTGGTTATTTCGATCAGCATTCGACCATTTACACGTATATTCCCTTTTTCTTCCTCCTCCTCCTCCTCTTCTTCTTTTTACATCCGTGCTTCTGAGGAAAGAGCCCCACTAATTGAGACATGCTCATTATATCACTAGACCGGCTGGAGGGGTTCCATCTCCCAGTGACCAAGTTGCAAGGACCGAGGACACCCTGGTGACGGCTCTCATGAACAAACCCAGGTCGCCGCATAACCCGGAAAGACCAGGCTATGGAACCCAAGGACGTGAGGTTCTCCTGTATGCTAACTACTTTGAACTCAAGTCGGTTGGCAAAGGGCTATACCGCTATCATCTTGACATCGAAGGTGGTGGGCCTCGCAAATCACCGACAGGGAAAAAGGCCAAACAGATTGTTCACTTGTTGCTGGAGGAGCATTTCCCTGAGCTCAAAACACACATCGTGACGGACTACAAGTCAACGATGATATCGCATCGAAAGGTCCTGGATGAGGAAAACGAACCGGTTGCATTTGATGTTCGATATCGAGATGAGTACAGTGATGAGTATCCTGAGCGGCCAGAAGTGTACCGGGTTGTCTGCAAGTTCACTGGCCGGCTTGACCCTGCTCATCTTTTAAATTATCTCACCTCCTCTGATGCAGCTGCTATGTTCGATTCTAAAGCAGATGTCCTGCAGGCGCTGAACATCGCGGTTGGTCACCACCCCAAATCTGATACTTCTATTATTTCGACGGCTTCCAACAAGCATTACCCTATGGTTGGTGGATTGGTGGAAAAGTTCAACTTGGGAGCTGGTCTTGAAGCCCTCAGAGGGTACTTTGTCAGTGTTCGTGCAGCAACCGCACGCATCCTGGTGAATGTTCAGGTTAAATATATGGCTTGCTACCAAGACGGGCCCTTGAGACAGGTCATTGGGGAATTTCAGCACTCGGGCTCGCTCGACCCTCACAGCCTTGGGAAATTTCTTCTCAAAATGAAGGTTCGCGTGACTCACATTGAAAGAAAGAATAAGAAGGGAGAAATGATTCCCCGTATTAAGACCATACGTGGGTTGGCTACCCCTCGTGATGGGCAATCGCTGGCGAATCCACCCAAAGTGAGTCGAATCGGAGCAGGTCCCAGAGAAGTCCAGTTTTTTCTGGAAGCACCTGGACAGCCTTCGTCACAGCAATCCGGCTCAGCAAGCTCCCAGGGCAAGAAGGGAAAGAAACCGGCGAAGGCAGGCCCTAAGCCTTCCGGAAGCTATATCACTGTAGCCGACTTCTTCCAGCGCTGTAAGTATTCAAACCTCGTTTTACTGATAACACGTAACTGACCTTGTCGAAGACAATGTTTCAGTGGACCCTAGCATGCCAGTTGTGAATGTAGGAGACAAGGAAAACCCATCTTACCTCCCAGTTGAAGTGTGCATGGTTGAGCCTGGCCAGCCAGCAAAGGCTAAACTTACACCCAACCAAACACAACAAATGCTGAGATTTGCTGTTCGCACTCCAGCGCAGAATGCCATGTCAATTGTTACCCAAGGAACCGAGACCCTAGGAATTGGCGACTCCGCAAATCCTACTCTGGTGAGTGCCTCGCTGCTCAGGCGCGGGATTTAGTCCTAACGTTTGTATACAACAACAGGTCGACTTTGGCATCCAACATAACCCGAGCCTGATTACGGTCCCTGGGCGAGTCCTCTCCGCTCCCAATGTCTGTTACAAAGACGGTAAATCGAATCAGAAGCAGATCACCCCTATCGGTGGTAGCTGGAACATGAAATCGATCCGATTCTCTACCTCCACGAAGCTCTCCAACTGGACTTGGATCCTCATCGCCCCACGGAAAGGTAGACAGCACTTCGAAAATCCCAATGATCTAGATGACTGCCTTCAGAAGTTCACAGCCAAACTTAACGAGGTTGGAGTGATGGCAGCAGCACCTAAGCAGGGTCGACGCATTGTCTACAACAGAGACACCTATGAGATGGATATCAACACCACGATCTCAGATCTCTTAAGGGTAGAAGGCAAATCCAAATTAGAGCTCATCCTCACAATCCTCCCGTTTAAGGACACAGAGCTGTACAACTGCATCAAACAAGCGTGCGACATCCGTCACGGCATCCGCAACGTAAACGTCCTTGGCGAGCGCTTCCGAAACTGCGCAGACCAATACTTCGCCAACGTCGGCCTCAAATTCAACCTCAAACTCGGCGGCATCAATCAGCTTCTCAGACCCACTGAACTCGGCATAATTGGCGAAAACAAAACCATGCTCGTCGGTATCGACGTCACCCACCCCTCCCCAGGCTCCGCCGACAACGCTCCTAGCGTTGCCGGAATGGTTGCCTCCATCGACTCTTTCCTCGGCCAATGGCCCGCCGAAATCCGCATCCAAACCAAAGCCCGCAACGAAATGGTCGAGGACCTCGACTCTATGCTTAAAAGCCACCTCCACCGCTGGGCATCCCACCACAAGGGCGCCTTCCCCGAGAACATCATCGTCTACCGCGACGGCGTCTCAGAGGGCCAATACGACCTCGTCGTGGAAAACGAACTGCCCCGCCTCAAGGACGCCTGCAAAGCGCTCTACCCGGCGTCGATGACCGCAAAGGCCCTCCCCAAGTTCTCGATCATGATCGTGGGCAAACGCCACCACACACGCTTCTTCCCAACCGGCGACCAAGACGCCGACCGCTCCTCCAACCCCGTCAACGGCACAGTCGTCGACCGCGGCATCACCGAAGCCCGGAACTGGGACTTCTATCTCCAAGCCCACACCGCACTGAAAGGCACAGCCCGTCCAGCGCACTACTTCACCATCTGGGACGAGATCTTCGTCAAGATTAAGCCCTCCTCGCTCCCCCGGGGCCAAACCACAGCAGACCTCCTCGAGTCCATGACCCATCACATGTGCTATCTGTTCGGAAGAGCCACCAAGGCCGTGAGTATCTGCCCCCCGGCCTATTATGCGGATTTGGTCTGCACCAGGGCCAGATGCTATCTCAGCAATGTATTTGATCCGGTGACGCCAAGTGGGAGTGTCAGTGCCGGTAGCGGCCCGGTATCTCTGTTTGAATCGTCGCAGGTTAGGATTCATCCCAATGTCAAAGACACGATGTTTTATATCTAGGTTGCTGGGTTGAATGCTCATCGTCCCGGGCGGTATCTACTAACTAACTAGTTAGTTAATTCTTACTGACTTGCTTACGAACTTATTTACTTACGAACTTACAAATGTCATGACAAATTTGCTTGGACAGATTTGATATGATATGATATGTCTTTTTTTCTTGTCTTGGCTGGTTTGGAACTACACGGACGTCTTTGGACATGGGGACATATCGGGTGAATATTTCCTAGTAGTCTGATACTGATCAACTCCGACTGCTACTAATGCCTGTTATTTCCGATGTGCAAATCTTGTTCAATTTCTCTCTCTCTCTCTCTCTCTCTCTCTCTCTCTCTTTATGTTTGCTCATTAGCTACTGGATATTACAGAATGAACACACTGGGTTTTGCTTCTTTAAGAAAACTGTTAAATTATAATACCACATACTTCATTATCATTCTATCTGTATGGAACCGCACACGTTCCAGTCATTGCCGGGAGCAGCAGCAATAGCAGCACCACTGCACAGGGGTAGCCTAAGTATGCAGCAGTACTGGGGCAAGAGATAGTAACAAAATAACGTATCAGCGATAGTACATAAAATGGAATAAAAAAAAAAAGAAATAAGAAAGTCCAGTGCAAGACATGAAAAAAATGAAAAAGAAATACAGGGAAATACATGTTGATCACGAAGAAATTAAAAAAAAAAAGAGAGAGAGAAAGTATGTGAAATAAACACAGCAGTTAAAAGTGCCGCCGGTACGGAGTACTTTGGGGGGTTTGGTATACTGGAGACTTGGGGGAAAAAGAAACATCCATGATAGTCATAGATCCGTGCAAGCATTTGGTCAGCATCGTTGGATATGTTTTTTCTTTTCTTTTGCTTTTTTCCCCTTTTTTTTTGTTTTCTTTTTTCTTTCTGTTTATCGTATGTTGCGTGATCGATTTGATTGTTAACTTAAAAAGGTGCCCAGTTGACTCGACCAGCGCGCAAAGTAGAAGGGGGAAAAAAAAGATGATGAATGTACAGTTCCCCTGGACGAGGGTTTAAATGCCCAGAGAGAAGGAGAGACATTTTTTTTATTCAGCACGGTATTTCGTACTGGCTTTGATTTACATCTCATCGTCACCGAATCCCCAACTCTTTTGGTTGACTTTGCGCATATTGCGACGATGTGGAGGAGGAACGATCTTGGTAGGCTCTGGAGACTGATCATACGTGTCCCATGAAGCTTCCATCATCTTGACGGCCTTCTGGCGGTCTGTGGGAAAGGGTTTCTGATTCTCGAGGCTGGTTTTAGTGGTTTGAACTGGCTCAACATTGTCCGTCACCTCCCAGTGGCTCTGAAAGTCCTTCTGGCGGCCGGGTCCGTTTTGGACAACGGAGAGGGGACGTTCCTTGCTGCGATTGTTCCTGATGGGCCTGTCTTTCTCTGGCTCCTGCATGTCAGCTCCTTGCTCACCGTACAGAGTATCCTTGTAAAGATTTAATCCCTTGTTCTGGAATGAGCTGATGATGCGGGCGCCATTTTGCTCGCCGTTATCGACATCTGTGAGTTGGAAATGTGTCTCTGCATCACGTCGGGGCTGAACAACGCGTGGCCTAGCAGGGGGGGTGTCTTTCAGGTCAGGCTCATCGTCGCTCCAGCCGAAATGACGGACTTCCTCACCGCGTAGCTGACGACGGGGCTTCTCGGGGGTCGTAAAGTCTTCGAATTCCCAGTGGCCGACCTGACGCGATGCCGGACGCGAAGATGCCTGCTTGATCTCGCGATTGCTGTTGTCAGCGCCTAGCTCAAAGTGATCATAACGCTTGGGATGCGCGCGGTAAGCAATCTGCTCTGGCTTCTCGGCTGCGACAGTCTCGTCATCATCAAAGAGACGCGATGGGCGGAAGTTCTTGCCCGCACCTGCTTTGGGGGCGATTGGAGTTGCGTCTGGTGCTTCCTCGCCATTGTCGTCACCGAAGATGCGCGATGCGCGGTAGTTCTTACCTGCACCGACTTTGGGAGCAATCACACGGGATCGCGAGGGAGTTTCCTCGGGGTTATCGTCGCCATCGTCGCCTACAAAGAGTTCACTGTATTCACGGGGTGGGGGCTGTGCGGACGCAGGGGCGCGGGGGGCCCGCACGGGCTGAGCGCGGTCTTTGCCCGGAGAAAGCAGTTCGAACAGGGAGTCGGCGGCGTAGGGGTCCTTGATGTATTTCTTGCCCGGAGAGGCGCCAACATCTTCGCGATCCTCTTGTTCCTGCTTTGCGGGAAGAGATGGAGCGGGTTGTGCAACTCCGTTATCCGCAGGAACTGACGCGACGGCCTGTTTGATCAAACGAGTTTGCTTATCTGCATCACGAATAGGCCAGCTGCGAGCACGGTTACCAATGACCTCGACCTGCTTTAGGAGGGATCCTTGGTCCCAGTAGACTCTGACATTCTGGATCTGGTTCTGGGAATTGAAGCGAACAATATGGACCTATCTCAAGGGGAAGAGCGCATAATTAGTACGTGTGGGGGAGGAGTGGAGGAAGCAATATGCACCGACCGTGGGGAAAGTCGCGACGCGATCGAGCAGGAAGTTCTCGTCTAGATTAGGGAGGTACACCCCTCCTGCAGAGATGAACTGAATGGAAGTTTCAATTTCAACACAGAGAGAGCTAGCCCCTTGAACGACATCAAGGATCTTTTCGGAATTGATCTTGACGACATGTTGCTGTTTGGTGAGTTGCTTGACGACCGCGTCGGCGCCGTTGACTTCGGTGGTGGAGGTGATATAGATCAGGGAGACATCCGGAGCCAGGGGGGCTGACCTAGGGTCAACCAGGAATCTCTGGTACACGTTTATCAAAGACATGGTGAGACTGAGAAACGAGCGTAAACGAGGGACAAGAGCCCAAGAAATTAAGGAATGGAAGGGTTGTTGTTGATTTGGTTTGAAGGATGAAGTTTGGTGGGTTTAGTTGGAAGACACGAACCACAGTTGAGGGAGAAGTGGAAGTGGGAGTTTGCAAGTATGTAACTATTTAGTTATGAATTTATGAAGAGAAGGAATGTAGAAAACGATGAATGGGAATTCCCTGGGGATCAATTCAGGAGAGGTCTGGAATCCGTCTAAATTTTATTTCATTATTGAGTCTCTACGACTCGATCATATAAAAAGAAAGTGCAGGAAGATCGGAAATTCGGCAGGGTGAATGGAGATGCTCTTAGTTTATCATAAGAAGAAGAAAATACCTAACAAGAAGAACATAATGACTTCTTCTTCTTCTTCTTCTACTTTCTATCATAGAATCCAACTTGCTTTTCATTAAAGTCATCATCATAACAATAACCTCTCAAGGACCGCGGATTCCACATCCTCGGGTAACCTTCAAGACACACCAGTGTTTCACTACTCAACGCCCGTCCCCCAAGCCACGTCTCTCCGGCAACTGCTCAGAATTTCTTCATTCGCATTCTGGAACTGTGGGGTTTGATTGGTTTCATTTTTAAGTCTGAGGGGGGGGGGAAAAAAAGGTCTGATAACCTCTATTTGATTATGGTATTCTATGTCCAGTATACATATACTCCACTCCCCGTCCCTCGGGCCTCACTTTCCCGGGTAGTAGTGTCTGTTTTGGATTATCATTTCTCGTCAGTGTCTCCCCTGAGTTCTGGTGTGGTCTTTTCAAAACAACCTGGTTTGTGAACGGTGCGCGTTGACTACACTTCGAAGCCCGCGCTTGCCCCAAAATTCGGAAATGAGAGGCTCCCACCATTTTCTCTCCATCTCGGAACCGATGGAACCTCTGGACTTCGTACATCGCAATTGCAGCCGCGATGACTGGCTGTCAGGCCGCTAATGCTGGCTATATGCGGTAAACTACATCTCCCCAAGCGCTCGTTTGTAGTGGTATAAATCGTCATGATCGTCGTGGGCTCGCGAATTTGCATTACAAAGGTCTGAAGAAAATTGCGCTTGTTAGAAATGCCAAACATAGAGAGCCGCAGACCAAGTACCCACCCTAGATAATCCTCCTTAATCGTTCCAATGGCATTGATTGCAGCAACGTCTGGCTTGACACCCAGGATCTTGAGCCGCAAACTTGTGCCCTTCTCAATCACTTGATCCGCATGGTCAGTGTACTGGGGAGGCACTGTATTGGGCTCCCATTTAATATCGGACGGAATGTTCTCGAGGTACATTAGCTCAAGGTTAGTAACAGTGGTACAACATGACATACTTTTCGCGCAATAAAAACGGACAATGGACCAGCCAAGGTGAAGATTCCAGTAGGCTTAACGGAGGTAACAATGGCATCAACCTAAAAGCCGACTGTTAGAAAGCAAAGCACCACCATATGCTTGTCTAACCGAGACGTACAGTTTCTCCTCGGAAAGGCTTCCAGATGATCGCTCGGTATTTAATGGTGTATTCAGCCTGGCCGTTCGATGGTAGCACCCGTCCCTCACCAATATCCACCATATCCATCACACAAATCACGAAATGGTCTCCGGTGCATCGTCCTTCCTCTTCCTCATTTAATCGGTTGATGAGGTACTCGCGCACATTGGGCCCGAAATAAGAAGGGTGAAGGGTGATGACCTTGGTTTCTTCTTTGAGGAAAAACATGATGAAGTGCGATTGACCGTCTCCCTAGCGTACGGACTTGTCGCAAGCGTAAGGGGATCTCGGGTGGAATTGGCGTCGCGCAGTATCCTTGCGGTAGTCGGAAGATTTTCCTGCCGCTCGTAGTATCCTTAGATTCTGGCTGGGAATGGTGAGAACTGGATCATGTAACGACCGAAATACCAGTAAACGAATCGATGAATGCTAGAATAATCGACAGCTCATGACCGATCACAACAAGAAAACAGCGGCCAAATCCCGGGAAAGAGCGCAAGTTCTGGAGAAGAATTACGACGGGAATACTCCAGAGAGGTAGCCTGCCTTCGAGACGAGCAAGATGGACGAGCAAGATCCTGAAACCAGCCAGCACCTAGGCAATCCAACAACAAAAGCTGTGTCGCACGATCCGCAAGTGCTGGACGAGTCACCTGACCTTGCGGGCTAGTCTTCTTACGGAAGATTGATTACAGGTTCATACTAGACAATACACGAGAAATGTGTGAGATCATCGACCTTTCTTGTCATTATGTCACGGTAATACAGATACTTCAGCATCAAATCATGGCCTCGGTTTGCTTCACCTGCACATGACGTTGGGCTAAGATTCTCACCTTCAGGTAAATTCTCCGCTTAGGCTGCCTTTTCTGGGGTCTCGTCGTACGATGACCTTCGACCTCCCAGTTCTCCGGATTTTATCCAGCATTTGATCCTTACTTTCTCCATCTTTCTCCATCTTCACCTCCTTGTGTCTCCTATAACCGGCCTAAACCACTTCAAGATGGCTTTGAATCTCGAGAAGCAGCTGCTCTTTGTAAGTTCTTATCTTATGTACATAATTTTATATCAACGAGGTGTATTTACATTTTTTTTTCTTAGTATGGTGCATACCATAACAACCCAGTATGTCCCTTCTCGGCCGTCCTATATTCGCCAGCATCGCTTATCATTCCCAGGTGAATGTTGCAATTCATATCACATGTGTTCCGATACTTTTGTTTACGGGTATCGCAATGGTATGCTATCACTACACCGGAGATATCGATGTGGGAACTATATTTTAATGGACATCATATCATGCTCAACGTTAGGCGTCGAATTCGCCCGCTCTTTTCAAACTCCCCGCAGCCCTCCAGTTTGAGAACCTACCTCCCAACATTGGAACAATCGGAGCACTAGTATATGCTACATTTTACATCCTCCTGGAGCCCGTCGCAGGAGCTCTCATTGCGCCTCTTTTGATCGGAAGTGCCGCATTTGGAAACCACCTTCTGGCCACCTACGGCATGACTGCGAATTACTGGTTTGGTGGAGTTCATGTCGTGTCGTGGCTGCTGCAATTCATCGGCCACGGTGCTTTCGAAAGGCGGGCTCCCGCTCTGCTGGACAACCTAGTCCAGGCGCTACTACTAGCTCCCCTCTTCGTATGGATGGAGATTCTCTTCTTCTTTGGTTATCGGCCAGAGTTGAAGGCACGATACAATGCCAATGTGCAAAAGGAGATTGCCTCGTTCACGGAGAAGAAGAACCAGAAGGCAACAGCGAAATAAGTACTAGACACATGGGACGAGGAGCTATCATCCTTATGGCTTGGCTGAGACCTGGGTATAATTCTCATTACGACAGCGTTTATGACTTGATGCTACCAGTTAGGCTAGAATATGTTGGAATCACTCGTCAAGAGGGTAATTTAGATATCTGGATCCCAAAATCTCTGTAATGGCTCCAAGTTATCTACCTTAGAGTAGAGTTGATATTCTGTGAAGAGACGACTTGATATTTATGTATGTGCCATGGACCTTCCAAGCGCAGGGAGCGATCATAATAATGTAAATTACACCGCAACGGGCAATAACGAAAGAAGGGGCGCGAGTGGGGGGTGCGAGACTAGGAAAGGAAAAATACGGTCGAACACCGGAACGAGAAGAGAGAGCCAGTCCATGTTGGACTTGATGCCACCCCCTCTTTCTTTACTAAAATAGGTGCTGCTAAATGAGGCCCTAAATCTGTATGTATACATACAGAATGCAAGAGAAACTCAATTGAGCTGCCATAGAGTTGACAGGAGAGTCTCTTCGGTTGTGCAGCAACCAAGCGCGATGAGTAAGCACGACGAATATCCGGAGATCCGAAAAAAAATACAAACACACCGTCCTGTAAAAATGGAAAAATTGGGACTGCCAGGTGGCCGGCCCGGCAACCGCTTTTCAACACAACGAAAATCTTCACTCCGTAAATTTTCAAATCAATGCAAAAAAAATAAAAGAAAAGAAAAAAAAAATTGAGTCTAGAGGAATTAGAATAAACATTCAATGCATCATTTATTTTTGTCTGGTAAGATTTTCAGGTAGAATATCTTTGTATACGTGGAATTGAGGACGGGTCCCGTGAGCGCACTAGGGCGGGTTCGGAGGTTGCTGAGGCTCGGCAAAAATAGGCTTAGTCTCAGTCCTGAGAATCCTCCCAACCCCGACGACAAAGCTCTCCTTCCATCCCATCCACAACCTCCCTCCTCTTTCACCTCTTCCCCCAATTACGTCTCTTCGTCAGAGAAACCACTCTCCCACTCCTCTGAACCCCCTTCACAATGTTCAGGAACGCTTTGCGGCAATCCAGCCGCACCGTTGCGGCTGCCTCTGCCACTGGCAGGATCGCCTCGGTGAGTCCTATCCCTGTGTAGGTCGACGACGACGACGCAATTTGCCCGTTTTCCATCCGAAAGTCATCTCAATGGGGATCTCAATCGGTGCTTCGGACCTCACAATCACTTCTCTCCCATTGTCGCGCGTTGTGGTTGCCCTGATCTGGTGTTAACAAATTTTGCGTTGGTCTACAGGTTCGCGCGGCTGTCCCCGGCCCCGTCTCTGCTGCTTCCAAGCAGGTCCGTACCTACGCCGCTGAGGCCAAGGCTACTCCCACCGAGGTCTCTTCCATCCTTGAGCAGAGAATCCGTGGTGTCCAGGAGGAATCCGGCCTTGCTGAGACTGGTCGTGTCCTTTCCGTCGGGTACGTTGTCGATTTTCCCCCAGTTGAAAAAATTTGGCAGCGACCTCAATTCATCGAAAACGTCGGGAAAAACATCGAAAATCGCAGCTCAATTGCTTCAACCATCGTAGTACTATTAACTAATGCGATTTTTATTTCAATAGTGACGGTATTGCTCGTGTCCATGGCATGACCAATGTCCAGGCTGAGGAGTTGGTTGAGTACGTATCCCGAGATTACTTGGTTTCAATCCCTTTCGCCCGAGATCAGTGCTAACGGATAAATAGGTTCGCCTCTGGTGTCAAGGGTATGTGCATGAACCTTGAGGCCGGCCAGGTCGGTGTTGTGTTGTTCGGTTCCGACCGTCTCGTCAAGGAGGGTGAGACCGTCAAGCGTACCGGAGAGATTGTGCGTATTTCCCTTGATATTATGGATCTAAACCCATGGGGAAAAAAAATACAGGAAAGATGATTCTAACAAACCCAATAGGTTGATGTCCCCGTCGGCCCTGAGCTGCTCGGCCGTGTTGTTGACGCTCTCGGTAACCCCATTGATGGCAAGGGCCCCATTAACACCACCAGCAAGAGCCGTGCTCAGCTCAAGGCTCCTGGCATTCTGCCCCGTCGTTCCGTCAACCAGCCCGTCCAGACTGGTCTGAAGTGTGTCGACTCCATGGTGCCCATTGGCCGTGGTCAGCGTGAATTGATCATCGGTGACCGTCAGACCGGTAAGACCGCTGTCGCTCTCGATGCTATGCTCAACCAGAAGCGTTGGAACTCCACCTCCGACGAGACCAAGAAGCTCTACTGTATCTACGTCGCCGTCGGCCAGAAGCGTTCCACCGTCGCTCAGCTCGTCAAGACTCTTGAGGAGAACGACGCCATGAAGTACTCCATCATCGTTGCTGCCACTGCTTCTGAGGCTGCTCCTCTGCAGTACCTGGCTCCCTTCACTGGCTGTGCCATGGGTGAGTGGTTCCGTGACAACGGCCGCCACGCCGTCATCATCTACGATGATCTCTCCAAGCAGGCCGTTGCCTACCGTCAGATGTCTCTGCTGCTTCGTCGTCCCCCCGGTCGTGAGGCCTACCCCGGTGACGTCTTCTACCTCCACTCCCGTCTGTTGGAACGTGCTGCCAAGATGAACGACAAGCACGGTGGTGGTTCCCTCACTGCTCTCCCCGTCATCGAGACCCAGGGTGGTGATGTGTCCGCTTATATTCCCACCAACGTCATTTCCATTACCGATGGTCAGATCTTCTTGGAGGCTGAGCTCTTCTACAAGGGTATCCGTCCCGCCATTAACGTCGGTCTGTCCGTGTCCCGTGTCGGCTCTGCTGCCCAGGTCAAGGCCATGAAGCAGGTTGCTGGTTCCCTGAAGCTCTTCTTGGCTCAGTACCGTGAGGTCGCTGCCTTTGCTCAGTTCGGTTCCGATCTCGATGCCTCCACCAAGCAGACCCTCAACCGTGGTGAGCGTCTCACTGAGCTGCTTAAGCAGAAGCAGTACTCCCCCATGGCTGTCTCCGACATGGTTCCTCTCATCTTCGCCGGTGTCAACGGTCACCTTGACACCATCCCCGTCGCCAAGATCCTCCAGTGGGAGTCTGACTTCCTTGCTCACCTCAAGACCAACCACCCTGAAATCCAGGAGACCATCGAGAAGGAGGGCCAGGTCAGCAAGGACCTTGAGGCTCAGCTGAAGGATGTCATTATCACCTTCAACAAGTCCTTCAACGCCTAGGTGAGCACAAGGCAATTTTGCTAATTAGCCCACTGTGTACTGTTTTATTCCTGACTCTATGTGTATAGACAAGATAGCTTGTACAATTTGACTCCACTGTTGTGTTTTTTTTTCTCTTTTTTTTTCCTTCATCGGAACTTCGGGTTGGCCGGAATCGGATGTAAGCCGGCACGTAAGGCCTCGGCGATTTTCACAACCTGGTATTTCTGTAACTATGAAAACAACATCAGTGGTGGGCCGAGAAAAAGGGCTAAAAAATATGATTAATATCCTGTACGTTTAGATGTTTTCTCGCGGCAAAGGACAGGATCAGACGGATCGACTAGGGGAGCTGGCAAGTCCGGAAAACAAGGAATTGTGTGGTCTCCAGCTGGTCTTTGACTCGGATTCCTTTGTCTACATATATGCAGCCTGAATATGATTTCCTTTGTTTTGTTTTTTTTTTTTTTTGCGTATTGTATTTTGAATAATCATAACTCTGTGAAGTCCAACTGGAAGCATGCATGTTTCTATTCCAAGGAACTGATATGTGAACCTCAACACTAGGGATCCTAAGGAACAACTAAAAGGCACATCCCATCGTACTTTTCCAGATTGCAGCAGGTAAGTACACTTCGCAATTAAATTGTTATTGGGGTTGCTTTTCAACTGGATCTTTCCATGACCACACCGCACTGCAGAGGAGCCAATGGCTCTACTCAAGTATTCCGGGAGCATTGAGGAGCTCGATATATATTTCATACGGCCAGATGAGGTCACTTCCAGATGCGGGACGGGACGCCTGTTATCGATAAGCGAATGGTTTTTTCCCGGACCAAATTTTCTTCGAGACCCCTCCACCACCATAGCAGTCTCTAGGGAACAAACGGCATTGACTCACTCACCCCCATTCCTCACTGCAAAAATGGCTACTACTTCCCATTCAGCTCCATCCTCTTGCAAGGTGATGCTCTCCAAGAATGTTGCGAATGGCTTGCTCGCGGAAGTCTTGGAGGGTGTCAAAACCTTGGAGAAACCCCCCCACCTGGTGGGATTTTTGGCCAACAGCGACCCTGCGGCACTGATGTATGCGCAGTGGACGGAGAAGACGTGTCTTGAAAAGTGAGCATTCTCTCATACTTATTCTGACTTTGCCATTGATCTTCTGTGGACTCGATGCTGAGCGCTACGCTACATCCCCCCCCCCGCCTTTGAATACTCGACCCGAGTCAGTACTCATGTCAGGTGCCCCGTAGCTAACGTAAATCTATCTCATGATATAGTGGATTCCGCTACTCTCTCCGCGAAGTCCACCGGGACGACCTTGAGGAAGCCATTCTGGCTGCCAATGTCGACGACGAAGTCGACGGCATCATCGTATACTACCCCATTTTCAACAACCGACAAGACCAGTACCTGCAGCAGATTGTGGACGTATCCAAGGATGTAGAGGGTCTTAGCCATCGTTACATCTTCAACATGTACCAGAACATTCGTTTCCTTGACCCGGAGACAAAGCGCCAGAAGTGTATTCTTCCTTGCACCCCTCTTGCCATCATCAAGATTCTCGAATACCTGAACATCTACAACACAATCCTGCCTTATGGAAACCGACTCTTCGGACACACGATTTGCGTGGTGAATCGGTCGGAGGTTGTTGGCCGACCACTTGCGGCCTTGTTAGCGAACGACGGAGCCTGCGTTTATAGTATTGATATTACCGGGATCCAAAAGTTCACTCGTGGAGAGGGTCTGAAGAAGGGAAGACACGAGGTTGAGGAGGTGGAGGGAATGGAATTGAAGGATATTGTCCCATTGTGTGACACCGTCATCTCTGGAGTTCCTGGAGATAAGTACCAGTTTGACACTAGCCTGCTCCGCGAAGGTGCTGTGTGTGTCAACTTCTCCAGCGAGAAGGTGAGATCCCGCCCTAACCCCCTCTGCAAGAATAATGACTGATATATTGTATGTAGAACTTTGGCCCTGAAGTGAAGCAAAAGGCGTCTATTTTTGTGCCTTCCATTGGAAAGGTGACCATCGTTGTCCTGCTTCGAAACTTGCTGGTAAGTGGAGCCCCTAGATCTTTAAGCGCTTCCTTAGTATCTGACCCTCTTGTCACAGAGACTCATCCAGAACAAGAGAATGGATGATGTTAAGCCTGCTGCTGCCACCGAGCGGCCAGGAACCCTGGAAGCTTCTTCCTAAGAAGAGGACGGGATGATTGTAATAAAGTGAAAGATGATGATATAAAGCAGAGCCAGCCATAGAATTTCTTGTTTGTTCCTTAATGTTGCTAACATTCTCTATTATTTTTTTTTTGCCCCATATTTATCCCCAGCTTCCTTAGAACTTGGAATATTGCTGTACCTATGAATTAGTGCTGTCGACTCTGCCCTGAACAGCTAAAAGACCGGTGAAGCAGATAGATAAACTAAATATATAAATGAATATATGAATGCTACCCGTTGCTCACACCTATGCTACTCTTTATGAGAAAAAAAATTCTGTGGCAAATATTTGACTGAAAAGCAACAGGAGAGCTATAAATCAAAGAGCACACATTTGAACATAAGCACACACATTTTTGCTCAATCTGGAGTAGATACTATATCTGGCTACTTTCTCTTCTTGGTGTCTTTGGATGATTGACTGTCAGCCCCTTGCACACCAACAACACTTGCCACGCCACTGGTCTTCTTCTCAGTTTCCCGAGCTGCCTCCCGTAGCACGCCAATCTCCTTTGCAAGCCAATTTCGAAACGGCTCCGGGTGGAAAACTCCATCCTTCGAAAACCAAACCGTAAACGGAGCTTCGATCTCTTTCTCTTCGATGACTGCATTGGATGCGGACTTGTATTGGATGCGGAGCTTGTAGAGAGGAGTATGTTTCTTGACAGAGGAGCGGATTGAGATCTGTTTTCGTATGCAACAAAGTAAGGGATTAGCCTAGTGCCCTATGTATATATACTGATACTGACACTCCTTCCCGGGGGGGGGGGGGGGATTACCGTTTCACCCGACTTGCGCTTTCCCCGGAATACTTCGCTCGCTTCAACAGCCCAGATCCAGTATGTGAGCAGCGAGTTGAGAATAAAGTATGAAGCCACGGCCGCAAAGACCCATGTTGATTGTGTTGCTTCCCATCCTAGCTTGCGATCCGCGTAAAATGTGAATCCTGCGATTGCGACGGCACTGTAGCCCAAGAGGAATCGGACATTGGTTTTGAAGTGGTCTTGGGCGAAGGTATAGGGTTGGGGGAGGGTGCTTAAGTACGGCACTAGGGCGTCATCTGTTGTTGATTTGAGGTCTATATTGAGCAGTTAGTGAGGTACCTTAGTTATGAGAGAATGATAGCAAAAAGGCAAAAAAAAAAAAAAAGAGGCATAAACAACAGAACTCATTATGAATAGAAAATAAGCCAGAACATCCTCAATCTTATTATATGCAAACTAACCATTTGGAGAGTAAACTGGCACCTTGGGTGCAGCTTCTGAAGCCATTGTGAAGTCTGAGATTCTTTGACAGAGGGCAGAAAGAAGACTTGTATGAGCTTGAAGAATTATTATGGAACGCTCCAACTGGAATCCCTAATGTGGCAGATTTTAGGACGTGCTGATGTTCATAATCAATAAGAAAAGTTGCGGCGAGCTGTCCCTTTCGTAGAGGGCGGAGCTAAAGCGGCGGCAGTATTCCTCTGGCTTGTAGTCCCGGCTGCCCGCCTTGGTCCAACCCTGTGGTGAGCTTTCTCTCTCAACTGAACTGCATTTGCATCTTTTCGGCCAATTATTCTCATCCAGTATGGCATTGCAAGGTGTAGAGCAGACCATCCTTCGGGATCCAGCTCTATTGTGAGTATTTTCTGTCCCTTGACTTTGGGAATCTCTGGGATCTCCACGGAAAGGATGAACTGACGTGAACGCCCAGCTACTGGATTTTGATCCCGATTACTATTGTCATGGTATGTGGTGCATTCAAGCAAGACCTATCAGGAACTGGATCACAGACATAAAGACACACAGACACTAATCATACGAGTTAGATCTTGACTGGTATGCTACGCCATTATGCCACAGTTTTGATGAGTTCCCCCCCGAAACCCGCCTCAACGCTGGCCGAATCTCGCGAACGCCTTGCCCTCCTCCGTGGCGTTAACCTTCGTAACCACGCCGCCGCCGTCCTTCCGAAGGAATCATTCGAGATGCGAAAGAGTTACCTTGTCACTGGGTTCCAAAACGGCACTTTTCTCAAGGATCCCGCCAACAAAGGACAGCCACCGGCTAATCCCATGACGGATCCCGCGGGCATGGAGGCCATGATGGGAATGATGAAGGGCAATATGATGATGATGATCCCGCAGACTCTGATCATGAGCTGGATCAATGCGTTCTTCTCGGGATTTGTTATCTGTACGTTCTTAACAGCGCTCTTTGTCTGTCTCGATGTCCAATACTAAACGGAATGGCACTAGTGAAACTCCCATTCCCTCTCACTATTCGCTTCAAGTCGATGCTTCAGTCTGGCGTTATGACCCGGGACTTGGACGTGAGATGGGTGTCGAGTCTTTCGTGGTACTTCCTGAACCTGTTTGGTCTGCAATCTGTTTTCGGCTTTATTCTGGGTAGTGATAATGGTGGGTTCATCCTCTCAAATCTGTTCATATTTCTTATGCTTGTGCTAATTTGGTTTTAGCGGCTAACCACATGGCGCAACAAATGGGCTCTATTAATCCTGCTGCTGGCGCCAACCCCTTCCAGCCTGGACAAGACCCGCATAAAATGTACTTGAACGAAGCAGAGAACTTGGAAGTCATGGAGCATTTCTGCATCCTTGATGGTGTCGAGGAGAGAGTTCTGCGCAAGTACGGTTCGGCCTAGTAGGGAGGATAGTTGGCCGATGTATTCCTTTTCACTGTTCTCCTGTTTTATATTTCTAAGAATATGGGAAAGTACGATTATAACAGATACAAATGACGAATAGAATAATGGAAGTGTACCGGATCGAATCTTGTGTATAAATGTAGCGCAGCTCAGTTTGTATCTGAATTCAGCACAGTTAGAAGTAGTGAAGAAGCATAACATCATAACTCATCAAATGAAGAATCTAACGATAGTTGATTACACCGTTTAGGATCCATACTTCACCGTTCGAAACCTGCTCGGCGATACTCTCAACCTCTACGCCGCTTGGCTCAATCTATATGAGGCATGTTAGCATACGAAACCCCCGCTGCACATTGATTGAGACATAGAAGACGAGTATGGAAGCACATACGTAGATTTTATCTCCATCCTTTCTCCATCTCAACTTATCTCCTCCAATCGTCTCCGCCTCTTCTCCCTCCTTCCAAGGGCTCTGGGGAATTATATGAGCAGAGACAAAACGCTTCAGGTTGCGCTTTGCTCGCTCTCGCCCCTCGTCACCTTCATACGCACGTACCTCCCCAAACTCCTCATAATCATCCGGATTCTCCCAGGGCTTGCGCGGCAGGTCTTGGATAGCGCTATTGCGCGGAGCAAGCACGGTTATGTTCGTCTTCGAGTCATTCAGCAGCGATTCCACCGACTCAAATTGCCGAGTGAGGGATGCAAAGACGTTGATGCCACGGGTCTTTGGCAGGACATCCGACACTATAGGATCATCACCACCGGGGCCGCCGTGCGGAAGAACCCCAGTATCGACCGATGGAGGAGGCATGGCCGCGTTCTTCGAAACCGCTCCGTCCGCCAGTGGCTGCTGATTCCCAAGCCACTCCTTTATTCGCTCGAAATCCTTGATACGCTTATCGTGTCGTAGATGAGGAGGGTCAACTAAGGAACTTGGGAGGCGCTTGCGAAGTGAGAAAGAAGGTAAGCCCCAGGCAACTGATACTGTGCAGAAGAGGAACAGGAAAAGGGAAAGATATGTGGCTGCGACTGAAATATGTCGCATCTTGGGCTGGCGATATTAATAACTATCTGGCGTCCAGTCAGTCTTTTCCCTTTTTTTTGCCGCTTTCGCATTTTAGGTAGCGACGCTCGCGGTCTTTTTGATCGACTTTCACCGGGCGGGGGGAGAGAAGGCGTGGTCTCACTCCATGACGCAACACCGCCGCCGCTGCTGATGATTCCTGGTCCCGTGCAGCACATCCGCCAGCCCACCGCCCACGTGAGTGCGGCAGAGAAAGTGGGACGCAAGGATATTGCACGTGACCTCTGTTGATTTTCGGATTTACGGGTTTATCCGATTGGGCCTCTGGACATGACTCAGCCACACTTCCTAAAACGGGCTCCACTAACGTGGTCTAATTGTAATATTCAGGGCCTCCTAATTAGATAGATTGAAATACTTTTCGTTGTTGTTTTTTCAACGACCGGTTTCGGTTGTGGATTACGTTATACCAATCCCCGCCGGATAAACTTATAAGTCCGACAGGAATGAAATTGCACGTGACCTATACCGATAAGGGCAATCGACTGCGAAAAGAGTCATGATCAAGGTGCCAAACGCTCTCGTACGTCTTCATTGCGGCTGATTGGAAAGATGTCAGCCCTGCAGACGTTTATGCTGGTCGTGGAACACGACAAGCCGGCAGCCAGGGAGATTGCTGAGCGAATTGCCCAAGGTAGGTTAGGTTGTCACTGGGGTAAAGCATCTAGGAAGAGGTTGTGTGCTAATGCTAGGTGAAAGATGTCGAGAGCAAGAAGACAACCCTCATCGAAATCGTGCAGTCCCTGGGCGCATATATTAATGACGAAGATCCAATCCTTCGAGGCAAAGCCGTTTCCTACCTAACCGCGGTGATCAGAGCGCTCCCTCCGAAATTCCTGTCGAGACAACAGATTCAGGTTTTGACGACTTTCTTTTGTGATCGAATCGAGGATGGAGGCGCAGTTACCGGATTGGACACATTGCAGAAGCTGGATAGATTTTCAAAAGATATGGCTCAGGAAGTAACGACAGCGTGAGTGCTTCGGTGTCATCCATCTCTGCGACGAGGGCGACATACTAACTACCCCGCATTCGCCTCTTTGGGAAACAGGATGGTCTGCTAACATCTCTTATAGTCTTTTTGAGAACTTCAACACATTGCAGTCTCGTTCTCAGTCTCAAAGATTCCAAGTTTATCAGTTACTGAATGAATTGATGTTCAATCACCGAGCTGGTACGTTCTGACCCAGATTGGTTGTTCCCTTCCCGATCTTGACCAATGCAGTTTTACACGAGATGGGCGATACTTCCCTCGTGGGAATCGTGGACCTTATGACAGGAGAGAAGGATCCGCGAAACCTGATGCTAGTATTCTCCATCCTCAAAGTGGTCATGGTCGAATGGGATATTACAAATCATGTCGCGGTATGCTCTGCCCTACGATTGATACCAAATACTCTCGAAACTGACTCTGCAAGATGCTCTTTGAATCCGTCTACAACTATTTCCCCATCACATTCAGACCACCTCCAAATGACCCGTACGGAATCACTGCACAGGATTTGAAAGACCGGCTACAAGATTGTATTTCCTCAACGAGCCTCTTTGCCCCCCATTCTATCCCGGCATTGTTGGACAAACTTGACTCGACTTCACAAAATGTCAAGAAAGATGCTCTGAACGCCGTGATCGCTTGTATTAATTCATATAGCCCAGATACAGTGTCTAAGTACTCGATCACAATATGGGAGACTCTGAAGTTCGAGATCCTTAACGCCCAAGAAGAGTTTCTTTCTGAGCTCTCCCTCCAGGCGTTGCATGACATCGCAAAGCGCCTGTCTGAAGGAGTTACCCAGGTGTCTGATCAAATTCCCCTTGCACAATATCTCCGCCCAATTACCAAGGAGTGCAACGAGCAGCTGCGAGAGCCTCAACACAAGCAGGCAAAACCAGCCCAGCAAATCCTCAAATCTACGTCTGAGGCCTCTGCAGCGTCGTTCTCTTTGATAGTGCAGGTTGTTATTGCGCCTCTGTTGACGATCTACCAGGAAGCTGATGGAATTGCTATGCAAAGAGCCCTTCTGGAGACATTAACAATGCTCTTTGAATCTGCGATCACGGTGTTCGGGGAATGGACCGCCAGAACCCCTGAGATTACTGCGGAGAATCCTCTCAATGAATTCAAGGATCAGTTCTCGGATATTTTTGGCCAAGCATTAATGGGCACAGTCAAAGAGGAGGTTTCCTTCCGTATCTCTGCTTTGAAAGGCTTCCTGCGCTTATCAACACTGAGAAATTACTTCCATGATACCGAAATCGGCTTGTTCGTGCAGTATTTGAACGAGATTCTTTTGAAGGAAGAGTCGATTGGCCGCAATGACCTAAAGAAAGAAGCCATAATTGCGTTGGCCGAGATTTCGAAGTATAAACCACGCTTGATTATGGATATTACATTCCCAGCTTTTGTGGCGACGCTCCCCGACTCTGCCGATGAGACTGATACTAGCTATCTCCCGACATTGGAAATTCTGGCTCAAATAAGTGTCGAGAAAGCTATTTTCGAGACATTGGTTCGAAGGCTACTTAACAAGCTATCTCTGCTGCTGCAGAGGGAGCAACCGGGATCTCCCGCTTATCCAAGAGCAATCCTGCTGACTATATTCCACGTTATGAACCAAAGGAAGATGGAGGAGGACTCTAGCATAGAGATGTATTACGACAAGATCGTGGTTGCAACCTGTCGCAGTGCCGCGTCTGCAGCTTCGGGCAAAGCGCAAAATAGTATCCTGGGTGACCCGACAGTTCTGGATATCCTCGGAAGACTATGTAACCTCATTGTCAGGTCACTTCCAAGGACGAAGCAAGATAAGGTTGCGGAAAATGTCTACACATTGTTTGCGTCACCCTCTGATTTCGAGCCTGTACCCTTTGCTGCAGCAACTGTAGACCAGCAACGTACGATGATTCTCTCCACTTATCTTCTGGCAGGCCTACCAGTGGAATGCACACTGCCCTACAGTACCCCCAATATCTCCAATCTCCTGTCAGACATCATGAAGAGATCCGTGAGTGGGAGTGAACCCGCAACTCAACTGGCCATCTTGCGCCATATTGCACTTCTCACAAACAAATTCCTCCCCAAATCCGAACTTGGAAATGCCACTGAGCTCTTCGAATCTCTCCTCTGCACCAGCCCAGCAGAGCAGAAGCTGAACCCCGAAACCATCCAAACCATCTTCTGGCTCGCCAAAGCCCTGATTCTCAGACTCGCCCCCAGCACCAGCCAAGTCTTGACCTCACTCTTGAGCCTTCTCACATCCCCTGACGAAACCACCAGCACAACTGCCGCCCGAGGCTTCGCCATCCTCCTCAAGGACGACGACGTCCTCTCCCTCGCTAATGGCGCCAACATACGCCTTCTATCCAAGCAGCGCGTCTTTACCACCCTTGTGCCTCTAATTTCCACCAAAATACGTGAAATCAACATCTCAGGCAGTAACGAAAACATAACAAAAACCCCGGAACACATCAAACCTGCCCACCTCACAGCTCTGTCCGGAATTTTATCCACCATCTCCCCAACCCTCGTCATGCCCGAACTCCCCACCCTCCTCCCTCTCCTCCTCCAAAGTCTCGACCTTCAAACCGAAGACTCCAACGCCGTGCGTGCCGCAACCCTCGAAACCCTCGCCGTCATCATCCGCGAGAACGGTGTCTCCGTCATCGAGGAATGCGGGCACGTCGAGAGCCTCGTCACCCGACTCCTAAAGACAGCAGAGCACAAGCCTTCCTCCAAGGGATATTCCGCTGGTGCTGCCCCTCCCGTTGTAAACGCCCCCCGTTTGCGCGTTGACGCTTTGAAATGTCTTTTCCTTCTGGCTCAGCCGCCCAACGCAGAAAATGCCCCTGCAATTGCCAAGGCGGGAAAGCTTTCTCCCTTGCTGCCAATTAAGAACCAGGTTCTGCGGTCTTTGCAGGCTGTGCTTGATGATCCAAAACGAGACGTGCGTAAAATGGCTGTTGATGCTCGTGGTGCTTGGTTGAGAGGTGTTGATGATGCGCCAGATGATGATGAGTGAGCAAGTGAGTCAGTGTAGGTCGGCAGGTCGTTTCGTATGTTTCTATATACTATAAAAGCGTTTTGTTATCTATTGCTATCATGTATGGAAGGAGTAGATGCGAGGCCATTAGGGCATATAGAATTTACACTGTTGGAGTTTGTTTGGAGAGTTGGTGGTGCGTTGCTTTTGTCTTCGTCTGCGATTGTCCCTCATCTGGACGATATTTGCGTGCGCAAGAAACCATAATGCATTTCAAGTATCTAGATCAATGGAACTACAAGAAGAACTGAAGTACGTGTTACATGGACCTCTAGCCCCTAGCTAAAGAGCCGTCAAGCTAGGTGAGATGCAGGTGTACAGCCCGGTCCATCTTTTATTACTCCCTACCAGTAGGTCGTTTCGTAGTTCTTCACAGACCTGGCCGCAGAAGTCGCCAAAAGGCTAACATTTTCAGTGACACTTTGTACCTCCTTGATGCTTTCCAAGTCCTCGAAATCCCACTCCTTCCTGGGCCATTCCGCTGCCAGGCTTTCCGGGCAGTCATCAGGCACCACTTTGGAGTGATCAGAGAAAGGTCCTTGATTCCAATATCCCGCCCAGTCTATTTTCTCTACCACTGTTCTTGCTAGACGGAACAGTCCCACAAGTCCTGCACCCCCAATGGCTGCTGCTGTTGGACTTAATGGGTTTGGCAATTGATTGGGGGGTAAGGCATCATCCTTGCCAAACAGATCTGTGCTTCGCCAATCGTTTGTTTGCTCACCAACCTCGAGATTCGCGTTTGCCTTCAACATGGCTTCTATTAAGGGACTGACCAGCGAAACTTCATGCCACATTTTCCCTCTCCGAGCCATGTCCCAGGGTGGTCCACCTCGAGCCCTCAAGGGCTGATGAACTGGGGACTGGGTAACTCCGAGGAATAGCTCCTGAGCCTCCATTACCTGTAGAAAGAGGTCTTGGCCATTTTGGTCTTTGGCGGGGTCGTTCTCTTGAATAAGTCGATGGCGAGTCCACCGCTTCATCAGCACTTTTTCAACGGTAAGTAATCCCCCCCTGGGGAGGCAGGAAAAAATGCGAATCTGAGGTTTGTTCGGCTGAATCCAGAGGTGGTTGATGAGGTATTGCGCTGCTTCTTCGAATTCCGGATTGGTCCCAGAACGATATTCTGTCGAACCGCTGACGACAGCCCTAGCGTCCCACGTTTGGCCGGGGAAATGTATATTAACTGCCCCCAGCATTGCCCCTGGGTTTTGAATCGAATATTTGCCCTGCTCGTCGATGACAATGAGGAGAAGCTGGTCTGACTTGGTTCGACAATGATACTCGTAACTAACGTGGTACTCGCTGTATTCCTGTTCGAAGATGCGGGATTTCTCTCCTGATCTGGATGTTTTGATGTCCACAATGCGATCGATGTCTGAACCGAAAGCTGTTACCCTGTTGCAGAATTTTGTAGTCGGCGCCGCTAGGCCATTGCGTGGCTGGAAAATCCTAGACCACTCACTGGGAGACATCGAGCCCTCGCTGCAGGTTTTTGGTAGAAGAGGTACTAAAATAAGCCCAACTTGTATTTCTATTGTGAGAGTACCCGGGAAGGCTTCAGCAGCCTCGAGGATTGGCATGATAGCCTCAGAAAAGCTCTTAATATACTCGTTCATGCTTGCCTCGTTTTGTTGTCTTATTTCACTCCCCTGGGTAATTGATGTCTCCTTTGTCTTCTTACTGGAAGACAACTTTTGGACGCCCAAGTTCCCTGCAGACCGTTGGGGATTTTGCAGTTGGGTAATTCCCCAAGCGTCCTCCAGAGTAGCTTGCCTTTTGGCCCTGATCTCAAGATTGCTTAGCTTCGCGTTCTCACCCGGCTTTGCCATCTTATGAAACATAATATGGTGATAGCGTCTAGTCTCTCTCTCGTCAACTGGTTGTATATCCTCTGGCTGCGCAGGTCTCCCCAGTTCCGCGAGTTTCTCCCTTTCCAAACTCCGGGCATACTCTCCCAAACTTTTCCACGGGGTGGCAGATGTTGAGCCACTCTCAGTCAATACTCGGCAGCAAGCTTTGCTCACACCTTGTAGCCTAGCTGCTTGAACCTCGAAATCTGTTTTATTTGGGGATATTTTGTCACGGCAATCTAGACTTTTAGATTCATTTGGAATAGTGTCTGCATCAAATTTGAGACCATTGAGATCACAGGAAATACCGATAGATCTAGGAGCCGATACGTCGTTGATCAAGAGACTATATGCTGTACTTTCTGTCCGGCTAGACGTAGACTTTGCGGGAACCAGAGGCGGATGATTGAATGGAAGGGCTGGGCGGGGGCTGATGGTTGTGCCATCGCTTGGGGTGAAAATATCAACCAGCTCGGTTTGTTTAGCATGATGTTTCTTCTGCAAAGGACCGGTGTTCTGGCCTCCTGCTTGAACTTTTGGACTATCATGCCTCCATTTTGTGGCTTGCTCGGATATCTTGTTGAGACCATATTTTGTGGCGTCAAATGTCGTGGGCATAAATGCTTTTCTCTCAACATGCAACCTTTCTGGTGAGTGTAGGCTATTCCCAGATGCTTCAAGATTGGCATTCATGTCCCGGGCTACGGACACTGAAGAAGATCCTTCCTGTTGGGTTTTGTTCGACTGCTGAGTATACAGCGTCCTCCAACGCTTTCGGGGAGCGGCGGTGTCGTCGTTAGGCCCGACTGGTGAGTTTAGCAGCTTACGTGCATTTGGCTCATGAGAAGCAGTTTCTTGAACAGCTGGGACTGCCCTTCGCGTTTTAATGCCAGGTGTTTTCTTGAAATCTGCGCGAGCGACCATTTTTGAAGAGCAGCTGTTGGAAGGTGAAGCATTGGAAGACTTCTCAACTTCAGAATCCAAGCCAGTATCATTTGTCCCAATGTCTGGTCCCTCGAAAATCCATTGATCAACTCGCTTGACCTTTTCAGGGCTCAAATAAGGATGACTGGAAGCATGACGTAGTAGAATGAGCCGAGAGTAGTCAAGTTTATTCTCAGTAGTTGAGCTACTTGGGAGGAATACTTCTGGCTTCCCAATTTCTCGAAACGTGAAGTCATTCCATATACGTGACGTTCCAGGCTCATCGGAACTCTGTGGGGGCTTGACGAGATTCTCAGGCAATATGAATTCCTGTTTTTCATCATCAAATACAAGAAGTACTGTGACAAACATCTGACCTAACCCAATGTTTGTTGCCGTATTTGGATTCACCAGAATACGGCGCAGGGCCAGCGGATTCAGAGTTCCGTAACTTTGTACTCTGTATCGTGTCTCCTTTTCATTGATGGCCACGGCAATGTTATTTGCGCACGGGGAACGCAGCAAGGCCTATTGAACGTATTAGTCAAGTCGGGATGGAGTGACGTGAGATAAAAGTGAGGTGAGGTTTCATACCAGTGGTTTTTCAATCCGAGTAAGCTTCATCATAGCATCATCGACATCATTTGCACTTTTGCCAGAAACTTGAATGCCTTTGAGGTTATTGATAACAGAGATTTCTGTCCCAGTGCCTTTCGCGATTTCAAGCAGCATATCCTGGAAGGAATTGGATGCAAAGCAGCCGATTCCGCCGTCCGAGGATAACCAGAATTTCGTCACTCGAGTAACGGAGTAGAATGCAACATCCTCATCAGATTCGTCGTCGATAGACAGCAGCTTTTGCCCTCCAGCGATATCTTGGGTAGGATTGGGGGAAGAGCTGTCTTGAAAGTTCGTAGGGAGCTCCAAGAGGCGAACCCTGGGCATCTTCAACATAGCTTCAGCAAGGAACCAACACCGAAAGAAATTTGAGAGCTTACATCGAGCAAGTCTTTGTTCTTCTGCGAGTCAATGAAAGCGCATAACATCCCTGCAAGAGAAGGTACAGACCCCTCAAGGTCGCCTTTGATGACGAGCACCTAGAGAGATTAGACGCGTTTCATAGCGGAAGCAGAATTAAACAGAAACTTACTTCTTCAGGGCTCGAATACTCGCATTGGCACTGGACTTTTTCTTCAATTTCTCTGACCTGGCCCGCGGATGTGTTAATGTAATCCTAGTGGATGCTATTGAGACCGAATGGTACCTTACCCCTATATCTTCAAATGCCCACATGGATGCAAATGTGAGACGTTGTTTTGGAGCTATCTCCATGGTGATCTTGAATCTTGTGAAGAGGACACTGGAGCCAATAAGTGATCATGAAAGAAGCAACAGGGAACGGGGGGGGATAATAGCTGAGATATGAGGAAAGCTTTCAAGAAATAGGTTATTGGATTGAAGAAGAAAGAGTAAGTCGAGGTAGGAATTGTTGTTATAACTCTGAGGATTGTATTGGGGAACAGGGAAGGATGTGGAATAAAAGAGTTTGTGTGTTGGTAAAATTGGGAGACAAAAGATGAAAGTATTCAGGTACTGGGAAAGAAGAAGAAGAAGAAGAAGAAGAAGAAGAAGAAGAAGAAGAAGAAGAAGAGAGTAGCTAGGAGAGAAGCTAGGAGAGAAGGGAGGATAGTAGACCGGAGGAGGATTACCATAGCGATGGCTCTTGCATTATTTGAATGACTGTTAACAACAAGACAACCAATGTTCTATACCTATAGTAATGGATGAGAAAATTAACAAAAGGGTAGAAAAGATTATATTAGGCCTGTACTTCATGACCTAAACAAACAAACTCTGGATAAGTGCAGGATATAGTGAAGAAATAATAGGTATAGTGAAGAACTCTTTTTTTTTTTTCACTCTCTCCAGGATAATAAAGCAGTAGGCACAGTTGGGACGAGAATTAGATTGTTCTTCAACACTGGAAGGTTGTTAGCGTAGGGAGTTCTAGTCTATATATTATTAAAAGAGTGAATCTATACGGATTATTCATTCGCTTAACTTTGGAAGGATCAGCAGTTTGAAATTCTGTACCATGAAATTTATGTTCGAATATATCGATCTGGCTTTAGATAACCTATCAATGTACACCAAGTATAATACAGCAAAACAAGGAACACACCGATCTATATTTCCCAGGGTATCAAGCAGCCCCAAACTCCAAAACATGTCAAGTGCGAATAAGGACGGCAGATGGGGAAAGTAGCAGAGGAATAGAATATACACACATGTGGTATCAGGACCACAAGAGATGAGGCACATGTTTTATGTGCATCGGCTGGTAAGATCCGAGTAGCAGGCAGGTGCGGCGCGAAGGTAGGCGAGGAAGGTCCAACATGAAGCTTCGGTTGGTGGTTACCTCCAGGAGACATGTTTCACCAATTTATTCCGCACTTTTGACCTCTCGTTTGACTTGCATGATCCATTTCATCTGTCCCTCGGTCTCCTTTAGAGAGGCGAGAGCAGCGTTGAACCTGTCCTCCCCCTGCTGGCTCTGGTCAATCAATGACCTCACCTCCTCATCATGCGTTTTCCTGTATGTCTCGTACTTCGTGAATAGATTCTCAAAATTTTCTTTTGCAGCTTCAATCTCCCGGTCCTTTTCTGCCATAATGGAGTCTAGGTGTTCTAAGTGTGAATTGGTCTCTTCGTGCTTCTCTTTTAATGCAGTAAATTCATCCCGGATATTTTTGAGTCTTCGTTCTTGGTCCGTCCGCTCTCGTTGTGTCGATTTTGCGAGGACATCATATTGGGTTCTTGAGTGATGAGAGATTTCGTGCAACTCCGCGCACTTCCGATGGAATTCATCCTGCGCCTCGTCCATCAGTTTGTGGAATTTCTTTGTCTCGTTCTCCGCCTGTCCTCGTCGATCTTTTTCGTTCTGAATTTCTGCGCGTAGCTCCTCTATCTTCTTGTCCTTCCGTGCGAGTGAATGGAGGTTCATTTCGTTCGAGTGCTCGAGATTCCGAAGACGGTCGGCCATATTCTGCACCTGTGTCTTGTAGGCATCATTCATTCGCTGAGTTTCCTCAGCACGAGACCGGTAAAGTGTGCATTCGCGGGTTAAACGCGCTATTTCCTCCTGTAAATTGTGTATGACACGTCCTGATTTGCCCGTCGCCGCATGACCGACGGCTGAGGACCATTCCGCAGTCGGTTCGCCGTTCGGAGGGTGGGAGGATCCGTTCGTGGGACTTGAGGAGAGCGTCATTGTATCTGTAGCCAGCCAAATGGAGCGATGAATGAGCAAATTTGGTCTTTTAAATCCACACAGGGGTTAGAATTGGTAATTGTGCACTGACCCGCAGAGGACTCCACAGCGCTCGAAAGCTTTTGTCGCTCGGGTGAGTCCAGCTCAAACAATCCATTGTACTGGTGCATATTCAGATCTGTTTCCACATGTACCAGATTGACACGGGGAGGCTGAAATGTATCTGACGTAGGTGATCCATGCGCATCGTCGTTAGTATTCTTGATTTCTGGTTTAGGTGGTTTCTTGGCCCGGCCAAATCGGACAATGCTGGGCATGATGGGTATGGAATGCTGGCAAACGACCAGGAAACCGGAAATGGCAATGGAGGAGGAATGGAACAAAGAGCGCAGGAGAAGTACGACAAAGTCGTGAGTAAGGTAGGGGAACAAGGGTTGGTTTTGTCAAGGAGTGGTATACCTGGTAGTCACATCAAGGATGACTACCGGAAGCATTGACAGCTTACTCACACAACCCCAGAGGCTTGCCAGCTTCAATGGCGACAGCGAGATTCGGGGAGGGGGATTGAGGATTGAAAGGCAGCGGGAACGGGGAATGGAATGTAGAGGACGGATTAAGCAAGGATGGAGGGAAATCGAGAGCATACCGAAGTTGGAGGAGCGCTTGACTGAAAAGGATCAGCACTAGGAGGATTCTGATTTAGGTACTGTTGTGATGATTATTAGCATTGCCGAGACACACGGAGGAAAGTTGCGGTAGGAAGTCAGGGAGAGGAGCTGGAAAACACAACTGGCAGAAAATTGTGGGTTTCATCAACTTACATTTGCAGTCCAATCACTTTTGATAGTTTTAGATAGAATACAGATATGACAAGGGCTTAAAAATGCATAAAATGACGAAGAGGATTTATATCAGATATTGAATACCAAATGAACAAGAAAAAAAAAAGAGAGAAGCTGTTGCGGAAGCCGTAGTTTCTGTAGGTAGTGAGTGATGATGATGATGATGATGGAGAGAGGAAGAAAGAGGAGAGGAAATGGGTAGCCGTGTGAACATGAACAACCTCCCGTAGGATCTAAATAATAATTAGTTTCTTCTATGCTATTAATATTAATTTTCTAATCATATTAGTATTATGTATTATTATTCTGGATCGACTAATAATAACGATGGATGTGATCTGTATACGGTTACTGCATCTAAAGACGGAGACCAACACTCCCTGTCCGCTGATCCCATACAATCAACCCCAGGATCAGAGACACTGTAACTATCCAGAAAGGTTCCTATAGGTTCCTTAGCTCCATTATGGCCTATTACACTGCTGGGAGATGTTACGAGTACTAGAAGTGGCTGTTCTTTTGCAGCCACCCTTCATTGAAGCTTGGTAATTATAAATATAATTAGTTCATCCTAATTGTTGATTAAGAAACAGAGAGTTGACTCTTGCATGATCATCCCCCCCGCTCATTTCCGACATGCGTCAGTGGAGCAAAAGACTAGGGGGAAAAAAGGGAAAAAAAAAGGAAAAAAAAAAAGTGATTAATAACCACAGCAGGATGCCGCAGGAAACTTCCCAGTAGTAGTAGACCTGTCAACGCACCGCAGTGGCGCCTGCAACGAACTGTATACGAATAATTCCGGCCCTAAATATATACATACACCTTAACACTGGAGACTACCTTGCGGACATTCGGGTATTTTTGTGTGGGATTTTAGAACACATCCTAGAGAAAGTCTTGTCATGACTCTCCTCTAAACCGCAAAGACGGCAATGGCAGCCACAATACTCAGAGCTAACTCCAGAGAAAGGTAATTCAAGGAAGCACCCCCTGTGAACTTTTCCGAAGTGCTTTTGTTGGAAGTCGCATTGAAGCGAGAGGAGGATGGATTCAGTGTAATATGTCCATTGTTACCCTTCGCAACACCTGTTCCGATGCCACCAAGAGGAGAGGTTGAGGCTGTAGGGATCTGCCTGGAAGGAGCGGGCTTAGGCTCTTTACCTGGCTCCTTTGCGAGTGTCATCAGACCTGAGTAGTTGATATCGCCATTTTGATCGATTTGCAGGGCGTAATCAGTTCCTTCAGGGAGAGACTTGTCTGGAGTCCATGTGAAGGCACCACCTGTGGCCTGTGTTGTCAAGACTTTCATGGTTTGGAGGTTTCCGGATTCGCCTTTGCGCAAGGTAATGGTTACAGGCTACACGAAATAAAGGTTAGGATTTGATTAATTAATAGGGAAGACCGGGGACCTTACGCTATTGGATTCACTGGCCCAGTAAATGTTGGTAGGTTTTTCAGTGTAAACAGTGTCTGGCCACTTGGTGAACGCAACTCCCGGGTTTGCAAGAGCAACTTGAACAAAACAAATCCAAGCGGTAGCGAGAAACTTGAACATATACATGGTGGGCAACTTTGATCTACCGGCGAGAATAGCAGAAGCCAAGTCAGCAAATAGACGCCGGCAAATAGATGAGAACAGAGCTCAAGGTAATACAATACACCTCTGATGATGATGATGATGGAATAACTTGGGATCTGGCAATATGAAAGGAAACAAAGATGGAGTTTTGTTCTTAAACACGCGGATGATAGGAGAATCGCGTCAACACAGAAGATGATGGCAAGAACAGAACGACAACTGGTTACCTTGCGTGAGTTCTTAGGAAAGAACTACACTGTACCTTGAAATGCGCTTTCCCTGGTACAGACGTATAGGAGATGCTTGGACCCTACCACCGAGTCTCTAGAGAGATCATGAATGAAATTAAAAGGATAGCAGCACCTCGGGGGCATATTATTTACGAGGGGCTTTGTTGACCCCATCCCATGCCAACGAAACGGAATTTGGTATATACAGAGCATTCCTGTCAACAAACTAGTTGTCAAAGATGGAATGGACCATCTGGAGAATGCTTATCTCTGGTATTTGTCTCACGTAAAGAAATCCCTGACTAAGGTTGTTTCTTCTCATGTTGCAAAGGGATCGGATTATTCTTCTTGAATCTGTGAATACTACCGAAAGCGGAAGTGATGTGGGCTTCGACTTTTCAGAAACTGCGGCATCCCAACTTAATGCATTGAATCTACAATGTGGAGACCAATTTCCGGTTACATCTGGCTCTCGATTAGGTTGCAGTTCCGGGGATCGAGACGTTCCTTCCGTCACAGCTGTTACTACCTATATCTCTGCTGGCTACCTATAGAAGGAGATACCTTTTTCTACCGAATCTTACACCTTCACTACTATTTAGGTAGTAATTATTCAATGCCTTTATACACTCGTTTACTGGCAGTATCGTGCTGATATTGCCATTCTATTCATACTTTCCATGGAATAAATTTTTTTTTTTGTCACTCGTTACACCTACACTCGTTTATCTGTATCGTTCGCATCGATTTGGACTTCAATCTTGACATCCCAGACATCCATCTTCATTTCCTGCGCCTTGAACTTCGACGTCTCTCTAAGACGGTTTGTAACTGGGATGTTACAAACAAGTTTGCCTGTCGTTCCTAAATCTGGGGGACCTCCATCTCGGGCTACTAGTGGAGCTGAGGGAGGTTTCTCAACACCCTCATCTACAGTCGGATCGCAGCATCGATACTCTCGCTCCATAGACAATGCCGTGCGTCCAGAGCCTTGTCCACCCCCGGAAAGACCTGCATCTATTAGTGTCCAGAGCCAAGTAAACCTGGAAGAAACTCGACGAGAAGCGCAGCACACGCTTACCATGTGTCGGCATGTAATTGCATCACTCGAACTGACCCGACTACGGAAGTCACGAAAAGGAATATACCACTGGCTAGGGTTTTGGGACCGGCTTTACGAACGACCGTTCTCTCGTTTGCTCTCGTCACGAGTTACTTCTGCCTTATACAAGGTTGATGCACTGTTTCGTGCTGTTTCTACGGATCTTCACCAACTCACCCAGAGGATGGAGCTTGCCATAATACAGGCTTCCTCTGAGAAAGAGATTCTTCATATTCTCGAGAGAATGGAGGAGGAGGTTGGCTTACGACGGAGACGCAGACGTAGAAAGGCGCAACACATCCTCGATAAGATGCGTGCCAATATCGAAGCCATCCCCGTCAAAGTGAATGATGAACTGTTCGATGATATGAAACGGGGAGTGTTCGCTTTAGATGTCTTCTGCGACTACCACCCAGGTGACTTGACAGCAGAGGAGACCGAGTCTATGTGGCCAGAGCATTTCCTAGACCAACCGGCGGGTTTGGTTGCCGTTTCACCATACCTTTACAGACAGTGGCAGGAATCTGCGCTTTCCGGTGCTTCCGGTGCCTACATGCCTCTATCGGCTTATAGCTCCAATACTACTTGGTATGATGCTGTTGAACATTGGGTTAATGATGGGAACGAGGACAATGCACGTACACCCCGGGAGGGCATTTAGGGCTCTCAACGGTGAGACTTCACCCACCTTTCTTTCTTTCCTTCTTTTTTTAAATATAAGATCAAAGGTTGTTGGAGCTGAGAGTTTACTATGGGTTGGACTTACATAGAGAATCGTCTACCAGTCGCGTTTACATCGGTAGAAGTATTAATTAGATAGATTATTGCGGGGAATAAATTTTTTTTTCTTCCAACAATGCCTGCTCTATACTCTGTAATTATGTGCTTGATGAATATAATCATAAGATACTTGCTGAAACGTAAGGAAACATATTGAAATTAAGAAAAGTCCCACAAAGCTCTCATGAGACTACCCGGAGCAGTATCCTGACCACCATCTTCTTCTAGCATACGATCTGTGAATATACGCTTCGGTATTTGGTATTCCACAACAGGGACCTTCCTCAGGGGCTTTTCCTCTGAGCCCAACTCCGCCTGTAACATCCCCTGGTAAGTATAATCTAAGAAATCCTCCAGATTGTACCCCTGCTTCGTGAACTGCTCTGAGATGATGCGGGCAATCGCAGCTACATTAGGGTGGTAGTGAGATTGCAGGGTTTCGATCTCCCATAGACTGCTCTCCATAGCGCCGGTGCGGTTTGGATCCGGTTCGTTGGGATCAAAGGGATCATCCGTACCCTCTGCTTCGAGTTCCGCTGTGCGTTCCCTGTCACGGACTTCGCGATGGAGCATGAATGTGCAGGTGGGATGGCTTTTCAGGAGGTTATAGATGAAGGGGACAATCACGACGACCGCGGTTGGGGGTGCGTTGAGAGAGAGGCGGGAGAGGCGTTTAGCGAAACTTGCGACTAGGGCTGCGGGAAGATGGGTTGAGGAGAGGAAGGTGTTCATCAATCGGAAGAATCGGGAGCGGTGTTTGGAGTGTAGAAGGTCGGCGTCGAGGAGGGAATAGAGTTTGGGGTAGAATTGGGGGTAATCGAGGTTCTTCTCCTGAATGAGATAGAAGAGACCCGAAAGGGCGAGTAGCGATGTAGCCCCACCGACGTTGTAGGAGTCGGTGAGGAAATCCATGAGGAGTTCAGGGCGGTTAAACCAGGGCTCGATGTGATGGACCATAACGCGCAGCAAGGTCTTTCGCAGAGGCTGGGAGAGGTTGTTTCGGAGAACAGCCAGCCAGGCATCTTGGGCTCGCTTCTTGTGCGAATTGACGGAAATAACCTTCTTATTCTGCTTGCTGATCTTGCAGTAGAAGTTCTCGAATTCGTGGTCCGCGGTAGGAACCGCATCGCAAGCGGACAATATAGAGACTAAGATTTCGAGGATCTCGGTACTTCTTCCCGTCGATGCGTATTCACTATGCACATGTCAATACCAACGCACCATCAAGAAACTTTTAATTGAATATGGCCAACGCACGCAAGTTGCATGAAGGTATGGTAGGTCACATCCTCATATGGCTTCGCAAATTTCTCAAGAAACTCAGATCGCAGTGCTTCTCCATCTTTTGCCTCAATCACGGCCTCGAAAATATTGCGGAAGAGGCCTGACGACCAGGCCTGAGTATCGTCGCCGGGGATATGGGTAGCACGTTCGTTGAGGAGGCGCATCGATAGGGTCAAGGCAGTGATCTACTCTGTTAGTCCAGGTTACGGAGAGGTCACTGGAGCGCAACGACTGGTACTCACCTGAGATGAGTTATCACTCCCACGCATGATGGACACTAGGAGCCTCTGATACTCCCGACAGCGCTCCTTCAACCATGCCACGATAATTTTCTCATTGTCCGTTGCGCGCTCTGGCTCCGTCAAATTTCCACCGGCAATCAACCTGCTAAAAACTCGACAAAGCGACACTGCCACAGCGAGGTTTGGATTAGGACCCGTCCCATCTGCGCTGAGCATAGATATCAATGTCACAATGTTATTGTAGTGTTTTCTAGACTCGGAAATCTCGTCTTCCAGCTGCTGGATCTTGGCCATGGCCTGCGCACTCTCATTTTCTGCAACGGCACGACGTTTCGACGAAGGCACTCCGATTTCCTTGGGGCTCTTTCGCTTCTTAGAGCTAACCGATTTATCTGTGGCAGACGGCATTTTGTCCAACTGGAGCGAAACAGACGTAAATCGAGTAGGAAAAAAATGGACAATCTTGTCTATGCAAGTCCTTTTCTGTGCTTGCTTCTATAAATTTTCGGGGATACTCGGTTAGTGGTTTTTCCGGCAACCGCACTATTCCCTAAACAGGACTAGTGTTTTACCGCTCAAACCGCCATCCCGACTTCAAGTCTCCTCAGTTCCGTTCCTCCATCACATCCTGTCAAGGTCTTCCTATCACTACAATGGCTTCGCGTCTGGTTAAGAGCGCCATTGGTAGGCCGCCACCGATTCTTTACGGCTCAATTACGCCTTTGATCATAATTGCTAACCCCCCAGTAGGTGCTACCCGGCTTAGGCCGACCCTCCCTACGCGCAACGTCGCTGCCATTGCCAACCTCTCCGCGACCCGTTCTGCTTCCAATGTCCCTACCGAAGACCCCAAGCAGAAGGCTCAGTCCATCCTTGACTCTCTCCCCGGCAACTCCCTTGTGTCCAAGACCGCCGTTCTTTCCGCCGCCGCCGGTCTCTCCATTGCCGCCATCAGCAACGAGCTTTATGTTATGAACGAGGAAACCGTTGCTGCTTTCTGTCTGCTCAGTGTTTTTACTGCTGTAGCTAAGTACGGTGGCCCTGCCTACAAAGAGTGGGCTGAGGGTCAGGTTCAGAAGCACAAGGACATCCTGAACGCCGCCCGTGCCGACCACACCAACGCCGTCAAGCAGCGCATGGACAGCGTTAAGGAGCTTTCCAGCGTTGTTGAGCTCACCAAGCAGCTCTTCGCTGTTTCCAAGGTAAATATTTGACATTCTTGACCGGATTTGCGGTCGGGTCCGGGGTGTGGACAAATTCCTTGCTAACTGTCTGAAAGGAAACCGCCCAGCTTGAGGCTCAGGCCTACGAGCTCGAGCAGCGTACTGCCCTGGCTGCTGAGGCCAAGCAGGTCCTTGACTCGTGGGTGCGTTACGAAGGCCAGGTCAAGCAGCGCCAGCAGCGTGAGCTTGCTGAGAGCGTTATTGGCAAGATCACCAAGGAGCTCGAGAACCCTAAGGTTCTCCAGCAGATCCTCCAGCAGAGCGTTGCCGATGTGGAGCGTAAGTTACAATTCCCCAGCGGAGGTATTAGGGTCAATCCAAACTAATGATGAAACTAGGCATCATGTCCACCAAGGCCCAGTAAATGGAGTTTGCGTGAATAGCTTTGCTATCGGCATCATGTACAAATTAAGATCTGTTTCTGTGCTAAATTAGACATAACAATAACAATTGATTAAAAAAAGTCTATTTCTATTGACACGTTATCTGGACACCTGTACGGACTTCCTCGGGAGTTTTGATGTTCCCCAGGAACCTCTATCTAAGATGTGACCTGTCAGCGTCTATAGAAATTGTTGACTGCTCTGGTTGCCTTGATGTCGCCCCGTAGCTCCTGCAAGATCTTTCCCCATCTTTACAAGAAAGCGACATGGAAGGGAATAAGAATTCTTTGATGTTGTCTTGTTCTTTATATCTGCGAATCAACACATCTACCTAGGTACCTAAGTTGTCAACACACCACAAAAAAAAAAAAAAAGAAAAGAGAGAAAGAAAGAAAAGAAATATATATCACTGAACCACACCAGAGCTGACAATTCTCTCGTCATTTAGAGAAATTCAAGTGGATTGGATGTAAATCATCCTCTTCAGAACTTTCCGGATTGTCCCCCAATCCTGAGTTCATTACGCAGCTTGCCCAGATTGGTTGAAAAGCATTGCAGGGATCAAAGTTCCTCTCTTGTGGATATTAACAGGAGAAAAACGGGTTATGATGACATTGTCTGACACGAGCAGATTCTATGAATGAAACAAAACTAGGGTGGTTAATACGAAGGAGGAGATTCGGTTGCTGGGCGGCTAATCCCCAAGGGAAACCTTGGGTAACGCAGCAAGAAATGAATAAGAATGGAGAGGATAATAACTAACTAACTAACTAGTTATTATGACTTACTGTTGACTGACACAGCCCCCCGACACAGCGTCTGTATCTGTCTGTGGCTTAGAAAACCTTGAAACCCCTTCGTTGAAGATATATTTTTTCCATATTCAGGACCTTTCGCCTCTTTTCTCTGCTTTTCTTCTCCATTTCTACACAGTCGTCCATACCTTGACCCTTTGGTTAGCCCTGCCGAGTATCCGCTTCAACAATAACCCCCCACGCAATAGCAACCGTCACAGCCATGCCTTTGCGCGACATCATTCACAAGAAGGACAGGCTGAATCCCACGATTCCAGATGCTCAAGGAAACCGTGTCCCTGAGATTACATTCATCCGCTCTGATACCACAACCCATGAGGTTGTTATTCCTCCAACCCATCCAGACGATGAATACCACCTTGACCCGCCACGACCTTCCTCCTCTTCGTCTCATCGAAGGTCCCTGAACCCGTTTAGTCGCTCGCGATCTCCATCGGAGCCGCAAGGGCCCGCTTCCCCAACTCGTCTGCGCGGAGAGAGACGGCTGTCGCACCTGCTGCATCTTGACCGACGAGGTTCCAGCGCTTCCTCCGTGAACATTCCGTTGGATCTTCCACAAATTACCTCCGATAAAAGCGATGAGCAGGAGCGGGAAGCACAATGGGAGAAGCGGGCAACTGTGCTAGTACAGCGTAACCCACAGTTCGGTTCAGCGGGCTTCTCGTCGAGCTCGTCGATAGCTCCTGCATCAGAGGTCCCACGACCACGGTCAAGAAGTTCCAGTCATAGTCGGATAAACGATCCGCAGGGGGATGTAAGTCATCTCCGCACAGCTGGCGTGTTGTCTTCCTCAATCGCTTCAATCTAATGACAATGCTAGGTTAATATTCAAGAGGCGATCCGACTTCATGAAGCTGGAGGTGAGCGCCCGTAGATCGCGCAAAAGCGCCGTCGCATGACTTCCAACAGCATACTTACTCCTAATATCATAGAGTTGGAAAAATCGACAAGCATGTTTGCCCTGTTAGCGGATCCCCATGGTGCCAATAATGCCTTGAGTCAAGTGCTTTACGGACTCGCACTTCGGTGAGTGCTACTATTATGCACGTCTGATACAGGCGGAAGGGGTCTCTAACTCTGACTTGGGTTTACAGGCACGGATGGGGATGCACACAAGACCCCGAGCGAGCAGTACAATATCTCTCAGCTGCGGCGTCGAACTCGGCATCAATTGAGGCCGAGGCTCTCCAGGCAGGGCTCAAAAAAGGAGGTGCTGCCAAAGGCGAGCTTGTTCTAGCGATCTTCGAACTGGGAAATTGCTTTCGCAATGGTTGGGGTGTCGAGAAAGACCCGGTAGCGGCGCGGCAGTATTTTGAGACGGCTGCCAATTTGGGTGACACAGATGCCATGAACGAGGCCGCCTGGTGCTACCTCGAAGGCTTTGGAGGCAAAAAGGATAAAGTAAGTCCCAAGTTGCATTATTACTATCTGGCCAATCTTGAACGACCGCTATACCGGCTTGATCTGCCCTCACTTGGCCAGAATCTTGCTTTCTCGGGCATCAATGCTTCGATGTTCGCTTCACTCTTCTGGCGCCCTCAAACACTCATCATGACTCGCTCTTCGATGTGACTAACCCGCGGTATCATGATTCTTAGTTTACGGCTGCTAAATACTATCGGTTAGCGGAAGAGAAGGGAAACAAAACCTTGGGAAATTCCTGGTAAGTCGAAACAAGACCTCGATTTTCTTTTCGTTTTTTTCCTTTCTTTTCTTCTTTCTTTTCGGTTATCTTGTGGTTTTCTGGGGATTCCAAAACGATTGTGACAAGCTTGTGCGTTAGCTCTGTCGTTTGATGATCCACAGATTTCCATCACCTGCATGCATCACCTCTCTGGAGGAGGGGTTGTTGTTTGAGAAGTGGCGGCTGCGGTTCAATCGATAGGCCCTCGTGGTATCTTCTGCAATGTGCGCCATGCAAACCGCCATGACCGTCCAGCCAACCGCAGCGTCATGCTCCCCTCTTTCCCCCCCTCCCTTCGCTACATCTCTCCAGGCGCCGAAATCAGGCTGACATTAACCTTACTCGCTGCTGCAGGATATGGAAAGACAAATATAACCCCAAATAAATCGCCCATTCCCTGGTGATTCTGCATGATGCCCAGTGCACACCCCGAGTCTTGATTCGTTTCGACTTTCAAGCCTCTTATCACAGCCCTATTGCATCCTTCCCCGCAGCACATCCTGGCCTCTCATGCCTTGTCCGCATGGACTAGTGACCGGAATTGACTCTGGGGCTGAAATGCATCGGCGCATCATCACATTGTCACAGCATACGGCGGCTCGATACTAAACGATATCCATACCCCGGGAATCCGGAAATCCCAAATACGGGAAAGCGCTCCCTCTTCTTCCCCCTCCTTTCCTCGCTCTGCTGCCCACCAATCTAATCTCGCTCGGGGCTCCAGAACAAACACCCTAGATTAGTCTTTTTGACCAGAAGCCCAATCCAGTCCCAGGATTGTGTAAGTAGAACTGCGGAGTACTTTGAGAGATTCATTCTTCTTCTGTCCCTCTGGAAGAAAAAGAACGGGGAGGAATCGAGCCAAAGACTAGCTCCTCACCAATCTCCTGTCTTATTCTGCAATATCTCCCAGGTTTCCACCGTTTCTTTTCTTTTTAGTTCACTTGTCTATACCCAATATACCCTATGACTACTAGTAAATAATCTACTTCCCCTGCCATATTTACCTATATCAAAATAAACCCAACCCAACCCCGTCTTTCTCCCCCCGAACAGACAAATCAATCAGTACGCTGAAGATAGACAGGCACTCCTGTAGGCTTACTCCTAAATTCGGAGCGAGTTCTCGCTCTTTTTACCCTGCAAGCCCACGAAGCGCCAAACCCGCTTCGCCTTACATTAGGCAGACCAGACATGGGGGCCCCCGCTTTCTGAGCGAAATACCTACGTCCTACCTACCTACCTACCTACCTACCTACATATCGAGCAGAAAACTACGGACGCCAAGTCCGGATGAGTGGTGGTGAGTAGGGGTTAAGGTATATCGGCTATAAGGACTTTACAAAATGGGACGACACAAGATCTTGAGAACTATCATGATATTGTATTGCAAACGGTGGACGACGTGAAAAATCATGGATGATGATGATGATGCTGTACATGGAATTTGTTTCCGAAAAAAGAATAATACATTCCGAGATTTGGGAAAATCTCTTACATATCATGGACGCAGTCTCTCTCTGCTTGAAAAAGTGGTCTGTCTGTCTGTAAAATAAATCAATCCCAAGTCTAATTAACTAACTAACTAGTTAATACCTAGGCTAGTACTTAATCATCCCCAGTTTCATAACTATTCGAGATGATCCCGGCATGGCTCCCCCCAGCCATATGTACCAAACCCTCCAGACGAAAAGGAATATGTATGCGACCAAGGCTTCGTTCGTGCCCCTCTCGCTTTTCCGGCGTGCTGCTGCTGGGGAGCCCTTAACCCCCATGCGGCATGGCATGCCTTTGGCGCAAACTCTCGAGGCATTCAAGAAAGATCCGCAATATCCAGGTGCTAGTTATCTTGATCGAATATCTTATTAAGGAGTCAGGATATAGTTAGTAAATAGGAGGCTTAAAAAAGACCAGGATGGACAGATACCAAGACACGTGGTCAAATTGTAAGGAATAAACAATGAGAACCCTTCACATTGTTATTATGCCAATATATACAGTACAGGTTCAGGAGAAGAAGAAGCGAAGCTATTACACATGTGACAAAAGAAATGTTCCTGTGATTGCTTCAAAGAATGGAATGGCGATGCGAGTCGCCTCAAGTCCGGTCAGTTGGCCTTGCCAATGCCAACGAACCTGATCTGATGTGTTAAAAACCACAAATAAAAAGTGATCCTGTCAAAGTATATAGTGACAAAGGAAAAGGTGAAGAGAATGTGAGGTAACCTTGTGTAAGGTTGGTCGAAGAAGAAAATATAAAAAATGAAAAATAAAAAATAAAATCAAACGCTCAAGACACCACCCAGCGAGGCAGGCCGGCTGTCCAGCAAACCATCAATTCAACGCATAGAAACATAGACATTAGAAAAACATTTCAGTTCATAAAAACATGCCAGTCGTATCGTTAATAATCGTAACACAATAACCACCCTTGGCCCAGGTTCGGTCCACCCACCGATGCAAGAGAAAAAAAAAAACAAAAACAAAAACTCAAAAAGTCCCGAATACAAAATGTCCAAATGTGGAGAAGGAAAATGTAAAATAAAACAAAAAAAAAAAAAAAAAAAGGCCATACAGTGGCTAGCAAGACTCCGTTCCGCTTGTCTGTGTTCCTCTGGCTTGTTCGTAGTTCCAGAGTAGCGGTTAGAGACACTGGGGTTATTCTTTTCAAATCGTACTGCCCTGGGGAAGGCTGTTCAAAATGAAAAACACCACGTTAAACACAGAGTATACACAGATGTAACGTGCTCTGGGGTGGTCGCGAGATCCATTCCAAAGCGCAAATCCGGGAGACGATAAATCCACATGTACGCCGATAAAACCGAAGGAGTGCGAGACCAAAAAATATATATATATAAAACACATCGCTAAATTGTCAGACAAAGTCATGAAGAGCTAGTCGATAAAAGATATATCCAGGCGAAGGAAATGGTAAGCTGTTCTATGCAAGTATATGGCTAAGTCTGGCTAAAGCTGGCCAAGAGTCGTATATCGGAAGGAAAAGAAATGAGATAAGGCGCTAGATTTGAGACGGAAAAACGAGAGAAGAGCAGAGAGGCGGAGGGTGGAAGCACGGGAACCTGAGCAGGGCGTTTATGTGGAGGCATGGTTGCGGGCAGGGCAAGAGAAGGTGGCTGTCTCGGGATACGCTGATATGAAGAGCTGAAATGAGATACCTAAAGTGCATGGCGTAAACAACCCAGTCACACTGTTATGCTCGAACAAAGCTAGAGTCTTCCTCCTTCACAGGAGAAGCGCCATATTCATGAACCATACGCTGGAAGTCCCGGATCACCTTTTCAGGAACACGGTCCCACATCAGTGATCTGGAATAGACATCCGACGTGGTCTTGCTTGGCATTCTAGCTTGCCCGGCGTTACCCCTCAATGCGGCGAGGGCCTGTTGCAGGTTTGAGGGTTGCTGCGATTTGTACTCAATCCCGGTATCGTCAAAGGTGGTCAGCGAGTTGTACTGCTCGGCGTTCAGGGCAAAAACCTGCTCCTGCTCCTGCTCCTTGGTCGGCATGGTGAGTGTGCTGTGAAGCGCGTCTAGGTTCGACGTGGGAGCCCCAGTCATCTGAGCCATCTCAGCCCCGGTGATGGTGGTTGGGAGGGGTCGCGCGGGGGCGGAAACAGCCGGTTGGTTCGCGGACTGGGCGAGCTCTGGAGGAGACGACGCGAGGACAGCCTTTAGGACGTTGGCAGACTCCGCACGGTATTCTTCCGAGAGGTGAGGGAGAGCGCGAGCGGGAAGCGAGGCACTGTTCGAGGCGATGAAGGCACCGAAAAGGAGACACATGTAGAAAGCGTTCCAGCTGAAGGGGTACTCGCTGTTCGCAACCTTTTCAGGAGCGGCTTTCTCATTGGTAGCAACAACCATAGCCGAGGACTGGGTCGCAGCGACCGGCTCCGGGTCCAGAGAGAGACTATTGACCATGGTAAAGTCTTCCCAAGGACTACTTTCCATGGTCAGGTTCTCAAAGTCCGAAAACTCAGTGGTGATATTCGACCTTGCATGGCGCTCGAGCTTTTCGACGGTCTCCTTGAGGATACTGTTCTTCTTTCGAAGTTCAGCGGTCTCCAAGGTATGAACGCGGATCATCTCGTCCTTGTCCATGTGCATGGTGTTGATATACTGAGTGATTTCCTGCTGGGCAGCCATCCATTCACCTTTCTCGCGAAGGAGGTCCGATTCCCGGAGTCGCGTATTTTGCAACTCTTCTTCGAGTTCGCTGATAAGCTGGGTGAAGTGCTTCTTCTCCTCCTCAAGTTTCTCAGTGTGGAGCTTCTTGCGCTGTCGCGAATCCAGACTAGAATATATTATTATTAGTGCTTGATTACCACAGATCCACGGGAGGGAGGCACTTACGCAGCCTGACGGTTTCTCAGCAAGCGTTTCTGTTGCTTCAGTTCCTTAATCTCCTCCTCGTTGGTCGACTGGCTGATTAGCTGGTCGATATTGCTTAGAGTTCGCTCGGCAGGGATCTCAAAACGAGCGTTCTTCTTCCGAATGCCGTCCCTCCGAACGCTCAGAGGCGAGCTATTTCGGTAGGTCGGGCTGTTCTTGGGTCGAGAGCCAGCATCTGGCAGGTCCGTCGAGGCAGGCATCCAGCCCTGACTCGACTGGGGGGACATGGCAACCGCGCCGGGGGGTGCAAAGGCCATATGCTGCCGATGATACGACATGGACGGCATATTGATGGTGTTCACCGGGCCCACTGCGCCACCTGCATAAGGAGCCGCCGAACTATTCTCAAGGTCGGTTGGGAAGTGCTCGTACATAGCAGAGGGCGTACAGGACCCCGAATCTTTCGATATCGACCACGGTGCTGGTTGGCCATATGGAGCGGATGGATGAGGACCATCCATCCTCATGAAAGGGTTGGGGGCAGATTCAAGGAAAGGATGGCCGACTTGCGAGCCGTGACGAGATTGGGTGCTGGATACTGATTGGGAGAAATCGGACCAGACTGAATCTCGATGTTGGAACGCATCGGGGGCGTGTTCATATGAAGACCGTCGATGGTCGGCGACGGACGAAGTGAGATCGGGAGAGGTAGAGTCGAGAATTTTGTCGTCTAATACACTCATCTCGTCTTCTTCTGGGAATGGTGGTTTTGTGTCGAGTGTGGTAGAGGGAGATTGTTGGTAGAAGTCAAACGCGGGTTGGGAATACCTCGCCATGACTGTGTGTGTGTGTGTGTGAAGAAGAAGAAGAGGGAAAAAGAGGTGATGAGAAACAAACAAACAAGAGGCGGTGTGAGAGAGATAATGAGGATGAAAATGATGGATAAAAAAAGGTGCAGGGGGATTTTTTGGTGGTAGAGAGAAGGAAGAGAGCAGAGAGAGAAGAGGATAAAGAGGGGAAAGACAAAAAGGCCGAAGAAGAGGTCACGTCGTTTTATTTCTCTGGGGGAAGAGAAATAATAATGTTGATAATAAAGCTGAGGAGAAGAGAAAGTGGTGTGAGCTGTGGAGGGGAATTTCTGAATATAACTACTTGGATTCAATGACTCTTTCTAACCATCATCATAATCATCATCATCATAATAAGAGTTGTGTACCTGAATCTGCTCGTCAAGTTAGAAATCTCTCTCTTTTTTTTTTTCAAATCAAATCAAATCAACCCATACAATTCCATCCAGCCCACCGTTCCTCCATCGGCCCTACATTGGAGCATCCGGCGGTCAGCGGAAAAGTCAAGACGAGGCGATGAATTCTGACGGCTCCCGAGTTTAACGGAGTTCGATCATTGGATGCTTCGTTGGGCAGACGTGCAGCTTGGCTTGGGGGACTTGGATTCCAGGGCCAGATGAATAAGCATGAGTGTGTACCAGGAATCCATCCTAATTTGTGAATTGTGAGGTTATCCAGAGAAGAAACCCCCCTTCTATCTAGTACTTGGTACTTCCATCCTATTCCAGGTACCTGGCATACAAGACTGATTTTACCAACTTCACTATACTTGGGTACCTATTCAACTCTCTAGGGATTTCCTTTCTGTATACTACTTCACTCTATTACCAGTGGGGCAGACAACCTGAAAGGAAGGTTCTTTTTTTATTTTTGGGTTTCTCGCAGCCTATCAACAGTTCTGTTATTACAATACCTCTGGCACTGACCACAAGGTAAAAGTTGCACGGACTCGACGAGATTCTGGTGTATGGAATGGTATCCTTTTCTGAATGATTGGTATCCAGCTCTCTTTAGGTCATAAAGGAGAAAAAAATATTCTCTCCTGAAGATCAAGTTTATCAAAGAACTATCCTTTATTATGATTGCAGAAAAGAGTGATGCCCAACAGGAAGCCAGTCAGCCAACCTGTACAGTCGAATCTATCTCATGATCTTCTTTATTTCTTTTACCTCCAATATTCCGGTATTTCGCAGAGTCTACATACTTGAGAAAAACTGGTACAGTAGGCCCGGCCCGTCAGTGATCTGTGATCCACCTTTCATATCCCATATGGATCCTTTTTCCCAAATAATAAAAAGGATAATAATCAGAATTATCCAAGTCTGGCCTCGATATAGTGATGACAGTTATGTACTGCGGAAGCAAGCCGCATGCACTTCCCTCCTCCCAACAGATCAGATTCTATCTTCACCCATAAATCCCTTTGACTGAGGAAATCAGGTTTTGTTTTCCTTCGTCAGCCCCTCTCTGGGATCTCCCTTCCCCCGGCTGTACGACTCCATACACTGTCTTACCTCAAACATGTGCGACTCGACAGTGGCCAGAGCTTATGCCACCGCGCAGGTTGGTCACTTGCATCCCGGAAGTCTCTAGCCCAAAATTTAAGCAAGCCTTCGTAGTTCGAATAAAGTAAGGCATCATCATCATCATCATCATCATCATCGCTGCTCTGAGGTCCTGCGGGGGAAAGCAGTAGCCAACCCGTGCTATCCTAGACCTCGCACAGTACCATCTGTGATCTCTCCCATTCAAGGGTGCCAGATCCAATTACTGTGCGAGATCTGACTTTCATGCAGCATCAGGCGAATTCCATTATCGACTCGCACTCGGGTTATAATAATAATAATAATAACAACGAACGCTGGTGGAGGTGCGAGAGGCTGTTTTGGGAAATCTCAGCAGTCCGTCTGGTGATACCTGAGTACCTAGTGTGCCGTCACGAGCCAACGCAGGACTAATTTTCCTCCTATTCCTGTTCTTCATGTCTCTGATCATCAGTTTTCCTTCGTCCAAAGTACAACAATGATCACGATTCGGGAAGAAGGAGGAGGAGGGGTTAACCCGTTACTACGCTAGGTTCTGCTTCTCCAATGATGGTGTCCCGAAAAATGCTCCCGGACTCAATAACGGCTCGGATAAGCCGCTGGATACCATTTTCGATGCTGGTGCTGGCACCATTACTCTCATTCCTCAGGCTTCGTGGTCCGATCAGGACGAGCGTATCGGCCAAAATCGCTGCTTCTATAAGAACGGGCATCCCTATCTGTGAACTTGGATCCATAGAACAACATCGCCAAAAGTCCATGACATCTGACTCAACTAGCACATTCATTCCGAACTCCCGATACCTCCTTCATCTCTGTTCATAATAATTAACCACAAGAACAACCACTGATAAGATGAAACACTTTGAAGAGCATCCGCGCGACCCACTTCAATGCAGGAGGCTATGATTCACTCTAGACTCTACTCTTCTCGATGCCTTCCCACCTGGGAAGTACCTGACATCATTCCCTGTTTCAAAATGGCTCCCTTAAAACTAGGGCTCCAGGGGAACGTAACTAACTATAGTTACTTGTCCCTTTGGAACGCTTACAAAGCTATGGATCACCCCGGGAGCGCTACGAATAGGATCAAGAGAACCCCAGGTAGTCATCTCCGTCCCTGCCACGTTTCATGGACCGAATGATGCTGTCCTTCAGGGCGAATATCAGGTGCCGAGGACAAAGGAATCGCCTTCATTCTACCAGCTTCCCTCCCACCCATCCCCGGGTCAGGGAAGAAAAGGAGACGCAAAAAGCACGAGAGGGCAAAAAAAGCCAAGCAGCGAATAGCAGAGACCCCATATTTCATACAGATCCCGCTGGCGTTGCATGCGTTCGCGCTCGGATCATTCCCTCAATCCCAGGGGCCCGATAGTCAACCCCCTGCACCCTGAGCAGCCAGCAAAGACAACTTCACAGAGAACCCGGAACGCGGTTTAGGCCCGGATGAAACCCGGATTATCCGTTTCGAATACGGACATGGTCATCATCTCAGTATCATTGCTATCATTAGCCGGAGTTGAGCGGCGTTTCCAGACAAACAAAAATTCGCCTCCTAGAGTAAGTATTAACCATGCGACAGTCCAGAACCAAGACTTTTTTTTCGCCATCCCAAGATACCTATTCTATTGACCGGCCCGCAACCTTTTCCTTTTGGCCTTCGAATGGCTACTCCATTCTCGGTAATCGCCACCTTGGATGACGCCGCTGGAGTGGCCATTCTGGCGGTGTACAAGCGCCATCGATCCAATTGTAGAGCCGGATGCAATCAATCGGTGGAGAGCCTCTCACTTTCCAAGAAAGCGATTTTATCACTCTTCACGAATAATGGCCGTTAAACTTTGTTCTACATAGGATAGACAGCTAAAGGTTATAGCTAAGTTATGAATGAACAGAAGCACGGAGTACGGAGTACTAACCCCAATTCCAGGGTATTGTTTACTAACTCTTTCCCTCTCATTTTTACTTACTCCATTAGTCAACTATGCTGTTAACAGACTCGATATTGATAATCATGTCCAAGGTCCTGTAATTAACTACCGAACTATCCAGTAACTAGTTATGTAGTCAGTCAGAAGTGGACCAATGCAGATCAACCAGTCGCATTCGGACGCGGACTTGGGTGCAAACTGCAGATGCAATTGTTGCCCAACATCGCTGCATAACTTGAGTTTGATCGTACATGGTACATATCGCTCATGGGGATGATTATTATTAGTTAGTTGGGTAGTTAACTAGTTAGTTATTCCAGTTATTATCATTACTCATCGTGATCATTACCGTGCCTAGTTAGTTACTTACTTTCCTATTTCCTCCGTACGGAGGACTCCGTACTTCGAGAAGCTACCTAGTTCTCCCGCAGGTAGGACGGAGTACAACTACTTAACTTAGCACTAGTTAGTTAGCAGGGAGAAGCAGATAAGAAGCATCGTACAAAAAGTACCAAATATAGTTAAATGAATGAATGAATGAATGAATGGATGCATAACCCCTTGGGAAAATGTCAAGAGACTTTTGCTACTCCGTACATATTCAACAAAAAGCGGTAAACAACTGTTCCATTTTTCTTCTTCTTTGTTTCAGAATTGGTCTCCAAGACTGTATCTAATCAAGTAAATCTTAATGAAATGGCAAAGGGTATAGTTCAAGTTGCGGTCGAGTCCTAAGGCAAGAGGTTCTACTACCTAGTACTACTACTAGAGTAGGAGGAGCAGTATAGATTCAGATAACAAGTCCTAGATTATACTAGTAGAGTACCAGTCAAGTACCACTGTATGTACATACATGCTACCTATCTTACTCCTGCTCCTGCTACAGATACCAAGTACCTACGTAGTATTGAGGTAGCAGCGCATCGAATCAGCGGTCAAGCAAACCTTGAATCCGAACACTTCTACTCTACTGTACTACAATAGAAAGCTCTGTCCGTTGATCAAGATCGGAGCGCAGAGATAACTACGTAGTATCTAAGGTGGAACAAACCCGAAGCAGCAAGTACAGTGACCTGTAGAGGAACATACTAGACTGTAGACGGTATGTACAGGCAAAGCAAAGCAAGATACCGCGCTCTAGTCTAGTCTACTATGGTAGCTACTAACTATTAGGAGGCCCAGTAGACTAGCTACTAGTAGCAGACGCCATAATCATTCCCAGGAAAGCCAACGACATCCTCACTGGGAACGTAAACTGAATTTGGACTTCCAAGATAGCATGGATCATAGGACCGCCGGGGCTTCCTATCGGATTCCAGACGGGTTTTCCCCATGAGACTACCTACCACCACCTAGGTAAACGAGGGGCTACGCGATATCCTACCTTGGGTAGCTCCGGATAGGGAAAACAGTGCGGACTCGACGATCAGAGTGAGAAAAAAAAAAAAAGAAAGAAACAGATCTGGCCCAATAAGAGTGGTGGGCTATGACGATTAGATCTGTCCAGGTGGCTTGTCAGGCACCATTTACATTAGAATTGGGGGGTTGGATTTGCAGGAATAAGGGATCAGATCACCGGCTCATAACCAGTCCCTAGTAATCCGTTTTGCATTGTTGGGTACTGGATAGATGCTCAGCAGGTAGGACCGTTCAGACTCAAACACACACAGACCCCTTTCCTTCCTACACGTTTATGCTATGCCATGCCATGCCCTGCCCTGCCCTGCTACATTGAAGCTTGGAAAGCTGAAAAGATGCATGTACTCGAACCGGTAGGTAGGGCAGTCAGACAGCCCTCCAACCCGTCAATGGAGACCGGGACTCATCCGAGATCCAAATATAAAACTCATTTCCAGTACACCTAACTACCTATAGACAGACAGATCAAATATAGAACAGAACCTGAAACCGACTCCCGCGCAACGGAACAGAGCCAGCACATTGTTTCAAGTCCTCTACTAGTAGTTACTACCTAGGTATATATGTACATAAAACCCAAGGCAGCGTAACCTCCCCCTCCCCCCCCAATGACAAAAGAACCAATACCCTATTCCGAGGTTAGGTAGAAATTGTCCCCAACAAGGCCGGGCCTTACTTCTGATTCTAGTGGATGCTAAGCATACTCTGTGCTTGCTGCTATTATTATTATTATTGCCCGCCGCCAACTCGTCACGCCCGTTCTATTTTCTGCTCGACTCGCGAGGCAAATGGCCCCGAGAGCCAGTCAGTCACGACTCATGATCACTAACTAGTTAGTTAGTACCTAGGTAACTAGCTAGTGTCACCCGCTGACAGAGTACTGCCACTGGTTATTTGTTATTTGGAGGGGGGAAGGAAATCGTAGGTAGACTTCCGTAGGAAGTTGACTAGCTTGCTAACTAACTAACTACTAGCTAGCTTGCATTGCATTGCATTGAATTCATGAAGGATCCGCGTTGTGGGGTGTCGAGACGATTTTCACTCCTTCCTGGGCCTTCTCCTTTTCTTTTTCTTTTTTTTTCTTTTTTTTCCTACCTAACTTGACTTGCTGGGAGCTGTTGTGAGTCATACTCGTGGCAGAGGGTCCCCTTGTGTGGAGGGTACTCGCCCATTCCCCGGACTCTGGACGCTGTGGCTGTCTAACAGACCGTGCGTGGTTTTCGTAGTAAGGAAGGTGCGTCGGAGAATAAAAAGAACAAGTCGTGTACCGTAGAAGGGGTTGCAAGAGAGGGGAAAAAAAAAAAAAACAAATAAAGGTCAAATCCATTGCGCTGCTATCTATCTATCCCTCGTCGTAGGAGACATGACATCATGTAATACTACAATCCTGTATGCCGTCCTTGATCAACTCGCTGAAAAGCGATTTCCAGTCGCGATGACTCAATGTACCGTCAAATCAACTCCTGAGACAACCGAGCCCTCGTGAAACATGCATGCTATGGGTATCTTCCATTCGAATACAAGAAGTATAAAGTCGAAAATAAACTGAATGGCGACAGCATTCAAGGTATAGAATAATCTCTCCCTTTCCTCCCTTTCTTTCCCGGTCTCTTGCAGCAATTCCTAAAAAGAAATACAACCTGGTCGTCGATTACAGGCTATGGTTAGTGAGCATGTACAGTTAGAATCGGATGAAATCTTGCTGCTGCGAGATTTCACCGCTGTCGACAGGTTCGATGAGCTCTGCCTCGTCGGAATCAAGATCGTCCGAGTCAACGTCATCGGAGTCGATCTCTTCGTACTCTTCTTCCTCACTAGAGGCATCAGACTCTTCGGTGCCGTCAGCAGCATCGCCTCCATTAGGCGCAGCATTCTTCCGAATCTGTCCAGCACGGTCAACATGAGGCAGGCGGCAGTGTTTTTTATGGCAAGCACCCGTGTTCGCGTAGTCAGGGCATTCGTGAACATGTCTCTCCTCGCATGTTTCGCCCTTTTCACAGTAGCCTAAAGTCGCAAACTCCCTGCACACGGGCGCGCCAGGAGTCACTCGTATGTGGGCATATCGACATTCTGGATTAGAGCAACGACCTCGGAGGAAGTGCACACACGCAGGGGACCTATGAGGTGATGGTTCGTGAGACAAATCGCAACTCATACCTGCGCTGCATTTGCCATTCTGGAGAAATTCTTTGCAAATAGCAACTTTGTTCGGGTCATGGATATACGGACAGCTTGGTCCTTTGTAGCAGGTACCTAGAACAAGAAATTTTGGTCAGTATCGCTCGAAGCGAAATATCGTGGTGGCAAAGGAATCTGAAGGCCGGTTTGAGGGAAAGCGTTCGGTACCGGTCGTGGAAAATCTTTCGCAGAGTGCCTTTTTCTTAAATACCCCTGGTGGTCTGCAATTGTGAGTATTCTGTAGTCACTGGAACTGTGGAGAAAAGGTTCACCTTTTTGAAGCCACTGCTCCCAGGCGATGAAGATTGCCGTTCTTGCTTCGAACAAACGCCACTCCAGCAATCTTCACCCTCTTCGGTGTGGTGTTTGCAGTGTTTGGATTATCTATTAACGGTAAGCCAGCTCTTTCGACCAAAATTAGATTGATGGGGTTCGCACTAGAAATTCTGATCAACTTGCTGCCCCCGCGGGACACTTTAAAGGGGATATCATTAACCAAAATCTGATGCTCAGCGGACGGTTCACCAGCAGTAGAAACCTGGGGCATGGAGCTCGATGGGAACTTGCTGCTGACGCCCAGAGCGTACCGTAGCACCTTGTCCTGTTCGATCTGCGCCCTTTTTAGTGACTTCGCCTTGCGTGTCTCCTCCAGAGCTTTAACGCGTTTCTCAGCATCTTTGTCGTAGATCGCAGAGTTAATTAGCTGCATGTGCCGCGCGTGTTTTGTGACCCAAGCATTCGGTGTGACGGAGCGACTATCACCATCATGGTCTGAAATCGCGCCCGGAGGAGGGGTTAAGCCTTGCGAAGCTCCGGGTGTTGTTGAATTGTTGAGAACGAGAGTACGGTGCCGGTGGGGAGCTACAGGGCGTCCTCGTCCGTACGGTCGGCCACGATATGGTGCCCAACCAGGACGTCCGCGATGTGGCGTATGTCGTGAGACATAAGGAGCAGGATGCGTCTCACTTGTGTATGGCGATTGTATTTGAATGTTTTCATTTTTGTGTCTGTTGATCTGGCCTGGGAAATATTATTAGCTTAATGCGTATAAGAACCCCTCTCACGAGGCGCGTACCAGCAAGCTGGCTGATCTTGGCCATCAAGTCCTGATCTTCTGTCATTTTGACAAGATCAAATATTTACTGCTTTCACTTTTGTAAACATATAAATAAATGGATCCTTGTCTCTGTGCAGTGTTGTTGAAAGGTAAGATAGAGCTTAGTACGTACTTTAATGAATACGGGATGTGATGAAAGAGGTTGGTGGCGTTAGTATCGGAATTACAATATTCCCGAAGGGGTAGCTAACTGTAGGATTCCTGCACCCAGTAGAGACAATATTGCATTTCCTCCATACCAATTTTATGAATACTGCTGTCTTTATATATTAGAGTCTATTTTCTAATTGAAATAGACAGAAAGATTATCCTCTGGGTTCCTCCTTAGTGTAAGGGTTCTACCCAGACTTTACGGCAACAGATGGTGCTACATTCACAGACATTAAAGGAATATAAAACAAAATGCCTAGTATTAAATTATCTAGTTTATTCGAATTGCTGAATAATTATGGGATGACTCCTGAACTCCTTGGTTGGATGACCTTATAAACCCAAGATGAAACGCCATGGCAATGCCTATACTACATTGAAGACCCTGCTTTTAGACCACATTCTCAAACTGCATATCATCATTATCCATGCCAGATGCCATCGCATCATCCTCAGAAGCGTCATCGAAGTTGTAATCGAGGCCAGGAGCAAGCTCTTCCTTGGCATCTCCATATCCCAGTGCATTCGCGTAACTGCTCTCTTTCGCCTCCGGTTTGAGTTCCCAAGTCATCGCAAAGTCACCAGATTTAACCAGGTGGGCAATCATCTCCAAGGTTTGCTTCAGATAAGCTTCCGGTTGTCGGAGTCTGGCTTTAAGTGTCTTAAAAGGCCAGTATCTGTACTCCCGGAAGCACTGGTAAATAAGATCCAATAGCTCGTTTTGAGGCATACGTGTGGTCTTGTTTTCTTGTGCTTTGAGTTTGGCAGGCCTTGTCGCTTGCTAGAAATGGCATTAATGAAATTATAGGTAGAAGCTGGGTAAGAATCAGAAAACTTACCACGAAAGCGCCCTTCTCTCCAGGCAGCGCATTCCGTGGCTGAAGCAATTTGCCCGGAAGCTTATCAATGAAGACGGTTTCACGTTTCGGTTTAAGCGCTTCCAGAGCTTTCTTTTCTGATAGCCGTCGAAATTCCTCATTCTCCACGGGAAGGCAGTTGAACTCTTCTTTCACGTTTCCAACCAGCGCGGTTTGTTCTGTTGCAAGATCAACATGAGTCCCTGGGGAGCCTTGACACACTATACATACTGGGAACTGTTTTTCGAACATAAGGCTCCCATTTCTTCTTGCGCTCCTTTTTCCTCGCGTCACGCTTCATCGATTCGTAGAGCGCAGACCTAGCTTCGCCAAACACTACCATCCGATTCTCATGCCCGGGAATGTCCTTTTCCGTGAAGAGATATGTATTCTGTGTCATGTGAAGTAAATTATCCGCATTTACCGTCTGGCGTTGAAGGATATAGTCCTTGGGGATATCGCGATTATCATCTCGCTCGTTGATGCGCAAACTGACCTGCAGGATCCCATCCTGTTAGTCGGCTCCAAATCAAGTACGCGACCGCGAAACATCCGTCTTACCCGTTTAATATCGCTTGGCGCCCCTTCGATTCTTATTGTCCCAATCTGGATCTCTTCATCGTCATCAAGTTTAGACCAATGCTCCCAGAGCGACCGAGGGATTCGAGAAAGCCACAAGCTTTGCGCGGAATTTGAAAAGTCAAGATCCCCGGCATCCTCATACAAATCTTCATCGTCAATATCATGGAGAATGGCATCTTTGGTATCAGGCTCAGATTTGATGTAAGACATCGAGGCGTCTGGGTCCTGCTTGATCTGGGAGAACATGGTGCCGATCTTCAGCCGGGCGCGAAGGCTTTCGGTATATATCTAGAGATTCAAAGGTATTGCACTGCGACCGTGACGAAGGACAAGTAAATGACCCCGAGTAAATACCTGGCAGGGTAAGAGTGAGTGGTTAGCGATCAGATGGCCAGGCGACTTCCAACACCAGATTTGTATGCACCCGCTGGGGTGAAAGAGATGCAGAAAGCGGGTAACTCGAAGGCGGTGGCGGAGGGCCGTGACGACAGCCCAAACACCGTGGAATACAGAGTAGGCCTATAGAGTAACACTTCGATGAGCTTGTATTCTTTCATATATATATATATCTCTCTCTCTCTGCTAGTACAGGAACCCCTCAAAAATTATTAAAAATATTCTGACTTTCTATTCCCTTTAAATTCCCCCAAGTATATATCTGCAACGCGCTTGTGGTTAGGTAGTCCAAATGGTGCACAATTTTCCAGATAGAATCTCTCAGGCAATTTGTCAATAATTTCTATTTCCCAAAATCTCTCAAATACTCCTTATTCTAATATATTAGTACTTAGAATAGTTTGCATCTCCTATGTCGTATGATTGAGTGGTCTTTATAGTGCCCCGTACTGCATGCCTCTCTTATCGATAAGTTACATATGTACTCCGTATTGTTTCTCCGATCTCGTTCAACCTCCGTCGCTCACTAACAGCTCTCTGTCACCCTATTTCAGCATTCACCCCACCTTGCAGCTTCTTACGCTCATTCTCTCCTTAAAATACCCTTGATGGCATCACAGAAGACAATATCCGCCCTTGCGGAGATCGAATCCTCCGCAAACCCCCAGAATAAACTGCAACTTTACAACGATCTCCTCTCCACAACGGTGTCAACCACTTCAGAACCACAACTCGCCAACGACCTTATATACTACCTTGACTCGGTTCTAAGTGAAGACATCAGTATTGTTACCGCCCGTCCTATCCTTGACTCCTTCATCGGTGTCTTGCAAAAACTCAACGCCGAAACCCAGATCAAAGTCGGTCAGCATGCCGTCTCCCTCCTCCAGTCCCGATCTACATCCGTTGAAGAGCAAGACGCCCGGATCCGCGAGATTCTAGCAGATGCCTACGAAGCAGAGGAGGAATATGCCGCAGCCGCGCGAGCACTACAGGGGATCCACATTGACAGTTCACAGCGCTTAGTCTCCGATTCAGCCAAAGTGCGGTTATGGATACGGATTGTGCGATTGTATCTAGAGGAAGATGACACCACAAGCGCAGAGTCATTTCTTAACCGAATTAAGAACCTACCGAGTAAGATTGAAGATCACGAGCTGAAACTACATTTCAAGCTCTCCCAGGCCCGTATCCTCGACGCCCGTCGACGTTTCCTAGACGCCAGCCAGGAATACTTCAACGTAAGTCTTGCAGCTGGCGTTGATGAAAGTGATCGATTACAGGCTCTGGCCGCTGCGATCCGGTGTGCAGTGCTGGCTCCCGCAGGGCCTCAGCGTTCTCGGACATTGGCAACATTATACAAGGATGACCGTGCAACCTCTGTGGAGGAGTTTGGTATTTTGGAAAAGATGTTCCTCGACCGACTGTTGAACCCGGAGGAGGTAGCTGCTTTTTCGCAGCGACTGGCCCCGCACCAGCTCGCGCGGACTGCAGATGGAACAACGGTGCTTGATAAGGCGGTGGTGGAACACAACCTCGTTGCTGCGAGTAAACTTTACGAGAACATCACTACCGACGCACTGGGCGTGATTCTTGGGCTGAAAGCAAGTGGAGACCTAACGGCTGGTGAGAAGGCAGAGGCCTATGCGGCTCGAATGGTCGAACAGGGTCGACTCAGTGGCAGCATCGACCAGATTGATAGTGTGATATACTTTGAATCAAACACAGCTGCTATGGGCCGTCATATTCGACAGTGGGATGCGGGAGTTCAGGGGCTTTCAGAGGGCGTGGAACGTGTAGCAGCGAGTATAGCAGAAGGGTTCCCGGTAAGTCCCACCAGCTTTTCTTCGTGACATGCTATTGTTTTAATACGAGCTGTGACTAACATTCTTCGAATTTTTCTAATACAGGATTTTGCTATTGCACAGACAGCGCAATGAGAAAATGGAATAGCCAGAGTAATGAAGAAGTGATGATCAGATACCAGCTAGCCAGTGATGCTGGTTCCTCCTAGAGACACCTCCTAGAGACACCTCCCAGAGACATGCTCTCTCATAGAAAATAAATCTATTGCCTCTACGATCAAAATGAAACGGAAATAAACAAATTAAACCAGATGATTAAGTAGTATCTAATGATTTGTACTCTAGTCTAAACGTAAGCTGGTTCTTTCTCGGAAACGACATGACTGATCAAGCCGTAAATGAAGCCAAACTGGAAGCCTCTGGGAGTGACCCTATGGTGTATATACATACCTATTTGGATACGGGAGGGGCACGCTATGATATTGACTTGGCCCGGGAGACGGAATCTGCAGTGTATATAGGTATTTTCACTGTCTAGATTTGTTCTTCAATAAGGACGGACCCTTTAGAAGATACTTAAATAAAGGTAAATTTAGTGATTCTCTTATTTTTTTAATAGTTAGGTCAAATCTACTCCGTACATGGCCATACATACATACTCCATAGATTGAATTCTCATGTACTCTGATATTGCACCGGCTTCTATAGTCAGATGCATTAAAGACTGCTCGGTAATCAAGTGTGGATCCCTTAACCATCCCCTCCCCTCGCTCTAGAGTATAGCCTCTAAAGCTTGTGTTGAGTGTCTTGTTGAGGATGCTCTTGCTGCTGGAGCCCATGTCATTCACAGCTACCGAGCACGACTTCGAGTCATTGTCTTCAGACTTGGGGATCTATGTGGCGCCTGTTCTCCTTGGTGGGTTGAAAGGAAAACATGAATATGTGGCGGGAGAGGAGGCCTTTGCTTCATTAGCATCCTGTATCATGGTGAACGGTGATGAAGAAGCTATTCGTATTACGAATAACTAGTAGCAGATATGGGCTTTCCGCCGCGGTATTCACGGAAGATCTGTAAAAGGACCTGGCAAGAGTTGATGATTTAATCAGGGTATTGTATCTTATTTCTTAAACTTATAAAATTTACCGGCGCCGTCTTTCTGCAAATGCTGGAGTTTATGATGAATTGATTGTAGTGCCGTACCGGTGAGGATATTTTGTGACTGTAATAAGCAAAAGTCTTTTAGATGGGATATCCGTCCATGCAGAAGCAGTGCAGCAGATTGTGCAATTGGAGTACTCACATATATACATAATACACGTATAGGACTATCTGCCTCGGAGTCCTCAGCGATTGAAGTGGCCTAATTAGAAACTTGTATTTGTAGAACACCATCTGTGTGCTTTCGGGAGCGAATCGTGACGGCCCACGTTAACACTCGGAAATAAGCACATCCATGCTAATTCAAGAAATATTCCATGGTGGAATTCACGCCGATTTCCCAAATCTAGATCTATAATAGTGTTAAGCGTGTTTCTCGCCGCTATTCGGGGTAAATCCCGACCAAGACGGGCAGCTCGGGGAAGCTCACACCGAGCACCTCTCAAACCACGACAATGAAGGTGCTGCTGGGGATCAGAACGAACTGGGAGAGCTCTTTAAATTTCCTCACAGGCAAAGACTGTATTTTCTTCAATTCCGATCGTAAACTGCGAGTCGACAATTGAACTTGCTCAAAAGAGTAGGGTAAGGGAGGGCCAGGTGACGTGGATTACGTCAGAATGGGAGACGATCAATTGTCCCTGTCTAAGAGAAGAACCAAAATGACGACGACAGAATTGAAGAGGAGGTACGGAGTATCAAGTTTGATGCTATTGAAAACCAACAATGGTACGGAGTAAGTCAAAGCTTTGATGCACAGAGGTCTAGGAGACCTTGCTCTCGGTCCGAGGTATTGCTCGATTGGTACAAGGCTAGAGCAGGAACAGAGTATTCGGTGCGTGTTCAGAAATCAGCGTGAGTGCAGGGCGATTATGCTTTAATTATAATACACAGACAGCTCTAACTAACTAATCCGTCCTTAGGGTTGTCACTCGGTCCGATCCACGAGAGCTCGGTTGGACTCAGAAGTGGAAAGAGACCAAGTCTTAGCAGACCCGACTTTAAACCTTCTTGGGAGCAAGAACAGCCACAAAAACCTGGGGGATCAGCTGGAGACATGACGTTCCGCTGAGTTAAGCGTGGGCTGCGATTGTTCAAGATGTCAGCATGTGAAAATGGGAGGATTTCATGTCACGCGTGGCTGGGTGTCGTCCATTTCATCGAGAGTTCAAACCAGACACAGACATGTGAAGATTTCAAGTCATGGTTGGTGAAGCAGAAATGGACAAACCAGCATCCGTCGATTGTATTTTACTAAGGAAGTCAGTCTCCATTCTGCCCCATACAAATCCACTTTTCAAGAATATGGGGTGATCGGAGGGAGAGAATGACAGAAGAACAAACGCCCTTTTGAAATGCTTCTACATCTTCACCAGAAGGGGATTCCAACTATAAATCCGTAAATCCCCCCTAAACAACACGAGTAAACAAAGGCCATGGATCTAATAAAACATTCTTGTTCTCCAAGTCAGAGTGTGTGCGGCCCGACACCAAGTACATACCATAAGGGCGAGTGAGCCTCGGCCGAAAAGAACATCTTTGGCTTCTGACGGATCCTGCTTTAAGATCTTGCCCACCCTCCTCTTTTCTATCTCTTTTACTTCCCACTCTTTTCCTCTCCCTCTTTCTTTCTTTTTCTTTCTTCCTTTTATCTCCATCTTTTCCTATCTTCGTCGTCTCCTTCATCATGGCCCCTCGAGTAATTGTCGTCGGTGGTGGATGTGAGTTGCCTCCCTTGACTTCCTACAGCTTTCCCCGCATTTGCTGACCATCGTCCTCGTCCCCCAGTGTCTGGTCTCAGCGCCGCCCACACTGTGTACTTTAATGGGGGAAGTGTCCTGGTTCTCGATAAGCAGGGTATGTCTTCCTCTATCGCATCTGGGATATGCGACATTCGAGCCTCAATACAGTAAATATGCATTACCGCGGTGACAGTCAAGGCTAACTAAACCAGCCTTCTTCGGTGGCAACTCTACCAAGGCCACCTCTGGTATCAACGGTGCTCTCACTCGCACTCAGGTCGATCTCGGAATCGCCGATAGCGTTAAGCAGTTCTACGACGACACATTGAAGTCCGCCCGAGACAAGGCTCGCCCCGACCTGATCAAGGTCCTCACATACAAGTCCGCTGCTGCCGTTGAGTGGCTGCAGGATGTCTTCAACCTCGATCTTACCCTTGTTTCTCGTCTTGGGTAAGTCTTTTCCCTTGTCTTTCTGAGATAGCAAAATTGCGCGACCGGGATTTTTGTTGCACTAACTAACTCTGCAAAGTGGTCACTCCCAGCCCCGAACCCACCGTGGCCACGATGCCAAGTTCCCCGGTATGGCCATCACCTACGCCCTCATGCAGCGCCTAGAGGAGCTCGCAGAGGCGGAGCCCGACCGCGTTCAGATCATCAAGAAGGCCCGTGTCACTGCCGTGAACAAGTCCGGTAACTCCGTGACCGGTGTCACATACGAGGCTGATGGCAAGACACAGTCCGCCGATGGTGTCGTTGTTCTGGCTACTGGTGGATATGCTGCTGATTTTAGCGAGACCTCGCTTCTGAAGCAGCACCGCCCCGATACATTCGGTCTTTCGTCCACCAACGGCACTCACGCCACCGGAGATGGACAGAAGATGCTGATGGCTATTGGTGCCAACGGCATTGATATGGACAAGGTCCAGGTCCACCCCACTGGTCTCGTTGATCCGAAGGACCCGACTGCCAAATTCAAGTTCCTTGCTGCTGAGGCCCTCCGCGGTGAGGGCGGTCTCCTGCTTAACTCGGATGGTGAGCGATTCTCCGACGAACTCGGTCACCGTGACTACGTGTCTGGCCAGATGTGGAAGGAGAAGGAAAAGAACAAGTGGCCCATCCGTCTTGTGCTCAACAGCAAGGCTTCCAACGTCCTTGACTTCCACACTCGCCACTATTCTGGTCGTGGTTTGATGAAGAAGATGACCGGCAAGGAGCTTGCCAAGGAGATTGGCTGTGGCGAGGCTGCTCTGAAGAAAACCTTCGACGACTACAACGCGATTGCTGAGGGCCAGAAGAAGGACCCCTGGGGCAAGCGTTTCTTCCACAACCTGCCCTTGAGCATTGATGACGACTTCCATGTCGCTCTTATGGAGCCGGTCCTGCACTTCACCATGGGTGGCATTGAGATCAATGAGCACTCCCAGGTTCTTAACCACGACAAGCAGCCCTTCGAAGGCCTCTTCGCTTGTGGTGAGCTTGCAGGTGGTGTTCACGGTGCGAACCGTCTGGGTGGTTCCTCCTTGCTCGGCTGTGTTGTTTACGGTCGTGTTGCTGGTGACAGTGCTAGCGAGTTCCTCTTCAAGAAGCTCACTGCCACAGGCGGTTCCGCTGCCCAACAGCGTCTCGGCCAGATCTCCCTGCACATCGACCCCTCGACCCCCGGAAAGATCTCTGTCGAATGGAACGGCGCTGGCGCCAGTGGTGCCCAGGTTTCCACTGGTACTATAACCCCTGCTGCCTCCCACGAGGCCACCCCCGCTGCTGCTCCTGCTCCTGCTCAGGCCTCCAAGCCCGCCAAGTTCACGATCCCTGAGACCGAGTACACTATGGAGGAGGTTGCCAAGCACAACAAGAAGGAGGATCTGTGGATCGTTGTTAAGGGTATCATCTTAGATGTGACCAATTGGCTTGATGAGCACCCTGGTGGCGCCAACGCCTTGTTCAACTTCATGGGACGTGATGCCACCGAAGGTAATTACCTTTTCCCCATCTCAATTTGAAACGACCAATACTAACGGAATTCAGAATTCGCCATGCTCCATGACGACGAAGTCATCCCCAAGTACGCTCCACACATTGTTATCGGCCGAGTTAAGGGCCAAACCCCTAGCCTAGAGATTTAAATAGTGCACATAGATTGGGCATAATTTCTTGGACAGAAAAAGACGCACTCCCCCCTCACACCTCCTACCCATCATACCCTTGTCCTCTATTAACGTCTTTTCGTCATTGTCATGGTACTTGCGCAGGGCAAAATCGCCAATTTTTGTTTCTAGTTTGTAAGATACAATTTACATTCAATTTCTATCATTTCCTTTTTTTTTTTTCTCCTTCTGGGTTTAAAGGATAGCTCCCTATACTAACATGTGCAATGCACGATATCGTACACGCGGGAGAGAAAAACAGCTGCATTAGATATGGACACATGCGTGCCTTGCCTGGTACCTCGTAAATGCATGGCTCCACGAACATATCAATTGGTCCGGAACCCACGGATGAAATTTGAGCGGGTTCAGCGGGAATACCGGTACTCCGTACCTACAGGTGGTGCCTAGGTATGTACGTTGATCCCTTTCTAATGCATAGAAATGCATAGAACAGTTTTCTGCAAGAAGAGGAGGAGGAGGAGGAGGAGGAGGAAGATGGATGGCATAACTACGGAATTCTCGGTAGATAGACAGACACATAGGCACATGGCATAGTAAACTTCTCAACTACTACCAAGTAAGTAAGTACTCTCCCTCGTTCAGTTTTGAGGACCCTGGACTATGTACCTCGGCCATGGTCTAGTATAGGTGGTGGTTGATTATGGTTACATTATGGATCCATGATGTGTAGTTTATGTACGTACGTAAGTACGTCATGGTGTACATAACAACATATGTAACTACATACGGAGGGGTACTTGGTATGGTTATGAGTGAAAGTAAATATTCTGACATGATCAGATAGTTGGTATTGGATTTTTTTTTTTTTTTTTTTACACAATAGATCGGTATACATAATCCTCCGTTTCATATCCCAAATTTCTTTTCGAAACAGCATTAAGAAGCAAGATTGAGGACCATGTACCAATCAATCAATCAATGCTGCATATGGTTCAAAATCAACTTCAATCTTCGGACTGCAGGTCCCTCTGCACTCTTATTACTACTTGGGATGTCCTTCTGCGCGTCCAGTTCTTTCGCGGCGGCCTCTAAGGTCGGCTGTAGGTATCCCCAGACCTCATCGTGGTATTTCCCCTCGACGGAGATCCAATCCGCCGCGCCTGGTAGCCTTGCGAGAACGGTATCACGGAGGGCTGTTGCGTCGCTTGTTGCTGCTCCCGCAGATAGAGGAGCCGTATCGAGAAGTGACCCGATATCTGGAACGAGGCTGAAAGAGGTGAGTTGCTGGTTGGGAGACTGTGGAGTTTGCGCGGGGTCAGCGGGTAATTGGCGTCGGAAGGACTCGATGATTTGGATCTCGGCTGGGGTGGGCTGGGGAAGAGTGAGTTGCGTTTCGATGGGCTCGAAAGGTTCGTTGGCCGAGGGAGGGAATTCGGGGTCGAAAGTGTGGTCGGATAAAAGGGATACAACGGCGTCCCCGTCCGAGGGGAGGAGGATTGTCGCTGCTGGTGCGGGTTGAGTGGTGTTGAGGGTGGCGAGTGACTTTTCGTCTTCGTAGTCATTTTCATAGTCTGTGGTTATCTCTCTTCCGCTTCCTTTCTCTTTCCCTTTCCCTTTCTCCTTCCCTTGGTCAGTATCTGTGATTTGTTCGGATATGTCGCCTCCGTAGGTTCTCTGGAATTCATCTTCCGTGAGTGCGGGGAGCGCGAACCCCCCTTGGTTTGCGGTAGATGTAGACGAGGACCGGAATGATTCTGCCGGGGCGTAACCTGTTTGGTCTCGCGATGAGGCCCCGGGGGAAGAAGGCCCAGTTGACTCTCTATATTGCTCTGCTGCGGCTAAGGCCGACGATGACGAGGAGGAGGCAGCTTTACTGCCGTCTGAGAGCAGACGAGCAGCATCTTTGGAGGGAACGGACGGGAGGAAAGCATTCCTCGCGAGGCCTGAAGCTGAGCTCTGGATCCGTGCAGCTAGGGAAGGATGATTTTGTGCGTTATTGCTGGAATAAACTGGTGATTTCCCATTCTTGTCTGGTCTGGAATGCGGGTTTGGGGAATCATTATTGTCGTCGGCGCTACCCCGCTTCTGGGGGTTAGACATTCTCGGGAGCAAGAAGGCGGGGAGGGAGCTGAGGAGCGCAATAGAGCTAGGGTTATTTAACGAAGATTGAAGAACAGAGTAGCTTGTTAAAATGTGGATCTTCTAGTACTAATTTTCTCGGTAGCTTTGGGTCCGTTGATTTTCGGTCCAAGGGAGTCGGAAGGCGTAGGAAAAGCATGTGAAGTGCCTGACAATATACCAAATGACGAACACTCATGGAGGATACCTAGGTCAGTATATGACTTATCTTCAACGAGGCATACTCATGAATTGTGAGAAGTGAATAAAGGAGCCACAGAAGATGGCCGCTGCCTCTGGCTCAACTCCTCGAACATGAAAGGAGCAGCGTACCAATACCCGCATCACCCGGAGCGCCAGTAGATAAAGCGGATGGAATTGGATGACAGCATCGAGGCCGAACGATAGGCCCTAGATGTTGAGATGAAGGAGATGAAGCGTTTATCCAGCTTGTTTACAAGCGCTCTAGCCACTTATTTGCATATGAAATGATCACGCGGAACCCTGGCCAGTGTTCAGTGATTTCATTTATCCACTACTCTATCAACTGAGACGGCGCGAGGAGAATGATCGGCTTAAAGGGTCCGTTGGTCGAGGAGGTATTGATGGCGTATCAGTATGCCGCTAGAAGACCTTGCTTGGTGCTGTGAAACCCGGTATCATCGGCAAGAATGGCAGACGATACCTGTAGTTGAAACTTGGCTGATCCTCCGAGGCATGAAAAACAGCCAAAACACAGAGAGCCCCCTGTTCGCCAAACTCACACGTTCTTCGGGGCCTAACGAGACGAGATTTGTATCGACCGGACGTCTGCTGCTCGCACAATGGGACATTCACGCACTGGTCGAGGCAGGGTCATACCGGTTCAGAAATCCGAAGATGGTTCTAGACCAGGTTTGTGTTTCTCAAAACAATAGTCCTGCTCGAAAGAACATCTGCGCATTATACGTGTATAGCCATGAGAGGCAGAGGGCAGAAACATCTTTTATAGCAAGCTGATGTATGGATGACGGTGGTTGTTAAAGACAGTCAGATAGTTGTTCTGCTTGAAATAAATCACGGCCAGTTTTTTGAACTACGCAATGGTAAAAACAATGCAATCTAGGTGTCGAGGTACGGCAAGGTAATACTGATGGTTTGATGATTTATAAACGATACAAAAGGTAAATATGTCAATAGTAGGCAGCTCAGCCTATAAACGAAAGACTTTTGATAAACAATGCTTGTTGTAACTATTCTCTGAAACTAATACATGTCGTGTAGGAAGGAAGTTTGGAGGGGTTGAGAAGGTGGAAGATATCCTGGGGTGTCACGTGCACCTTCCACTTGTCCATCGCCCCTTCCACAATACTTACGTGTTGCGGAGTGGCGGTATTAGCTTGCCGTAGTCAAGGTAATACTTACGTAGATTTGACTCACCTGTTATAAGAGTGCTTGGGATTTCAAGCTTCCTTTTCTTCTTCGTCCAACCACTTGTCTTCTATCTGATTTTGTCAGATTCTTCAGATTCCTACGTGATTCATTCTGTCCTTATCAAGGTTCGTGAATCACCTCTCTTATACCGTGCACCATGACATCACAACCTTCAAAGCAACCTCTTGTTCGAGGTGGAAATACTCGATTATTGAGCAAGCTTCCATCCATGTTTGTCTCCAATACGCTACCATGCATCCACGATAACACAATCATTCTTGCCGCCACACATCCAAATGTTACAACTGCAGATCCAAAACACGATGGGTGGTTTATATCCGATTTTTACGCTTTCAATATTCTCCTGAAGGGCCTTGGGGGAAGCCAAACCTGGCTCACAGCGGCCGATCCAGAGAAACTGGTGCAGAGGTATAATTCCTTCCTCCACGGCAACCCATTTCAAGACCGAAAGGTTTGCCTAGATCGCGAGATACTTCGGGAGAAAAGGATCACTGAAGTAACTGTGATTCGCTCGAGTAATATGATCGATCAGTTTCTTAAGAAGGCGAAAGAGGCATCAGAGCTAGCCAAGCGAAATCATGCCCCCCTACTTTTGCTTGTCTTTTGTCACGGTCTTCCTAATCACCACCTGTTACTGGATGCTGGCAATCAATCGAAGGGGCTTAGCATACTCCGTCTGAAGGGTGTGCTTGAGCCAGGCGTATGTGTTACTCTTGTCACAACCGCTTGCTATTCTGGAGGATGGGCAACGTCTCCTGACCTTAACCACACTACGATCGCAGCCGCTGGTGATGGAAATCTACTTCAAGCCACCTCTCACTCCTGGAATGAGTCTCTAAGTATCGGGAGATTCTGCGGGTCTGTGTTCGCCAGTACCTTGTTTAAGACTTTGTCTAGTGCGGCAAGCCCCCTCCTAGAAGCCGACCTTGCTTCCGACTTGTCACAGGCGCAACAATCCCTACAGCCAGAGAACCCTAATAGTGTCCAAACCTTGACCTATAATGCCTTCTGTGAGTCTGTGTGGCGCACATGCGCGAACAGTGTCACGCGACTTTGGAGTTCCCAAAGCTTCAATTTCAGTGCCCAGGACGATGCCTGGGATTATTCCTGGACAGGGAGAACTGGCTTTCCGTTAGCTGATTTCAGGGAGCGATGGAATGCACTGACATCTATCCCATATAGTGGTTCAGAGGAGCTACGTGCTCTACAAGATCAAGACCCAAGCAACCCATCATTCTCTGCTTCTGGTCCCGTTAGAGACGGCTTAGGAGAAAGTGTGGTGGATGAAATGACAGGCCACATTGCGCAAAAAAGACTGAAAGATATGGCCAGATTATTTCGCCAAACCTGCCCGGGTGATCACAACCTGGGAATGGAGACTGGCTTCTGGGGAAGGCTCCGTGGGTTCTACGAATATGGGGAATTCGAAGAAGACGCTGCCATGATTGAAGGAGCGATTCGTTTTCGATGGGAATCAGCGTTGCTTGCGGACTTTATTGTTGAGGCACTCAATCTGCCGGTGCCCAATGGCGAAATTTGTATCATGTGGGATTGGATGGCATGGATAGATGTCAAGTTGAAGACTATGTCAAGAGATGACCTCTTCTCCTGGAGATCGTCAGTCTATCAGAAGCTTAACCCACACTTCGAAGCCCCCAGCTATAACGAACAAGGGCCCCCCTTCGGTCGACCTGTTGAATACGTGGTCTCGGCGTTGATGGATGCTAGTATGCCCGAAGATGAGCTTACGGCTAGTATTCTCGCGATTATTGAGTTTATGAATTTAAGTCGGGCTTGCAATCAACAACGCCTGTGTAGGGATCGGGGGGTTCGTCAGAGGGGCCGTGAATGGTTGAGAACGGTTGGAAAGCGAGCCCGGCAGTCGCTTTCCCCGCGGAAAAGGCAGAGCGTAAGTGATTCAACTTCTTCTAAGAATATCACTATGGTTTAGCTCTGGCTTAGTTTGCTCTGTATACTTTCTTTCTTTGTTTAGTTATTTGTTCAATGCCCTACCTTACTCCTAATAGAAACCATACCATTCTGTCTTTGATACCAACATTCTTCTACTAGGTATAGAGCATAATTGATGGCGAGAAAGAAACAATGAAGGTCATATGAATATAAAATGTACGAGGACTATGGGCTCTGGTGGAGGAAAAGAGAGAAGAGAGAAACTAAGGATCTAACTACTGGAAGTCCTGGCACCAGTTGAAGTGAGTTGTTAATTGGATTACTATATTTTGGCGAAATAGAGGCTATCTGTATAGCCAACCCCCTATATTTATACTGTAAAGGTTTCTACTTGTTGGGGTAGATATCCTGTTGATGAGGTAAGGAATAAAGAATACATATTGTATAGGGTAGAATATAATGGTGCACTGGTACCTGGCAAATGATGACTATGGTATATCAGGCGGGATTCGGGCAGATCAGCCCTGATGGTCTGATCATAGTGACCTTTTAGTCCAATGTATAGACCTTACTTGCCTGAATCAGCATGCTCTTACAACCTGTTCCTTGCGCGATCCCGGAGACTTAGTGAGGGTTCGGGTAGCAGTCCACCCTTCTTCCACTTTAAACTTGCAAGCAACACCAAGATGACTTTGCATGACCTAAACTGTGGAATCACGCAACTTCGAGAGGCAGCTCTGTCCGGCCATATTGAGAGGGTACGTGCTATTCTTTCAGAATGGCGAGAAACCCCTGGTGACGACAAGATGTTCGCTGAGAATACAGTCCCAAGTCTCTCCGAGGTGATAGAACGCGACTTGTCCGAAGTAGTTGAGTCTCTTCTTATCTATCAAGTTCCGATGAATTCCGAGCTTTTCTTGAAAGCGACGCGAAATACGTTGTACTGGATTCTGCAGGCATTCCTTAACCACGGGTGGGATATTAACACGACATACCCCGCCAGCCCTACCTCATTTTTTCGTACTATACTCACATTCCACACTCCAGTTTGTCATTCCATGATAGAAATTTAACCAGATGGTTTCTGGATCATGGAGCGAATCCCAATCAGCGATGTGATACATACAGAGATTGTACACCGCTGCCAATCGCATTCCGGGAAGCTGAATTTCTACGCCCACTATCCACCGGCCATGACCCAGAAACCACCTCCCAGTTCGCAGCTGAAGATGGGCGCCATTTCAACAGTGTTTCAATGGAGCAGTTCATAAAGGAAAGCGGCTATCAATTAGTCTAGTTGATTTTGCAATGGCTTTCGGTTTCTTCCAATTAAGAATTATAATTCGTTGAAAGGTATCGTGACCCTTGAAATATCCACCAAAAGTTCCCCTGAGTTGTCGAATAACTGGCTTCTACAGTTGATCATGGAATGATTGCATGCTAACCTCAAAGGATCAAGTCATTTATGTACTGGTGTCTTGACTGGTAACTGTATATAAAGGATGCTTTACATCCCGCATTGCATCCACACTCCTGGTGGTCGGTATCACCTCCTACCGCTGGAACAGCCGCTCAAAATACAAAGGGACGAAGCCACTTGATCGTCTTTGCTGGAGTTGATCAAGGAGCCGCGGTGACTAAACCCAATCACCTGCATGGAGGCAGGATACTGGATCAAGATTGAAGAGCTTTGCATATGTCCAGGGAAGAGAATTTCAAGGTTCCTCCACGATCTTGAATGGAGTACGTTCCCTTTCACTGGCAGGTTCAGGGTTACACAATGTTGGATCTCATCACATGACTTTATCTAATTTCTTTGTGTGCACCATTGGATCACTATGGAACCTGGGTGCTATTAAAAGAAGCATGTACATAGTATGTTATTTACTGACCCTGGATATGCTGCTGGGAGCTATCCCAATCAGCTATCTCATTCGCAGGTAATGTGCTCTACTTTCCCATAGAACTACTTTTCCTGTTATGTCTTGATGAACTGGCACCTATCCCAGGAGAATTAACAGGCTGTGGGCCAGCTCTCTGGCACTTACAATACCTTAAACTAGTGGGGCAGGCTGGTGCCCGGGGCGTAGTGACTGGCTCCCTGTGCACCGTTTCAATGCAGGTCCGTGGTGCTAATTCCAGAGGCACATGGCTCTTTCTCACCCTAATCCAATCTCCTGTCGTGACTATCTTAGATGCCATCGAAACCATCTTCTATATGAGACCTATTCAAGCTGCTCGTTTTGCAGCAGAGCTCAAGGACGCAGGAAGAGCTGAATACCGTCCAATTTGTGACTGGTGCAGCTGGGTGAGTTCTATGTTGAGTTCTTGGATTTAGAGCTCTCCACATTGACACCTTGACTTGGGGTTTCTACTTCGATGACTGTAGGAATAAGTAGTTCATCACCATTCTCGGCGTCTATGTGTTGCAGCTGGAGAACGTTCAGTTCAATCTTATACATCTGCAAGACAAACCATAAGGAGATCAAGAGTACAGATATATGGAGTATATAACTGATATAGGAAACTTTTCTGGGAAAGCTCATACTATACCCATTATAGTAAGTGGTTATTTCCACCAACCAAGAATTTAAACTCCAGCACAACAAATTTGCAGAGTGGTTGATGTCAGCGCGTCCACTTCAGTAGGGCGGTCAAGTTGGGTAGTTTGGCAGTTGCGGCAGTGAAAGGTAGCAAGTGGGTTTTTATGGGCAGCCACTCCCCACCACCACCACCACCACCTCCCAAAAGGCCAAACGACACCAACAGGTCTTTCCAAACCGCCTCACCCCAATCCAACAATCCCGTCATCTTCCTCCACCTCCCCTCCCCTCCCCTCCCCCTCCCCCAACCCTAGTCAACTCCCACATTCGTTCTGCTCCTCAACAGACACATCGTCTGTTGTTGTAGCCCGTGGTCGTTGTTGTCGTGTCTTGTTCTTCTCATTTTTGGGTCCTAATTATTATCCGTGATAATTAATCCGCCGAACCAAGGGGGACCGTCAGAAGAAGGAAAAAAAAAAATCCCCTCCCATCAACTCCTTCCCTCACTTCCGCTCTTGTCAGCTCAGGCTGTCAATCATTTGTCTTCTTCAGCCTGCAAGTGACTGAACTGCCTCATTTGGTGTTGGTTCACGTTGCGACCTTACCTCATCTCCTCTCCCTTCTCCGTGTCCCTCCTTATCTCCACTCGAGATCCTTTTTATATCGGACCGGTTCGCTTTCTTAACCATCGTCATCTCTTCTCAGCGGTGTCGTTATCATAGTCTGCAATTACGTTCGAATCCCACTACTCTCAACTTCTACCTCGTTGCCCACGATCCCAGTCTCCACAGACCCCGCTATTCGGATCGCCCTCGAGACTCAGGACCTTTGGGCGTTGAAGCTTATTTATCGTGATTGTCGGCAAACTACCCAAGGAAGGGTGGTTCTTGAAGAAAAATGGTAGACAGGGATCCAGGTTCTCCTACCTGGAAGTTCACACAGTGAGTCTTTCTTTTAGTCTTCTTGCGGCCATTCCGAGACCATCCTGCGATATGTCAGCTGTGCTCTCTCTATATGCATGCTTTGATGCTCGAGGTGGAGCTACTCTTGCTTGGGAGTATCTATGGCCAGGACCTGCATCGCCCAGTTCTTTGCTTTAAGTTCTCTGGCGGCATATATTCCCCTCAGCCACGCACTAACCGGATGCACAGATGCTTTGGCGATAAAGGCGATGTGGAAGATATTACCGAGGGTATGTGCAATTTTCGGGAAAACCTACAATCCAATCGAGGACAAAATCTGCTCGCCCACAAACCCCCACGGACTGTACCCTCGGTGCTGACAATTCTTGTGTTTCTTCTAGCCGATATTATTTCAACTGTGGAATTCGACCACACCGGAAACTATCTAGCTACAGGTGACAAAGGTGGAAGAGTTGTGTTATTTGAGAGAAATGAGACGGTAATAATAATGCCTTGTTGTATTACCCTTTTCGGCTCCACCAGGCTAAAGTTCCCCAGAAAAAAACCTGCGAATATAAATTCCACACCGAATTTCAATCACACGAGCCTGAATTCGACTACCTAAAATCCCTAGAAATCGAAGAAAAGATCAATAAAATCAAGTGGTGCCGACGACAAAATGCCTCGCATTTCCTCCTCTCAACCAACGACAAAACAATTAAACTTTGGAAGGTTTTTGACAAATCCCTCAAGGTTGTCGCAGAGAACAACCTCTCCAGCGAGCTTACCCCTGCTGGGGTTGGCGGCGGAGGGGCACCACGGGCGCCTCGGTTGCCCTTCAAAGACCCAGCCATGTTGAAACTTCCAAGAATGACACACCATGATACCGTTGTTGCAGCTGTGCCTCGAAGGACATATGCCAACGCCCATGCATACCACATCAATAGTATTTCCGTCAATAGTGACGGGGAGACCTTCATCAGCAGTGACGATTTGCGGGTCAACCTGTGGAACCTGAATATCCAAGATCAGAGTTTTAACATTGTTGATATCAAGCCTGCAAACATGGAGGAGCTTACAGAGGTTATCACCGCTGCCGAATTCCATCCTACCAGCTGTAACTGGTTTATGTACGCCAGCTCCAAAGGCACCATCAAACTGGCCGATATGCGACAACGGGCGCTCTGCGACCAGCATCAAAAACGTATGCACCCCTTCTCTGATCCCTCCCCCACTTGCTAGCCCAATGACTGACCTCTTTTGATCTACCCTGCAGTTTTCGAACAGGAGGAAGACGCTTCGTCGCGTTCGTTCTTCTCCGAGATTATCTCATCTATCTCTGACGTCAGGTTTTCCCATGACGGTCGGTACATTGTGTCGAGGGACTATTTGACTGTGAAGATTTGGGATGTCAACATGGAGAGACAACCAGTAAAGACAATCCCCATCCACGAGCACCTACGACCGCGATTGTGCGATACGTATGAGAACGACAGCATCTTCGATAAATTTGAGGTGGTGTTCTCCGGAGACGCCGAAAATGTTATGACTGGAAGCTACAACAATAATTTTATGATCTACCCCACCGACCCCTCCAAGGAGACAGAGATTGTGTTGCAAGCCGACAAGTCCGCCTTCAAGGCTAAGAAGGTTGGCGTCCCAACGCCGATGAACAAGGGTGCCAATGGAAAGAAGAGCAACTCCAGAGCTGGCAGCCCTGCAGGCCCTGGCAGCCGCATGAAGAAGGAGACCGATGCGGATCAGATCGATTTCAACAAGAAGATCCTGCACATGAGCTGGCATCCTTTCGAGGATAGCATTGCCATCGCCGCCACAAATAATGTGAGCAGCCCTTCTCTCTCTCTTTTCAAGTTCATATCTCCTGGTGACTAGTAACTAACAAGACTTTTTGTAGCTATTCGTCTTCTCGGCACTGTAAGTGGGACAGTTCCTGACTACAGTCAACGGGCGCGTCAACGTGTCAGCAAAATAAAAAGGATGACACTAGGAAGGGGACTCCTCAACTACAACATTCGCAATGGTATTCGCAAATCTAAGCCGCCAGTTCAAAAATCGCATCCTCTCTGCTCTTCTTTTCGTTTCACCCCCCCCCCCCTTCCCCTTTTGTCGGAGTCTGGTCGTATGATTCTACAGGTCTCTTTTGTTTTAGCCTGCTGGATATCTACGTATGATGAGACATTCTTCTCATCCGCTTATTTTCAGACAGACTTTGGTACCTTTTGATGATTTCTTGGGAGGGGGCAAGAGGTGTAAGAGGAGAGGGTTAGCGCGAGCGGGAGTTGTAATGGAGCGAGAAAGACGCAGACTGTGACCCCCGGAATGTTTTCATCCTCTTCCCTTACGTTGCACCTGTACTCGCTGCCTGTACCTTGACCACTGCGATACATTTATCCATAAAGAAGGGTCCATTTCACCCCACCGCAGTGGTTTTGGTGCGCTTTGGTTGCAATTAGAGCAAGATTTCTTTTTCTAATGGCTCGGACTGAATTGGTATTGGTGTCCTCTTAGCGTTACTCGAGTAGATAATGAATATATGTGAGTTTATTTTGATTATGTATCTCGGGTTACAATTTCTCTCGAAAATGGTGGTTTTCCGCACTTTTGAATGCCTCCAATCAAACTTTTGAAATGCCGCAGGTCAATGACGTCGGGCACGTCAATCTCGAACAAACAACCAATCAGAGTTGCTATCAGGGCTACCGCCCTGTCATTTCGTGCCAACCCAGAGATTCGGAAAATCTATGTCCCCGATGGCAAGGGGCTAAGCCTAAAGCGAGTCTAGCGTCCCGAAAGTCTCTCCGCCTTCTCTCTTGGAGACCATCCGTGATCGGTCGCGCGCAAACCATCATCGTCAACTAAGTCTGCTGTTTGCTGGCTTGTTCAGTCGGTTCCCCTTGCTCCCCTGCTTTCAGCTTCTCGAGACCCTTTCGTCTGAATCCTGTGATCTTCCATCTCTCACTGTTTGGGATTTTCTGCCACCAGCAGACTGCGAACTCCAGTGATGTGTCTGTGAAATGAGTTAGAAGAGAAACTGATCCGTGCGAAAAGGATAAAGAACCCCAGAGCTTGATTTGGGGTTATCGGCAGCTTCCACTTCTTTTCTACAGCGATATTTTACGATCCAGGCATCTTGGGCCTAGCGTCTGCGCTAGAGGTGCTTCAGGGGTGCTTTTGATGCCCTGAGATCATGAACTCCTCTGGGAATGATAACTGGCATCCTGGTGGACCGCCTTCACACCCTGGCATGGATCAAATGAACCAACAACCTCGTCCGCTGGGCTCTTTCGGGTATGTCACATAATCTACCTAAGTCTTGATGTTTGGTTTTATGGTGACAGGATACAAAAACTAACCCTGTGGTTTCGTTACTCTCTAGTCAAAACCCACCCCCTCAACAGGGACCGTCTTCCCAACCTGCAGGGCCTGTCCTCCCCCCTCCATCCGGTTAGAATTTTTTTTTTCATTTCACGCTTGAAATCATAAAAATCTGGTCTTGAATTGGCGACTAACATGTATTTCCCCCCCCCCCTTAGCGCCCTACCATCCTCAAAGCCAACCGGGCGGGCACTCACTGCCGGGGTTGGCCGAGCTGAGCCAGAGCCACGGCGGTCCACATCAACCGCCTGCGTATGGCCAACACCCACCTGCACCCTCACATGGCGCCGGACACTCGCTCCCAGGTATTGGACAGGCCATGCAACACCCTTCCCCCCAGTCCATCAACCAAGAACGAGAACGGGACTCTCGGGAGCGGGAATTGATCGAAAGGCAGCGCCAGGAAGAAATGGTCCACAGAGAACGCGAGCAGATTGAACGCCAACAGCTAGAGCGACAACGGGATCAGCAGCATCACCCTGTTCAGAGCCATACCGGGTCAATCCCTCTGCACCAGCCTGTGGCGTCCAAAGTCCCAAATTCGATCCACGGCCCCAATGGTCTTTTGTCTAATTTAGGTTCAAACCCCCCCAATGGCCCTCAGGGCTCTATTCAAGCCTCCGGAGGGCCCGGTGGAATTTACGGGTCGCAGATGCAGCACGGGGAAGGCACTAGGTCGTATATGCAGCACCCTACGGGCCCCCCGGGACAGCCGTTAATGGCGTTTAACGGGTCTGGGCCTCCAATTCCAGGAAATGTCGCTGCTCTTGCACAGGGCCAGCAACCTATCCTGAACGTGAGTATACTCCATTATCCCTCATTCATTTCATATCGCTCATGACTTTCGACTAGGATGCGCTCTCCTACCTCGACCAAGTCAAGGTCCGCTTCGTCGATCAACCTGATGTGTACAACCGTTTCCTTGATATAATGAAAGATTTCAAGAGCCAAGCGTGGGTACTTTATCTGCTACTTTCCTGACTTCTGCTAATTAAATTTAGCATCGACACTCCCGGGGTAATCCAACGCGTTTCAACTCTTTTCAACGGGCACCCTGCTCTCATTCAGGGCTTCAACACTTTCCTTCCTCCCGGTTATCGGATTGAGTGCGGAACCGAGGATAATCCAGACGCAATTCGAGTGACCACTCCTTCTGGTACAAACACCCTCAGTATGCCCCGTGCGAGACACACCCTGGATGGCCCAGGTGACCTGCCCCCCTCTGGCGGTTTGGGTCCTCATGGTAGACCCGATTACTATGAGCAGTCTCGGCCAGGTTGGCAGCAGCAGCAGCCCCAGCCTCAGCAAGCGCAAGGTGGTCTCGCAGGATCTTACTCCCCTGGGTCCCGTATGATGGGTCCTGGATTGTATGGGCAGCAAGGCGGGCAAGGACAATCACAAGACCTCCACTATGAATTCCCGGGCCAGCAAGACCAACAGGCTTCAGCGAGTGCAGCTGCGATGGCCCATCAGCAAGACCAACGCGGAGTGTCACAACTCCAGGGTGCTGCCTCCGCTGCATCAGCTAGCTTAGGGCGGCCGTCTTTAATGCAAGTCTCGCCTGCGTCCGGCCAGGGACCTAACCTGACTCAACCCATGAGCAGCTTAGCTGGCATAGGTTCTGGTATGCTTCAGGGTACCCAGGCAGATCTGAACAAGCGTGGACCTGTGGAATTCAACCACGCAATTAGCTATGTGAATAAAATCAAGGTACGCCTTTCCTACGTAGTTGAGCAGCAGCGACTAACGCCCCTTTTCATCAGAATCGCTTTGCAAGTGCACCTGAGATTTACAAACAGTTCCTCGAGATACTGCAAACCTACCAGCGTGAATCTAAACCAATCCAGGATGTATACGCCCAGGTTACCCAACTATTCAACACTGCACCGGATCTGTTAGAGGATTTCAAGCAATTCCTTCCTGAGTCAGCAGCTCATGCGAAGCAGCAGGCTGCTGCCCGTCAGGCAGAAGAAGCTGCTCCCATGAGTAACGTTCGTGGAGAGCCAAACTTCCCCCCCGGATCGCTACCCGCACAGACTCCGAACCGCGACGTCAAGATGCCACCTCTAGGGCAGTTCAATGTTAAAGATTCAGGAAAAGATGGGAAGAAGCGTAGGGGTGGCCCTGGGGCTCCATCGGCTTTAGGACCAGCATCCGCTGGCCCTGCTGGTAGTATTGATGCTATGCGAATGGCCGATGCTCGAGCAGGACCGGCTCAGGCCATCCAAGCGGGAAGTGCGAATAAGGTAAGTCCAATCACTGCGTTCCGTTAAGATCCTCATGAGATACATTCTTGCTTTCCCTGGAATCAATTTCGTTCCCTAGCCACAGTGGCTGCCAAATTGCTTGTCACTGGCAATATTGGCGCACTCGGTTTTAGGATGCTCACCTTTGAGAATATTTTGGGGCTGGTGATGATTGCAGCACCAACACAATACATCGCGCCCTTCATCCAATTTCCTATTTCGTTTATTTCATTCGAATCAAGCTGTATCCTTGCTTTTTAGATTTCGCGATGATGTTACTAACTAAACTCAAGAGGGCCAAGGTCCACCATACAAAGCCATCACAGGCAGATGTCCCAATCGTCTCGCCTACTCTAGTCCCTGCTTTGCCGGAACCCATTCAGCCAACTTTCTCCTTGACTCCGACCCAAGAAGAGTTTGCCTTTTTCGACCGCGTTAAAAAATATATCGGAAATAAACAGACATTTAGCGAATTCCTCAAGCTCTGCAATCTTTATTCGACCGATCTGATTGATAGACACGTTCTGGTTAAGCGAGCTGCCGGGTATATTGGCTCCAATCCGGAGCTCATGGCTTGGTTCAAGCGTTTCATGCATGTTGAGGAGCCTGAGGATAAGATCATCGAGGTCAAACCAAAGCACGAGCCTGGAATCGTCAATCTCTCGCATTGCCGCTCTCTCGGGCCTAGCTACCGTCTACTTCCCAAGCGTGAGCGACAGAAGCCATGCAGTGGCCGTGACCAACTGTGTTACAGCGTCCTCAACGATGAGTGGGCTTCTCATCCTACATGGGCGTCCGAGGATTCTGGTTTCGTCGCCCACAGAAAGAACCAATATGAAGATGCCTTGCACCGTATTGAAGAGGATAGACATGATTACGATCACCACATTGAAGCTTGCACCCGCACGATTCAGCTTATTGAGCCTATCGTTCAGCAGTTCCTTGTTATGTCTGAAGCCGAGAGAGCTGCATTTAAGCTTCCTCCCGGCCTTGGCGGCCAGAGCGAAGCAATCTATCAACGTGTTATCAAGAAGATATACGATAGACAGCGTGGAGAGAAAATCATCAAAGAGATGTTTGAGCGGCCATGCCATGTCCTTCCCATCGTGCTATTCCGCCTGAAGCAAAAATGTGAGGAATGGAAAGCCAGCCAGCGTGAATGGGACAAGATCTGGCGCGAGCAAATGCAAAAGGCCTACTGGCGCAGCCTGGACCACCAAGCAATTGCAAGCAAAGGCAGCGATAAGAAGCTCTTCGTCGCGAAGCATATTCAGAATGAGATCCAGAGCAAATTTGAAGAGAGTAGGAATCTACGCAAGAGCGGATTCCAGGTCCTTAAGCACCAGTTTGAGTTTACGTTCACAGACCCGGCTGTCCTCATTGACGCAACTCACTTGCTTTTGACCTTCATTGACCGCAACTCTGCGGGCTTCGGCGCGGACCCACAGAAGGTTATGATGTTCATTAAAGACTTCATCCCAATGTTCTTCAGTATGGATCGGGACACTTTCCACGTGTATATGAATGAGCTCTCTAGTGGCGCTTCCCCCATCGACGACGGTGATGATGAGAGTCTAGTTGCAGAAGACACCGCAACCCCGCGAAGCAGCAGGAAGGTTATCACCGGCAAGAAAATGGATCTTCTGCGGGATGTCCTTGAGCGTCGCAGCGAGAAAGCTAACCGAACAGACAAAGAAGGTAGCACTCCTGCCAGTCGGGGTGGTACTCCGGATGCCGTTCTCATTCCCTCCACCCCAATCCCTGACCCTACCGAGACCTTTGACGTTGCAGAGTTGAAGTGGATGGAACATCCTGGACAAGGCAACTTCAACCAACAGCGCGAGTACAACCTCAACGAATCTTACGAGAAGAAGGCACACCATCTCTATGCCAATTTGAATATCTACTGCTTTTTCCGCACGTTTGAGATTCTTTACTCGCGTCTCCTTCGCATTAAATTGCACGAGAAGGATGCACACGCAGATGTACGTCGTGCGCTTATGGTCAAACCTGCGCAGGAACTCCATCTCCTCGATAAAGTTCCCACCGACTTTTTCTACGACTGCGACCCTAAGGCCAATCTCTACCAGCAGGTCGTACGGATGTGCGAAGAGATCATCAAGGGAGATATGGAGACATCCCATTTGGAGGAAACTCTTCGACGTTACTATCTGCGATCGGGATACCAGCTGTATAACTTGGAGAAGATGTTTACCGGCATCGCCAAGTTCGCGGGTGCGATCTTCAACGGGGACTCAAAGGACCGCAGCTCCGATATTATAAACCTTTTCTTTAAGGAGCGCGATAAGGAGGAAACTACGCACAACCAGGAGATCCAGTACCGCAAACAGGTTGAAAGGCTTGTCAAGGACAGTGATATTTATCGCATTACCTACGTAAGTTTCATCTCCTTTTTGATTCTCCAGTGAACCTTTTTTTTTTTTTTTTTTTCCCTAACCCCTCCATATCAGTACCCAAGCACCAAGAAAACTTCTGTCCAACTCCTCACGGCTGAAGATGCCACATTGGAAAACGAAGAATTGAGCCAGGAGGCGCGTTGGTCGTACTATGTCTCTGCGTACACAATGCGTGATCCTACGGAAGGCGTGCCGTTCTCGCAGATGCGGATCCCCTTCCTGAAGCGAAACCTTCCCAGCAAGCTCGAACAGGAAGAGGAGTACAACCGGTTCTATCGCCCGCTTGTCCACCAGGACGGACTCATCATCCGTATCTGTGCCAACAGCTACCATATCCTGTACGAACCTAGCAGCTACGACTGGTGGTGGCGTCCAACCCTACCTTCAGATGAGACCAGCGAGGAGACCACTAAAGAGGAAGCTGCTATGAAGGAACGCCGGCGCGATCGGTTTACGGAGAAGTTTGTCAACAACCCTAGCTGGGCGCACGGTCTTAGCAAAGACCAAGTTGACGAGTCGAACCAGCGCTTCCGATCGTGGATCAAGGGATCTGAAGGTGAACATGAACCAAGTGCCGCCAGCGGTTCGGGATCTGATAAACAGAGCCCGACGGAGGACACGGAGATGCCTGACGCGGAGAAGACAACCTGACACCCAGGATTCCTCAAAAACAGACGCGGTTCAACATCTCCCGAACCTATGTAATGTCGACCGTTCGCCTTTATCGCGGGTGAATGTGGACTTGGAGCTTTTGGGGCGAGTTGGAAGAGTTCCTCGGTTATGGTTATCATTGGTGAAAAAAAAAAAAATCTACATTTTCTTCCTGTCCATCGATTCTGTGTTGAAACTTCATTTCCCTGTGTTTTTTTTTTTTTTTTTTGTTTTTTTTTTTTTTTCCGGCAGCAGTGTACCTAGCTCAGTCACGGTTGTACAACGAAATGGGGTTACTGCTTATTTGGGGGATACTCGCTGGCGTCGTTTGTGGAGAACATCGCAATCTATGTATGTATGTATGGATGGCTCCGAATCGGCAGTTCTCCCGCTTTATTTCAGGTGCCTCCAGGTGAGATCTTCTTTGGGTTGGTGTCGAGGGGATTTTCAGGTTCGACGACATATTGTACTTTAGGCCGGTTAGGTTCAACTCTACAAAATTTTTTTTAACCAAGAGTCTATACTCCGTTATCCTGACCTTTAATTACGGAGGGGCTCAAAAGACAGGGAAAGAAAAGCCCGGGGAATCCTGGGGGTCCTGGAAGAAAAGCTCCGTGTAGCCGAAGCGGCATAACCGACGGGCCACGGGACGAGCAATAAGGCGGGAGTTTGAACTGGGATGTTGAGATAGATCATAGAATATGGAGTACGGAGTACTAGTGGTAGTGATTATTCTTTACTATGTCCTCCATACCTCTCCATATTGACATTGATTGATTTGATTGATTTGAAAGAAAAAAAGATGGACCGAGAAAATCCCGAGATGACGTCAGTCGCTGGTTTCCTGAAGATTTCCAGAATTCTTTCCAAAAGGATGGAGATTGGAATTTGGAATTTGATAATTGAGAGTACCGCAAAGTAGCGGTTCCCTATTTTTCAACTTCCATATCCGCGCGCTTCCTTTTTCCTGCCTCTCTCCTTTTTCTCCCTCTCTCTCTCTCTCTCTCTCTCTCGCTTCCACTCATTTTTAATCCAACCCTCTCCTCTCCTTCTTTTCCCCCTTCCCTCCCTCTCTACCTCTCCACTCCTCCATCTTTTGGTTTTCCCCCTTTGGTTTTCCCCCGCACAATGTCCGCCTCCGCCCTGCTGAAAGCCCGTGTTCGGCGACCCTCATACCTCAAAAAGTTGGCCAAAGCTGAGGACCTCATCGACCTCTTCCCCAATGGCACCTATATCGGCTGGTCCGGGTTCACGGGGGTTGGGTATCCTAAGTATGTCCTCACTGGTCCTGCTTGTGCCGCTGAAATCGTAGCTGACATGGGCTGCTGTCTCTCTCTCTCTCTCTCTCTCTCTCTCTCTCTAGGATGGTCCCCACTGCTCTGGCTGATCACGTCGAGAAAAACAACCTCCAGGGCAAACTGAAGTACTCACTCTTCGTGGGTGCTTCCTCCGGGGCCGAAACTGAGAACCGTTGGGCCCGATTGAACATGATTGAACGTCGAAGCCCTCATCAGGTCGGGAAGGAGATCGCCAAGGGTATCAATAACGGGCAGATCAAGTTCTTTGATAAGCATCTGAGCATGTTTCCGGCCGATCTTACCTACGTAGGTTTTTTTTTCTTCTTCTTTTTTTTCTCCTATGTCGTCGTCGCGTGTTTTTGTTTGGGTGGGATTTGTATGAGGCTAATTGGGGCTTTTGTATAGGGCTGGTATACGATGAACAAGCCCAACAACAAACTGGATGTTGCGGTTATCGAGGCCTCCGCCATCACTGAAGACGGAGGAATCATTCCTGGAGCTTCGGTTGGCGCATCCCCCGAATTAATACAGATGGCAGATAAAGTCATCATTGAAGTCAACACAGCCAGTCCGTCCTTTGAAGGGTTACACGATATCACCATGTCTGACCTTCCTCCCCACCGGAAGCCTTATCTGATCATGCGGCCTGAAGATCGCATTGGAACTCCACACATCCCGATCGACCCGGAGAAGGTGGTCGCCATTGTCGAATCCGACTACCCCGATCAGACACTGCCCAATGCCCCTGAGGATGCCAACTCGCAAGCCATTGCGTCGAATCTGATCGAATTCCTGAAGCATGAAGTGAACATGGGCCGTCTCCCACCAAACCTTCTGCCAATCCAGTCTGGCATTGGCAACATTGCCAACGCGGTCATTGGCGGTCTCAGCAAGGGCGGCGCCGACTTCACCAACCTGAAGGTGTGGACCGAAGTGCTCCAGGATTCTTTCCTGGATCTCTTCGACAGTGGCAACTTGGACTTTGCTACCGCTACCTCGATCCGTTTCTCCCCCGACGGCTTCAAGCGCTTCTATGACAACTGGGAGCGCTACGCTGGAAAGCTGCTGCTCCGGTCCCAGCAGGTATCCAACTCTCCGGAGATCATTCGCCGACTGGGCTGCATTGGCATGAACACCCCTGTGGAGGTGGATATCTATGCCCACGCTAACAGCACCTGCGTCATGGGATCCCGGATGCTCAACGGATTGGGCGGATCCGCCGACTTCCTCCGCAACTCCAAGTACAGTATCATGCACACTCCTAGTGCCCGTCCCACCAAGACAGATCCCACTGGTATCACCTGCATTGTTCCTTTCTGCACCCACATTGACCAAACTGAGCACGATTTGGATGTGGTCGTGACTGAACAGGTATGCCCGATTCTGATTCTGTATTATTTATATCTATATATATATATTCTAATTCTCCCTAGGGTCTTGCCGATGTCCGTGGTTTGTCTCCTCGCGAACGTGCTCGCGTCATCATTGACAAGTGCTCTCACCCCGACTACAAGCCAATCCTCCAGGACTACTTTGACCGTGCTGAGTACGAGTGTCTGAAGAAGGGCATGGGTCACGAGCCCCACCTGCTCTTCCAGGCTTTCAAGATGCACCAGAACCTGGCCGAAAACGGAACCATGAAGATCAACGGCTGGGATTAGACTCTTTTTGGCTGAAGGGGTTCACATCTGTATACCAATCATGAAACGAACAGTTGTGGGTATATATTACAATGCACTTTGGCGAGGCAGGGTGTTGAGGACTTTGTATTCTACCTATTTATTATTCTGATCCAACCCAATGTACACATTTAGAGATATCGGCCGGAATATATAACGGGGTTTGCTTTGAAGTAGTTTTTTTTTTAATGTTCAGATAGATATTCAGTCTGGAAAGCAACATTGTATATAATAATCAATAACAAGATAATTGTGGAAAAGAAAGCAAGATCATATCACATTAAACGCCAACCCCCCCACCCGTCTAGTTCATTGTTGCTGTGCCGGCCTTGTCGCTTGCTTACTCGGGAGGTCGATAGCTACCTCCAAAGATCCTTTTATCAATAACAGCCATTAGTATGATGATGGGGGTTTGCCTGCCAGTACGGAGTAGGGGCAAGATATATATAAAAAAAAAAAAAAAAAAAAAAAAACTCACCGACTAAACAAAGACCCAAGAACGCCTGGAGCCTCGTTGGGGTTCCGTTTCGCCCATCCAGACTCGACATTGTAATGCTTGACGTCTTGGAGACCGGCAAACAGGCCTCTTCCGGCGGTTGGATGCTACAAACACAGAGAGAGAGAGAGAGAGAGAGAGAGGAGAACTAGATTAGCGAGCTGATGCATAAGAAACGAAGCCGGAGGGGGGAGGACATACTCGGTGCGGTTTCGTGCCGGAGCGAACCCAGAGATCAGCTCCGAAGTCGTTTTGGGTTCGAGAGGAAGAAGAAGAAGAAGAAGGGGGAGGAGCGGATGGGTTGGACATGTCGTTTGCCTGCTTCTCGATTGATTGTGATTCAATTGATTGATTGACTGCTTGCTTGCTTGCTTGCTTGCTGATTGAAATTGGGTTGAGCTGAGTTAAGATAGATAGAGAGAGAGAGAGAGAGAGAGAAGGAGTCTCCCTCCACAGGGCAGCTTTATATTCACCCGCCATGAGGATGAAGCCAAAGGCGAAACCCGTATTGGACGATCAGGAAATGCGAATATCCGAATCACCTCACCCCATTCCGGCTGTGATCTTGTCTTGTGATATAAAAGTTCAGGAAAATGAATAATAATAGTAGTAGTATAGCATGAGCCTCCCTCTCTGTCTCTCTCTCTCTCTTGGTATGGAGCACTGGTTACCGCGTGGCTGGAATCGGAATCCCCTTTTTCCACTGCGGTCGTCCAATGATAACTCGGGCAATAACGAACATCGGTTCGACTGGAAAGCAGGTGGTGTGATGTGATGTGAGGTCTCCGTGACTCCGTATAAAGCCGCTTTTGGTGCGTGCGGGTGTGGGTGGCATGATTCAGTTTGACGGCGGGCAGAAATGGTGACGGGTGGTGAAATTAGGAATGGGAATAATTCCGAGTCTTTAGTTCAATAGGTAACTACATAATAAGTTGATGAATATACCTAACTATTCGGAGAATCTCCCTGTCTAATGGTAGGGACACGTTTCTGCGACGCAACAACCCTGGGTGTCTAGACAAGGCAGGCCCAGGGTTCTAATACATAAATGTTCTACAGACCCCCGTCCACCGCTTGCTAACTATCTCGTCCTCTTGTTGACGGACGCCAGCCAGGTTTACGTGCTGGAACAGGAACACCACCGGACAACCACCGTGGGAATGCAATTCATCGTTTCTCGTAGTTACAAACAACGACCGCCGAAACACAGGTCCCACAGGCATCCGGTTCGGGGCCACAGCCAGAGATCCCAAGGAGCGTCACTCGGTGCTGGCGAGCCCCATCTTCCTCCCGGATTTCATCAAAGGACAGTATCGAACGACGGCCGGCAATGCGTTCAAGCGCACTGGGATAGGAAAGTCGCACGAGCCGCCAATTCAACCCGAAGCAATCCAACTCCAACCCTAATCCGAATGCTCGCAAAGACCCTAAGGGTCGGACGCGCTCATCCTCATCCTCAGCAGCAACAGTCCCAGGCCCTTCTCACGAGCCCGAGGTCACAGCCACATTAGACGAAATCGTGGCCTGGACCACGATGTACCCAACCACCAACGAAATGACCCATTGTGCAACCGTCATGGATCCCACCAAGCGCACCGTTGCCTGCGATCAGACGGTATCCAGAGCCCTTGGACGGTGGGTGGGAATAGGACGATTTCAAATGACGTGATGTGACGTGTGTAAATAATTGCGTTCAGTTTTGTATATATTTCCACCAATTGCATAAACCATTTCCAAGTCATCCAGCGGTCGTATGCAGCATCATATCCTGTGAAATCTATCTACCTACTAGATAAATCCGTCCCTCGATGCATTGATGCGCGATATAGAAGACAGCTGCTGGTTCTTTTGCCGCCGTCCATCCGGCAACGTATTACTGTACGATATCAGCCCGTCACCCGACTCCTGGACCTGTTTATATTTCTTCTTCTCGTCGTCATCAGCCGGGAGAGGCTTCAAGCCAGCAATACCCTCGCTTCCTCCACTCGAGGGCATCCATTGAACCCGCGTTTTCGCAACGGAGCGAGGCAGAGGATCCGCCCCAGTTGTCGCGGCCACTGGCACGATATCGTCGAAGTCGGAGTTCCTGGTTGCGCGCAGGATAGTCGAAAAGGAGTCGGTAAATGCGAAGCCGTTGTCGACCATTGTTAGGAACCCGGCAATCACGCATAATAGCGAGACGACAACTGCCACGCCGTACGCGATCAGGAGGTTTCTCTGGGCGTATGAGTATTTGGTTTGGTTTTGGTAGACTGTGACATTGATTGTTTTGGCTTGACTTGTGTTTTGGCTAGATGCAGTCAGGATTTGTTGTAGGTGTAGGTAGAATAAGGAGAAGAAGAAGAAGAAGAAGAAGAAACAACGTACAGAAAGTAATCGTTGCTGAAGAAACTCAGGGTTATGTTTCTTCCTAGCTCCGAGGCCACCTCGACTAAACGGGGTAATGTTCTGTACGACACATTCCCCACTGATTCATCCCCGTACACGAGCTCCCAGATTTCTTTCGAGTTCACAAGGGAGGAAGTGTATATCTGGGTGTCTGTGCAACGGTCAGGAGATGCCCAGCACAATCCTTCTAGAGCAGTCTTGAATGTATCCATAATGGATGTATATGCGAACAACTGGTTTTCGTTGGCAGGAGCCGGGAGAGTGTGGGAATCGTGTTTAGGGACTCGATTGAGGACATGGAGATCGACAATTTCAATAGACTGCTCGCCATTGGTGTAGTCAAAGTTGGCCGTATAGGAGGCGTTGTACATGCCGCATTCGACCACCACTCTTGAGCCTGTGGTCATATACGGGTTTACTGCGATAACTAGCTTATCTGCGACATCGGCGGAGGTGTTGCCATTGTCCGTGGCAGCTAATATTGACGGGGAGTCGTAATAGAATACTTCGTCCAGAGCAAAGGTGATATTGTCCGAGGTGGGTGAAAAGGCAATATAATCTATATAGAATTGCGTCTTGTTATGGACATAATGCGTTATATCGTCCCTGACCTTGGTGCTGGAATTAGTGCACTGGATCAAGGGTGCCGTGAAATTCAGTTGGTATGAAGAATTTATAGCGGGTGCTGGGATATTCGGAATTGTGCCCTGGATTATGGTGCCGGTCACAAGACGGATGACACTGGGAGTCGGCGATGATACACCACCTTCATCTAGGGTAAAGTATTTAAGAAGCGTGTACTCGATTTGTGGCATTGGCTGGCTGAACATATTCGATCCCACTGTTGATTGAATTGAGAGAGTGGACGGTGTGACAACCGTAACAATGGGGATCAACCTGTCCGTCCTATGCTTAGCCGGCCAGCCCTCTCGTACTAGGAACGTGATGATGTACTCCGTATACTCACCATGAAATCAACCCTAGGATAGCCACATTCGGGCCGCGAAGCCAGACGTGAAGATCAAAGAAATTGAAAATGCTTCCTCTTATGTCAAGCATCGAGTCCAGGGTTGATAATTTCATTGGGGTTAATCGTAAGATCCACCACAGGTTCTGGACACAAGCAATACCAACAGCCGTGGTCAGGAAGGTTTTGGTTAAGAATGCAAGTCCCGTCCCGATTCTCGAGGACCATGCCTGTCTATTTTGGTCACCAACAATAGTATCATTCAAAGAATAGTAATAAAAGTGATGGCCCAGAGCCAGCGCCAACCCAATGATCCAACAAAGGACCATGGCAGTGGGTATCCGCCAGGGGATGCTATTATAAAACCACATCCTGCTCCAAGCTATAATGTTGTTTAGGTCAGTATATACCTAGCTATACTTCACAGGGCAGGCTATTGGGGCTCTTACCAGATTAAAAAGAAAGAAACAAACAAAAAGCCACCCCTCGACAGCAGCCAACAAATATACTAGGCGATAGTGAGTAAACAGGAAGGGAAGAGGAAGTGAATTCACTTCGGGTTCTCACTGGAAACCCCCCTCTTTATGTATGCATCTACTTAGCGCCAAGTAGGGTCCTGCGCCATCCTTAGAGAAGTGGTTAAGCGCCTGGTATTTTTGGACTGCATCTTAGCGTCTATTCCCTGTGCCCTCAGATGAAACGCAAGAGCGGGAGTCAAGAGACCCTGAGAAGCTTGACTTCTGGCTTTTCAATGTTCATGAGAAAGGGAACACTTTTACCAGTCATACACCTCGTTAATTGAGGCTGTGTGTAACTAGTATCTGATAGGCATCGCGAACGGAGTACTCCGTAGAGAACCATCCATTTCTCAACCAGCTTAGAGGCAACAACGTACTAGATTATGTCTGTCACTTTTCCAATAGGACAAGGGCCGTGCCGCACGCCAAGGAGAGTAGTATGTGTCTAGTGTGAGACAGCTCTCTCTGTACCTGCCTAGGTAACAGTTGTAGAGATGCCCGGCGCAACGACCCGGCATGTCTCCCCCAAATCTGGAATTCCGCTTGTCTTAGGTTGGTCACCGCAAGGCCCCATTTTTCCTGCGACGGCGCATCCATCTAAGCCGCAAAATAATGGGTTGGCTTGCGCGGGATGAGCAAGGTTGAAGGACGGAGTTCCTTTGCAGGAACAAGAATGAGAAAAGAGTCTCAGCCGGCACCCATTCCCCTCTTGCCGCTTGCGGGCATTTCTGAAACCGATAAAGTGTTTGAGGCAGTTAGTTGCCTGGAGAAGACAGCGAGGGGATTATGGTTGATAATATCTTGCTGTTCTGCTAAGCGGCTGAATGGGAGCACAATTCACCCTGGGAAAGATGTACGAGTTGTTATCCCCCGCACTCCTGCCTAGACCTCGTTTATGCTTAAATTCCATAGGCCCTCGTGTCCAGGACTAGGACTCATTGCAGAAATCATCATTATTGTCGCGTCTGTCTACAGAGGCTTAAAGCAGATGTACGATGGTAAGTCATAAGTCCGTAGTGAATTAGCATATACAAACTAAAAACAAGGAAAGACAAAAGGATACATGGTACAACCCTAGTTAGTGGGTACGTAGGTAATAATAAAAGGTTATATCTACTACATGAACAGCGAAGTATACGAAGAATGGAAGCTTGGCCATTCCAAGATCCGATCCCAGGATGACACAACACACGAAAGAAAACTCCAAACCACTTGAATAAAAGATGCCTCACTAAACTAAACTTCTCTTTATTGACGTATTTAGAACTGGTCAATGCAGCCCCAGTGAGTCTCAACGTTCCACTTGTCATTAGGACTGATCTTCTTCTTCCAGGGGTCGTCGGAGTAGGAGAAGAAGACGGAGAGAGAGCCGACCGTGTCAACAAGGGACTTGATAGCCGTCGTCTGTTCGGTTTGACCGGGAACGGCAAGACCGTTGGCATCACCAGCGTTGGGCCAGCCAGTCTCAAGGTTAACGACATCCTTATCGGAGCAGACTTTCTTCAAGTCGGTAATCTGGTTGGAAACAAGCTCACCGGCCTGGGCAGCAGTGAAAGCATTGTTGAAGAAGGGGTGAAGGTTGGCACCGACGATGTCAACAACAGAACAGAGAGAAGAAGCATTCTCATCGATGAGCCAGACATCGATGGGCTCCGCAGTGGTGACCAGGCCAGTGTATCCAGCAGCCTGGAACTTGGCCTTGGACTCGGAGATGAATCCAGCGAGCACAGAGGCGGAGCACTTTCCGGAGTTGATGGCCTCGTTTCCGACAACAATATGGGAAACCAAATCCCACTGGGCCCAGCTAACGATTTTGGCGACGTCATTCTCGGCACCGGAGTCAATTCCAGGGCCACTGATGAAAACACCAAGGATTATCTTGAGGCCATTGGCCTTAACCGCATCAGTCACGTAGTCGAGAGTGTGGCAGTCGGTTGCGTAGACACGCACGTGGGTGAAGCCCTTGGACTTGATGTTGGCAATTCTGGTGGCAATATCGTCCTTGGGCATCCAATCTCCGCTGTCAAGGTAAGGGGTGAAGGTCATACCCATCTGGGGGCCGTTGGTAGGGATGGTGGAGCCAGTCGAGCTGCTGCTGCTGCTGCTGCTGCTGGCAGTCGTGGTGGTGGTGGCAGCAGTAGTAGTAGTAGTAGTAGTAGTGGCAACAGCAGTGGAAGTAGCAACAGTAGTGCTCTCAACAGTGGTGCTCTCAACGGGGGTGGTAGTGGGGACGGCGGAGGTGGTCACAGCAGCAGGGGTGGTCACGGCAGCGGAGGTGGGAATCGCAGAGGCGCTGGTGGGCTCGTTGGTGGCATAAGGGCAGACATAGGTGTAGTCAGTGCGAGTCACGGTGATGGTGCTTTCGGGCTGGGTGTAGGTGCCCGGGGTAATGGTGGCGGGGGTAGGGTAGACCATCACAGTGCTGGTGGGAACATAGGTGGTGGTGGGAGCGATGGTGTAGGTACCAGCGCTGGGGCAGATGTAGGTGGTGGTCTCAATGACGCTGGTAACGGTGGTACCCGAGGGCTTCACGGTGGCATAGGGGCAGACAATGGTAGTCTGGGTCTCGACGATGGTAGTCACACCACCGTAGGTGTGAGTCCCGCTGGGCAGTTCGGTGGTGGTGGCCCCACAGACGGTGGTGGTGTCGGTGACGGTGAGAGTGGTAGCGGGGATGGTGTAGGTACCCGTGGTCGAGAAGGAGGTCACTCCGGGGGTGGGGAGAACGACGGTGGAGGAGGGAGTCTCCGAGGAAGTCGCAACGATGGTGACGGTGGTGTAGCTGGTCGAGTGGACGGTCGTCGTGGTCTCCGAGGTCACGGTGGTGGCAGAAGTCACGCTGGTCTCAGACGTCACGCTGGTGGGAGCGACGGAGACGGGGACCACTATATTTCCACGTTAGCTGGAGATGAAGGAAGTCGAGAATGTGGTGGATGCTTACGAGTAGGCTCTCCCCAAAAGGTGATGACCTCGGTGGTACAGCCACAGTTCTCCTGAGGAGCAGGAGAGGATTGGGCGAGGGCACGCTGATGGAAAGCTTCGTGACCATGTCGACGCAAGTGCGAAATATCAGCCATCGCCGTGCCGACGACAGCGGCGGCGGTGGCCAGGATAGCACCCTTCATGGTGAGAGAATATATATATCTATATATATATATCTATATCGGAAGTGAAGAACGTGTGTAGGATTTCAGAGGTGATATAAAATCGCAAGGAATGCCCGCTAAACGAGTGAAGCGGTGGTCAGTGGAAACGTGAAAGTGAGAAAGGAAAGAAATGGGCACGATGGCCTCTTTTTGATGAATCTTCAGGGAACACAGAAAAGAAAAAGGAGAAGAGAAAGCGAGAGAAAAGAGGGGGGAAAAAGATGTGGGAAAAGACGTGGGAAATGAGACGGTCTGGAAGTCCGCGATGACGGGAGAGGAGCGGAGGCTGGTGATTGGCTGAAGATGGAGATTCGAGTCTTCGTCTTCAATACCAAGATAGAAAAAGGGGCAAAAAAGTGTAGAAAACCCGAATTCTGATGCTGGTTTGACGATCGCTTGATGGTGGGTGGGGCGACGGAAATTAACCTCAGCGGGAAACCAATCAGCCTGCAGATCGAAATTGGGTGGGTCTGTAATACTACCGGAACAGGGAAAGTCATAACAGCACAGAAACCTTCAGGCCCACTTTTGCTGCTTCGGTGGGGTTCTGATGATTCTATTATGTAGGGGAAATACATATAGATATAACCACTACTACCATAATCAATTCCTTATCTAGTTACTATTAGTTACTATTAGTTATAGAGTACTTGATAGATACCTACGTAGTACTCCGTACCTAGGTACGGAGGCGTGCACCAAAAGACTTGGGGCGTGTGCTAGTAAGAATGGTATTCAGATCACAATAATACTAGTATTTTATTATGACAATTGATTAGATAGATATATCTAGTTGCTTTTTCCTCTTGAATCCTTTACTTAACCTATTTTGATGCTATTCATACTGCTATTTCACCCATGAAGATGATCTTCTTGGTGTTTTATATTGCCTACCTGCCTGCCTTCCTGCCTGCCTTCCTGCCTGCCTACCTACCTGCCTGCCTACCTGCCTACCTACCTGCCTGCCTACCTGCCTGCCTACCTGCCTGCCTACCTGCCTGCCTACCTGCCTGCCTACCTGCCTGTCATGCCTTGCTTAGGATTCTATGGGATTGAAATACGCGCTCAAGTGCTTATTTTATGGGGTCTTGGATATTTAACTTAGGATATCTCTACATGATTAGAGATTCCTAAGTTAATAGTTTAGAATATTATAAAGAAGGCACAAGAGCATGGATATAATCCTAAAATAAGTATTTACTTAAAAATAGAATATCTTAAAGATAGGAAGTATTCTGGTTATCTAAAAGAGATATCTAAAAAAATAGAGTAATCTATTTTAGATAGTATCTATAAAGATTAAGCAGGATATAAAAAATCTTTAGAAATATTAGCTTTTAAAGCTAGTATCTCTCTATCTTCTATTTTATAAATTTTAAAGAAATATGGCTTTATTACTGCAAAACCTTTATTTAAACCTAGTCTAACTAAAGTAATAAAGACTACTAGGTTAAAATTTTATCTTAATTATTAATTTTGGACCCTTGAAGACTAGAAAAATATTATTTTTACTAATAAAACTAGTATTATTCTAGGCCAATAACAAGGCTCTATTTAGATATAGTATATAACTAAAGATTAATATAATCTTACTTATATTTAAAGGTATTAGAAAGAATATTTAGACTTTATAGTTTAGAAATACTTTACTTATAATAAGAAAGGTCCTTTATATATATATAGTCTGGAAATAACTCAAGATAAAAGGCATGTAGATAAGGTTATTATAGAAATAAATAACTAACTTAAGCCTATCTTAAAGGAAAAATAGGAGCTTAATTTAGGCCTTTATAAGCTTTATCTTTAACCTAAAGGTAGTAGAAAACCTAGATAAAGGTTTACTAAAAAAACTAGAATACTTATATAAAAAGGCAAGGGAGGTATTAACTAGTATAGATATTAAATAATTTAACTTCCTATCTTTTTAATTTTACCTTTCTAATTATTCTTTTAGGAAGTTCTAGTTCCCAAACTTATTCCTTTTATAAAAGAATATTAAATTAAGTAACTAAATATTATTATATTAGAAGATAGAGTACCTATATATAAATACTATACTTAGTAGTAAATATATAATATTTATAATATTTAAAAGCTTCTAGATTAGCCTAATAATTTACCTAATCTTAATATAATTAAATCTTGCTAGATATAGCTTAAGAAGCATATAACTTCTAGAGGTACTTTTAGGGATAAAAAAACTATAAAAAAGATATAGATTAATACATAGAATAAGCTATCTTAGGAGAATATTCAAGTATAAATTAAATATTTAATATAGTATATTTAAGAGATTATTTAATTAAAAGGTAGAAATAAATATTAGGAAGGTAAAGAATAGGTTAATTCTAGAAATTAGAAAGATAAGTATTTAAAGGGGCAACTCTCTATATAGTAATTTTATTCACCTTAAAGTACTTTAGGTGGGTGGGAGGACTATAAATAGCTTTATTTTTTAGATAGGGTCAGGAGTACAGAGTAGGTAGCTTAGGGGTGATATATCTAAATATTTAATTACTATGGAAACAGCTAGTATTATTATAATCTGAATACCATTCTTACTAGCGCGCGCCCCAAGTCTTTTGGTGCACGCCTCCATATCCTGGTATAATACTTTGAGAACCAGTTGATAAAAGTGGGCTGCCTACTGGGATGCATCCATACCCGGTGTGGTAAGGCTGGGCTATTATTATTGGAGCTCTTAATTCAAATATACGGAGACTGAGACAGGGGTTATAACAACAAAGAAACATCTCTCCACCCTATCTGTCACGTACTGTCCCTCTCCACGATCGGAATCATCATATCCCCCCCTATCTAGGTACCAGCCTACCAGGTCCCTACCCTAAAGATGATGCTTGGCCTGGTTCTGAACAAAGTGTACAGGTTTAGCCTCCTCCTTACTGACCGTACGGCGTAACCACTGCAATTATTCAAATACCGGATGATCTCCCCTTTTCCACTTGAAATGCCGAGACCCGACTGATCCTGCTTATCCGTAACTTGGAAGTAGAGATGGCAAAAGATCCCCCCCCCCTCCCCCAACTCAGTCTCGACCTCGCCAATATCGGACTCTGGACGTCTTCCCAGCGGAGATGTCTCAGCAGAAATTGCATCTCGACCAGAAGCGTAATATTAACGGCGTTCTTCCCCTGAATTACGGAGTGCATCCGTCAGCCACAACGGGGGGACGCGGACTACAGTACGTGCTAACTAACTATCATCCGGATGTATCCGCTGATATTACGTGGGACCTGTATATATAACTAGACTCCTAGAGTCCTCGCCGTATTTGCAGACATTCTTGATTCAGAAGAAGAGGAGGCTATACTCGTACGTATCGGAGATATCGGATCCTTTGGGTAGTACATGCTTATATGATCGATGTAGAGCACGTTTTATTACGTGTTTTATATATATATATATATATATATATCTTGAAGCTATCCCAAGTTCCCAACACACATGTTATCATCTAATTCATGTAATCAAGGATATAGATATGTATTAGGGTTTATTCTGACCAGTGTGGATTATCTATTCAGCTGCATTATTATAGATTCTATTCCTATTCTGACTCTGTATCGCAGACGTGGATAAATTGGACCGAGGATTAGATTCTTCTACCTAGCTTGGAATCCTTTTAAGTGCCCTTAACGAGAGTATACTTGGTTAGATAGTAGGTACCCTGTACCCGAGTAGGTTAGGATTGCCTCATTAAGGCTGGAATGGTTGCAAGCCGTCTGCTTGAGCCAAGCTTGGATTCAGTGGTAGTTTACGCGTTTGATATACATGAGAAGTCTGCTGTATAGTCGAGTATTCAGTTCAATTCCAATCCCTAAGCCATGGTTCGGTTTCGTCCGTCAACCGCAGACACGGTAACGTATAGGCATAGCGCTGTCGCTGGCTCGAGACGATGGATTCGATACCATTCGATTTGTTCTCATCCATCTTTCTTTCCGTTCTCCGGTATTTTATATCCCACTCCATCCTCCGGATGTTTCTTTCCCTCTAATCCTGGTCGATTGGGCTCTTTCACCACCATATCCCGCGATTTGTTTCGGGAGGAAAGAACAGCAGGCAGGCGATGGACGAATTAATGACATCTCTGTGATCCATCAATATTAAATACTGTGACTTCTACTTGCAAAACAACACACACGAGAACCTCAAGAAGAAGGAGAGAAGAGATCCTACCGAGTTACTTCCACAGGTCAACGGAGGACAACAAGTCAAGCCCACGGTTGAATTATCACAGGCGCGGTTATTAAGCTAGCAATCGCACCAGGGGTCAGCCAACGTCGTTCCCTGCCTCGGGTTCTATTCCAGATGACGACAAGGAACCAGAACATACTCCGATGCACGAGATCTGGGTGTTGCCCTGGAAAGGATGGGGCTTTGCAAGGGCCACGGAAGCGGTAGCAAGGACGAACAGAGTGCTGAAGAAACGCATGCTGGATGCTGGATGACTTGAGAGAGAAAATCTTCACACGAATGGACTGGTTGCACGGGTTCTGATGGAGGGTTTCTGGTGGGTGGGAATGAGAGAGATTGGTCGGGTTGCGTTGCGTGGTATCCCTTGATTAGGTAGAGATGGAAAAGAGAGAGAGAGAGAGAGAGAGAGAGAGAGAGAGAAAGCACGAGTAATCATGCAACGTGGATCCAGACAAATTGAAAATAATAATAATAATAATAATATAAGTGACTATTGGCAGGATAAGTGTTTGATCAACAGGAGAGATTTCTTCTTGTAAACCAAAAAAACAAGTGGTACAGGTTGGTGACCACCGGTGCAGATGAGATTCTTAGTACATGGCAGCTATCGTGAGACATACATATTTGACCATCACGGCATAACCTGGATGTACCATATCTCCGATGCTTGATAGACACTGGATACGTCAGATATAATCAAGGCAAACCCGTATTTAATGATCTACACAGCCAAAGCGACCTGTAGCTCCCTGGAATCTGATTCGAAGGAACTGGAGATAACTGCAAGTGCTTCTACTTCGCACATCACTACCTACAGCATGCAAGAGAATTCCGACCAAATCCTTTCCAATGCTTGACAAAAACCCAAGACTTGCCTGGTAGTAAAAAGAGTGCCCCGACATTCTTGACAGAAAGAAAGAAATGGAGAAACCACAGAACGGGTCATGATATGATGATGCATTTGAAGAACCCAACAATACTATGTGCAGGTGCAGAAAAACAAGGGCTTTGCCTGGGTGATATAGTAAGAAAATATAAATGCGTTCATTTTCAGGAATGCGCACAATGCCGAATCATGTGCGAGGGTAAAAAAAAAAGTCGCTTCAGAGGGTGCTATTCCATGGAGGTGCAAAAATGGTATTATGTATTACTCCCGGCAGAGGGGATTGATTCTCTGCATGTATAAACAGCTGGAGGTCATCCAGCAGAACTAGGAGAGCCACTTAACGTGACACGGTTCAGTTGGTCCTAAAATATTCCAAATCTTTTCGGCTTGCCGTCTATATCGCTGTTAGTCGGGACCGGCGAGTAGATCAAGCATAAAACGTACCAGCCTTACGGTTCGCCTTTTGCCCCCGTCCATTACTTTCAGCGGCCTGCGCTGGGGTGACGCCGTCTGCTGCGGCTCGAATGGCGGCAATCCGATGTATGGCTCGTTGTTCCCCTTGGTCAGCCGCTTTCACGTACCAGACGTTGGCTTGCAAAGGATCGCGTCGGCAGCCGATCCCCATTTCTGTAAAGTATCCTACTGCATACTGTGCTTTGGCCAAGCCTAAATGCATTTGTTAGGTTTTTTTTTTTTTTTTTTCCCATAAGAGAGACATACCTAGCTCGGCGGCTTGCTTAGCCCATTCACATGCCTCATTTTCATCCTTTTCCAAAACAGGCTCGGCTCCGACCAGATACCAGGCACAGAGCGCCATCATCGCCAAGGGATGGCCTCCTTGTGCGGCCCCAGTGTAGAAATGGATACTCAGAGCGGGATCTCGAGGACAGTTGAGTTTTCCGTGCTCATAGGCATCTCCAAGGCGGTAGCTGGCCTCCACATGGCCTAGATCGGCGGACTTGGTAAACAGTTGAGCGGCATAGGCTGGGTCAGGGAAAACGTCATCGCCGTATCCAGATTCATGAAACAATCCCAGCTCGTAGGGGGCAGAATTGTACTGTGCGTCGGACGACTCCGCCGCGCGCTTCATCCATTTAATACCTTCGCGGTAGCGTTTTCCTAGACCCATGTCGCCGGCAAGACACGCTTTTGCCATACGAAGCAGGGCACCGGGATGGTTTTTGGAGGCTGCTTGGCGGTAAAATTGTTGCGCCCTGGCGCCATCCGTCCTTGTCCCCCAGCCAAACTCGTAGCAAAGGGCGGTACGGTAGCATGCCTCAACGTGGCCGTGCTTGCTGGCGGCGATGAACAGAGAGAAAGCACGATCATAGTCCTCTTTCCCTTTGCTAAACAAGCCTGACGCGTAGCCATCGGCCAAGTAGTACTGGGCAAAGGGATAGCTGCGATCCGCTAAGCGCTGGAAAATTGACTTGGCCTCTCTCAGGAGGCTGGACTTGGTAATATCATTAGCTTTCTCACCGTAAACGGCTAGCTTGCCGTCATCGATGTTATCCTCTGGCATTTCAAGCATCGCATTCACCATGAAGACCGCAAATTCGTACTGGATAGCCGGATCGTCGGCCTTCTTCACGTTTGCCAAGTACATGTCGAAAGTTTGCTTATGGCTCAGGAGCGATGCATTATTCCCGACCGAGGCGCGAAGGCGAGCGTTACCCAGTTGAACCGGTACCGGACCTGGCTGGGGGTAGGGGGTGTTCAACAGGTCAACGAAGGAGACAGGTCGGGCATCGGGAGAGCCGGAGTTTCTCGATGACGTCCTTGGGTGCAGATAAGGAGATGCCTGTGGGGAACTGTTACGTCCCTCCCCGCCTAGGTCGGATGCAAAAGAATATGCTGAACGTGGGCGCGCTGGTCGTCTGGCGGCCAGGTGATTATTTGCGCCCGGGGAATTCTCGGTCAATCCTAATGCCGGTGTCGACCGTACCGCTCCTTGAGAGCTTTGGTAGGGCCGATGATGGTATTGCAAAGGTTCATAGTTATCCGAGGTTTGTGCCGTACTATCTAAACTGCCACGGGAAGAGCTGTTCTGACTCCCCAGCGGGGCATTGCGTTCGAAGGACGATCCGCTGGTTTTTGCGAGACTCTGGGGATCATCCTGGGCATGAGGATCTACGGCGAATGACGAAATACTGCTTTCTGGGGTGTGTCCATAGGGCCTGGGGTTGGACGGGGGTAGAGCCACGGTGGAGTCTTTTTTGTAATTCTTCTTGGGGCTATCTTCCAGCGACAAGTTGGCAAAGACCGTTTCGGGTAGCTGTGGTGCGGAGGCCTGATGCTCGGGATCCTGGACCGTTGCAGGCCGGAATTGTGTTTGATCGAGATACCCATTGACGCTGACTACCGGAACCGAAGGCGGTTGGTCTTCCGGAGCAATTTTAGGCAGCGGCGTCGAGGCCGGGAGTTGCTTGCGTTGCACACCCAGGTTTAAAGCATAATTGGGAGTTGTTCGTGGTGTAGCGTCATGACGGGTCGGGGAATGAGGCGGCGAAGAGGGGAGGTATACGGGGGGAGGAGACGGTAGAGGCTGAGCGCTTGCCATTGCGCCACCCAATCAAGTACAGATGGCGGATGGAGGCGAGTGGAAGAAGCACTAAATCAAGACCTCACCTCACTATCTTCAAGCGAAAGACTTGAATGGACGCAGGTGGTGACAACCGAGAGAGGAGGGGGGTTGGGGGGGGGTTTCTATAGTTTGGACATGGAGATCGTTATGATAGGTGTCTGTAGGTTGTGACAGGGCAGTTTGGAGCGAGCGATGTCTGAGAGAGAGGCGACAGCAAGACCGGAGGCGAAAGGGGTCCGTTCAAGCGACAGATGGGTCACTGTACAGGTGGAAGCCGCCAAAGAGGGAACGGAACGGACACTATTGAATGTTCAGTTAGAGGGGAAGAGTTTGATGGCTTGATGAGATTCTGCTACCGAGACGAAGGTATAAGAACGAAGGTATAAGAACGAAGGTTAAGAGCGAAGGTTAAGAGCGAAGGTTAAGAACGAAGGTTGAGAACGACGGTATAAGAACGAAGGTGGTGACGAAGAAGAAGAAGAAGAAGAAGAAGAAGAAGAAGAGAGGGGTGAGACTGGATGAATCGGAGTTGGTAGAAAGAATCGGTCCAATTGCCAGAGAGGAGGAGGAGAGCAGCTGCAAGTAATCCGGTACGCACTGGTACCAATATTACGAGGGCTTTCTCGTACTAGGTACATAGTGGTAAAAATCCTCAGAATGTGAGATCCTTGTACTACTACTCCTACTAAAAATCAATCTATAAATAGTTAATTTAGGAGTAAGCATAAGCATGACATTCTAGTTCCTAAGTGCTGGTTAACTATGACCTGGAATACGAATACAGCCCAGTGAGGCTGAGAAGTGAAATCACATACTAGAGTACTCTACCTAGGTAATTATAATAAGAATTCGGATCATGCCATGTATTCCACTGGTGAAAGAATTAGGGTTCCTAGGGTTAATTCGGATCCTCGTTGAATCCATATCAGGGGTAGCTACCCTAGGGTAAAGTCACCAGCATATAATCAAAGTTTACCCTAGGGTACATAGGTCCGGTACCTAGTGACGAGATTGTCTCGTTGTCTTGTTACCTGGGTCCTGGGCACACCAGCTGACAGGAAGATTTTCGGTACTTGGTTTCAACTTCGGATGCGAGATTGGATGGACAAAGCACCCTAATCCCAATGAGGTTAAAGCTCAATGGGTCTCACCCGCGGTTATCCAATAAATGATGCGTAATGGGAACTGGTCGGTGGGCCATGCGCTCATCTACGGGACTCCTATTGGTGGGGATTAATGTTAGGTTCACTTAACCCCGACTGTTGATTACAGGGTTTTACAATACCTTACCTAGGTAACTAACTTACTAGGTATAGGTGACTTGGTCAGGACTTCCAGATGGCAGTACACAAAGCAAAACAATATTATAAACAGTCCCTGAACTTAGTATACCTACCTACCTACCTTAGGTAGAAGTACCTTAAGGTACCTTTAAGGACCTAAGGTACTGGAGAAATAATCATCGGATGCTATCAGTAGGTATCGTGGACTGGAAGTAATCCAAAGCAAGGCCGCTGGTCTTATAGGTACTTAGTAGTGCCATAGTAACCGGACTAGGGACTGGCACTGGTCTGACCTCCGCTCCCGCTGATGATTCCCCTTCTTTCATCGCCTCACATCGCTCTTCTACCCTCTCCATCATCTCCTCTCGTTTCCTATCCTCCTGTCATCTTTGACTTGATCAGCAGAATTCTCTAGCCTGTTGGTCAGGTCGGTCGCTCGTTGCTGTTGGTTTTGCTCGACTGTTGCGCTATTTCGTGTCGTTTTTTGTTCAGAGCCTAACCAGTCGATTTTCGCATAGCAACCTAATACATGTATTTTGCGCTCGTTTAATATTTAATATCTAGCTGGACGTTTTCGCACTGCCCCATTTTGATCGATATTGGATCGATCATCAGGACCCGCACATACTTCTCTGAGGAGGGGTTGCTGAAGTCGCATTTAGGGGTCTGTTTATTCTGGCATCGCTTATGCTGAGTTAAGGTTAGTCCTGCTTTTAAATCCAATCGACTGAAAATGGGATATGTGCACACATCATCGGAACTGTTCGTTGTGACAGGGCAAAGATACTGACATGCCTCGGGAACTTAAAATAGAACCACCATGTCTTTGCCTCAGCGGCCGGGGAAGAATTCCCCACAGAGGGATGAAACACGCTCTGCATTCCGAGAACCTTCACGGAGGCGGCGACGGGAATCGGGATCGGGAAAGACGGATCCTACGAGCCCAACTTCGACACATCGACATCACCGACACCACCGAAGACACAGTTCCCGAACCCGGGGCGATGTCGACGAGGAAAGGGGCGAGACAGGCGAGGCGGTTACTCGGAAAAAGAGTATGGTGAAGCCGGAACGCAATCGGGTCGATTCCAATCCCGCCAACTACCACTACCCCCAACGAACCCCGAACATGCCCCCTTATAATTCGACGACGGGGGCGGAGCCGCTGATCGAAGGAGATGGGGAGACAAATAGCTCCCAGAGTATGGAGTCGAAGCAGCGCAAAGACGCCCTGTACGGTGCGCATGGCAATGTGAACAAGCCGATGGAGCGGGTCCCAAGTCGACGTCGGTCCAAGAAACGGAAAGGTTCGCGAAAGATCTCCAAGAAGGAGGCCGCCGCCGAAAGACGGAGGCAGGAGGCCTTGGAACAAGTGCGACCACCTAGCCCGTGGACGACTTACTGCGCAGTCATTACCTTCTGGGCGCCGGACTTCCTCCTCAAATGCTTTGGGATGCCACAAAAGGCCCAGCGAAGTGCATGGCGTGAGAAGATTGGTCTCATCAGTATCATTCTAATGATAGCCGCGTTTGTTGGTTTCCTCACCTTCGGTTTCACCGCGACGGTGTGTGGAAGCCCGCCAACGCGCTTGAAGGTCAATGAAATTGGCAGTGGTTACATGATCTTCCACGGAGAGGCTTACGACTTGTCCGGCTCAAAGCATCCGGCCGCGGCTGGGATTCCCGCCAACTCCAACGTGCTTTATGATCTCCCACACAAGTATGGGGGCCAAGACGGAAGCTTCTTCTTCCAAGAGGTCAATGGAGCGTGCAAAGGGTTAATTACACTAGCGGATGGGTCGGATGTGCCAACTAATTCCAAGGGGGATCTGGCGTGGTACTTTCCATGCAGCGCCTTCAATCAGGATGGCTCCTCGGACCCGAACCTGACAACATCGTATTATCCTGGCTGGGCATGCCACACTTCTCGATCAGCGCGGCAGTCGTTCTACTCTCTAGACAGCTCGGGTGATGTCTACTACACCTGGGAGGACACGAAGAACAAGAGCAGAAATCTCGCAGTATACTCCGGGAATGTTCTGGATTTGGACCTTCTCCGTTGGTTCAACACCTCTCAGGTTTCCTACCCGTCCAAGTTCGATGAGCTGCGTGAAAATCCCGACATTCGGGGTGTCGATATTACCTATTACTTCCAGACCGGCGAGGACAAGCAAATCGGCCGGTGTTTATCTCAAATTATCAAGGTCGGCAGTATCGATACGGACACGGTTGGGTGTATTGCGTCTAAGGTCGTTCTTTACTTGGCCTTGATCTTCATCCTGTCCATCGTTGTCCTCAAGTTTGCGTTCGCGTTACTATTCCAGTGGTTTATATCCCCTCGACTGGCGGCCCAGAGAACGAGCATGGGGTCTGATTCGAAAACCCGGCAGCAGGAAATTGAGGATTGGTCCAATGATATCTATCGACCCGGTCCCCGTCTGGCGGACAGTAATCTAGCTCCCAGCAAGCGGGCTAGTTTCTTGCCGACCACTTCCCGTTTCTCCACGCCTTACACGGTGAGCAACGGTGGCAAACAAAAGCCTCAGTATGTCACGATGGCGAGCCAGAATTCCACCACTCGCCTCGTCCCTAGTGGTACCTCTCACTCTCTCTATAGGCAAAGTCATAATAATGGCAGCAACAACACCCTGAATATCGACGGGGCTCGCCTCAATCCCTCTGCTAGCAGGACCAGCCTGGTTCAGGACTCGCGCTATTCAACGGGTGGCCTGGAGACCGAGGGCCTTGGATCAGCCGGATATATTCATGAACTGGTGGTTCCCCAACCGCCCCCGGATTGGCAGCCCTATGGGTTCCCGTTGGCTCACACGCTTTGCTTGGTTACTTGTTACTCTGAAGGTGAAGACGGTATTCGCACGACTCTGGATTCCATCGCCATGACCGACTATCCCAACAGCCACAAGACCATTATCGTGATTTGCGATGGTATGATCAAGGGGAAGGGAGAGCAGTTCTCTACGCCGGAAATCGTCCTTCGCATGATGCGGGATCCTATCATCCCCGTCGACGAGGTCGAAGCCTTCTCTTACGTTGCCGTTGCCACGGGCTCCAAGCGTCATAACATGGCCAAGGTCTATGCTGGATTCTACGATTATGGTCAGGATTCCGTCTTCCCCCCAGAGAAACAGCAGCGCGTCCCGATGATGATTATTGTCAAGAGCGGAACCCCCGCCGAAGCCACCCAATCCAAGCCGGGCAACCGAGGCAAGCGTGATAGCCAAATCATTTTGATGTCTTTCTTGCAGAAGGTCATGTTTGACGAGAGAATGACTGAGCTTGAGTTTGAAATATTCAACGGGCTTTGGCATGTAACCGGAATACCGCCGGACTTTTACGAGGTCGTGCTTATGGTCGATGCGGATACCAAGGTTTTCCCTGACAGCCTGACCCATATGATTTCCGCCATGGTGAAGGACCCCGACGTGATGGGTCTGTGTGGTGAGACGAAGATTGCCAACAAAACGGACAGCTGGGTGACTATGATTCAAGTGTTCGAGTACGTCCTCTCGTCTTGTTCTTTTTTTTTTTTTTTTTTTTGGTGTCATCGCTAATATTTGCTTGTAGGTATTTTGTTTCTCACCATCAGTCCAAAGCCTTTGAATCCATTTTCGGTGGTGTTACGTGTCTTCCTGGATGTTTCTCGATGTATCGTATCAAATCGCCTAAAGGAGGTCAAAACTACTGGGTTCCAATTCTTGCCAACCCCGATATAGTTGAACATTACTCGGAAAATGTTGTGGAGACCCTCCACACGAAGAATTTGCTACTCCTAGGCGAGGATCGATATCTCACTACGCTCATGCTCCGCACTTTCCCCAAGCGCAAGCAGATTTTCGTGCCCCAGGCGGTTTGCAAGACAATTGTCCCGGACAAATTCATGGTTCTGTTGTCCCAGCGACGCCGTTGGATCAACAGCACCGTGCACAACCTCATGGAACTGGTCTTGGTCCGTGATCTGTGCGGAACGTTCTGCTTTAGTATGCAGTTTGTTATTTTCATCGAACTGATCGGAACGCTTGTCCTTCCTGCTGCCATCTCATTTACTATCTACGTTATTGTGTCGTCTATTGTTCGGAGGCCCGTTCAGATCATTCCTCTGGTCTTGCTTGGGCTGATCCTCGGTCTGCCGGGAGTGCTTATTGTCGTGACAGCTCACCGCCCAGTTTACCTGCTGTGGATGTTCATTTATCTCCTGTCGCTCCCGGTCTGGAATTTCATCCTCCCCACATATGCGTACTGGAAATTTGACGACTTCAGCTGGGGTGAGACGCGAAAAACAGATGGCGAGAAGGATAAGGGCCATGAAGACGGCGAGGGTGAGTTTGACAGCAGCAAGATTACTATGAAGAGATGGCGCGATTTCGAAAAAGGTACCCCTCTTTCCCCGCCTCTCGAGGAGAATAAGACGAAGGCGAATTTGCTAACTGGAATAGATCGTCGAATGAGGATGCAGGCGGGATATGGACAGCCCGGGATGGGAGGGCATGCGATGCCTTATGAACCATATCCGGAGTACTAGGATGGCAATCCTTTTTTTTTTTTTGATTTTGATTGATCTTCAGACGGTCATATGAGATGATTATTGTATCATGTTCTACGCTGTTTTCTATGCTTTCTGGATATATTGTTTCGGGGTTGATCGTATAGTATAGTCTGGCGGGAGTTGTATGTATTGTCTGGCTAGCATGTGGTAAATGTTCTCTATTACAATTACCCATTGGAGAGGTGTATCTATGGCTGTGTTTTCAGGCCATCTTACCAGGTGAGATGGGGTAGCATTGTACAGGAAGGTCTATTACCTATCCATGCCTGTTGCAGGTAAACTGATCGAGACCAAATCTAGCTCTGACCAGGCGAAGTAAGTACCACGCTGACTGTCATCATCTCTTACCGGCAAGCGATAATTCGACAGATCTAACAACTCCCCAGTCACATAATATAATCCCCATCCCCATCACGGTGCTGCCCCCGCTGCCCCCAAAGCTCCTCAAAAGCAAGCCGGACCTCCTCCAAGCAACCCAGGACCCATTCCCGCCGCCACAGCTTCTGGGTCGCGATCAGCTTCTCCGCCCCCAGGCAAAGATACTCCCAGTCCAGCTCGACGGCATGCAACGCGGCGTACTCGAAGACCAGGTGTTTGGGGAACCGCGCGCGCCAGTAGGTCTCGGGAAGCCGCCATCGAAACGCGAGACCGAGGGCGAGGATGTCTCGCGGCTCGTGCAGGTGGTCGACGACCAGCATCTGCAGGTCCATCGGCATGCGGACGAGCATGGTTGGACTTGGACTTGTACTTCTTCTCTGTCTGCATCTTCCGCCGCCTTCTCTCCTGGAAGCAGACTCGCGCTGCTGCTGCTGCCGCCGGCGGACCGCTTCGTCGATGAGGTCGCGCACGTCGATGTTATTCCACGGGTCGTCTTCCCCGTACACAACAGCGGCGGGCAGGTCAGGAAGCCGAGCCCGCCCATGCACCAGCTGCACCATGGAACAAACATAGCTCCTGTAGTCCTGCGGGGATTTGCGTAGCTGGCGCAGAGACCGGCCCTGGCGTTTCCGCACGGCGCGGAACCATTCGCGGTACTCGAGCATGAGGGGCGCGGCCTCCTCGAACCGGGCGGCGATGATGCGATGGAGACGACCGCCGCGTCGGAGCGAGAGCAGGAACAAGCCGAGGTCGGGTTCCTCCTTGATGCGGGGCCCGAGCACGCGCAGGGCGAGCTGCCAGCATCGTTCGTGGAAGTGGTAGGTGCGGGCGCCCAGCCAGGGCTGGATGCTGTCGAGGTCCGGGTGTGTGGCGAGGTTGACGCGGTACATGTCTTCGTCGCGGCTGCTGGGCAGGGGCCGGCCCACCATTATGATGTTGGGATCGCGCGGCACGGCGATGTAGGGGGGTTCGTCCCAGGGTCCGCGCTGGGAGACGCCTAGGAGCTGGAACCGGCCTTTGCATTCGGTTGTGCTGGGGGAGGTGGTGCCTCGATCACGGGCTGTGCTGGGTTAGTTGTAGCCTTGCTTTAGGTAGCCTGGTTTTAAGGAAGAAGAGGGTACCGCAGCGAACAAATGTACCCCAGGTCCAAGGGGTTTTGAAGTATATCTCGTTGAGGGTCTCCGGGCTGCAGAGGGCAAATCGGGTTCTGTCCTTCCAGGGTGGGTGCTGGACAAACGTGTAGAGTGCGTCGAGTTCTTTCTCGAACCGGGCTCCACAGATATGGCAGCGGAATGCGAGGTTGGATCTGTTCAGCAGCGGGCCGGGTTGAGTATTGTTCACGGGGGGGGGAGGTGCAGTAGGGCCTGGAGCTGGAGCTGGAGCTGGAGCTGAAGCTGAAGGTAACATCCACGTCGAGAACATGTCGATCAGCGCTGAGATGCGTTCGAGCATTGGTCTACACCTTGGTAGGTAGATGTAGAAGCTGGCATTTCCGCTAGGCATCAGCGGATTATATACTACCAAAGGTTCAGACGACGTGAAGGCCTGTGCTGTGGCTTTGGAGAGAGTACCGGAAATCTCCATTAAATCGCTTTCTGAAAGAAGCTGCATAACAGATCCTGCTTTAGTTGACCCTAGATATATATATTGCTAGTTATATATAGATATAGGTATAGGGAATCACAAAATACCTGGCGAGGTAAGAACGAATAACAACGACTGCATTCAGGATTGACACTCCAGCTTAAAGTGAAGCGTCAGGAATTATTCAATGGCTGGACCCTATTCCAGAACGAACTCCGTACAGAATCAATCCCAAACAAAAACAATACTAAAACAACTCCAAGTACAGCTGGCAAATGGTCATCTTATCATCAGTTTTATGCACTTCCCAACACCCGTAGCCGTTCCTTGAGGCTGTCCATCTCCGCTTCTCCGCCGCTGTGATGGCTCGTCGTCGTGGTCTTCGACTGCTTTTCCTTCAGAGATACCGAGCGATACTCCCCATCTCCCCCCGGGCAACCGACTGTTACCCATACGAACTTACTCCCACCGCTTCCACTGGACTGTGCACGCTCCTGCGCACCCTCCCAGAACACCTCAGCCGCACCTTCGTCGACGGACGGTCGTCCTCCCAGCCGTCCATGCCGAATCCAGCCCTTGAGCACCTCTTTGATGAAGCTGACCTTCTCCAGGAACGAGTTGGCCTCCAGCACGTCCCGGATTCGCTCGTCCAGAGAGCTTGCGCTGGTTCCATACGCAATGCTGAGGAACGTCGCCACCTCATCGGACACCACCGCGCGAGTATCAAACCCTGACGGATGCATCTTTCCTTTCGTCGCCAAGTACCGCGCGGCTGAAGGTGAAAGATGATAGAAGTCGATCCACGGTGACGAGTTCCTGGTCCGGCCAGGCGACAGCACTAGCTTCGTATGGTCCGGGAAGTTGAACTGCACAGAGCGTAAGCATTCAAACACCCCCCGGCGGGTGGAAAAGGATTAGCAGTTACATACCTGAAACGCGCCATCCCCAAATCCCCAAACACCCACATTGCCCAGCCGTTGGTAAAACTTGATGAATTGACCGGGAACGCCGCTGGTCAGGTGCTCGTCGTCCAGGGCGCCGTCATCGCCATGCCGGCCAAGGGACCCAATCATATATTTCCCAAACTGGTCCACGAGTTTCACGCGTTTGATTTTCTCGGCGTCTGCTCGCGCGCGCTCGATGCCCGAATCGATCCGGACCTTGACTCCTCCACTGGCTCCTTGCACTTCGAACAAGGACGGCGGGACCAGCGCTCGCCGGATGCCACCTCGACACTCGGCAAAATCTTCGCTGCAATTTTCGTAGAATTCGACCGGTTTCCCTGCGCGGGGAATGAGCTGGTCCGCCTCTGAGTAAGCGTTTGCCCCCGGGTCCGATTTCTCCTGGCTACGAGCTTTGCGCCGAATGTGTTGCTCGCCGTCGCGCACCACGACCCCGCTAGCACGCTGCCCATTATCCGCCTTGAATACACAACCTACACTTCCGTCATCCAGCACGTATCCGATGCCGTACCGATTGGTGTAGTCTACCCACTTAATGACGTACACGTGTGGCGCCCGGCGCGACGTGGCTCGCCGTCGAGCAGCCGAATGCGGTACCATGTTCGAGATCATATTCCGTAGAGCCGTTTTTACGTCGTCGAGGGACGATCCGGGGAGAATCTCGGCATGATCATCGGGGTGCAAAAGCGGGTATAATCCAAGCGTTGACCGGGACTTGCTGGCAGAGGACATGGAAGCTTTGCTTCCGCATCGACTTACGGCTTGAGGAAAGGACTCTGGCCGGCGCCGCTGGACCTGTGGGGCCACCTCCTCCTTTCGGGCTTTCTCACGATCCTCCGTTTGGACAGGATGCTCTCCCGCCATCGATGGAGGTGCTTGTCGAACCGAAGCCTGTCTTGATCTCGACGGCAAATCATCCACCGGCGTGGACACCGAGCGCTCCTTGAGAGATGGACGCCCCTGCAGCGCTTCTTGGTGTGCTGCCTCTAATCTCCGGGACTGAGAGCGCGTTTTGCCCACAGTTAACATACCAGGCGCGATGCTGGGCTTCGACGACACCTGTGGGGCGATGTTCTTATCCAAATCACGCAGGGACCCCATTCCTGAGTACGAGGCTGCAATTCCACGCCGAGTTCGGATTGGACGATCTGCGAGTCCCCCAGTCGGCGCGGGTGCCGCACTGGAAACCATCTCCTTCGTATCGGAGACAGCCCTGGGGACTGGCGCCAGTGGATGATCACACAATGTGGGAACCTTCCTGACCGCGCCTCGCCCAGTTAGTGCCTGTTGCCGGAGCGTTGCTGCGTGGCTCTGGGATTCGTTCCGCCGCTGTTGCGCTGCCGCAAGGGCCGCCTGGGTTCGGGACTGTGACACGGCGGTATTTCGAAGGCACGTAAGACTACTCTTTGTTGAGAGGACGCTGCTGTCAAAGGACGAATCTTCTCGGCGATTGGTGTACCGGGACTCAGGCACGCTCCAGTCTCCCATCAAATCACGGGGATAGAAGTAAACAATATCTTCGGGCAGGGGAATCACTGGCTGAAGTCCCTTCTCCTCCTCAGACAAGCACTCCGCAAACGCCGATTTGGAGGCGTTTTGCCCAGTAGACTTGCGCGCCGTGCCATCGGGCTTCCTGCCAACACCGCAAGCGCTATAGAATGCCGCTCTGCAGATGGGGTACCGTTGGGTAGGGTCGTCAATATGGTCAATGTAGCTTGCAAACCTTTCATCATACTGCAAGCCAAACCCAAACCGAACAGAGTCGCCACGCGGCCCGTCGGTCCGCAGCCAATGTGGCCTTTGCGTGGTACAGGTTGTATCTAACCTTTTCGGTATACAGCCATCATACATATTAAAGAATGGGTGTTCTACGATATCATCAGGGTCAGGGCGTTCCTGCTCTTCCAGATTGAGACAACAGCTGACCAACGACTTGGCCTCCTCTGGGATGTCGTTCGAGCAATCAGAATCCTTAGGCCAGACGTAGGTCAGGTTTCTGACCTTCTTATATATCTCCTCCTGGGTCTTCGATTGGAAGGGTGGGTAGCCGGTGAGCATGGCAAAGCAAATCACTCCCAATGACCAAATGTCAACCTTTTGGGTATGTCCTCCTTTACTTCGATCAAGAACTTCGGGCGCAATATAGTTCGGCGTTCCACACAGAGTTTTCCTCCGCTTCTCGTCCTTCTCAGATATGATCATGGCTGCCAATCCGAAATCCCCAACCTTGATATCCATGTTGTGATCGAGAAACAGGTTTCCCATTTTAAGATCGCGGTGAGCAACGTTTCGCTTGTGCAGGTATTTGACCGCTCCACACAGCTGGACCATGAATCGTCGGACCTCGGGGACAGTGAGGCACCTCCTTTTGCGAACCATATCCATTATTGAACCGTTGGGGCACAATTCCAGAATGACATATATGCACTTGTCGAAAGCAAAAGCTCGGTGGAAACCGACGATGTGGGGATGTCGCATTTTTGAATGGATTTGCAGCTCGGTACGAAACTATCACCCTCGTTAGCATCCTCCACGCCGCGTCCTTGCTGCGCATGCAGAATTACCTTCTCTTGCATTTTCTTCTGCGACATCTCCGACCTCACCACCTTCATTGCAAAAACCCGGCCATTGCGCGCTAGCGTGCCTTCATAACAGATCGCGAACCCGCCTTTCCCCAGAAACGCTCCGGTCGAGTATCGCTCCCCATCATCTCCCGGCTCGACCACCAACGCTGGTGGTGGGGGCGCATGGTTCTTAGATGACGCCGTCTTCTGGGCGGCATTCGCAGCCGCAGCATTCTTATCCAAGACTTTTCGCTCCATAGAGGTCTTGGGCTTGATCATTTGATTCGTAGATCGCGGCGACAAGGCTTCCATTGTCCTTTCGTAGCAATTGTCCCGCCCTGTTTTTCTTTCTCAAACTTCGGTTATATTAATGATGTTGAGCCCAGACAACTGCGCAGACAGATATTCCCAAAACCATACAGTCGTAGCGGTCATCGAGTATGATATAAAGAATCAATTAAGCAGGATGGGGTATATTGGAGGTGGATGTATCCCTGTCATTTCATCATCCATCAGCATGTTTCAAAGCAAAGGGCCTGCAGAGTCAAAAGCATCCAGTCGCTTAGGCGGAGATACTCACTAGAAGAAATCAACAAAAAGAAAAAATGATATTAACAATGACGCTCAAAAACAATGATATGCATCCAACGCCGCAAGCCAACCTGACTGACCGACAGTCACTTAAAGGGAGGTGTGGGGGGAGGGGGAGGGAGGGCAAAAGGGTTAGACAGAGCAGGACAGGATTATTATGGAGGGAGTCGATCCAAACGGTTTGCCAAAAGCGGCAATCGATAAACATTGATCCGTGTGCCGGAACAACGGGCATTGCTGATGTCAGCAGGCATAAATCGCTGTTATGCACGCGTGTGCAGCTGACTCGGGTCTAACTGGATTAGGATATATTGGTGCCTGATGATCCGGTCATCAGAACATCATGGCGATAGTTGGTTAGCTGTGTTCCATAACTAATCTTAGGGAAATGAATGCTTGCGGAAGATACGACTCTCTCTGTCACACATTAACCCTATTCTCCCGCGCCTCGAGTCCATCTCGCCATGTCTCTCACCCTCAAGCTTTCCTCCCTTGCCATCCGCACACTGTCAAAGCCGATAGCCGTACGTCAACACAACCCTTACTGGCCCGCATAATCTCGGAGGAATATTAGCTAACCTCGAGAAGAATCAAATCAAGGCACAGGCTCGCGAACATGAACGCTTCAAACAGGTCTGCGTCTCCATTGCCCAGACTCTTCACCGCGTCGATATGCGGCTCCGTCTCGGAACGATACGTGACAATGCCGCTTCTCAACGCCAGGCTGCTGCTGAGGCGGCCGTCCGAAAGCACAAGCCGACCTCTCCAACCGTGAAGACACAGGCGGAGACAAAGGCGGAGGAAGAAGCAATCGCAAAAGCCAAAGTGGCCGCGGATGCGGCCTCCAACCCACCCCCCGCACCCCACATTCGACCACTGTCGGAGTCGAAAGCAATCGAATCTGGTGCCACATTCATCAGTGAATCATTTCTGTTCCTCGTTGCGGGCGGTCTCATTGTGTTCGAGTCGTGGAGATCGCGGAGGAAGGAGACAACGCGGAGAGAGGATATTGCTGCGCGCTTGGGAGAGCTGGAGCAGTCGGAAAAGACGGCGCGAGAGGCCCTCATCGCCCTTGAGAAGGAGCTGCTACAGCTCAAGGCTAAGCATGGCGAGCTCCCGAAATCGTCCCGTCGAATCCTTCCTCGAGAGGTCTGGGATGTGGAATCGGAACCCGTGCAAGAACCTGAACAGCAGAGTTGGCTCTCGACGATCACGTCCTATTTCTCGTTTGGACAGAGTCCCGAACAACAGGTGGAAAAGGTCATCCAGGACAGCCGTATTGAGGCATCCAAGACTCCTATGGATACTAAACCCCACACTCCAACTAGCCCAGGGAGCAATCAGTCGACCACGTCAGAATTAAGAACAACCTAATTGGCCTTGGTCGTCACTACTTACACTGTACATTATTGCTGCTAGAGCTGTTTCGCCTACTATGGTGAGATATAGATATAGATATAGATATAGATATTTTAGATAGATTCCCTTCACCAACAAAGGCGGGTGCTTTTGGGATCTTATGCATCGTGAGCGCTGAGTGATATTTATTCTCCCATAGACTTCATCAACTCCACTTCCTACCCTATATATTCATCAGCCTTCTTCCTTCATGAGAACTCCCGAAATAGTATTACATGATGGACTCTATCAATATTAGAGGAACTTTCAGCTCATCTCTCCGAAACCGTTCTATCTGGAAGGTCATTGGGCCAATTCTTACGATGTCACCAGAGCAATTCCAAGGTCAGCCAGTCTCCAAGTAACGACCCATCAATACTAATAATCAATCCCATCACAGAGAGCGGTTCACAGATCCCGGACTTCATCTTTCAACAGCAAGGATGTTCACCTTTGCACGCCCTCCTCCTTACAACCACCTCCATCGAGCTGCAGAAGCAAGACATCATCTCCCAAGTTGAGCAATTTGCTTCTAATCAATTACCATGCGCGAAAAAAGTCATCGCATTTCTGCTCTCAGAGAATGCATTTAGCAGTGCAAGTGGCAAGTATGGCCTTGATGGACTCCTCGCGGTTCAAGTGCTGTATTGCTCCATGCCCCCATATACTACTATACTTGCGTGACCTGTGCTAACCTATTCCTCCATCAGTATCTTGGAGAATTTATCCAGTTCGATGCCAGTGATTCCCATTCCTAATGCTTCTTCTCTCGTCTCCTGTATTCAAAAATACATGGCCAACCTCGAGGATATACCTGCGACCCTTCCGTCCTTGGGAGATTCCATTGCGTTGCTGGCTCATGTTACGTCACATTCCCACCCCCTTTCAGGCCAGAACGTGAATATCCTGAGTGATTTGTATCCGTCTTTCCGGGCATTGAGTCGAGCTGTTCGGACAGAGGAAGGACGGAAAACTCTCGTGGATTACTTGGGAGAGGAAGAGGCGACGAAAATTATAAAATTCTGGCAAGAGGATATGTCGCTCGAATAATGTCACCGAAACGGTCTGCCGAATTATCTATCTATCTATTGCCACCCGCACCAAGGCCGTTCTTTCCGATTGACTGAAATAAGGGGTGAATGCGGTGCTTTGAGAAGACAACGACTTTTTAGTACTCCGTACTACGATCGAGTATTAAAGAAACGACAAGTGGATGCTAATCTAGTGCAGCGTCATACTACTGAACAGGAACAGGTTGATTTGCCGCTGGACCCAGACCCGAAGGCAGCGAGATATTAATAACTTAAGGGATTGCGCGTTTTCCACCCAAGAAACAAGAAAAGAGACCCAACGGTGCCACACGTGTGTATTTTACTCACAGTAAGACTAATAAACTACATAATCTTCCATAGTTGTGGCGCAGGCGTTTTTCTTTCCCTCCCCTCTATTCTTCTTCCTTGTCTGAGGTTACTCCACCCGAATAGCAGCCAACGAGTCCTCCCCAGGGCACCATCGTCATTCCTCTTCCCTTCCTCCCACACTCTCTGTCTAGACAACCCTCGTGTACAATTCCACTCTTTCCCCGGTATTCATATTCGTCTCCATTTCCCCTTTCCTATTGCCGGATATCTCCCTGCGTGGAATGAACCCGTTATTTTTTGTGTTTATTCCCGTGTATGCCTGAGCGTTATCCCGCACTCTTCTTTGTCTGTGGAATTGATAGGCCAGTTATCTTGTCGCCTACGTGCGAGACCCGGTGAGGTCGCTAGTAACAACAACAACAATGGTGAGTTCCCTTGATGTGACAACTTGGCGGGGTTATTCAATAGCCCAGGAGCTAAACCAGACTGTGCAATCCAGGGACACTCAAGACGTCCGGTTGGCGGGGAGAAGAAAGGTCGATTCGGTCGGTCAAAGGCGGCTGCGGATGTGGGCGATGGACGACAAGCGGGCAAGCCCCAGGTCAAGAAAGCTATCTTCGAGAGCACAAAGAAGAAGGAGATTGGTGTGTCGGATCTGACGCTGTTGAGCAAGATCTCCAATGAGGCTATCAACGACAACCTGAAAATACGATTTGAACATGACGAGATCTACGTAAGCCCATTCTGGCTGCCGGGGATGCGCGCAAAGGGGGGGGGGGGGGGGGTGGAAGCTGTGCTGACACAATGGATTAACAGACTTATATCGGTCATGTGCTGGTGTCTGTCAACCCTTTTCGAGATTGTAAGTGGATTGCCCGCCGTGATGCGATGGGGTGGCCCTCACTGACTGCTCCCGCCTCCTGAACAGTGGGTATCTACACCGACAATGTCCTCGACTCCTACCGGGGCAAGAACCGCCTCGAGGTCCCTCCCCATGTATTCGCCGTCGCGGAGTCCGCTTACTACAACATGAAATCCTACAAAGACAACCAATGTGTCATTATCTCGGGTGAGTCGGGCGCGGGTAAAACTGAGGCCGCGAAGCGGCTCATGCAATACATCGCCAGTGTATCGGGGGGCAGCGATTCGTCTATTCAGGAGACAAAGGACATGGTTCTAGCGACCAACCCGCTGCTGGAGTCGTTTGGTAATGCAAAGACCTTGCGCAACAACAACTCCTCGCGGTTCGGAAAGTACCTGGAACTGGAATTCAACGTGAATGGCGAACCTGTTGGCGCTAACATTACAAACTACCTGCTGGAGAAGTCGAGAGTCGTGGGGCAGATTATGAATGAACGGAACTTTCACATTTTCTACCAGTTCACCAAGGGTGCGCCGAAGAAGTACCAAGGTATGTTGGACGTTTCTACTCCGCAGTGTCGGTTGCTGATCAACAACAACCAGACATGTTTGGCATCCAACAGCCCCAATCCTATCTATATACAAGTCGATCGAAATGTTTCGATGTTCCTGGAGTCAACGATGTGGCAGAGTTTCAAGATACTATCAATGCCATGTCGGTTATTGGAATGTCGGAGGCTGAGCAGGATAATGTCTTCCGGATGCTGGCCGCGATCCTGTGGATTGGTAACGTCCAATTTGGCGAAGACGATTCAGGAAACGCTGCTGTTACAGATGACTCCGTGGTGAACTTTGTCGCATACCTGCTGGAGGTGGACTCGGCCGAGGTTAAGAAGGCCCTGACTATCCGCATCATGGAGACCGCTCGTGGTGGCCGCAGAGGATCGGTCTATGAGGTCCCGCTCAACCCCGTCCAAGCCCTGGCTGTTCGTGATGCCCTGGCCAAGGCAATCTATTTCAACCTGTTCGACTGGATCGTTCAACGAGTCAACGCCTCTCTCGCTGCGAAGGGATCCATCACGAACTCCATCGGTATTCTCGATATTTATGGATTTGAGATTTTTGAGAAGAACTCGTTTGAACAGCTCTGCATCAACTACGTCAACGAAAAGCTCCAGCAAATTTTCATCCAGTTGACTCTGAAAGCCGAGCAGGACGAGTACGCTCGTGAACAGATCAAATGGACGCCTATTAAGTACTTCGACAACAAGGTTGTGTGCTCGCTAATCGAGGACAAACGCCCTCCTGGTGTGTTTGCCGCTCTGAACGATGCTTGTGCAACGGCGCACGCCGATTCGGGCGCTGCTGACAGCACCTTTGTTGGACGACTGAACTTCCTCTCACAAAATCCCAACTTTGAGAACCGACAGGGCCAGTTTATCGTCAAGCACTATGCTGGTGATGTCAGTTATGCAGTGGAAGGAATGACAGACAAGAACAAGGACCAGCTGCTGAAGGATCTGCTGAACCTCGTCCAGACCAGTGGCAACCAATTCGTCCACACTCTTTTCCCGAACCAGGTTAACCAGGATGACAAGAGGCGACCTCCGACTGCAAGTGACAAGATCAAAGCTTCGGCTAATGACCTAGTTGCAACGTTGATGAAGGCCCAGCCGTCGTATATTCGTACCATTAAGCCTAATGACAACAAGGCTCCGCGGGAATATAATGAAGGTAACGTTTTGCATCAGATCAAGTATCTTGGTCTTCAGGAGAACGTGCGCATCCGCCGCGCTGGTTTTGCCTACCGTCAAACCTTTGACAAGTTTGTGGAGCGTTTCTACCTTCTCTCTCCTAAGACATCCTACGCCGGTGACTATACATGGACGGGTGATTCTGAGTCTGGCGCCCGACAGATTCTCAAAGATACCAGTATTCCCGCCGAAGAGTACCAGATGGGTATCACCAAGGTTTTCATTAAAACCCCGGAGACCCTTTTCGCTCTGGAAGCCATGCGAGACCGCTACTGGCACAACATGGCCATCAGGATCCAGCGTGCTTGGAGAAACTACTTGCGCTACCGTACGGAGTGCGCTATTCGTATTCAGCGCTTCTGGCGCCGCATGACTGGCGGGCTTGAGTTCATCAAACTGCGCGACCAAGGCCATCAGATTCTCGGTGGTCGCAAAGAACGCAGAAGGATGAGTCTGCTCGGTTCCCGTCGCTTCCTTGGTGACTATGTCGGCGTGGGTAACACGGGCGGCCCTGGAGAGATGATTCGTAGCGGTGCCGCTATTAATGGTAAGCATCCCCTGTAGTATGTCTCGAATCACGCTAACAGTTTCTAGCATCGGAGGAAATTCTCTTCTCCTGCCGTGGTGAGGTTCTGATTTCCAAGTTTGGTCGCTCTAGCAAGCCGTCGCCTCGTATCTTTGTCCTGGTTAGTCTTTCCTCTTTTCTACAAGATTCAACATATGCTAACGTATGTAGACAAACCGACATGTGTATATCGTGGCACAAACCCTCGTCAACAACCAGCTTGTCATCGCGTCGGAAAAAACGATACCGATTGGGGCTATCAAGGCCGTCAGTGCTTCGAACTTCCGGGATGACTGGTTCTCGTTCATCATTGGGGGACAGGAGCCAGATCCGCTAGTCAACTGTGTATTCAAGACTGAATTCTTCACTCATCTTCACAACGCCCTTCGTGGGCAGCTAAATCTGAAGATAGGCCCACAGTCAGTATTTTCGTTCCAGCAAATGTTCTCTTTGCTAACCGTAGTAGGATTGAATACAACAAGAAACCCGGAAAACTGGCAACGGTGAAAGTCGTCAAAGACCCAGGATCTTCGCAAGTGGACAGCTACAAGAGCTCGACAGTCCATACGAGTGCCGGCGAGCCCCCTAATTCAGTGTCCAAGCCTACCCCGCGGCCGAAGCAAGTCAGCGCGCGACCTGTGACCAAGGGCAAGCTTCTCCGGCCTGGTGGTCCCGGAGGTGGCCCGTCCAAATTGGCCGCAAGACCTGCTGCTCCTGCTCGTCAGCCTCTACCACAGTCTACACCTCAGCCAGCAGTGCAGCCAACTCCCGCCGCAGTTCCCCGACCTGTTGCTGCGATTGCCGCGTCTCATTCTCGTAACTCCTCCACAAACTCTGCGAGGGCACCCCCGCCTCCTCCACCCGCCGCCGCTCCAGCTACGAAGAAAGCCAAGGTGTTGTATGACTTTAGCAGCGACCGCAGCAACGAGTTGACAATCAAAGCGGGCCAGATTGTCCAGATTGTCTCCAAGGAAGGAAATGGTAAGAGAGATACTTCTGCCTAGCTCTATGCTTTTTATTCCAGACTAACTGAACTTTTTAAAAGGTTGGTGGTTGTGTATGAATATGGAAACCTCGGTCCAAGGCTGGACCCCCGAGGCATATCTCGAAGAACAAGTTGCGGCTGCGCCCCGACCTGCACCCCCTCCACCTCCAGCCGCTCCTCGAGCGAGCCCAATCCCCGCAACAAACGGAGCAGCCACAGCAGCGGCAGCTAAAGCCAAACCCGCGCCGCCAGCACCCCCAGCCAAGCGACCAAACATGGCCGGGCGAAAAACCGCCCCTGCCCCTCCTCCCGCTCCCCGCGACAGCGCAGTCAGCATGAACTCGCATGATTCCTCTGGTGCTAGTGGCCGTGGCACACCGAACAGTCTGTCCAACGTCAGTCTTGCTGGCGGACTTGCCGAGGCACTGAGAGCCCGGCAAAGCGCCATGCAGGGCAAGCACGACGACGATGACGAGTGGTAGTAGTGTCTTTGCGTTTCTTCTTCCCTCCTTTCCCCTTTAGTATATTTTTCTTCTTCTTCTTTTGATATTTGTTCTGTCATCAATTAGCATCCATTAGAGGTTACGTTACGTTACGTTTCGGAGTGTTCTGGTCTGGACTTTGATACTAAGAAGCGGACCGTACATATTGGCGCTTGCATACCCTTTTGTCTGGATATTGACATTGCGTGGTAGAGTGGATGTTAATTTGTTAAACCGTATATATTGCCTTGTAGCTTCAATGTTCTTTCCAAGGGTAGTTATGCTAGTACATATATATCACCCTACAGCTCCGCATGTCTTCTCTATAGCTCAATAAACATTCCATCCATTAAAGTCACTGGTATGAAGTGTCTTGGACGCATATTCCCAGCCCCGTATTCTCGGTCTTTTAGTAAATACTAAGTAGCACTAGTACTATTACCTACTATACGCTACGATGGTAGAAACAGATATACCATAGATATACTAGATATATATATATATATTCCTCACGTCTCAATTGACCGTAGAACAAATTACCCAAGTGATACCTAACGGTACATGCACAAGTCATATTACACTATAGATGAATATGCAAGCAAGAAAGAAAAAAGAAGAAAAAGAAAGAGAAGAAGAGCAAGTTACATGAACTTGCTCGCCAAAGCCATCAACCCAGCTGGCCCCCCGGTGCCGGAACTCCCACTCATCTGACTCTTCGTATACATCTTGAACGCCATCTCAGCCGCCGAGGTAACAGCAGATTGTTTATCTCCAGCCTAACACAGCGAGAGAGAAGAGAGAGAAAGGAGATGCATCAGTTAGCCCCAAGCCCAAGCTTGCATCACCAAACACCTCAAGAAACAGAAACAGAAGAAGAAGGAGGAGGAGGAGGAGGAAAGGAGAGGAGAGGACAGGAGAGAAAACATACAGCCTCCCCATTACCGGCTTTCAAATCCCACATCTTCTCCGCCTGCGCCATCGCCATCCCGATAAAGGCGTTCTTATCGCCGCCGCCCGTTTGGCTTGCAGAGCCGGAGTTGAACATCTTCAGGGCCTGCATGGCGGCGCCGGCCCCGACGGACCGCGAGTCCATCTGCTGGCCGGATCCATTGTACAGCGACTGGTGCGACTGGACGAGGTGCTGCTCGTCGACCTCGTCGGTGGCGAGGGAGGATTTGCGCTCCTTGACGAAGGACAGGGCCTGCGCGAAGAGAGAGGAGTCGGTGCCGTGGGCGGCGGCGTGGTTTAGGGCGGGGTTGAGGTCGTCGTTGTCGTTGGGGTCGAAGTGTTGCTTGACGACGTCCAGGAGCATGTTTTGGAGCGACATTTTAAGTGGATTGGTGATGAGGATGAGGATGAGGGTGAGGATGAGGATGAGGATGAGGGAAAGGAAAGGAATTATGAGCACTGTTATATATACCTGGGTGGAGAGAGAGAGGGGCAATATGTGGCTGGAGCTGAGATCGGAGTTGCACCGCCACAGATCCCGAGATAGTGGCAAGAAATATACTTCAAGCGGATCTGATTATGATGATGATGATATACAGAAAACAATGCATGCCTGGTATCTCGCTGAAATGCTCAATAAACCTCCCAAACAGTGAAAAGAAAAAGAAAAAGAAAAAGAAAAAAAAAATAGCTTAAAGCAACAGCCCCTCATGCTCCTCCTCGCTTAAATTCCACCAGAACCTCATCTGTCGCTCTCGTTCGCTCAGCAAACATCGCTCGTCCTCGTCAAGCTCCGACTCCTTCACCCACTCGTTGGGCGGGTGATGTAGGCCATACCGCTGCCCCCACTGCCGTCGGTCGTATTCCATGAATCCTCCAAAGTGCTCGTCGGTGTTGGCGATCCAGATCGTACTGCCATCTGGGGAGTAGTCTGCGCCTCCGATTTCGCCGAAAAAGTCATGCACCTGGCGCGTTTGATACGTCTGCGCGTTCACCAGCACAACTCGATCAGCGGGCTCGCACAGCATCAGGGTTCGTGGCCCTCCACCGACCGGCGAGAACCGCAGAGATCGATATCCGGCCACGTCGGATTCGATCTTTTCGAGCATCTTCCACGTGCGCGCATCCCAGATCATTGCCGTCTTGTCCTGGTTACTCGTGGCGATCTGTCGCATGTCCGGGGACCAGGCACAGGCAAATCCAAAATCCCGGTGGCCGCGAAGTGGATGCACGGGCCGTCCGGTATCTGCCTCCACCACCCAAGCATCCGCAGAGTCCCCGATCACCACACGGAGACGGCCATCAGGAGACGTTGAGGTGCAGTTGACGGCGTGAGAAAGCTCATGGTCAGCCAGAAACGTGTTGGTTTCACAGTCTAATACCCGGATATGGCAGTCGTTCGAGGCGAAGACCCCAACCGGTGAGCGATTTGTCCGACTTGCAATGATATCAATATGGTTGGTGATGCCATTGCGATCCTTCGTCACGAACCCCTCAATTCCTTTCCCTTCAGTGCCAGCGGCCCGCATGCCATACTCTCCAAAGAACCCACCCGCAATGGTCATCCCCTGAGCTGTTTTCATGGTGGATATCTTCACTGGTCCCTGGAATCCAGTCTCCACCACGGGCATGGACAAATCTATTAAACATTTCAAATCCCCATATGCCGGAGCCCATGAATACACCTTGGACTCGTGGGAAAAATGCACCGTATTATATGCAGGAACGGACATCACATTGCGCAGCTGAAAGTGCTCGATTTTGGCCCTGTGCTCCGTGTACATAGCTTTGCCTTGGAAGTAAAACTCTTCCTCCGACAGCCTGACCCCTGAGCGAGAGCGCGTGTATTGGAGGTTGTGGTACGAGGTATACCACTGGTCTCGTAAATGGCGCGCATCGGCACGCTTGACTCGTAGCTTCTCCCACCAGGGAATCTGCTGGAGATCGAAAAAATCTCTTGTGTACCCACTGGGCCGTATGATTTGGGCAGGCGGGCTCCAGCGAATGATATTAGACATTGGGTTTTGCGGAAACACTGGTGGCACGATCGAGAGGATTGGGATGGAAGCCGTCGAAGACTGGAAGAGCCACTGCGAGATGAACTGATCGATATTGAAGTTTCTTTCCTGAGCTAGACGACGTCAGCAATCGAAATGAACGAACGAAGCTGGGAACACATACTAGTTCCGTGCAGGAGAGAATCAGGAAAGTGAGTATCTCCTACAAGGTCTTCGGCTGCTTCCTCCCCGTCCAGAAAGTTGTTGTAGTCCTCATGGCTAGCAGGTTCAAACCCCGACAATTCTGGACCATAGCCCTGGTTGAAACCACGGTAAAAGTCACCGAAGTCAACATCGGACAGATCGGCAAGGTTATCGTAATGGGGGGGAGGGTGGAAAGTGTCGTCATATTCGCTGTCGCCATGATCGCCGTAAAATTTGCGCGTATCATCCAGGTCGTCGTCTAATGCCGTCGACAACGCGGACTGGCTTCTAGGTGCGTCCAGCTCATCCTCCATAGCCAATTCCGTCACACTATCTTCTTCCGTCCCATCAGAGATGGCCGGGTAGGGATTCGGCGCGTCCTCGACGAACTGATTCACAAGTTCCGCCATCCCGACGTGCTCGGGCGGGTATGCGATTAGCGAAACCCCTCCCAACTCCGATAAAGTATCTGTCATTTCCGAATCCGACATGTACAGCTCCACCGGCGGAGAGAAATTCCGTCCTGCCTCGTGGGTGGGCGTGTTGTGAGGGCGAAAAAAATCCCCATGTTCTATCACCGCATTGACAACTTCCGATACGGGAACAAATGGATCGTTGTTGACGACATTCGGATACCGAGGTACAGCCATGAACGCCGACAAAGTCTCGTCGGTGACAGGATTCCCCCCAAGCACTGCGGAGTGATCGCGCGGCTCCAACTCCAGACGCTGCTCCGAAGAGTCAGCACCCAGGTCCATATCGGCTTGCTGTTCACCTTCCCGCGCCATGTCTTCACGATTCGCAAGAGAAAAAGGCTGTAGAGACAACGCGTCAACAGGCTGAGGGTGTAAGGATAGAAGGACGTCGCATGATGATGAATTGGTAGGCTGGGTATCCCGATCACCCGAATATAGCGCCGTTGATCTGGAAGTGGACGAAGAAAGTAAGGACGAAGACGACGAGGACGACTGGAAGGCTGGTTGTTCGGTCTGGCTAGGCATCCCGGCCGCCTAGCGAGTGCAGTGCTTGGCTGCCGACGAGAATCGATAGTCAGTAAAAGACCTGCGCCAGCGCTTGGGGGGGGGGGGGGGGGCGGCAAACAAACACAGAAACAAAAAATCGAAGATCGGTGATAATTTGGGAGGGGACAGTACACAGGATCTACCTAGACACGATATGTGATTGGCACTTGAAGTCTCACAGAGAGCGGAATAGCCGTCCACGTTGCGCTCGATCGGGATCAAAGATCTTGCTATGCAAACCGTTGTTCACCCCGCAGCCTATCTATCTCCCACCACCGCCCCCACACCTAAGGGAGAATGACGATTCCGAGTTGGGCGTCAATGATCAGGTTCAGTTCCCCGCCGAGTAGTCGAAATAGGAAGGCCGCAGCTCCGTAAGACGCAATGGTGTGATACTGTGCAAGGATAGAAGGGAGGTGGAGAAGCCGTATGAGACACACAACCTCGGGGCTTGCCAGGAAAGACGAGAACAAAGGCGAAGGAAGGGGCAGGACAAAGAGATGCACGGATGAAAGAGATTTCAAGGAACAAGGGAAAAAGAAAAGAGAAGAGAAGAATAAAAGAAAAATCAGCCACCCCTCGAGGTAAGGCAATGATGATCTGAGGCGACTAGCTTAGCGGCGGTTTGAAGTGCAGCACAAGGGCCCTAGCGAAAGGAGGGGAAATCAGCAAAGCGTAGGAGGGGAAGCAATGATGTGAATCGTCAGAGGCATTGGCTGCATGATGAGCGAAACGTGCACTTGTCACATGGAAAAGGAGTTTTAAGATGATGATGATGATGATGATGATGATGTGGTTGAGGATGAGAATATAAGTTGAAGTTGAAGTTGGAGGATGTCTTAATTAGTCAGGCATCAGCCCAAAATAGGAGAACTGCAGCTTTCTCTTCTCAACAGTAGATCCTATATATCCTATATGATACTATGGTAATATTCTGTAGAATAAAAGAATCATAATCTAAATTGCAGGACGCATGTACAACCAGGGATCATGTCTTTTGTACAGGGCTATTGATTGGACCAGTTACTGGTATGCTAAAGGGCAGTTCAAAGCTTCAACCGGGATCAAAAATAACAACATATACCCAGGTAGTTTAGTATGGGATATATGAGTTCTATTTCTCATCCTCTAGGTAGGTAACTGACTCTATCTTATACTTCTTATACTTCTTATACAACTCTCTAACTACGTAGTTAGTAAACTGCAGTCCCCAAGCTGACTAATCAGGAATCAGGTGTCAATTTAGCCTAGAGAGAGAGATATCGTCTTCGCGAACTGCATCTCTAGAGCATCATATGTCACACCAACTTCAATTTATCCATCATTCATACATCTATTCTTCAATCATTGAAGACCTATTAGGATGAGGAGTTCTTAGGTTGTTCTTCAGATATAGTTCCTGTGAAGTATTTCTTCCCCCGTCTCCCCCCCCAAATATGATGGGATAACTAACTACAGGTCGAGAGACAAGGAAGGCTATTAGCAAAAATAGAGATTAACAATCATTCACGCGATTGTGCAAATCCTGCAACAATCCGAATCGTGTTGGATTCTGGTTCCTCGCCCGAGGTCCACGCCACATCTTGGAATCCAGCCTTGCGCATACATTGGTCCCACAGGTGCTCATTGGTCACTGCATGCTCCCGACCATCGTTGAATAACCACCATCCTTCAAAAAGTCCCACGGCGATATCCAGCCAGAACATGTTGCGAGTAATCTCCACGAGGGTCACCACCCCGTCGTCGCGTAGCATTCGCCGGATATTGGTCAGGGAATGCGTGAGGTTTTGGGTGGCATGGATGCAGTTGGTCGAGATAACGACATGGAAGGAGGAGAGGTCCTTGGCTTCAGGGTCCTTCTCAATGTCCATAACCCGAAATTCCATTCCTGGAACATTTTTGAAATTGCGCTTGCCGGCTCCCACAAGCGAAGAAGACAAATCCGTGAACACGTATTCGAATGGGATGTTGTGACGTTGCAGATGATCGACGATATACTTGGTCGTGCCTCCGGTACCCGCACCGATTTCCAGAATTCGGAATTTGCCCGGTCGATCTGGCCGCGAAAAGAGCGTTGTGAGATACTCTCCCAAGACCAATGTTCCCGTGCGGACAAGGGGCCAGTTCTCGTATACATCATCCAGATTCTTCTTGTTGACTTTATCGCCAAACACCAACTGCAAACCGTCTTTCTCGCCGGTCAAACAGCCTGCTAGCTCACTACCAGTTACCTGCACCAATTTATGCACGTTTGCATGCTCGGGGTATTCGTCAAGGATCTCGGTGAATATTTGGGATGCTGGGGTGGGATCAATAGGATTGCTTGTGCGGATGAAACCTCCAGCTCCGTTCTCTATCACCAAGTTCGCATCTTCCAGAACTCGGTGTAGCTGCCTTATTAACTGCTTATGTCGCGGGAGGTGTGGCACGTCTGGGAGCACTTCCCCTGGTGCCAGGCGGTTCAGATCGCATCCTAACTTAGCCCACGCCTCAACCACATACGCGAGTATCAAACTGGCCTGGCGAGGATAGGCATCCCTCCAGAAGTTCACCGCTTTCGTCCCCACAGCCAGGCGATCATATGCATGCTGGATCTCGTCAAATGCATCACGAGCATGAGACAGTCCGGGTCGGTCCACCGAGCTTTGCCCGTTTGCAGTTGCTTGACCTGGAACCTTACCTGGCCCGTTGTTTGTCCCATTCACCAGAGTGGTGGAGACTTCGCTGATCTCAGCAGATGGGGACACCCCCAGCTGTGTGTCAAGATAGGTATAGACGGCCTTCACGTTCGGGAAGAAGAGGAAAGTGTTCATGTCAATGTCGAGGCCGAAGGCGGTCTTGACCTCATTGACGACTTCCGTCACCAGAAGGGAATCAATTCCGAGATCATCCAATGTAGAGTCATCCAAGATTTCATCCAGCGGAATGTCGGTTATCCGGTTGATCAGGCTGAGTAGTTCATCCCGCTTACTCGTAGCCACCGCCAGTGGCTTAGAGACGATGTTTACGTTGGCAAATGGCTGGCTGGTGGGCGTGAGAATGGGCGGTTCAATACCCGCGGTCAACTTTGGCAGCAGCATGTCAGCCGCCGTTTCTTGACCCGCATTTACGTCCCTCAAGGACCGGGTCAGCACCGATTGGAGGGTACGCATGAAGTGGAAGCCAAGGAAGGTAAAGACCAGCTGCCCGGTGTTGCCGTCAAAGACATAAACGTCGCATTCGGCCGTTTGCTCGGTGTCCTCGGTCAGAACGGCGTACACATTCCACTCATGCGCATCGGGATTGAAGTTGCCCCCGGTTTCGATTCTGTCGATACCGAGGCACACCATTACCTCATCTTGACTAGGGTGTGTGAAATAATTAACTAGCACTCCTGCATATTGCATGAGACCGTCAATCAAGGGCGCGTCATAAAGCCGTTCGTGGGGAGCCAGGGCCGGATTGACAGTGGCCATGACTTTTCCCGCCGCCTCGTGGCCGACACTGGCAATACTCTTCATACCTTGATACATTGGGTCGAAGAAAACAAGTCGCTGAATGGCTTGGTAGATATGCTTTCCCTGCATCTTCTCCGCCTCAGGATGATCCAGAATCTCTTTGCATCGGCTGCTTCCGATCAGGGCTTCGTATCGTTTGAACATCTGCGCCAGCTTGGAGTTTTTACGCTCGGCCAGAGAGACCACTCCAGTCGTGTGGACTGAGCTGTCTGCCGTTTCAACCGCCAATTGTCCTTTGGGTCGGCTTGAAATCTCGAATTCCCAGGCTAACGAGTCGCCTGACACTGGTGTTAGATCTAGGACAACGTATTTGTTGCTATCCAGCCCGATTGCAGTTTTCATCTGCAGGGATTCAATCCGGCTAACGTGCGACTTGTAGGCATCTGCATCGGGATGGAGCAGCAAAGCCGCGCGGGAGATCAACTCGATGTAAAGTGAGACTGGTGCCAAAGCTTGACCCGAAGTGATGTGGCCATTTAGCAGCATGCGGTATCTCTCACTCTCCGGGTCGACTATGAATCTGGCCTGGCCTGCGATGCTACCATTATAACCAGCAAAGGAGATAAATTCGTGCCCAACGTCTTCCAATCCGTTCTCAGAGCTACCTGTAGGTGTAGGAACGCCAACAGACTTGATGAATGGTAGCCAGTGCTGATTCTTCTCAAATTGATATGGGGGCATCGTCAAGAAACGATGCTCATGTTTCTGTTTCTGGTGGAAGGCCCAGAACTGAACTGGATGACCGGCCTTCCAAAGATCCAATGTCAAGCCCGACAGCAGATCGCTTGAATTGGGTGCCGTCAACGGTGACGCGAATACCCGCTGGTCAGCGTCCACGCTAGACCCGAGACAACCCCGTAGCAGCTGCACGATAGAGGAGCCATGGCCAGCCTCTAGCCAGGTGCACTGAGGGAAGCGCTGTACAATCCTTCCAATTGCTTGGTGGAAGAAGACTGGCTTTCGTGTATGCTCTGGAATTAGCCTGAAGTCGAGGTCCTGCATTGACTGCTCTTCCGTGCATGTCTCCAAATAAATGCTGGGACTATTCCAAGTTAGACTCTTGGCCAGATCCGTGAGGCGAGGGAGCAGCTTTTCGGTGTATTTAGAATGGAACCCATGCGTTACTTTCAGTCGCTTGAGGCGCATTGAATCCTGGAACGCCGCGTTTGAGGCAACGACACTCTCTAGGAGTTCGATAGAGGCCGTGGAGCCAACCAGGACATGGCTATTTGGACCGTTGTAGCAGGCGACTTCGATGTGATTATCACCTTGGGCATTAACCGCGCCCACCAATTCGGTGACCTTCTCGCGACTGCCGTTGACCGAGATCATACTTCCCCGCTCGGGGCCCCAGTGACGGACCATCAAGTTGGCTCGTCCAACAACAAGCTTAAGAGCATTCGGCATGGATAGACAGCCCGAGATACAAAGCGCTGTGAGCTGTCCAAAACTGTGCCCGACAACCGCATTCACCTTTAAGCCACAATCTATCCAGCACTTGGCGGACGCATACTGCACAGCGAAGAAAGCCGCATGTAGGGTGGTCAGGTTGGCGATCGGAGTGCTCTGGAAAATTGCCGGCTGCAGGCTACCGAATCCGAGGTTTTGCAACTCTGCATCACAGGCATCAAGATGATCTCGGAACAAAGCATTCCTGGCGTAAAGCTCCTTCGACAATCCGACCATTTCACTATCTTGACCTCCGAAGACCAGGACGACCGGCCTTGGCTCTTTATTAAACTCTTCTCTGCTGAAGACTCTGGATCCGGTCGCTACCTCGCCAAGGATGCTACGAAGATCATCCAGAGTTTCAACGCTCTCAGCCACCGTGTATGGAAGTGTGGGGTTGGCTTTCGAGGTGAGATTGAACACAAAATCCGCCACCAGTCTCGACTGCTCCTTCTGCGTGGGATAGCTAGCCACATATTTCAACACCTCGTCGGCATACATCGACAGACTCTTTTGTGACATGGCAGACAACACCAGTGGGTATCGACATATGGGCCTTGAAAGTTGGGCGCTGGCCGCAGGTAACTTCGGTCCTTCGCGAAGTGCAACAACCGCATTGCTGCCAGCAGCTCCATAACTGTTAATGCATGCAAGACGAGAAGAGGCATCCCAAGGTTGATTGGCCCCAGGGATTGCCATACGGTCAACCTGAAGGTCTGGAATCTTCGGGTTAAGTTTAGAGAAGCTAGCCTGCCCCGGAATGGTTTGGTGGTGCATCATCAGAAGCACCTTGACGAGACCCGCCACTCCAGCCGCGGCTTCGGTATGCCCAATATGCCCTTTAACGGAGCCAAAGTACAGCGTATTGTCCCGCTTGGGCCCTCCAAAAGCATCGCGAATGCTCTGGCATTCTATGGGGTCACCAACCTGGGTTCCTAGATCGCAATGTCAGCATCAGCAAGATGTACACGCTCCTAGGTTTTGGACATACCTGTTCCATGTGCTTCGACATATGACACCGATTCAGAGTTAGTGTCGGCAAGCTTTAATACCTGTTTATAGGCGGCAGTCTGCGATGCAGAGCAAGGAACAGTGATGTGGCTATCGTTGTCATTCTGATTGACGGCTGATCCAACAATTACGCCTAGGATGTGGTCACCCTCTTCGATTGCCTTATCGAGCGACTTAAGAACCACTGCACCAACACCCTCTCCACGACAATAGCCGTCCGCAGAGGCATCAAACGGCTTACAGGGCCCCGAGGGACTCAGAAATCCGGCTGCAGCCAGGTTTTGGTAATCGAAGGGACTGGTGAAGACATTGGTACCTCCAGCAATAGCACGAGAACATTCACCATGCTGGATTGACTTGCAGGCGGCGTTGATCGCCACCAAGGACGATGAGCACGCGGTGTCAATTGTCATCGAAGGCCCCGTAAATCCAAACTGGTGACTGATTCGGCCACTGAAAAAGGCGCGGGATGTTCCGAGCATTGAATATGCCGTTGGAGGGTGGCACGATACATTATCATAGTAGTTGTTGGCAACAGCGCCAATGTAGCAGCCATAGTCCTTCGGGTTGGATTCACACCCGACTCCAAAGTACCCGGACGATTCCAGCGCCTGGTACACAACTTCTAGGATCAGCCGTTTCTCGGGGTCCCAAAAAAGTGCCTCTCGGGCTGACTTCTTGAAGAATCGATGGTCAAATGTGTCCGGGTTCTGAATGAAGTTCCCCCACCACTGGATATCTGCGCGATCTTGCACACGCAGATCGTTCAGAGGCAGTCGATCGACTGGTGGCGAAGTAGCCATGGACTTGCCCGAGAGGAGAAGCTTCCAGAACTCGTCTACAGACTCAGCCCCGGCAAATCTACATGCCATGCCAACCACGGCAACAGAGTGCGGGGGATATTGGGTTCCCTGCAGAACACTATCAGCTGTTGGCGATGTGTACAGCGTCATATCGTCTGCAAGTTGTGTTTGATGAGGCGGAACATTTTTCGGGGGCAAGGGTGCTGCTGGTTTATTCCACAACGAGATGATATGAGTGGACTTTTCTCGTAGCAACGAGAAAGGAATTGGACTATCTCCAAAACCCGCAAATACAATAGTGCGGTTAACGTCTGGTAGATCATTGATGGCGCCCTGTATGGTTTTGTACCAGTTTGCCGTCTGACCTAGGAGACTTTCCAGAGCCAGCTCATGTAGTGACGGACCGGGGACAATCTCACCCGTGAAGTTCGAGCGCAGAGGAATGGTAGGGCCCTTGAGGGCTGGGAATTGCATGTCTTGTCTTGTGCAACAAAATTCCTGAAGCTTTGTGATTGCATAAGCATGCGTGGCAGTGTGGAAGCGGCCTTGGATATCAACAGGGCGTACCCGCAACCCATTGACTTGCAGCGTGTTGGTCACTTGTTCCTTTTGCTCTATAGGAACAGTGACGGTGATACAGGACTCGTCATTGACGCAGGAGACATAAGTCTAATTTGATTGTTAGCTCCATGACTTGACTTTGTGTAAGGCTTTGTTCCAATTTGTTTCCTCTCCCACCACTTTAGGGCCTGGCAACTTTTCGTGCTCTTGCTACCTTAGCAATGGGCACTCACCTGTGGGAACTTCTGAAGCAGTTGGTCTACCTCCTCCCGAGTCGTGTCTTCATTCCTCCATCTCACTGCCATACTGGCGGTTAGGCGAACCGGCTGAGCAAAAACACTGTCCTTGTCCACGTAAGCGCCCACGCACACAGCCAGGCGAATGCTCACGGCAGCGGAAACCGCAAGGTCGGCTTCGGTTTCCGCCTGGGCAACTGCAGCGGCTGAGAGGAATCCTAGACAGAATCCGTGGACGCCGCTGTACTCCAGACTCTTCCGGACTCTCTCATATGGGTGTTGCTCCTGTAGCAAGGCCAGATAGCGCACATAGAGAGCAATCTGCAAAAGGGTCATCAAGGGGAATGATAGAGTGTTGAACTCGTGGTCGAAGCAGGTGAGGTCCCCCGTTTCCATCCATTGCACAAGGTCCCTGAGATATGTGTCTCCAGGAACATGGCGTAACTCTGGATCAGCCTGTGTTAGGTCATGCCACAGGGCTGGCAAGCCATTCACTGCTGCCCGAAGCCCTTCAAGCTGAGGGTGGGAGACCAGGACCTGACGAAGGTCTTCCGCAGCTTCTCCTTGTGGAAGACTGCATTGCGGTCCAAATACCAGCATTGCTGGGAACGGCACAGCGGACCCCATGATGCGTAGTAGAAAGAAGAGATAGAAGAATAAAGAAGATGGGATATGAGAAATCTGAATCAAACAACTGTTGTTAAGAGTTAGGCTGAGCTGATAGGCCTCTGCTAAAGGAGGACGATTGCTGATATCTCCATATGTCCAGCAGGTCGTGGCATATTTATTACTGGGCGAGGTGGTCCATCATGTCCAGCATCAATACGGAGCTCCTTCTTTGTCATGCCATGACTCTGATGGAATGGAAATCGCATTGCTTAGTTTCTCCTCAATTCCCTCCATCTTACTACACCTATCTCCGACATACTGACGGGATCTACAGGACCGTTGCGTCCAACCCCCCATGAAGCTAGCTAGCTTACATGGTGCGTGAGATTTTAGCGAAGCCTGGCAATTCCGGGACGAATCGGAGGATCTTGGCGCTGGCCATCACACCGATAGTTCAACGGTTTTACTAAGCTTGACAAATGCGTCGGCGAGACAGGCACCATTCTCGAGGGCTGCATCCGGCATATTGAATAGTTTCATGGCGTGCTCTAGATTGGCTTGTCCACGTCCGTGCAGCAAAGTACTCCAACCGGGGTTGACAGGCACCGCCAAGTTGCAAGCTTATATTGCACTCTTGCGTGTGGTATCAAAGTTTGCTTGAAATGATACTTGGCGTAAGATACCGGACACCTTCCACACTTGGTATCTGCTCTCAGATAGAGCCCTGGAGTGGTCTCGAGGCTCTGACACCCTAGGGTATCCAGATGTACTACTGCTGAGAACAGGGTAATTGGGTTTCTGACCTGATCTTAGCACTTTTCACATTCAGGTAGGAATATGTCTTTGCGGGTAACGCGCGTGCCTTATAGAGGCACCTTTCTTCTTCCTTTCTTCTTTTCTGTCGAAACAGGTAGTCATATTTAGCTGAATTCTTATTGGTTCTTGTAGTATGCGGAGTGATTTTTGCGCAAATTGACTCTCGATGGACATATCTTTGACCACTCGTCATGGACTAAAGCTACTATTAATTACCGTTCACAAGGGAAGGGGGGGGGGATTACTTTTGTTAACCTGGCCCCAACTGTGGATATTCCAACAAACGGTACAGTGTAGATCCGATTCATCAGGGCCATTGAATCGGATTGATAGTAGGGGTAGGTTTACTTTGGGACCATCTCCCCCCTTTCTCCAGTGCCCTTTGCTAAACTCAACATAGTGTTCCCGTCTGCTTCGCCACGAGCAGAATCTGGTCTACAACGAGCGCCACATCCTTCTCGCGCACGGGCACGCGGTGGTCGCCATCCCATTCTACTACGCGAGCTGTCCCCCTTTCGCACCATTGAAGTAGCTTCCTGTGTAGTGGCAGGCCCGGATCCCGTAGACCATGGACATGCACAGTTGGCAGACTGATCTGGCGCTCGGGCACTTGGTAGTTCTGAAACGTGCCGGTAGTGATCTCGGATGCCTCCGCCAGAGCAGACGAGGTAAGTAGCTCGGTATCCAGCGAGACAAGGGGCGGACGAGCCGCCAGCAGGACTGCAAAACGAAACCGGGACCCTGAGCGCGCGGTGCCTAACTTCTCTGCTCGGATCTGCTGGCGATAGAGCAGACTGGCGCAGATTTTGCCCCCTTGGCTGAAACCCATAAGGCCGGCCCATTCGCCTGTAGCGCCTTTTGCGTCGTCGGCTGCCATCGCGGCTTGGAGGGCTCGGTCGATCTCGTTGATGATCTCTTCCGCGTCGTTGGGGTGGTGATCGGGTTTCCAGCACAGCCAGCGACGGAAAGGCGCATAGTTTTGAAACGTTGGGATCATGCCCGGTCCTGGATCGGACAGGAACGGCCCATCTACGAAACAGAGTCGAAAATGCCGCTGGAGTTGCTTGATGAGGCTGCGGCTCTGGAGACGGAATACCTCGGCCGTGACACCACCGCCGTGGAGACAGAGAATGCGTGGTAAGTGTAAAGTAGGGTCTGCCATGTTGATATACTGCGGATCAACTCTAGGGTTGAGAATGGGTGTCTTGGAGACAGGAGGGGGGGATTTAGAATTGTCAAGGACTAAAGATAGAAAGGAGATGAGGGCCGTTCACCCTGGGTTTGGGAACTGAACAACGATCAGAGATCTCTCGCACTATGTGATCCGAAACAGGTCCGAAACAGTTCGCGGTCGACCGATATTATCATTCAGTCAAGTCGGATATACGGATACCAGTGTTCTAAACGCCGGCCAGCAGGGCAATATAACTAAATGGCATAAACAATCCGAGATGCATGACTATCGTCCCGTCCGCAGCTCCTCATACTCAGGGCTAATCGAAGCCTACCATGGGGCCTCCCTATCAGAAGATGACTGCCGTCCTCGGCGAGGTGCCTACGCCTCATGTGGATGTTCCCATCGACGCCGTGTTCATTGGGCTCTTTGTTGTGGGTGCAGCGTCCCATATGACTCTTTTCCGACTGAACTTGCGACGCGGTCATAAATTCATCCCTTCTGCAGCTACCTTTGGCTTCTGCATGACCCGCATCACGGCGAACGCGCTGCGCATCGCATGGGCGTATCACCCGTCGAATGTGCCCCTCAGCATTGCAGCGCAAATATTCGTGGCGGCCGGGGTAGTGATCCTCTTCATCCTCAACTTGCTCTACGCACAGCGGATACTACGCGCACTCCATCCGACGGTGGGCTGGTCCAGGTTTCTCTCCACCACCATGAAGCTGACATACCTATTGATAATCCTGACCTTGGTTGCCGTCATCACCGCGACCGTCCAGAGCTTCTATACCCTCAACCGCCATACGGGGCGTATTGATCTAGACCTCCTCCGATACGGGACTACCTACTTTGCCTTTGTCGCAACACTGCCCCTGTTCATCATGGCTTACGTGGGCCCCCGATCACGCCACCCACACGAAAAGATGCAGCCGTTTGGCCGCGGTGGAATCGCCGCCAAGATGGGGATCGTTACGGCTGCCGCGATGCTCCTCTCGTTAGGGGCCTGGTTCCGGGCAGCCACTATCTATCTGGCTCCGCACTCGGTGGCGTCACCTGCCTGGTACCAGACAAGACCATGCTTCTATGTGTTTAACTTCACCGTTGAGATTATCGTGGTCTATATCTTCCTTCTCACTCGGGTGGACCGTCGCTTCCACGTGCCCGATGGTAGTTCCAAGCTTCGCCAATACACGGTCAATGCTTAGCTGAACTGACAGCCAACAAGCCTGTCTCTCTTGCAAGGAAGGGGTGGGGGGGGGGGGGCTGCATTTCAGTAAAAGAGTTTCAAGTGTCCTTGCATACAACGTACGGTTCGCGGAGTCTCGAAGGAAGGCCATAAAGCGTAAACCCCGGTTGATTATTAACTTGGGCCGGATTTTAATTATCTGACAGGTAGAGCTTGATATCCGGTGGTGGATGGAGCCCAGAAGATATTTTGTAGATCCTCTCAGGATCAGCAGATAAATCGAACATGTTTCACAAGCCCTCATCCAAGTAAGCCACCGCTAAAAGACTTAGCGTTACGGGAACTAAGACAAGCAGGGTTATACTATATAGCCCCCTCATATCAATAGGTTACTGCTTTAAGCACCGGGTTCACATCCGATACATACCAATTGCGTCGTCCTATTGGTTCGGCCACAGAGACTTACTTTCGTCCGACAACGACCGAACGGACAGCGATGTGACGCGGTTTCCTAGTCTGTTCCCTTGCAGTAGAGTAGGGGTCTTGGATTCCACTGCTATCCGGAAGGGCCGCTTCAGAAAGTACAAGCTGGCGGTTACGATGCCGAACTAAGACACCTGCGGAGCCTATGTTTCAATGCTGACCCTTGTTCTACAGAGCTTTCGAGCTTAGGGCTGTGGCTTTGGCAGGAGTGAGCACCTACCTGTACCCGGAGTACGTACAGATACGGCCTGGATAGTGTACTGATCGGTCCAAGTTTGCTGGATTCCCCTCGTTGAAGCTGGAATCAATAATAGTAACAGCTAGGAAGGGAAATTACGATGACGATGGGGTGAAATTTGAGCCAAAGGAATGCACTCATATACTGTATGTAAAAGGTACCCGTCATAACCTGGCCGTTAATGTACTGGTAGCAATATTCCAGCTCTGATATCATTTCTCCAAGCTATCCCTGTTACCTAGTGCTTCTAGGCAATCTCCGGCTTCGAGCCAGCAGTATCTCGTTATTTTCCCATGGTATATCCGGATGCTGGCTACGTACGTGACTTGCCCTCAAGTGAGGATGCAGTCCACTTCTATTGACGCGGCTGCCAGTTGCATCTCCATATTTACTGAACCATTCATTCTTCTCCAAGAAAATAACCCAATCTGCGTCAAGGACCACCACATGCCAACGGGCGTCGTAACATCACGATCGGCGGCATCCTGCTAAAGTTGACCACATCCCGTGCTAGAGTCTGACCGGCATCACTCTCCAAGGCCCGTTGACGGGCCTCCGCACTGGCCCAGGTGACCGCAATCTCGTAACTAAAGGGGGCATCGTCGGGCAACCGGTACAGTTCCCAGGAGACCAAGACAGACGGGCCTAGTAACTCGGCCGCCAGAGCCATATGCGTGTTGACATAGTAATTGCCATTAAACTCGGCCTCGCGAGGATAGAGATTCTGCATGGATATGTGAGCAGGGAGGATCGCGTCGTGCCGGTTCGTTGTCTGGTACTTACTGTATATGTGGCCGTCATCTTTGCTTGAGCTTTCGGCTCTCTGCTGAATCGCGTGAGCCAACTTGATTTATGTAGGATTGAGTCCAGCAAAAAAAAAGAAAAGAATAATCAGAAAAAAAAGCCGCATCCTACGTTTGTTAGTGATGGCATAGCGTCAGCCCTAAAACTCACCCCGGGCCCCCCCCCCCCCTCTAGCAGTAAATAGCTCACTAACTACTCTGTATATTATATGTCAGAGACTAGAATCTGCCTCGTCTGCTCCCTTGGACGGAGTTTTCTCTATGTCCGGACCCCTAAGCCCGATTGCAGTGGTGCAGTCTGAAGTCGTAAAGTATGTGTCTTCTCTCTATCTCTCTCGGGACTCCTTATTCTGCTGGCTGCACCACTTCTGCCTCCTATTCATGATTACATCCAGAATGCCTGCAAACCACAGCATTAAGAAAGCCTTATCCCTCATTCAAAATGATGCCTCCAAAGTGCTCGGCTTAAATGTCGGGAGGTATGAGGATGTCCAGCCGGGCCAGTACATCCCTCGAGCCGGTAAGAAGAATATTATAGTTAGACCTCTTATATATCAGGAAGGTCTCGACAAAACTAACCTGATCCCGAATGTATGGATTGCGGGAATCCGATTAGATGCCCAGTCACACCCCGACCTATTCTCCCGCAGCCTTTCGCCCAGTAGCACTTACATGGTCGTCGGGCTCGATATCGACGCGCCTTTCCCGTCCTTCGGGGTTCTTGGTCCCATTCTCCATTGGATCCAGGGCGGGCTCCAACCCACTCCCTCCGAGTGTAACCCGGGCATCTACTACACCTTGGAGGTGACCGCGCCCTTTGTCGCCAACTATATCGGGCCTGCACCGCCCCCAGGGAGCTCCCCGCATCGGTATATCTTCATCTTGTACGAGCAGCCGGCCGGCTTCGATGCGAAGAAGTATGCGCCGCCGAATGGGCAGAATCTGGGAAACATCCATCGGATGCGCTATAATCTGGATGCGTGGGAGAAGGAAATCCAGCTGGGCCCTATCGTTGCCGCAAATTACTTCAAAAGTAACTAAACTCGGGGGGGATCGCGGTGTATTGAGTGATGTATCTACATATGTATAGTTATGTATACAGATCCTGAGCTGAGTAATACAGGAAATCAACCCCGCTTCACTTGATCAAGTCAATACTTACTTGAAGCTCATTCTTGATCTGCTCGCCATCCGCTCTAAATCCACTTCGATACCTTCCTGGATCTCCCCAGTCTGCCAGCATGGGCGACGCACCACTCCCCAACCCCGTCATCGTCCTCGCCTTCTTCCGCGAAATCCCACCCGCATTTCGCGAAGCCATCCAGAACAAGTTCCCCGATGCGAACCTGGAAGCCCTGGTTCTCCAGCGAGGAGAGCCAATTCCAACCGGTGAGGATTCTCTCCCTCATTCCTCTCTCCGACAGAGCTAACCGTGAGACGTTGGACCAGACGTGTCCCGGAAAGCCACTGTAATCGTAACGTTCACGAACCTCCCCACGCCGGAAGATGCAGCCCAGTAAGTCAAAAAAGCAAGCAAGCTTCTCTGCCGTGGACCCAACACTCACTTGACCGTGGACAGTATCAAGGTTATTCACTTCCTCTCTGCAGGACTGGACCACTTGATCCACCACCCGGTTCTCACCCAAACCTCCATCCCCGTAACGACCAGCTCCGGCATCCACGGCCCGCCAATCGCAGAGTGGACGATCATGAACTGGCTGGTGGCCTCGAAGAAATACGCCCGGTCGTACGAGAACCAGAAGACACACACATGGGGCTCGCACGACGCATACATGGACGGCTTGCACGACCAGGTCGGCAAGAAGGTCGGAATCCTGGGCTACGGAAGCATCGGACGACAGAGTAAGTTTTCCCCTTCCTACCGGGGTTTCCTTTTCCATGCAAACAGCATACATATACATACATACATACCCTGTGTATGGATAATCCAACTAACACAACAATCCCCAGTTGGTCGAGTCTGCGCCGCAATGGGCATGACCGTCCACGCCTACACCGCATCCCCGCGAACAACGCCCGCCTCGCGCCGCGACCCCGGATACATCGTCCCCGGAACAGGCGACAAAGACGGCACCGTCCCTGTGTCCTGGCACCACGGGACAGACCGCGCATCCCTGCACGCGTTCCTCGCCCTCGGTCTGGACCACGTTGTCGTGTGTCTGCCCCTCACGCCGCAAACAACACACATGCTCGGCGCCGACGAGTTCGCGCTGCTGTCCGCCCGCCGACGGACCCCGCACATCGCGCCGTACCTGACCAATATCTCGCGCGGAAAGGTCATCGACCAGGCGGCGTTGCTGGCGTCGCTGGCATCCGGAGAGCTGCGTGGTGCGGCGCTGGACGTGACTGACCCCGAGCCGCTCCCGGGGGACCACCCGCTGTGGGAGGCGCCGAATGTTCAGATCAGTCCGCATGTCAGTGGATTGGGCGAGGAGTATTTCCCGCGGTCGTTGGATATTCTCCGGGAGAATCTGGGTAGACTGGAGAGGGGGGAGGCGTTGATAAATGAATACAAGCGGGGGAAGGGATATTAAGGTAATAGACTGGGTTTTTTTTTTTTTTTTTTTTTTTTTTTTTTTTTTTTTTTTTTTTTATGCTCTAGAATTTGATAATCCAGGCTGGTTATCATAGACCTCTAAAGGAAACAGAATATAATTCTATCTGGGGGTTAGAACACAGTATGTGATCCTCCAGTAACTGCTGAATAGTATAACAAGGGTAATATACATAAATAAATGAACCCGACCTACGCATGACTCCGTCCCTGGGTATGTGGAAGAAAGGAAAACACCGAAAAGATAAATGCTCATGCGGAATCACCATCCCGTTGTATATCCCCCGAAAGCTGGGCTAGATTAGAGAAATCAAACTTGATTCGAGGAACCTGAGACCCTTGACCAGTTCTATATTGCCCTTCAATCAAGGTAGACAATCGCCGACCCCAAAGATCAACAGTAGCAGCATTGGTATCGACTGACATTCCATCCCCGCATGTATATAAATCCGCCTTTGACGCTTCGCTGAAAGAGGCGGATAATAAGGACACATGTGCGACCTGCCTAAGTCCTATATGGTAGAGTTCACACCCTTGCGGTATTTTCTCAAGGGGTAATTTGTTCGTGCTAATGCGGGTCAGACTCGAAGCACTCCGCGCGTCTGCACCGTGGGATTGAAGACGCAGTAAATATGCCCTGGGGTCGCCCGGGTTCAAAGGCGGTTGCAGTGAACCTGGCGAGTTTATAGATTCCTGGCGGCTTGATGGTTCTGGTTCAGCCTGCGAACTTAAGGCCGCGCGAGCGGCGAGGTACCGGCTTAAATGCGGCGATGAGTTTGTATGGTTATTAGAATTTTGGCGCAGGCCGTTCACTTGCTTGCGCCTTTCCTGGATCGCGGCCCTTTTCCTGTTCTCGAACTCGAGTGCTTTTTCGAGCTCGGCGTTCTGGCTGGGATTTGACATACTATGTAGTCTGGCAGACCACTTTTCAAGAACTGGGAGTTCCTGACGCTTGTCCCTGGTTGATTCGTTGGTAATCTGTGGGGAGTTGGATCTTGCCAAAGTCTGCTCGAGTGGTGATTCACTTGTATTCTCGGGAGATGCAGAGTCCTGCCCATCTTCGACGGACCCGAAGCGTTGTTGGGTAAGCAGGGACAGAGAATGCTCTTCTTCTCCGTCTCCTGCGGCTGCTGCACCTACAGTGGTAGCTGCCTTGCGGATGGCTTGTGAAGTCTTCAAGAACCAGGTATCCAAGGCCCCGTTGCCGTAGCGTTCTCGATCGCGCCTTCTTTGGTCCTGTAGTGCACGGCGGGATCGGTCTAAAGGCGTAAGTCGGGTGGAAGTAGGGGAGTTAGCCAAAGAGCCTGCGATCGATTGAGAATTGGTGCTGGATACAGGACTGGGCAGAAAGGAACCCGAGGCGTGTGCCTGGGTGGCTTGGCGTAGACTTATGCGTCTTTCGCCAGCAGTCTCTGTCTCTTGGGGTTGCATAGGAGATGATGCTTCATGACGGAATGCTGGTTCCCCAGTCCTGTCGGCTGGACCACACGCGGAGGACGAATTAGGCGAGGTAGGAGGCCTCCGGCTTGTCTGTTGCTCGGATGGTACATGCTTAGTTCTCGGCCAAGCTTTGTTCACAGAACGGTTGGGAGGTAATTTCTGGCGCACGAGTGACACGACAGGCTCCGTGCGCTTTCGCTGAGAGACCGTACTCGCATCCTCGATTCTTTGGATGTGCTCATGTGGTTCATTTCCCCACCGACGCAACTCGGTCCCATCGGAAGGCGACACTGTCGTCCCTTTTGCAGCCACAGACAGATCCGATCCGATCGTTTCGATCCTCTCGCCGTAAGTATTTCGAAAAAGATCTTCTACCAAGGAAAGTACGACGTCTGGGTCCTTGAACAACACGTCATCTTTAGCCGGCTCCACATTAACATCATAGCTGGCCTCGGGACACTGCATATGAAGGCAAAGAAAAGGGTCTGTGAGAGTTGGGAGTACTCCCCCCTGGGACGCAGCTGATCGGAGGTAAGATTTGTAAAGCTTCAGGATGTTTTGAGCAATTCCCCTATTAGTCGACAAAGGCCTGTAGTCAACACTGATATATTGACCTAAATTGTTAAACTTGGTGATATCTACTTGTATTAGACAGAGCATGCGAAGTACTCTAACAGACTACATACCGGCATCAACGTTGGGAAGAAGAGCAACCACTCTGAATCCTGGGTTGGTGTCCTCTTGACATAGCCCAGAACCCGAACCTGACAAGGCGGGCCATTCCTTCAGAGTACAAGTGGAAGCAACCTCGGTGCCAACAATTTTCATTGTGGCATCTATGAGCCCAGCGTCCTGGCTGGGGGCATACACCCAGTCGCTATTGTCGTTATTAGCTTTCAGGATTTTCAGGGACAGCCGATTCTGTGGACGAGACATGGCATATGACTGTATCATCTTGCGAATTCTCACTATCGCTTTTGAAGAGCTTTTCAGGGCAGTTTGCCGCCGAACAGGAATGTGCTTGAACAGCTCCGTGAGGCGAATAGTGGTGCCAACAGGATGAGCAACTCGCTGTGTACTATACATACATCAAATTGTCAATTCTAGTCTGGCAGCGGGAGAAGATCTTGTTTACCTGGTTAGCTCCCCATTCCTCCCATACTTTAGAGCAGAGCCAACGACGTCCGTTTCCACTCTAGTACTGATCGTCAAACTCCCTGACCCTTCAGCCGCACTAGCCAGTGCTTCACCCCGAAACCCTAGCGATTTACCCCCAATTTTCATTAGGTCGTCCAGCGTCAGGATCTTGCTGGTGAACGAACGCCGGCAAACGAGTCCTTGGTCGGGGGAGGGGATTCCGTGCCCATTATCCTTGACTTGAATCACATCAACAGTATTCTGAGATATTTCAATAGATACCGAAGACGCCGATGCGTCCAAAGCGTTGTCCAGCAACTCTTTAACAATTGAGCAAGGGTCGGAAATAACCGATGTCGAGCCAATGGCCCGAACCGTGGTCTGGGGAAGAGCCGCAATTGGCATTGTCTCTTCTCATAAACCCATCCATAGACTGGAAAGTGAGAAAAATAAAGATGGAATATATGATAGGATGGCTCCGCCTGGAGCGTAGATACCGCTGGATGGGGGGGGTTTTAAAAGATGAGTACATATTTCCACGCACGCACGATATTCGGTGGTTTTCCACGTGTGATTAGTCAGGTCTGAATGTCGTGCAACAACAATCAGCTCGAAAAAAAAAAAAGCTTCAGCTTGTCAATTCCCAGCTTGGGGATCAGGAGAAGGATTCGGCTGCACTGAGTTCATGATGCTTTGCTCGTCGTTTTCCATCTCGCGGCTGGCAATTCCGGCAGTCTGCACTTTGATCGCGTTCCTTGCGTACACGTCGCAGTATTTCTTTCTTCATTTTGCGGAAGCGCCCCTGAGAGAAAGCGAAGTATGGCGGATCAATCTATTCGCCCTCTGCATCTGGATATGTTATTATCGATCATGCACAGTAGATCCCGGGCATATCCCCAAAGACTGGGCGCCGTCTGATCGTGAACAACTCGATGCCGATCAGGCGAGCAGTCGCCAGCGATGGTGCCGACGGTGCGATGCGTTTAAGCCACCAAGAGCACATCACTGCAAAACGTGTCGAAGGTCAGTGTCTGGCCGTAATTGAATCGAATGGGCCATGCTGACCTCTAATATTCAGGTGCATCCCAAAGATGGATCACCATTGCCCGTGGACGTCCAATTGCGTCTCTCATTTCACATTCCCACATTTCGTCCGCTTTTTGTTTTATGCGGTCATGGGGATGGGGTATTTGGAGACTCTTATCGTCGAGCGAGCGGCTATTGTTTGGGCCTCTAGAAATCTTCCAAGTGTATAGGGTGCATGCCCCTGGGTATTTTCTCGGCTAACCTCAGGACCACAGTATTTGGGACCTAGCGTCGTACAGATGGCTCACCTGTTGGTTCTGCTTGTCTTGAACAGTCTAACGCTTTTTGTTCTATTCATCCTTCTTGTCCAGACACTTCATTCGCTGGGCTCGAACACTACGACTATTGAATCATGGGAAATTGAACGGCACGAAACTCTCCTCCGAAGAGCCAGGCATTTTGGAGGATATCTTCCGGGCCCCGGGGGGGTCAGAGTACGAATCCAGAAACAGGAGTTCCCATATGATATTGGCATCTGGTCCAATATCCGAGATGGGATGGGCGGGAGCGCTAATGTAACTGACACCGTCTAAATGCTCATGGAGCTTACTAACGAGTGCTATGCATAACTAACTAGATCATCGGTTGGTTTTGGCCATTGGCTCGAACACCTAACAGGAAAACAGGGTTGCATTTTGAGGTTAATGGGTTCGATGGCAAGTTCATAGATATCCGATGCGCATATGTAGCCCGCTAACGCAAAGTAGACCCGAGTCTTTCATGGCCGCCACCAGATCCGGATCGCATTCCTGTACCGGCGACGAATCAGCAAAGCCACAATGGCTTTACTGCTGCTGAAGCTGCCTTTAATCGCCGTCAAGCAGGGGACTTGAAACGAAGAGGACCCGGAGATTTCCAGCGCCGCAAGCGGTTCCACACCAGGCTCGATCAGGATCGTCGTGAAAGTGACTCATCCGACGAAGGTAGCCAGACCAGCAACGGAGATTCCGATAACGGCGAGGAGGGGTGGAGGAATTCGGAAGGCGAACGACTGGGCGATTTCGGAGTCGATGAAGATGCCGAGTTCTACGACGAAGAGGATATTCCGTTGGCTATTCTGATGCAACAACGAGCGTGGCAGCAGCGGAAATGATGGCCGCCCATGTGAATTAGGAGTCCAGGGTAATCCAGGGTAAAAAAAAAAAAAAAACAAATCAAATCAAAAGTAATTCCTTATTAGGTACATGGTTATATCTTCTTCGCAACTCCTCGGAGTCTAACATATCCCAACCACTGACTACCGTCTTCCACGCGAGTAACAGTAGTTTGCAGGATCTCACAAACCTCCTGGACGACTGAGTCCCGTTTCTCAGGGGCCAGGGCGTCCAGGAACACAGCTCCCATGAGTCTTACCCACCCTGCCAAACCACCCGTTACCGAACTGGTCAGCTTTGTTGGGCGGTGCTCGGCCTCCATCTTCTCCACCTGGAAGCCAATACTCTCCAAAGCACTCGTCATCCAGGCCACGGACGGGAAAAACCACGGGTTGATTTCGCGGGCTTTCTCGATGGGAATACCTTGCTGCACGAGCGCGTACATCAGCGCGGTCGACACCTCGGGGATATTCCCATGGCCACCCATCTCAAAGACCAATGTGCCCCCGGGTTTGAGGCTATCATAGATGCCCTTGAGCGTTGAAATGCGTGTCGTCTCCTGTCTCAGGATCCAGTGCAGAGCGGCATTTGAAACCCTGTTCAGGAACAACCTATTAGCCTGGCCTGACTTGTATATATTCAGCAAGGACACCGCTTACACTTTATCCCAGGTTCCCTTGGCCACGGACGAGTCAGTCTCCAGGTAGCAGCAGTCCAGGACCCGGAACTCGGCTTTCTCCCCGCTGTACTCTCTGTTCGCGGCTTCGATCATGGCAGGCGAAGAGTCCAGACCCAGGACTTTCTCGACGAAGGGGAGGAAAGCTGCTGTGAATTTTCCATCGCCGCAGCCAATGTCCAGGACTTTGTCTGTTGGTTGGGGGTCCAGATATTGCAAAAGGGTCTGTGTTAATTTGGGAACGAAAGATGCTGAATCTGAATACGCCTAGATATGAGTTAGTTAACAACTGAGTGAGGCTCCAGATATAGTAACGTACCTCTGAGGACCAGGTGTCTTTGGCTTGTTGGCCAAGTGCGTTGTTGGAGGCCATGAACGAAAGTCTGACTTGCTACCTAGGTAGATTACTGTTATTATGATTGTTACCTAGGTATTGTATGTTTATATATATATACTCAGACAAGTTGTCACTCTTTATACCCAGTCATGTAGTGCTGGTCCGATGTCGGAGCCACCTATGGGACCTTCCCCCCCCCACCCAAATCCCTGAGAGTATGGATGTAACTGACGATGTAAAAGTGAGTAAAAGAGAATAAATAACCATCCAATTCAATGGCCGTTACTCCGTAATTCTCACGCTGACCGAATAAGCGACAAACCTCACGGAAATTTCTCCGATCCCGCATGGAGCAACTGTCGCCGCCCATGTGACATTCTGGTATGCCAACGCGCCCACAGAGCTCTTTTTCCCCCTACCTTTCGAACTTTTCGATAGAGCAATGTGGCGATCTTCGTTGCAAGCCCAACAATGGTAGCGGGAGAAGAAGAAGAAGACGTAGTAGACCAGAAACCAGGCCCTGCGGCTGCCTCTCCACTGGCAGACGCCGCTGACCCCGTGGGGTCGCCGTCAGCACCCGGATCGTCTCTCGACACCAGCGCACACACCGAGGATTCCCACGGCGACGAGAGCGACGAGAGCGACCGCGATGCCTATCAGTTACACGAAATCGAAACGCAGCGGGATGACGACGATTCCACGGGCTCGATCTCGTCGGGAGAGTACCGCATCACCACGCGGCGCACCGTTTCACGGACCAGTCGGAGCAGTCGCGGTCCACGCAAGGGGGTCCTCGGGCGCATTCAGCGGCTGTGGACAAGGAATGTCGTGTTGACGGTTCCTCAGAAGAAAAACCGGGACTATTTTGGTGAGTGTGGGGACTTTTCTCTGGTGCGAAACGGAATCACGAATCAATCAACCGGTTGCCCGCAGAGAGAAAGAAAGCAAGAAAGTGCTAACTATAATATCCCCCGTGTCAGCCTTGGAGAGAACGTTCCTCGCTTATATTCGCACGTCGGTTGTTCTGGCCATGCAGGGCGTCTTGATCGCACAGCTTTTCCGTCTCGGGAACGCCTCCTCCCCCCAAGGCCTGGGGTACCACGAAGTCGGCATTCCCTTATCGGTCACTTGCCATTGTGCGGCGATCTTGACTGCACTGCTGGGGGCACATCGGTTCTGGAAACAACAGGGGGCGATCGCCGTGGGGATTGTGTACGCGGGAGGATGGGAGTTGAACTGTATAGCAGCGTTGACTACCGGTGTGAGTGCCACTGCCCGAATGAGTATTGGGGAATCGCCAGTTAACCAGTCCAGATCACTGTGGTGACTTTTATCGTCTCTGTTTTTGTTGCAGTATCCATTGGATCGAATGGGTGAGAGGAATTGAGAACATAATCTCTCATCCATATACACTGTATACATCCATATATACATACCTATGGAGTATATGTGTATAAAGGAGCATACTCGGGTTTGATAGCAATCCCACCGTATAAATATCACATCAGACAGAAATAAATCATGGACCAGTCAAGTTCACTTTTGTAAGATTCACCGCATCTTTACTTGAGCTATTTATCGGCTTTCAACACTATACAGTTCAGACCTTTGCCTAGGACTATACTGGCATTAACGACAAAGTGGCCCAACTGGTTCCAACCCTATAACAAGGCTATATTCTCACTGCCCCGCATCATGTTGAGCCGTATAACAATGGTCTGGTACAGCATACGGATACTGCAGAATCTGCCCAAGGGACGACTGGAAGTTCACCAACTTCAAAGAAAGAAACACGAAAGCAGGCCATTGCCAACTCATCACTTCCACCTCCAGATCAGATTCAGAATGGAATCGTATCCAAACCCACGATTCTGGTACTCCCAAAGCACTGGCTGCCGTCTCTGATCCAGTAGTGATCGCAGCCGATTCAAAAGAGGATAGATCCTTCACTAACCTCTTACTAGGAATACCTCTTCAAGGCGTCGAAGTATCTATTGATACCGGAAGTAGTGATCTTTGGGCTGTGGAGTACGATAGCACCATCTATAAAGAATAGGGATCTTTATAATAATCCTAGTACCTATAATCCTATTCACGCATGTCTGACTCTCTCTCTCTCTCTCTCTCTCTCTCTCTCTCTCTCTCTAAGACTTGACTTGTTTCCGCCAGTTATAGAGAGAATATTAGATACAGTCTATGGCTGAACAGACTCAGGAAGGACAAGGGAAGTATCCTTTCTAGTCGTGTGAACGCCGCCCAGTATGTTGGAGAGCTGCAGACTCTGCCGGTCATCCCATATAACAGCACATACTACCACTTTGGATCACGCTTACTGGCAGATAAAATACCAGGACTCCTAGAGAGGCCAACTGGAAAAACACAAAAACGGTGACGGAATCCGCTGTCCGTCCTTATACAACGCCAGTAGAATCGGAGTAATCCAAACCGGAGTCGCCCATAGCAAAAACAACACCACCCAGCAATAACCGATCTTGCGCTTCGTCGACAATCGTGTACAGTTGCCCAGCGGGGACGCGATCGACTGGACCGCACTTTCAAGCACACACCCCGGGACCTGGAGAGCGAAGAACCATATCCCCCCCGATTTGACAAGCGATACGCCAAACGCCATGTCAACGAGAGAGTGGACCGCCCCGGAAACCGCAAACGCAAACGCCAGCCGAAAGAAGTATCCCCGTCTGCTAGATGGAGAGACGCCCAGCAGGGAAGCGAGATAGTTCGCGTTCGCGGATAAGAGCTGGCGCAAGGTCTGATGCCACGCGATTCTAAAAGCCGATTCGTTAGCCAATTGTATGCGCGCGTGACAAGCAAGGAAAGATTACCCCCAAAAGCGACGGAGACACCAGGCCTCCGCCAAAGAACCGAAAACCGGCGGCCACGCAGCCGGTTCGCTGAGGCCGAGGAGAACCGACACCACCCCGGCACCCGTGTACCCTGCCACGATGGCTGCCCTGGTCACAATCCCAAAGGACACTGTCGCCAGAAGCCGGACGAGACATGCGGACCACGAACCGGTGATCCAAAACAGGATCGCAGGCGCTGCTGTCGAACGGCTCGGGTGTAGGGCTAACCTCTCAACCGCACGCGACAGATGCACGTCCTCGGCATCGATAGTGAACGCCTGGATCATGCCCAGGGACACGAAAAGCTTCGCGGCCCCGTGGAGAAGGAAGTAGCGTCTCGAGGGCACACGCCGCGGATCTCGACTGTCGACGCTGGGAAGTCGCTGGATCTGCCAGGGGGTGTTGATCCGGCGATAGTTATACGGGATCCCAAGCGACCAGATCAATCTGTGGACGAACAAGTCCCGCCCGTCCACCTGGGGGGGGGCCTTTTGCATCTGTCATTTCACTCATCATCACAATCAACTTCCAGTACCCACTGCCCGCCATTCCTGAACAGGTCAATGTTTTTTGGTGTTTCTTTCGTCCCTCACCTTCATCCTTTGCTTTACCTCCCACTCCACCTGCGCTTCATACGACACCCGGCTCAGCACCAGCAAGTCAATCGCATTCAACACGTTCACCCAGCACATGGCCACCACGGGCCCCGCGAACCTGGTCTCGTCGAAACAGTCCCCGATCCCGCGTGGCAGCAGTCGATACGCTACCAGAGCGGTAATTGCAGCCACGACGGGCCGCGCAAACGACTGGGACGGCGCAAAGCCCGTCGTTAGCCCTGTGAGAGATTGAACCAACATGCATTGAACCAGGGGGGTAACCCAGGATGGGAAGTCCGCGAGTCCCATCGTAACAGAACACCCACCTACGTGATTCTGAAAGGATGTTTGTTGTTGTCGTGGTCGTTGTTGTTGTATTGCTTAACGCCACGTGGCACCTCCGGGCGCAAGCCTGGGGGGCTCCTAACCTCCCTTGGAGTCTAGAGGCATGCCATATCTATCTAATAACTATAATACATAATTCTGCCATCCTAGAAGACAACTCTAGCATACATAGGGGTCGTATATGGCTGCTAACAGGGGTGGATTTCGATTAGCAACTACCTAGGGCTATCACCCGTTTCTTAAGATACTTGGCCTGTCTTAGATATTAGAGTAAGAGGAGAGAGACTAGTTAGCCTAACGGGAGAGACTTGTAGAGAGTATTCATAGGATACTAGATAGGGGGTTCTAGGCCTTTTATTCTATCCTACCTTAAATTAGATTAGTACAGGACGTTGTAAGGGTTAGTCGTATAGTCAAATTTCTAGGCTCTAGTTACTTTAGATATCTAATTACTCCGTACTTTAGCCTTAGTTATTAGAGGCTATGGTAGTTGCTCGGGCTACTAGGCAACCATAGTTATTTACTATAGTAATAGAGGACTAGGTGTTTGGGGCTCTTACTCCTCCCATAGGAATAGATACGCTAGGTATTCTTATATTAGAAGCACTCATGGTACTAGTAGAAGTCCCCGGGTAAGGACCTGATAGCTAGCCAGTAATAAAGGTCTCGGTAGAGCTCGCTTGTTGCCTTCGACCCCTTCATGGCCCGGGGCCCATCACAGGTCGATTCTCGGTGTTGTCTCATTTAGGGCATCATCCCTTGCTTGCATGATTCGCTTCTTACAAAAGATTCGGGGGGTTTCTTCTCCCTACTGAAGAGCTACTAGTACCGACTTGGTCGATATCAAGATCCATGGATCTATCACGCCCAGAACGCAGGAAGGCGAGAGATGATCTCATAACCCGAACAGAGCAATAGAGTCTCTTTAAAAGCGGAACTTACGCTCGAATTAATGAAGATTGCTTCCGGACCAACCAAGAGAATTTCGCAATATCGATCATGACCAAAGAACTGGTTAGTTTGAGAAAACCCAGTATCAAACTGAGCCGGCGAGCAACACGACACTAACAGAGAGCTTTTGCTTTACTCAGACATTCGACATCCACTTCGATTCTGTCTACTCGCACGATACTCTCGGGGAAGGAAAGCAGTTAGCCGACAGGTATGTATTTGTTATCGATCATGTTGCTGGCCATCTGCAGACTAACTGCTGCAGAATCCGACACATATATGAAGGGAGAGGACTGAGCATTCCGGATTTTTATGACTCGACTTTGACAACGCCCCCCGTCCACTTTATGCAGTGCGTGTCCTGCTTCCGTCCATTTTACTTTACTTTTCCCTACCGGGATCTGATTTGTATAGAGTGTTTGCTCCCGATGACGTGGATGTGGAGGAGTTGAGAAAAGTGCATGTGCCGGCTGGGATGGATATTGATATTATAGAGTTAACTGGGTAACACGTTCTTCACACTACCCTACACGTAGGCCTCGCTCTCTTACTCTTTTTAAAATAGAAAGAGCGAGAATGATGACAACTTTATGACGAGGTGCAAAGGGTAGGAAGTGATGAGGTCATACAAAAGACAGACGGACTTTGATATGGAGTTTAAATGTAACATCTAGCCGCAGTCAATTTTCTTTTCCAGTCTCACAACTGTCTTTCGCAGAAAGCTGCAATATAACCCTCGCAATGGTTCATCTATCCCGAGTCACCAAAGAGAGCCAGCGCCGCAAACAGCACCGGAAAGCGCGAGATGCTGCCGTCTCCGAGAACCGCGAGTATGCCAGCGTTTATGCAACCCGGTTTGCAGCGGAGGAACTTCCCATGCATGTAATGAACGAGCGAGGGATGCCTGCGGACGTGGCCTACCGCATGATCACGGACGAGCTTAGCCTTGATGGAAACCCTCTCCTGAAGTACGCTTCTTTCCATGGTGTATAGGCTCTGCGAGCGCTGATTGATGTTTGTATCATATATAGCATGGCGAGCTTTGTCACTACGTATATGGTAAGGGATCTGTCTGCGCGAGGTTTCCATTTCCAGAAGCTAAAGTAGTGAAAAAAAAAAAAAAAAAAAAAAAAAAAAAAGGAACAACAAGCCCAAGATCTCATGGCCAACGCAATCAGCAAGAATTTCATCGACTTTGAACAATACCCCCAGACAGCGGTGATGCAGAACCGTTGCGTTAATATGATTGCCGGGTTGTTCAATGCCCCCCAGGGCTCTGAGTCCGGTAATAGCGAAGGCGCTATGGGGACGTCGACCGTTGGATCCTCGGAAGCGATCATGCTCGGAATGCTGGCGATGAAGAAGCGATGGCAGAACAAGCGTAAGGCAGAGGGCAAGGACTTTACGCGGCCGAATATCATCATGAACAGCGCGGTCCAGGTGTGCTGGGAGAAGGCCGCGCGTTATTTTGATGTCGAGGAGAAATATGTCTACTGCACCGAGGACCGGTATGTGATTGATCCTGTCCAGGCAGTGGATCTGGTCGACGAGAATACGATTGGCATCTGTGCCATCCTGGGAACCACCTATACCGGACACTATGAGGATGTCAAGGCAATCAACGACCTGTTGGTCATGCGGAAAATAGACTGTCCCATCCACGTCGACGCTGCAAGCGGAGGGTTTGTCGCGCCGTTCCTCTGCCCATCCTTGGTCTGGGATTTCCGGCTGGAAAGGGTCGTCTCGATCAATGTCTCCGGACACAAGTATGGACTGGTACGGGGGGCTTTATATTACTCTTGGATCTTTGTTCGTCCCAAGGTTATCCTTTGCTAACAGGCCCCCTCAGGTTTACCCCGGTGTGGGCTGGGTATTCTGGAAATCCCCCGAATACCTCCCCAAAGACCTCATCTTCAACGTCAACTATCTAGGCGCGGAGCAAGCAACCTTTACACTGAACTTTTCCAAGGGAGCCGCGCAGGTCATCGGCCAATACTATCAGCTTATCCGGCTCGGCCACGACGGCTACAAAGCAATCATGCACAACCTCAACCAGATCAGCGGCCAACTGGCCAACGGCCTCCGGGACCTCGGGTTCATTATCCTCAGCGACCACAGCGGTTCCGGCGGTGTTCCACTGGTAGCATTCCGGCTTCCCGACGACGACAGCCGATTGTTTGACGAATTCGCTTTATCGGCGGTGCTCCGGCGACGTGGATGGGTGATTCCAGCATACACCATGGCGCCGAAGAGCAACCAGCTCAAACTGATGCGGGTTGTGCTGCGCGAAGATTTCACCGCACATCGCTCGGGGATTCTCGTGCAAGATATCCAGATGGCCATGAAATGGCTCGAGGAGATGGACGAGACCACTATCCAGCGGTACACACAGTGCGTGGGGCCCCCTCCCCGCCAGTTCTGCTTTCGATTGCTGTTTGTTCTGGTTCGGAGTTTTAATTCAGAGCCACACTGACAAATGCCCATAGGTATCTCACCCAGCATGGACCCAGCGCCCCAGCTGGCCACTCGTTCTACAAACACGAGCAACACTCGCTCCAGGGGAAAACGGGCAAGACCCATGCGGTCTGCTGATCCTTTTCTTTTACTGTATGGATTTTCAATGCGCTGGAGAGAGAGAGAGAGAGAGAGAGAGAAAAGCCGGGTAAGACCGGGTCATATGAGGCGCATTTCCGCTGCATACATATTACTTCCATAGTTCCCAAGAGGAGGATTCGTCAGTATATCTCTCTCGTGCCTGTCGATGTCAACTTTTTACCGCGCGTAATAATAGTATTATTACCTTGACAATTTACAACCCGCAAGCAATGTTTCGGAGAAAAGAGTTCTGAATAGAGGGGCCGGCTGAGACGAGGCAATAAAGTAATCCTCATGAATTCCCGTTCAAATGTCGGTCTACGTATCTCCTGCCCCAGGCCGCAAGCAGGCTCTTGTCTCTCAGCATTTGACTTTCAGGTAGGTCGAGTACGCTGCCCGGGCGTTTCTGAGACAGCTTATAAGATCTCTCGACTTCTTTGTCAAAAGTTGTGGCCTGGGACGTGCCTTCAAGCCCAATCAAACTTCTAGGTACCTCTTCGTGCCTAGGCACACGGCAAACAGTTTTAGGTAAAAGCTACTAGAAGCGTAGTTCTATAGTTAGCTTTTTTGAAGATCATGCCTCGCTGTGAGCTGTGAAACTGTCTCGGCTTATAGCACACACACATCACATAACCACCTCCCCAGGGAGAACCTGAGCCCCTCTAGGGAGAACCTCACAATTCCCCGGTAGTCATTTGTCTTAGTCCAAGAACCTACAGGGCATCCGAGGAGGGGATTGCTGTACAAAGTAGGAAGTGTTCGTACGTGGTATTGCATATGATATATCATTTCAGGTAATAGTTCGTGCCGGATGCAGTAGCTGTAACCTTGAACTTGAGCTTTAACTAGTGTTCATGTACGGCTGCCCATGAGTACGTATGCTGTCGTCGATATCTAGAGAGATGGGAGATGGAAAGCAGAGGCAGAGGCGTGTTACGGATTGAAGTTGATTAGGGCTACGGCAACAAGTACATACATACATACATACATAGTATACTGGGACTGACCGACAATCAGGTCCGATCAACCGCACCTGCAAGCAATCTATATATAATCTCTATATAATCTATTCTTATTCTACGGATTAGCTATCCAGGTATACAGGTATTTAAGGGGCCATCAAATAGTAAAAAATAAGTATTGGCAGCTATTGCAGCCACCATGTCTCCATAGACAGAGAGCCATCATCATCATCATCATCCCCTTTCTTTCGTTTAGATTTTTTTTTTTTTTTTTTTCTCTTTCTCCTATCTTTCCCATTGTTCCTTCAGGAGAAGAGCCAGTGAATCGCCTCAGACGATATTGAACGATAATGTCCTGGGTGATCTTTACAGTGGTCGCCTTGACGACACTATTCCCGGCGATCAGCCAGGCCAAGGGAGTCTTTGCTCATTTCATGGTACCTTACCTCTCCTGGGAATATCCTCCCCTTCCCCGGAACCCCAAAGTCATAAGCGAACGGCCAGGCCAGGATGATACTGATAAGACAGGTTGCAAATAGTGACAACTTCACGCGAGATGACTGGATTTCCGACTTCACTGCGGCCAAGGCAGCCCACATCGACGCCTTCGCGATGAATGCCGGATGGGGGATGAACAGCACCGCCGACTCCCTCGATAAGGCCTTTGCCGCGGCCGCAGAGGTAGACTTTAAACTGTTCCTTTCGCTGGATTACTCTGGGGACGGCCACTGGCCGCAGGACCAGGTAATCATCTGGCTGTCGAAGTACACGAAGCTGGAGGCCTACTACAAGCACCGCGGGATGAAACCGCTCGTGTCGACCTTCGAGGGCACGGAGAGCGCGGGTGACTGGACGGAGATCAAAAAGAAGGTCAACTGCACCTTTATCCCGGACTGGACGTCACTGGGGGCGGCCAAGGCGTCGAAAATCTCAGTGATTGATGGGTTGATGAGCTGGGATGCGTGGCCGAACGGCACGACGCCAATGGACACCGACGAGGACGAGGGGTATATGGAGCACCTCCGGGGCAAGCCGTATATAATGCCCGTGTCGCCTTGGTTCTACACGAACCTCGTGCGGTATAACAAAAACTGGGTGTGGCAGGGCGACGATCTGTGGTACACGCGGTGGCAGCAGGTGCTGGAGGTGGACCCGGAATACGTCGAGATCATCACCTGGAATGACTTTGGAGAGTCGCATTATATCGGCCCACTGCATGACAAGGAGCTCAGTATCTTTTCCTACGGCGAAGCTCCATTCAACTATGCGCTGGGGATGCCGCATGACGGATGGCGCGCGCTGCTTCCCTACGCGATCGACCAGTTCAAGAACCCGCAAAGGCGGGACGAGATAGCCATCGAGAAAGAGCTGCTGACGGTCTGGTACCGGCTGAGTCCTGGATCCGCTTGCAAAGACGGCAAGACGACTGGGAATACAGTGAGTCAAAACCAGAAAACCATAGCGCCGCAGCAGGTGCTGCAAGACAAGGTCTTTTTCTCAGCGCTTCTAGAGAGCATGGCAGAGGTCTCAGTGAGTATCGGCGGCACGAATCATAGTGTAAGCTGGACGAACGTCCCGCAAGGTGGAAAAGGGATTTACCACGGGAATTTCCCCATGGACAAGCGTACGGGGGAAGTTGTGGTGACGCTATCACGGAACGATAGGTTTCTGGCCCAGATGCATGGGCAAAGCATCTCGAGTTCATGCCCTAAAAACCAAACAAACTGGAACGCGTGGGTTGGCAATGCCACCGCCGTTGACAATCGCACTCTAACGACTTCTGGGAAGCCGGAATCGTCGGCCTCGGTTCTGTCCGCGTATGGGTCACTAATCATGGCATCGATATGGGTGTGCGTTGGGTGGATCTTGTCATGAATAAGGACCGTTCAAACAAGAGGGGCAGGCGATAAAGACGAAGATGATCTAGACTGTACGTTACTTTGTTTTTACAATAGCTAATATCAAACTCAAATCTGGGAATCCGAAGCCGTTTTGTCTCGGTCGATCAGACTTCCATGGTTACTTGTATTCCTTCGAAGGGGACGAGAGGAGAAGGCAGGCCCAGTCGCAGCGCACAGGAGCATGAAGTGTCCTGAATCATGCACCGAGAGAACCCGTGGTTAGGTGTTCGTATAGGAGGGTTATTGTGCGTGCATCAGGACAGGAACCCTCTGCCTAGTGCCGCGATCCTCAGCCGAGTTGTTCTCCAGTCTACTTCAAGGTCTGGTTAATGTATGTGCCCGGGTGATCTTCATGATCTACAGTGCAGCTGTAAGGCGACTAGGGTTGCTGAGATCTGCAATCTCCAGTCTATCAAATAACTCTATCCAAGTGTCGCTGCAACGACAATACCACCTAGCCAACACAATAGCATTATTAAATCCGCTAGAGACTTATTCAGGAAGGACAGTTTTCAAGCCTCGAATAACCTCGTTTATGTGCTCTTATCTCTCAATCATGTGCGAGTGCCACCGCGTGTAGTTCTGGATAAAGATGATTTGACCAGTAGCTCTTCCGAGAAAAGCCCATGCAAGCCACTGTAGACGAACTGTTCAAGATAGCCATCTATCTGGGTGGGGTGAAGCAGGAGTTATCCAACGACGATGGGCTAGGGTTCACCCCGAATAGGAAGACCACTGCCGAGGGTCAGTCCGGGCTGGCATAAATCAAATCATCCACAAAGGTCTCGGTTCGAAGCAGCAGCCAATGGCCAGTGTCGAGATACCAAGGTTGGATTCCCCGGATCCCACAATGGCTTGGTCTCGGTCGAAAGATTCTATCTGCCCACTCGGGGATGATTTGGGCCCAGCCGCCAGTCTATGACACCACGATCCAGATGTCAAGAGCCTCGCCCCATTTCGGCCGACGGGGGTCTGGGGTTAGTATTTCGTGAATCTGGCTGTGATCCGGACCAATCAGTAGAGTGTTTTTGCGTAAACTTTCTACCCAAAACATGGGTGAAGCTGGTGGCAAGCCAACATCAGTTCGTCCCCGCTGACACCGATGCCTAGTTAACTGCCGAGATGGGATCCCAGGTAGTTATTCAAGCTGTCCTTTTGAATTTTTCTCCTTGGTTTTTTTTTTTTTTTTTTTCGCAGATCCACTCTTCATTAGTCCTATTCTAGCAGGTGTTCTTGTTCTTAACCCTGACTCAGGGCAGCCAGAAAGCATATCCCAATGTTGCATAAGGGTAGTACAGCCCGGTTGGCATGGGTATATAATTCCCTCCTTCCCCTACCCCTGAGCTTCGACAAAAGCACATGTGTCTCTTGTCTAGACGATACGTGATACGTTTTCTATTTATGCTATAAGCGGACAGGCTATCCCTTCTCGTCCCTGCTCCCCGAGGAACAAGAGAAGAGCAATGTCCACATCCACCTTCGAAACCCTAGTCCGTCATGTATCAAGACCAAACACGCGAATCCCTCCAATGGCGCGTCGAAGTTCCTCTCCCATGCCATGCCGCATTGCTATCATGTCTAAAAACAAGCTGCACAAGGAAGCAGCAGCGAAAGACCCCGATCTCCGCCGGTGTCTCGGCCATCATCGACTCCTCCGCCGCTCTATCCAGGAGGCCCACTCCGAGATGCAGAAGTATATGGCTTCTGTACGACTAGAGAGTGACGATGATGAAGATATTTTTGACGACGACGACGAGGAAGAGCCACAGCCACAGCCCACCTACCAATTCCCCTCTCCACCTTCCTCTACACATACACATACACAGACACACAGACAGACACAGACACACAGACAGACACAGACACAGACACAGACACCAACTGCACAAAGACCAGAACCCACAGAGACAGACCCAGACTCGCCCGGCTCCGTAATCCGAGACCAGATTACAGCCGCCATGCGAGCAATGATTAAACGGCGCATGCCTCATACTACCCCCTCCAACCATCGCGAAGAGCGCACTCCCCCAGAGAAACATGCTCTCGCTCGGGTTTCCTCCCGAAACAAGAGTTCTCCTGACATCTCCAACCCGATCGAGATCGAGAAGCACAGTGATCTGAGGCTGGAGAAAGCCCCATCCATCGCGTCTCGAGGACGCAAGTATGCATCCCGTCTAGTGTTCAGACGGAGGTGTTCTCCTGCGCCTTTGCAGGCCATTACTACATACTAAAGGGCGAATACGGGATCCTTTCTATTTCTTATCTGTATATACATTTTTTCTTTTTTCTTTTCACTCGTGTATTCATCGCTGGACGTTTGGTTACGAGGACCTATGGGTGAACGACTGTTTATGTAGTTATTTATGTATCTATTTTCAATGAAGATTACTATTCTATTCTATTCTATTCTATTCTATCTTGTATCGAGACGCTTCAAGTAACTAGTCATATGCAGTGATATATATATAAAAGTACCCCCGTACCCGCTTCTCTCTATTGCTTCAACATGTTGCAAAAGTGAGATTTGGCCCGGATTTGATCCCCCTTCCATATGAACACGAACGGAATCACACACATCACAACACTTAGCCCCCCCAGGAGACTACAGGCTCCCGCGACCCCGAGATGGTCAAATAATGGATGTGTGGCGAACGGAAGAACCGTGGCACACAGACTGCGAGAGCAGCTAGATGCGGCATTCGCGGACGCGGCGTATGTCTTATAGGCATCCGTCATGTAGTTCCTTTGTGTGCAAAAAAAGGTTAGCTGGTGTAGAAAGAGAAAAAAAAAAAAAGAAAAAAAGGAAGAGGGAAGAGGAATCGGTACATGAGAGCAATGAAGATGCAGATAAACCCGAAGCCAAAGGGAATGCCCGCCAACATGGGCGCCACGAAGGACACATCCTTGCGAGCGGACCACCCAAGCCAGAAAAGAGAGGCTGCGAAAAGCGGGCCTCCAAGACAAGCCAACGGCAGCCGGAGATATTCTTCCTTCAGCGGCTTGCCTGAATTCTGGCGGGGGACGATGAAGTAGTCATCGTATAGCCAGAAAATGGGCAGGAAGATAAGGGACCCGATCCCGATGGGGATGTAGGTTAGACTGGAGATCCCTAGTGACATTTCATAGACGCCCTGGAAGATGATCGGGAAGGACTGAAACGACATGTAGAAGATGCTGTAGACCAGGGCGAGATACAACGAGGACGCGGTGACGATGGGTTCGAAGAGGAGCATGTAGATAGGGCGCAGTTTCGGGCTGTTCATGAATCCACGGCCTTCCATGCGTTGCGGCGGCAGAGATCCTTGGTCGACATGGATTTTATACCGCTTCAGGAGGACTCCGCGGTGTGTTTCTGGCAGACTGAGCAATGGGACGAGGGTTGCACCGGCTACCATTAGTGAAATCCACCAAGACCACCTCCAGCCAAGTGTTGGGGACGCGAACCCAGATAGAATCGGCCCGATCAGTGGTCCAAATGCAGTTATCTGGTTGAGATTTGCGGTCTTAGTTCGTCGCTTTTCGATTCGATTCGATTCTCCGCGTAGGCCGAGGATTAAGATCACACTTACAACCATATATAGAGCCACGGCCCGACCTCTGCTTCGGTGATTCTGATACATGTCGGCTAGAATGCCAGTCACGACGGCAATCGGCGCACTAGCAAACGCCCCGGTCAGGAGCCGAAAGATTAAGAACCCAGGCCAGTTGGGTGATAACGCGCATGCCATGGTGAAGATGGAAAACACGACAAAGGTCGCCAGGACGATGTTTCGACGGCCGATTTGTTCGCTCATGGGAGCCCATAAAATGGGGCCTTGGATTCCATTTAGTGAGTTTTGCTCAGTTCGCTCAAGACATGCAGGAGGAGCGCGGCACGGTTCTGAGTTACATACCAAAGGCATATCCTGTCACAGTTGGGACATGTTAGAACATTATAAGCAATCCATTGAACGGGCCTTCCACATACCGATCAAGTAAACCGACATAGGCAGAACCTTCTGTGCTTGAGAGGTGACATGGAATTCCTTCGCAATGAAACCAACCGCATTACTGTGCACAGAGCTTCCCAAACAGCTGTTCAGGATGTCCAGCATCAGGATCAAGAAGATCCAACTCTTCCTAAGCTGTTTGCATAATTAACCCTCCGGTCCATAGCGGATGGTGAAGTGGAATCCGCTGGAACCGCTCACATTTGACCAGTTACCTGGGTTTCGACGGTCCTTCTCCCATGGCAAAGACTCTGAATGAGGACCCGACGAGGGCAGTGCGGTTTCCGTTGCGCCAAACGGTCCCTTTTCTATCCCGGTTACTGAGGGTGCGGTCGAATCCTGGCTAGATCCATCGAGGTCCGGTCGAGACAAGCACCTGAGGGTTATAGCAGAGGCAAATGAAGGCATTTTCAGCCCCGGTAAACCTTTCTTTGGTATCACAGGGGAAAGTAGTATTATCGCAATCAATAAGAGAGAAAAAAAAAAAAAAAAAGGTCTCCATCTTACATATATACCGGGATATCCCTTACACGACGGCTAATGTGGAGTATGGACTAGGGTTTTTTCAATCTTCACCCGTCCAGGCACAAAAAACCAGCACCAGTTCGGTCGGCCCGAGCGACTTGCTGCGTGCATAAAACTCGAAGAAGAAACACAAATAGATTCCCTGTCTACAGGCGATCGCTACGGATCTACCTCGTCCCAGAGATTTAGGTTGTTTTGGAAAGGATAATGAGGAATTTGTTATTCAAATGCTAACCCTAAACCCTAGGAGAAATAACGGTTCCCATTCAGATGCAGAACCACCCCTATTATATTGCATTATTATGTATTGAGCACGCAAAACGAATGATTCACAATCGAAAGGGTATCAATTAGTCGAGCATGTAGGTATCGAGCACAGGGAAGGGTTCACCCCATGTCTAACGCCGTATTCAGACCGTGGTATTAGCCCGCGTCCAACTTTCGGCAGCGACCGAGAACATAAACAACACTTACCGCGGCGTTGAGGAAGCTAGGTATGTCAAATAGGTTTTCGTCATCAATAGCCGTTGGCTCGGGTGCGAAATGCTCCTCCGTGGAGGACATTGCAGTTTGTGTAAGCAAGGCTAGTCGCTCGTGCTCGCGTCGCACCTCTTTTGCGGCTTCCACGGCGCCGGCTTCTTCCAGCAGAATGGTTGCTTGGTGCAGTGCCATAAAGGATTCCTCGTAATCCAGGTACTGGTGGGCACATGAGAGGGCCTTGAGGATGAGGTTGATTGCGTGATAGGTGGTCGTGCCGATGTAGTCCTGGAGAGAGTGAGCCACGGTAGGCGATGGAATTTAGGACCGACCTCTTCTCGGCACATACTATTGTATACTTAAACCGACGTCGGATGCCCTGGGAGCGGCACTGGGTTTGGATTAACAGGTGGGCATTGTTCAATGCCTTTTGAACAAAGCTGATTCGATTCAGGTCCGGGAGGTTCTCGGATCCGTCCATTCCATGGAGTGCGAACCCGTTTATATAGCTGAGAGATCAATGGGGGTTTAGTTTTTTGTATTAAACAGAACCAACAGTGACTCACATTTTCATAAAGGTGTATGGAATTAAAAACCGATTACGGTCCTGCTTGTCAACAAACGTCTGGTACACGGGCTCAATGGTATTGTTGATTTTATGAAACCATCGATCAATGCTTTGGTCGAACGACTCCAGCAGCTGGATCGCTTCTTGGGGCATGGGATTCAATTGCAGCCCAGATTTTGGCAATTGTGCTTTGGCGTCCGCTACAAGTTCGCGCAGAGACATATGATTATAATCACATCACGGGCACACAACCGAGGACGTAGAACATACCAGTGATGGTGAACCCAACAATGTAGGCACAAATACGGTGGTCAACGGGTTGCGTATATGGAGATGTGAGGAGCCGTTTGGCGAACGGGAGGTAGTCTCGCATCCGATTGATAACGAACGGCCGATTCAAGTGTAGTCTTGCGCCGGCAATGAAACGAAGACGGAACGATTAGCTTGCAGGTTCGGTCCTGTAGATCGTACTCACACGTTCGAAGCATGGGATCGAGCATGGGATCGAGCATACGTTAGATCAAAGCAGCACAGCGTGAACCATGTCCGTGCACGCTGGACAAGATCAGCGGTATGTGCAACCGCTTCATCCCCGAGTTGCAACGCCGCCGTGTTGAGTCCGAGTTCTGTGGAAACCGATCCTATGTACCCCCACAAACGGCTCTGTCCAGTCCAGGCCGTGAGAAGCATCATGGCTCGAACTGCGTGAATATCCGGGGTTGGGCCGACAAATGTGTTCTTGATCAGCTCATGGGCATGGGCAAGATACGTCTGGTATCGTTCTTGTCTGATGGCCCGGGCCGCGATCACGCATATCGCCGTTGATGTCAAGGGGTGTTGCCGGACGAAACTTTGGGTTTTATAGAGCTCATCGTCCATGAATCCAATCACATTGTAGCAGTTCTCACGAAAGCTAAACGCAGTGGGTAAGCATTGGGGTATTCTGGGGATGGACGCGATTCGTCTCACAAATGATAGAGTTCCTCCCATTCACCTTCGCTCAAGATTCCAGATTGGACTATATCTGCACAATGAGGCCCAGCATGATCTTTATTGACTATGGCCGGCTCTGTCACGACGGTACTCGACTCGAGTTGAGCAGCCAGGCGTTCAACACTCGATCGAATCTGCTGGATTTCTTCGCGATGGGTCACTTCTATATTGTTTAATCGCTGCTGGAGAAGAGCCACCTTGTCGCTAGTGCAAGCCCCCTTGTCAAAAGACTGTATACCGGGGAGAGGAGATGTAGCGATTGATTCTCACCTCGTGGATTCAGGCACCGCTTCCGTTGTCGGCGTACTACGAATAGCTCTCGGAGGGACAAAGATACACTCGGTTTTTCTCAGTCGGCACCTCTTGCACGGTATCTCGCCAGGACCACCGCATTTGAGCTTCTTCTTCCTACATGGCAGACACGCCGACAGTGATCTGAACCCGGCCAAGTCAGTCTAACGAGCGCAAAGCAGATATCAGCAAAGGGACAGCCATGACTCCACCTGTTGGCCTCAGCCATTCCACCCAGCCTTGCAGGACAACGCCCACCGTCAGAATAATGACTGCAGGTCGTAAATGTGTGTCAAGCGGTTCTATCCTTTCTCAGCGCTCCCAAATCAAGATCTACGCGAAGTTAACGGACATCGATTCGACTTTGCGCGGGTTTTGGCCGACGACGCTGGACATTTTGTGCTTGTCCTGGTTAGGTATAGTGCCCTAAGCTATGGGACGAGTTTTAAAAAGACTCTCTGTCAAATCCCATAACTAGTTAGTTATAATCTGCTTCAAGTCTGAATCATCTGGACCACTCGAAATCGAGGGGGATTACCCTGCTTGCTGTAAAAGTAGCGGATACCGGGGGCTCAGGCAAAGGTTAATTTGAGCCTATTCATGACGTCCACCAACAGGGTAGTGGGAATCGGCCGGGCCGACCGAGGCATGCAAGCGATACATACTCCGTATTAAGAGGCACAGCCCAATTGAGGTTATCCTGTGTAATTGTTCTTAGTTAATAACAGTCTACCTACCCGAGAATCGGAGCTGTATCGAGAGTATGACCCAAATGGCGGCCGCTGCGGATCAGGATGCTGTGAGAAAGAAGATCGAACCGGCAATGGAAGAGCGCAGTAAAGAGTTACATATGGGAGATCAATCAACAGGTAAGCAGATTCTTCATGCGCCCGCAATAAAACTACAGAACTATGCGAGAGGAAGACAGACTCACTGGAACTAGAGCCACAGCAATCCCGAGCTGGCATACGAAACATCACCTCCTTGCTTGCTGATCTCGGGTTCAAGGTCACGCTCACTCCCCATGCCTACGGCGTTGAAACGGCGTTCATGGCAGAATATGGGAGTGGTGGGCGCGTCGTAGCCTTCAATGCGGAGTATGACGCTCTTCCTGAAGATTATCGACGCCGGCGGCTTCAGGGACGTTGATGCTTGTTTAATGACGCAGCTGATTATCTTTAGGATCAACACATATGCTGATCTCCGCCCAAACCCCACCATCTGCACACTGTACGCAAGTGCCATGAGCAGTCTCGGGTCAACCCGTCAAATGCGACGTGCGATCCAGTGGAGTGCCTGGGTCAACGGATCAAGGGAAGTGTAGGTGCGTCGTACAGCGCGGCCACATGCTAACTCTGCGCGCCTTTCGCATCTTAGGGAACGTTTCATACGAGTGTCCGGCAATCCAAGCATATGGAGCGATTCCAGCAGAGCCCGGATGCAAGAATCACACGCCTGGTTTCACTGCCGTGGCTGGTACAAGGGAGGCCCACGATTTATGTCTGGTCGCCGCGAAGGGTATGGCAGTGGCGGGATGGAACGTGTTGGCTGACGACACAGTGGCCTCAAAAGGTCAAAGAAGACTTTGAGGAGGATAAAAGGAGGCGGGGTTAGGATTCCTCAGCTCTAATGATTGGGAACAACTCTACAGTGATGTTGTGGGCATTGTAGAGAGGAAACATAACGGTACTTATATTCATCTAGGGCTGGGCCCATCACCTACCGGAGAACCTATACTGTACCTCACTCTGGAAAGGAATGAACAGAGTCTATGCGTTCTCTCTCTCCACGGGAATAAATAAATAGGATTGCAGTTCATTAGTCCGTACACATACTACCGGAATACCGAGCCTCCTACCTGCCATATTCATATCACGTACATACTAAACCGGCCGTAGAAAAAAAAAAAAAAAAAAAAAAAAAAAAAAAGGCTAAGTCCACACCTTCATTACGGCATTCTGCACATCGCCAGGGGGAATCGCAGCCCGGAGCCTCCGTCCAAAATCACTGCCGGTACGCTGGGTCAACGCATTCTTGATCTGCAGCAGGTACGGAGGGTTCCAATGCAGTCGCACGACCCAGTAAATCAGCCGCTTCATGTCTGGAGATTTGTCGATAGGAACGACCGACAGCATCGTGTCGACATCAAACTTGAAGGGGTCCTGCGCGCGCTTCAGCAGCGTGAGCAGCGCCTTTTCCAGATGCCCAGTAAACTCCTTCCTGACAACGTTCTCCAGCGACGTGTGATATTTGGCCTCAAAGGCCTGCGAAATGGCCACGAGCTTTGCGTCCGACGCGCCCAAAAACACCGCCGACACCCCGACCTCATCCGTGCCGGTCTTCGCCTGCGTCGCGAGATGCAGCTCGCGCACATCGTGATCCACCGAAGCCTGGTCAAAGTAAGTGGCGCGCTCCGGCCGCACCGCATTCAACAACATCACGAAGAACTTCTCCGTCTTGCCGGACAAATCACTCCTGATGTCGTCCACCAGCGCCTTGGAATACTTGCCCACATAGGCGTACTTGATCGCGCGTACGTCCGCATTCGACCGCCCAAGCAGCACGTCGGTGATGGCCACCTCGTCCGTCCCGATCCCCGACAGCGCATCACGCAGGTACGCGATATCCTGGCCCAGCGGCCCCGTTGCCAGCGACACCAGAGTCGTTTCCAGATCCCCCGAGGTCTCGGAGCGGATGTCCTTCTCCAGGTTCCGCCCGATCCGCTCCGTGTACGTGTGCCGGATGAGTGCCATCTGGAGCGGGTCGGGCTTCGCCAGCACGTTGATCAGCGCCGCTTCGTCCGTGCCCCAGCCCTTCATGGCGTTCCGGAGCGCATCGGCTTCCTTGCTGGCGTCACCGGGCGCGCGCTGGTCCGGGTCGTACCCTAACGATGGTGGCATGGGAACGGGGGCTGCCGGCGCATGCCCATATCCGGATCCGGGAGGCGCACCGTAGGCACTAGGTTGCGGGGGATAGTGTCCCTGGCCTTGAGCCGCAGGAGGGTATTGGCCTTGCGGAAGATATTGACCGCTGTGGGGACGGGGAGGAGGAGCACCGTACTGGCCGGGAGGGGGGGGGGGTACCCCATTGCGGTTGGCCATAAGGCGCCTGCTGGTATGGTTGCTGCTGCTGCTGCTGGTGGTGGTGGTGTTGGTATTGTTGCGGCGGGGGGTAATGCTGGTTCTGAGGCGGAGCGTACGGAGGTTGTTGGTACGGGGGCTGTTGGGGCTGTTGTTGAAATTGCTGTGGCGGTGATTGATGCTGGGGAAGATACCCGGGTGCTCCTCCTGCTGATGGTGGCGGACTGGCTCCTGTATGCGGGGGATAAGCAGCTGCCGGATAGGATGCCGGAGGATAGGGCTGAGAGGAGTAGTAGCCCTGGGGAGGAGGGGCTTGGGGGTATTGGGAGTAGTTGTTGGGAGGATAAGACATGATGGATCCTATCTATTATTATTGGACGAGGGCAGGCGGATGGAAAGGGAGGCGAGACGAGAGGGCGAGAGAGACAGATGGAGTGAGGCTGGGGGAGGGGCAACGCGAGATGACAGTTAAATCAAGTCAACGGGAGACGAGGTTTGGCTTTTTAGCCTCGTTGGACGTGTGGCTGAGTTCGTATGACATTGCCGGAAGTAGGGTTAGACGCGCGAACAAAGAAGACTAATATCTCTCGATCAAGTGTAGCTGGTCCGGAGTCTGGAGTATACTTCAGTGTAAGCGAAATCGTACAGTTTTCGGACCAAACTAACATATTCAAGGACGACGGTTTCATGTATGTATTTCTCTGTTTTCATCTTTCGTTGTGGAAGGCCCCTATACTGCAACGGATGCTCGCCTACAAGGACGGAAGTAACTTGAATACGCATAATTATCACCCAATTCCACTCGTTCTCGGTGGAGATCCCGTCTTCTTTCTTGCTCATCGGGATGATAGCGAAGCCCTGCGGATATCTCATCCGATGCTACAAGAATGGCCCGCCATGCCGTAGACTGCTACCTTGCACGTCTGTTCTCTGGCTGTCTCTCTTGTAACTCGTTCCATCGGCGCAGAACCATAGCTCGCTCTTCCACCGTAGCGGCGACCATCTCCCCGAGTCCTTGGGTGATGCGAGAGTATAGAATGTCTCTGGTTTTGCTTCGGGCCAGGGAATTGCGCAATGTCTTATGGATTCCATCAAGTGGATACCCTGCTAGGCCCCAGAGAGCTTGTTCCCTTTAGCATTTGAAATAAGAAGGTCGCCTGGTTATGAAACATACCGGCCGCAGGTTTTAGGAACACTCCCCCAATTCCTTTTCCAACACCTTTGCACATCCCCTTAACACCAGCCTCTTTCAGCCCATGCGCTGGCTGTGTCACTAAGCCCGTGATCCCTTGATAGAACTCTTGTGTAAACTCCTGGAAGTTGTTGTTGTTAGCATGGTTCTCGTGAAAAATGTAAGAAAAGTCCTACCGTTCCCGCGGCGCGGAATCCACCCCTCACGCCTCGGACAGTCGGTGTTTCTTGTACCATGGGGTCATTATACAACTTGGGCGCATTATGAAAGCCCTTGGACAGACTCAGGGTCAAGTCCGTGGGCAGAAACAGTAGCCAATTGAGGAGGTGTTTGCCGGCCTTGGTGATGTGGTACCCAGCGTCGATAAGAACCTCGCGCGTCTCGTACACTCGATCTCTGGATCGAGTCCTCCCTATTGTACTTTCCAGGCTCAATTCTTTCATCTCTTCGTCGGGCTCGTCTGTCGTAGACGCTTTGGATACAGCCGGAGAGCCAGCGTCTCCTGTTGGCGTGCCGTCTACCGGTCCTTCTGCCCCCTCTTTTACTGAAGAATATGTCGTATCAGACTCGGAGTTGCTGGCTTCTTCAGCAAAGTCCCCCTCTGACCCGGATCCGGATCCGGATCTACTTTGGCTCTCTAGCTCATCGCTTCTGCGGCCTTCGCTGGACCCCACACCCGAGTCGACCGTTGACGGACGACTGGCTCTGTTCTGTTTCCATTCTTTGACCTGACGATGAAGGGGGTCTCGCTGGCCGTGACTAAAATGACGGTGCGGACGATGGTGATGATGGTGGTGGTAGGAATGACGGTAATTATGCGGTTGAAAAACCTCAGCAACGCCCGTCGGAAGTTCCGTCACACCTCTTATGAAGTCTGTTACAACCCCGTACAGAACCCCGGCACCGGCTGATAGGGGACCATGAGGATCACGGGTGGTATCGTACTCCTGGGAGCGGTACCTGTGGTTGTTAACATCATATCAAGTGGGAGGGAACAGGGACGAGACGTACAGCACCAGATGTTGCGGCTTCAGCAGTCCCGTCTCAACCAACACAGCTGCTGCGAACGCGCTTAATCTGACATGCGATTGTTTTACCCACCAAACGGCAGGTCGGCTGGGACAAAGCGCACACCGCAGTTGATCCAGATCCAGATGGTGATAGAAACTACAGATCGCATTCTGCGCTCCTTGCTCGGACCGCATCTCCGCTCCGATTTGCCCGGCCTTTTCCAGGGTCTCGGGTTCCAGTGCCTTGTTGATTGCTGCAGCTAACTTGTCCGCTGTCAGAGTCTTGTGGGGTACAGGCTCGGGGCCAGCTCCAGCGCGCTCCACGATAGATCCCCAGAATGGCTGGTCTCCAAAGAAGGGTACGATGACGGTTGGTCGACCGAGGACAAGCCCTGCCGCTGTAGTGCCGGCGCCGCCATGGTGAACAACACAACTGACATTCTGGAAAAGCCAGTCGTGCGGACACTTGTCAATCAACATAATTTCTGGCGTGTCGGCTTGGTTGGCACCGATGTTGCCCCAGCCTCTAGAGACGATGGCCCGTTGACCCGTTTGTCTAACCGCTTCAAACACGATATCTGTAAGTTTTGCAGGATTATCAACCACGATCGAGCCAAACCCGATGTACACGGGAGGCGGGCCAGCGTCGAGGAATGCACGGAGATCATCTGGGGGAGTGTAGCCGTCAACTTCGGCCAACATCGAGAAACCACACACGTCAATATGTTCCCCCCAGTCCAGAGGTTTCGGTAGTAGGGCGGGCGACCTTATTCCACACAGGTGAGTATAGTTTCTATTTTACAGTGCAGCACGGGCTCATCATACCAGAGATATGTATAAGGGATGCGTAAACGGTGAGCGATGCTGGGTGCCCGGATTGCATCCAGCGGGTCGAGTCCGAGTTCACGTTTGCGAAAGCGATTGATCAGGTCTCCCAGACCTTCCCACATCATAATTTCAACAACAGCATACGAAGCGAAATTCGCGACGGAAGGTTTTGTCTTGTGGGATCGTACATTGGCTAACGGATGGGGAAACGCTTGCGTCGCCGACCAAGGCATTCTATTGCCATTTAGCTGTCTTTGTTCAAATCATTCCCTTCCCATTTGCCTAGGCGATGAGCATAACATACGTAAACATGATATTCACCGGAATTCCGAGCTTCTCTGCGCAGCTCAGATGCGAAAAGCTGGGTGGGTTGGCGATGATAACATCAGCCACAAAAGGTAGATTACGATAGTCTACGGAATCATTCCACAGATCTTCGGGAATATGATGCTCGATTCCAGTCCCATCTCCTGTCTCATAGCATGCGCGCCAGCAGCCCGAGAAGATCGCCTTCATATCGCGCCGTCGCTTCCGGATCGCTCCGCTTGCAATCGTGCGCATATCCGGCATCAGCCCAGGATTCTTCACCATGAAGGCCATCAACTCCGCCGGGTCCCCTCCGATATTGAAGAACTCGAGTCCCTGGTCTTCGACTGTCTCCCGGAAGGATAAATGCGTCGCCAGTCGAACTCGGTGGCCATGCGACTTGAGACGCTTCCCGATCTCCAGGAAAGGCTGTACATCTCCCCTCGATCCAACCACGTGGATAACGATATTGAGCCGAAGCGGATATCGTTCTTCTTCTCCTTCTTCAAACGATATCGAGGGTTTTCTACAAACCCCCTGCGTTGGGTACGGGTGCTCCCTGGTGTGCCGGAGCACCTTTTGGAGCCACGGTTTATGTTCGTTCAGCCTGATGTCCAATCGTCCATCCTCTAACCCCTTCATTAGCTGCCGATCAAGATTCAAAACACCCAACGATGGAGATATGACGAACCGGTCACCCGCACCCCGGTATCGAGGCGTTCAAGCATCAGTCTCTGGCCCGGACGACCGGTGGTGTTGTCCACGATATCCGGCCAGTCCCCCGACAAGATAATATTTTGACCATTATCATCTTGATGATTTTCCGACATTGCTGCTGTCTGGACCTGAGATTCCAACCATGTGGAAGACTGTTCGCAGTTCGAAGATGATGTACCGGTACTTCGGCTGTGACTTCACTGGTGATGTCACTACGAAAATGTCTTGGTGGGACGAGCAGCGGAACCAGATTATTTGCATATAATGGATCCTCATTGCTGATATTCTGGAAAAGGGTTTATTAATCAGGGTCTTAGGGCTGGATCAGCAGATTGCCTGCAACTCAGACTGGCACAACCATCCATGACAGAGTTAAAGCTTCAAGATGTATGGAGTCGTTAAAGAGATCGGGCTATTCCGAGACTGCAAGTTCAATAATCATATCCCGATACCCACACGTATCCTGCAAGATCATGCTGGTGATATACCTTAGGTTTCTTGCCTATCTAAAGGTATTTTATACAGCTCCCCTTGTTTGTTGGCCCCAAGCCACTGGCCCACTGAAATCCCGGCCAATCGAATAGAGATATAGGGATATGGGATATGGGATATGAGAGGCTTCGATGGAGCTTGTCGTCACGGTCTGGAGTTCCGGTATGAAAAGCGTCGATGGCCTCATACTAGTCAGAAACTAGAACAACAGTTCCAGGTCGGCTGGTGTTGCGTAGATCGAATCCATTATGCACAGCCCTTCCAGCTGGCAGTGTGAGAAATCACATTTCTTCGTGGCCAATCTAATACAGCTCCCGTATACTCTCCTAGGGTAGTTCTAAGCGAATCAAACGTGTCAATCTTCGCTATATCAGTCGGTCGACATGCCGTATAGGGGTATTAGAGTCCACCTGGATACTGAGCCAAGAGAGCCCAGAGCCCTTTCATCTGCTCGATTACCGCCGGGTAATATCAAGTAATATAAGAATGGTTCAATCTGTGCCGGAGAAGGGCTTGGGTGTAGAACAGGGATGCGCCATTGTCCTTGGTGAAACACAGCAATCGAACAGACCAGCGCTCCATTCAGGGTCCATCGGTGGACTGATTGCTCAGAATATGAAGCTAATGAAATGGTCTCCGTGCTGAGTGGCCGGGCAGATATCTAGATGAAACTCCGTGCTTGGCAGGCCGGTTCATTAAACCCGTCCGCGAACTGAGTCGTTGTATACGAGGTTCCTCCATAGACAGCCGCATCTCTATATAATCTTGAGCTTTGCTGGTTTTCAAGGATTTGTTTCTTCTTCTGCTTGTCCATACATTCCCTGTCTTCCTTGTTTGTTGCTTTCATTCTTTATTTCTTTTTTTTTTTTTTTTTTTTTTTTTGGTCCTAGTGACACCACACACTCTCTCTACACTCACTTATACTTGTTGTATAACTTCACTATGAAGTCCACTTTCGGAATTCTCGCTCTGGCAGCGACTGCTAAGCTCGTCAGCGCTCATGCTACTGTCTTCGCCGTCTGGATTAACGACGTTGACCAGGGCCTCGGTAACAGTGCTTCTGGCTACATCCGGTCTCCTCCTAACAACAGCCCCATTACGGACGTGACCTCTACCGACATGACTTGCAATGTCAATGGCAATGTCGCTACGGCTAAGACTCTCTCCGTCGCGGCCGGCGACAAGTTCACCTTCGAGTGGCACCACAACTCCCGCGACTCCTCCGACGACATCATCGCCTCCTCGCACTTGGGCCCCGTGATGGTATACATGGCCCCGACTGAGAAGGGGTCCGCAGGTAGCGGCTGGGTCAAGATCGCGGAAGATGGCTACTCCAGTGGCACTTGGGCTGTTGACACTCTCATTAAAAACCGTGGAAAGCACTCCATCACCGTCCCCGACGTCCCTGCTGGGGACTACCTCTTCCGCCCTGAAATCATTGCCCTGCACGAGGGTAATCGCCAGGGTGGTGCCCAGTTCTATATGGAGTGTGTGCAAGTCAAGGTCACTTCGGACGGGTCCAAGACTCTTCCGGCTGGAGTCTCTCTCCCAGGTGCCTACAGTGCTACTGACCCTGGCATTCTCTTCGACCTCTACAACTCTTTCAGCAGCTACACTATCCCCGGCCCGGCTGTCTGGGATGGTACCTCTTCTGGCTCTAGCTCTAGCTCTAGCTCTAGCTCTACTACTTCCAAGGCTGCTACCGCAACTGCCACTACCTCCGCGGCCACTGCTCCTGCTACGGCCACCGCAACCGCTATCACCTCCAGCACGACTGCCGCCACGGTTGCCCCCACAGGCTTCACCACCAGTGTGCGCCCCCCTACCACCTCCACCACCACAACCGCAGTGTCCGGCTCCTCGACTGGCGCTGTCAAGATCTACCAGCAGTGCGGCGGCATCAACCACACTGGGTCTACCTCGTGCGAGAGCGGTCTTGTTTGCAAACAGTGGAACCCTTACTACTACCAGTGCATTGCGGCTTAGAGTAGAGCACACGCACCAATGTCAACCCGGAGTACTGAAATAGATATAATCATCTTCTTTAGACCAGTCAGTCAGTCACTTGTATTCGCTATGTACAATTCAAACGAGGTTTAAATTTATATTGTTCCTGTCATCTACATTTTTTTTTTTTTTTTTAGGTAAGTTAGTATACATAAGAATTGGTTAGTTACGAGATTCCCATGCTTTATAATAAAACACTGTGAAAGAGAAACATCCCGGTATCATGAATACATCCGAAACTACTATACTCATATTCCATGCGTTATTATTGCTGCTAAGCTCCTTCTATGGGATATAAACGTGCCTGTGGACGGAGTATGTCCTCGCTGTGGTAGGTTGGAATTATAGCGACATCCGCATCGAGGGAGAGCAAGTTAAAAAAAATTAGCCTCTGCCGTGATAAAAAACCCCCCGGATCGGCTCATCAATCCGGGATCTACGGGTCGAATGGTGGAGCTCATTCAGAGAGGAGAGGAGTGACATTCCGTTAGAGCCGGAAGTGCAAGATCTGGTGGACCAGGTTTGTCGATCGCCAGCGGAAAAGGACGAATGGACGAGCGATCTGGTGTGCAACAGCGCGGGACGCCTGGGTTGCTATTCTGCTCGGCCTGGTCCCGAACCTGAAAAGGATTGTCGGGGCATTATGACGACTATGTATGCACGTTGCGTTACTCGGGTCGTTCCGCGGGTCGTCCGCAGGGAACCGCCGTTCGATGCCCGGCCGAGCCTGCAGCGCTTTGGAGAGCCTCCATATCGAGACCGGGGACCACAAGGGTTGGTTGCTCCCATTTCCGCGTCTCCGCGACGTGAGGCTCGGCGGCGTAAAAGAGTATCTGCCCTGGAATGGGGAGCCACATCCGGCCATGTCTGCGGCTGCGGGAACAGCAACGCGTCGAATCCCTGGGGACGAATCACTGCTGCAATGCAGGAAACGGAATGGCAGAGTTCAGCAAACTGTGGGATCTTCGCATCCGCGTCCATAATATTCTCAACTTCCACCCGAGTGATAGGGACCAGGTCATCTCACTGACAAACATTCTCCCGAGGAGTCTGAAATGGTTACATCTGTCTGACTGTCGTGAGGATCTTTGTGACATGCTAGTGACCAACTTGGAAGGGCTTTTGACTCATCGGAAGGAAAAGTTCCCCAGTTTAGAACAATTGCTGATTTACCCTGCCGCGGTCGAGGGAATATCAAGGACCGCGCTTCCTGGTACATCCGGGCCCCAGGTTCGGATTCCGCCGGCCTTTAGGGCACGATTTGAATCCGTCCAGGAGTTGTGCCGTGAAGGTGGTATCGAGTTTGATTTTGTGTTACGTGGATCCTACATGATAAGTATCGCAAGGTCGATGCCGCATCGTAGCTATTAGGAAACAGTTCGTGATCAATTAGATATTACCCCGGAGGAAAGTCTTTAGGATGGCACAACCGAATTCAATCATTTGAAACGCTCAGGATTTTAAGAGTCCCGAACCCTAATGGCCGGACGTTGACAGCTTTATGTTAGAATAATCCAACCAAGCCCTAAGTTCAAATAGAAGGGAAGGCTGATACGCCAGGGTTAGACAGTACCGACACACTAGAAACGACGACCTTCCTAGTCTGTCTCAGGTATGTATAACCATACTTCTATAACTATTGAACGCACAAGAGACGCGAGGTCGGTCCTGTGCGAAGACTCGGATCAGACTCGGGAATGAAGTCACCTTGATATGGATTGGAACTTGTGTAAATCATTCTTGATAAGTTCGAAGTTGGCCGGGAAGATACTTAGGAGCTGAAATACGGGGTCGTTAATGTGAAGTTCACGGACTAATGGACGGATAGGCCTGCGCGCTGGTAAGGATTTGCTTCCTCCAGTCATAAATTGACCCTGAAAACGTAAAAATGTCTTACCATACATAGTTCTCACGCATATGAAGCAGTCTTAAAACGTGCATTTGACCCCGCAAAAGGCGTCGCAATAGGTCTCACACCACAGCGTCGCTACTGCCAGTTTGGGGCCTGGGAATTTCGCTAGCGGTGGTGATAGCCATAGTCGATAGCTGACCAGACCCATGCGAGCATCATACCACGCTTCGAATCGTGCAGTAACCGCTAAAAAAAAAAGGGCAATAGCAGGTAATATTAATTCCCCGGGATATGGTGGACGACCGGGGTCGGGTCCTTGGACTTATCAAGTCATTTATACATTTGACGAATCCGTCGTGAGTGAACGGTCATTCAACAGCCATCCTAACTAATATCCACCATGAAGAAACAGTTACTTGATCTTATTTAGTTCCCAGGCACGCGGGACAGAGGCGTATCATTTATGCAGACTAGCAGGATTGTTTAAATCTGCCCCGTTTCAGCAGCTAATTCATTGATGCCACTTTACCCACCCGGCAGGATAGCCTTGTCGTTTGCGAAACGATCTACACTAACCGTTTCACTCAACGGGTAACGGGCGAATCCTTTGCATGACAGGGGCGGCTTGTTGTTGAACATAAGTGCGAAGGACCCCTACCTCTATACGGAGTAATTGGGGATGCTACTCCGATTCGGTTGACTCTTGATCTATCATATTGATCGCCATGGCCCACCTGTCAGAGTGCGAACGGCCTATCGTTCCAGAGGAATTAAGAAGTTCGTTTACTGGTCTGGTGTGTTTGTTGAATTAATTCTCATAGCTTGAATGTAATTCCAGACCTATGACGACCTTTACGTAAGTCTGCGACTTGACTGCGGAGTTTTCGGTGACGATGACACAATCGAGAAAGCAACGAAATTTCTGCTATTGCGGGACCGAATACTAGAAGAAGCGAACAATTTGGCAAGCGCTTGGGTGTTGCTGAGGCTGGATTCAAGGATGTGCAGCAGGAGATCTATAAATTCCGTTGTCACCTTGCTAAGAGTCCTAAACTGAAGGATCTTGGAAGATACCAGCAATTGAATATGCTTGAAGCTCTGTTCACCAGGTTCCTAGGGTGGAGTGTTGAAGAGGTCAAATGCTCCTGACAGGCATCCGAAAGCAGATAATAGATCGTACCTTGCATATATACTACTGTACGTAGTTTACGGACAGAAAGAAAGCGAAACGCAATGAGTCCGATGATTTTTGACCCCGTACACATCTTTGAGCCTTGAATTCAGGGATGTTTGATTGTGGTTTCGTCGCTTCACAGCGGAGATCTAGGCACGCCCAGTGAAGCACACTGTTACAGGCAACGTCGAAGAATTCATCTGCTGGAGAAAGCCGTCTCTTCTCCTCAGTTCCCTCCAGCATTGCCATACAGTCTGTGCCGATGTTTACCCACTAGTCCATTCGATTTGGCTTAAGCGACGAGGACCCTGGTAGGGAGGCAAATCCCATATTCCGAATACGTGCCTTCGCAGAAAGGACGCAGGTGGAGAATAATATGTGGGACAAGACATGAGTTCCCGAATACACGCGATCCCATGTTCTGGACTGTGATGCAAATATTCATGCCTTCTGCATTCTCGTTTCGTCCTGTAGAGGATAGATAGTCTGAGCTCCTCTTTAAAGCTCAATAACGCGCGGCACATTGTCGGGGGAACGGCAGTTCGACAGAGAGCACTTGGGCCATTGCTACTCCTCATAAGCATGCAAGAGTCATAAATATTCCCCAGTAATATATCAAATTCCAGGATTCTGAGCGAGAAATAGAACAAAAATTGGGTTGGCCCCAGTGGTGGGAGTGAAACTAGGATGTAAGCAACTACGCCACTTTTTTTTCGCTCCAACCGCTAAGAAGGCTCCGTTTTTTTCTCTCTCATTTCAATCGCCCTCTTATCATTTATCCCGACCTTCTGTCCCTCTTTTTTTCGCTTTTCCACCGTCCAGTTTAAATATTTATATTCCCGCGCCGCCGTTTTCTCCTCTACATCTCCGTCCACGGCGGTTCCAGCGGTGGTTTGGCTTTCTTACAGCTCCAGTTCGATCGCAGATCTTCCTTCGCCCTCGAACCCGCCGCAACAATACTGCCGCCATGGGTCTCTCCAAGACCAACAGGATTATTATCCTGTTGGTGATAGATACTGCGTTTTTCTTGCTAGAATTAATAGCAGGTCAGTGTCTTCATATTGGAGCCCTCGTCGCTCTGCTTACACCGTGCGATAGGTTACAGTGTTCACTCCCTTGCCCTCGTTGCCGATTCATTTCACATGGTACAACAACATCGAATCTCTCTACCCCTCTATACACTCTGACTCCTCCTGCAGTTAAATGATGTTTTATCTCTATGTGTCGGGTTATGGGCTGTCAAGGTCGCCAATCGTGGAACTACGTCGAAGAGCTACACCTACGGGGTCAGTGATGTCACCCCTTCCTTCCCGTCCTCGCCATTAGGATTTAGTCTTAACAGTCGGATATTAGTGGCAACGAGCTGAAACTCTCGGTGCATTGGTGAATGGTGTCTTCCTTGTGGCTCTGTGTTTGTCAATTTTCCTCGAGGCTATACAACGATTGGTGGAACCGCAAGAGGTGAAGAATCCGAAGCTCGTCTGCATCGTCGGGTGTCTGGGGCTTCTGTCCAACATTTTGGGTCTGGCCTTGTTCCACGATCATTCGCATGGCCACGGTCATAGTCACTCTCACGCCGAGGACCCTGCCGCTATCGAGGATGTGGATGCTGCGGAGCAAGGACTCAGTCGTGAACCGGTTAATGTCGGTGGCGAACAGATAGCCACTACCAACGTATGTGCACTACAGTCGCATACCCACGCTCAATGCTACTACCTCCTTTGCTCACTATCTTACTCAGGGTGATTCCATTGCCGAACATTCTACTCCTTATTCCTGCCGTCGTCGAACTCTTGACTCGCGCCATTTCAGCGCCCCCAATCGTGGCTTAGAAGATATCCAAGTCCATCCCGCGTCCATGCGACAGGAAATCATCGCCGCAAGCCGAAACCAATACCTTGATGATCAGGGCTCTGATTTGGAGGATGCTGTCCTTGAGAATGGCGCAACGGACGGTTATAGTCCCACTGAACGCTCCACCTTGCTAGGTCACAAGGACAGAGCATCAAACTATACGCAGGAGAGCGAACTTCCTATTGGCAACCAACGGTTTCCTATCGACACTGATCTTCACAAGTCACATAACCACGCCCAGCCTAAGCCAAAGGACCAGAAACACGGCCACCAGCATGACCTTAATATGCGCGGCGTCTTCCTGCATGTCATGGGCGATGCGTTGGGCAACATCGGTGTCATTCTCTCAGCCCTTGTCATCTGGTTAACTGATTACTCGTGGAGATTTTATGTGGACCCCGGTATCTCCCTTGTTATTACCGTTATTATCTTGGTTTCTGCAATTCCCCTCTGCAAAGCTGCATCCCGTATTTTGCTACAGGCTGTTCCACATGGCCTAAGCATCGACCATATCAAGGAGGACATTGAAAGGCTTCCAGGGGTCATCGGTTCCCACCATCTGCACGTTTGGCAATTAAGCGACACGAAAATTGTCGCGTCCATTCATATTCAAGTGGATACTGACATCAAGGGTGAGGGTTCCGAACGGTACATGCACCTTGCTAAGCAAGTACGGGAATGCTTGCATGCCTACGGAATTCACTCGTCTACCATCCAACCTGAGTTTCCTCGCGACAGCGACTCCGAAGACAATCAAGCCTCCCCGTCGCACAGCAACGGAGACCCCTCGCGGCCTGGAAAACTCTCAAGTCGGACCCCGAGTGTCCCTGATGGAAACCCTCGAGCCTGCCTTCTAGAATGTGGTGATGAATGTGCAGGCCGTGGACATTGCTGCCCTAAAAAACCAACATAATCCATTCTTAAAACACCTTTTCGCGTTTTCCTGTGTGACTCGTTTACTGTTACTTGACCTTGACAAACTTGTGCAACTGGTTGTACTCTCCATACATACCCCGGTTTTGTGTGGCTTTTGAACTTTTTTCTTATCGCATCACTATGATCATGATCGATATGTTTTTCGTCTGTGATAATTACTACCTGCGGGTTGGGAACCTGATGATATGTGCTGATAGACAGCATATGGTGGGATTCTGGAGTTGAGCCTGTTTCCGCTGGATTGTTACTGTATTCTTAGGCATTGTAGAGGATTGAATTGTCTGTTTTGTGAACTACAAATGTGTGTGGTCCACACTTGAGGTTTTCGTGGTGATGTATATATATAAATTTTCACGTGCTGGCAAGAGTAGGTAGGATGAGCACAATAAATGCCCCTTACTGAGCAACTTTTTTGATTGTTCTTTAAGACAAGGCAAGTGGGAGATTATCAGATGAATATTAAACCGGTGAACTCTTCATTTCCCCATCCTTAACAGCTTCTATTTATATATTTCTATCCCCCAAGGAAAGTGTGTTGATTTGTCTTGTTTTGGTCAAGGTCCAGCCGCAAATAGAACGGAGCACGTGATACCCGGTCGCCAGTTAGGTCGATCTTCATACGATATGTCTCACAACATCCCTTTAAAATCCCTAATATTTGCTTATCTTTTCGATTGACAATGCTGTCAAGCCTTAATAGTGCTTGTCTACTTTCAGCATAAGAGATCTCGCCTAGTCCATGTTGCGCACAGCCTGAGTTCTGAGCCTTTCCGGTGCACAGTTTGCGGAGAGAGCAATGCAACAGGGGCAGTGAGTTCGCTCCGGCAGCATCTAGGTTAAGAGCGCAGCCATGAGTTACTCGTACTTGCCTGGAGCGGGCGCCGATGCTTACCGTCCTGCGCGCCGCACACAAGCCTCGAATATCCTAAGACAGCTACAGGACACGTTACCAGCGAAGGCCACCCAGTGGGCCAGTTCAGCGTTGCATTCAAGCTCGGCTGGATTACATAAATTACGCAATGGGGGGGAATTGAAGTCTTTGGTTTGGAAGACCGTACGGCGTGCATTTACGATAACAAATGGGTTGATTATTCTGTGGATTTTCACGCTGTGGTGGGGAGAACGGGGGGTCTTTCAGGAGAGTCTAGAGTCATGCGCTTGGGACGCGTGGGAGAAATGGGTGAGTTTTTTTTTTTTTTTTTTTTTTTTTTTTTTCAATCTCCTTCTATTTGGTGTATCACTTTTGTCTAAGACACAATCTAATTCATTGGTGTGTGGTATTAGCCTCAGGATGCTCGACCGCATCATGTCGCCTTCATCGCTGACCCTCAGCTCGTGGATCCTCATACCTACCCTGGCCGGCCGTGGCCACTCTCGACGTTGACGGTCAAATTCACGGATCAGTATCTGAGAAGATCTTTTTCGTCTATCCAGAGCAATCTTGACCCGGATTCAGTCCTATTTTTGGGCGATCTTTTCGACGGTGGAAGGGAGTGGGGAACAGCGTCCAGCGAAAGCCCCGAGGAGCGCTATAGGAAATATACAGATTCTTTCTGGAAGCAGGAGTTCCACCGGTTTTCGAATATTTTCGCAGATACGTGGAATAAGCAGGAATCGCATTCAACGAGCCCTCACGGCCGTGTCATGATCGCCAGCTTGCCAGGGAATCATGATCTAGGTTTCGGATCAGGGGTTCAACTACCGGTTCGAGATCGTTTTCAGAATTTCTTTGGCAAGGGGAACCGCGTCGATGTTATTGGGAACCACACCATTGTCTCTGTTGACACCGTATCGCTCAGCGCGATGGATCAACCAGATCCCCACACGGGCAGCACCGGTGCTGGAAACGGAGACGGGGAGCGACCGAACCAGCGGATTTGGCAGGAGGCGGAGGAGTTCTTGAATAATATGAACGCGCATCGTGGACGCGCAGAGATGGACGAGCTCCGATTTCTAGGGAGCGAAGTCCCTTCGCGCCTTTTCCAGCACGCGATCAAGGGGATTGACGACCCGGCGATTGCCCAGAACCCCCAGCCAGAAATGGTCGGATTCCCAACCGTTCTTTTGACTCATGTCCCGCTATATCGAAAGTCAGCCACCCCCTGTGGACCACTTCGAGAGCGCTGGCCCCCGTCAGCAGAGGGCTTAGAAGAGGATGATCGGAATGCTCTCAGCATTAGCGGCGGGTATCAGTATCAAAATGTGCTGACCAAAACCATTTCAAACGATGTGGTGTCTAAAGTCGGGCCGAACCTCATCCAGGTTTACTCTGGGGATGACCATGATTACTGCGAAATCACTCATCGTGAGTTTAGCGGTTCTCCTAAAGAGATCACTGTTAAGAGTCTGTCTTGGGCGATGGGTGTCCGAAAACCGGGCTTTGTAATGGCAAGCCTCTGGAACCCTATTGACCCTGCCACCGGACAGCCGCTTGAGGCTTCGACCTCAGGAAGTACGCTCCAAAATCATCTATGTCTTCTTCCCGACCAATTGTCCATCTTTATTCACTACGGTCTGATTCTAAGCCTCACCTTGGTTGTCCTTTTGGTGCAAGCTGCCTTCGCCGCTTTGTACCCCCCCCGCTCAGACACCCCAGCACCCATCCTCCCTCTCTCTGAGCAGCGCGGATACCCCCTGCGAAGCCGAGCAGTCTCTCATTCGTCATCATCTAGCTTGTCTAGCTCCTCGTTTGTGAAGCCTGGTGGTCTAGCCAGCCGTGCTGTGAACAACCCGCGGGCTACCCCGCCTCAGTCATACCCTGATACTTACCCAAGTCCAGATTATGCGGAGGGGGTGGACCGCTGGAAGTGGAAACCGGGCAGCACGAACCAGCGGCAACCGCGCGGGAGTAGTACGCTTTTCGGGCGCGTGGGATATGAGCTCCTAACTTCGGTGATAAACGTCGCTCCCGTTGTTCTCGCCTGGTATTTCTTCCTGATCTGGCGGTGGTGATTATCCTGTAAATAAAACATGAATACATTGCATGTGTCTAAATTTTGTGCATTGCTGAAGGAGTATGTATGGGGTTTGGTTTTTGTATATGACATGACATAGGTGTACGAGTTACTCAATTACGTAGGAGGCGTTGGAAACAATGATGATTCACTGAATCTATTATACCCTGTACATCTTTTTTTGTTCCAGTCAAACATGAAATAGAATCATGGAGCCAATGGTAGTGTGGATAGATATTACAATTGGTCTCTTGCGTTTCTCCGACGAATCTCCACGTTGAAGTTTGAACTACTCCATAATCACGAGGCATAGCAACATACCCTCGATAATAGCGCTGTAAGTTTGACTAGTTAGGTCCTCCGTAGTAACTAGTGAGTAAGTGGCAAACTTACAGAGGGTTTCTGGGTTCTCTCTCCAGAATTTAGAGTATGGGAAATTTCGTCTCTGTTGCCATTAATAGTAATGGTGACTCTCCCCTCTTGTAACTTACTGGGCCTAGACTGGAGATAAGGTACGTACTTGTTAGTAAATCGTACCATGGTTCAGGGCAGGACACACTCAGGACTAAAATTAAATGTTTGGATAGAACCGTGTTACGCTCAACTTTCCCACTTCTTAGACGTTGCGCGCAGTTGCAGTGCGCGAGGCAACTGAACCATTCAGTTTGAACTTTGAAGTTGGAACGACCAGTGAGGTAATTCATGCGACGGAGTGGAAACGCGACAGGGGGCGGGAATATCCCGGCGATTCTACGTCTGCTGTGGTTGGCTGAAGTCAAATTTCCGGGTTGTCGATCGCGACGCTTTTTTTCAAGTGTTGAAACCTGAGAGGGCTTGATCCTTGTTTTCATGATGTAACCCGTCTCTAGGGACATTTGGCATCGTCATAGGTTTAGGGAGCTAGTTTGAATTTGTCCGGTGGAAGGCGCGAGTGCCAAGTCATCCTGGCTGGTGTCGGAGAAACTGACCCGTCCCTGCGAACGGGAACGGATTGGAAAAGAATGTTCCAGGTCCCGGATGGATTCGATTTCGGGGCGAAATCGGCCTACGTACTGGTTTGTGGTGGGCCGTGGGTCGAGGAATGTCTTCCGCAGTTGGGGGACTCGGAATGTGTGGGGATTAATTCTGTACCCTGGGACTTGGCTCGAGTTTACCTGCTGAGTTAGTTAGATTTCGGTTTCATGAAGAGAATTGGAATCTTATTCTGGATAGACTCAACTGTATTGATTGTGTAGAGGAATTGAAGATAGAAAAGAAGATGATGAAGCAGAAGCAGAAGAAGAAGAAGCAGATGTCGTGATGAGGAGGAATGCAATTTTCCTTTCCGGGATCTTGGCATCGGCTGACCGACTGCTCCCGGCTTCATCTTCCATCTTCACTTTCTCTCTTCATCATCTCCGAGGCCAACCCCGAATCCCTCATTTCTCCCCGGAATGTCTGTGTTCGGCGTCTCTCTGACTAACCGCATGACCCCAGGATCCATCCGGGGGCAATTTCGGTCAACTTCCGTCCTTTCGCTACCCACTTGGTGAGTATCTGATTCTGGCTTGCGTTACTCGTATGCAGCCTACGTACAGAAATTGACCTCCTACTAGAGTACTCGGTAAAGCCACCTGATGGGATTCGGGTGGCACAGCCCCCTTTCGGCGTTCCAGAACGATTCCATGGCTCTCTCTGCATCGGCCTGTCTCACAGTCTGGTCCCCCCGGCCTTGCGACTTGGGGATGGACGAAGGAGGGAACCTCCGCTGTAAATCCTCTCCACACATCACACGCTCTCCAAGATTTTTTCTTTGGATGACTCGTGGGGGCCCATGCACTAGGTGGCGGAGGCATTACAGAACTGAGAGAAGAATATTGCCTCTCATGCGCTACTGTTGGCTAGCAATGCTGCACGCTGATTCCGTCTGTTGATCTCACACCCCCCCGTTTCTGATTTCGGCTACCATTCTTCCCCCGTCTGGCCGGACATGGAGAAGCTCCTGTCGGTTCCCCCACACCCTTTCTTCCTGCCGGCAGCAATACAAAAAGCTCTTGCATGCCCGCGCTGGGGATTGAGATGGATCTATCCTTTTCCTTCCTTCCCCCAGATCAGACCAACCCTTTCTCCTCTGTCTTTATTGCCCTATTCGCTTCTTGATTGTTTCTATCTTTCAGTATGGGTTTCATGATCCGGAAGCCAGATGATGCAGTGGGCTCGGCTGCCCCTGCCATCATCATCGGCCTGTTCGTGGCGTTTGGTGGTGTGCTATTCGGGTACGTTCTCTCAGTCCCAGTTGCCCTCTTCGTGGTTCTTGTGTGCTGATTATACGGGCTTAGGTATGATACTGGTACAATCAGTGGAATTATGGCCATGAAATACTGGCGCAAACTGTTTTCGACCGGCTACATCAACCCTTCTGATGGTCTCCCCGATGTGACTTCGTCGCAGTCCTCCATGATCGTGTCACTTTTGTCTGCTGGAACTTTCTTCGGAGCCCTCACTGCTGCCCCGGTGGCCGATCACTTCGGTCGACGGCTTGCCATGATTATGGATTGTGGTGTCTTTGTTTTCGGTGTGATTTTGCAAACCGCAGCTACTTCAATTCCCTTGTTTGTAGCGGGCCGTTTCTTTGCTGGATATGGTGTTGGTCTGCTTTCTGCAACCGGTATGCACCAATGCATGATATAGACCCCTTTTTGACTGCTTACTGACTGGATACAAGTTCCCCTCTATCAGTCCGAAACAGCCCCGAAATGGATTCGTGGAACGATTGTCGGCGCCTATCAATTGGCCATCACTCTCGGTCTGCTGGTTGCTGCCATTGTCAACAATTCTACCAAGAATCGTCAGGACACTGGATGCTACCGCATCCCTGTTGCTGTGCAGTTCGCATGGGCTATAATTCTCGTCGTCGGAATGCTTATCCTTCCGGAGACCCCCCGATTCCTAATCAAGCAAGACAAACATGAGGAGGCTGTCAAGGCACTTGCACGTCTGCGCCGCCTCAACGTCAACGACCCCGCCATTGTCGAAGAGCTAGTTGAGATCCAGGCCAACCATGAATACGAACTACGCGTCGGCAAGGCTAGCTACCTTGAAATCTTTCGAGGCGACCTGTGTAGGCGTCTTTTGACTGGCTGTGCTGTCCAGGCCTTGCAGCAACTTGCTGGTGTCAACTTCATCTGTACGTGCTCCGGTCATTGCCGAATCTTGATGTGAAGCTCATCTAACAAACAATAGTTTACTATGGCACGACCTTCTTCGAACACTCCGGCATCAATAATAGCTTTGTGATTACCTTAATCACCAATATTGTTAACGTTGTTTCCACCTTCCCTGGTCTCTGGATGGTCGAGAAATGGGGTCGTCGCCCCCTGCTTCTGTTCGGTGCCGTTGGAATGTGTGTCTGCCAGTTCATTGTCGCCATCGTCGGCACCACTGCAGAGTCTGGTGTTGCAAACCAGGTTCTCATTGCCTTTGTCTGCATTTACATCTTTTTCTTCGCTTCCTCGTGGGGTCCAGTAGCTTGGGTTGTGACCGGCGAGCTGTTCCCTCTCAAGGCTCGTGCGAAATGTCTCTCCATCACCACAGCTACCAACTGGCTTCTTAACTGGGCCATTGCCTACGCCACCCCCTACATGGTGGATTCTGGACCCGGAAACGCGAACCTGCAGTCCAAGGTTTTCTTTATCTGGGGTGGATTTTGCTGCCTTGCTGCTGTCTTTGTCTATACTTGCATCTACGAGACCAAGGGGCTTACCCTGGAACAGGTGGATGAGCTTTACTCCAAGGTGCCCGTTGCCTGGAAGTCTAAGGACTTTGTGCCTTCTGTGCACTTCACTGATGTCCGTGATGTTGCTGCGGAGCGCAAGGGCGGAAACCTGGCCGATCTGGAGGCAGATGCAAGGGCTAAGCAAGACCTGGAGCATGTTGAGAAGGCTGGCAGCTTTCACTCATAGATCAGTTTTTTCCTGCATTTTCACTACCTGGTTAGCCTAAGTACCTGTTTTCGTTTTGTTTTCATCATCCTTTTTTTTTTTTTTTTTTGTGTGTTGTTCATTGAGCGCTACTGAATACTGAATTTGATGTATATGATTAATATCGATGTGATTGGCATGATGTGATGTATGATATACTTGGACTGGTGCATGGATGAGGCAATCAAAGGTTCATCATCATCTTTTCAACATAGGGACATTGATGTGTTTAATTTTAATCTCAGCCATGAAAACAAATCTTTGCTTCGAATTAAAGCCATAGGTATTTTCATCTCAAGCCGCCGTATAGAATCCATCCCACCCGTATCCAAAGGCTTGACTTGACAACAAGGGTACTGCCGCCAAACCAGCTGTTCTCGTCATTGCCCTCAGACCAAATAGCGTGCATGGCATATCGCGTTGCAACCCAGTGAGAGCCCTTAACTTCTCTAAGCCCTCGCATTTGTCGACCTAGCTTATCGGATGAGTTTCAAGTCCAGCAGCAGTAAGGCGTTTGCCTGGTCGTTGAGATCTCAAACCAAACTTGGCCGGTTCCGCCTGCGTACGAGTCTCAGCATTTCTATCCAGTTGCAGGTTTAGTTCTCGCCTTTTCCCTCTGTCCGGTTGAGCCCCTGGTGTTACTTTTGAGAGGCTTGCCAAATTATCCTTCACAAGGCCTGTATTGGAGACATGTTCAACAAAGGATAGATGGTTGAGTAATGGAAATGAAGAATAAAACCAGAACTGAAAATCAAATATCGAACTAGACTGATCTGTACTTACAGCTGGAGAATCTCTGTCGTCAGCCGCCGCTTCAGTGAGGCTGAGTCTGCCGTCTTACAGACTCCTTATAATCAACAGCGAGCGTCTATGATTGCTGCTTCGCTGACGACTTTTGATTTGACTGATCAACTTCAAATCTGCTGGTATATCTCAAAGCACCCGGTTCTCCTTCATGAAATCCAAAATGTCTTTGGAGAAGAGAACCAGATCAGGGTACCCAAGACCAGTCATAGAGGAACCACCATTCGCCGCACAAGATCAGCTTTATCACAACTTGACTATATCCCCTGAGAAAGGCTCGATTCTACGAATACCAAAGCGATCAAACTCCCCAGAGACCGTGTCCAACAAGACCTATCTCCCTGGTCAGCCACGGATAGGCTTAGAGGATCCAGAGTTGCCCACTTACCTCCACTCCGAATTTGTCACCCCGGATTTGGATCGACTGGGACCGCATCTCTGGCTCGTGGCCAAACAGGACAGTACCCATATCTCCTCACTCACAGAACAAGCCGTGCGCGGTCGTCGAGTGGTTATCACCGAGAATCCAGAGCTCCATCTGGTCTGGGCCTACGATATCGTCTACCTGAAACCCATCCCCAAGTACCTCCTTTCACACCCCTTCTGGGAATTCTATCTCACCCGGCAGAACCCTGTCGTGTCTAATGATACTGCCCGAGAGGCAATCGTGCGAGGGGCACGAGGCTTTTTACGATCGTACTTTTATCTGATTCAGCACAAATCCGACTTTCTCACTGCAACAAACGAGGGTCTTTGTCTTCTACCGCACGGTATCCGGTACTCGCAGTTTATGCGCTTTATTTCTGCGTTCGAGAAGGTACAAGATTCGGATGTCTCTCCCCGGTATCATTTTGGGCAACTACGACTCACGCGGCTGAATTTCTGGTCCAAAGTATTCCTGCAGCGGCTGAACTTTCACAAAATGTATTGGCAGTACGGGACTCTCTTCGCAAATTATTATGGTCCACTGCTATTTGTCTTTGGGTGGTTCAGTGTTGCGCTCAGTGCGATGCAGGTGGCTTTAGCGGTAGAAGATACGAACTCGACTGCCAGCCCTTGGTATATCTTTGCGACTGTATCTCGTGTGTTCTCGGTCGTGACACTTTTTGTCATTCTGCTCTCAATAGTTTTCCTTATTGTGGTGTTTACAGTTCACGTTGTTAGGGAGTTGGTGTATGCGTTGGGGGATCTGTGCAAGAAGAGTAGGGTGAGAGCTTAAGATACGCAACCAATCGACATAATCAAGCGAATAATAAAAATAACGATATCTTTTCTTTTCTTTTATCTTATTTTATTACAGGTGTCGCCTTTGTATACTTGAGTGGCCATGGAAAGAGTTGAACATGTCCACGGTTTGTCCTCAGGCACCGATCAGGCACCTCGGCTCTAAACGATTATTGGCCAATAATAAATCGGATATGACATCACAGACCCACTTTCACGTGCTGGTTTTATTTTGGGAATCATGGCCGAAAGGGGAAACTGGGGGACTGAGGCCCTATCCTCGTCCAGTGACAGTGCTTTGGATATTCAGACACAAGCGCTCCTGCAGCGCGAGCCTCCCAGAATCCTATTTTTATTGAATGCTGATCGTGTGTGTTCATCTTCACCGCCAGGCTGATCTCCACGGATGGTCCTCTTCTCCTTTCCTTCACATGATTTCACCTCCTGATTCTCTCACCAACGAAGCAATGCGGCGCCTGCCCTCACATCTTATGACCATTCCCTGAGTCCGCTATGTTGATACCTCCAAATCCAGATAACTATGGCCTGGTTTCAGCTGCTGGGTCCTTACCTGGTGCCCACCAGGCCTCTCTGCCGCCAAAACCGAAACCCGAGACTGAAGCCTCGATAATGGCTACCGAAACAAGGTTTACTGAACTCGAGACAAACGCCGAAACTCCAAGCCCCTCACAGCCAATACTAGAATTACAACGCCTGGAAAGGTTGCAGAACGGAGGAGATGAGGATAAAGAGTCTACTGCAACAGACGGACTTTTTCATGACAGGCCACAATCACGACAATCGCAAGGATGCTCTGGGGCACCCTTCTTCAGCGTGCCAGCACATCCACTGTTCCCGCCGCTCCCCTCATATAACCCGCCTTCTGCCTTCAATGTCTTACAATACTTAGGTGTCCGGTGTATTTCGTTTGTACTATCTCTATTATTCCTCGGAGTTATTGTTGTCAGTGCCTTTTTCCGGAGCTTGTGGTTTCTCTTGGCGAGGATGGGCCAGTATGTAAGAGGCAAGAACCCCCGAGAGCAGCGCAAATTTTACGCTGAGGAACGAGCCCGGAAGCTGGAGAGGAAGACCGCATCGCGAAAGTGGAAACTACGACAAGAGAAGAGGGAGGTCGATGAGGAAGTGCCTGATGAATGCCCACCGTTAGAAGGGGGAAAGGATCCCATCGTATGCAATGTCGCCTACTACGCTCGAAGAGTTGGCCTGGACGTGGAAACTTTTAAGGTACAGACAGAAGACGGGTTCATCCTCACTATGTGGCATGTATATAACCCTCAGGAATATGCGGCTCTCCCCGCTAGCGAGCGAAATGATAGAGGACCACATGTCTTCAACGGGCGAAAACATCGACAGCCATCTGCCCGCTCCCACAGCAAATACCCTGTCTTATTAATGCACGGCCTGCTCCAGAACTCTGGCGCGTACTGCGCAAATGATGACGATAGTCTAGCCTTCTTCCTTTGCAAGTCTGGTTACGATGTCTGGCTAGGAAACAATCGCTGTGGGATCGAACCAGAACACGCAAGCTTATCGGCATCAGACCCGCGCCTGTGGTCCTGGACTATCCAACACATGGGGGTCTTCGACCTAGCGGCCCTGGTATCGCGCGTTCTCTATGAAACTGGGTACGAAAAACTCGGTCTCGTATGTCATTCGCAGGGAACGGCTCAGACTTTTGTGGCTTTGGCAAAAGATCAGCGTCCAGAGCTGGGGGCACGGATCTCTGTCTTCTGCGCCCTCGCTCCAGCAGTGTATGCGGGCCCTCTCGTTGAATGCGTTTACTTTCGCTTTATGCGAATCATATCTCCGGCGACTTTCCGGCTGTTTTTCGGCATCCACTCGTTTATTCCCTTTATGCTAACAGTGCGTCGACATATCCATCCTCGCATATACGGAGCCCTGGGATATTTGGTTTTTTCATTCCTATTTAACTGGAGCGACGCGCGGTGGGACCACGGCCTACGCGACCGCATGTTCCAATTTGCGCCTGTCTATGTTAGCACAGAGACAATTCGATGGTGGCTCGGGGCGGATGGGTTTGCGACGCAGAAATGCATTTTAGGGACGCGAGAAACCTGCTTAGCCGAGGTTCAGGAAGACCGCCGTGCTCAATCTAGTAACCAGGATGCGATAAATGAACGGACTGACACTCCTTGGTACAGTTCACAAGCACCTCCGCTTGCACTGTGGGTTGCCGGGTCTGATGACCTGGTGGATGGTCGGCGACTCCTCCAACGATTGAACAGTGGGCGAGAGCCACATGTCCAAGTAGTCCATGCGAAAGTCATTGAAGGCTACGAGCACCTCGATGTGTTGTGGGCAATGGATATGATTGAGCAAGTCGGCCGCGAGGTGCGCCAGGTGGTGTGGACAACCATGCCGGCAGATGCACGAGCCATGAGTGTGAGGCCAAGAGGCGTGGAATAATATATAAATTTATCCACCATCCTAAAATTTAACTTATATAAAATTGCTACTACTCAGGATCTCACTATAATTTCAGTAGCTTGAGACACTTGTACTTGTTAGCGTTTCCTTCCCTGATCCAAATCGAGGAACCAAAGTCTGCGCTAGTCTAAGACACGCGCGACTCAGAAATCTGCACTCCCTCTGTCATCTCGTTGTCATGTCGTTGTCATCTCCTTGCATCGCTATAGGCCCCATCTAGATCCTGCAAGAAATCACCATGTCGAGCTGTATGCCCGTTTGCTGGGGATTTCTTGGCACCGGGATTATAGTCAGTGAGTGGTTTCAGACTAAGTGTTGGTCATCATAGTCGATCCTACTCTGGCTTTACTCTCTCTCTCTCTGTCCCTCTCTTTTCATTTCATCTCACTCCCTTTTTCACTTCATTACCCTGGTTCTCTTTCCTTGGTTCCTTTGCTTTGTCTGCCCCGAAATGTGTACATAAATGTCCGGGAGACTGCCTTGGAATGCGGATTCCCATTGCCGTGCAGCTAGGGCTGCTCGTCTTATTGACTGCCCTGATCGGTCTGGCGACCCTGTCCATTGCAACAGTAAGCCCGATCACTACCCGTTGGCGCGATCGACAGCTTAACCAACTCGCTGGTAATAGTGGATTAACAACTATAATCTCGTGGTGCATGTCACGTAAGTGATCCTTGCCCATGATATGGTGTCGTTTTACGATTCTGATGAGTGCCAATAGATCGCAGGGCCTTCAACTTGTCGCGACCATCAAGTCCAGTCAAATTGCATCCAATCTAGAGATTTTGCAAACAACCTGTGCAAATATCAATACCAGAGTTCTTGTTCAGAGTGCGCTCCAGCGTTATTATGCCGGAAACTATACCTCGGACAATTGGGTGTCCTCTTTCGCAAGTGTACAATCGGCCTTGGGGGCGGGCGGGTATCTCAGTCTTTATCAGGCTAGTGTTTATGCAAAATTGGGACACGCGGGCGTTCGAGTCCTCAATGTGAGCGCCAGCAATATCCCTGACATCGAGCTTCCCTATCGCTATCCCGATGGCACCGCTGTCATGCTTGGGGATGATGGTCTAGGCTATCCACCGTCGCTTTTTCCTAATTTGACCTTTCGAGGTGAGAATAGGGGTGAGGTTTATGCGTTCGAGGATGTGACAGTGAGCTCAAGTGCCCCCTTACTACTGGGGCCACTTACACTGAACTCTTCCTTCTCCCTTGTCTCCTTGACGTTGCCAATCATCAACAATACGTCGTCTACGGATGTTCTGGGATATATGACGTAAGTGTGCTATCCCTCTCGTTATGACGGTTGACCAACACATCTCTAGCGTGGTAGCCAGCGCAGCTTATATCCAGTCGGCGCTCAGCTCTCGCCAAGGCCTTGGAAATACTGGTCAAGTACTCCTTCTTGGTCCCACGCGCATAGACAATCGATTCGCCCCTGGATCTGGACCAGCTACAGCCAATACTGCATCAAATACGACCGCCCTCGGCGCTACAAAAGTTCACTATGTATTCCAACCTACGACGCTGTATAACCAAGCGAGCAGACACAATGCTTCCGTCTCTGCTGGAGCATCATTCACGTTGGACCAATACCCAGCAGCATTGGAGGCCCTGAGTAGACCGTACGCATCCATAAATCGATCGGTCAGTAATTTGTCAACTAAAAATGAAGAAGGGGTTAATGTTGCGGTAGGAGTGATTCAGCAGCGGAGCGAGCTAGTTGAATGGGTTTTGATCATCGAGGAGACCCATACGGAAGCGTTTGCGGCAGTAACCTATCTGCGCAAGATCATTTTGGCATGTGTTTTCGCAACTATCGGATTTATCGCTGTAATGATACTGCCACTTACCCACCTCGCCGTCGGGCCTATTCGAAGACTCAGGGAAGCTACCAGGAAATCCATCCACTCGGCCACGGATCTTTCACCTAGTCCTTCCTTGGCAGCTGTCCCTGACCCCATGGATCAAGCTGCTCTGAACGAGAAGGTCGGTGTATTTACCTGGGCCCGATGGCTACGACGGAGGGGAAACGAATCTGCCAAAAGTCGCAGCACTGAGAGCAACATGGAGCCCCGGCAGTTCCAAATCCCAAGCCGGGTCAAGGAACGCGAACACTGGGTTACTGATGAGCTGACAGAGCTTACGAGTACCTTCAATGAAATGTCCGACGAACTCTTAATCCAGTATAATCGGTTGGAAGAGCGGGTGGCTGAGCGCACCCGCGAACTAGAGAAGGCGAAGATAGCTGCAGAAACAGCAAACGAAAGCAAAACCCTGTTCATCGCCAACATTTCTCATGAGCTCAAGACCCCGTTGAACGGTATTCTTGGCATGTGTGCCGTGTGCATGGGGGAAGATGACCTCCCGCGCATCAAGAAATCACTGCAGACCGTCTATAAATCAGGCGATCTCCTACTCCATCTACTAAACGACTTGTTGACATTTAGCAGAAATCAAATTGACCAGGCGATTAGACTTGAAGAGAGGGAGTTTCAGCTGTATGATATTAAATCACAACTTGCAGTGATCTTTCAGAACCAAGTGCAAGAAAAGCAGATCTCTTTCAGTATTACCTTTTGTGGCCCTGAGATGTGGCCCCGCATTGCTAACAGAGGCGAGAAGGAAGGGCTGCCCCAGAACTGCGGCTCAGCAGTCGGCCCCCCAGGAACAGGACGCCTGAAGGACATGGTTCTGTGGGGCGATCAACACCGAATTTTACAGATTCTCATCAATTTAGTCAGCAATAGTCTGAAGTTTACCCCAGAAAACGGCACCGTCGAAATACGTATCAAGTGCCTTGGCGAGGATACTCCGCGGTCGATCAGCCCAAGGCCTCCAGCACATGAGTCGAGACGACTTGCACCGTGGAGATCTCGCGGCTCTTCCTATGCATCCTCATTACCAAGAAGCTCTTTTGATCGTACAGGAGATAGTCTGGAGGACAGGCCAGACCCAGCACCGCCGGCTCACATACGCACTCTTGCTTTCCAATTCGAAGTCGAGGATACTGGGCCGGGGATCCCACGTCATTTGCAGCAGCGAGTCTTTGAGCCTTTTGTGCAAGGTGATCTACGGCTGAACCGTAAATATGGAGGAACCGGTCTTGGGTTGAGTATTTGCACTCAGCTCTCCCGACTCATGGGGGGATCAATTCTCCTGGAAAGCGAGCCCGGCAAAGGCACGCTGTTCTCTGTCAGAATCCCGCTAGGGTTTGTCAAAGAGTCAGCTCCCAGTACTAGCAGCTCTAGCATGGTCGAATCTCGCACATCTAGTGTTTTCTCCCTGGATGAATTGGCAACGCTTGCTCGGCCACCGTCCAACAATAGCGCTTCTGCGCCGAATGAGCAGTCCACCAGCGACTCTGAAAAGCAAGATAGCCAACCTCGTCTGGTTGGACTCAGCCAGCCATTCTTCGCGCCCCCCGTTCACCCTGAGAAGAGTGATGAGCCGAAAAAGGTCCGAGCTTTAGTGGCGGAAGATAATGTCGTGAATCAAGAAGTTGTTCTTCGGATGCTTGCTCTGGAAGAGGTGTACGATGTGACGGTGGTGAAGGACGGGCAAGAAGCATATGACACGGTAAAAGCGAACATGGAGGAGGGCAAGGTATTTGACCTGATTTTCATGGACATTCAAGTGGGTCTGCCCCTTTCCATGACGAATTGAAAAGTAACTGACCATGTTAGATGCCTAATCTCGACGGCATCCAAAGTACCCGCCTCATTCGACAGATGGGTTACTCCGCACCGATCGTGGCTCTGAGTGCGTTTTCCGAAGATAGTAATATAAAGGACTGCATGAACTCGGGAATGGATATGTTTATTAGGTGAGTCTGCCGACTTTGTCCTAGGGGGCTATTGCTAATCCGAGAAGTAAACCGATTCGACGCCCTGCATTGAAACAAGTGCTGCGGAAATACACCACGATCCCGGAGGAACTTGAAAAGGCAGCCGATACGTGATCTCCTCTCATACATAATATAATTAATCACCCCAGAAAACAAGTTTAAATATTGTGCCTTAAATTGGCGTTCCTTAGCATGCGATACACAGGATATATTCTAGCATCTGTACGGGACGTTTTTAACCAAGAAAATTTACATTCACAACAACGCGAGGAATCGTATAAAAACTTCAAGGAGTATATGGAGGAGGATTATCGTGATACTTTTCCTCTCTTATCTGCTTCGCCTTCTCGTTCTTCGTTGGCTGGTAGCTCTCTTCTTCATTGTCGCTGTCACTGAAGTCACTTGCCTCCGACTCGGACGCCAACTCCCTCGTCCATGTATCGCGATCCTTCCCATTGTGATTCTGGACAGGCAAATCCAATTTCTATTTTATCAGCTTCAATTTCCATTAAAGAGCAAGAAATGCTCCCCAAAAAAAAGAAAAGAAAAGAAAAACTCACATGTCCATCCGCAGTAACAGCAACAGCCTCCTCCTCCTCGTCGTCTCCCAAACTCCCAACGAACTTGTCATTCTTCCACACTCCATTCTTCAACACCACACCTTTAAATTTCGAGTTGACAACGATACAATTCGTCACTTCGCAATCTTTAAGCGTTGCCCGCTTCAATCGACACCGAAACACACGCCCCCTTACAACATCACTCCGTGACACCGAACTACCCACAATAACCGAGTCCGTCGCCTCGCTCCGCGAAATCGAACTTTTCTCGCCAACGCTCGAATTCACCAACTTACACCTGCGCAGCGACGCCGCGCTCTCGATCCGGGAGTTCTTGGCCTTCAGGAACTGGGCCGAGCGCACATTCTTCAGCGAGCTGTCTTCGATGTGGGAGCGTCGCGCGCATGCGTTCTCGATTGTGGAGCGCGACACCTCGCTCCGCTTCAGGTGCATCGGGACCGAAACCGAGATGCTGTCCCGGGTTAGAGTTGAGGCAGTGATGGCGCTGTGCTTTATGTAGTCTGTTGGGGTGAGGTTGGAGAGTGTGGACTGGGAGATTCTGGAGCGGATGATGGAGGGGGAGGAGTTGTTGGGGAAGGAGGTTTCGTGGATTTTGCTGTGTTTTTGCATTTTCTCTCTCTCTTTTTTATTCTCCTATTCTCCTCTGGGTTGCTCTTTGTGTTGATTTGGGACTTTGGTGGGCTATAGAACGGATGCTTGAGTTGAAAATTAGGTATAGGTAGTTCGAAGAGACTACCTACGTACTAGAGATCGAGGGGAAAGGAGTCTGATTTATATGATTCAATGGTGGGAATGCTGTTGCCTACCAATGTTGATTCTCTATTCTCTACAGTTAGTTCGGCAAGGAGATTAGGTTTATTCGAAGTAAATCTGGCGTCTCCGATTGAATTTCTTGCTGGGACTTGCATAATTGCGTGGTCTACTTTACTTTAATTCGGGATGATAACTATTGAAAGGATCTAACTGATTTAGGAAGAATGTGCGACAGCTGCCTGACCAAGTGGGCACTGACAAATTCGCCATGCTAGATTGTTGGAGTAGATCGAAGAGTAAGAAACTCAAGATTGATGGTGATAGTAGAGCTATCTAATTCAATTCGATATTCTGCAACCTGCTCCATAGACCATTTCCGAGTTAAATCTCCCGTTCATCCTACTGGAACGTTATTGCTAAGTAGTTACGGAGTACTTGAGTATAGAATAATCAGCCCAGACAATCTGCACGTGATGATAGTCGATATCCGGAATCTCTATAATCCGGACGGAACAATTCTTGTTCCACGTGACCCCAAATCTGGAGCTGATATCATGTTTCGCGGCCAACAGACAACTAAAGCTTCAGCCCATATAATTCTGCAGCCATGGCGGACGCAAATATTCAGTGAGCTTGCTACCCGATATCTCCGCGCGATATGTTTTACTCACAAATCACCCAGGGCTCTTCTCCAGAAGCCTCGTCAAGAGTGCACGTAAGTTTCCTTTCGCGTCCCGTCACTTGCACACGCCAGACAAGCTGACTGACTGGGGTGTTTTCTAGTGAATATGAAATCGCTCAGATCGTATGTTCCTTCCCCGGCAATCCCTCGATGAACGACTCTTTCGGCTTGCAATGAACGAATATGGGGCTAATATCATGGAACAGGAGGAATGGGAGCTTAGCAATGGACCGCTCTCCCTGCTTCAGACTGCTGTGAGGACCAACACCCAGGTCCTGATCAGTCTTCGTTCCAACCGTAAACTGTGCGTTCCATTTCCATCTACAATCGCTGTCGCCATTGGTAGCGAATCCTGATCGGAATTCTGTATAGGCTTGCGCGAGTCAAGGCTTTTGATCGTCACAGCAATATGTACGTATATCCTTCCCCTTGGCCTAGGAAGCGCAAAATTTGCTAATATCCATCATCCAGGGTGCTTGAGAACGTCGTAAGTTACCACTTCTTCAAATTCCGTGCCCTGACTCCACTCATTCCCCCCTCATCCTCCCCCGCGGCACCGTGCTGATGATATTTTAGAAAGAGATGTGGACCGAGCCCCAAAAGAACGGCAAGGGACGACCAGTGAACAAGGATCGATTTATCAGTAAGATGTGGGTTATCGTTGCTTTCCTCGCTCGAAGTTTTTTTTTTTGTTAATGAATGAGCAGGTTCCTTCGCGGTGATAGCGTCATTCTTGTGCTTCTGAGTTAGACGACTATAGACTAGTCGTACCAGATATCAGTGGTGGTCTATTGGCGGCTCTAACGGCTCGGAGTTCTGGTTTTTTGTTGGTTGATAAAAAAAAAAATACCCGTGTCTGGTATAAAAAAAAAAAACTCATGGACGTTGGTGGTCTATCTACCCGCCATCATTCTGTCCGAGGATGGGATGAATCAATGTATGGTCTCCACATCTAGCGGTCCACGATATGGTTAATAGTGGACTCTCTCGATCATCAGATAGAACGATAGCCAGCATGGGCATGATTCCCGCCCCACGAAGCAGGCAGCGCTCCGTTGGGGCACCAAGTGTTTACCGCGCATGAAATTATATGAGCTATCAGGTAGCGAGTTTTAGATTTCGAAACATTTTAATAACATGCAACAACTCCCGCTGAAAGAAGAGCAGACCTGCCGAGAATGCAATAGATTTAAACATTATTAAAAATAGGTGAATTCTGACAAGACAAGAATGGGAGAACTTGACCCGAATCTGATACTATATACATAACCTATATTTTCCCTCTGCTCCTGAGACGCCGGTCTGTGCCTGCGCGTAAGCAAGAAACGAAACTTGAAAACCGTGCATAGACAGGTGCTAGATCTAATCTGCGCGATAAGACAGCTATGAAGAGGCCAGGTATTATAATATAATATAATATAATATATTCTTTATAATGAAATCCCAAAACGCCATCCGTCTATTCTTTGGTTTTGGAACCCGAATTAGAGAACCACCTTGCTCCTGGCCCTCAGCTTGGCCCCGTAGATGTACAGGACGATTGGCATTGGAATTAGGCATGCAGCCACGCAGCCGAGGAGCGTACATGCCCATTCGACCCCCAGGGCATCGAACTATCAGGTTATTAGGACGGCGAGTTTTTAGACCCAGCAAAGGTGGAACGGGGACAACAATACCATGTACGTTGCAAAGAGGGGGAACACAGCGCCAGCGAGCGAACGGAGGAACGTATGTGCAGCAATCGCGGAGGCGGCCCTATACCATTCGGACGTGCAAGGGTTAGCTGAGAAAGAAAACAGGGACGAAGAATGGGAATTGCGGCTGGCTGCACACCTCTTCCTTCTCGCTTCTGCTACGTACGCAATCGACGGCAGAAACATCGACAATAGGCCAAAGCCAGTGAGCAGCCCGGACGCCGTGGGAAGCATCCAGGGGAAGGAGGACCTGTAGCCTGTCCAGCCGAGCCAGAAGAGACCGGCCGAGAACGCCACGGAGCCAGGAATAGCCACGACAATCAACCACTCGGGCACCATTTCACCGTTATTGGCGCGGATTTTCCGAGCCAGTGTCGGCGAGCCCATGAACATGACTGTTCCGGCGAGGAGCTGGCCGATAATAACCCCAATGAAGGGAAGTCCGCCCACGCCAGCATTCATGTGGTGCAGACGTTGGAAGATAATCGGGTAAGCAGTGAGGAAGAGGTAGAGCAGGCCGTAGACGAAGGAGCCGAAGATGCACATGCACAGGATGATTGGATCCAGGGTGAGCATCTTGAGTGGGGTCGCGAGATAGTTCTGGAAGATCTCATCGAAGCTCACGTTGAGTTCTTCGTGTCTGGCGTGGAGGGACCAGTCTCCGGTTTCGCGGCGCAATCGGCTCGCCTTGGATGCTAGCAGAACCGGCACATAGGATTCATCGAGGAACAGCAGGAGGGATATGAAGGACGCCGAACCGAGAATCCCCGGAATATAATGGGTCCATCGCCAGCCGAGATTCTCGTTCAGAACGATGAACCCTCCGATGACGGGCGCCAGAAGGGGTCCTGAGAAGACCATCAGGCAGAACCCGACCATGCCAGCGCCGCGGATTTGTGGAGTCAAGATATCGGAGTAGACGGCGCCAGCCAGGGTCAACGGGCAAGCACCGAAGAAACCGGCGAAAAAGCGGCAGATGAAGATCGATTGGAGGTCTTTGGATACAGCCGTCGCGAAGGCGAACACGGAAAATCCGAACATGGCGGTAACGAAAGGTAAGCGACGCCCTTTGATCTCGGATAATGGTGCCCAGACGAGGGGACCTGTTGCGAATCCTAGCACGTATAACGATACTCCCAGTGTCCCTACTTCTCGTGAAATTCCGTGTATGACCATCAAGACTGGAATGATGACGGAGAATATGCTGCTCGTTAGGGCAACGATCATGGTAGCCAGGCCAAGTAGTATGGCAATATATAGCCTAGGGTTCATGGTAGTTAGTTAGTGAATCCAGAGGAAACAGCACTGTGTCCCCTTCTCGTCACCTACTTCTTTTTCGTGGGCCAGTTTTGGGGGTCAAGAGGGTCATCGGTTCCATCGAGATCAACTACTCCTGATTTCAGGTCTGTGCTATCCGGAAATGGATCTGTCGGTCGACACTCGGGTAAAATCGCTGGGCTGTCCGTGTCTTCATTCTGTGTGGTGGTGGTATTGACTGGTCGATGTTGGTTGTCATCCCCGGCTGCGACGAGCCCGTCAGTTAGGGTATTCAGCCCCTGTGACCTATATGAACATAACTTACACTTTTCCGGATCATCCATATTAACAACCATTTCCTTTATACCTGTGTGTATTTTCCGGCGTGCTTACTCTCATCAGGAGATTTTTTTTTTTTTTTTGAGACGTAGGGCTCCCATATGTATCCCGCTGGTGGACAATATAAGAGATGACCCGGTGGAGTCTTCGATGGAACGACACCCCAATGACCTAACGTGTGGTGTCTACGATGTACAATTTTAGTAATATACGTAGCTATACCTAAGAGCCATATAGTGAACCCGACAATTGTATGATCAGTAATCCACCCGACGGGCTTGTTGTTATGCCGTGGCCGTGGCCATCCAAAAGCGTCCATACAGACCCCAGCTGAAATGTACCTCGGTATCTCGAGGGAGTGGGGCGTGTGTTGTATAGCATCAACCTATCCACTCCGGGCATGGAAATAATCACAAGGAAATTTTTTCCCCCTTGGCGACTTGGGCATCTTAATATCTTCAAGCCTCATGAATCCCGAGTCTCCGTTTCGGTCAGTCGGGCCGCCGAAATGGCGATATATCTGTCCATTAAAATTCCGAATTAATCGGAATGCCGGCCATCCAACGCGAGCAACCTATCATCCTTCCGGATTCACCCATTCTGTAGAGCACATGGACCCAGACGCGGTTATTAACAGGGAAGTCTGACTCATGATATCAGCCTTGTTCCATTTGAATCTCTGAATAGCCAACTAGACGGCCGCGGTTAGAGTTATGGAGATTCGTCTGTCTCCTGATGCCACGCTTGACAAGAACATTATTTGGGCAACATAGACGTGAATTTGCATGTGAATGAATCCACAGTAAAAGATTCCAATAATTAGCCAGCCCTAGAGCAAGAGAAGTTAGTTTACCCCTAGGGGCTATGGCTGCTTTATCGTATACCTTTACCATCTCTCCCTCTGTCTATTCTCATGTGGACCTTCTGGTTCTTATATTTATATGGTTTATAGAAAGGCTCGTTTCCATGAAGATCTTTTTTCTAGGCCTTCTCATATAAATTTGTTCAGGCAAACTGATGATATTAACCAGGTCCAACAATATCATCTCTAATCGTATGGTCAGTAGCTTCTTCATACAGAACTCAAACAACCAACAAGGATCAGACCCCCAGCGGCAGAATCTCATGCAATTTACATAAGAAAATAAAGACGGACCCTTTACTATATGAATAGCCAGAGTATATTTCAAGTTCCAAATACAAAACGCGCCACCGGCACTGTCAGGTGACCCTAACCCTAAAGAGCTTCAGTTCTATAGTAGCCCCTTTGAGGCACTGCTGCAACTTTCTCTCTTAGCTCGGGCATTTATTGTGTTTGTGCATCTGAGGTCCTATCCTCGTGTCTAGATCTCTATATCATAGCATAACCACATACCCTTGGAGTTCATGGCTTGCACCCAGGACTCTGTTTCTGAACTTCTCCCGAGATACACTGGACCTTAAATCCATCCTTAGCTGACTCCATTCCTCCTATTTTATTGACTACGGTCGACTTGGTCAACCGGGGAGTCCATTTGGTTTTCCGAAGAATGCTTAGTGAATAAAAGTCTGTATAGCCCGACGCGTCGTCGTCTGATTCTGAGAGAAGAAAATATATATAATGCGCTTCATCATGCTTGAGAAAGAACATCAAGCTATACCTTAGCAGTGTTTTACACTTGTTCAATCCTGAAGGGCTCCTGATCTCGCTGCGGATGCGCCTGGGGGCCTTGGAGATGCCAGTTCGTTTCCTGGATAGTACTCCCTGGCGTCTTCCCCGTCACGGTGTTAGTTCTATTAAGACTGTGGACTTTATGGTGTGGACCTCTTCTGTCGCAAATCAATCACTAAATCAAGATGATATGATGTGCGTTCTCCACTTGCAGGGGAATCTGCAATCCACTTTTAGTTCCCACATGGGGATCAACCTTAACTAGACTAGAGATGACCCCTACCCATATCCACTCTCGAATCCTGAATGAATCACGACCACAATCCCACCAGAAATCAAATAATACTCATCTTCAACAAGTAACCAACCCATTACCTAGTCGAAGTTTTCACCAGCCGAGGTTCTAATCCCCAGTTGATCCACGTGACGCGCCAGCACGAATATCACCACCACCACCACCACCACCAACTCGCACCGAAGGAACGGACCTCCCACCCAGAACTAACAATCATTCGATTTGGATTTGAGATACATGAACCAGTTATTCAGAATGCCCTCAGATGACACCTCGCACTTTCAATCGATTGCATGGGTCTCTGAGCTTCTCCGCGACGAGTCCTTCGTGACGATTACAACCCCGTCGCGCGTGTTGAAGCCGACAGCCGAGGATACTTTCTTTGCAACAACCATCAACTCGCCCTCCACCATTGCAGCATGTCTAACCCAATACCGTCGCCCGTCTCCCTCTATCAAACCACTCTCACCCGGTACGATCCCAACAGATGAGATTCGTATTTTCTGTACTCTCGGTACCGGGCTCAATGGCTACCCCGGGGTTTTGCACGGCGGCATGGTCGCTTCCCTGCTGGATGAATGTATGGGATTGATCCTGAGCTTCAATCTAGGAGGTGGGAATCCGGGCCATACCGGGCCTGTGACTGCGTATTTGAATACCAAGTTTACTCGGCCTGTTCTGACGCCTGGGACGTTTGTTGTCACGGGCAAGGTTACGGAATCGAACGATAATCGGAAATGGAAGATCGTGGGGGATATTCGTGATGCTGACGGAAATGTTTGCTCTCAGGCAGAGTGTCTTTATGTACAGCCACGGAGTAAGATTTAGTTTGGTTGATTGCTTATTTGATGCTGGTGGACTACTACTACTACTACTACTACTACTACTAATTTAGATGATGGTATCGAGTCATGACAAGGTGCAATTAGCATCTATATCACATCATTCGGTCTTGTACTGTAAAGGAAGGTTAAATGATACGGTAAACTAGATCGGGGTCTAACACTATGTCGGGGAAGCGTTTGGACTTGAGTGCATCCAAGCTTCGGAGCTCAGGACATAACATGATAAATCCTCTATATACAACGTGAGACGCTTCAGAACTAAAGTGCCCTAGTTTCTTCGAGGGCTATGTAGTATTCCAATAAGGCACACGTTTACCTAGAAAACACGTCAATCCTCCGAGTAATATGTATCGGAGCAAATTACGAGGTCCGTATAGTGTTTATATCTGGCTAATATAGATACCTTGTGGAGGAAAACACAAAATCCTCTCAGGTTGCACTAACAAGACTACCTAGGTACTCTTTGCTGTGTTCTCTCCTTCCCTCACACTGACTTTGTGTTGACGTCTCCTTCCTCCACAACGCAGCTCACGTCTATTTATGCATCACAAATGCCCCTCGTTTGACTCTGTGCATAATTCGTACCTAATTCTACTATCCAAGAACCTTGATGTGAGTGGACTCTCAGAAGCTCATCCACGCAATGACTCAATCTCGCGGCAAGAGAAAGAATTCCGAAGAGATGACTGGAGTAGCTGGCAAAAGAGTTAAGAAGGGGAATTCCCCATCTCTCACCCCGGAAACAGAAACAGAAAGTGAGGACAACGAGGCAACCGATGAGGACGATGAGGACGACGAAGACGAAGAGGAACAGGAAGAAACCGACGAAGAGCAAATTCTGTCCAGAGAGTTCTGTCCTTCTTGGTTTATCCCAACTGAATATCGACAGTCCGTCAGCCTGAAACAGATCTTTGCCTGTGGTTTCGAGATACCCTCTCCACCCCCAGAAATGCCGTCGTGGATGGAACCAGTGCCAAGGACGGTGAATATTGGGTTGTCCCTGAAGCCACGAGTTCATCGGGACAACAGTGGTGTTTACTACACTGGACCGGCCTATGATGCGGCTATTCTTCGCGTGAAATTTAGTCCTGCATACTACAGGGTAACTGATGTGAGCGGCGAATCCCTGGACTGCAACGAATACTTGGAAGATCCGCTCTTTAATTCCGAGTTGAAAATTCTCCAACTTGTTGTGAATATCTTCGAGCAGCACCTAGGCGACCTCCATCGTGAGCACATGGCCATGGGTGAAAAGATGCGAGACTGGAGGTGCAAGAGGCGTGAGTGGGAGGTAGGGCTTGTGACTCAATTCAAAGCCAAAGGATTGGTGGACATATCCAACGGCGTGCTCACGGAGCTTAATACCTGGCTGAGAAAAGAGAATGCGGATGATATTGGAGGTAAAGGGGATATTTGGGATCACGGGGACGAGTTCTGCCCCGACAACTTACCTGTTTTGCCCCCTCAGCACAAGACAAAGAGAGGACCAGCCCATTCTGCAGTTCCGAAACGCATTGACGAAGTGAAATCTGCCATTACCGCGCTACAGAAGAAGATCAATTCTCTGCAGAAAGTGGAGAACCGTGATCCTCTTTTGATTATATTTGACGATGAACAGCCAGCAAACAACACGATTACGATTCCTATCCCAAGCTTAAATGATAGGGACAAGGAGAAATTCTACAACTGGTGTATGGAGAGACACGGCCACTGGGCAAAGAAAGGCGCTTTCCGAAAGGAAACCGCTCAGGAAATGTACCAGTTGGCCGAGCTCGCACAACTAAGGTCAGAAGGTCTACGAAAGTTGCCGAAAGGGAACCTTGGCCTCATTCCTGAACTTGTCGCATATGATGAGTTTCTTGGGATATATCCTTGGGGATTGCCCGCTGCAAAACTATATGCCGCGCTGGAACATGCAAAACTCGAACAAAAGTTTTACAATTTGCATGTTCGGGATTATCTCCTGGACCTTGAGGAGTGGTACTTTCGGCAAGCCGCACATGAAAGGTCCAAGCTGCAGAGGGAGATTTTGGAAGAGTGGCCTCTCGGTGAGAAGCTTGTTGGCATGCTTAAAGCTCTACTAAAAAGATCCACAATCGTAAAACCCTAAGACTTGAGTAAAGAATTCTTTCAGACTCTGTTGGGACTCAAAGAAGCTACGTGAAGGCTATTGGACAAGTTTATTATCAATGGAATAGTCTAGTAGAAGTCAATCTGACCTTCTTCCAAGACATTATTAATACATAATAATACCGTAGATCTGCCTGGTCGCTGAAAATGAAGACGAATGGTGCAGGAGGAGTTATAGTAAGGGTGGCCATGCCAGCAGCGTAGCAAAGAAAGAATCTCGGGATATCCGTTGGTCCTATGTCTATTATCAACTAACTATTTCCATGTACCGTACGGGATAGGCACGGTAAAACGCTAGAGAAATGCGTTAAAAACATCGAAACTTGGGTAAGATAGCCAATAATATTAATTACGAGAAGAATAATCGCTATGGCTTCCTCTAGCTTTAAAGCCCTAGAATGGAGGCCGCGAACCACAGGACCGTTGCACTCAAACCGGTACGTAGAAAGAAAGCCCTTAAGCTATGTAATGCACGGTCAAATCTCTCCAACAACAGCTTTGAGGATATCCGGCACCACAACCCCTGCATCACCCTGGAAGAACCAGTCATTTGACGTGAGTCCTCCCTTTCCAACATCATTCTGATCCATATTGATCACGGCCACTCGAGCTCCTCGTCGTCGAGCCTCATCGACATACCCTGCTGCAGGGTACACCCTCGCGCTAGTCCCAATCACCAGGATCAGGTCAATTTTATCGACATCCATCCACTTGTCCACTAAATCAAGAGTATGCAACGGCAGAGACTCTCCAAACCAAACAACTCCTGGCCGAAGCAGACCACCCTCGCACTCTGGACATTGCGGGAGAACATCGCGGCTTAGTGTTGGTAGCGGAACCCGCTCGTCAGAAATATCCACCTCTGCTCCTTCTCCTATCCCCATAGCACTATAGAGAGCTTTCGAAGCCTCTTCACCTGTTTTGTCCTCCGCCGATGGATTCAACTCTGGAAAGGTCCTGGGTATGGCGAGTGCAGGGACAATGGGGTCCGCGAATTCATCCGAGCGGGAATATTTGCAGTAAAAGGATGTGCATTTTACTGTAAAGAGATTCCCATGGAGAAGATGCAGCTGTTCCCGTGGATGTTGTGCGCGCTCTGAAAGACCTATTGAAATGAGATAGTTAATCAGCATCTCACTTTCGGCAAACTACGCGTTTTTTTTTTTTTTTTTTTTTTTTTTTTTTTTACAGAACCATACCATCCACATTCTGCGACAATGTAACAAAGTCCTTATTCCGCCGCGCTAGCTCTGAGAGCGCTAGATGTGCGCGATTCGGCTCCGCCTTGAGAGCCATATGTCTTCGATAGCTATAGAATTGCCACACTAGATCCGGGTTGGCCTCGAAGGCTTCCGGGGTCGCAAGCTCGGTCGCATCGTAGGATCGCCAGAGACCTCCTGCGCCGCGAAACGTCGGAAGTCCAGATGAGGCCGAGAGACCGGCTCCAAGCAGCGCCAGGATGCGTTTACTCCGTTTCAGGTGCTCGGAAAACGTTCTGACATCGGAGGAAACCATGGCGGGGTATCCGGGGGGGGGGGGGGTTGGCAACAACGGGGCCGCACTGAAGGGGCTTAGGGTTTTCAGACGGAGGCGATATGTAACAAAATGGCTAAAAGGGAATTGAATGTTCAATGAACCCCTTGGGCTTTGAGAAGCTCGAACAGGTTGGTATTTTTTTTGAGTGGAGAGACGCGCTAGCTATGACGTGGGGTTATCTCGGGTGCAACAAAAACCGCCGAGTATAGATAGTTGTACTGTATACAAGAACAAATCCATCGCACTTTCTCTGGTGGTATTTCCCGGATCAGGGTCTTATATATATATACATATATATATGAAAGGAAAGGTCTCTTTCTCTCACATTAAATGAGGGATTCAGGATAGAAGTCCTGACCATGGTCAGGAACTACCGTTTACTTACCTCTGTATAGCTGGAGACATCGACTTGTTGCCTAAATTAGGCTAATATAACGAGTCAAGGAAATAAATTCTACTCAAAAAGGAAAATACCATTATAAGGATAACCAACCAAAACAAACTATACTAAACATACTCATTCATGGAGTCATTAATGTTGTTCCTCGGCAGGGAGAGGAATACCAACCGCACTCCGAGCATAGTCTGCATTTTCCTTGTTCATCCGGCCAACGTAAGAAGTAATGTGCTCTGGCACCTCCTTGATCTCGTTTTCAGGGCTTGGAATCGGCTCTCCAAAGGTCTCCCAGACAGGAACAACGCCCGTCCAGATACGCCCTGTGACCTCCGCATTATCTTTGTCCTTCCTCTCGTCACCGACACCCCCGTCACGGATTTTACCACTTCCGTCGACCACTGTAACCTTGAGGATGACAGTCGAGGACATTTCAGCCCTGTCCGGCGGCACTCGCGAATTCCTCCAACGGTCTGGCACCACCGAGTTCGTGATAAGCTCCATTGCCCAAAGTTTCTCCGCTTCGTCGGTGACAAGCGTGGCGTAGCCGTGGAGAATCGCAGAACGGTAATTATAGCTATGTGAGTTGGGTGTGAGGGATAGAATTAATCCATCCACTTTACTGGCCGCCACGCAGATGGGGAGTCCATCTCCCTCGGAGCTGCGCGCTAGGTTCATGATGCGGGAGCTGACATAGCCGTGGAGATAGCAGTCCAGGGGCTCATCGATTCTAGCGGAGGGGTAGTCGAAGGAACCCATCTGCCCAATCATGGGTAGAATTGCGGGGAACGGTTCATCAGGACCGGGGTTGAAAGACACATGGAGCACTTGACTGGAGTTGATGATGGAATGGATTGCCCCAAGGTCGTACGTCGCTGGGGACAAGTGTCAGTCTCTCTTCCCCCGCTTATCACCCTTGATCTTATGGGAAGGCACCTCTGTGCTTGTAACGATTGACTGTGTTGGGCGACTTCTTTGGGTACACGAGTGTCTTTCCCATTTTCACGCAGTGTCAGGTAACAAGGTCAGTATATGCAATTTCAGCATTTTCGGATTGATCCACCCCTCTCTTTCTATAAATATATAATATTGAGGAGGACACCAGTCAATGTGAGTCACTTGTAAGGTTGTACTAGAGCGCGTCCAGCGTATGTTATACTTTCTTCGGTAATGGGCTCCATGAGATTGCATATCTAGGTATCTCTGTCTTCTGGAAGGATGGAAAGCAATATGATAGGCTTTCTCAGCGAGGAGCTACCTAGGTAAGGTTCGCAACTTGGTTCCATTCCGAGAAAGTCCATGCGAGATCATTCCATGATGGTTGAAAATCATCTCAAACCCGCCTGCGATGATTGGTCCGTGGCGCCGTCCGCGGGCTGCAGCCTGAGTTAATACCTGAGGCAGCGGTTGGTACTGTTTTAGCAAGCGGTCAGCGACCCCCGGGCCCGATAACTAAATGCCAGCTTCGGCGCGCCCTCGATAGATAACAATTTCCTTGGATTCCCGTTCTAAAACGCCTCAATCGTCTCTCGTTAAGTATGGTGACATGCAATTCTCTGGTGCGCCAATGGCCTCGTTATCTTCGTCGCTCATCTCCGTTTCTTGTCCTTCCAAGATCTAGTCGACCATGGTTCCAGCGACAATCCCTGTCCCACCGCGGATATGCCTCTATCTCTGCGGCCGATCTTAAGTTCGGACAGCCGTTGCACGAGACCCATCCCCATATCTTGAACCCTGGGCAATGTATGTACAAAAGCATATGTCTTTGGATGGGGTGATATGTTGACACCAGGAAGTGACCCCGGGAATAACTGCCCTTGAATATGCACATCGCCGTTCACGCCTCGCCAATAAGCTCCCCAAACATGCAGTCGCGGTACTGGCCGCTGCAGAGGTCACCTATCGAGCATCCGGCATCTTTAACGAATATCGGCAGGATTCCAATTTCTTCTACCTTACAGGTTAACACCTCTAGGGACAGAGTGTGGGAGTCATTGGCTAATTGATTTAGGCTTTAACGAACCCAATGCCTTGGCCATCATTGGTGAGCACGCGCGGAATATGATCCGGAGGAAGCATTGCTCACATGACTACAGTCAACGACGGTTCTGGGGATAACCATATCTTCCATCTCTATGTCAGGGAAAAGGATCCGAAAGCCGAACTCTGGGACGGGGCACGCTCGGGCACCCAGGCTGCCATTGATGTTTTTAATGCGGATGAGGTGAGATCCCACCATCATTGTCTCCTTCACTCGGGTCCAGGCTGGATGGGAATTCGCCTACTAATATCCAACCTCCAGTCAGGCGATATCGAACGTATCAGCGACATCCTTCCAAAAGTCCTTTCAGATGCCACCGAGATCTACACAGACATCCCTGCCTTCAGTCCTGGGAGGTCATCGTTGCACCGATATTTGTACGGCCCTTCTGGAGCTTCCGAGAAGCTCAAGAAGCTAGTTGACCGGAGCAAAGTTAAGCCTCTGCGCCCCATCCTCAATGAAATGAGAGTGTTCAAAAGCGAGGACGAGGTCGTTCAGATGCGTCGAGTTGGTCAAGCCTCTGGACGGGCATTCACCGAGTCCATGAGACAGACCTTCACTAGGGAAAAGGCTCTCACGTCCTTCCTAGAATACAATTTCAAGGTCAATGGCTGTGACCACAACGCTTTTGTCCCCGTTGTGGCTGGAGGTTCGGTAGGTAATTGCGTTGAATTGGTCGAGATTCAGACTAACCGATATAGAACGCTCTAAGCATTCACTATACGAGGAATGATGACATCCTGTTGTATGCATGGCTGAATCACGTTTGGATGCAATGGCTAACTAGAGATTACAGGGATGGGGATATGGTTTTGGTCGATGGCGGCGGTGTACGTCCCTCCATATTCAAACGTATGCGAAGCCTATGCTTATCTATTCTAGGAAATGGGCACGTATATTACTGATATCACGAGAACATGGCCAATCAATGGGAAATTCTCGGACCCTCAGCGTGACCTGTACAACGCCGTGCTGAACGTGCATCGTAGCTGTGTCTCACTATGCAGGGAGAGTGCAAAATTATCTCTTGACCGCCTACATGGAATTGCTGAAAGAGCCCTAAGAGACCAGCTGCAGCAGCTTGGCTTCGAGATTTCGGGAGATGTAAGTGGCCAGCTTGCTGGAGGTATATTCCTGTATTGACCGCACTTTCGCAGGCGATGGGAATTCTTTTCCCTCACCATCTCGGACACTACATCGGACTTGATGTGCACGACTGTCCTGGGTATTCTCGGGGCTATGATCTCAAAGCTGGCCAATGTATCACTATTGAGCCGTGCGTGTCTACCCGTTCCCGAAGGCTGACCTCGCTAATATCTTCCTTAGTGGCATTTATGTGCCAGATGATGATCGATGGCCAGAGAAGTTCAGAGGCATTGGAATCCGGATCGAGGACAGTCTCTGTGTCGGAGATGACAATCCGATTGTATTAACAACGGAGGCAGTGAAAGAGGTATGCCATTGTCTGTTTTGTTGTCGCGTCTACTGCACGGGAGTCGGTAATCGGACGGGTGCTAACAGTGATGATCATAGGTTGACGATATTGAGGCACTTCGGGATTAGATCGTAATTAGGACAGTAGACAGATACCCATTGCATACATGTACAATAGGACCAGAGGTTGTTTTGAGGTTGTTTTGAGGTTGTTTTGAGGTTGTTTTGAGGCTGTTTTGAGGCTGTTTTGAGGCTGTTGATGTGGCGTTGCTTGATTCCATAGGTATAGCCTCACAAGGAGATGGTCACGAGCAGAGCGCTCTCAGAATTAGTTCACAATCATGGCAAAATACCAAGCAAGAAAATGGGACACAAATAAGGAGTAAATTATTGAAGTCGCGGTCGCGGTGGTAGTCTAGGTATTACTGTTGACATGCTTCGCGCGACTCGATGGTTGTCCGGCGCACATCCCGCAGCCAAAACAAACCGACCCGTCTCCACCATGACACGCTTAGTTTAGCCTCGTTCCTCAATCCTGCAATCCGTTCGTTCATCATCATCACTCCTCCTCCTCTACCTCTCTTCCTCCTGCACTCATCCGATTATCTCCAAGTTGCAGTGGGTTGCCTGCCTCTCCCTTGAGGTCGTTTTATGTCCCCTTGCCTCTCTTCCCCGACGCTCTCTATTTCTTGGCCTCTCACCGCGTGGACCATGGCCCTTTTCTAATCCAGCCTTTTTTTTTTTTGCCCTTCGAGACGTGTAGCCTTGTCGCGTGCACTGCCCTCAGTGCACCCCTCTTTGACGAGCTTCTCGACCCTGGGCTACTCGTCCTTTGAAGTGCTTGTGTATATTGTTACCCTATGGCAGCAGTATTCATACCTCCTTCCCCTCGAACCTCCCTTAATATGTCGACTCGTCGACCACTCGCAAACGTGCCGAATGCCACCAATTCTCCTCACAGGCTAGGCCTCGTGCCTGCCAAACGTCCTCGGACGAATGCACTCGTCGATATCCCTTACGGCCAGCCGCCTCCCAAGAAGCAAATTGTGGATGGGACAGAGACTGAGGATCCGTCACCAACACGGTCGCGAACCGCGAGCTTCCAGAACCCAGATTCAAAACTCTTCACGCGCAGGACAAACAATGCACAGCCGAGTGCGTTTGAGAGGAAGCTGGTGGCCGCCAGAGACAAGGAACGACAGAGCAATTCGAAAGGCACGAGAAACGACAAGCCGTCCGCAGAAAACCTCGATCCGATCAGACAGTGGCAGAGACATTATCGAAAAGCATTCCCCCAGTTTGTCTTTTACTTTGATTGTATTCCCGAAGATGTTCGCAGCAAGTGTTCGAGACAGGTTATGGCTCTAGGTGCTGTAAGTTTACCTTGACAACCTATCGTCTTGTCTCCCTACCTACGATTCATTCTGGAACTTGGCAATCATGTTATACCTCAAGGGTGAGTTGACCTATTCACCGCATCCTAACCAAATTTATAGGCGGAAGAAAAATTTTTCTCGCGCCTGGTCACTCACGTTGTGACATCGCGTCCTATTCCTCCCGAGATTGATCGACGAGCCCCCTTGGATTTCGCCCTCGCTCCGCCAGACAGACCGGCCGGTGATGGCCACATAGTACAAACAGTCAACCCTGCCGTGCTTGAGAAAAACGCCGAAATGAACGTGATGCTATCGATGGGAATGGGTCCCAAACGGGAACAGAGCCAAGACGTCTTACACAGAGCCCGTGAGATGGGAATGAAGATTTGGGCTATTGAAAAGCTCCAGCGGATGATTGCTACCATCAACGATGCTGGAATTGCGGGTCCTAATGGTGTGGTCCGAACTAATAATACTGGTGGTAACCATACCAAATCTAGAGGCAAAGACGATCTTTCGCAAGTTCTCCAGAACGAGCTCAACGGGCCCTCTGATCGCAATCATCTTTCTGTGCTTAAAGAGCTAGTCATGTTCAAAGGTCCTTTCATATACATCCACGACATGGACGAAAAGACGCGGCCTGTTATGGTCCGGGAATATCCCAAGGTCGCGAAGCGACAGGACGGTATCTGGCCACAATTCCGAAGTGCTCCGTTGGGGAAGTGTCCTTTCATTGAAGATCCCCCTGCTAAGCGCGAGACTGATCGGCAACGGCTCCGCCAAGAGAAGGAAAAGAGGCCTCTCGCCAACCCGCTTCCTGTAGAACACGCCCAGCAAGTAAAGCAGACAGTACTGGAACCTGCTCCCAGGGACAATGGTCATCAAACTTTTGGCAAGGAATCTAGTCCTGCGGATGAGCGTGGGACACCTCTATCCTTTTCGAAGGAAGATGAGGCGAATGACCCGCATCAAACACAGCCAATATCACCTAGAAAAAGCTCTGAGAGCTTCATACCGCCTCAGCTCCACCGCAAAGGCCCCTTTTACCATGGCTGTGAGCCTGCTGCATCAGGTCTACAGCCCTCAAACATCACATCAGCGATTCGCTCGCAAATGGTGTCTTCAACTGCTGCCGCACCAGGTGCCAAGGCCGGTCTGAGCAAGGAAGTTCATGAACTGAAACGAAAAGTGCTCGAGAAAAGCAATGGCGTGCTACCTACTAGCATTGTACCCTCTTCCTACCGAGCTCCGAATGCTGCTCCACCTGTCAAATCGATAAAGATCCAGGCTAGCCGGCTGGGCAAGCCCAATACCCACGACAAGCTTGGGAACATTGAGGAGGAAGCAACGCAGTCAGAAGGTACCGGTACTTCGAACAGCCGAGTCCATGCCCGGAAAAGTGGCGAGCAGAGAAAAAAGGAACGGCGGAGAGATCCAAAGCCAGGATACTGTGAGAATTGCAGGGATAAGTTTGACGACTTTGACGAGGTAAGTTCTATCTGTCCGAATAAAAGACGGCATACTAACCCTAATGTAGCATATAATGACAAGAAAGCACCGTAAATATGCAACAAACTCCGCGAATTGGTCCGAGTTGGACTCATTACTATTTCAGCTGCAGCGACCACTCAAAGAGGAATACGACTATGTTTAGGATATCTTAACCTAATTTGACAATGTCGACGAACAAAAGGTCATACGTGCAACACATCCAAGCGTTTTGCAACCGCGATTCATTCTGTTTCCTGCATACTTGCTAGTGATGGATTGGCCAAGGTCGCGCTACAAGGCGCGGTCTTGATAGAAGTGGCATATGCATACTCATTTTCCTTGTAATTTGCTTAAAGGAATCCATGGGGTTTGACTGGCTGCCTTCATCTTGATCACCTTCATTTGTTCATCTTCATCTCTACTTGATTATGTTTCCCCCTGATTTATTCCTACCTTGCTGCTGTTGATTTTCCATTGTATTTGATAGTCATCCGGGGCAGTGTCATAGCACCGGCGTCCTTGGTTCTTATTTTGTTCTTGCATTGTTGGCTGCTGCTGCGGGACAAACAAAAAGGCACGTAATAGCCTTACAAGCCTTACCATCAGCACTTCTGAGAGCCACCGGAATCTCCCATACATAGGGCACGAGTTGCTCTGCGGCTGCTCCGTGCTACGCATGGTAAGCTCCTTATCACGACCGATCCATTATCTTGCATTGACATGTTTGGGTTGGACCGTTCAATCCACCAATTATGTTCGTTCCTCATTCTATTTTTTTTCTTTTTCCTTTTCTCGGTTTTCATGGGCTGATGTTCTCGCGGGGTTGTTGCATCTTAAGGCCGACTACTTGGATCGGTTTAGGTGGGTGTTGTGTTTGATGGACTTTTTCCCTTTTATTCTTTTCTTCCAGGTCTCGTTGACCTCTTACTCCACTGCTGTTTCTTCTCCTTGATTTTCATCTCGCGACTATTCTTATGAGGTGTAGTGCTTATCTTGCCTACTTTACACATGTATGACTAGTTCGCAAAACAGCCCTGACTTGTTGGGTTGTTCACCAGGATTATGTAGAAGTCATTCAATCATAGTCACTACCTAACTATCTATAACATACATTCTCTGTAGACTAGGTCTGCCATCGTGGATCCTTTTCGTCGCCGGCAAACAGGCTGCCTACGTAGCATTGTAGTTATTGGAGGCGTATATCCCTCTTCACGATACCCTCCCTGTGAGACGTACATTCAAGTGATTTAATCGCGTGCAAACTAATTTTGTAGATTCGGCATGTTACAGCAGAAGCGTGACCTTTTTCTTTCAAAAAAAAAAAAAAAAAATGACTTGGCTGAAGAGTTTAAGAAGGCTGAATAGAATAGGAGAGAGGGTGCGTTCTACTATTCTAGTAAGTAAAAAAAGACCCCGAAAATGAACCTCGGCAAAACTTCCTCGGCCCGGAACAAGTGAAATCCCCGGCGGAGTTAGCATTCAGGCGGTGAGCATTACAACCAATAGACGATTGTATTCCCCACCCCAACACGCGCAAACCTTACCTAACTCATCGGCGGCAGAATGGAAGTCAAAAAAAAAAAAAAAAATGCACTTGACTGCACTCACTTCTTTTGCCCGCCCGCGGATGCTCTAGACTACGCGGCATAAACCAGCACGAGTCAAGAATAATAAAACGTTCCCGCCTTTGTTTTGAAATGGAGTTCACCTTCTCTGTTTCCCCGAGTTTTTGCTTATTCTGTGAACTCTGTATCACTAGCTGTTTCCTTGGTATTGGTACATTCCGCATGTCCCTTGTAAGTCTGGGGTACTACTACTACTACTACTAAACCTGATCTGATCTGATTCTGCATACCTACTACTGAGGAGCTTCCTGGCGCCTGGCGGTCTCTGAGATTTCTATCTTTATTACTCGGGCGGCCTTCTTCCTCTTCAACCTATATGTAACAGTTCCCTAGGTTCATTCTGATCACCAACAAGAATGGCTTCGTTGAGATCTGCTGCTCGGCCTATGCCGATTGTCCGGCCTCTTAGTTCGATCCTCAGGGCTCGAACGGCACCCCTGCAGATACTTTCACTACCCTCGTGCGACGCGGGCAGGGCTCACTTTCCATCTCCACATTCAATCCGCCACAGCTCGCACTCCCCGCTCGGGGCAACCCCTGTCAATCCTCGAAAGAAAGTCACCATGCAAACCTTGCGGAACCTCTACCAAAAAGGCGAGCCAATCACGATGCTCACCGCGCACGACTTTCCCAGTGCATATGTTGCTGAATCTGCAGGAATGGAAATGATACTTGTCGGAGATAGCCTGGCGATGGTTGCTCTGGGAATGCAGGACACGAGCGAAGTATTGCTGGAGGAAATGCTGCTGCACTGTCGAAGCGTAGCTCGAGCAGCCCAGAACTCATTCACGGTGCGTATACCGGAACCTTCCAAATCCATGTGTGTATATATAGGGTGCTGGAGAAGTAGGACTGATAATTTGTAGGTCGGCGATCTTCCAATGGGCTCCTATGAGGTGTCTCCCGAACAGGCCGTGCAATCGGCAATCCGCATCGTAAAGGAGGGCCGTGTGCAGGCAGTGAAGCTAGAGGGTGGAGAGGAGATGGTTGCAACCATCAAGCGCATCACAACTGCCGGTATCCCGGTAGTAGCCCACGTTGGTCTCACACCCCAGCGCCAGAACGCCCTTGGAGGTTTCAGAGTCCAAGGAAAGTCAACAACAGGTGCATTGAAGTTGTTGAAAGATGCTCTTGCGGTACAGGAGGCTGGTGCCTTTATGGTTGTCCTCGAGGCTGTCCCTGCGGAGGTTGCTAGCATCATTACCAAGAAGCTTCGCATACCGACGATCGGCATTGGAGCTGGTAACGGCTGCTCCGGACAAGTTCTAGTCCAGATCGATATGACTGGGAATTTCCCACCCGGTCGATTCCTTCCCAAGTTCGTTAAACAATACGCCAACGTCTGGAACGAGGCAAGAAAGGGAATCGAGAAATACCGCGATGAAGTGAAAAACAGGGCATACCCTTCCGAGGAATACACTTATCCCATGTCGAAGGAAGAGCTGATTGAATTCCAGAAAGTCCTTGATGAGATGCCTAGAGATTGAGTGTTTTGCTCGCCTCTTGGCCAGCAACTATATTTGCAATACCCCATTACCTCATGTAAAGCGCCATAAAATAAACTCTTTTTGCACAGTCTTGCCATGCACAATACATTTCCATTGATGTGTGTGGTTTTGAGTTAGCATTAGCATTATGTATAGTCATGGAATCATCTATATCGTCTTGAACCAGAAGGTCTTGATTTGTATAAACCTGAAAATAGGTTGTTCATGTGCTTCAGCCGAATGCCGGTGTCATAGAGTAGGCAACAATCAGCTGGTCATCAGTTTTGAAGCACTATCGAACAAGTCAGTCAGATCTTCATTCAGACTACCAGACGCGGGTGTGTCTGCATCTGCTCGAAGAAATACTTACCCGCCACAATCCTCCTACGCCTTCATCCAAACCAGGAGCAAAAACACTATTTACGTAGCAGAAGACAGAATCCGTCTCTTTGCAGTCCAGCTTCTTCCTCAGAAACTTGACCACAGTTTCGAACTTTTGCGAGGCACTAATCTTAAACACCCGATTCTTAAGAATAGGGGCAGAGCCAAGAGGCTGGAACCGGACAGTGACTGCCGTAATGTTAGTATACGTCAAGACGAATTCTGCACTAAACATATAGAGATAGTATGGGAGGAATAAGTATACAGAAACCCAGCCAATAAAACTAGAAACTGCAGAGATTTATGAAGCGGAAACAAACAAAGCCATAAGCAAGCCAGTTTTGGCCAGTTTCTTGTGAAGAAATCGCGCACCACGCATGACACAACATCAAGTGACAAGGATTGTTGGGGGGGGGGGGGGGGGGGGAAATAGGGCCCAGTAAATAAGGGAACCTTTGAGATTAAGCAGCACATGTGGACGCAGAAAAATGACGAAATAAGGTACCTTTGCCTGTGTCAACAGCTTCAGCATCAGCCAGTGCCTGGTGAGCATCACGTGGCAAACTCGTCAGGACGACAGACGCAGACATAGTCAACGGCAACTCGGCGCCATGTTCTTCGTCAGGAATAGGCGCATTCTTTGTATTGGACGCCGAGTCCGGAGTCTCTCGTCGACTAGATGGACGGTTCCGCTGATTCGGGTTGGGGGAACTGTGGGTGGATGGGACCTGGGAGGAGGGGGAGGACATTTTGTGAAATCAAATGCTCCAAATATTTGATTTTACAAATGAGAATTCCCCCCACGTAATATTCCAGGTGTTATGAGGAGAGTACAGGATGGGACGAGATACAGCTAGGATGGATGAAGCTGGGGACAAAGAGATCGTGTGCCAATAGCCCACATGGGCTACCTAAGGCATCTGTTTCAGTGACCCCAGGCATTCATTCAGGTCCCTCTAGTCTGCCCAACCACATTATTGTCTGGTGGAACTGTCACCAGTTTTTGCTGGAAAAAGAACACTACAAAAGATCAGACTATGGATAATTCATTCTTAATCTTGTCATGCCACAAATGGAGCGGGACTTTATACATACCGCGGCTCAACTATAGGAAATTTCCAAATGAGCCTAATTAGGGGCCTAGAACTGAACCGTGCCGCCCGCCCGATGACATCATTTGAATGGATAATTTGTCTTTCGATGTGATTTCAGATTCGTTAGCCTAGAGGGTATTCAGGAGGAATTAAGCATCATCATTACCGTCGTCATCAATCAAGCTACTTAGGATTCATCCTGAAAAATGTAGATGCATAACCATGGGCATCAATACAGAAAAAACAACCCCATCCCTCGGGGCTGAGTCATCGAGAATCACCGCCTGACCTCCTCTGACTCTCGGGGCCTCTCGTTAGTGTATGGGAGCATCCTTGGGGCCTTTTAACTACTGATCTTCTCAGGCTATCTCGCTTTCCTTCCCTTTCCCCCCTTCCCTCACGTCTCTTTCTCTTTCTCCTTTCCCTCAACCGCTTCTTCCCCTAAATTAACTACCTACCTTTTCGTCCCCCCCACTTCCTTCCCTTCGATAAGTCTTATTACCCTCTTCCTGCGTTCATTCTATCCTTACCATCAGCCCGGTTACTCCCCAGCGATATCTTCCCCGCTCCCAACGTTGGAGATCGCCTGGAATACACCGATACACCGCGGTTACACCATTCGCCTTTGACCGTCCGCTGTCCAGTACATGCGATAACTCGAATTATTCGAATTTCTTTTTGAAACAAATACTCCCGCAAACCCGTTCAAAATGAGTAGTCCTAAGCGGAGAATTGAGACGGATGTGAGTAGTCTTCGGGATCGGGCTCGCAGATGAGTTGGCACGCTAACTGGTAAATCATTTTGCCTTTACAGGTTATGAAGTACGATACCTCATGTTTAGCTGACCTTCTCCGTATCGTTCCGTGGCTGACCTCTGCACAGGATGTATGTCCTGAATTCCACCTCGAGCGCCCTGTCTCGCGTGCGCACCGTCGTAAATGCTACCTTCGACCCTAATACGAGATAACGAGAAGGGCGAAAAGAACAATCGGAGGCTGATGTGTATGCTTTTTAGGTTGATGAGTGACTATGAGGTAACCCTAGTCAATGACAATAGTGGGTAGCCCATACTTGGTTCTTCCGATGGCGTGCTCCCTCGCTAACCACTGAACTTAGTGTATGTTGAACCACGCATCTCTCATATAAAGCCAGTAAGGGCTTTTTTAATCTCATCATCATAGGCAAGAGTTCTATGTGCGGTTTAAGGGCCCTGAAGAGAGTACGTCTTATAGCCGAAAACTGCCATATCCCCACTGACATATTCTGTAGCACCTTTCGCGGGGGGGCATTGGAAAATCCACGTCGAACTGCCAGATCAATACCCTTATAAGAGTCCAAGTATTGGCTTTGTGAACAGAATTTTCCACCCCAACATCGATGAATTGTAAGTTGCCATGTGTGTAGTAGTCCAGTCCATCGCTCCTCATATTTTTTTGTTATTCTAGATCAGGATCTGTTTGCTTAGACGTCATCAACCAAACATGGTCTCCTATGTACGACATGATCAACATTTTTGAAGTCTTCTTGCCCCAATTACTTCGATATCCTAACCCCTCGGACCCGCTTAATGGCGAGGCTGCTGCAATGCTTATGCGAGAACCGAAGAGCTACGAGGCAAAAGTGAAGGGTGCGCTATGTCAACCCTTGTGTTGTATTGGGATCCGTTATTGACACCTTTCACAGAGTATGTAGCTAAATATGCGAGCAAAGATGCCGTAGATGATGCCGGCGAAGACACCGAGTCCGAAGACGAACTCAGTTCTGCCGGTAGCTATGAATCTGACGGGGAAGAGCCAGCGGGCACGATGGACGATGTCTAATATCTCCGTGCGCCACCTTTTTACAACCTTTTTTCTTATCTCACAATATCTCTTTCGGAATTCGGGTTTGAGCAGTACTAGCACGTCTATCGCATCGGGGTCATAATTTCTCTTGGCTTTTTTTCCCCAATCAATTGATATTATCGTTATTAGGTTTGGGCTTCTGGGCGTTCTTACGGTGGAGTTCTGTTCGTAAGGCAACTTCCTCTGCTGCTTGTGAAACCGGAGTCGAGGATAGGACCACTCTAGGAACAATGACGCGAGTCGGGGAAGTTGACAAACTTCTAACGGACAATCTGCAACTCTCCCCGCATATTATTCAATTCATGTGTTCTCCTTTTACACCTCCCATTTTCCTGCAATACCAGGCATTCAGATTGTGTATACTTCCTTTCTTTTAAGAGCATTATGTGAATATCTAATAAATTTTGCTCCTCTTTCTCGATTCTTGCAGAGGGTGAAGATAAGTTAATCAGATGTTAGCCATAGAAATGAAAAGGGGGGGGGGGGGGGGGGTTTAAGAGAAACAATACATCCAATCTAATACACTATTCAGGCATTTCCTGGTATTCTACATTAGTCTTGAACAAATATAACATTGCACAGGAGGCTTATTTCTATAATTAATTCACAGCCAATGCTAGGGCAAAATAATCGACAAACGAAAAGAACTTTGAACATGAGCGACTAACTTCACGATCAAGTACTAAGGGTTAATAAGAAACAATGGGTATTGGAATCTCATCTGAGTGAGAAACAGGGTTAAAACAAAATTGCAAAGGTAGAGAGAAAGAGGGAAATGAACGTGTAAGGATCAAAGAATGACAACATTGAGTGGGCAAAGGATAGACAGGAAACAAGACCGTCGACCGGCGACACAGAAAGGAGCGGATGAAAAATAAAGAAGAGATTGGATGATGGGTTTGGTGGTCATTCATCATGTCATTCACCTCATCTTCGACCCATGGTCAACATGACCGTAAACATGGGATCATTTGGAAGCTTGCTTTGTTTCCCTCCGTCTCCCTTTAACAAACCTTCAAAACCCCAAAGACGTCCTTGTCGCCATCTTCGTTGGCGCTAGAGCCAGGCCGTGAGTTCTTGCCATTGCGCGGGTTGATCACAACCTCGCCCCAGTGTTTTGGAGCTGTGATTCGCTTCGTCGATGTGGGCTGGTTTGGCGCATTTGGCTCTGTAGGGACCGTGGTTGTGACTGTTACCGGAGGTTGTGCGGAGCCTTTCGAGGAGGAGTTGTGAAGGGTTGCTTGGGGTTGGAGGAGATGTTGCGGTTGAAGAGACCAGATATCAATGACAGAACTGATTGCGCAGCCCATGTTAGTTCCATCTTTCCTATTGATTTCACTCCATCCCGTTGTAATCCCGTCCAGTCCAGGAATTCACTCACTCCGATGCTCGTTGACAGATCGCTTCGAGCGCCTCTCGCTCGCGTTTCAAATACCCTGGGTCCGGTTGGTTGGCTTGCTGGGTGTGATTGAGTGCTCCGTAGCCGTATCCAGGTTGATAGAGGTCTTCATCAAGCAGGCGCGAGGACTCGGACTAGAGCAGGGAGTCGGGTCGTTAGCATTTCAAGGCATCAACAATTCATTGATTCGTCAAGGTGACTCACATCGTGATTTTCTCGGCGATTGCCCCCCAGGCAGGAAGCACAGATCCCCATTTATATCTTCCCCGTGTTGGGATGGGAGGTCGCAGGCAACAGGCGCACGAGTCTTTTCAAGGACGAAGGGCGAAGGGACAGATGCGAGGAACCCGAGGGGTAAGGGCGCAACTAGGGTGTTTGTTCAGAATTCGGGAAGATTACGAGAGTGTCAAAGGAGCGATATAATTCCGAACACAAAAAGCATGCCACCTTTAAAATGGTGTAAGGACGTTGGGCGAGAACCAGAATCTCCAGATGACGGACAGATCCGGCAACGATCTGTGGTTACCTGAGTTGGCCCGTGCGTGCTGATGACATCGATTTTCCAGCCACTTCTTGCCTGATTTTGGTGGAAAGATACCTATGACTCTTAATCTAGCCATCTGTAATTATTCCGGTATAGTGAATTCTATCATAATTTATCAACCTCCTAACAGTTCTTGCCTGTTACTTTAGTATTCACTTTTATATCCTGTTGGAAGCTTCTGCAAGTCTATTTTTATTCCCGACACTTCCAAAAGTTGCCTAGCGCCACGTGGTCCACAGTATTTAACTCGTCAATTTGAACTTCATGTATCTTAAGCAACCACCATTCTTCTATTTCCATATCAATAGATTTCATTTCGTCATTAGAATTTGACGTCCATCATAGGACTAGTGTTTGGGTTTAGTAGTAAGTATTTACCTGTTAATACTTTACTTTCTCCTCTCCATCAATATCCTTTAGCAACGGACCTTTTATTTAACCTGTCAAAGCTACGCCGTCACAATGAATATCATACCAGAGATCGACAACCCCAAAAGCCAACCCCTTAATAGAAACCCTTAGCAAGCTAATGAGGAGTCCACATGTGGATAGCGCTACATGGGTCTGTATGTGGTTTTCGGATCTCGAGCGCCTGGAAGTGTTGGTGGAACGAGTTCAGCTCAAGGAAGAGCGAGGTTCTCTCGAGCTTCTCAGACAGACAACCCTTTTCGTTGACATGTTGAGGCCTTGTAAGTACCGACTACTGCTAGTAGCTGTAATGTACTTACCGGCAGCTGATAACGCTTTTATCCAGGGTGCTCGCGCTGACGACAGAATATTGACCAGTCGCCAAACAAGAATGCCCCCGAACAATCCACAATCACCACCATGACGTTCAATACTCGTCAAAAATTCAGTATGCTTCACACTTTCATACTAGCCATCCACCGTTTCATTCATTTAGGACTTGCTAATCATTTGTAGTGTTTGGAAAGGGATAAAAATAGCTGTGTGCTTACTGGGGCAGGAAATACGATCAAAGAGCCCGTTACCCGCATTTGGTCGTGCTTGATGTCGTTGTCTCAAATGGCAGTGAGTGTTGCTTGCTTCTTGATGGAGGTGAGGCCCCGTGTGCTCGTTGTGCGCGGGGCAGGAGAGGTTCCAAGGTTGCCTGCAGGCAATTGCGTCACCCTTTATGCCGCAATTCTTTATGCTGATTTGGACAGCCCGGACCGGATGCTGCTGATGCGGCGTTCAACCTCTCTCGTGCTCTCGATGGTGGTGATGCCACTGCTATCGAGTCCGCCATGCGCGCTTATAAGGCGCATGGTGAATACTGGCGACGCGCCAACATTTGCCATATCTTTCCTTTCTCTTTGGGAAAGAATCATGTGCAGAAAAATTCCTTCTCGGATTCCCTCAGTCTCCTCTGGTCTCAGGATAAGATCGAGGCCTGGAAGAAGGATCATGCTGGCCACGGCGGGACCGAAATGTGTTCTAATATGCTTGCTCTTAATTCAAATGCTCATCAATACTGGTGAAAGATTCATTGTGCCTTTCAACCCATCGAAGCATTTCAAACGATGGGAGAGGGCGATTTTCTGGGTCTTCGGTAGTTATCGCTATTACTTTCCAGAATAGATGCACTCATCAGTGTCGATATCCCACATCTTTGCTTTGGAAGGGCCAATCTGAAAGGGTGATGGCAATAATGGCGGCGTTGTGACCAGGGCGCTCTTTCAGAATGCTCCCGGGGTGAGGCAGAAAAATTTGGCCTAAATTAGTTTTTTCTTCAAAAAACTCAGGATCTTGCAGAATAGGGGTTGGTCCTTCTGACTCCTCGTCTGAATCTATTGACACTGATGAGTGCATCTATTCTGGAAAGTAATAACGATAACTACCGAAGACCCAGAGAATCGCCCTCTCCCATCGTTTGGAATGCTTCGTCTGCAGTGGTTGATCCATCGTCTGGGCCAAATGCCCGCTTCGTAGAGACACCGGTGGCTAGCTACTACGAACCCCGTAGTGCCGCGAACCCTGTGGTCATTCCGGACACTGTACTTTAGCGAGAACAGGCTGCTATTACCGGCGCGGCTGAAGTTACGGACGACAATCTCGAAGATTCAGACGAGGAGTCAGAAGCACCCATCAAATGGAGTGGCCGAACTTGGTCTCTCGACAGAGCCTGGGTCCTCTTGTGGGCTATATGGCGACAAAGATTATTCATTACCAGTGCTTAGTGGCACATACAGGGATAATGGGGAGCCACTATACAGAGCTATTGCTTCTGGTGATATTTCACTATCACTACTCATGATATTTAACATTTGCCACTCCCAAGCTGGTCACTCCTAGAAATGCAGTGGTACCTCCAGCGAATTGCAGGGATGGGCGGTGCCGCCGAGGTAGGAGATCATTTAGACTACCTCTATAATCTCGCCTTGGCCCAAAAATCATTCTATGCACGTCTCTGTTCTACTCCAAAAACTGTTTCTGACATGGTAGATGAGCGGATAATAACGGCATGCTAACGTTACTTCTCTTCTGGCAACACTATGCCCGCTGACTCCGCCGGCTCGCCTGTCCCCCCCCCGCCGCCAGGGGGCCTCACCTCCGTCAGAAGCGAGCAACGTTCACAGAACGCCAGTTGTTGAAGCGGGGATCAGCCCGGGTACCTTCCCTCGAAGACGCCTGTCTAAGCCTAAACCTCAAGTTGCACCACCCATGCCACCGCTGCCTCGATAATGATATCATCCAGGATACGATTGACCCACAGTCCTTACGTCGCCTCCAGGTGAATCAAGAAAGGGTTTACAAGGCGAATACCCATGGTGAACAATATCACGCAATATGGGAAACTAGAAGCACTTGACCCCACCAACCCAGCAAGGCAACTCAAACCGACTGCTTTCAATCACTTTGTGAAGCAGACATTTGGCACTGCAACTGCAAATGTTGCTCGTATTCTCACAGTACTTCGTCATCGAGTATATCGCGAAAAGGTTTACTAGTATACAGCCACTCGTCTGGGCCAGAGTGCCCAGTCATTTAATTTCAGTATTCTGGAGGCTATCATATCCTCCAAGTTTGACGAGATAAGTTTTAACTATTCCTGCTTCAACAACTGGCGTTCTGTGAGAGTTGCTCGCTTCTAGACGGAGGTGAGGCCCCCTGTGCTCGCTGTGCTCGGGGTAAGAGAGGCGCCAAGGGTTGCTTGCAGGTAATTGCGTCATCCTTTATACCGCAATTTGTCATACTGATTTTTTAGTTATAGCCCGGCCCTAATGCTGCAGACGCGGCATTCCTCTCCCGGGCTCTTGATGGTGGCGACGCTGCTATCATTGGGCCAGCCATGCGCGTGTACAAGGCGCATGGCGAGTACGTTGGTGGCGCCTCCTCCTCCGGCTGAGGGCAATCAATATTTACTAATTGTTGGTGCGTTATTCCTGCTTAGCGGGTTAATTGGTAGTTGTATCGCCTAGACTTATTGGAGCTTCTTGGGAGCATAGAATACTGCGCTACCATTAGAAGCGCCAGCTGTAATATAACCATAGCTTCAACCTACTAGGAATTGGTATTTCAAACCAGAATGTACCTGATTAAATTTTATTTCTGTAGGAAAAGAAAGGCTACCCCGGATAGCATCTAAACCTCCTGGGACGTGGGCGCAACCTGCGCTGAGCAGTGGAAATAAGCATTCTGGGGATCATTCTCCATCCTGGTTTTTCCCCGCCAAAAAAAGGCAAAAAAAAACCCACCTCTCCTCCCTTTCACACCTGTGCTAAGAGCTATTGTTTAAAAGGTGTACAGCTTACTCCTCTAGCACCATGTTTGATCTTCCTAATGCAAAACGGTACGTTCTCGGGCATAAATCCTCCACCAAAAAGCCTTCTACGAAACTCCAACACGCGCCGCGCCGCGTACTAACTTCCTCTCTCCTTTCACAATCCAGTGTCCGTCGAGACCAACTCCTCTCTCGCGACTCCTCGTCGCCTTCTCCCTCTCCACCTCCAGAATCCGCATATCCCGATGCCCAAGAACGCCTCGGGGCCCTCCTGAACCTCGACTCACTTCTCGCTCCCTCCGCACCAGAACCCACCACTACCACCACGACTGCCCCGGACAATAATCCAGAAAACGAAGACGAGGAGCAAGAATTCGAGTTCCGGTTGTTTCAAACTGCGCCGAAGAAAGCCGCTGACAAAGAGACAGGAGAGCCAGAGACAACGCAGAAATTAAAGATCCGATTACGCTCTCCAACTCCGACGGCGGGCGTCAATGGCGAAGGACGTTTCGTGAATCCGTTCCGTGGGTGGCAGTATTATTTCTCTGCGCCTGGCTTATTATCCGGAGAGACGAAGGTAGATGGAGAAGAGGATGCAGGACTATTATTGAAACGGAAACAGTTTGAGGAGGTAGCTGTGACTGGGGAGGAAATGATGGGTTGGGCAAGGGTTCCTTGGGTGAGTCATTTTATCTCTCTATAATAACTACTTCAATCCTTCTTTTTTTTTTTTTCTTTTTTTTTTTTGGTATACCCTATTCTACGATACGAGAAGATGGTGGTTTGTTCCAAAGTGCACTCATTGTGGGAGATGATGGCAAGCTCTAACTAACTGACTGCTTTGGTTTGTTCAGCCGGGCTGCCATTTACCCTGGCGCGTGATTCACCTGAAGCGAGGTCAGACGAAACTGCCCCCCCGCGATGCAAAGGATACATCATCTACTGCCACCGTGTATGTCATGGACCCGCCGGAGAGGACTCCCACGTCGCGCAAGAAGCCCGGGAAAAAGCGACGCATCCAATTACGCAAGCGGGTTGTTGCTGCTGAGAGGGCGAAGGAGACGGAAGCAGAGAAGCGTAATCGGAAAAATCGGGAAAAGAAGCTCAAGCGAAGGCAAAAGGCTAGAGAGGCGAAGGCAGCTCTGACAGCTACAGCGGGCCAAGGAGGTGAGACTGACCCTGATGGATCTGCAGCAGGTAAGGTTCAAGATGGCAGTGTCGCTGGAGAAGCGCGAGATGATGTGTCTGTTGAGATGAGAGATTAGGCATCTGTCTTTCATGTTACTCTCTCCTTGGCCTAGTTTAGCTATGATACCCCATGCTCGTACTGAAGTTGTGGTTTTGAAATTGTATATTGACTATTCTATCTCCATTCGTGTCGTCATGAAGAACAACAGCTAGGGTATGAGAAGCAAATTAGTGCGATTGGCCAATTCTAGCCATGATTAGTAGGCGACAGGAGGCCATTCAGACGGGGCGAAACCACGACTAGTAAAGACAGCACAGTGTATTGTACGATGTCATATCAATAAAAAGAAAAAAAAAAGAAAAAAGAAAAAACAAGCAAAGGTATCGAAATTCAGCACAAAGTAGAAATTGGGGTATGAGGCGAGCAGAGGCTAGCAATTGCAGACATAGGGAAAGGATAAGATAGATATCGATGAATCGTGGTTGCGATTACCATGCGGCGGGTTAGTTAAGGGGCAAGACATCTATTTAGTCTCAGCTTTGCGCGATCAGGACGCCCGTGCCAGGGAATTAGATGTTAGGACTCACTCTTAAGGGGTCCAACAGCCCCAGAGGGCTTTTCCGGCTCAGCAGGTTTCGCTGGTTCCGCAGCATTCTCAGATGGGCCAGCAGCCTCAACGGGGGGCTCTACAGTGGTGGCCACTGGAGCTTCGGCTGGAGTCTCGGTCTTTGTGTCAGGAACTGGCTCCTCAGTCTTCTTTTCTGGAGCAGGAGTAGCGGCTGGAGCTGCGGAGGGTTCAGAACTCTCTGGTTTGGCTTCAGTAGGTAGAGTCTCCGCGGGCTGGTCCGCAGCAGGAGTCTCTTCTACGTGATAATCAGCATTGGGGTCGGCTATAAAACCAGTATCACGCAGAGATTAGCTGAACCTACCGGGCTTGGCTTCTGTTGCAGGAGCTGGCTCTTCCGGTTTAACCTCAGCGGCAGGAGCAGCAGGCGTTGGTGTTTCTTCCGACTTATCTGCGGGCTGGTCGACAACAGGAGCAGCGACGGCAGCCTTCTTCTTTTTGCGAAAGATGGACTTGAGGCCCTTCTTCAACTGCTGGAGCGCATTGGGTGCTTTGGAATAAAATTAGCCAAAGTAGCCAACGCGACACGAAGACAGGATCGTAGAAGTCGCATTGGAGGGGAGTCAGGGTGTCTACTCACGAACACCAGGCATTTTGCTAGGTACGAAAGGGAATCGATGGGCGACAAGGATATTGGGAGCGTAGAAACCAAGACAACAAAGGATTTGGAATGGAAGGTAAATTGAGAGCAACTTGACCACTTTAATAACCGTCCAGTAAATCCTCCACGTGACGGAGAGAGTGCACAGTCCCCTGATCGCCCGTTATCGTGGATTTGCAGATGCCTCCTTTTTCACCCTCTTCTGCTCCTTCTCTATTCCATTTCCCGCAGTCCCCTCCACGCTTGGCGGGAACCTCTGTCGGTGCCTTGGACCGGTCATTGGGCCATGTCATCCCTCTAGCGTATCCTTTGGACGCTGGAAAAAGAAACTGAGCACTATTATAGGATGGTTAGCTTCTTCGGCGTCCCTCCGCGTTAGTACGGACTCCGGAGTACATAGTGCTTCTATGGATGATAGCGAACCCGTCGATCTTGGCTTGTTTATCCTTTCCCAATCGTGGCTGTGCTGACAATGGGAGGACCAGGTGTGAATCCCCAAGCGGCGTTTCAAGTCGAGAAATAGTTATGAATATCCAGCAGATCATTAGGAGCCCCTAAAACTTGGAAGATATTCTATACCTAGGTCGAAGGCGATCGCCATGACATCTAGCTGCAGTGTACACTGTGGATCAGATTTCCATATCAAAAGGTCCTCCTAATCCCCTATCATTCGCAACCCCTAGCGCTTCTGTGGGCGTTGGATAAATCCACTATGTACTCCGTACTACCTCCTCAAACTCCAACGCACCGAGGGGCTTATCCAGATCCAAAACACTACGCAGTGTACACTTGCAGTGTGTGGAGTCTCAGACGAAGGCCCGAGAAATTACCCCAATCTCGCGTCTGAAATAGAGTAGGTCGATTTGCCAGATTCAACGGAGACTTGTTGTTTCGAAGCCCGGGACATCAATAAACGTCACCGCAACTTGATGGAATAACACTGTCTGCTCAGCAGACCTTGGAGTGTTTCACATCCCTCCCATGGATAAATATAAACCTCCAATCAAATTTGCAGAAGTTAAAAGGCCCACTTGTCCTCGGGATAACCCAACCTTGCCGTGTGGGGAGAACGCTAGCCTAAATCTGAACTAATGGGTTCGCTTGCTCAGATACTCGACCATTTTATAAGGCCGTATCCTTTGAAGCCAATGCAGGCGCTATGAACTGAAAGTGCAAACACCATTTCTTCTGTCTGGTCATGTTCCCTCTCTCGGCAGGCAGGACCAGTAAATAGCACCATGTTCGACAATAGCTCTACAACATTAGACGGGGATGGTTGTTAATACGATGTGGTTAACTATGAACCTAGGTATTTAACCCCTGATTGACTCTCCATAATCCCCAAGGATTCCGTCTTACTATTCAACTGAGTTATACTACCAATGACCGAGTTTTGGAAAGGAGAGAGTCCAGAGGGCGAATGTAGAGACAGGCTTTCACTACCTGTGTCCGGCTGTAGACAAGCAAGAAACGGCGGGATGAATAATCAAGTGCGGAGAACGTCCCGCACTGATTACCCATAAGTTAAGCTTCAACCTCGAAGGTTCTCTAGGTGTCCTGGTATCTTACCTTAAGCTTAATTCACCGTCTCTGTCTTACTCTAGACGCACTATACGAAATGCGTTCCGACCTTCCATTACCTGCCGCCTCGGTGGAAGCGGCAGGAAGTGAACCAGTGTCGGAACAGACCCCTCTTCTTCCCGACCAGGTCCCGAGTACGTCGGCTGAAGCCCGGGAGCCCAACACGAAGGAATTGCTTCTGGTTATGGGGAGTATCTGGGTTGGGGTCTTTCTGGCTGCCTTGGGTATGACTGTATTCTTTTTCTTCTCTGGAGTGAATGTGAAAGCTAATGGTAATAGATACTACCATTGTTGCAACTCTGTCGGGTCCAATATCATCCTCATTTAACTCGTTGTCTTTGCTGTCCTGGCTAGCTACATCTTATCTGATTTCCAATGCCGCCTGCCAGCCACTGAGCGGGCGCTTGACTGATATCTTCTCCCGAAAAGCGGGGTTGATCTTTTCAAACGTGTTCTTTGCGGCAGGGAACTTGATCTGCGGTCTTGCTAAAGACCAATGGACCATTATCCTCGGACGCGTTGTCGCCGGCATTGGAGGAGGTGGCTTAACCGCAATATCGACGTTTGTCACTTCAGACTTGGTGCCCTTACGCAAGCGTGGAGTCTGGCAGGGAATTGGCAACATTTGCTATGGCGTTGGAAGTGGCTTAGGCGGTGTATTCGGTGGATGGATCAACGACACCTTGGGCTGGCGATGGGCATTCCTGATACAGGTCCCTTTTGTTGTGGTATCTGCCATCTTAGTCGGCTTTACCGTCAAACTGCCCGCAAAAGAAGCCCAAAAAGGCAAATTGAGACGTGTTGATTTCCTTGGGGCGATCACGCTAGCCTCTACCCTCATTCTGTTTCTCCTTGGTCTCAACACTGGGGGTAATCAGCTGCCTTGGACTCACCCTCTTATTCTCACAACTTTGCCGCTTTCAGTTGTATCCCTGGGTGTTTTTATATACATTGAAGCGAAAGTCGCATCCGAGCCGATTATTCTAGTCCGTCTACTTCTCGACAGGACCGTTTTATCTGCATGTCTCACCAATTGGCTCAGCACAATGACCATCTTTGGGGGTCTCTTCTACCTCCCGATCTACTTCCAAGTTCAAGGTCTATCTGCCACAGCGTCCGGCGCCAGGCTAATCCCTCAAGCGATTGGAACCTCCATTGGATCACTAGGATCCGGTATCCTGATGCGTTCGACTGGCCGGTACAAGGTCTTGAATCATATTTCCATGTTCATCTCCGTCGTCGCCTCCGCCCTGGTCTGCACTCTCACCCTCGATACGCCTTCCTGGATTCCACTGATATTTATTCTATTCATCGGTTTCGCTTACGGAAGCATACTCACGATTACCTTAGTAGCTCTGATCTCTGCAGTAGATCACCAGCATCACGCAGTTATAACTTCCGCGTCCTACGCATTCCGTAGCACAGGAAGCACTATAGGCATTACGATTGCCTCTGCCCTTTTCCAAAATATCCTGAAGCTAGGCCTCTGGTCTCGCTTCGGCAACCGTGAACATGCTGGGGAGATAATCTCACGCATTCGAGACAGTCTCGGAGAAATCCGACAGGTACCGGCAGATTGGATTCCAGGAGTCTTAGATGCGTACATGGACGCATTGCGGTCCGTATTCATTACACTCCTCGGATTTGCTGTTCTGGCAGCATTGGTTAGTCTTGGAATGCGAGAGCATAAGTTACATAACAACCTCGCCCGGAGGGATGAGTAAGAGGGACACCACTGTCTCCCTTTGAGGGCGGGCTGTTCTCGGGAGACATAAAAGTACACATAGATATTCACCGAAGCACTAGAGAAACGAGGGGGGTTGGAAGCAATGATATAGAGAATCTGAAGAGAATTTGAAAAAGACATGTATTGAGCCAGCAGTGCACTTCCGGGGATTCCTATAAGCCACCTGGGCAGGCACCTATAGATCCATCCATGATGTCGAAGAGTGCGCATATAGACAACTTTGATTGGCTGACGTATATACCCCTGATTCATGCCACGCTAGTCCAGAGGCGGTTTAGCGTGGATGACTAATATTGGGTTCTGCTTTGTCCAATCAGAGACACGGCATTCTGTTCGACACCTCAGGCGAGACAAGAATTGCACGGAATGATTTCGCCGTCAGTAACCGTATCCTCACTCAAATAATCCTTTTCCTTTCCTTTACACCTCCTCTACTCTCTAACCATCTTAATCGGCTTCACTAAGTGACTGGTATCCCGTCTCTTATCTTCTGCTACCCGACAGCCACTACTTGCATTGAAACAATCCGAGTGGTCCCAGCAGCGAGGGCACTCGTGGCGACGCCAGTCCGGTAACACAGAGGATTCAGATTAAGCCCAAGCTCCGTTGTCTATCCCTGCAAGTGACAAGTCGTTACTACCAACACACCGCTTCCTGCAAATCCCCAGCTCCCATAGTCAGGCCACTGGATGCTCTGATACAAGCTGCGTCGAGACCACCGCCGTTCGCTGTCGATCTGCGCCACAGTTCCTTGGATGGAGTGCGCTGCACCCTGTGGTTTGCTAGAGGTGAACGTCTTGGGCTGCAATTCGGACTGTCCTTACGCGCTATACTAAGAAGTGTAATCGAGTGGGCCAACAAAGTTGTCACTTGTTTTAATTTTTTTTTTTCCTTCCTTACCTTTGTTTATATCCGATTTGCACTGGTTGCGCGGTTTTTTTGTCATTTCCTTCTCTTTCTTTCCCTTTTATTTTCTACAACGACGCTACAAACAGCACTTTTAACTATCCGCCACTGCATGGTTTTTTGTCACTATTCCACTATTTATCTTGCTCGCATTTTAAGGCACTCTCGAGTTTTCCCTACCTCGACTATTCTTTTCTGCCTCAATATCCTCGTTTTGCGAATATTCAGCGGCTCCTGTGATCGTTGATGGCGGTAGGCGTTCGAGCTGAGAATACGACGACCTCGATAGGTATTAGCGCGGTTGTGGTGAAAAACGTTCGATCTAGTGCGATGGATATTGATGAGGAAAGGGGGGGAAGAGTACTCGGAAACTCAAAAGGCCCCAGAATCTGCTCTCGAGAATCAAAGCAACCGGAACCATTCGTGGGACGCCGAAAACGATTGTTAATTTCAACTGACAGCGGGTTTGTCGAAAATGTACTCCCATCTTTGGCCCAACATCCTGAGGTCGAACTCAGGCTGATCACAGACGAACCATCCGCCCTGCTCTCCGGTACGAATAGGGTTCCTCATTATATGGACACGGTGGACAGCAAAACATTTGGGAAAGAAACCAGCGCGCGGAACTGGCTGAAGGCTAAGGCTGCAGAACTTTGCGAATGGGCCGATATGTTATTGGTTGCTCCAGTAGACGCGGGAACCCTAGGGTCGATGCTATCGGGGCTAACAAACACTCTGACGCTGGCGTTGTTACGCGGCTGGATGTCGAAAAAACCTGTCCTCCTAATACCAGGAATGACAGTTTCAGAATGGCAGCACCCGCTCACAGAGAGACAGCTGCGGGAGGTCCATCGGTCTTGGCCTTGGATCAGCATCATCTCGCCTGTCCTGTGGAGGTACAGTGCTCCCGAGGAGCTGATCCAGTTACCCTGGGCTGGCTTGAAAGAGCTACACGAAACAATTGAGCGAACATTATCTCTATCCCTATCCCAAGGTACAACCAGCCTTGCTCATCCTACTGAATCCCCAGCGCAACAAGTAGTCGTTTCGTCAGAGAAACCTTCCCCTGCAAACATCACTTCGCTGGCCTCTCAAATGACGCTTGGACCGAATGCGCTTGAGAAAGGATCCCCTCTTCTACCTATGGAGTTATGGTTGAATATCTTCGAGGACCAGTTGCATGACTGGGAGATTGCTAAAGCTGTGGGCATCCCTACGAATCTCCAAGTTCCCAAAGAGTGGCAAAGCCACCTCCTTAAGATGTCAACCCCCGCTTCCCTGGAATATACAATACTTAGGGGTTCATTTGCCGCTATTAAGAAGCGCATTGATAGTTTACCGCGCTGGAAACCTTTGTCCGACCTTGCGTGTCACCTCATTTTCAAGTTCTCCCGAACAGATATACTCTCGTACCTCACGGAAAACCATCTCGATCTGCTGTGGACGACATCCCGCCTGACTAACATCCCATATCGTGCGTCCGCAATTTATGGGAACCCTAAAATTCTAACTTGGTGGAGGGACGCGCCAGCCCTTCCAAATAAGGAATACATCGCAGATGCGATGGACGGTGCTTCTCGTGCCGGATTTATCAATGTCCTAGAATGGTGGCGGACATCCGGCCTTGAACTTCGGTATACCGAGAGGGCCCTTGAATCGGCTAGCGCCGAGGGCCGCGTGGCCGTTCTCGACTGGTGGAAGAGTGCGGCCGATAAAGCTCCGGCATACCGGCCCCTTCTCTTGAAAGTCGGAAAGTCAGTCCTCCTTGCAGCGCAGTCGGGCCGGACAGCCTCCCTTGCTTGGTGGGATGCATCAGGTATCCCGTACACGCACGCCGAGTCAGTTGCCCGAATTGCCAGCACACACGGCCACGTTCATGTTCTGGACTTTTGGTACAGGCTTAAGGGTACCAAGATGATTTTTGACTGTCAGGTGCTGGTCGGACCAACCAAGAACGGACATGACAACGTTCTCGAGTGGTGGCGACGAAGTGGCCTACGTGTCGAGTTCAAGACATGCGACATCGAAGAAGCCCTCGAAGATGCTGACCCTGTGTCTGGTGCCGAAGAACGAGTTCGCCGGTGGTGGTCCCTGAATGGACTCAATCTTGGAGTCGGAACAAGCGAATGGATGAAGATAAAAGTGCTGTAGAAAGTGGTGTGGCGTTGGTTCTCATTTCTTTCTTTCTTTCTTTCCTCTCCCCTTTCCATGCTTTTTTTCCTCTGGATAATGATACGACATGATTGGCTATATTCATAATACCCATATTTGCTGGCGTTGACATTATGAACTATATTTCTTGGTTACTTTAACTGTTTGCTTTGGACGAAGATTGCAAAGAACCCGTTTCTTTGTGGGTTCCTCGGGAACGCAGGTACTTTTTTTCTCTTCTAACATATACTCTCAATATGGAACCCATGTGTACGGGCACGTTTGTACTTGTACCATATGCGACAGGCTCAGTCGGGCATACTATTCTAATACACTGAATAATCATGGACTGATTTTCCCAAATCAACATTAGGAGTAAAATGTGCATCACAGGTGGGCAGGTCAACCGTTTAGCCCCCTGTCTGCTAAAGTGAGATTCCAGCTACATACATATATAGTACAACTTACGACCTCAGGCCTTACTTTAGTAGTGAAAAGACTACGTACAACTGAAGTAAACCCCAGGCGCTATATTTTTGAACTAGATATTATAAAAGAAAAAAAAGCACCTAAGCCATAATAATAATAATAATAACCCTGATACATCACCGAAAGTCCCCCGCATATACAAGGACAGGACAAAATACACCAACGCAATCTCAATCTCCAGTACCAACCTCCAAATCCAACTGCACACCATTCCCAATACTATAATCCCCCAGCGTAATGAAATCTTTAAAGGGCCTCTCCCCCTGCCTCTTCAGTAGAATCTCGTGCGGCTCGCGACCAATATGCGCCGCAACCAGGGCCTTGAAATCCCGAATCGTATCCGACGGCAAGCAAGGTATGGCGGCCTTTGTACCGAGACGATCGTTGACGTTCACGATAATCATTTCTTCCCCGGTGCCAGGCATCGCGGGTTTCTTGGTGGGGGGGGGGTTCTTCTCTTTTTTCTCGCTGCGGTTGCGGTCGCGGTCGCGGTCGCGGTCCCGAGGTCGTTCTTCATCGTGGTCTCGTCCGCGCCGGTCTCTGTCGCGGCCCCAGTCCCGATCCCTATCTCGATCTCGGTTGCGGTTCCGGTCTCGGTAGTCGGCTCGATCTCGATCTCGATCTTGTGCGCGATCACGGTCGCGGTCGCGGTCGCGGTCATATCCTCTGCGCGGCGACCGATTCCTGTACCCGCGCTCTAAGCGGTTCTCTCCTTCATGATTATCGTAGTTTGCGGATCGCTTTTCCTTCCATCGGAAACCACCGTGGGCTTTTGGCCGGCGAGGTGGTGAGCGTGAGCGTGAGCGGGATTGTGTTCGTGGTGGTGGTGGTGGTGGCTGACGCTCCTCCTCTCGAGGAGGGGGGTCAGGCATATTGAAATCAATATCGTATGGGTCTCTTCCTTGTGGGGGGCTTCGAGATAATATCGAATTCGAGTTCTTTTTATCTTCAGTCACTTGAAATCATATTGGGTGTTTAGGTAGGTTGCGGTATGCGTTAAGTGAAGGGAGGGAGTGAGTGAGAGAGTGAGTGTTTATGGAGGTGATGGATGTTGCGCTGACTAATATACAGCTTGCCTGAGGTTGCCAGGAGCTTGAATTCCCGATGTGGTTAGACATGGATGTATAGCGTTTGTGCTAGATTTGGATTATAAAGTGGATGGTCCAGCGAGGGAAATTGCTAATAAATTTAATTTAGAAGAAATTGTTCTAAGTATCTGATTTAGGGACAGTGGTTTAGTGATCAGGACACTAAAATGATCTCAAACAGCCGTTCATTCATTCTAGTATTGGGCCCGAGAGAAATAAGCAAAGACTTCGTTCAGAGCCATTATTCCTCGGTCCCATGTCATGCAGGTCTATAAATGGCGAGTGCCATAAAGCAGAAAGGTAAATCAAGGGCCGCGGGTTAAACCTCTTTCCTAGACGGTATTAGATGTGATGCAGCAAGACTAGCCGGGGGAGTGACATACATCGTTGGTTCGAAGTGATCAAATGCGGGGGCCACGATCGCATTCCTATCGCCGAACGGGTTGTTCTCGTCGTCGTCGTCTGGTTCAAATTCGGACTCGCTTTCGCTGCTGTAGGTCGGCCGACGAGTTGACGATGAAGGTACTGAAATACTCAACGGCCGAGGAGGTCGGGGAGGCTTAGGTGGATTGATGGATATTCCGGAAAAGGTTTCACTCAGGTCTCTTCCATCGCGATCAGGAGTCCAGCCGCTCTCAAGAACATCCTGGTCACTATCACTATCATAGTCCACGCTCTTATCCAAAACCTCGAACGCCATCAACGCGGTAACCAGCTCCTCGTTGGCGTGAATAAGACTACCCAGGTATTCTTCACTCTCGACATGTTGGATATAACGCAGAATCTGACGGCGCATTTGCTTGCACGTCTCAAATCTGTGGAGCACTTCTACATCTTCACTCACCCGGCGTGTTTCTCGGTTGACCAGCCTGAGAGCGTTCAAAAGATTCGTGCTGGCAACAGAGGAGGAAGCCAGGGTATGCAACATCTCCGGCTTCTCCTTCTCAAAATTGAACGCCTTGTTATATACCTTTTTCTCCTTCTTTTCCTTCTTCCACGATTTGCTGGACGAGTGTTTGTGTTTTGGACTACTGAGAACAGTAGTTGGCCCGCTACCGCCAGACACCGACACGGTATGTCCCATCGGAGGCTCCGATGAAGTGCCACTGTCCCGCAAAACCTTCGCCTTTGCCTGAGTCGCCGGCTGTTTTCGTTTCGGCAGCTGTTTGTAGAGAGCAGTTACCCGTTCCATGCCGGGAGTGTCTCTGTAAGAAACGGCCCATTGCCCAAAGATTTGCTTGCACTTCTGTTTTATCAAAGGGTCGGAAACCGAGTCAGTAGCGGCAATTCGCAACCGTTCCAGCAATGGCTCGTCCGCAAACTCCCGGAGGAAGCGATCTCCTGCGTTTTGAATCAAAAAATCCAGGATTGTAAGCGCTCTCAGCTGACGGTGGAGGTTTCCATATTTACTGCGCAAATGTCAGAGGGCTCCTCATGTACCAAGCAGGTGAATCGTATGAGACTAACAGCTTCTTGCGAAGAGCGCGACTGGCTTCTGTGGGACCACTGGATTGTATACGAATGGCTTCGATGAGATCCACAATTCCACTCGAATCTTCGACTTCATATTGTTCACCAGTTAAGACCTCGATTTGGACGGTGACCGCCGAATATGGCTTCTGTAGAATTGAGGTCAATCAGGATGAAGCTTGTCACAGGGACCAGGGTCCAGTATGTCGTCGTGCGAGGCACTTATGCTCGAATATAGCGGCCTAGCGCGTACTACAAGTACACCCCTCAACATATATAGAGAACTAAGAAAAAAAAGACTCACTGATGACTGAAACATGATGATGATCCTCGATATGGCTTCAATATTAGGAAAGAATGTGAGATCTTCGTAAGGGCATAGTAGCCTGGCCAAAAAAGAAAATCGAGATATAGACTGGTGATCCTGCCGATATAGCTCCCGGGCGTAAGTGGCTTAGTCTCGCACGAAATTGCTGCGAGTGCCCTGCCTCTGGCGAACGCTTTCTTTCCCCTTCGGCTGTTACAACGGAACCGCTGACGTGGTAGGCGCAGCTCGGGGAGCCAAGATGTTGTCGCTTCTTCGAGAGGTCCCTTGATGATGGGCACACCAAGTCAGGTCACAATGAGGGGAGATGGGATTTGATCTGCGATATCTCGCCTTGATCTCTTTATAACGCCTTGTAAATAATTGATGTGAGAGACTCAAAAGAGTCTTTTGAATCTCCAGCTTCTCCTCCTCCGTCATGCGATGATAATTAAACAGGGAATCTCGTGACTGCCCCTCGCCCGTTTCCCAAAGAGGTTTAGGGCGGGGAGCCAGAATAAATCCTACGGGGCACGTGAAGAACATCATGTGCGATAATGTAGAAACAGATATTCGAGACGGGGAATTGTATACAAAATGCACTCATAAGAGCGGAGTCCTCATCTACAGAAGAGCTTGGAATTCGCCCAGGTACTTGGACTTGTCGAGGCTTGAAATTGAATCGATCGCTTAGCGTGAAGTTCAGTATCCTCCCTCCCAGAACTCTCCTCACTCGTCGCAATCGCCCACGTACCTAACTCATCTCCCCCCCCCGCCGCCTGGGCGTCAATGGGTCTTTGGCCTACGAATCCGGGAGATCGTTCCTCGATTAGCCACAAAAATCAGCCCCGTCTCTCCCTTTTCTCCCGCCTGGTGCTCTGCTCCACTCTTCTGTTGGGGATCAGCGTTATCATAAAATCCCGACACCGTTTCCATAATATTAATTTCTTCCTACCCCACCAAGCCCCTTCAACCCACGCATACTCGCACCTCGCCAACATGTCCTACGAACACGAACGCTACATTGCTGAACTTGCCGTTCAGCGCGCGACCCTCCTCACGCAGAAGGTGTTCAACGAGAAGGCCAAGGGCACCGTTTCGAAGGATGACAAGTCACCTGTAACCATTGGTGATTTCGGAGCCCAGGCCCTGATTATCCAGGCCATCCGCAAGAACTTCCCTAACGACGAAATTGTCGCCGAAGAAGAAGCGAGCTCCCTCCGCGAAGATAAGGCTCTGAGTGCTGAGATTTGGAGATTGGTCAAGGACATCAAACTGGAGGATGCTGAGAGCAATGAGCTTTTGGGAGGCTCTCTGCCAAGCGAGGAGGCAATGCTGGATATCATTGACCAGGGAAAGAGCGCCGGTGGCCCCAAGGGTCGCATTTGGGCTTTGGACCCCATCGATGGCACTAAGGGGTTCCTCCGCGGTGGCCAGTATGCAGTCTGCCTTGGCCTACTAGAGGATGGTGATGTCAAGGTTGGGGCCATTGGCACTCCCAATCTTCCCGTTGATGATGCCGCTACCATGTCCGCTTCCATCGGCGTCGACCAGCACAGCGGGGCCGGAAACGGAGTCCTTTTCTCGGCCATCAAGGGTCAAGGTTCGATCAGCAGGCCCTTGCGAAATGGGACCCTTGCTGAAAGTAGGCCGATTTCTATGCGTCCAGTTCCCCATATTTCCCAGGCCGTCTTTTGCGAGGGAGTCGAGGCTGGACACTCTGCTCAGGATGATAATGCTGCTGTCGCTCAACTGCTTGGAATTACCGCCCCCAGCGTGCGGCTGGATTCGCAGGCCAAATACTGCTCGATTGCGCGGGGAGCCGGTGATATCTACTTGCGATTGCCCGTGAAGAAGGACTACCAGGAGAAAATCTGGGATCACGCTGCAGGTGATCTGATTGTCCGAGAGGCCGGTGGTCAAGTGACCGATATCTATGGTCAGAGGTTGGATTTCAGCAAGGGCAGGACCTTGGCTGTTAACAAGGGAGTGGTCGCTGCTCCCAAGACCCTTCAGGATGAGGTTATCAGCGCCGTTAAGAAGGTCCTTAAGCTCTAAATGGGTTTTACGATGGTTATTAGTGTGGATGATAAATATAAATGCTGGGGTGCATTTGGTCAAATCCCGCACGCTGGATGTGTCTAAAAGTACATAGAAATAGCTACCACTCGCCAACAGAAAGAAGAGTGCTTGAATATACATATACAGAAAACCATAACCAATCTCCCCTCTCCCAAATATGTAAACATCCAGTTTACCGGATCTTCTTAGCCTTCATTCTGATTGTCTCACCGTTGACAAAGATACCCTTGCCCTTGTAGGGCTCAGGCTTCCGCCACTCACGAATCTTCGCCGCAAACTGTGTAACGACTTGCTTTTCCGTGCCCTCCAAAAGGATGCGCGTAGGCTGGGGAGTACTGGCCTTGACTCCCTCTGGAACACCCAGTTCGATCGGATGCGAGTACCCAACCTTCAGAGAGACGAAATTCTGACCGGGATATTCAGGTTCGACGGTGGTCGCCGTGGACTCGATACTGGCTCTGTAACCGACACCAACCAGACTCAGAATACAAATATGACCTTCCGACACTCCGAGGATAGAGTTTTGCAGGTGAGCTCGGGTAGTTCCTATATCACCAAAAGGTCAGCCACAGCTTCCGGATTCGCCGTGCAATTCAACGGGAAGAGAAAAAAAAAAATAATAACCCACCCCACATGGCCCGCTGGTGGGTAAGTGTCGCATCTTCAACTGATAGTGTAGCTTTTCGGAGAGATTCATCATGTGCAACATTGACGAAGGGTGGAACGTTGAGGGTCAATTCTCCTGTTATTCGGAAGCTGGATTAGCATCTGTCACCAGACAACCAAAATTTCGAAGGGGGGGGGGGATGTATTTCCTTACCCAATGGGCCTTTGACTTCAATTGCAACCTTTGGTTGATCCTTCGCTTTACCCCTGATCTGTGTTTGAGGCAGGTCGATAAATTTCAGTGACACCTCCGGGGGAACTGAGATCGCGGCGCCTCCCATCCGAGATTGTGTCCGGGGTGTAGTCGAGAAACATTGTGTCTGTTGGGCGCGAGCCAATTCAGGCGCCAGAAAAACCGGAACCCTTTGCCTCGAGGAGTTCCGTGCAAGCTGCCTAAAGCAGGTTTGTGGTAAGAGACTCGTCATGATTGTGGATATGGTGGTTTGGTGTTCGAGAAAGCACTTTTGATCTCCGATGCGGACTTTTTGCTCACTGCCGCGCTCCAAACACGGTTAGTGGATTATGTTCACGTGACTGTATTTTTTTATAGATCAGGCCAGGCGATGGACTTTTCGCTTCTTTATATTTGAATCTCGAAGGATTGGGGATTTGTGGTGCTGTATCTTGGTGCAGAGTACATTAATGAAGGTCTGGGTCTATTTGTATGGTTGGTTTTCTATCTACCCTCGATCCTGATTCCGTTCAACGAATATATTTTACCTGAGTTTCCCTGCACCATCCCCAAACTACTTCGTCTGGGAGTCCCTTCATCCTCTCTTTTTTTTAACAACTATCACCTAAGAGTTTCTTCTCATCCTTTTTTAATCCTTATTTTCCTTCATATGTATCCTGAGTGCATCAGGCTGTCTCTTCTCCTCATACTCCGCTTATACCCTTTATCCCAACCCATCACTTTAACGCAGGAAGTAAAGAAACTTGGATCTAGATCAACCGCAAAGATGTCAACTATAAGAATTTTCTCATATATTCTCCTATATACTTCTCTATTTCCTATCTGTAGTCATGCAGATGCAACCATCAGTGGTGAGTAAAATATATATATCATATCTGTTGTCTCGCTGATGGCGCTGAAGTGATTTCGGATCCTCTTCACAACTCGAGTGATGATGTCGACTTAACCACGTTCCTGAACCTAAAAGCTCACAAGCACGATGAGATATTTACAGAAGCAATTCAGCTGCTGGAGTCCTTGAAGTCATCGCCCTCATGTAATCGAATCGCTGCTTCGAAACTTGTTACATCATGCCAATCCATTGGACGAAAGCCGGACACCCCATTCGAGTCTACCACATTCCTAGCGCTTGAGACTGTTCGTTCTCTATATGCAGCAAGGCTAGCCATATGTGAGATTGATGGAGCAGGAATATCGATACCTCCTCCTTGTCTCCCTGTCAATATTTCACCAACGACTAGTAAAGGTATCTTCAGATTCTCTGCTAAGTACAAGCCAAAGACCGGCGATACAGATCCTATACCCAGGGAACTACTCCAGCCTTGCCTCAGAGCATTGGAGTCACGGCCTCAGTGGTGGACGTCTTATAGTAACAGCAGACAAAACGCTGTGATAATCTGCCAAGCATCCAGAGCAGAGAATGAGAGAGAGGATCTTCTGAATCTCCACAAGTCCATTGTAGAGAGTTCCATCAAGCTTGATAATGGCTTGCATGAAGCACTTCAGATGGCTGCTGAGGAATCTGCTAGACAGAAGGCTTTCATGCAGGCAACTACGCTCTTAAGAACGGACATGCTGCGTGAGATGGAGGAGTCAGCCTCCGGGCTCAGAAATACATTTATAAAGGCTGCTGAAGAGGCTGGAAACCGCTTTGGCTCTATAATTGATCGTATGGTATCAGCTCTTGGGAGTCTCCAATTTGACGTCACTGTTCTTGAGAAGGTTTGAGCCCCGTATGTGTATGAAATTCACCGCTTGACTGCTCCTTCAGGGCATCAAAAATTCTTCAAGAGAGGCCAGCCAGCTACAACAAACCCTACAGTTCATTCAGGATGAGGCACAATCAAGAAATGAAAAAATTGCCTTTGCTCAGCATCAAAACGCCATGACTCACAACGAGCTTGTTCTATCCCTCGAATCGAAACTCCAGTCAATCCTTCAAGACGATATGGCCCGGTTTGCGCGGAACCTGGGGAGTTTTGATGCTTCTTTGGTGAGTTTATTTTCTCCATAGATATCCTTTGCTTACATTACTAGGAATGGCTATATGTGATGGTAGCACAGATACTACAACAAGAAGACGGTATATCCGAGGTGTGTGGTATTCCAGCATAGATTGGATCTTGCTAATTTAACAGCGGCTGCGGAGTTTTGGGAGTTCTCTAGAGGGCTTTCAGCAGAGATTTGACAACCTGAACAAAGTCCAGCAGCAACAATACGAAACCACTGAAGCTCAGTCCCGACTTCAGGAGAATCTACATATGAGCATGCGGATTTCCCAAGCAATTCTTGACCAGACAGCTGCAACTGCGGCAAATTTGCAGACAGTGATTGATGAAGCGGCAGCTAAATATCAAGCGACGACTGTCCTGAGTGGACTTTTCAGACCGTACTTAACCTGCATCACATATGGGCTTCTTGTAACTCTCATCGGGCTCCAGAATCCTAGAATTGCTGTGGTTCTATTCCTTATTTGCATTGGTATGAGAACCCCATCTAACGGCTTTCAAGATCGGGGGCTAACTTGTTGCGCGCATGTAGCAACAAAAATAAAGTGATGATATTATTATTTCCAATACTTGCATTTATTATTCACTTGTACCCCTGCATAATAGTTCCCTTACTGAAGTGTTCTCTCTCTAATTATACGCAATGTTTTCAGCCTTGTTTACTTCGCCAAGTCCGGCTTTGACCACTATTTAACATGCTTTAATTTGACTATAGTTGACGTTATTAGGGCCTTTTCAAAGTCTTTATTATGCAAAATGGTTCGTTTTATCCTATGCCCAGCATCCATGAATGTCGATCACTCCAGTCGAAATAACCCTTTCTATACACTGGCGTCATTAATGACTTGTTAGTACTGAATCAACTGCCTAAATTGTCCAACGGAAGTTATTATCGGCAATAAAAGGCCTGGGGGCTCGGCCCGCATCTCGGTCTTTTTGCTCTTTCTCGTTTCCCTGGGTTCTTCATCCCACTGTTGGCAATTTACTTTCCAAAACATGCAGTGTTTTCTCTGTTAGACTCTTGCCTGCCTGGAAGGGTTATACCTACAATACTCCGCATATCGCTGATATCAAACCCAGACACCAAACCCTCGGGCCCTCTGCAGCTGCCAGGAGATTTCTCTGCAAATGCGGAGAAAAGATATGACAACCAAACCCCACCCTCCCATGCATTCGTATAAAGCGGGAAATACCCAGACTTTCCGTTCCTGTACATTCCCCCAGAGACCATTCAAGGTGCCAAGTTGACCAGAACCGGATCGCCTGTTGAGTACTATCGCAAGCACTGTCGGTGGCCTCGGACGAATGTGTCCAGGGCCCCCTCTTGGCAGTGTGTTTGAGAGTGTGTAATCCCGTATGTAAAGAAGACACTTACTGTATACAAGAGAAAATGCTCATTTTGGGGTGTTGGCAGAAAAGGGCGGTGTTCTGATGGAGGGAAGTAGGTTGTCCCGAATAATTTGCTGCCAGGTTAGGGAAGAAGTAGGATTTTTGCAACATAGCTCAGAACGAAGCAGCAGTCTGTCAAGGGTTATTCTATAGACAATTAGAACCTATCAAATGGTGCGTCATTGCTATTGGCATTTGTTTCAACCGCGAGCATACATACCCAGCGGCGACAAAGAACTAACCCAGCTTTAAAGCGTCCACATCGTGATTAGAATCCAACATAGATAGAACAAGGCCTGTCTCTCAGATCCTACTATCTTTCCTGGGGGTTATATACAGTATATATACCAGTTTGAAAGTGAGCCCCAGCCTGCGCACCATTAATCAAGCTCAAAGTTAAGCTGCGGAAAAGGAGAGATGGATAGCTGACGCTTGACAGGTTTTCCAGCCCTGCCCCTCGGACTTCTACTAGTCAGATAGGTCCAAAATTACGTTAGTAGCTCCGCTTGCTTAGCGTTGATCTATATACACTCCCGACCTACTACCCCTCGAGCTCTCACAGACCGCTTTTATTGGCCCCATCGGCCCCTGCGCCTTGTGGGCGTGAGCGCGAAGTCGCAAAGACTAAAAAGAGACCAGCACCGGCGAACACCCGCGATCGGAGAGATTTCCATTCAACTGCCGCGTGCCACGACTGCAGCTGGGATATAGAAGGGAAAAGATACAGATAGCAAGAGAAGTTGCAGGAAAATGGCCGACATGGACGAATTTGCGCAAACCCGGGGCGCTGATGATTTATTTGACGATGAGATCATCCCCGTTGCTGCGGAGGAGCAAGCTCGGCCTGAGACCCAAGTACCTGGGGAAGAGGAACATGTGACACCACCGGCAGCTACGGCGACAACTACGACGGAACTGGAAACAACACCTACTCGCACTGATACCCCGCCGCGATCTCGGGGTGGTGAGCGACGAGGACGCGGGAAGGGAAGAGGCCGGGGTGGGAGAGGCGCACACAATTCGGGCCCGAGACGGACAGATGCACCTAAGAATAAGGTCGGTGATATTGATGCAGAGCCTGAGGTCCGTGATGGAGAGGAAAATCCAGCGGAGGTTCCTGTTGAGAAGACAGAGCAGTCGAACAAGGACGAGGCTGCTGCTGCTGCTGCTGCTGCTGCTGCTGGACCAGAGGCCCCGCGGGTGCCAGCTGTTCGTGGAGATAGGAGCGCAACCGGAGGGATCAAAAAGGTATGGTTGCGCTTTTCTTTTCTCATGCTATAATCTGGGGACTCCTACTAACGAAAATCGCCAGCCAAAACTTACGGAAGAAGAACTTTCGCGGCGCATTGCCGCTGCCAGGGAGAACGCAGCCAAGGTAGCAGCCGCGCATGCCCGCGCTGAAGCAGACCAGGCATCATTCTTAGAGCGCGAGAAGATTGCGGAGAAGAAGCGCCGCGAGGAACGACAGAATCGTAAAATAATGGACTCTGAGAGAGAGCGAAACCGACTACGGAAGCTGGAAGCGTTGAATGGAAGAGAGTGGGATGCAGACAAACAAGAGGATCAGTTCAGTGGGCGCGGGGGCAAACAGTTCCGTCGAGGAATGCACGGTGGTGTCTCTGGATATGGAAGACGGGACGTAGGGGAATCTCAAGTTGGCGAAGAACCACCACCGCACAGCCCCCGTGGTCGTGGGCGAGGTGGAAGAGGCGGACGCGGTCGTGGTGGTCAGCGTGGGCCCCGAGATGCCTCATCTAGCGATCGACCCTCAGAGGCACCCCAAATCTCCGGAAACAAGACTGCATCCTCTGCTCCCGGTATTGATAACGAAGCCGAATTCCCCTCTCTTCCTGGAGGAGGGAAGAAAGACAAGGTCCCAGACAAAGCTGTACCTCCTCTTGATGATCTCAACCCCAAGCCGTTATCACCGGTCTCTGGGGCGACATGGGCAGAACAAGTGGAAGCACAGCCGGAGTAGACATTAACAGTTGGCTTGATGTTCTGGCTTACTTTTTCTATTCCTATAACTATATCTTACCCCCCGGATGTTTATGATTTAACGCAGATTGTTCATGTTTATTCCCCCCCCAAAAATGCTGTGTCTGTGAGGATACCACCAAGTCCATTCCTCTTGTTATGGCTTGATAAAATTCACATCCCATTCGTTTTGTATTTCTTCAGAAACCAAATTCATCTACCTACATAAATCATACCCCATGCTTCGACCGCTGCTGTTGGTGATATTTGATAATTATTAAGTAGGAATGATTCATGACTATCCCATGCTTCGACACGAGCAGATCAACCTTGATAATGTACATGTGCGTTTTCTTTGAATATCGAGTATAAATGGGTTCACTCAACCTTGGAATTCTTTCCACGGATCCTATCACGTAGGGCGACTATCTGACCGGTTAGCCGACCTTTCAGGGTCTGCGCCGTCAGAGCGGCAGCCTCATCGAGAGTCACGAAGCGTCGGACCAGCAGGTTGAAAATGCTTCCAAAGGCAAGTGCGATAACGGTGCTGGTAAGAATAATCACATTATATGGCATACTGAAGTCGGGGGTCGGTAATGGCAGAAGAAGGCTAGTCGTGCGGATATAAATGGGTTGTGCCTGGGCATCATCATGTCTCCCGATCTTGATCACTGCGGGGGCAACGTTGAAACCCCGATTGGCATCAGGGGGGTATTCTGTATAACGGAGGATCGCTTTCTCAAAGTCATACGTAAGCGTGACTGTAGAAGCGGGCGGCACAGATAGGGCGAGTTCCAGCTGTGTACCACGCTCTCGGTCAATTTCTGGGCGATAAAACGCTTCCTTGATAATTTCCGAAGTCGGGATCTGTCGACGGATTCCGTCACGCCCCGTGATTGTTGATTGAAGGGTGTGCATGTAGGGCCGTAGGAACCAGGGGAGAGCTTCAAAGTAGATGAAATCGACCGGCTCGCTATCAGAGGGGTTTTCAAATATGATCCGCATACCACCCCTTTCCTGCCCATGTCCGACAATCGTCCTCTCCGCGTGAAGAACAGGCTCGTCCAGAGGTACAGGGTGGGTAACTTCCTGTTCCAGGATCGTCAGGTCGAATTCCGTAGATGGCTGTAATGTAAAGCAGCGATTGAACCCATCAGAGGACTTCGTTTCCACAACGCCTTGTGAGGGTTGTACTTCTCGTTCGGGGGAGACACGAAGGCAGACAGTCTCGTCGCTGGTACCCTGCCCGTCAGTCAAGGGACAAGAGCCACTAATAGTGCGGCCGAATATTTCTGTGATACTCCAACCCTTTTCGGAGGTCTTCTCGAGAGGGTAGCATGTGTCTGATGAATGGTAGGGTTTGGAAGTATCACAAACAAGCTGGTCCGTGTGAACTGGTCGTGGGATTTGGTCACCTAGGAGGTATTAGCAAGTCGCCCAGCGATAATATACGAATGCGGCAAAACTGACCCCTTGGCCGTTTCGACCTGTCAATGTCCAGAGCAATATCCACTGTCTGGTCAATTTCAACCAGGCATTCGTCTACTCCCTGACAGATCGGGCGCACATCAACCGACATGCTTTGCCAGGCGGCATCAAACAACTTGTGCCCATCAAGTAAGCTTGCAACTCCTGCCTTGCCTTTACAGGGTAGAAGCTTCAGGAAAGGGGTCAGGTTCTCTGTACAGACCACCTCTCCAGGAAGTGTTCCGTGCAGGAGGTGGAGATTATCGCTGACAAGGTGATCTCCAGTGGGTTCAAATGAAGCAACTGGTCGAGTAGTCTTCGTTGAATCTATGAAATTCAAGGACGCGCAGAAAAGTCCTGACAACGACTGTGTTAGGGTAATCCATTTCGCAAATGCTCTGAACAAAGACGTCAGTAGGAAACCCTTCAAAGAGGATCATCGTGTACATACATCTCTTCATTGGGAGCATCAATCCACGCCCAAAGTTCCACTCCTGTGCCCCCTTCCTTGAATCCATCCCAGGGTCGCGATCCCCAACTTTCGGCATCCCATCTTCCGGTTGTAAATCGTAGATGAAGCTCGCGAGTGTTCGCATGTTGCAAGATCTGGCCCAATGCACGAGGAAAGTATCGGAAATGTCGCTTGTCAAAGGACTTCTGCGTGGTGTTGCTTCGAAAATTGAACGATGCTAATAGAGAAGATGGCGGAAGTGGTTGGAGGGTGAGGTTCTCGTGGTAGTCTGCGGCCGCGGAGCCAAGTGAGGACAAGGCGACGAGGATGAGTGCAAAAAGAAAGACGGGAATCATCGCGTCATTCTTGCCAGGAAAGTCCCCTAGCGAAAACTTGATAAATATATTATGTCTCTTTCACAGGCGAAGAAGCCATGCACAGAGTCGTTCTGCGATTGTCCTAATGCGACTGGGACACGGTGGAGGGATTGCGTGGTAGAGGCGGGCAGATTGATTAATCGCACCCGGCGATTCGTTTCCCTTGAGCTGCGACTAGCTCTATTAACCTACACCTGAGAATAATCACCAGGCCATGACTAGAGGGGCCGAAAGAAAGTTGAAGGAGTGGACGGACAATACGGGGAGAGTTACCCCAAGGCACCAGTGCAGCCAATAAGCGCAGCCGCGCCTAGCGCCAAATCTTCATCTACCATCGCAATTGAATGACCTCAACATCGACTCTCCAGCATCTCCATTGACCCGTCTTCGAAGTGTTCCTCGATTAGCATTCTCAAATTATGGCGGCAGAACAACGAAAGCTTCTAGAGCAGCTTATGGGTGGTAGGTTCATCGCTCCTATAGCTATTTTGCCCCAACTCCAAGCTAACAGAATTCTCCTCTCTGCAGCGGACCAACTCGTAGGTTATGGCGCACCCTCTCGTAACGCTCAGCTTTCCATCACAGATGCCAAGGTTTGCCGGTCATATCTTGTGGGAACCTGCCCGCATGATCTCTTCACAAATACCAAGCAAGATCTTGGTCCTTGCCCGAAGGTGCACAACGAAGGACTGAAGACGGAGTACGAGACTGCCTCCGCTGCAGAGAAAGCAAAATGGGGATTCGACTATGACTACATGCGTGATATGCAGAAATATATTGATGATTGTGACCGGAGGATTGATGGTGCTCAGCGACGATTGGAAAAGACCCCGGATGAAATCCGCCAAACGAATAATCTGGTAAGTGGCTAGAAACCTCCGCCCCCTCTCTCAGTTGACCAGAAGCTTGAAAAATAAGAGTAAACTAATTTTGCCCCCGCTTCTACAGCTTAAGCAAATCTCTGACCTCGCGAAAACTATCAACACTGGGCTCCTCGAAATCTCCGTGCTCGGCGAAACTGGATCCGTCGCACAAGCCCTCAATGAATTGCACAAGATCCGCACAGCGAAACACCAGAAAGAGACCTGCGAGCGTGAGCTCAAGAACCTCCAAGATACTTCTGGCCCGTCTGGTCACCAGAAGCTACAGGTCTGTGATGTTTGCGGTGCCTACCTCAGCCGACTCGATAACGACCGGCGCTTGGCCGACCATTTCTTCGGAAAGATGCACATGGGTTACTCCGACATGCGAAAGACGTATAAAAAGCTAAGTGAGGAGCTTAAGGGACGACCTCCACCCGTTCGTCACCACGATGATGAGGATGGGGGCTGGGGTGGACGGTCTGGTGGCGGACGTGGTCCTCGGTATGGCGGTGGTGGATATAAGAAACGGGGCGGCCGCTGGTAATTATAATAGGTGTTTTCCTATGTTATTCTTTTTTTTTTTTTTCATGAGACTTTTCACTCTATAGTTGGTCTGGATTTGCATAGCGCGGGCGTTTTGTTTCTACAATGCCTGGAATATAATGAATGAAAATTCATGGAGAGAATATGATTCTTCGAGATCCTGCTGAGCTTACTATGGCTCTTGTTACTTTATTTATAACATAGTAATTGCCTAAGTAGGGGCTTTTGGACATTAAACAGCTCAGGAACCTAAAAATAACATTTGATACTTCACTAGAACAATAATGATATGTAGCAGGAAAAACGCTTAAATGCTATCATTCAATGAAGAAATAAGATAGCCTCTGACTAAATTGTTCAAAAGTTCACTAGTGGCTAACAATAAACATATCCCATATAATCACTCAAAAGCCCCTTTTTTACCCTTGAAGAAAGGGAGCACCAGAATATAAGACACCGAACCCACAATGACCAACCCTGAGTGGAAGGAAGAAGAAGAAGAAGAAGAAGAAGAAGAAAAAAAAAACCGAGTAATATACAACAATATCTCAGCCTTTATTTGGCGTTCTGCTGTGGAGAATGCCCGTTGGTTGTAGTAGCATGGTACAATTCATTCATCAACAGCTGGTAATCAGATGCAGCCTGAGGTCGTCGCAGGAGGATATCTCGAACAACACCGAGCTGCGAGACATCTGCATTTGGTGCCTGTTGGAGGAGCTGTTGAATTGCAGGAGAGTTCGCTTGAGCGCCCAGCACCTGAGCAGCAGCTGCAACACCGGTGACAGGCGTGTGATTTTGTGATGCGGGGGGCTGGTAAGATGCAAACTGTGCAGCCTGCTGGGGAGGTTGTGCTTGTTGTTGTCCATATGGCGTTGGTGCTTGGGGAATTCCCGTGAAAGCAGGAGTTGGTGTTTGTGGGTACTGGGAGGCAGTGCGCGGCCCCGGAGTCAGAAATTGAGGTTGTTGTGGAGTGGCAGAGGCAACAGTCAGTGGACTCGCCGAAGCTGCAGGCTCCAGGCTTGAATGGTGTGATGGGGGTTGTGCCGAAGGGGGGTTCGATTCGCCTGTTTTAACTGCAAAGACTACTAGGAGCATCCGCTCCGTCGTAGGATCCTCAAGTGTATTGTTCTCCAACAACTCGATGAACTCAGGTTTCTTCCTCGAGCCTGCCTCGATCGGAATAAGATAGGTGTCCTTGACAGCTGGTAGTGGGTGTTTGCCAACAACACCATATCTCTTGCGCTCCAGAAAGTAGTTGAAGAGCTTATCAAAACCTGCTTTCTCTTTAGGGGAGTCAGGGCTGCTAATCGATATGACTGTGACATCGGTTGATGAGCTGAACCGTAAACCGCACAAGTAGTTGCTTGCCAGTTGGATGTCTATTCTCCCGTCAACCAACAAGGTCGACGGTACAAGTTGACTCCATGGAATTCTTCCACTCAGGTCAGCACCCCCCACATGCTTTGCAAATGATAAAAACTCGGAAATAGGGTTCATGACAACTTTGCCATGCCAGATAGCGCCTTCATCGTGGTAGTCCTTAGGCGAATAAGGAGGGGACTCGGGCTCATCATCCTTCAGTAGTTGATCAATCTCTGCATCGGCCTGGACCTTTCCGATAGGTATTGGTTCGCGGATGTGGGTTGAAACTTCGGGGAAGACTTGATCGTGCCCGGGGGCGCCAGGAGAGTGACCTCGTGGCGGAAAGGGTTCACCATGAGTTGTTCGATCGGCTGGTCGCGCTTCTTGTGACTTAGATGCCTTTCCGGTACCATCAAGTTCTAGGTTGTTTCTGCCTGGGCTCGTTGGGCTCTGTCCAGTAGGACTTCCGTCATTATCGGTGACGTTGCGACGGGGACCGGCAGAGAAGACAGGTTCGCTGGCAACATTCTGCTGATCATCCTCAACCAGCTCTTCTCCCTTGTGAGTTCTTCTAATCCGCGGGCCTTGGTCCTGAACGATAGTGTGTTGTCTGTCGGCTTCTCGCTTGATCTCTGCATCTTTCTGCTGTAGTTCCTCACTTGCCATATCTTGGGAACTCATCTTAGAAAGGGCATCAGGGAGTAGGCTACCTACGAGCAGACGATCCCGTAGAGAAGGGTTCTTCTTTACGTTGAACAGGACCGTCCGAAGTTGTAACTTATAAGGCTCAGTGGGCTCTCCAGATCCCCCGCATATATTCTGATACATAGCATTCTCGATTGAGAGACCGAGCTGCCGTCCAACTTCCTCCCCTGACTTCCCTGGCACCAACTTGAAAGGTCCTCTAGCCCGCGCCTCAGAAATTTGATCTACAAATAGTTTCACCAGAGCAGTGGCAGCACTCCGACGAGCTGCGTTCGAAATATCGTCGATAGAACTGATCCCTTCCACAGTCGCAATATCTGCAACAGAAATTTGTTGGGAATCTTGCGTGTTCGGCTCCTGTTTTACCCGAGGTGCTGCATCTTCAGCGGGTGGCGAGACTTTTTGTTGTTTCGACTTGGGGCCCTTGACACAATTCCGGTAAGAATGAGAATGGACGCGAGAGATTGAGGTAGTGTGGATACTTACAGTTTCCGCTACCGGGGCTTCCTGGTGTTCGGCAAACTTTCGCTTCTGGGAGCTGGCGGATTGCTCGTCAGGGATATGACTATTCGTCTCGGGGGCAGGAGAGATAGCAGCAGGAACTGAAGGAGTAGCGGATTTTGTAGTTGCTGTAGTACGAGCCGGTGTGCTCGCCTCCGTTTTAGTCTCACTCTGTCTGCCTCTGCGTCCACCCTTCTTGCCTTTTTTCCTTCGGGAGGTTTTCTTTTCCTCGGCATCCTTGCGTCTCTGCTCCGCGGCCTCTTCCCATGGCCTTTCACCGTTGGAAATCTTCTCTAGCAAAACCCGGTGGTTTGCAGGTTTGCACTGCTCACAGAAGTATTGCTCAGGCTCCTCTCCTTTGGTGAATGTCAAACCCATACAGTCATTATGTTGCCAAGCCGAACAGTTGTCACAACAGATCATGTCCCGTTCAACATCTTCCTCCTCTTCGTATTCGCCACATATGCATCTGATAATCTCTTCTTCTTCACTCGGAGCAGGCGTCGGTTCCGCTGAGGGTTTCGGGAGCTTTTCTTTCGCCTGTGCTTTCACTTTCGACTTCTTCGCTGGTGTTTCGCTGATCATATCAAGATTCTTGTGCTGACCTTTGGTTGAACGACCGGAGCGTCGCGGTTCGTCTGGTATTGCAGTTAGCTGACTATTCGTTAAAGCTGTAAATTTGTTTTCCAATCGCCAGAAAATCCATGGCTTCTCTGGCGCTGGACCCGGGAAGGCGGTATACTCTAGCTTACCGGCCATGATGGTAGTATAATAACCTATCAGAAATTCAAATTTCTACGGCGGTAGTGTAGGTTAATTGAGTCGTTTCTTTTGAGAAAGTTGCACACGCCACCCAGATCTCGTTCTACGGTAAAGAGCGCTAAAGTAATACACAGACGACGCCGCCAGAGAGTGTCACCGATGTCCGGCTAACACAAGTATTACTTTATCTTCTCAAAACTCTTCCAAAGATCCCAAGTATTATTTAGACGCAGAGTGCGGCCACAAATGCAAATCCAAGCCTGCTGTTGACGGCTTATTGCACGCTCGGTCGCGCCGAATGTCGGGCTGTGCGCGCGCGGGGTCACGTCACAGCTATACGCTGTTGGGCTTTTATGACGAACGTAGAGGGCTCTGGTGACAGCGACGGCGACAAGCAGTCACTGAGATGGCGTGAGATGGATTAGACTCACAGAGCGTTATGCAGAAGATGATGGAAGATAGCCAAGTTGATGGCTCGTGGGAAGACAAGGGGAAAGAGGAGTTGGTGTCGCTTCCTTGCTGAGTAATCGAGCACGTGATAGGGGCTCGGCGGGAAGTCTTGGCATACGCCAGGCATCCAGGCTCCCTGTCGCGTTATTTTTCGGAGCCGTTCGAAGGCTTCTCCAGATCGATCCCCACATCAGCATTTTTCACGGTCAGGTATTTACAACATCTTTACGACAGAGTCTTCGAGCTAAACACCTTCAGTCTTTCACTCGTCCTTCTAATTCCCCTGAGTCAACAGTTTTCCTTTTTTCGCCATGTCAGATGTTCGATCGTTACTACGAAGTGAGCTTGCTTCCCGCAGGGGCTCGCCCCAGACAGGGAGTAGTACGCCAAATCGTGTCACAAAGAAACGAAAGGTAGATCCATCAGATGGGTTGGCACGTAAAAAAGTGAGGCACGCCAATGCAGATCAGCTGCTAGCGAGTGCCCAGATACGACCTCCAAGCGCACAGGCTATCTCAGAGGGAGAAGATATTGAATCGACAGCACAGGAAACTACGAAACAAAAATCTCCGTCAGACACAAACATCGCAGAGGAAGAAATCGCAACAACGGAACAACAATTCCAAGCCACTACAATCTCTCTAAGCGAAGCAACCACGGCCGCTCAAGCCGTTGATGAGGACGAGTGGGCCGCTTTTCAGCGTGAAGTGGTCGCACCAACCCGTACCCTACAGAGGCCTGCTGCGGTTATAGCGACGGCAACCATATCAGCTGCACCCATATCTACTGAAGAGCTCGCTGAGCTGCAAGAGAAAGAGAGTGAAGCCCTAAGGCGTAATCATGAAGCGGAGGTGGAGGGCGAAAGGGAGGATGCGGCTCGATTTATGGAGGAAGAATTTGATGAAATGGAACAACTTGAGGAACGATTAAAGCGTCTCAAGCAAATGCGGGAGCAACTCAGGATGAAACGTGCAACAGAGGACGTCGAACCACTCCAAATGGACGAACGTCTATCCGCCGCTGCCGGCCCTGGCGAACAACCCCGAAATGAAGTCAATTGCACAATCGATGACAAAGACGATGAAGAAGACGAGGATGATGACGATATTGACGATGACTGGGACAACTGGAGATTTAGGTAATATTAATTTGGTCGCGAGACCTGGACGGGGAACGGCAAGGCGTCATTTTATACAGGGGAGGTTAAGGGCTTTTCTTATTTACAATGATACCCAATAATCCACACAACAAACTCATGCGAAAAGTGTTTCACTATCCCTTAATGAGTCAGATTGTTCATTTTTGGCTTACCACAAGATGGTACTCTTACTTAACTCTACCTAGGCGAAATGCAAGAACCGCCCCGGCACCAACTGTTGATGAGAATATATAACGACCCAAAGATGTACTTCCTAATAGCTATGAAAACAGGGTTGTTTGTACAATACAAAATATGATAGACGAACCGCTTGGACAATTTTAAAGAATAAATTATCTCTGATTATTGCTCAATGCTAGAATAGCGCGTGTATTCTACACTCAATCCTCCTTTGTAAACTATTCATCTTCGGGCTTTATATAGCTTCGAAGCCCTGCCTTCCCGACCTTCATGGCCTGCTCGATTTCTGCCTCACCCTCTTGCAGGAGATGTCTGCCCCGAGCAAGCTCCCCCTTTTGCCTGCGTTTGTCATCCTGCACTTGTTTTTCGCGCGCTGCTAAGGCTTTTTCACGTTTTTCACGTTCTACTTTCTTCCTCTCCAATTCTTCCCGCTGCTCTGGGGTAATGTTCTCTGCCAGCGCAGCCGGTAATGTCGAAATATATGCCTCTATTAGTGGGTCACGCACTTTGGGTGACAGAGCAATAAATCTAAGGTCGGTTATAACGGTTGGCGGAAGTGCTTCCAAATTCGAAGCCCGGTTCAGCTCATGCGGCTGGATCGATTTAAGAAGGGAGGAGAGGTCGGACTTTCGAGTGCTTTCCGGCAATTTCATCCGTGAGACCAGATCGCGGTAGAACTTTTCTCGATCTTTATCTGACAGCTGGGAATCCTTCATCGCCGGTTCCTTTCTATATTTCCTCTTGAATTCTGGCCAATATAATTTCGGGGTTGCGTAGTCCTGGAGGAAAGCAAGATATTTGATGCGTGGATCTTGTTTCTCCTGCATTTCTTTGCGCTCTCTTATTTCCTGGATTCGATCTCGAGTCCAGTCAGACCACACCTCACGGCGTGCCTTCATATTTGGTAGTACGGTATAACGGGTGTCCTCGATGATGCGGCCTTCTTCGACGATTTTCTCCCATGTTGAGAATGGGTTGATGCTGTAATCGTCAAGAAGATCACGAAATAGGGCTGCAGCGTCTTCATGTGTGAGTGGAAGGCCTTCTGCTCCTTCTTCCCAATCTTCTTCGCCGGGCTCTCCATATTCACCAGGGTCTAGCCCGTAATCTTGCCCCATCGCTGCTAGTTGGTATTCAATGTCCTCCTCAGTGAACTCGACAAGCCCCTGTTGGTTTTTCTCACTTCCAGTCCTTGCTCTTTTCAAAGGATAGCTTTCTCCTTCACCCTCGCTGTCTGTGACTTCGACTTCTTCGTACTCATCACTGTCCTCTTCAAAGTTCCCAGAGATGGCGTCTTCAAAGTTTTCACGCTCACCACCCGCGTCAGCCACAGGTTTGCGTGTCTCGGCCTTTTCTACCTCTTTTTCTCTTTCTCTTTCTTCTTCTTCTTCTTCTTCTTCCTCCTCTTCTTTGTGCATACTTTTCTCCTTCTTCTCTCGCTCTAGCCGGTCATACTCTACCACGCCCTTCATCACCTCTGCTGGAAACTTCCAAAAACTCTCATTTGTATCCGTATTATGAACAAACCTCCTCCCAAGCTTTGTTTTTACCAGCACCCAGGGTTCGCATCCAGGAATGGCATGTTTGGATTTTGGACGGTCCTCTGGTCCTTTGCGGCGACGGTCATGGTACGACTTTCCTCCCCGGAAACCACCACGAGCTTGTCCATGATCCGAAGCCCCATACGGCTGTACATTGTATCCATGGGGTGCATAAGGTGTTGATGAAAAAGGTGGTAGAGTATCGGGCGTGAGAAATGGGGCATTGGTAACGGTCGGTGTGGACGGCTGACGCTGGACGGCAACTAGCTGAGGCCTAGTATATGTCGATTGTTTAGTTTGAGAGTTGTAGTAATATATGTGCCCTAGTACTGGTCAGAAAAATCTTCCATCGATAGTCATTGCAATTATACAAACCTGATGGTGCTTTGTGCTCAGTCCACCCTGGTGGCAGCGGAGGAGGGGCGTAAGTAGACTTGAGCATAGTTTAGATGCGCAAATTTATTGTGCAAACCAGATGATTTACTTCAAAGATTCTGAGGATCCATAGGTCGAAACAGCATCAAGGCACCTTCTATTCTCTAGGTGTAGTTTGCGCAACGGAAGCTTTCAGACGCTTTCTTGGAGGTGGTCCGAGCTTGGCGGACCGCTTTTGGTGGACGCGCCAGGGCGAGAGTTGCCTGGTCGCTCAGAGAGAGCTCACACCCCAACTATCCTGCAGCTTGTTCCGAGCCCATTCATTCCTTTCTATCCCCCATCACCTCTCTATTGAATCGCCTTCGGTCTCAAGTTGTGAAATCCAAATTGCTTAATATTCTTCGACTCTTGCATTATCTCCAAAATGTCACGACGCTACGATTCAAGGGTATGCCCATTTCGTCACCCCCTCCGGCTGACAGCTTCAACTAACCCAGTGATGTGCTTGACAGACTACCATCTTCTCCCCCGAAGGTCGACTCTACCAGGTTGAGTATGCACTCGAGGCAATCTCACACGCTGGTACCGCTCTAGGAATTCTGGCAAAAGATGGCATTGTCCTTGCCGCAGAGAAGAAGGTGACAAGCAAGCTCCTCGAGCAGGATACTTCTGCTGAGAAGCTTTACACACTGAACGAGTACGCAATTCTTAACAAGCCATCGTGAATGAAACTTTTTGTTTATAGGAACTAATCTTGGGGGTAGCAACATGATCTGTGCGGTTGCCGGTATGACCGCAGATGCAAACATCCTCATCAATTATGCCCGACAAGCCGCCCAACGCTACCTCCTGACCTACAACGAAGAGATTCCATGCGAGCAACTTGTCCGCCGGCTGTGTGATCTGAAGCAAGGATATACTCAACATGGTGGTCTCCGTCCGTTCGGCGTGTCGTTCATCTACGCAGGGTATGATCCTCTTCGCGAATTCCAACTGTATCAGAGCAACCCCAGTGGGAACTATGGCGGTTGGAAGGCAACCAGTGTGGGTGCAAACAACGCAAGTGCCCAGAGTCTACTTAAGCAGGATTATAAGGAAGACTGTGACTTGAAGGAGGCTTGCGCTATGGCTGTCAAGGTCCTAAGCAAGACGATGGATTCCACCAAGCTAAGCAGTGAAAAGAGTAAGTGATGTTCCCATGAACCTATCATCGTGTCTCAACTATGATCCACTTGCTAGCAGTGAAAAGTTGCTAATTGGGTCGTTCACTCCTGATAGTCGAATTCGCAACGGTCGGAAAGACAAAGGAAGGGAAAATCTACCACCATCTGTGGAATGCGGACGAAATCAATGCTCTGCTGAAAGAACATGGGTTAGCCAAGGTTGATGACGAGCCCGAGGCTGGTGACATAAAATGATAGAGCAGCCCCTTTACGCTACCTGATCTAGATAATCCGTGTTTGTCACCAATGACATACCCATGCCCAGAATGAATACTTCCCAGCCTACATGCCATAGACACGTATACCCTTGAAATTTTTTATGGCCTGCTGAGAAACAAAGCCATTCACAATGTATATGTCTTCTGCTACATCTGCATCTGAAGCGCAACCGACGTCGCCCACGAGTGACGTGGCAAGCGGCGACATCAAATCGAGCACCAAACAATCTGATTCGCATGTTTGCTCCTGATTCCTGCCAGTCAGTTTGATTAAACATGGCTCGAGCCTGTAGATATCAATAGTCCACGTAGTTTATGCCCTGTAGCTCTTGCGGTTTAGCCGCCTAAACATGTTCTGAATGGCCAGAGGTACCCGGTGACCAACATGATTGACGACAACGAAGTATATATAAGGCCTGTCACCCCCTTCATAGGAGAACAACGAATGTCTGCCGTAATGTTTTTGTTTTACGGCCAAAAGGCCCTCTAGCCGAGATGCTCTGGTTTCCACGGCCCGATCCGAAACGGACGCTTCTCTTTTCGATACAGGGAGCGGCCCTCAGATTCTCAACACTTCTCCTGGGGATGTTGACCACCCACACATTGCCGTACCGAGCGGGTAGGGTTAAGTTCACGAAGTCAAGGAAAGCGGGTATGCAGCTTGGGCACCCTTTCTTCTGCTGACTTGCCCTTCTTCCTTTAAACTTTCTTCAGGGCTGCGAGTCATAGTTACATATTGATCTCACTAACAACATGGCATGCAGAGAGTGGTTATGCAGTGAGAAACAAAGACCCTGTGAAGAACTGCTTACTAACCATGTTTTGGCACGTGCCGCTAATTGTTGGCCTGCGGGGTTTAACGACGACAACAATCCAGTAAACCCTTTCTGCCTGCCGGCATGCCATTGATGTCAAGTCTTCCTTGGGCTAGAAGACTCAAAGTCATTCAAATCTGAGCAGTCCCGCCAGTCGTTCCCCGCTAGGGCGCTTCTACGTCTTAGATTTCTGCTCTGGAATTGCTGGAAGGCGGCTCTATCCTTGTACGGGGCCAAACCGCTCTTTCAGGAATGCAGGCGCTTAGGGAGTTCCACTTCGCCTCAAAAATGTCACAAAATCTTGCCAATTTTTCGAAAGCAAACGAATCCATTGGACTATTCAGACAAACCGCTGACCTCAATTCAGACTTTTCCTCCAACCAGCATTGATTTTGTTCATCTTGAAACTGGTCTGATGTGATCATACAGGTCACGAGCCAGGGACTAATGCGGTACATTGCTGGAGACAAAAGTGGACGAACAGGAGCAAAAATGAAATCCAAGGTTGAAAAAAAGAACATTGCAAACGAGGGAATCAGGGAAACCAAGAAAAAAAGCAAGAATTAAGAATTAACCCGAGATTAAGTGAAGCTCCTTTATCGCCGATTGACCAACCCTTTGAACACTCATGATAGTGCCTTCCTTTTGTCATCCCGCTCTCGTTGCAGCTGGCGAATTTCTTTTTCAAGCTCCGTTATGAGTTTCTGGGATCTGTCCATTGAGGCCACGAGGGTGCCTCCTTCACGTTTCCATCGAGTCAAACGCTCCATCTCAGCGCTTCGGCGACGGAACTTGGTATCAATCTTCTCACAGAGGCGACATTGGGTTGTCTCGAATTCAGTTGTGTTTACGAGCCTCATACCGCATGTCTCACCCGTGCGATACTCGTAATTACACCGGTGGGCAAAACTCGTCCAACTCCAGTCTCCACACGCGAATCTCTTCTGGTTGTAAAAGCACATTCCTACCAGATCCATTAGCAATGCTCCGTCCGGGGTGACAATAAAACCTACTTATTTGTACAGTTCGTCGTTTCACCTCGATCTCTCTTCTTATTGGCCGACTTAGGTTCTCCTACCGCCCAAAAAATATGATAGGCTAAGCTTGCACAATGACTAGGGACAGTTGAAGGCAAGTTTAAAGTTGAAACAACTTATATCAAGAAACAAGCCTTAATCACTTGTTATATCTTTTGAATAATTCGGAGCTGAAACAGTGAATGATCCAAATCTCACCTAACTTTGGGAACGAGTGGTCCTATTTATGTCTTGCGAGAAACTCTCATGTCATGATCTATAGCTTTACACTCCCTAACCATTCGCCGTCGATCAAGCCCCTCAGTGTGCGACACCTTATCGTCTACGGCATTCTATCATCACACTCACATCACATCCGTTGAGTGTTTCTCACAGCAGCCTAGTGGAGACACGAAATATCCACAACATTCCTTTCCGGGTCAATCGTAATCAGCGGACGCTTCACAAATGCATGAATTCTGCTGTCGTGGCAGCATTGTTTCTTCTCAACTAGCTTGAACCTTCGAAAATCCCTCATTTCGAGTCAATGTGCCTCGTTTTGCTAAAGAGGATTGGCACTGGAGCCTTCGTTTTGCCATTGATCATCCCCGTTTCGCCTATGCGTCTGCATTCCGTACGAAGCCGATTTTCGAGAACCTGACGCTCTTTACACTTGCTGAATCAAAGCTCCTGCATGATTAGGTTGCTATTACTTTGCGCCAGCTGTCATGCTGTCTTACATTGGAGCCTTCTTTACCCCCGGCTCAAAGTTGACCTAGCATCCCATTGGAAACGAAAAATCAAAGCAAAATAGCAAAAATGGCAATCAACTGAGCGGAGAAGCAAAAAAAAAAGAAAAAAGAAAAAGCAAGAAAATGAGATGAGAACAAAAAGAGGAGTAAAGGAATCAGAATTAAAAAAAAAAAAAAAAAAAACTAGACACTGGTTTATTTCATTCAGCATCAGCGTGATCGGTATCTCTCTACCCTAGCTCCTTTTTTTCAGGTACCTCACCACCCTACATATTTATCTGAATGTTCACTCACAGCCAATTAGTTCGCATAGATTTGACTCTAAGTCGTTGGGTTTGATACGGGCTTTTTGACCGAGGGCAAACCAGAGCCTTCTTGCCCCCATTGCAACTTCTCGTACCCCAATGAAAGTGGGTACTGGTATCTAGTTATACGCTCGCAGGGCCATTGATTGTTTAATTTAATTTTATTTTTCCAATGCCCTAAATTTTGTCCCATAGGCGTCCGGCTTTTCAACACACTTGGACATGGGTATCTCAGTTTCTTGTGCTAATGGCTGTCTCACGTCCTCCGCATGGTCCCGTCTGGACATCGTTGCCCAAATATGTCTACCTTTCGTGGCAAAGACGCGTCACTAGAAACCGTCGATTGGTATCTGTTGCCTCCTTGTTGTCGCTCTCGGGGACTCACCATTCCTCAAATTGGTATGATGAGCTCAGTATTTCATTAACAGACGAGCCAATTCAGCTGATCTCTTACATCTGCAGACAAGAAATCCCGCATTCATCCTCGCTCAGGTGCAGGGTTCAGCTTCATTTTTTTCCCCTTTCTTCGGTCAAAATGATAGGATATTCGCTCTATGCATCGGCCATGGCAGATACAGACGGTAGTACGGTAGACCTACTTCGAACCCATGCAGCTGCACTAGGACCCGGAGACTCTCTGACGTGGCGTCTTTCGTCTGGTCCAATGCCTCGAAATTCCGGTTTCATGCTGATGGGATATTTAGAGGAAGAAAAAATGGCAACCCAGGGCTTACGGAAATGAGAGGATGAGGCTGCTTTGGGGTGCCTTTCTTGGCATTGGTTGAACAACTACGCAATGCTCTTGGTCCCCGCTTGACCGGGCACGCTAAGGTGTGATTCCACGGAATTATTTCACTCGCCGTTGATTCTTTTCATGGCGCAGGATCGTCGGACTATCTCATTTGCCTGTCTGGGCAGTGAATAGTCGAGGAGTAGAGTCGTGGTAGGAGGCTAATTGCCAACTCAGCGGCCGCTGTGCCCGGACTCAAAGTTGGGAGACGAGGAAGGAACTTTGAGGGCCAACTGTATGCCCATTCTGGAGTTGATCCATACCGGTTTTGCCACTCCTCCTTCAGACTCTCGAGTTGTCTTACATCGGGCTGTAATTAGCCTATGTCTGGCTGTGGCGATTATACTTTCGACAGCAAGGATCATACTGAACAGCATCGGAAACAGCCTATCCAATGAGCCGTGACTTTGTTTACACGTCGGAAAATGAAAAATAGATAACAATTACCCTGTACAGTCTTTAGATTTCTCCCTAGGCTACTCCAGAACTGTCGAATACGGCTTTTGACGACGTTGAATTTGGATTCTGTGACCCACATATACACTCCACTACACCGGGATGCTTTAATCCCGTGATTTTTAAGCAGGTGAGCCTTCTGCGGATTTCCGCATACCCTCTTTTTATAGGTAACAAATGGAAAATGTCTGTTTGACTTTGGAATGTTAAGGTAAGAGTGCCTTTGATGGTATGTATTGGTTGTGAATTTGGATTGGCTCTTCCACTGAAGCATGCTAAAAATTCGCAGCAGTTCGTATCCAATAGCGTGCTTGATACTGCTAGTAGGTATATGCACCTAACCAAGAACCCTGTCAATCGTATTGCTAGACTCTAATCATCCTAGACGCTGGGCCCGCTGACTAGCGCAGAGGAGATTTTGGGGGCGGATCCTTGCATCTGCAAGTTGACAGCTGCAGGCGTCTTGTTGTATGCACCTCGCATTCAGAGTCTGCAACCTCGAATATCCATTTTTTAGGTCTTCTGTGACCAACTGATCCACCTAGATGGGCCGTGATGCAGCTGATCCTTGACCCTCTTTGATTCACACAACGGTATGAAAACATTCTTGCAATTGAGATCATCATACCTCGCTGTATGGTGGCATCCTACACCCCCCTTTGTGCCTGATCTCGTCGATGACTCTCCTTCGCGTGGAGTGCTGCATGAACACAGTTCGTATAAACCTGGAACTTTACTCTAGGAGTGTGCCATATTGTGGTACCGACCTGTGGAAGCAGCGTGATATCACAGCATGGCGTATACGTCTGAACCAACTGAAATTTGTCCGTATAAGTGGATTGACGTGGCAGGCCTAAGTTTACCAAGGTTAATCTATAGAGGGCAATCACGGATTTTGTCCCTTTATGTCTTTCCCTCTTTCACCCTACGGCATTCATTAGATTTAACTCCGAGGAAACAAACAGCTGTAGCTTCAAATTCATTGCCCTCGAAATGTTGTTGCTTCTTGGCTGCATCTGTATATTCTTGACGTGTCCAGCCTTCTTTAAGCTTTCAATGGCTTAACTGGCCTGCTCTCCCTCTAGCCGTTCTTCTGATGGCTGGCGTGAGGTAAGTTTGCAATTAATATTGAGTATCTTGCCCTTCAAGTACCCAAAATGTCTTGAGGATGGATGGACCTACCTGAGTGTGTCCCCTTTCCAAATGAACAAACAGGGTACAGATAGACACGTGATATTTTATTCCCCTTTGGGATATGACGTCATTATCATCCCGACCTATATACACAGCTTGTTTTGCTTCTCTGTTTTAAACAACGCGTGGGACTCGAGGGTTTCAATTTAGAAACATATTCCACCAAGATTGTCCAGAATCCATCAATTTCTCATTACTTGCAAAACCAAAGTTACCCCACTACCCGGTTCAATATCAGAATCAGCGTACAGCAGCTATGTGGAACAAGATTAAGGCCTCTTCGATATCCAGGTTTCTCCCCTAAAAATTAGATACTTTACTTTAGGTAGAACGATCGCCTATTATATGAAATATAAATTGGTTAAATGTGCAGCGATAAGAACAATGATAATAGAATAAAGAAAAAGCATGTGAATGAGGGACTGATAAAACAAAATATTTCACAGAAATATACTGGCAGGTTCCAGATCAGACTTTTAGCCCATAATAAATATACCCTACTCTTGCCCGTACTTGATGATATCGCTGCCTGCCAGAACCCAAACCTTTTCACTACCAGCGGGGACTTCGTCGTTAAAAGCCTTGATACCGGTATTGACCGCAGCCTGAGCAATTACATCCGCATCTTGGGCCCATCCATTTTTTAACCCTGAGTGCACTTTGCCCATAGCACCCGCAATGAAGCGAAAAGCAGCTTCCACAGGACGGCTCCCATCTCTCTGACCTGCAATCAACCCAGGACGTAAGATCACGGTTCTTTCAAACCCGAGAGCCTTCACGTCTTCTTCGATTTCGCCCTTCATCCGTGTATATGCAAAGGTTGAGCTTGTGCTGGCTCCACTGGATGAAATTAAAACATAAACCTTGGTACCTGCATCACGTGCTGCTTTGGCCATCTCGATGTTCAAGCCATGCTCCACCTTATATTGATTGTCGAAGCCACCTGCAGCTCCCCTGGTAGTTGCAAATGACGAAATGAAGATAGAAGGGGCTGGAGTCAGCGAAGAGAGCTGGCTAGCCCATTTTTCGGTATCGCCTGACACAAAGGTGGTGAGCTTTGTGTGAGGCGCGGTAGCTGCGACTTGGGGAGTGCGACGGGAGATTGTATCAACTCGAGCCACAGCAGGACTGGCGAGAAGACTGGCGAGAATATGGCTTCCCTAGGAGTCGGAACAACTCAGCGATTAGAAAAGAGGTCCAGCGATATCAAGATAGAGCGTATTTGGGCCAAAGGAGCAACTTCGAGACTGGATTTCATGGGGCAGATTCGGAGAAGAAGAAGAAGAAGAAGAAGAAGAAGGAAAAGAAGCACATACCACCATACCTGTGCAGCCAATCAGGGCAACGTTTGCCATTTTGACAGGGAACCCTATCTGAAATCTTTATTCACGCGGGGCTGCAGTGCGCATGTACCTAATGGAAGATGATGACGTTGGATCCCAAAAGGAGTTAAATTCAGCGGATAGCAAACTAAACCCAAATAAGACACGTGGCTGCCTGAGGCGGAATTTGGAGAAGATGATGACTAATGCGGGGGACTGCCGAAAACGGAGTTTTTCTGCCAGGAGTTACCGCTCCAGATTGATCGATAAGAAATTGCGTGATTGCCACTATACCGCTTTGGGAATTATCCCCTGGGGGGTTTTTTCGGAGTATAGAGAGAGGAATCGCCTCCTCGGAGTGTTGGATCTTTTCTTTTCTCTTCTTTCACCTCCTCATTGTTTGTGATTTGCGTGTTTCCCCCCTGTTTCTTAAGGTCACTGGTCTTTGAATCCGGTGTCTACACAGGAATTTTTCACGATGGGCTCCTCTTCTCCCGCCCTGTCGACCCTTGCTGGTCCGACCTATGTTACCGCTCAGACTCTCATCCAACAGGTCGCTTATGTGCTGAGTGACAAGATCTTTTCCTATTCCCCAGAATCCTTCGACCTAGACGCTGCTCTCCGTGACTGGGCCTCGAAGAAGGAGACAAATGCCAATGGCGAATCGCCTAGCGTCCAGACTATGGAAACCCGCCAGGGCGCTGGAAACATCGCTCTTGGATACCTCTTCTCTCAGGATTTTGACCTGAAGAAGCGTCACGTTCCTCAGGGTATCGTCGCTTCCTCCGCAACCCTGCCGTACATGCGCGCAGCCCTGGAGCAGCTCTCCCTTCTCTACTCTGTTGCGAGCCCCGTTGCCGCACACGTCGCCGCTGTTGACTATGCTGGCGAAGACGGACTGGTCTCCGATTATGTCTCCGCGCTCGCTCTCGCCGAAGAGCTGGGTTTGGGCCTTGTATCGAGTGCCTCTGCTCACGAATCCCAGCATATGGCTCTCCTCACAACCCTGCTTGCCACTATCCTACCCTCGATCCATATCTATGACGGAGTCCGCGTTGGACGCGACAATACCCGCGTTATCGATGTTCTTGACCAGGCAGGTCTTAACCGTGCATATGAGTCTGTGCGCAAGACGTTGGATGGCGAACGCAGCCGCCACCTCGACACCCAGGGCAAGCTGCTTGAGCTGATTCAGTCCTTGAACGGCGAACTTGGCACTGACTATCGCGCCTTCGAATACAGTGGCCATGCTGAGCCTGCTTCTGTTTTGGTTGCCTTTGGCACCGTCGAGGCCTCTCTCACTGCCCAGGTTGCTCGCTCCCTAGCTAAGGATGGTATTCGCGTTGGTGTTATCAATGTTCGTGTTTACCGTCCCTTTGTCGAGGAAGAATTCCTCAAGGTCCTACCGAAGTCTGTCAAGACCGTCGGCGTGCTTGGCCAGGTTGCAAGTGAGCAGGCTGTGCAGGAGCAGGGTGTTCGCTCCACCCTCTACGAGGATGTCCTCGCTGCTCTGGCATTTGCTACTGATCGTGAGCAGACACCATCTTGCGTGGACATCAAATATGCTCGGTCTCAGCGCTGGGATCTGATCAGCATTGCCGCTTCATTCCAGCTCATCTGTGACAAGCCAATTGTTCAGGCTGATAGTGCCTCTGAGCCTCTCCAGCTGTTGGACCCCTCTATTGTGCAGGAGTACACCTTTTGGGATGTCGACACCTCTGTCTGCAGTGATGCCGCCACTCTCCTCTCCCAAGCTCTGGCAGCTGATTCCGCCGGTAACGTCACCACTAGCACTGCCTACGATAATATTATTCAGGGTGGTGTGGTTCGCGTTGATGTTCGCAAGAGCTCCAAGATCCTGGACGCTCCTTATTCAATTACCGCCGCCGATACCGCATATGTTGGTGACGTCAAATTATTGAGCGAGGTTGATATCACTGCTTCCGTCAAGAACGGCGGCAAGCTGATTTTGAACGTTCCCGGAGTGAAGGATGATGAACTGGAAAAGAAACTGCCTGCTGCTTTCAAACAGGCAGTCGCCGAGCGTGGCATCTCTCTTTACCTCGTCGATCCTGCCGCTACTGGAGACTCTTCTCTTGACTCCCTTGTCCTGCAGGTTGCCTTCCTCCGCGTGGCTCTTCCTTCTCTAGAAGCAGTGGGTATTAAGAAGCTTGCCTCGATCTCCGGAAACGCAGAGTCCCTCGAGACCGTCAGCAAAGACCTGAACACCCTTCTCCGCCAGGCGGAAATCCCAGAGTCCTGGAGGATCCCTGAAGAGGGTGCCCAGGCTCCCCAGCTCCTGAAGGACTTGTCCCCCAACAGCTTCGTGTCATTCAACAAGGAAGAAGCTGAGCCTGCCACCAATCTGAAGGACTGGCAGACTGCTGCAAAGGGCCTAGTTTTCAAGGAAGCCTACGGTGCTAAGACTGCCCTCCGCCCCGACCTTGCCACCAAGAGCTTCACTGTTCACGTCAAGGAAAACAGACGCCTTACCCCCATCACCTATGACCGTAACATCTTCCACATTGAGTTCGACTTGGGTGACTCTGGTCTTAAGTACGATATCGGCGAGGCCCTGGGCGTTCACTGCGAGAACGATCCTAAGGGTGTTGCCGAATTTATCGAATTCTACGGCTTGAACGCTGACGACGTCGTTGAAGTGGCTAGCCGTGAGGATGCTGCAGTTCTCGAGAACCGCACTGTGTATCAGGCCCTGGTCCAAAACGTTGATATTTTCGGTCGCCCTCCCAAGCGCTTCTACGAAGCTCTTGCCGAATTCGCCACCGACGAGAAGGAGAAGAAAGATCTGCTCACCCTTGGCGGTCCCGAGGGTGCTGAGGAATTCAAGCGCCGTGGTGAGGTCGAAACTGTCACCTTTGCTGATATCCTGGTCGAATACCCCTCTGCTCACCCCGACTTCCATGACCTGATCCGCATCGTGGGCCCCCTGAAGCGTCGCGAGTACTCGATCGCCTCTTGCCAGAAGGTCACCCCCACCACTGTGGCCCTGATGATTGTCGTCGTCAACTGGGTCGATCCTCGCGGCCGCAGTCGTCTGGGTCTGGCAACTCGCTACCTCAGCGGCCTGCAGCCCGGCAGCCCCGTTACCGTGAGCGTCAAATCCAGTGTGATGAAGCTGCCCCCCAAGTCCACCCAGCCCATCATCATGGCCGGTCTGGGAACCGGTCTTGCTCCCTTCCGTGCCTTCGTCCAGCACCGTGCTCTGGAGAAGGCCCAGGGCAAGGAAATCGGCGCCGTCTTGCTTTACATGGGATCCCGTCACCAACGCGAGGAATACTGCTACGGTGAGGAGTGGGAGGCTTACCAGGAAGCTGGCGTCATCACTCTCCTGGGTCGTGCCTTCTCCCGCGACCAGCCCCAGAAGATCTACATCCAGGACCGCATGCGCGAGACCATCCCTGAGATCGTCCAGGCTTACATCCGTGAGGAGGGAGCCTTCTATCTCTGCGGTCCCACCTGGCCTGTTCCCGACGTTACTGCTGTTCTTGAAGAGGCTATTGCCATTGAGGCCAAGAACCAGGGCAAGAAAGTGGAGACCCGCAAGGAGATTGAGAAGCTGAAGGATGAGGAGAGATACGTCCTTGAAGTGTACTAAATAAACTTGCGAATTGATGGTTTTGAGTGAGTGGTTCATTTTTTTCGGATACTCCACTCATTTTCATTTTTTTTTTTCATTATTATTCCCCTCACCCTTTGGTGCATAAAAAAATGATGATTTGTCTACCTACCCCCCACGTTGGTTGAGCGCGTTTTGATATCATGACTTACACTTACCTACTACCTGCTTGTTGTTGATAGACATACTGCTCTTGAGTCGTTTTGGTTTACCATTAGATCAGCCTGTCTTTTACTAGATACATGTGCCCAGAGGGTATGAAATGATTTTTTTTTTTTTTTTACGATTCAATTGTATGGGTATCCACTATAGTTATACATACTCCATAGGCCTCGCCTGTAACCGTTCTAAAAATGTAAAATCTTAGAACCTCTTCTTCATATGAGAAATTGAATAATAGACCCTCGAAAGAAAAAAAGAAAAAAGGGTGATAAGTCTAATTATTATTTCAAGTATTTGTGAACTCAACCGCCAACATGTCTCATGCACGTCCCATAGTCCCCATCTTAGTCTTGCCGTAGGCGCCTCCTTTTTCTTTCCTCAACTCAAGAGCTCGCCGGTACGGTGGAGCCATGGGTGGTTGAACAGGGTCCAAGCTAACATGGTCAGGAGGAAGAGAGTAAGAAGCGTCGGAGTCCCAGGCCGAGAGATCCCCACAGGCAATAAAAGACGGAATCCACCTGTTTTCAGCAGCGAATTTCTGAGGCTTGTTGGAGAGGGGTTCTGGCGTGGATGCGTTCCCTGACTCTGCATGTAGCTGGCGGGTCTGGTTGTCCTTTATGGAGCCGGTTAAAGTCACAGGTTGTACCGCTGTAGATACTTCGTAGTCCTCTTCTGGTACTTCAAGTGCAACGTTGCCGTCCGCGGATACCTGCGGAGGAATAGCAGCACCGCCAAACAGGGGGCTTTTTAAGGAATCCATGCCAAGTAGACCATCGTGCACAGCCGGGGGGATGAACCCCTCGCACACTACAAAGGCTTCCAGACTACTAGCACGGCTGCTCCGGGGCTTTGCAACACTCACCCTTTCGAAGACTGTTCGGAGTTGAGCGTATAGAAGATCCACGTCGCGGTCACGGAAGATTTTTGCGACAAATTTGCCTCCGGGTCGAAGAACACCCAGAGCTAGGTTGAGTGCAGAGTAGAGAAGCTGGGATTGGATGTAAATATCCAGATCGTGCAACCCAGTCACGTCCGGGGCACCGTCGGATATAACAAGATCCACCGGGTGTGGCTGGCGGACTGCATGGGGAGAAGAGGAGGTTGTAGAGTCGTAGGCTTCGGGGTCCAATGCCCGAAGGAGGAGGGGGATGGTAGACGGGTGGGTGATGTCGGCTTGCAGGGTTGTAATACCCTGCAGGGGCGCCATGGGCTGAAGATCAATAGAAACGATCTTGACGTTCTTGCGTGGCTTCAATGCAGATGAATCGGTGTCCTCCTCTAATTTCTTCTCTGCATCCTCGTTGTTCTTGCCCGCTTCTCCGACTGCGTTCAGTTGCGCCAACGCTGCTTGCTCCTTGCGCTTCTTCTCGACCCACGCCCTTCGACCAAAACTCTCGCCCTTGATGAGGACTCGGCTCAAAACTTGACTCCAGCTGCCTGGAGCGGCGCAGAGATCGACGACCCGAGTCACCTTCTCTGGGTTCTCATGTTCGAATAGATCGAATTGCTCGTCGATCTGGATCAGCTTGAAGGCGGATCGCGCACGCCAATTCTGTTCCTTGGCGAGTCGGTAGTAGGCATCACGCTTATCTTTTGAGGATTTCCCCATGGTTGTCTGTGCGAAAATGTAATGCGTCAATGGAGGAGGGGGAGTTTTGGAATTCTTTGCAGCGTGGGGCTCCAAACGGCCACGATAAGATATACGGTAGACCCTTAGGACAAATCTGCAACAATCAAAACTTCAGAAATAGGTATCGCCAGAAATCATTCGTCAACTAGGCTTTATATAATTGATTCATTTCTAAATGGTAGCTGGTGATCATATACTTCCATCACGATGCTCTCCTTTATTAATAACAACTTCAAAATCCTTTATTGCACTTAAGGTTCAAAAGACAGGATATCTGTCCAAACACAAGCTTTGAATTCAATTTCTTAATCACACATGTAGTGATAATGCACAGGCTCCCGGAAAGACAGGGAGGCAGCACATAGCAAGGCCCTCAGTGGAGCATTCTTAGCATTTCTTGAGAACATGACATGCTCAAGCTATTACAAGGCATGGCGACAGCACGCAGCAAGATCCTTAGCCGTGAGTGTAATATTTCTTTCCTCCGTGTTAGGGGCGGGCGAGCGGCGCATAACAGATTCGAAGTCTAGCTCCAGTGGAGCATCCTCAACATTTTTCGAGGTAACAATAATCTGCTTGGCCGCTAAGTGAGGTCGTAGCACTGTTGAGGTGTCTCTAATTACAAAGTCAACATGGTTATACTCTTTCACATCCAAAGATCCCCCGAGCGCAGAGTCATCTTGAAACTCTACAACATCTGCCTGTAGTCCACGTGTGATTCTGTGGGTGGTATGTCTGAGGTGGTAGAGTTTCAAGATGACTCTGCGCTTGGGGGGTCTTTGCATGTATGGGGCCACAGAGGGAAAAGCCCATGTCCTGTCGACTCTCGACGTACTTGCTGATATTATGTGCCAGAGATCGTCGGATGCCCACCTTGCGAATGAAATATAATCACGTTGACTTGAACCTTGAGAGCCACGAATATGCGTCAGCTCGTATTTGTGCTTCTGATTCAGAAAGACCAGTTTTAATAACGAGCGAGTGTCAGTCTGTAGGGAACCTCGAGGGGGTTTCGATCTCTAGCTAATAGCTCCTTCAGAGGGTTGGATATGTTTGATACGATGATAAACTGGTTCGAGTAAGACGCATCAGAGTTGATTTGACGATAGACATCGTTCGCAAATAGTCACTCACCCGCTGCCTCGACCTGCGAGGTTGGAGACGCCATATCTGACTCGGTCCTGTCGAGAGACTCCGCCGATTCGACGTCCTTTGCAGCTAAGGAGGAAGAAACTGCGATAATGATGGACGTCAAATTCTGTTGATATAGAAAAGAAAGGTTGCTTGAATACTGTGGATCACGTGGCGCTAGGCAACTTTTTGAAATACCTGTTGGAAGTGAATTATAACAGAGCATGTTGGCTAAATAAGTGTATAGTGAATGGGAGGCGAGAAGAAGAGGTGAGTATGGAGTAGTAGTAACAATTAATGGAGAAGGTACAGTATGTTATCGATAAAGAGTGGCAGAATCATATCATGTGACGCAAGTCTCGGACAGGCGGTCAGCAGCTGTTGCCCTTTGCACCTCTATATTAGTGACACTAAGTAAGTTGCTAAGTTAAATTTTATACTGGTAGAAAGTCAAATCTTCTCCTAATAGCTTACTGGACATAGTTATGTTTTTTCTGCCAGTCCTATACTGACAGTTACACGAAACTTTTGTTGTTGCAATCTGCCATAAGATTTGCATCTAAAATGGTAAGCGGTGCGGACTTTCTGCCGATATTTTTTCTTCCTCTAAAAAAAAAGAGATCCTCCAGCAGAGCAACATCCTGCGACAGTTCATTTTTCTCTGATTTGCACGTCGTTTTTCGTTAATTATGGGCCAGAAAAGGCAAAGGGACCATAATGGCCCTCGACTACAGTCTAGGAAGAGAAAGAGGGCTGAAACCAGTAGCAATGCTGCTGACAAACAGAACGCTCCAGAGGAGATTGTCGGAATGGAAGACCTCAACTGGAAGGAGGTAGCGCTGCCGGACCGACTTGATGATTTTGGGGGATTTTTCGGCCTGGAGGAGATAGATGGAGTGGATATTGTCAAGCCACAGGGAAAGGGAGAAATTCGCTTCAAGGTAAGAAGGTGTGGCTAGGTGTGTGCTTTGTACCCATTTCCCTAACCGACGAAACCTAGGCCGCCGCTGGAAAGCCAGGGAAGTCTATCTTGAAGAAGACCCCTCCTCAGACGGGGACCACCGATTTTACCGACGAATGGAGTGGTTTCAGCGATGGCGAGGCCGCGGAAAAGGACGATACATCAACCACGCAGAAGGAGTCGAAAGAAGCGAAGGTCGACAGAAAGGAAAATAAAGAGCAGAGTATGAAGAAGGATGTCAAGAAGAAACAGAGGGAACCCAAGGAAAAGAAAGCTGGCAATTCTCAGGACCGAAACATTCAGTCGGGGCTTTCATTTGCTGCCCTTGAGGACGAGGAAGAAGATGACGGCGTTGATATCTCTGCATGGGAGTCACTTGGTCTTTCTCCGGACATTCTCACCGGTCTTTCGAAGATGAAATTCACCTCCCCTACTGCAGTCCAAACCGCCTGTATACCTCCCATTCTAGATGGCCATGACGTTGTGGGCAAGGCCTCGACAGGATCGGGAAAGACCTTGGCCTTTGGCATACCCATCTTGGAGCACTACCTAGGACTGGAGCGAAAGGAGGACAAAGACGAGTCGAAGAAAAAGGAAAAGATCCCAATCGCATTGATTCTATCGCCGACTAGGGAACTGGCGCATCAGCTGATGAAGCATATTGGAGATCTGATCTCACAAGCTCCAGGCGCTAATGCTCGCCTTGCACTCTTGACTGGTGGCCTTTCGGTTCAGAAGCAGCAGCGACTGCTAGCGAATGCTGATATCGTCATCGGTACCCCCGGTCGAGTATGGGAGGTCCTGAGCTCCGGGAAAGGCTTGATTCGCAGGATGCAAGGCATCAAGTTCCTGGTTGTTGATGAGGCAGATAGGCTCCTGAGTGAGGGCCACTTTAAGGAAGTTGAGGAAATTTTGGGCGCTTTGGATCGGGTGGAGGATGGGGAGCCTCTAGAAGGGGAAGATCAATCATCAGAAGGTGAAAAGGCTAACCCAAGCTCAGAGAGACAAACTCTCGTTTTCTCGGCTACCTTCCACCGGGACCTGCAGCAGAAGCTAGCCGGTAAAGGACGTTGGACGGGTGGAGATATAATGAACAAGAAGGAGTCCATGGAGTATCTTCTTCAGAAGCTGAATTTCAGGGAGGAAAAGCCGAAGTTCATTGACGTCAACCCCGTTTCGCAGATGGCTGAGGGGCTGAAGGAGGGTATTGTTGAGTGCGCCGCAATGGAAAAGGTCATTTACATACTCTGTCCCTACTGCTGCTGAAGTGCCACTAACGATGAATATAGGACCTCTTCCTGTACACGCTACTTCTCTATCATCCTAAACACCGGACACTGGTCTTTACAAACTCTATCTCTGCTGTCCGACGACTCACTCAATTCCTCCAAAACCTTCAACTTCCAGCGCTCGCCCTTCATTCATCTATGGCCCAAAAGGCGCGCCTACGATCCGTTGAGCGGTTTTCTTCTCCGTCTTCGGACCCAGGTACTATCCTCGTTGCGACTGATGTGGCCGCCCGTGGTCTCGACATTAAGGGGATTGACTTTGTTATTCATTACCATGCCCCACGCACCGCTGACACATATGTTCACCGTTCCGGCCGTACTGCTCGTGCCGGGGCATCCGGTAAGAGTGTTATCATTTGTGCCCCTGAAGAGATGGTCGGGGTTGTGCGCCTTGCCGCCAAGGTGCATGCCCATATGGCTAACGGCAAACGGCTGCCCCTTGAGTCTCTGGAACTGGATCGTCGAGTTGTCTCTAGGGTTAAACCTCGAGTGACTCTTGCAGCGCGCATTACGGACTCTGGCATCGCCAAGGAAAAGATTTCTGCCGAGGACAATTGGCTTCGGAACGCTGCAGAGGACCTTGGCGTTGACTATGACAGCGAGGAATTCGACGAGGCCCAGGGGCGAGGTAGAGGCCGCGGCAAGGGCCGACAAGAACGCGAGCGACAGGCTAGCAGCGTTTCGAAGTCGGAGCTAGCGGGGATGCGTGCTGAGCTGAAGCAGCTGATATCCCAACGAGTGAATATTGGCGTTAGTGAGCGTTATTTAACCGCCGGCCGTGTTGACATCGAGGCCCTTCTACGTGGAGAGGGAAATAACTCCTTCCTGGGCCAGGTTGATCCATTAGGGTTTTAGATATTTGTTAATATAAAGATACCACTAGGCCTTTTTTTTTTTTTGGTAACAGGTATGGCTTCTTACTGGGTCGATCTGTCCACTTTCTCGATTTGGTTCGGCGATTATCTCGTAAATTTAATTGGATTCCATGTAGGATGTTTGTGACGATCCCCTTGCAGGAAGTAGTAGTATCTAGAGCATGGACATCAGGTCGCGGTGTCTCATGCGCCTGATGAGAGGCTATTCAGGCTATACTTTCTGAGCATTCAACCATAAATCCACATCTCCAGCAATTCCCACCATTTGTTCGCTCTAAACCGTGTAATCAGAAGCAGAAATTTTGTTCCCTAGAATGGTGGAGCTGCGGAGCGTCTACGCCCCTAGACTTTGTTTTGTATTTCCCGGTATTGAAAATAAATTTCACCCAGGAAAAGGTTGAATACGGAGTATTATGTTAATGTGGGCCAAACATAATAAAGTTGACATTTAATTTATGTGGTTATGTAGATACCAGTTCCTCATACCCAGACCATTCTACTGACTAATTTCAACCAAGCCGACATCGAGTTTATTCAGTTTAGTCAGTTTACGGTAGAACACTCGAGCACGCTCAAGGGTCATCCCTCGCAGACAATGAACGAGAATCGACAAGCTTTTTTTGTAGCTCTTTACGAGCGGGATTAAGAATGATCGACAGTCGGGATTTTAACCGATAGTTAGTACTCCGTAATGATGGGTCAAGCCTTACCCGGCCCACTTCGGCATGCCGAGCCTCAACATTTTCGGGACCTTGCCGATTTTTTAATTTCTATTGCCACGGTGAGAATAGTTCAAAGAAGTGGCGGCTCTGGACATATAATATTACCTTTACAGATATAGACAAAAGAACCCTGTTGCATATAACTATGCTAGACAAACTCGTGCGGTTTTCCCAAGTGGCTGTAGGACTGGCATTAGAATTCCCCTGCCTTATCGACACATGTTTATCGATCTAATCTATCTAAATGACTTGGTTCTTAAATTCTTCTCCGTGTCGGAGTTGATCGTGGATCCGATACTCCACTTGGCCCCGGTTTTCTTTTCTTTCCTTTCCTTTTTTTTTTTTTTTTTTTCTTCTCGTTTCTCCCCTTTCCTTGATTATGTGTCGCTAATAGTTTATTGTGACTTGGAGAACCCGTTTTCTTGCTGTTAAATACTCCCCTTCCCCTCCACTTACTAGACACCCGGGTGCTCTACATAGAGTATCAGGACTATATACAAGGAACCTCTTACCTCTCTCTACAATCCCAAAAGCATACTCACCATGTTCTCAACCAAAATGTCCAGGACGCTGTCTCGCCTTCTGCAAAGACAACAACCAACAGCACAACCACCAGCCGCAACCACCATTCCAGCGCCATCAAGCCAAACATGCATCCGCTCCGCCCAAACACAAGCAACAACATCCTTCCCACCCGAGATCGACGACATGCTCTCGACCCTCCCTCTCATCAAATCCCTGCGGCAAGACCCCACCTTCAAAGAAACTCGCCCGCACCTCGCAATGCCCAGCAACCTACGCAGCTCGCATTTCGTGGGCGGCTCCCTAGCCGGACAGGGTAAACTGGCCAGCGCCTCGTATATGTTCATGTCACAGTCGCGGCCCTCCTCCTCCTCCTCCTCCTCCTCCTTGACGGGACATCCGCAATCACAGAACACTGCCGCAGCCGCAACCGCAACCGCAACCGCAACCGCTGAACCCCCCCAATGCCAAATCATCGCTTTCTTCCCCATTGGAAGTCAGATGTGCGGCCACCCCGGTTTCGTCCACGGCGGGCTTCTCTCGGTTCTCTTCGACGAGGTCTTCGCGTACTGCGCGTCGCAGTCCTTTCGCACGGGCTCCGGCATGACTGCGAATCTCAACGTCAATTTCAGGAAACCTGCGCTCCCGGATCGCGTGTATGTGTTGCGGGCTGCCACGGTCAAGGTGGAGGGGCGCAAGGCTTGGGTGGAGGGGACCATGACCATGACTTCCTTGCCCTTGCATGGTGCGGGTGAGAGTGACGGAAAGGCAGAGCAGCAGCAGCAGCAGCAGCAGCCTGTGATGGTTGCCGAGGCGAGCGCTCTGTTTGTGGAGCCGAAGTTTGCTGAGGTACATATGTCCCCCCCTTTTTTTTTTTTTTTTTTTTTTTTCCCCCGTTGGTTTGGTTTCATTTTTGCATTGACCTTTTTCGCTAACTTGTTGGTTGGCTTAGTCCATGGCGCCTGTGTATCGCCATTAGATGTGAGGTGATGCCGCTGGAACATTCGATACCCTTTCTTTACCTTCTGAATTCCGATTTTTGCTATATATTCCACTAGACCTACTAGATAATTGATCCGGAGACAAAACGGAATAACATAGATTGAATTTGAATATACATAGACACGACCCGCAGTCAAATCAAGTTGAATAACCGATTATTCCATTTCTATCTAGAGACAACTAAGAAACCCCCTTTAGACTCCTTTCCTAACTGAATACTCAGACAGTGAGGGCATTAAAGAAAATTAAAAGAAAAAAAAAGTATTATAAAAACCCGAATGCAAAACAAAAACCCACCAAAGAAGTCAAATTCACTCATGTGGCTGTCGTGGTATTGTCCCACCTTCTTCGAAAATAAAACGTGCTGTAGTTACTATACTGCCTTGGGGTATTAATTCCTTTCCATGTCCTCCGTATCGTTCATGTTTTTTTTTTTTTTTTTTTTTTTTTTTTTTGCCTCGGGTGTCTTTTTTCAACAGGAAGAATCAAGCGAGTGTACAGGGCAATAAGGACAGGCACCGTTTAGGACAGGTGGAAGGCGCCCTGTCCTTCCTTAATAGCAACATCCAACCGCCCTCGAAGGACATCCAAAGTGCTGTAGTCTGGCAGCTTCAAGTAGTTTACACAGGTCATAACACTGGGCAGGTAGTCGTCGGGCGTGTATGGGGGTTCGCTTGGTCGACACACAACCGTAAATATTGGCGTGAGACTCTTGAACCCTAAAAGTAAAATTAGCACCAACTCAAGAGTGCTGGGAAGAAGAGAGCCTACCTCCGATTGGAAGTTTGGGGCTACCCGTTACAAACTGAAGGAAGTCTCGCCGTTGCTGTGTATTCAATTCACTCATTGTTTGAAGCAGGTTTCGAACGCTTCGACTATCCATATTGAATCCGTGGTCGGCCTTGATCGAGTCCATTAAGGCTAAAAGAAAGCAAATGTTAGCAAATTTAAGGTCATGAAACTCCAACCTATGAAACTTACTTTCGATCGTCCAGTCTTCTTCGGCTCTTCCGAATAACATGACAAGTTCGTTTGGTGTGAATGTTTGCAGTGCAGAGTACGGGAAAACCTGCGAGAAACCAGCTCTAAACGCTTCTACTTGGGCTTGAACCCCATCTCCTAGGGTCATATCCACGACCCGATCGACGTAGAGGTCAACATTATCCATGGTGACAGGAATGTTAGAGCCATTTTTGACCAGCTCTATGGCGGGATAGCCTGGGAGTGTAAAATCGAGGCTAAGATCCTCAACAGTAACTCCGTCCACCTCAACCGCTGTCAAAGCTTGAGCCTTCTCGTATCCGGAAAGAAACTTCTTCTCCTCAATTGCTTTCTTGGCGGTTGCAAAGCGTTTCAACAGGAGTAGAGAATTTGCCAGGTCTTGATCAACTGCTTTGACGGTGCCAAGTGATGGAGCAACTACGGAAGAGGTGTCGGCGATGCGGAAGAAAGCCGGATTGAACGAAATATCAATGATTCTCGAGTCCAGCATTGATCGGGCAACAAACTTCCCAAGCGTTTTGAACAAATGCAGCTGCTTCTTCCCACTTTCCGACGAAAGTTGCTCCTCACTCATTGGAGCAGGGAATAAACCACGATTGCCGAAAGCATATTCCTCAGTATTATTACAATCATTCTCCCGCCACAGTTTGAGCTTCTTCTTGGAAAATTCTTTAGAAACGGTCGAGTAGAATTCAAGTGTTGGGCCGAGTCCGGTTCCGACTTCCTCAAAATATTCAACTTCGAGTACACTTGGGGAAGAGCCATAGAGCTCCATTACTTTCATCGCCGATTCAAGAATGCGACTTCTTGAGATTCGTACTTTTTGTCGTTGCAGGCGGCCTAAAATTGGCCGGTCATCGCGTCTGTGGTCGTTCCGACTGTCATCGTTCTGTGAGTTGTTCCAGCGCATCATCGCCCGCGAATATCCAAAGGCGGTCGATTGAAGGAACAAGTGACGCGTCTCAAACGGGAACAAGAAGGGGAAAAAGCGAGCAAGGTCTTCGCTCCAGTCAGGAAGACAGCTGCTAGCAACGATCAGAGGCTCCTCTAGCTGTCGGTTGAGCTTAGCGGTGAGCTTCGTGTTGATAAACTGAGCTAGCGGCTCGGGTTTGAGAGCTACAAGATCTTTTGTTTCTGCTAGTATATCATCGAGGGTGGTGTTCATCTCGTGTAAAACACGAAGCAATCGCAAGATCGAGGAGGTAGTAGGATCTTGATTTAAAGAGGATGGCATTCCGGCAGTGCCGTTTTGCGAGTTGGGCCCAGAAACGGTGGTTGTTACCGTCGAGGGCTCCGGTGGTGGTGGGCCTGGAATCCGTCTAAATTTGACCGTATGGATTGCGGACCACACATTCTTTCCGCTAGGATCCACATGCTGACGGTTATGATGAACAGCACGGTAGATAGTTGTTTCACTTGAGACCGACTGGCCATCGATGCTAAACTCTATGTGCCAGTCCGAAGGGATAGAGGCCATGGCTGCAGCATACGAAAACGGACGGCCAGCCAGGGCGAGCGAGCCACCTCCAGTCGAGTTCAGAGAGGATTGAGGTCCGACTGACGATTTGGACACTGGGGTTGATTGGGACGGTGTTGATACACGGGTGCCATCTTCTTTTCGTGCAGTTACTTTCCCTGACGAAGCTACTTCCATATTCACGGCAGAGGGGTCGTGTACATTGTCATCCGACATGTCATCGTCCAGATCATCCACAATAGCATTGAGCTCCTCCTCATCGCCATCTTCATCTTCATCGTTGTCATCTTCACTCAAATGCCGTTCATCAGCGCACTCCAAAGGTTCATCCTCATGTTCACCATCCGGATGAGGGTGCTGATCAGGCCGCTGAGGCCTTGAGGCTCGACCTTGTCCGTCGCCGGAATGTTCTTTGGGGACGGCCCGCTGCTCCCTATTTTGAAGGGTGTTGCTTCCAGATGGTCGTGGAAAGGGGGGTACTTCACCTCCGTTAGGGTCAGTATTCCCTGCAAGTTGATCCCGGAGCCGAGCGGCATTGGCGATTTGGGAAAGAATAGTGTCTCGATTGCGAGACGGCTTTGGTCGGTCGGATAAGCTGATCCTAGGATGAAGGAAGTCATCCAGGGCTTTGAAAGTTGCGATTGCGTGAATGGAGACCATAATGTTGCGGTACGAGCGGGGGATATCGGAATCCTCGTCAGCAACCAGCTTTAGTCGAAGCTGCTTCCCAAGCATGTAGGCTGCATTGCTACGCGTATTCTCCAGCGAATTATGGCTCACGGTCATGACCTCAAAATGCTCAGTCCGGCTGAGCAAGTCTTGAAGCTTGTTAATCAGAACACTGAAGGGTGTTGTGGCAGTGCTTTGGCTCTGCGCTTTTTCGGAGATCATTGAACCCAGGAATGCTTGAAGGAAAGCGCCACGTGCTTCGCGCTTAGATTGAGCTAGAAAGAACCTTCTGTTAGTATCAAGTTATATAATAAATGTAGTTGACTAGCCTAACTCACATTTGAAGTCATCAAACACACCAAGTAGAGTATCAATGACGCCCGAGTTGAGTAGCTCAGAGCTAGTGATGCTGTCCAGCGCGTCCCCGTCAAAATAGCTTGCCAGTTGCCGGAAAAGAGTCAATCCTTCACCGTTCCGATCGCCAATTCCGGAATAGCAGCAGGTTTCTATTTCCTTGGCTAGTGCTCGTAACTCATTCAGGATTTCAAGCGCCTTTTCTCGCATCTCCCGACCGTTTCCAGTTTCGTAAAGCTCGATGAAAGCACGTGCATCGCGGACGACCAAGTCATTCATGACGGTTTCCATCCTTGCGGAGAAGCCCCGAGCAGAGGCAGAGGAAGAGCTCTCAGATTCGGAGATGTCGTCGTTGTCCTCATCAGGATCATCCTCATTCTCATCATAATCATCCTCCCCATCAGGGCCATCTTCGTCAGGGCTATCCTCGTCGTCCGCGTGTGTATTTGGGTTGGCTGGAGCAAGAGGGATGACGGAGCTTGGACCATGGGTGGAATCCTCTGAGACGTCCATGGCAGAGTCGGGAGCAGAATCCTGGGACGACTTTCCTTGCTTATCGGTTGAGAGTGGCCCCTCAGCTAGTTTAACAATCTCTGATATAACGCCTTCACGATGGAATTGATGTTGATAAACAGGCTCTAGTCGTTGGAAAAGCAATTCTGCACAGCGGAGAGCGGATGAGACCAACGAAGGATGATCTTTTTGAGATAATATAGCGGCCAAAAATGACGCATATGGTACAGATCGTAATGCTTCCTCGATCAAAGTCGGATCCAGATTATGAAGCATTTTGAGTTGAGCAATGAGTACTTTCTGGCGCACTTCTAGATTTACGGTGCTAGAATACGCATCGGTGAGGGTTGGCAGCAGGATCATGGCAAACCGTCGGAGTTCTGCTTTACAGTCCATCAGCAAAGAGCGTCGTTTCTCGGCAGACTCCTTTGCTTTAGGGGATTTTAACCCCAAGGTTACATCGCTGTCTGGAGAAGGTGGTAAGCCGTCAGCCGGAGAGGTTTGACGGTTTGGGACACCAGGCAGGAGCTCGCAAATAACATTCAAGGTCTCCGAGACCTGCTCTTTCGGTCTGTGTATCAATGCTTGCATAACAAGAACACTGTCCATCTTGATGGCTGTATTCTCAAGATTGTCTGGGGGAGATACCCCGGTTAAGATTTGATAGAGTGTGTCGACGACGTCCATCCTGAGCAGCTCTGCTGACAGTCGAGGACTTGCTTTCGATGTAATTGCCAAGACACGAAGAAACTGCGTATGAATATGTGGCCCAATTAGGTTGGTAGTACCTGGGAGGAGCAAACGAAGCACCGCTTTCAACATTGCAGGCTCAATTAGCTCCTCTAGTTTTTCCGGCTTGTGCTTGAAGCTCTCCACGATTCGAGATACACAGAGACAACCCTGTTCAACAACCTTGGGGTCATTGCTTGACAGGACATTAAGAAGAGTGGGCATGACGTCTCTGACAACGGGGAACGAATCATGAGGTAAATTGCGACAACAGTTGGCAGCCGTAGTTACTGCAGTACGCTGGGTACTTGTCGGGAAAAAGTCGAGGTACGTCAAGCAGGCCGTTAAGCCACCTTCTCTCACGATAGATGCTGGGAAATCGACGGAAATCTTGGCGAGAGTCTACATAGAGAAAGTCAGCGGAGAAACAAAATCTGGTAGTGGGCTAAGTGACGAGACGTGAAAACGAAATAAAATAAGAAAAAAAAAGCTTACACTTAGAGCTTGCTCCGCCAAGTCAATAAATTGAATATCCAGCAGTTTCTGGCACAAAATCGGGACAGCACCACCGTAAACGACATTAGCCACTGAGCCGCGCAAAGCTTCCATCAAGTTGGCCAAACAACGGCAAGCTAGGAGCATAATTTCCGGATTCTCTTCACCAAAATCATTTGGTTGCATAAGAGAAACCAGCTCCTTTACATATGGATCAGGGGAAAATTGACCGGAAAGGTTGTCCTCGTTCGATACAAGTAGTAGATCTGAAAGCTCCTGGAGAGCGATCAGTTGAACGGACGGGTCATCTTTCATTCTCAAGTTCTGCAGAATATCTCGCAAGCGAGAGGACATCCCTGACATCATACCGCTCAAAGCGCGAAGGGTACTCTGGAGTCCGAGGGAGCTTCTTGATCCAAATAGGCTGTTATGAAAGAGATCTCCATCGTCTTCATCATCCTCGTCGTCATCAAGACCCGAAGGATTTGTACCATCATTGCTATCACTTGGAGGTGAAGATTCTTGTTCCTCGGGTCTATCACGCCTATCCAATTCCTCGTCAGCTTCTTTCATAATTACATCGGGACGAGTCCTAGAAGGGCGCTTCTTCTGTCGATTGGGAGGAGGTGACTGGGTAGCCAGAGAGCGCTCTATGTCACCGAATGTATTAGTATTTGACATTCTTTTTGGTAATAAATAGGAAAGGTGAGCTTTTTTTTTTTTTTCTCTCTCTTGCAAGTCTTACCTTGAGACACTTTCCCATGTCGACTAGACTTCCTTCTAGATTGTGGGGGAGATTCCGGGCTTCTCGAGGATTCCTCCACGGGATGTGATGATGAACTACAGGTAAAAATGTCATCAGGAAATATTCGCCTCCAGTAGAGAGAATCAATCCAACTTACCTGGATTGGGACATAGCTGGGCGATTTCGTGTACCTCGATGGGAGGCAGCAGGAGCAGCTACAGCTCGGGGGGATGCTGTACGCCGCTGTCGCTTAGCCTTTCGATGAGGCGATGGAGGATTCGTGGGCTCTGAGGGGTCCTCGGATCGATCGCGCCGTGCGGGGGCTTTACGCTTTCGAGATGGAGCCGAGCCAGCGGCGGGGATAGGCGGAGAGGGAGAATCTGCAGCTAGTCTCGCAGCCGAGCGAGTAATTCTGGAGGACATGAGAAGCTGAGCACGTCTAGACAATGGAACGGCAGATGAAGTAGGGCTCGAGAAAGACGAGGAAAAGGTATGACCGTGGGAATGACGGTGTAGGGGTAAGGTAGCAGTTCGGGTGTGGGTAGAGCAGATTCCATTAAACGTGAAGACAGGATATTCACAGCCCCAACGTGGTCAGCGGTGCCAAAAGGGCTGATGGCCAACGCTTATCAACCGAGCCTTCTATGCGGGTGCTAGCGAGACCGGTGCTGCGGTATCACCGTAGGGCAGGGGATGAACAAAACTCAAAAGGATCCCAGGCGAGAGGACCGTAGCGGGGTAGGAATGAAAGGAGATCTGGTATGTACCTGGCGACAGTAGCGGAAGCAGCCGCAGAGGAGGATAGTGTGGGAGAGTCCTCAAGAGGGTCCTGGGGGTGGAAATTGGGCCTTTGCCTGGCCATATGTTAATTGCTAACGAGAGCTGGACAGGAAGAGCTCGCTCATCAGTAAGCACCGTTCAACCCGCCATCCGTTAATTGTATAAAGGAAAATCGGGAGGGGCTCGTTGAGGGCGAGGCGGGTTCCGTCGTTTGGTTGGTATGGGGGAGGGGTGAGTGATTCGCTCGGGGGAAGCAATCGGCTCAGGGGAGAGACGGGAAAGAAGGCAGAAATTTAACAATAGAGAATAAGGGAAAGACAGTCAAGCGGATAGATAAATACTAGACAAGAGATGATATGCAGCCGTGGAGAAAGCACTGGTTGCGAGATGTTGAGATGAAGGGGAGGAGGAAGAGAAGAGAGGTCAGTTCAGTCAGTTTAGCCTCGTTGGCGTGGTTGGCGGTGGTGACGCTCGTCTGAGTTCGGAGACCGCCAGAGGTCGACAGTGCAGCCACCATCACCTTTTCTTGTTTTCTAGGGCCGAAACATAATCCCATTCCATTCATATTGTCTCTGAGAAGTTTCGGAAAATCATAGGGCGGTTTTTACCCCTTGGAATTCTTGCTTGATTATATCTATCTGGTTAAGACTCGTGCTTCTCTCTGTCCCATCAGTATTCCGGCCATTCTTGGGTACGAAAACATGTATTAGACCGCCCAACGCAGTACCTCGACTCGAGCATCTTCTACTTTCAAAAAAAAAATTGTTTCAACCAAGGTGAAATGCATTGGATTTTCTTCTTCTTCTTTTTTTGAGGTTCTGACTGTTTATTAGGGGGTTCAGACCATAACAGCCTCCCATAACTTACTATGTACAGGAGCAGGCTAGCGTATCTATACAGGGCTGATAGTGGTCCTCGGTTTATATGTACCCCCCCACACGTTCGCACCTTGAATTCCCACGGTATATAAAAGATATCTCGGCTTCATTTTCTGAGATAAAACTGCAACTGGCTGGTCCATATTCATTATCTGGTTGTCGTTTGGTGGATGTAATGATTAGGATCTGGGTGGGTCACGATGTCAGAAAGATTCTCCTCCATCCTCTGTATATTCTGCGCCGATTCAAGTGGAGAACTCTCAAAATGACACGCATGAGAAATCAATCTCAAATCAAGAAAATGAGCTTGGTTAATAATAGTAGAGTAGAAACCATCAACTCTGTGTAACTTTTCTCGTTGATCTTCTCGAAAGTTAAATAGTGACTGATCCGGCCACACTTTACGCTCGATTTCGAGCATGATTAATCCAAGGAAGGGTTTATACACCGGACGAGTGATGTATACGTATATATATATAAATACGAGTCTGGAATTGATGGGTTACTTTTAATATCTAATAATGAGAATTGTGGAATAGTTATTGGAGCACGAAGTAAAGCTCTACTCATTTTGTAATATAAGTGGCGGCAAGGCTAACCGCCTCTGGAAGCGATCTGCTCCCAGAGCACAGATAGAGTTAGTCACCCCGCCGCCCTGAACAGCCCACTGAGCGACCCCGAGAGGAGGTATTCACTGACCAAAGCCAGACTCCTGGGCGGTTATTCCAAGGCCGCGAATGGCTTCGCGATTGGCTGCAAAGAATGCTGGATTTGATCCGCCAGTGTTCTCTTTGTCATGCTTGCATTGTGAAGAGATCATCCAAACATCATAGAGGCTATTGATACGGATCGTCCTTTGGTATCAGGACATCATACGAGCGCTTCTTCACCTCCACGGCCTTGGCATCGCCCATTCGGATATACGCAAGCATGATATCCTTTTTGATGCCCAAGGCCACGCTTTACGTGGAGATTTCGGCGCCTGCTGTCCATTTGGAAAGCCCAATCCTTCTCTACCGGTCCTACTTAATGGGCCATCAGAGACGGTCTCTGATGGGACAGACAGATTTGCCATGGGTTGCCTGGTTTACGAATTGGAGACCGGAGTCTCGTCGGGAATATCCATGGACGATCACGACCGCCTTGTGTTACCCCAGATCCAGACTGGCCATAGTGGTCTTGATTGTCTGATCGAAAACGCCTGGCGCGGACAATACAACTCGACAGCAGATATGCTGGAGCATGCCGAAAATCTGAATGGGGCCCAGGATAATCGTGGTGCAGTTGAATATCCTGTCTCGAAGGCCGAATTAGTCGAGGGAATTATGCGGTGGAGAAAGAAACGACAGGAGCAACATGGTAGCTTAGCTTCCACAACCCCAGTTAATGATCTTGCCTAACGACTACTTAGGCTGCATCCTCCGTTCGTTACCAACAGAGCAGCAACTGCGAATTCTAGCAGAGCGTTACGGCTAGAATGTTGATGAAGAGCAGCGTTTTTGTGATGATCAATTTCCGTTCCCTAGATGTATGTCTCTTGGGTGATATTGTTTTGGGGTTTGTTGTTCGGGACAACTCATGTCAATTCGTAAACCACGTAACTGTACCACATTAATAGCGGCGCCCTTCAATAAAGTGGCGTCAAAAGTAACTGTTTTTAGCATAGATGTTCAATGTACACCTCAGGCCGCGATGAGGTGATCAAATCCCGTGGCTTCTCCAAATTCTCTCCGAGGCCCCGAAAAGGAACAGCGGCAATTCCGGGTCGCTTTTTCCCTCTTTCCCCCCACACTGCTGACTAACCGGCGGCGGCGCCCGCATCCATCCAGCCTTCTTCCTCGCCAGTAAAAACCCAGACGACCCCATTTGCAGCCCTTCCTTTTTTCTGTTCTCTACGCTTACCCCACCTTTATGACCTCCCATCTCTAACTCAACTGAGACCTTCGTCTCTCCACCACTACTTTCCCTTCATTCCAACCCCATCATATCTTCTTTATCCTGCTACCAACCATGGCCGACCTAGTCAACGGCCAGGGCAATGACGCCCTTCGAGCCCCTACCCCGCCAATGGCCCCGACCGACGATTACGTCTTCCCAGAATGTCGCCTCAAGCGTGTGATGGACGATCCGGAGAAGACGCCTCTGCTGCTAGTGGCTTGTGGGTCGTTCTCGCCCATTACCTACCTACATCTGCGAATGTTCGAAATGGCTGCGGACTATGTCAAACTGAGTACCAATTTTGAAATCATCGGTGGATATCTGTCCCCTGTCTCAGATGCATATCGTAAGGCTGGGTTGGCTAGTGCAGAACACAGGTTAGTGTTTTTTTTTTTTTTTGTAATATTACATCTGCAGCATGCTAATCATGATCGTGTCGCAGAATTGCAATGTGTCAACGCGCAGCGGACCAGACCTCTAACTGGCTCATGGTCGATACATGGGAGCCGACGCACAAACAATACCAGCCAACTGCCATCGTGCTAGACCATTTTGACTATGAAATCAACACTGTACGACAAGGAATTGATACCGGAAATGGCACCCGCAAGCCAGTCCAGGTTGCCCTGTTAGCCGGTGCTGATCTGGTTCATACCATGTCCACCCCGGGGGTTTGGAGCGAGAAGGATCTTGATCATATTCTTGGGAAATATGGGGTGGGTTGCTTGCTCAAATGAATCTGATTGCACAATATCACTAACCTTGACCCCCCTCCCCCTAGACTTTCATTGTCGAGCGAAGCGGTACCGACATTGATGAGGCACTGGCCGCATTGCAGCCGTGGAAGAAGAACATCCATGTCATCCAACAGCTCATTCAAAATGACGTGAGCAGCACAAAGATCCGTCTGTTTTTGAGGCGTGATATGAGCGTCCGCTACCTCATCCCTACTCCCGTCATTGAATACATCGAGCAACACAATTTATACAGAGACGATTCCTCAGCGGCGCCACCAGCGGACAAAGAGAAAAAACGCGAGGAGCCTGGAGCATCTAGTTAAGGCTTCAAATGGACTCATAGCCTCTCCATTTTGTCTACCCTTGCCCGCGCAATAAGGACCCGTTTCACAGGTCATATTGGAGAACCAAGCGCTTAAGAAGCGATACAAATCACTGGAGCTTCTTTAGTACCTCATTAACGATTCTCCTCCGCCAGTCAAGAATGGAAGGATGTATTGTCTACCGCGCTGGTTATCCTCATCGCCTGCGCAATGATAATGCTAAAGATATACGACAAGCATTTACATCCTTTTCTTATCATCGAATTCGCATCGGTCGGTAAGACGCTTCACAGGGCCCAGAAAACGCAGTCATCGAAGCATTCTCCCAACCTGTCAAGGGGAACAAAGACCGGGTAGAATGCCCATCCATGAGCCCTTGCATTCGATATTCCGCTCTCCATCTTGGAAACTGTGATTTGTATTGGTGGCTTTTCGGCTTCCTGGTTTGATTGCGCTATATCGCCGATTTAGGGCGTTGAATGTCATGAGTAATGTGTTAGATTACCGATTTATGTCTGCCTTTTTTGTTTTTGTTTTGAGTACTTCACTGTTTTCATGTTATACCCTTTGCTTGCTTGCTGTACATGTACCGATACTTACATAGAGCACGGTAGATCTAGGCTAGATCTAGACTCCAGTCGGACCAGTCCAAAATATAAATTTATACATGAAAAACGTACCAAAAATTTAAAATAAAAACACAGAGATAGAAAAGAAACCATTCTGGGTTTAAACTCAAGGTAGACAGAGGGGTATTAAGTTGCATTACGCCCAAAAAAAAGACCTCTGTTTAAAAAAAAATGAAAATGAAAATGAAAACCAGAATGAAAAAAGCGGATATATGCAATGTCTTTTCCGCAACCATACAGAAGTACTCCCACCCATCTCATGTAGTTGGTTTAAGAGCAACCAAGTGTCATGGGAAAAAAAAAAAAGTAACTCTATATCTAAATAAAATAAGCAGCACAGATATTGGTGTGTACAAAAACAGACCCAAAAAAAAAGAAAGAAATATAGACAGGCATGAATTTCATGTAAATCATCATGAACAAAAATACTGAGGAGTATTAAGTGTCCTCACATATCGGTGATATAGGTAAGTTGTTAGGTAAGTGAGAGAAAGAAAAGAAGAACAACGAGATTGAAAGTCATGATACTAATATGCATATGATGACTCAGTCAGTACAGTCGTTCCACAGATCTTCAGCCTCGACTACACCCAAACATTCGCCCGAATTACTCGTCCCTCGCATGACGGCGATCACAGTCACGGGTGGGTCGATGGATGCAAGTCGCTTGGCTTCATTGACAGTACAGGACTCTGGGACCCGGAGCCAGTCCTTCCGCGAGACTAAGTAAGGAGAGCCCACGTCTGCGAGTGCAGAGACGTCCATGTCGACGTAGCTGCCTTGAGACAGAAAGCGGAGTTGTCGAGGAGGAATAATCTCGGATGGAGAGGCAAACACCCAAGATTTTGCGTTGGGATGCTGAATTGCCGTGAGTAGGATATCCAGGATGCGGACTTTGCCTGCCGAAGACATGGTAGGTATCTGGTCGAGGGGAACCATCATATCGACAAGGAGTGGACGCTGAGGAAACTCCTCCCGCGTGGAAAATGGAGGAACCGGTTGCCGAACGGGGAGAAAGTCCGACGGGGTTGAGGTGAATGAGACAGCGGACATGCTCATTGGTGTTGAAGCAGTAGATGCAGCCCCAATTGCGCCGCCAGGATGGTGACTCTTGAAGACCTCTGCAGGACCCTTGCCCGGGGACCTATGCAGCCGCCGAGCGGTAGCTATAGCGAGGGCATCGCCTAGCGACAAGGCAACGGTGGTTGAGGATGTCGGGGCACACACCCCAATAGAGGTTTCTTCATCCTCATGGATAGGGGCAGGAAGGAGAATGCTCATATGGGATGGATGAAAGGATAAGAGCGGGCAGGTTGACGGGTGGAGATGGGAGGTGATGGCGATCACGGTAACCGTCGTTGGAATATGAGGAAGGAGGAGGAGTAGCTCAGGTGTGCGCCCCGAGAAGGAAATCAACAGAAGGGTATCATTCTGGGCAGCTTTGAGTCAGTGACTAGAAGATGAACGAAATGGGGTTCCGTTCCTGCGAGTGCTTACGGGACGAATCACGCCAAGATCGCCGTGCAGGGCTTCAGTGGGATGAAGAAAAGTACTGTATATCCCTAAGCTGTTCATAGTGGCCTCTAGTTTTTGAGCAATCTTCCCACTCTTCCCCACTCCACAGCAGACAAGCTTGCCTCCATTATGGATGGTCTGAGCAATCTGGTTGACTGCGCGGGCCAGGTGTTCCTGCGCAAGTTGATCCGTTTGATAGAGGCGCTCGAGGTGTGCAAGGGCTGCGCGCTCTGTGGAAATGACATGAATAGCAGTACCCACGGAGGAATTATCCTTATTTAGTGACATTGAAGGTTCCGTTGGATCAGGAGGGGTCATCGGGAGAAGGGCAAAGTCATCCTGGATGGATGCGCTTGAGCTTGAAGAAAGCATGGCGGGCGATAGTGGAAATTCGTGTTGCTGGTTGCGATGTCCCATGGTGCAGGTTTCATTCTCCAAAACCAAGTCACAAGAAGACCATGTCTTCCCCCAGGAGAGACAGAACTAGAATAAGAGAATGAGGGAAGAATGTCAGAGGGGAGGAGAAAGGTCCAAGAATGAGGAGGAGGGAGGAGGGGCAGGGCCTCCAAGGGGGGCGGGGGAGGATTTTGAGATATGGGAAGTGGAGAGGAAATCGGCGGAACTGATAGCGAGAACGGAATGGGAGATGTCGGGGATAAAGAAAAAAAAAAAAAAAAAAAAAGAGAGAGAGACAGTGATAATAATAGAGTGTTTTATCAATCCGTTGGAGAATAATTAATAATATTCCTTCATATAAGAAATGAAGCCAGAATTAATTGGGCTGCCGGTGGTTCAAATCGCATCATCGGCGCCACGGATGATACATACTAGAGTCGATCTTCTCCTCCTCAGCTCCCAATGTCCGCTTGGCAATAAACGGATACTTAGAACTTACGCTGTCTTAGAACTCGGAATGGAAATAAAGTCAGAGATCTTACTAGGCAATAATCAATACTAATATACATGGGTCGTCTAAAAATCCCTAGTAGTACATATTGGTCGCTAAAAATAAACATCCGCCTCGAGGGCAAATCAGACCTTAGACAGTGGTTTGATTCCCTTGTGGATGGCGGCGATCCCTCCCGTCAGATTCTCGTAACCTCGACCGGGGATTGTAAACCCAGCTTTCTGAATCATTCCCCTCCATTCCTCCTGGCTGGGAAACTTCTCAATGCTCTCAACTAGGTACTGATAGCTCTCTCGATCTCCAGCCACCAACTGTCCGATCAGGGGAATTGCACTGAAGCTCCACTGCTTGTAGACTGTATTGAACAATGCGTTGTCCACCTTACTAAATTCCATGCACGCAAATACACCGCCGGGCTTCAACACACGATATGCCTCTAGTAGGGCCGCTTGCTTGTCTGTGAAGTTGCGAATTCCAAAAACCACCGTGTACAGATCCACAGAGTTATCTGGGATCAAGGGCATGTGCTCCGCGTTGCCCTCCATGAATGATAGTCGATCTGTGCCGTAATAGGGCGTCTCAATGCTGCGCTTCTTGCCTTCCGCCAGCATATCCGGGTTGATATCAGCAATTGTAACCCTGGTTTCATTATCATGGTTAATATTTGTCGCGTGGTCCAACATGCGGAACGCGATGTCGCCTGTTCCCCCTGCAATATCGAGGATGTTCCAGCCTCGTCCGGCCAAGTCGCCTTCACGAGAAGGGAGTGCAGATCCTGGGTTTAATGAGCGCACAAAGTGGTCTTTCCACAGACGATGGACTCCAAGCGACATAAGGTCGTTCATAGTATCGTAGGATGAGGCAACCGAGCTGAACACTGCGCCGACTGTAAAAATGCGATGATGGCCAGTTAGCTAAAAAAATAAAAATAAAAAAATTCTTGAGGCTATCATATCAAACTAACCCATTGATTCCTTTTTCGATTCAGGCACATTTGTAAAGCCGAAATGGGTCATTCGTTCAGGGTCAGACTTGGAGTCGGCCTGTACTCGGGAGCAAGAAAAGCAACGATACGGGGTGTCTGTGGAGACAAGGCGGCGCCTTGTAGTGAACTGCAAACCCCTCCATAGCGACCGGGACGACATGATAGGCTTCTGAATGGATTGAGCCTGTGGGAAGAAGATGGAAGGTGGACAAGGGAGGGTGGATGGAAGACTGAATGCAGGTGAGTCCGGCCGACGGACGATCTGCAAATAAAATTGTTTGTGGCCTCAGGCACCGACAGCTCATATCCACCCACCTGCGGAAGTTGCAAGCATTGTCTACTCCGTACTACAACAACGTGGGATGATGACTGCAGCGTTTAGTATCTCTCCAAGGATGATTGTGAGTTTCCTAAAGAATGTATCAAGTACGAGTTTATATTGATGTGTTTCTCAATATGTGGATTCCAACCGCATACGACTTCTTGGATTTTGTTATATTCTCGACAGTATTTGCTAACCACAAACTAGTGTATACACCTTAAAAGTCGATCCAGCTGGCGCATGTCTCAGCCTCTTCCAGCCTTTTTCAGTGCTGATTGGAGTTGACTCAGACCCGAATGCCAGAATATCGACTGCGTGATCCGCACTTGAGGCGAACCCCTACAGATATAACCAACCTTGGCAGGCTGACCAGCGGCGCTTCTCGTTGTAGCGGTTCGGGATATAACGACCAGCTACTTTGCAAGCCACTATCAGTCATCCCTGAAGCCCCTACTCAACTGTTGATGCAAGAAGGCTGCGACACAGTCACGCTTTGTTTATTGATGGACATGCCTTTTCCCCTTTGCAGCCCGGTTCCGCGCAAGCCGCCGATTCTCTCCAACTCGTTCAAAGAGCCTGGATCATGGCCCTGGTGGGTGGGATGTGCACAGTGACGTATTATCCTGATGATATCTGTTTATAAGGCCTGTTTTACACCCTTAGTCCTTGGGGTCGATCTTGATTACCAAAGATGCTCGTTGAAGTAACCTGATCTCACGATGCATTTTCGAGCAAAAACCACAGGAGTTGTCCTAGCATCCAGCCTCACCACAATAGCGGGGCATTGCGTTCGAGCTTTGAGTGGTGAAACTTGGACTCTTAGCAGTGCAGCTCTGAATACGACCGTCCCCGCTTCCTTTCCATCACACGCGCATTTGGATCTGTTCAAGGCAGGAGTAATAGGCAAGTGCTATATTTCCTTCTAGATCATCGAGTTTATTCACTAACAGCTACGATAGATGATCCGTAAGTGGCTAGATTCAATCAATTGATGTCTTTTTTTTTTTCTCACATTCTCCAAGTTATCATGGTCTCAATGATTTCAAGCTGCGCTGGATAGCAGATGCAAACTGGACTTATACAAGTGGCCCAATCTCAGATTTGTATGTAATATTTCCAGAGTGCTACGCGGACTAAGAACAGAAATCGGCCTAACATCCAATAGATTGAATGAATATGAATCCACCTGGCTTGTGTTTGACGGCCTCGACACATTCGCGGCTGTCACGTTTTGTGACGAATTTATCGCCTCTACAGACAACCAATTCCGCCAGTATGCCTTTGATATTTCGTCCTCGTTGAGAAATTGTAAGGGAGATCCGGTATTGAGCATAAATTTTGGAAGTGCACCGAATATTGTGAATGCAATTGCCGAAGACCCCAAATCAGAAAGTTTGTGCCCAAAGAACCTACCCGGTTGCTCTTGAGTTCGCATTAAGGCTGATGCATTTATAGAATGGCCTATCCAACTCATCAATGAATACCCAAACCGCTGGTTCATGCGTAAAGAGCAGTCCGATTTTGGTTGGGATTGGGGTCCTGCATTTGCCCCAGCTGGCCCCTGGAAACCGGGCCACATTGTCCAGTTTGAAGAGACGGGAAATATTCACATCGTGAATACAGACTTAGATATATATCGAAAGGGTCAAATAAACCATCTTCCAGCTAGTCAGAGCCAGCCTTGGGTTATCAATGCAAGTATTGACTTCATAGGCAGTCTTCCAGCCCAGGCATCCCTTTTTATTGAGATTACGAATCTCAAATCCAGCGAAGTGCTTACGGCACGGCCATTGGACAATATTACCGTATCGAATGGCTCTATACAAGGTGTGACAGTTCTCAGCGGGCTTCGTCCTGAAATTTGGTGGCCTTCGGGATTAGGGGACCAGAATTTGTACAACATTTCAATAATGGTCAATGACAGCCACGGCCAAATATTAGGATGTGTTACAAAGCGGACTGGCTTCCGCACAATTTTCCTAAACCAACGGAATATTACCATAGAACAATTGTCTCAAGGGGTTGCTCCCGGTGCGAATTGGCATTTCGAAGTTAATGGAAAAGAATTCTATGCGAAGGGCTCCAATTTCATTCCGCCGGATGCATTTTGGCCCCGGGTCAGTCAAGCGAAGATGACTCGATTGTTCGATGCCGTGGTAGCTGGAAACCAGAACATTCTTCGAATCTGGTCATCTGGGGCGTATCTCCCGGATTTTATGTATGACTTGGCAGACGAAAGAGGGATTCTCTTGTGGAGTGAATTCCAATTTAGTGATGCGATGTATCCGGTCAATGACGAGTTCCTGGAAAATATTGCTGCAGAAGTCGTCTACAATGTACGACGTGTGAACCACCACCCGTCCCTTGCATTATGGGCCGGAGGGAACGAGATTGAGATTTTAATGCTTCCACTTACATTCGCGCTTGACCCAACTGGCTTTCCTAAGTACCTCGAGGAATACGAAAAACTATACATTAGCCTCATCTTACCTCTGGTGTATGAAAATACTCACTCAATCTCGTACACCCCGAGCAGCACAACGGAAGGGTATATCGACGTCGATATTTCCGCGCCAGTGCCAATGACAGAGAGGTACGGCAATCTTGAGCCTGGGTCATACTATGGAGATACGGATTATTACGAATACAACACAAAAGTCTCCTTTGATTATTGGCTTTACCCTGTGGGTCGCTTTGCCAACGAATTTGGATTTCATAGCATGCCTAGCCTGCAAACTTGGCAGCAGGCCATCGACCCAGAAGACCTAAGCTTCAATAGCACGGTGGTAATGCTTCGAAACCATCACTACCCCCCTGGAGGATTGAGCACAGATAACTTTCAAAATACAGCACTTGGCATGGGTGAAATGACCCTCGGTGTGGAACGTTACTATCCGATCCCGGCGAAATCGGATCCTGTGGCCAATTTTAGCGCTTGGTGTCATGCAACACAGCTTTTTCAAGCGGATGTGTACAAATCTCAAATACAATTTTACCGCCGAGGTAGTGGGATGCCCGAACGACAGCTAGGATCGCTGTACTGGCAGCTGGAAGATATCTGGCAAGCCCCTACTTGGGCTGGCATCGAGTATGATGGGCGATGGAAGGTCCTACACTATGTTTCTCGTGATATCTACCAGCCGATTATTGTGTCTCCTTTTTGGAACTACGTGTCAGGAGATTTCGAGATATACGTCACGTCTGATCTGTGGGAGTCAGCAAACGGGACTGTGAAACTAACCTGGTTTGATCTTTCTGGTCATCCTATCGCCCATAATGCTGGCACGCCGACATCTATCTCTTTTGATGTTGGTGCTATTAATACGACTAAGATCTACAGCGCCAATGTCAAGCGCCTGGGATTGGCAAGCGTAACGGATTCAATCCTTATGCTTTCACTTCGTGCTGATGGCCGTCCTCCCAACGCTGCCAATTTGACCGCCGTATTTACTCATGACAATCACTTTACCCCAGCATTTCCAAAGGATCTGGCTCTAGTCGATCCTCAACTAGAAGTCATGTACAATGATCTGACGGACAAATTTGTGGTAGAAGCCAAATCCGGTGTCTCTCTTTACACATGGCTAGATTACCCTGCAGGACTGGTAGGATATTTTGAGGAGAATGCTTTTGTGCTTCATCCTGGCCAGAAGAAAGAAATTGGCTTTATAACACAGGAAAATAGCACGGATAGCAAGTGGCAACAAAAAGTCACTGTGAGCAGCCTCTGGGACCAGAAAGTCAGGGATTAGATGCTGTATTCTGAATGGACGCTGTTTCTTACCCTAATGGTTTGATAGTGGCTATAACAGCAGCTACTTGACATACTTGTCTTTACTTTAGTCCAGAGTTGATTCTTACAGACTGTTGTTTGTGATACTTGAAAAGGGTCTACAGACTTCCCCAGATTTTACCCCACAATCTGCCAACCAGACTAGCCCATGAATGAAGGAAAAAAAAAACAGAATTATTCCTTGCCCCATCCTCATTAAAATACTCAAGATAGACATCGACATCTCTTCAACTTCCAGAATTCCCTTGTTCAGAAAAAGGTGGGATGTTGGAGAGAAATAATCCAAGCAAGTATATCTCGGCTACATGCGGGGGTCAGCATGACGTCGATCCGAAGCCAACCGCCTCCTCCGCATTCCTTCAAAAGAGAGAAAAGACACTGGAGAGAAGAACATCGTCCTACTTTATGTTTAGTCCCGTCTCTTCATATTCCAATGATGTTGTCGCTGTTTTCGCGTCGCATGTCTCGCGTCTCGCAGTCCCTACCCCGATTTACAACCACGCAGCGATGGAGTAGTTCCATCTCCCAACGCCCAGGGTCAGACCGGTAAGCAAGGACCTGCTCGGATGTGCTGGTGAAGTTCTTCATCCGGCGTTCAGTTCTGATCAGGAATTGTATAGAGTCCGATTCCCTGGTGCCGTGAACAGTAAATTCACCACAGATATGAGCTTCGTCAACCCTTCCAACACCCCTAGCATTCCAACCTACCGAGTAATGGATTCCGATGGTGTGCTTGTCGATAAGAGCAGGAAACCGCCCAATGTCTCCAACGAGCAGGTCCTGACGTGGTACAAGAATATGTTGACCGGTAGGTGGGGGAAAGAGCAAATAAGCAAATAAAAGCCCTGGTTTTAGGTGCTGTTGTTCTGACTGGAGCAATACAGTGAGCATCATGGATGTCATCATGTTCGAGGCACAGAGACAGGGTCGACTAAGTTTCTACATGGTACATACATTCTCAGACAAAAGTCTTTGGAAATAATGTACTAACATCAACACAGGTATCGGCTGGAGAAGAAGGAATTAGTGTTGGCTCAGCGGCCGCACTGACACCTGACGACGTTGTATTCGCACAGTATCGCGAAACCGGTGTCTTCCAGCAACGGGGATTCACTCTCAAAAACTTCATGAACCAACTCTTTTCTAACCGACACGACAGCGGCCGTGGACGCAATATGCCTGTTCACTACGGATGCAACTACCCTCGTACCGTGCGTCCCTACCCCCCCTAGCTAATACTTTGAAAAAAAAAAAAAAAAGCAAAAACATACACACAGTAGTAACTCATAAAACCAGCATACCATCTCTTCCCCCCTGGCAACTCAAATCCCACAGGCATCCGGAGCAGCTTACGCCCTCAAACTCCAAGCGCTCCAAAACCCAGACACGCCGCCACGCATCGTAGCCTGCTACTTCGGCGAAGGAGCCGCAAGCGAAGGCGACTTCCACGCCGGGCTCAACATCGCCGCAACCAGATCTGCGCCTGTAGTCTTCATCTGCCGGAACAACGGCTTCGCAATCTCCACCCCGACACTCGAGCAATACCGCGGCGATGGAATTGCCAGCCGCGGGGTCGGATACGGCATCGACACCATCCGCGTTGACGGGAACGACATCTTCGCAGTCTACGAAGCCATGCAAGAAGCACGAGAAATCGCCCTCTCCGATGGCGGCCGGCCCGTCCTCATCGAGGCAATGAGCTACCGTGTTTCGCACCACAGCACCAGCGACGACAGCTTCGCGTACCGTGCGCGAGTCGAAGTCGAAGACTGGAAACGCCGAGACAACCCTATTATCCGACTTCGAAAGTGGCTGGAGAACGAGGGGCTGTGGAACGAAGACATGGAGCGCGAGACACGCGAGCAGCTACGAAAAGAGGTCCTGAAGGAGTTTGGCGATGCCGAACGGGAGAAGAAGCCCCGTATCCGTAGTGCGTTCGAGGATGTTTACGAGGAGCTGACCGAGGAGACGCAGGCGCAGATGAAGGAGCTGAAACGGATGCTGCAGACTTATCCGGATGAATACGACCTGCGAGAATACCAAGATGGGATAAATGGGCTGTAGAAGAACCGCGAGGTTGGGTTGCAATAAGCTTCAAGATATATATATATATATATAGTTATTATTATAACACATTATGTATTTTTTTTAACGTTCACTAGTATGGATGTGCATGCAGTACGTACTTGAGCTAGAAAAGGAGTTGAAGCATCCTTCTCTGCGTGTTCAGCGGCTGACTGACTCTGTTATCCTACGAGGATTAAGTGCCGAAAAACTACATTTTCTGAATAATCTATATAAAATGGACTGACAGTAGCACTGGTGGCAGTAAAGGAAGCCCTGAGAGTACGGAGTACGTTACTTTATATACTCTTGAAAGCTAAGACAACCCACAAAAAAGCTCTACAGAGGTGACGCGGCGTGGTGAGATCAGTACTCGAGGATATTTCCAAGGGATTACTGTGAAGAAAAGTTTGATGCTTTAATCGAATAACAAATACGATCATCGTGAAGAAGGCAAATCCTAAAACTCATAAGACGGTGATCAAGAGAGAGATTCATTTTACTCGGAATTTGCATGGAGGACTGGATGCTGGAAACCAGAAGAGACTTGTCATAACGCAAAATATCTTTGTTCGTCCACTGGATGTTCAAATATTAACATTATTCCATAGCACACGCTGTAAGAACATACAAATACATAATGTTTCATAATACACAGATCACTCAATATTTAATCGAGAGTGGTCAAGGGAAAAAAAAGTAAATATGCAGCGGTGACAAACAACTTAGGTTGCAAGGGCCTGTTGAGCAAGTTTCTTGTTTCTCTTCACCAATGCACTGAGCTTTTTGTCAATAGCATCGAGTTCTTTGCGAGATACCTCGAGTTCCTTCTGGGACTTGATTGTGAACGAGCGCAACTCATCATCTGTCATACCAACGACATCATCCAGATCGGGCATATTGCCCATGACGACACCGGCAGCTCCTAACATGTGTTTGGCAGTAGCTGCGGCAAATGATCGAACCGAAGTAGCTGTCGCATTCACCAGTTCTGCAGTATTGGCAATGGCCCAGTTGTGGCTTCGGGTACTATCTGCCTCCATCGCCGAGAGAACATTTGGGGGGGCGGGACCTCCAGAAGAGGTGGAGGAGTCAGAAGTTGGTAAGCCGGTAGTTGGGGATGTAGACGAGATGCCTGCTGATGTCTCATCAACCCAGCAAATATTAAAGTTCTCTGGAGTGGCAAAGAGGGCATCGAGATCCCCACCGCGATTGGTGACATCTGGTTCGGTGACTGGGACAGCCGGATACTCTTGAAAGGACTCCATCGCCCATGATATGCCTTTTTCGAGAGCCAGATACCGATTTTCTTCATCGGGGGACAAGTGCCGAAGAATAGACCCACGCGGACTGATAAGGCATCGGCTTTTGAGCAGAGTAGAGTCGGAGTTGATTCGAATGGATTCGCCTCGCAGCAGAGTTTTCCGATGCTGCTCAGTGAGCTCAATGGGTTGCTTCAGACTTTCGTAATCGCCAGATGTGCACTTCATATCGAAGCGCTGGTTCAAATTGGATGGGTTGAACAAGGGGTGATGGTTGAGGTCCAAGTCCCCTGATTTATGAAGCTGGGCAAGTAGCATCTGAAGAGGGGAGGTACGTTCAGAGAACAGCTCTTTGATTGAGACATTGCTGGACTCCGCGTCTTTCATCAGCTGCTCAACAGTATTTTTCGAGCGCCACGCTTCGGGAGCATGTTTCTCATCAGTAGATGTCTTCACCTCCGCAGGTGCTGGTTGTGGGTCTTTCGCAGGAGCCGTTTCAATGGGTTGGGATCTTTTGCTTGGTTCAGTTCGATGATCAACCTTCTCACTTATGTCATTTATACCAACACCAGAAGGCTTGCTAACACTAGAGTTAGCTTGCAAAGCTAGTGGTGGTGGTGGTGGTGGTGGTGTTTCAGACGCTGTTGCTGGAGCTTTCTTCGCCTTTCGCTTTCGGCCAACAATGGGGGCTTGGACAGGCTCCTCCGCAACCACTGTAGCTGCCTCGTGCTTTTTGGCTTCCGCTTCCTTTGCCTTTTGTCGCCGCTCCTTCTTGGCTTGGCTCTTGGTGATAGCACGGACTGGTGCGGAGCCAATCCGTGAAGAGGCAGGAGGCGAATTGGCGCGAGACGCGGAAGTTGAGGTGTAAAGATCTGCTTCAGATCCAAAATCACCAGGAGTATCAGGTCGGCTCTGTGATGAAATACTCGGTCGTCTGGAACGGACTTTATTTGTTATGGGCAATGACACGACTGAGTGGGTTGCAGATGTAGAAGGTGGTGTTTCGGGTTTGGGGGTATCCACAACACGAAGAACACGAGGTTGACGAGGGGCAGGAGATTCTGAAAAACGTGAGATTCCGGTTAATGGCGTGTTGGGACGAGATCCTAAATTGGAAGCAGGAACAGGGGCCTGAACAGACGCCGTCTGCGCGCTTGGCTCAACCTTCGACGAAAGCTCCGGAAATTGGGTAGCGTGAAGGCTAAGGTCCAATTTCATGGGCTTTGATTTCGTGAGGGCTGCTGGTTCCTTTCCCTCACTGACTGCAGTTTTCTGGAGACTTCCTTTCTTTTCGATCGCGGCTGGCTCTCCTTTAGGTTGGGTACGAGCTTTATTAGCAGACTTTGGTACGGGGGAGCCCAAAGATATCTGTGCAACATTCTTAGCGCGGTTGGACGATGGTGCAGGTTCCTGTTCATCATCTGATCCTGGGGAAAGGCGCCCTGAAAAATCACCCTTCAAAGCCTGAGGCTGGGTGCCAATTGAAGGGAAAAGGGCACCGAGACCAGGGGGTGGGCCTGTAAAAGAGGACACCGGGCTAGAAGGGTTTAACGGACTATGCAACAACGAGGCAGAATGGGAATGTGGAAGAGGCAGCCCTGGTGGAAGAGTTGGTGTTCCAGACCGTGCTGAGCTCTGTAGATCACTGGGTAGCTGAGATCGAAGGAGAGACCCAAAGGCATCCGTGGGACGTTTGTCCTTTTGTATAGCACCTAAAGGAGGAAAGTCTTCGTCGACTAAACGTTACTCATTAGCACATTGACGGTCACGTAATGGGTGATGACGTTCGAGAAGGGCAAAGCGATGAAACAGAGCATAGCAAAAGAAAAGAAAAGAAAACGAAGCAACGGAAATCCGAAACAGGAAGATACGCCAATAATCCTCAGAACAAAGAGTTGCAGGAAGATACGAAGAATGGGCCCAGTAATTACAGAAAGGGCCCGGTCGAAGGGGCTGGACACAGGAATGATGATGTCTATATGAACAATATTTGTGAGAATTGGTTTCATATAGAGGACCTTGCTTCTGTTTATCGAAGCTAGGGCAGGGAGGTTAACGTACATAAAGCCATGATCAGACCGATTAGGCCACCAAGACGCTGATAGCTCAACCCAGCTTGGATGCAAAAAGAACAGAAAGAGAAGACAGCCACCGAATAGAAGTAGGCTAAGACACGATGTGCCCAGAATATGCAACGAGGCCTCTCATCCTCAGGGACGTTAGAGGAAGGGGGTAATAACGAAAAAGAGGGTCAAAACGACAAAAAAAAAAAAAAAAAAAAAAAAGAAAAAAAAGACAAATAAAACGATCCATAAACACAAACGCCTAAGGCACGCCTCGCCCAAGTCTCTTGTTCTTTTCACAGCCGTTGCTAAATGCTTCATTGCAGAGGGGGAAAACGTGGAAAAGTTTCCACATCGAATTAAGTCCGGAGCAGAAGGAGATTCATATCCCACACCCATCTAGAAAAAAAAAAAAAAATATGATATCATGTCGTAACAGAAACAAAATAATATAAAGGGGGGGGGGGCATGATAGCGAAGAATGCAAAAACGAAATGCAAAAGGGTAGTCATCATAACAACAGAGAAGAATAGAAGAATAGAAGAAAAAAAGAAACAAGACCCGAGGCGGAAAGAGAAGGGAAGAAATGAAATCACCAGCGGTTAGGTCCACCGCCATACATCATAGTGTACCCACCTTGACCCTGACTCCCATACAATCCTTGACCAGCAACAGCATTCGCACCGACCTGGTGCATCCTCGCCTGCAGGATACTCGGGTCCGCAAGATCTACTACACCGCCTCCACCGGAGGAAGTGTTAGCATGTCTGTGCTTCTTCCCCTTCTTCTTCTGCTTCTGTGACCCAGATTCGGAGATTATCCCCGCCTGAGGGCCATAGAAAGAGCTGAGAAGGCCATTGACGGGAGTCAGGGGAGGGGGGGTTTGGTGTTGGGCTAGGAAAGGAAACATTAACTCACGCTTAGAATCTTGTCCCAGTAAACCACTCGCGGTCGTACCACTGCGGCCGCGCAGCAGCTCGCGCATCAATTCTGGGTTGGCGTCCTGTTTCCCAACACCGCCACCTAACCCGAGACTGGCATTGGTTGTGAATCCATGACCTTGTGCGAACATGCCTCCTCCACTGATGGGTGGAGTACCTGCCGTCTTCAAGCCGGGAGGTGGGCCTTGAACTCCGCTAGTATAGAAGTTACCAGCTAGGCTGTGCTGGGGACTAGGCGCAGTAAGTGGATTAGGTGTACCAGACTGCATCAAGGATGCTTGCTGATTGAGGAGTCGGGAGGTTGGAAAGTTCTTCGCGTTGGCTTCATTCGCAAATGAGAACCGAGAGTTTTGGCGATTTTGAGCCTGCAAAGCGTTAATCTGCTGGGCAACCTGACTTTGCAAGAGGCCTTGTCGAACTTGGGCGGCTTGATCGAAAGCAATGGAGCCAATTCCAGATTGTAGAGGATCCACCAAGGCAGCTTGAGGATTGCTAGCAGATTTTAGAAGCATCAACTGCTGTTGTTGAAGCGGGGTTAAACTACGGTTGTTCAAGTTAATCCCTTGGAATTGGTGGCTTGCAGCAGAGACGGGGGATCCGACAGCAGAACTAGGCGTTGTACCCTGCTGCGAGGGGGGTTGGATAGCACCGTGAGACTCGCGGCTGCTGCGACCTCTTGGGGGATGTGCATCATCTGGTTCACCACCGAGTTGAAGACTTCCGCTTTCACGACCTTCTTCTTCTGCTGCAGCAGATTGAAGAAGTTCCTGTTCCCTCTTTGCACGCTCTTGTTCGGCTCTCTCACGCATGGCCCGTCGCTTAACCCCACCATATGGATCAATGAACGAGGGGTGGTTCTCGATAAGAGCAACCTCTTCTGCTGGCAGGCCGGCCGCCGAGAAGACGAACTTGAAGCATGGGGAATTTACAGCCTTCACAAGACCATCCAATAGAGGCGTCTCCAGCTCTATCTGGGGGGGGGGTTGCATGCTGGGGGGTGTATGAGGCGTCGAAGAGTGTACTTCTGGTAACGAAGGGGTCTGAAGACGTTCCTGCTGAGGTGGTGGTTGTCTGTCAGCTCGTTTGGGTTCATCGGAAGACGAGACAACTGTTGCCAGAGCGGCACGTGGGCTTTGGGAGGCCTGGCTGCCCGTAAGACTAGTACGCCGTGTCCTGCTGATCGCTGTGTCCTTATTTGCCCAGCTTGCAGAGGAGGGCAAAGCAGACCCATCAGAAGGACGACTGCTAGTAGCATCATCCTTGCTTGGTTGACGACGTAAGGGTTGAGATATGGGCTGCGCTGAGGATCGCGCAATGTGCGGGGTTACGGCGGGGCTGGTGGCAATTCCATTCGGACGCTGGCTGGACATGGTGTTCATTGACGAAAGATCCTGACGGCTGTAGCTATCGCTGTCCTCGCCGGTTTCATGCAAGAAGGTACAGTTCCTGTTATGGCACTGTTCGTTCCGCAAGAAGGATGAGCAGTATTTGGTTGTGCCGTATTGGGCCCTAGGTTTGGTTAGCACTTTTCGTCTAATGGTGGGGAATTTAAGAGGACTGGTATAATGAAACTTACCTCAGGATTCGATCACCATTCACGGAACCATCCACCGCGTTGATACATGTCGCGGCATCAACCTTTTTGGCATACGTCACATAGACACCAATTCCCTGATTAGGGTTGCCACCAGGCTTCGCTTTACTAACGACAATTTTTTCAATGTCTCCATACTGCCCGAAGTAATCTTTGCCACGTAGGGTCTGGAGGAGTTGGCTTTCGTCACGTATTGTGGGATTTAGACCGATCACGTAGACAAGGTTTTTCTGTACAACACGGACCCCAGCCAAATTCTTTCGACTTGAAGCTTCGATTTCGCGTTTTTCTGCCTCTTTCTTCTTCGCGGCGGCGGCTTTGCGATGTTTCAGTGCCAGATCCGCTTTAAACCTAGATTGCGGGATGGGATGTTAGCGCCAAGAACGCCAGCAAAATGGGGGAATAGGATTTCAGGAACACGTACTCATCCGCATCAGGCACCTTGTACTGAATGGTACTGTCATCGTAAACCCGTCTGCAATTAGGGCATCGGCCTTCTTCGCTATGGGTTTTGATGTTGTTGTAGCAAAATTGACAAATCTACATTCCCTTTTTGTTAGATAAATCCGGAATCGCCCTCTCCGAGTCGCTTCAAGTGATCGAGTATTGGGGGGGGGAGGGGGCGGTCTCGAGGGAGTAAAGGGGCAAGCCACGTACCTGATACCCACAAGGACAAGGCTTGAAGTTTTTATCCGACAGATCGAACTCTTCGATACAGAGGGGGCTGCGGGAGATGGAGGTGTCAGTGAATCGCACCAACGTTAAGTGGTCTTCGAAGTGAAGTAAAATCACACATACCAAAACTCATCGTCATCGTCGATGACGGAGTCAATCTGTTGACGATTGGACATGATTCCCAGAGTATTTATGAATAGAGAGAGGAAGAAAAGAAGTAGGTGAAGTCAAACACAAACACCCATCAACCAAGCCAGCGGAAGGGGCAGAGCGAGCAGACGAACACCCAGAAAGGAGCGGAATAGAAAGTCCACGAAGAAAAACCACACGGTCGATAGGAGGACAGGAGGAAGTCGATGTAAGATCGACGATGTGGGCGGGGGAGAGCAGAGGAAGGACACAGGGAGGAGGAGCGAATGCGTTGGAGGCGAAGAGACTGAGAATCAAACTTGAAGCTTTGCGCTGTTGGGTTGGGTTTGCACCGGTTTGTCTGGTTTGCATGTTTGCGCATTATGTCATCAGCCACGTGATATCGGTCACGTGTAGTCCCCGGCAAAAGCTCCCGTGGACGATTATAGCGACAACCTCTCGTCCTGCCCGCCGTCTCCTTCCACCCTTCAATTGCCCTCCCCGTCTGCTCCGCAATTGCTGCACTCACCATGGCCTCTGCTCGCTCCTTGATGCGGCTAGGCACTGGCCGCTCGCTGGCGTCAGTTGCCCGGACCTCCCGCAATTGCCGACCCTTCTCTTCCACCCCTCTGCAGTATGCCGCGAAGGCGTCGACAAGTACCACGGAGCCTCCCAACATGCGCCAGGCTGAGCGTCCTCGTACGTCTATCGAGGTCTATGCAATGGACCAGACCGGACTTTGGAGTGTGTTTTTGATGAATTGACTGACTGACTGGGTTTCTTTGTAGCCGAGGGTGCCCTCCGTGCTCCCATCGTCAACCCTGCCGATAAATACCAGGACAAAGCCGAAGGTCTGCACACCTACGGCCAGTATATCATGTCCTGCCTTCCCAAATATGTTCAGCAATTCTCCGTGTGGAAGGATGAGCTTTGCATCTACGTTCCCCCCTCCGGTGTCATTCCCGTGATGAGCTTCCTGAAGTACCACACCGCTGCCGAATTCACGCAAATCTCCGATATCACTGCAGTCGACTATCCTACGCGGGACCAACGTTTCGAGGTCGTTTACAACATGCTTAGTGTCCGCTACAACTCCCGTATCAGGGTTAAGACCTACGCCGATGAGGCTAGCCCCGTTCCCAGTGTGACCGGTCTGTTCGAGGGAGCTCTGTGGTACGAGCGGGAGGTGTATGATATGTTTGGTGTGTTTTTCTCGGGCCACCCCGATCTCCGCCGTATCATGACCGATTACGGTTTCGACGGCCACCCGCTCCGCAAGGACTTCCCCTTGACCGGTTACACCGAACTACGATATGACGAGGAGAAGAAGCGCATTGTCATTGAGCCTCTGGAGCTTACCCAGGCCTTCCGAAACTTCGAAGGAGGAACTACTTCCTGGGAGCCTGTTGGCAGTGGTGACGATAGGACCCCCGAGTCGGTATGTTATCTCTCCTCGGATCCGAGTATTGAGGAAAAGCGCTGACTGACCGGAATAGTTCAAACTGCCGACCCCCAAGCCTGAGCCGAAGGAGGAGGAAAAGAAATAGAAATCTCATGTACCCGTTATTCTCTTTTTTTATGCTTTCCTGGTTCTGTATGTACATACCGCCGTGTCTAGGTTAGATGGAATCTATCCGGTTGCTCTTCGTACACCTCTCCGAACTTGGATATATACCACAACTTACATCATGGTATACCATAGTAGTGAATAAACCAGGTTAAACGCACTGTATCCATAATCATCACCATAAGAGACGGATTACTTAAGTGTGAGAAATACGAATCAAAACACCTGGTTAGATATACCTGAAATTCTTGGCACGCGCAAAACGTCCCGAAGGGAAAAAAAAAAAAAAAAAAAAAAAAAAAAACCATCTCCGCCGATCCATCATCCACTCACTCACTCACTCACTCACTCCACCTTCCAGCTCCAACGTTTCCCTTCGTTTCTCGAACCCGAAAGAAATACCCCCAAGGCCTCCAAAATAAACAAGGCTCAAAATGCCCAAGCGGAAACTATCAGACCTTGCCGACCGCCCAGCATCGCGCTCGTCACCATCCCCGCAAGACGCCGCGCTCTATCTCCAGACTACCCGGTTAACCCAGAAATTCGAGTTCGGGGTGATTGCGCTCTCACGGGCACTCAAGAATGCCCGTGTATTCGAAAGACAGAAACTCGGTCGGAGGGAAAAGGCAGCCAAGAGCGAAGGGAAAGAAGAGACGTTGAAGCGCATAGAGGAGGAGATTAAGGTGGTGAAGGTTTGTTGCTTTTTTTTTTTTTTTTTACTTTTCTCCCCTATGTATTCTTTTTGGGGGATTGAATGTTACGGGAATTGCTAGGGATCAGGAAAAGCTTTCGTTACTGACCGAGCCGGACGGTTGTCACTGGACTAGACTCTCGATCCTACCGCCACCGCGGTAAAATATCTGTTCAAGCAGCTTGCGAAAACAAAGCGGATTGCTGAGGCGCCTGCGTTTGTGAAGTTTCAGGAAGGGAAGAGAATATCCGTCGAGGGTCCGCGGAGTACAGCGGAAGCCAACGTTACGGCACGACTGTATAAATCCAACCCGGTGCAAAATGTCTTCCCTGGGGTCATGGATGGGATCCGAAGTCTACTGGGAGTGGAAGCACCGTCAACGAGCAACGGCCAGGACGTGAAGAAAAAGACCAAGGACTCGAAAAAGGGCAATGCAAAGAGTGAAAAGCCCGTGCCTCAGCGGAAAGCCCCCAGCAACAAGTCGGATGAGGAACTCGAGCCCGAAGCGGAACCCGAACACGCAGCAGACCTGGCTAGACACGACGTCGACATGGATGATTTGGAGAGTATGGGTGATGGAGAAGAAGACTATGCACAGTTCGATGCTCGACTGGCCTCGGATTCTGAAGACGACGACGATGACAACAACGACAACAACAACCACTCAGACAGCAGTATAGCTCTCGCCGCCAACTCGAACGCCCGTCCTCGCCGCTCGATGTCCATCTCTCTCTCCCCTTCACCTGAACTCTCGGACTCGCCACCCTCCAAAAAACAAAAGTCTAAACCCAGCGCCCAGAAAGCATCTTCCGCGCCAGCCACAAGCACAACCTTCCTCCCATCGCTCACGATGGGCGGGTATTGGTCCGGTTCCGAGTCCGAAGCAGAAGACATCGACCACGTGGAGAAACCAGCGCAGCGTAAGAACCGAATGGGCCAGCAGGCGCGCCGTGCACTCTGGGAGAAGAAGTACGGGTCTGGGGCAAACCACCTGAAACAGCAGAAAACCAAGGGCAGGAATAGCCGAGATAACGGCTGGGATGCCCGCAAGGGAGCCACCGGCGATGGAGATAGAGGAAGAGGAAGAGGGGGGAGATTTGGCGCAGGGCGAGGAGGTCCCGTGGGCACAGGAAGCAACCTAGTCCAACGCAGAGACAATACACAGCGTGGTGGGTTTGGCGGTGCGGACAAGAAACCCCAGGATGACAAGCCATTGCATCCTTCATGGGAGGCAGCCCGGAAGGCCAAAGAGCAGAAATCCACGACTTCATTCTCAGGAAAGAAGGTTGTGTTTGACTAAGATAATTTTGCATTCTAAGTGAGGGTGGGAAAAAAAAAACAAAACAAACCTGGTGTATAAAGCGAATCGGATCCTATCATGATTATATATCTTATATCCCCATTCATTGCAAGTAATCCAAAAGATTAAATAGACAGTATCTAGGAGGTATGTATCTTCAGCTAGCTGGTTCACAAATATCCTCCTACATAATTCCCCAGTCAGTCCCGAAAATCGAAAAATGATATAAACACCGCTAATGCTAATGTCGACAGCTAAACATCACGCTATGGACGACAATCGTAAAATAATGTATTGTGATTTCCTGGCTAGTCAATGAGCAGAGCAATCTCTCACTCGCTCACTCACTCATAAACTGCATCCATCCTGTGTCCGGCTTTATATCCCCAGAAAGATTCTGCGGGTCAGCCTCGAAGCAAGGAATGGCGGTAAATTCACCAAGTTCCTGGGGCAGAGTCGACACAAATTGGTCGTAGCCGATATGCGGCATCTGTGATAATGTATGGGACATGAGGAAATCGGGAGATGTGGATGTATTTCCGTTCGGTAGAACTGTAGTTTCCATTTGATCGTGGCCATTAGAGGGGCCAGTTGTTGCTGTGGTTGTTGTTGTTGCTGCTGCGGTGGCGGCGGCGGCGGCGGATGTGAGGGAGACCGGTTGCATTCCATTTACACCAGGTGGGAATTGCTCTGGGAAAGTGTGCGTTTGCGGGGAGATGGGCCCTGTTTTCCATAGCATTTCCCAGTTTTTAAAACGGTCGTAGGCCGACTCAATAGATCCGGAGTGACCTGAAGCTTGCGACTCACTACACTCCTCGAGACGGGAAATCGCCCTTTCGAGTGCCTCAATCACGCTCACGGCAGACCTGGCCGATCCAACTCCCATCGACATGATCTTGATCAAGGCCATGCCCTTCTGCAAAGCTTCGCGAAGCCTCTCTGTGCGCTTTGTCAAGCTTTGGGCCAAGATTACCAACAGAGCAGCACGGCAAGAGCTGAACTCGGTGAAGGATGCGCGCGCAAGACCTGTCTCGTCACGGAGCAGACGGCAGATATCAACGATTTCGAGAGCAGCTTCGACGCAGTCCGTGACAAGAGTTGAGCGGTTTTTCGAGACACCCGATGGCGTCTTGAACGGTGAGCCTTGGAAGGTGGTGGGTAAAGAGAATCCCTTCATGGTACTAAACAGGAATGGCCGTCCAAGGAAGATTCTAGTCAGGCAATAATCTAGCTTTAGATGGACATTGGGTCGGAATAGGGGACCAGCTGGGTTGAGGTCTCGACAGACGGTTTCTTCAGGCAATGTAGTCCACCAGTCTACTAAATGCTTTCGCAAATTGAGAAATCTTTCAAGGCAATCCTGTTGCTGGCCTTTTCGAGATCTCCGGAGGACCGAGCTGGGTATTTTCGTCAGCAATGTTTTCGGGAAGGGAATTGACAGGTTACATACATTTCATTCACCACTTCCCCTAATTTCAGAGTCAATGTAATCAGTGCAACCATATTAGTATGGTTCGATACTTGCCCCGATGGCATCAATCCCGGGAAATCCACGGGCAAGGCAGCATCCACATCTGTCTCTGATAGAGAGACTGGCCGTCCATGGAGAATGCTAACACGCCTGGAATTAAAGTATTAGCAGGTAGTCCTGATCGGGGACAAATAGATCCTTACTTTTCGATGGTGTACGCCGTCCAGAATACTCTGTTCCGAACTTCAATGACATGAGCCGGAAGTCCCTCTCCGCAGTACTTCCGATGCATGCCATTCTGAATAGCCATCTTGAGAGCCAGACCCAAGTAGGTGTAGCAAAGACCGGAGGTGTCCAAGGGTAGTAGATATGTCCCGATCAACAGGCATGCCTGGACGCTCCGTATAGATGCTGCAGCAATGATATCTGGGACAAGTTTCGAAGCAAACTGGTAAAACGTAAGGCCAACCTCATCCTCTGAGAAACCGTGATCATCCGGATTTGATGAGTTGACCGACAAGCGATTTACCGGAGGAGCCGATTCCATGTGGGCGAACTGTGTTCCAATAGCAAGAACCATCAGTATAGCGCAGACAGAGCCGGCATCGTTACAGGAGAGACTTCCGGGGTTTGTGTAACAAGTGTTGAGCTTTTCTCGCAGCCAATCCTCTTCCACGTAAAAGTTGTTGGTTTGCGCATACTTGAAAAAGATCTGTACTAAGAAATCTGCGACAAAGCGAGGAGGAAGACAAGTGACCGATGCCGATACCACAGCCGAGCCTGATTGTAACTGTGTCGCACGCCATCGCTCTTCGTACGGTTCTGCTTCGGTCGACGCCTGGAACAATCAGCACAATCCATAGAGCATAGGAAAGCTGAGCATACCTCCGGTGTCGCCGCTTTCATCCATTCATCAATCTTTTTTCGGATCTTCATAGAAAAGTTCAAATAGGAAAATTCGCCGGAATATTCTAGAGACTCATCAGACTCGCGCTCTCTGCAATAATGCTCTGGGGGGTTGAAAGAGGTCAAAAAGAACCACAGGAGCAAAGCAGAAAACATACGCGTCGTATTATCAGGCAGCGCCTTAATCGTAAAATCCTCATCCTCAATAGCCAGATCCTCGAGATCCTCACTATCAAGCTGAATCGAGGGCCGTCCTTCCGACTCCGAACCACGATGCTTATTCTTCAATTCCTCCGCAGTCTTCCGGAGCGACTGGATATCAAACGAGATATTCGGGACATAGTGCTGTAAAATGCATTCCATGTAGCGGATGCGCTCCGACTCGAGCATATCATGGCGACTGCGTGCGGCGGTTCGTTCCAGGATCCTAACGTCGACGATTCCTATATAAGCACTGATGCACCACTACATTCGCTCTCTCTCTCTCTCTCTCTCTCTTTCGTTATGAAATCAGTATGGACTTACGAGACTGACGAGGATCGCGCGAGCTTCTCCGCATGCTCGGGGTGGGTGAAGACACACTGGCGACGATAACGGAGGCATCGACGGCAGGGCACGCCTCCTTCGCATTTCTCTTTCACTCGGCGACACCCATCACAACTACAGAAAATAAGTATCACGATCATAAACCCAGCTTGCCATAATCCAATCTGAGACCCCCAAGAACGGAAAACCCCGAGGGGGGGGAAGAAAGTATTGCATGATGGGTGGTCACTCACGCTCGCACCGCTCTTTTGCGGTTCTCCTCCGAAACGCGGGGTCGTTTCTGGTGGCCCAGACCAGGGGGAGTTGATGGGCCCTTGTCCATGATAGTGGGAGATCAGGGGGGGTGGAGGAAGTCCGGTGGCATTGTAAAGAAAACGGGAGATCGGAGGAAAGGGGGAGAGAAGGGATAGATTCAGGAGTGAATAAGATGCAAGTTCTTTTGGGGTGAGGAGGTGAGGATTTTTTATCCGAATCGAAGAAGGCTTTTTCCTCATTTCCAACTATCTACTTTTTTTTCTTTTTTTTTTCTCTCTTTTTCGAAGGATTATATTTTGGTCTCGGGGAATTGTTGCCAGTTCTATTCATTCTATGCTTTACGCTCTATCGTGGTGCTGAATTTCGGCCTCGGATGTCCCCATGTCCTCTCCTTGGACCAGCCAAAATATATATATATATACATATATATGTATGGATAGATATATACAATCAACATATATTCTAGAATCCATCAACCTCCATACCAATGCCTTTTTCCTTCCCCATCTCCAACAACTTCTTTCCAGTCACCAAATCCATAATCCCCATCCCTACACACTTCAACACCACGTTACACCCCTCCGGCACCTTGATCGGCTCGGACTTCCCAAGCGTCTGATATAACTCCCCAAGCTCAATCAACTGGTCTTCCTTGACCTGCGCCCGGATAAGTTCCCCGGATTCCTCCAAGCAAGCCTCCCTCGAGTCCACATAGATCTTATCGCCCCCAGAAAGCAGGGTTTCGGAATCAATCTCCCGCATATAAGGTCGATACGACCCAATTAGGGAGATGAACCTCGCCTTGAACGGCTGGAGATAAGCATAGGGAAAGTTAGGCTCCGTCGACGGCGTGCAGCTGAAGATGACCTCGCACGAGCGGAGTTCGGATCGGAGTTGCTCCTCGTAGTCTTCCGTGTCCTCCTTGGCCAAAGTAACCATCGTAACGTCGGGATGGGATCGTCTTAAATCGTCAATTACGTCCCTCTGTAGCTCGTTCAGTCGCTTGCGACCTCGGTTGACGAAGGTGATCTTCCGGATCTGGCCAGGAACCAGCAGGAGGGCAAGTCGAGCATGCCATTCTGCTTGTCGCCCGGAGCCGAAGATAACGATATTCTCCTTCCGTAGGGATGCGCAGCGGACGAACAATGACATGATGGCGAGGGCGGTGCGGAAAGCAGTGATCTCTGCGGCACTGAGAAGGCCTAGCAGTTTCCCCTCCGGCGAGAAAATGTTAATAACGCCGATGATGCCATGGGTTTTGGACGCCGTTACGACTTTGACGCTAGTGCTGGCGGTGTTCGAGACGGGCATGAAGAGGGATAGGTTCTCATCTTTGGTGGTGATGGCGGTGCGGAGGGGCTGGTGCACCAGTCGCTCGGACTCCAGGGCAGTTGACTGTGCGGATACAGTGGCAAGAGTTTCGTCTAGAGTGGCTAGGAACTCGTGACATTGTTCCTGAGTTAGCTGTCTTAAGATCTGGGCAACGGCTGGCTCTGGTAGGAGATGCATGGTGGCTTCAGAGTTGTGTGGTGGGATAGGACCTGATAGCGGCGGAACTGGTGTTATATATGTATATGGATAGTGGGGGTGGTTGATAACGGCTAATGCGTCAGGATCCAGTTAAAGTACCAGGATGAAACAGACGACTAATTCGATTAACTGATTCCGTCCAAGTCTGGGTGCGATGTTTGACCATCGCTGGATGGGATGAGAATTTTGAATTATTGGATGTCATTATCATAACTCTGTTGAGGCTATCTATATGCATCTACGCTCGTAAAACAAAAGAGGGAATCAAACCGCCAAAAATGCCGAAACCCCAAAATCCTGCAGGATGAAGAAACGCTCAGAAGGAAAGTTAAGAACCAAACGCACATTTCCAATGCCCGAGTCAGTTTCCAAGACCGACAGCGTGAAGAGTTCTGCGCTTCAACTCGCCGAGCATGGCTTCCTGCGACTGCTTGGTGCGACTGACTGCCTCCGTGTTCTCCACAGCGCGTCGTAGTAGGAACCCCATACATTCCTTGACAGAGCCCCATGTGAGGAGCTTGTAAACGTTTGGAGGTTCTGTGGTTTGTTTGGCAGAGGGCTCCGCGTCCTGGAATCCCTGCAACAGCTCGCAGCTGACCTCATCTGCCATTCCTTGCAGCTGAGCATAGCTAAGATCCACACCCAGGGTTTCTCCCTGGTTAGCTTGCTGAAGGCGAAGAGCATGTGCCTTGCGAACGGAATCCCGGTTGTGCGTAGCGATGATGACGTTAACTGGGGGAAGGTCTGTCGTATGCTCGGTGGAAGCAGATTTCAGCATATTATTATACTTGCGGGTCAGAAGCGCCTCCACAACACCATCATAACATGAGTCGGTCTCTTCCTTCTTGGCCCAGATCAAGTGACGAGGTTCAGTCTTCAAGTATGCTCCACGGACGAGCTTGACACCTAGGGTGTAACCTTCCTGGCGGGAAATCTCCAGATGCCTGGCAAGCGTGATCGGGGTCGAGCACAGGTAAGCTTGGTAGGTGTTGTAGAAAACAGCCCGACCAGGGGTTCTGGAGTTGCAGTACTTCTGGTACTTCATGGTCCACTCTTCGATTCCTGGTTGCACTGCCTGCTCTTCCGCATCTACCAGCAGTCGCACATTGCGTGAGATGGCAAGGTCACAGACTTGCTTGATTGCCTGGTCCATAAATGGCGATGGGGCATCCTTGTGCTGCAGGTAATGAAGTACCTGGGTACCCATTCCGGTAAACCTTTGTTCAAGTTAGTCAATGGAATTAAGCTGGAAAAAAAAATGCCCGGAAGGAAACCTACTTTAGGGCCACAAAATCACCTTCCTGAGCCATGTCGACGGTCTGGAGCGTTCCATCCAGCCACATCTGGATTTCCTGTCGTCCTGCCTTCTCGTTGTGGGGGTCGGTGTTGCTTTCGCCAACCAAAACCTCCCGGGCATAACCAAGGAGAACACCACGATATCCAAGCTTTTTGATGCCCTGGATAGAGCGCTGGACTTCCAGTTTGTTTTCCCCGGCGTTGAACTGCTTGTAGAGGGTGTGTTTGACGAGAAGATTCAAAAGAGGGTTCTTTGCAACATCCAGCAAAGGAGTCTTGGGATGCGCAAGGATTGAAAGTGTATAGATACAAGGCTTCAGCAAGATCGTGGAAGAGGAGATAGAAAGGATCATTAATGATCGCAGAACAGAGGAAAGAGGCAGCTTTGCTAATGGTGATAGAGTGTCCTTTTTGGGAGACGGAGGAACCTGCTGCCACAGGCCGTTTGTAGGAGGAGTCGCGGAAAGTGATGACTTCGCATTGCTGGTACGGCTGACGTATCTTGCGGTTCGATAACGCGGCGGCGACATGTTAGATAGCATCCGCACTGGGCGGCGGGTGACAGCCTTCATGGTTGATCGAGAGAGAAAGTATCTTGGGGAGATCTTGGTGGAAGTTAAGGATCGTGAACAGCTAAGAATATTTTAAAGCTATAAGAGAGAGAGAGAGAGAGAGAGAGAGAGATGGGCGATGAATGACTTGGAATAGAATGTATGTATGACGGTTAAGAGTAGCCGGTGGAAGCCGCCTTGGACCGGCAAATGGCTGTACTACGCCGGGCAAGTACTGGGTACTTTGCAGTTAACCTCCGCTGGGGAATTACCATTAGGTACTGTCAAGCTGGTCACCGGCAACTGGAGTACTGTTTGTGAAATTGAGAAGATTGGATCTTGAATGGAAAATACAGCCCAGATGGATCTACTGATAGCTGCTCGTCGTTCCGCTCCACTGGCGCTAGACGAATATTTAAGATTTCTGTGAGTAATAGTATTATTCTATAAGGTGACCAGCACCATTCACGAGAGAAAGAGGGACTGGCATATAGATAGATACCTTACTCCAGGTAGAAACCCACCGGTTCACGGGCCGGTGTTGACTCGTCCCCACTGGCAGAGGGAACCTTGTGACCGGGCCGGTGTCACCCAGCGGAGATCACGCGGGGAGTGTGACGCTCGAATCAAATCTCTTAGTTATTTGGGATTCCGCTTATCTCACACCCGCTGACAATTCCTGCTATGAGCTGACTGTGTTCTGCTCCGCCTTTCATTCCACCGACTCCAGCTGAACAGCAGGAAAAATGGGTGTTGCCTGAGTTATCAGGCACCTACCGTGTTCAAGCGAAACCTATCACACTAGCCCCAATACACGCTAGCGTGATTAAAACTTGAATTGAAACAAGGCGGGAGCTCCACTGCCCCACAACGATAAACAATCTACATCCAATTAGATTCTACAGTGTCAAAAAGTGGATCCGGCAGGAATCTATGCCAAGCCGTTTAGTCAATTTCTTACCAAACAATTTTCTTGGATGAAATTTCCATTAGTCACTGCAGAGCCTGAGGCAAGATTCATCTTCTGCAAGTTGTTACTGGTTTCAAAAGGCTGCAGAGAAAACCCCAGGTTCGCGTAGGATTCCCTCGAAATGGATTCTACCCCGGGATATTAGAATTGGAGATATTAAGATGGAATGAAGTGCAGAACGACCTCATCTCATGGTGGCGGAGATCTAGGATTTCCCGTGCAAAAACTACTGCTAGTCCTCCCGTAGCCACGCCAAATCCTCAAATCCCAAGCTTAAGCATACCTCAACGCCGCTCGGAGGAAACAAAAAAATTGATTCGCCTATGTTTCAATCCTTTCTGAGGCTTCCATCTGTCCATCATGGGGAAGATACTCGGGGTTCGGACATTTCCACCTGCAAAAAAGGTAGTACATTCCACTATTCCTAGGTCTGATGAGCCTGAGGAACCCCACAGATTTTCCCCTGCCAATAGGGTTAGTCTTCTGGAAATCTTTCCCACAACGCATTCCATTATTTCCATGTGTAAATTTTATCTCGCGCTGGAAAGGATAAGCTATCGCGGTCTATTGACTCAGCAAATCTGGGGACTGTCCGCTTTGGATGGATTTTTACACTGAAACCTCCACTTCATGGTGATTTTGGCCGCTTCCCCGTCCTGACTTCCCCGTGCTGTCTTGACTCTTCTCGCCCATGATGAGTTCTCCGTCGGTTAAGAGTATGGAGGAGGGTCGGGTTGAGACGACTCTGTCAGATTCCTATGAATATGGAGACTCCAAGGTTGTGGAAGACAGCATGTCTGCCAATATGGTCACAAAGCGTGGTTTGTCATCGCGACAACTGCAACTGATTGCCATTGGAGGCTGTGTTGGCACGGGTCTTTTCGTGGGTTCCGGCTCGACTCTGTCTTTGGTTGGTCCTGGTGAGTGCCTTGATGCATGGTTGGAGACGATGACTGAGTGGTGAAGGTTGTGATAAGTTGAAGACTGATATCTTTGGTAGCGCCGTTGTTTATGAGCTATATCTGTATGTCATCGATTGTCTGGTTCGTGATGAACGTTTTAGGCGAAATGACCACCTACTTGCCTATCCGCGGGGTTTCGGTTCCTTATTTGATCGGCCGCTTCACTGAGCCCACGATCGGTTTTGCTGCTGGTATGTCTTCCCTACTTTCTGTCTATTCTAATTTAGGAGATGAATAGACCGGGCTGACTCGTTCTAGGATATAATTACTGGTAGAGCTTCACAGTCCTCCATTTTGAAGACTCAATATCTAACATCGATAGGTATTCCTTCTCGATGCTGTTAGCCACTGAAGTCACCGCTGCCGGTTTGATCATTGAATACTGGACTACGTCTGTCAACGTCGGAGTGTGGATCACGATTGTGCTTCTTGGTATGCTCCGATCTTGCCTATCACATCATTCAGATGAAAAGTCGGCCCTAACAGTCTCCAGTGATTTTGGCCCTCAATATCTTCGCGGTGTCATGGTATGGAGAAGCAGAGTTCTGGTTTGCTACCCTAAAAATTCTCGCCATTATTGGCCTGATTATCCTGGGTGTTGTGCTGTTCTTTGGTGGAGGTCCCAACCATGACCGTTTAGGATTTCGCTACTGGAACGAGCCAGGTGCCTTCAAACCCTACCTGGTTGGCGGAAACACTGGCAAGTTTCTGGGCTTCTGGACCGCTTTCATTAAATCTGGATTCTCCTTCATTTTCTCCCCGGAGCTGATCACAACTGCGGCCGGTGAAGTCGAAGCCCCTCGTCGGAATATTCCCAAGGCCACAAAGAGGTTCATCTATCGTGTCTTCGCCTTCTATATTCTGGGAAGCTTGGTCATCGGTGTTACTGTGGCTTACAACGATCCCGATCTTCTCTCTGGAGTTGCAAGCGGAAGCTCTGGGGCTGGCGCCAGTCCATTTGTCATTGCTATTCAGAACGCAGGTATCGGGGGACTGAACCATGTCGTGAATGCCGCTATTCTAATCTCCGCCTGGTCGTCCGGTAATGCTTGGTGTTACGCTGGTTCCAGGACTCTGTACTCTCTTGCTGGAGAGGACCAGGCTCCTAAAATCTTCCTGCGCTGTAACCGCAATGGTGTCCCCTATGTAGCTGTTCTCGTCACATGGGTGGTTGGAATGCTCGCCTTTCTGAACCTCTCCAGCTCCGGAGCCCAAGTTTTCTACTGGTTCACCAACATTACCACTGTGGGGGGCTTTATCAACTGGATCCTCATCGCAATCACCTATATTGTATGTGTTCTTCCTTTATTCTTTGTCTCTAGACAGGTGTTTTTTGTCTTGGAATCGACCGGACTAACAGAGCTGTAGCGATTCCGAAAGGCGATTGAATTTCACGGCATGCTAGACGTGCTCCCCTTTAAAACGCCTCTGCAGCCATGGGGTTCTTACTATGTAATCTTCCTTGTCACCCTCTTGACCATCACCAACGGATATGCTGTCTTCTTCCCTGGCCGGTTCAGCGCCTCGGACTTCCTGGTCTCTTACATCGGCATTGCGATTTTCGTTGTTCTCTACGTCGGGCATAAGATCTGGTATCGAACCCCGTGGATGATAAAAGTGTCGGAGATCGACATCTTCTCGAACAAGGAGGAAATTGACCGACTTTGCGAGAATGACCTGGAGCGTGAGCCCCGGAACTGGCTGGAGCGGGTTTGGTGGTGGGTTGCGTAGAGTCAAATGTGTATATAGATCGATATGAATACCACTATTTGCTGTTTTCTAAGGCCCCGGGCATTGTTTTCTATTCTATCCATTAAGTCGCCATTGGAGAAGTAAGCCATTTGCACTGAAATAGTCAATTGGGGATCCGGCCCGGTTGCTGTTGTCCCACCCGGCAGAGACCCGGAATCTTGACGACACTAAAAATGCAGATGGAGATGGCACTGGGACACCTCCCCTAATTATACGAATCATTCTGTCAAGAGATCACGATTGTGGATATGAAAACACTCCTATCTCCATAGCTTTATTCGATTGTTTTGCCTCCGTCGATAACCGTGTCGTTAAATCACGGGAGCTTCCCCGCATACACCTTGCATACCTGCGTCGTTGGCTCCCACTTCTCTCTTTCTCATCTCTCTGAGCAACTCGAGCAATCAGCTTTGGATCCGGGTTGTGCTGTCAACAGTGTCGTAACCTTCATAACGATTCAGAAACACCCATTCAGCATGCAATCTTCGTTGCTTCTCCGCGCGAGGGTAGCTAAAACCCCCATCTCTGCGGTCTTGTCGCGAACGAGAACCTGCTCATATGCCACCTTCAAAGTCCCTCGCATTGACAATGAACCCAACGTGAGAGATGCTCTGTTATTCCTTGATTTGGAACCCTTTTTCACTAATTTCCGCAGAAACACTACGCCCCTGGATCTCCCGACAGGAAGGGTCTCGAAGATGCCCTTGCTAGAATACAGCAGACTTCGCCCCTCAGCATCCCACTCGTTATTGCAGGAAAGGAAGTAAGTGAAGAGCGATGGTCGCATGGAGCTATCAAGAGAAGGTATCCTGACTTAGTGGTGCCAGATCAAAGCTTCTCAGTCGTTGACACAATCAAACCCTGCCTCCCACGCCCCCGTGGCTACTTACTCCAACGCTACCGCTGCAGATGTCCAGGCTGCCATTGGGTCCGCCCTTGAAGCCCGGAAATCGTGGGCTTCTACCTCTTTCGCAGATCGCGCCAGCATCTTCCTGAAGGCGGCTGACCTGATTGCGACAAAGTACCGTTATGACATCATGGCCCTGACGATGCATGGCCAGGGTAAGAATGCCTGGCAGGCAGAAATCGACTCCGCGGCTGAGCTGTGCGACTTTTTCCGTTTTGGAGTCAAGTATGCAGAGGAGCTCTATGCTCAGCAGCCAGTGCACAATGCGCCTGGTGTTTGGAAGTGAGTTGCTTTTCCACTCGGAATGGAAATATAACTAACGGAGATAGTCGCGTTGAATACCGCCCATTGGAGGGATTCGTCTACGCTATTAGTCCTTTCAACTTTACTGCAATTGGAGGTAATCTGGCTGGTGCTCCTGCACTGATGGGGAACGTGGTCGTCTGGAAGCCTTCTCCATCCGCCATCGCTTCTAACTGGCTGGTTCACCAAATCCTCTTGGAGGCTGGTTTACCCAAGAATGTTATCCAATTTGTTCCTGGAGAGGCGGAGGAGGTTACCAAGACCGTCCTCGATCACCCTGAATTTGCCGCCCTCCACTTCACCGGCAGCACTGGTGTGTTCCGCAGTCTGTATGGCCAGATCGCTACCGGTGTTGCGGCCGGCAAGTATCGCAGCTATCCTCGCATCGTTGGAGAGACTGGTGGCAAGAACTTCCATCTCGTCCATAAGTCGGCCGATATTCGCAACGCTGCCGTCCAGACAGTCCGTGGCGCCTTCGAATTCCAGGGTCAGAAGTGCAGTGCCACGTCCCGCGTATATGTGGCCGCCTCTATCGCCGATCAATTCGTGGAGCAGGTTGTGGCAGAAACTAGGAGCCTGAAAGTTGGTGCTCCTACCGACTTCACCAACTTCTGCGGCCCTGTCATCCACGAAGCCTCCTTCAACAAGCTGAGCCAGGTCATTGAGGACGCTAAGAAGGACCCCGAGCTCGAGCTCCTGGCCGGAGGCACCTACGACTCCTCCCAGGGATGGTACATCCAGCCCACGGTTTATCGCACCTCCAATCCCGACCATCTTCTTCTTTCTCGAGAACTCTTCGGCCCCATTCTTGTCATCCACAGCTACAACGATGCCACCGACGCTGATTTTTCCGCCATCTGCGAGAAGATCGACTCTACAGGCGAATACGGCCTGACGGGCTCAGTTTTCGCCCAAGACCGGGAAGCCCTCAGATTCGCCGATGATGCCCTCCGCAACACAGCCGGTAACTTCTACATCAACTGCAAGAGCACTGGAGCTGTTGTCGGACAGCAGCCCTTCGGCGGTGCGCGCGCCAGTGGCACAAACGATAAAGCTGGCAGCGGAAACCTTCTCTCTCGCTTCGTCAGCTTGCGCTCGATCAAGGAGGAGTTCTTGCCAACCCCCAAGGTCGTCTATCCTAGCAATGAATAGCGAGTATGAAATATGGGTACGGTATGAAGAGGTGTTGTTCTGAGCCAATTATTCCCTGTATTTTCTGGGGTTAGCCATTTGTTTATAAATTGCATCTTGATCCGGCGTTTGTTTTATTTTATTTATGTTCTTCGAAGACAAAAGTCAACAAATGACTAGATGCTATATTATTTCTCTCGTGGCTTCTACTGGTATCTCAGGGGTTAAGTCAAAGCCCTCCTCTCATTTGTACGAAGCACCTCTCCCACCACAATTAAATAGGATAAAAATACCAAAAGACCCTTCAAAGCAACCCTCTCTCTATCGAAACGTATGTAATCAAATCAACCCGATCTGCAAAGTTTCCCCAGACAGACAGTAACTAAGCCCTGTCCATGTCGTGATGTCACGTACCAATAAGGTTAACCTGTATGTACTATCTACCACTCCGCACAAGGATCAGACAACCACTTTCCCGCTGCAGTCTGGAACGAGAAATAGAGTGATAGACTTGAAAGGCTATATGAAAAAAAAAAAGGAGCAAGGCTATATCGTACGAATGATGTAACCGTTCCCTGTTCCCTTGACGGACGTTTGTATTTTCATCTGTCTTCCTTCGTTTTTCTCTCGATCTGGTCGGTGTATCCGCTGAAAGGAGAAAACCAGGCACGCGAAGCTTCACGCATATTGCAATTATCAATTCATATCGCGGGTTGACTCGAGAGTGATCGGTTTAACTTTAAGAAAGGAAAAAAAATTTAAAAAAAAAAAAAAACTTCACCATGTCGCTCTCGCTCTCGCTCTCCAGAGAAGAGACGTTGCAGAGATTCAAGCGCATCGGCATCGTTGGAGCCGGGAACATGGGGTCCATGATGGCGCTCGCCTTTGCAGAGCTAGGACTGGATGTCTCCGTTTGGGACGTGGATGGGAAGAATATCAGCCGCGTCTCGAAAACCGCCGGGTATCTAGGTCGAGTCGCGGGGTACGACGATATGCGCGAGTTCGTGGCGAGTCTCAAAGGCCAGGGCGGCGAGAGGAAAGTGTTCCTGTTCTCGATGACGCATGGATCCCCGGCGGATTCGGTACTGGGCATGCTGATGAAGATGGAGAGCGGCGATGGGCTGCGGTATGGGGATGTCATTCTCGACGCGGGCAGTGAGGATTACCGCCGCACAGAGCGGAGGCAGATCGAGTGTGCGCGGATCGGGGTTTACTGGGTTGGAATGGGGGTGTCCGGGGGGTATCGGGCGGCGCGACGGGGTCCGAGTTTGTCTCCTGGGGGGGATGAGAGGGCGCTGGAGATCCTCATGCCGCTGCTGGAACTATACGCTGCGAAGGATGCCGCGACGGGGCTTCCTTGCGTGGCGAGGATTGGGCCCGGCGGGTCGGGGCATTTTGTGAAGATGGTTCATAATGGGATTGAGGGTGGCATGTTGTCGACGCTTGCGGAGGCGTGGTCTCTGCTTCATTACGGGCGGGGGTTCGATTACGAAAGGATTGCGGATGCATTTGACGAGTGGAATAAGGACGGGGAGCTGCGGAATAACTACCTGCTGGAAATCGGGGCTGATATGCTGCGCACCAAGAAATCGCGCGAAGGAGACAGCCGAGGCGACACGGCAATGGGTGGGTATCATGAATATGTTCTGGACGATGTCCTCGATGAAGTGATTCAAGATTATGACAATACTGAGGGCACCCCGTACTGGTCGATCACGGAATCGGCCTCGCGACATATATCTGCTCCCACGCTCGCTGCGGCGCATTATCTACGTATCGCCAACGGCAACCAGGAGGAGCGTTTAGAGGCGGCCAAGAAACTACGCATTCCGAGTCCTTCACTGATGCGGGAAATGCCAGACGAGAAGGAATTTGTCGAGCATCTGCGCCGAGCAGTGTACGCTTCATTCCTGGCCTCTTTCTGTCAAGGTCTGGAGCTGATCGCCCACGGTTCCGAGGATGAAGGTTGGAACATCGACTTGGGAAAATGCCTCCAAATTTGGCGCGCGGGCTGTATCATCCGGTCCGAGGGCATCGCGGATCTGTTGCAGCCGGTCCTCTCCAAGAACCGGACTTTGAAGAACATGAAGTTCATCGATACAGTCGCGGTAGAGTTGGAGAGGAACTTCCATTCTCTGAAGAAAGTCATCATGGCTGGAATCGACTCTGACCATTACCTCCCGGCGATGTCCTCGACGTTGGAATACTTGAAATATGAAGGGGGGACGACTCTTCCCACGAAGTTTATGGAGGCCCAGATGAACTTTTTTGGGGCCCATGGGTATAAAAAGCGCGAAGATGGGGGAGACGATGCAAGCTTGAGTGGGGAAGCATCGAGTAGAGCAGTATAGTTAGTGTTAGCATCAGGAAAAGCATTCAAATAGCTTCAGGGACTGTTTTGTTGCAAAGTGAAGTTGCCCACAAAAATATAAAATGACATGGATGCCTCAGGACCATCACACGTGGGCTGGCGATAAGCGGATTACCCAATCGGGCGCAACCTCAACCCCGCTCCGGAGATTTTCTACGCTGAATATAAAAGTTACATGACTTGATTCATCTTAAGGACACTCACTCACTCACTCCCCGGTGGATGCTGAAAGGACCCTCTCTTCGCTTTCTTTCTACTCGTACTACGACCCGACCACTCCGGGAGAATCGAATCTGCCAAACAACTCGCCCGAAGAATGGCTGTCCTTCCATCCGAGTACGCGGGTGAGTATCACTAGCGACCCCCTCATTCAGGAGGAGGACTGATGAAAGGGCCTTTTCCTGTACAGAACCCGTCCGCATCGCCGTCATCGGTGGAACGGGTCTCCGCGAACTTCCTGGCTTCACTCAGGTTGCGTCGCTCTCCATCTCCACCCCATGGGGCGAGCCCTCCTCGCCGATCACGATCCTGCACCACCAGTGCTCTCATAACAACAAGACCGTCGCGATTGCCTTCCTCAGCCGCCACGGATCGCACCACCAGATCGCGCCTCATGAAGTCCCTGCCCGCGCCAACATCGCGGCTCTGCGCTCGATCGGTGTGCGCACCATCATTGCCTTCTCCGCTGTCGGCAGCTTGCAGGAGGAGATCAAGCCCCGCGATTTCGTCGTTCCCGACCAGGTCATCGACCGCACCAAGGGTATCCGGCCCTTTACCTTCTTTGAAAAGGGAGTGGTCGTGCATGTTCCCTTTGGAGATCCCTTTGACGAGGGTGTCGCCAAGGTGGTGAGAGCTTGCGGACACAGTTTGGAAGGAGAGGGTGTGAAGTTGCATGACCGTGGCACTCTGATTTGCATGGGTAGGTTTTTTTTTTTTTTTTTTTTTTTTTCCCTTTCCATACATTTTGACAATGGTTTGATTGGTGGTTGGTATACTTACTCTTCCCAGAGGGACCTCAGTTCTCCACCCGTGCGGAGAGCAACCTCTACCGCTCTTGGGGTGGCAGCGTAATCAACATGTCCTGCCTACCCGAGGCCAAGCTCGCACGCGAAGCTGAAATCGCGTACCAGATGATCTGCATGTCCACCGACTATGATTGCTGGCATGAGTCTACGGCCGATGTCACCGTTGAAATGGTGATGGGCAACATGAAGTCCAACGCGGTGAACGCCAAGCACTTTGTCACTGCTGTTCTTGACGAACTGGCGGCGGACCACAACTCGGATCTGGTCCAGGCGAAGCACTACGCGGGATCGGTCAAGTTCGGGCTCAGCACTGCGCAGACCAACTGGAGCCCGGAGGCGCGGGAAAAGATGAACTGGCTTTTCCCTGGTTATTTTGAATAGAACTATCCTGGGCGCTTCATACGCTCCTTTGCCCTTAACTATACTGCATCAGGGCTAGATGTATAGATCCATAGACGAGTACCTAACTGTGCTAAGCTTCCTGTACCTGGATGTGTAAGACAATGGATCCGGTCTTAGCTCTCTCCATTTCTAAAAAAAAGTCAGCTAGTAGTTAGTTAGGGTCGCAACGCTGAAACGCTACCTCCACAAAAGGCTTAGACAATCCACCGACTCATACCATACCTAACTACTTACTCCAGTCTCTCGTTATGATACGTCGACAGTGAAATTAGTTTGGAGCAAAACTCGTCGAGACTTTGGGAGGTTTGGGGGCCTCTTATACGGAATCCGCGGGCTGTGATTGGTCCGCTCGCTAATGACGTCATGGGCTCTCGCGCTATTCCGGTTTCGGCGAACTGCGTCTATAGATTTGAAAACACCGACTTTTCAGGCAGAGAAAAGAGGCAGAAAGAAGAGCTTTATTTAGATTTCCTCTCTATAAATGTACGGACATCTGTCTCTTTCTCTTTCTCTCTCTATACATTCTCTCTCTATACATTCTCTCTCTATACATTCTCTCTCTATACTTACTCTCTCTATATACTCTATATTGTCTCTATTGTATGAATTATCAAGTGAGTATATTCGATCCATTGTCTCTCCTTACTAATAACCTAGAAGACACAATGGTCCTCGCCGATTCCCTCATCATCTTCCTCGTCATCACCGGCTGCGTCTGCTGCGTGCTCATGGGATACTCCATCCACTTCATTGCTACAAATGGCTTCGTCGACGAAAAAGACCGCGAAATGACATTCGACCAAAAACAGTACATGAGACAATTACGACAACGGAATCTTCACTGGATGTTTCGGGATGCCCGTGTACGGCGAGATGTGGAAACACCGATGGATCCCGTACACTACGCTCCTGAGGAATCTGTTCAGGGTGAGTAGATATGGGCATGGCATGGCATGGCATGGCATTTATGGTGTTTGGATAAGGAGTTGGGTATTTCTATCTTTCTATCTTTCTATGTATATATCTTTGTCTTCACTAGTGAGTTGTTGCACTATGACTTTCAATCTTTAGAACACTAGAGAAACTTTGTATCCCCTTGATCTTACCACTTACATCTTTGATTTCTTCGACCAGCCAATGCCTGAACCTGTCCATGACCGTGACGAGGTGGATTTTCAGGTCACAGGCTGCATGGTGAATCAATGGACCACAGGTCAGTGACTGAGCTATGTCTCGGGCTGAAATATATAGATAGATATAGAGTGAATTTAACTATAAAGATAATCATTCATCATAGCTTGATATAAATGAATTGTGAATGAAACACATCCCTAGTAAATCAACTTAGAATATCATTTATTCACCTGAGGAGAAATATTACTATTATAAAAGCTGGCTGGCCCTCCATCTCCCCTTGACTTACACTACCTAACACATTAAAGACCTTTTTACTGATATATATGATGAGTATATCAGGTTGGGATGTTAGAACCTTCTAAAAGCCGTCATATTCAGGATTGCTTCACCACTACTTCGCCCTTCTATTCATCCCATCATCACCATACAAAAGTATCTTAAGCAACCCATCTCATTTGGTCTTTACCAAACTGAATCCTTACTACCGTTTATCATACCTCCATCTCAACACAAACTCTGCCAGCCACGAAGAGCAGAGTTCGTCCTTGACACACTGTCGTTGACTTGACCTCCAAAAGCCCCAGAGGAGTCCGGTGCATCACGTTCCTCAAGGATGTATATACCATACCATACCATCTAACTCCGACTAGCTCCAATACAAGGCGAGAGTGTGGGATTTTTTTTATTACTACCTACCACAATCACACCCACCAAGGGAATGAAAAAAAAATACCTTGCACCAACGTTAGCAGAGACAAATACAAATACAATACCACCCTCGCAAAAATTTCCTTCATTTTCCCTCGGGCAGCGGAACGACACCATCGCCATCCTCATAGGCTTGCTTGGTATCTTCTCGGATCTGAAAAATGCAGGACTCGAGCACCCGCTGGCTGCGCGAATAATCCTAGCTTACTCTGTATAACTGCCTGCCTGCCTGCTACAGAGCAACAAATGGGGACTAAGCTACGATGAGAGAAGGGGTCATACTTGGTGTGATGTTTCTCTGTGCCGCCCGCGGCAATGATTGAAAACAACCTTCGCCTATCTTTCTGACGAAGGTTGTTGGGTTGGGGTTCACCGGATCAAGAACAAAAGGCAATCAGGTTTCTGGCAAGGGTGTTGTTGTTGTGTTGTTTTATTTCCTTGTGTGTCGTCAGTGTTCCGCTAGGGATAGTTTATGTATATATACATATACGTATATGTGAGACAGAACTGGCAGAGATTAGCCCAAAAAAGCAGGATAGAAAATTCTAGTGTGCAATTATTAAGGCCTATCTAATAACTACCTAAAGTATACACTAGACTACTCTGTATATAACAAGATAGCGAAAAATCTTTGATGAAAAAATCCCCCGTGTTTGTTGATGCCAATAAACACTCTTGAGGCAACATCGCCAAATGAATGGAAATGCACTCCAACCTTGAAGAAATCCACAATGGACTTCGAATCAGACTCCGCATGGCTCTGATCCTTTTCGTCAGTCACATCAGGGCTACCCAATGCCTGTGCGTGCCGGAGAATGAACCACCAAGCAGCTGGGAAAAAGAGTGTCATTCCACACACGCTGCATTGGCCATGATGGGGATTTGCGAGATAAATCCGGTCAATGCGCCAGCCAGGATTTGATACCCGATCCACCTCCCTGTCGAAGTGTCTTGGTGAATTGTTGCGTGGAGCTCAGGAGGACACCAGAAATGAAGGAGAAGAAGAGAGCAAGCATCGTAAGAGCCAGGCGGCCTGGACCAGGCAAGTCGGAAGATGCGTCGCCTGCCATTGCTGAATACCGTAATGGTGTCTGAATGTTTGTAGCTTGCTGTGTGTCTCCCATGTGCTTAAAAGACAAATTTCATTCAGTTTAAGATAGTTAACTAGTTAACTAAGGGCTAATGCTGAATAATAAGCAGTGGGTCTGTGCACGGTCCCACCATCGGCCCGCTGACTTCGGCCCGTTGTATCTGACCAATAGGAACCCGTTTTGTCTCTCCGGTGTCATCTCGGACTTGCTGCAATAGAGATTAAAGCCGGATCTGGTCTCCGCGATGGTCTGTAATTGATGCTCGGGTGGTCCTCATGACAGGTACTGAGTGCAATGAACTTAAAAAGTCATAGGAGCCTTCTTCATCTTTCTTCAATGTCGACCCGGCGATATTACATACCTGGTAGCTATATTTGCTCGTCTTCTCCAATATCGAGCAACCCTCATTGAGATCTTTGAACAGGCGTGGTTCCATTCATCAGGATCAGGATCCAAAAGAGCCGATCGTTTTGTTGGATACGGGAGCTAGGGGTGAGAAATACGACATACTCCCACAAAGTCATGATTGGGAAAGACAAACTGAAAGTAACCTGCACGGAGGCAATCTTTCAGTGAATAGCCACTATGGTAGTAAATCTTGGATATGTATTCCTGCCGCAGATGATCAAGCTGGCTATATAGCTCTCGCGTTTAAGGAACATGAATGGTGCTGTAACGGCCTTTAACCCTCGGCGTGGGGAGATACTTTTTCTGATCTCCGCGACAAATCCATGGATGCTAACTATGACTATACTCTCCATTGTAGAAAGCACAGGCCTGAGGAATTTGGCCCGATCTCCCTAGCGGATGTTAACATGACTCGAAAAGTGGAGGCACTGGGGAAACTAGTGATCCAGGACGAAGACTAATGGATAAGATGTATATATAGAATCATTCATATCATTGTCTAGGTTTAATTACATACTAGAGTAAACTAGAACTACATCGAATACCCCCTCGTCGGAATTTTATAGCAAGTCACTCACGATTGACAATATTCGGAGGTAAGTTGGGGTTGTCCCCTCCAGGTTTCGGGATCGGAAACTCATCCAGGATCCCCGCTTCACGCATCTCCAAGACACTAGGATGAATGGTTGCTCCGTCAGGAAGATCGCGCTCCGCCCCAAGATTCGGTGGGAGTCGTCGTGGAACCCATTTTCCGTTTTCGAGCTCCAGACGGCTCGCTATTGGCAGGACCTCTGTGACCGCAGACAAGATCAGTACTAGGTAAAGCAGCGAGATGAAAGCGAGAGGGAAGAACGAAACCACCACTACGTACCTAGGATCCACCAGAACAACACAGATACAGATTTTGCGCCGTGGCCGAACCGAAGCATGTCATGCGGCTTGTTCGTTGTCTGCTGCCTCCGCCACGAATCGGTCCCTGGCTCTTCGTGTCGACACAAGGAATGGCTTTCGTTTCTGGCCACTTTTTCCACATTGGTCGTGACAAAGGAGAGCTGACTCTCCGAGCCAGGCAGATTCAGGACCTCCTGTATCATCCAGCTCAGCGGGATATCTGAAAGAAGATGTTTCTGCCCGCGGTGCAGATGCCAGCCTCCTCCCACATCACCGTGGTTGCCCGCAAACCAGACCTCCTTGAAATCGACTGCCGGTTTCTCGTCATCTCCCAGGCGGAACAAGGCAGGCTTAAATTTCAGCCGGCGCTCGTGAATCGAAACCGCGTGGCGAATGTGCTTCGCTGCAGGACTGGCAATGTACCGGTATGACCGGCGGAAAAAGGGAATCTCAAACTGCCCTACACTATTGACGCAGTCGAAGAGACCGAGAAAGTGAACGCCCACCTGGGGCCGGCAGAAAGTCGTCTTGAACTTGTGCATGTAGTGTGCTAGATCGCGATCTTTGGGGGACTGCGGTACGTTCCCGCGGGAGCTCTGGAACTGGCTAAAGGTCTCCCAGGCAAAGGGGACCATTTCTTCGTTTCCGCGCGAGAGAAGTCCAATGTTGTGGATCATTTCCGCGAGGAAGCGTGCCGTGTACGCGCCGCGCGAGAACCCGAAAATGTAGATATGGTCGCCTGTGGAGTAGTAACGCATGATAAACTTGTAGCCCGCGATAACATGGTCGATGAAGGACATGCCAATGGCTTGGTCCAGGAGGGCTTTGACCCCTGCTTTCATTTTGGCCCAGGAGCTGAATCCCCCCGAGCGAAAGCTTGAGCCTTTCACGTAAGTCAGAGTCCCTATGCCGGCTGCATCAGGTGTCAGTTGGTTTGGTCGGATTCCGGATGGGAGTTAAACAACTAAACTGGGTTTCACTTACGTTGGTAATAGGCGTATTGTCCGGGGATATGTCTTTCAAGCATCTCATAGATCTTGACAATGTTGGTGTCCTTTTCGGTTCCCTCATACTGATTTCCAGTTCCATCGAAGCAAAGTACCAGCCGACGTGGCTGCCCTGAGGCATGCTCTGGCTCTTGGAATGGATTGGGATGCTGGTGTGGATGTGGATCTGGCATGGTGAATCACCTCACAGCAAACGCATTCTGTTCCTGCTGCTACTGCCATGTTGGTGCGGGAAATCTCCTTAAAAATAAATTCTCAATGCAGTCACAGTAAGCAGAGCGAAGGATAGTTAACTAATACGAGCTGAAGAATTCCTTTTTCTTCCGACAGTCATAGAGGGGCGCGCACCAGCCTTGCGCAGACCAGGCGTTCCCTTCAGCCGCAATAAATGGTTGTCGTTTACCCCCCATTCTGCAGCTCACTGGCAAGTTGCATCTCAGCCGGGCACGGGTCCTAAATCTTGCAATTGATTTGTCGAAAGCAGTTCGTATGACTATGACTATGATCTTCAAGACCAGGAATCCCAGGGTACAATGAAGTACCTCATGTTCGAAAGAGAGAGGGACAGTCAGAATGAAATCAGATCCATAGCCACGACTAGGCGATGGGGCCTATATTACAAGGTCAGCATCCGAATCAGCCCAATTCTAATAATAAGTGGTTCAAAGCCAGGGTAGTCGGTTTGTATTTCAGCAGTTTGGTACTCCCAGTCCCATTTTCAAGAATATCAAAGCTGAAGTGAATGATTCTCGTTCTGAAATACACAAGATTGCACCTGATGACGTGAGATCGTATCGGCCGCTCAGCTAACTACTATCCAGACTAAACCCCTATGTAGAGTACACCCGGGAAAGAAATCAATTTACAAGAAAGGAACCTTTACGAAAATTGGCGCGAGCTCTGTCCACCACCAGGAACACGAGCCGCTGCATAGGTCTTGCTGTGTACTTCGACCACAGTTGTTGATTGGATCCCGTTCTGCCCTTTTAGCGGCCGAGTGCTGCTTCCCTCACTGCTTAGCCAGAGAGCTGATCCTCGCGGGAAGGTAGTTTTGAGGCGATCGGCAATGAACTTGAACAGCGGGCGCATATTAGAAAGGCAGGCGGCGGTGATCCCAACTGCAGGCTCAATGCATGTCCACACACTCGCTGGGACTTGGTTATCTGCGCTAATTAGAACTGCTTTTTCTTCCCTTTTTCCCAATAATGATATCAAGACTTACATGTGATGTCGTTGCCCGCTTTTGAGAGCTCAACTAGTGCAACCAAGCGGATGATATCGAAGATGAGAGTTCTAGAAAAAGTCGGTTACAATCTCATGATAATATCAAGAAGAGGAAAATGAAAGACACATACAAAAATCCCAGCATAAAAACCCCCGAAAGCATGATCTTCTGCACCTTGGGAACTTGTAGATTCCACACCACACGCATAGGCATCACGAGAATCAGGGCGTCCGTCACGATATTTGGGATTTGTAGCCCGTAGTAAAACTTTGCAAGATCGATGCAACCGCCGGGAGTAGTAGGGCTCCATAATTTCCGCAGAGGAATACAGATAAATGCACCAACTATACAAACGCCGTAGCACCAGAAGATGACAATGGCTGCGACAATGTGTACGCTCAGGACCATAGGCCGGATCGAGAAGAGGCGTTTGTAAAGCGCTAGGATTGAAAGTTTGACAAAAGTGATGCAAAGGGTGTAGAGGAATGTCCCAGTAGAAAGGACCTGATCGGTTAGTATATCTTGCCACGGTAAGTGATTCCAGGGGCCATACTTTGAGATAGACAATCAGGTCTTCGTTATTTACATATTGCATGTGCATTCCAAGGCCATTATACAGGACTGTAAGGTAGCTTAGTAGGTGTACATGTCAAGGATAAAATAAACAGCTACTTACGGATGACCCCCGCGAAAGATATCCCATACTCAAAGATCTCAAAGGCAGTCGATTGTTAGCAAGGTTTTGCAAGAGGCTTACAACGCACTTACCACTGCTATGATCATCAAGTAGTCGTCGAGAAACCATTTGGTCCTGGTAATCTGTCTACACAGCAATCGTAAAATCAACGATACTGTCGATAACACAAGAGCAAAGCTGGTCGCAGTGATCACCACATGGCGTAGGTTCTCATGCGAATAGCCCAGCTCTTTGGGGTCTGCTGTTCTTGAACTACCGTTCGCCATTGCTCCACAGTTGGAAACAGGTTTTAACAGGTTGACAGGGTTTGATCGCGGTTGATGAATCGAAGGGTCGTGTTCTTTCTTATAGCCAGACTGACAGTGCAGATGTCATGGATAGAAAGTTTAGGCTACCTAGCCATAGGACGATGCCATCTCGATCCATGACGAATGACCTTCTTCGTCCTAATAGAGTCGGATCTGCCTCTATAGTCTGAAGAGAATATCCCCCGGGGAAGTGGAAGGAGTCAAATCGCCGGTTAGTCTGGAAGCGATCAAGGCAGTACAACTATGGTTCATGTCAATTCTCCTCGAAATAGACAGTAAGTACGGAGTATTGGTTCTGGACTTACCCCCTACACTTGCAGACCCCATACGATCGACTGTCTGCAGACATATCACATCGAATCCTGTCATATAATTGAACCAAAAAAAGGTGAGAAGCTTGATCTCAGGAGAACGCAAACCCGGATTGGCTCATCGAAGAAAGAGGGAATGATAGGTATGTACTTGTAGAACCCGATCGCTTTCGCCTCTCATTCCCTCAACAAGTCACATTTTTATCCCGAACAACATAATTACGAAACTTGAGATGGTTTCAGGCGAGGCATTTGCAAGCAGAACAGAGGCTGCCTCATATATTACGGAAATATGAAATGAAATATCGAATCTTTAGTATGGGTCAATATGTAATTTTCGCTACTTTCTTATCACGTCCGCTGTCCATTCTCCGTGCTCGGAAGCCTGGGGCCTGTCTCGCGCGACCAAGTGCCGCCTCTTATTCAACAACATGCGGGAGGTCATCATTTTGAATACAACTGGATTGATGGCGCGGAGTCACTTGAAAAGTACAATCCCGGGGGTTATCATCCTATTATGATAGGGGACGTGCTTCGCGGGCGATATCGCATTGTTAACAAGCTGGGTTTTGGAGGGTATTCAACTGTTTGGCTAGCCCTGGATACCTGTCTGCACCGCTATGTTGCTGTTAAAGTTGGTATAGCATCTATGCTATACCATGATACCTGCGCGGTGCAATCTTATGTTGTGGGCTACATACATGTAGCTGCAAACTGTGCCGTGCATCTTCTCTTGACAGATATAGGAGCGCTTTCTCAACGACAGCATTCTCTCGAGATATCCATATGTATAGATGCAATTTTAATATTCCTATTTTATCTTTTCAATATATAGTCGAGGTTCTTTCCTTCATTTGTCTCTGTGCGGTTCGAACACAGGCGTTGCAGGAGGAGACCCGATCGCGCGCTGATGCTAGGGGGGACTCTATTTACTACGTGAGGACGCAATGATCTACTTCCCAATCCTGTCTCGAATTGACATCTGCAGCTAGGTACCTAATAATATTCGATTGACCCACTCCAGTACCCGAAAAGAACAGCTTCCCACCAGGGCATCGAATGTGAAAAGATCATCCGTGCTGGAAACGACTCTCTCTGCTCTCAAACCGTCGTGTGCGGGGCCCAGATGGTTCCTAGTTGGATATATGGTGATGGCCGTACGACGGGAGCACAGGCATCCAGACGAGGATCAGCATCTCAAAATTCGGAGACGGAGTGAGGTAAAAATAGAGAGGGTTAAGAGGAATTCTACAAGTATAGGTAGGGAATTAACTAATAATTGTGATAGTTGGGCATTTGATAAAATAGTGAAGTGATATTATTTAAAAATAAGTTTAAATGAAAAAATATCGGCAAAAAAAGAACCAGGTAATTCTGAAACCCCTGGCGGGGGTCGAACCCGCAACCTTAAGATCTCTTAAGCAACCGGATGAATTGCTAGTAGAAGTCTTACGCGCTACCATTGCGCTACAGGGGCTTTTGTGATGAAATCCTGCTGCCAAATTATGATCTTTAACTATGATACTCTGTACGAATGGACTTGAATAACTACCTAGGTAGTCAGAGATCTAAAAGTCACGGAGGCCTCCCATTCCACCACCCAGAACTTCTTCAGGTCTGGTAATCAAAAGATACCTAAGTAACACACTGTCTCTTACACTTCCAACCCGTATACTGAGCCGCAGATCGCTCAATTCTCTTCCTTCAAGGAGAAGCGACTTTTATACCGTGTAATGGGTCGCTGCTGGACTTTCGGGACCGGCTCGGTTAATCATGGATAAATCCGAGGATGTTGTATTTCTCTCTACTTTTTTGCCCCTGTTGAGGGTTTGGGGTTGGTGAGCTTCATATGTAGCTCTAGCAATGGTGTGGTTGGATAACTCAATACGGGTCATCCGACAATTATATATTTTAGGTCCGACTTGGATTGTGTAGATTTTCTTTCGGTCGCCTAGATTGAACATGACTGAATGACTGGAAGGACCCGACATACACTGAAAATGGAAAAGTATATATCCTCAACACGGGATTCCAAGTCATATTTTTAGATCTCCTGGTGAAAGCGATGAAGACAAACTGAGGGGTTATTTTCCTGCCGCAAAAACTTGCTGTGGTAGGGATATGGTGCCTGAGGCAGCAGTGGACAACAAGAGACAATGTACATCGGGGGGTTTATACCAAAATATTCCACAAGTTGTTAATGATCTATAGAAAGTAAATGTTTATATTTCTTCACTGATAAGTATTACGAGTTTTGAGCAGAGGGTTGTTGTATTGTTTATCGTATAGTACAATAAAGACCTGAGTGGCGCCAATCAGCTCCCAACCCCACCACCAAATCATCCATCTCAATCACAGTTACCATTTTAATATCAACGACTCTTGTATAATACAACCTGGACAGCACCATCAACTGATATTACATAAGAGCCCATAACCAAGATACGTGGTAATGCCGGCATTTCTACCTTCACATCTGTACTCCTTTACCATTCCTTCTATCTACGACGGCTCACAGCTGGATTGTCGGATATACCTCCCCAAACAGCTTGTAAGCCCAAATGCTGCATCTGAGTGGCGTGTACAAGGTGCCATAGTCGCGCATCCGTATGCTCCCTTTGGAGGCTGCTATGATGATCCCGTGGTGAATTTTGTCGGAGGAGAGCTGCTGGATGCTGGATATATCGTGGGAACATTTAACTTCCGGTATAAACCCGGTCCACTCGCTTTCTTCAGTGGATTTCGCTATATGATTATGGTAGAACCGCACTAACTACTACTATATATTCCAGTGGAGCCGGGGGTTCAGAGGGTCGAACTAGTTGGACAGCAAGACCTGAATTGGGAGACTACGCCTCCTTCTATGGGTTTCTGCTGCTTTATTTGAATATCTTGAAAAGGAGGTTTACATCTGTACCCGGAGACGGGAAGACTATAGAAAGCAAAGGTATTCATATTGTACTGGGTGGCTACTCCTACGGGTCACTTGTCGCTCAGCATCTCCCGGCGGTTAGTACAGTGACAGATATCTTCCTGGAAAGCACAACAAACACCTCAGTTCCCAAAATATTTGAAATGGCGAAAAGTGTCCATGCTTGGACCGCAGAGAAGATCCCAACGTCTTCCGACCCATCGCCAGGTCTGGATGCATCTGAGAGTATCCAACGTACAAAAGACGCGTTGCAGTCGTCCGCAACCACAATCTCATATCTCCTCATATCGCCTGTCCTTCCTCCTGTTAATTTTTTCCTCACTTTATTCTCCAACCTGTCGCTTGAAGTCGAGCAGACAACCCCTGGTCGAAGGAGACAACTCCTCTGCCCGAAACCTTCTTACCAGCTATGCGTACATCGAAGTCTAGCGATATACGGGGACGAAGATACATTTACCTCTGCAGCTAAGCTACGCAAATGGTCCGGTGAACTGAAGAGCGTGCCCCATACCCGATTTCACTCAGTGGAGATCGAACGTGCTGGCCATTTCTGGCGAGAAGATGGGGTAGAGTTGCAAGCCAGGGAGGCTTTAAGGGCTTGGCTGTGTCAGGGCTCTTGATACTATTTTATTTTCCTATACTATCCAAAGGCATAATCTGAAGATCCGTTGTGACATGTTTCGCGGGGGAGTGTGTGTTGGGCCGGGGATGAACTTCCCCACGCATGTGAAATTTCCCTCCTCGCATGACCTTGTCCAAGACTATGTTTTTATCCTTCTATTTAGATATTAGATATTTAACCAAGTGATGTTGGGATTACTCGATGGGAATTTCAATATTTAGAGGAGAGGCTGAGCCTGCTGTAGACTAATACCCAAATCAAGAACTTGTCTGACGCGGACGGAGACAAAGAGGGTTTGCCACGATCGAAGCGGAGAGTACCAGGTAGTTACCTAGGTATGGAAGGTAAGTGTGGGCTTAATTTCCACCCCACAAAATGTAGCAGTCATCCATGCATCCATTAACTAGTTAACTACCTATGAGTTAGTTAGTTAACTGACGGCAGCTGACTGACTTTCTGTGGCGACCCTGGTGAATCCTCCAGTTGATCTTCTCAGCCTTGATTTCCATTTTCCAGGCCCGTGACGTCGAAGGCTCCCCCGTGATCCTCCCCCAGGAATTTCCATCCTTGCAAACCTGTACATGATTCAATTCTCTGCCGCGATCGGAGATGCTACATTTTTTGGTCAACTTCCCTCCTCTTTCTTCTTGAATTGCGACTCTGACCGGATGACTTGACTGTGCTCTCCAATCTGCCATGTCACTTCTCCCCGATCCCCCTCTAATCTCGCCGACATGGCATGGCAAACCTAAACTCCCAGCCAACCATTCTTCCCATCGAGACTCCCTTGTCCATGACCGTCGTTCCCGCCTGAAACTGATCTCTGTGCCCTCGTTTTCCTCTGTTGTCAGGGATTCCATAACGTGGGCGGGGAGTGCATGGTATTCCAAAGATGGCCACCTCAAGGAGGAACCGCGGGATATACACGCGACCACGGAGGATCGTAGACAAGTGCTGTATCTCAGAATGCGAAATGTAAGTTAAGTGGGTGGCTCTGTGGTCCTGGACTGAAAAAGCTGATATGAATCTCTTTGTTGCGTAGGCTGTTTCCTACGAAGAATGGAAAGAATGCGCTTGTGAGTTAGACAGGCTAGAGAACAACAACACGTGGAAGGAAACGTTTGAGTGTTCCGAATACAACCCCCGTCTGGTGGAGGGACGTCTCAAGCAGTTAGAAATAGCGCGTCTTAGTTGCGATGTTAGCCGCATGTTATACCTCGTTCGCACGGCCTTGAGTCGCGATCTAGGAAACATGAGCAACGCCTCTCTCTACAAGCATACCCATTTCGGCACCAAGGATTTGGTCGACCGGTACATAACGACCGCTGTTGATACGATTTCATCGCTTGTCGAACTGTCCGGTGACAATCGGTGTGATGCTGCGGAATCGAGATACATTCTGGATCAATTGCTGGCGGCAAGACAGGCCTTTGGACGCAGCGCCCTTCTCTTCTCGGGTGGGGCGACTTTTGGCATGAACCATATTGGTGTTTTGAAGGCGCTTTGGATGTCGAAACTGCTTCCTCGCATTATCTCCGGAGCTTCGGCAGGTAGTATTGTTTGTGCTGTGTTTTGCACTCGCACCGAGGACGAACTCCCTGCACTTTTGGCGTCGTTCCCTTACGGCAACTTTTCTGTGTTTGATGAGCAGGATCGGGCGGAGAATATCTTGCAAAAGACAGCTCGCTTCCTCAAATACGGTGCCTTCTTGGATATTTCCAATCTGGCCAAAGTGATGCGGAGTTGGCTGGGAGATATAACCTTCCAGGAGGCGTATAACCGGACCCGGAGGATCCTCAACATCTGTGTCTCTAGCGCTGGGGTATACGAACTCCCTCGCCTCTTGAACTATATTACCGCCCCGAACGTCCTGATTTGGTCTGCTGTGTAAGCATTTATTCTCCCTGATGTGTATCTGGTTGACGCTGACCTCAGCAGCGCCGTCTCGTGCTCTGTCCCGATTGTATTCTCTCCATTCACTCTCATGGCGAAAGATCCCCTGACAGGAGATCCGGTTCCGTGGAATGACCTCCACAAACAATACATTGATGGCTCTGTAGACGGAGACCTTCCAATGAATCGACTCGCGGAAATGTTCAACGTCAACCATTTTATTGTCTCCCAAGTGAACCCACATGTTGTCCCGTTCCTCCCTAAGGATGAGGAACCGAAGAGCGTGGCTACGCCGACTTCATCCACCTCCCGATTGTTCTATACCGTCACGCGTCTGGCGAAAGATGAAATCTTGCACCGGATGGCCGTGCTCACAGAGCTCGGCATGTTTCCCACTTCATTGACCAAGGCGATCTCGATCATGAACCAAAAGTATTCCGGAGATATTAATATTTACCCAGAGATCCTGTATACGCATTTCCCGCGCATTTTGAAGAATCCGACGACCGACTTTATGCTCAAAGCATGTCTCAGCGGAGAACGAGCGACATGGCCGAAGCTTGCGCGCATCAGAAACCACTGTGCTATTGAGTTGGCCTTGGATTCGGCGATTCAAAAAATGCGGGCACGGGTGGCCTTCTGTCACACTCAAGTGGACCTCATGTCAAGCGCCTTTATACACCATTCGATCCCGTCGCTGGACAGTAGTGGAGGCCGCGGGCGCAGGCGGAGGAGCTCCTATAGTCATGAAGTCGAAAGGCGACGGCGTGCCAGGAGTAAATCCGGTCGCCCAAGCGCGGTAAAAGTAGGGAGATCCCTCTCTCATAGTTTTGAGTCAACGAACACTACAAAGGCTAGCCTTGTGGGGATTGAGGGTCTAGATTGGAGTCCGGTTCGTTATCAGAGCAGCAGTTTGGAGGACGACGGACAGTCAGCGCCTCTGTCTGGAAGCGAAGGAGAGACAGAACCGCTATCCTCGGAGAAATCCCTCGCTATGGAGAGCCTGGCTAATATTCTTTCGTCTACCCCCGCACAACCTTTCTTCTCACCCGACCCAGAATGCAGCCCACAGTCTTCCACAGTGTCATCCTCGTCAGCATCCTCGCCATCTCCAACTCCTCGTCCGTCTGTCCGTGCTTCGCACTCTCCGTCGCCGGGGAGACGTACGTCGTTACCCCTGAGGTCGACGTCTCCACCCCGATTCTTGCTTCGAATGACACCGGCGAAATCTGCGACAGCCCCCGCTGTTTCTGAGCTTACCTCTCCTGGGGTGTATAATTAAACTTTTGCAACCGAGTGTAGGATGACCATTCTTGATTTTCTGGGTTGCTCTCTCTGGCTTTTGATCTTTGCTTGGAGACGAACCATTCTATGAGACATGGGGTGTTGGCGCTTCTTAAGTCCTATGATATGATTCATGAGGCATGTTATATGATACACGAACTGTTTGTTTCTATAATTGATACCCTTGGGACGGGGTCACCGATATGGGAGTTTGGCGTTGAGGAAGGGGGTAGTCGGACGGGGACGGGGTTCGGGGTCTGGAATCCCTCGGTACATGTGATTTGCTGTTTGAGATTTCCCTTGTCTGGACATGGATTGCGGATGGTGCTGGGTACTCTTGACCGTCATGGAGGTCTGTATGGCGGTGTTGTTGAATCCAATCCAATCCATGCTTGCTGGATACACACCACGGGCGGTCTTTGGGGGCGGGAGGGGTTGTTTTTTTGACTAACCGCCAGGGTTCATCATGGGTACATGTCCACATAGATGCTGGGGGTTTCCATTTGAGAATAGATAGACTCTAGGGTAGGAACTTGAGAGCCTATTAGACTACTTGGATTCGAGGTGCCAAAATACGGTCTGTGTACGCAACCGCCAGGCTTTCCAAAAGCCGGAGCTAAATGCGGGTCGACACAAGACCATCAGGATAGCAATAAGAATAGCAATGTCCGTAACCCGGAAAGTGCAGACGATATAATTAATCCTAATTATAGCGACGTCAAGGAGGGGTTGAGTTGTTAGTTACTGACGTTTCTGCAGGCGATAAAAGGTACGTGACTTGCCCTAATCCCGAAGCTAACTCTGTACAAGGTACTAAGTAGCGGGGGATTCTAAATTTGTCTTCATTCCAGAGTACATAGACTAGTTAATTCCCGAATAGTATCTTATTGCGAGCTTAATATAGAAACAATTTCGCCTACGAGGTCCGGATCCTCCAGACCTAATGCACCTGCCCGTTGTCTGGCGCGTATTCTTCGCCTTTCTGTCGGAGTTCGGACCATCTGGACTAGGGGCTTGGTCAGCCTAATTGGATAGGATAGTTAGAATGGCCTTCTGCACCTTGTTGTTCCATCGTGTAACTAAAAGATGAAACCGACCAAAGGGAGGGAGAGGGGGAGGGTCAATTTTAGAACCTCCCTGTTGGACAAGCGCTAAATGCAAAGCAAATGCAGATATGCAAATGTACCTGGGAGTTGGAGTTGGAGTATTTATTATCCTCTATCCTCTATCCTCGTTCTTGTCTTTGATCTAAGAGCTTGGCTTTTGGAAGAAAGGCTTATTCTTTATGTTGGTTGCTTTACATACACCTATATACGTACACCCATATACGTACATACGTACATACGTATACAGATATATATATAATTTACGCTACCATGGCAAACATCACCTCCCTCCATCAATTCCGCAAACAAAATACCTTCAAATCTCTCCATGAACGATGGGCAGATTCCCCAGACGAATCCTGCAACCAACCCCCATGCCTTCTAGACGACGACGACGACGACGACATCACTCCTCTAACCGGGTCTTCACGCCCCCCATCACATCAACCCCCCAGCTCATTCACCCTCAACCCGCGGCGTCTCTCCGTCCGTCTCAAGTCCCGACCTCATCCTCATCATCATCATCATCATCATCATCATCATCATCATCATCATCATCACCCTGCTGCCCCCCCCACCGACCAAAGTCCTTCGCCGCAGTCTACCAGCGACGCCAGAGCCGGCCGGGCAGAATTCGTCTACAAGCCTATTCACCAGGACTACCCGACTATCGTTGCCAAGAAGGCTGCGTCCCAGACCCGTCCGGCCCCGCGATACCAGTATATTCCTACGGTTCCGGCGCGGGGACGATACCTGGAGGAGTTTACGATGGTGGCGCCGCGATCCCACTGCTCCGGGGATGAGATTTACCAAGGAGATGAGGATGGGGACGAGCATGAACATGAGCGCCATGGTTACCGCGAGCCATGCGGTGGGGAGTGTCGAGATGCGGGCTCGGAGTCTGCCAGTCGACGCATGAGTTTCTTGAGTCCGCGGAGGGATTATAACAGTGCTTCGAGAACGAGACGCAGTCGGGCGGCCAGACGGTTGACCACCGTGATGGTTCCTGATGCAGAGGATATTTATGGATGATTTTTTTCTTCTTCTTTTTTTTTTTTTTTTTTTTCTGGCTTCTTAGAGGAAGCGTTGCTTTACTGGATGGTTTTTGGCACGGCTTTTTGGCATGGGCGTTGGAGGTTTACTTTTGTGGTTCTATAATCATGAATGAATGACTGACTTATATATGATCTATAATGATGGGAATGATACATACAATGATTAAATGATCTTTACTTTCTTTCTCTGGTATGTATTTAAATTATCTCCCATGTACATGGTATGGTATCTCTATCTGATATATCCCCGGATTGCTATGTAGGGCTACTACAAGACAATATCACAGACCAAAGTATCCGCGGTCCAAGCTGTAGAGTCTAGCTTTTCTCATCAGCTATTTTAAGTTCTCATTCTGCAAGAACCGATCCTTCAGCAGAATCTTGTCATCGTTTGACTCGTTATATCGTCCAAGCGCCCGCCAGGATTGAGACTATCTTAGCGCCCAAGCACGCATTGAGCCTCGACAGCCAATGAATCCTGCCGACCAGCCAGCTCTAGCACGCTATGATAGAGATCCAAAGATGGCCTGGGCTATTTTTGGGATCTCTGGGTCGTTTCAGAATTCACTCGGTCCAATCCTCTGGCGGCGCGGGCCATTAAAATAGCCTCAACTCAGAAAGGGTCCGTTCGGGATTTTCCCCCCCCATGTGTTTTCATTCAGAGCGGGGGTGTTATTGCCTATATATCTGCTTCTAGATCTTTTTCTTTACTTGGGTTATCTAAAGATATCTATTTCTTGCTTGTCCCTCCTGTGCTGAGGAGAGGCCGCCAACCAACATGGCGGATTCATATTCCTCCCAGACAGACCAGGGCGACGACGACTCCAACAACAACAGCAACAAAACCACCACGATTATTATCGGAGTTGTTGTAGGAGGGGTCTGTGCTATTTGCAGTATGTCTCTCTAATCGATCAAAAGAGAAAAAGAAAAAGAAAAAAAAAAAAACCTAACAATTCAGTCGCTGCAACCGTCATCTTCATCCTCTACAAAAAGCGCAAATGGGATCGTATCCGCCAATGCGAAGAACGTCTCCTCGACTACCAACTCGCAACAAGCTACTCCAAATCCCGCTCCGTCACGCCAGAAGATCACTGCCTTGATCTGGGGAGGATGCCGCCAGCCCTAGCCCCGGGTCCGGGTCCAGGACTCCTCCAACAACCGCAATACGCACGCGACCCTAGCAACCCATCGAGAAGATCTAGATCGGCCACGCTTGAAGCACCACCACCAGCCTACCAATCGCTTCATCCGCGGTACGATCCATCGCGGTACTCGAATATCTCGCGGACCTCGGCCGCGTTCGACCTGCCAAAGTCCAGCAATGCGAATAACGGGGGGTTGTCGATCTCGATTCCGAGTAGTGAGGGCCCGGGGGGTTTGGCTTGGTATCATCATCAGCAGCAGCAGCAGCAGCAGCGGGAATCGATGCTTTCCACGGCTTATTCGGTAGGAGATTGGCCATTATCGTCGACATTGGACGCGAATACTCGTGCCGATACACGTCGATTATCTACTGCTGCTACTGCTCCCCAGGAAGAAAGACGAGGCCCTCAACGACCGAAACCGGTTTTATCGAGACTCGTTACGAACTTCTAATAGAGAACAGAAAGGAGGCTTTCACTTTGTTTTGGTTTGGTTAGCGTCTATAAATGTCGTTGGCGTTTCTCAGGGTTTCTCAGGTGGGTTTACTCGGTATTTATTCTCGGGATGGATCTGGGGTTGCTTATTATGGATTCGTATGATGGCGTAAGGAAGTAATAATGATAATGCATTATGTTGATGACATTTCTTAAACACATCCAATATATATATATATATATATATATACAGGATCCCGATCCAGATAGAAAAAGTCGGGTAATTACCGTAAGATCTTAAAATAATATCCGAGGAAAAGAGGAGTACTCCGTACAAGAATCACACCCTGCTTCACTAGTCTCTTGAAGGAGTCAAAAAGGACTCTGCATATCTAGGCCTTATTTACCTAGGGAATGCATTAGTCGTACATAATCCTGACAGCAGAGTATGTACTCCGTAAGTACTCCGTACTCCGTAGGCGATTCACTACGCCATGGCGGCCCTAATTCAGCCACTGCCCCTCCTTCGGCAAAACTTGGTAAGCAGAAGCATTTTTTAGTTATTTGGAATCCGAGGGAGTAGGGATTGTACGGAGTACTAGAGGCTGAGTACTTTTCTCAGTCTGTTCTACCTGGACTGGGATTGGAAACCTGGCAAAGTATTTGGAATACTTGCAGATGGTGATTATGTACATGGAGTGGTAAGAATCACTCACTGATACCTAGCTTATTCGCAATTTATTAATTAGATTTAAAACCAGAGAATGGGAAATATTGAGGGACAACATTGGAGGATTTAGACACTTCTTCTCCGAGCCCTAAGTCAGTATCACAGGATGGATCACGGCGCGTAGGGAAATGCGCTGTTTGGCTCGGGCCCAACCGCGATGATCAACCCGCTGCTTATTCTCCAGATTGAACCAACTGCAGCTCAAGTGTTGTTGTCCTCAGTGGCACTTGGGCTTCAGTCCTAGATAGCCTCCCCCCCCTCTCCGTCTGCTTGCTCGCCAGGTTGCATCGCAGGGATAGTTGTCTAGGATTTGAGACCATGGTGGCCTCCTCTCCACGATTGTGATTAGACCTGCTGTCTTCGGAGTAATGGCTTCCAAGCTTCGGCCGGATCGAACTTCCAGGATGGTCATCATGCCCCCTCCTTCAGTGAACTAGGATCGGACACGGGAGCAAAATATCTGCCTTGTCCTGTCCGGTTCAAGTCTCTCTTGCTCCCCTGTCCCTATGCAATGGGATGATCATGTCTTACCGCTCGATGTGGACTCTGTAGTGCAAAACCCGCCGCCGTGCCCAAAAGCGAATCGGTTACGACAATCTAGCCCTGGCCTCCAAGTGGTGTTGTGTTGTTGCTGCTCTGTTCTCCTCCGGTCCTATTTGACGGAGAAAAGGGCAAAAGGGAGTAGAGAACCAAACTGTCGGGTCCTTAATACTGTCTTCGTCCTTCCAGTCATCGATCCCTAGAATGCCCGTCGCTCTGCCTGATCGAGCTCTTTCTCGCGGAGATCTCCCCAGTGATGTACAGTTGCTACTTGACGGATGTGGGCTGTTGTCTCTAAATTATGCCCTGATCGAACTGTATCCCATGCTGTACGTTGGTTTTTCGGCTATCACTTGCTCTTTCGTTTTGACTGCCCCCTCCCTCCCCTCAGAGCCCTCGTTTGGAGTCGGCGCGCGCGTGTGTGTGTGTGTGTGCGCGGGAGGGGTTTGGTGACAGCAGGGACAGTGGAATTGTACATAACTGTTTGATCGGGGTGAAGAAGGTACTGATTGCTTTTCCTCCTTCCCTTGCCTCTATTCCTCCTCTCTGGGCTTTGCTTTAGCCTGCCTTGTCTTTCATTCTGGGGTTAAATCGATTGCGCATTCATGTTGACCGTTCACAGGTCTTCCTTTTGGCTATATGAAGAGTCCCCTCGAGATCATGACCGCTATCATTCACAAGTTGCGGGGGAAACGGAAGCTTTCCTCCGAGCTCGACTCTCGCTGGGGAGATGTGTCTATTTCCTACCCCAATGCAGGCTCCTGGAGTCAGTATGACCGGATCTCCGAGAGAGTCAGTCCCACGTCTGCGCAGTCGTCCGATCACGACGGCCACGCCTATGGACGAAAGCACAGCTCTGGCGACTGCTCTGACCACCACACAGCCCCGAGTCCCGATGGCCCAGAGCAGCCACCCCGGAAGGGATCGGTGGATTCATCACTCACGATACCCACGGGATACTACGATGCGCGAGTTCGCAGCCGGTCAAAGACAGCACCCAGCTCGCCCGAGCCCCCGCCACCGCAGCTCGCGCGACGTCCGAACATTACATTGCCGCAGGCCTGGGAGGAGGAACGCTTCAACGATAGCTCTGCGGACGAAGCCGAGTGCGATTCTGTTTCCGCATTGGGATGTCTGAAAGGGCGAGAAGATGCGCCAGACTTCTCCCGGCCCTCCAAATCCCCTCCACTATCCGTCACCTCGCGAATGCGACGGCTGAGTGGCCATAGCACGGCCACAGACCCAACCTCCTCCTCCATACCAGGTACAGCGAGCTCCAAACGAACCAGTTTCAGTTCATCTGTGCCATCAGCCTCATCCGAGGACCCTCGACTTGCACGACATACTCCACCACACCACGAGAAAAAGACTCCCCGACGGGCAAACCCTGCGCGGCTCACGACACAGCAGGAACTGGTCCCTTCGTACGACGAACTGTATGGATAGTTTACGATGATTGGATCCAGGGACTTTTTTTTCTTTTTCTTTTTTTTTTTTCTTCATTCCTTTGTTTGCTGAGGATATTTACTTTTTTTTTTTTTTCTTTTTGAGCTTTGGATGAATGGACAGAAGAGTCTCCTCCCTTTTGCTCTCCTTTTCCTTTTGACAATGTACTGAGTAAGGATGAAACTACCCTGATGCTTGAAAGACAGGGTCTTGTTTTGTGCTGTCTCTCTTCTTTTATTTGTTACTTTTGAGCCACCAGCGAAAGATACAACTGCATAGTGGCGTTTATACCTGGGTTGGGCGGCGGCATGTTGGTCCTCCATGACCTCTTTTTTGTATAAAAGTACGGATACTTGTGCTGTGGAGTCCGGATATTGAACATAATTGATGCATATAATTATCCCTGCTATATGCCGCTCTCTTGCGCCAATTAATATAGGGATGGTATGGCTAGCCACAACAATACTTCTCTCCCAGCTATCTCCAACTTCAACTTGCCCAACAGGGAAATTCTCGCGGACACCATCACCAACTACGGCGCCTGGGAATCTTCTCCTCCTCCAATAGAAGCATCCAGGTGCCAGACGCACTAAAGAAGCGTCTACGGGCAGCGAATGACAAGCTTCAATCTGTGTGCGACCAGCTGCACTACTCGTCACAATCACAATGCGCTACTCTCCTCCATCACACAGAATCCGCATCCACACTTGTTGCCTTTCCCCCTCCTCTCACTGTGCCGAATAACCAGCAGTTAATTAAGACCATTGGCAGGGGGGACAAAGGAAACATTCTCTCCACTACAACTGCCCCCCATCTGTTCGTCCATGCTTGATCACATCCCATCACTATCCATAGAGAGTCCAGAGCTTGGTGACTGGTCTGGGTTTGGGGATACCGTTTCTTTCTTGCCAGTGATCGCACCACCGGCGGCGTTTATCAATTCCATATTTCAGTCCCCGGGGGAGGAGAGGGGGGGGAAAGTCGAGATGTCCTCCGACCGTTGCTTATTGTGAGAACTCGCCTGCTATTTCTACTCGTGGTTTCTCTCTCCATCTTCCACGATCAGTTATTGCTTTACCTACCACCTACTTATATACTTGGCTGCGTCTTTTACTGCTCTCGTTCTTTCTGCCACCTGTAGAGAAAGCGTTTACGGGGACGACTTCGATGCCCCAACGGCCGATGATCATCATACGCCGTCTGGCTTTCTTATTGTTGCTGCTGTCGTAGAAGCAACCGGGGCGATTGCTGGCTTCCTTCGCTATTCTGTCGTTTCCTTTTGCTTCTCTCTCTCTCTCTCTCTCTTTCTCTTTGCGAGACAGGATCAAGATGGTCTGTGCTTTGGACCAGGGACTGAGATCCTCGTTGAGATGGGCCGCCGTGCTAGTTCTTCTCACTCAGTGTTCTCAGGTTGCTCTGGGACTGCGCACGGCATCAGGTTCGCCATGTGCGTCTCTGTGTAGCCCATCGAATGACACGGCGCCTTCCGAGATTGTATGTGAGGACTACCAGTTTCGTGAAACCGCAGTCGGGCGAAAGTTCCAGTCGTGCATTTCATGCGAATTGAACAGCACGTACGTCGATAGCGCCAGCGATGAATCGGATCTTGAATGGGCTCTGTGTATGTTTCCGTTCCTTCGTTTTCGCCGTGGGATCCGGGACCCAAGTGGACTAACTGTGTGAATGGGCAGACAACCTTCGATACGGATTTTCGTCCTGTGTTTATGGCTACCCCGAGAAAGTCGGAAATGTCTCCAGTCCTTGTCCGGTCGCTTGCAACGACGTGATCACCGCGTTGGAGTATGACCTGACGAACCCTTCAGGTGACAACTTCGACACCTGGTGTGGCACCACGTCCTTTGCGGATAATGCAATCACGAAATGTGAGGCGTGCTATAACCAAACGTATGGTCAGTCGAATAGTCAAGTATATCTGTCGAACTGTGCGTTCTCCTCTTTCCTTATGTGTGTGTGTGTGTGTGTGTGTGTGTGTGTGTGTTGACATTTCAACTCCAGTCCTCGAAGCCCTTCGCTATAACTGCCATTTTAGCACCCCAACGGGGGAAGATTTCCCAATTACCCCGACTCGCATCTTTTCCGAGTCGATGCTCCCTTCTTCCACCGTCAACCTCACCTCCCCTACTGCGAAGGGAGGGTTAGGCTCGGCGAAACTCGCCCTGATCATAGCACTCCCAATCCTAGGCTTTGTGGTTCTGCTCTGCGTTCTCGCGATCTCATGCTTCTTCTTCATCCGCGCACGCCGCAAGAAGATCCGCAAGATGCGACAGCCCGGGCATCTCCATGCAGGCTGGAACCACCCGGGCAGCGGCGCCCCTCAATGGGCCACTGAATACCCAGCGCAGGCGCAGGGTATGTATGGCCCTGCAGTGTATTATCCCGAACCCATGAACGGGGTTGTCTTTGTCGACGCCGACGGCCGGCCGCAGGAGGTGGGATACGCCAAAGTCATGGAGCCGGTGGTTATGTCGCAGTCACCGGAAGAGAAAGCGTCTCAGACGCATCCGACGGATGATGTACCGCCGCCTGCAGAGCAGCAGCACCCGAATAATGGGAAGATGAAGCAGGTTGACTAACAACCGATGTTGTTCTGTAACATCTATACAGATTAGCCTGTTCCATCCCATCCCATCCCATCATACCACACCTGTCTTTGATCTTCAAGTTAGTCGACCTGTCATGACCATACATACATACCCATCCTGTTGCATTGCATTGTATGTGAGTTGTCTGAAGTTAATCGTAGAAAAACCAGCAAACACGGCAAGAAACGAGGAAGAGTAGACATTCAGAATCGAGGCAGGGATGCCTATATATGTATGATATCCGGCGCTGGGTAGTCCGCTAGTTAACTAACTACTGGTAAATACGCGCTGACTCGTTTCAGACCAGACTGAACGACCAATGCGGGGCGATACTACTACTATTAATAGGCGACGACGCAATCCTACAATTCTATTCTATTCTATTCTACTCCGTACCTAGGACCTAGGTAACTATTCTTGAGGTGCTATTTTGGTCACGGACCGGCCTATCAGCGGATACCAGATGGTGAACCGGATACCTACCTAGGTAGGTAGAGTATTCGCCCACTTCTTTTCTTCCAAACACTTGACAACACCACAAAAGAACCAAACCCATCCCACCTAAGAAGAGCAATCGAAACAATCAAACCAGAAAAAAAAAAAAAAAAAGACAGAAAGAATGTCCGCCCTATCCCAAGACCAAATCAAAACCCTCGACCAATCCCGCCACCGACTCGTCCAGCTCACGCGTTCCCTGGGATCTCTAATCACAAGCCTAAACCAAAGCGACCCGTTACCATCGTGGTATCCCCCCCCCATTTTTCTCCTATTATTATTATTATTTAATACTACTAATACTAACACTAATCAACGCCAAAAAAAAAGGACCTCCCTCCAATCCCAAACAAGCATCATATCCAACAACCTCCTCAGCATATCCGAGCACCTCTCCGAGAACCAAGCCACGCTGTGCTCCGTGGTCGCGTACCCGGCGCCCGAGTTCCCGTCGCGCACGCAATCCAGCACCAGCACCAGCACCAGCACCAGCACCAGCACCAGCACCCTGGAGCAACTCCTCCGCACGAAGCTGGACCCGCGCGTCGAGGACTGGGTGTCGCGCGGCCGCCGCGCCGACGCCAGCGAGACCGAGGAGCGCAGGAAGGCGCAGCAGCAGCTGGGTGAGAACGAGTTGGCCGCGTTGTGGCGGTGGGCGCCTGTGGAGGCGAACCACGAGGCGAGGCGGCGGAACTGGGGCGGGGATTTCACTTTGGAGGAGCGCGAGAGGGGCGTGCAGGTTGTTGCGGGGGAGTTGGGGCTGCGGAGGGGGTTGGAGGATGATGAGAGTAGTGACGAGGAGGAGGAGGAAGAGGACGAGGACGAGGACGAGGACGGGGACGAGGACGGGGAGATGGAGGTTGTTGGGGTGAGGAAGAGTGCGAGTGGGAGTGGGTTGGAATATGATATTGCGGCTGCGACGGCGGGTTCGCTGCATGAGAGGATGGTTGCGCCCTTGGTGCCCTTGGAGGAGATTCTACGGTATATGACTACGGGTGTGCCGCCGGGGCAGCGCTGATGTTATTACTTATACATTGGATGTCTCAGTGGTACAGATGCGACCAAGGTAATGTATTCACTTATAATCAATTAAACTGTGACATAGTAATGGAAGAAAAGAAGAAGAAGAAGAAGAAGAAACCCGTATTTCAACTAGTCTAACCGCGTCGTCGGGTGGTAGGAGTCCTTCCAGACGGCTTAGGCGACGCCCCCGAGCTGCGAGCAACCGGAGTTGCCTCAGGCGCCGAAACAGCGTACTTGAACTTGGGCGTCTGAACCGCTTTCTTGGGCTGCGATGGGCTATTCCAGTAGTACAGCATCTGCGCCGCAAGGACCAGGTTCAGAGTAAATCCCGCAAGGAATCCGTACAGGATGAGCTTGTCGTCGACTTCCTGGAGGGTCGTGAATATGCGAGTCAGGGAGCCTGCGAGATAGTTGAACACCTATCGCGATTTAGTTAGCATTTGACTCTCCCTCCACTGATCGGTGGTTGCATATACCGCAAAAGCACTTAACTGCCCAGTACCTCCTACTTGCCAAATAGTGAGAATCTGAGGCACCTTGCTAGCGACACCCAAAGCTCCTGCGCCGGCCTGGAGGTACGCCATGGATTGTGCATCAATAAGAGTAGTATCGACCAACAACGCATACACACTGGCTGCCACAACTGCCAGGAAGGCAGCCGCAGCTGCAGACTTGCCGGCATACGTCAAGACCAACACTCCAACCAACACATCCTGCGCCGCAATGAAAGCAGATTCACCGTAAGTGCTGAACGGAAACTGGTTCCGGACACCGTAGGAAAGGGTAATGAGCAGACTGGCGGTTTCGAGGGCGTACGACACGAAGGACACCCCGGCCGAGGATCCGGAACGGATGAGCTTGAGAATCTGGGGCACCTTCACAATCCCGCTAGCGCCGACAATCGCAATACCCAGAGCCTTGGAAATTGCGAGAGATGTGCAAGCCGAGTCCTGGGCAAGATCCAAGTTCAGCAGGAGTGTGTTGTGGCAGCTTGATCCGATGAGAGAGATAATAGCATCGTGGACAGGCTGTGGCACCGACGAAACGATGGGACGGAGGAAAGGTTGGAGGGGATCGACGATGGTCTTCTGAATTGCGTCCATGGTGGTAATTCTCGGGGACAGACGAGATATCTAAACCAGAGGGAAAGGGGAAAAGAAAGATGATGATGGTGTTCAATAGTTGGTTAGAGCGTGCTTTCCATTCCGCTGCGAAAAGTTCCTGCGCTTTTGGTCTCTACCGCGTTGCCGACCGTTTTCTCCCGAAGCTTTTCTCCGTTGCTTCAATATCTCCAGATCTCCAAATCACTCCACATTTCATTCAACTCTCCCCTCTCTCAACATATCGGCTTTTCGCCATGATCCTCCTCCGCTCGTCTCTGCGGAGGGTAGGGTCACCTGGCGATCCCCCTCTTCTGTGCTCCCAATGTCTCCGCCGCAATCCTCCTTCCCCCGCCGGTACCAACAGGTTCCTCTCGACCACCGCGCGATTACAGTCCGCAATTGCAAACCGACCGTCGCCCTCAAAAGCTCTCAACAAGTCATATTTCTCCTCAAATAAAAAACTAGGCTTCCAGAATGGCCTGTTTACCTCATTTTCCCCGGTCAATGCCTCGCATCAGCTGGACTCCAGCTCCCCGTCCCGAGCCCCCACAGAGACCGATACGAGCTCAGCAAACGCCGCAGAAGCTACTTCAGAATTGCCTCATCGTCGACGGAAGCGTTTAAAGGATGAAGCAGCTCAGAGTAATGCGGCAGAACCAGTCATTCCACCGGATGCCTCGGCGCAGTTGTCTACCTTCTCATCAACCCTTCCGAAGACCTCCATCCGCCGCAAGTTGGCGGCCTTCCTCGCTCTCACCAAACCTCGTCTCTCGTTTCTCATCCTGCTCACAACGACATCCGCATACGGCATGTATCCCATTTCGTCTCTTCTGGCGCTCGATCCTGCAATGACCCCTCTTCCCACGCTCTCGACTTCCACTCTCACATTCTTCTACCTAACAACGGGCACATTCCTCTCCTGCTGCAGCGCGAATACCTTGAACATGTTCTTTGAGCCCAAGTACGATGCTCTGATGTCGCGAACCCGGAACAGGCCTTTAGTTCGGGGGCTCGTTTCTCCGCATGGTGCCGTGATCTTCGCCATTATCACGGCCGGCTTAGGTCTGGGACTGTTGTACTTCGGAACCAACCCCACCGTGGCCGGGCTGTCGGCAGCGAACATTGCCCTCTATGCGTTTGTTTATACGCCCATGAAGCGCATACATGTGGTTAACACCTGGGTCGGTGCTCTGGTGGGTGGTATTCCTCCCCTAATGGGCTGGGTTGCTGCTGCAGGACAAACGGCGACGACCGGGCACGACACATGGCGGGATATGCTTTTGAGTGAGGATAGCATCGGCGGATGGCTCCTGGCTGCAATCCTATTCGCTTGGCAGTTTCCTCACTTCAATGCTTTGTCTCACACCATCCGCGAGGAGTACAAGGCAGCCGGATACAAGATGATGTGCTGGACCAACCCCGCTCGTAACGCACGCGTCGCTCTGCGCTACTCGGTGCTTATGTTCCCAATTTCTATTGGCCTTTGGTGGGTTGGAGTCGTTGGCAATGGTTTCCTCGTGGGCAGCACCTTCGCAAATGGCTGGCTCGTCAAAGAGGCCTACCGATTCTGGCAGCACCAAGGCGCCAATGGAAGTGCCCGCGGCCTATTCTGGGCCAGTATTTGGCAACTGCCCATCCTCCTAGTCGGCGGCCTGGTTACCAAGAAAGGCCTTTGGGATGGCGTTTGGAGGAACGCTTTTGGTCAGCCGGATGAGGACGAAGACGAGGATTATGTATACTACGACGATGAGGAGGCAACAGCTGGAGAGACCGTAAGCCAGAATTCTACACCTCAATCCAACCCTGTTCCGTCTTAGGCGTTCAGCTTGTGAGTCCGGGAATGTTCTATTCCGAGCCCTCCAACACTGCTCCTACTCCTGGAAGAGGAGTAGCACAGGAGGAAGAGGCCTCTGATTAAAAAAAAAAAAAAAAAAAAAAAAAAACATCATCTTTCTTCTCACCCATGTATTAAATTTTTTTTTTGGCCTGGGGGCGTTTGTATAGGTGGGTATATCAATGCATTTTCTTTTCTTCAATCCTGACTATATACATACATGTAAATAATAGTATGTCCTTCAGTATCATCTGGAGATCATGGACGGAGCGCTTGAGATTTTAACCATGGCGATGGAATTTATTTTGATTTTATTTTTAATTTCCAGCAATTCACACCCATCTCTGTGTCGGTAAGCCAGCCAACTTCCATGACAAGCAAATTAAACAATGCTAAGCAAGTCCACTAAATACCTAGTCTCTCTCTCTCTCTATACCTAACTAATTCTTCTTCTTGATATTGTATCTCTTATTATCATTGTTTATTGCTTGTTCGGTCTACCGGCACGGGGGATACATTATCTATCTAACCTCAGGGACATAGAAAGAGGAGTTCAATAGGGGTTCATGAGAGATGACTACTGTACATGTATAGTATAGGTATTGTTTTATACAAGGTTCGTGAAGAGGAGGGCTACTAGCTACTCCTCAGTCAAACGGAGATGATATGTTTCCAGTGCTTCCTGGGTTATTAAGCCCGGAGCTTTCACCATGGGATCTTCTCCGAGTTTGCCTGTTTTCGGGAAGGCAATGACGTCCCGGACAGACTCCTTTCCAAGCATCATGGCAACTAAACGATCAAATCCCAAAGCTAGGCCTGCATGCGGCGGGCATCCCGCACGAAGGGCCTCCAGGAGATGCGAAAATTCGGACAGTCGCTCTGCCGGCATCTGGAGAACGTCTCGGAGAATAAACTCCTGCACGGCGGCATCATGGATACGCCGACTACCGCCACCAAGCTCCACGCCGTTCACTACCAAGTCGTAGTGATCTGCGACAACTTGGGTGGGGTTCGTGAGAAGTAGATCTACGTCTGCGGCTGTCTTTGGTGCGGTGAAGGGATGGTGGGTAGAACTGATCCCAGCTGCACCGCCTTGGCCCGGCTCCGATTCGGTGGTGGGGGAAAAGAGAGGGAAGTCGACAACCCAGAGGAAGTCGAATCCGGTTGGCGCAGGCCTGAGTCCAGACTCGACAGCGGCGGAGTGAAGAGCCCGACGGAGGTCGCCTATTGGCGTGGATCCACCAGCGAAAGGCCCTGATTTACGGGCTTGAATTACGATCAAATCACCATGATCGGGTTTCAGCAGATCCTCCACGTACTCTGCAGCTTGGAAGCCAAATGGCTGCAGTCCAGACAACGGCTTTTTTGCATCGTAGACGAAGATTCCAGGCCCACCGTCTGGGTTATTGTTAAAGGGTGCCCCGGCTGGAGAATCAAGAAACTCGGAGATGAATCGCAAGGTGACATCTGGGTCATTCTCACTGGCTTCCAGTTTGAAAATCTCTACAATTGGGTCCGTTAGAGGAGAGATTTTGTTTACGAGGTCAACTGGGAGGAGATTCTCAATTTGATGTATCTCCATTCCGAATCTGGTATCCGGCTTGTCTGACCCATAGCGACTCATGGCATCCTGGTAGGATAGTTTTCGGAATGGCTCCTTTGGAGCATGGGTATCCATTAGAGTTGACCAGAGCCGGCCGATAATGCCTTCAACTACTCGCCTGACATCCTCGCCTGTAGCAAAGGACATTTCTAGATCAAGCTATGGTGATGGTCAGATGAAAGTTGAAGTAAAAAAAGGGAACACATGGGCAGCCTACTTGGGTAAACTCTGGCTGTCGATCTGCACGAAGATCCTCGTCGCGGAAGCAACGTGCAAACTGATAGTAGCGGGGGATTCCGCTGGCCATGAGTATCTGCTTATACTGCTGTGGGCTTTGAGGAAGTGCGTAGGCTAACCCGCGCTTCCGAGTTGGCACTAGAAATTCTCGAGCACCTTCCGGCGTAGACTTGAACAGCAGAGGGGTTTCAATTTCCAGAAACGGGGGCTGGTTTTGTTCAAGCTCTTCCTTGCAGACATTTCGAACCCGGGCTCGGAATTGGAGAGCATCACGCAGCTCACTGCTCGTTCGGAGCTGTAAATGCCTATGTTTAGGGGGGTGTACCATGTCCGGGGCCATCCATATGTCTGACGGAAAGTCATTGAGAAGGTGGATATCATCCAGGGAGATCTCCCAGGGGTCGCGCTTCTGCATCTCTGGATTCTTTGCCTTTTTAGCTTGAACTGTCCCCTTTATCACCACAGGACTATTCGGCCTGAGACCCCTAAGCTTCTCAAATGATTCATTGTGGGACATGGAGACGATCTGTATGCTATGTTTCATGGTCGGATCCTGCAAGCGGACGAAGGATAGCTTTTTGGAAATATCATTCCGAGGCCCGAGATAACCGTGGAGAATCACATCTTGTCCAGGGCTGGCTTTAGAGAGAAAGGTTTCAAAGTCATAGGTGGCAGGGGGGAATGCAACTGTCGCATTTGCTGATTAGCAGGCGCTCATATCCGAGAACAACGGAGAGTTCTATCTATGAATTATGGCCGCAATGCAGATAAAATCGGAATTCAATGGCAACATACCCGATTCCTTGTACTGTTCCAGGGTCTTCAAAAGGGCTGAGGAGCTTTGCGCTTCCTCACGAAAACAGGAGGCCGCATGAAAGGCTCTCCGGCAAGAGACGGTGGGAACATGCGATCTCGGCGTCGGCGTCACTCGTTTATTACGAACATAGTTGAAAATCTCAATATAACTCCTGCGCAGGCGGAAATTGTTCTGCGCCACCTGGGCCAGAAGCATTTTGACGGTGAACTATTGCCCGAAACAAAGGAATGGACACAAGATTCACTAAAACGCAGGTTCAATGAAGTCCTCGAGGTTGAGTTGAAGAACAAGAATCCCGAACAACAAATGGCAGAATTATTCCGCCTACCCAAAATGTACTAGTCCGCCCTAGCCCACTCCACGATAAATTTAAAGCCGCCAAAATCTTCCGCGCTTTTCTTTTCTTCTTCATCCTTCCAAGTTTTGTATAAGTGAGTCCTACTGTTCCGCACCGAGCTCAAGCTGCAAGCTTTTATAACGATCAATTGCTAACATTTGCCCAGATGATGAAAGCCTAGTGTGTTCTATTTGATATCTATCTCTCCTCCTGGAGCCTGGCGGCTCTCCTTTCGGGGCTTAAGGGCTGCTTGGTTCCGGATGGAGGGAGGGTGATAACGGCGTTCGGCACACCAACCTTGTTACTTGACGGACGCGATGAAGGCATCTCTGATCCAACACATTACTTGGCGGTGTTCTACTAGCCTCGCTTCGGTTCTACCTGACCCTTGAATTGTATCCCTACCCTGGTGGTAGGCGGTATGGTGTACGTGATAGGGCTCACTGAACAGAGATGGATGGCAGCTTATACGATATGAATTATCCGGTTACTAGTATTTATTAGAAAATGGAATGTACCGATCGATTCTGAGCTTATTCTTAACCTCAACACCCTCCCCATGGGTATTCTTGATGGAGGAGAACAGTAATCTTGACCTTTGGTCTATGTAATAGCTACGCTCTCAACTCTACCATGTCGCTCTCTCGTAATAGCCTCAATTATTTACAATCGTCGATAGCATGTAAGTAAAAGGAACCTTGGAAAGTGGTGAAATTACCCAAATCAGGAAATAACCTCCGCATCAAAGATTCTCCGTCGGGAAAGCAGCTGGTCGGCTTCTTATCGTCGATATTAAAATCATTGCATGCCACTGGATTCTTTCTGCACCCGCATTCTTTTTTTTTTTTCAGATAAAGATTGCGTGCTGCTTCGCAATTGATCAATCCATTTGAGCTTCGGTCCAATGCGGCCACGTTCAGTACCCTTGCCTCATACGGCACAGGTTCGCTCCCCGGCGGCCTTTTCGCGACTACCGCGACCATTATGCGGAGCTCGCAACTATGCGCGGATGACGGAGGCTTTGACGACAAACTTAAGTCATCCCAACGGCTATCGACCTGCGCTGAAATCCTTCGCATCTGCAATCGAGCAGGGGCAGAAAAGATGGGTAACCCAACAGTACCTGCGCCGGATGGAGAACGCAAAAAAAGAGTGGTCGGAGTTCGCAGAGGAAATCAAAGCAGGGCGGAAGAAGAACTTTGCACAGCACCTTGAAGAGAGAGGCCTCCTGCACGATGTAGTTGGGTATGTGGCGTAACCCAGGTTGTGTTCCATGTTGGGGAAAAGGAATACCGCTCACTGACCATGGTTTTTTTGCAATCTCTAGGGAACGAGAGTTATTACATCGTCTCTTTACGGAGAAGCGGGTTGGGCTTTACGCAGGTATTGATCCGACAGCGCCTTCCTTACACGTTGGTCATATGTTGCCATTCATGGTACTCGCCTGGGCGTATGTTTGGGGGTTGCCTGTCACTTTTCTAGTCCGTATTCCCACCCAAAAAATCTATTACAGCGGCCGATTGACTGACTCAATACAGCTCGGAGGTGCTACATCACGCGTCGGTGACCCAACCGGGCGTTTAAAAGGGAGAGAGCAGGTCCATTCCTCGGTTAGAAAAGCCAACATGGCCAGCATGCATATGCAGTTGAAGAAGCTGGGAGCGAGCATCGAAAAATATGGCGCCAGGCATGGCCATAACAAAACCATGATCTGGAAACGGGCATTGAAAAACAATAACGAATGGTGGAACAAGCTGCCATTCCTTGAAGTTCTTCGAGATCTAGGAGCATACATGCGCCTTGGCCCTATGTTGGGAAGAGACACGTAAGTCATCATCTCCACTAGGTCTCGCGGAAAGTGCATGCTAATTGGCTCCAGCGTCAAAAACCGATTGGCAAAAGGCGACGGTATGTCTTTTGCGGAGTTTTCCTACCCTCTCATGCAAGCATGGGATTGGTGGGTATTGTTCCGAAAAGGTGTTCAAGTACAGGTAGGAGGAAGTGATCAGTACGGAAACATTCTGTTTGGAATGGATGCCGTGAAGGCAATCAGCAAAAATACTGCAATAGAACAGGATCAGAATCCCCTGGAAGATGACTTGGACAAGCCTATTGGTCTCACTACACCACTACTAACCGCTCCATCCGGGGAGAAGTTCGGAAAATCCGCTGGTAACGCTGTCTGGCTTGACAAGGACATGACATCCACATTTGAACTGTACCAGGTTAGCCTCATCAAGTCCTAGGAAAAGCGATCGACCCATTAACCACGAGCAGTTTTTTGTCCGAACACCCGATGAGGTTGTTGAAAGTTATCTAAAGATGTTTACGTTCATGCCTCTGCCTGAAATTTCCAAAATTATGGAAGAACAGAACAAAGACCCATCCAAGCGGGTGGCTCAGCATACTCTTGCTTCCGAGTTCGTTGAGCTTATACACGGTAAGGAAGAGGCCGATGCAGTCGCTATGCAACACCGTCAGCTTTTCCGGTCACGATCTTCTACTGCTGAACCGACTCCTATGCCCCGAACTCCTGGTTCTACCCCTGGCAGCCCACAATCTCCAACATCTGCTTTCACCAATCCACAGTCTGGGAATGTGTATGCGCCCCAGACCAACTTTGCAAACATGCCGTCTGCCCAAGTCACGCTACCCCGATCATTGGTCTATAACCAGACGTTCAATAAGGTGCTCTGGTCCGCTGGTCTTGTATCCTCCAAGAGCGAAGGTCATCGAATCATCTCAAACCAGGGTGCCTACGTAGGAAGCCGCCCAGGAGACAGTGGATCAATGTCAGACCAGTTAGCCTTCACGCCTATCAAAACCTGGACAGCCGAGAAGACCCAGGAGTATATTCTCGATGGTGATCTTATGTTCCTGAAGTTAGGCAAGTGGAAATTCAAGATCGTCAAAATTATCAGTGATGAGGAATTCCAAGACCTCGGCCTCACTGTCCCCGGATGGGAACCGGAAAGCTCCAGCACAGAGGCAGACAATGACAAGACCCCTGCATAGGTAATGACCCCTATGCGTTGATAGCACCCATACCTTACTCTCCCCTTTGTACCACTACTACTGCTATAGATTTGTAAATATATACTACTGTACTTTTACGAATTCACTCTAAGCCTCTACCAAGGCTGCCGACTTTTTTACCTTGTTGGACTGGACGCACTATTACGATATATTCGGCAAAAGCATAGATCTCTCTGGCTTCTATCAAGAAGAAGGAATAATGAATTGTATAAGAATACAGTGAAATCCCTATCCAAAACGCACCAGTTCACAGTAGAAAATAACCCAAGGTGGCTGTGACCGATCCTCCTTGATGACGGCGGCCAAAAAAAAAAAAAAAAAACCACTAAACGCGTCGACGCGTGACGCCGTTCTTGCGGAATCGATCAGTTCAATTGCATCTGCTTTCTTCCCCAGTGTTGCTCCCGCACATCCCCCCCTTTCTGCTCTTTTCCATTTCATTACTATATTGATATTTTTTCAATTGACTATTTCTCTTCCACGGCATAATATAAATATAAAAATTCAAGTTGTTGATACCGCAATACAGCATCCGTACAGCATGGCCAGAGGACCGCCCGCCTCCTCCTCTCCCACCACGGCGACACCTCCGTTGAAACGGTCGACCTCGAGCACACAGAATATGAAAAACCAAAAATCGATCTTGGGATTCTTCCAAAAGTCTTCTCCGTCGTCGACTCCAGCGATCCGAAATGCAGAACCCGCATCTTCCCCGGCTCAGAGGGCCTCCGCGAGTCGTGGTTCTGCCGCGGTCAAGCGCGAAGAGAAGAACGGGAAAAAGAAGGCTCCCCCGAAATTCGCACAGGATTTAACACCAGTACCAAGCAGTGATTTAGTCCTTCCTGAGGATGAGGAGGAAGATGAGAAGCAGGTACATTTTGGTTGATGATTCTAGCGCGATCTTGTCTAATTGGTTGATTGTTTGGTTATAGATGAGCCCTGCGGACAATCTCAAGAAGAAAACCGCTTCGCCATCGCGTCGAGTAAGTTCACTCATAAGTATCTCATAATCGCGATATCTTTCGCAGCATTAGAGACTGACATATTTGGGGTAGGCTGCGAAGAAAGTTAACTACATGGAGTCCGGCTCCGAAGGCGAAGATGACGATGAGGAGATCTTCCGTCCATCGCGAAAGGACAGCAGGCTTTCAAAACGTAGGAAAGTCTCACCTGAAAGTGATGATGAATTTGAACAAGGTGGACAGGACGGTGGCTACTCCGACGATGGTGAGCGGCCAAAAGCCCTAAGTCCGCTTCGCAACATCTAACCTCTCCTAGAAATGGACGATTTCGTTGTGCCCGATGAATCAGATGAAGAGGCGAAGCCAACTAAGAAACGCAAGAGACCCTCTACCCAACCGAGGACTAGCAAGTCTTCGTCTATGCCGCCACCGCCAGAGGGAGGTGAAGATGTCGATCTAGATATTCCGGATGGCTCATCTGGCGGCTCTGCTGCCATGAAGTGGACATATGATCCAGAAAACTCAGAACCTCGTCAGCCTCGAGCTAGCCCAGCCACACCGAAAACCCCGTCGGGGAAGACCAAACAGAAAGCTCATACCACTGAGCCTGAAGAACGCTATGCTTGGCTTGCGAATATCCGTGACATAGATGGCCATCCTCCTGGCCACCCAGACTATGACCCTCGTACAATTTACATCCCTCCTCTGGCCTGGTCCAAGTTCTCTCCCTTTGAGAAGCAGTACTGGGAAATTAAGCAGAAGTTTTGGGATACAGTTGTGTTTTTTAAGAAGGGAAAGTTCTACGAGCTCTATGAGAATGATGCTACAATTGGACACCAGTTGTTTGACCTGAAGCTTACTGACCGTGTTAATATGCGCATGGTTGGAGTCCCCGAGATGAGTCTGGACCAATGGGCAAACCAATTTGTCGCAAAGGGATTCAAGATTGCTCGAGTGGATCAGGCGGAATCGGCCCTCGGGAAAGAAATGCGTGAGAGAGATGGCGGGAAGAAGACCGGGGGAAAGGAAGACAAGATCATTAGACGAGAACTGGCATGTGTCCTCACAGCCGGTACGCTCGTTGAAGGCTCTATGCTTCAGGATGATATGTCCACTTTCTGTGTTGCCATTAAAGAGGCGATTATCGAGGATCGCCCAGCGTTTGGCTTGGCCTTTGTTGATACTGCAACGGGTCAATTCTTTGTCTCCGAGTTCGTGGACGATGTAGATATGACCAAGTTCGAAACCTTCGTTGCTCAAACGCGGCCACAAGAACTGCTTCTCGAGAAATCAACCATCTCACAGAAGGCTTTGCGTATCCTGAAAAATAACACCGGCCCAACAACGATCTGGAACTATCTCAAGCCAGGCAAGGAATTCTGGGAGGCCGACATCACTGTGAAAGAACTTGATGTCAGTGAGTACTTTTTGTCAGATGATGGTGGTGATAACCTGGACGCATGGCCCAAAGTTCTCCGGGAAGCTCGCGACAAGGAGTTGCTGATGTCCGCATTTGGAGCTCTGGTCCAATACCTTAGGCTCTTGAAGATTGAGCGCGATCTGATTACCATTGGCAACTTTTCTTGGTACGATCCAATCAAGAAGGCTACCAGTCTGGTCCTGGATGGCCAAACTCTTATAAACCTGGAGATCTTTGCCAACTCCTTTGACGGTGGCTCTGACGGGACTCTGTTCCAGCTTCTGAATCGCTGCATCACTCCGTTCGGTAAGAGGATGTTCAAGCAGTGGGTGTGTCATCCGTTGATGGATGCGAAGAAAATCAATGCCCGGTTGGATGCTGTCGATGCTCTGAATGCAGACCCAACTGTTCGCGATCAATTCTCATCCCAGCTCACCAAGATGCCTGATCTTGAACGTTTAATTTCCCGGATCCACGCTGCCAATTGCAAAGCGCAGGATTTCCTACGTGTGCTAGAGGGCTTTGAGCAGATCGAGTACACTATGAGTCTCCTGAAGGATAGCGGCTCGGGCGAGGGAGTTATTGGACAGCTGATTAGTTCAATGCCTGACATGACAGGATTGCTGGAGTACTGGAAAACTGCCTTTGACCACTCCAAGGCAAGGGACAGTGGAGTCTTGGTGCCCAAACTAGGAGTAGAGGAAGATTTTGACAGCTCCCAAGAGGTAATCGAGCAGCTTCACCAAGGCCTCGAAGATCTTTTAAAACGTGTCCGACGTGAGTTGGGATCCTCAGCCATTTGCTATAAAGACAATGGCAAAGAAATCTACCAACTTGAAGTCCCGATCAAAGTGAAGAACGTCCCCAAAGCCTGGGACCAAATGTCAGCGACCAAGCAAGTCAAACGATACTACTTCCCTGAACTGCGAACTCTTATTCGACAGCTACAAGAGGCACAGGAGACCCACGCTCAGATCGTTAAGGAAGTGGCCCGGCGATTTTATGCGCGATTCGATGAAAATTATTCTACGTGGCTCTCGGCTGTCCGGGTCGTGTCACAGCTGGACTGCTTGATAAGTCTAGCGAAGGCCTCATCCACCTTGGGTGAGCCAAGCTGTCGTCCTGTTTTTGTTGATGATGAGCGAAGTGTCCTCCAGTTTGAGGAACTTCGGCATCCTTGTCTTCTCTCTTCTGTTGATGATTTTATCCCTAATGATATTCAATTGGGTGGCAGCGCTCCAAACATTGACCTACTAACGGGCGCGAATGCTGCCGGAAAGTCTACTCTCCTGCGAATGGTTCGTTTCCCTACAATCCTTGTTTCAATTATTCTCTATAACTAACCTGAACCAGACCTGTGTTGCTGTTATCATGGCACAGATCGGCTGCTACCTGCCTTGTAAATCAGCACGACTTACTCCAGTCGACCGTATCATGTCCCGTCTAGGCGCCAACGACAACATTTTCGCAGCTCAATCTACGTTCTTTGTCGAACTTTCCGAGACCAAGAAGATTCTGTCCGAAGCAACCCCCCGTTCGCTTGTTATCCTGGATGAACTAGGTCGTGGAACCAGCTCGTACGATGGAGTTGCCGTAGCTCAGGCGGTCTTACACCATGTGGCTACCCACATCGGGGCCTTGGGTTTCTTTGCCACTCACTACCACTCTCTCGCTGCCGACTTCGAAGGACATCCCGAGATTGCACCCAAGCGCATGAAGATCCATGTTGACGATGAGGAGAGACGAGTCACTTTCCTCTATAAACTCGAGAAGGGCGTCGCAGAAGGTAGCTTCGGCATGCACTGTGCCGCTATGTGCGGCATACCAAACAAGGTCATTGAAAGGGCCGAGGTTGCTGCCAAGCAATGGGAGCACACGAGCCGCCTCAAGGAGAGTCTTGAGCGTCGCAAGGGTGGTGGTCTCATCGGTCTGGGCTGGTGGAGTGATATTGCCTGGGCTCTTCGCGACACGACCCAAGACACCAGTACTGCCCAGGCAGACGCTGAGGTCGTTGAAACTACTGACAGAAGTTTAGAGGTTCTTCGGAGAGCTATTGAGGCACTGTGATTCCGCATGACTTGTCTGTGTTTGTGATTTATTCAAAACTTGTTTGTGGTGAGTAATATATTTAATCCGCATGTCCGCGCCGAGATTGAGTTGTTTTCAGGCCAGGTTTAGGAGTTTCGGGTGTACTTGAAGGTTTTTTTTTTTTTTTTTTTTTTTTTTCCATCTTTCCTCGGTTGCGAGCTCATAGCATCAACTATAGAACTAGAAAAATGATATCTAGACTCTCTTGTTCTTTCTCCCTCGGTTGATATATTGAATGCGACTTTGTGTCATATTATTGCCGAAGATGTACATACAATACACCCCTGCAAAGTGAATGAAGCCATATCATATTTGCAATCCTAGGCTGAAACCCACAGGAATAATCGAGGAGGAGGAAACGGTTCAATAAATAAAAACGTCAAGAAACAACCCCTGCCCATGTTCCTAATCTCGAATCAAACTTCACCTCCGTTTCTCTTCTTCGCCTGGATCCTTCATAATAAATAAAAAAAAAAAAAAAAAAAAAAAAGGCAGTTTGCAAGACCTCCCTAAACTCCCCCCCAGCACAAAAAGACGACGTCGAAGTAAATTTGAAACAGACATCTCTCTAATCAGAGCCCCTCTTCTCCTTTCACGGGCACCTCGTCGGTACTCTCCATAGCCATGAATTCGGCCTCGACGTCAAGTCTCTCTCCCAGAAACGGCTCGTCGTCTCCAGTTCTGACATTCACGAGATGGGGATCTGCGCCGCCACCGCCAATCTTAGCATCGCTCTCGATATCTGCCTCGTCGGACTCGCCCTTGAAGGATACATCGGTGTCACTAGTGAGTATCGCAATGACACTCGTTAGCATGATATGATTCCTGTGTAGTGTAGAAAACGGGAAGAAAAGTAGCGAAAAAAAAAAAAAAAAAAAAGGCATAACCACAAGAACATACTAGATATTCTCTTCCTCTACCTTTGGAGCAACTTCTTTCTTCTTCGGCGACGTCTTGCACTGACGCTTGGGTTTTGGAGTAGAAGGCACAACGCCATCGGGATTTGCATTGTCTGAGTCCGCTGGAGCGGCGGCGGCGGCGGCTGCTGCTGCTGCTGCTTCTCTCTTTCTCTTGACGGGTGACTGCTTGGGAGTCCTGCTCTTTGGTTTCTGGGTCCCGGGAGAAGCGGCAGCGGTGCTTGTGCCTCCACCCTGGCTTTGGGGGTCGCCGTTGATATTGAAGAACTTGCGTCTCGCCTGGTGGTAAGAGCTGCCGGAGGAAGAAGCGTTCTTGTAGGAGCCTTTCACGGCAAGTTTTTCGAAGTCGACCTAGCGCGGCGTTGCTGCTGTTAGCTGGGTTGTCTTTGAAGTAAAGAGTAGAGGGATTGGAAAACAGCGGGTTAACCTACCTTGCCTGAGCTATCTGTGCAAAGCATGCCCAGAAGAATAATTCTGGCTTCACTTAGGCTGAGGCCCAGAAGGCTCTCGTTTTGTTTGCCCTTGACTCCGGATGTAGTGGACATGGTGTGGTTTGTTGTGAAGGAGAGAGGGGTTGGAGGATAAATATTGCTTTGGGATGGGGTTGATTGATAGGATCAGTGGGTTTGGAGAGTATGATCACTTGGAGAGGACGAGAGTTGTATTGGAAGAGAGAGAGAGAGAGAGAGAGAGAGAGAGGAGGAGAGGAGTTGAAGAGAGAAGTGAGGTGGATAGGATCACGAATACAAAACAGAGGGAAAGTTGTAAGCCCCTCTATGGATAGTCTGGTGAATTATTCACTGGGGAAACAAAGTCTTGAGACAAATTATATCCAGCGCATAAACAGGAGTTGAGCGTGTTTAATTTGTGTTTCCCATGTGTACCTAGTACTAGAGATTTGCCGTGTTTAATCTCCATGGCGAACACTTGATAGCATTGTTAGACACAGGGATTTTTATTAGAGAGCGTTCTCCATCTCTTTACAAGTACAAAGTGTGAAGGACTGCTACTGTAGCTGGTGACAGCTATATATCCCATCTACACCTGACTCCAAGCCCAGCTAACATCATATCATGAAACAACAGCGTTGCTTTATAGATACAACAGCCGCAAAGGACTTCATATAATGTGATATCAGTTTCTCTTCGTCGGTTGACGGTTTTGTATCTGTTTGTACACATCCCCCCACAGCTCGGGATAGAAAGTCGACGACTCCCTGCCAGGTTTGCTCTTTTCTGAAGTATAGAACTGGCGAAGGGCTTTCCCCCTCCACCAGGGCAACGGAGCTGGGTTTTGGTTGCGAAAACTGACAGGGCGAATCAGGGCCTTGTCAGCCACAAGATCTCCCAACCGTACTTCCGTTTGCCTGGGAATCGTGGTGAACTTCATGGTATTTATATAGAGCGTGGCGGTGGGGGGAAGGTTTTTTGCGTATTGTATGGCTTGCTCTCGGGATCGTCTAGCAAACACGGGGATCGCGAGATGGACAAAATTGACAAAGGGGGCGGAGGTATATGATATGAAGAGCATTGGCAATGCGCCGCCCACGACGACTATAAGCAGGGAAATCAGCAAATAAGATCCAAGTCGATCATAAAGAAGCGGTCACTTTACCCGCGGGCGCTAGATATGAAGGGAAGTCGGAGGACATGAAGGCTGGAGCGACCACCAAGCAAGAAACACCAAAGAGGAAAATGGTCGTTATTCGCAGCATCCCAAGAAAAATGGTTCTCCCGGTTCCGCCATGATATATCAGTATTCTTTCCGGCGGTCCTACAAGCCAATTTAGCACCGGTGCGTGTCACCCACCACATACTAGGGATCCGAGGTACCTCTTCGGATGGTCGTCTTCGAGGGTGCTGGAGAGGAAGGAAAGGAGCTTCGGGGAACATGAGTGTTGCTTTCTTTCAGTTTGAGCGACGAGGGTTCTAGTTTCGATGATCGCGAGGGACTGTGTGTTGTCTTTGGCCGAACGAAGACCAGCGCGCTACAAAGCTCTCTCCGCACAGGTCGGGGAAGCACGGAGCGCAATTGCGGATGAAAGAGGACGGGTACCCTCATTTTGCGAGGTGACTGGAGGAAAGGGAACAATCAGATTGATATTTCCAGTCTGAGAAGGATAGTAGCTGCGGTGCAATTTACCTCTAGAAGTATTCATGAAGCTACAAAAAGCTTGGATGCGATCCGGCTTCAAAAACGTGATCCTCAGTCTTGGCGGCCCCGTTCCTATTTATTACCTGATTGGGATTAGCGGGATATATCGGGTCACGACATCTTGCAAGAATACAGAAGTCAGGAGTTGTTGTCTCTCTCTCACTCTCTCACTGTCTTCTTTCCCCATTCCCCTCATCTATCAGAACTAGTTCCTGTTTGACATTGTAATCCCTGGGGTTAACCTCTTCTTCTAGCCATCGCGCTAGGTCATGACGGCTTTTTATTGACTGTTCCGCTCTCTTCAGTCGCTATGATACCCGCGTCTGGCGATAGGCTACCTTGGCTTCTTTCAATATGCCTTGCACTTTTGTGCTTACCTCTTGCCGGTCAAGCATATCAGGATATCTCAGAAGCGACATTGAAAGCGCTCCCGCGAGCGGGAAAAGATTTTGATATCCACAACGGCGCCATTCTTTCACCGATCCTTATCCCCCGTGTCCCTGGAACTCCGGGGTCTACGGTAGTTCTTAATCATTTTGTAGATTTCTTTCGGGCCTCCCTCCCTAACTGGAATATTGAATTCCAAAACTCTACATATATCACGCCTGTCTCCAAAGGGAAAGAAGTCCCCTTTGTTAATTTCGTCGCCTATCGGGATCCTCCATGGGCATCGAAGGGCGATGTCGGAAGACTCACATATGTCGCCCACTACGACAGTAAATATGAACCTAAAGGTTTCATCGGGGCGATCGACAGCGCTGCGCCATGTGCAATGATCATGCATGCAATGCGAAGTATCGATGAAGCCCTGACAAAGAAGTGGGAAACCTTAAAAGCCAACGGCCAAGCATATTCGGGTTTGGATGACCTTAGTGGAATTCAAGTCATCTTTTTAGATGGCGAGGAAGCCTTCGCTGAATGGTCCGACACTGATTCGTTATATGGGGCGCGTGCGTTAGCCCAGCAATGGGACAATGAGGTGAATCCGGCCATGTCGATATACAAAACGCCGCTGTCTTCCATTTCCCTCTTTGTCCTTTTAGATCTGCTAGGATCCAAACACCCAACAATTCAGTCTTTCTATCCAACCACCCACTGGGCCTACAAAAAACTGGCTGCCATTGAGCAGCGGCTGAGAGGCATTAATGAGTTCAAATCCGGGGGTGACCCGGTCGATCAACCCTGGTTTCCCCATGCCTCTAAAAGCGAACACGACATTCCTGGTTATGACCCAGTGTCCGATGACCACCTACCTTTCCTTGCTCGGGGAGTGGAGATCATGCATATTGTTGACTTTTCCTTTACCCGACGTCCCGCATTTCCAGAAGTCTGGCACACTCTGGACGATGACGGAGAACATTTAGACATAGACACGGTGGAAGATTGGAGTCTTCTTTTCACTGCGTTTGCCGCCGAATGGATGGAGCTGGAGGGATTTTTGCCGAGTTCGGATGCTGGGCGTTCGACTCCTGTGGCCGAAGATGAACCGAATACGAAGCAGAAGCGTTCCATGCAATGGATCGGGAATTCCGATAAAACCGAGCTGTAAGCGCACCTAATTCGATTCTTATATGATACCCCTCCCCCAATCCAACCTTGAACATGTATCTACACGGCATAATTCCAATATCTACCCAATTTTAAATGGTTGATCACACTGAGCTGAGCTGAGCTGATGTGTGCTGTCGCATAGCTTCTAAGCTTCATTTGATAGCTATCCAATTCTATTTTTGACATGTCGCCTAATTCTCCGAGATAACGCTTCCATCCTCTTGCATATACAGATTCTCGTTAGTGGATGCCCCGGTAGTCTTCGCTGAGGTTGCGCTCAATACCTATACCAAGTTTCCTGCCATATATCCGGCCATCTCCGCAAGGCCCCATACCGGCTGCAGCACTGAGCGAAGAATGGCTGGACCAGGGCAAACACCTCTCAACCCCCAGACTAGCCCAAATACCACTGCGCCGACTAAAAAACGCCAGTCAATATCGGCTACTGTCGCAGTGGGCAGTCTCCAGGTGTCAGCTAGTGTAGGTTTCGCTGGTTCCCCATCCTGAGCCGCTGTGCTTTGGCCTGGTTTTGCAGATAAATACGTGGCCAGGGATGGACCGATTCCAAAGAGAACCACCAACCCTAGGGATGGGTCGAACCGGGAAGCGTCAGTGAGGAAAGCAAAGAACTGTAGAACCTTTGCTGGATCCGCCATTCCAGAAAAGAACAGACCCACTCCGAATTGCAGGCCTGCCAGATAAGAGAAGATGGTTCTTGATTCCTTTGAACGATCCAAGCCTCGAGGTATAAGGAAGATGTTTGTAAAGAAGGTGAGAGCAGTGACACCAATCATGAAGGCGAGCTCTGAACTCGATGGGTAGACGGGTGTGTAACAAGGGATACCCCCTGGGCAAGGTGGAATGTTCTGAGCCCCCGATACAAAATTCGCTGTAAGTAAAGCAGTGGTGAAGAAGATGGTGGTGGCAATCAAAGAACGTGGTGATAATCGTGAGAGACCGCAGAGCATATGACCAGATGTACAACCTCGACCATTCTATTAATTTACACTTTGTTAGATACGTTCCCTTTCTTTCTTTCCTTCCTTCTTTCTTTCTTTCTTTCTTTTTCTTTTTTTTTTTTGGAACGGGGGATGGCCTCCGACACGGGTTTTGTTCACATACCTTTGTTCCCCAGCCGAGCAGGAATCCAGAAGCCACCGTGGACAAGAAAGAGACGAATGAATCCGGTGCAGGTGGATAACTCGGTATCAGCGACGGCGCAAGCAAATAAATCGGCACCACGCTCGACGCCAACCCTGCAATGATGGGGATATTATCGCGACTCGGGTTCAGAACACAACCTGAGAGCAACGACGAAATTCCAAACACGGCACCATTATGAAGGAGCAGACCGGAAGACGCTTGGTAGAGCAGCAGAGCTCCCAAGGAAGTGTGGACCGGCGTAAACATGGGCAGAGGCGGGACGATGATAGGTATCGATGTATTTGGAGGAGCGGAATGAATCAACCTGGAGTCACCATCTCTGCGACCTTCTGAGGGCAGATGCAGTCGGCTTTAGAGAAGGAAGAGAAACATGAGATCCACCCAGACAAGGGCAAAACCTAGGTTCTTCTCCCATTTTTGCTGTCGGGGATCAGAGGAAAGGGTGAATAAAGAAAGCAGGCGACGGTAGGGTCTTATTGCGTCAATCATGGTCCCCGAACCAAACCCACCCCAAACCCGGTGAGGCTTCTTTAAAGTTCCCCCGCGTGTATTACTTTATTATATCTACAGAGTATTTCCCTAGCTAACCAACAGTAACCATCATTAGTTTTGACGGAGTTGGACAGAAAACATAGCTAGAGAATAGAAAGAAATACGGGCTCCCAGTTTCATAGACTTGCTATCTCTTCGGGGATCTGTCTCAGGAAAAGATAGTAATCCCCGATGTTGGTTATCCGAGGTTCCTTTCATTTTCTATGCGAGGAGTTTCACTTGCAATTGGATAAAGGAGTAATCAAATGGAATAAATTGGGGTTCATGCACTGCTCAGACTAAATCAGCCACAATTCACCTCTGAGTCTGTGTAAAATACATGCATATTCTAACGCCGTCTCTTCTAATCACCAGCAGTACGGCGTAGTATAGAACATTTACTCCACAGAATCGCCGTTGCAATTAGTTAGTTAGTGATTTTTTTTTTCTTATTAAGCTATTGTTTTATTTTGGTCTACAAAAATAGAATAATATAAATAGGAGTACTTAGTAACTCCAGCATAGTTAACTACTGTAAGAGGGAGTTGTGTTTATACCTGAGGCATGAGTATCCCAGGCAGTATCAAGCCCTCATCGACATTTAAATCGACTTCTTCTAGGATATCTACTGGATATAAATACTAAGAGTACTCTTTCTACCTTGTCAAAGTCAATTAGTTTACTTTTGATAAAGGAAAGTGCTTTTGCAGCCACAGTTGAGTATACAACTATATACCTAGGTTACAACTATGGAGTATATTATTTGACTACCAACCAACCTTCTTCATACACCATAAAACATCTTGTATTTAGGATAAAGCTCCCATCAATTAATCATACTGTAAATATGATTGAAGGAGAATTAATATATCATATCATTACGTTCCTCTCCTTAAGCAAGCAGTAAATCACACTGCTTCCCCAGGTTTTTGGGCCAGTTAGGCATAAAAATGACAATACCGTATTGGGCAGAACAGACCAGAGATGTGGCGGCAAATCCAGGTCAAAATTCCAAATCAAGAGCCGAAAAGAATGCCCAACTATAGAAACAATTACCCTCTGGTGCTCACTCACCTAGGATTAGGTGGATCCTGTGGCTGTGGTTCAAGATGATTGAGTGATTGATTCACTGTGGAGTTCTCCAGCTGGGACGGATGGGCTATGTATGTACTGTACTGAAGAATAAACAAACAAGACGAATAGTTACCTCTCCCACACAACCTCCTCAACTGATCGCTCAGCCATCATGGCACAGTTAAGACTCCCCGCAGAGATGATCCTGGATATCATCGAGTGTCTGATTCCATACGAACCACCTGTGGTGTTCTCTCAAGATCATATTGTGACCCGTACGCTCCTCAGCTTGACGCTGGTCTGCAGACTGGTCTCCCGATCCGCCAGGCAGCTCCTCGTCAAGCACTGTCTTTATCTCAACTCTGCCCGCCAATTAAACCATCTGCTACAAGGAGGTCTTCTGTCTTCTACTGGAAATGGCCCGGCCCAGATCCCCTCGCCCCTGGGGCTCTTTTTATCCCCGTTCCCAGAGGATAACCTAGATATCCCTCCGACGGTTTCGCAGGTAGACTGTTTGTCGTCGCTGGTCTGTGAACACCTCACTCGCCTGGTTATCGATATGCCACTTCGCTGGCTATACCCTGAGGATGACCACCACCAAGTCCGTCCAGTCCTCCGTGCTGCATTTGCCCGGATGACAAAGCTCGAGCAATTCTGCTCCGTGCGAGACGAGCTATACCTCAGTACCGTGCAAGGAAGACAGGAACCGGCGATCTGGTCATTCTGGCCGCGTCTCGAGTGTTTGGCTCTGTACAACGTCGATGTTGCATCTCCCCAGTTCCTGGACGGCCTCCGTCGATGCTCAAACCTGACTCACCTGGTCCTTGTCCGACCCGATGGTCTTGCGGAGGAGATCCCCCCCGACCAGATTGGGTTGGACTTCTTGCCCTCACTGCAGCGCTTGCTGGTGGTGAATACGACGGAAGGGTTTCTACAGAACACATACTTCAACCAGAGAAAATGGGAACAGTCCTTTGTCGGGCGGTTTCATGCTTTGCGCAGTACAGGGGATCTGGAAGGGGGCGACAGCGACTCAGAATCCGGGTCAATTGCGAGTTACCTAGCTCTACGCATCCCGTTTGGAAGAGACGACGATGACATTGAAATATGCCAGGAGTGGCTCTCAGCCCAAGCTACCAGCGGTGAGTTGTGGGGACAGTCCGATCTTCGAAGTCTCGTTTACAACTAAGCTGCGACACCCACACACGGTGATAGGCGAGATGTGGGGGAATTCCGCCGGTTCAATCAATGCCGCCGACCATGATGGAGTCGCACCCAACCAGCACGATGACATCCAACCAACACCGTGGGACATCTTACGACTTCTGTCGCCTTTTTTTTTTTCGAGATTTGCTGGACATCATTCGGTTATTATCCCCCTCACAGATCTGGATCCTATCGCTCTGGATACGGTAGCATAGAGAGGCTGTACAGCGTTCCGTCTCTTGTTGGTTCCGGCACAATGACCCCAACAACCCCTTATTTATATGGAGATTTTACGCAGTGAATATTTCTTGGACTGGACGCTACATAAACCCATCCCATCCCACGTTCTATGGAAATAGAATACCAGGAACAAACCCGTGCCTCGTCTCGAATTCAACCATAGGAACATGGATGCACTCTGGAAATGTGACATCTGCGCCGCCACCTTCCAGCGACTGGATTACTTGAAACGCCATTCGGCGACGCGTATGTCGCGACAGCTTCTAATTGAGTGGGGTGTCAGACTAAACCTGTCTAGATACCATGGATAGACCCTTCATGTGCGATTTCTGTGGTTCTCTATACAAGCGAGGGTGTGTTTTATGTATATCGCTGCTGCTCCCCTAGCATGTGGCCTGATTCTGCGGGGTGGGCTGACAACGGAAATGCTTAAATCAGAGATATTTTAAGACGACATTGGAAATCATGCTCCGCGCGAATACACTCCGGCCAGGCAATGCCCGAACCCCGACTAGGAGGCAAAGAGAAACACGCGTGCGATGGGTGTGCCAGACTCAAGCGATCCTGTACGGGGGGGCAACCGTGCTCTGAATGCCTCTCGCGAGGAAGAGACTGTTCATACCAGCGGCTCGGCGACGATAATATGGCATCTCCCTCGGCTTATGACGGGGCTGTTAGTCAGGGATGTGATGGGGGGCAACTGCAATCTGGTTATGCAGCGATCCTCCACCATCAACCTGACTCAACACATCCGACCTGGGACCTCGGCCCCCAGACCTTCTATCCATCCGGGATCGTGTGTTATCAGGCCTACGGTCGACGCAATCTCTGATCATATCTAATCATGGCGCTTCTAAAAAAAAATGATCTGTGTTTGTTTATACCCTGACTTGATTTTTTTGCTTTTTGCTTTGGTGTTTGACTTGGGTCTTTCTTCATTTACAAATGCAGACACAATTATTTGAATATGTAAAACCGTCCTTCCCACGGTGCAATACAGATCTAGTATGAGTTGAGAATGTGCGTACGGTAATATTCTCGTAGGTAGGGCGAGAGAGCAGCGCGGCTCCGATCTGGTTGATACACAGTCGACCCTGAAACGAGCGACTGACTGCAACGTGAGCTTTTCTCCTGTCTTCTGCGTCTGGAACGCCGCACCCATCTCTCCCCGCAGACTCTACTAAGGACTCGTACGTCGCAGAGAGACAATTTTTCTTTTCTCTCCCCTCCCCCCCCCCCCCCTTTTTTTTTTTTTTTTTTTTTTCAAGGAATGGGAAATTTACCTCCTATAGATATCTACTCTACTCCCATCTCACAATCAAACCGAATCAGAACCCTCTCCCCATTTACCCTCGAACTGAACCCATTCTTTAATCTTAATTTTATCCTCAATCACATTCACCCCCCTTCAAAACGCCATCCTGCGCAACATTCCGACATCAGCTCCGTCATGCCCAAATTCCGCGCAATACAAGCCCTCGTCCCCTTTCCGAACGCCATGAAATTGGCCAGCGTCCCGTCGCGCGCGTTCAGCCCGCGCTCGGGCTTGAACTCGAACTCCCGCGAGCCCGGGAAGACGGTTCTCGTCTCGGTGCAGCTGGAACGATGCAACGTCCACGCTGGTGCCCGCGATTTATCTTTCGCATCCCTGCGCAGTCTCGCCACGAAGCCGCCGCGGATGATGTAAATGGCATCAATTACATCGGGGGCTGGCCATGTCGATGTCGATGTCGATGTCGTTCGGGGCTCCGCGGAGCACTGGAGGTTAAAGACCGTGGTGCATTCGTCGCCGCCGATGTAGGTGTGGTAGGCGAGCCATAGGGAGCTGCAGGCCGCAAGCTTGGGACTGGGGACTTTGAATAGAGGATGGAAATAGAGACTGTATGAATATTTTGAGATGAGGAGGAGAAGGGGGGGTTATCTTACAATGGACATAACTAGGAGAACCATCTTGTTGCTGTCGTTATTGTTGTTGTTGTTGTTGTTGTTGGTTGTTGCTCTCCATATAAACTGATCAGAGAGATAAGATAAGATAAGATAAAACAAGATAAGATAGGATATACATAGTTATGTATACTACCAAATTATAATCCTGCACTCCTTCCTGCATAAAATGATGATGATTTCCGTCTCTCAATCTAACCTCGTTGTCGATTCTCAAGTTGGTCTGCCCTCAGTGGAGTCTTTATCATCGGAGTCACCGCTGGCAGACCTCCAGTCATGGTATTTTGCTGGATTGGCGTGTGCGCGCGCGATCACTGTCACGCTTGGGAGCCATCAGTTACGCGATTCATATTCCTCCTCGCGCTCTGCTTCTGCATAAGCATCTGGCACAGTCGTCGCCGTCATCTAGATCTTCTATGGTTAGAAGGGAGGACATCATGGTGCTTGTTTTATACCTAGGCGTATAGGTGTATTTTACCGGGGTATGTATATATTTTGCATATGATTCGGGTTGTCAATTGGGGCGTTTTGGTAGTTTTTATTATTTTCCGTTCTTGGGGTTGATAGAGGCGTTGATTCGGGGGATTCAAATCACTCCCTATGTAAGGTACGACTAGGAATGTTTGTATGCGTACAAGTACAGGTAGCTTATCTAAGAAGTAAGTGGCCATTTGAAGCTCTATTTATACATGTATTCTAGGTATATACGTCTAGGTCTAGGTAGTTGTACTAAGAATCCGAAAGCAACCATGCGGGATCAGGCTCGTCATCTTCATCTTCAGATCGATGTCCTGTTGCACGGGAATGTCGCTCTAAATCTCTCAGTAAATCAATGGGGGGCTCCGGATTGTCAACCCCAAGAGGATCTGTTGGCGAATCGTGGTTGATTCGATCCCGCGATGAATCATGCGCCGCTTTCCCTTCTTCCGTGGCATTGAAGACATTCAGAAGCATTTCTCGCGCCTCTCGTAGCGCCTGCAGCTCTGCAGATATGCAACAAACTAGCAGCTTCCAATCCCTTTCCTCCGCAAATGCTAGCTGATTCTCTACATGTTCCGTCGTCTGTCCCAGATCCTCCATAATAGTGCGGACTAGCTCGTCCTCGCGGTGACTCCCTGAAGGACCATGGGGTTCCAAGAGCTGTGATTGGTTCTGGAGAGACTGGCGCATCGCGGCCTTCAAGCGTCTTTCAAACCCAGAAATATCCCCAATCACTTGCTTCCATACACCTCCACCTTCTTCGAGTGCATGAATCTCGGCATTTACCTCTTGCTGCCGCCGCCGCAATTCCGATTGCTCTTGCTTCCAGTGTTCCTGGGCCATGTCCAGAGTCCTCCGGCTTGATTTCAGGTTGTAGAAGGTTTCGCGATCGGCGTGCGTCGCTTGCGGTTTCACCGGAGGGCTTGAGAGGAACTTTCGAACATCGGACTCCAAGAGCGACAACGAAGCTTTGTAGGAGGATAGCTTAGATTCCACGGTGTTCTCGATCTGCGATACTTCCTGGATGACATGCTGATGCCTCGCCTTCATCTGGGATAATCTGGTTTCTAACTCATGTATTTCTGTCTCCAGCGTGGATGCCTCCTCTCGTAGCTCGCGAGTGCGCTGGCTTTGTCGGTTTTCGTGGATCGTCGAGATCGCCTTCTCGAGTCCGACCCTTTTGGCAGTGAATGCGTTCACATCCTTTAGTGCATTCTCTCTCTCGTCTACCCGGAAGCTAAGTATCTCCTGTTCTTCTTCCCGCAGCTTTAACAAGTCAAATATGGACTTGAAAATTCCCTCCCTTGCAGCACGCAATCCAATCTTTTTGGGCGGCGGCTGTCGGATGGGTAATGTGGAAGCTCCCCTAGGGCTAACCGACCCAGGAGTAGAGGCATAGCTTCCATTAGAAGTGCTTTCCTCCAGTGGTTGGTTGCTCAAGCCTGCCAAAAGTCCCTCGCTCTGCGCATCGATAAGAATTTGAAGATTACGTTGGATATGCCTTGATTGCCGATCAATGTAGAGAAGAGGATCTTGGTGATAGGCCGATGCTCCCAGAGGCAAAGGAACTAAAGTTTTGTTTATGTCTTGGGGTAGAATGGCCGACATTCTGGCTGTAAACAATGAGGTTCGGCTAATGGGAGCTCACAACTCGACGAGAAATATGTAGGAAGAGCGACAGATATCAAGAAACACCATCACTGGCATCGTCCTTAAAAGATGGGCTCGAACAGATGGACGTCTACATGCTGCGTCCTGATCACGCGCGTCTTCTCTCGACTTCCACGGAGTGCACGTGATAGCTCTAGGGCGGGCTGCAGGAACCACAGGACCCTTTCGACAGCTTCCATCAGCCTGGCATCCGTTGACTGACGTGTGCTTCAATCACCATCCTCACTTCTACTTCTTTCCCTATCTCCTTGTCCTTTTTTTTTCATCCGTATTTGTTGTGCAGTTCTCTTTGATTTCTGTGCTTTATTGCAGGTTTTTATTTTTCTCCCCCGCGACCTGACCTCCGACTCAACCTCTCTGGAGCCCCATTCGAAGCTGTCGCCGCCTCCTCTTCCCCGACATCGTTAATCCTTCGCTCAGTTGGTCGTACAACAAGACTATCCTTGAACAATGGTTGGGCTTGCTTCGGCCGCTGGCCTTGTGGGGTTCCTGTCAGAGCCGGATTCAGAGCTGAGGGTCTTCGCTCTGAAGACATTAGACTCTCAGATTGACCTCCTTTGGACAGAGGTGGTCGATGCTATCCCTCAAATGTTTGTCCCCACCTGTGTTTTTCAGCCCTTTATTATCTTGCTTTCGATCCGCTAGTATTATTGTTCTAGTTTACTATCATGGATAAGCTAACCGCCCTGTGTTTAGTGAGGCGCTCTACGAAGATGAAAGCTTCCCCGAACGCGGCCTCGCCGCCCTAGTGGCTGCGAAGGTTTACTACCACCTCCAGGAATACAACGAGAGTATGGTGTTTGCCCTGGGAGCTGGCAAACTGTTTGAGTTGGATAATGGTGGCGAGTTTGAGGAAACAATTATCGGTATGTCCCTAAGTCGCGCGGGTCGGACTCGTCTCTGACATCAGATCCTTTTTTTTTTTTTAGCCAAATGTGTCGATACTTTCATCTCGTTATCAGCTGCCCAGCGGCCTGCGGTAGGCGACCAGCCTGTCAACCTGAATACTGCGTTCCCCACCTCAGCTGAGGGTGCTACGAGTACCTCTGTCAGCCTTACCTCCCCCATCACACCATTTTCACAATCGGCTTTGCCATCAAAGTCATTGTTGTCTAGACAGGAAGCCCCCGCAGTCGATGCAACCTATCCGGGAGGTGAGGATACAAGCCTTAAGCAGGTTGAGACCCCTCTGGTCCTCAAGCGAGGAGTTCAGGGACAACTGCAATCTGTCATCGAACGCTTGTTTGAGCAATGCTTCCTCCAGAAGCGCTATCGCCAGGTTATTGGAATTGCTATCGAAGCTAAGAACCTGGACGTCCTGCGAAGGACTATTATCCGTGCCAGTGAAGACGAAAAATTGCAGAACGGCGAATCCCGCCGAAGCGAGGAGCTGATGGAATATGTGTTGGATATCTGCATGGGGATTGTTCAAGAGCGCGCTTTCCGCAATGAGGTAAAATTATTCATTCCATTTATAGACTTGATCTAACGGATATTATAGATTCTCAAACTTATCCTCGACCTCCTCAACGAGATCCCCGCCCCCGACTATTTCTCCATCGCCAAATGCGTAGTTTACCTCAACGAACACTCTATGGCTTCCGTTATTCTTCGTCAATTGGTAGAAAAGGGCGATGCTCGATCGCTTGCCGTTGCCTACCAGATTTCTTTTGATCTTTACGACAATAGTACACAGGAATTCCTTCAGAAGGTTCGACAGGAAATCGCTGAGCTTGTACCCGAAAGCAGCGTCGCTGAAGGGCAAGAAAAGGCGGGCGAACAGGCAGAGCCGACAGAGTCTGATCGTTTGTTAGACGATCAATCTACATCTATTGGCGCCAACGATGATTCCAAAATCCCGGCTGAAGCGAAAACCGCCTATAAGAATATTCTAGATATTCTGGACGGTCTAAAGACGATTCAGTTGAACTTGGAGTTCTTATACCGGAATAACAAGGCGGACATAGCTATCCTAAACAAGGTTCGTGACAGCCTGGAAGCGCGCAACTCAATATTCCACACCGCGGTTACTCTCTCCAATGCGTTTATGCATGCTGGCACCACCCACGACAAGTTCTTCCGCGACAACCTGGAGTGGCTTGGAAAGGCTGTCAACTGGTCCAAGTTCACCGCTACCGCTGCTTTGGGTGTTATCCATCGTGGCAACCTTAGCCAAGGCCAGAAGCTTTTGCAGCCATATCTCCCTCGGGAACATATTGCTGGTGTTGGTGGTTCGGGTTCAGTTTATAGCCAGGGTGGATCCTTGTATGCATTTGGTTTGATTTACGCTAATCATGGTGGAATGGCGGTGGATCTTATTCGTGACCACTTCAAGAAGGCCACCGAGGAAGTTGTTCAACACGGTGGTGCTTTGGGTCTAGGTGTTGCAGGTATGGCGACCGGGGATGAGGGCATCTATGAAGATCTACGAAACGTTCTTTACAGCGACTCAGCTCTTAACGGTGAAGCTGTTGGTCTTGCCATGGGGTTGGTGATGCTGGGAACCGGTAACATGAAGGTGCTCGAAGACATGATCCAATACGCTCATGATACCCAGCACGAGAAGATTGTCCGTGGTCTAGCTATGGGTATGGCTTTGATCATGTACGGTCGCCAGGAGGCCGCAGATGAATTGATTAATGGCCTTTTGGGCGACCCCGACCCAACCCTTCGCTACGGTGGTATCATGACTATTGCGCTTGCTTACTGTGGTAGCAGCAGCAACAAGGCCGTTCGCAAACTCCTTCATGTTGCTGTTAGTGATGTCAACGATGATGTCCGTCGTATTGCTGTTCTGAGTCTGGGGTTCATCTTGTTCAGGAAGCATCAAAGTGTGCCCCGTATGGTGGAGCTGCTTTCCGAATCCTATAACCCTCACGTCCGGTATGGTGCCGCTATGGCTCTCGGTATCTCTTGTGCTGGAACCGGTCTGGATGAGGCGATTGATCTCTTGGAGCCCATGCTCAAGGATTCTACAGATTTCGTCAGACAGGGTGCGCTGATTGCGCTGTCTATGGTCTTGGTGCAGCAGAATGAAGCTATGAACCCCCGCGTCAGCTCTCTGCGCAAAGCCATGATGAAGATGATCGGTGATAGACACGAGGATGCCATGGCCAAGTTTGGTTGTGCAGTTGCTCTCGGTATCATCGATGCTGGTGGCCGTAACTGCACAATCAGTCTGCAAACGCAGACCGGCAACCTTAACATGCCCGGCATTGTTGGTGCTGCCGTCTTTATTCAATACTGGTACTGGTTCCCTCTGACCCACTTCCTGTCGCTCAGCTTCGCGCCAACTTCCGTCATCGGTGTGGACCAGAAGCTGGAGGTGCCCTTCTTCAAGTTCCACAGCAACACAAGGCCTAGCCTTTTCGACTACCCCCCCGAGCAGCAGGTCAAGACCGAGGAAGCCCCAGAGAAGGTTAAGACCGCTGTTCTGTCCACAACAGCCCAGGCCAAACGACGTGCCCAGCGCCGTGAGAAGCAACAGCGACGAGAGAGCATGGATATCGACCAAACCCCCACAACACCCAAGGTGTCAGATCAGATGCCAGACAAGATGGACACCGATGAGGGTGCCGTTAAGGGCGAGGAGGACGCCAAGGACGCTGAGAAGGAAGCTGTAGAGGGTCAGAAGAAGAAGATTGAGCGGGAGAAGGTTGGATATGAACTGGAGAACATGTCGCGGGTGCTCCCCGCTCAATTGAAATATCTCACTTTCCCCGACCCGCGGTATGAACCTGTCAAACGGGTATGTATTCTGATTTCCTTTCTTTTTCCTTTCTTTTCAAATTTGCTAACGAAAAGCCAAATAGCCTACCGGTGGAGTTGTCGTTGTGCTAGATAAGAAACCCGAGGAGCCCCGAGAAACCATTGAGATGAAGGCTAGTAAGGAGGCCAAACAGCCCGCAGCTCCCGCAGAGAGCTTCCAGGACCGGCTCCACGCCGCCATTGGCGCGGCAGCTCTCCAGACGCCACAACGTGGGATCGGGCGTGCGGGATTGGTTCCCGAGTCCATCTCGACGCCTGGAGCCACGGCTGCGGCGGGTGTGCTGACAGCCGTGGATGAGGACGAAGATGGTGGGGAGGAAGCGCCTGTTCCAGAGGAGTTCGAATATGAGACTGAGGGGGAAGAAGAAGAAGAAGAAGAAGAAGAAGAAGAAGAAGAAGAAGAAGAAGAAGAATAGAGAGAAGATCGCTGAAGCATGTGGGGCTGGGCGCGGTTGTATTACTAGATTAATTATGGATCTACGTCTTGAGAGAAGGCAGTGCGTGGGTAGATACTGCATCATATCTTGGAATGTTATTTTATTGTACCAGTGCAGCATGAACAAATCCAGGGTCTAGACAAGATTCTAGTCAGAGTGCTTTATTATCTAGATTTCACATGTTTTGAGGATGGAAAGAGTCGACGCGCTCAAATGTCACGTGCTGGGATGCCAGCCTCGGTATTTTCCCAATGTGGCAATTACGTACCAAGTGGCCGAAGACCCGAAAGCAAAAGGGCTGTTTTTACTCAGTTTGTAGTAACTCCCGGTAACTATATCTGCAAAGTCCAGATTTAACAAAGGAGGTTGATGGCATGTGAAAATCCCAAGAGTCTTCACTCCCTCTTCTTCCTATCTGTAATTCACCGAGGCCCTCCCTTGTCTTTCATCACAATCCAGGTGGTCTCCGACCCTGGCTCAGTACTTCCTAATTCTTCTTATATCTATCCATCCATCGCTTCTTCCCTCTTCCTCGCTTTTCTTCCTACCCCAGATTGTTCTTCCCCCATATTCTGGATTCCTTCTGGGTGGCGTAGTACCCGAACTTACTTAGATTGGCTTTGCCTGTTTGTACACCATGTCCGAGACCTTCTCCAAAGACGACGTCGCGTCGCATAACAAGTCCGACAACCTCTGGATTATCATCGACGACGATGTATACGACTTGACCAAATTCCAGGATGAACATCCCGGTGCGTTTATTTCTATGCTAGATTCTTTTTCTCGCTCTGTTGGACATGTGATACTGACCTGACGTCAATGCGCTAATAGGTGGAAAGAAGAGTATGGCCCTCAGACCCCTCTCCAGGGGGACCTCACCCACTAATTATTCCTCCCCTCTCATCGTCTAGTTCTCACACGAGTTGCCGGAAAAGATGCGTCGAAGCAGTTTTGGAAATATCACAACGAGGGTATCCTGAAAAAGTACCAGGGCCAACTACAAGTTGGATCCCTGGACTCTAAAAAGGCGGCGGCTCCCCCCGCTCCCGCCCCAGCCCCAGCCAAGGACGAGGCCCCCAAGCCCCAACACGCCGCTCCAGTCGATGTTGTCTCTGCAAAGTCTGAAGAACCCCAGGAGCCTTTCGGTGATTTGATTCCGTTCGCGGATCCCTCCTGGTACCAAGGTGTAAGTGTTTGGACCATCCCGCTTCGTATAGACTGAACTGCGGGACTGACTGGCTGTGATCATCGCTGTAACAGCACCACTCACCCTACTACAACCAGACCCATGCAGCCCTTCGCGCAGAGGCCCGGAAATGGGTTGAGACCGAGATTGAGCCTTATGTGACCGAGTGGGATGAGGCCAAGGAGGTCCCTGCCAAGATCTACAAGCAGATGGGTGAACGGGGATACCTTGCGGGTTTGCTCGGCGTGACATACCCAGTTAACCACACCCCCTACCGTGTTCAGTCTGTGGCCTCCGAGAATTGGGATCTCTTCCATGAAATGCTCCTCACCGATGAACTGTCCCGCGCTGGTAGTGGTGGCCTGGTCTGGAACTTGATCGGTGGCTTCGGTATTGGTTGTCCTCCGCTCGTAAAGTATGGTAAGAAGGAGCTTGTTGACCGTATCCTGCCTGGTATTCTGGCAGGGGACAAGCGCATTTGTCTTGCGATTACGGAGCCCGATGCGGGTAGTGATGTGGCCAACCTCACATGTGAGGCGAAGCTGTCCGACGACGGCAAGCATTACATCGTCAACGGAGAGAAGAAGTGGATCACCAACGGGATCTGGTCCGACTACTTCACCACGGCCGTTCGTACCGGCGGGCCCGGCATGAATGGTATCAGTGTTCTGCTCATCGAGAGAGCCGCTGGAGGGGTCAAGACCCGTCGCATGGATTGCCAGGGTGTCTGGAGCAGTGGTACCACATATATTACTTTTGAAGATGTCAAGGTTCCTGTCGAGAACCTTATTGGAAAGGAAAACCAGGGCTTCAAGGGTAAGCAACCGACCAATCAATAGAGGCGGGGGTCCTTCTTTGAATTTATGATAACATTAACCGACAGTGATCATGACCAACTTTAACCACGAGCGAATTGGTATCATTATCCAGTGCGTGCGCTTCGCTCGTGTCTGCTACGAGGAATCGGTGAAATATGCACATAAGCGCAAGACCTTCGGCCAGAAGCTCATCAACCACCCCGTTATCCGCATGAAGCTAGCGAATATGGCCCGCCAGATCGAAGCCAGTTACAACTGGCTCGAAAACATCATTTACCAGTGCCAGTCGATGGAGGAGACCGAAGCCATGCTCAAGCTTGGCGGTGCTATTGCCAGTCTCAAGGCCCAGTCGACAACAACCTTTGAATTTTGTGCCCGTGAGGCCAGTCAGATCTTTGGTGGTCTCAGTTACAGTCGTGGCGGCCAGGGCGGCAAGGTCGAGCGACTTTATCGTGACGTTCGTGCCTACGCTATCCCCGGTGGAAGTGAGGAGATCATGCTGGATTTAAGCATGCGTCAGTCTCTCCGGGTGCACCAAATGTTTGGCATGAAACTATAAGCTTTCGATCTTTTTTTTTTTCAAAAAAAAAGAGAAAAAAAAAACCCCGATTTCCCTTGTTTCTTGGATATTATCCCCCTTTAGGTTGGAGTACATAGAGCACTTGCTACGTTCTTGAACAAATGTACCATATTTGGAATAAATTGTCTACTTGATTTGGTAAATTAAATCTGTGTTTGGGTTTTCCCTTCTTCTTTCGATCCCTCTTCCTAGGTAAAGAATGGAATTTCTCTGATATCACAACTTGAAGTTTTTCCCGTGCACACCCTCCGGTACTCCACAGGAACCAAACACGCAGCCATCTCTCTATTGAAACGAACCTCGCCTTCTGAAAGCTCCTCAAAAAGTAACAGAGAACCACCCATCATCCCCTTCTCCTTCTCTCACAGGGCTGTTATGTGTTGGCTACCTGCACTCTAAGTCTGTGCGGATAATCCCCCCCTTTTTCTTTTTCTTTTCCTTTCTCTCTTCTCTCCGACTCTCTCCCCTTATCCCATTTCTCCATCCCAACATCTCGCTCATCCAACCCAGCAAAGGAACTATCTAACCGCTCGAAGCACGATATCCGGAAAGGCTCAACGAGAGACCTCGATATACTCTCTGTTCTCGACGGCACTTCTAATCAGTCTTACTCTGACCTCAGCTTTGTTCGCGCGTTAATATTCTATTCCTTTCTTCTTCTTCTTCTTCTTCTTCTTCTTCTTTCTTTCCCGTTTACGGAGACATAACTGGCGCTATTTAAAACAACTGTCCCCGTTGACTTGCTTCCGCTCACTTCCTCGGTAAACGCGCCTCTATCGGACGACAGATCGGACGATATATAATCCTTCCCACCCATTACAAACGCCATGTCCCGAAACTTGCTAGACCAGGACTTTGGGTCCGAGGAGGAGGACGATGATTTTAACCCTGCGCCTGCGGACGATTCCGACAACGAGAATGCGGTTAATCACAGGGTTGGTTTTTCTATCAAGTGTGCTTTTATGGTAATCTGGGAGTGGACATGTGTTTGCTGACGGCGAGAAAACTACACAGTCTGCGAATCGGAATCGCGTAGAGGATGACGACGACGACGACGACGACGAAGACGATGTCAGAGTTGGGGGAGGCAGGTCTCAGCAACGCAGGGATTATAGCGATGATGAGGCGCAGGACAAACGTGGTGGAGATGATGCGGAGGATGACTTCGACGACGATGACGGAAGAAGGGATGATGACAACGAGGGAGAGGAGGAGGACGACGACGATGAAGACGAGGAAGAAGACAATGATGATGAGGATGCCGTTTCGGTGGGTATTTTTCGTTCTGGGATGCTCTTGATTGTTAACAAGGCTAATGGTGGGGCACTTATGTGTGTTTTCTTTTCTTTAGGGTCGACCATCAAAGCGCAGAAAGAGACCCGGCGTTCAGAATTTCTTCGAAGAAGAGGCTGGTGTGGATGAGGACGAAGATGAGGCCGAAGACGAGGAGGACGAGCTGGCGGAGTTTGGTGGGGAGATGCACCCTGATGATATGGATGCGCTTCCGGCTGGAGCTGAAACGGACGACCGTCGTCACAGACAACTTGATCGCCAGCGTGAGCTAGAGGCCAGCATGGATGCTGAGAAGCAAGCGCAGATGCTCAAAGAGCGTTATGGACGAAACCGCGCCGCTGCCTCCGATGCAGTTGTTGTCCCAAAACGCCTTTTACTCCCTAGTGTGGACGACCCGAGTATCTGGGGTGTCCGGTGCAAGGCTGGCAAGGAGCGCGAAGTGGTTTTTGCTATTCAGAAGCGCATCGAAGAGCGACCTCCTGGTTCGCGCAATCCCCTCAAAATCATCTCTGCGTTTGAACGTGGCGGTGCCATGAGTGGCTACATCTACGTCGAGGCGCGCAGGCAGGCCGATGTCATGGATGCCTTGCAGGACATGATGAATGTTTACCCTAGGACAAAGATGATTCTCGTCCCTGTCAGAGAGATGCCAGACTTGCTACGAGTACAGAAATCGGAAGAGCTCAACCCCGGTGGCTGGGTTCGTATCAAACGTGGCAAGTACCAGAGCGATCTGGCTCAGATCGAGGAGGTAGAGACGAACGGTCTTGCAGTAACAGTCCGCCTAGTTCCTCGTCTGGATTACGGCATGAATGAGGATAGCGGTGCTCCTGTTGTTGATCCAAAGAGGAAGCGACCTGGCGCAAATCCCGCCGTTGCTCGTCCTCCACAGCGTTTGTTCAGCGAAGCGGAAGCGAAGAAGAAGCACGGCAAATACCTTTCTGCTACCTCCGGCCTGGGTGGAAAGTCCTGGAGCTATCTTGGTGAAACCTATTTCGAGGGCTTCTTGATCAAGGATATGAAGGTGCAGCATCTCATCACCAAGAATGTCCATCCTCGACTTGAAGAAGTCACTATGTTCGCTCGAGGGGCTGAAGACGGCACTTCGAACCTCGATCTCGCTTCGCTCGCTGAAACGCTCAAGAACTCGACTGCAGAAGATTCATATCTTCCCGGCGATCCTGTCGAGGTGTTCAAGGGCGAACAGCAAGGCCTTGTTGGACGCACGAGTTCCACCCGCGGAGATATTGTAACTATCCAGGTAACGCAAGGCGAGCTGGCTGGCCAACTGATCGAAGCTCCCGTCAAAACCCTCCGAAAGCGCTTTAGGGAGGGTGACCATGTCAAGGTTATTGGTGGTAGCCGATATCAAGATGAGCTGGGTATGGTTGTACAAGTAAAGGACGATACAGTCACTCTTCTCAGTGATATGAGCATGCAGGAAATCACCGTCTTCAGCAAGGATCTTCGTCTGTCTGCTGAGACCGGTGTTGATGGAAAACTTGGCATGTTTGACGTTCACGATCTGGTACAGTTAGAGTACGTTTTCCCCCTCTCCCGTGCCTCTTTCTTGACTAACGGCGATATAGCGCCGCGACTGTTGCTTGCATCGTCAAGGTTGATCGTGAATCCTTGCGAGTGCTGGACCAAAATGGTTCTATCCGTACTATTCTTCCTACCCAAGTCACCAACAAAATCACACCGCGTCGTGACGCTGTGGCGACTGACCGGAACGGCGCTGAGATTCGACATGGAGATACCGTTAAAGAAGTTTATGGCGAGCAGAGGAATGGCGTGATACTCCACATTTACCGCTCATTCTTGTTCCTGCACAACAAATCCCAGGCCGAAAACGCAGGTATCACGGTTGTACGCACCACGAATGTGGTCACCGTATCTGCCAAAGGTGGTCGATCTACGGGCCCCGATCTCTCCAAGATGAATCCAGCCATGATGAGAAATGGTGCTCCAGGCAGCATGATGGCGCCTCCTCCCGCGAGGAACATGGGACGGGATCGATTGGTCGGAAAGACTGTTTTGATCAAGAAGGGGCCTTATAAGGGCCTTGTGGGTATCGTCAAGGATACCACAGATACACAAGCGCGGGTAGAACTTCACACCAAAAACAAGATTTTATCGATACCCAAAGAGCTTCTTGTGGTGAAAGATCCTCTCACTGGTCAGACAATCGATATATCTCGCGGCAAAGGAGGACCCCGCGTTCCACACGGTAACTCAGCAGCTCCGCCATCCGGCTGGCAAGCTAGCCGCACCCCGATGGCTGCCGGAGATTCCTCAAGGACACCAGCGTGGGGTGGAGCAATGTCTTCGAGAAGTAAGCTTCCTTCTTTCTCCTTCTCCCCCGCGTCCCCTCTATACATCTACTAACTGAATTTCCAGCTCCTGCTTGGGGCGGCGGCGGTGGTGGTCTCGGCTCTCGCACCCCAGCCTGGAAGGCTGACGGATCACGAACCTCAAACCCCTACGACGGCAGTCGAACTGCATACGGCGGTACCGGCTCCCGCACCCCAGCCTGGAACGCAGGTGCCCGAACTCCCTACGGCGGCAGCTCCGGGTCCGGGTCCAGCGACTTTGACGCCTTCGCAGCCGGCTCTAGGACTCCTGCCTGGGGAAGTGCCAACACCGGCAATCGCACTCCCGCTTGGTCAATGGGCGGGAGCAGCGGTGGGGCCTCATCGAGCAACGGCACTAAAGAATCGCGCGGTTACGATGCACCCACACCTGGAGCAGCTTACTCGGCACCTACCCCAGGCGCATATGGCGGCGCACCAACACCAGGTGCATCCGCCCCTACTCCTGGGGCCTGGGCAGAGAGTGCCCCGACACCGGGGGCTTTCAATGCACCCACGCCCGGCGGCCCATCAAGACGAGCGTACGATGCCCCCACACCAGCTGCTGATTTCGATAGTCGTCCATACGATGCGCCGACACCCGCGATGGGCGGCGCGGCCGCGACACCTGCAGCATTCGGCGACGGAGATGATGGCGGACCTCGGTATGAAGAAGGAACACCTAGTCCCTGAAATGTCCATTTTCATTTTCTATCTCAATTCTACAAAAAAAAACTCGGGCGTATTTTTATCTTATTTTTTTTTCCCCCTTGCTTATTATTCCACCTTATGTTTTTTTAACCTTTTTTCTTTTCTTTGAGATCCTCTTTACCTACCTATCTATCTATTTATCATACAGGGGCGTACTTGATTAGCTACCTACCATTGATTACTTACCTACCTACCTACCTACCTACCTACCTAGTACAGTGTATTCTCTTTGCATGTAGGCCACGTCCAGATTACTCCATCACAATCACAATTAGTTCAACAATCAAGTACTGGATCTTCTTAACCGAAAAAAAAAAAAAAAAAAAAAAAAAAGGTTTTGCGAGGAGCATGGCATAGCATAGCAGAATCACTTAACCTATGCACATACATACATACATACATACATACATACATACATACCTATCCTGCGGAGCTTCAATCTGACAACGATCTCCTCCTCACTTCTCGTTAACAATGTTTTTCGGGGGAGGGGGAAGAAGGAGGAGGTGATATGAGGGAGGTTCTGGAGGATCGATCCCCTTTCTTTCTTTAAGGGGACTGACTGACTACTCTACTGCACGAAGATGTAGGAGACATCTGTGTACAGAGGAGGTAGCTACGTACCTAGGTAGGAAGGAAGGACACCATCCAGACGGGATGAAACAATTTGGTTTTATCCAGATTTACGGGAGAATATCTAGAAAATGCAATGAAGGGGCGAAAGGGGAGAAAATATATCCCATGGGTTCTCTGCGTCCGTTCATCTCTAGTGTTCTTTTGTAGCACGTTGTTGTAAATAATAGATAGTTATTAAAACATAAATGCGAAAGGAAGATATCATCCTTGCAGTCTGTCCCCAGTCTCCTTTCTTCGTCGGAATTTGCCGACCACATCCTGCAATTAAAAACTCCTTTTCTAATTCATAAATAATGATCCAAAAAGGGAGGGGGAGTGGAGCCAAAGATGGCTCGAAGTGAGAAAGAAATATAAAGGTGGAAGGAAGAAAAGAAAAGGTAAGCATTATTTTAGCCCGGCTAAAGCGGCGGCGGTAATGCAGGATGAGGTGTAATCGTGAATGGAATCTCAAGGACGTCATTTAGGGAGGAACCGCTCGCGCCAATACGCGAATATTGTCCACCAGTCCTTTAACGAGATCTTCGTACTGATTTTTCGGGTCTCCGGCCATGGCAAGCTGCCCTTGACGGCGGATTTCAGCGGCAGACACCTCGATTTCCAATTCGTGCTCAAATTCCCCCTTCGCGGATGGCTGTTATATATATATATATATAAAAAAGACATTAGGGCTAGATCTGGAAACTCCATTACGATAGTAAGAGATAGATATGAGTACTTACCTCAGACCTGGCGACTTGAGTCAGGTCGACCTGATATGCCAGGTGTCGATAGCTCATGCGGTCCTTATTTCGATCGCTGCTACCCCGACCTGTCTCCGCCAGTGGGAGATGTTGATGGTCTCCATCGTAATTCATTTCCAGGTTAACACTTACCCGCCAATCAACACAGGTACGAGGGCTATGAACATCGAGATCGGCTACTCGGCATTTCACAATCTTAGCTAGAACCTCGCCAGTGCGTTGGTCAACCGTGACCCTTACTTTGGGCTTATGCCGGGGGTTGAGGTTTTGTCGAATCACAGGTGGGAGTTCAGAAGGAGATACTTCGTAGAACGTATCTCGTTCTTTTTTATGAGCATATGAGAGGGGTATTCTCCCCGGGTTGGCTTGCGGCATAGAAGCTCTCACAGCCTCGTTGAGGAAGTTGTTCATTGCCCGATGTTGTGCCTACTCAACTATTAGCTTCAAATCATTACGCAACCCCTGATCATCGACTGTGGTAATGACCGGAAAAGGCCGTTAGAAAATCAAAAAAAAAAAAAAATCAAAAACATGCAGCGTACCTGAGTCATGTTGCTTTGAAAGGAGGTTCGAAACCGAGGATTGTCTCTGCTGATAACACTTTCCGTCAATATCGGTAGGCTAAGTCTCTCTCCCCGGTCGAGATCCACAAGGTGGCCCAGCTTCGCTTCAACCTCGATTATCGCGCCTGAACCAGCGGATAATGAGCCTGCGGGACCTGCCATGGCATCATTCCTGAGAACCACATGCTGAAAGAGGAAATCGCAAACCAATTTGGTGACTTCCTCGTGGGGGATAAACCCAGTGATGGAGGGCTCCCATGGTCCAAGACTCTTCAGCTGTGCCGTTCCAGGTTGCTGCACTGGAGCGGCCACGGCGACAGCGGCGGTAGTAGTAGTAGTAGCAGCAGCAGCAGCAGCAGTAGTAGTTGTTGTTGTTGTAGCAGCGGCTGGTGGGCCATTTGTAGATGGACTCTCTGTTTTGGCTTTTACCGGGGGAGGAGCAGCCTGGAAGGAAACCTGCTGGCGCGTGAACCACGGGTTTTGGGGAGTGTCTCTAACGTGCTTAGGGATAGGTGGGAACCGATTTGGAATCATGGGGCATTTCCCCTTAGTGCGAACTGATCGTTGCGCATATATTGGCGGCTCGTTGAAACGCCTTCGTTTCCGTTTTGGGGCCTGGGGGCTCGAATTGATAAGGCTAGATTCCGGAGAAAAGTTTGCCTTAGGCGGTAGCGAACGCTCTCGCTTCACCTTGGGGGACTCATTTGCAACAAATCCCTGGGTCGAAGGGGAGCTGGTCTGCGACGTTGTCGCTGGTTGGCCGGGGTGAGAATTTTGCGTAGAGGTGCGAGTGTTCTTTACGGCAATGCCATTCTCAATGTGATTTAGCTGCGATGGAGCAGATTGATCATTATAACTTGCCGTACTCTGTCTTCGGGACCCCGGAGCAAATGTCGTCTTGGGGCTAACACTCTCATCCGATTCTCTCCTCTCGGTCGCAACCGAGTTCTGGCGCGGTGTCTGATCGAGTGGCCTTGAACCGTGACGAGCCGCGCGGGGAACTGCTGTTGGGGACATGTGTATCTGCGCATCTTGTCCAACCCAGGGGCTGGACGCGCGATTGGACAAAGAATCATGGCCGGAGGACTGCGGACGAGCGGAGGACGGGGGTGAATGCTGATAAGGGACGGCAATAGAAGCCCGGGGTGTGCCTGGAAGCGACCCTTGTGCGGGAGGAGGGAACTGTTGCGGTGGGTATGGCTGGGGGGCGGCCGCGGAAGGGCTCTCTCTAGGAGGGAATGAGTGAGAGGAGGAAGAGTAGGGGGTGGTTAAGACAGACTGGATTGATTGAGAGCGCTGATGAGCGATCGGGGATTGTTGTTGTTGTTGTGAATGATTATAGCCGGCTGGCGCCGCGAAGGAGTCACGCGAAGTAGAGGAGCCATAGGGAGCCGGGGGGCTCTGGCCGCGTTGGGATTGTGCGCTCGCGTTCAACGATGATGAGGCTTGATACTGATAGGGCGACTGCAACGAACCGTAGGATGAGGACCGGTCTGGAGATGTGTGGGTGCGCTGGAGCGGCGGAGGTTGTTGCGATGGCCCACCTGGATAGTTTGACGCATATGTAGCGGACGACGGCGATGCGTGTTGCTCGTGTGCAGGATAAACCGGATCGGACGCTTTACGGGCGAGTTGTTGCGACGGTGACTGATGGGCTGAGGGGGATTGGGCGCGATGCGAAGAGGCCGCAGCATCGCTATTCATAATGGTGCGCAAATCCATGATGATCGAACGATCGGGGATGGAAGAATGAATTGGAAGGAAACGAATTAATTTGACCACGAGACACCCCCTTCCACAACACCCCAAAGCGGATGACGGGGGAGTTGATGCCTACCAAGGACGAGGAGGAGGAAGGGGGAAAGATGAAGAAGAAGACATTTAGGGATGGAATAGAGGGAAGGAGGTAGGAAATGGGGATGATGCTGATGATAAGGAGGAGAAAAGGAAAGAAAGAATTGACGAGGTTGAAGTTGGCAGATTCGGGAAGGGTTGATTGGCGGGAGCTGCGCGATTCTTCTATACATCGGGAATTTGGATGCGATGCGAAGCAGATGGAGAGGATGGAGGGAGAGATGGCTGAACATGACTCTCTTTGCACTTTAGTTACTCTAAGGCTCTCTTGATGCTAAACTAAGATCGGTGTGACAATGACCAGTCTAGTTTATAGGATATCAACTACACAAGCATCCGGCTAGAGCTTAGTTAGTGCTTGGAGATTCTACGACTACAGGGATACTCATTTCGACCTGAGGGATGGCCTAGTTTCTGTGAATCTACAGACCAGGGGAAACAGCCTCAAATCCGAGAAGAAACAGAGAAAACCCCGGGAATTGGGCGTTGTTGAAGTCAAGTCAAGCTCGACAGAATATCAAAAATCTGCCTTGGCGTCCTGAATTTTCAGGTGTTTTCTGCCAAAGGCGGTATATAACAGGTCATGTGATATATATTCTGCCCGTTCTATGTTGTGCCGCTTTGCCGACCGCCTACTATGTTAGTCTGGGTGTTCCTAATAAGGAAATATTCCACTCCAGAGGTGAAAACATCATTTAGACATCACATAAAGAGATCCTACTAAGAAGAAGAAGAAGAAGAAGAAGAAGAGGACATGACTCTGTTTTAAACTCTTCTCCTCCACTGTCAAGGTCCAGATCAGCTTGTCGTTCCCTCTTGTTCCTCAAAATTGAAGTAACACCGACCTCAACATAGCCTCATGTAGCAACAGGGGGATTTCTCCCAAATTATCCTTTATTTTCGTATTCAAATCAAGTCTTGACCATAAGTGTATTCAGAGGAATAATTCAATAATAATTCCCGATAAAAGTTCCCTCTTAATTAACTTAGATAAGATCAACCCGCTGGTGAAACGAGAGTCTCCTCAATCTTAATAAGTTTCACTCGATCGACAAGTCGCCATTTGGCCTCAACCTCCACAGTCCCTTCTTCCTCTTACCTTTTGTTCTGTGGTGAATTGAGGTATATACATCTTAAGTCTTTCCTCGTGCTATGTGATTAATTATGTGTGCTAATCGTTTACCCTTTCTCTCAATAGCATGGTTAAATTTGCCGCCATCCAATGCGCTCACCGATGACGAAGCCTGTATCTCTAACTATAACTAAACATCTCACGACACATACAGCGCGCTCTACGGTCACTACCTTACCTATACTACTAAATACATACAACAGCGCTTCTACGGTGATTTCGACGAACAGCTTTCCTCTTGCCGGTTCTGAACCTGACGAGGTACTTTAGCTGCAACCTCATTGACGCCATCATCCTTCACAGAGAAGACATTGGGAGGAAGGCCACACCACACACTCACATTCGACACCTGTCGCAAGGAATTAAAGATTTGGCTTCATCTCTGAGCACCGCAACTTCGATACCATGGTCGCCGATAAGGAACCTCCGTCATCTCCTGCCATCCACAACATTCCCTTAAATGATCTGGAATCAGGCCTGGATCGCCGATTCCAGCCCCCGTTTCTTCCATGGAGCGTGTCAGTGTCCGACCTAGTAGCCGATCCATCCAAGCTTTTTCCAATTGTTCAGCACTTCTTCGACCATTGGCAGACCTATATGGAAACATTTTTCACTAACCTAACAATAGCCATCACCCCGAGCTATTTGCAGCACTTGGTCGGGGGCCAACCAACACCACAAACAAAACTGCATGCAATCGCGGCACTAGACGGTCTACGAGGATGGGCTTGTTTACTCGTCTTTAACTTCCATTTTCTCTTCACCTACACCTGGAGGGTTGCGCTCGGGTGGGGGTTCAACAATGAGAACTTTTACTTCTACCAACTACCCATCATTCACGTCCTTACCTCTGGACACATCATGGTCGCCATCTTCTTCGTAATCTCAGGCTACGTGCTTTCCTACAAACCTCTGAAGACGATCCGCAGCCGGTCCTTCGAAGATACCTTCACCACCCTCGCCTCTTCCACCTTCCGCCGTGGTCTTCGTTTGTATCTACCTTCTATCGTCGGCATCTTGCTGGTCCTGATTGCCGTCCGCCTGGGGGTGTACAACTATTCACAAAAAGTCCTGTTCGAGGGTCGTACTATTGTGGGTACCAATGAACAGCACCCGCCGATTATGCCAAAATCTTTCTCCAAGCAGTTTTGGGATTGGTATGCTACGGTGGTACGCCTCATGAACCCTTTCGACTGGGGTCTCTACTACAACAACTACAACCCTCATCTATGGACTATCCCCGTGGAGTTCCGCAGCTCCATTGTCCTTTTTCTGACCATCCTGGCCACCTCACGCCTGAAGTCCGTGGCGCGCGTTTCCGTCGTTAGTGGCTTGGTATGGTTCTGCATGCGCTGGGGTCGGTGGGATGTAGTTCTTTTCCTCGCTGGCATGCTTATGGCCGAAGCCGACCTCATCCAGGGGATTTGGGACCGCCCACGCGAGGAAGAAGGCGAGAAGGAGAGGCGCACCTGGAGCCGCCACAACCCGTTCCAATATCATCAAACCTTCCGCCTAAGTAGCCCCAAGCGCTGGATCGCGCTCTTTGTTCTTGGTCTCTACCTAGGCTCCACCCCTAACACCGGGTACAAGTTTACCCCCTTCTTCATGTGGACCTGGACCATCACCCCCAAGACCTATCCCGAACCCCACCGCTTCCCGCAAACCCTCGGCGCTGTTATGATCGTGTACAGCATCAACCACTCCAGGGACATCCAAAAACTCTTCATCAACCCGGTGTCGCAGTATTTGGGCCGCATTTCCTTCGCGTTCTATATCGTCCACGGCCCCATCCTCCACTCCCTGGGATACTCTCTCATGCCCAGTATCTGGAAAATCACTGGCAAGGAGACGGACTTCCAATCCTGTTTTGGGTTTTTCATCGGTTGGCTCATCTGCCTTGCGGTTTCCCTCTGGGCGGGTGATCTATTCTGGCGTATGGTTGACATTCCCAGCGTGGACTTTGCGAAATGGGTCGAGAGTAAAGTCGTCGTCGTCGTCGTGGCTAAGACGACTCCGCGCGAAAATCTACGACCCGGTCCAAGCTCGCATGTTTATTAATCGCCTTGACCTTTGCCTCTTTTCTTTTCTTTTCTTTTCTTTTCTTCTCAGTTTTAAATATCCCTCTATCGTCATCTTCTCTTCCCGCTTTCCTTTTATTACCACTATTTTCCTGGTTGACTTTCCCCCTGGCGTCACGGATGCATACTGGCATTTAGCGGGCGTAGTGGTTTTTCTTTTTTTCTTTTTTTTTTTTTTTTCCCGTCATTGTTGAATCATTTTATTCAGCCTGTTCTACCTACCCGGCATAGCATCAGTGTGTGGAATTCTATAGTATATATAGGTATTCCTCTGAATTGGAAAGTGGAAGAGTTCCAACTATCTCGAGGTCCAAATGTTCTTCAATAATTCATTCATTCGTATACTCGTACCGTACCGTACCCAGACCAGATGACGACCCAACAACGCTCTCAGTACATAATTGGGTGATACCAACTCTTTCCCGGCCCCAACTTTATGTAAAAATCAAGAGCAAGGGAAAAGGCGATGCAGGGAAAAAAAAAAAAAAAAAAAGGGCAATGTGAGTATAATGTACTCAAAAAGGAACTTCGGAAATGATCTGACGCAAATCGAAACGAAACCAAAAGAGCAGAAGGAAGAAGACTTGATGGGAGGGATGTAGAAAAGGGAGATAGAGAGAAAAAAAAAAAGGGCGTGGGGAATTTGATATGTATCTAATACATAGATAGGATAGGATAGGATAAAGACTTTTTTTTTTCTCATAAAGCGACTCCCCAAACCCCTCGTCCTCCGCAGACTCCTAGCCAATCGCGCGGATGTCCAGAATTTGTGTTACCTCCTTGCGGAGACCAGCTGATGTTGGAGACCTCATAATCACATTTCCAGGCGGCTGCAGGGCCACGTTCCGTGGTTGTGGATGGTGCACCAGGGTTGTGGACGACTGGCGGGACAGGAGTGGCATTGTGCTGGTTGATGAGGTCCCATAGTAGGACAAAGCAGTCGTCGGCACCGGAAGCAAGAACACCACGTCGATTGGGGGACCACTCCACACAATTCAGGGAAGCTGAGTGACCTTTGAGTTCAAGGAGCGCTTGACCAGGCTGGCGCACGTCGAGAACTCGGACAATGTTGGAATCTTGGGAGAATGTTGCCAAGAGGTGGGAGTCGTGAGGTGATGCTAGGAGTTGTCAGTTTCCGTATTTTAGAGAGGTGTATTCTTATGGCTGGGCTTACCCGCAATCCGCAGAAGGGGCGGAGGCCATATAGTTGCTGGTGTGGAGGGACTGCCGTTGCCGGGGCTCATCACTAGAGAATTACGGGTCAGCATTTGACATGCAGCCATATGGATAAGCATACATTTCTCATTTTTCTCCGTTGGTTCATAGATAATTGTGCTATGCTCCAGGCTGCGCAGGTCAAACATGCGCACACTACCATCAGCACCACAGCTGACGAATACATCGACGCTATTCGCGCAAAATCGAACGTCGTACACTTCCTTGTCGTGTGCAATCAGTTGAGTTTTGGCAGTTAGGGTAGGGATATCCCAGATCGTGCACGTAGTGTCGATGCTGGAAGTGATAATCAAACTCGGGGAAATTGTGTTCCAGTCCAGGGAAGTGATAGGAGCAGTGTGCTCGGGCGACTTGGAGTTGGAAAGCAACGCCAATGGCGAGAGTTTCGCCGTGGGCATAACCCCCTGGTTTGCCGATCGTGTGATGGAGTTGGAAGTTTGTATAGGCTGCGAGCTTGGTAGGGACCAGAGTCGGAGATGATCTCCGGAGGTTGCTAGAAGGTCCGTAGATTGTTTCTGGGAGGATGGTGGCTCCCAAAGAATACGCGTAACGGGGTAGGAATGAGTGGCCTCTGCGGTCTTTACGTATTCCAGCTTCACCTCCCCAGCGGCGGCATCGGGGGTATCAGGGTCTGGTTGGGCCATGTGTGTATCGATGATTTGTATCTACTCCGGTCAGAAATTAGAACGGATTTTCAAATAAGAGGTAAAATCATAACTCCTCACATAGTTGTGATGGTCCTCCAAATAGCTTCCCAGCGCGATTTTGCCGCCGAAAGAGCCCGAGTTCCCGGAAATCGGCCATTTACACCAATCCACGGCATATATGGGCCAGGGAGTAATATAATTGCTATTGGTCGGTACCTGATTTTCCGTCCCATTGAATGGCAATGTACTCTGACTTATGATGGGGTCATTCAATAGGTCTCCGGATGGGCGAATATCCGCCAATCCAAGAGGAGAATATTTGGCCCCTTGCGGAGTTGGAGGATATGCAGCTCCTGGGGAGGACCCAGGCGGTTTATATTTCTGTTCAAAGCCAACAGGGCTTGAACGGGAGTGCGCTTGGGAATTGGCCATGTTGGAACGAGGGGTGCTCGACGGAGGTTGTTGCTGGGGTTGCTGGGGTTGCTGTTGCAGCTGTGTCGACAACTGAGGGAGGGTAGGGAGGACGGAGGGGGCGGTATTCACCGACACTGCAGGTGGGCGGTTGGCATTTCCTGGCTGCAGGGCGCCCGGAAGAGCTCCACCTACACCACCATTCCCACTTCCATACTGATTGGGCTGAGAGCTCGACGGATGAATGTTGATAGATGGAACGTGACTATCCGGGCTTGTAGGGTATTCGTGCGAAGCCGATGGTCGCGGCAGGCTGCCTGTATTCAAGCCTCCCGACGGAATATGAAGCTCCTCCGGTTGACGGCTATAGATAGTTGCCCGTCGAGAATCGTATGGTTGCGCGGGGTTTGACATATTGTCGTCAGCTGTGGAAGGGAAGGAGGGGGACGGGGGAGGAACGATGTCGCAAGAAGGTAAGCGCAGGTCTACTGCTGTGCAGTAGAATCCACACAAGCGCAACCTTGCCCTGAACGATCCTCGATGTCAGGCGCTGGGTTGGTGATGGCCTGTGGAAACTTAATAATTCCGGGGGACGGAGGGGGGGCTCCTCTTAGGGCGGGCAGAAAGCGTAAAGGTCGTAGGAGCTCCAGCTACAGGATGAGGGAGCGGGGTCCGGATCATGCCAAAGGAAGGACTCGGGGTGGACTTAGTAAAACATCTTGGGACTCGGGGCAGTTCTAAGGGGCTCTAAACAACAACGAATGGTGTTGATAAAGAATGGAAGGAAGACAGGAAGAGCTTCGTTGGGGGGGGCAAGAGGAGGAGAGGAGGAGAGAATCACAATATTGCAGTCGTTTGTAGTCCGCAGTCATCTTTTTACTAGTTTTCCTGTGATCATGGATGCTGCTGACTCATCCAGTCCCCAGGAAGTATTCTTTTGGTGGTACAGTACAGTCCATTACAGTATAGTACAGTATAGTACAGTAAATTACACCAGCTGCTACTTCGCACCAATAGTAACTAGTACTAGTACTCTGTACTCCCTCTGTATACTGTCATCCTCGGTTGCTTTTTTATTGTCCTTTAGGTCTTTATCCATCCGCTGTTTCCTTCTCCCTTTCTTCTTCTCTTTTCTTCGTTGCCTTGTTCTAGGGCCTCTCATTCTTTATCCATGTTCCCCTCTCCTCCGCTTTCTTCACTCTAACCGACTCGTTCGTATAGTTCCGTCGTCGCGCAAGCTTTCCCCTCTCTCCTCCATACATTCCCCGCCCGCGATGGCCTCCCAATCCCCGCCTTCGGCCTTGCTCCTTCTCCCACCTCCACCATGCGCTTCCTCCGTTCAGTTTAAGGCAGTATACCAGCCGATTTTGTCTGCCGTTTGCACCGAATTATCACAGGTCGTCAATGGTACCCATCGCGTCGCATATCTACACGTAGCTCTTTCGCTTTCTGGTCTGCGGTCTCCAGCATGTCAACCGCCCGCAAAAGCCTTCACAAGTCTTCAGCGCGCTCTAGAGCATATCTACACACTGATTGGGGTAGTATGCATGGAGAGAAATATTGATATGGAGGCTCCGGGTGGGATCGATTCGAGGGTGGTCTTGCTAGATTTCGACTCCGTTCACAGTGCAACATCCAAATCCGGAGAGTCGGCCCCAGTCACGCAGAATGGGCCCATCCTTGACTTGCAAACACTGGCCAACTCTAAACGCCTGTGGAATAAAATTTATTTCCCAGATACCCCGGCCGGTCAGGATCTAGCCGCGGCCTTCAGTAGCTTTCATGACCCGAGCAAAGACCCCAATAGCGACACCCTACAACCAGTTCCTGGAGTACGCCCTTGGACTCCATCGGAATCCTTCCTGGCCCCCGGGGAACCTGTCGAGCCCGTCACACATTACTCAGCTATTGTAGCAGGCACCTTCGATCATTTCCATATCGGACATAAGCTCTTACTTACGGCGACGGCATTGGTCTTGCAGCCACTCGGGACCGGTAATGCAGACAAAGAGCGACTCTTCTCGATCGGAGTGACGGGGGATGAAATGCTGAAGAATAAAAAGTATCCTCAATATCTGGAGAGCTGGGAGAAGCGATGTCGGAGTACAATAGACTTCCTGCGGTCGATTATGGATTTTGGACCCCCTGAGGCGAGCACACCACATGTCGAATATATCAATGACCCGGGGCCCAATGGCAAGGTAATGGTGATGAAGATTCGGCCCGGGATTACCCTGAGACTTGTGCAGATATCAGACGCATTTGGCCCGACTATCACCGAAGAAAGCATTAGCGCCTTGGTCGTGTCCAAGGAAACTCGCTCGGGAGGAGCTGCCGTTAACCAGGAGCGTAAAAAGCGAGGGTTCAAGCAGATGGTGGTGTTTGAGGTGGACGTGCTGCATTCCGGGGAGGTGGCTCCTGGTGACGTTGACAATTTTGCATCTAAAATAAGCAGCACGGATATCCGACGACGACAAATGGAATTGGCAATGATATAACAAGGTCGATAACAGGGATGGATATAGCTGGAGTGTCAGTGTCTGGATTGTACATATGGCTTACCTTTTCTCAGGCTCCAGGCACTTTGTTTGAAACACCAACACAGGCTGGTATAGATAGCCAGAAGATAAACCCGAGGGCATACGTAGACCTCGATACCCCTGCTAATTGGATTTAATTAGTATCATCATCTGCATGCGGTGTTGAAGCTATGTTGTTGTTAGTCTAGTGGCATGCAGCACAAAGCGAGCGACGGTGGGATTGGATTCAGGTCAAGTCCCTTGTCTCAGTTCTCTGGAAAATTAATTCTTCACAAGTTTTCTCGGAGCTTTAGACTCTTGACTCTTTTTGTTCTTTTCTAATTTAACGGAAGGAGGATGATCTCATCAGTTGTGGAGTTGGCTAAAACCATTGGAAACGGAGCCTCGATGGATCGTTATCTCTCCGGCGTTTGGGGATGCGCTGGGGAACACGACAACTACTGCAGAATAACCAGCCATCGTCCGTGTTGATCCTTCTTCCTCCGGCCCTAGCAATGCTTTCTGGCCACACACACACTCTCTCTCTCAAATGCGATTGTTTCAATCCAATTCTGCATGATAACGAGGATAATAACTATGACGATGATGATGATGGCAGTCATGGTGTTTTCCTGATTGTTCCACTGCATCCTTTTCAGGGGCACCAGCTCACCAGGGTTCAACTAATGGCGACCACGACTACTCCCGTCTCTTGGGCCAGTTACAGACGGAATCTAGGCCTAGAAGCTATAGGGCGTCATGATTCGCTTCCCTCAGCGGGGTTCCGTGCAGTAGTCAAGGACGTCTGCACGTATCTCGTCCCATTTTCCGTCTCCTTCATGTCGCATCATCACCTCCCAACCACCCTAGGTAACTCTCTAACCCCCGCCCGCCTCATCCTCGACCACCACCACAACCACAATCACAACCAACAGTGACCACTGCCAAACACCTCATCACCATCCACCAGACTAGCCCACTTCCCCCTCCCCCCCCCTGACCAAGCCAGCTGTTGTCCTCTCTACCAATCCTTCGTCTTTCGTCGCAACTCCTCCTGCAGGTTCGCGCTGGCTATCCGCATGCCCTTTCAATCATGTGACTTTAGTGTGCCAGCGTTCGTCCAATGTTCGTGCGTCCGTTGGTCAAGAGCCTCGCTTTTTGAGGGTTGGGGAGGGGGGCGCAGGAATTGTAGATACTACTGCCGGTGATCCTCGTCAACCTAGTCCGTGGGATTGTCGATGTGGGACGCTCTAAATCTTGTCCGACATGTCGACTTGCTGCAGGCGCTGTGTCTGCGGCCCGCCCTTTTTCTCTGCTGCAGTCGACACAGACACTCTGCTTGCTGTCGTTCAAATGTGAGGAACATGACCTGACGGAGACATAGGCATGGAGGGATAGGGAGAGACACGGAGGAGGGAGAGAGAGAGAGAGAGGGAAGGAGAGAATAAGTATAAGAGACGCGGAGAGGGGCAGACAAGATGTATCACTTCTAATATAATTTAAAAGGAGGTGTTTTTTCTCGTTTCTTTTTCCTTCCCTTACATACCTCGTCTGCTTTTGCTTTCGTTTTTTCTTCTTTTTCTTTTTCTCCTTCTCTCTCTCTATCTCTCTCTGTTCCTCTGTCTCTGTCTTTCTGTCTCTTGACTTCTTCTTATTCTCGTGCTGTTGCTGTTGCTGTTGCTGTTGCTGGTACCGCTCCTCAATCCTCCAGCTAATGCCCTGCAGTCCTCCGTCACTTCTTTGCTTATTCCACTCCACCATCGGTTTTTAACCCTCTCCTCTCTACCCCAACCTGCGCTGGTCTTCTCTTTTACTTCGTGAATCTCCTCTATCTCTAGGTGGAATTTTCTTTTTTTTTTTTTTTTTTTTTGCGATCCCCACTAGTCCCCCCAATCCTGTCGCTTTGGTTTCCATGTGGTTGCGATTGGCCCTAATAGCCGGACACACGGCTGCCACCCTGGGCCTAAACCATGACGGAAAACCCGCGACACATCGAAGACCTCGCGGACGAATTGATCAGTGACATTCTCTCCTTCCTTCTGGGCGCAGAATACCTGTCAAACGCTCCGTCCCCTGTGAACACGCAAGACCTGTCGCCCAAACTCAATGGGCGCGCGACTCATGTCTATGGTGAGGAATCAGAATTGGACCGGTTTCGACTCGTCTGTAAACGTTTTCTTCGCATTAGCACACCGCGAAAATTCCCGCGCTTCGTCCTCCGGTTTTCGTTGAAGGGATTCCAGAGGCTGGAGGAGCTCCTGCACATGCAGCTGGCTTGTCATGTGAGATATTTCACATACATGGTGCGACCCTTCTACCAAGGAAGCGGTAACCGTCTCTTGAGCAAAAAGTCCCTGCCAACAATGGGCTCGAAATTTGAAAAATACTAACCCCCTTGTCTAGGTTGGCCACATATCTTGAGTAAGACCAATTTGAACGATTTCCCTGCTGCGCAAATCCATCAAACCCGGTTGCAGGACCAACTCTATATTCTGGATGAAGATCATGACCTGGCACTCCTGCGACGGGCGATAGCAGCTTTCTCGTCCCTCCAGCAGGTCAAGCTCCTCCGGCTACAGGATAGAGCAGATGAAGAATTACTCGATTATATACATGAACGCTCGCTGGATGGGATGCTAGGTATGGACTGGGCCCCCGCGTGCGCCCGCGCGGTCACAGCCCTAGGTGCTTCTTTGCTTGCATCCAATTGTACATCCGTGCGCTTTGTCGGGCCCCAGATTAGCCCAGAAGCGACGGTCAGACTGCTCCAGGTCCCGTCTGCCACTCTTTCCGCTGTAGGCGCGCGATTGACCTGTCTAGACATTACTTTCCACACCAAGATGGATATAACATTGCAGATGGAGAGCCTGTCCCGGGCCTTCCACGACTTCTTCCTTGCTGCAAAAAACCTAACAACCATCCATCTCGGGTTTGCAACCAATGCGCCTCTCGATCTCCCACTTGAACACATCTTCCACTGCGTTCAGTGGAAGCGTCTCCGCACTCTGAGCATCCAGGGTTGGCGTCTCGGTTCTGAAGAAATTATAGCCCTCATTCGGCGCCATCGCCGTCAGCTCTGCGACATCCGCCTCATCAGTATCTACCTCCGTGAAGGGGATCTCTGGCGCGACGTCCTCTCCGTCCTTCGCAACGAACTGGACCGTGTCGAGCGCATTGACCTCCGCGAGATCAACTATGCCAGTCATATCGATACCTCTACCGCAAATGGTAACGGGCATAGTCATGGCAACGGTGTCGGTAACGGCACTACTCTCGCGCCGGAATCATCAATAGGGATTGGAAACATGCCACATCCCCTCTCGATAATCGTCAACCGAACCAACCCGGATCAAGTGCCACGACCGCCTCCTTCCCCACCTCCTCCAGTCTTAAATACAGACCACCTTTCCTTCGTCTCGCGGGGGACCACGCGCCGCTCATTCCCTGCTTCAACATTAGAAATCTTAAGCACGCTCTCTGCAAATGACCTAGGCGATAACGGGGTCAGTGTGAGACACGAGCAGAGACTCTTCTGGGAGGCTTGGGTGTTGTCTAGTCCGCGCAAGACTATGCGTAGACTTGACTAAAAAAAAAAAAAAAAAAAAAAAAAAGGAAAGCGAAAGCGAAAGCGAAGCGAAGACGAAAAAGCAAAAGAAAACGAAAACGAAAATAAATCCCCTCATTCCTCTCAGGAAAGAAGGAATGGAGGATTTGATATATCATCACACCCAACGCAAAAACTTCGCCTAATTCTTCTCTGGTTGGGTTGGATGGAGCTTCCTAATCTCATGGTGTGCTTCCGTATGATTGAAGAAAGATGATGATTTGAATGGAATAAAATGCATGATATGATTGATAATTTATCTACAATTTTCTTTTTTTTTTTTTCAATATCAGGGAGATTCTCATATGTATTAAGCACTTAGGTAGTATCTAGGTAGTAAGTATATATATATGTAGATAGTCAAGAAGAGAGAGAGCAATCATTAACCTACCTTACTCTATAGGTACATCCAATCCAGGCTCTCATCACGTGGTTGCACTCACCCTATATCATAGGTAGGTACCTTGAGTGCGTGCTTAACTGTAGTATAGTATGTATAGTAGTTACATATATACATACATACATACCTAGTAAAGATGGGGTCATAGACTTAGAGGGAAATACCACATTACACCAATCAATCAACCAATCAATCAGCCAAAGAAAGGTATATAAAAAGAAAAGAAGGAGGGGGGGGGGGGAATCTATATACTGATGCCAAACCCCTTCCATTCCGCTGACCTCGTAAGCAAAGAGGAAAAAGGAGAAGAAAAAAAAAAAAAAGAAATAAGGGGGAATCTGCATGGGAGAAGCATACATATGAAGAGATACAGGAAGAAAGCGCAAGGGAGAAAAGTATATGCTAGACTACTTGAAGATGGGGCACATGAGATAGAGAGAATAGATGGATGAATGATATGGATATAATAGGCGCAATGTGGTATTGTATCACAACAACAAATTAACCCGCACCAGCAGGAGTGCCCTGTTCCATTGAAAGGGTAGCCAGAGAATCAGGCCCGGAAATTGAAGGCTTCGTGTTCCGTTCGCGGAGTCGCCGACCCTCCATGAGGCCACGGAGGCCGCGCTTCTGGAGCCCAATGACGCTGCTTAAATCTCCAGTCCAGACCGCACGCTCGCCGTGGGTGCCGCGACGACGGCGTGCGCTTTGACTTGGGTCTCCGGCGATCATCTCAGAGTCGGAGTGTTCGTAGCTCGTGGCAGAGAGGGACGAAGTGCTGGCGTTACTTGTAGAATCGTCGCGACGACGAGAGCGATCGCGATCACGATCACGATCTCCGGTTGTGCTGCGATTGCGGCGGTTGAAGACATTTGTGTTAATGCGGAGGGGGATTCCTCGGGAGCTACCTACGGCACCGCCGGCGCTGCTGGCGAGAGAGACACCGGAGGCGCCGTGCTCGGTATCGGAGGAGTCGGAGTTGAGGCGGCTCTCGATAAGTGTGCCGGATCCTGTGGGTTTCTCGAGTTCGCTGGCGGCGTGCACTCCGTTCAGGGCCTCTAGGGTACCGCCTGGCCCGCTGGTGAAACCGGTGCCTCTGCCGCCGCCCGCTGCCATAGCGGCAGCATTGAAGACCGCAGCGGCATTTCGGCCGTCGAGAACTTGATGTAGTCGTTCGACAGTGGCTTCTAAGAGCCCGTCTACCTGGTACGGGCGTGCAAGCTGGAGTAAAGAGCAGAGGATCTGAGGGGTGCAGAGCGGAGATCCGATCGGTGGAAGAGAAGAAGTGTAGAAGTAGTAGACGAGGACTTGAAGGGTCAGGAGGGTATGGGGTAGGTAAAGAACCCGAGGTCGCGCGGTGGGGGGTAAGCTATGTGCAGAAGGGATTTCAAGGTTCGCTATCAAGGACTTAGAAGGATTTGAGGAGTTGCTGGCAAGGGTAGTGGCGTTGGAATAGCTGCTTCCGTGGTCCAGTGATGGGGTGATTGTGACACTGGAATTGCGACTGGGATACGCCTGCGCCGCAGGTCGCAGGGTCGCTGAATCCGAGGTACCGGTATCCGACGATTCTCGAAGTAGTTGGATGAAGTACGGCCCCCATCTCCGGCTCAGGATTCGCGAGTTCACAGGAATTCGTTCCCCACCAACCGCTTGGAGCTCCATATCAGCCATCTCCGGGAGTGACTGAGCCAGTCGCCCTAGCTCATCCGATGCTGAAGAGAATGGCCGTCCGCCAGATGTGAGCTGGGTTAACTTTTGTTGAAATGAGACAGGGACCGATGGCGCGCTGTGCGAAATATATCCAGAGGTGGGTGAGGTCCTGCATGGGTTATTGTAGAGACCAAACGCCTCGAGCTCTACCAGACAAAGATGGGTAAAGTTAATGCGACGGTGGTTATAATCTTCGACCAGGCTTCGCTTCCGATGTCCAAGGATGGCAAAAGTGTTTCTTCTGGCCCACAATACACCTCGATTCCAACCACCATGGCCAAACACAGATCCACCGGCGTCAATTCTACCCCAAGTAAGGCTCTTCAGGTCGAGCGCCCAAAGGGCGTACTCCTGCTTAGATGAAGTCAGATATGTCCCACTAACAACAAAATGCCCGTTAATGACGCCTCCGTTCGGGAATCGGAGGCCCGGCGGCGATGCTTGACTAGGCATAGGTTTCTCGATCAGACGGCCATCCGGTAAGCGTATGTGAAGCTCGAGTTTGACGTCCAGAAAATTGTAGTTGGAATAGATCAGCATGGGACACCCTGAACTTTCTGGTTCCTCTATCGGCTCCTGTGCCTCCCTATGGGCAGACATCGATCCAATATCCGAAACACGCATACCAACCAAGGGGGCAACTACGCTGCGATAAGCACCACAGCTTCTTCCTAGAGGGCTCGTGTTTGTCCACTTCAGGCTTCGGAGGTTGAATACACTGATTTGCTCAATATAGTGGTTGGTGCTATCCTGGCCTCCTACCACCACCATTTCCGCTCCTCCAAATCCATCAATATCCACCCCAATTGAGCCCTGGTGGGGATTGGAAGACGCGGGGTTATGGTGAATCGCGGAGAGCGGAGCAGTTGCAGAGGTAAAATAAGCGCTGGACGGAAGGATAGTTGCGCAATGGGCATATCGACCTTGCGGAGAGTCCACGGCAGGCACCCGAGTCCATGTTCGAGTAGGTACATCAAAAATATGGATATCAGACATGGCAACCATCTCGGGTTGCGATTCTTGTCCTCCCGCACTATTCGTCGGTTCTTTCGGTGGGCTGTGAAGAGGAGACATGCCGCCATAACACACCAGTTTGTTGTCACCAAGAGCACAAACACTATGAAAATATCGAGGCCGGGGGATATCGCCGGTTGCTTCGATGTTCGACCAATGACGCCTTATCAAGTCCAGCTCGTAAATATCCGACGTCAAATGCGGGCGACTTTTGGATAAAATCCGGCCACCAAAAATGTAGAGTTTGTCCCCCAGAATAGTTGTAGTCGCTCCGACAAGGGGAGGTGGCTCGCGGCCGGAGGTACGGCGAACATTGCACACGAGGCCCGATAGATTGATGGGGCCAGAAGCAGAGTGAGGTGCGTTGTTTCCCGGGAAAATTCCCGATGGGACCTGATGTTCCTCCCTGGAGGGGTCCAGATGACCCAGGCTCGATTGGCTTCTCGACATCATATTCACGGCGAATCTGTCGCAGGGGTCGCTCTTTTTCTCCGGATGAGGATTTCTAGGGGAACAAGAAGGTCGGGGGATCTATTTAAGAGCGTGTAAGAATGTGCGACCTTCAGAACTGAACCAGGATCCTTCCAGGTTGATTTTATCTTCCCCAGCTGTCTCTCTCACCAGCCTATCTCCGTGTACGGCGCTAGAAAAATATTGAATCGACAGGGTATCATTCCAGTTGACAGCCACGAATGACAAGGTTGTAGCGTAAACCCAACCACGCACAACACGGCAGATCGCGATAAAAGGATAGGAAATCGCCCCTAGGTACTCCGTACAGCTTGTCGACGTCCAGATCGCAATAGACGAAGAATCTCAGAGAGGACAAAGGACGGTTTTGGTGGCTTTTCCCCGCCTCTACTCTGTACCAGAGGCCCGATTTCCGAGAAACAGTAATGAGAGGCTCGAGAGGTCGTTGGTTCGATCGATAATCAAAGCCCGGCTCGTATGCATGTGCCTCTTTCCCGGTAATTTTTTTTTTCCCCGTCAATAGCCACAAGGGTGTTCTGAAACCACTCACCAACTGTTCAGACAGGATTGTTCGAGTCAACGAGAAAGTCGGAGGCGCGGAGGGTGGATAAGGCGGTCGGTCGGTCGCAGTGGTGGAGAACAACTGTCAGACCATTAAACATTGTAAAATCGATGCTAAAGCCAATCACAATGACAGGCGAGTGTGACAGAAAAGAGCTCGAAGGGAGTCGATGAGATGATTGATGTTTAGAGAATAGATGAAAAAAAGAGAGAAATTTTGGTGTTGAATATATACATATATATATCTACAACCAACTCCTCCATGTAATTTGTTGGATGGCCTATATGGAAGTATCCTCCCAATCGGAACCCCATCTCGGACAAGTTTCTGTGGCATCCTGGATTCTTGGAAGCTTGCAGATGTATCACAGATAGATGCATATGCCTGGTTCTGTTCTCCTCTTAGTTACCTTATGCAAGGTGACAATCTGTTCCCCCCGGATTTGATTTGATATCGTGAGCGGTTTAATACGCCATAACCCAGTCGAAGCTCAAGTATACTTACGGATAATTGATCATTGTACTAGAGTCTAACATGGGAAGAAGTTTGGATAAAAGACTAGTCTCCTAGTAGGTACCTCAAGCGCCTTTGCTTTGGCAGAAAATAAATTTCATTGTATCATCAGGTATTAAAAGCTAATAAAAAAAACTTATGCTTTGCTGTTTTCCTGGAAGGGTTATCCAGTATTCATTGTTTCATAAATGATCACAGCTTGGTCCGCCTCCTTGGAACGGTTAGTTGGAAGTGGGATACAGCGGGATCAAGTCATAATTTACTCCTTCTTGAGGGTGGTGAAGCGGAGATAACTGTTTACAGATTAGTAACCGTTTACTCTATTTTTATGGGTGCAAGCGAGCAAGTAGAGAAAGACTTACGGCTTGACAACGCGGAGTTCGCCAAACTTTTCCTTGGCAGCCTCGGTGGAGACGGGAGGAGGAATGACGACATCGTCACCAGGGAGCCAGTTGATGGGGCAGGCAACACCGTGCTTGTCGGTGGTCTGGAGAGCGTCGACGACACGGAGAACCTCAGCCGTGTTACGGCCGGTGGAGGCGGGGTAGGACATGATCAGACGGATCTTCTTGCTGGGGTCGATGATGAAGACGGAGCGGATGGTGAGAGCCATGCCTGTATCATTTATCAGTCAGTGGGATTTCAGTCAACCGCTATACAATCTACACACCCTTGGAATCGACGTTAGTGGTGTCCTGGTAGTCAACCATGTCGTACTGGAAGGCAATTTTGCGCTCGGGGTCGCAGACGATGGGGAAGGCGAGCTTAGAGCCGGTGACCTCATCGATATCCTTGATCCAGGCCTTGTGGGACTCAGGGCCGTTGGCACTCTGGCAAAAAGTGTTAGTACCATGTAGACACCAAGTTTCACTGCTGTAATGCCACTTACGAGACCGATCAGCTTGACGCCACGAGCAGCGAACTCGGGCTCGAGTTTGGCAAAAGCGCCGAGCTCGGTGGTGCAAATGGGGGTGAAGTCATCCTAAACAGCCAATTGGGTCAGCGTCTGCTCTTTGTTATCTGATGCCGCTAGTCCGCACGGCACTGCAGGGTACCCACAGGGTGAGAGAAGAGAATGGCCCAGCTGTTGCCAATGTACTCGTGGAAGGTGATCTGGCCTTGGGAGGTCTCAGCAGTGAAGTTGGGAGCAACAGAGCCGAGACGGATGCTGGAGAAGAGAGAATCAGTTCAAGCTCAGGTCCAAATTCGGTTCCGGTTTAGAGACTTACGGAGCAGCGCGTTCTTCAGCCATTGTGGATATGAGAGGTCTCAGGGGATATAGATTGAGAGAGGGGGGAGGGTTTGTAAGATGAGATCGAAGTTAGAGAAACGAGGAAAGAGAAAATCGGAAGCTGAGGAAGACCGGAATGTGAAGGACTAAATAATAACCTCCCCGCAAGCGTCCATCTCCGTCATCGCTGTTCCTCGCTCCAGATGCCAAAAGTTACCCCTCCATCATGGATCCCCTCCACGCTCCGCCCTCGATCACGCAATTCCCTTACCGCCTTCAGATGGATCTCTGATGGATCCAGATTCCAGAAGGACCTGGGCATGGTGAACCATGATCTGGAACTGGATTAGGTATGTATCTCAAGATCATTGCATACCCCTTATTGACTCCTATCTGATCCCAACTTCTCTAGAACCACATCCCCTTCTCCACGGCTCAGCATCGACATTTCCCATCCGAGAAAATACTTCTATCAATCTCCCTCTGAATTCCTCCCCCAGATTCCCCTCCCAGAAACCACGTTTATCGGCCGGTTTCAGCTGAGAAATGCGTGGCTCGGCCGATAGCTTGGTGCTGTACCGCCAATAGAGATCACTGCTGATGGCGCAATTTTCACACATCATTGTTGCTGTGAATTTCCAATCACCTCCGCGTGGGAGAAATAAAGAAAATAACTAGGTTAAAAGACAGGGGCTAACAAGGTAGCAGGAGGGAAGTTTTTGCGCTATTCTAGAATTAGGAGTTACGTAGGTTTGTAAACTAGTTTATCATAGTTACTACCTAGGTAGCCATGTATTGACATCTATTTATGCAAGAATCTAGAGAAATTAATGCAAAGAGTTAGTATAGTCCTACCACAAGGCTCAGGATTCCTTACGCTCACGAATTTGCTCGTGCCCAGATTTGGGGACCAAAGAAATTAATACCCACGGGACAATCGTCAATAATGCACCCAACTCGATGCTAGCTAGGACTCGCGCAATGCCTGAATGCTCTTACAATTCCTCCCAAGAGGCTGATGCTGCTGGGTACCCTAAATCGGTGAACATTGTCTTGGTTACCAGCGGAAAGACCCCTGAAAGGACATTTCGACCTGCCCTTCATCAGTTACTATACTGCCTCGATTCCCATTGAGGACAGAGGTTCGTACAGAAAGATTGCGCTGCAATGGCTGAGCTGGCATATCGGTGGTAGGTATCCGCAAGATAATTGAAAGCAGCCAAACAGATTGACATGATACCTATCGCTGAGCATCCAATGGTGACAGTGGGTACAGTCCGAGAAATCGAAGGTTACGATGTCACCAGAAGAGACCAATTGACATTTTGCCGCCCGCATCGCAAATTTCTCCTGGTAGAATGATCGAAACAACAGAGACTGCTGCAACACAAGATTAATAACTGAAATACCATGCCAATTCTGTTGTGGGGATATGTGCACGTTGAAACCATGGTTTGTTGACAAAAAGAGTGGCACAGCGCGGAATTTCAAGTATAGAAGCGCCTAGCTAAAAGCAACCCAAATGGAAAAGAAGAAATCCACAGGTACAGCAAGGAGGTCTTCGATTGGACATATCAGTTAGGGCTTGTGATTCTCCCACCATGAAAGGATGGAATGGGTTACAAGACTTACGAAACGACCGGGAACATAAGATAGAGATTATTTTAGCAAAAGTCTCATGCTCTTTATCACTTTTGGACCGGCTGCTTTTCCGTGGAGTCATCTGAACTGAATACTACATCGCAGTAACCGGCTTGTTCAGGCTCTTCATAGTACTGACTGGTTCAGAGCCTTCGCTTTTCGACTCAAGAGCACACTTCCCGGGGTTTCCTCGAGGAAAAGAACAGGATGAGAAGAAAACCCGCGGCCGTAAGGGCCTGCAAATAGTAAATCCACCACCAGTTCTCCCATTGCTGACCTAGCCCGGTCCTAAAAAGAATCGAGCTTCTGCAGTGAGCTCATCCGGCATGCGGGGCTCTGACCAGAGGAATGGCGAAACAATCCGGGGAGAGGTGTGGACATGGAGTGGAGCTAATTGTCCCGGTCGCGGGAACCGGTGCGCACAGGCTGTGGCAAGTATCGAAGGTGAGGTATATATGTTCAATTCGGTTTTGGGAGAGATGTTGCAGCTGGGTTATCCTGTAAATCCCGTTTATCGTCATTTGCGGGTATGCTTCATTATTTCTGTTGTCGGCGTTCTGTCCGATGGCCGAGTTAGGTTGCCCAAGGTTTCATGCTGTTTGTTCCATAGGGAACACCCTCAACGAGGAACAGAGAGGGAAAGAAGGAGAACTACGATTATTATTATTATTCAGGCCTTTAGCTTCAATGAGGATCATACCTCAAAATCCTGGACCGACCTTGGCCATATACCATGCGGGGACCAGAGATCGACTGGCTAGCCCCAAACTTCCAAGTGTGAATCGAGGACCTCCTATCGGTAAGAGCAGAACCCAATAGTTAATCGAAAGGGCACGGGTACAGTTTGGGATTTTTTATCCACGGAGTTTCCCCCGAAAGCAGCCAGAAGCACGGCTGTTAACCTTGGAGCTGGATGTGCCCGTACATCAGTCCCTAACGATCTTAAGTCTGATGGCGAATGAGAGCTTCACGGAGCGCACAGAAGCATTCTCCTTCCCTTTCGTGTGGAAACCTGGGGTTATACGGAGTATGGAGTAGAGCGCATGCAATTAATTAATTGTGGCTACTCATGAGTCCTTTTTGCAAACAACATCGAATAAAAATCAAAATAATGCAGCCAACACAAAAACACCTGGTTAGTAAGCCATGTTCATTCACGTGATAGCCTCTGCCTGAGGCCCACGCGGCAGGCTCGCGTCCCGGCACCATTTGGGTTCTTGACTCGTTTCCCGACCACAAACACAGCTTCACTTTCCTCGTGTCGTGGGTTGAGACTCTCAATCCAAGTGTATTTTCGGTCCTGGTGGTAAGTGGCTCCTGTCTATGATATTTTTCAGTTCCTGTCCCCCTTTCCATGCAAGTGAGCGGGAGTGTGCCATGCATTCCTTGACTGCGCAGCTCTTCCTTACTCTCCCTTACATTCGCTGTCCCTATGCTCTTGATCTTCCCGTCACGTACACACTTTTGCCTACTTAGCATTTCTTGCACTTGGCTTGCTGCAAGTAGCTCGTTGGTGACTGACAACCCTTCATACTTACTCTAGGCGCGTCTAGAAACCCCCCTGTCTTAGTTTCGTCCTTGTTCTTTTCTATCTGACTGGCTGATCCTCCTCTCACTTGCTTTATTTCCTTTCCTATCCAACCCACCCTTCCCGCTTTTTGCTCAGGCTTTTGTCATCCAAACGTCCTCATTGCAGACATCAATCTTATCGCGCAGGCTCCGCGCTCGTCGCATATCCATTCACTAGCCATGCCGCTTAACAAAAAGCGCAAGTCTGAGAGCGTCTCACTCACTGACGAAGCTGCTACACCTGCAAAGAAGGTATGTATAACCTGCTCAATTCGGTATCTATTGTTATGAAAAAAAATACCCTGATATACGAGTGCGTCGCATGTCGGAAACACTGAGCCCAAGATATACCTACCTATCCTCCCCTTTTACTCTCAACATTCAGGTCATGATACCAAACCCGAGGAAGGGAATATCCGCCCAGCTAACCGTCATTACGCGCGCAGGCCGCACCCGATGCTTCTGCCACTGCCATTACCCCTGCTACCCCCGCCACAGGAGAGAAAAGAAAGAGAGGTCGTCCTCGCAAATACCCGGAGGGCTCAACTCCCAAGCGCCCGGATGGGCCTAAGAGAGGCCGGGGTCGTCCCCGCAAGGATCCGTCGGCCATAGGTAAGAAGTGATGCTGCTTTCTAACCTCCTAGCTTTGCTGGGGGGGACTATGGTTACGGTAACTTACACATATCAGACACCCCCAAGTCAGCCACTCCAAAAGAAGGCAAACGACCAGTCGGGAGGCCCCGGAAATTTGAAGCCCAGAACGGCACCAATAGCTCTACAGAAAAGTCCAAGCGCGCCTCCATAGATTCCAAAGCAGAGGACAACAGCGGGCGTTCATACTGGTTGATGAAAGCAGAACCCGAGTCCCGTCTGGAGAAAGGAGTCGATGTGAAGTTCTCGATTGATGACCTGCGTGCGGCTAAGGAACCGGAGCCATGGGATGGTATGCATATATCTTCATCCGGATGACAGCCTTCCCTTCAGACTACTAACCTTCTACTGCTAGGCGTGCGTAACCCTGCTGGTAAGAACCCTAGTATGACCATTGAAAGAGATAATTCTTACCAAGAAACAGCACGAAACCATTTGCGCGAGATGAAGGTCGGCGACTACGCTTTTTTCTACCACTCTAACTGCAAGGTTCCTGGCATTGCCGGGGTTATGGAGATTGTTCGCGAGCACTCGACGGATGGTAGGCGTTACCCTTGTACTGCAGCTCTGATCCCTGGGTGACTGATTGCGATTGTATACAGAGTCGGCCTTTGACCCCGCGCATCCATATTACGACGAGAATTCCAAGAGGGAAAGCCCCAAATGGGTTGTCGTGCACGTTAAGTTCCAACGCAAGCTGACGAACCCGATCACACTCAATGAACTCAAGGCCCACGGCGGCGAGGGCGGTGCGCTTGCAAACCTTCAGATGCTGAAACAGTCGCGGCTAAGCGTCTCCGCCGTGAATGCGAAGGAATGGGATTTTATTATGGGTCTAGCCGAAGGGGAGGACGAGTCAGCGGATGAATCGTCCAAGGAAAATACAAGTGGAGAGAACGAGGCGGAGTCCAGCGAATAGAGGGGATGGATATTCCTGGCCACCCTAATTTGCTATAGCATTTCCGGGATTTTCAAAGTGCAGTCAGTCAGTTACTTGGGGAATTTGATATGGGTCAAGCGGATTTTTCTCCTTCATCAATTATTTCTGTAAAATCAAAAGGCAACCAACAACATTTCATTAGCAGCTTTCGCACATATTTTCCGTAGGTATGGATTAACCTGCCGAATAGGGACCGTCGGACAGTGGTTGTGATATCTTGTCAATTGTCAATGATAGAGGTGTTCGTGGGGAACCGTTGACAAGTTGCGGAGGGGCAACTTGGATTCCTCGGACGAGTAAGTATATATATCCGAAAGAGGGGCGACCTCGAGAACTGAACTGGAGGTTGAAAAGCTCCATCTATGCAAGGGTACTATTTCCCTCCAGCTCCTGCAAATTCACATCTTGACCCCTCCCCCTCATTCACTTCCTTCTCTTCCTCTCTCCTTACATGTCCTCTCTTCCTCCTCTCCTCTCCTTCAGATTCCGTCTCGGTCGGTTTCCTATCTCCCCCTCCTTCATCTATCCTCAACGACGCTTCCACACTTCTCCCCTCGCCATGGCAGATATCAGTGTTCAATTGACCGCCCCCAATGGGCACAAGTACACCCAGCCCATCGGTCTGTTCATCAACAACCAGTTCATTCCCTCCAAGTCTGGCGAGAAGTTCGCAACCATCAACCCGTCGTAAGTGATCATATCACCCATCTCTTGCCCCCCGATTGGGTTCCACACAAGCTGACAAACCTATCAAAGGGATGAGTCGGAAATTACTTCCGTCTACGCTGCAGGCGAAGAAGATATTGATATTGCCGTCAAGGCGGCCCGTAAAGCTCTCAAGGATCCTTCGTGGAAGCTAATTCCCGCCACAGACCGTGGTGTCTTGATGCTCAAATTGGCCGACCTCGTAGAACAGCACAAGGAAACCCTCGCCACCATCGAGACATGGGACAACGGTAAGCTGTTCCAATCACCTGTTCATCTGGGAATGCTAAACGGTCGGTAGGCAAGCCATATCAAATTGCGTTGAGTGACGACGTGTCAGAAGTTGTCAACTGCCTCCGCTACTGCGCCGGATGGGCCGACAAGATTCATGGCCAGACTATTAGCACCACCTCAGCCAAGTTCGCTTATACTCTTCGCCAGCCCATTGGTGTTGTTGGCCAGATTATTCCCTGGAACTTCCCCCTGGCCATGGCTGCCTGGAAGCTCGGTCCTGCTCTTGCCTGCGGTAACACTGTGGTCCTCAAGCCCGCAGAGCAGACCCCTCTCAGCATTTTGTACCTTGCAACCCTCATCAAGGAGGCCGGTTTCCCTCCTGGTGTTGTGAACATCCTGAACGGTTTCGGACGAGTTGCAGGAACTGCCCTCGTGACCCACACTGATGTGGACAAGGTGGCTTTCACCGGCTCGACCATGACCGGCAAGGAGATCATGAAGATGGCTGCCGGCACCATGAAGAACGTCACTCTTGAGACTGGTGGCAAGTCCCCTCTGCTTGTGTTCGAGGATGCAGACATCGAGCAGGCCGCCAAGTGGGCCCACATTGGTATCATGTATAACCAGGGACAGGTCTGCACGGCTACTTCGCGTATCTTGGTTCACGAGTCCGTGTACGATAAGTTCGTGGCCCTCTTTAAAGAGGCCGTGACCACCACTAGCAAGGTTGGCGACCCCTTTGCCGACGACACCTTCCAGGGACCTCAGGTCACCAAGGACCAGTACGAGCGAGTTCTGTCCTATGTTCAGAGCGGCAAGGACGAGGGCGCAACTCTGGTCAGCGGTGGCAACCCACACAAGAATGTTGGCGGCAAGGGTTTCTTCATTGAGCCTACCATCTTCACCAATGTGAAGGACAACATGCGCATCTACCGTGAGGAAGTCTTCGGGCCTTTCGCCGTCATCTGCAGCTTCTCTACCGAGGAGGAGGCTGTCACCCGCGCCAACGACACAACCTATGGCCTGGGAGCTGCCGTCTTCACCAAGGATATTGAGCGCGCCCACCGTGTCGCCGCAGATATCGAGGCAGGAATGGTCTGGATCAACAGCAGCAATGACAGCGACTTCCGTGTGCCCTTTGGTGGTGTTAAGCAGTCCGGGATCGGCCGTGAACTGGGGGAGGCCGGTCTAGAAGCCTACTCCCACGTCAAGGCTGTTCATGTCAACCTTGGCACCAAGCTGTAACTAATTAATTCTCATGGTCCCCCTCTAATCTTTTAATTCACCTGCACAATATCTAGCAAAAGTTTGTCTTCCTCCTCATTTCTAATCATGATCGTTCTCCTCTCTGTGCACATGATGATGATGATGATGATGATGATGACTTGTTATTCCATGCATTGAATGAAGACAGACACGTTGACGAATAAACCTCTCCCTTGACTTGCTCGTACTTGGTAGAATAGCAAACTCATCACAGCTTTCTTGCATTATACTTGCACAACATCTACCTAGGCAGTAGGTAGTATGCAGTAGGTAGCATGCAGCAGGTAGCATGCAGTAAGCAAATAGACGGCGTAAGCAAGCAAGCAAACATACCTTGCGAATGAACTTTCTAGTCCCAAGTTATTGCGGAGCCAGTCAAGTCAACAGCCTGCAAACTGCGGTAACTACTAGTAGGTAGGTAGAAGCAGCACTTCTTCTTCTTCTTCTTCTTCTTCTTCTTCTCCATCCTGCAGTGTGCACTGATAAGCCAACCTAACTGTATCCAGTCAAGGTGCTTACTGCGCACTTACTTGCAGGTGTAGGTGGAGTAGAGTAGAAGTAGGAGATGGTATATATATCATATCATGCCATGCCATATCACATCCATCACATCACATTACATCATATTTGTGCCATGTTACAGATTCCACATTTATGTATAGTTATTTCCCATATATATGTATGATAAGTTATACGCCCAGATATATGATTTATATTGTATAATATCATTGGGTATGTATATATATACATACACGTATACATATAGCACATATGTACATATGGACACATGTATGTATCTATCTATCTATCTATCTATCTATATATATAAGTTAATACTTGTCCAGAATATCCATCACCTCAATAAAAAACCAGCCTGTATACCTAAGTAGTATACTAGGAGCAGTTGATGTTTACTGAGTAGGTAAGCATGGGTACGTACCCCAAGACCTGAACTACCGTACGTACTCCGTACTGAGGCCAGGTCAACAACTATACCTACCCTGCACGACCTTTATCACCACCGTCAGTACCTGAAATTAGCACACTACGAGGGTTTTTTTTTTTTTTTTTTTCTTCTAGTTAGCAGGTCTTAGACTGGGTATTATACACTCGTCCTTGTGCCCCGTACGAAGCAGAAGACTTCATATCGATCTATACCTGCCTAGGGACTCTACTATATGGTCCTATGGACAGAGAGTATGGGATAAAGAGGTACGGTATGGACCTAAGGTAGGTAGATGATACCGTTAGGCAAAGGGAAACAACATCAACGTCACGAGTGTCTGGATACATGCAGTCGCAGTTCTGTGGAAGAGCAAGCGTGCAGATTAGTTGGATATATGGCATTCCTGCATAGACCTAGGTTCTATAGATGCCTTGTACAGTATGCGATGCCATGTTATGCTTGTTGCGGGTGGATTTGGATATTGGTATTGGTTTTATCAAAAGTGTGAAGAGAGGTTAAATATAGATATAGATATAGATATATATATATATACATATATATAGACACATGTAGTGACAACAAACTCTACGCAAATATGAGTTGCACGTGGTTGCCTATGTTTATTTATAGTATACGTTCTCCTGTACTCCGTAGTAGAGGTGGGATTTTTACATCAATATGCATCCGTGCCGTAATGTACGTGTCTCTATATGTATGTATGTACTTCTGTCTAGAGCAAAGCTCCCAATGCGTACAAATGTCCTTATGCTTGTCCGCGCTCATTCGCCCTTCGCGGTATGCAAGTAATAGAGGCTGAGGGGCATGGGGGCCCCTTCTATTTCTCTGAAGTGCAGGAGATGCTGCACCAATCATACCATTCTAGCTGGAAAAAAAAGATTGACTGGACGAGACGAAGTAAGCGGCGTGCATCTCGGGCTGTCGTGGCGGGCTTGGATTGGGATGTTGGTATGGAGTACTCGTAGGGGCCTAGCTAGTACTTTTATGATTCCTGTTGTTTGATTTTAGAGTCGTGTTTGGGCAACATGGGGTGAGTATCCCAAGTGAGATTAATGGTGTTAGAGTGAGATTAATATTGATCGAAAGCCCATGTCTCAGGTCGCCGTCGTGCCACGGAAAATCCTCGGGGGTCGTCGGCCTTGAAGATGTCTGCGACTCCCGAGGAAAGCTGAAGTAGCGGTACCTTCCGTTGGGCGGCGGAGTCGGTGTTTAGTAGGTACCAGTACAAAGGAAGGTCTGGAATCAAAACAATAGTACAATACCTGTATGTGTCATTTACCTCATGGTAATACGTATACCTAGTACCACTGTACCAGTACCAATTAAGCCCAGGGCCTGATTTCCACTAGCAGTAGTGCGTGAGAGAGGGGGGTTTAGTTGCATGTTGTCCAGCTTATCGTGCATGTATAACCCATGTACGATACGTTGTCATGCATGAAGAATTGATCATGTGAGAGTGCCCATCAGCCTATCCCTCTTTCTCTGCGTATTAGCCACTGCTATTTCCTGCGGGAAGGCTTTCTTAAACAAAAGGGCGTTTAGATGTACATCAGCATACATACAAGATTGTCAAATCGAATCCATCATCTCTAATCGCTAGTAGTTGTGTCGGACGAATAGCCTGAGGGGGGGGGATTGGTTTCGTTCTTTCAATAAAACTGGCCAACCCTGAACAGCTTACACCGCATTTTCTTCGTGTGCTGAATACAGTAAGGACCGACCGACCAACCATGTTGGTGATATTAGGTGGAATAGTAGGAATGTTAGGCCGTCCTGTTTGCTTCCTGCAGGTACTTCACCCGCCTAGGGCCATTGCCTGCCCAACTTGATGCAGATGACGATGCATCGAGGTTGAGCTGGCAGAATGGTGTTCCAATTGTCTTGACCACAGTCTTTCTGACCCATAAGCTCTGCGAGGCTTGAGCACCTCTTGCTGCTTTGGTGGATGATGGGCATCATTATGGAGATCACCCCAGATAGATAAAAGATCGGGATGAGCTGAACCATTTTTTGTTATATTTCCATCCCGCTAAAAAAAAAAAGGTATCCTGCAAACCCCAGACAAAAGAGCTTGATGGATTTAGTGATTGACCGCTTGGATGAGACAACCCACAAAGAGATTCCGAAGACTGGCTAGCACCACTCTAGTAAGCCGAGCCACCAAGCAAAATAGTGCTTTTTCACTGTGTCACTAAATCATTAGCGATGATCTTGTGGGGTGCACCATATTTTCCAAAGGATCTCAAGAGCGGCTGGTTTGTTCGTAAAGTTCTTCTTCTTTTTTTCTTTTCTTTTCTTTTCTTTTCTTTTTTTCCTCCCCTTGTTCTTCAGTTTGCCTGTTTGCTATTCCCTTTCCAAAATTTCACCTAACCCCAAAGGTGTACCTAAGAAGAGTAATTGACTCCCCCAAAACATATCAAAATGCGGACACAGACCTCAGAAGACACCTGGGGAACCGGTGATCAATGCAGAGGATAATGCAGACTTGTCATTTCAACGGCTGTATGTCAGAAGGGTGAAATCCAACTGGTAGAAATTGCAAAGTCCGGCACTCTAGGACCCTGGCCGATAGGCTGTGTCACATTCACAGAGCTCTCCTGATAGCCAGGGACCAACCAGGAGACATGATTCTGGTGAGCCCTGGAATCTTGATGCCATGGACCTGCTCCAGCCTTCGAGCCCTGGATGCTTCAGCTACGATCTTGCCGTAGCCAAGTTCGAACTTTCGTTTTTAATTTTCGATAGCGATAGGTAGAAATAAAGTGCTCGGATGAGATCCTATTCGTTCGCAATAGCTTCTTAAGTAAGTACTCTGTAATCTCCACCAAAGCCCCCTTGTCTGGAAATAAATGAGGCGTACATGACATGGGAAGTTTGTCACACTCTGGCGGTTATCACCAGCGTGACTGGGGCGCTATACTCCGTAGACGGGTAATTTGATTATCGGCCTTGGGAGTGGATACATCTCAGAATACTCCACATTGTAGAAGCAAACATACAGAAAATTCAACAAGTGGTGATGCACCATTTCCTCCCGGCATATTAAGTGCAGCAAATAAATTGAACACGTTCGAGGCTGAGGATTGTGCAATCTGCGATTCGTCCATGATTTGTATGACAGGTGATAGCTCTGGTGGAGGCGCACGCTTTGTTTCAATGATGTCCATCGAGAGCCAATACATCAGGTTTTCAGGATCCGTGGTATTTACGGAGTAGACCGGAAATTTTAAGAATTGCCTAAAATTAGACTCATCAGAACCGTTAGGAATGGGGGATATTGTTGATATCCCTCTAATTTATAAACGGTCGGAATTCTAGACCTTATAGTCTTATACTCTTCCTGGATCTCCTTCCGATTATCCCGGTTAGGTGGGAGGAGAGATCATGTTTGGGGTGGAGCCGAATTTGCTAGGAGTTGGAGAGGCTCTTTCTTCTCGCGCCCAGGACTTGAAACTCGCGACCATTGACTAGAACAGTGGTTAGACCTTGTTGTTTGGAGCTGATCACTGACAAAAATCCACAAACCCATTTTTATCTCCGGAGTATAGTGCATCCATAGTCATACCTGGTAAGAGTATGCAGTTGCGGACATGGCGTTCACATCCAGATCGGCTCCACTTGCTATTACGGAGTAGTTGGGAGTGAGTGAACAATGGGAGAAGAGGGAAAATGCCATTTCCCGTCGTATATCCCAATATTGGCCAGGAAGAATGTTCCATGTAGTGGGATGGGAATAATTGGTTAATCACAGTGGAAAGCTGGAGAGTTGGTTGGTGTATCCCATATTGCCCAAGTCTTAGCGTGGGGGTCACTGGATCTTATTTCCCAATTAGTCACGCTCCACATTCCTCCTCATCCTTTATACTGTCAATTTCCCCCTCCTTTTAGCTTCTACCACCCATCTCTCTTTGTTCTATCACTCTTGCTTTTTCTCTTTTAGCTTGGAGTGAACTATCTCCGCCAAGCCGCTTCTGGGATCTGATCGAACATAAGCTACATCTACGCTGGGTTATCGTTGCGCTATTATCGCGATCGGAAATGTCTGCAATTTCAAAATGGACGGTCTCTGAGGTACGACAATTGGAACCCCTAAGGCGGCTATGCCATACACTGGCAAATTCTCATTGTTTATTTCCATCACCAGCCGTATCTCAAAGTCTCCGGGACTCTGCTGGAGGGCCCATATTACGACGCCAAGAAAAATGAATTCCGCTTCGTTGATATTTGGGAGCAGAAACTATATGTTCTGGACCTCGCCGAGGGCCCTAGTTCTTTGCGTACTCTGGATACGTCCGCGTCGATTGGGTAGGACCTCGGGATGCGCTTGCCCTGCATGACGATTATGAAGCTTATCATTGTGAGACAGGGTAACCGCTAATATTGCAAATCCCGATGAAGACCAAAAAGACCAAATAGTCGTCGGTGCTAAACATGGGTTTGCCCTTGTTAACCGCACCACTGGTGAACTCTCATATATCGCTAAGCCTTGGGATGACCAAGACAAGCTCCACAGGTGAGTTCAATAAATAGATCTACAACGACCCATTTTGGATAATTTATCCATGATCTAACTGATCCTTAGAATGCGTTTCAATGACGGAGCTGTGGATAGCAAAGGCCGACTCTGGGCCGGGGCTATGAACGATCCCAAACACGTGCAAAAGCTAGTCAATGAAGGAGTTCTCTTCCGATTGGACCCAGATCTGAAGCTGAACCGCATGGTTGAGCAACTGACTATTCCAAATGGTATTGGATGGAACCTTGCAAACGATACAATGTATCTAACGGACTCGCCGACGGGCAAAATTTTTGCCTTTGACTTCGATGAGAGTACCGGAGAGATTAGTAACAGACGGGTCCACTTTGATATCGGGAACTCCAAAGAACCAGATGGTTTTGCAATTGATGAGGAAGGATGTATCTGGAGTGCTATTTACGGTGGTGGTAAGGTAATTCGGATTTCACCCGAAGGGAAAGTCATCGGTGAGATCTCGCTGCCAACCCGGAATATCACATGCCCGACGTTTGTGGGGACTGAGCTTTTCATCACCACCGCGAAAGATGATGTCAATGACGAGTTGCTCCCGGAGTCAATCCAGTACGGTGGACACCTCTATAGAGTTGACGTGGGAATCCGTGGGCGGCCCAAGTACGAGTTTCAACTGCAGCAGTGATATAGAAAATGAGGGGTGTAACTATATATATAATCTGATATGTCATCATAAATTTCAGCAGCTCCCGAAACGCTGCAGTGTATGGAGTAGACATGCTGCAATATGACTATTGACTTCCGGTCAGAAAGTTAGTTCCTGTTTTGCCTCAATTCTCTGTACTCCCGTAGGTTGAAGTGATCCGCTGTACTTTTGGCAATCATGGGGGGGGGGGCAATCAGCTGAAACATCTCGATAGCATGGGTACTGATCGGTGAATATCCGTACCTGTTTCGCCTTCCTCGTGTAAGGGGGCTGAGGAAAAGAAAGGGTGAGGTCTAGAAATGGAAGCTCGCATTTGGAGTGGACGCCATTCAATAGGCTCGATACATGTAATATTTCGGAACAAGGTTCCTCGTTCCTCCTGCAAGGTACCTAGGTAATCAACCTACTTTGCTCTCCTCGCAAGCATATACCACTCTAGAAATTTAAAGAATAAGCAAAAAAAAAAGGGGGGGGGGGGGGGTGGTTTTTTTTTTTTTTGGGTAGAAAGTACAGTACAAATTTTGACATTGCATTAGTTACTTGGTAAGTACTTAATTTGGGCTCAGACCTTCAGGTAACTATGCATCTCAAACCCGCCGTGCTAATGTGCCTGTATACCAAGTGTGCATATGCACAGACATCACAGTCTTTCATACTTGGAGATGGATGCATTGCAAATCCCAGGTGCAGAAAAAAAAGCCCCCCCCCCCCCCCCCCTCTCCCCCAAGCAGCCTTAATAATAATTAGTCACAGGGGAGGACAGACAGACAGACAGACAGACAGACAGACAGAACAATCCTATTGTAATCTCAGCCACCGCCGCCTTACCCTAGCTAGTTCTTGTGTAATCATGGCAAATGCAGTGGTTGCTAGGATTCCTTGTGTCGCCTGGAATCATCTCCTAGACTCCTACTGTTGCTTTCTACCCTGTCTGAAGTCGAATTTAATTGGAATCCCAGATTGGTAGAAGAACAGGTGTACGTATTCTTGTATTCTTATGGGAGGTTGAATGCGTGGTTGAGTGACGACAACAATTACCACTAGTAGAATATGCACAGGGTACTTACTTCGTATTCGAGACAGGCAGGAAAGTTTGTCTGTCTGATCGCTGCAGGACGAGTTAACATTAACTCTATACTGGGAAATTTGGCTGGGCATACAAGTTGCTATAGACTAGTAGGTAGACGTGTTTGGGATAATTTTCTTCTTCTTCTTCTTCACACACACACACACACACTCTCTCTCTCTCTCTTACCCGTCTTGTCTCGTGCAACTGAGAGTGAGCAAAGTGAATAGTTACTAGTACCTGCTACCGTAGAGGTACAGAGTACAGAGTACAACAAGTTCGGGTCGTAACCTGGTCTGTGGTTGTGGTGCCGTTGCCTGCTCTGTGCACACTTCCTGCAACACCTTATCCTCCACGGTCCACCCATCTGGAATGACATGAGACGCTAAGCTACGGAAACTGCCTCGATATACTACTACAACCTAAAAAATATTCTGGGGGAGGATCCATGCCGAGGGAATGGAGATTCTAGAGCGCGTGGCATGAGATGTGTACGGAGTACTGGAAATGTAAACACAGAGGAGAGGTACAGTACAGTACAGTATCATGACGGAACCTGGAATAAGCCAGACAGACCTCTTTTATCACTTTAACTCGGGACCGGTTGAGATAGATGATGGGTAAACAAACGCCAGATGAGCGGTTAGGGCGGCACTGAAGATGGGGGCTGGACTCCGTAATAGTCGTAAGAAATAAGAATAGAGAGTGAGGCGAGGAAAAAGAAAAAAGGGCCAAAAAATCAAACAAACAAAGAGAGAGAGAGAGCTTCATTGCTACAGGATTTAGGTGTGGTTGATCAGTCCTGACAAGATGTTACTGTGGAGATATCATGTTACAGTCAAGAAATCTTGATAGTCCCTAGAGGACTGGGTATAAAAGTCTATCTTATTGAGCTACAACTCAGTCCTGACGTTTGGGGTACCTCAAGTACGGTGCTCTATATGGATGCGGATTGGGGTAGCCAAGAAAGGTACAGATGACATTGGTCTATTACTTCTTATTCTTGTCCACCTGGAAGTTGTCAACTCGGTAACTTTCTGAATTCTTCCCTCTGTCGAATTACTAGGACCGCGGACGACCCACGAACCGCAATGTTGGAAATGCTAGTCTCCCCGGAAAGTGGAGGGGGAAGTTTTAAAATCCAACTCCGTTCTGAGATAGCTGGCAGGCTAGTAGCTTGTCCAGGACTCCATAGTCCATATGCTATTTATTTCTTGCCGACCCGACCCGCAGTGGTTGAGTGGCCACTAACCATAACTAGTGAGAGGAAAAGCGTGTCGATGAGTGTGGTGGTGTTACTAGATTCCAGATCCAACGTACAAAGTAAGTCTCTCTTGCCTTGTCGACTAGCGTTTGTGAGACTTGGAATTAACTATTGAACTGGATGATGCGTCAAGTCAAAAACTTACCACGAAACGAGTGCCCTGGTTGGTAAATTCGAATTTTTGAGTCCTGATCGGCGATGGTGTCTGTATACGGAACCCCTCCGGACGACCTATGGTGGGTTCTGAGATCGCATTTTTCCCAAACGACAGGCTCGCATTGAACCTCATGCTTGAGATAAACCCTTTTTACTAGGGTATTTTCATGATACTACTCTGTACCAAGATAGTGGCTTGTTCGACGGAGTTGCGGGCGTGATATCCTGAGACAGCCTAACTCGAATCAGGTGGAATCCACGAAGGAACTAGTCAAGACATGACACTGTCGGAAAAAGAAAAGAAAAAAAAAAAACTACTCAAGAATCATTTTCAAAATGGCGGAATCAGAAAAAAGCGCGGCCTCACTGGCCAATGAGAAAATCTAGAGCACACAGATGGCAGGCAAATTTTCCAGGCTCTGCAGGTAATATACTGTGGTGCTGCAGATTTATGGAGCTCTCAAGTCTCAAGCAACACACCGACCCTTCAGTGCCGGCATGCGGATTATGCACTTGACACATCCATCTGTTTTTCACTTTGAAATCCAAGCATACTAAGTAGCTGTTGATGTCCTGATAATCTTCCGGGTATTATTTCCTTTACTTCTGCAGTGAAGCAAGGGGTTTTTTCTTCCTTGAGACTGGATGTGTTCCCGGGGAAACTTACATCTACCTAGGTATAATTTGGTTCCAACGTGATTTATATCTCGTTTGATCAACGTTGGCCAGGATTCCTCAGCCCACAAAGAGTATACGAGTCTATCTTGCCATATTCTCTAACAGCCGTCGTGGAGCCTTTTATCAAAAGGAGACAGTTTGATATCTCGGGATATCAAACTGCCTCCTTTGTCAACCAAGCCATGTAATGACCGCTGCAGGGTGAACTGGATGGTCAGCATCACCTGGCAAACTTTGTTGTTTGCATGCATCTCCATTGATGCCCAATGACGTAGCAGAAACATATTCGGTTTATTTCTTTTTGGTCTGTGAAGTATTTACTATTGGTCTGCTGATTGTGACATTCGAACAACTCACCCGAGGCAAAAAAAAAAAAAAAAAAAAAAAAGTAGGCAAAACATTATATTTGGGTATGTATAAGCGTGGGCCACTCACAGAGAAAGTGAGCTGTTGATAAATCTGTCCATCTTTCTTTCTTTCTTTTTCTTATTTATCCATGAATGAATGTTCCACCAAAGACCGAGGAGGAGGGAGGGTTCTTCGGAAATCCCATGATTGGCTTTTTGAATCTCTCGGAATTACATAGCCGAATGCGAGAAGGACCAGTGCCAAAAAGACATACCGAGAGTACTCCGGACTCTGTATACCTACCTGGTAATTGTGTTCCCCGGGGATTCGCCTCCAGTCGGAAATTGCAAACTAGAACCAACTGACCACCTGAAATTAGAGACAATGGTTAGCGTTGGCGTGCCCTGCCACATGCTCCATCTCCCGGTTCAGGATAAGGGAGAGCTGAAAAAGCATGCTGCCCACATTCATGCAAGACATGAAGATTGTTCGACTCATTCGCAGTTGTGAATTGGGGGGGGCAAAGTTTCCGCCCCATGAGTACTCCGTAGTGGTGAGCTCGATCGGGGCCCTTGGTCTACACCCGGAGAAAGAGCTGACACGGTATCTCAGGACTATTGAGTCCGGACTGAAGATTGACTGGTAGCTCTTGGGCTACGACGAAGGTTTCTTTCTACATAGTATAGTAGGGGTCCTCGTGGGTTTCTACTCAACTTGAAGACCAGCACGTTGATGTATAGACTTGAAAATCAGTTGATTGTCATTGTCATACTACCTACCTACTCTGTACAAGATTTTTCTCCAATCTATCCTTTCTCATCCTTTTCTGTCTTCTTTTTTTTTTTCTTCTGTTTTTCTTGGAACCTCTCGACTCAATTGAATTTGTTTCCACGCCGCTTCTAGCGGAAGTCAGGAAATATGATGGGCCGCTATTAATCCATGCCGAGCCACTTGATTAGTGTCACCGCAGCATGGCTGATAGTAGTTTGATGAAAGGTCAGCCAGGTTGTTTGACGGTCTGATAGATGCAAAATTTTTTAAAAGGGGGTTGATCACGGGGAGTTGGTGGAGAAATGAATGGCCTTCTTCAATTAGCTAGGTATGCAAGTAGTCTGCGATCATCACATCGATGGGACAAAGATGAAATCCTTCTAGAGAAGAGACGAGATTCTTTCGATCAATCCACTCGGGAATCGTGGTGGTGGTGGTATGATGTTAGGATGATTTTTAACGTGCTGCGGAGGTACGTACGTACTTCTGTTTCGTCCGATGGAGCGGTAAGTGGCCCGGTAGACCGTAGATACTGACCTAGATTGCTGGATCAAAAGAGAGGGAAAGAGAGGGCCAGAGGCTAGTTGGGAGTTCACTAGTTTCCTCTCACTATCCCCTCTCCAGTACTAATAGACATAGACTACTCCGTATGACTATGGAGTATGGACTCCAGCAACTCAGTCTCTCACGACTGACGTGCATGGCCAATTGTCCATCCTTCCCTTGATACAGTCTAGCATTCTCCATCCTTGGTGATTCTGGCCTCCACTAATCCTGTCCATGACCATGGTGACGGCGCCTCTTAGGTGCACCGGCTTGCTCACAGTGTTTTCCCCAGCCCCAGTCCCTTGCTAGCTACCTTTTAGTTCACACACTAGCTTGGACTTAAAGGATTGAAGTGGAACCAGTCACCTCCTAGGTAGCTCCCCTTCCCCAGGGTACAAGTCGCGCAGACTGGGATAGGGTTGGTGCCAGTGATGTTTTACAGCCTAGGTTGAGAACAAATGAAGGAATATTGATAACATGGAGTTGGTTTTAAAAAAAAAATAAATAAAAAATAAAAATAAATAAAAACAAGTCAAAATCAATAAGGAAATAAATAAATAAATAAAAAATTCTAACAAAGAAAATCAGAAAACACCCGTTAGGTCGGAATCCATCCATACCAAGTGGTACCAACCTATTTTCTGCCCAATTCACTCCAGCCAGTCTCCCGCTTTCCCCGGCCCCATTATTATTATTATAGCGTTGGCTCTTGAGAAAACATGGCTTTTTTTGGGACTTTGACCAAAAAGGAGTAGTGATGTTTAGGTGGAATTCTACGGAGTAGAATAATACCCAGTACTCTTTTCTCTGGTATGTAAAGAGTTCGAGTGTTAATAGTGAGCTTCCAGCACCTAGTAGGTACTTTAGTACCTATGTATCAAGCAGTATCAAGCAGTATCAATAGTATGTATGTATGTATCTGTATGTATGAGAATGTACGTCGGTATGTATTGGGACAAGTACTTCCATACTACCTGGGTACTCTACCAGTAGTACTGAGGACTAGTAGGTATCTGGTGTGTACTCCGGAGGTATGGATAGAATAGAAAGCAAGCACGACTCTGCCACCTCACGTTCAATCCTTTTTTTGGTTTTTTCTTTTTTTTCTAATTTATTATTATTATTATTTACTATTATCGATTTAATTCAACCCATATTTTACTATATTTTATATTATATTAGATATATTATATATACATATATATAAATATTTTTTTCCCTCAAACCCATGCCTATGGTTCCTACGCTGTCCCCACTCCAACTACTAATTCCCCATCATCATCTTCGTTCACACCGCTGAAATCTCACAACTATTTACTTATTGACTACTACATCGGACTTGCGAGGACGAGCGTGGACTCCATACAAGCTGGGAGCAAGTTCCCTCTTAGTTGACGGCTTGACAGCCTGTGATCGTCTCGACGACTCAAAAACCAATCCCTCTGGGCATCAATATTAATAATTTGACACCACCTCCATAAAAACCACCTCTCTGTCCCCATCTGCTTGTCCTTCTTCCTACCTGAAGTCCCTTGTTTACCTCCTCCTCCTCCTCCTCCTCCTCCCGTCCACTCTATACCCCTCTTGCTAGCACTTGAGCCCTGTGGGTGTTGTTGCTCAGCTTCTTTTATATATCATTTGACCTCAGTTCTCTGGCGCTATTTTACCATCCTGTTTATCGTATCCCTCCAAATACTGCCAAACGAAACTCTACTTGCTATTGCCTCTTCATACTAGATATTCCCTCTGGACAGGTCTTGTAGTCCTGCTACACCTATCTTTTTGCTACCCAACGCAAGAAGAACCACCAGAGGAAATCCGGAGGGGAAGAGGACTTAGCACGCATAAATTAAACCCTGCTTTTGCTTCCTATCATCTATCTCTTTCCTCTCTCCTCTCCCTTTCCAGATCTTCCGTGTTTACCCTTTCACCGTGGCTACTTTAGTGAGCCGAGTGTTGACTGGTCCTCCATACTCCCCTCCAGTGCACCCCTCGCAACAATATCATTCGCTGTCTGATTACCATCTTTCGCAGCCGACCGGCAGGTCCCTCGCTCACGCTCCTCTTCGCGAGTCTTCGACTCTGCTGGAGCGAAGGGGGGGGCCGCCATGCCCTAGGTCGCTGAGGTATTCCATTGAGAGAGACTTGCAGCATATGTCGCAGATCCCCCCAGCGTCAAGCCGGTCGTCAAACGATGCTCATCTAACCGAGAACCGGAAGAGAGCCCATACCGATGACGATTCATCTACCCCAGAGGGCCGTGAATCGGTGCGCGTTCGACCGCTCTCCTGGCACCCGTCTGCTCCCGTGGAACCTCCGCTGAAATCTGCCCAGCATAGATCGATTGGCGTCCACTCAATTCTGAACCATCCCGGAAAATCAGCCGCAGGAACCCCAGCCTCTGCGGAGAGTGGTCGAGAGGGGCTGGGAGATCAACGGGCATCTGACTCACCATCTCATTCTCGGTTTCCTTCCTCTTCAACAGTGCATTTACCCTCCCCGTCCATGCACCACGCGAAGCCTCCCCCAGTCTTGTCTCCGGGCATGAGAAACCACCATCAGAATATCACTGCTCATTCGCCATCCGCACGTTTCGTTAATGCGGGAGGCTACTATCCACAAAAGCCAGCTGCTTCTCAGTCCCCTTTAGCTCAGCTACCGGGGCTGCAGACAGTAGCTCCCGGTTCGCCTTTGCCGATAGTAGACTCGGCATCTGGACACCCTCCACCTGTACCTAGCCACCAGCAATCGACTTCTATTCATTCAACACCGACGTTTGCCAGTCACCGGGCGAGTACCAATCAAACCCCAAATGCGAGTTCCAAAGAAACCAGCCCAACTTCACCCGTGTCTGTTTTCAGCCAGCTGGGACGGTCTTCCCCTGCTCTTGCGGCAGCCTCTGCACCACAGTCGGGCCCCATGTTTCTGAACTCATCGCCCTACGCAGCCGTGGATCCCATTACTCGATTACCATCAGCCATGGCTGGGCAGAGGCCTGCGGGAGAGGAGACGAATACCGGTATTGGCGGGTCCCAACCGGACGCTCCTCTCCCTGGCATGATACCTTGCTTTTTAGACTTGAAGTCTGGGTCATCCAGTCAGGCGGAGAAGCGAAAGGCCAACAGCGATGCGTCCAGACGATTCCGTAACCGGAAGCGCAACGAGATGCAGATGGAACAGAAGATCACGTCCCAGCAGGATGAGATCCGGAAGCAAGCGGAAACAATTCAAAAGCAAGCCCAAGAGCTACAAACTCTGCTAGAACAGTGCGATTTCTATCATTCCGAGAGAGATTTCTTTCGTGAACAGGTTACCCGGTTTGTGCCATCTAGCCAGCTCCCCGCTCGACCAACTTCCCCTCGGGCCTTCCGACCGTCGTTTGAAACAACACCTTCGGAACGCGACCACCAGGCAAGCTGGTCTGGACCAGATGGCCCCCGAAAGATCGGCGAAACAGCCTCCTGTTCCACGGCTACCTCTGGTCAAAGCATCACGCCAGTTTCGACTCCGAGACCTGCGGGGACCTGGTCTGCTGCTCCCTCCCCTTACCCACCAGGCCAGATGGATGAGCAACCAACCAGACCGATACCGCAGACTCCAGGAACATGGACCCGATCTTCCTAAGCAATGAAGGTGAGGAAACAAGGCCTTGAAACGGGCCATGTTGCGTGGCTGAACTCCTTCCGGATAAGTGAGTTTGGTTTTTTTTTTTTTTTTTTTTTTTTTTTTTGGCCGCTCTCCAGTATCTGTTCTTTCTCTGTGAGATAAGAGAGAGATACTTCTCCTTCTTAGGGACTGGGTGAACTAGTCCTCAACACATATATTGAACCAAAAAAAAAGGGGAGTACACCACATTATAATTTCGAGAAGTGAGAACTTTGAGCTTGACCTTGGACTGCATGCAAGGAATTAGCTGCAATCTCTTGCGAGAGTATTCATGATGGCGCCAGTTGTGTTTTGCATGCTCGCCATCCTCGTCATCTATGTGGTGTTTGCACCCCTCTACGCATATATACATACATACCTCCCGACATACATACCATATTTTATATACGCTCATACGGAGACTCATACTGCCATTCATACGATCTACAAAAATGGGTTTCATTGCGGTCATTAGCTGGATTGGAAGGAGGATATCGTTGACGTGCTTGAATTTTGTTGGGCCTGTTGCTTTTGAGATACCTCATGTGCGTGTGGCTTGATTGATTGGGTTTTTTTTTTTTTTTTTATCTTTTTTTTTTTTGTTGGTATACTTACATAGACTGTATAGTACAATCCTATTTATTCCATTACTGTCATGGATGCTTCATTCTGTGTATATATATGTGTTACATTTGTCTTAAAATTCTCCTAGTTGGGTGACGTGCAGTAGGAGAGCTTCCCTTAATGTTCCAGATTCTTAACCACGGTACAGAGTAAGATGAGTTCGTATTCTTATTCTGGTTGTAGAGTTATCTCTACTATATAGTTAGATATAGTATGATTCTGATTCTTCGAACATGCCATCAATACCTTTGGATGTCTGGTATTTTATGAAATACGTAACTTATCGGTACAGCATATAAGGCCTGAGGCAACCAACCATGAACGTGGCCGCTGCCCACGTGCCCTCCCAACGCACCAATCACCGCTCATCCCTTTCTATAAGCAAGGTTGCTCCTTTTTCTCTCCGTTAGACTTGTCTACTAAGGTATCAATCAACTACTGAACTAGCTGGGCCGGCCTGCTTCCATTCAGCATGAGACCGCGAGAATAATGAAGAGCTTACCTGCGCTATATAACGAGGGTTGCCCCGGCCGGGAGCTACGTGGGAAGCGCTCCTCTCTTGGGCAGCGAAGAATTGTTGTGATTGTGGGCATGATGATGATGATGGGTTTCCTTACAGGGTTTTTGTCTTTTTCGCTACTGTTGTCGAGGTGAGTATTTCTTTCTTTCTTTCTTTCTTTCTTTCTTATTTTGCCTGCCTTGGGAGTACGTTGTTTGGTACTGATCTTGTGTAGCGCGACAGCAAGGGTTGCAGCCCCAGCCTCGTCATCCGGACACAGATCGTCCTGTGATTCAGTTCAAGACGGGTATCAGTGCTTTTCCCAGATCTCGCATATATGGGGCCAGTACTCGCCCTTTTTCTCTCTACAGGAGACGTCTGAGATCTCCCAGGCGGTGCCGCACGGCTGTGAAGTTACCTTTGTGCAGCTGCTTTCTCGCCATGGAGCGCGCTACCCGACTAGCTCCAAGTCGAAGACTTATAAGAAGCTGATTGCCGCGATTCAGCGCAATGCCACCTCGTTCTCTGGGAAGTATGCGTTCTTGGAGACCTACAACTACACCCTGGGTGCAGATAACTTGACCGCCTTTGGAGAGGACCAGATGGTGAACTCGGGCAAGAAGTTCTACCACCGGTATGAGAAGCTGGCGAAGAACGTGATTCCGTTTATTCGGTCGTCTGGGGAGGCCCGGGTGGTGGCCTCTGCCGAAAAGTTCATTGAGGGCTTCGAAGCTAAGAAGGAAAAGGATCATCACGTCAAGGCACCCCAGGCTTCTCCGGTGGTGAATGTGATCATCCCCGAGGGCGCTCAGTATAACAATACGCTTGATCATAGTACCTGCACTGCCTTTGAGGAGAGTGGGCTCGCCGATGAGATCAAGGCGAACTTTACGGCCCTGGTTACCCCGTCAATCCGGAAACGATTGGAAAAGGATCTCGCGGGCGTGGAACTGACCGACAAGAATATTATCCACCTCATGGACATGTGCAGCTTTGATACCGTTGCGTTGACAGCCGACGGAAGCGAGCTGTCGCCGTTCTGCCACCTCTTCACCAGAAGCGAATGGGCGCAATATGACTACTTGCAGTCGCTCTCCAAGTACTATGGCTATGGTGCTGGTAACCCGCTTGGACCGGCGCAGGGAATCGGATTCACCAACGAGCTGATTGCCCGTTTAACCGAGTCCCCTGTCCACGACCACACTAGCACCAACTCCACGCTGGACTCGGACTCGACGACCTTCCCGCTCAACGCTACGCTCTACGCCGATTTCTCGCACGACAACGGTATGACCTCGATTTTCTTTGCGATGGGGTTGTACAACGGCACCGAGCCTCTTTCTCAAACCAGTGCGGAGACTGTCGCGCAGATGGATGGCTACTCTGCCGCCTGGACGGTCCCGTTTGCCGCAAGATCCTACGTTGAGAAGTTGCAGTGCCGCGGAACCAAGGAGCCTCTTGTCCGGGTACTGGTGAATGACCGTGTGGTGCCTTTGCATGGCTGCGCAGTTGACCGACTGGGTCGTTGCAAGCTGGATGATTTCATCGAGGGATTGAGCTTTGCCAGGTCTGGAGGAAACTGGGCAGAGTGTTTTGCATAGGCAATTCCTTTTGTTTCTTTTTCTTTCTTTCTTTCTTTCTTTTTTTTTTTGAATAGATTGCATCAACTTATAACCTGATTCCACTGCAGTGTCTTTATTTCCGCACAGCAGCAGCAACAGTATCTAGGCAGTAGTAGGAGTAGTAATAGGGTACTTATCTCTCTTGGCAGGTTTGCATGATTCACTTTAAGTACACGATGTGAATATCCATGTGTTGTGGTGTTTATCAGATTTCTCTGATCAACCTCAGAGCAGGCAGGCAGGTAGCCAAACCTCTACCTCTACTCCTTCTTCACTTTTCTTTCCTCACACAACCCCCTCCCTCCTCCTCCCCCCCCTTTTCTCTTACCAATTGCCCCCTCACATTTCCCCTCTTGAGCGCACCCACGAACCTAAGAAATGACAAGAATACTCTAGCCAGATAGACCATGGAATCCACATCTGAAATGGCCTCTGTCCCAATCGCGCCCTTCCCCTCCAACCGAAACACCAGTGCCAACACCGATCCAGATCCAGATCCAAAATCAAATTCAAGTCCAGCCCCAGCTCAAGCTCAAGCTCAAGCTCAAGATCCAATCCCAACCCCAAGCGCTACCGCATCTCCACCATCCAACTTGACTCGCCCAAAGCACAGCCAGAGCCAGAAACCCAGGTCTCAATATCCACCCTGGAAACCTGTGCTGATTCTCATCACTCCGTCGTCGGATATCCTTGGTCTCTGGGCGCGATACAGGTCTATTCTCTTGAAACTCCACCGTGACTGCCACATCATGTACGCTTGGGATGTGGATTCCTTGAACGCTTTGATTGAGTTGTATGAGGATGATATTGCCGGGGTTGTGGTTACCGATGCGGGCATCATGCAGGGCGGGCAGTGTGAGGTGCTTTCGAAGAGGTTGGCTGAATTGGTGAGGGCTGGGTGTTGTTGTTCTTCTTCTTCTCTTTCTGAGGGGTTAGGGTTGAAAGATGAGAAGGGGGAGGAGAAGAGGAAAGAAAAAGAAGAAGAAGAAGAAGAAGAAGAAGAACACAGTCACTGGACCGTCCTCTTTGCATTTGATTTCCCTGCTGGAGCTGCACACCAGCCGCTTCGGTTTGCGCAGTACATGACTGATGTATTCGCGCTCCAGTGGAAGATTTCAGGCATGACGGTGGGAAAAGCCAGGCTTCGGCTTCGGCGAAGGACGTTGAGAAAGATGGGCCCCGGGCCGTTTCTAAAGGAGAGGTATGCGGTTCGTGCTGTGGTCTTGGGCATGGTGAAGCTTGCGGATAAGGTTTTGGTGGTGAGGCGGGGAGAGGAGGATCTGAAGATTGGGGCTGATGGCGGTGGTTGTGGCTTTGGTTCTGATTCTGGTTCTGGAGTCGGCCTTGATCGTGATTATGATCGTGATCGTGATCGATATGGTTGTGGCTGTGGTGCCGAGTGCTTTTGTGATCTTGGCTCTGACTCGGATTTGGATGCGGATACTTGGTTTACTGGGCGTTGGGTTAGTGGGGATTTTACAACTGAGAGAACACCGGAGAGGCCTGCGGAGTTGGAGGTGGTCGATGAGAAAGCCGGCGAGCATGGGATTGGGGGAGGGCAGGAGTGTGAATGGGCAGATGACGAATGGACCTCAAGCGATACCTCTACGGAGTCTGAGGAGGAGTGGAAGGGAAGTCAGCGTGAGTCCGGTGATGGGGGTGATGACTCTTCTCTTCAAGGCCCTACGGATTTCCCTCTTTCTGCTCTAACGAGGTTGCCTTATCGCGGAGGATACGCCCTTGATCAAATGACCGAAGACGGCTCCGACTGGGTCCCATCCGACGACGAAGGTACCGAAGCCGACAAGCGTATCGCGGACTGTCCTGTTGCGATCCACGAAGTCAAGACCTGGAGAGAGCAAGACGGCGAGGAAGTCATGGTGCGCGGGTACGTTGGCTTTGTTGGCCATGTGGAGGATACCAGGTCCATGGCATCTCTGATACTAGGGATGTGTGCGGTAGGAGTGCGCGATGAGTCTCCAGCAGAGATGGAAATGGACTATGATATGGACTCTTGAGCAATACCCCAGACATCAGCCGAGGACCTGGCGCGTATCCTCGGATTCATCGATGGGTGTCTCGCGAACAACAAGGCTTGGACAATAGCACGCCTAGGTGCACAACCAATAATGACAAATGATGATAAGATACTACCTTAATATACTCCGTACAGAATTTTAAAACCCTTTTCACAGCCAAGCAAAACCAGTAAGATCACTTCGTATCCTGGTCGGATTTCACATCCCCCAGCCGCTTCTGCTTCTGATTCCCATACGCTGCAACCTACACATCAATAAAGGAGAACTAGCCCAAGCCACGAAAAGAACTTACTCCTCTCAAAAAGAACATAAGAAGTATACATAAAAACAGGCAATGCCACAATCACCGAGATCCATCTAAAGAATACTTAGCATTGTCATTACGCGTAGTAGAGCAAATACAAGCCCCCCCCCCCCCTCCCCTTTTTTTGTTAAAAAAAAAAAACTAACTAAATCAGAAAGAAAGAAAGAAAGAAAGAAGCAAAAAACATACCGCCTCGCAGCAACTTTATATTCCTTTGTTTGCCGGATATCGGTTCCTGGCTGCTGTTGCAGCTGCTGTTGTCGTCGTCGTCGAGGTGCAAGGTGGATTTGCGGATTCGTAACGACGCGAGGTTTTCTTAATTCAGGCATTTCTTTCTTTCCTTTCTTTCCTTTCCTTTCTTTAATATGTATGTATGTTGTTATAAGCAGGCAAGTAAGCAAGGTAATTCAAAGGTTAATTCAAGTATGGGAAGGTCTTTTCTGGGATCCTTTGGCGTTGCGTGCTGGTCACGTGGTGGGTTTGGCGGAAACAGTACTATACCCTAACCTAACCCTATGTATGTGTATTTCGGAATATATAGAACTATATATATATAACTATATATATATCATTTGGAAACATCCATCTCTGCTGGTTTGGGAATGGTTACGGAGTACAGCGCACCGGTTAACTAGCAAGGCTGGAAAATCCACATCAATCAATCTGTACTTAGCTAAGGTAAACGTACGTACAAGTCTGGATTGAATAACCCCATCCATCCGATCCGCTCCATGGGGATTTCGGTGCCTGACTGACTGACTGACTGACTGACTGACAGACAGACACATTCAAGAAATAGGTAGCGGAAAAGTAAACAAAGCAAGCACAGTCAGGATGATTACAGGAAGAGGAAGCAAAGGAAGTATAGGCCTCTGTTCTGCAAGAGAATACATTCGCGTCCCAGGAGATACTTGGCAGGACAAGATTAGCCGAAAAGAAAGTAGCTCGATTGTTGGAGGTTCGCTGAATGATGGGCAATCTGTCCGAAGCGAGAAAAACAAAACAAAAAAAAAGAAATAGTTATACCCTAGTAATATAATAAAGCAACACATATTGGAATGGAATGGAATGGAATGGAATCACCATTAAATATTAGAACGCTCAGTAAAAACAGAAAAGTGGAAAGTGCCGCAACATCGCTATGCTTGAATCATCCGATATTCATCCGTGCGACTCCATGATACCATGATACCATGAATGATCTGAAATATAAGAAAGCAAAGTATACGAGATTTTGGCTTTTGGGGATATCCGTGGGATAAGAAAGACTAGTCAATATTCATAGGGTTCACTGTTTGCCGAAGAGGGGATTCAACGGCAGCATGGCCAAGGGAAGTGGTCTTCTTTCTTGCGTGGGCTCGACGAGCCCTTTCGTCAGCGTGGCTCTGGAACCCGGCAATCAGTGCGGCGGCAGCACGTCGACGAGGACGTCCACCGGGGGTTTCGGTTGTGTATGTGTCGGCGGACCCTGGGACGTCTGGAGTCTCATTCTTGTGTTCAAGAGCTGCGGCCTGGGGGGTGGTCGGTGTACCAGCCGACTGATCGCCGTCCTCGTGGCTAATGGCGGAATGCTTCTGAGCCTTAGGCGGCCGGGGATTGGCGCTATCTGGTGTGTCGTCCTCGGCCTCTGAATGAGAGCGCTTTCTTGGTTGATCGGGGGTTACATCTGCATTGCTTGTCGTAGCGGCTACCGCACGGTTGGAGAAAGTGAGTTTGATTTTGAGAGTTTTGGGCTTCGCTGAAGTTGGAGAGTCCACAGGGCTAGGCGCTGCCGGCGGGGTTGATTCGCTGGTATTATGACGCCGGCGCTTAGGCTTTTTGATGCTGCCTGTAGATTCGGCAGTGTTGTTCGCAGTTGGAGTAGCCTCGGTGCGTCGTCGCTTGCGGGAAGGTGGATTGGAGCTCTTCGGAGCAGTGGCGTTATCAGAAGCCGGCGGATGGTTTGTGCTGTCATATTGGAAGATCAATGCTTCAATCTCAGGAAGAGACATAAACCTGTGGACTGCAATCCCCCTCTGTTGGGCTGCTTCTCGAGCCTTGATCTTGGCCCTTTCCTGGTAAATGTCTTCGTACAAAAATGGACCCGGGAGCTCTCGTGGGATGTTCCGCTCCCCAATGAGCGGGGGGAATCCAAATATACGGTCCTTTTCCAGCTGATCCCTGGATTTCATCCGCAAGGGAGGCAGGGGGAGGTCTTTATCCCCATAGGTGTTATTGGGCCGATACCACTCAAACTCGGGCGGCACAATCACGTACTCCTCACCGAACTGGTTAACTCTGCCCGAATACATCCAACCGTCCTTGTCAGTCCAAGGGTCTGAAGCTTGAACAGGCTCCGAAACATATGGCTGGGTAGAGTTTTGTCTGGTTTCTGTGGGCACAATCTTTTCTTTGCTCAGCTGAGTGTTTTCTGCCTCCTGGTCGGATTGTTTCTTCTCAAACTCTTCGCGTAGCTCCTCAAACCACTTATCGGCCTCAGGAACGGGTGCAAACTCGGTAACCATCACGGCGGCGGCCAAATCATACATCTGCTTTGCAATGGCGGTCACATCTGGCTGCTGGGAAGGTTGTGCGGCCATCGTAAGGAGCTTTTGACCAGCTCTCTGTCGAGAGCGTGTTTTCGGTGCAGATCCGTTCTCTTGGGTCGCGGCCATTGCCTTCACAGACGCACCTCGAGTCCTGCGGAACCGCTGTTCGGACTCGAAAGACTCGAGAGCACGAATAGTGGGCTTGCGTGTGCGACCAGAGGTGCGTGCAGCTGCCGAGTTAGCCGTAGAAAAGCTGGTTGGGGAGGCTGGAGTGTCCATCTGGCCATCAAGGCCGTAGTTGTTGCGGTACATATCCGAGTCGTAGTCAAAATGAAAGTCGTCGCCATAGACATGGACGGGAGTCTCGACACTATTCGCGATTTCGTGCTCGTAGGAAATAGGCTCATCGTTTTGACCGACCACAGATTCAAGCGACTTGCGACCTAGAGTCAGGGTCACAGTGTTGCTAACCCGGGGTTTAGAACGCCGCGATCGTGAACGGCTTTTGTCGTTATTTTGGACTGCAACAGGTGTGCGAGTCTCTGTTCCCTTGGTTGAGACACTGGTATTCTGGCTGACATGGTCTTCGGTGCGAGCTTTATGAGTGCGACGACGTTTTGGCGTAGAATTGAGAGGAGTAGAAGGATGGGTTTGCGCGTCGGGAATGTCAGGTTTGGTTTCCCCATTGCGTTGCGCTTTCGAGGCCTTGATGGAATTTCCAGCCGGAGTGGGGTTTGCCTTAACATCGGCAACTGGGGTAGAACCATTTGCTTGTGCCTGGGCCGCATTTTTCGATTTACGGTCCCTTCGAGAGGCTGAGGTTTGAGATTGGGCAGTGCCCTTTTCTTGCTTTGCGGCCCCGTCAAGCAGAGCAGGCATCGACTTCCTAGTGCTGCGAACACGAGGTGTGGTAGCATCCGAAGTGGGAGCTTTCACATCTTGGGCGTTGTGATCCATTTCTGTGGAATCTTTTTTTGCAGATTGAGTCTTTCTCCTTGGCTGTGGCTTTTTTAGAAGGAATGAATGCAAAGTCGCCTGGGATTGCTCAGGACGAGCGACGAGCTTTGCTTTGGAAGGCGACAGTGTTACTACTTCGTCAACCGGGGCGTTTTCTTCTTTGAAATGCCCTCCGTTGGACTGTGCAGAAGAACCTTTTGCTGCTTGAGACGGCTCAGAGGCAGCCCTTCTCTCGGATGTTTCCGCAGGTTCTTCTGAAGGAAGCGCTTTGTCTTCAGGGTTGACACTCCGCCGTGTCTTCCGTCGTTTCACAGACGGTTGAGTTTCCTCAAAAGTAGAGGTAAGAGGAGTTGGAGGCAGGGAACAAGATGACTGTGACAGATTTGAACCGTTGAAATCCGGCTCGTGAGTAGTTCTGCGAGAAGCCCTAGATAAACTTCTTCGAGAATTTTTCTACAGAGAAATTAGCAGAGTAGCGAAAGACACAGGGTCAAAAGCAATATCAACTTACGGAAGTCAAGTCGGAAAGAGGAGCAGCGGGCAAGCCAAGTTCTCGAGTAACAGAAGCCCTGCCAGCCACTATGTTCTGTGTTAGTCCTCAATGCTGGTGAATGCATGGATGAATGGCGGAAACAATGCGGGGTTTAACAAGGAATGGAGCAAGGGCGCCCTATTTCTGCTTACTTTTCCCAGCTGTTTCTGGGTCTATAGAAATGGATCCTCTAGGTGTATTTTGTCCTTCCAGTGTATTGATTGTTCCACCGCAGGCCTTCGTATGGCCCAGAAATGGTTGATACCTGGTAGGGGAAGGGGGGGGTTGGCGGCTTGGAAGGTAGTTTCGCTTGGTTTTCTGCGCGAGTCTCTTGCGATCGAGATTATAGGTCCAGTGCGTTCAGGGTGTCCTGCTAGCGAGCAAATTGATTAGTGAATGAGCAACGTCAAGGTGTACGGACTGTTTCGGATACGGGGCAGGCGGCAACTCCTGGAAAGTAACCACTCCTCAAACAAACAACCACCAGCACTCACAAATCATTCGGATTTTTTATACACTGTAATGGTGACTGTGTCTAGGTGTTTAAAGCCACCAGGGCAGGTCAGAGTAGGTGTGAGCGACTAAATCACAGCGTGTCCCGTCGGTGAGGCGAAGGCGAGGAGTTCGAACGTCAGACAATTTTGCCGGCGCAAAAAGGCTCGCTGGGTTAGAGGAAACGCCGATCGGACATGGTGGAGCAATTTCAGATCGACTACCAGGTCGTTTGGAGATATTGGAGACAGTGTAGTTGGTGAAGAGAGACTGTAGTTTGGTCAAGAAACCAAAAGTCCTTGAGAAATAATGGGTGGCAGCCCGAACGACAGCAACAGGAAATTAGGGCTTGCGCAGGCGGGCGGAAGGTCACTGGATCCAAAAGCCCCAAAAGCCGCCGGGCGCTTATCTTAGCGCTTCCGCCGTCGACATACTTGTTATTAACCTGTCATTTCCTCCACGTCGCATCTCTTCAAATCGAGCAAAACAACTTCTGCTGGATTTTGCCTTTTTCCCCTCAGGATGCAGTGGTGGCAGACTGTTCTCCAGCTTTCGTTGCTGGCTTCTACTGCTATCCCTTCGGTTGCAGCAGCTTCTTGGGGATTTACAGATGCCACGGTGTCAGTTCAGACCAAGGGCGCTGGAGTTGCTGCTGGGTTGAAGGAAAAGTACTTTTTCTCCATTCTCTCCAGCTGTGATTCATTTATTATCTTCATAGGAGACTATCGTCGCTAACGGCTAATTACACTGATAGCATTGTCAGCAACAAGCCCCTCGCCAAGCCCGTCTCCCTCGGAAGTGCGGATACCCTCAAAGTCGCCCTCACAGTTCAAGAAGGCAAATCCGCACAGCGTGCGCATCAAGTGTTCCTTCTCCTTCAGGACCGAGAGTCTGGATTGGATATCTCCTACCCATTTAGTGTCAAGGATAGCGGCAAATCACGGGTTGAGTTGGTACGTCGCCCCTCAGGCTCAATTCGAGTCCACTGAAAGCAAGGCTGACACATCCCCAGGCCAGGAAAGACCTTCCTATCCAATTCCTTTCCGCATCGGAGCCCCTCGACGCTAGAATTTTGATTGGATCGTTTGGAAGCTCTCAGGCCTACAATGAAGCTGCATTCCAGCTGTCTCTGGCCCGGGCTCCGGACGAGCCCGTCCCCACTCTCGAAGTCTTGAGATACGGAAAGCTTCCTGAAATCCACCATGTTTTCAAGAATGATGCGCAAAGCCCACCTATTGTGATTACGCTCGCTTTCGTTGCAATGGTGCTGGCTACTCTCCCTGTTCTGGGTGGCGCGGTGAGTACCTTTTCTCTCTCATTTCCGGTTACATGGTCGGCTAACATGATGTCAAGTGGCTATTCCTCGGTGCGAACATTAATCACCTTCCTACTGCTCTCAAATCGGCCCCTGTCGCTCATGCCGTGTTCCTTGGCTCTCTGGTCGCGATCGAGGGGATCTTCTTCTTGTACTATACTTCCTGGACCTTGTTCCAGATCCTCCCTGCTGTTGCTGTGGTAAGCACCGTCGCGTTTATTAGCGGTAGCCGTGCCCTGGGCGAGGTTCAGGGCCGACGCCTTGCTGGCCTCCGGTAAACAAGCTGGTCCTACTGGGCCTCTGAGTGTACTTGGGAAGCTTCTTACTCTATTCGATCTTCCTCAGTGGTGCTCTATGTAGAAGTAAATTCTTTGTGAATTATAAAATTAAAAAATTTTTTTTTTGTTTGCAACGGCTCTGTAGTCGCAATAAATCCGGTACAATTGTTCTGCATCTGACGTCACACGCGCGCGGCAGTCCCATTTCGGCTAGCTTAATATCTGCCGTCAAAAGATCCTCCAAAAACACACTCCGCGACCACAAGTATCAGGAACTGAGTGATCGAATACATCGCAAAATGGGAACCACTGCCTCGAAACCAGCGCGATCCGCCGCCCAGGCCGTCTCGCGCCGTCAATACCCCAAACAACCTACCGTTCCGGCGCCCGCCACACAAGCGCAAAGCCCAGCAGCATCAACACCGTCCCCTGCGCCACCAAACCCCCGAGAACCAAAGCCTACTACTGCCTCGCCAGGGCGACAACAATACCGGTCTAGAGAACAAGCATCAACCGTCAAATCATCATGTATGTCTTGATCCGACCAACCAACCCCGTGCGGAAAAGAAACACAAGTGACAATCAAATCAATTACACACCCCGTCTTCTTGAAAACATGCTAGACACCTCCACTAATGTAATTCCCAAAAGCAATCGATCTCGACGGCCGCGATCCAGACTTCGCCGCCTCCCTCCGCTCCATCGGGCCCGTCACTCCTGTCCCGACATTCTCCCATTCCAGCACCTTCGGCCAACCACCCCCGCAATTAGCCGGGAAGACTGTGTTTCCGCCAGCGTCGAACCCGGCGTTACTGGTAGTTACGGCGCGGCAGCGAATAACAAAGGAAGCGGAGCAGGAGGTGGAAGCCGTGGGGCGGGGTAGTTTTGTAGGCCGGGAGTACTTGGATGCGTTTACGATTCGCCAGATTCTCTCGATGCGGGATAAGCAGGGGTTGGGGCCGGAGGAGATTGAGCGGGTGCTGCGGTTGAAGAGGGGGGTTGTGGGGAGGTTAGGGGGTAAGGGGGTGGTTTCTGAGGCGTCCTACTAGGTAGTAGGTGATTGTTTGTGTTATGTACTTGATATGGGATTTAGAAGGTATTAGGGATATATATGTATATGATTAGGGTTTATGACTGAGTGAATATGTGTATACCATATTAGAGGAAACTATAACGTTACCCTTTTATTATCTAGTAAAAGACCAAAAGCAGGGGCTTTCCTCAGGGTACAATGAAAATGCACCGCTTAGCATTTCTCAATGCCACATTGCAGTATTTCAAATCCAGAAGTGACAGTATATAAACCTTGAAAATGGATGACATGGGATGCTGGAACTGGGTATCCCGTATGTAGGAGGCCGGAAAGGGCAATCAATTCCTTTGCACTACCCTACTACCCTACTAGCCTACTAAACTACCTAATTCAAGGGTAAGTTTGTGGTTTGCCCACCACTAGGTACCCTAGGTAGGTGGTGGTGTGTAAATTTATTCTGGGTTGGTATAAGTAGAAAGAAACAAAGGCCAGAGAGGAAGTCTCTCCATGCTGTCCTGCGTGGAATAAATGTGTTTAAGATAGTATATACAGAGTATTATCTATCTTTTCTGGTGGCTCCGCCCTTGAATTAGACGACAAGCTCAGCTGTGGAGTTTGTGGATCCAAACTAGTCCGTACTTCGTGGTACTAACTATATGATTTCCCCAGATGAAGATGACTTTCTTGGCGTTGAGAGGCGAAGGCTCGTTCCATGGTCCGGAGGGGGAGGGGAATACTTCTTATCACCATGATTTCCCGCTGGAAATACTAGACAAGGCTGGTTGAAAAGAATTGAAAATGCAGACATGAGTGTTGGCTAATCGGAGAACGTGGGAATGGTGGGTACGCTGCAAACTGCAAACTGAGGTATGTAACCTTACTGCTCTAGTTTCTGTTACTGGTGGTTTCTTGATTATGCATTCATTATTTGTTTGACGAGAGAGAAAAACAAAGAGTAGGTAGGTGGTACATGATGCGAATGAAGTAAAGCTCTAATCAGCCTAATCGCAGAACATTTGCCTACACCTGTGACGCTAAAAACTATAACTGATGATTTCTTTGCCCCTCGAAAAAAAACAAAGCGAGGATTAGAGGGGATGATGAAGATAACAGGATTCGTGACAAGCCATGGAATCGGAATTGTGAACTTTCGCTTCCTAAGAACGCCATGCAGGAAAGCCCGGAAGATAAGCAGAGTCGAAAAGAAAAAAAGCCGGCTAGAATCGAGAACAAAGGCAAAAAAAAAAAAAAAAAAAAAAAGAGTCTGGAGAGGAACTACCAGGCGGCGTGGCCACCATCAATGCGCAGATCACTTCCAGTCATAAAGCTGCTAGCGTCGCTGAGAAGAAAAACGGCAGCACCACGGTACTCCTGAGGGGAGGACAAACGACCTAGCATGTTATGCTTAGGCCACTCCTCGCGGCGCTCGGGGAACTCGACGAACAGCTGCTCAACCATGGCAGTGACAATATAGCCAGGGGAAATGGTATTAACACGAATGTTGTACTGACCCCACTCGGAAGCAAGGTTGCGGGCGAGCTGGATCACGGCAGCCTTGCTAGCGTTGTAAGCAGGGCAGATAAGACCCTATAAGAAGAGAGAATGTTAGTCTACTTGGGATTGAAAGAACAGCGGCCAGTGATAGGGTAGGGTTAGTTGGCCCCCCAAGTACTAAGAGCAGGGTTTGAGTGACCCCGATATGCGCGGGGAAGGAGGGGAACAGGAAAAGATCCATGATAAAATGGGAACATACGCGATTGGCAATAGTGCCGCTCATGCTCGCAATCAACGCGATACTTCCTCCGTTTCCGAATCGAATCATCTGCTTGGCTACTGCCTGAGCGGTCATGAACACTCCAGTGACATTGACTTCAAACATTCTGTTCGCATCCTGGGCTGTGTATTCCAACGCGGGAGTCTCTTGCTGGATACCAGCGGCGGCAACAAGACCATCCATGCGGCCTTCCGCATTTGCGATGGCTTCAATGGTGTTGTGTAGAAGCTCAGTGTCACGAACATCAATGCGGCGGTACTGGAAATCGGTGCCAAACTCGTCCTTAGCACGCCTTTGGATTTCAAAAAAGTTAGGGGACTAAATAGAGTAGTTAGTACCAAGTCGTAGTAAAGGGGGATTTGAGCCGGAATTGTTCCCATTGGGGAACTTACCGGTTCCTCTAGGCGGTCCAGAGCATAAACACGAGCACCAGCTTCGAGGAGAGCCTCTGCCTGAGTCAAGCCAAGGCCACGAGCAGCACCGGAAACACAGATGACCTTTCCAGCCAGGCTGAATTCAGCCAGTCTGGACTTGGTTCCGACGCACAGGCCTTCCTGCTTGGAGACAGGGGCGACAGGCGTGGTGTTTGTTTCGATGGAGACAGACATTGCGAATTTGAGAGGATTTTCTTAGAAAGAGGAAGAGGGGGGAAGAGGGGGAAAGAGTAAAATAGCTGGGGCCTGAGGGGAGGGGGGAAGGGAGGTTGGGAGAACGGAAGAAAGCGAAGCCTTTATAGTTAGTACCTAGGTAGGTATATAGTAACACCCACCTGACCTGACAGTAACAAGAGGAATGACTCCGGAACTTCAAGTGACTGAGAAACTCAATTGGCAATGTCGAGAATGAATGAATCTCTGACGGAATCAACCAAGGGTCTTTATACTTATAGTTCGTGATGGCTCCCTGGTGCCCTACGGAGAGGGTGACAGTCATGAGAGCTCATGTGAGCAGAGAGAAAATGGGACAGCCGCGAGGGGAGGTGGATTCGGTCCAGACCTGGGGGGACTGAGACGGGGGTCTGGTCATTTGGCCGTTTTTCGTGGCAAAATCCTGTGGCTTGTACCTTGTAAATAAATACTATCCTGACACATCAAATCATACCTTGTAAGAGGTTGTATAACTACCTTACCAGTGAAAGACAGAATCCTTGTGACCCTGGAAAGATTGGGTAATAGGAAGCATCGGAGTACCCCAGTGAAATCATAATGAATTCATTTACAATAGTGAGTGAATACCGTCCATACCGACTAAGATCGGGATAGAAATGAAAGGTAACTCCTAGTTACAGTGAGAGCATACCGCTCGTGTAAACCTGTATGCGAAATCAATATTGTGCGGAGAGCCTGAGAAAGCGCCTGGGGATAACCCCGGTGGAGGACTCGGGTTGCTTCATTGGGAAATCCGGGGTTAGGTGGGAGGGAAACATGAGAATATGCCTGGCTGGGCTGTTCTGGAAGCCATTCAGTAGAGATATTGCTTATTATTATTGGTTTCTCCGGTTGTATTTGGATTTTCTACTACCTAGGTACCATCGCCCATCCATAATAACGGAGCATGCAGCTCAACATAGGTATACTAGTTGCTCCCATTTCGGCAGTCCGTGCCCAGTCCTCCAGGTAACTCCCTACTATGTATGCTTGGTCCAATTGCCAAACAACAATATGGATTACGGAGTACTACTTTTGGCAACTTGAGTCTCTTCTCCTGTTGATCCCGAATGGTAACCCCTCTGGGGCCTTTCTTTCCGTACAGCTGCTTTTCCTCTCTAATTGACTGGAAATCTGACGATTGTCAATCATACCATCCAAGTTTCCACCTCTTGCCCTTACCGCCGGGTGCGATCAGGTCTGTCTCTTTCCTCATCTTCCTTGACCTCTAGTTACAGATTCGAAATAAGCAGCTAGTGGCACACCAGGAAGCTATCCATGTCACTAGAACGCTTACATCTGGTTTCATCCAGTTCATTCGGTCTATTGTCGGTCTGTACGGACCCTGATTCGGGAATTCCCCTATTTAGCTTTCCATCGTTGTATCTAGTATCGAAAATGTAAACGACTAACCCCACACTTTATAAGCTAGAAGATACTTTTCGAAGTGGAAATTGTAAAAGAGCATAGCCATTATATACTTGTGTGTATACCGTTCCACTCGACTTGATACCCTCGGGCCCTAATGCATAACACTCCGAGCACCCCGCGGAAATTTCCAGTACTGATCATCCATTCTCAGCATTCAGCTATCTTTGGGTCTTCATTAACGAGATATGGGAGATATGGGCTATATTTGTACATTATTACTTCTGCTAACAACGGCATTTAAAATCTGGAATTAATACTTTAGTAGTACATTAGTATTCATTGGCAAGTTGCCACTTTCTAGTTAAAGGTTGTTACAGTCCTGTCTGCCACAGGCTTCATCTTCATAGTGTCTAGATCCATTCACCCAGTCTTTCAGAGAGGAATATAACTGAAAACTAGAGACAATAACTCATCACTAGCCTTAAATCAAGTATGTATGCACTACGATATCTCAGTAAATACTGGGGCTAGCTGACTAGGAAATAAAAACAGTACAAAATCTCAAAATATGACCGAGTGGATGCTGACTGCAGTCATTCCATGAGGGATCTCCTGCAAGGTCGCAGGCAGCGGTGCGGATTGTTTATTTCTTTCCGCTTGAATAATCTTCGAGATAAAAGTCTAAATCAGCTGAAAAAAGCCTATCTGAGTCTTAACTTCTTAAGGTAAGGAAATGATCCTCGTCTCTGCCTAATTCTGCCTTTCCCAGCGCAGCCTAGCAATCTACTGTAAATCAGAAGTGGACTCTGTACTTGAGGGGTTTCCAAGTAGGACTTTTCAATATATTCTCTCTGAGATATATAAATATATATATATATTTAATAATTTAATGATGAACCACCCCTTTCTCCCCCCACAACCGCCCGCAAACGCTACCTGCAAAGTAATCGACTTCACAACATCCGACCCCCCCCTCCCAGCGTACAAAAACTGCCTGGCAGCCCTCATCGAGAACGCGCTCACCGAAGCAGAATGCAAAGAACTCCTGCGGATCGCCGAGGCAAGCACCATCGACCCGCTCGCCCCCAGCGCAAGCCCGAAATGGGACCGCGCCATGATCAACATGGGCGGCGGCAGACAAGCACTAGCCGTGGAGGAACGCAACTGCGGCCGGGTGATCCTCGACACTCCCGAGATCGCAGATAAACTACTGGCTCGGCTAAGGCCATTTCTCCGAGACCTGGACATGGAAAGACTCGAGGACCGGCGGTTTGTGACGGGGCCTGGCGGGAATCAGAAGGTGTTTCGTCTCACGCGGTTGAATGAGCGGTTGCGGTTTCTCAAGTATGTTGGCGGGGAGTACTTTCGGCCGCACTGGGATGGCATGTACAAGACGCCTGATGGGCGGGAGCGGTCGTATTTTACGCTGCACTTTTATTTGAATGCGGATGGGCAGCAGGATTGGAAGGAGTTGGTGCGGGCGAACACGGCGGAGAAACGGGGGGCCAAGGTTGAGAATCCTGATGCGGATGGTAAGTTGCTGGGTGGTGCGACGTCGTTTCTATTGCCGTTTGTGAAGGAGGAGGAGGAGAGACATGTTCGGATTTTCCCCAAGGTGGGCTCTGTGCTTGTTTTTCAGCAGAGGGATTTGTTGCATGGTGGGGATTCGGTATTTCGGGGCACGAAGTATACGCTCAGGACAGACGTTATGTATGAGCAGGAGTGAGAGATCGGGGCTATCGATATGTTAATGAGTATATTTATTGTATTGATAACCCAGTTTCTATATATATATATATATATATATACACTGATCAAAGCTTGTTTCCTAGTCTAGAATGATCTTGAAAGGAGTTCACCAAGTATAGATTCAAACCACTCCTATACTATCCCATCCAGGCCAGTAATCTGTCAGCAGTGATTACGCAAACCAATACCTGGCCAGCTCGTAAATGATGATTCCTGTACTCCGTAGATCCAGCAGTATCTTGCCCTGAAGTGAGAATTATAACCATCTGTGGCTGCGTCCTATACGAATACGACAGTTGGGATTACTCCTGTCTTTCTTGGGTGATAAATATACAAAAAGAATATTTAAAAAGGTGACCTTCTAAACACTTAGTTATTATTTTCTCCCTGCCTGTATAATTTAGTACCTTACTAGTATCTAGATCTGGCCACGATCGAGTTCCTCTACCCGAGTCTACCGTCTAATACTGGAATAAGCCTCGGATACTCCTCCGTACTGGTCGCGTGTTAATCTGTCCTTTCACCCACTGGCTCAATATTGGATTCCTTCGGGTCTTTAGGCTACACTAGTAATTATTATTATTCTCGTTCTGTGGGGAACACCGTAAGCCCCGAAAAATGGCTGTTCGTTTAGCTGGATGCCAGGTTTTTTTTTTATGGATCTGTGAAGTCTGACTGCATAAATCCCACCAGCCACAACATCCCTCTCTGGCCTCAGCTACGGATATGCCGGATCCCGCCCTGCCTTGACAACAGCATGAATCGGACTTTTTGCTCCCGATTGCTGTACGCCAATCAAGACCCGTTGACCCATAGTTCTTGAATTTCAGCCACCAGCTGCGATCTTCATCTCTGGGAATTCTGGAGAACTTGGTTGGCTAAGCTCCGCTGGCATTGTGACTCGCTGCACAAAGGCCCCTGGTTTTAAATTGGGCTAATCTGCCTGTTGTCTCACGTTGCCTGCCTGCTCCAGAATTGAACAAAGGGCCCTTGATTTCCCCCGATTTGCGTTGGTGACGACCTCTTGCTATAATCGCGACAAGGCAGCTTTTTCGTCAGTCGTCAAAATGAAGGCTACAACTACTGTCCTTGCTCTGGCTGGATTGCTGTCCGGTATAACTCTACCCCACGATTGTTTCTGGGTTCGCTCATGCTGACAATCCATCTGTTTCGCAGGTGCAGGTGCAACCGCAATCCCTACCAGCGCCGACGTCGAGGTATCGTTGATTGAGCGTGCACTTCCCAATGCCCCGGATGGATACACCCCTCGTTCAGTCAGCTGCCCTGCCAACCGGCCTACAGTGCGTACGGCGTCATCACTCTCGCCCAACGAGACTTCCTGGTTAGAGACCCGACGCGCAAAAACCGAGTCGGCCTTGAAGGACTTTTTCGGACATGTCTCTATTCAGAATTTCGACGCGGTTAGCTATCTCAACCGGATCGCTACCAACACGTCAAACCTGCCCAATGTCGGAATCGCGGTCTCTGGGGGTGGATACCGGGCTTTGATGAATGGTGCTGGTGCTATTAAGGCGTTTGATAGCCGTACTGCGAACTCGACCAGCTCGGGTAAGCTGGGAGGGCTGCTACAATCTGCAACCTATCTGGCGGGTCTTAGTGGTGGTGGATGGCTTGTGGGTTCAATCTACGTTAATAACTTCACCACCATTTCGGCGCTGCAGACGACGGGCGATGGTGAGGTATGGCAATTCCAAAATTCCATTTTCGAAGGCCCGCATGATGGCAGTATACAGCTGCTCGATTCTACGAGTTACTACAAAGATATCTATGATGAGGTCCAAGGCAAGAAGGATGCCGGGTATGAGACTTCAATCACAGATTACTGGTAAGTCCTTCAGAGATGTTTGATGCTTTATCTCTCTTCTTGTGTCAACTGACCGTTTGCCTGCTAGGGGACGCGCCCTTTCCTATCAACTCATCAATGCTACTCACGGTGGTCCCAGCTATACTTGGTCGTCCATTGCGTTGACTGAGCAGTTCCAGCAAGGCAACATGCCAATGCCATTGCTGGTTGCCGATGGTCGGTACCCGGGAGAGCTTCTGATCGATGGCAATGCCACCGTCTACGAGTTCAACCCTTGGGAATTCGGCACGTTCGATCCCACGATCTATGGATTTGTGCCCTTGGAGTACTTGGGCTCTCGTTTTGTTGGAGGCTCTATCCCTTCGAATGAGAGCTGTGTGCGCGGCTTTGACAATGCCGGATACGTGATGGGCACGTCCTCTACGCTGTTTAACCAGTTTTTCCTGCAGATTAATAGCACTGATCTCCCTAGTTTCCTAACTCACGCATTGTCGGACATCCTTGCCAAGATCGACAAGGATGATGACGATATCGCTGTGTACTCGCCAAACCCCTTCTATCAATGGAGGAACGAGTCGTCGCCCTATGCGAGCCAGGCCGACCTTGATATTGTGGATGGCGGAGAGGACTTGCAGAATATCCCTCTTCACCCTTTGCTTCAGCCTGAACGTAAGCTCGATGTCATATTCGCCGTCGACTCCTCCGCAGATACCACATACAACTGGCCCAATGGCACTGCCCTCGTTGCTACCTATGAACGTAGCCTGAACTCTTCGGGCATCGCTAACGGCACCGAGTTCCCCGCCGTTCCGGACCAGAACACCTTCGTCAACTTGGGCTTGAACACACGACCCACCTTCTTCGGATGCAACAGCTCCAACACCTCCGCCCCATTGGTCGTCTATATCCCGAACTATCCGTACTCCTTTTTATCCAACTTTTCCACCTTCGACCCAAGCTACAAGGAGGCCCAACGAGACGACGCCATTATGAACGGATACAACGTTGCCACTATGGCTAACAGCACCAGGGACAGTGACTGGTCTGCCTGCGTGGGTTGTGCGATCCTCAGTCGCTCCTTCGACCGTACCAACACGCAAGTGCCTGACCTGTGCACTACGTGCTTCAACAGATACTGCTGGAATGGCACCACCAACAGCACAGATCCTTCAGGTTATGAGCCGAGCGAGGTCTTGGTGGAGAGTAAGAGTGCCGCGTCGGGTGTCTTCCCTGCTGTTCTGTCGACCGTAGTTGTGGCCAGTGTTACTATCTTCACGATGCTGTAAAGGACTGGCAAATACGCGATTACTGTATATATAGACGGGTTGTCTACTCTGTATGTTCGTCATAGATTTGAAGCGCTAGCCGAGTTTTACGGTGGATGCGATGCCACATTTTCAGGATCAATGCGCGAGAAACTGACTGGGACATGATGTTCATCCTTTTTCATTCAAAGTATAAATTTATGTGCATATTTGGTTTAGTTATTGCCCAGATGATGAACAAGAATACCCAAAAATCAGCCTAGTTGTGTAAATTATGCGTTGTTACTAGCCGTTGCCTGGGGGAACAAAGACACGTGATTTCCCAAACAAGCGCTGGCATCCACAAACTTTGGGAGGCACTACGGGCGGCCCGAATCTTCTTGGTGCAGCAAGTCAACGACAATAGACGCAGTATTTAAAGATTATCGACAATTCCTTCCGGCTTTTGCCCGCCCTCCCGGCCCTGCTTTCACCCAAGCCACTGCATATGAGGAAATCCGGATTACAGTTGCTCCTTGGTCATCGCGATAAGAGGCGCACAATGCGTGATTGCACAACCACGCCACCGACTTTTCCTTAACGACTGCCACTACCAACTACAGAGAGAGGAAGTATAGGAATAATATCCACGTTCCGGTTCTTTTGACGCGTGAATATCGAACTCCGACTCCGCCATCATGGCCCGAGCCGCGGTTATTCCACAATCCCCCCCAAAACGCGCCACGCGTGGCAGAGCGAAGGGATCAACCACGACGAAGGCTACAGGCAAGATGGTGGCGAAACCCGCGAAAACGGTTTCGGCTGCAGACACGGGGAAGAGAAATGCTCGAGCGGATCTCGCAACTACAAGTGAAGCTATGCATTCCGGGACGGAGGAAGAGACAGATGATGAATTGGATATGATCGATAGTAGGACGAAAGGGAAGACCTCGAGTTCAAAAGCAAAATCGTCGACATTCCCTACGACTAGCCGTGGTAGGAAAGGAACAGCCACAGATAGGGAAAGCGAGGGTGAGAATGACGAGGATGAACTTGCCCGATTGGATGTGCCCAAGAAGAAGGCTGGGCGGCCCAAAACCAAGCGCGAGGAAATGACGAAGCAGGAAACCACTGCCTCCAAGCCAAGAGGCCGGCCAAAGGGTACCACCACGAAGCCAGCTTCGGATGCAGATATTCTGAGGGAAAACACGCGGAGGAACGCTCGTGCGCAAGACACCAACGACTTTTCTTCATCTCAACAAGGACCGATGGAGGTTTTTGTCACGACAAATTCCATGTTGCGCGGGTTATCCAAGAAGAAAAAGGTCACTTTCCAAGATTTTTCGGACTCTGAGGAGGAGGATATCACCGAGCCTGCGCCCGCTGCTGGACGGAGAAAACGAGCCGCCGCCGCGAAAGATCAAGACGGACTCGGGGCTAAGCCTGTTCGCAAAGCTGCCCCAACATCGACGAGGGGTCGCAAACCTGCCGCGGGCAAGAAAGGAGCGAAGCCTCTATCACCTAAGAAAGCTACCCAGGTTGCCAAGGCCATCTCCTCGTATGCAAGCTCGGATGAAGAGGAAGATGAACTCAGTGGCGCGAAGGATCAGATTAAACTTGTCGTTCATTCACCCGAGAAACCTGCTCCCGCAAGTACTGGACTCGGATCTCCAGTAAGGAGGATCAATTTCACCCCGAGCAAACTTTCAACCAAGCTCGATGAGAATGGGGAACCGAATATTGCGCCCCCGAAGACGTTCGACTTCAGCGAGTCAGTTTTCATGTCTAGCCCTGCTCGTAGGCCTCCTCCGTCGCCTTTCCATTTCACGCTCAGGGAAACTCCGAAGCGAGGTGGAATCGCCGTTGGCGAAGATGCAAGACCACTAAGCCAACCCAATTTCACCCCAACGCAAACGTCACCACTAAGAACGTCTCCTAGGAAGGCAAACCTGGGTACCCCAGCACGGGGAGGCCTCTTCTGTGATAGTGGAGCTCCCTCTCAGCCGAATTTCACTCCCGGGCAACATTCTCCGCTTAAATCCTCACCTAAAAAGGGCATTTTCGGCGCGTCATTCTCGTCCCAGCAACCTGTGCAACAATCCTCGACTCCATTTAGGTCCAGCTTGCTGTTAAGCCCTGCTAAGAAGGTTGCTGCACCATTTAAAAGCTCATTGACCCGAATCCAATCTCCAACACCGGACAAACCCCCCGCCCATGCGGAGGATGAGGGTGATGGCCAGACGCCTGAGGAAACCGAACAGTTACCACTTAGAGTGCAGGATTTAGATGATGATGTGTCTCGTAATATATGCGACGGAGAGTCCTCGCCCGAGAAAGAATCCCAACCCCAGCCGATGGAGGAAGATTGGGAGGAAGAATTCGTATCCGAAAGTGGCCAGGCATCGAAAATATCAGATGGCGATATGTCACAAAGTGAGGAAGAGCGAAATGAGGAGGAACAGCTTGATGAGGATGATGAAATTTCTCTCCCTGCTTCGAACGCCCCTGCCCATGAAGACCGAAACACCGACCGTGAGATTGACGAGGCAATGGAGCGACTTGAGCAGGAGATCAGGGAAGAAGATGCAGATATGTTCTCAGACGATATTGGGAGTGAATGGGAATCCGACTATCAAGAGCACGACACGACACCATCAAAATCCAGGTATTTCGAGACCCCAAAAGAAGCTCACAGTGCCGACGGTCTCTGGTCGGACACTGAGCGGGAGCAGGACTGTGGGGCAGTCTCTCCAACCCAGGGAGAGTTGGGCCTCGAAGAGACTCAGCAATACACATACGATGCTCACCGACAGAGCTTCGTTATAGGACTCGAGGATGTCTTCACTGAGAAGTCCCCCAGCCCCGAATATGGCGTTCAGGTTGAGCATATCCCAGAAGTGGAAGATGTGACCCGGGATATTGATTCTCTCGACGCCAATGGCGACAACATGGCCGACTCACCACATAGACTCGACGATGAGGAAGATATTCTGATGGATGCCTACTACGACTTGGGTGACGATGAGCCCACGCTGGTCACTGAGATGGCCGCAAATCGTTTTATGGGTCCTCCTCCTGTCCAGCCATATGAAATTGAAGAACCTGAGAATACGCCATTCGTCAATTTCTTACTCACCCACTGGGTTCCTTCTCTGCCATGTGCCGATGAGTATCGCTCCTCTCGAGTGTCAGGCGCGGGCATCTTGCCCTCTTCTAATCCTGATCCCCTCAAACCTGTGCTTGCAATCCCCAATCATTTGGAGCCCTCTCCGGACCCCAGTATTGTATCTGACCAAGAAGCCGAGCCCCAGAAGGAGTCTAAATCATCCTCGTATCCAAGCAAAGGTCCAAGGTTTACTTTACTAGCTGAACAATTAAGCCAATGGAAAGCGAGCAGCCCCCAAAAAGATGAACCACGGCGTTCACGTCGCAGAGGGGTTTTCTCTCTTGCAGGGAGACCCAGTGAAGCAGAGAGTGCTGCTGGCCATGCTCGCAAATCTGAGATTTCACAAGATCTGTTTTCTCTGCCTGCCCAATCCATCCCTGCTGAGGAGAAAGACCATGAAGAGGAGCTGGAAATTCATGAAGATCATGATGAACAAGCCCCTATGGAGGAACAAAATCCAGAAGCCGAAAATATTCACAGGCAGCCTATGTCTGAGATACCTGGCGACGTAATTCCACCTGTACCTGAGTGGCACCAAGATGAGGCCACCGAGAACGGATTGCCGACAACAGCTAGCCCCGATGATGTTACCCAGCCTACTCTCGAATCATCTGAGGAAGAAAAGGAGAATGAAGAAGTTCGTCTTCCAGCCCCCGCTACTCCTATCAAGGCTCGAAAGCTTGAACCACAAACTTTTCATACCGTATCGAAGGTGCCTTTGAAACCAGAAGGTCAGATTTCGCCTTTGAAAATGCGTCGCAAGAGAGGCCGGTCGCTCTCAATCACTTCTCCAGTCCGCTCATCGCCTCGTCTGCACAAGCCCATTTTTCCTCCCCAAGATCAGCATGCTCTCCAAATTTCCCCTCGAAAGTCCGCCAGACTTCGGTCAGACTCAGTTCGACAAGGACAGGCGAAGGCGCGCACTGAACCCGCAGCTCCAATGGTTCAACGCGCCCCAAGCCCTTCCAAAACCCCTCGCCAAAAAGTCCCGGCTGCCGAACTGTGTTTGCGTGGCGCTGTTGTTTACGTTGATGTCCATACCACGGAGGGTGAGGATGCTAGCGGCATATTTGTCGAACTTTTGCAACAAATGGGTGCTAGATGTATCAAAAATTGGTCATGGAATCCGCATTCAAGCTTGTCGCCCGTGGATGGAGTAGATCCAAAAGAGAGCAAAGTGGGTATTACGCATGTCGTTTTCAAGGATGGGGGCGTCCGGACATTGGAAAAGGTCAGATACGCGGCAGGGCTTGTCAAGTGCGTTGGTGTTGGCTGGGTTCTTGAGTATGTATTATCCCGTCCCTGACTAGTATTCCAGAACTCTAACGCGTTGGTGGTAGCTGTGAACGCGAAAATAAATGGCTGGACGAGACGCCATATGCTGTTGATAGCTCAATCATTCCCCGTGGTGGTGCTAAGCGCCGCAAGAGCATGGAACCCCGAGCGTTGAGCAATGTCAATGGCACCCTCGTTAAAACCAGCATGGCGGGTTCATCTGCCCACAGCAGACGATCTGGGGCTGTGGAGAACTTCATGAGAGGCACGACACCCGCATCGCACGACGATGTAGTAACGCCTGAAAGGACTCGCAAAGATCAGGCGAGTCACAAAGAAGGCGATGAGAAGAAGTATTGGCAAACTCCCAGGACTCCTGCTTACGGGTTCAACCTAGACAGCATTGGCATGTCTCCCGCAACTCCTTTCTATCTCTCTCAACGGTCGAAACTTGTTCAACAAACCTGTCCTCCAAAAGAAACACGGCAGGGTCTATTTTCAAAGGTCGCGACGGATGAGGAACCGTCCCAGAAGCTCAAGGCAAGATTGGAGGCGGCCAGGCGAAAGAGCTTGGCTTTTAAACCTGCCATTGGTAGCCGTCTTATCGACTAAGTTTATTCTTTTTTTTTTTTTTTTTTTTGATGTCTTGTACTATGCATACATAGGATTTGGAGATTTTGTTGGCTCATATTTTTTTTGGCTTTATCGGTTGCCTTGATCATATACATACATACATACCCCTTTTTGCAGGAGTGGCTTGTGGATTTTGTCAATGCTATGTTTACGTTTTGATAAATACCCCATACTAGTTCTGATAGTTGTACATATTATCTTTATCAACAGATGCATACCTAGGTAGTAGTAATGTATATATATATATATATATATATACATTGGTTGATCTGGCAAGTACTGAAGGATCGAAGGTATATCTTCCAGCTTGTAGATAGTCGGTTATGTCTAGCTAGGTAATAAGTATACCCGATATATTCAACCCGGGAGATTAAAATTAAACACAAAAGATAACCAAAGATAGTTATATGAAGTAAAAGGTAAAAAAAAAAAAAAAAAAAAAAAAAAAACCCCCAGAGAAACACCGAAATTGGTTAACTTTTCTTTGCCCAGCCAGCCCTTATCTCCTCCCATCCAAAATCGGTTCGTTTTGTGTATCGGCGCAAAAAGAAAATCAAATCGAGTTCATATCATCCGACTCATCCAACTCCCTATAGAAGCCAGCAACCAAAAACGCCAGCTCTAGCGCCTGCTTCTCGTTCAAGCGCGGATCGCAAAAGGTTGTGTACCGCTCTCCCAAGCCTTCCTCGGTCAAGCCGGCCGCGCCACCGACACACTCTGTGACGGCCTCGCCGGTTAGCTCCAGATGCATACCGCCTAGGAACGAGCCAGCGGCGCGGTGGATGGCCAGCGCCTGGCGCAGTTCGGAGAGGATGTCGTTGAAATCGCGGGTCTTGACGCCCGACGGCGTGGTCTGCGTGTTGCCGTGCATGGGGTCGCATTGCCACACGGGTAAGTGGCCCGAGGCCTGCACGGCAGCGATCTGCGCGGGCAGGTGGGCGGCGATCTTGGCGGCGCCGTACCGAGAGATCAAGGTGACTTTGCCGATTTCGCGGGCGGGGTTTACGACGTCGAGGATCTGGGTGAGTTCCGTGGGGGTCATGCTGGGGCCGATCTTGATGCCGACGGGGTTGGCGATGCCGCGGAAGAATTCGACGTGGGCGCCGTTGAGTTGGCGCGTGCGGTCGCCGATCCAGAGGAAGTGCGACGAGGTGGCGTAGTAGCTTTTTGTGGGGGCGGTGGGTTTGCTGGTGGTGGTGGTGGTGGTGGTTGTGGATGGGTGGACCGCAGTTGGTTGGTGCGGTTGTGGGGGAATTGGGTCTTTGAGCAGGCGGGTTAGGGATTGCTCGTATTCTAGGAGGAGACCTTCGTGGCTGGTGTAGATGTCAACGGTTTCGACGCCGCGGTCGGTGTCGATTCCCACGGTTTGCATGAAACGGAGGGCATCCTTGACTCTGCTGACGATGCGTTCGTATTTTTCTTTGATCGAAGGGGTGATGACATGGCCGAGGCCCCAGTCTAGTGGGGAGTGCAGGTCTGCAAGACCCGAGGATAGAGACGCGCGCAGGTAGTTGAGTGTTGCGGCGGAGTGGAAGTAAGCCGACACCAGACGGGAAGGGTCTGGGCGGCGGGACTCAGGGGTGGCATCGAAGCCGTTGATATTGTCACCGCGGAAGGAGGGCATCTCAATACCATTGACTACTTCCATGGGGCTGGACCGCGGCCTTTGGGTGGGGGGGGGGGGGGCGCTGATTGTCAGCGTGTGGGGGGTCATTGGGGGTTGGGCGGAGGGAGGGCACCCAGTCCAGATTAGACTCACTTGGCAAATTGACCTGCGATTCGTGCAATACGGACGACTGGCATGTTTGCTCCTACCGGGGTATTAGCATGTGCTAGGGTAATGAGCAGAAAGAACAGTGGGCGGCGGTACCGTACCCCAAATCAGGACCAGACTCATCTGGAGAAGGAGTTTGACTTTGGCCTCGATCATGTCTTGATTACAGTAGTCGAATAGCTCCGCGCAATCGCCTGCGAGAAGGGTGAGTCAAATGTAGAAAGATTTCATGGATTGATCCAGGGCGATCATACCTCCTTGGAGGACAAAAGCTTTGCCCAGCGCTACATTCTTCAAGCTCTTTTTCAGGGTTGCAATCTGTTAATTGTGTCAGACATCATCCCAATCAAAACAAACGAGCAAAAGAGATAGATAGATACCTCCTGGGTAGTAACCAACGGGGGGAGTTTCTGCAGCTTTGCAAGAGATGCTTGAACTCCCTGGACATCCTCATAGACGACATCCTGTTTGATGGGTTTCGAAGTCCAGGCTGGAGAGATGAAAGGATTGTCAGCAATGGTGCAGGCAGATCACGAGCAACAAAACACGTACAGCTTGGATCCCAGTCTTCCACAGCCATGGTTGTCTGTCTCTAGGTCTGGGATATTGATATTGATTGACTCTGTGGAGAGGAGACAGGAAATTATAAGTGGTAACTAAGTATAGCAGATGTCAATGTCAACCTCAACTCTCACGAGATGGCGGGTCAAAGATGCAAGGAGATGAAGCACGACACCGAAACCAATCTGAATCAAAGCAAGAAGGATTCTGGATCTAATAATCGAATTCAAGAAGAATGAAGAGAAAAAAAGAAAATAAGAAGGATAGAAAACCCCGCTTATTCGCGGCCTGAGTCACTATGTAAACTAAACCCAATTCGGGAATACGCCGTTTTCCCCCTCGATTCTGGATTTCTCGTACTTCTCATTCTTCATTTCAAGATCATACCCTCCTCTTATTAATCAGGAAACGGAACTCTCCTCAACAGAAACATGTCGGACTCTATCCCCTCCGCATCTGCAGACCCCGAATCAACCCAGGACCACCCTCTCCCTGCAAACGCTGAAGACCGCAAGGCCGCCGCCGCACTCTCCTCCCTAAACACCAATGAGATCGGCGCCGACTCGCGAGGAGAGGGAGAAGAAGAAGGAGGAGGAGGTGGTGGAGGAGCACGAGGTTCAAAGCTACCGTCGTCTGCGGATCAAGAAGCCCTGGGCAAGGCGATGAGCCGGCTGGAGATCGCGGCAGGTAAGGGGCCCGGTAAGAAGCGGACAACGGAAGCTCAGAACAAGGACGAGGCGACCGAGGGCGTCAAGAAGAAGGCGGCCGTCAAGGTTGCGGCGGATGATGTTGCTCTCTTGGTAAGTTCTTTTCGTGGTTGATTTGGTGTGAGCCTTCTTGAGGACATCCTTCCCCTCCCCCCCCCCTTTTTTTTTTATGTTAATTCTTTTTGTTATGCAGGTAAATGAATTAGATCTGAGCAAAGTAAAGGCGACGGAGCTTTTGAAGGCTTATGATGGTGATGTGAAGAAGGCCGTGAGGGCATTTATTACGCCGGTTGTTGGGGCTTGAAGTGGTGTATCGCATATACCATAAATGACTGAATGATTGATTGCAAGGCCATGATATGATGGCTTCGGGATAATTTGACTCGGGTGGGTATTAATTGAATTTGGTGTTAAGGCAATCCAACGGATTACGATCTTGTACGAATTAATGAATTTGCCGGACAATAAAGCATTTCCTTTTCTATAGATGCTACCTATCTACTCGTACCTAGTTAGTGAGTTCGCTAGTTAACTAACTAGTTAGTTAGTTATCGTAAATCATTAGTCACGTTGCTCATGGACATGTTCATCTCAGATCCTATTACCCGAGTTGAGTGCGTCAACAATATTCAAGATCTCAATACCCTGTACTCCGTATCAACGGCCCTCCTGGGGCTCTTCCACATCCTCCTCGAGATCCTTCTTTCGTCTCTCAATACCCCGACCCTCGTATATCGTTCCTAGAAGGAACCAACCCACCAACGCTTCCAGCGCCAAAGCCCACCAGATCCCACCAATGAGGTTGTACTCCAGCCCCAGGCCCAAGCCCCAGCCTCCGATGAAGGGCCCGAGGGTTCGTGCTCCGCTTGAGATGCTCTGGGCTACCCCGTGGATAGTTCCCAGGATGGAAGGATCAGTTACGCAATTGTTAACCAAAATGACGGCGGCAGGTAAGGCGAACGTGCGGGAGATGACCTGGAGCCCAACGACTGCCGTGAACGCGGGCCAGACAAGCCATGGGTGGTTCGGAATCAACACAAGGAACGGCATTAAGGCGTATGCAATAGGGGAGAACGGTAAGAATGTGCGGAAGGACGCCAAAGTTCCCAGGTGTGACTGTATCTTGGGGTACACAAAGATTTGAAGTGGCAGTCCGATGAATCCAATGATCGCTGTCGCTAGACCGACTCGAGAAGAAGGCAGGCCAAGGCCACCGCTAAAGCGGAAGAACCCCTGATGGCTCCCTTCCGGGGCTCTGGGGGTGGGTAGAAATATGAAGGTCATGGAGTTAAAGGCGCTCGTGTGGAATGCTAGAAGAAACTGAACCAGGAGGGTCAAGAGAACATTTGAGGTCCAGATTTGTCGAAAGCCTAGGCGTTTCTGCGAGGGTTGGTGGAATCGTGTGCGAGTCGGACTAGAGGGGGCAGATCCGCCGCCCACACTCTCCCCGAGGTATAGGGATTGGTTATCGTCCTGATTCACTAAGCGTTGATAATGGTGATGTCGCCGTCTTCGGCGGATACAGTTTACGAGGCGGCGTCCAATGTTGCGTCCCCAGTCGCTTCGGTGCTGTGCGATTTCATGTGTCTAGGAATGCAAGATTAGCAATGAGGTCGACCCCTCTTGGAAGGGAATAGGATGCATATATACCTCATCAAGTCCTAGAAACACGGCCATCCACGAGGTAAAGATGAACAGTGCGCTAATCAGATTAGGAAGAAGGAATGGCCACTGCTGCATCCACCACACACCGTCCTTACCACCGAGGATCGACCCGGGTCCAAAAAGATGAGGATAATTCTTCACCGGGTTCGCTAACATTCCGCCAATGATGGGGCCGATGATCACGCCAATGTTAAAGCACATGGGCAGGAGAAGAAACGCGCGGGATTGGTACCTAGTATGATTGTTCGTAAAGGAGATTGCAAAGAGACCACGGGTTATGTATATCAGCTGAACTCACTTCTTCTCCTCAATGATTTCCGAAATCATCGTCCTCATAACTCCCACGTTACTATTCAACACCCCACCTAATATACGAAACACCATAGCCGCAGCAAAAGACTTTGAAACCCCAAATCCCAGACTCGAAATGCAAGTCCCCAGCAACCCGATCAAAAGTACTCGTTTGCGACCCATCCACGCCGAATCCGCCAATCGACCCCACAGAACTGCAGTCAGGAACTGCGCTGCAGTAAAGCTCCCTTGCAGAATACCGGCCTGCGTCGAAATCTCGGAGTCCGGGAGTGAGGGATCAAAGGACCTAAGCTGGTGGAAGAGGTACGCTTGAAGCGAGGTTTGAGCTAGAGGCTCGGATAGACGAGCCACAGTCAGGATTATGAGCTGGCTTCTCTTGGGGAGAGAGGCCCAGGTGACCGGTTTTTCATTCAGCGCTTCGACGGGGTCGTCGTAGTCGCTTTGGATGTCACTATCGTTATCGCCATCGGAGATGGACAAGCGCCGTCCGATAAATCGGGGGGAGGAGTCGCGGTCGTGAATGGCGGTTTGGACGCTCCTGGCGTCATCGTCGTTGTCGTCGTCACGATCAGGATCATAGTCGTGGTGATGGTGGTTAGCGCTGGGGGAGGAGCTGTGCCAGGGTCTAGAATCTACATCGTGTGTGCGGTGAAGGTTGGGGTCATGCTGTTGACTGAAGCCCATCAATAGAGGTATCTCTGTAGGAGATGATAATCGGTGGTGAATAAACAAAAGAGACTCAATTACCTGAGAAACAGAGATCAAAGAGGAAGCACGAGACTTTGCGAGTCAATCAATGGCGGAGAACCAAAAATTGGGGATGCGGATTGGATGCAGAATGAAGGTGGAGACAATTAGATCGGGAGTCGGCACCATGATTTGAAAGAATGAATTGCATCAATACTGGATAGCTTCAATAGTGCTACATCAGGACATCCTGACGCCATCAGGTTCGAAGAATCCATGCAAAAATTATACATCCGGGATAGTCCTGAATCAATGAATGCTCGCCAACAAAAAAAGAAAAGAAAAACAGAACCCCCAAGACAAACCCATTGAAAACATGCAAAGATCTACCTAATTATGCCGACTTCCTCCTGTTACCTCCATCGTACTCTCAATTCCCTCCCATGGAAGCTCCTCCTCCTCCTCCTCCTCCTCCTCCCCCTCCTCCTCCCCATTCACATCGTAGTCGGTATCATTCTTGTGCGAGGACTTATGTGTCGTGGCCGTCATGTCAGCAAGCATCCCGGCCCCAGTATCAATGCCAATCGACTGAAGAGTGACTTCCATCTCTTGCTCGGTCATCTCATGCACGCTGTGCTTCTGTCCTTCGAGGACATCATAGAGCGCATAGATTTGATCGGCTTTCATGTCGATATCCTTCAATAACCTCTCAATCTTCTCCCCAAGTGATTTCCTCTGGCGTTTACTGAGCGAGGCATCTAGCTTATTGTACGCGCCTTGGTAGGAAACGAGCTGGATTTTCAAGTGCGCCAGTTCATCCTCCAGCGCCTTCAGAACCGTGGCCAGAGCAACCGCTGGTGGCTGGGCTGGGCGCAACGTAGGGTCTTCATTGTAGATAGACGGCTCGGGCATCCGCTCCGAAACGGGGACCGGTTTGGGCACCTTAATGGACTCCCGAGTGTGATCACAAGCGTCCCCAGGAATTGAACGTTTGCAGACCGTACAGTTCTTGCCGCTATGCTGTGTTGCGCGGTCGAGTGCTCGCTGGGTGGTCTCGGGAAGTTTGTTCAGATTGTCTGGCAAACCAGGGTGCCGTAATGTGATATCTGGAAGGATAAACGCAGAGGTCATCTCCTCGACAATCCTACGCCGGCGTCGTTGAGCCACAGACGTGACAGAATGGTCCGAGTGCCGTCTTGGACGGTCGGCAGGAACCGACACAGTACTATTATCCGCTTCGGTGGCTGTAACCTTGGAGGTTGCCGTCAAGTCACCCATTGCAGATGCCGGTCGAGACACTGGCCCCCTGCTCTCCTTCAAGGACGATTTTCGAGGCGCGGGTTTCAGCGCACTTTGACGAGTCATGTGGTCCGTCTCATTGGCACTGGTGTCAATGGTTGGGTTCGATTGACGCCGTTTCCGTGCCAGCCGTTCCTCTTCTAAAGTCTTCCTCAGCTGCGCAATCTCACGTTCCTGTACAGCCATAAAATTAGCGATACGATGCGAAGCAGACTCAAAATAATAGCCTACATCGATAAAGCTTAGCAAGGTTAGGTCATGCTCTGTGGCAGACGACTTGCAAGTATTGCCAGTGGCCTCCGTAGTGGATTCAACCGGCTGCGTAACTTCGACTTCTTCGACAATAACCCTCTTAACACGCTGCTTGCCGGTATTCGGCTGCTTCTTCGCTTGGGAGCTGACAGTTCGTGACCGGCTGCTAATCTTATCTTTCTTGGTAGCTGCAGCTTCTCTTAGGCGCGGGAGTTCAATGGAGAATAATGCCTCCTCCGCACGTTCCTTCTCTAACCGAGAAATCTCTTTCTCAACCTGGTTGGAAACCTTTGCCTTGGAATCCTCCCGACGGCTAGCCTTCGATTTCGAGCGAGTGCTTTTAGTGGTGACTTCCTTGGTGGTGCTTTGCCGTGTATCGAGCTGGCTGTCTACTGTGCTAGCATCACTGGAAGTGACCTGTCCCGACTGGAGAGTCTCTTCTCGTTCCTTCGAAGCTGCCGGGAAAAGTCTAGCAAACTGCGCTTTTAGATCCACGAGTTCCTCCCGTAGACTTTCATTCTCGCTCTTGAGGTCTTGAGACTCAAGGTAAGCCACGCCAAGTTGGGAGACAGCCATATCACGCTCCTTGCTAAGCTTCTTTAATGCTGCTTCCTGGATTTCTGTCTTTCGCTCGAGAAGATCTACCTTGTTCTGAAGGGCCAAGTTCGTTGCTTCCAGTTCTAAAAGGAATGAGTTAGGGGGGGGGGGCATTATACAGAAGAGATTGACCGGCACCTACTCTGATTCTCGTGCAAGAAACCATCCTTCTTGTAGTTGTCTTGGTCCAGGTCATAATGTTTGTTGCTGCGGTTGTTTTTATCCTTTGGGCGGGATTTTCCTCCTTTCAAAAAAGAATTTTCTTGACGCATGTCTTCCAGTTTCTTTTCAGCATCTGCCTTAGCCCGCTCGAGTTCTAAAACCTTGTCCTGGAGGAGCCGCAATGATACAAATAAGGCCTTTTCATCTTCTGGAATTGGGATTGCCTCAAGTGGAACGTGTTCGCGCGTGACAGAAGCATCGGTAGCATCAGCAGGAGGCGAGACAAACCGTGTCGTCCTCGCTCTGGTTTGGCGGGTATACACAGGGGTTCCATCCTCGTAAACACCAGAAACCAGGTCGGACAGATTGGGGAGGTCCGGAAGGAGAAAGGACTGCTGCGTACCCGTATCACCCGTGGCATTGGCAGCGGCACGGGCCCTTGTCCGGCGAATCTCTTTCGCATATGCCTCCTGGGATGCCCTTTCGACAGCATCGGCGATTTGGTGGGACAGATTCACGTTTCCAAAGCGTGTCGGTCGCGCGTTGTTGCTGGCAACGGCAGGCGGTCGATCGTCTTCCAGCAATGAACCATCATAAGAATCGCGGACTTTGGCATGGAGCTCGGACAGAGTCCGGCGCTGTTCCTTGCGGCTAGGCTTGGAAAGGATGGGGTCCATGTTTTCCTTGTGTGCGAGGCTTGCGTGTCGTAGCTGCGCGTCTTTTCGGAGATTCTCACTCACAGCCCTTCGTGATGGGTTACGCATGGCTGACTTCTGGGGTGTATTTGAGGTAGGATAATCAAGTCTCACGGCGGGAGATGAGGAGCGGACGCTGTTCTCAAGGCTCATATACGAATTTCGCGAGTCATCTAACCGACGCGGCGGTTTCGACTGCCCACGCCCTGCCTCAATGGAAATCTCATCGTCGTCCATATCATTGTCTCCTTCTTCCTCCGATGTTCCTACTGGCGAGAAGTGTGGGAGGTATTGTTCGAATGTGGAGGTGTTAAAGACGTAATCTGGCTCATCATCTTCCTGCTCGACGTGTTGCTTTCTTGAAACACCTTTCATATCCGGTAGTCGAGGGCTGTTTTCGAATTCTCTGGTGGAAGCAATCGCTTCGTTTTCGATATCGAAGTCAGACCCGAAAGACGCGAAGCTGTTGGCTGTGTGTTCGCGCGACATGTCGGGGGAGCACGACACGTAAGATTCGAGAAATGGGCGAGCAAAGGGGAAAGAAAAGTAGAAGTCAAAAGATAATGCACAGTTCTCCTCTCTATCTCAGCTGGTGCCCAACTCTGACGTGGAGGGATTTGTCCTGATGGTGTCGGGAAGTAGTAGGCAAAAACAGCGGGAATGTTTAGAGGGCAGCGCGTCGGGCCACTGCAAAGTTTCCGACCAACCACGCGGGAAACCACAATCGAACACGAAATTCAAGCTATAAATGGACTCTGTATGATGAGAAAAGGTTCATACCGCGACCATGCTGGAAAGAGCTGAAATATAATTAACGGAACTGGTGGGACGGGGATCGTGTGAAATAATTGGGGAGGCTGGTTTGTTTACTCGTGCCAAAAGTAGTAGGTTGACCGCCTTCCTGTCTGACATTCCATTAATGCAAGACTTCAATCAACCAGCGGGGGAAAGAAAAAAGAAAAATTTCCGACATGAACTATACTATACTCTATGAAGAGAGATTGTTCACTATGTAAAAAATATTGACAATTGTTCTGTCTCAAATTATATGTGCATCAAATCCAGTCAGTCCTCTCTTTTGACAAAGACCGCGCTAACCTAACGCCTTGCTAGCTAACAAAAAGAAAAAAGCAAAAAGAAAAAAAAAGCCAACGGATTACAAAACAGTATAAGAGAAGAAATGTTAGATCATAAAAGGTCATGCTCGTAAAGAAATATTTGCACAATGGGTAGAGGGGAACCCGCAAAGCAAAGGGCCGTAAGTGATGTGCGCCATCATGATTTCTCATGGGGCGGTAGATGCATTGTTACTGGTATTCGAATGGGATGAAGGCTCCGTAGGTAATTCGTGCGCTGGGTGCTCTTCCCGCTGTGCATTTGTGGGGGTTGTGGGAGTATTGCTGACCGGACTAGCGATATCGATCTGAATGCTAGGGATAGGCGTCAATTCACGCAGTTGAGGTGCACTGCTGTTAGAGTTGGGGGTTGAGACTGTAGCTTCATAAGGAGGTGCATCTCCCCAGTCTAGATGGTCGTAGTGTGGCGGAGGAATGGCTTGGGAACCCATATCGCCGTCATCCGGCTCCCCATTGGACCGGCCGACTGAATGCGTAGAGGTTGCGTGAGACTGAACAGGTGTTAAGCTTTCTCCGTCCGAGCCGCCCGTCGCAAGGGACAGGGTGGAGGAATAAGATTCCCCCCTAGAATGTACGCTTATCAATGCGGAGGAACGGTCAGGACCGCCCGTGCTCGTTCCATCGGTGTTGCTTAGGAGAGGCCGCGAATCCGAGTCGCGAGAGCTTGCTCGCATACGAGACCCATCGTGTCGCACATAGCCCAATTCCGCATAACTGACGCTCGAGATCCGCCTGTCACGGCCTCGGTTTTGATGCTCCGCCAGTGCGGCAGCAGCCGAAGCATTCGTATTGCTCCCGTTCGCAGACGCGCGACTTCGTGCCCGTGCTCTGCTTTCAGTCCGGAGTTGCTCTAAACGGATAATATCTCCACGTTCACGGGCCACACGACGCTCCTCGCGCCGAGCCTGCCGCTCGGCGATCTCCTGCCGCCGTTGTACCCGAATCTGGTACAGTCCTTCCATAGTCTCCTCCCGACGTGCCTCCTCTTCCTCCGCCGTCTCAGGGAATTCAATCACCACATCCATTCCTTCTCGTTCTCCTTCTCGGGCGATCACTTGTTCTTCGGGCTTGGGGGTAAAGGAATACGGGGGAAGGGTGATAATTGAGCGGATGGAAGTATCACGACGGACGGTGGCATTCGAATTCATCTGAGTTTCGCGGGCAGTGCGTTGGGTGGGAGCGGTATTCGCCGTCTGGTTCGATGAAGCCGCATCTGGGACCTGGCCGTACGAAGCGCCAACGTTCCACCGGCGCCATTTTTCCTTGAGAAATTTCCCGGGGATGTATTTCGGACGACAATTCATTCGACGGAGGGCGCGCAGGACGAAGTAGAGCATGACCGTAAGCGCTACAACGAAGACAACGACGGCACCGCCCTAGAAGACATGTCTGGGTCAGCCAGCTGAAAGGTGCCGCTAGGGATAGGCAACTCACGATAATAAAGCCATTATTTTTACCGGCACCCGAACTACCTTGGCCAGTACCGCTATTCGTACTGTTGTTATCATTATTGGTATTAATATCCGAGTCTCGCGGTTGCCAGCCGCCGATGTTGGGGTCGCCGGGGTCCTGGCGGCGGTCCAGCTGCCGGAGCTGGGGTGGAATCAGCATGCTGGATCCAGATGGGGCGAAGAGAGAGCAAAAGCCCGACCAGTCACTCAATTCCGGGGCATGCAGGAGAGTAGTGATCGGGGGAGCTCAAGAAGAGGAGAATTTCGAAAAGCAGAAGGTTGATTGACGAATGCGGGCCCGAAAAGGAAGAGGAAAATAATGGCCGCCTAAAGGGAAAACGCCAGCCACGGGTTATGGCGGATAAGATGAACGGACGGCGGGAGCCAGTTGCGTCCCCAGCGTGGGTCAGGTCTGACTCTGACGTTGGAAAGAGGGTAAGATGAACCCCATATGACAGATCTAGATTCGCAAAACGGAAGACAATAACAATTAGTGTGTCAGAGACGTCGATGTAGGTACTCAAAAGGGCGTGAATTAGAAGTGGAGGAAGCAGCAGCAGCAGCAGAGGCTCTCTCAGGGGAGGGTCAACAACAACAACAGCAGCAATGACTACAATAACATGAGGTAGGGCAGAGGTAATTCAACGAGGTAGATCCAGGCGCTGCATCTCCATGCAATAATCAGGATTCAAGAGAGAAAAAAACACAGCCTGGATCAGTGCGGTGGCTGGGCCGTCAGTGCGGTGGAAGGAAGGCTGGGCGCGTTCCAGGCGATTTTCTTACCTGGGGCTTGGAAAGGAATTTATTTCCCTTGCGACAGTGAGGGTGTGATTATAAAATATCAAGAGAATTTGACTGCCATTATTCTCATCAGAAAAGTAAAGAAAAAGAAAAATGAAGGATGATTGAATGGTGCTATTCTACTCCACGGAGTACTAATACTGTGATGCCATATTTAGAAGCCGCTTGGGGGAACCAAAAACGCCATTGTCTCAGAGTCTCCAGTATTAGTGGTATTTTAATAAGAAGAGGAAGGAGAAGAAGAAGAAGAGACTACTTATCTATTATAATGGATATTATTCGTGATTTAAATAATAGTTGACGATAAGAATCTCTCTCTACAGAAAGGCCACAGTTGTGCGGGGCTTTTTGGTTAGAAATCGTGGTTTTCCACCTTGAAAGCAGTCGCCGCTTTGGCAAGATTGGATGACAATTTGACGAATAGAAACAGTTCATTTGATAGAGACAGGATTAGCATTTTCCATCAGAGTACTCCGTAAAGGAGCTATAATTGCTTAGATCTGCATTGATTTGGTTATCAGAAACAGTCTCGGAGAAAAGTAGGGCAATAGTTAGTTACCTAGACTAGTAGAATACGTCCTTATCAGCGGTGAATTTCAGTTGAAAATATAGCAGGTCTCATGTCTTGGATTTGTGCGTGGAGCCATCCGTTGCGCCAAAGGACTTTGAGGGCATCTTTCGATTCCTGATCGGACTGAAAACTAGACTCACGAATCTCTCTGTAAACAATAGCTATCTTCAAGACCCTAGCAATAGCATTCTGCTGTATCATATGTAGCAACGGTAGACCTCTACTGAGTGGTTTATAACGAACAGCCTCGAAAAACTGCAGAGGCTGTGTGAACAAGATGCTTTCAATCATGTGCCAGTTCAGGGGAGTATTTATCTGCAAAAGGCTATAGCTTTCCTATGAAAGAGAAGAAAAATGTTAGAAAATTAATAACATCACATCTTGATTGTGTTGTTCAAGGCAATACTTACCTTCATCTCTCGTAGCCGTAAGTAGCTCAGCATGTCCACGAGAAAATTTAAAAATCCTTTCTTCAAGTCTTCTGATAGACGTGGAGGCGCTGCGTAGTCTGTGCATATCGGGTGATGACAGTTTCTTCGAGTAATAATCCAACTTGTTCCCAACGCCAGGATAGAGCATATTCGTCGGGTCGCAGTGAAATCTGCTGTTCATTATTGAATCCCATCAGAGTCCTAATGAACCTTGTATCACCATAGCCCATATTCCCTGATATGGCAAGCCATTCGATGTGGACAGCACGATGAATGGATGAGTCCCAGGAGTTACACCTTCATCCCACATGGCTGTTGGGCCTCATCGAGAAGTAGATAGGCCTTATGGGCGATCCAAGACGTGCAATCGCAATCTGTCGGATGCAAGAGGAGGTTGGTGAGCATGACACTGGAGGTGAAGAAGGAGGGGAAGGTAAGAGTTGGAATTGTTTTGAAGAGTATGACATGATTGAATCCATTCTGAAGTCCAGTCAGAAAGCAAAGGAAGTTCGAACGGGAGACTGATAGGTGATACATAACATACCTAGATAGGGATCAGTCAAGGTTGTCATTTTTATGGTGTATGGCAGAGGAATCTCATAGAATGAATATCAACTTGAAACGCAAGAATCAAAAGATGGTAAACTGTATACTCTGTATATATATAATTACCATCACCATTATTATTATACAGAGTAGTGTCTTGTTCTATATAAGGCGGCGAGTATCGGAAATAACCATATTTATCCCCGGCCAGTTACCACCACGAGGAACCTTGGAAATCTTCACTTCACATAACTATCTATCTTGTCTCAAGAACACAGAAAAGAAATAAGCAAATACAGCAATCCACACTATGTCTTGCCCTGATTGTTTCTCTGGCCACATCCACGAGGGCACTCCCAAGGGTAGCGTCACCACCTTGCATGGGCTGAATGTCTATGTCGCGGAGCCCTCAGGAGACCCAGCACACGAGATCAAAGGCATCGTGGTTATCATCCCGGATGCCTTTGGATGGGACTTTGTCAACAATCGTCTTCTGGCTGATAACTATGCCGAGAAGGGGAAGTATAAGGTTTACTTACCTGATTTCATGAATGGTATGGTGTATTCCTTCCTCTCTCTGGTCGTCGAAGTGTATTGTGTAGTTATATACCATTGAAAAAACTAACATCACGCTTTGGCTGCTTGCAGGCACCGCTGCTCCCGTCTGGGCACTAGACAGCATCAAAGCTATCATGAAAACCGGCTCTCTCTATGACTGGATCATCAAACCGCAAGCCCACCCACCCAGCTCATTCTCTCACCAACCCCCCCCCCCAAAAAAAAAAAACAGAAAAAGACTGCTAACTCAGCTCTACAGCTATCACATCGCTTGGGCTATGTATGGCATGATACCTTTCATAATTCACAACCGGCCCGGCAAATCTTACCCCCTCGTCAAGTCTTTCTTTGAGGCCCTTCGTCGGAATGAAGGCGCCCGGCTTCCCATCGGAGCTGCTGGCTTCTGCTGGGGCGGGAAACATACCGTCCTTCTAGCCCGTGGCGCGGAAATCAACGGGGAATCATTGATCAATGCTGGGTTTACCGGTCATCCTAGTTTCCTGGATATCCCTGGGGATATCGAGAAGCTTAAGCTACCCGTTAGCTTTGCGCTGGGTGAGCTAGACAGTAACATTCGAATGCCTCAGATCCAGCAGATCCAGCAGATCATGGAGAGTAAGGAGGGAGAGGTCAAGGTTTATGTTGGGGCCGGCCATGGATTCTGTGTCAGGGCTGACATGGCGGCGGATAATGTGGAAAGACAGGCGGTTGAATCTGAAGACCAAGCGGTGGATTTCTTCAATCGTTACCTTACTCGTGTTTCATTTGACTAAGGTGCTGGTGTCTGTCTCATTTACTTTAATGTTTTTTGTTTTTTGTTTTTTTTCTGTTTTGCTCTTTCTTGACTATTCCGGATGATACTCTTTCACGTCTCCTCGGTTGGATGCTCAATAAGAGCCCTTAATTTCCCCCCATGCTTTCTCGATAGGGCTCTGTATGGTCCCTCTTCGACAATACGCCCCTGGTCCAGAACAATGACCTTATCTGCGAGCTCCATCATCTTGCGTGCATGCGTAATAATAATAACCGTAAGGCCCTGCCTCGTCGAAACAAGGCCCCTCACTGTCTCCTTGATAAGATCTGCGCCCTTCGGATCGAGACTGGAAGTTGCCTCGTCCAGGATCAAGATCTGAGGCCGTCGCACAAGAGCCCGCGCAATTACAAGTCTCTGCGCCTGTCCTCCCGAGAACCCCACCCCTCCGTCCCCAATAACAGTCAAGTAACCGTCGGGGAGAGACATGATGAATTCGTCAATCCCGGCTGCTTTTGCCGCACCTCGTACACTATGCAGCGTGTTGAGATGAGAGTCGCTCGGTAGTCCGTAGCTGATGTTATCTTGGATCGTGCCGGGGAATATCGTCGGCTGTTGTGCGACGACTGCGATAAGTGAGCGGAGCGTGGGCGTGTGTAGCTGGTGGATATCGATCCCACCGAAGGAGATTGTGGGCGAGAATGTATCTGGAGGATATCGAGAACGAGGCGTTTCGTAGAGATTGAGAAGGAGGGAGGCGATGGTTGATTTGCCTGAGCCCGAACGTCCGACGATAGCGGTGCAGGAGCCCGTGGGGATGGAGAGAGAGACATCCCGGAGAACGGGGGCATTCGGTCGTGACGGGTATTCGAAATTCAACCGCGCGATTTTCACTGCTCCTGCTCTAGAGATTTTTGTTTGTCCTAGATGCTCGTGGGAGGCGCCTTTTGGGAGGTCGACGAGGCGTAAAAGTCGCTTTGCCATTTCGCGGGAGGAGCTGATCTGGGGAACTATAGGACGTTTAGTTGGAACTTAGCTATGGAGGAGGAGGAGGATATATTAACTTACTCCACGACACAACGGTACTTGCGTATGAAATGCTGAACAGGAGAACCGAGAAGACGGTCATGATGTTCCCGACAGTGAATTCTTGGTATTTCACTAACGCTGCGCCATAGTAGAAAATTAATGCTGTGCCAGGTGTTAGTGTTGAAGAAGTATATATACTCGAGTCAGATGCTTAACCTACCGCTGACGAATGAAATCGTAGACTCTACTAGGCCAAACAGAAGACCAGTATAGATTGCCTTCCTGAACCCTACTGTCAAACACTTAGACGCTGCCTTTAAATATTTTCGGTGAAAGTAATGCTCGAGTGTCAGACTCCGCACTGTGCGTATCTCACAGAATGTCTCGACGAAGACATTGGATATTGTCGTTCTAGCTTCAGTACACCGTTGATCCCATATCCCGCTGGTCCGCTCGAACCCGCGAGTAATCGCATAGATGACTGGACCACAGGCCAGCGCAACAAAAGTTAGTTTCCAGCAAATTGCCAGGCTCCAGATAACCGCCATAAGTGTCACTGAGGCAGCGACTAGAACAAATCCTCCTAAACGAGAGAGAATATTCCGGACCTCCTCGCCGCTCTCATAGAGACACGTACTTATCTGGGAAGGGCTATTTTGCTCCTCTTCAAACCATTCTCGAGGTTGGTCTAATACTCGCTCAAATGCCCTTTTCCTAAGGTTATCAATCCAGATTTGACCGCATAATTCTAGGAGGTAATGCATTGAGTAGGTGGCGAATGCGTCAAATACCGAAACACCCAGGACAGCCAGAGCCCATTTCATGCCGTCGTCGTGTTCACTGTAGAATGTACGCAGTAGTTGAGATAGGAAGAATGAGAACATCGGAGTAGCACTGGCGTGTGTTAATGTGCAGAAAGTTGCGACAAGCAGGTAAAGACGCTGTTTCAACGTCAGGCTCGGCAGTACTGTCTGCAGCGCTCGACGCAGTGGTGATTGGGTATGTTTTAAGTGTGCATTCATCCTTCTTTTTCGCCAGGACGATGTCACTTTCTTGTGATCCGAGTCCCTAACCTGGCGTGAAGGATAAACAGCAGGAGATGTTTGGTTTTCTAGCCGACGAGTTTTCATATGCGACCTCTTGCCTTGCGTGTGATCAAGATCCTCCATTGGGATTTCGAACTGATTCACAAATGGGACATTCGGAGGATAGACTTCGCCTCGGCCTCTCCAGCCATCATACTCGAGTGAGCTCGTAAACTGTTCAGCCATTGCTTTTGCCTGGACTCTCCCAGGGTACGCTTTTGGAGGTGGTAGCGGTGGGGTTGTGTGATGAGTTCGAGATAACTTGTCTTTATTCTGATCATAGGAATTCTCAGTAGAGCACGTTGAAGATGCATCCGAGTCCGAGAGCAGGTCGTCATCCTCGCCAAAGTGCTTCCGAAATTCGTCCCTCGTAAAATGAGTCTTCTGATGCGAATCAAAAAACTCTCCGCATTTTTGGGTGTACTTCAGCTCATGTTTATACCCAGATTGCAGAACCGATCCATGATCCAAAACATAAACAAAGTCACAGTCCCTGATATGAGACATGTCATGAGTAATAATTATCGTTGTCTTGTTTTTACGCCACTCCCGGAGTGCGTTGATAACTTCAACTCGATTTGTGCCATCCAGGGCACTAGTTGGTTCATCCATAATAAGTATTGGGGTATCCCTCAGTCTGGCTCTTGCAATTGCGACTCTCTGCCTTTGACCTCCGCTGAGAAAACTACCTCCGTCTCCAACACATGTGTCGATCCCATTCGGCAGGCTCTCAATCGTGCCCTTGAGCATAGCCAGGCTAATCGATTCCTCCACATCAGCTTTCTGAATGTCTTCATAGTCACGTCTCCCGAAAGCAATGTTTTTGAGAATCGATTCATTAAAGAGAATGCTCCGTTGCTCAACGTACGTGACGTTGTTCCGGATCCAGTTAACGCGCAGCGTTTGTATGGGATTGCCGTCAATGAGTATCTCTCCAGATGTCGGTAAATAGAATCCAGTGAGCAGCTGCCCGAGCGTGCTTTTTCCAGAACCGCTTTTACCAATGATGAAAGTTGTTGCCCCAGCAGGGAAAAAGAAACTTGCAGAGTTTAGGCTCAGGCGATTTGGTTGAGAGGGGTAGCAAAACGATAGCTGTTGAAAACGAAGGTTAGAAGGGCTCGAATAATTCCTAGATGTACACTTCTAAACTCACATTGGTCACTTCAATGTCGCCTTCACAATGGCTTGGATATAGTGCGCCCTGCATTTCCCTTGTAGGCGCATCATCTGTGCGGTCATCTAGAATCTTTTGTAGAGCAGAAGCGGCGACTTTCCCCTTCTGGAGAACAATAACTTGCGGTAATAGGGCTTCCACTGATTGCGCGGCTGTAGAGCAAGCCCAAAAAGTTCTCAAAACATTCCCTGCTAGCAGATTTCCGGAGTGCACAAGAGTGCTACCATACCAAAACCCCTGGACGAACATGCCAAACATCATGAATCGTATAATTGATATCTGAACGGAGCTGAAACATGCTTGTATGAGATACTTTGTAGTCGCCTTATCAATCCTGGAAACGTAATTTCTCAGCTCAATGCTCTGTCCATTAAGGCACTTGACAGTATCAATAGATGCCACTGCAATATTGACTATCTTGGAAGCTTTCGTTAGCTCTTCCTTCTGCGCCTCAATGTTTGCTTCGATTTTGGGTGAGAGGAAAGGCACTATGGCCAAAACGATTGGAATTCCTGCAAGAATTACCAACGAGAGTTTCCACGACGTATAGAAGGCTAAGGCCAAGGAGATAATGGTTCGAAAGGAATATTGCAACACAAGTCCCAAAGGGTGCGAAGTCGCCATCTGCAGTTCCTGTATTTGGCTTCACACGGGGTTAGGATAAGCATCCATAAACAATGTGGCTGAAGGAACTTACATTTGAACACACCCCAGAAAAGTTCGAGTACCTTCCTCCCGTGCTTCGAACCATCGTTGGTCTTTTTTCAGCAACTCTCCAAAGAGTCTGTCGCGGGAATTCGCAGCCTGTAGTTCGCCAAAGGCCACGAAGAGAATGAAGTAAATACTGTTGCAGAGCCAACCAATCGCACCTAGTCCAACCAGTCTCAGACAATATGCGGATACTCGTTCGATCAGAACATCACCAGTGATGGCTCCACCACCGTATTGGGTGAAGCAATTGAATATTTCACCAAGGATGACAGAAAAGATAGGTGTGACGAAACTAGCAAGGAGAGCCGCTAGTATACCGAATACGAGAGTTGGCACATGTTTTCTCGTGGTGAAGTATAATAGCGGTGTCCTGCAAGAGCTATTCAAGTACCTTCTGAGAGATAACACCATTGTTAGCTATAGCTTTCAGTGTCTTAGCGACTTCATTTTTCAACAAGTTTGCTGGATATGGAGATGGAAATGCCATAAGCATAAATTCACAGTGACGAGAGCCTGATATAGTTAAGAATCAAAGGAGAGAGTAGACAAACACCCAGCCAAAAGAAGGCTAATGATTTCTTTATTTGTTGTTCCCTGATCCTTTGTAGGTCTTCTACCTAGTGCTCGTTTCTTTCGCCCAATGCGGGCATATTGAGGAACCGTCTCATGCATGGGAATCAAAGAGATGTAGGACCATTCATTGTCTTGAATCCACCTGAGTACCCGCCACCGATTATTTCATTCACCATTACATTCCAATTAAAGAAACATCTAACAGTCATATCTACATATTTTAGCTCCAAAGAATTTCGCCAAAAAGAACACTCATAATACCCCACCACGGATGACGCCAAGGCCACACCATCATGCACACTCATGAGACAGGACAATGAAGTCTACTGTTCTAATATATACGCATTGGTCACTGCAATCTCTGGGGCGGCATGAGTCTGAAAAACTTCAGTATGCGAATTGGGTGGTCGCCTATTCTAGTAATCCGAGTCGAGTCGAAGGAAGACGTTCGTGCACTCGTGGTGATGGGCTCTATTTCTTTCCTTGGGCCTGTTCATACACCCAGTCATTCAGACCAGCGCGGTTTCTGCAAAGAGAAAGGAAACTGTGTTAGCACATCCTAGTCAACATTTCATGAAAGAAGTAAGCTTGCCTAGCAATTTCGATGGCATAGAACTGCATGCGCAAAGCTATAATCTCATTAGTTCTTCGGTCCTCGTTAATCAGATGATATCGTCGATCCAGGTAACACTCACCAAAAATGGTGTTATCTCTGTCATACTCCGTCTTCGCACTTGCCCGCAGCATTGTTCCAAAGTTGAAGTCGTGAATCTTGTCCTCGTATTGGTTCACCCAGTTCCTCCACTTTTCCTTGCCCTCCTTGCTCTTCATATTGTCCTCATCAATCGTCTCGGCAGGGTCAAATTCGGGGAACTCTTTCTTGAAATGCTCGTAGATTTCGTCATCCATCTTTGTAAGGCGCAGCTCAGACCCTCGGACCTTCTCGAGAATCGACCAATATGTCATCAAGTGTTCGACGGCTGCAATACACGAGTCAATAGGGGAAATTTTGAAGCTAAATAAGTGAGAAGACACATACCCTTGACAGCGAACTGTCTCTCCATCTGATCCGCTTGTTAGCATCTCATTCTCAAAGAAAGGGTTATCAGGTGGGATGGACCTACATCCTCCAGGTTCTCCGCGGTCTCTGGATCAAATGGCTTGGACATGTTGGCGATTATGGAGAACGTATAGCAGCAGATAAATTAGGTAAATTATCTGACAAGAAAAGGAATATATTCTGTATGTGAGGTTTTAGACAAGAATCAAGAATCGAACCCCGCGAGACACATTTTTTTGCCGAGAATTTTCCTTGCCGCTCAAAACCCCGCCGTCGCCGCTACGGTACGTCACTGAGTTTCTTTCTGGTTCTAGATGCAACGCGAAAGGTACAGAATTTACGAATGAGGCAAATCTGCTGCTGTCTTATTAAACATTCAAGATGTAATAATGTGATATTGCTTTCCTAGAGCTGATTTAAGCTCAGTCTTGGACTGGGATGATTATAAACAGTCCGAATTAGATTTTAATGCGCTTTATATACTACTAGGTAGTGATGAACTCAGTACGACTGGAATACTTGAAAAACGGATGAAGAATGCAATCATAGTGGGCATTCCCAAAATTCAATCGCTATCACCAGAATCGGACAACTCTTCAAACCTTCCCTCGCGAAGTGCTTGTGTAACAGGGTTCTCCACGGTGAGAATACCATTTGCCTTGGCCCTGTACAAAGAAATGGCTTAGTTACTTTCCACGATAGTAAACGTGAGTGGGGCATACCTCTCAAAAAGCACGAAAAGCCTTTCTGCCTCTCGCTCTTTCTCTTCCTGGGTCATAGGTGGACCGGTGTCTTGTTGCTCTGCATCCCATCTCTGTCCTGTTATTGGGTTCACCTCTGGATCAAGCCCTTCAGCATTTGTCGCAAATGCTTCGCCTGCGGTTTGAGGAATATCTATGCCACGTGAGGCAAGCAGTCCCGCAGCAAATCCATAGCCAATATTCTTGGTCAGATTCTCGGCGTTCTTTCCGGAAAGGACAAACATGAGCTCAGAGATTGCAATTTTGAGGTTCGGTTGTGGCATGGTTGAAAGTTTAAGCAGTTTTGAAGAGAGAGTATCGGACTGTCCGATGGGTCGACTTCTGTCACTATCATCGGGTAAGAGGAGCCACTGCATATACTTACGGGGGCCTTCTGGCGCCAATTCATGAATAGTGATCAGCGAGTGAAGAAGTGGAATGGCCTTTGTTTCGAGCTCCGCAGGGCTATAGAGCGATACAGACTGATCTAGAACGTTGATCAATTTGTCCACGTTGCAATTTTGGTTAAATGTGGGAAATAAAGGGCTGCTGTCAAAAGGCTTCCCCTTTTTATTTTCAAGATCGAGGGTTGACAGGCAGTTTAGTAGAGTTCCTAAAAGACCATCCAAGGGTTTGAACGGAATGTCGATACGGCTGATAATCTTGAAGATATAGGGGATTGAAGGCGAAAAAGTAGGAGATAGATCTTGAAAAAGCTTGGACACGTTGAATACAAGCTTCAATGTGTCAGTGAAAGCCAACTCATCAATCTGAGATAAAGGCTTCCTTCCAGACTTTGGGAACTGTTTGGAATGACGGAGAATTTGCTGCGTAAAACAAAAAATCTTGTCAGTCGAATTGACTACTCCATCTCTACCTAGGGTTACTCACATAGTTGACATTATCACCCAAGGAATGCTCATTGATCAACACTTCGAAATCCATATTGGTGTCATAAGTTGACAGGAACAGGATCCGACTGATGACCATTTCGTCTTCGGAAGAATCACACTGGTGACGATGGTTAGCCGGGAGGGAAAGTAGCATATCACTTGCACCTGTGTACCTTGAGCATCTCTGCCAATTTACCGCCTCGACCGGTATCCGCGAATATCTGGCGCATATTCTCATCCAACAAGAGAGCATTCGCAACGCAACGAAGGGCAGCTCGACGCACGTCGTTTGTCTCCCCATCAACCCCATATTTCGACAGGATTTCAATTCCCTAAATAATATTAGAAATATGACACTCCCCTGAAAATTTCCCTGGCGTAGCAATACCCTCTTCGAATAGATGGGCCCAGCATTGTCCGGGCTGGTACCGTGTTGCCTAAGTTGTAACAAGGTCTGTGTTCTCTCTGTTTCAGGAGGGTCAGCGAATATTCTAGACAATGTCATGTGCTCGCCATCTTACGCGAAGAAGTCAAGGTTTTCGATTGAATATCTTTCTCCAAAGAGTCCAACAATTTGGTAACTTGTCGCAGTTTTTCTGCCATGTTCGAAGGTCAGTGCGGCTGGTTCCTCCAAAACGTCACGATGGTTTGTGCTCTACCTGGACCTTGAAGTACATTAAATGCCATCGTCATCTCTGGAATTTACATGCGGTAATTTTAATATACAATAACTCTTGATAGCCCCGTTATATCAACTTCGTGCAGGACCTGGCTAGACTAATGGATTGTCGAAGGTGCTGGAAGGCGACCGATCCTCTTAGGTAGGAGAGCGACGAGTGAGAAAGGGAAGATCGGAAGAAATTAAAAAAAAAAAACAAAAAAAAAGTTGGAGGAGTCCGGACACGACCTTAATAAATAATTGAGACTCCCAAGGATAAGTTACTCAGGCGATGGGTTTCATTGTTCAATTGTTCACTCCTTTGAGCGAGAGTGCCATAGAACTTACCAGGTAGGAGCAGAACTTCCCCCACCGAAACGAATCAGCCCGCTTTCTCCGCAGAAGACAGAACTTTAGTTCTGCCTCAGGCAAGAAACGCGCCGCCTTCCACTTTACGCGTGTCTCGAGCCACCAGCGCGTCTTTTTGAGTTGCGTGGCTTGCGTTTTCCCCGTCCCGAAATGATGGATCCCAAAAAGGGCTTTCGATCTTGCAACTTGAACGCTTCGGTGGCCCGCTGCTAAACGTTTTCTCGGCCAGGATATGGACACTGTGGTGTGAGTTCATAGCTTGGACGTATCGCAATGTTCCTTTCTTTCCACTCCTTTTCTTCTCTTGTCTTCTTGTCTTGAAATATGGTGGAGGTTCTTGGTCCTTTGTCTGCTCGTCCGCCGACTCCACCGAGGATTGTGTCTCGCATGCTGTCTGAAAAAGATCGGACGGTAGACTCTCCAGTCATCGTACAGACTCCTATAGAGTCTCCTTCCTTGACCAACGGATCTACAGGAGGTGCCTCCGGTCGCCAATCGAAGCGCGTGAACTTTTCGCCATGGACAAAATACATCAAGCCTCCTTCGTTTACTAACGCAAAATCGAAAGTCCTTCCTCCCTCGAATGAATGCAAACCAACCAAGTCGATTCTTAAGTCAACCGGTTCGCCTGGCCCTGTGAACACGCCGAGTATTACACCCTACACCCCCGAAAGCTTCGCTATGCTTCTGGAGTCGATCACCCAGCAATTGGCTGGAGAGTCGACAAGCTCTAGAATTGACGCGTACATGCAGTTTTTTGGGGCGCTAAGGGCATATGAGAAGCTTCCTCCGGAAGATGAAATTGTGCGCAAGTTAGGATTAATCACTCAGTTTATTCAGCGGGATATTGGACGGGATCTCGCAAAGGGTGGGCCGTTGGATACTAATCTTGTCATCCAAGCCCTGAAGCTCTCCGTGGTGCTAGTGTGGCATCCTCAGATCTCTCCGCACTTATCTGACGACTTCAAACTTGTCCTTGTCGAACACTCCTTGAGCAGCCTCGAAGACGGCAAATTACCCAAATCTGTCATGACGCATTACCTATCCGTTTTGTCAACGCAAAGGTTCCCCGCTAAAATCCTGACGAACGCTCGAATTACTCGCATCCTCACAATGCTACACGGTCTTACCAATAAGGTGAAAGGAAATGCGGTTGTATCCCAACGATTGATGATATATGAGCGCCTTTTTGAGCAGTCAAAGTCGGCTTTTGTCTTGCAGCCATCGCTATGGATGGACCATCTACTCTCTGGCTTGCTTCATCATATAAGAGAGGTCAGAATAAAGGCTATAGAGCTTGGATTCAACGCCTATATGGCATTCGGCCCTAGTCCCGCTATGTCCAAAACGCTTCGTGATATTTTTGACCGACCTCTTGATAACGACAGAAAGCTGGCGTCTGAAATTTGCGAACGCATGTCAAGGATGATGGCAAGTCCCGAGAGTGGTGACCATGTGCCTCAGATTTGGGGTGTTATTGTCTTGCTCTTGCGAAGCAAACGATTTCACATCGACCAATGGCAGCATTTCAAGGAATGGGTTCTTGTCCTCCAGAAATGTTTCAACTGCAGCGACTCTGAAATTAAATCAAAAGCCATTGGGGGGTGGAATCGATTTGTTCTTGTGGCAAACATTAGTGAAACGACCAGCCCATCGTTGTTGAGAATGCTCAGCAAGCCAATACTATCCCAATTTGAGCGAAAGAAACAAGAAAAGCATGGATCGCAACCCAGCCAGTTGGCTATTGCTAGCTACTATAATTTGCTTTACTATGCTTTCCGCCCATCTGCATCATACCAACAGCTCGATATCGTCTGGGAAGAATATATCGCGCAGCCCTCCTCAAACATATTCTCATCTGTTCCCAGCCTGAGTGATCGGGTCGCTCATGCCCTCTCTCACATGCTCTGGAGCTCCCAAGCCAACGTTTGGTCAGAGAACCGAGTAAACGAAACGAAGAGGGTTGTCCCTGAAGAGTTGCCGTCTCTAGACTGTAAGTGGGTCCGGTCGAGGATCACTTCAGTTCTGAAAGTTTTTGAAGATATTCTGAAGTCATCCATCTGGGGCCCCGACATAGACAAGTCAAATATTGCTATTGCCTGGGTTAATCTCTCCAATGCTCTCTCATATTCTTCAAGCAAAGAGATTACTCCCTCCCCAGAGTCAATGCAGGCAGTAGCCCACGTACTGGGACTTTTACAGCGCCTCTGGAATGCAGGCCCACTTTCACTTAACGCTGTTGGAGAATCGTCCAAGGATGCATTTTTCGAACGATTTCGCTTTTTGTCTACCGCTATGATAGTTGCTTTGGGTAGTATCCCTTTCACCGAAAAGCTCCTTTTGAAAACGGCAGATTCGACGTATCAAGCCGCGAACACGCCGACGCATCGCCATTCAAACGCCAACAATAATCTAGATAGTCCAATATTGCACTTGCTCCGACTTATTAGTGATATTCCAGGGCTCTCAGAACCCACCGCATCGTATCTGCGCTTAATCAACGGTACCCTCGAAGCGGCTTGCAACGGGAGAGTTACTCGAGGTTCCCGCCTTGAACTTCTGCGACAGTGTGCAGATTTGTACCCAAGTGGAAAAGAGTTCCATTTTGGTGTGGACAATTTTGCTCAGATTGTCTGGAAATCAACGGCACAGCTATCAGCAGATTGTTTGCGTTCATTTCCCATTGAATCAGCGCGCGAACGCGATGGGTCTGTTCACCGTGACTATGACAACTTGGTCAAAATTCTTTCGGTAGGGCTAAAATTTTCAAATGTGCACGATGCCTGGGACCAGCTTATTGAAGCGTTTATTCACGTCCTGAGAACAGAGAGAGGGGATCAGGTTATTGCGACAACGGTAGTGGATCTCGCTGACTTCATGATGGATATTGATATTCGCACTACCTGTCTATCTGCATCGTCGCTGTTCAATCACTCCCTGTCGCTTTCTTTCCTCGATCATAATACCACGCTGGTCAACGAGCGCAATCAAGAAAGCCATGGTGACAGTGAATTCTTCTTCCCCCAAAAATTAATCGAATTAGCGAACCGAATTCTTCGCGGGTCGTATGAAGAGTTCCAACCGTCTGAGATTAATGGAGTTGCGGTCTTTATTGAATCACTAGCCTCCTTCTTGGGTTCAGGTGTAGCTGCCTTTCGTTCTAGACTTCTCGAAACCCTCCAGGAATCCCTTGCGCTATATTTGAAAGACGCAGCTCGCAAACTCACCGTTGAAAGCGGCGTTGAAAGTAGAATTCTTACTGCTGTAAGTGCATGACGCAAGGGGCTCGCATACATTCTAACCTTGAACAGTGCCGAGCTCTCTCTGCCGCCGTCCTTAATATTTTGCAAGGAGCTTTGCCTCACGACACCTCCACTCTAGACACGTTCCAAAACATCATCTGTGCTGGCTTAGGATCATCACATGCCTCAATTGCAAGGAGATTTATCGATTTCTGGAGTTCCACGTTCGGAACGCAAAATTCTTTGCGCTACCCTGAAGCTGTGTCTCAGGCGTTGCAAAATCTAGAAACCCATCTGAATAGTCAGGTGTCTAGCTCACTACCAGAAGACAAATCACCAGTATGTGCCAAGTCCTTCTGGGATGAATTTAAGGCTAACAACCAAAAGGGCGCAACACAAAGAAGCCGTCCTCAGCTAGAGACAGTGCGTACCAACTTGAAAGATATGGCGGCCGAATCTCAGATCGCGTTTACTCTGGATGCGCCAACTGAATCGCCATATTCTGCTCGCCTAGACTCATCGCCTGTCACGAGGGGTTCTGAATCTACAGGCCCAGCGTTGCAACAGCCCCGGAAGTCTTCTCCCCAGGGTCTCAAATCTAAGAATACTCTCCACCAAAGCGCGCCCATGAATGATTCTCTCCCAGTGCCATCGTCTAAGAAAACCTCAGTGCGGCATAGCGAGGTTTTCTTTATGATTGACAACCTTCGCTCCTCCTCTCCACCCACCAACACGCCAAGAGACGTTGGATTCATGACGCCGCCTCACCTGCGCAATCTACGAAATGCCGACTCCGAGACTGAAACTCCTCAAACCCCTACTTTACCTGCTGTAGTTGGTGACAATGAGGACAATTTCCTCGGATCTTCACCGACGCCTGGTATTAGAGGCTGTTCACACTCGGTGGGGTCGGAGATACCTTCTACCATCGTTGGGTCGCAAATGGACATTGACCCTCCGTCTTCACCACCAGAGCTAGAGTTGGGAAGCCCCGATATCCGACAAAAGTCCCTTGCTTTGGATAATACACCAGGCAAGGACAAAATTTCCAAGAACAGAAAACGGAGAAATAGGGCTAGGCGGTCTAAGACAGTAACCGACAAGAAGGTTGGTGAATCTTCGCCAGTTAAGGAAGGTGCGACGCAGGGCGAAAGGAAAGAAGAGAAGAGTTTGAGAAGTCGTCTTCGCTCGTCTACAGTGGCCAACAACGAGCAGAGTGCAGCCAAAAAGACGCAAGAAGGCCCCATGAAGACGATGTGTCGGGAAGTTAGCCACGATCCGGCCACTGACGCCACCACAGAACCTTCATCCACAAATGATGTGCCCCAAGTTGGGCCTCAGGTTGTGTCTAAAGATGATGGAAAGCAGCCATTTGCTGAGCCTTCTGATTTCATTGCAGATTCTTGCAGCGAGGATATGGATACCCAGGCCATATCTCAGCTAGAGCATGATTTAGTGTCTGCAGTAGATCTCGGCCGGACAAGGGTAAACGGAGAGGCGGGGCCTTCAGAACCAGCTCCAGTTACTCGAAAACGGAAGCGGGAGGAAGAAGCCGAGGCTGCACGAAGTAGCAAAGAGCGACGTCGCTCTTCCAGGCTCTCTACGGCAACATTGCTCGCTGATGCGGAAGAGAAGCTTAGTGTTCATTCCAAAAAGCAGAAGATTCCCACCATTACTTCGGCCGCAGCTCCACATTCTCCTACTGCTACGGCTGCTTTATTGAAAAAACGAATGTACGACGCTGATATGGAAATTGCCACTCCCAGGAAGCAACATGAGCATACACCCGAACAAAAGAAAGAAAAGACCAAGAACAAAGATGCAGAGAACCAGGGTGCCTCCCAGAAACGGAGATCCTCGCGGATTAGTGGTTTGGCAGGACCCGATATTCCTGTGGACAGCCCTACACCTAAGAAATCGCCTCGATCCAGCCGGTCATCGAAGCAGAACAAGAAGCGCAGAGAATGCCGGGGGGGACAAGCTCGATCTCAAACTGACAGTACCCAATATATGGAAGCTGTAGCTTCTCGAAATTCCCCAGAGCCTCAAGATATGCAGCCTTCGATCCAGAGCGCTGATTCGCCTTTTGAAGCACATGGTTCTTTAGCTCCTCCAGTTCCAGACATGGAACTCAAAACCCCCTCAAAGGCTACCGTCGAAAAACCGTCCGACAACGATATTCGAATGGCAGAGGTAGGACCGGAGGCAGAAGCCGAAATCGCAGCAGACAACGCCTCTACAACCAACCTTGATAATCAAGCCTCTCGGCCATTCCCAGCCGAAGATTCCGAACCGGTCAAGGAACCCGGGATCAAAACCTCTCTCCGCGAACTCCTCGACAAGGTCAAACTAGCGGCTTTGGACCGAGATACCGTGAAGGAAATAGACGATCTGCTGTTCAATTTCCGAGTGGAGGTGCACGAAGCTCTGAGGCGTCACTGTGACGCTACCAGTTAGGATTTGGATTTGCATAGCGATGGCGTTTGAGTTATTTATTATTGTCTAAAGTGAGTTTATGCTAGGAACGTGCTAAAAAATACCTCGAGTAAATATTGGCTTGGTTTTTGTCTTTCGGTTCTACACCCACAGTCGCTCTTTGGATCTACCAGGTAGTTTTTGCTTGTATGCATTATGTACTTTGTTGTGGTTGTATCATTTCTACATCCAGTACGGAGTATTATATAGACTACACTGGAAGAAACTCTAGAAAGTACCTTCAAGTTTGGACCACCTACCTACCTACCTGCATACATACGTACATACGTACATACATACAGAATACCAGATTTATCCACTCTAGTGAGTGAGTATATGAGTAAATACTCCGCTTTGCCCTTCCTTGCTCCTGTGAATTACTCACGTATGACTATTAACCAATTATCAGATATCAAGGCTGATTAATCCATGCTGGATGTTTCGCTAAAAGACCGGGTTCCGCTTGAGCAGAGCGAGACTAGGTATACAACTAACTACCCTTGAAGCACACACGGACAATGCCCCGTTCCTCTCACCCAATGCAGAAAACGGTGCAGTGGGAGCCGACCAAGCTTGCGTGCGTGCGTGCGTGTGTATAGCTCTGGCATCTAGTTATCTGCTGGGGAAGTGAACCAACCGCAAGACCCGAACTTAACCTAACTTAACCTAACCTAGGTACATAGGACATAGGTAGAGAATAAACTCCACTTGAACTTATTGATTCCGCCACTGATGCAGAAAAAGGCTCGAGCGATCTAATGCAAAGGAGCGGGTCCGGTGGGGGGGGGGACAAGCTTGGCGCGGTGGGTGGGTTTCCGCTCCGCCCCGGGGAGTTAATCTAATCTAATTCTGAATAAGTAATACTGTCTTCTCGTTGCAGGAGTTTTTTTTTTTTTTTTTTTCTTTCTGAGGCTCGGACAAAACAAGCGTCTGCCGCTGCTCTCTTGGTTGCAGCTGTTAATGCAGTTAGATTCAAGAACGGTTATTTTCTCTCCCAATACAGACCTGGGAACCGCGGAATCTCGATGCTGAAACGGAGAGCGAGAGATGCTTTCGTCTCGCTGTATTTGAGGCTGGGTGTAGGAAGCAACAGGTTCTGATCATGAAGATATATTGGGTGTATAGTTGGGCACGAGCGTATAGGCTTTAAGAAACGTCTTAAAACCGTAAGAAGTTTTTGACAGTTTATTCTCTTGCGTGTCTGCTATCCCGGACCGTATCTCTTGAACTACCGCTAAATTTATCATCCAGGGCTTTTGCTGCCATGTGAGCTGAAATCTAGCACGTGATTCTTACGAGGCTTTTTCTGGGGATACTATGGGTGGACGGAGTAGTTGAGGATAGAACGTGATGTGGTGGTGGTTGGTCACAGTGAGTAAATAACAAAGGTTTTTCATAGGAGTACAATGATTTGAATGAGTAGAATCATAGATTTGCTAATATCACATATCTCAGTCTGTCTTGTAGTGAAGTAATAACTGTCTTATGCCATTCATAGTGTTGCATAAGAACTGAGACTGGCTTTGTTTGGCGTAATTAGATAATAAGGTTGAGAACACGCCTCCAAGCAGGCAGGGCGGCCACTCGGGCGCGCTCAGCGTGGATAAACTCCCAGTCGACGTCACGGCGACCGCTGTCGACATCGATCTGGTGGGTTCGGAGCCAACCCTCGCGTTTCCAGAGGTAACCAATGGCCCAGAAGAACAGCACAACAGGGAGGGCGAGGTACGTCTCGAAGAAACCTTTTGCGTCGTTAAGGCCACCGCCTGGGGGTGCAATAGCAACAAAGAACTACTTTTATTAGCTTCTCACGGTGGACAAGGTGGAGAGAGAGAGAAAATGGGAAGTACCTGAGCAACCAAGACAATGAAGACGAGGAAGAGACCAATGTAGGAACCGTAGACACCACCGACAGCGCGAAAGGGGATCTCGTCGAGAGTGTGACCGTGGTAAGCCCAAGCCTTGCGGAAGCGGATGTGCGCCAGACAGATGGAGCCCCAGGTGAAGAGCGCGGCGAGACCGGAGAGCGCCTGCAGCCAGGTGAAGACGGTAGGACCCTGAGCGTCCAGGTTGATGTACCCCAGCAGACCGAAGGCGATCAGAGCGGCGACGGAAAAGAGCGGGCGACCAGACCGGTCAACATAGGCAAAGATCTTGGGGGCGTAGCCTTGTTCAGCGAGGGCAGTGAGGGTACGGGAACCACCATAGACACCGGAGACACCAATGGAGAGGACGGAGATGAGAATGACGACGTTCATAAAGGAGTCATAGCCCTTGAGACCGGCGTCGGCGGCAATGAGGACGAAGGGAGAGGCTTGGACATCGATTAGGCCACCGCTCCCGAGGAGACGCTCGTCATCGGAGCGGACTAGGAGCCCGACGAAGGTGAGACCGACAATGTAGAAGCTAGAACGATAGTTAGTTAGGCCGTCTAGGCACCGGATTGGCAGGGGGGGAGTGGTTGTAACATACAGGGTGATACGCCAGAAGACTTGCTTCACAGCACCAGGCAAGGACTTGGTAGGAGTCTTGGACTCGGCAGCGGCCAGACCGACCAACTCAGTTCCACTGAAGGAGAAAGCAGCTGTGACGAAGACGGCACAGAAGCCCTTGAAACCGTTACGAAAAGCACCAGGGTTGTACCAATTGCGCGCACCCCAGTATTCATCGTAGAGGTGGCCCTTGGGGCCACCACCACACACAAGAACCAAGGCGATGATCATGAAGACGACGATCGCACCCAGCTTGAGCATGGAGGACCAGAACTCTTCTTCTGCATAACCCAGAGAACCGAAGATGTTGATGACAATGATAGCCACGAGGAAGACGGTGATCCAAACTCCTACGCTTACATCGACATGCCAATAATTAATTGTAAGGCCAGCTACTGTTAATTCGAGAGGAACGACAATGGCCCATTGGAAGACGTAGTTCCAGCCCATAGCGAACCCCCAAGAAGGATCGATGAAACGCGCCGAGTAAGTGTAGAAACCACCCGAGACGGGGTACATGACCGCCAATTCACCCAAAGCGTAGACTACAGGATGTTAATCTGCGGGGGGAGAGGAAGGGATCTGTAGACAGTCTGGACTTACCAACGTTAAACATCATGATACCAATAATGAAGAAATCGAGAAAGAGAGAAGCAGGACCCTAAGAAATTAGACTGGATTGGGGATTTAGAGATGAGAGTAGGTAGTAAGTTGGTAGGACTTACTCCTGTGCGCAGAGCACTTCCCGAGCCAACAAAAAAACCAGCGCCAATGGAACCACCGATGGCAATCATGTGTATATGGCGGGATCTCATGTTGCGTTTGAGATCTACCTGCTCTCCCTTGCGACGCTGGAAGGACTTGAGAGACAACCCAGCGCGAGTCCAGAAGTCCTCATCCTCATAGTTGATGATCTGACCATTTTGAGTATAGGTTGGGGGGGAGGTCGTGGAGGCCTCGACATCGACTCCTTTTTCAGAGTCTTTCGTCTCCATGATGAGAGTTGAATTAGGGATAATCAAACGAGAAGGGGGGGAAGGATGGGTTGAAGGGGGAAATTGGGAGAGAGAGAGAGAGAGAGAGAGAGAGAGAGTAAGAGAAAGAAAAGGAAGGAAGGAAGAAAGAAGGGCAATCGAAAGGAAAGTCCTTTGGTACCTCTGGAGGACCTGAAAAGATATGGAAATCATCTACTAAGCAATCTTCTTATCTTGGTACTGGGGGCGAAAACAACTGGGATTGTAACCTCACCTGGTAGTCTATGATCGGGCAACTTTCATGGTAGCATTGCCATTGGTAGAAACACAGTACCAGGACGCCAAGAGAACGCCCGAGAATGCCAAGAAAAAAGGTAGGATCGACTTCTTTTCTTGTCCTTGATACAGCATGATAAGACAAGCTCTCGAGATAAGGTGACTGGGAACTTGGGAATAAGATATTGATAGGAATGAATCTCCACAAATCAGAATATCTGTGCCAATATTTCTATGAGTAATGGAATCATTTTGAACTGAGTGACTCTTTAGATGAATGTAACCTGAAACGAATCAAAATTGGGTCGGGGGAAATGGATGGAATGATTGTACCTACATCCTGTAGGCAACGTACACCCCTCCGAGTATGTATATACATTGCCTGTCTTCCAGGATAGATCGCCGAGTTTGGGGTCGGGAGAAGTCGTGCTCACACAAAACATGGGATAACCCGCTTGCATGAAGTTGTGATGGGCTGACGTTTTGCATCCTGCTCCAGCTACTCTATCTGATCATTCAGCCACGGATCCTGCAGTAGATCCTTCGCTGTCTTCCTATCTTCAGGCCGCCACTGAAGCATCCCTCTCATAAAAGCTAAAAACATTTCCTTATTTCTTCCCTCAAGGAACTCTTCCGACAATTCTAAACTAACTCCTGTCGGAATGTCCAGGTCTTGCTTCCATTTCCCTGCAATTTCGTCTTCATAAGCCTCTGCGAAGTGCATTTGGGGAGGGGAGGGAAAGATGCTTACCATCATTAGTAAAGAATTCATGGCTTCTTTTGCCACGCTGGAGCATATCCAGAGGTGGTGGCCCTAGAACTCCCATGACTTCTGCAAGATGCGCCCGGGTCGAGTACCCCTTGCTGTCAGGGTCATTTCCATAGAAAAGGTGTTTCCCCTCAAACAAATCCCACACCTATTATTCCCGATTGGTTAGTCCATGACTTCGAGAGTGGAAAGCAGAGCATACCATAACACCGACATTCCATATATCAACCGGGTAACTCCAGTCAGTCTTCAGCATCACTTCTGGAGATCTATAAATATTTGGCTGTGCATCATGATTTCTCCTCTTATCTCCTTGTACAGCAGACCCAAAATCACTTAATACTGCTCTGCCAAATACCTTTGGCAAGTCAAAACGCCGTGAAGCATAGACCGGCACACCATTAATTATTTTGCGGGGTGAAGGGTGTTTCAGTTCAGCTTGGGTAAAACTCTCAAGGATTGACTTATCCTCTATTTCTTGGAGAATATTATCGCTTTTGATATCTATGAGATTATAGATTAGGGCAATGCTTTTAGCAACATATAGATATGCCTCACCAGTGTGGACAAGCTTGCATTCAGTGTGTAGATAGTCAAGTGCAAGGAAGATCTGTATAAGACCTGCTTTGAGTAGGTCTTCAGTAAATCGATGGCTAGGATTACGGTATAGTAGATCCCTGAAGCTTTCCCACATTGGTTTTTGAACAAGACAAGGATGGTCACCACCAGAACGGGGAATTGTGAAGAGATCCAGTGCTTTCCTTATATGAGCATGGCCAGGGTGCCATGAACTCCCCATATTTAGTTGTTTATAAATCTGAAACTCTTCCTGATTACCATCGTCACGCGTGTATATTTTAAGCGTCACATATTGATGGCCTCTGATGGTGTCAGTGGGCCAGTATTTAGTTAAAATAAGTAGATCTGCCATCACTTACCCAAGATCACGAGCGAGCCATACAGTTGAAGTAGTCCCAAAACCAAGTTTACCAATAATCTGGTATTTGGAACTAATCACATCGCCAATATTAGCAGGATAATATTTTCCTTGTTTGAACTGCTCAAACCGTTCCTCGTCAAGCACCTCTGAGGGATGGACGATTTCGAAGCCGCTGTTGGGAAAATACATGGGAGGGGAGGGGGCCCGTCGAAGCACCTTTGTGGCCCACCTCATGAGCGTAGCCATGACGGGCTCGTGGAAGGGAAGAGGCTGACGTTTGTTGGGCTGAGATTGAAGAATAAAGAATGGTGATGGAATTAAACTACCAATTGGACTGAATCTTGCTGCTTGGCGGGGAATTTATGTGGAGGAGGATTAGATAATATAAATATCTATAGGACATTCCAATAATTCCTCTTTAGGAGACTTAGTCGGAGGGTTCGGTTAGTATAAATAGAGTCTCCCCCAGAACAAGTCTAATGGCAGGGAATATATAGTTAACTTTATTTGCAGTCCACCGATGGTAGTTATAATGGCCAATATCATCCTTGAATCTTGCATCCTGGCCCAGCTCTTAGAGCACTTATTGACTTAAATCATAGGTTATTAGCAAAGACTTATAAAGTTTGTAGCTATATAGGGTGCGGTCAAGATAGTGAAGGAGAGGAGTATCCAACTTCTCCAGCTTCTATTAGAGCAGAAGAGATTGGTTGTATTTTGGAACTTGGAGACACTATATGAGCTCTGGGGTTAATGTAGTATATGAAGAATTTAGTTCTATAAGAAGGGAGGGAAAGATTAGACATATTTGTGATCTAGAGTGGAGATACCTTACCTATCAGTGCCTTCCAGTTGACCTTTGAGATTGCGGAACTTGATGATCGCATAAAGAACATCATGCTTGCTATCCAGGTCTTTGAGAATAAAGAGCTCAATATCGTGGTAGCAGACTAATGCTGGAAGATCATCTACTAATATATATTTAGGGAGGTCGCTAGATGCTTTCTGTAGGAGGAGCATGCCTGGTCAGTAATGGTAGACCAGAGCTGGACCGTGGCAAATTGAATAATCATACTCCTGTGGTTCAAATATACCCAATAATGGCAGTAGATAATATAGAAGACATCCACATGAATGTCATTTTTGGTGTTGATTTCACAGGCCCTCACATTCTAGGTGTAAAAAAAAAGGTTAGGCAGGGGATTCATTTCTCTCTCTTGTTTTCTTTCTCTTCATGTAAAACAAGTTTCATCCCTCTGATAACTTTCTTCCTTTCAACATATCTTATAATCATAATATTATTATAATACTCCATCCTTCCTCATGGCCCAGAACCAGGATCAATCTTCTTCAACCACTTTGGGTTATCTTGCCCCCATCTGTGTCGCCATCTTTTTTGTCGTTGTCTGGTATTTCTTCTGTCCTTTTGATTACATTCTTCCCATCAGCTCATCTCATCCTCATATAGGATCATCATCAGCACAAGATATCGTCTCTCCCGGGATCCAACCCATCAACGCCCCATGGACCCTGAAAATTGGGCCCTTGGCTATGCTCACATCGTGCTGACCATGTCTGATCTCGAGGCCCGTTTCCCTCTCATTGAATACGCTCTCTATCATCAGCAGCAGCAGCAGCAACAACAACAACAACAACAACAACAACAACAACAACAGCAATCGGACCATCTCCACAAGAGTGATCTCCAGTTTCCTGGTACCGGTCCTGACCCAATTTTACTCCCAACCCAAGCAGTATCCACCTCGCCGCTTTCGTCGACCCACCGGCCACTCCCCCCCAGTGGCGACCACTACGACCTCGAAACAAAGGAGATGAATGATTCTGACGCTGTGTGTGCCATTTGCATGGAATACTTTGAGGGTAACGATTCCGTCCGGTCGCTCCCCTGTGGTCACGTCTTCCACGCGACCTGTCTTGATCCATGGTTTACCAAGCGACAAGCTCGCTGTCCACTGTGCAAAACCTTCTACCTGCCTGATCACCATTTCCCAGCACCCCTTCTGCCCCCCGCGGCTGTCTTGATCAGAAACCAGATCATGCCCCGCGTCCTCTGATGGAACCCAGACTTTTTTTTTTTTTTTTTCATGCACCACCAATTAAAAAGGTTCATACTACTCCAGTACAACCTTTCAAGGTTATCTTGAGTTATGGGGTCAATCCTATGGTCCCACCCCCGCCCCGACTCTACCCCACGATTATTACGTACTGCAAACGCCATCCCTGACTCCCAAGCCCCATGACAAGATTCTACCTTGTTGGTCATCTGCTCCCTACTTGTCCGAATTACCTTTCCTGAGCCACACATGCCTTGCAGACTGTGCTGTGCGCTCCTAACATGCGTGACAGCTAATCCAAAAATCTGTCCTAGGTCAACAAAGATGGCTGTCACTCGCTTCACGGGTGAAACTAGGGCACGACGATGAAATACCAAGCTGTCAAAAGGCTCAATGCTTTCTCAACCATGCGCCGTGAGGCTCTCTAAGTGGCACATTCACCTTGTCATGACGACGTTCAACATCAACCGCTCAGCATCCAGCCAAAGAGCACGAGTTGGTCTTACAGCTGGAGAGTCAAGTAAGAGGAAGCCTCTATGACGATTCCATTGGCATCTGGTCAAAGTGAGCTATATAGTATTTGAAAATTCCTCTCCTTGGGTCACTTAAACCCAAAGTTCCAAGTTTTGGGTTCAATCGCAATGGACGGATATGCATCCATTTGCGCCTGCGTTGAATGAGCATGGGCTCGCATGAACGCAAAATACCTATGCTTGCAGCCTGCAGCCAGCGAAGTCGCCATCACTCGGAAGGTCTTGGCCCAGGGCTTCCCAGGTACGAGAAATGGCTAATATTCTTTATATTAGTCGAAATCCCGATAGTTAATATCTAACAACCTATTAGTCAAAACTGGGTCACTAGCTTCGTGAAAGGAATCCAATACTCTAGAGTCGCTCGCTATATTTGAAAATATCATTATAAAAGAGCTAATGGAGGATCCCCAGATAATTCTGGAGTGGTTTAACCCCGCTACAAAAGACTATATTGGACTACAACCTTAACAAAACTGCAAACTACCAAGGTAGTGAGTGACTAGATCTGAAATGCCTGGAAAGCCTTGTCTTACCTAACTTTTGTCTATATGCGCCACCTATCTATAGATCCGCTCTAGAGTCAAAAAGTAAAAAAAAAAATGTATATTAAGTCGCCTCTTCATATGAAAGCAAACCAAACCAGCCAGGAACAATATTAATTAATTAGCCCTGACGTTGTTCTGGAGAATCCCGCAAGGAGAGGACACAGATATACCTAGTTACCTACCTACCTACCTAGTCCTACCTACCATGCGCCCGGCTTACGCTTACCTCCATGTAAGACAAAGCCGAGACGGAGCGGCCGAGATCGATGGAATGGATCGAGAATGGAAGCGTCACACGACCAACAGGGGTTTCCACAAACCTCCGCCCCCCCCCCCCCAATTCGTAGGAATGGAATCTTTGTCGAGCTCTGTCTGTCTGGCCTGTGTAGCCAGTGTAGTCGGCGCTCGCTATTAACCTAGGTTCGCGGCGTCTAGGCAGTTGGACTGGTGAGATGGGTGTTCCGATAAAAGGTCTGTCTGTCTGTCCTTGCATCTGGGTGCTATCTGAGGATGATGAATGATTTGGCCGTTGTGAGGATTTGAGAAACATTCTGTCTGTTCTTGGCCGCCTGGGCCAGGCAGGCCACCCACCCTTGGCTTGACCGCTATGTATTTTTAGGGTTGAAACTTGATTGACATGCACCACGAGGGAAGAAGTAATTTTAGATTTGCCGCTCTCATGCCTTCCTTACCTAGTCTTCAAGAGAATTCAATTCGAGCAAGTACTGTAAACTAGCCTTTTCTATAGAGCGGACAGTTGGTACGCGGAACAAATATCCCGCTCCATGGATTGAGCGGGGTGTGGGCAAGTCCAAGTCCCAGGTCGTAATTTCTAAACAATATCTCATAGATATATGCCATGAAGATCCACTCTTCAAGAGGTAGGGACTTGAAAAAAAAAAAATTACAACCTCGGCCGAATGACCTGTCCACCCTCCCACGACTCGCCGGCCTCTAGGGTCTGCCACGAAGCCACAGATCCTGCCTCCACGCAAATCATATTCGTATATGCCTCGTCGGGACTGAAATCACCCATTCCCTTCGCCTTCTCGATCCATGGGTTCCAGACCACAACGTCGCTCAGAGATTCCCTCGTAATCGAGAACAGTGGCTGTCCATCTACACTCGAAGACACGATGATCGGCACAGCAGGGTCCAGCGACTTATACACGCGGTCTGTCTCTTTACTGATCGCGAGTGAAGACTCAGACTCGGTATGCACGGAGGCGTTTTGAGTTTTGTCGATGTACTCTTTACCTTGGAGGTTTTGGATGGTGATTTGGGATATATCCTTGTTCACGGGCTCTTGTTAGCCTCTTTCCTCTCCTCAATAGAAGACAGAGAGAAAGGGCAAGACAAAGAAAAAAAAAAAAAAAAAAAGGAGGGAAACTGAGAAATACCTGAATAGCCAAATAAGTATGCAGCAACACCTGAAACTCGAAATTCTTGTCCCCCTTGTTCTGCACCTGGAGCGAAGTCGCCAGTCCCTTTCTAGAAAGCGACACGCTATAAACCAAGCCAAACTCGTACCCCCATTTCGAGCGGAACTCTTCTGAAAGCATCGATGAGGAGAGCCCGAAATCAAGCTTCACCGCATCGACTTCCTTGTCCAGGGATTCGGTGGAGGATTTACCCAGGAACTCCCAGAGGGAGTTGCGCGCGAAGCCATGTTGCGGGAGGGAGGACGACGAGTGGTTTGCTGGGGGGGGACCAAAGACCTTTTTACATATTAGTATTTCATTTCATTTCTGCACGTGTGTAAAGCTCTCTTGGAGTGGTATATTATAGTGCAATGGGGAGAAAAGAGGAATGGGAAGGAGAGAGGGGTACCGGGAAAACAACAGGAATTCCACCCCGAATCGGCTTCGAGCCGTCCAGAGCAGCACTCTGGCTTAGAAACAATTGTTCCGCGCCATTAGCCAGCTTCCATGATGTGACTGTTGCGCCATAGAGGTGAACTGTGACGGATTCGCCTGTGGGAAGGGTGGCCTCGACTGTATTGTTGCGGAGGGAGATGGTGGGTTGAGGGAGGGAGGCGCTGACACCGATAGCGGAAGGTTTTTTGGAGCGGTCCATTCTTCTCTTTCTTTGTGTGCCCTTTTTGTTGGTCCGATTTTCTGGTGGTTGGTTGTTTTGACTTAGAATATTGATTAAGGGGAAGAAATGCGAAAGAAAAGAGGGGTGATAGGAACCAAAATGCCAGGTGAGCTATAGAGCTGGCTGGTGTGATGAGGCCAAGGTGGGGGGGGAACTTATAGGTATCGTCATGTGTGGGGTTTTTGCTGACACTCTTAACAGTCAAGAGATCTAATTTTTCCCTAATCAACTAGGACTACACATGTCAAGGCGTGCGTTTTTTAAACTAAATTGTCTTGATTGGGACTTGTGTCTAGACTGCGATATGAAGAGGGGTCTGCGGATGTTTGATGTGAGTGTCTACGAGGCACGGAGCATTGTGTTCCATGACTATGTACGGAGTGAGTATACATAGTATAGGCATAATGATAAAAAGTTTCCTCAATCACAGGCTTATAAATGCTTTAAAATTGCATCAGTGTCTGGTCACCTCTACCAGACAATATTTCTAAGGGCCGGGGAACAAAAATCGCCAAAAAAAAAAAAAGAAAGAAAGTGCAAAATAATATGCGCCAATCGAGGTTCGAACTCGAGACTCCCACTTATTCCTCATGAGTATGGGAGGTGGGTGTTTTACCACTATACTATTGGCGCCCACAGTGGCAATTAGGTGTGAGAATAGATCTATAAAGCCTGCTGGAAATGCCATTTTCACCAATTTCGCTCCACTTTTATATAACATAACTATACAACTTTTACAATTTGACCCCTAAATAACATGGGAAATAACCACTGAGACCTTTCATCATTAAATGATGCCAATTAAAACATCCTTCCTCCCCCGGCCAATCTCGCTATGCCATACACCACCCCAGCCAGAGCCACCCATGACAGCCCGCCCCTAGCGTACAGCACGATCTGGACCATGCGGATCTCAGAGGCATCATTGCGATGCGGAAATGGTTCATCATCATCATCACCAGGAGCCTCCTTACCAAGGAATTTACACAAAGACGCCCACCCATCACGCGGCTCAAACTCCAGCACTTCCCGTCCACGCTTCGCCGCCTCGGCGCAAACCCACTCGTTGTGCGCGTCGTAATGTTTCGCCGTGAAAAGCTCATCGGCCGTAAGCCCGAAAGACACCATGCTGCGCTGCATAAATGTACGCCACACGCTGTATAAATTCCGGTCTACCTTCCATAAGTACCCTAGAACACGGTAGACCGGCGAACCGGCCCAGAAAAGCATCTTGATCGATTGCACCCACTTCTGGGCTCCGCCAGGCCGCTTGTTCAGCACAATCTTGGCCTCGGGGTACATGTCCATCAGGTCGTCGGCGAACATACAGCCCGGGAAATCGGTTGTCGCTTGGAATCCATCGAAGATGCCATGTAGGAGCTTGTGACGTGTGGCGGCATTAGGTTCTCGGAGTGCCGTTAGAAGGAGCGTTCCACGATCGGCGTGTGGTGAGACATGGGCCATATGCATGCACGGGTCGAGGTTGATGTAGTTGGATTCCAGGGCTGCTTGTAAAGAGGAGGTTGCACAGCGGGGGAGACCTGCGCCGATAACTTGTATTTGAACAGAGCTGGTTCGGTCGACCACGAGGTCATCGGTGACGAAGCGCATTTGGTGGTAGATATTGAGAGGTTAGGAGGTCTTCTTGGGAGAATATGTATATGTACACACGAACTATGCTATGGGCACTTTTTTTTTTCAACCTTTGGCCCCCAGAGCGATAAAACGGTGCGGCATAATTTAGACAAGCTATGGGTGGGCTACCTAGATATAAATCCTTACAGAACAAATCTGCCTTGTTACCGAGGTTAATGATACATACCGCATGTAAAAGATGTATTTTTCACAGTAGCATCATGCCACCCTATCCAGAATCAATCATTCATATCTTCATCCCTCATTTCGTGAACATTGCCCCGCTTGAACCATGCCAGACACACAGGATCTCCAATTGCATACAAAGAATGACCACCACTATATGCAGAAGCAGGGATATCAGTTGCAGCATAAGACTTCTCGTCCGCAGGTTAATCCCTGCCACTATAATCAGAAAGTACAACACCCAAGGGTTAACCGCTAGCGGACTACACGGTTGCAGCACCGTAGCAATTTTGATGATGAAGGAAGAAAGTTGAATGGCGGGTAATGGAATTTGCCGACTTAACATGGGTGGGAATATTCGTGATAAAGAGAACCGCCCTGGAGGAGGGGCCAGCAATTGCGGAACGTATGGCTCGCTTTCTGCGATTTCCTGGCGCTCGTCGGGCGACAGGACTGGCGTACTTGAGAACCGCGGCCGGATAATCAGGTCGCGCTCTGGACTCAGCGAGCCTCTCCTAACTGGTGCCTGACCCAAGCCCTCGAAAACAGGGGCCAAATCTCCGTTCGAGCCATTCGAGTCATATAAGGAGTTGCGTCGTAGAGCGACCGGGCTGCGAGAAAACGTCTTTTGTGGAGATGGTGCTGGCTGAGAAAATGAAGGGGCTGCTGGATCATCAAGTGGATGGATCCTCAGTCCAGTATGAAGATCAGGACTAGACGAGCTGCTTCTCTTGGTACGAAGGTTCTCGTTCGCGCTGGCCCCTGCTTCAAGGCCGTTCAAAACTTCTTCTGCCGAAGGCCGCAGGTCCGGGTCAACAGACAATAAGCGCCACAAGAAAGTATACAGCTGTTCTGGAAGATCTGGTCGCATCCTGCGTCCGTCATCAAACCCAGCCCACTGGCTAATTTCTTCGCGAAGCTGGTCGAGATCCTCCCTTTCCTCGTGAATCAGATCCGCATTTCTGTATGGCAGCTGGGCAAAGCACAAAAAGTATAGTATCATCCCGAGAGAGAAAATGTCCGATTTAAACGTGAAATTGCCAAACGGCCCATCAGGGTATTCGCGTCGTAGTACCTCAGGTGCGCAATACGACAGAGTCCCGGTAGCTCCGGTGGACAGCCGGATCGAATCCTGAGCCTGGACCTCACCGAAATCACTGACTAAGACGCGGATACCGTCGCTGGTTTTGTGTAAAAGACAATTGTTAGGTTTGAGATCGCGGTGGATATAGCCGTTTGCGTGGAGATATCGCAGACCCGACGTAATATCTTTGAAGAAAGAGTAGATCTCGTCGAAATGTAGTTTGCGAGGCTCTTTTAGATCAATTGGAGCCTCGGGTCCACCCCTCGACCTTCTTCTAATGCGCTCCTTCAATTCCTGAGCTGTTGTAGAAGTCTGCATTGAACCGCAGATGTAATTATGCAAATCACCCGCATTGCAATACTGCTGGAGGATGAAGGCGCAGGGGACACTCGGGCCAAACGTAGTGATTTTCGCATTCTCAAGCCAAACATGTCGGTATGAGACCAGGTTCTGATGAGAGAGGTGCTGTAAAAGTTGGACCTCGCCTAGTACCTTTTCCAACCACTCGTGGTCATCCCCAACAGGCACACGTTTACAGGCATAGTGTCCGAGCGACACTCCGTCCAGCACATGTTTCACTAGTAGAACCACGCCTTTCCCGCCTTTCCCAAGAACAGTCTCCTCAACAAAAAACTTTTTGAAGTAGTTGGGTGTGAATGCTGCCGACGAAATCCCGTGTCCAGCCTGTCCCCTCCCTGTGAAGTGGGACGCGGTTGAGCGGCCATCTGCGAGCGCAGGTGGACCAAAGCGACGTCGAGGAGGAGGAGTTTGCGAATTCACAGAGCTAGGGAGGCTATTATGAAGCATGCGAAAATATTCAGGATTGATAAATTCAGGTTGCGCGCCAGCACTCGCATGGTGGTTGTCCGGACCTGTATTTCTTTCGTGGAGCGGGCGGCGACAGTATGGGCACTGAGTATGGCCTTCATGATCGGCCGCACTTCGAAGAACTAGCTGTTGGGAGTCTCGATCAAAGACGACAACGGAATCATTATGGCGTCTACCAAGAAACCTCGGTTAGAATCAAGCTCAACAATTGAGAGGTGAAGCCATTGTGCGGAGGAAGCTCACAGTACAACATCAAGATTGGACGCATAGGGAACAATAGACATGCCCTCATCCGCCATTATCAATTGAAAGATGGCGCATCTCCCGATGAATCATGGACCTGAAAGACCACGGCCATCGAAGATAGATTTATGAAGTCACGAAAACTAGCGATAGTGGGTGCTTTATCCTAAACATGACGAGGCAATTGAGCGCGGTTCGGCCCCACGTGAGCTACGGCGGTGAGACAATAATGCAGGGTGAGCCATCTTTTACTGTTTGCTTGGAGGAATTAACGAGGCGAAAATACAAAACAGGTCATTTCGAATCATTATAGATAGTATTGTGAGTAATATGGGTATCTATATGGAGCAGAAATGATGCCAATTGACATCAATCTCCGGGTATCTTTTACTGCTGGACACATCCTTGGAGTAGGCGCGCTAGTAGTAAGTAGGCAGCCCACACGGCATGCCCAACCAAGGCCGTGGGGAACTGCAACTGGACTTGCCATCGTTTATTTATTTCTGGCGTACATGGTCCAGTAGACAGAGCCACACGGTCCGGTCGGTGTCCTAGGTTGACTGACCAGCTGTCAATCTGCACCCTAACTGCCGAGCAGGTGTAACAGTCAGACGTGCAGGACGTGAATCCCTGGGTGTCCGAAGGGTTGAAACGGGCTGTGCCGATGGCATGCTGTGGGATAGCAAATAAATATATCCGCTATTCCGCTTTGCAATTCGCTGTTAAAGTTAAATTGCGCTCCGAGAGCGTTTAATCATCCTCTTCCCCGCTTTCCTCGTCGCTAACTTCGAGGTTGGCAATCGAGTCGTTATCGTCATCTTCATCATCAAATCCTGCGAACTCCTCCTCCGATGCAGACTCTTTGTCAGAAGCCTTTTTGCTGTCATCTGCATCCCCCGACGTATTTTCATCCAACTTGCGCTTCCGGGTCATTTCTCCAAGCCTACCCTCACGACCTTCAATCTTTTCACCCTGCTCGCCAGCTGTGTAAGGAGGTGGTGTGTACCAGGGGATTTTGCCTCGAAGGAAGTCATTGATAACCATCTTGGCAACGCCATCAAGATCTGGCTCGCCACCGCGGAGGAGTCTACCGCCTTTCCTTGCAAGAATACTGAGAAACTCAATGGGATCACCAGGATCCTTGAAGCCGTACGTGCGTTCAAGATGCCTAGACTGGATCTTGCTAAGGACAGCCGGGATATATTGCTCGGGGTTTTCAACATTTTCCACTCGCACAACACCACGGAGCAGAATATCTTGAGGGCTATCATTTTGATTGGGAGGGACCACACCGGGGCAGTCGATGAGGTAAATTCTCTTCATCAAAGTAATATACTGCCAAACCTTAGTTTCTCCGGGAATAGGAGCCACAGTGCACACTTTTTTATTGCGTAGAGTGTTGATGACTGAAGACTTTCCAGTGTTAGGATAGCCAACGAATCCAACAGAAATTTGTTTCCGGTCGGAGTGGAGGGATGAAAACTGCCTTAGGAGCTGAATCAAAGAACCCTTTCCAAAGGAATTGTTGATGGAGGCATGGAAAGCTAAGGTAGGATAATCTTTGGATAGATGACGAACCCAAGCAGCCTGGTGTATCATGTTAGCACTTGACCACCAGCGATAGCAGAATTGCTTCGAGCAAATATTAAAAATAAAATAAAAATAGCAAAAAATAAACAAGGCGATGTGTGAAATGTTACTAAGAAACCTGCTATCAAAAAACGCCGAAATGGCGGAGCAGGACTCAACTCAAAAACAGAACACAGCTTGATCCTTAACGAAAGGCATTCAAAACGAAAGCCAATCAGCCTAGCTTCAGAAAGAAATTCGGCGCGGACCAGCGTTGATCTACCAAAGCTGTAACAGACAAAGCTCCCACGGTGTATCGTGACACATGGCCACGGGGAGAAGACTTGACTTAGCAATGGCACGGGCTATGGAGCCCGTAGAATATGAAAGGGGGGAAACGCAAACAAAGGACAAAGAAGAAATGAAAATAATAGAAACACAAAAAAAACTTACCGCCACGCCTGTTGGTACAAGATCACACTTGTTAAGAACAAAGATCAAGTGCTTATGAGGGGCTTCCTCACGAATGTATTTCTCGATACCTCTGCAGCGAGTGCCTTCAGGATCACGAGCGTCGAGAAGGTGGATGACGACGTCTGAAGAATCAATGACCTTATACAACTCGTTCCAAATTCTTTTACTTTGACCCTTGGAAAAAACGGATTCTTTAGCTGTCTGCAGAGTACCAAGGTTGACTTCATTCACAACATCATCACCCGAAACGACGAAGGTGCCATCTTCATGAAGAGCCTGGTCCGTCTTTTCAACAAAGGCATCATGCGTTTTGACAGTCTCGCCAGCGAGGTCCTCAATCGATGAGACACCTAGCTTGACGCGTTTCCTCTGGGCTTTCGGCCCGAATGTATCACTGTAGGGCGATGTCTCAATAGCCATCTTAGCCTCATGCTGTTTCAGTCCATTCACGGTATTGTTGTCCCTAATCAAACTCATGGGGAGCTTGTTGGTTTTGAGGAGAACCTGGTAAGGGTCGGCAGCACGCTCAGCAACTGCCTCGCGGAAAGAGGACAGGGCCTCCTGAGAAATAACTCTAGTGTTTCCGAACCATTTGCGGTTGGGTTCTATCCTCGCGACAGGGGCTTCGCGCGACTGGTATGAGGCAGCGACGGTGATATTTCCAGCAGCATCTCGTCGAGGTTTACCATCCTTGAACATGTTCAAAGTCTTCAACTTCTTCGCATCTCTTTCCTCGAGTCAGCATATGATTCCAGACAAGGGCACATGGTTTGCTGTTTACCTGTAAAAATTTTCACCTTTGACCCTCACATTGCCCATGCCATCTCCCACTTTCCCCTGCCGCACTCGGCGTGTGGCTTCCTTCTTTCCTGTACCCATGATGAGAAGAAGACTCCTTTGAGTAACCTAAAGAAATCTATTGAAGAGAATTTCCAAAGGTAGGAGTAGAAATCACAAAGTTGGCAGAACGCAAGAAAGGAAAGAAAAGAGAAAAGAGTCGGGCGGAGGAAATTATTTTTTTTTTCTACGGTTGCCAAGCGGAGTGGTGCACGGACCAAGGGAGAGAAAATCGCTTCGATCTTTTTTCCGGTTCTCCCAGCAGAACCGCGTCGCTCACCACCCCAACACCAATTGGCTATGGTCAAGAGCTGATCCATTTCCCCTCAGCCCTTGTGTTTTGATACACATCACAGTTTCCTTCGTTTGTTTGCCTGGATCTCGCAGGTCCTTCAGCTCAGCATCCACAATGTCCCTTTTCCGCAATTGCGGCCGGACTGCCACTGTGCAGCTCCGTGGTTTCTCTTCGTCCGCCAGCCGCAAAGTTGGACCCGAATCTCCCAATTTCATCGAAGTTCCTCGGTCTATCCAGCCGGATCTTCCCTCAAAGCCTCGTATCAAGGGTACTCTCCCCGTTCCCCGCGAGATATTCCCCCGACGCCGAGCGGACAAGCCCTCCGAGCAGTACATTGCAGCAGCGACACCTCTTCCCTCCGCTCAGCCCGAGATTGACCCCACGGACCCGCACGCCCAGTATAAGGATTGGAAGAGGAAAATGGCGGATATGAGAAGGCAGAATCTCCGGGAGGGTTTGCTGGAATTGCACACCCGGAAGCAACGGATTGATAAGTCTATGGCACAGCGCAGTATTGAGAAGCAAAAGCGACGAGAGCGCGTTCTTCGACAATCCGAACGAGAGGATGAGCGACTCACCCGTCCTTCCGTTGTACAAGAGATGCTACCGAAGTGTACTCCTGTGCTACCGGACCCTAACCGAGAAGAGCGACTCGCTAATGGCCGAGTAAAGCTCGAGAACAACAAGATTCAAAAGGAGGCTACGCGTCAAGACTCTCTGCACACACTCTATATGAATGCTCGCAGTTTTATCACAACGGAAGCTCAGCTTGCCGCTGAGATTGAGAGGGTCTTCCCTGAAGGAGAGAACGAGGCCTGGCGAAGCGATCATCAATACGGCGACAACATCTGGAACCTAGGATTGCCACAGACTGTCCAGTCCATAGTGAATGAGGGCAGGAAGAGTGAGGCCGCTCGCTGGGAAGTTATCCAGGGCAGAGTCAAGAAGTTGGGAGAGGAGATCACTGGAGGAAAGCTCTAGAGGGGATATTGAAATACTTGTATATTAGCTGTTCTCTACACTGTAATCTCAAACAGATATTTGGATTTTACTATTTATTCCGTTGTATACCTAAACAAAATTGCTTCTATGCCTTTATTTTCACCCAAAAAAAAGGTAATTCAAAACCTTGGGTTGTATTGTAACGCCTAAAAAACGCCGTCGCTATGCGGTTTCCATCTCTGCTAAAATAATATAATCAATAGACGCACATGTTCTCATTGAGATGCGCTCTGGGTAGCAACAGGCTTCCCAACGTTTAGGGAACTCGAAATACCCCGCTTTGAAACCTCCTCATCAATGAAGCACCCCAATCCGGCAAAGGCTTCGAGCAGGGTGCGCGAGTAGTATTCTCGAAGGTCGTATCCACCGGCCAATACCCGGGTATCCTGTCGGATAGGGTCAAGATAACTGGATGGGTAGGAGTCTTGTAACGTATAGTAATCTCTTTTGTTGGGAACCATTCCGCCAAAGGGGTCGTAAGGCTTCTCTGGTTCGGGCGTCTTGATCTTCCTGAGCCCTTTGATAAGGCTTGAGCCACCCATATCGACCGCAGACGCAACAGCCTGGCCAGACTTTTTTGTATCTGTTCCACGCAGAGCCGCCTGTTTCTGTCTGATTCTGTCCTCTTCACTGCGTCGAGCCGAAGACTTCTTGAGCAGAACCTTTTGGCCTTCCCTTGCAATAGCCGCGGCATCACCTGGTCTTCCGGCTGCCAGACGGGCCAGGACATCCTCGCGACCCGCCAGCAGCTCTCGTCGCTCGTTCTCGTACTCTTCCCTTGCCGCTTGTCTGCGCATACGGGCCAGTTCCTGCTCCTGATTCTGTCTTTCTTGGAATGATGAGGCTTCCTGCTCCTCGAGGGCTTGGTTGGCGCGGATGGAGCGCATATTGTCCGAAGCATATCTTTGAAGGTCAGCTTCGGTTTTTGCGACATCGACGCCGTGGACAAGGTTCGATATGATATCCTCCCGTTGCTCCAAGAAGTTATCGTAATCCCGTTTCGAGTCGAACTCCTCTTCTCGTCGGTTGAGTCTACAAAGTTAGCCTTAAAGAGTGTAAAAGAATATAAGCATATGAATCACATACACTAGCATGACTCTGCGTCGTATATCCACCTCTCTTTCAACGTTAATATCTTCGAACGTTTGCTTTCGAAATCTATTCTTTCGAAGCGTCTTATGGCAACCCGCCACCGGGCAATTTGCAGGCCCTGACGAAAATATCCTGTCGACACAGGATTCACACATCTTGTGATAACATTCAGGGTTAATCAGGAAGCGCATATCCGGGTTCAAATATCGTGACGATTTGCAGACGGGGCAGACCTCTAGAGAGATATATGATTAGCATGGTGAATTACTGAGCTGGTAGAGAGAACCAGAGACTTACCGTCTTCATCCCCACGATGAACCATAGCGTCTCGCGATGGGGGCATGATTCCAGCACCAGCACCCTAAATGACAGGGCGTATAAAGAAATGTATAGGCGTTGACTGAGAGTGAGGAAATCAAGGACGTTTTGTCATCCCTCAAGCAATTTGATGGCGTGCAGCTGTCCACATGGGCCAATCAGATGCTCCGGTCGTTGTTCCGCCGCGGAACTCCAACCTCAGGAACTTTTTTATTATTTGCCACCCCGCGCAGTTTGTCATTCACTCTTCTCAGTCGCTTTTGGATTCACACTACTCTCTTACTTCTTGTTTTTGAATCCCCGCCTTCAAAATGGGTGTTCCAGGCAGTAATATTCAGGATCTTGAACGCCAACGCCTCGAACTTGAGAACAATATCCTACAGTTACAACGATCCCTTTACCACTGGAGAACATGGGAAGCCGAATACGATGGTTTGAAGGAGGAAATCGGTGAACTGGATGATGCAGCTACCCCAGAAGATTTCCTTCAAGTCAGTCGCGACTTTGGCGGAACATTGGTCAACGAAGAGGAACTTCGAGTGCTCATCGGGGAGAAACAGGGTCTGAAACGAAGCAGGCAACAAGTGGTTGATCTCATATCCAGACGTGTTGATTACGTGAAGAATAATGTTGCGACTATTGAAAAGAGACTGCATGCGGCTGAAAACCAGTTAAATGTTCTGGACTCTGTTGAGCAAGTCCCGGGGGAACCGACGGCCGATTTTCCTATGAAGGAGATCATCGAAGAGCTTGATGAAAATGGAGACGTTATTTCAGGCACAACTGCGGCTCCTGGAGACCAGGCATCGGATCTTTTAGAGCTCTTGAATCAGGCCGGTGTGAAGGATATACCCGAATTTTCGAAAACAGACACACCGGCCGCAAGCACTGGGCCGTTACCAGAGTCTTTTGCGAATGATAACTTCGTGCCCAAAGATGAGCCTCAAGGACATGATTCCGCAACTGCAGACGTGTCTGCTCCCGCAGAAGTCAATGGACTACAGACGCCGAGATCTTCAGCCGAATCTGATAAAGAAGTCCCTATTGTGGACGTTATTGAACCACCTGAAGATGCCCGGCTCCGGCGTGAAATGTTGCGGTATGGTCTAGATGAGGTCGGTGCCGTTGTTGCCGAGCTTGAACTAGATGATGATGCAAGCGAGATATCTATCGATGAAGAGTATGATTCATACGCAGAAGATGATGACGAAGAAGAGGAAGATGAGTTTGGACGGAGCGTCCGGCCTGTTCTAGACGATGACTACCACCGCCAGATGCGTGAGCTCGAGGCAAAACTGAACGCCCGGGGTATGTGGAATGTGGGCAAGGACATTGGGACGCTTCCCGAGGACGTCAAGGAGGAGCTCGAGCAACCTCTCAAGATCAAGATAGAAAAGGAGCCCGGGTCAAATGAGGGTCCAGTTGCCGAAAGGAAACCGAAAAAGAAGGTTGCCTTTGCTGATGATCTTGATATTGCACCGGCTCCCAGACCACTTGTTAAAGAAAACAAAACCATCGCACCCAGACAGAGTGATATTCCTGTCTTGTCAGATTCTATTGTTGAACGTACGGAACCCGCAGAGAAGAGCGTTGCTACAAACGGTCCGTCGAAGAAAGTGTCCCGCTTTAAAACGGCTCGAAACACAGACAATCCAGCGGAGAAATCTGCTTCTTTCAGCGGCAATTCCCGACCAGTTGAGCTTCGCTCCTCTCAGAGCAAGCCAACTACATCCTCGCCGTCCACACCACTGCCCTTATTCCCTGCCCGACCAGCAGAGCCAAAGCCTTTTTCTCAGCCCATTTCGGACATTACTGAGCAATCCCCAGCTGGCCCCCAAACAGGAAAGATCCTCGCGGATACCCTTGTTGAGCGCGACACCTCCGAAGGAACCGCAATGCCACCTGAGCCTGATGAGCTCGATGAACAGCTTCACAGAAAAGAGATCGCCACCGAGTTCTACCGGATGAGAAACCGAATGATCAAACAAAATGGCGGTTTCGTGGACAATGAGCCAGAAACAGTGCCAGTTGACCCCGAGGAGACCCCACGAGTTAGCAAATTCCGAGCTGCACGGATGAGGTAGCTCATGTATGACAAAATTGAATAGAAAACAAACACACGTTTAGACCACCGATTGTACGGCAATCTCCAAACCTTATATCGACAATACCTCTTGTAGACTCCCCAGGAATCACGCAACCGGAGTCCTCCCACTATTGAATTGAGCATACCAACCTCTATTGGTATCTTCAACGGGAAGGGTTCCAAGATTGATAGTTACGAGGGCTCTCTGACTGAGTATTCTTTCTACAGGTTGTATTGAGCTTGATCTGAGCACTTACGACCAATGAGGTAGAATCTATAGAGACTTGGTTACGTTTCACCCTCGACATCGTAAGCACATTTGCAGATCTGTCCCAAGGCACTTGTCTAGTAGACCCTTTCACCCTGTAAGCCACGAGTGGAGGAATTACCCAGCGACCTTGGAGTAAGACAGAGAACTAGTCTCCAATAGCAGGGACACGATAGGCAACACAGTCAGATGTGACTTGGATTCTGTGAGAGCTCGTCAAATATGACGCGTAATTGACGTTAAATAAACATCGCGGTGATTGATTAAATGAACCCAGTAATTTAGCAAGACACCGAAGCGATGCTGACCACCGTCAATGCTTTGGAATTGCTGATGATGAAAGGGTGGATGGAGCTAACAGAACTATACAATTGGAAATATCCAATGACACTGCTTTCCCATCCCTGATATTGGGGTAGAATTGGAAGCGACCCATTGCCGAGTGGTGGAATGATTTGATTCCCACTTCCAACTTGGAAGAAAAGCTTATATAGATGAAGTCGTTCCGTCCCCGGAGCTGTTTCTCTATTCGCTCATCATTTTTCAAGGAACCACTGTGTGCTTCTCGGGGATTACGAGTGCATATCCTATCCTTGTCAGCAGTTAGCATCCCCTGGCTTCGCTTTTCATCATTTGTAATGGCCTGTTTTGATGGAAGAAAATCGATTGCGATGACGCGCGGCGGGACCGATCAACGTGGGGAGTTACCTTGGGGAGCAACCTGGTACTGAGGGTCAGAATTCTATGAATAATAATAATAATAACAAATTTCTGGTCAACAATTCCAGGCCTCTCAAAATCACCAAAATAACAAGCAAAGTGGCGTCTTGAGGCTTGATCCACCAGATTGTCCCGGGGAACTGGTTTCTCCTCGTCCGACCAGCCCGTATGGCCATTTCCCCTCCACTTTCTGTCTCATTTCACTCTCCACTCCCACCCGCAAATGACGATATACCGGAATACTTACAACGATAGCCAAATCAGGGCGAGAGCGAAGTCGATAGTGACTCCACACAGCATGTTGTGCGAGTTCCCAAGCCTGTACCAAACCGTATGATGCAAAGCAGCGCCCTCTCATAGACAACATGATTCGAGAACATCCTGCTCACAATGAACATTGCACGCACTTCTCCCTCCTTCCTGAGCATAAGATTTGCATAGCAGGGACTTAACTCCAAGCCATGTACCGCATGGTTAAACTCCAGAGGTAGTGTATATGTATGTCTTAACTGTCCAATGGTTTATGAATAGAATCAGCGAGCCACGGCCCCTCCGAAAGACATGTTATATTTAAATCATCGCAAAGCAGATCCGTGGATAAGATTGGAGCCCGCCACTTGATTCGCAGAATGTCTCCATGAGCCGTGCATCCATAGGATGACTGGGGAAGGGTTTTGCTCGGCCCTGTACCCTTCCGACATCCCAGTTCCACTGTTGACTGTTGTTGACTGTTGACTGATTGCCTACATCGGCCTGTCCACTGGTAGGAACTTGTATCCCGGAGGATCCTTTTGTGGATTCCCACCTCCACAGTGGCTGATATTCATGACGTCTATATTCCCCTGCCAGCTCATTCCGCGTCTTCCAGGCCCGAGGTTTTCAGAAAAGTCAAGTAGGACGATCATGAATTAGAATTCATTGGACCAACCTTTCATGGTCTTTCCATGGTCTGCCTGGGTTCCATTTATGCGCTGCAGGTGACTACATTGTTTGTTTCTATTTTTCGAAATACATGTAACTATGTTGGAATAGGTCGACCTGCTTGTCCAAGTCCCTGGTAGACCCGAGCATCCACCCAGATTTATAAATATGCAGCTTCTTTCTTCCACTCAGGCCCATTAGCAGCTTGAGTGCCGGAAGAAATCTTACTCTTGAAATCAAACCATTCCATTCGTCTCAATTGCTGTTTCATTCGTTTTCTTTTTCAAAAAAAAAACAAAAACAAATAAACAATGAAGAATTTTGCTACCTTTGCAGCTTTTGCTGCTGGGGCCAACGCTCTTGTCTCCCGCGATAACAGCTGCTGCTTCCATATCACAGCTTCTGGTAAGACCTCTGGCACTGTCGGCCAGCTTGGTGATGGACAGAACCGTATTGGTGGTGGCCTCCCTGAGGCCCAGTTCTGTCTAGACTCGAACGGTGGTATCACAGATGGAAGTGGACGTGGCTGTATCATAACTTGTATGTTCAACCCTATACGACCAGGATGAAATCATGTTAACCTAAATTTATCAACAGCTCCCACCACGCAATTCCAGTGTGACCTTGGCGCCACGCCCGAGACAGGCTTCTCAATCAGCTCGAGTGGCGAGCTCGAATTTCAAGGCAGTTCGGCGTTTGTTGCCTGCGAGACTGGTGACAACAATGAGCTGAATATCTATACTACGGAGAGTTCCGATGTAACCAACTGTCAAGATGTCAAATTGACCGTGGACGCTTGCGCGGGAACTTCCTCCGCCTCTAGTTCTGCCCCCGTTACTTCGTCATCTCCAGCGCCCCAGCCTAGTCCCTCCGTTCCAAGCGTTGCACCATCTCCGAGCACTTCTGTGCCAGCTACCCCAGGCCCGGAATGCAGCGGCTCTACCTCCTGCGAGCCCACGACAGTCACCGTTTTAACCACTGTGACCGTCACTTCCTGTGCTTCTGGGACGGGTTCCGTTCCTCCTCAGACAGTCCCTAGCGAGTCCAGCACTTCGGGTACTGCTCCCTCTACCTCGGGTACTTCCCATCCAGGATCCCCCCCTGGAGTGCCGCCTCAGTCCTCTGCAACTCAACCCTCTACAACTCAATCATCTGCAACTCAATCATCTGCAACTCAATCATCTGCAACTCAATCATCTGCAACTCAATCATCTGCAACTCAATCCTCTGCAACTCAACCCCCTGCAACTCAATCCTCTGCAACTCAACCCCCTGCAACTCAACCCCCTGCAACTCAGTCCTCTGCAACTCAACCCTCTACAACTCAATCATCTGCAACTCAACCCCCTGCAACTCAACCCCCTGCAACTCAGTCCTCTGCAACTCAACCCTCTACAACTCAATCATCTGCAACTCAACCCCCTGCAACTCAATCATCTGCAACTCAACCCCCTGCAACTCAATCATCTGCAACTCAATCATCTGCAACTCAATCATCTGCAACTCAATCCTCTGCAACTCAACCCCCTGCAACTCACTCCTCCCCCCAGACCTCCGGTACTTCCTCTACCTCCCAGACTTCTGCAGGATCTACCGTTCACCCAACCAGCACGGCTACCTCGTCGGCTGGAGCTAGCTGCCCGACCAATCTGTCTGGCGAGTACGAGTACCCTCATCTGATCATCCCCATTGACTCCTCATCTCCCAACACCGCTGCGGGCACCTCCTTCAACGGCACTGTATCCTCCACCGTCTCAACAATCTTCAACTTCGACATTCCCAGCTCGGATTCCGGAAAGACTTGCAGCCTTATTTTCTTGTTCCCCAAGAAGGAAGACCTTGAGACTTCCTCCTACTCATTTAGTGGAGATGGAAAGGTCAAGTTCGAGGCTCTTGAATCGCCTGCCAGCAGCTCTACCACATTTAGCAACGCTCCAGCGGTCAAGCAGGACTATGGTGAACTCACAATTTCTCCTGGCAACTCATATCTTATCTCCTCCTTTGCCTGCCCAGCGGGTCAGGCTATTGGATTCGAGATGACGAATGCCGGAAGCACCGACCTGGACTTCTTCCAGGATTACAATCCTTCTCCGTAAGTGATCTCCAAACTCTTCTTCATTATGATAAGGCATACTAATTATTTTAATAGTCTTGGTCTGTATATTACTGTCTGCTAAGTTGCGAGGCAAAATTGACCTTTTGTTTATGATTTTTTGATATATGATCGGAACGGTTTCACCATTTGTATGTGGGAATGCTAGGTGGGGAAATTGAGGACGTACAAATCCACAAGAACAGCCATCAGTTGTTCTTTGATATGAATGATGCAAGCAATGCAATGCAACCTGTTTTTGAACTGTTTTCATTATATGTTCAATATGGGAATTAACAACCAATCCAATATAATCTGCCGCCATAGCACTGTTGTAATTGACTCCACTTTCAAGACGCTCAGCCAGGGTTATAGAAGTGATAAGACGGTCGAATTTCCCACATATAGGAAGGCTAGGCAGCATCATTTCTCTTCGACGGTGCCAAAGTTAATCTTGTCCCGCTGTAGGAGGTATCGGAGGTACGGAGTACATTGATGTCTGTCGATTTCGATCTTCTGAGGCATCAGAGATCCCCGTTTCTTTTGCGTTGTGTTCCTGGTCCACTGGAGGTCCTCTTTAAACACCATCAGTTTCATGGTTCAATCAATAGAACCGCAACAGAAGATTAAGATCATCGAACGCGTAACCAAATCAATGACGCCAATCCAGTGGCAGAGAGTGGCTTGGTCAACCCTGGCTGTGGATCGGTTTGGTGTCGGTCTGGGCGTCAATGGGCCTTTGGGTTGGCGCGTCAATTGCATCCATTCTGAATTTCCGAGTCGGTGCTGTCATGCTCTGGGTATTGAGGTAGGATATTAATAGTAATAGACCAGAAGGAAGGGGACTTGAAAATTGGATGTTACAGGGTTGATTGGATTTAATTATTCACGGATTATTGATAACTAACTAGTTTGACCAGCCACTAGTTAGTAAACTCAGTAGACTTCGCACTTCTTGAATCCTTTGCAGAAAGAAGGAATGAATGAATGAATGAACAAAGGAATGCATACCTATCTGGACAGATGGATAGAATGAATCCTGGCTGAGCTTATTTAATTTGCCTGAAATTCCTTTCTTTCGCGTGCACAGTTGCCCAAACTGGTCATATCTTCTTACGCTGACTTTTCCCTCTTGATTTCTCTCTTCTTCCTGCACGGAATTATCCAAGTTGTGGATTTACTTCTGTCGATTCCCTTGACTGTATTCATTCGTGTACCTCGAAGCGGGCCCCGACCAGATGGACCGTCTTCCTTCTAAACTCCCATTCTCCAAGCGCCGATTACGGGCGCGGGTGGTGATCTCGTGCGTCTGAATGATTGCTCTGACATACCATACTCCAGTCTTTGGCTAATTCTCCTGCTTTACAGCTATATCCTTGACTATGTGATACTCATGTTGGTTACCCTCCTCAATGCGTCGTAATCCATACTGACAAATCTTCCCGTCCCTCAGCGCCTGTATTGTCGGTTTCTACATCCTCGACTCCATCGAGCCGTACCACCAGCATTTCTCCCTCCGAAACATTTCCCTCCAATATCCCTATGCCGTACACGAACGGATCCCGATTGCGATGGCCCTTCTGATCTCCGGCGTGGCCCCCCTCACTATCATCGTGGTTTACACTCTCTTCATCGACGGGCTGTTTTCGCATCACAAACCACTGGACCCGGTGTCCGGCAAGAGAAGGTTCACTGGGCCGTACCGGTTCAAGGACAGGCTTTGGGAGCTTAACTGCGGTGTCTTGGGCCTTTTGCTCTCGCAAGGTCTTGCCTTTGTCATTACTCAAGTCCTGAAGAATGCTTGCGGGAAGCCTCGGCCGGATCTCATTGACCGGTGCCAGCCCCGCCCCGATAGCCAGGATCTTCTTCCTTGGGGGTTATCGAATTCTACGATTTGCACGGGCGATCCGGCTTTGATTAAGGATGGGTTTCGTTCGTGGCCTTCGGGTATGTTTGTGCGCAGAGTCCCAAGTTTGATATGTCCATGCTAACCTCATTGACAGGTCATAGTAGCTGTGAGCTTCTTCTCTCGTCTTTGCTTTGTGAACTTTTTACTGACTCCCTTAGCGTCCTTTGCCGGATTATTCTATTTAGCCCTTTGGATGAGCGGTAAGCTGCATGTTATGGACAATAAAGGCGAAGTCTGGAAGACACTTCTTGTCATGGTCCCGTGCCTTGCAGCGACCCTGATTGCAGTGACCCGTATTATGGACGCGCGGCACCACCCATTTGATGTGATTACTGGTTCACTGTTGGGTATACTCTGCGCCATAATTTCCTACCGCCAGTACTTCCCCTCGATTTCTGAGCCCTGGAAGAAGGGACGGGCCTATCCAATCCGATCTTGGGGTACTGAACCCGTGAACCCGCTCGCGCGTTATGATGGCGCTAGCGAAAGCACAGAAGCGCTTCGCAATCCAGCGCAGGATCGGAGGACTCAATCCGAAGTACCTGGGCATCCCGACCTCGTTGAGCCTCAACCCCAAGCATATCAAGCAGCGCCTAATCCATACGCCACCAACGTGTATGGCCGTCACACACACGACGATGGTGCCTGGTCATCGTCAAGCGAAGAAGACGTTGCAAACGGATACGAAATGCAACCTGGATATTCCCAGACACATAACCCTGCATATGCCGGACAGCTCCCGCAGTATGAATCCGGAATGGCATATCAATCGCAAACCCAACCGATAATGCCGGTACCTGGGGCAGGACCCGTACATACGCTACATACTACCACGGCTACAGAGGGCGTCAGACCACGAACACTGACCCCGCCTCAGGAAGCATGATCCTAGGGTTCCGTGCTAGATATGTGATGTGATGTGAGGGACTGGATTTACTTCGTTTCATATACATCCCGCTCCGATGCTATGACTAATGATATAGATTGCTTCGTGACTAAGAGGATCAGCTGCTGCGAACAAATTTGCGAACTTGGTTTGACCTTTGGATGAGAAAGCGGGTCATTGCTATTTTGGGCATTTGATAGCATGAATTTGTGTGGCACATGTGGATATACCAGCTTTGTACGACTACTATATAGCGTTGACATTCTTTCTTTCTGTTCTGCTTTCTACGATTTCCTCGCGACCAGGAGTTGCGTCTGCTATGGAAAGGGTTTACCATTTTGCTATCATGCCTTGAAATTGTATCAGTGGCGAGGATATTTACTCTCAACAAGGCGGCCAGCGAGCAAAACTGAAAGAAGTTAAGAGATACCATTCAGCAAAATCAGCAGTGTCGCGATTCCAATCCTCAGTCAGTCTTTTCTTAATTTTCTCTCGCTCTATCGTAATTGACCGGACGATGATGGACGAATACAGTGCTCGCCAAGTTCTTCTAACCAGCAAAAAAAAAAAAAAAAAAAAAAAGACGCAGCCCTGCTGATATAGTTCTCCAAATCCTAGCAGCATTTTCACCTACTATTTTACCTTGTTACACAAGAATAACAACAAGTTCATATAAGATATCATCATTCACAACGAATTCATTTCGTCATAGCTACAAGACATGAAAAAGTAGACACCAACCTGTCCTCCTGTCCATATCATGAATTCCTCTCTGGGTTGACGTTATCCTTCCCATTCATTAAAGATCATCCCTCATCCATCATATCCATAAATCATAAACATCAAACTCATAGAGCAGTCATACAGCAGCAGGTAGAGAGAGAAACACACACACACAAAAAAAAAAAAAAAAAAAAAGAGAGAAGAAACCAATAATCAAAACACATCACACATCGATGCAACGCCGGAAAAACTAGCGCCCATCTATACACTACACTACATAATGCGGCCGGCTCGACGAACTACGGCGACGATGCGAGTGTCCCCTCCGACTGCTGTGGCTTCGTCTCCGCACGGTCGTGGTGGTCTCCTTCACGACGACGACATCCGCTGAGCGTCTGGACATGAAGAGCGCGAGCAGGGCGGTCCAAAAGAAGAACAGAACCTCCATAATCCCGAGCGCGAAGCAAGTCTTCAGCATCCTGCAGGTCTTGTCCAGGTCGCCCGCGAGCGGGTTCCCCGTTTGGGACCCGTAGGATCCGAAGGGGCCCAGAGAGACCCAGACAGGGCCGCCGCCGCCGGCGCCGCCGTCCCAGTGGCTGCAGTCTGCGGCGGCGATGAAGCGGAGCTCGTAGACGGCGGCGATGAAGGCGCCGACGAAGAGCAGGTCGACGAAGGAGACGAAGGCGGCTGAGCGCTTGGTGGTGGAGTGGCGGATTAGCGTGTCGAAGCACCAGAAAACAGCAATCACGCTGACTATGAAGAGAACAAGGATGTAGACTGGGGTGATCAGGTTTGCTTTGACGAACCCGTTGACGAAGTAGGCCTGGCGACGGTTAGAGGTTAGATTAGGGTTGATTTCCCGGGGGAATTTAATGTACCATCATTCCGATGATTGGAATGAGAAAGGTGATCTCCGTCAGACGGTTGAAGATGAAGAAGATACTCCCAATCATTTTGGCTGGCGACTGACGGACTGTCGCTGTCAAGGTCTAGCCAGGTCTTCGAGATTGACTGGATATCCAGATGCAAGGGAAAAGGACAATCAATCGATTGTATACCTCGATGGCTCGGACGCAGATGCAGCAAGGTGCACGAGGGGAAAAGGAATTCCAAAGTTTCCCGGAGGGAGGAGATTTAAAAGAGAAAAGAAAGAGTTAAATTAAAAAGATCCAACCCCTGCTATGCAGAAAAATATAGAGAGAGAGAGAGAGGCTGGGCGAGTCAGGATTGCGGGGTGGCTGGGAGACAGCAAGAGAACTACGAAAGATGCATCTGCACACCATCCACCCTTAAAGTACAGGAACATCCCCATTCTGGTATTAAATATCTAATCTATTCTGCCTCGGCGTGAACATGCTTTGATTTTCACGAACTGACCTTCAGTGCTGTTCCTGTCAAGTCTGGATGGCTGATATCACCCCTGAGCCATAGAAACTACACAGATTCAAAGTACGCAAAATAATCCTCTTCAATAGACTAACCTTCCAGGCTTGCAAGCAAGGAAGCGCCGCTGAAATCGCACATCATCTACCACCCGCCCTTACCTCCAAACGTCGAGCTGTCATCAATCTTCTTCGGTAGGCCTCGCGTAGACTTGGACTGAGCCGCGTCGTGTTTGCGCAATTCATCCGGGACTCGTGAAATCGGCGATTTGATCAGCATTTGCTTGAGGTCGTACCTAGAATTAAAAAAAAAAGGCCGTCAGCATATACATTGGAAAAAAAAACAGCACACTGTAAACAGGAATAGAAAAAGAAAAGACATACATGACGTCTGCATCCTCATTACCCAAAAAGGTAATAGCCACACCACTCTTACCCGCACGACCAGTACGACCGATACGATGCGTATAACTTTCGATCGAAGTGGCCATGTTAAAGTTAACGACGAGACTGACATCGGGCACATCAATACCACGACCTGCGAGATCCGTAGCGACAAGGACATCCGTCGAGCCGTTGCGCACGGAGGCAAGAGCGGCTTCACGCTGCTCCTGCGTTTTGCTTCCGTGCAACGTCACGGAGGAGAACCCCCATTGTTTGATTTCGCGCGCGATGGCATCGCAGTTGCGCTTGATATTGACGAAGACGATAATCGGCGCGCGGAATTCGCCGGAAGACAGAATGTCACCGAGTCGCTTCTTGCGCTTGTCCTCCCCAGCCACCATCTCGACACGCTGCTCGACCGTGTCAACGGCTTCACCGGCGCTTCCGATGGTAACGATCGCCGGTCGACGGAGGTACTTTCGCGCGATCCGCTCCACGGCCGAAGGCATCGTGGCCGTGTACATCATGGTCTGACGATAGCGGTCTTTCATCCCGAGTCCGACGTGTCGACTCATCGCGTACGAGTCTTCGGCCTCTTCACTGTCCGGCTTTTCGTTGGAGACAGGAAGTGCATCAAGGATCTTGTTAACAGGCTCCTCGAAACCAAGATCAATCATCCGATCAGCTTCATCCATGATCACGTAGCAGCACTGGCTGAGGACCAACAGGCGGCGCTCGATGCAGTCGACGAGACGACCAGGGGTGGCGATGATAATTTCGGCACCGTTGCGCAGACTGTATGCTTGTTCTTCAAAAGAATGACCCCCGACAATACTGACAACATTGAATCCCAGAGGCTCCGTGAACTTTTTAGCTTCAATTTCGATTTGCTGCGCCAGTTCACGGGTCGGGGCGAGAACGATCGCGTAGGGCCCGTCGTTTTTGCGCGACTCGAGCTCGTCGATCCGCGGCAGTTCCGCGATATAGACCAGCAAAGGCAGTAAGAAGGATGCGGTCTTACCCGAACCAGTAACCGCAACGCCGATAAGATCTCGGGACTGCAAGGCGATAGGGATAGCAGCCCGTTGAATTGGAGTAGGCTCCTTGTAACCCACACGGCTGATGAGTTCCATCAATCGCTTCGGCAGACCAGACTCCTCCCATGACCGCATGGGGTTCGGGACACTTCCACCCTTGTTACTGATATTGAAGTCCTCCTTAAAGATACGCCAATCTCTCTCGCGCATATGCTCCAGCTTCTTCTCACTCCAGTGCTTGTCCAACTGGTTCCGGGTACTCTCCTCCTTCCGCCGGCGTTCCATTTCCAGGATCTCGCGCGCCCGAATCCCACCCGCCTCACTATCGCGGTCCTCCAGCGCCCTGGCGTATTTCTGCGCCACAGAATCCGCAACATCATCTCCAAAGCCTGCAAGACGCCCGCGCCCGAAGAAATGCGCTTCGTGTCGATTCTGATATAACGGATTATAGTCGCCGCTGGTATCCTCTTCGACATTCCACTCGAAATTGAATTTTCGATCCGTCGTGCGCTTCCGCTTCTTCTTCGCCGAGAAATTCGAGGTCTGCTCCGCACCCATGTATCTCTGCTTCACGAGTGCAGCCTGTGCCACTGCTTCCTCCTCATATAAGGGGCGTTTGTCTCCTCTTGTCTCCTGTGACTTAGGCGGCGGCGCATCATGGTTGTTCTTCGAAGATTGAGAATGGCGCATGGCCGCGGGCGCCGTGGGAGCATCGCTGTTCCGCATGGCGCGAGGACCCGTAGGTATGGATCGTAAATCGCCATTGGGTGTCTCCGAAACTATGGATGGAGACCGTGTACCGTTACTCTCTACCCCGTTAGATGTTCTGCTCGCCTTGAGCCTCCGCTCAGCTTCGACTTCCTTCGCGCGTTTTTCTAGAGCGAGTCTCTCTCGGTCCGCTTTGGACATAAATTTTGGCTAGGAGAACGATATAATCAGCCGCTTGGCACCATGGTTAAAGGCCATTCCATGGGGGCAAACGAAGACCTAGGTAGGAATGCTGAAATTATAGAACATACCTTAGCTGCAGCGGCATCAGCCTCTCTCTTCTTCCGTACAAGCTCTTCCACACTCAGCGGCGTCGCCGTCGGACGCTTCGCCCCCCAGCCTACCTTCTTTTTCTTTGTCTCAGGCGGAGGGGGAGCAGGTGGAAGGTCCTCGGGTGGGGGTGGAGGCGCGGACAGGTCTGGCGGCGGCGGAGGAGCACCGGGCTCTTCTGGGGGAGGTGGAGGAGGAGTGGGAGGTCGTTCAATAGGATCTTGGGGCGGCTGAGGAGGCAGGTGCGGGCTCGCTATGGAGCCATTTACGCCGATACCGTCCATGATGCAGGTTGGAAACCAACGGCACTGATAGAAGACTGGATAGCTGTTTTGGAGGCGGCGAAAAGAAGGCCGGCGGGCGGGAGTCTCGATGTGCTACGGGTAGCCAGACACGCCAGATACGCTCGCTAGATCATGTGCTATTTATTGCTTAAGATTCTACATTCAATTCACATTAAACTGACAGAGAAGCTGCTACCTAGACATTAGAATACAAGGGGGACAATGCCCAAAACTCATAATTCCCACCCAATCCAAATCACACATGGTCTCATTTGTTTGTTGAGAGGTAGGAAGGGGGGGGAAGAGAGAGGTATCCCTACCGCTGCCGTCACCGCCCAAACATGAAAGTCGCTGGAAGGGTGCATGCATCATTCAGGGGAGATAAAGAAGAACAAGAAGAAAGAATCAAAAAAGAAAGAGAAAAGGGAGGTAGGAAGGGGGACAAGAGAGTTTTTTTCTACAAAGGACCAAGTTACAAAGCAAAAGGGATTAAATGGGAAGGGAATTCTTTCACCAAATTGAAAATGGCGACGTTGTGGAAGTACAAACCAACATGACATGACGGGTGTGATTTCGAAGCCTACTCCTGCGTAGGGGCGCCTTCAACACCGCCGTTGACCGGGGCTTGCTGGTAGTAGTTATAGTCGTTGGTTTGTGGGGCAGGGGGGATGGAGTTTTCAGTGGACGGGGGCTGGTTGGCAGCTTGCGGTGGTGTTGGCAGCACTGTTTCGCCGGTCTTTGCATGGGCTACTGAGGCAGGACCGTGGACTTCCCGGTCAAGAGTCATGTACTCCTTCGCAGCATCCTGCGTTCCTCGCTCAAGCAAGTAGACCATGTAGGTTTGGACAAGTCCTCTCACGATCTCCGACGGAAGGGCGCTCTTCGAGCGAATATCCTCGATCACCTGCTTTATCCGCTCATACTGAGTGTTCTCTGCGGTAGCACTTGTGGGCTGGTCTAGCTCAAACCTGAGATAGTTTTGCCAGAAGGGCTGGCTGTCCAGGTAGTATTGCTGGTTCTTCTGGAAAACCTGGCGAGCCTCCTCGGGAGAACCTTTGATCTTCCACAGCAACCGCGCCCATTCTGCGACAAGGGCCGCCTTGGTGCTCAGGTCAGACTGTGGGGAATCCAACTGGGTCTTATACACGTCAATTGCAGCGTCCAGGCCACCGTGACGACGGCACATATTGGCCAAGGATACTATGGTTTCGACATGGTTGGGAATGTTGATGAGGATAGCTTCGTGGATCTCCTTGGCAACACTCACGCGACCAGACATCTCTTCAAAGTAGGCATACTGGAGACGGGTTGCTGGGTTGGCGATAGGCACGTAGAGACAGCTAGCGCGCTGGTAAATATTGCGTACTTCCTCCTCCTTTCCAGCCTGAGCGGACATCCATCGGGCGTAACGCTGCCAGAATTCGTCGTAGTGGGCACATGTCACAAGGCACCTTTCATACAAAAACTGAGTGCGCGAGTACGAGTCCTCGGCCTCTTCGAAGTCGAGGTACTTTCTCCAGTTCGCCAGCTGGCCCTCATCAAGCTCAGTGACGTGGAAGTACGGGCGCTTGATCTCCGACTCATACGTCCAGCGCTTGGTTGTCTCCGTTTGTGTTTTGGAGAAAATCTCCAGGTGGTAGCTGTCCACACGGAGACGCAAATCTCGTTCCACCTCGGCTTCAGCCTTTGCACCTGGTGCCACATGTCCTGCGGCGGCGTCAAGTTCCGCACGGAATTGGGATAGAATATCGTGAGGGGCCAGCTCCACAAGGGGGCGCGTTTGAGCAAGCTGTCTATAGCGCTCAAAGTACCGGGCATATTGGTGCATGGGGATGTGGATTACCCGCCCGAGGATACCAAAGATTTTATCAAAGGCTTCCACGCGCTCCTCATATTCAATGTACTTATCCCAAAACGGGTGAGAGAGAAAGTCTAGCCCAACGCTGCTTGCCCCTCGCTCAAACAGTCTGCAAGGTAGAGCCTGTCAGTAAACCCCTAGCACAACAAACACACTTCACAAATGAAAGGAACGGAGTAGGAAGGGGGGGGGGGGGGGGGGGGGAAGGGGAGAATAGGGAAATGACAAGGATAGCAAACATAAGCGTTAGATCTTTCAGTGCGTGGGAGCCCAAACAATTGAATGATCAGGGTGATCAGAGATTGTGGAAAGGCTTTCTCCCGGCCTGCGTCGAGCGCGCAGAGTAGGCATCACCGAACAGAAGTCCTGGATTATGGTGTCCGTGCAAGGAAAATGGTGCTGGTGTCAAATTCACAATAGATATTTTTTTTGAAGGGGGAAAAGAAACAGCCTGAAAAGCCATGGGTGAGAAGTAAACTCCAGTTCAGTTGAGTTTGGGTAAGGCGAGCGTCTCACCCATCTTAAGGGAACCGCTGCCAACAACAAGCCTTTGCATGATGCGGATTCCGCCCCACAGTGATAAATGTCCGCGCTGCATTGGTAACGGTTACAGGGAAGGAAAGGAAACCAGCTCTAGTCTACTTACTCTCGAATATTGTCGGTGTCATGGGAGGTTTCAGCTTTGAAGGAACAGTAGTTGGTCCACAAGTCGACGGAGGGGGAAATGCTAGCGATGCCTCGTTCGTAGACCTAAACCAACATTAGCCATCACTATGCACGACTCATCGAAGATTGGTGAGCGGAGAGTCCATACCATATCCGCAGCCTCAGTGCCTGTAATAGAGAACTCCAAGTCGGCATATTTCTTCCAGTATCCAAACAGCAAGGGAAACTTGGCAAGGAATCGATCGTAAACATTCCGTACAGTTGTGATCGCCTGTGGATTAGAGTTGCGATTGACTCCTCCTTCGAGGGCCTCTGCAGCACGAACGAGCCTTTCCCAGGTCTCGAAACTATCGGGGTCATCGAGCTACAAGAAACTCCAGTTAGCTCCCAGGAAACAGATGACGACAAAGAATCAGCGATCGCATCCTACCAGCTCAGCCTCTAGCTTCTTCAGCTCTGCGTTCTCCTCTTCGGAGCCTCCATAATTGTAATCCGCCATGATGGCCGTTGATATGGAATCACAGGCAGCACTCGTGATCAACGATAACAATAGCGACCGAGGATTTCTTGGGAAGCGTATGGATGAGAGAGGAGAGGGGGAGAGGAGAAGAAACAATTAGAAAAAGGGACCCCGTCAGGAATCGAGGAACCAGAAAAGCACCTAACTATTCTCTATTCTCAGCGCAGGACAGGACAGGACAGGACAGGACAGGACAGAACAGGACAGAGCAGTCGTAGTCTTCGTCGCCGTTGTTATTGTTGTTCGTTGCTCGTTGCTCCTTGACATCCTTCTTTCCTTCGTCTCGTCCCCAGCCACAGGAATCAAATCGCGCCGCTCTTTTTTTCTTCCGACCGGAGCCTCCTACCCGGATTAGGTCTAGTGCAACACCCGCAATTTTGCCGTTCCTCCAGAAGAAAAAAAAAAAGAGAGAGAACAACACCGCTGACTTGCTGTGATTATTATCCCTCCATTCAATTCAATTCCGCATTCATGGCTACAACTCAAGCATCAGGCAGCTTGGTGAACAAGCTGCCTCTGCGTCTCCGCAATTTTTTCGCCCGTTACCCTCCCCAAATCTACTCCGCCACGGCCCTACGCTCGGCACCATCCGTATCATCAGACGCCGCCGCGCCAACATCATCATCATCATCATCATCAACAACAACAACAACACCGTCGTCATCGTCCTCCTCTCTTACACCCGAATCCCTTCCGTCTCCATACACCCCCAACAGAGATGCAAAGGGTCACAAGCGTCCCGACCCCACCGCTTATTCGCCCTCGCGTGCTCTCCTCGTCTCCGCCGATACGAAACACCCCAACCCATTCCTCCCGCGGAAGAACTACCGTACCGGCAAATGGTTCGGTCCTCAGGTCGGCCTGAGAAGGCAAGCGGAGCTGGTGCAGCTGGCTATCAAGTACAACGTCGAGGCGTTGCTTCCGCCCGGCCGGAAATCGACCGAGTTCAAGGAGACGAGGCGGGCGGAACGCGGTCTGCAGATCAAGGGTACTGGTATTGGACAGAAGGTGAAGGGTCATAAGTGGGAGAGGACGATGGAGGCTCGTCTGGAGGATAGACGTAAGGCTATGATGGAGATGCCGGAGATGATTCGGTTGTGGAAGCAGGTGAGTTTTTTCTTCTTCTTCTTCTTCCTCTTCCTCTTCTGGAATTGGATTAGCATGCTAACTTTTTCTTTTCTCTTCTACAGAGAGGCCATGGTCGTGGTTGGAGGCAGTGGCCCAAGCGGTAAAGGGTTGGTTCGCCTTAACTGGGACTCGTTGTATAATGTATCAATCGTCATATCGTCTCTTTCCTTGTTTCCCAGTCACCTCAACAATGTATAGCTAGAATGGATGAAAGCTTTGGGTGACTTGTAGTTGGGGGTTTGGATGGGAGTTTTCTTTTCGTTTTTAGCTTGCATGCACTGTATAAATAGATATTCTCGCAATATGGTGTGCAAGACACACTGTTGTTAAATGATAAAAGGGCTTGAACTCTTCATTTGCTGTGTAGGTATATATTAATAATATATAACCCCTAACTAGTTAACTAACTACTGACTGTAATCCATTACATACATGTACCACATGCATAGACACTATGCCAAACCATTCTCGAATATTCACATCCCCAATACAACAATAACCAATGCAAAATCATATCATTATTCATTCCTCATTACGATCATTATCATCATGATCTCCAAATGATGGCGTGACAACATCTCCCACCATTACCGTTCCCAAACACCCCCCCTCCCCAACCTCAGCCGCGGGAGAAATATGCCTCCCAAACAGAATCTTCCGGTTGATCTTCCTCGTCTTTGCAAGGGTAGCAAACGGCTCATCCCATCGCTGCCCCGTCAGTTGATCTACGCAAACCATCTGGCACCGCTCACACGACCCCAGAACAGCAAAGGGCATCTGCTCCGAACCGATGCGCAGCGATTGCCAGGTATCTTCGACGTAGGGACGTTCGGCCGTGGGGATTGTTTCCGCAACGACAAGGTTTGCGCGGAAGACGTCGGCTGCGACGGCTTTCTTGGAGCTGCTGTTGCTGCCGGGTCCGGGAATGCCGGCATTCGTATCCGGGGCACCGGATTTGATGGCTTCGTTGAGGCGGTTCACGGACGAGCGTGATATGAGTAGCAGAGGGCTTTCGTTTGAGAGGAGGATGCGGGTTCGCTTTGCGGGCGTTGGGGAGGGCGGCGGTTGGCCTGGGAAAGAACCGGGCATGCTGTGGGTTTGCGTGTGGGGGGGAGGAGTTGGCTGCGCTCGGCCCCTACGACGTCCGCAGGATCTGGTCGATGACTGGGGAGGGAATCGTGCGAGTGTACATGGGACGCCGAGGAAGTGGGTAAAAAAGGTCGACACGACAGGGGAGGTGTAGGCTTGCAGCACCACTTTATCTCCGCAGACTGTCGAGGCCTTGGAGGTGTTCTGGCATAGAGATGTTGTCAACGAGCTCGTGTTTTCGCGCCGGAGCGATATTTCGAGGGATTTTCTTTCCTCTGGAGATGATGCTGCGTCGCCACGGGTGATCCGTAATACTTCCCGGGTCAGGTCGAGTGTCGGCTGGATAAGTGCCATCCGTGGATATCGCTTCTGATTCAGGGTCATGCCTGTACCCTGGTGAACAAGACACCATTCCCGATCCCATGCGAGACCCTCTCTTCGGACTTCCCAGCGCTGACCATCAGGTACTTTAAAAGCCCCGCAGCTTTTGATCGGGAAGACGGAGAGACTCTCGACGTAGAAGCTGGGCTGTTGTGGCGGAAAGCTTGCGACTAGGGGCACCAGGAGGTCCTCGGGCGGTTTATCGACATAGAATTCTTCAAGGAACGCCATGAAGGCGTTGATGTCTCGCATACTGCTCATCGCCCCAAGACTTACTCGCAGAATGCCTGTCGGTTGTTCATCCATAATGTCGTGCTCGTCTCCGCACCGCAACCCCGCGGAGTAATGGCGAAGCATATCAGCCCCAGTCCAACCGAGGCTCAGTGCCGTTCCTCCAGGGTTGCAAAGGGTGCCAGATCTGATCTGGATCTTCTTGATGCTCGCGAGCTTCTCCACCTCTGATTTCCCAACCCACATTCCATGACTATTGCGCAAGTTGAACGCAAGAATCGGGCCCTGTGTCAGAGAATCACAGTAATCCGAGGAGGGACCCAAGCCATAAAAGTGACAAACACGCTCGTCGTTGTAATGCCTCAACATCGCCATCCGGGTATACAACTGCTTGGCCAGAAACCGCGTATGGGCAGCAACATTCTCCATACTCCCAAACAGACGACGATGCGTTTCAAACGCACAGTCCAGCGCGATGATGCTATGGAACGGAAGAGTCCCGTCCTCCAACCGCTCATGGATCGACGACTCCTTCTTCGCATGCCAGGGCTGCGCCTCCCCTGTCAGAACCATATCAACCGTGCCACCGCCAAAGAACCTGCGGTGCTCCAAGACACGCGCAGCGCCCTTCCTAACAATCAGCGCCCCAAGATCCGGAAACCCAAATATTTTATAAAAACTCAGGACCGTAAAGTCCGGCGCAGCAGCCACATCACTCAAATCCAGCGGCGAAGTTGAGACGAGCGACGCGGCATCGAGAAGCGTGTACACCGACGACGGGGGCCCGTCTCGATTTCGGGTTCGGATCGACTCACACCACCGTCTTGGATACCGACGACCATGCATATTCGACTGTGCGGGGTACGCGAATAACCGGACGCCCTTCTGTGCAGGGCCGGCGTCACCATCAATCCAACTCTCAACCTCCTCGTCCGATATAAAACACCGCGACCCTCGTTCCGCAAGCTCTCTTACTCCGACAAGACTCGTATGGGCATCAACATGATACCCATACCAAAACCCCGGGCCAGTCGAGTCCCGAAACGCATCCGCCACCAACTTGATCGCCGCCGTTGCATTCGCCACAAAAACCAAGTCGAATTCATCCGGACTCGCGTTGAAAAAGCGCAGCGCTCGCAACCGGATATCATCTATCCGTTGGGTCGACAATTGCGAGGAGACCGACATAGAATGCGGATTCCCATAGAGATGGCAAGTCAGGTCCCGGCTGAACGAGTCAATCAGGGACTTCGCGTAGAGGGTTGTTCCCGCGTGGTCTAGATAGGTGGTATCTGTAGGGAAATATTAATATGACTTACTTTGTCTCTTGACTAGCACCGAGGGGAGTTATTTTACTTGCCCTTGAGTAAGGGATACTCACGCTCCCGAATGACGTCGATCTCGTCCGAGTATCCCAAGCAATACGGCATGGACATATCTCTAGCCCCCATGGCGATAATAAACAATTAAGAGAAATCAAGACGAGGGGTGTATCATTGTCTTCAAATCTCAATATCCCCCCCCTAGTGCATCACCATCGGAATGAAGTCAGGATGCAAGTGACGAAGGCATTGGGGGCAATATTAGGTACAGTTGCGTTGCAAGCTCCTGGGTCCGCCAATAGGTAAGGACCAATCGTAGGGGAGGGAAGGAGGATGAAAGGGAAGAAATGGGGAGAGAGGTCGGTTCCTGGAAAGTTGGAATTCAGTTAAAATGAGGATGATAAGCTGGTTGCATATTCTTATTTCCAGCCTGGAGGAGAGGAGTAGTAAAGTACATACGGAGTAGTGTGTTGTTGGTTGCTGTGAAATGCGGAGTGCAAAGTTGTGTATCGGAGTTGGCCGATCCAGACGGCCTCAGGTGCGTCTGGACGGTTCCGACCGTCTTTTCTTTTCATTGTAATGGCGATAATACTCATCATAAAAGGTTGAATGGAATTTACAAGTTCCTCGACTGTACCCCCTCATCTTTTGTAGCTCGTTATACTACGAAGTACCTACTAGATCCGCTAAAAGTGGTGGTGGTCCCGGCTTCAATGAACACTATTAGTACCTACGTATGTATGCCTAGGGAGGACGAGGGTAAACGAAAAAAGCATGAGATGAGTAGTATTATTTATAATTTATTCTGTTCAATTGTTATGCTGCCCGTGGAGCCCCTGAAAGTTCGCTTCTCTACAGCTTGCCGCTTCCGAGGTATCCATTCGACTTCAACCATGATCCAACATCTTTGCGATCACGGTTGACCCAGCTGATCTTGGCCCGAATTGCATCGAGACTCTGGTCAACTGCACGATCAAAGCCCTAGAGAAAATTGTTAGACACCGCTGTAAGGCTATAGAACCCCGAACGAGACGAAAGAGACTCACCTTGGTATCCTTATCGGCAAAGAAGCTCTGCACATCCTTCAGCTGCTCCTCGGTACAGAGACTGGCTGTACTGATCTGAACAACGCTGGACAGCATACCCAGGCCGGGTGGCAGGCGTTTGTAAATGGCGTCCCAGTTGTCTTTCAGCCAGGCCCAGCGAGCTTCAACACCCGCCTTGTGGCCCCGAAGCCCACCCAACGGCATGTAAATGTCCTGGCTCTTGACCTCATCGCCCAAGGCCAAGGCCAGGCTGCGTTGGATAAGTTTGGGGTCTTCGGCCGTACCCAGAGAGCGCAGGGCTGTGGTCTTCTCATCCGAGGTGGGTGCATTACGGAAGCGATCCAACACCACGTCGTATTCTTTCTCTCCGCCATATTTCAGGACGATACCAAAGACACTGCCGCGAATGTTGGGGTGAATCGCATTGGTATCGCCATTAGAGAAGCGCTCGAACATTTCCTTAGAGGCCTCCACAACAGTCTTGTCCCCGGCAAACCCAGCAGCAGCGAACATGATAGACTTATACTGCTGCAAAGTGTGGGAATCAGTATCCGAGAAAGTCCAGCCCAATTCGTGGGCCACCTTGCTGACCAAGGAGCGCTCGAAAAGCTCCAGGGCATCCTGAGTCTGGGTATCTTCAAACATCCAAGCCGCACGCAGGGTACCGACGCGGGTCAAAATTTCATTCCAGACAATAAACTCCGTTTCCTTGTTAAATCCAGTCAGGAGAGAGAGGAGTCCAGAGGTGCTCTGATAGCCCGAGGCAGCCAAGGCGCCAGCGTCGGCAATCATACCCGCGCGGTCCTCAACTGTAAGCAACCCAGCCCTCGCGGCCTCACCCAACTTGGCCAACCGTTCGGGAGAGTAAGATGTGCGGTAGATAGCAGAGTGGTCAGCATTGAGCTTGAAGAAATCCAGGTTGGGCACCTTGAACTCGCCCTCACGCTGGGTAAGCATAGTATTCTCATCGACACCCTGCTGGGTGCGCAAGCCTAGCATCACAGGGAAGAGAGTGGTGTCTTCTTCGGGACGAACGTCGCCGGTGCGCAGGAAACGGTTTTGCTTCAACTTGATAGTCGAGGAGCTAGGGTCCTCCGAGACAGTGATCACAGGGAAACCGACATTCTTGGTCCAGATATCCATGACCTTTTCCACGGGCTTTCCACTGGCATTAGCAAGAGCTGCCCACAGATCTCCGGTTTGGGTGTTACCGTAAGCATGCTTCTTGATGTAGTCACGCACGCCCTGGAGGAAGACGTCTTCACCGAGGTACTTGGATATCATGCGCAGGACAGAAGATCCCTTGGAGTAGGAGATGGCATCGAAGATCTGGTTAATTTCATCGGCACGCTTGACAGGCACTTCAATAGGGTGACTGCTGCGAAGGGAATCAAGGGAGAGAGCCCTCTGCAGGTTGTCGATGATGTAGGTTTGCCAGACTTTCCACTCGGGGTAAAAGCTGTTGCAAGAGTACCACGACATCCAGGTGGCAAAGCCCTCGTTGAGCCACAGACCGTCCCAGAAATCCATGGTGACCAGGTTTCCAAACCACTGGTGAGCAAGTTCGTGCTGGACCGTCTCAGCAATACGCTCCTTTCGCGAAGCACCACTGGTCTTCTCATCCAGCAGCAAATCAACGATACGGTAGGTGATCAACCCCCAGTTCTCCATAGCTCCAGCGCTGAAATCGGGGACGGCAACCATGTCCATCTTCGGGAGAGGGAATTCGCTATCAAAAGCCTTTTCGTAGAATTCAAGGGTCCTGGCAGCCAAATCCAGAGAGAAGCGGCCATGCTCAATATCCTGATCCGGGGTGGCATAGACGCGGATGGGAACACGGAAGGCCTTGGTCTCGATGTAGTTGAGGTGGCCGACAATAAATGCAACCAAATAGGTGGACATCACGGGAGATGTGGTGAATTTGACTGCCTTCTTGCCACCTTCAGCTTCAGTTTCAGAAGCCACATCCATGTTGCTTAGACAGGTCATGCTCTTATCGGCAATCAGAGTGACAGTGAACTTGGCCTTGAGGGCAGGCTCATCGAAACAAGGGAACGCTCTGCGGGCGTCGGTGGGTTCCATCTGAGTCGATGCGATATATTTCGTTTCGCCGCTGGGAGTCTTGTAGGATGAACGGTAGAAACCGGCCATGTTATCATTGAGGGTACCGGTGAAGGTCAACTTCAGTTGAGCGGAGGTGCCAGCGGGGACTGCATCAGAGAACTTGATAGTTGCAATTTGTTTTTCCTCATTGACGGAGATATCTGGGGAGGAGGTGACGACCGATCCCTGGGAGGAAACAGTAGCTGTGTGGATGTCGAGTTCGTTGGTATTGAGGGAGATGGAGGTAGTGTCTTCGTTAACCTGTAGGCTACAGCGGGGGTCAGCTTCTATATCCCACTTGACCACCTAATAAAGCGCAGAAAGAAAGGCCGTATAGCCACATACTCAATGATGACAGTTCCATCATATTTGTAAGTCTCAAAGTTGGGTTCCAGGGTCAAGTCGTAATGGAGCGGCTTGACGTTGGTGGGCAGGACCTCACGGCCATGAGGCACAGTGGTCGAGCCAGACACCTCAGCGCGTCGAGAACCACACATCCTGCGATACGAACAGTAGCGTTTTGAGAACTGGGCAAGGGGGGAGCGTCGAGGGGCAAAGCGATGCGTAGGGGAAGGTGGGGAGAGAGACGAGGGAGGGGTAGAGATATAAAGCGAACGAGAGAGCGCACGGCGGGGGAATCGAGAAAGCGGTGATGGCCGAGCTGAATTCAGCAATAGCGGCAACCGCGTGGAGGAAAGGCGACTCATGAACCCCACTAGAAATACGACACCACGAAGAAGAGAGGGGCAGGAAAAAAAGATTGGAGGAGAGAGGGAGAACAATGCGGAGAATTAGCACCAATGAGCGAGAACAATTCGAGTTTCAACAATACCTGCTCCGTAGATCTTGCATCGACTGAAGGGAGACAGAAATCTCACTTGTCAGTATCGCCGCGGTTATCCGAGTCTAGCAGGCGGTGTGGGGGGATTGATCCCTGATTTCTCTGGCGTTCAGGCACCATGATTTAAGGCATTTTTTAGCTTGTTTCGGATGGGAAATAGGGCTAAACGTAACAGGGTTAGTAGGTCACATGTCAGTCCCACATCTTCTCTCTTTTTCCCTTTTTTTTTTTTTTTTTTTCCCTCTCCTTCCTCCTCGAAAATTAATCATTTTCACGCAGCGTTTCTCAACCAGTAGATGCCAATGAAAGCTCTCGGGCTTTGAATTTCCACGGCAGATACTGTCGAGCTGCTTTTACGGCAGTGCTTGCAAGAAAAGTACACCAGCCAGTTTGAGGGGTCCATGACTCCTGCACCAGATGCAGCAACCGTGGATGGGCTTCCATAGATGACTGGGACACAACAGATGATAATCAAGACATTATTTAATCTATATATGCTTCCCAGCATTCGTCAACGAAGCTTTCCGCTGTAACCTCGAAATAGAGTCATAAACTCAACAAACGCGCATTCTTATTGTAAGTAGTTTGCCCAAGACTCACGGTGCCCCCAGCACAGATGCAATGGGGCAGCTTCGTAAACACACTCCGGGACCAGCCATCGGCATCAACCACCGTCTCCTTTACTAGAATATAGCCACCGAACCGCGGCATCAGAACCGCCCACGCAGTGAAGATAATAGGGGAGTTGCACGTAGACGCTCTGGCCCTCACTGGGAGGGATATATGGGGCAATAACCAGGTAGATATTGGAAAGGAAGAGCAAGGGGAAAGAAGCTCACTTGAGCAAAAAGTTATAAGCATCACCTGGCGGAGGAGCCAGCATGTAGAGCACTCCAACAGATCCAATGGCAACAGGCGACAGCGACAAGATTGTGCTCGGGGTAGCGAAGATGCCCTTCTTCGGGGGGGGCTATCTCCATGATGGGCGAGAGCCGAATCGTTTCATCGTCAGGGCGTAACAAGCAGACAGAAGACAGGAAAGTCCAAATTCTTTTTTTTTTTTTTTTTTCCTGTGAGGGTATCAGGGTCCGTCTAAGATATACGATTCTGATATAAAAGCAGTGAGATTAAGGTGGTATCGACTCTTCTTAGTTGAATGCAGCTCCGCGAAGTAGAGGCGGATTAGGGCCCAGTTGCTATATATACCCAGACTTTACGGATCCACTGGAGCCCACAAGAGAGAGCTTTGAATCGTTGAAACCAGTGCTATGATACACAGAAACCGATCACGCAATTCTTCCTGCTGCAACAATAACCAACCGAGTGTTGGCATCGCATCAGATTCTGGTTTGTCTGTGAGGGTGGTGCTGGTATATAGTTCATTGATTAGGGCTGCAATACAGGGCTGAGAATCAGCATCGTGATGTTCCAGAACCCCCAGATAAATACCCCCCCCCCAGGTAATGCAATCAATATCAATGTAAATTCTTATAATATGTATGTACACTCCATCCTTCTGGAGGGCAGTATCTGCATCAAATCCAGTATATCAAAAAAGGAGGGGGTTATCCCTCTCACCCACCCGACTGGACTCCCGAACCTGATCCCATATGGCCGGCCTCTCAGACCATCCATCATTGAGATTCTATCCTATCCTATCCAAACTTGTGGCAATTTGTGTACCGCATCCAAATCAACGCCTGTTCGAAATTCCAAGCTAAAAGGCAAAAAGAAAAAAGAAAAGAAAAAGAAAAAGAGAAAGAGAAAGAACAGCAAACCAATACAGTGTAAAAAAGAAGGGAAGAAAAAAAACTCTCTCTTTCTTCATGTCAAATAATATATGAACCGTCCAATAAAGACCCGGTGGGGGTCGAATAATCCGTAAAACCCTGTATCATGAACTCCGACAGGATTCATTAAATATAAAAATCAAACCCCTTATAAATGCTAATGGTGCATGTTCCAGCATGCATGCATGAAAATTCTCAATGCTCATTTCGGGGGCGTCGCTCCAGTGGCGTATGCCAGGTTAGACGGAATCATCTTTCCACTTGAAGGAGGGGTTTGTCGTTTGGCAAGAATAGTTAGCTTCTTGCGTAAAGATGCCAATCGACCGCGAATGCTAGACACCACTACAATCTCGAGTTAGAGTGCCCTTTGTTGAAAAAGATCTCGAGGTACAATAATAAAACTTACACTTTAATACAACCTCTCGGTCTTCAGCCTGCACGCCATCCAGCATAACCCTGTCGCCTTTGTCCGTATTACTGCCTTGGCCCAAACGTGGCACCTCATCGTCTTCTAGAACAGCTTCTAGCATCCGAATGGCTGTGACATAGGCAATCTCACATCCAGAGAGGTCCTCGCTTGTGAGTTCGTTGATAGCCGCTGCACGGCTCATCTCCAGCGCACGGTCATACATCAGCTTCTCTGCCGTCACCCCAGAGCTGACTACGACGTCTGCAGATGCACCCGAGCCAACCGATCCAATCGAATGGTTGCTCGGATGGTTAGGATGGTCAGGCGGCAGTCGTCGTTGTCCTTCGATTAACTTCAAGCGGACAAACTCGGCTTTCTCCAGCACCTCATTAAACCGGCTGCGCACCCATTGCACAACGTTGTTGATTCTGTTGCCCACAATCGCACTACCAGCATCGGCTCTATGTATTCCCGATTCCATTAGGGCTTCTCCGCGATTTTTATGATTCCACCAAGCACCAGCGATATCCATTGACTTGGCTAGCAAGGACAACGCCTTCACGTACAGGACAAGGGCTTCCTCGGAGAGTGTAATAACAGCATCAACTGTTAGTCCCCCGTCGGCCAGGTCAGAACCGGCGCCCGGAATATTAGACTTTCCATCGGCTTGAACAGATGGGGCTAACGGGATCAGTTGTTTGTATTTCACCTCCGCAAAGCCATATACGACATCACTTCGAGTAGCACACTCTTCAATCTCTTTGACGGTCCTTGTATCTTCATCCGAGTTCACTAGAGGCTTGGAGCCGTCTCCAAGGGCCATTAAGCCAGCTGGAGCTGTAGGATAGGCAGGGAAAGGGTTGTATCCCAAAGGGGGCGAGCGTCCACCTTTCGTGATAGTCAGAGGAGGAGAAAAGCCCATACCAAATAAACGCCCGCTGGCCATATTGAGTGCCTTTGAGATTGCTGATGTCGCAGACGTGGGACTTTGGCCGTATCGCCGTTCATAGGACCCTTGGCGATTATGTGTCGAGTCGGCTCGAGAGCGTCCCGATATAACCTGCATGGCTTTACTTGGGGAGCTCTGTGGTGATACCTGTATTGCTAGAGGAGTGCCTTGGGCCGTTGGTCGGCGAGAGAGAGCCCCAGCCTGTTTGGATATCCCACCTTGAATTCGAGGGTTATGAGCCAACTCATCTGCAAATGCATTCACTTCAACCGCACGCTTCTCCACAACAACGTAGTCTCGCTCGAAGGCAACTTCTTGTGCAGCACGCTCACGCTCCTCCTTCATCTTTTCAGCTGCCTTATCCAGCTGCGGGGTTCCAGAGTATGTGTGTCGATTCGTTTGTCGCTCTAGAGCAGTCATTGTCGAGGGTCGATCAACAAGCTCCTGACGTCCGGGGGCTGTGGCGTGAGAAACCACTTCCGGTCTTGGTGGTGGTGGTGGTGGTGGTGTTGCTACTGACACAGGCCTCGATTTTGAGGAGGGTCTGTCGCCACTACTAATTCTGCGCATAGATGCAGAAGCCGGTGGAGTTTCCGATCTATGAGGGCTGTACCGGTGAGGAGGGGTGTAATTAGCTTGCTCATTCTCATATCTCCTGGTAGATGACACGATCCTCTCCTTCCTTGTTCCTGGCGGAGTTCTAACGCCTGATGCCGACTCTGGGCGAGATGTCGATTCCTCAGCACCCGGCTCGAGTAAAGGGTGGCGAAGCGGGGCAGGGACATCATCAGCGATTAGACCAGGAATTGGACCCGTTATAATCCCGCTCTGAAAAAAATCGGCAAAGTTCATCCGTTCGACAGGATTCCGTTTAAGAAGACATCGAATTAGGGCCTTCATCTCGGCCGTAGCAGGATTCTCGTCTGGAAACTTGATCTTATCATCGCTCCTTTCAATCTTACGGAGTAGTTCCACGTGGTTTGTGGCGCGGAACGGCGGCTTTCCAACCACCATCTCGTAAAGTACAGTGCCCACAGACCAGAGATCAGCCTTGGCATCATACTTTTCGTATCGTAGGATTTCAGGAGCCATATATAATGGGGAGCCACATAATGTCTCAGCGAGTGACGTGGCCGGAAGAGATCGCGCAAAGCCGAAATCTGCGATCTTCAGCATAGGCAGCGATTCCAGCCCTGTTGCGGGGCTGAAAGAGTCTTCGCTGCCTTTGAATGGGACTACCTGGGGGGCCCCATTCCGATATGACGATGGGGACGGGCACAGGAGGAGATTCTGAGGCTTGATGTCACGGTGGATGAGGTCTCGGTCTCGAAGGAATTTGAGAGCACTCGCGAGTTGCTTGAGGAAGTGGCGGACCACTACTTCGTTCAAGGCGCCACCACGTGGATTTGGATACTTGGCAATCATATCCCTAGTATACCGGTGATCTCCGAGGCTATCCCGGCGTTTGATGAAAAGGGACAGGTCGCCCAAAGCACAATATTCCATGACCAGATGAATATGAGATGTGGTCTCGTGACAGTCGATGAGAGCCACGATATGCGGGTGGAAAAGACCTTTGAGGATGTGAATCTCGGAGGACAAGTTTTCCTTGAGCTTCCTGTTAAGCTTAGACAGGTTTACGGACTTGATGGCCACATAGGTGCGTGTTTTCTAGAAAAGCGTCACGGGTTAATGACCACCTTGATATTCCTTGAGCTCCCAGGAAGGCAGAGTGCACACTCACTGTATGAACACCTTGGTAGACAGTAGCAAAGCTCCCTCGTCCGATCTCGTCTAACCTCGTGTAGCGGCCGATGGGCATCTCATTATGAGCATCTCTCGACCTCCTCGGATGTTGTGTCGATGCCATGACGACAGCAGGGCGAAGATAGAGCCCGGAGACAAAAGATCTACGGAAACCAATCCACACCCTGTCAACCACACAGCTACCTCAGCAACGGCAACGGAAACGACGAAGAATGGAAGCCCATCAGGGTAGCGGGGATGGCCGGGTCAAGGTGAAGGGAAGCTCGAGGATCAATGTCGATCGATACGCAGTGACGGAGAAGGAAGCAAGATGTGGAGCTGAAGAACGGATATAAGTAGTAGAGATGTTGGGGGGCCGGCTGCAGCCAGGTGAAAATAGGCAGAACGGAATTCAGGACCTTCTAAGGATTCAGAAAGAATAAATTCCCAGCAGGAGAGTGTAGGAGAGCGGTGAGGCGGAATCGGGCGTTGGAGGCGAGAAGAGCTGTCGAGAACCAAGGATACGAGAGTCAAGGTAGGAAAGGGAAGCTTGATAAGCGAGTATGAGAGGAAGAAGAGAAAGGGAAAAGAAAAAAAAAAGGGGGAAACACTAGACAAGAAAAAAAAAAAATAATAACAATAGCTGCAGGTTATTGTCAAAAGTACCTAGCAGTAGTAGGAAGAAGAGAGTCGTCGTCGTGGTAGTGACGGGGGGATATGGAAGGAGAAGGGCGCCTGGCGAGGTAGAACCCAAGCAAACAAGGTTGGCGATGTCGTCGATGAGCGTGACCTTACGATAACGAGCAATGGAGGTGATTGATGACCCAGAAAGGCGGTGAGAAGGGCGGCGTCAGGCTTGGGTGGATCGTCAGAGCCAATGGATAAAGGAGCCAGTAGATGACAGGAACAGGGAAGCAGCCAAGGGAAAGAAAAAAAAAAGAAGAAAAGACGGGGAGAGAGAGAAGGAGAAGAAAGGGGAAGGAGACCAGGACAGAGATGGGGAGGAAGAAGAAGAGGAGGAGGAAGAGAGGATGGAAGAGATGGGATGCGGGACGGGATGGAGGAGGATGAAGGGAAAGAGAGAAAGATCGAATCAAGAGAGACGATAAGAGCACCCTGCTGCCTCAGGCCCCAGTAGAGCCGTCACGTTATCGATTAGATAGTCGCAGTCCATCTGATCTTACCACGCTTTACCGTATTTATCGTAATTTATGTCTTGTCTCAAAATTTGCTCCAGATGTGACTCAACAACATCTAGTAACTAACTAACTACCTAGGTAGTTAATTGATGGTGAGAAAAGATTCATTCTCCATCTCTCTTTCTCTCTTCTCTAATTTGGTGGAGTTGATGTGTTCAATACGTATGCCTCCTCCCAATTATGCGAGGTCGCGCCTTTTATCTGCCACTTCAGTCCTCCCCCAATCCCGATGCCTGCAATGCACACAACCCTTTACTCATCCTGGTCCACTGGCACTGAAGAGAGATGATCTATTACTTACAACTGATAAGCTAGTGGGCTCGATGGAGCAACCGCTCGTTCTAGTATCACACATCCAAAAGTCAAGATATTCTGGCCGCCTTCACTAAACAGCGCTAGGTGGCGATCAACCAGGTTCTGGCAACTCCTCGTATTCCGGCAGTATACTCGTGGGTTCGTTTGATAAATTGCACCATATTAGAATCTGATGAGAATCTGATAGGGATAAAAGATCCTTACATCCAGTCGTCTGAGTATTGCAGATACGACCACGACCAGGACGAGTCGCATCGGTCGAGTTTGAATCCTTCTGCTGTTCATTCATGTTAATCGGCTGCGTGTAATTCTACAATTCGCCTCCCTTAAATATTATTTGATCAGTTGGAAAAGAAAGAGAGAGAAAAAAAAAAAAAAAAAAAAAAAGACATTAGTATATATAAGGCCGGTTTAACTCATGTTGTACAGCATCAATCAAATCTAATCATCAGTCAATGTCAAAGTCCGAGTCCTCTCACCAGGAGCCATAACACTACAGGGACGAGAACATTGTCATTGCAACCTGTCAAAATCGCTTCGGTGGCACTAGCCCCCCCAGCCGCCAAAATAGCTTTGGCGATCGCCTTAGGCCAGGAGAAAGAAAGGGGTCCGTCTAATCCGCTCACAGGCCAGCCGCCCAAGGAAAGCCAGCCTTGCGCAAACATCAACCCTGTAACCACAGCGATCGAAAAAGCGACGCTCCCCTCGAGAGATTTCCCCCCACCCCAGAACCATTTCAGTCGCCCATATCGGCGGCCAATGAGCGACGCGGCTGCGTCTCCCATGCCCACGCAGATGATTCCACTCACCATACTCACATCCCGGCTCTGGACATTCCACCCACTCCACGGATAGTCCCCCGCTCGGGAAATATCAGCCAATGAGAGCCACAGAGGTATAGCACACCCTATAAGGAGGAATATGTGGGAAACGATGACCGGTCCTCGGTGATCGCGACCGTCCACATAAGGTGCGAGGAAATACGTCAAGGGCCGAGATATTGGTGGAAGTTGAGAGGCTCGAAAGAGGTCCAAGAGCAGGAAAATGGCCAGAACCAATCCCATCGCAAGGGCACAGAAAGCGGGATCGATGTAGATCGTCGGGAGAAACATCAACACCATTGTGCCATGGAAGACCTTGCGCCTGGTGTCCACCTCCACAAGCGCACTTAGCTGGAAGACGATTGTGACGCCAGCGACAAGAACGAGAATGCAATAACCAGCGATCAAGAGGCGCGTATTAGCCTCTCCGAAGAAAGTCTGGCGAAGATGCTCGATTCGACCGAGATGACAGAACGCGTTCGAGAGTTCATTGTCCAGGCGAGGGGGGAGAGGAATCCAGTAGTCTAGGTTCGAAGTAATTACCCAAAACCGGAACCAGCAAACGTTTCCGAACAAGTACCCGAGGGCCCATCCGAATGGCTCTACTCCCTGCAACGCACGTTCGCTCACGTACTTTCGCACCGGTCCCAAAATAATGGTCAATATGGCAACATAAACATAGAATGCATACAGCCACTTGCGCACTTGTACCTGAGGAACGGTCATTGACAAGAAGGAGGTCAATCCTGGAGCTATTGATCGCTTCCGCCGGCCACCCGGAGTGGTCCTGACCCTCTCCGAACGGATGGCCTCTTCAAAACTCGTCATGGTGTGCCGGTGAATAACATCCTCCTGAGTAGCGCTGTCCGGGGGAGCCGGGGGGGGGGTCTTTTCTCGGAACTCATACATCGTGCGGCGCGAGACACCAGTCAAATGGCTGTCCGGGGAATCACTATCCGAAGTAGCATCTTCAGAAGAGCCGGCTCGACTCAGTTTCTGGCAAATTTTATGATCTAATATATTCAAAATGTTCTTGGGCGAATGGGAACCGCCGGGGGATCGTCGAAACTTCCAAGTGGGAATTCTAGCCAGAGCCACCTCCCAGCGAAGGACTTGTCGGCAAGAGATAAAAATACACAGGCTGCCCAGCCATAGCAGCGCTTTAAGAATTTCCGCCTGAGGAGAGAGTGTGAATAAAAACAGATTAATAAGAGCCGTTGTCAGAAGCTGTAATTCTGCTGGGAGGACGCTTGTAGCCAAAAGAAAATCTAATGTGGGTATCAACGCTTGGTGCAAAGGGAAAATGAGAGTCAAAACTTCAGAATCGAGACCGCGCAGGGAGACAGGCCTTGGGATGAGGATTTTACCCCATGACAACTGCTCCGAGACGATGAGGGGGGTTAGCGTGATGATCCAATGCACGATGTCATGTCCATGGACAAGCCCGTGCAACGGAACAACCAGCGGCGGGATCGAGGCCAGACTGAGGAGAATATTCGGTAGAATTAATGATGGTTGTTGGTTCGAGAGAGATAGAGAAACGTATATCGGGATAATGATGGGGTAAAGAAGCGGTGCAGGATCGAAGGTGGGTGGAATGGCAAAGGTAAAGAGTCTGGAAAACCGCAGGCGTCCGTTTCGATTCATAGGGTATAGGGTGTAAGCTCCGAGAACAAGAAGAGAATGGGCGAGGAGCTCTGTCCGATCACAGGGCACAAATTAGCGACCGCAGTAACCCCATTTCAACAAGCTGCGAATACATACCTTTCCTCCAGGCCCAGGCAAGAGATCTCGCGCTCTCCTGCCCCAAGACCACGCCGCCCACCGACAAGAGCAAGACGGCCTCGAACGCCCTCCGCCCGATCTCAATGTGTCGTTTCCTCCTAAGCCTATCGCGTAACTCTGTGATCTCAGCTTCTGTCTCCTCGCCAGAGCTCCGCCGGGAGCTCCGTGATGTTGAGCGGGCCAGCGACGGCCACCGTTGTAATCCCGGAAGCCACATATCATGATCTCCCGTACCATTCCAACTCGAACGGACTCCTTTCCGCGGCCGCGGCGGTGCTGGCAGCCCCTTCAGCAATCCTGTACTCTCATCATCTGCCTCTGTACCACTATCACTCGACGCTCGGGTCCATTGCTGCAGCGAATAAAGCTCGGGGCCACTGGAGCCCCTGCGGCGATACGGGTGAGGCGAACGGGAGAAAGGTCGGATATCGTCAGAAACAGCAACGTCGGAGTCGGGTAGGAGCGCGTTCGAAAACGGCCCGTCATCCTCCTGGGTTGTTGATGAGGCCATGGCTCCATGGATGTAAAAGGTCGAGCTCAAATCTACAGCAGAAAGGGTATCATGATCGTGATTTCGAAGTCGGTGGTGGGAAGGCGGAGGAGACACTAATCCCGCGGGAAGTCAGTGAGCAGAGAGGCAACAGGGTAAGGACGACAGCAGCGGGGAATAGGACCAGCTTACGTGAAAGGAATCAAGACGGGATTGATTTAGGGCGGGGAGGGAGAAAGGATAGATGAAGATAGTGAAGAGGGGAAGGGAGGATAAAGAAAGAAAGAAAGAATAGAATTTCCGTTAGTGGTGGTGGTGGTAAGATTTGGATCGAGCTGTAGGTTGTTATCGACAGAGGGATCGATCGGGTGGAAAGCGGGCGTTTTCTCGCCCATCACATGCTGGGGAAACATAACAAAACTTCATCCTTAAATTCTTTTACACTATTATCTTGGTATATCTACTCACCAAAGATTTTTTTTGTCTACTTGACTTGACATACTCCGAGATACTCCTTCGTCGTGGTTTTGTCTTCATTTCCTCTCCACTTTCGGTCTGTTACGCCATCACGCCACGAGTACACGCACCCAACCCAACACTCTCCCAACATCGGCCTTGGCTTTAGTTCAATGTTGCGCGACTCCTCTGAGTACGTGTGTGGTTGTGGGTTTGTCTCTGGAACGGTAAAACTACTAACAGTTTTAGCGATTCTGGTGACTGGCGACTTATCTCCAGCGGCGTGTCTGGCGAACGCTTATCTAGATTGCCTACATCCAATCACTACCAATCGCCTATACGGAGTATTCTCGACAGCCGACACACGGTCAATAATAGTGGAGGGTTGGAGGGTTGGAGGTTTTCTCGAACCTTAAAAGAGTACTCCATACGATACCCGCAGAACCCCCTCCCCCCCATTTGTCGCTGCTTCGGAATTTGAAGGGAGCATGGATATCACACCTGTCGTTGCAAAATCACGGCTGCTGCCAGAGGCCGTCCCTCTGCGCCCCAGATTGACTTGCAGGGAATGATTTGCCCGGGGCAACAGTCCTGAGACAAGGGTTGGGTGGTGTAAATCACAGTGTGGAAGGCGCCTGATGGCTCAAAACACGACTCGAGCGCGCACTGGACATGCAATTTCAGATCAAATCCCGGGGGGCCGTGGTCAATTTCAATGCACGTGTGGCTCAGGTTTTCATTCGTGGTGGCATCAATCTTTTGTCCCTGCTCCAGGCTCTTCCTGGACATTTTGATTCCCGTGCATCGATAGCCTAGCCCCTGCCATTCAATATCGCTGTTTTTGGGCAGTTCCTCCACGTGCACTGCCAAAAATGCTGGCGCCTGGGGAGTCGCAGTGTTGGTCTGCACCAGGTCAAAATTAGGGAGCTTGGGAGCTGCAACCACCCTGCGCCGCTCGAGTTCCTTGCGTCCGTATTTAATATCCCAAGCGTCTAGCGCGCAGTCATCCTCTTCCTCGGGTTCTTGGGGACTCTGTTCGTGCATTTTCTTCCAAAGCTTCCACGCGAGCTGAGCCTTGGTCTGGATGTGGCTCGTTCCGGTAATGAAAGCAACGACTCCCAGCCACCAACCAACCTCCATCACCGTCCCAATTCGCCACATATGTTGGAGTGACAGAACGGCGCGTAAACAATAGGTCTCGGCCCATGAGCAGATTTCCCTTGAAGGAGTGGCCAAGTCCATTGATGCCGGGTCGAGAGGGATTTGACCAGCGATGTATACCACACGCTCTGCGCCTTGGAGCGGGATAGACATCGCCTGCGAATAGGGTCCAATATTCGCTGGTGCCCAGTAGGATCGGGATTGAACATGGAGTCCCTGTCGCAGATCCCTCGGCCCCAGATCGACCACCATCGAGACCATAATGCTCACCCCATCAGGAAGGCCATCCCCACAGGCCACTGTAGCTCTGGCCGGCGGGTTTGGTTTCTTAAATAGCGAAACGTAAATGCTGTTCATGAGCGGGAAGTCAGCCATGGAGCGGAGCAGGACCGTAGTAAAAACGATGTCAGTAGTAGTCCGAGGACCAGCTTGACCATCGCGAGTAAAGGCATCCAAAAGTGTCTGTATCTTCTGCGCAATTGCCGCCATCTGTTCAGCTGCCCCGGGACCAGCCTCGGGCGCTGTTATGTTCGACACCGTCCACAATCCGCCGTTCTCAGACTGCACAGACTCAGTCAATGACCACGAACGTCGTCCCGCCTCAACCACTTCCTCTTGTCCGTCCTTGGCGTTCTTACTCTCATCCAACAACACATCCAAGGCCTCCGCAAAGACCTTATCCAGCTCCGCTGGCCTCCTCACACTCTCTGGCGTGACCTCCTCACCATCCCCCTTGGGCACAACCCTCGCCCGCCTCAACCTCATATACCCAACACCCCCCTGTGCACTCCTCACCTCCCTCTCACAAACCTCAATCCTCCCACCCCTCCATAAAAACCGGGGCCCATCCAGCGCAAGCGTCTCATACTCGCCCCCCTCACCCAACACCGCTCCTCGAATATCCTCCCCTTCCTCCGCAAACCTGCCCATCCCCTTTAAAATCCTCCTTCGCAGCCCACTCTCCTTCTCCGCAACATCGCCCCAAAGAAAGCCCTCATCCAACGCCCCAGAGGCTACCTTGATAATCCTCGCTTCGCACCCAACAGCAGCCATATCCTCCAGCAACCCTGTCTGCGTCTGCTCATCTCCCTTCCCCCCTACCCCCAAACCACCAGCCTCCGTAGAAACAACCGAACGCGGCAAAATCGGGTACATCCACAACCAAGCCAAGGGCACCAACCCCAGCCGGCCCGCAACATTCTCAATCCTAGTGCGTTGGTACGTCGAGAGAATCGCACCGGCCGAGACAGCATTTGCCTCCGGATGCGCACGCATTATGTTTTTCAATAAGGGGACCAGGGATTCCGTTTCATCTTGGGCATCTGCACCAGCATCCGGATCAACAGATCGATTATCCCGATAAACCCGCGCCGTATCAACCGCGCCACCTTGAATCGGCGCGCGATACAATGGAATCCGCAATGCCTCCTCGTAGAGCGGAATCACCCCCCATCCAATAGTCTGATACATGAAACTATCAATATCTTCTTCCTCTTCTTCTTCTTCTTCTTCTTCTTCTTCTTCTTCATTGCCCCCTCGGACGATTTTCCCATTCCCTTCATGAGAAACCAGGCGAGCAGCCGAAGCCGAAACAGTAGTTGTAGAAGAAGAAGAAGAAGAAGAAGAAACCCTCGTAGGCGGATGCAAATTGGCTAATGCAACCACTCTATGTCCGTTCCGGATACAGTGCAGAATCGAATAAAGCGAGTCCTTCCCGCCGGAGATCAGGGCGATTACATTGAGGCCCTGCGAGTGGGGAGGGGGCTGGTTTGCAGTTGAGGGAGACATGGGTACCTAATTACCTAGGTAGGTAGGTAGGTAGGTAGGTAGGTAGGTAGGTAGGTATAACCAACCCGCTCCTCTATGTGTGAGGTTGTAGGTGAGCACGAGAGGTGTGTAGGCTTTTTCGTTGCCCTTGCTTTTTTTTGTGGTGGGGGGAATACCACTACTACTACCACCACCACTACGTATCAGTCGAATAGTAGTTGGAGGGGCGATAGATGCAGAGGTATGCTCTTTTCTTAGCTTGCGATGAAGATAATGAATTTATGATCACGTTTTTCGTGATTCGAGCTGAGAATAGTCGCGTCTGGATCTGCCAGGAATGGGTTGCGCGGTGCTCGACTGCCGAACCATAAGAATCAACAGTGGATCCGCCCAGCTTACTACACATCCAGTACTTCTAGAAACCTGGAACACTACTACTACAACTACCACAAGTAGACAATTCTTCACTAATCAGATTATCACTAGCTATGCTGTAGGACGACCGTACGTGCTCAACGCAACAGCAAAAACGCAGTATTATGCACAGGGGACAAATATAGAGAGAGAGAAGACACGATGCACAGAGGGTATGAGGCAGCGATGGGGGAATAAGCTAAATTATACATGTGGCCAGCACAGAAATGACAGAAGCAGACAGGGATAGCCAAGCATATTACATCGAAATAAGGAAGCAGAAGACAAGGTGAACAAAGCAGAGAAGAGAAGGGAGAAAGAAGTATGTGAAAAGAAGAGAAGAGAAGAGAATAAACCAAGTACACGAAGGACAGGCAAAACCAATCGACCTCGAGGTCCATCAACGGTTCCAAGGTCAGGAAAGAGAAGAGAAGAGAAGAGAAGAAAGATGAAGATACAACCCCGTCATGCATCAGTGAAGTCAACTCACCATGCGCTCTAATTATTTTGAATCCACCTATAAATTCCAAGTGCGCCCAAAGTCCATTAGCGCCCAGCTGAAGTCCCCAAAACTCAGGCTTTCCAAGAAAAAAAGAAAAAATTTCCTTGATTCTCTTTTTTTTTTTTTTTTTTTTTTCTCGCTCTGGCTGTGACCTGAGAAATTGTAGAGACCTGTGAACCGCACACCCTCGACGTTGTTGCCAGACGCCAAACCAAAGACCAAGTCAGACCAACCAGTGTAGATGACAAAAGGGAAATGTATTAATTTAATAATATTGGGAGCTCTTGGTCACATAGCATTCGTGATAGCTTCAAGCGACAACGGATCACGCATTGTTCTCGTCGCGCTTGCGCTTCTTGGCCGGTCGTCGGTCGACAGGTGAGGTCTCTGAAATGCCATCATCCGACGACTCGCTGGTGGTTGACTTGGTGGCAGCAGCGTTTGCTGCTTCGTAGAGAACGGTGCCCAAGGCACCAGGGTCGCGCTCGTCGAATGACGATTGGGGCGTGTTAGGATCAAGGACACCCATCACAATCGACGTGCCAGCATGGGTACGAGCATGCTGAGCCAGGTTATCACTGCGAGAGAACTTCTTGCCACACTCATTACACTCAAAGGGCTTATCTTGGGTGTGCAGAGAGCGGTAGTGGCGCTTAAGGTGTTCCTGGCGACGGAAGCGACGAGAGCAGAGTGTGCAAACAAAAGTCTTGGAGGGATCATCCGTCAATGACTGCTTGCGTCCACGGCGATTAACCGATACGGGTGTAGAGTTTGCCTCTGAGCTAGATGCATTGACTTCAGAGCCCTGGCGGACCTGGCCATCTGATTGCTGGTCGTCGGAGGCGCTATCATTAGCACGGTCGAAAGACATCTGGGTCTTCCTGTTGGAAGCCGGAGATTCAGATTCACTTTCGGAGACATCGGACCTCTTGAGAGACTTCCGAAAGTTTTTCCGCTTCTTTACGGGCATGGTCTTGTCCTGCACGATTTTGATACCATCACCCACGATGGGGTTGAAGGTAGGGAGGGTAGACTGCGTCAGCTCCAGGTCCTCCGAATCTTCTAGGCCGTGCTCGCTCAGGAACTCGTCTTCATCCAGTGAATATGTTCCAACGCGCTGTCTCTTGCCGCCCAGATAAAAGGTGCTTCCACTGGGGTGGAAGTCAACAAGGGGGTTCACAAACTCGTCGTCCGAGTCCAGGTCAGAAAAGCTGTCAAAAGACGGCAGCGTGCTGAGAGGATCCTCAGTCGATGCGGTAAAAGACGGTGTCGGGTTCTCATGCACAGGCAATGTGACGGCCTCGCTCCCCAAAACCACCTTAGGCTCCACGTCCTCGCAAGAAAGAGAGGGCAATGGTGGTAGCTCGGCCGGCTGGTGGTGAACTGACGACTCAACAGTAAGCTGGCGAGGGTCGCAGAAATCCGAGCTAGCCTGCTCGAGCGGGAAGCCTTGTTGGGAATGGGCAAACAATGAAGAAACAGGGGATGGGGATGGGGAAAGGGACGGGCAAGAGCTGTGTGTTGATAGGAGCTCAGAGCTGTGGCTGGCGGTGAGGGAAGGGGGATGGATAAACACTAAATGGGTTGTTAGCCCGCTGATCAACCCTAACTGAGTGACGTCCACTTTTTCCCCTCCTATTTTACGAACGTCTCATGTCTTGAAGCACATCATAGGATAATTGAAATGAACTAAACTTACCAGGTGTCATGGGGGGGGAGGCCGATCGATGCCAGTCGACATTGGCCAGGATCTCTGCATGAACATCGCCTTCACATCCCTCCTTGACGCCCTCCACCTTTTCGAAGGTGAAGAAGCTGTCGTTAATAGGAGTATGGAGCGCACCACTGCTCGAGGGTGGGCTGCTAACTGAGCTCCCTGCCGTGGAGAGAGGAGGGGTCGAAGGGAATGCGTAGTAGTCGTTGCTGACGAACCTGGTGTCCAAGGGGATCAGCGCAGGCGAGCCTTGCTGCACCACAATCGTGGGCTTGAAGCTAGTTGGCTGGGGAGAAGCGATGGGAGTCATGTTCATGGCTCCTCGGAAAGCGTTTGTGGTGGCCATCTGGTGCATGTTCATCACTGGAGCAGAGTAGATAGGCTGCTGCTCCGGTACGCAATGCGGCTGTGGTTGTTGTTGTTGTTGTTGTTGTTGAGCAGCATGTGGGAACGGCGAAACCTGCCCATAGTAAGGCTGCATTTCAGAAGGATGGCTAGTGAAAGGTTGTGGCCTTGATTGCGCATCGGCCGTAGGATAGTATGCGAACTGAGGCTGCCCTGGAGCGGGAGCCATTGCATATATTGGGTCCATTCCTGCAACGAAATCTGATTCTCTATCATCCAAAGTTAGCTTCTCTTCCAGAGAATTCAAGCTCGGTGCAACCCACATTAGGTGAATTGTTCGGGAGTTGGCAAGAAGCAGAAACAATTCTTACTCTTGAGCGGGTATTATTAAGTATAGTTGGGGATGTATTAGGGAGTAATAATAATCGGCCACGGCGACGGTGGAGGAATGAATGTATAATAGAACTCTTGCTCTTGGGATGAAGGAATGACTGAAGAGGCAGAAGAATCACAACGGTCCCAAAATGGTAGCTTGCGGACACAGTGGGAAGCGACTGATATCGCTCTCCGTGCTTCTTGTATTCCTGAAGATTCTCAAAATGCAAGTGTCGCAAAGTCTGTGAAGGAAGGACAGGAACCTGTATAGGGTGCAAACCAAACCACGCGATTGACTGGATTGGGTGCGCTCACAAGGTGCCGGGAGACTGATGGAAGGTCGCAAGAGAGAGGGCAAGAGATAGACAAGAGAGAAGAAGAGAGATAGAAGAAGCAGAAGAAAAAGAAAAGAGAACGAGAGAGGAGGGTCGAGACAAGTCTAAAAAAGGAAAAGAAAGGGCAATAAAAAAAAATAAATAAATAATAAAAATAAAAGAAGATTAATGTGAAGGGCAAAAAAGAGAGTGAGAGTAACGGGGGGGGAATGAGAGACAGGGCCGATATGGGATGGGAAAAGAGAAGAACGGAAGGATGGATGGACGATGCTGATGATGATGGGCAGTGGATAAAAAGAGCGAGTAGATCGCTCAGCGCCGTGGTGAGCAAGCAGCAACTTGAGCAGGACGAAATGGAGCATGTACTTTTTAGCTTAGGACTGTCTTTTTCTTGGTGTCTGCATGGTGGTGTGGTTTTAGATAATTAATTAATTATTTTTAAATAATTAAACAAATAAAATAATTAAATTAAAAGAAAAGTAAAATAAAATATTATGATTATTATATTCTCAAAATTCGAATCATAAAATCTGATAATTCCGCCCGTGATCCAACAAATATTTACATAAATGGGAAGCCGCGACAGGCGGGACTTTTCTACCCCAGCACCAGACTTAATCATCCTCCATCAAATAAAAAAAAAGAATCCAAAGAAAAATGATCAGCTTGCCCAAAATGTCTAAAATATTGTGCCATTCCTCAATTTGGGAGGGAGAAAGCGCCGTCGTTCGTCGACCAATCATCGTGTGCATCCACTCCACTGCCTCGGCCGGGGAATCCCAAAACAGGCAGAAGGGCGTGGGGCGCCGGAGAGCACGAGTGGAACAACCCATTTTCAATGGTGTCTAAATTCAGAATTGCATCAATACCGTCAGATTCTGGTAAATGCGGAGAACGATCGGTTCCAACAGACGCAGAAGAAGAAGGTAAGTAAGCGCTATCACGGTGGCCAAAATTCATGTCTCTTCATTTTCGACATGATTTGTTCAATGTCTAAAGAATTAGCTGTCTCGGGTAATTAATCTTTTGCCCATCCGCAACAATTATTGGTGAGGCTTGTCTGGGGGGGGGTTATGAGCGCTGACGGAATTGCCACTACCTGGCTACCTACTAGGTTCCGTCCAATGATTCTCTTCCCCCCCCTCCCCCAACTCCCAAAATAGATCACAACATTAGATGACCGTCCCTCCGCTCGACATGACTTCTCCTACAACCAACATAGTTTGTCTCTGGATTTGGTGCGCGCTTACTGACGCGGCCACCATCGATCAATGACATCCTCCCATAGCCCTGGTGAGGTGACGGGTGTTCTGTCTGAGAAACTTGCATGATCCCAGTGCCTATCTGGCTTATCAGCGACCTGTCCGTCCCACCAAGATGGAAAGATGAGCATGGACTCCGACCAATCATCCCCCTATTGAGGAAAACTGGAAGTGGGGGGGGGGGGGAGGAGGAACTCTTCTTTTCATTTTTCTTATTTACCGCATTTTTCTTTTCTTTTTTCTTTCCCTTTTCTTGAGGTTCCAGAGCGGGGTTCTTAGTGAGTGAGCAACAACTGCACCAAGGCATGACCCAATTGTTATCTGACCACTAATAGGTAAGTTACTGTACAGTAACCGTCCCAGGAAGTTTCGGGGGACTGTCACAATTCACTCAGGTTGTGCAATGCACCGGAAGTGCAGCGAAAAGCCAATAGACGGGAGCTCTGAAAGGGAAGGATTGACTCGCCGGCTGAGCTAGTCGGCCCCACTGAGCATCCCGTCCGCCATTTGGGGGATTCAATGTTATTCCTGAAACATAAAATGAAAGGAAACCTACTCCGTAGTAGACCAGACACCACCTGGCACTGGTCCCATTGGTTTTATTACCCGTATTCATTCAGTATTACTAGTCCTACTATGAACCTTGAATTTGTCCTGGGGAGAGTAGGATCAACAAGGACCAGGTTCGTAAATGCCTGAATGTGAACAAGACTGACGGGCGGCAGTCGATCAGAATCAATTCCCCGTGCTATGGAGTGGTGCGAGATGGGGATTGGTTGCACTATGGAGCAAGTTGGTCAGTGCCACACCGTTCTGGGAGAGTCCAAGAGAAGGCCAAAGGTACCTACCTATCTATCCAAGGCGAGGTCGAAACAAAAATGAGTCTTTTCTTACCAGTATGTATCTACTACAATCAGGATTAAAATAGGACATTCTCTTCTATGCTACTCCAATGTGGCTACTCACAAAAAAAATTAGATTAAATTTGTAACGGTTTTGGCCCACAGATTGTGGCATGGTGCTACTGTACTCCAGAACATATCACGATGCATTAATCCCTGTCAAATCCCTGCCATAGCGCCTTTGTCGTAAGAAATTTCAATTCCCAACTAAAACAGGAACCGAGTGTCTGGATTGGATCACCGGTTTCTCTGTTATCCCAGTGTTTATGGGATGAGGTACGCTGCAAAGAGAGCATCCAATGTGTAGTACTAAACTGGCGGTGTTCGATATGGCTGCGTATTTTTTTTTTTTACTACTACTAAATCAGCACAATGAAATTCCCACATAATGGCAGACGCTGACGACGACAGCATCACAACGTTGGCAATCAGAACCCAATTCCTACTACCTACCGCCATCGTAATATTGAATCCTGACCGACCAGGCCCCTCGGGAATTCGAATAAGAACATACACTTGATCTACAGAATCACTCACATTGGGGATTAGACCTGTTCAACCTCGATGGATCCAAAGATACATACATACATAGTTAGGTAACTACAAACTTCGACTTACAAAGCCAGGCTCCGGCCTACTGCAGGAACAAATGCGGAGACAGCCCAGGCTTGCAGCATCCAAGGAACTGGTCGGAAAACATCAGATCAGCCCTTGCTTGACCCATTTTTACCCAAGAGGTGATTTTCCACTCTGCCACTCTTACCAACTAGCCAACTGTCTGACAGTTTCGTTTCTCGACGTAACACAAAGTCAGGAACGCAGCTGTCAAATCAAACTCGCTGCCGCTTAATACGTTACTTGGATTTCCCCCAGGTTTGCCTGCTGCTTGCTTGCTTGCTTGCTATTCCAGTTCAACGTCAACACCAACGCCAACGCCAACGTCTCGATTGCTTCTCCGCCAATACCCGGACACCCTTTGTCGCCTTTTTTTTTTTTTTTCTCTCGATTCAATAGTTTACCTATATATTATATATATATCTTTTACTCCGTAACTAGTTAACTAACGACAAGATACTTATTTGTAATCTTGATGTCTTCTCATTTTTAGTAATCCCTCATATTAACTGAAACTATCACCCTCCCCGCCACTGATCAGCATAACTTTATTCTCCCCCTACAGACAGGTTGCAGAAGACAGATCCTGATCATACAGATAACTTTGTACGGACGGGGTTGAATCACAATCTGCACGCAAGGGATTCAGAAGAGCTGTCAGATTGAGCTTACACCCCGCGCGAATCCCTTGCCCCTGTCTGGACCTTTATCGTTACGGCGCACTTCGCAGGTGGTACTAACTATGTACTACCTAACTAACTCACTCACTACTTGCCTATTAGTAACCAGCCGGTCAGTCAGTAGTTAACTAACTATAAGGCTTGTGGGTGAGTTCCAGGCAACCCGCGCGTGTAACACAACCCGAATGAACCTACCTAGTTGTAGTAGAAGGAGAAGAAAACCTATACAGAGTAGTTTATACTGAAAAATATCGTGTGGACGTAAAGCGAGAAAATATTGATTCCCCTACTAATAAAAGTTACCGGTACTACCTAGGTAGGTAGATGAGTAGATTCAGTTGATTTGGCCCAACTAAAGATAGTAGAAAGACCATTCGTTGGAAAGCCACGACGCTGGAAACTACGTAACTATGTGTTCTCGAGAGAGCACCCATTCAAACGCATAGCGTAGGGTTTCGGAGAAAGTGACCTGCTGGGAAATTAATTACCTCCTAGGTCAAGCGAGAGTTGACGATTCAGAAACGAAAGAGAAGAACAGACCGTGGACATTTTTTTTACCTACTAACTAACTATCTACTCCGTATACTCCGTAAGCCATGGAATCCGGTGTGGCCTTCGAGAAAATAACGATTAATTAATTTTTTTTTTTAGCTCGGGAGTCTGATTTCCCTGGGTGTGCTATCCGAGACCGATAATTTGATTACATGCCTGCTTTTGTCCATGAGCAACGGGTGACCTCCACATTTCTCCATGGACACCGCGGTACTATGTACTATGTAGTATGTACCTACTACTACCTACTGAATAGGTAGCTCAGGTACTTACTCCGTCGCTAGGACTAGCAAAGCCCGAAACGGTACTCCGTACTACTAGTAGTATTAACTTATGGATCTTCACTAGGTTCCAACACCTTTCCGAGCCGGTGGTGGTCTCCAGGAAGCTAGCCAACCAAAGCAGAACGTTGGTATGTATGTATCTATTGTATCTGCAAAGTACGAGAAGCACCACCATCCACCCTAATTTTCCTTGGCTGGTAGGTGAGCAGTGCACTGAGCCGTAAGGGCCTAGAGAAACCGTTGTCGCACAGACAACAAATATGATCAATCAATTCTTTCCTTTTTTTTTTCTGCCTTACGCGATGCTCACCGGAGGAGGGGGGGGGGGGGGGATAGATATCTGTATGTGTCGTGTGGGAGGAAAAAAGAAATGACAGGGGGAAAATAAAAATAAAAATAAGCTACAAAGGACAGCCAGCCTGATGCTCGGCCGGCGTCATCAACGGCTCCAGAAAATGATAGGTAGGACTTGCAAGGAATCAAGAACCCTCGAATGACATCCATCTTGTCCAGACATCAGAGACCCCCCCCGTCACACTCGCATACATACTACATACTACATACCAGAGTACGCCATACGCCATAGTCTGACCGATTGACTGACTGACTGACTGACTGACATCTTCCGATTTTCCAGTCAAGTCTCGGAATTACGTGACAGGTCAAGCACAAAGACGGGAAGGGAACTCCACCGAGGCAAATCACGAACGACAAATGCCTACTTACTACCTACACTACAAATTTTCAAGTTGGCACCATGTATGTTATTATGTTGGTTTTGCACCTTTCCACCCAACACTTAGAGGACCTTCGCAAGGTGCGTGTAAGTGTAATGGGGTTAATTATCTTGCGCCCCGTAGGCGGTACCTTTTTTTTTTTTTTTTTTACTTTTACTTTTACTTTTACTTTTACTTTTACTTTTACTTTTACTTTTGGGAAGGTCTTGCCAGCCACACGGTCTATCCCAAGACGCTGATACGGCGAAATCGCAAAAGAAAGCTGGTCTGCGCCTCCCGGGTGCTAGACGGGCGGTAGGGGCCTAGTCCCGCGCAAAGTGGGCGCTGCCACGGGTCCCTTCGAGACAAGACGCTCGTGTAGAGTAAAAGAGAGAGTGACGGGGTGCGCGGCTTACCTGGCGAATCAACAACCGCGATTGTCGCACTTGACAGAGGCGGTCGATAAACTACCTAGGTATAGAGGCAAGGTGGGTGGGCATCACGAAAGGAAAATCTCTTCCGATCAAGATCAGGGGGAGCCGTTTAGGTAATTTACTTGGTACAGAAAATGAGTACTTTATTGTGTGGTGGTAAGTTGTAAGCAGACAAAGCGCCCGGTTATCAGATATCCAGAGTGGGATCATCAAGAAACTACGGAGTATGTAGAGAGAAAAAGAAAACAAAAAGAAAAAAAAAAAAAAAGGTACTTTTCTAGCCAACTTCCAACGGCGTGGGAAAAAGGTAGATTGTGGATGGAGTATGGAAGCAACAGGGAAAAAAGCAAATAATCACTCATCTCCACCAGCAAAAAAGTAGCCCCAAAAAGATTGACATGAGCAGCAATGCAGATCCAACTGGATGTTAAGTTTAGTTAGTTATTAGGAACAACAAGGCATGACTCAGGAAGAAGTTTAAAGCATCATGCGACGGCTCTAAGTGGGTGTGATGTGCGTGCAACTCTCCTACCTGCCTACTCAAGAGGGAAGGAGACGGTTTCAACAAATAATTGATGGTCTGATGGATGGAGCAATGATGGACCATCAACGGTGATCTGGAGGATCGGGAGGAATCTGGATTCCCAGTCCAGAGTGAATTGAGCCCTTCTACTAACTCTTTTGTTGTGGTGCTTGGGAGGCTTCATGGGATTAATTTGCATGAGTCAGTGTATTCTTTCAACCGTCTACTCCGGAGGACTTACTCCTAGGATGAAACCCAACCAGCATGTCGTAGGTCGAAAAAAATACATAAGAGAGTCTCGTTTGAAGGAGAGAATCATTTACTTGATGCATAACATTTCCAAAAATGGACTTCTGACTGGTGGGAGTGAGGTCCTGGTCTCCGCTCTTTTCTGGAACATTGCAGAGTGGATTCTATTCTCGACTGCAGGTACCAGGAAACTATCGATTTTCTCTGCGGGTTTATTCCAATTTTATTCAGGACTACATCTCCGAGCGACAGTAAGCCCATCAGACCGGAAGAACGGAGTTCCCAGAGCGCACCTCAAGTTCCTGTACCTAACTACGTACGTACGTACTCCGTACTATCGTTGGGACATGGGCTTAATATGGAGCCGATTTTGATTCTTAATCAATAGTCGAAGCCAAGGTGACATCGATTTATTGTTTCAGGGCTGCTAAATTCTGGGTTCGGAGCTTGGAAGAGACCGGGAAGTGGAGGAGAACAGCTGCTCGTAGGCAAGGGAATGCGTGGGAGATGTCTCCTTATTGGAGAGCGTAGAGACAGTAGCCTGTTTCATATTTCAAGCTTGCCACTAAGAGCTTGGAAACTATGTACCTAGTCCTATACTCCTACCTACTTGGGAGGTAACTAACTCTTGATTCTCTGGGTCCGTCCCGACGTAATTTTCTAGTGTGTACGGAGTACTCTTGCGCGGTAGCTTGGTTGGAAGCTATGAGGAATGCATTGCATAGTTATAAATTGAGGTTTTATCCCTCCCTCTCGCATACCTAACTACTCCTCCGCCTGGGCTCACCACTTGCGAGATCAAGTCCCTTTGTAAACAGTTAGTCAATCCTGCCGGTGTACCCGGGGGTCGATAGCGAAGGCTAAGTATAGTTGTAGTGTCTTTGCGGGGGCAAAACTACTCTAGTACAGGATGGTGAATCAATCTGTACACCGTGTCCACTTGCCGTCGGATAGAATTGACCGGGTTTCCATTTCACGCCGTCCAGAATCGTAGTAATATCTGGGTATCTACTAGTACCAAGTGTTGAGGAGCAGCGAGGAAATAACTTCCTTCCACGGTAGACCATAGTTAGTGGCTAGTGGCTAGCTCCGACTAGAAAGATGCCAATCCTGGGGAACAACCCCGAAAAGGACGGAAGTTTACGAATGAGGCGTGATGTGCTTTTGCCCGTTGGGGAAGCTCATTCTGGCCCTCGTGCGCATCATGTCGAACGATTGGATCAGGATACTGCCGATGCACAAACACGGCACTTGGGAGCGGGCCTCTGTAGTTCCCCGGGAGCCCAAAAGGTCCTGGTGGGCAGGTCCGTTCGGACTCCATACTTGTGCTGGGAAGGTGGATTAAGTGACAAGACTAGAAGATGAAAAAGAAAAAAAGGAAAGGGAATGGAGATAACACGTGTGATGATACTGCTTCCAGTTGGAGTCTATTAGTCCCATTTGACGGTGGGCTCACACACTAACCGGTGGATGCAGAACTAGACCGGTGTGCTGGGAGGGGCCGTACCTACAGTAGTCTATAATACGAGAGAGGATCCAGGTCTTTTTTCTGCGCTACTTTGGCGCTACTTCCAGAACACTGGGAGTCTGGGAATGGTTGTAGCTATACTGTTGATCCATGGTTCGAGAAGCCTTAGCTGCGAGGGAAGAGAAACGTGGGTTCCGTTTGGAATCTTGGTTGAATATCCAATATCCCCAAAGGTTCTATATCTCGAGGAAGTTGAGTATACCAACCCTAAGTATTTCCTCCAACCCTTTTCTTTCAAGTAGTAACTACAAGAAACACATTTAATGACTTACAATCTCTGCAGCCCAGCCCTAGGAAATTTCCACTCTCAATTTTGAGCACAAGTTTCTTTCATTTGGAGTTTACATGGATGCACCACCTTACATGAACTCTAGATGCCATACCTCAACCACGCAGCCTGCAAGACGAACCTTCTCATCTTGAACCATTCTTTGTGGCAACCCTTAAAAAAAAAAAAAAAAAAAAAAAAAAAAGAGAGAGGGAGAGAGAAGAAAGAGTGAAATTCCACCAAGCAGCTTGGCTCTTTCTTTTTCTCTCTCCGTCAAATCCACATATTTCTCCCTCTTTTCTCCAACTCAGAGGCGCAGCGCAGATAGGAGAAGAGGAGGGAGCCCAATCCATGGTATCTGCTTGTTTCTTTTTCCCCTTTCGAGACTGGAATACTTTGTAAATCGCTAGGAGCCGATGGCCATGTCGAATGGAAATTTCAGGGTCGTGGAGTAGCGCAATTCCGAGATTCCCAAGCCGAACTCTATCTGAAAAAAAAAAAAAAAAAAAAAAAAAAAAAAACCAAGAGAGAGACAGAAGTGATCCATGATGGAGCCTATACTTTCTTCCTTCAGCTCTTTTTGTCTTTTTCTCCACTTCTTCAGCGCCAGGTTTGTCATCGCGATATCCCATGTTTAACCAAGAGGTAGGTGGGTGCTGCTTGCTGAGCTCGAGAGAGGCAGCTCTCACAGTTATCCAGCAACTGGTTATTCGCGCATTGGGAGCTTTCTCCGTGGGGCAATGATGTAGCCACTTCATGCACGGGCTCGGCGCAAAGACAATTGCCAATGCAAATACGGAGTACTCAAGGATTCAACTCCTCCACCCGTGATCGACGAGGACGGGCCATGTCCAGACTCGAGTCTCACAGTCTGACGCAGCGGTGTGCACCCTGCACGGTGCACATCATCCGGAGGAGTAGAGTATTACCGTTACGACTAGGTATGGAGTACTAAATACTCCATGTCAAGAACAAGTTATGAACTTCAAATGCACAATCGGGAACATGGACAACCACGATCACAGCCGGACATCCCAAGCCCACAAGAACGGATTGGAGATCAGATTCACAAGGGTACTTACTCACTTACTACCTACAGAGTACGTACCTAGACCCATCCACTCGGGAGGTGGCTGAGATCTTCCAGGAACCAGTCAAACTCTTTACGGCTACGAAAGTCCTGGGCTTGCGTAAGAGAATGAAACAAGACCACAATGCAAGTGGACGTCTTGTCTTAGATCAACCTGGGGACTTGAGAGGGTACACCCGAGCATCCCTTACCAGACCAGACCCGATCCTTGCCTACTCCGTAGGAACCAAGGGAATCGAAAATCTCTGGAACGAGAGAAACAATGGCCTGATGCTCATTTCGCGCTCTTCTTGCGGGCTCCATTATATCACAAGCTTCTTGACCTTCTATCGTCACCGCAACTGACACGAACCATGGTTCGTCCTACGATAAAGGGTAGGTAGTTGCTGAGATATTTACGGAGCGCCCATAGACAATTGTCCGAGCGACAGATGGCATGGCAAGATCAGCGCACGCAATATTTTCACCCGATCTTACGATATCAGTGTTGAGAGACGTTGGAGAGACAGGTTCCATCCAGTCCCTCCTCCAGCCCTCAAAGTCGATATACCACAAAACGAAAACATAGCCAATGAATGCTTGTATCTACCCATCTCACCGTGAGATTACCCAAGAGGACCGCAGGAGCGTTTTATCACTTCTCGCATCGGGAGGTGTATCAATCAATCTCATCGCCGAGTCGCAAGTCCACAGCTCTAGGGAAATAAGCATCCACCAGGACTGAATGCTACCTAGTACGTAGCTAGGGGTCTTGGTTGTAGAGAGCAACCCAATTCAAAAGCTTGAAATCGCGTCCATGACGAAGAAAGAATAATAAGAGATGCACACAATACACGCCCTAGAGCCATTTTTCAAATCGCAAAAGCCACAACCCAAAACAATAAAGAACCAAATCCAAATCCAAGGCCTCAGTGGATGAAGTTAAGATCAACCTCCCAAACGAGAGTCAGTCTCTTCCTATCATATATAAAAAAAACATCCAATTGTCTCATCATAAGCCTTTTAAGATTGTATTGTGGAAGAAAGAGAAAAAAAAAAAAAAAAGAGAATTCAAGATAGCAAACGAAAACAACCGAGAAGAAGAAATTTTTTTCCCTGATTACGTAATAGCTCACCTTCACCGTAAACTTAGAACAGTAAGTTATTCCGGGTTCCGGGGGGGGGAAGGGCGAACTACCGAACTATAAATACTTCGACTGTGGCCTCGATTTTTTTAACCTCTTCTTTTTCTTTTCTTTTCCTTTCTTCGTGCGGCGACGCAACTATTTTTCACCCGTGTTGCCTGAACATCTTTTTTCTTCCCATGATGTTTTCTCAGGTGTCAGTTGTGTCACAGAAGGAAGGAATTGCACACCGGTTCTTACTTTATTGGTCTTTCTGAATTTTCTTCCGAGGATGAGACCATTTGGTTTGGGATCGGACAATCTTTTTTTTTTTTTTGGACTCGTGTCTTGATGTTGATATTGAGTCTTTTGTAAAATATCTGCGTAAAGCTTTTTTTCGGTTTTTTACGCTGTAGAGTAAACCCTATAATCTAGGGTTGCTTGTGGGTGTTAGGATAGTGCAGTTGTGTAGCTGGGCAGTAATGTAATTAATTAGTGCTTGAATTTATTTATTTTTTTTTCTCGCAGAAGTGAATCGTAACCTGTCTAATAATGCATCTTCAAGCTCAATGCTATTTCCGTACACTGGTGTTTATTCGGACGCCCATTCACTATTCACCCGGCTCATCGCCAATCTTCTCCAGCTTACCCATCTCTCTCTTCTCGCCTGCCTCCCCAAAGATGCGGACTCTGTCCACGCGTGTCTTCTCCCCATCCCCGTCGCCATCCACAAAGAACACAACCAGCGATGTGACGTTCTGGAACTTGACAAAGCGCAGGTCAACATTCGCCGTCCCCGTCTTCGCATCCCAATCCTTGGCCTCGATCGTCACCGTCTGCACAGCAGGTATATCGTCCGCTTCGTCAAAGCCTAGCACGTGGGAACGGTTCGTATACAGCTGAATAGTCTTCGGGCGCATAGGCACCTCCTCCTCGTCATCATCCTCGTCGCCTGAGGCAGGCGGCAGAGAGGTAATCTGCAGCGAATGCACCTTCAGCTTCGATTGGAACGGGACAAACAGCATCAACTGCTCATCCGTGTCACTCTCCACCCAGTCGGGGCTGCCCTTCTTTCCATTGTTCAGCGTAGACGGCTTCGACGAGTCAAAGAGCACCTTGGCTTCGCCGAACTCGCTATCGCGATTCAACAGCTCAACCCCCTTGGGGTCATACTGGTCCGTGATATCCTCGTAGCCCTTGGGGACGGCGCCGCCAATCCACACCCCTCCCGCCGAGGAACCCTGGCCTGCCTCGTCGGCGGAGCTATCTGATTTACTAGCTTCTGTTGCGAGTTTCTGAACAGCCTGGCTTAGTTTCTGAGGGTCTGCGCCGCGGACGGTCGATGTAACGCGGCCTCTTTCGAAGACGATGAATGTGGGCATCCTGTGTCGGTAAATCACTGATTAGCTTTTATTTCGCTTTTTGTAAAAGAAAAACCTAGGGAAGAAAAGGGAACGGCCATTGAAGATGACTCGTAGGATTGAATGCATACGCAGTAACTCCATAGGCCTTCGCGAGGTCTTGTTGCTGGTCAACGTTGATCTTGACGAATGTGATCCGGTTTGGACGCGAGAGCTGGGCAGCCAGCTGCTCGTACGCTGGCGCGATGGCCTTGCATGGACCGCACCAATCGGCATAGACTGTGCCATCATCCAGAGTGATACTGTCAGTGGTTGTACAAGAGCATGATAAGAAACCTAGCTAAGGAGAAAGGGGGGGAGGGGGTTGGAGGGGAAGGCGGGGGAAACAAGGAGCTGGCAAGAGGATTGGAAGGGGGGGGGGACGCGGTCTCACAGTCTGCGACGACGAATTTGGAGGTGGTCAGAAGAGAGCTGAATTGCTCCTTGGAGGAGATATGAACAGGCTGTGCCATCGTGGCGGTGGTGGAAAGTATTGGATGGAGACAGGAAGTAAGAAGAAGAAGAAGAAGAAAAGAACTGGTGTTGTTGGGTGGCCGTTGTTGACTAGTCACGATATATGTCATCAACCCCTCACCATCCTGGGGTGAAGAATATCAAGCTCGGGTTATTGAAGTTTGGCGGTGCAGGAAGATAACTGGAGTTAGGATCACTGTAAATAAGTTACCTAGGTATGCTTCTAGTCCTATTAGCAGGGTATTCGCTCTATCCTAAGGCTGACTTTTATACGACTCAATATGAACTATACACTTTCCCTCCAAACACGCCCAAGACATCAACAAGATAACCCTGTAACCATGAGCAAATTCTAGCAGGCTTTTCAGTCCTGATGCCTCCAGCTCTTTCGTCGCTATCCTGGAGCGACCGTAGCGGCGAGGCGACATACCGAGTCAACTGTATAGGCAACAACGATGCCAGTAGTGCATGCATGTATACACCTCGACCCCTAAAATATAGGTAGCCAATGGGGGATTCAAAGCTCTCTCAACTTGAGCAATAAACAAAGTGATTGTGCGAGTCGAATCTCTTCACAACGCACCACCACTCTCATTCAAGTCTTCAGCCCAACCTCGTCGCTTCCCTCTTGCCCATGCCCAGAGCAATCACAATCCCCATCACAATCCTCATCCTGTACGGCGAACAAAACCTTCACCCACAAGCTACACCCGCGACAACCAACAACGATCTCCCCTTGCTCCGCCTCCCTCTCCAACTCCGTTTCCCTCACCAGGAACCCCCGTTCATCACCACACCGACACCCGCGATACCACTGCACCTCTCCATCTGCACCTGCATCTCCCTCGTCGCACTCGAAATCCTCTAGATCCACAACCTCAAGCCCCGTATGGAAGAACGCCGTCCCTGTTTTCTCGCGATCGAGGGCCCTCGCCCGATCGAGACGGAGTGAGCGGTCGTATTCCGCGCGCAAGGAAGGGTCCGAGAGGATCCTGTATGCGGTTGTGATTTCGTCAATCGTGAAGGGTCGTCCTCCCTTTGGACTATCGGGGTCTTCCTCCGCGGAGGAAGCGGAAAGCAGGGTGGGATTCAGATCTTTCGCGATCGCGATCGCGTGGGACGCTTTGTCCGGGTGGTGTTGGAGTAAAGCCTTGTGGTATGCGCCTTTCACTTGTTGTTTTGAGACTGTACGAGATGATTCCGAGAAAGGGAGGTTTAGGATCTCGTAGTAATCTGGGGGGGGGAGGGCGGTTGATCTTGTCATCTTTTTTTTTTTTCTCCGTCGTTTCTTTCTTTGCCTTGGAGAGGATTGTGTGCGGGCGCAACCTGGCGTGGATAGATAAGTATGATTTAGACCTTGGGGGGGGCGGGGGGGGGAGCCCTTTGCTGTTGGTCTTATTTGGTTATTATACCAGGGAGAGGACAGTTTTTGAATGTGCTTTGTCAAGATGGATTTTGCGTTATGGTGTAGTGAGTGATCTGTGGTTGAAACGGCGCGAGTTTCTTGGGGGTGGATTTCCGCTTGATATCTCCGCCAACCCCCCGCCTATTTTACTAGGGATGGAAAATGTGATTTAAGAGAATTAAGACGATAGTTTTCTTCTTTACAGCAAGTAAAGTTTTGATGATAAATTACTTATTTGTATGCTACATTGAGGAACCCCTACTAGAAAGGAAATCAAGTATGGATTAGTTTGCATTGCGAGAAGCTTATTGTATTCATCCCATCTAAATCTAGAGATGTATCTCATGGTACAGCCTTGTAAATGGACCAGCAGATTGAGACAGCGGTCATCTAGGGAGATGAAAAGTCGTCGGATATCAAAATGTTGAAAAAAAAAAAAGAACAAAAAAGAAATACAGTACTCCCATGGCTGAAATTCCAAACGCGAACCCAACCCCTTAGTAGCGAGACAAGGACGAGGTAACATCCTTTACTCAGAGGTCTTGAACACATATCGGTCTTCAGCCTTGCTGGTGAAGGGGACGCCCAGCTCCAGGAGTTTAACATAGACGTCAGTAAACTCCTTGAAGAAAACATCGTTGTCTTTGGCGTAGCGGTCGACATGCTTCTTGAACTCCTTGTCCTTAACCAGGGCAATGTCGGTGGGAAGCATCATCAGGGTCTGGGTGGTCTTGTCGGTGAACTGGGTAGGTCCGCTCCACTTCTTCTGCTGCCACTTCTCGTCAACCAGGAGGCGGAAGAACTCGTTGGAGAAGACAGTAGGGCTGAAGTCCCAGGGGCCATCGAAGCCCGAGCGATCAGTGTGGGCGCGGCCCAAAGCGTGGGCACCGATCAGGGCGACCATCTCCTGGTCGTTGAAGCCCATGCGGTAAAAGACGTCACGAATGTGTCTCTGGTCCTTGGAGGCATCGGGGAGACGGCCGTCGGGGGTGCAGGCAGAAACATCCCGGTCCTCACGTCCAGGCCTCCAGGGAATGACGGGGCCACCCAGTTCCTGGATGGCGCAGGAGCCAGCGAGGGTCCAGAGATCAGAGTAGGTGATCCAGGGGAACTGGGCCTTGATGGGCTCCAGGAAGTCCCGGGCGGTCTTGAGACCAGCGTTGGCACCGTGGCCGGACTCGGGATCGAATCGCATAGTAGCGCCATTGCTGCCACCAGTGCCGGTCTCCTTATCGTAGGTACCGCTTGCGTGCCATGCCAATCGGACGAGGACCTAGTAACCCAAGTGGTTAGTTCCCGTACCGACACGGCAGAGGGATTGAAGACTTACAGGTCCGTAGCTGCCATCATCGTAGTCGGTCTCATCAGCGAGGCGCTTGGCAATGGCATCGTACACCTTCTGGTAGTCTGCCTGGGTGGGAACGAAATCCTTAGAGCTGACGCCCGCATCGCCGCCCTTCAGGTAGAAGTATGCACCAGCACCACCAGCAACAGCAAGGCCAGCCCACAGGAAGGTGTTGGACTTCTTGCCAGCGTCAGCCTCGGAGGCATAGCCACGGCGCGAAGCAGCACGGAAACCCTGGGAAGGGAGGGCGAACCGGGAGCTGCGAACGGCTGGTCTGAAGGCGGAGGTAGCCGGGGTGGAGCGCAGAGCGCGGGAAACCGATCTCGCAGCGGAGGCCATTATAATGGATGTAAAATGAGAGGATAAAGGGATTACGATGATACCTAGATAAGCCCTTCTTCAATCAAGAGGTGAGATGATGATGATGGTGATGATGATGATGATGGATGAAGAAGAGGGGAAGGAGAGGAGAGGGAGGAAAGGAACAGATCGGAAGGAGGAGAAGCCAGGGAGGGATGAGAGATACCTTTTTAATAATAATTGTCAATCGTCATCCTGGCTGTTCCAGGAATTCCCCCAAATACTCCGTACAGTCGGAGCTCATCGAACAGACACTGGAGACCAATCATTGAAGGCACATTGGAGAGCTCCCGACCCAGATCTTTCGAATTGACTCAGCAGAACGAACCTAGACTTGGATGTTAACTATAGTTATAGTTAGTTAATTATGGGGCTGTTGTTAATTATTTACAGCTTTGCGCTCTTTGGCCAGGAATCGAACAGGTCTGTTCTTCATCTACACAATTGTCTGCATAACTAACTGTCCCAATTCTATCCTTGGGTCTTCGAAGCTGAATTTGGACCGTACAATAACATACCAGTACTACAGTTGAAATTAAACCCACAGAGGAAATCTTAAATCGAAATGAAGATAGTAGATTGACATGATCTCAACTAATCTGAGGATGAAAATGTCCGTCGTAGAAATAGTCCTGCCGTTCAACCAGAAGAACACCAGGGTGGAGTAGACGCAGTCCTGCTAAAAACTGTTTGGTTTTGATCTTCCACTGAACGAACTAAGAAAAAGTATGCCTCTATGCCACTGAGAAGGCTAGACGCGCACAATGTGGTTGTTTAAATGTTCGGGTTATCCAGGCGAGGATTTTGGGGACAGAGATGTATAACACGAATGGACATCATCATTAAGATGTCCAGATGAATGCTACACCTGTGTTTGAGTCTGTTGGCGTTGGCAACGTCTGAATCTCGCGTAAGGTTGAGGAAGGAAGAAGAAGAAGAAGAAGAAGAAAACAGAGTCGGACAGAAACACAGGAGGAAATTTAGTGCTCAAAACATGTCACATGATCATCTTATGCTCGCTTATTTTATCACGTGGTTGACTAGTCCGTGTTTGCCGGAATAGGAATAGCTTCAGGCAGCCAGCTTGGGCGAAGCGACTTGGGAGGTTTAAGGCTTGTATTGCTGCAGATACCTTGATCATCAAAAATATCGAGGTAATATTCACCTCTACTGGGGAACTGACAGACTAGAGAAATACTACTAGTTAGTACATAATATATGAATTACAAGTTACCTACTAACTATCATGATATTGGCTATCAAGAATCACCGAAGAGCAGGATGATGCCCCAGGCACTAATATATAGTATAGTGTCCACGTGACATTCCACACCACTTTTCTTGAGAGCAAAAATTTCTTCCTCCGGAAATCTTCTTCTTTCTTCTTCACACATTCATAACCTCACGAACGCATAATCAACCTCCAATTCTGGTTTTCCTTTGATGGTTGACTCCATAGGATGGTAGGTCATATTGGCGAACAAGAGTAAAGTCTTTTCTATCGAGCAACTTACGGCTCCTCGACCGTGCAGAGTTTCTTCGGAAGCTTGACGTACAATGGGGGATGGAGCCACTTGTTGCTCATACATGCATTCGATACTTGAAGATACATCTATATATAGTAGAATGTACTCCGAAGGTAGGAATCTGGGGCATTCAGCCTCGACGATGACCGTAGACTGGACATATGGTCCCACCTCGAGCTGGATTAAAGACAGCCAGAAAGAACTACGAGCCCCAAACTTGGAGGATCGAAGAAGAAAAAGAGGATCGAAGTAGAGAAATCAAAGATTAAAGGAAATTTACATGTGGAAATAATTCATGAATGAATGAATAACAAGAAGAAATTGAAATTGCTGGCAGATCTGATCTGAGGATGCCTTAGGATCCCACTACCCCTGACTTATTTTACAGGATCCTACTATCTCTGCTAGTGTAGGTACTCGGGATATTTATATTTATGATGATTCAAATTGGTTCACTCTGTAAGAAACAACAAGAAGAAGACAATCTAAGAGAATATTGTAATATTGTACTCCGTACGTGGCTGAGCTATTAATATATATGTATAGTATTACTCCTTCGTGCTCTTCTTCCCCACAGCTATCCGCAACTCCTCTATCCCTGTCGCTCACTCACACTCTTTCTTCTTCTCCTTTTGCTGTTCACGTTCTCCTTCTCCTTCTCACCTCTCCACCCCTCTTTTATCTCCAACCCCTTCTGCATCTAACTATGGACGTCTAGTCTCTGTAAATATGCTCCGCTTGTTTGTTTGATGATCCATCCTGTTCTCCATCTCGGAACGTACCCCGACTCTTGAGTCTTTTTTTTTTTTTTTTTTTCTCTTCTATTCTATCCGTCCTCGCGCGGAGCATTCGGTCTTCGCTTTTTTCTTAGTTTTACTTGACTAGGTGAAGACTTGTAATTAGCTGTACAGTCTACGGTCTACGGTCTACAGCATCGCAACTATGGTCGCCGGTATCAGCAAACGCCAACAGCTGCGCAACGAGCGTGCGCTGCAGGATCTCATTCGGTCAGTTCCTGGCAACGATCGATGTGCGGACTGTTCGGCTATGAATCCAGGTAAGGAAGGAGATTCGGTATACCCTTTAAATATATATATCCGACGCTAATATTTGCGTGCTACAAGGATGGGCTAGTTGGAATGTATGTCACCCAGTCGATTTGGTATAGGTTCCGGAAGCGCCGCAAACTGACTCGAATCGAATACAGATTGGTATCTTTCTTTGTATGCGATGCGCAGCTCTGCATCGAAAAATGGGTACCCACGTATCTAAGGTCAAATCATTGAGCATGGATAGCTGGTCGTCCGAACAGGTCGATGTGAGTAACGGAGCTGATCGACATTTTGGGGTTCAAGGACTGATGGGAAATGCCTCTAGAATATGAAATCCCACGGAAACACGATCATGAACAAAATATTTAACCCTCGAAATGTTAAACCTCCCATCCCCACTGATATCGATGAATCCGACGCGTGTATGGAGCGGTTTATCCGGCAGAAATATCAAACCCAGACTCTGGAGGATGGGAAACCAAAACCACCTAGTCGCCATGACTCGGGGTATACAAGATCGCCAGATGCCTCGCCGCCTCCGCTTCCACCGAAACCTGCCCGGCCGTTTGGCTTCGGCCTTCGGTCTGCCTCCTCTGCAACCAATCTAAAGCACCATGCCAGCAGCCACCGTGGCCGGGAATCACCTGTCGGCGAGGGTCGTTCATCCTTCGAGTCAAAGCTCACCCGGCTGAAGGAGATGGGGTTCACTAACGAGCGCAGGAATATAATTGTTCTTCGGGAGTTGAATGGCAATCTGGATAAATCCATCGAGACTCTGGTAAGAGTGGGAGAGGGCAGCCAGCCTCCGTCGCAAGCCAGAACCCCGGCTGCGGCGCAAGATACATCTGGCAATCCTTTCGATCAGTTGGATGCCAAACAGCCTGCACAATCCCTACCCCCAAATGGACTAAGTTACAATCCATTCGGCCTGTCTACCCAGGCCCAACCGCAACCACAACCACAACCAGTTGCCACGCCATCCCTTGAGCAGTCTTTCCAGAACTTGCAAGTGGCCCAACCCCTGTTCCCGCATTCAACTGGGGGCTATCCACACTCACAGACTTCCGCCCAGTCTTTCTTTCAACAGCAAGCTGCCTCCCCGTTCGCACCGGCGCAAGCTGGCTTTCTTTCCTCCCCACAGCCGCTTGACGGCGGGAACAATCCGTTTTTCCAGACTGGAGCTCAGCCGCTGGCCAGCATGGGCACCCCGTCACCCTCACAGAATTCTTCTCCTTTTACCCAGACGAATCCCTTTTTTAGCCAAATGACACCGCAACCTTCGCCGCTGCCCTTCCAGAACCAAAATCAGCAATTTGCTGCGGGTCTTGGAGCTGGTTACCCTCACCCGCCCAGCCATGCGAACACCATGCCGGCTCCGTCGACCTCGCCTTTTGGTCAACCGTCCCCGTTCCAGCAGCCGCAACTCCAACTCCAATCCGCGCCGCAGGGGCAGGCTCCTTTCAACCCTTTTCAGCCTATGGCGGCGCCAACCACCCCGCAGGGTGCAGGATACCAAACTTCATCCCCTTTCGGTTTCCCGCCCTCTTCGCAGCCGCTCCTCTCACAGCCCACTGGACGAGTCGACAAGAACAGCATTCTTGCACTATACAATCTTTCTGCGCCACCACCGCCGATTTCCGAGCAGCAGCCATTCCAGGCCCCGGCAGCAGTTAACCCAGCGCCTGCATCAGCTGCACAATTTGCGTCGGTGCAGAACCAGCCCGCACATGCCTTCAACCCTTCGGACTATAACACTGCTCAACAATCCGCTGTAAACATGCAACAGGCTGGGTTGCGGAATCCCTTTGGCGCCCCGCAGCCAACTGCTCAACTCCCGATGCAACCGTCAGCGTACGGGGTGGCTGCGAAACCCACGGCCCCAGGGGCAAGCAGTGCATTCATGAGGAGCCACATGAGCCAACAGAGTGTAGATATCAACGGGTTCCAAAATGGACGACATAGCCCTGATGCCTTTGCCAACCTAAGTTCGAGACATGGATAGTGATATTTCGGCTATATTTTGCTCTCATCCCTTTCAATTTAAATATATATATATATATATATATATATATATTCGCAACTGTAAGAATACCAAACCAAATTGATGCATTCTTGGCGGTGTTTTGTTGAAAACTCGGCCCGAAGCAATGAAATGGAAATGTCACGTCCACAGATTGATGGATAGGACAGTATAGGATAGGATTGGATAGGTGTATAGTTTGTTAATGGATGTATAGATTGGAGACTCTGGTTAGTATGTATAGAGCTTACTGTGCGAAGATTATCCTTAGTCCACGAATCCCTTGATATTTATCGAAAGCCATGAAAAATTCAAACATGCATTATTCTACAAACAAAATATACCAACTCAAAACAACACACCTGTTAGAAACTCGCGAGGACTTCACTTCACTTCCTCAGGCTAAGAATCCGACCATCTCAAGGGTGCGATATTCAATTTACTTGCTAGGTAGCTGTGTGCGAGTTCCCTGGGCATTCTGAAGCCTTGGGTATTAGGAGGGGAATACCTGCCCATCAACCAGATGGATTCACTCGGCTTTATTACTTCCTACCTTCCTCCCTACTCTCAGCATGGTTCTCCTCAAAATCTAAGAATCCTTTGGCTCCCGCCGTCAACGCCCGCTTGGGATTGCTTGGCATAGGGTGAGTAGGTGGTGGAATTTCTTGGCGCGATATGGATGTAGTACCTGGCGAAACCCGGAGAATTCTGGACTTTCTTCTTCTTCTTCTTCTTCTTCTTCTTCTGAGAGAAGAGTGGACTACATATTTGGGAGGTATAGGTTTAGGGTATTGCGAGTTTGTGACATGGTATGTAGGTATATTGTCACGGCGTGCACTAGGTGCACTGGTGCCAAGGCAATGATTACTAGGTATATAAGGTGGGATTCGGGCAGATCAGACATCAGGTCTGATCATAGTGACCTTTTGGTCCAATGGTTTAGACATGTTGCCCGAATCACATGCTCTTACATATATATAGTACCTGTGTGGGTCTTTTTTTTTTTCTTGCCCTGTACTCTGTAATATTCAGGTCAGCCTCACGTTGAACATAGACACTGTCTGACAAATGGTCAGAAAAACCTAACTATGCATAAAGAGTAAGGAAAAAGGGAGGGGGGGCTAATATATCGGAGCACGGGGAAAAATCCAACCCTTTAAATAGACAGGAATAATGATAAAAAAAAAAAATCGATTCATTCATCTAGGTACAGGTTATGGGTTCAAATAGACAAGACTAGCTAGTGTAATGTTGAGCACAGTAAGTGGTTTATCTCGGCTGCCCTCGAACCATTCCTCCGCAAAGTGGTGATCCTACTCCGTATAATACTTTATGTTTTAGGCTACTCCGTATTTGGGTGATCATTTCCAGGACGATGGCTTATAAGGAGCTGACGGTTGACTTAAGCATTTACTCTACTCCTCCTCTACAGAGTAGTTTTCACATATACAGGTCAGATGACCTTGATTTGGCTCGGAGATTCTCCGGTCTTGGCCGGAATACCTTTTTGGGAAGAATTGAGTCTTCCAGGTGATGTGTTTAATCGCTTCCTCCTGTGATTCCAGAAGAGATATCGATTATCTATCCCTGGGTACCTATCACCGGGTCGAAATTCTAAGACTCGTTTATTAGAATCAGGATCATACCTGTAACCTGTTTGTGTTGTCATTTTTCTGGGAATTTGAGAAGCTTAGATGCAAACAAACAAACAAATGAGGACTTGAGGGAACATAATAACCGAGGCACAGAAACGGACAAGTCATCGATCTTCATTCCAGGAGGGAGATAGCGCCAGTTCCCTGCAGTTATCACCTTCGATTATCCGTTTCTCGTGTTTAGGGAAACTTCGCTATCAGCAGGGATGCAGGAGCTGTATCCTGACCTACTTTAGGGTTTCTGAATTGGGGAAAAGTTACATAAGACGGTCATGATTCATAGACAAGACTCTGTCTGTCCTTGGGGCTATGGCACTCATTAAGGAGAACAGAGGACGACTAGATATTTTGGAACAGTGTGGGAGAATTTGGAATCTCCATCTATCCACAAAAAATCCCTGATGATAACTAAAAAGGAGAGGAACAAACAAAGAGAAAGAGAAAAGGAGAGGGAAAAAAAATAAAAAAATAAAAAATAACGTGCAGGAAGCCAAATTCCTGGTGAGATGCAGGGAGAGAGAGAGAGGAAATCCCGTAATTAAATAAAATCAAATTAAAATTAAAGGAGGGAGAAAAAAGGAGAAGATACGAGCAGTGGTCGTTCATACCTTGGGCTTCACTTAGCATAGGATATTTTTTTCATTGCTAGACTGTCAAAAGCTATATAGTCTGCCACATCACCCCCAAAAGGTGGCTTATTTTATTTTCTTCCTTCTCTTGAGTTGTTGAGAGGAGTCAGGGCTCGCCCCAAGTCCTGGAGAACGACTGAACTGAACGCAGAGGATTTTCTCATTTCGGGTGGGTTTAGATTCCTAATCCGATGATCGGTGAGACATGGCGCGAGTAAATTACCCTCGAATTACCTGGGCAACTGGCAGAACAGTAGCTCTATCCGAGCAGCCGCGCTTTCCTCCGGTAACTGATACTGATACACACGAATGTTTTTTTTTTTTTTTTCTCTCTTGTTTTCCTTCCATCCGAATGGCCCTCGGACTGAAAAATAGCTGAATTGGGAAACACCAACTTCCGGTCATGGTGGAGCCGCATTCCCGATTCGGGCCGGTTGGTTTTTGATTTGCGTCCGAGACCCCCGTTTAGGATCTCTGATTGGTGGACCCGATTTCACTATGTGGGTCGGAACCACTTTATCGGACCCAGTCTAGATCCACCGAGAAAAAAGATGATTTTTTTGTTCCCTTTTCTTGGACTGTCTGACTACTCCAGACGGTGTCTGGCTAAGGTTCACGGAGATCTTGTAGTGTATCCCGTAGTTTGAGTGCAAAGAAAAAGGAATTGGAATTTATATTCTCTCAAATCCTAATATAAGGGGTATCATAGGGATACATACCGGACCGGTTACAGTGGGTTCCATTGCGTCAATCCAGAGACAGTAGACAGCTCACCAAAGCTCCACGGTTCCAGTTCTGATTGGTTGAACCAAAGCTCACCGTCCTTGGCCCCATCCCGAAGGAACCCGACTTACCCAGCAGAGTAAGAAAAGTGGAATGCCAGGAGCAACGCCGGTAATACAGTGACCGATACCTGTAACGAGAGGTACCTCTGCCTCTCTCTGCCTTTTCCCTCTGGTCTCTCTCCCTTCTCCCTTCTCCCCCCCAACCGGATTAGCGCACCAAAGACGCGGAGGCTTTGGGAAAAAAAGGGCGAAAATTAAGCGGGAAAGAGTATTTAGGTCTCTAGAGCCATTTTCCTCCCCATTTTTCTTCCCTCCTGAAAGATTTCTCTCTTCCTCTTCTCTTTTTTCTTCTCTTCTCCATCCTCAATCCATCTTCCCATCTTTCGCTTTCTCTCCCTTCCTCTCTTACCACTCTCAACTCCCATCACAATGGCCTCCCGTGTCTTCGCCTCCCGCGTGGCTACCACCATGGCCGCGACCTCCAAGGTTGCTCGCCCTGCCGCCCGCCTCCAGCTCAACGCTGCCCCCAAGCGCACCTTCACCTCCCAGCGCAAGATCTCCATGACCCCCTTCCAGACCGTCAAGCGCCAGCAGCCTTCCACTCTCCTCCAGGCCAACGCTCGCCAGGTCTTCGCTACCCAGCAGGCTCGCCGCCAGTACTCCTCGGAGATCGCTGATGCCATGGTTCAGGTCTCCCAGAACATGGGTATGGGCTCCGCTGCCATTGGTCTCGGTGGTGCCGGTATCGGTATCGGTCTCGTCTTCGCTGCCCTCCTCATGAGCGTTTCCCGCAACCCTGCTCTCCGTGGCCAGCTCTTCTCCTACGCCATTCTGGGCTTTGCTTTCGTTGAGGCTATCGGTCTGTTCGACCTGATGGTTGCTATGATGTGCAAGTACGTCTAAATTTAACGACAACATACACACATAAGAGAGGAAGGAAAAAGAAAGAAAACCCATCACCGAATCGAGGGGAAAAAAAAAATAGAAACTCTTTTTTTTTTTTTTTTTCTTCCTTCTTCCATCAACCTTCCTCAATATGCCAACTGGATAACTTTCGACAATTGATGTGATTCTTTTTTTTTTTTTTCTTCTTGTTTCTTTCTTGGAAGAAATTGGAAAGGGGAAAAAAGTCACTGGGAGGTTCCTTTTCTCGACTGGCTTCTTGCTTATCTGGTTGGCAACCCTGGTGGAGGTAATCTGTGGTGGTCTTTTTATATATCATGTACTACACTATATCTTTTCATTTTTCTCATTTGTTCCGGCTCATCTACAACCAAATACACTGTACATATAGAATCTATAAAATGACCACTTAAACGAGTGCCTCTACTCTTATGGTTTTCCTTTGTAAACTCAGCCCTTGCTCGTCTGGTCTTCTGTAAAAATTCACATCACTATGACAACGGAACTGTGCGGATCTCAGTGTAAACGTCAGCGATTGCCTCAATGGCGTCCACAAAACTTAATCCTGCCAAATAACTCCAGAACGTCGCAGAAATCTTCATCATCATCATCATCATCATCATCATCATCATCCTGCATGTCCAGCTTACGTCTGTATAATCGCAATACTAAGCCCAAGGATTTCATTCACTGAAGGATCTGTCCAGTGTCCATTCCGGAGCTCCGGCAGCCGCAAGCCGCTAGGGAATCCAGGGACGCGCCAACAAGATATGCAGATGGGTCTGTGATTAGGAATGAATGGGTATTTTACATGTTTGGTGCTAATCCAAGTAATTAAGCTTGATTATTGTAACTCTTCCTGGTAGATATATACGTAACTATATACACTAAATAGGATGGATGGATGGATGGATGTCCGAGTCCTGTACTATCTATCTATAGTTAACTCTACTCTCGTCAGTTAGTTAGTTAGTTAGATAGATAGTAAAATAAGCAAAGAAAAAAAGCGACCTCCCGGGCTTGCAATCTTTTTTTTTTTTTTTCCCGCCCGGGTGGATTCGGAGTCTCTGTTTATCTAGACGAATATATATATATATTTTATCAACTCTAGTACGGCATGCTCCATACTCAAATCTAGGAGAAATATAAAGCAGGAGGAAAAAAAAAAAAAAAAAATGGCCACCCCCCTCTACGACCCAAAAGACGTCCCCCGGATCAAAAACGCAAAGCGACTCTCTGCCATCCGCTCAAAACAACTGGTCCGGGCGGCGGCGCGGGCCTGTGACGATCCCCCTCCACCGCCGGGCTTGGGCGAGTGCTGTGGGAGTTCTTGTGATCCCTGTGTAAATGATTTGTGGAAGGAGGAGTTGGCTTGTTGGAGGGAGAGGTGGGGGGTTTCTTCTTCTTCTTCTTCTTCTACTTCTACTTCTACTTCTACTTCTATGGTTACGGCCACTGGGACAAGTACTGAGAGCGAGACGAAACCCAAGGGGAAAATGCCCGGGAGTTTTGATTGGTGACTTGATTTGGACGCACAGAGGCAGGGTGTCATGAACGAGAAGAAATTCCAGGTAGTTGGTTAAATGCTAGGTTAAGTGCTAGGTTGTTCATACCGCCGCCACATCATTCCCAGTGGGCACTTTCGCCTCATACTCCAGTACGAGTCGCATGTCCTGGCCTGGTTGGAGACGAAGCATCCAGGTGACGTCGCCGTTCTTTGACAACTTCACGGTACCGTGCCCTTTACGCTTCTCCATCTGCAGATTCGCTTGGTCGCCTTCTTTCTCCAGCCCCTGCGGCTCCCGAATACTCAACCGAAGCTTCTCATCATCTGTCACCGGGATCTGGTCAGACACGATTAGGTCAACCGCCGTGCTCTTGTTGTTCTTCACCCAGCAAGACCGGCGGAACTTTGCTCCGTCTTCCTTGTTGAAGAACATCGTCCCCGTCAGCGGCCTTACCGTGGGCTTGGCGTACTTCACTTCAATACCGGGGTCAATGCCCAGCGAGATGTTGAAGTAGACGTTGGGTCCGCACGTGTCCAGTGACGCCGTGCCCACGAATGACCCGTCGACCGTGATCCCCACTCGGCCAGGGTGAAGCGTGAGCGAGGAAGTGTTCTTGATCCGGGCCCGGAGGAACGCGGCTTCGCGTAGCTTAGGCACGATCACGTAAGTCAACGCTACGGATTTCAGGTCCAGTTCAGCGAGGACGTGGCGCCGACAGACGTGCGAGGGGACTAGGGTGCGTTGCCCTGGGATCTCGTATGTTGTAGTCATGCCGTAGTCTTGCTTGACCGAGTCTTGATGTTCTAGGACAGCCAGCACGAGGCTGTTCGTGTCCGCCAAATTATCTTTGTCGCTGTCGTCGAGCTCTTCGAGCTCCGCAGCCACACCAGCTGTGAGTATTGGGTCGCTGTTGTCAGAACTTGGCAGATCTGATTCTACATTTGCGCTTTCTGTCGCTGCTGCTGCTGCTGCTGCTGCTGCCGCTGGTATCCCCGGGGCAGCTAAGGCTCGCGCTGGTGGAGGTGGAGGTGGGGGCTGCGGTGCCTGACCAAAGCCCCTTGGTTGTGTGCTTGATCCGAAGAGCCCCCCCGTTTGCTGCGGTACTGCCGCAGACCCAAAGGCCGATTGAGCCAGCGATTGTTGATCCGGCGCCCCAAAAGTTGATGGCTGCGAAACATTTGCTGCAAACCCCAAGGCCGATTGAGGTTGGGGATACGATGGTGCCAGTCCTCCGAATAGGCCTGATGTTGCGGCAGGCGCTGCAAGGCGAGCCTGTGCTTGAAGCTGGCACTGCATCTGTTGTTGTGCTCTTGTAAAGAGCCCGCCTTTATTTTTTACTGGATCGAAAACATTGGAAGCTGGATATTGTCGTTGGCTGTTCAAGATCTTGTCCCAGGACGGGCTTGCCTTGGAATGCGCCGTGACCAATTTGATATTCCAGGCCTCCAGGGAAGGAATGCGCACGCCAATCCCGCTAAACGAAGCTTTGGAGGTGGACAGTGTGAGACGGGTGTCCTTCCATGTTTCAGAGCACGAGTTCGTAAACTCTGCACGGTAGGTCATCTGGGCAGATGACGACGGCGAATTGATCCGAAGTTCGTAACGCGAAACCCAGTGGGGTCCTGGAACGATGTAGCTCAGACGCAAAACCACATCAATCGGCTCCTGTTTCTCAGTCGATCGCTCCCCCGCGGGCTTTTCGATGATCGAGCTGCGTCGGCTTGACATGGGGGTTGCGAATGCCCCTAGCATCTGACTATCAAGCGACACGATGATCTGGCCGACATCGCTCGTCCAGAAGGACCGCTGCTCGCGACGCACACGCTCCACTTTGAGTTTCCTCTGCTGGCGGATTCGCGCGCGCTTCTCATTTCGACGGCGAATAGCCCTGGAAGCCTTTTTCTGCTCCTGTGCGTAACGCATCTGCCGTCGGAATAATTTCCGTTGTAATTTTGCAATCTCTTTTTGGCCGCTATCGAGCTCAGCGTTTGCCTTATGGTGGCGCTCTGCCTCGTCCGCGCGTCGCACAGTATAGACACTTAAAAAATCATCCAGCTTCGACACATTTTTCTGTTTTTCGCCATGTAGGTTCTTGCCGTATTCGTCCATCATTTTTAGCACCGAGATTGATGCGTTGATAATGTTGCGCGCTTTCGCGAGCTTCGCTTCTACTTCTGCGATCTCCTTTCGGATTTCCTGCATCTCGGGGTCATTTAGTCCATCCTCGTCCTCGGAGAAATCCTCGTCCTCCTCACTCGTCGCTGTTTCCTCCTCCGTCTCCGAGGGATAGACATCTTCAAAGTGCTCTTGTCGCGGGATAATATTGGTCTGGATATCTGTGATGACTGCGGAGCCGGAGCCTTCGATGCGAATGGATTCAGGGTTGACCTTGGGGTCGAGACCAATAATGGTGATTTCGTTTTGACCGGGCTGAATAGTGTCAGAAACTTGACTGAATAATAGATAAGATACACATAGAGAGAGAGAGAGAGGACCTACTTGGATGGATGTGAAGATCTCACGAACTACGGTCGCTTGCTTAGGGGCTAGAATAATCTGCTTGGTGGGGAGCTCTGAGATGAGAACCTCCGACGAGGCGATTTCAGCCATGATGAAGGTATTGTTATTTAATGATAAAAAAGCAGGATGGTGAAAAAAGAACGAAAAAAGAGAGAGAGAGAGAGAGAGAGGGAAAGCGACACGGTTTAAAAACCAATGCCCAAGGCACCTTTTCGCTTCTTCCCCAGGCTACAGCAGAGCAGGTACCGGTTTTCCTGATTTGTTCTTGAAAGCCTCGTATTCGTGGGCAGTGAGTGTAGTTCCGTAACACTAAACTTCTAAGCCTCCTTGCTTGTACTACTATTTTTTAATGAACTCCGTCGTCTTTCAATGGTCAAGCCAGAAACATACCGTTTAATGACTTTCTTGCTTCCCATGGCCCTCGCTAGGAATCAACCCGGGTACGCCGGGATCTTTGGGAGGAAGGTTGGGACGTTCTCAAGAGCACCGCCCTCCTTGACAAGTGGAAGGCTTCTTGATTAATGGGAGCTGTGAAACGGAAAACTATCGAGAGGAATCCTGTACCTGCGCCACGTTTGCGAGGCCGGCAGTCTGAGCCATCTGGTTAGGTAGGCTATGCACATAGAGAGAATTGCTGTGATGAAGGTAAAGAATGATCACCCATAGTAGTGAAGGCAACAGCAATAATCCTGACCATTTCATACGTAAATAAAGTAACAATAATTGAGACTTTGTCACCTGAGTGGTATGGTGTGTAGCCTGAGACGCTTCTTTTGAGTATCGGGATTACTTTGGAGTTTAGCTGTCGAAACTGTTTGAACGCATTGTCAAGAAGGTGTTTGTCAGATGCCAGGTGTATGGGATGAAAGCAAGAGAGGCTGTTAGAAACTATTCCTCCGCCTGAACCCCGGGGCCTCCCTGCGGAATGCTCTCATTGCGGAGTTTACATTGTTCATTTCGGTCCAGATGGCGCCTTCATCTGTGTGTCGTATCAAAACATGCGGCTTCTCCTCCTGTTCCTGGCTCCCTTGGGGCCAGATTTTCTTCATCAATTGACTGAGCACCTGGGCAAGAACAATCAGTCCAACTGCGACCCAGGGACTCCACTGTCCCACCGCATACGGCATCTCATCTGTCGGTAGGGGTCGAAGTCGCACTTCGTTCAACACAATATTGACCACGAATACTCCGAAGGAGCCAATGATGACATAGTACTGAAACACCCGCCACAGTTTTGGATGACGGTGGACCTGCACAGGCGATTCAGGCGAAAAGGAACCGCGATTATGCTGTTGTTTGGCGAATAGTCGATCCCCGATCCATCCCAACTCTAAGCGATTCAAAGGGGTAGGTAGTCTCGTGTAGTCATAGGCACGACCCTGGCGGCTGCTCCATATCCAGGTAATAATAGCACTGGGTATACTGGCAGCGATAGTGGGGACAAACATGCCGGTAATCGCTCTTGGATCATCGAGTTTGTTTTCCCAGGGCTGGATATCTCCCGGAGAGCGGAATAGGGGATGGTTCTCTGGAAAGCATACGTAGGTACAATTCCCGGAAACGCTTTCCAGTGTGGGTGCGCCTGATGGTATGGCGTCTAGTGAGGAAATGCAAGAAGTAGCCTGGACACTCCCTTTGATATAAATGGCAGCTGTCGCAAAAACGGCACCGAGAAATATCAGTATAGCCCACAAAAGGACAAGCATCCGAATTTCCTTTTTCATGCTACGCAACGTGGTTGACCAAGCGAGAAGTGGCGCCGTGAGCATGAGACCTGTTGATGTTATGGCGAACACGCCATAAATATCGAGATCGACCACTGATGACGGAGCTTCTGCTAGGAGAAGGATTGAATGGAGTGCCGCTGCACCTCCATAAGTCATCGCGCTTGCGAGAGCTCCAGCGACAAGCCACCGCTGGCGTCGCCCTAGAACCCCAAACGCCAACAACAAGTAGAAAAGGGCGCGCTGAAGCGGGGCATATTGCCCAGATAGTTGGTAAATGCAGACAACATCGGATCTGGAATACGCAAGAACAGGAGAAATGAGGATTGCTAGTGAGATAAACGATATCATCGCTGTATTCCAGAAAAGGTTGAGGTAAAGGTAGGTTCGGCAGTTGAGTCGAAAGGATTCAGATACTGGTCCAAAAGGTGAATTCAACCCGGTTAAAAGCCAGAACGCCTTGTTGGTCTCTTTATTTTAAGGAGTCAACAAATACAGATTTGATTGATCTTTACTATATTAGGAATGGTGGGACAGGCTCGATATTGGCCATCTCTCTCTTTACCCTTAATCGAATTGCAAATAACCGTCTTTCCATCTTGATTCTTGAATTCGAGTGAAGACGTCTAGGTGAAGCATTCGAGGCATCAATCCGAACACCCCCTGCATCGAGGATTATAAGTTGAAGCATTGAAAAAGAAGCTCAAGGCTATAGTCATGAAGAGATACTAGTGTTGAGTTTTTTACACCAGAGTCTCAGATCAACTGACTATGTACAATCTAGAGCGATGGACAAATAACCGTTACAAGTCTACTCTCCACCGAGTGATCTCACCCGTGTCGAATCAGGATCGCTACAGCATTGCCTTTTTCAATGAGGGGTTACTGGATCAGGTTATCACTTGCATCCCAACATGTGTGGAAGAAGGGGAGAAGCCATGGCATGAGCCTGTCACGGTCGAGGAGCATCTTCGCAATCGGTATGGGGGAACTTATTAGACTGATATGTTTATCCCTTCACATGTTGCATGGTGCTGAGTATACGGGGGAAATGAACTATCAAAATGCATTCTTTCACCCATTATTTTCCTGCATGGTCAGGAGTGTGCCTCGAGTGTTCTAATACTATTTGTTACAGCTGCCTGCCCCAAGTCTAGAGATTACGGACTCACAGGGAAGGGACAATACATTAGACACCACCTTCTTCTTTTGCCCAGTTTATGCACTTCCTTCCTCTGATGAATACGCTTTAGATGTTGTTATTATCCCGGAAGATTTCTTTTGATGTTCTTTTCTCTCTTGACAGCTTGTCTCTCGACTATCTCATTGTATCCTTTTCTGCATTCATCTATATCAAACCATCTTAGATCAACGTCACTCGTTATTATCTTACAACTTTTACTCCAATGGCGCCTCCAGCACCAGTGCATACACCTTTTACCAATACCTTGAGGAATCTTCTCCTTAAAGGTCATCTTTCTGATATGCAAATCATATGTGGGGATTTTACCTTTAATGTCCATCGCGTTATCGTATGCAGCCAGTCATCCTTCCTGCATGACGCTTTGGATAGCCAGTTCGAGGTAAGAAATTCGAGAATAATTATACTTATAAACTACTTGCTCAGTTAACCTAGGAAACTGGAATGCGGGAAATTACCCTGCCCGCTTCGGATTGTGAAACAGTCGAACGAGTATTGTCGTACATGTACATCCAGGACTACAAAGAAGACGGGCATGTCGTGCCGCTGGGTAGAAAATCTCAGCAAGATGATCTGGACTCCGATGAAGATGAAGACAGCTCGGCTATCTCAATCGGTTCAGCAAGAACATCTCTACACATACCTACAGAAACCGCATTGAAATCAACTGTCGCGTTAGTCAATGTCCAAGTCTACCTCGCAGCCGAAAAGTTCGACCTTTCGGGGTTGAAGAAACTCGCCGAGGAAAAGTTCACATACTGGGCAAGGAATAACTGGAAATCCACCGCCTTCTTCGATGTCATTCAAGATGTTATGACGGCAGTGCCTCCTGGCTCAAAATTTGAAGAAGTGCTTATCATGGTTATCTCGGAAAATATCAAGGGCCTGGTCAAAGATGGTGTGATTATCCCTCTTCTAGAAAAGTTCGGCGGCCTCGCTGCGGCAGTGATTGCAAGATTGGTCTGCACTGGAAGAGTGACTGGGCCAAATGAAAGGCCAAGCAGTCGCTATCAAAAAAACTGAGCTGACATTATTCGACAACATGAGTAAGGACCTTCTTTATGTTTACATTTTCCCGAAGCGGGATGCATTCGTTGACATCGGGTATAAGCTTTATGGTTTCTTAACACTGAATTGGAGGCATTAGGTTAGGGTATATTCAATAGTTTCATAGACAGCCGATAGTTAGAAAGCTAATATTGCAGTCATGCCTTCAATTCGTCAGACCCTGTAGCTGATCTGGATTCCATTTCCTCTCTAGGGCATGAGAGAAGAAGAGAGAGAGAGAATATCCTTTGAACAAAATGGAAGAAAAAAGAACTTTGACTGACTTCCAAGACAATTACGAGAAATAAATAAAGTATTGGGATTAACTAGTTAACTTACCAGAGGAGGTTAAGGATTGCAATTGCCAAAAATAAAAATAGTGGAGGCCTGTATTTAGAGGTCTCGAAATGGAATGCAGTACGGAGGATACTCTCATATCAAACCGTGAGATTTATTTATTCTATAGCTCCATAAAACTGTCATACCATCACTACTTAGTTATTAACTACGTAGTTAGTTAGTTAGTTAGTTCTAGTTAACTAACTATAGTTAACTAACTACCAGTGATTGATGACTCATTGCTGGATGTACAGTTATGATGTCACCTGATTAAAGAGACAATTGTCATTTGGGGCAACTGAAATTCTTTTAAACCCTGTCAATGCATATCATCATTTTGGATGTGAAGCATCATCGGAGGTGTCCCCCAATCCTTTCCTCAGGAGTCTGAAAACCAAAGTTAAAATCATGAACCAATACCCCACAGGTTTTCGCATGGCCCAGGCCGTTGGACTGACCGGCGCGGGCTGGCTTGCTGGTACGCTCCGTACATATATATATATATATATACTAAACAAAATCTTACTCTGGACTAGGCAACATCGCCAGCTTCAGTCTGGTTACCGCTCCAGCTCTCCTGCAATCCTGCCACAGTTACCAGGTCCCCGCCAGTCTGATCGTCAAGCAATGGAGGGAACTGTATGAGAAGGGTAAAAGGCAGAATCCCCCGATTGCAGCGAGCGTCGCAGCGGCATTCGCCTACCTCGCTTGGTCAGTTCGCCAGGGGACATCGCTAGCCCCATTAGCCCCGCGGAACGGAGTTGCTCTCTATAGCGCCGCGGCAGTACTCACCCTCGGCATTGTTCCTTGGACTTTGATAGCGATGACCAGCACCAATAAGGCACTGCTGGATCGTGCGAGCGCCACCTGGGTTTCGACAGACAAGTCAAATGAGGAGGTGGAGGGATTGCTCGAGAAATGGACTGTTCTGAATGCAATTCGCAGTTTGTTCCCGTTGGCAGGAGGAATTGTGGGATATCTTGCTCTGTGAGGGAGGGAGGGACGGGCCCATCTGACGGTTGAAAAAAAAAAAAAGGACTCCAAAGACTGCCAAGTTCCTATGTGAGTGATGTATAATAATATTTTATCCCCCAATAAAGTATGGAGATAGTTTCCATGATACTTTTGAGGTATGCCATTATGTACTCTAGGATAAGATCCGCTCTCTAAGGCTCTCTGAAAAAAATCTACCTTGTAAGAAAAAAGAGTGTGCATTAGACCATGCCTTTCTTACCTCAGACTGACAAGAATTTGTGTCACAGCACAGGCCACTGGAGTGTCTAAAAATTGGGTCTCACTCTCCGTTTCGACTCAAGAAGCCATTCTACCACTCTACCTAGAGATACTCCTCCAAACTGTGGAGATGGCATCAATCACGGCGCTTTATTTCTGAACCCTCGTACTCCGTACTCTGCGCCAGAAGATAAAATCCGATCGGCCAACTCGGTGTCCGGAGCCCGACAAGATGACAAGGATGAAGCCGTTATTTCGGATCAATTTTACTTGGGATACAAATCCTGTGTTTTCATTCGTGAATTTTGTTCAGCTTTGTTATTATGATACCCACGCCATCTCACTTCTTTCAGCCTCAGAAAGAATCCTTTGCCGCTCCTATTTCAGCCGTACTCGTAAAAGACAGCAGGGAAGCCTCGAGAGATCCCCGTCGAGAAAAGACTCCAGGAATAGAATAAGCTTGAATCCGCTCCGACCGGACATTCCAGACCAGCCAAGGCGCCCAAGTTAGGTAGTAGACTAGACACGAATACGATGCTGCCTCCATTCATTGGGGCGTATAATAATGTACTACCTCACCCAGACTTTAATTACTTTTTTTTTTTTTGTCTTCTGATCGTCATTTAGTCTGAGGCGGCTGCCTGGATATGTGTATATATATCCCTCGTTGGGTCCTGTAGGGCTTACATACGGCAATTGCCCTACCTTGTATACCTTGTATACCTTGTATACCTTGTATACTTAGATATACCATGAGTGAACACAGAGACCATGAGTCGCTCCACAGGTTCGTACTTTTCATACTACACACATAGAAAATGAGATTAATCCCCTTCTTCCAGCGCTCCCACTCAACCCTTCCCGCTCGCCCACCCGCCCCCGAAATCGCGCCAAGGTCTCCGCCTCACATCACGCCTCCTGCTCCAAATCCAGCAGCTCTCAATGACATCCTCGACCGCCGCTCCCCGCGCCATCCCAATCCTCGACCTCTACCAGCCCTCGCGACTGGGGAAATCCATCGCCAATGGCCGAAAGCTACACTCGCGAGACATGTACCTCACCCAAAGCGAATCCTATACCCATCTGGACAAACGCCAGAACCACCACCACCACCCTTCCAAACTAAACAGCACCATCACCACCAGCGCACAGCTCAGACCCCCTACAAGCTCGAAATCTTCGCGCTCGCGTTCTCGCTCGCGCTCTCGCTCCCGTTCGAATACATCGACATCTAACCCTACAAACGAAATCCACCCCCCCCAGGAAAGTATCCCCGCGAACAACGTCGTCGCCGCAATCTACACCTGTCCCTCCGCTGCTGGCAGCGCCGAAGAAACCTCCTCCTCCTCCTCCTCCTCCTCCTCCTCCTCCTCCACGGGCCGCACAGCAGAACTTTACTTCCCGACCTCTCAAACCACCTGGGAAGCCACCATCTCCCCGCGCGGCCGGTACAGATTCCAGCGCAAGGACAAAGACAAAGCACAGCCTCTCGTGCTGGAGTGGGAGAAGCGACGGCCGCGCTCGGCGGGGTCGGGCTCGGGCTCGGGCTGCTCGGGATCTAGCAGCGATGGGTCCGGTGAGGAATTCAGGAACGAAGAGCGGTTTGTGTTGGGGATTGCGGATCCCCAGGTGCTCCGGAGGCCCTGGGTGGCGCAGTTGACTAGGAGAGCGGTGCAGATTGGAGGGTGGGATCGCGCCCAGCGAGAGCAGTTGGACTTGGCGGTTCATAGTCCGGCCGAGCTGTATACTTTGATTTTGACCATGGGGGTTTGGGTTGCGCGGCAGGAGGGGTGGGTGCAGTAGTCTTTTCTTTTTTTCTTTTTCTTTTTTTTCTTTTTCTTTTTTTTCTTTTTCTTTTTATTTCTTTCTTTCTTTATACTTTTTTTTTTTTTAAGGGCGTTCTACTGCTATGGGTTGGATGGTTTCATCTGTTTCATGTCGTGTATGTAAATATTTAAACTACATATATGTGGGAATTATCATATCGGACAATGTGGTAGTGTTAGTATTTTGGACTACGGACAATGTATACCCCCCAGGGCCCCAAATACAAAGAAATCCAGCATCCGTTTCGGGATCATGCTATTAAAGGATACCGGGAACCCCCCTCTCCACTGCCAGGATCTGTAACGCCAACAGCTGCGAGTAATACCGACACAGCGCCAGGTTCCCACCCATAAACCAGAAACCAGGGTGGCCACTCCGGCGCCAGATCGTTCGCATCTCGCCCTCGGCATCAAAGCCCCAGACGCTACTCACCCGGTCTGCCACCGCATCGCCAAAGATCATCCGCGTCTGAGTGCGCATGTTCTGGTAACCTGTCGCAAAGACGATCTCGTCCGCAGCTAGCTCGGACCCATCGGCAAAGCGAACCCCCTGCGCGAAGATCTCCCTGATCTCCTGGCCCTGCTTAACCTTGATTTTACCCTGGACGATGAGCTTCCCGGCGCCGACTTCGATCGTGTATCCGCCTCCACGGGAGAGGTACTTCATCAGGAGGCCGGCGTTATCCGGGCCCTGGTCCACCTGAAACCCAGCCTGTTTCAGACCGTCCAGCAGCTCCTTGTCGTTTTGGTTTTGAACGGCGGTGAGTTTAATTTGCTGTGCTTTGAACAGCTCCGACGGTATACTCCACAGGAAAAGATCGGAATCGTCAACTGGGGGGCCGTTCTCCTCATACAACCCTTTCAGTCCGATGTCTAGGATTGAGTTTGACGACACGACACAGGTAGTGGAACGCTGCACCAGGGTCACATCATACCCCTTTTCGTAGTAATCCTGGGCGATGTCATGCGCTGAGTTACACGATCCCACCACCACCGCTTTCTTGCCATTTCCACCAGCGGCCGCCCCGTTGAATTCCGAACTATGGCAGATGCGACTACCCTTGAAGGTGTCCACACCCTCAAACCCGGGAAGATTCTTCTTTCCAGAATGCCCAGTCGCCTGGATCACATGGCGCGGATGGAGGGTGCGCGTTTCAGTGGTTCCATCTTCCTTGCGCCGCACAAGTTCAACGGTCCATTGCTTTGTTTCCTCACTCCACGAGGTCGAGCCAATGCGAGTCTTAGTCCAAACATTCAGCTCCAGTAGCTTTGCATAACACTCAAAGAACTCGGCGAGCTTGTCCTTGGGTGTGAAAACTGGCCAGTTCGAGGGAAAGGGGAGGTAGGGCATGTGGTCGAACCACACGGGGTCATGCAGAACTAGCTGGTGGTACCTCCTCCGCCAATTATCTCCGATACGATCCTCCTGGTCGACAATAAGAGTATCAATGTCCAGCATCTTCAGCCGGGCAGCTATAGAGAGACCAGCCTGGCCAGCTCCTACACCATACGATTTAGCACTTTCGTAGCCAAAATAAATGATGATGATGAGTATGAATAGAGAGGGGGGGGGACTCACCGACAACAATAACAGCAGGATCTTTTTCATCTAGATTACTCTCCGCCGTACGTCGATCCTGCCAATTCCTCCTATCCGAGATTTCGCCGTGCTGCGCACCAAACGGCCGCCGATGATTCACTTTCTGCTCGCTCCCGCTGATCTCCTGCAGTACGGTATAGAGCGTGAAAATCTTCCAGTTGCTCTCTTTCTCCGCCAGACGGATCACCCCTCGCCCGCTACCGACCGCACTTGTAACCTTGATAAAGAACTCAACGCCATTGACCTCGCCAAAGGCATCGATGGGGCCAACATGTGGCGCTCTAAACGGAGAAGACAGGTCGATTTCCACCTTCTCAGGGAGCTCTCCCGAACCAAGTAGCTTGGCAATACCGTCTTGGCCCTTCGCTGTATGGAAATCCCACGAAAGACACAGGTGGTCTCTCCAGTAGCCATCTTCTAGAAACAAAGTGACGATGGAGGTAACGTCCTTTTGTGCCAGGGCGGTGTTCAGCCGATCCACAATGTCTGTGGCAACATGGTGCGGGTCGATATCGGTTGAGGAGCAAGTCTGGGGGAAAGTTCCGATGGGGATATTGACAGAGCCAGGCTCAACTCGATCCCTGGATAAAAGCACCATGTTTATTTCGCGATTTCTGTTTCCCCTTTCTTTTTCTTCGCTTTTGTGGCGGTTCGAAGGTGGGGAGAGACAGAGGAGGTTCTGCGAGAGAGAGAGAGAGAGAGAGAGAGAGAGAGAGAGGGGTAATCACTTGGTTAAATACCCATGCAGGCTTTCAGGTTGACAGTCTCTCTCTCTCTCTCTTTTTCCCTTGCTTTCACCCTCTTCGTCTTCGGGCTTACGAATCCATGAGGGAAGCTTACCCCGCTTTACGGTCAATGCCTTCCTCCAATCTGAATAATCTTTCTTTCTTTGCGCGTTGAAAAGGAGACGGGGGAGATCCTACGCCCCTCTTTCCGCGGTCGATACTTGGACTAAGCTGAATCAAACGGCCGGATAACGAAACATAAGATGGATATACTAGAAATGTCCTGTGTCTCTTATCCAATGAACCGACCAGTCCAAGCGTTGTAGTAAATATTCCCATCCCGGTGCTCCAGTAAGTGCCGTCATCCGTCAACTGTTACTCTGGTTAATATGACAAAACCCGCCTCGGGTACAGAGCGAACGTCCCATCGTGTCTGCGTGAACAAGATCTGGATATACATACCAGAGTATAGCAACCGCTTTAAACAGCCACCAATAGCCTATTTCAGTTAATGTCTGTGGACCAGCGGGCGTTAGCGGGCTAGTGCAAGACCCTCGGCTGCACCTACACGGTCTATGGACTCGTGGAGTATTCTAGTGGAACTAGCAGCGAACATGTGTCAAGCGACATCTGATTAAAAATCTACGCTGCAGAAGTAGTCTTGATTTCTGATGCTGCTGTCACCTGTAGTCCGTACTAGGGAGGTCTACTCTGTATTAACATGACCTAAGATATAAGGGAATCTAGTCAGACCAGCTCCATACCTTAGGTACTTTCAATTAACTATGTACGATTGAAACCTCTGTTACTATGTATGTTGTTTTCCCATGATACAATATCCTCACTCCTTGTTACATAAAGACGAGGACTCTACGGAGTACATATGTATATATCTTCTGGTCGTTACTGTTGTGGGTTGGCATTGAGTCAAAAACTCCAGTGCAACACCAAGATAAACTAACCTGACATATTCATTCATAAATAGTTAAGTAGAATATAATGTTGAATGAGCAAGAGGTTTTCATTTTATACGAGAATCGAATAGAATATAATACAATCTAATTCGATCAAAATATCAACAAGCATCAATGGTCTAGTGGTAGAATTCATCGTTGCCATCGATGAGGCCCGCGTTCGATTCGCGGTTGATGCATTCTTTTTTTGCATTTTCTTTTTTCTTCCCGGTCCCACGCATTTTACGTTCCGATGATTTGCTTGTGTTGTTCCACATCCCATCTTATCAGCAACTCCACCTCCCTTTTCATAGCATCTACTAAAGATATCTATCTTCTAAAACTTTTCCAAGCTCTTTTCCATTTTCAGCCTTGCAACCACTCGCTCTGATGATGGAGACAACATTCACTTCGATCTCTTCCGCCTTGGGTTTCGCTGGCCCTGTGAAAACTAGACCCTGCACGTCTAGAAAACCTTCCCTCTGACACAGAAGCCTTTGCTGCATTTACCAAATTAAGAGCACGAAGAAGCATGCTGAAGATTCTTCTCCTTTATGAGTATCAGCACCCTTTTCCAAATCCTCAGTTCGTCAACACCACTAATAGAGGCAGTTGTTCAACAGAATAGTGAGCCTTTTTAGTAGTGCCATTAGAAATCTCCAAGAGGCCGCATTGAGCATCACTTTATCTCTACTGGATCCATTGTGTTGTCTCTATCGAAGCCAAGAGAGAACTTAGTGTTGGCAAAGCACGCCTGGATGTCATAGGCCAAGTGCTGGCGGGATGCACTGGTGAGTGTCAATTCTGTGGTGAGCTATTTCGACTTACATTCCCAAGCCTGCGATTTCGCCAACTAGAAGGGACATCGCTCGGGTATTACATAGGTGGAGGAGCTCGCTTGAGTTGGTCTGCAGGTTGGGTCGGGGAGTAATCAAAGAGAAAACTATTCGGCGGCCTCCAAGCCTTGGTTCATCTAAATGCTCTTCCGATCTCTCTGATCAGACTCTCTTCCAGGCATACGGGCCAATCGCATCGGTTCCCATCCTGGAGCTCCAATACTTGCTGTGCTGTGTGATGGCGCCAACTTTGAATTCTTCGTGATGGACTCCGCGGACAAAGTGGTATTCACCTCGGGTTGGGTAGAAGGCCTATTGATACAGCCTGAGAATAAGTCTAGATTTCTTATGTTGGTGAAGAAGAGTAAGCAGCCTGTCTCTTTCCCTTACCCTAGCATCATGGAATGCGAATGGATATTGGCTTACTGTAGTAGCTACCGAACGTCTGTTTGATTGGTTTATTATGGCGTATATCAACGGCATTCGATCATTTGCGCACCTTTCTACCTGTCGGTCTGAGGGTGAAAAAAAAAAAAAAAAAAAAAAAATTCTACAGATCACTGGGGGATTGCCCTCTCTTATGCCGAAGACGCTCTCTGGCTTCTCAGGAAGGCCGATAATCATGCAGAGAAGTATGAGTGGAGGGAGGCTGAAGCCATGGCAAATGACGGGGTAGAGGTGCTGCAAAAGAGGTTGGAACTTGCCCCCAATCAAAGCGATTTTCTATATCCATTGCTAACCTCTGATGTTTACAGTGTCTCTGAATTGCCATCCAAGACACCCGTCCATGGGGAACTCACTGACGGATGCGATTGGCCTGTATGCCTGGAAGAGAGTCTGATCAGAGAGATCGCAAGTGGCTGGGATATAGCATTGAGATGAACCAAGGGCTTGGAGGCATATCTTTGCCGCCTAATACTTTTCTCTTTGATTACTCCCAACCCAACTTGCAGAAGACCCGACTCAAGCAAGCTCCTCCACCTAATACCCGAGTGACGTCTCTGGCCACCACACTGTTAGCTGGTTATTGCGGACTTGACTACCTAGGATTTTCTCTCTACCTAGATAGGTAGGTAGGTACGAAGGTAGTCAGGGACACGAAGTGCGCCTACCCTTGAGATAATATCGCACACTACCTACAGAGTAACTAGTTCACTAAGATCTTACTTACTACCAGTCAGTTGGTTGGTTAATTCTACCAAGGCAATAGATCTCGAGGAGATATCTACTCACCTACTAAAGTTAAAGAATGTAATGCCTGATCGAGGAAGTGACGAGACGAGTTAATTAGAAATTCCAGGGTATCTACCCTACCGGATACTTACTGCGTAACTAGCTCGCGATTTATATAGTACATACTATGCTAACTATTGGAATGTTTGGATATCTGTTTCGGTACGTACTACTTACAGAGCAGGGAGTAGCACCACTACCTGTCGAGACGTTGAGAGAAGAGATTCCTTCTTCCAGATTGTAAAGAAGATTGAAGGTCGTTCTTGGATTAAAGGTGGCATGGCATATAAGAGACAATTAAAAAAAAAAAAAGAAAAAAAGAAAAAGATAATTGAATTGAAATATCCATGAATGATCAATAATAACCCGGGTATCTCCTATGTCCTAGTACCTTGTACCTGCATTATCATATCACATACACCTATTAAGTAACCAACCAAGTATATGTACCAGAAGAAAAAAAAAGATAAAAAAGAAAGAGAAAAAAGAGAAAAAAGAAGGGAAAAAAGAAGAGAAAAAAGAAGAGAAAAAAGAAAGAAAAAAGAGTGGTTTTGAAAAGACAAAAGATCTCGTATGATCGGGCTATGACCTCCTAACTCCAACCGCATATCGACTCTTCCACCCATGCCTCCCCAATCCTAACGTTTCCAGCGTTTCGGTCTTCCCACCCCAGAGTTTCCCCTTTCCGTTCTGGCGCTGCACAGGCGGAATCCAGAAGTGCGTTACTGCGGCACCGAGAATCATGCACGCGCTGAAAACGATTAGCATCCAGCCGTGGCGGATGGTTTGCTGGTCACCAGGCCCGGAGCCGAATTTGTAATATGCGGAGAAGACCTGGATGAGGATAGAGCCGAGTTTTCCCGCGGCGGCGCTAATTCCGTGACAGGTGGCGCGGTAGCGAGTGGGGAAGATTTCTGCGGGGATTATGTATGTTGTTGCATTGGGGCCTGAACTTGTGTCAATATTTTTGCCATCGAAATGAGGTAAAAATGGAGGGAGGGAGGGGTACCAAAGTTGAAGAGCGCCTGGCCAATGATGTAGAGAACGACTGCGACGGGGCCTTCTTGGTGGACAGTAATGAACATGGTGCCAAGCGCGATAAAATGAGCGGCGAGGGCGAGGAAGCTGTATTTCTGGAGACCGACGCGGTCCAAGCGGTGGATAAAGAGAAGGAGGAGAATGCCGCCGATGAAACTACCTGTGTTGAGAATTATGAGGGCGTGCGTTGAAGTGTTAAGAAACATTTTGTAGACGGAGGTGTGACCGGTGTCGTCTGTTTGCCATGGGGGCGAGGAGCCATGGATGTTCAGGTCTCCCCAGGTTTTGGCGAGGAACTGGGGACTGGAGAGGCCGATGCCATAGAATCCAAAATCGAGGAGGAGCCAGGAGATGGAGGTGGCAGCGAGAGTGCGCCAGTTGCCTTCTGTCCAAAAGTATTGGATGATGTCTTGGCGGGTGAGGCGCCAGTGAGAGTTGAGGGTGGCGGGTTGTAGAATTTCAGTTTGTGAAGGGCAGCGTTCGCTTTCTTCGAGGGAGTGGCAGTTGGTGAGTGCGATGGAACCACCGGGGATGATAGGTGCGGGGAGGGTGAGTTCATTCCAGGCGGGGGTTGTGGTGCCGGCTTCTTCAAAATCAGGGATGTTGGGTTCAGCGAAGAGGGTTGTGGCGTCGAATTCAGCCTGGACCGGGTCGTCTTCGATCTCCAGAAGGAACCGCGGACTTTCAGGGATGATGAAACGGAAAACAGTTGCGATGACACCCGGCACGACTCCGATTCCAACGACCCATCTCCACATTACGTCGACGGTGCGAGTGAGATCCTCGTATCCCTGCTTGCGACTGGCAGCTACGACAATGAGCGACACTAGGTTTCCAGCAATCTGCCCGAGAGGCTGCATGAAAAAGACGGAGGCGATCATGCGTGCACGATGCCTTGTTGGAGCGAATCTGGGACCTAGTCAGCAGCTGTGCTCGACGAGTATTGACGCGGAATATCACCTACTCAGAAGTAATGACAGCACTGAGGGGATAATCAGCTCCAACGCCGATTCCAACAATGATTCTCCACCAGATCAGCCAGGCAAAGACATTCATGCTATTATGTTGGCCATTCGAGGACATCGAAACACCCAACGTTGAGGTGATCAGCAGTGCCAGTTCCACACCATACATCTTTTTGCGTCCGTTTCGATCGGCCAGGTACCCGAACAGGACCTGACCCAGGAGGGTGCCAGCGAGTGTAGCGATATTGATACAAGTAATTCGCATGGAGGAGTTATCATCACGCCAATAGACGTAAGCGATCATCGGGAGGGCGATATTACTTGCGAACAGCTAGAGAGAGATCGTGCTCCATTAGATATTTTATTTTGAAACCCCCCCCCCCCCCCCAAAACTGGACGAACCGTATATCCATCGAGGAAGAAACCGACGCCGGCCACCAAGACAACAACCCATTGATAAGACTGACGGTCGATGGTCTCGTAGATCTGTCGCATACGAACATGGCGATCCTATCCATCCATCCATCAGTATCGGGATCAGATCGATCGACAAGTGTAGGAAAAAAAAAAAAAAAAGGCTGTCGTACCTGCTCATGCTCGAAATCGCGAGCTCGATCGGTTTTGTACAACCGAGAGCGGAATTTACTCATGGTTTAGCGGGAGGGAAAAAGAAGGTTAACAATGAAAGAAGGTTGTTCCGAGCATAACCAGATGCCACATGGTGAAAGAAATATGGAAGTACAGCAGTGGCCAGGATGAGATTGTAGGACACACAAAAAAACAGGAGAAAACCGAGAAACAAATCCAGCAGGGCAAGAGAGGACAAACGAACGACAAAAGCCTCATCAGCCCATGATTGCGGTATATAGGCTGATTTTCCCACGAGCCTGGTGAGATAGCACTAGTAGTAGAACCTCCAGTCCGAACTTGCACCTACACCATGCACAGTCACGCACAGAGGCACAAACATCGGGCGGGGTGAGGCAAGGAAGTGGGGGGGAGGGAAGTTCCAACTACCGAATTAATGGTGTCAGTCAGTGTCAAAAGAGTCGAGGACTCGGAAGGAAATCGGACTTCCTCGTATAGATAGATAGGTAACTAGCTGTTGGGAATAAAGTTAGAAGAGGGGGTGCAAGAATTTCCCTCGTGCTTGTCATCATTGGATAGCGACAGACAGTTAGATGCAGTAGTTCCCGTTGTGGCGGTTTAACGGGATTCCAGTGTAGCCAATTCTCTCCCCCATGTGCCTCTATTGTGTGCTTTGAGACGCTGGACGTTGAGTTCTGGTCATTAGCCGATCCACTTATCACGTCTCCTCCTCCGCCACGTTCATAAGCACACTATAGGTACAAGGTAGTATCTTATGATAAATATGAATGACAATAGTAATAAAAATCTAATTGTGATTGGGGAAAACCCTCAAAAATCACACTGAGGGACCCCCGGGGATGGGGCGAATCGTTGTGTTCATGTATGCCAATATCCTGGATCGAGCCATTTTCCCGCTGTCCACAAAACGAGATCGTCGATTCGGAAAAAAAAAAAAAAAAAAAAAAAAAAAAAAAAGGGTGTTCATTATCCGATGGAATGTTCTATGGGTTCATGATGTCATTCTAGTGGGGGGTTGATAAAAAGAATTATACATGGTTTGGTTCCTGAGATGTATACACAAAACAAAAATGGAATCTTCAACATGCGCTACTAAACTGGCCGTGGTATCCTGATGCGAAACAAAAAAGAAAAAAAAGGAGAAAAGGGAAAGTCGGAAGGAAATGAGGAGGAGGTTTTACTTGGCATTTTCCGCCAGAAATTGACAGAATGCCTTCTGATCTGGAGCACTCTGTTAGCGTCCCCCCAAGAGTCTAGAAGTGGAGTAAGAAACCCAGCCACAAAACGTACCCTCATCGTCTAAAAACTGGATCTGGAGCGTTTTCATTTCGGACAAGATGTCGAAATTGGGTTGGAGTTGTAGCACCACCGGTCGTCGGGAATTTTTCCCAGGGGTAATGCTTTCTATACAGCTGACTAGCCACCACGCCATGCCACCGCGTCAGCTTCCGATTCCTCCCATCTGGGAATGATGAATACATACGTGGAATCGACACATATCGTTTTCGTTCTTTTCGCTGTGAGTTGGCGAAAAAGAGCAGCACCAGTTTGCCGCTGTGACCGCGCAGAATCCGTAGATTTTGACTGATACATTCTTCTCCGCGCCCTTTGGATTTGGCTTCTGCGATGCCTGCGATGAAGACCAGCTTGGAGGCGAGGACCAGCTCTTGGAATTGCACACAATCTAAAGGAAACGCGCATTAGCGCCATGACATCGAATCGCTCGACTGGAGACGGGTGTTTTTTTTTTTTTTTTTCCCCTCACCTTCCCATTCTTCGAATGTATAAGATAGCTGGGTCGCGAACACAGTGGTCCCTGTTTGGATAGTCTGATCGCCAAAAAAAGAGATTCGTAGAGATGATTCATTTCGGAGTTTTGGATGTTCTAGGTGTGGTACGGGAAGTCGTGTTGTGTTGACTACAACGATTGTAAGAAAAAAAAACAACAACCTGAGATTCAGTGATGTTTGCTTACAGCTATGGAGAAAGGCATTTTGCTGGCCGACTCCCCCGCCCAGCTCCAAACATTTTAGGGCGCCTGTGAAATCTTTGCGGATATTGATGAAGGTATATCGGAGTTTGAATAATTTTTTGTTTCGAATGAATGATCTGGAGATAAAAGATGAAGGGGTTAGAACCGTTCCTGGGTGTCGGGGAGAATGAGGCTCGACATACACTGTCACAGCTGGATGGAGGGGTAGTCGGACGACCTCATCATTTACAGAGCCTTCCCGCGGTCGTGAGCTTGGAGAGAAGGCAGGAGTAATGGAGGGAGTGAACGGAGGGGAGGAGATGAAGCTGAGAGAACCAGAGGACTGCGTGGAGGATGATACAGTGCTTTCTCGACGACTTGAGCGGAGGGGCCATTCATCCACCTCATGGATGGACAACGGGTGGCTCATGATGGAGAGGGAAGAAACCGAAAAAAAAAAATTAAATAAATAAATAAAAAAAAGGTGCTGTCAATAAGCAACTAGAAGACGGTGCTCCCAAAGTCCAAAAAGAACAGCTGGCGATCTTGCGGATCACCAAAGGTTGATCGACAATTAGGAACAAAGCGAGATCTCATCCACCCCCATACGGTTCTCTTCAACACCACAGCAGGTCATGATGGATAAAGCATGATTGTATAGCGGAGGGGTAGCAAGGGAAATTTGAGACCTCAAAAGACAGCTCCCCAGGGCGACGCCGATTGACAGGGTTGGAAGTGACAAAAAAGCACAGATAAGAAGCCGCAAGCTGGACGAGAGCCCAAGAGGTGGAGATGCCAGACCAACGTGCGCAAATGGATGGCTGCGATCGAAGGCTGTCTGAGTTAGCTTACTCCGTAGTGATATATCCCTAGTAAGCCTGGGGACTGTATATTTTCACCTCGGCCACTTACCAGTTCGTTCACTGGGTGGTGTCACTATCCTGGACTCACTAAGTCAGTATTTGGGTCCCTTGTGCCTCTCGCTCAGCGAATAAATGCCGGCTAAATCACCACTACCCAGTCTCCAGTCTTGTCGAGTCCCAGCACACTGTTACTGTTGACTGTTCATTTCAACTCGTGGCTGTGGATATCAAGTTGGGGTTGGTTCTGGACTAACATGGGCAGGCTAAGCGTCGGAGTTTCGAGTAAGATTTGGCACATGCTTTTCATCTTCCCTGGTTCTCCTTATTCATGTCGATTGACTCGATCAATCATTGGGTTTCTTTGTCTTTGTCTTTTTCTTTTTTTAACCGAAGGTTCGCTTCTTTGGTGTCGGTAAACCTTGGTTAAAAATTCAACATTCTAGATCGACTATTAAATTTTTCTAGCGGAACCGACGCAGTGGAGGTGATAAAAATACTTAAAAAAACGCAATTAAATTAGTCTACAGAGTATATACAGTTTCTATATGGACAGCCCCACCAGGCTATCCTGAAAACCACCAAAAATTAAAAACAAACACCGGCTCCCAGGGTTATCAAAGCTGTGGAAGAAGAAGAAGAAGAAGAAGAAGAAAAACTAAGCGCGGAATCTATGCAGCTTATCCCCTGTCTTTCGTTACAGGCACAGGGAATCGGGATTCAACCAGAGAACTGCGGTAACTCAGGATGTGCAAGGTCCCATAGAGCCGCGTGCGATGGCCAAAAAAAAAAAAAAAAAAAAAGAAACATAAACAAGGGGAGATTTCAGAACGCCGCCCACAATTAGGGTATGATGCAATTCTGGAGCTAATTATCTGGGAACCGAGTCAGTGTCTACCACATGGCACTGAGACAGAAATAATGCACCCCCGCCGCAGGATTGGCCCTTACCTCTTAACACAAAATCTTCGTGGCAGCTATTAGGACAGGGATATGCGGGAGAGCCGAGTTGTTGTGCTTGCCAATTAGGTGGTTGATTTTTGATGAGTTATTAGGTTACTCCACGGGGAACTAATAATAGTCATAAGAATAACCGTCCCAGGACCTGCACACCGAGAGGATTAATTTTGCTGAGTTGACCACATCAGGAACTCCCAGATAATGATGGCGGCTCCAGGCCGCGAAATTGACCCTTCTGCTCCCAGAGCAAAAGAGAGTGGTGGAGATGTGTCCAATCTCAGGGGCGTTGAGGGATCAGCAGTGGAGGGCACACCCTCACCACCCGAGAAGCTCCATGACAACATGGCAAGCTCTGCCGGCCCCCACCCCACAGCCCTGTCCCAAGCGAATGGCGCTTATTGCTGGGGCTTTTGAGCGATAATACGGTAGCTGGTAGTGGCCAGCCGCATGGTATCCATCTTAACAAATGCCTGTCCGTCGAGACACAGTCGGTTGATGAGGGTCTTGAAATGGCGGGGAAGCACGTGGGTTTTGACAAGCCCCAAAATAACCTGGCGCATAGAGCGGAAGTAGAAGTCAACTTTGTCAATTAATGGAGCCTGCAAGCCGTCGATGCTGGCGTTATCCGAGCGCAGCACAGTGAATCCAGCGCCCATCAGAGCTGTCTCTAGACTTTCTGGGGTGGGGGTGCCAACGGCGCCAATGAGTGGCTTTACACGACGCATGAGCTCGGCATGCTCGGGATTCGAGGCATCGTAATCGGGCAGGCTAGCCCAGTCGAGCAGGGAAATCCTGGCTCCCGGTTTGACTACACGGTATATCTCGCGGAAGAGGGCGGGAAGGTCCTTGCATAGGCTCAGGGCCTGGATCTGGTAAAAGGCATCGAAGCTGTTGTCGGCGAAGGGCAGGGGCAGGGTATTGAAATCTTGGACGACGAACGAATTGGATGAGAAGCCCAACTTCTCGTTGAAGGCCCTTGCCTGTGCGATTTGGTTGGGATCGATGTTCAAGCCCGTGACTTGGGCTCCGGAGTATTGCGTCATGTGCGCGGCTACCCGGCCGCGACCGCAACCCAAATCCAACACTCGGTCTCCGGCGCTGAGACCGATATCCTGCGCAATTGATTCTTCGTATAGCAATTGGTTCTCGCGGACGGTTGCTTTGCTGCTCATAAAGGGCGGAATGTACATCTTTTCCACATCACCTAGGGCGCACAGGTGGTTGAGTACGCCGTAGTATGCCCTAAGGCAGTCTCCGACTTTGGCTTGATAATCCGGACCTAGAACCTCCACCATCTGCTGCTCGTTGGACCAATCTAGGTTGTAGATGACATAAGACGCCATGAAGTCATCGATCTGTTTTGGAGTAAGGTTCTGGAGATATCGGAAAGATCTCCAGAACGTTTTCCATCGCTTTGGAGAGGCTGAATTTTGCAAATCTGGAAGGCTGTGAGCTCCGGTTTGTGACAGACTAGTTTCCGCGATCTTTTGCTTCTCGTTCGCAACAACATCCACCGAGCTATCGGAGCTTCGCCCGGAGTGATGCGACGCCAACACGGTCTGGGTTTCCGTCATCGTGATGCTGGTGAGTGCTCTAGGTTGTAGAAGACCGGGGGGATGTTTCTCTCTAGAGGGGAAGGGAACTAAGGATAGTGCAAGCTTAGAGAAAAGGAGGGAAAGAACACTGCTAACAGGTTACAACTCCTACTCTTCAGCAAAGGCGGGGCTACCTTGAATTTATAAGCATCCTGCGGGAGAAAATTTTTCTTTTATTTTTCTACGACGTTGCAGGATAGCTCGGACGGTCCAAATAATAGTGATTTGCCATATGACCTACCCGGGGCAATTAGCAGCGATGGTAATAACTAACTGGAAAGTGGGCTACTGTCACCAGATGAGGAAGTTGCCGGAAGAGTCGGAAGTGGTGGACAAGACGGCAGATGAGCCGGAAATCAATAACTCATTGGTGATTTGGTGAGGAAATGATTGATTGACTACTCCGTAGGTACGGAGTATTGGGAGGAAATTTGGTCACATTATGGTAATTATTATTAACGATTCGCCCGCCCTGTCAGCCTGTATCTCCGCTTCGTTGCCAGGGTTTGGCTCCTTACTGCAGGATCATAGTTCCTTTCAGATGTCGATGACTCAAACTGGCTACATTAGTTAACTATAGGCTCCTTCGCTTCCCATGAAAGTACTGGTACGCGAGTGGGATGTTACATGCACATGATGATAGTGGTGGTGGTGGTGGTGGTGGTGATGATGATGATGATGATGATGATGTCTTTGAGCTCCCGGGGAACTGTACGTATATTATCCAAAACCAAGTCAAGACACAATCCGATGAAGCAGGTAGCTACCTAGGCACTTCTCAACAGGTCAGAACGACACTACTGCTTGTTGAAACAAAGAGGAACCCAAATAGCTTCCTAGTTATGATGAATGAGGGTCCATAATCCGCGAACACCATCCAAAGGACTGCTTGGCAGCCAATGCTTGACGCATTAATTAGCTAGTCAGACAGGGAAATACCCGTGCTCTAGCTGTGCTCTGGGCCTCTTGGCTGACTCGCTCGGAGCGCCATCAATGGGTTTCCCCATTTTTCTACATTCCTTGCCCTATAGGGAGGCTTCGGGTCGGGTTCGGAGACATAACATAGTTAGGACCTAGGTACAAGCTGCCCGGAGTAAGCAGAAAGAATCTTGGTTTTTTTTCTTTGTTTTATTTCTTATTTGATTCATTTATTTTGAATTTTGAATTTCTTCAAAACCCCTTGGATTCAATTCTTGTAACCTTTAAAGTGAGAGACTAGCTGCTGCTGCTGCGCGGTAGTTAACTACCTGTTATTATTATCATTATTAATCTAGCCCTCACTGGATAATTGTTAACAGACCTGATCAGGAAGCTCTGTCCGGCCATGGTGCCGCCAGTCACCCGGTTATCCGTCAAGAAAAGGATCTTCTTCTAGAACCCGGGAACCGCTTAATAATGCAGTGGCTTTTTGTGATCCGTATATCCGCTTGGGAGCTTATGCTTATTCCTAATGGCTCCGGAGTCCGAAAGTCTAGAGAGTATGGATGGGATGGACCTTTTTGGGTGTTATGTATGTACAGCATATACGGAGTACAAGGTCCTACCATGGATTATGGGCAGTTCTATTAATTTCAAGATTCATTAGTCCAAGTCAGCCACAAGTGAGCTAGGAGTTACTTTGAAATACTCCAAGAATCCTGTCACTGAACTGGCAAATAACAATGATCTCCTCCCGTTGCTCGGGGGCTCCTGCAACGTCATCGCGCAGCCCTTGCGACTGGTGATCCCACGTTCGCAATATCAACTTCCGTGTCTGGCGCGGAGTTTTTTTCTTTCTTTCTTTTCTTTTTTTTGCTTCTCCTCTTGTTCTCTGGTGATGCGTATGGATATTTTTCTCCTGTTTCTCGCGATTGACCGGCTACCCTCCTCGTGTCTCATTGTTTTTACTCCTTCGAGATTGGCCACGTCTCGGCTCGGAGCGAGACGGCGCTGAAATGGCCCCTCACACAATGTGTAGTTCCTTATTGAGCAATATAGGGGGCATCCGCATAGCCGTGATGGATGAAAAACGGGGCACGGGCTCGGGTATTTCGCGATTTGGCCATCTCACAGACCTCCGAATCTCAATAATCTAGGTAGGTGCCACAAAGGTATCCCTGGATATTGGTTCAGAAGAAGCGATACGTTCCACGGTGGGGTAGCACTTACTCGACCTTAATCCGACTTAACCTAGATTATCATGTCCCTTTTTTCAGTCAATTTATGCATCTAAACTCTTTGTTTTGTTCATAATTAGCTGGTAACCCACGTGATATTGCCACTCACGGTCATACCAGCCTTCCTATGGACTTCCGCCGACATATCCGGTAGGTTATATAGGGTTTGGGCACGAAAATTGAACCGAATTGTAAGACTATGTATCTTCATGATGAGACAAGATCAATACATATCGAACTGCGACGTGCAGATAAGCTTATATTTTAACACTCCATCCTACAGTCCTCGTGCAAGCCGCTTCCTCCATACAGAAACAGAGTGTCCAGGATCCACTCATTTTAGGCAGCCAGGTTTTTCACCATGGAGGTCAGGGATCTAGGGCGGCGATGTCTGGCCTATCTCCAATCACGGCTGGTGCTCCAGGATGTAGGCGTTGGCGTTGGTCAATGGGAGACAGGAGGGACCCGACATCTCAGCCTGATAGGGGCGTTTTAGCAGTACTGGATACGCTGTTTTTGGAGGGAGGGGGGATACGATGTCAGGTAATTGGCTACCAGGGCTCTTAGGGCTGTTGCAGATGCTCCTCAAGAGCTTTTCCTGGGCTAGTGGGCCGCCTGGCTATGTCCTTGCTGGGTTGAATGGTCTTTACAGTATTACAATCGGGAGACAGGCCAATATTAGATAAGCCTAGGCTTCATCCCGCCAGGAGAAGGTACATCTACATCCGTATTTAGACGTGGCGGGACCAGAACGGGTCTTTCATGGTCTGATTTGGGTGTCGTCTTGTATGAAAAAGGCTGGATACCTCCCGACGGACTACCAGATCACACATGATATGAAAAGAAGGCCAGGATGTTGGCTCCTAGAGAATAGATGACTGTGACTGGTCCGTTTACGCAAATATGGGTGGATGTATATGTACATCGTTGATTTGGTCATCTCCCATCGGATAAACTATAGTAACCTTCGTAACAGCCACTCGTAAGCCGCACAACCTGATGGATGGCCGAGCGAGCAGCTAGGGTATTCATATTTGAGCTATAGCAGGTGGATACCTAGTACTGATTAAATTTATCTATTGTGACGATGAGCCTCTGCAGAATTCTTTCTCTCTATACGATTGGCTAATGTCACGGTAGGATATCGAATCAAAAACGCGCAATCAAGCATACAACACTTCAACACCCGAGCTCTTCTTGCCCATCCATACCAACAACAAGGCTCTCCACACAGACATATATAGGTATCCCTGATATGAACCTGTCGATTGAAGTTGGTTCCAAGATTGGAGGAGAACTCTTGTCCTGGCTTTTTGCGCTGCGGGAATCGGGTATCGCTATGAACTTGCTGTATGGACGACATGGGGGATTTTGGTAACTCATATCGGGCACTTCCACCATCGTCATTGCCCTAGGAGTTGAATCCAGACTAGTATATACAAGGGGTGTTATCGTAAACCTAGGCGTTTGGAATCTAGCCCATTAAGCTGTAAATTAATAGCCAAATTAAACATCCCCGTAATACAATTGACAGATTTTTGTGACTAAGAAACTTTCCTGCAGTATAGTTAACTATCGCATAACCTTTTGAGTCAACCACTACCTGTCCGACTGCTGGTTAGAACCGTAACTTAGAGCTTATTTTCGGTCAATATACGAAGGACCATGATTGTTGCTCGAGCTACGATTGCAACAGATAATTGAAGGAACTCACATCAGGTCCGAAAGATCAATGATATCTAACTAATCACCAGCCTTTGCAGAATGCTGCCTATCAAGGTGGTAAGTTTTGTGAAGGTATTGCAGAATATGGAGGAATGCATGGAGGATCCATTGTTTTTTTTTTTTTCATCATTTTCTCTGTCGGGGCCCTAGAGGAGCACTCAGGCAGTGGGTTACACTCAATATATATCGGCGGGTAAGACATGTGGCTTTCTCCTGGGAGGAGGTCCGGATAATAAAGGTGACTTTCATTCAAGATGGGCCCATAATTCTGCTGTTCTCTTTGATGCGAGCATCCTTGGGATTGAATGTGCTTATAGATCTGGTGGAAGGTTAATATCAAAAAGATTCTCTTGAGGAGTAATGAAGCTAATAAGTCAGAATTTGAAAACCTAGAATAAAATACTATACTTTACTAGCCTTAAATCCTCGCTACGCTCGGCGGCTTGTTGGGGCATATGGCAAACTAATAGTATAGTCTTAATTATAGTATGATAGCTACTATATTAATGTAAGTATGGAAGTTAGAATTAAAATAGGCATTAAAGTAGATATTAAAGGAGGTATTAGCAGGCATCAAAGCAGGCATTAAAGGATGTATTAAAGCAGGCATTCAAGTAGGCATTCAAGTAGGCATTAAAGCAAGTATGAGCAGGCATTCAAGTAGTCATTCAAGTAGGCATTCAAGTAGGCATTCAAGTAAGTATTAGCATGGTAATAGCTTATAAAAGTAGATATAGGAATGTCCATAGCTAACAGGTTAACCAACATCTCCAGGTTCTATAGCACGGAAAAGCAAGTAGGCATTCAAGTAGGCATTCAAGTAGGCATTCAAGTAGGCATTCAAGTAGGTATTCAAGCAGGTATTAAAGCAAGTATTAAAGTAGGTATTAGCAGGCATCAAAGCAGGCATCAAAGCAGGCATCAAAGCAGGCATCAAAGCAGGCATCAAAGCAGGCATCAAAGCAGGCATCAAAGCAGGCATCAAAGCAGGCATCAAAGCAGGCATTAAAGAAGGTATTAAAGCAGGTATTAGCAGGCATTCAAGTAGGCATTTAAGTAGGTATTAGCATAGTAATAGCTTATAAAAGTAGATAATATAGGAATCTCTATAACTAACAGGTTAACCAACATCCCCAGGTTCTATAGTACGGAAAAGATGGCCCTGCGGGCCATAGTTCTTCCGAACCGCCGGCGCGCGTAGAACTCAGCACGGTGTACGGGTCATACCACGGGTGTTTGAGGGGGACTTTCATATATTATTTAATCATTGAATTCAAAGACATACAAACGAGTCATTGAAGACATTTGTTAATTGCATAATGTCCCCTGCGTCCAATTTAGAGCGGAGCATTCGTCAAGCACCTGGCTTTGTGATGCCGCAAATAATGATTCTAGGTTGAATTTAGCTCTTCTAATGAGCTCAGCTGAGTGCAACAGTATATGGCCGTGACATAGTTGTTCTTTAGTCAAATGTCTCCTCTGAGAGAGACTCCCGAGGAGACAGCTGAGATCGAGGAGCACTGGGTGGTAAAGTGGCCCTCGAGCTCGAAACTGATCGACGAGGAAGACTATTCTATAAAAGGCGCTCTCATCATATAGAGATCTAATTGATAACAGGAATGTAAGACGAGGGTCCTCCATTGTACTCTTTAAAGAAGGGCTAGAATTCTGTCAAGTACCTATGTAGTAGTTGCCAGTATTATCTCGAGATTAATATCTTAAACATATGCATAATTACTTGTAATAACACCGACTGCAGTATATTTTTCCATTTTTACTCCGTATATGTGAAGCCATAGTGGTGCCATTATCTTGGAGGAAAGTAAAAATTAAAAAGGGTCCACACAAATTTGCGGGGGTGGGTCTTAGACGGGGCTCGGTTAAATCCGGCCCGAGGAATATGATATGTGCTTTGGGGAAAGAAACAGTTCCCACAGCTTCATGTCATCCTTGAGATAACCACCTATGCCTCAAGGGAAGCCGAGAAGTCGTAAAATAAGTTGGCTAGCTCTTTATAGATCGCGGGCTAGTATTGGCGAAGAAAACAGAATGGGATCGTATACACGGTAAGACTCTGGGATATTTCGTCCTTATTGCTTGCGTGATATTATACTAGGTACTAGGATAGCACTAACTCTATGGAACTGATAGCGCGTCTCCTAGCCCACAGGATGTTTTCCTCGAAGCCTGCGACATATATTTCCTTCATTCTCACAACAAACCATACTCCCTGTTTAACCCAGACCTTCTGCAGCGAAAGATTGAGCAAGGCCAGGTTCCACAGTATCTTCAGTTTGCTGTTATTGCTACCGCAGTCCGTTTTTCTTCGCATATCCAATGGAAGGAGCGTAAACAAAAGACAATAGACAGCTATGCCCAATGCTCTTGGGCCATGATTATGTCGTCACCGGACGGCCTCGGCGATAGTTCCGATGTATCGGTCATCCAGGCTCTAACACTTTTGGCCGTAATTGACGCGACAGGTAAGTGAAAAATCTCCTGATTGCTGACGAACGCAAGCATTTTCTAATAATCATAGCCGGACGGCGACGTCCTGCTTGGGTGAAGATCGGTATGGCGGTCCGGATAAGCCAGGACTTGCAAATGATGCTTGAACCAGATAATCAGCTCTCCGCTGCCGAGCGGGATGAACGCCGAAACCTTTTCTGGTCGCTATTTATCCTAGACCGCTTCGTTTGCTGTTCGTTTCGACGACCTCCCGCTATCAAAGATTCAGACTGTCGCCTAAATTTGCCTGTTGATAATGATCCCGAGTCCTCAATTACGCTGTCCCAGCTTTTAGATGAGAAGGTTCGAGGAGTCCCGGGCGAAACAGTAGGATTGTTCGGCCTAAGTGTGGGGTTTGCGGCCTTACTGGGCCGAACAATCGACTACATGATGAACGGGGAACCCAATACCGTAGAACCATGGCGGCGCCACTCAGACTATAGTATAATATATGCCGGTTTAGAGCTACTGAAAGAACTAGCGGCGAAGTACGGACTGACACCCACTGGGGCGTGTTCTCCAGATAAGACACAGCATCAAAGCGAGCGTGATCAGAGAGGGCACCTGTTCTTGTGTCATACTTTATACCACCTCACTCACTGTATCCTCAGTCACCCTTTCCTTCTCGGTGTCAAGGGCCACACATTCCAACATCTTATAATACCTCGAGCATGGATGCAGGCACAATACAATTCCTGCTGGGACCATGCGTGCTCCTTAACCACATTAATCGTCGAAGCAAAAGCAGCGGGCTATATCCTGGCCCCTTCGTTCTGCAGCTACTGTATCCTGGTTGCAGGGACACTCCACGCTCTCCATCTCCATAGCGGAGATGCTCCTACTAGCCAAAACGCCTCTGACCATCTAAAGACCTCACTAGACTACCTAGGCGAAATAGCGGAGATGTGGCAGAACTCTTACATAATGGTCAGTCAAATGCACTCCCCCCTTTTTAGTATGTTTCTTGGGCTATTTTTTAACCAAGTCATCATCATGTGCAACAACATAACAGGCTGGGGCATTGCGTTTTTTCACCAACCGATGCGTGCAATACAGTGGTGTTCTTCTTCTCAGCTGCCCATCTCGCATTCAGGAACTCTCACCAACGGATATGACAGTCCTCAGATCAGTCCTTGATTATTGGATTATGATGGACCCCCGCAACCCTGTTTCTGAAATGAGCTCTATAAATGTTGATTGCTTTCCAGAAACCGTGGAGATGCGTCGTAGTGATCGGGTATCGATACCTTGGGGGCTCGATGATACGATTCGGAATACCAGTTCAGCTAAAGGGAATGACAGCAACTCTATTAACCCGAGCTTGCTGATGCAGATGCCGCTTTCCACTCCACCTTCGATTCCGTTACACGGAGAAAACTTCTCTCAGTGGAATTGGAAGCGCGAACTTGGGTCTCTTGGCGATTAAGTATGCTCAAGCATGATTATATCTCAGGCAGGCATTTGCTACTCTCGTATATATAGCGTGGATCAATCGAGTCCTTTGGAAAACTGAGCTCATGACGATTGTAACATCAACCTATGGAGAGTTTATAACGCTGTTTAGTGATATTTCACTTGGTTGCTGCCGGGTATAAGAAGCAAGGGACAACTCCAAACAGATGGAGAAAAAAGAAAATCCAAAACCCTTCTGTAAGGGGGATGGATGTTTTCATGTCCCTTTCGTCAACCAAAACATTGATTGTCAAGAGTGTGCATGTTAAAGGCTGGCCCTCCAGAGCCATTCGACTTTCATTTATTTCTGCAAGCTTTTGCATTTTGCATTTGTGCATCTACCTCGCCCACACACAGAGTACCACAATGACGCGCATACCGAGGAAAGCAGACGATGCCTCATCCGAGAATGAGGCAAAACGCCGAATCAGCACATCATCTCTTGCACTCTCCGAGCGACGCCTGGTCAAATGTTGCCTTCTATGCGGTCCCATCACGATGATACTCCTCCTGATTGGATTTGCTGCCGGCGTTCTCTTTCCTCCTCCGAGTCCATCCTTCTCCGCAGAAGAGACTGTGCAATACTATGCACGACGCCAGACCGGTCTAAAAGTCACCGTCTTGACGCTGGCGCTGGCCGGCATCACAGTACCTGCCTTTGCAATCGGGGTTGGATCTCAACTGGCAAAAATTCCCACAGTGCATCGAGCTGTCCTATCCGTTCAGCTGATATCCGGTGCTCTCGCTGGTGCCTCGTCGGCTTTGGTCTCCATATTCCTCGCGACAACCATATACCGACTCGACCGAGATCCAACACTGACACAACTGATGAGCGATCTAACGTGGACGTGCTTTGCCCTGAACAAAACATCCCTCATCCTCCAAGAACTTGCAATCATGCTTGGCATTTTATCCGATCGTCGGCCGAGTCCTCTGTACTCGCGCTGGATTGTATGGCTTAATATCCCGACTACGGTTCTCTTGTTTCTTCAGATGCTGGCGTATTTCTTCCACGCCGGGCCGTTTTGCTGGAATGGCGTCATTGGGTTCTGGGTGCCTTTGTTTTCCCTGGCTTCTCAGATTGCATGGGATGCAGTCTTCTTCTGGGAAACTGTCGGAGACCGAGGTCAGGGTGTGGTATGTGATCATGCACATGGTTCGTTCGTTTAGGAGGCACTTGGATATATCAGGCAATGCAATGCATATACTCTGTATACTACGTTCTTTTTCACTTGACGCTATGGCTTATCTTGTGACGCTCTCCAAAAAAAAAAAAAAAAAAAAAGAATCTAGGGAGGCTATTTGTATAGTAATCTCCATGTGACTGACTGCTTTGCTTGCATTGGAGAAACACGCATATTTTGCATCCGACTAGGCCTTTGGATTCTCCTCGAAAAGAAAAAACGAAGCGTTTAATAATCGCGTCTCTAATTCCTCAAACTGCGGAGAAAATGTTAAAAGCCACTGTTGATAGGAAGTATGTTGATATCAAGCGGCATTCTCCTTGGCCGGAACGACTACACCACTACACTGGCCAAACCCAAACCGTCGCCCAGTGTGACGATTCATACACCAGCCTTCCATAATGACTTCATCGCCATCATCGAGGTACACGATTCCATCCGCTTTGGTAGAGGCAAGTGCGTTGCGCGGCATCGTGCGCTCGAATAAACATGCAATGCCGGTATTTTCGCCGTCGGAGTTGGTGCGCTATGTAATTTGTTCAGACATCATTAGCAATACTAGTTATCCACCAGACACGAGAGCGAGGGGGGAAAAAAAAAAAAAAAAAAAAAAAAAAAAAAAAAACACATACGGCGCTTGTGATGGTTCCTGTACCAAATATATCTCCCACGCTTAAGCCCTCTCCAGCACTAGTTAAATGCGCGAGCTGCTGGTATGGCGTCCAGTAAAGCTCGTTCAGATTTGTCTCGGTGATCACGTAGGCTTTGCCATTTCCTATTGCCAGATCCATTAGTGTGTATTCTCGAGTTGAACCGGTTCGTATGTACGAATAACGTACGCAAAAGCTTGGCTTCCAACTCTATGTCAAACGTTGCTTCGTCGATGGCTCCCTTCCAGGTTAGATGATGCAGCGGCGCAGGATCCTGGACTTTGGTGGAAGCACAGAGACTCCCGCTCAGCGCCTCTAAAGTCACAATCCAAGGCGAGATGGTCGTCCCGGAGCCTTTGCCGTGGAAGGGACCGAGCGGTGGCATTTCAAACATCTGGATGTCTCGCGCTGACCAGTCGTTGAGAATCACCAGGCCAAATATGTACTCGCTCGCGTTTTGAATGTCGAGGATTTCCCCCGGAGGAAGCGGCTTCGAGAGGAAAACACCCATCTCTAATTCAAAATCAAAGCGACGGGTCGGAGAGAAGATTGGCTGGGAACTGGGAGATTCTCGGAAGACTCCCCAAGGCCGGCGGACAGGGGTCCCGGACACGCGTAGGCTGGATGTTCGACCATTGTAGACACTGGGAACGTAGAACCAGTTCTCGGGAATGGCCCGGTTGCTGATCTCGGTGCACTGCAGTGTATTTCTTTTAGCATTTCTGTTTGGTTTCCGCGCGAGCACGGGAGGAATACGTTTTGGGTATGTTCGAGAGAGCAATAGAAGTCGGAAAAGTTCTTCGTTTCCATGGGGAAGTGATTCTCGACGGTAGAGAGAGGAACGGCATATTTCTTGCGAGTATCCAAGTCGGCAAGATGCTTTGTTAAAAGATCCCTAACTTGGGCCCGGGTAGACTTGGGGAGAGCAGCAAAGGCGTTGAGGGTAGGCTGTGGGTAGAGAAATCAGTGCCGTGCCAAAGAGCCTGGAGGCCAATGAAATTTACCTGCGAAAATACCGCATCTTCAAATCCAGGAACAGAGCAGAAGAATCCGTCTCTTTCCAACGCGCTCAGGTCAATGGCATCGTTTTCTAGAGCTGTGGCGCATCGTGGAGTGGGATCGGAAACAGTAGAAATGACCCCGTATGGCAGGTTATCGATTGGGAACGGAGTTGTCGAAGCCATAATAATGTTGGAGAATGATTGATTTGAAACCCTTTCAAAAGGTCTGCGGGGAATCACTCTCTATTAAATGTGATGGATGCATATCAAGTCGGGCATCGGTGCATTGTTACGCTCATCGTTCATTACGGGCAATAACCCCTGTGAGCAATTGGCACGATAGTCGGAGATGTATTCTTTTGTCGTCATGCAGGTAAGCAAGTAGCAACAGCTCCTCGTTTCTTGATTGGTGACGGTGCACCCTGCATCGGCAAAGCTGTATGTCCTTCGGTAAACGAGTGTAAATCCCTCGTGATAATTTTGTCGGAGAGTTACTTGGGTTAACTTGGAGGTTAGGGCTTGAGTTGAGTGAAGTCTCCAATCTATAATATAGTTTCCTAACCCTAATACCCCCAGGAAGGTGAAATAACCCCTAATCCTGGCTGCAATACTCAAAGAGGGCCTATTTAGTTATCCCATGTCAAATGATAGAAGAGCTCTTTCTATACGAATATTGCTTGACATGTCATTCTGCTGTGCCTTCATGAAATGATGCCATGGGAAGCACTAGTAACCACTGCATTATACAAACTCACTGCCCTAGAGCGAACAATAATAGCCCCCTCTTGGACATACTTAAGCTTTTTCTACATTTGGGTTGACAGATCCGATCTCCATGCTAATCACTGAAGGTAGAATAGGCCAGATCACATCGAGCTCGGGGACACTCCAACACCCACGTCCTCAAAGCAAGGGAGCATTCGGTGACAGCCATCATAGACAATAATATTGAAAAGAAGTTCAATAATTGTCTGTACCCTAGATCCCGACATAGTCGTTGGTTGCAGATCGCCGATAGCTCAACGCAGAGTCTTTCGAAAGCAAGACATGTCATGTCAACATCTACACAACATGACATTCAGGGACAAAAAAAAAATTGCATATAAACTAAATGGTTCTCTTTCGAAATGTACACGAACAGCAATACAAGCCCTTACCATCCTAGACACTCGAGAAACAACCCTAACGGTACGCTCCTCCCGCCCAGCCAAATCCGAGTAAACCAAGTCTCAACCCAACTTCCAGCGACCCAGCAAAGCAATACCAAAATGCGCCTTTCCATCTCCACCGTTGCCATCTTCCTGGCCTCGCTCTTCCTCAACCAGGCCGTTGCCGCCCCTCACAAAGAATGCACACCGGGAAAGATCTGGGCCGATGATACGGACTGCCATGCCTTCTATCAGTGCGAGGAGCCCGGAAAGAAAGTTCGCCAATACTGTGGCATGGGCACAGCGTTTAACCGCAAGACGCAAACCTGCGATACCCAGGGCAATGTCTGCCATTGAGTGGGTGGTGGTCTGCTGGGGGTGAATCAAGTGTTCGCGAGGAGATTCCATGATGTCGTCAAATGTTCGACAACGCCTGAATAAGGAGAATGTTCTTTGGGGAGGTTCTTTGGAGTTGGATATCTGCGCTATTGGAGGCGGAGAAAAGAAGACAAAAATACATAATATTTAATTGAGAAACGCGGCCAGGCTCAAGCATGGACTAGGTAAAGCGTAGATTGTACTGGTTGCTTGGGGTTAAATTCTCCGTGGGCTCTGCGATATAATTTAGATACCTAGATACTAGCGGATACTATCTCAGATAGGGTGCTCCAACAAGCATAGAGGCATTTAGGGGTTCTATGAGGGATTTTGTTATTGGTGGTAAGCAAGTTGGCTTGTGGGCGGGGTTGGGCAGAGCTCCCTTTCCTTATATTGATGAAAGCTCTCCTCCTACAATCTTTAGGTATTCTTCCTACAGAAATAAAACCGACATTCGTGACTTCACTGCTAATTTGTGTTTGCCTCTTGCTGAAAACAGATCAACTCCAAACGCTTCCTGAATACTGGGAATCTTGAATAAGAATATCTGAAAAAAAGAGAAAAAAAAAAAAAAAAACACGGCATTCAAAGCTTCCTCTGACGTGGACTTTAAAAGGAATCGTTAAAACAATATTCGTTGGGATAACAGCGATAGCTTTTCGATCGCAGTGCTGTCCTCTTTGTCACCAACGTTTGCTCCCGGTCGGGATGCGCCTTGTCACCGATGACTAACAGGGGCGTGGCTTGACCTCTGTTCGGTGTGTTCGGGCATCTGTGGGATACCGTTTCTCGAAGTGTTGAATCCCCAGCGTCGCGGCCCTTATGTGTCGTTGCGCGCCTAGTTCTCGACGCCGATCTTGACCTTCTTCTCAGGAGGAGGGATGATCTTGTCCTCGGCCTCACCGGAGAGAGAGGGAAGCTCTTCCACAGACTCCTTGATGATCTCCAATGCCTTGGCGATTTCCTCCTCGGTGATAACAATGGGGGGAGCAAGGCGGATGATATTCTGATGGGTTGGCTTGGCCTACAAGACATTAGTACACGAGTGCAGCCGGTACGACTCTGAGCAGGGAACACTTACAAGAAGACCCTTTTCCTTCATCAACATACAGAGATCCCAGGCGGAGTGCCCGTTGGTCTTTGATTCGTCGATGACGATGGCGTTGAGCAGACCCTTGCCGCGCACGGTCTGGATAACGGGGCTTCCGATGGCCTCTAATCCGCTACGGAAAAGATTACCGAGTGTCTCTGCGCGCTCGACCATGTGCTCTTCCTGAACGACTTCCAGAGCGCGAATTGCGACCGCGCAAGCCAGAGGGTTACCTCCATAAGTGGAACCATGGGTACCAGGTTCAATGGTGAGCATAACCTCCTTGCTACCCAACACACAGGACACAGGGTACATGCCACCAGAGATGGCCTTGCCCAGCAAAACCATGTCGGGTTTAATTCCACTCCACTCGTGGCAGAGGAGCTTTCCGGTTCGGGCAATTCCGGTCTGGATCTCGTCGCAGATCAGCAACACATTATGCTTGTCGCACAGAGCTCGCGCCTCCTGGAGATAGTCGTCGTCGGGAACAACAATTCCTGCCTCACCCTGGATAGGTTCAACGAGGAAGGCAGCAAGGTTAGAGCCCGCCGCCTCGAAGGCCTCACGCAGAGCAGCCTTATCGTTGTACGTGATGGGCTTATCGGTACCAGGAATGTGGCAGCCAATGTTGGGAAGATAAGGGCCGTAGTTTTCGCGCGACTCGGGATCAGAAGACAGAGAAATGGCGGCAAACTAGAGGTGAGGTCGCAGGTTAATTTAAGATGCGATGGGGAAAAGCAACGATGGCTACTGGAGTACTTACAGTTCTACCGTGGAAATTATTTTCAGCGCTCAGGACAAGAGCCTGGTTCTCAGGAATGCCCTTCACCTTATAACCCCACTTACGGGCAATCTTGATCGCCGTCTCGACGGCTTCCGCACCCGTGTTCATGGGGAGGACCATATCGAAGCCAAAATATTTGGTGACCATCTCCGCGAAGCGGGGGAAGACATCATTATAAAAAGCACGGGAACTCAAAGTCAGACGCGAGGCCTGCTCCACGAGAGCAGCTACAAGCTTGGGATGGCAATGGCCCTGGTTGACAGCAGAGTACGCCGACAAAAAATCGAGATAATGACGGCCCTCAGGATCCCAGACCGACGTACCCTTCGCACGGGCAAATACGACGGGAAGAGGGTGGTAATTGTGGGCAGCGAATTTTTTCTCGGTCTGAATGGCCTCGTTGGTGGAGGCGGTATGGCAAGAAGTCTTTGCGTGACCGTTGGTGCCATTCGAACCATTCGCATGGTGACCGTTGGTGCCGTTGGATGCCATAGTTGTAAGAGGGGACTGACAAGTTCGTGTATTGCCGCGAAGGAAAAGGTGGTGATGGTGGTGAGACAGGAGCGTTGGTGGCGATGGTGGGGAAGAAATAAGTCAAGATGGACTGAGCCGGGGGAAAAGTTTAAAAGAACCACCTTGAAAGAGAAGAAAGTTGTGTATTGTAGCCAACTGAAAGGAAGGGATTGTCTGGATCTTTAAGGGCAGCGAACAGAGAAGAAAAGAACCCGGAGTGGAATGTGGGAAACCCTCCATCCGTGTCACCGCAAGAAGAAGCTAGACCTCTAAGTGCAGGTATATCCGTCTGGAGTGACTGCAATGACGATGATGCCAAATGGCCCACTCACCGGCTGTTTTCTAACTGGTCCCAGAACCTGCCTTAAGTTGTTCCAGAGTATTGTGGATGGCTTCATTTTTCCCTGGCTAATTTATTCTATCCACTGAGCTTGCGACTATGTGGGAGGCGGATCCCATCGCTTGTCATCGGGCCGGTCGAATGGTTTTAGTGACTATCTACGTACGCCGTACTCCAGACTGGTTCTTTTCCTCTAGTCCTTATTTCTTTGGGATCTTTAGATCTGTCGGGGCAGGGGTTTTTCTTCAATTTTGAAGCATGTCGTCTTCAACTTCTGTTTCTTCCTCTCGGTCGTCTTTCCAGTCGCCGCCTCTACGCCCCAGGCCCCGACCCGCGTCCTCCAAAACAAACCCCTCCGAGTCCCCCAGAGGCTCTAACAATAACATCCTGCTCTTTCTCATCGCCTTTCGTCTTCTCAATGCCCTAACGGTCCGCACCTTCTTCCAGCCTGATGAATTCTTTCAGTCGCTGGAACCCGCGTGGCAGATCGCCTTCGGGGAGAGTCAGGGGCCCTGGATTACCTGGGTTAGTAGTCCCTCACTTCCCTCCCATCTGTGTTGTTCTCTTGACTAATGTATGATGCAATGTTGTCGCTTAACAGGAATGGACACATCAGCTGAGATCCTCCCTGCATCCGCTAATTTTCGCTGCGGTGTATTCCTCTGCCGACCTTCTCGCACGCGCCGTCCGCCTCGCCCCCGCCTCCCGTGCTGACCTTCTCGTCGCCGCTCCCGGGATAACGCAGGCCGTTATCGCGGCCCTCGGCGATTTCTATACGTGGAAACTAGCTAAATATGTGTATGGGAGTATGGGCTATGAGGCCTGGGCAACGGTATATTAAGATCTCTGTGCTGATGGTGTCTGGGACTGATCCGTGTCCAGCTGGTCTTGACCGTGTTAAGCCCTTGGCAGTGGTTTTGCTCTACGCGGACACTCTCCAACTGTCTGGAAACTACCATAACAATAGTTGCCTTGTACTCATGGCCCTGGGAGTGGTCTCTAGGTTCGTCCCGTGGTGCCGGTGGGCGCGGAACGAATAGTGATGATAATATGGTCCTTGGGTATGTTTCAGCGACAGTGCACCATGACATCGCGCTAAGAGCACAGATATAGACTACGTCGATGCCTTTTGCTAGCAGCCTTTGCGTGTATTCTGCGCCCCACCAATATCATCATCTGGATCTGCCTAGCTACTGCGGTGTTGTACCGGAGCTCTTGGGCAAGCAGAAAGATTCTGGTTCGCGAAGCTGTTCTCTGTGGGTGAGTCGGTGTCTTTCCCCCGATTGGAATACCCAAGGCTCACCCTTTACTCAGATCCACTGTCCTGGCTATTTCCCTCTTGTCTGATCGCGTCTTTTACGGGATCTGGACCTTCCCGCCCCTAAGATTCCTGCACTTTAACATTGCACAGTCACTGGCTGTGTTTTATGGCAGAAACGATTGGCACTACTATGCATCTCAAGGATACCCTCTCCTCCTTACTACAGCACTACCATTCGCGCTTGTGGGTTTGTACCGGGGACTGACACGTGCTGGATCACGTGCAACACCCAGATATCCCATCCTCCTGCAGCTTTCGTCCATTTGCTTGATTATGCCCATATCTTTGTCTCTGATTTCACACAAAGAAGTACGGTTCATATACCCTTTGTTGCCATCGCTGCACATTCTTAGCGCATCGCCCGTGGTGGATTTCTTCCTTCCCGCGATCTCCAGCACTAATCGTCGATATACTCCGAGGAGACTCACTTTCATCTTCCTAGTCTTGGTCAATATTGTTATTGCCGTTTATACTACCGTCTTTCACGCTTCTGGAGTCATTTCCGTCTTGTCTTATCTTAGGGATCAGCATGAGATTCATGGGACCGCTATTAAACCAGCGGCACCTAAGCAGGCTAGCTCCGCGGCTGATGGTTTTGTCGGGATCACAGCCGGGTTCCTCATGCCTTGCCATAGCACCCCCTGGCGCTCCCACCTCGTCGAGCCCTCTATTCACGGGTGGGCTTTATCTTGTGAGCCACCGGTGGGGTTAAGTGAGGCGCAGAAAGCGGTATATCGAGATGAAGCCGATCAGTTCTACGATAATCCTAAACGGTTTCTACGTGACAACATGGTTGGCGGTCTCAGATACATTCCGCGCAGGCCTTCATACCGTACCCATCCAAGCCAACCATCGTTAGCCACGCAGCGAAGTAGTCCGCATGAATGGCCAGATTATCTAATCTTTTTCGCACAACTGGAGCCGACACTCAATAGCCTGCTCCGAAGCTCGTCGTATGGAGAGTGTTGGAGAACATACAATACTGCCTGGCATGATGACTGGCGTCGTCGAGGCGACGTTGTGGTCTGGTGCCTCGACCCGAATGAGCAGCAAAGCTGGAGAGCAGAAAAGCGGAAACGCGAGGTCGAGGAACGAGATCGCCAGTTTGACCGTGTCATTCAGTCCTTCAAAAGGGAGGCTGGAGGTAGCAAGAAATCGTCTTCTTTCCAGTGGTGGTGGACTAGCCCATCATCCACTCCGTCCTGGTCGTGGCCGTGGGAACGACGCAAGCGAGTTACCTTGTTTGGAATTCAGCTACCTGATGTCTCATTTCCGACGTGGAAACTTCCCTCCTGGAAATGGCCTGGGTTTGGGAAAAAGAAGTCCAAAGCGACCAATCGAGATTTGTGGTCTTGATTTGGTTAATTTTTTTTTTTTTTTTTTTCAACCATATATAGCATATTGCAGCGTACGCAATTAATGTAATTGTTTTAATTTTTCTACGTTTATGTCTCCCCCCACATGTGCCTCACTCTTTTAATAATCTAGTGGCCTGCACAGCTTCGTCTTGCTAAATTAAGATGCAATCAATAACTCTGGCTACTTGGCGGCTACGTCATCAAAAAGTCAAGTCAAAGAAAAATATATATATATATATATATATATAGTTTCCATACGCAACGAAGCATCACCTCGACTTCTCCTGAACCATACTTCTCAAAGCATCAGTCTCCCCCTCCAATTTGGAGACTCGCATTTTCAATTCGTCGCGTTCACGCTTGACAGCCTCCAGTTCCGCCTCTAGCTGGTTCATCCGGTCGATGCGTCGCTGGCGGTATCTGCGGGCAGCCAAAGTGTTCAGTTGCCGTTTCGAGACACGAGAAGCGGCGGCAGTATGCTTAGGAGATGATTCCCGGGAAGCCGGAGAAGGGGTCGACAGTGATGTTGGTGTTGCTCCTGATGGCATCGACACCGTTTTATTAGTCGACCACGCACTGGTAGTGGATTTTGTAGCATCCGGGGCTGGTTGGTGTTGCTGCTGGGGACCAGGCGGAGGAGGATCTTCATTCAATTGATTAGTGTTTGTTCCCATATTACTAGGTCGGTTCAACGAGCATATATGTGTGTACGTACCAGGGGATGCACTCTCAAAGACATTCGGCGTCCCATTTAGCTCCGAAGAACCAGATAGGCAGTCCAAGGCTGTCCAGTCTATTCCGGTTGTGGTGCTGTCGAGGAGATCCGGAAAGCCCATGCAGGGTTGGAGGGTGATGTCGATGAAATTCGAGGCGGCAGGCCCCGAGAAGAAACACGGTTGGGGTTGGGGTTGGAGAGGATTATAGAACAAGGGTGTAGTATCAGCGGGGGGGAAGGCCGCTGGGAGATCAGGGAACAGGTGGGGAGTTGAGGATGAAGAGGAAAAGGACGAGGACGTCAGGAAATCAACGTCGCTGAGGAAGGAGTCGGGAGAGAAGTGGTGTTGATATTGACTAGACTTGTCTTCCGAGCAGGTAGATGGTTGCGGCGGTCTGGCGCGCGGCGCTCGCTGCTGATATTGCGGCGGCAGCCATTGTGATATACTTTAGGCCGGGTCTGCGGCGACCCGGTGGCACGGGCGTCTGAAGAAGAAGAAAGTGAGAAGTTCCTCTAGCTTTTGAGGTATTCGCTTACGCGATGAGGGAGGTAAGAGGGGAAAGACAAGAAGATCCAGGCCTGGGGGACAAGAGTGCTTTTGAATGCTGGGCTGGCGAGGGGGCAATAATAGGTGGGGCTCCGATTGATGTCCGCTCGTACCGCGGTATTACACATGTATTTATGAAGTATGAGGCTATCGTGGCGGACATGATAGATAATTCATCTCTCTTGGAGGAAACCATTCCGTTTCACAACCTTTGTATTAGCTTATCTGCATCTAAGAAAGTGTTGATGGCATATCTCAAATAGTAGAGGATGTAAAGTCAGATGATGTCGGCCCAATAACACTCAGAGAGGTTCTTCCTGTTTTCTTCATCTCCAAGGCCTCATAATGCGAAGCAAGTCGGCAGCGGGCTGTGTCTTCATTCTGGATGGAGTAGAGTATAAAAATAATTGACATACCGTTATTGTAGCAGTGTTAACAGGCTCACTTCGAATCCTGAATTCTTCTCCCTTGCGGCTGCGAGTCTACTTTGTTTACACTTCTACTGGCTATTTGTAGTGACGGCCACACCACCATGATTAGACATGATGAGTCGAGATGATTTAGGATGATATTTGTCAAGGCCTCAATATCTAGCTCTTGAGCCTTAATATCACCCACTCACTATTACTCATTCTGATGCAGGAACTACTAGGTAACTATGAGATTCAAGTCTGATGAAGTATAGGGGCTGTAAAATACCTGTTATAAAAGATACCGCTAGTTCCAATCAGGCCATGAGTGAGAGTGAGCCAGAATGACTCATGTTCACTCATTTCCACTTTTCAGGCCAATAATCATCTTTTATCCACTTGGTTACATGGTTTTTAAGTATCCGTACTTATGCTTTATTATGCTATAGAAAAGTGGAAACAATTTCCAAAAAGAAATGCAACCCTTCATTCTCGATGGCTCTATGGACGTGTCCTGAGATAGGGCATGAACATCACATTTATTATAATCCCGGTCAAGTTTCATATATGAGATATGACGTCCTCATCAGAAATTATCTCAAGATATATATATATATACCTGTTAACATGCTCTGCTCAGAAACCGTACTAGTAGTTTATTCCTTGTACTCCTTAACCGTCAGGTAGGTAGCCATGTACTCGCTGTTGTGGCTACCGTACCAAAAGATGGTTTTCTCAGGCGATTCTCCGTAGCCATCGACAGAGAAGTAGTCGTTTCCGTCGTGAGTAAAATAGCCCTGGTCGTTGACACCGAATCCGAGCATGTTTCCACCATCGGGAATAGCACCGGAGTGGGGACGGGTGAGACCGACGGGATCAACCGCATTCTCGATCACGTAGATGTTCTGCCATCCGGTAGGGGTCTCGCTCTTGGAGGTGAAGCTGACAGCACCGTTGGTGCCGGAATGGACTATGGGTAGAAGCAAAAATAGTGTTTAGTACCGGGGTTTTGGGGGAGAAATGGTTGGTTGCCTTACAGATAGCGATTTCCTTGCCGGCGGCATCTGGACCCTGGTAAAGGTATTCTGAAATGAGAGAGTTAGCTTTAATTGAAAGAACCCCAAGCAAGATACATAAAAACACACCGCCGTCAGTGACAATGGTAGAACCGCTCTGCGCAACGAGAGTGAAGGCAGCAGGAAGGGTGGCAGCACTGACTGCACTAGCAAACGCAGCAATGGTGGCGAGGGAGAACTTCATTGTGAATGATGAATGGCAGGAGGGCTCTGAATGTTTTTGATTTTGATCCCGAGCTCTTGGTGACGATGAGGCCAATCTTGGGGGTTTTATACTCTCTCTCTCTCTCTCTGCGTGGCTAAACGAGAGGGAGAATTGACATCGACTCTTAAGACATGCATGTTTGCCTGGAAATAGTATAGGCCCACCCCAGGTTAATTTGCAATTGGCGTAGTTATCATGACCCTCTGGTCTAATGTGTCGATCCCAGAATATTTACTGAAACATGTCTTTGCTGTTCTCCACGATATTGCAACATTCGATTTTAGCTGCCAATTGCCAGGGATGATCCAAGATCCACACCACCCGCTGATTTTCATCTTTAGTCGAGACTTTCCCCGGGACTCCTCCGGTCTCTGTGTCTGGACTCTGAAGACTCGTACGGAGTATTCCGTAGGGAGGTTGTTGCGTATTCATTTCGAGTGCTTCTCTGAACCTACTGCTGAATATAGTTGCTCAGTTGACCATCCATTTACATTTCCTCCCACGCAGGTTCCCCTGATTCTATGAACATACTTGAAGAAAGATTAACCTCCAAGCCACAATCTGTTCCCACCTCAGCTCACTCCATGCGCGAAGTATGCATTTGATGTAATTGATCTCGTACTTAATTTTAGACCTATCAGAGAGATCCTGTACGCCGAATTTCCCCCTTTTGATTCAATAGTGTGCAAACGACTTCCTCATCACGTAAAGGATAGGACGAGCAAAAAACTAGCGGTGAATGTGGATATAAACCTGGACAATAAACATCAACGCGAGCATCAAGTAGAAGTTGATCAGCTGGAAATTGCAGTTTACCATACATACAGAGTAATGCAGCGACTGACTCGGTTTTTCGATGCATCCACACCTGCAATATTCTGTACGTCAATGATTTCAGCAAACCTCCCTGGGATCCTACAAAAGGGTGGAGAACCAGAATACTCCGTACTATGAGGTCCTTCTCATTGGTGATGTCAACCACCTAAAATAAACCACTAGGGGTGGGAAGAATCATGCCATCCGTCTCTTCTCTAGCATCGCAAGACATCGAAGTCCCTGCGTCCGATCAACACCATATACAATCACTACCCACTTCACGTGGAGGTGGCGGTGGCTAGCGGCCCTGCATGTAGATCATCCAATTCCATTTCGAGAGGCTGTACTCCGTATGTATGTTTGGGATCCGATTCCTGAACTCTAGCTCCATGCGCCACAACTGTATTTACATCATTGAGATTCCCACCTCAGGCGGAAGTGTTGGAGGAAATTATGGCACACTTACGTAGGCGAACAGATCCGTATCATATTTTGATTTTGATTTCCAGGAAGATAAATCGATTTTACGATCTCTTCCACATTCATTGCTTTTTGGATCCTTGCTTTCGGATAAACACTGCTGCGGCCATACACGGCACGGCACCTGGGCAGAAAAGCCAACTGCTCCATACGAAGCTGTGTATCAGCTAGAATATTGTACCCAAACATGCTTCTTGACCAGATCATCGTGTTGATAGTTGGGATTTCAAACGTTGCGACCGCCAGGGTGGCGCAGCAGGTCCTTCTCAACCCGAGTAGCACGTCCGAACCAAATTGGTTCCAAACAAGACCTCAAAGCTTTCAAGGTGCAAAATAACGCGAGCCTGGGACTGTAATCAATACATATAGAGAACTGATGGGGGGTTTCAGGACCAACGGCTACCGGGGCTGCACCATTTCTGGCCCAAACAAACCCAGCTCCATTTGGCCATACAACATACCGAGCAAATTATCCTTTAGAAACATCAGAGCCTATACACGGCGCTGGCCAACGAAATGCGTTTCATCACCTTGGAAACCTAAGGCAAGGGTCGACCGAATATCGTTTGGATTGAGTTCGAACTAATGATGCAATAAACCCCAGTCCTTACTATCCAGGCGAAAAGGACTGGGGGGTAGATGAATATCCGCGGCCAGATGGGTCGGATATTACCCAAATGCACCTCCTCCACCGGCATGGCTCGCGATATCCAACCGGTGGCGAGCACTTGGAAAAATGGGGCAAGAAGATTATGAATGCTGCCGCAGAGAATGCCGTGTTCACTGGCAAACTTGCCTTTCTCAACCACTGGGTGTATGGCCTCGGAGAAAACATACTTGTAACCCGCGGTCGCCAGGAGTTGTTCGCCAGCGGGATTCTAAACTTCTTCAACTATGGTGCACTATACAACAACCAGTCGAAGCTCGTGGTTCGGACCACCACCAAAGATAGGATATTGAAAAGCGCCGAAAACTTCGTATCAGGGTTCTTTGGCCTCGACTGGAGAGACAACGCGAACATTCTCGCCGCGATCGAAGCCAAAGGGTTCAATACCTCGCTGATGTCGACAAATGCTTGTCCGAATTCCGCCCGGTCCTTTGGCAAGTATGCGTCGGCGCCCCGGGACCAGTGGAAGGAGAAGTATCTAAGGCATCGCACCAAGAAACTGCGTGAATTGTCAGGGGAATATGACTGGACGGTGTCAGACAGTTACAACGCCCAAGCTGTCTGTGCGTATGAAACGGTCAGTCTCGGGTACAGTCCCTTCTGCCCGCTATTCAACTACGAGGAATGGGAAGGCTTCTCCTACGCCAGTGACATCTGGTTCAGCGCTGCGTCCGGGTTTCAAAGCCCCACTGGGCGTGCGCAGGGAATCACCTGGGTGGAAGAGTTCATCGCGAGAGTCGAGGACCGCCCCTTTAACGTGTCTGGTGGGCCAACTGCCGCAAATCTGACCCTCAACGCTAACCCAGTCACCTTCCCACATAACCAGTCGCTGTACCTGGATTTCACGCACGACACTATACTCGTGTCCGTGCTCACTGCCTTGGGATTCAAGCAGTTCGCTTCATTCCTGCCCGCTTCGGGACCTCCCAGGCATCATCAGTTCCGCACCAACAGGGTCGTCCCCTTTGCGTCTCGCATCAACATCGAGATCATCAGGTCGCCACATGAGATTAGGCATCGTAGATCGAGACATCGCCATGCGGATCCTTATATTCCCGGGACTGGAGAGACGCATTATGTGCATTTTCTGCTGAATCAGCGCACGTTGCCAATGTATTCCAGTTTCAAGCAGTGTGGGAGAAGAGATGATGGCTGGTGCGAGCTGTCCACCTTTCTAGATATCCAGAAGAAGAGCCTGGAAAGGGCCCAGTTTGAGTATTCATGCACGGGGGATTGGGAGATCGGGGAGTACGGATCCGTACATGATGGGGTCCCTGCGAAGCTATTATAAACGGAATGAATGTGATAATTTGTGGACTTGCTGCTGAAAATTATTAGTGTGCTTGAAGGGTTGATGCCTCTCTCCAGCCATAATCGCAGCAGTCTGATACTATAGAATTCCACTCCGTTTTGCACCACTAACATGTACAGTAACTGCCAAGTATTACCCATGAACTTGAATACCGGGAGTCTTTTGTCGGCTCTAAAAGATGCATCAGACATAAAGGCGCTTGTGGAAAGAGTAGCGGTTGGCTTGTTTAACTGATATGTGATAGACCTAAAATTAGTCTCTAAATGATGCGGGAGTACTACTTGCGTGACATACAACTACAGTCTTTCGGAATTCTAAGGCCTAACATTTTATATTACTGCCTATCTTGCTGACCAGCGTGCAGGATCAACTCTTTCAAGGGCCCAGCATACCTCCCCCGCCCCCTCACCACCCAATCAAAAACCAACAGGATAGTCACTCCGAGAAACACCGGGCCGCTGTAATTCATATTGGTTGCGGTCACGGGGATCTCCGTCGGAAACAAAACAAAAGTAGTGGTGAAGAGGCCGAAAACGATGGCGTAGATGTTGATGGCCAGGCCCCAGCGGCCAAGCGTCCACGGGCCGAAGTTGATCGGCTCCTTTCGGAGGCGCTTCCAGGTCATCATGAAAATCGGGATAAGGTAGGAAATAAACAGAGAGCTGGTGGTGAGGGCAAGGATGGCGCTGAGGGCGGTGGTTGACGCGATATTGATGAGGGATAGGAGAATGGCCGTGAAGCAGACGAGGCAGACGGCGCGGAAGGGGATCTGGTATCTTCCATCAACCTAATCTCGTTAGTTACGCCCGGGGGGGAGGGGGAGTTCTGTATGGAAGCAGATATGGGAATGGCTTTACTTTGGCGAAGAACTTGGAGTAAGGCAGGCCGCCGTCACGGGCAAAGGCCCAGGTCAGACGAGAGACAGATGCGACGACGGCGATGTTGGAAACGAAGCCGAGAATCGTGATGGTGAGTTGCATGACTGTTGTCGCCCTTACAGAGCCAGTGGTCTGGTGGAAGATGGCGATAATCGGGAAGCCGGTCGATGTGTGTAACACGTTGCTAACGTCCCCAATGCAAAACAGCAGGACCAGAGTGAAGACAAACGCCAGAGTGCCGTTGATGGCAATGGTTTGGATGAGAATCCGAGGGATAACTCTGGCTGGGTTGCGCACTTCCTCGCTCATATGGATGGCGCCATCGAATCCTGCTCAAAATGGTCAGTACGGCGGCGGAACAGCCTGAATTCCTGCAGCAGGAAAGCTCACCTGTAAAGCAGTATGTGACGGTCAACATTCCCAGGCACCACGACACGCCGTCACTACTCCATCCGCCTTGATTCAAGAGGTCGGTGAAAACAAACTGAGCTGTGCTCCGCGGCGATAGCAGGACTAGAGGAACAACCAGCACGATAAAAATCACCACATGCATCAGCCCGCCAAACAGCTGGAGTAAAGGCAAGATCTGAACCGCAAAGACATTCATGGAAAACGAGAACAGCATTACAGCCCACATCAGCAAGGTTCCATGCCAGCGCTGAGGATTATACTCCGGATGGTTCAGAATGATCAACCCCTGAATTTGCGTGGCGACGAGGAAGCAGATGCTGGTCACAGCAGCCTGCCACCCGAACACTGTAATCCAGCCTGTAAAACAACGGTCAGCATTGTTATCCCGTGCCTTGAATTGCCCACATACCCTGCATCCAAGTGGTGAATACCCTGATCTTGGGCGGTGCTAGAAGCGCAGTCCAGTGATACTGGGCTCCCGCGAGCGGGCAGATAGACGCCATTTCACCCAGCGACAAGGCGAGCGCCATTGTTCCGGTCATGGATAATACCATTCCCCAGACCAAGGCTGCTGGTCCTCCATTGCGCAGACCAGGGGAGAATCCGCTGTACATATGAATCCATTATTTTCTAGGACCACACGGATCGGGCTACGAACGTACCTAGCGATGGACTCCCAAGATGCTAATAGTGTGACTGATAGGGCCAAAATGGAGAGCGACCCGAATTTTCTCTTCCCTCAAGCATAGAATTAGCAATCATAATACTATAATCCCTCGTTTCGAAAGGAAGAGGGGGGGGGGGGGGGTTTACCTCCATTTGTCGTCTTCCGCTGGTATTATTCGACAATATACCATCGTCGGCACTGTGACTGAGGTCTCTTTGATTCATCTCGCCTTGGTTTCTGACATTTTTCCCGAATGGCGACAACTCTATTGTATCTTCCGACATGACGATAACTGCAAACCTGTCATGGAGATTGTTGGTGGATAACCAAGCCCTACATTATATGCGCATAGATAAAGAGTAAAACACCCGGACACAGCATATCTCACCACATCGAGGGCGACGAGAGATGTAAAGAAACTTAGGCTTACACTTGTGGGAGATTGATTGTGGATTAATGACTAGTTAGTACTCCGTAGTCGAGGCTATGAATAGTGGAACCACGTCAGAGCAGCAGGCCGATGAGGAAATTCCGGAGTACATAGGTAGAGAATGCTGCTAAAATCTACCCCTGAATAGCCTCAACAACATCCTAGCCTTAGGATTACTGATTATACGTGCATTGGCTTGTGATATAAGTCTGCCCTCGGCACCACGTCCGTGAAAACGAACAGGGGTCTAAACAAAATGAGAGACGGATGCTCTTGTTCAATTACCATAGATATGTCTAGAACCTGACCGAGGACATTCCTCGATGTGCCCATAATCCGACAGCCCGATAATCCAACAACCATCCCACAAGGAAGATAGCATCGTCTCACCTATCACGGGCTGATTTCTCCATACTATGGAGTATGGACTCTGTCTCTGCGGGGATTCCGCCAGTTCCACATGGCCCGATGTAACGTCTGTATACCCCCACAGGTCCCTGGTTCGTCGCAGATAAGTCTCCTTTTGGCGGACAAAGGTAGTGGCTGGTCTAGAAAGCTTGAGTGGTCTGAGTGTGAAACCATCTCATTAGCCGTAATGCTAGTTGAGATTTCGTGCGGTCCATACATATGGAGTACGGAGGAGAAGGGTTGCGTCGGATGTTGGCCTCCTAATCATATCGGATCCTCCATCAGGGGCTGAGATGAAATGTATTCGATTGGATGTCCTATTTCTCTCCTCGCACGCTATCGAACCTAATCAAAAAAAAAAAAAAAAACAAAATATCGTAGTAAAATTTCGTGCTGCGGACCTGCAGTGCCCTAAGGACCACTGCAAGTCATTCATTCTTGAGCATTCGTTCCTTTATTAATCTTTCCTCTCGTGTCAGATTCTGCTAATATCCACCAATACTTGGATCTATGTTTAGCCAACAGACATGGCAGGCACTCTGCCACCCATTTTCCCCGTCTCTGAGACCGATCACAGTGGGTTTGTGGCCGTCGCAGCCTATACTCTGCTCAGTCTGACTGTGGTTACGGTGTTTGCACGGCTCTTCACGCGATGGTATATTGCCAAAGTGATTCAGCCAGACGATATCCTTCTCGCAGGCGCAACGGTAGGGTCCATCCCGAATCCCATCCGGAATGTATGGGTATGTATGTGCGTTGGGGAATGTGTTTCTAATAACCATATGAACCACAGGGCCTGGCATTTCTGCAGACCGTTTTTGTTCAGCTGGCAATCGATCATGGCCTCGGTAAGAAGATGAGCGTAGTCTCAAGCAGCGACTTGAGTTCATTCGATAAAGTACGTACAGTCCCTTCCACCGCACAACGCGGGTCTTTGTCCACCAGCCATCCTAATGCGTCCTCCCAGTATGCGTACACCATGCAAATCCTCCTTCTCGCCTCCGTTACGTGCAGCAAACTCTCCATCGCGTTGCTTGCGCGAAGTTTGACGGTCGATGGATATATGTTGCGGGGAACTCAGGGCTTGATGGCGATAATAGCATTGTGGGCCATGTCTTCGATCCCAACGCTAGCTATTCAATGCTCCCTGCCTCGGCCATGGGACCCCACCGGCCAGTGCCTCAACCGGGTAAGTTATTATTTCAACCCGAAGAAAGGAATCAATGCTCACGAACTATGGGAATCCACTTAGGAAGCGTTGGCTGGTTACATCGGTGCCGTGAATATCCTTACCGACGCAGCGCTAGTTCTCCTACCCTGCATCGTGCTCCACAAAGTCCAAATAAGCAGGTGGAAACGATTTCGGATCATGGCCATGCTTGCCACTCGCTTGCTGTACGAATCCCTGCCTATGGAGTAGTAGTAGTAGTAGTAGTAGTAGTAGTCGGAGTCTGCAACCCATCTTCCATCTAACGGGTAGTAGGGTGTGTGTGGTGACCGGCGTCCAGATTCACTACGTGAATGTGGCAATCAATTCATCTGATCGAACATGTAACAATCTCTATCCACTGCCAGCCACGCATAGAGTATTCTTTCTGCTAATGGAAACTAGGGGCGAGCATCAATTCGACGATATGGAACCAGTGAGTAAAAACACAACCACAAGAGAGGGAAGGCGCAAAGACTGACTGGATCCAGAATAATGATGAACTTCAGCATCATCACCACTGCCATCCCATCTCTTGGTCGCCTCATCGTCGAAATGCAACCCAGTCTGAACGCGTTTGCTATCACCGAGCGCCACGGCTTCTCGGGCGACAAGTACGCCATCTCGTCGCTTTCCGGCCATTTTTCACGCAATCACGCAATGAACGATGATCTAGGAACTCGCAGTTCTGTTCATGGACCACTTCAGAGTTCGAAGGATGGCTCGGAAAGTATGCAGGAGCTAGTGGGTGACTCAATCCAACAAAATATGATTACAAAAACAGTCGATTTCGAAATCCACTAAGATAGATACCTATATAAGTATATATATATTATACGTATTTTAATTCTAATGACCTCATCCTCAATTCTAGTCAAAAAGACCGTATATCGTCCGTCTGGAGCCTAGTCACTACAATCTGGGAGATTCTTGGTATGAAGGCCATTTTCAAGTTTTTGGGTTTTTGGGTTACCGGGACATGCCTGGTTGGAACCGTCGCCCTCAGCGTTGAAGCACACAACCCTAAAGGTGAGATCGAGGGTTAGACTCGCTCGAATGGTCGCGCTCTCTAGCATTATGAATTAGTTTTGTCTTCCAAAGTCCTCTTCAATGCTCACCTTGAGCAAACCTCTTTTGTATTAGCGATGATCTTATTGAAGACAACATGTCGAGACAAACAGGAGGAGGGACGATTGGCGGGCACGGTGAGCGGTAATGAGAGTTGAATACCTGCTAGTCTGCTTGAAACCATTTATCTCTGAGAAGTTCCTTTGCTGTCGGTCTATCTCTCCAATCCAGCATCATAATCTTTGAAATGAATGCCTTATCCTTCAGAGACACCTCAACGTTCCGTTGTCTGGGAAAAAGGAGTCGTTTGTGACTGGGGAATCTCATGCATCAGGTATAAGATCGCGGGGACAGTTTCGGGACTTGCAATCTCCGCGTATTTCTCAGGAAAGGGACCGAAATAGCGGAACTGCTGCTTCAGAACCTCAAGGTTGTATTCTTCATGGCCATAAGGAACCGTACGGGGTCTGAAAAGGTTGAAGTCGCCCCCATATATTAGGCTGATTAGCTATAACCAATGTTAGGCGTTGTTCTTGAGTGGAGCCTTTGCCTGACGCACCGCTGTGCCAAATGACCAAATATCTGTTGCCGTGTTCCAGGGTGTTTCCATAAGCACTTCCGGGGCTCGACCACAGGGCCGCCCCTACAGGCGTGCCTTTGCTCGCAAAAGAGCTGTCGACAGGATAACAGCCGCCAAGGTCGCCGAGCTGAACATCGGAAAACCTGTTTTCCCCATCCTTGTAATTCACGAAGATATTGTCTAGCTTGACATCTGTAATTTGAAGCTAGTTAGTTAGCTCATGCTGCGTGATAGTCCAATTTAAACAGCTGACCCGTATGTACGTATCCGTCGGTGTGGAGGATATCCAATGCTTCCAGTATGCACCTTGCAACATACTTTAGTTCATTCCGGTTAAGAGTCTTGTTTTTGGACGAGTTCAGAAGGTGATCTTCTAGATATTTCAGGACAATGATGGGGGGGGGGGGGGGGGGGGGTTGGCTGGCTCTTGCACTTCATCAATTACTGGCCGTAAATGAGTTGCTGAGCGTCGGAAGCGTTTTAGAACATCTCTCTCATTTTCTACACGGGGATGACCGTGGACTCCTTTGATCACAACTGTTTCACAGGCTTGATTCCTATCAAAACTCAGTAGAGTACGCAGCGCCAGTCTCGAATGCCACATACTGTGCGAACCAGACAGTCTCCTGTATTTGTCTTGTTATCACATATTTTCCCAGCCTGCCTCGAAGTACCTGCCCAATTTTAAGAAGCGACATAAAATGAATCCGGAGGTAAGCGTTGCGGGCAGAAAATGGTGGAAGTCATTGCAATAAGGATGTTGGAATATTCTATTTTCATTCCCGACAACTTCGAACCATTTCCAAAAGTTACCTAGCGTGGTGGTCCACAGGATTTAAATTTGTGAATTTGTTCTACAACTTCATGTATATTTCATTTCATTATTAGAATTTGATATCTATCATAGAACATCAAAACCATCATTAATGTTGCCATAACTCAAGGATTTCCATGACAGGGTATGTAAATAAACAACCCAGATTATGCATTTTTTGTGTCTATAATAAGTAGGTTAGGATAGATGCAGGATCTGATAGTTATGTTGGACAAGCATGCCTCAGGCTTCAATTTGTTACAACAGTTCAGCCTGAGGCCAACTTGAACTAAGTCGGAAAGAATTGCCGAGATGATCCGATTGGTCCGGTCTGGGCACAGCCTCGACGGCTTACTCGGGGTGCAAAATGCTATTCAACTTAGAGAATGATTGAGGTATGGAGGCGAAGAGTCGCTTGTGGGTAAATAAAACCCATCTGAGAGATATATTGGGGAAGCCTCCAAGGGGGGGGTTGTGGGTTTAGCTGCTGCAAGACAAGCATCATCATGACTATCTAACTTAGATACTTTATATTTCATTCCTCATAAAAGTAGAGTTATACACTTAAAATCGCTCATATACCTGTTGGATATCCAGTGCAAGGCCCAGCCTAACATGCGAATTTGATATGTCCTCCTAACACCCGATATTGAACGCCGCCAGTATTCCTTCATGAATAGCACTGATAGTAGTGCCTCGTTAACTCAATTCTTTGATTGCTTCGCGCAGGGGATTTTAGTAGCGCGATGAGTCCCCAGCAGTCGCTAGAATACACACAACAGTTAGATCCCATCCCATACATAGGAGAAAAAAAAAACATACATGCGGATTCCAGATCCTTGGTCATCATTGGCGGCCCCGACTCGCGACGGAATATGCCCATATTTTTCATCCGCACGGATCGCATGTACAGTTCTTGCTCGCGAGAGTATCCAGATCGCTGGAGGTCATCATGGGGGGAATATTGGCGAGAAAGCGCAGCACCGAGGGACACAGCAGCCAGACAGGCGACGATGACGATGACAATGATAGCAGCGTTGCTGAGTTGGGTCATTGTTGCGGCGGGGGTCTATAATAGAGTTTATTTTGATACTAAGAAACGAGAGAAAATGGCCCTTGTGGCTGGCGCAGTGGTCAATGCATAATTCGACTCCGCGAATCGATGGGGGGAGGATAGAGTATCCGATATATTGAATAGATGTTAAAGTTGACGATGGGAGATATAACAAGAGGGAAAGGGGAGAACAAAAGAATCAGCAACAGAAGGACAGAGTTACGGTGCAAGCAGATTGTGTCAGATTTATAAATATGTGGACAAGGATGAATGGTGTTTAATCACCGAGTTAAAAAAATTTTTTTTTTCTCACCATCCATGCGGCCGGCACACAATTGGACCAAGAGTTGCCATGGATTGGAGGTGGGAAAGAGTCATGGCAATTGGACTCTACAATTCCGCGGTGGAGGCACCAGATAGAGCTTTTCGGATCGGGGCCTCAACTCGAGCAACAGGATAATCGTCATTATTCAAAATCAGAAACACATCCTCTCGTCGCAGGCTCTTGATGACGATCTCCAGGCTAAGTGGATCGATCATTGGAGGGGAAGAGGCGAAGGCGAAGATGCTTCGTTGCTGTACCTAGGTATGCCAGCGAAGAAGGCACGGCGAGTTGACTGATCATTCTCAAGTTTCTGTCCTCGGAAATGATATCCCCGGCCGTGTCCGTTCCGTTGTTCCCGGCTCTTAGAAGAGTAGAAATCTCTTTGACACCACCTGGGAAGAAGAGCCATCGGTGGCGTTCTGGGCTCAACCAGATTGGCTCTCCGATACAATTCATGCCGTGGAGGACAAAGTGGATTCGTTCCTGATCCAAGACACAACCTTTGGCGTAAGACCTCATTGCCTAGGACTGTTAGGCACCAGAGTACGGAGTACTACGCCCCCGCTATGAATCTTTTAACTCTTGCTAATAATAACTAACCAGTGACCGCTAAGTGTTCTTGATGCTTGTTTCTGGCCTATCTACTCCGTACCTAGGTAGCTATTATGGTACAAACTACTTCCGATGGGTAAAGGCCAGATTCAGCTCGCCATAATATAACACAAAATTATCCTTGGCCTTTCCCAGAAACCGTGATCCGTCTTCTCCTGGGGCGAGCTCCACGTCGAATTCCATTACGAGTCGAGCGACTGTGGTTCGGATGTTCATCAAAGCAAGTGGTCGTCCGATGCAGTTATAGGGGCCTGGGTGGTTAACTTAGGGGAAAAAAAAAAAAAAAACCAAAAAAGAAGAAGGAAATCTTTATGAGCAATTGGCATACCGATGTTGAATGGAGCGAAAGCTCGTTTATCTTTGACTAACTCAGGGTATTTGTACCATCGCTCGGGAATAAACTCGCAGGGTTTCTCGTAGCACAGATTCGCTACCCACGTCATTAGACGAGTTCGTCAAACTTTTCAGCCCGTTCCATGAGAAGACTTACACCGTGCCATCGCATACAGCGGACAATACACATGGGTTCCTCCAGGAATATGAACTCCGTCAATGACAATTCCCTCTGGAGGAACCTTACGCTGCAACGCACTTGGCACTGCTGGATACAATCGAAGGGCTTCGTTGATGACTCCATTCAAATGTTTGAGATGGACGATCTTCGAGTGTAGAAACTCTCCGTCCGGTTCTTCGTTATCAAGGTACGGCGCCAGCTCTGCGCGCAATTTCTGGAATTCCTCTGGATGACGGACAAGTTCATAGAAGATAGTCGACAACGTTCCGGACGTGGTGTCGCTATGTTAACCCTATTAAAAAAAAAAAGAACTCCAAAAGAGAGACAAATATCGCACCTTCCTGCGATAATAACTAATCGCGAATCCCCATACAGCAGGTCTTTCTCTTGTTCACTTATCTTCCTGCCCTTCACGGGAGCAATCAAGGGTGAGCTGATATCGGGAATTTCAGGTTCATTCTGGACACCAGATCAGTAAAATATCACGCCAATGTATCAAGCCACTAACTTCTAATCTTTCCATTATCCTTTTCCCACAGAAATCGAGGAATTGCCAGAAATCCGACAACAAGCCGGGGATCGCTGCGACCAACAAGAAGAGCCATGCGGGAAGCATCAACCCCAATGAGCCCATGGTTCCGTTCAGTAGCTTAATAGCCCAGTGCGCCTCTCCTTTTTCAAGGCTCTCAAAGCCCTGTCCAAATGACAGGTCGCCCATTACGTCGAACGAGTACAAGTTAAACCACTTGGTGATTTCGATCGGCTGTCCCTCCATTTCTATAACCCGGTCGACCAATTTCTTACGATATCCACGAATGCGTTGTTCGTACCCCCGCAGCATCTTATCGCTAAATGCCGTGCTCCAAACACGGCGTCGCGCGTGATGCTCAGTCGGATCGCGGTGGGTCGGCAATGATGTCGTCGGATAGGAGAAATCGTATATGATCCCCTTCGTGCAACGAGAACTGGCGCCATGGACTGCCTCGATGCCTTGCGGATGAATAATCGACATATCAGAGGAGCCAGTGCGCACGAATGGGCCGTTAACCACAAAGTCGAAATGCGGGCAGCGAACGGGCCAGGGAATTTGCACAAAGGATGTAGGAAGATCCGATAAATGAGGAGACTTCCGTAGAGACCGAGGAGATATGCGGCGACTGGCTTGGAAACCGTACCCAAGGCCGTAGTCCATACCAGTCCTTGGGTGAACGAGAGACCAGCAGTTCCAGCTGTGATCATGAGCAAGAAGCACTTGATATAGAACAATCCATAGAGATGGTGCTCTCCTTTGTTGAAATATGCGACATGTGAGAAGATCCCGGTGAGAACCAGGCCGATATAAGTTGAGGGCAGAACCATGGCTGTTGCTGGGGCTGAATTAAATCCGAATGGATTGGTAGCAACAGGTAACCCCTCTCCTCGAAGATGGATGGGCCCCTTACCTATATATGTACAAAGGCAAATAGCCCACCTGCCTGTTTATTCATCTTCCCAAGTGCTCTTTCCGAGCGGGGTATATGCACTCTTTCACATTAGAAGCTATGGTGTTCCGTCAACGTGAATATGGAAGCGGTCCAGTCAACAACCAAATATCCCTACTAGGTACAGTACTAGGCAATAAATTTGCATAATAAACGCGTCTATACACGCCCAACCACTTAACGCGTATAACTAAATGGGTGGTATACTAAGTATTAGAGCTAGTATAGACTTTATTCTTTCTAATATTTGGACTTTACTATCAATTTACTATTTCATGGAATTTTTTTAGAATTTTTGAATATCTGGTTGTTGCGAAATATATATATTTTAGGTGGGTGGTCAAATATGGTGTGGTTTCTGTTGAACCACATTATGCAAACTTTTTGCAACCCACTGTAGGTATCTCACGGCCTTTAGATCATGGGAATCGCTGAACTAACGTCGAGACTCGTCCAACCCGGTATAGTAGACGCCTGGTTATATTTTTTTATGATCTCTTAGTGGCCCTAGAGCCATCTAACGCTGCATATTTAGATTGGATCCACTATAGACAGCATAGGAGAAGGAGAAGACAATCAACCCCCCAGATCACTCTTTAGTGCATTGATTACGGGAACACTGCAATCCCCACTTCACAACACCGATCAGATATGGTTCTTTACGTGTTGAGCGGCGAGAAGTGTTGGTTGGGGGGGGGGGGGTAGGTCCATCGACGGTGCATTTCTACTTCTGTTGCGCTGCTGTCCAGATTTTCTAAGCTTCCCTTTCCATATGTCGTCTGACATATATACCTAGGTCTGTGTTTTTGTTTACAAAGTGCTCCTGGTTGTAGATTGCGTGCTTAGTGACTGATGTTGGAGTTGTTGGATATACCTACCTAAATAAAAAAAAAAAAAACATCAAAACTAATACTTCGAACCCATACTATAGAGGGCTAGGGGATATGAAAGGCCGACTAATTTTTAAACCTCAAGATGAACAGGGGTTGAAATGCTCTACACTCTGTATTTACTATGCTAGAATTCTACAGGCGTCTGTCTTCTAGCTACTAGGAGGGGAATCATACTCCCAAGGTACTATGAACTAGCATAAATCACGCAAATATGCCAGCTAATCACCAATACAAGCACAGTGCCTTATTCAACAAAATTATGTATAACTAACTCACTCACTCCCAGTCTTGTGTGCACGCATTTCAAGGCAATTTATTTACATGGGTATTCCTGTTGAACAGCTTTCGGTATGATTCCCTGCACATGGTACATCATACCTATATGCCAAAACACTCTTCTCTTTTCCGAAATCCTCAAGAAGCTCAAGCCAAAGCGGTAATGATGGCATTGTAGGCACCCTTGGCTTTGTAGCTGCTGTCAAACAGCAATGGGGTACTTGATGCACGCCACGAATTCTATAATTAAATTAGCCGATATCCTCTTCCTCCAGTCTTGTTTTTGTAACCTCAAAGCTAAACAGAACACGCACCTTATCAGAAACACCCCAAACAGTGATACCAACACACTTCTTGACATTCAAGCAGGCGTTTACCAGCTATGTCCGTCAGCATAAATTCACTCGCATATTCTTTTGCGGCGCTCTTACGTTTAGATAATCGGAAGACGCGGCTCCAGCAATATCGAGTTCCGTGATCGCGACCTCAGAGACACCGGACGAGGCAAGAGAGCTCAGTGCTGTAGATGGAGGTCAGTATCGAGGGATTTATCTGCTAAGGATCTGGGTTACTTATGCTGAAGCTTGAGAACTGGGCCAATGGCTTGAGCTGGATGAGGGGTCAGTATATTGAATCCTAAGCGGTTGAAGGCCAAACTCTACCCGTAATGAGATTGAGAGCCTAGGAATAATCAGCAATCTTTTCATCCTATACATACTGGGAAAGACCAAACAAACGTACCAATTCCATCAATTGGAACACCATCCGCCAACCACTGTTTGACAAAGCGGACCATCGCTTTTGTTTTGGCGTAGCTGGCAGAGTCCAGGCTAAGGTTCCCACATTAGCACAGAATGTATGCAACATTCCTCGCAGCAAATACCACTTACTTGTAGTCATTGATATAGAGCTTCGCGTGCGGATCGGCAGCACGGGCAGTCTCAAAGGCAATCCGGACAAAGTCCTCGCCCAGGACGTTGTAGAAGACACTGCTACGGAATGTACCGTCCTCATTGAAGATTTCATTGACGACGTCCTGATCATCTGTGAGATATACGTTGTCGACTGGGAGGCTAGACGTTAACCTACCCAGTGCATGATCTTGCCCTTGTAACGGCCCATGACCTCCTTGATATGGTTGACCATGACTTCTTTCAGGGTGGTAGCATCCCTGATACTGGAAACCCAGGATGGGAGCTGGGAATGCCAGACTACTTCAATCAATACTGACTCACTCAAATGATATATACTTTTTTTTTTTTTGGAACTGACATACCAAGAGTGTGCCCGCGGATCTTCTTGTTATTCTGAGTGGCATAGTTGACCTGACAGACTTAATAACGTTCCTGAATCCATTGACAGACGAGGATGCCTACCAGATAATCCGCCCCAGCCCAGCTAAAACTACCCCGAGATGCTACAGACTGTTAAGCACCAAGCAGTCAAGCGGATGCGGGGATACATACGTTCAATGGAGTCCCACTTCATGCTGTTCTCCGGAGTCAACGCGCCAAAGTCGGCACGGATAATGGCTTCATTCTGCGAATTCTGGAGGAGAGTCTTGTCGGAGCAGGTTCCAAAATAGCTTTTTCCAGCAGCCACAAACGCATCGTTGATGCTTGCTGCCGCTTGACGAGAAATAACAGCGGATGAGGCCAAGGAAGCAAAAAGTGCGGCCCCAGCCAGAGACTTGAGATAGACCATTTTTTTTTTTTTTTTGTTCACAAAAAGCAATGTTGAAAGGGTGCACAGAGAAATCAAGTTCAGTATTTGTAAAAGACACGATAATGCTTATATGGCCCCGGTGGAAGAGTCGTTTTCTGGTGTCCGTACAAGACATGACTAGGGATGTAGATGTGGGTTTAGGCTAAAAGCTTCCATTTTAGACACGGACTGAAGCAATTCAGGACCGATCGACGTATTGGCGCCACTATATCTCTGGATGAGTTGTTTCAGCCACATTTCCCTTTCTTTCCGCGAATTTTCTTCCTACCTTCCTTTTATCACGGCCATGTCCCCTTTTCCAGTTTATTCTCCTACACCCTCCCCTCGCTGGATATTGACTGATGTTTCCGGCTGAATGTGAACTGCTTTTCCTTCGCCTTTGTACGGGGTTCGGAGCATGGGCGTGGACGCGAACTGAGAACTTCCAATATATAAAGGTAGGAACAAAAATGAATTCCTTGGACAGGTTTACGATTGATTAAGGAGGCTATATATACACCTCAGAGGCGAAACCGAGCCAACAAGTGGAGCTGGATGTATGAAACAGTAATCTATTGTTCAGAGATAAAGGTCTGATTCTCCTAAATCTAGTAATTGATTTACTAAAAGTAGCAAATATTCTAGGACAGATGCCTCTTGATGAGCAGTTTCACATGACAGATAGAGTCTTGTCTGAGAGGTTTCCCTCAGCGCGACACGGCTCGTATTTATAAGAACCTCTTAAGTTGAGCTACATATTCCTAGATCATACTTAGAAGGGCGTAGTGCTTGAGATCACAAATGGAGCAATTGAGAAAGGAAACCCATGACATTGCAATGGAAATTTACTAGTGTTTCTAGCAGAGAAGGTTTCGGAAGAAGGCTTTAGCCCTCATTGATCTGGTCGAGCTGTGCTCGGGTTGGTTCATGCTGGAAGGCTCGGTCTTGCGAGGATGGCCGCGCGACAATATTGCTCAGATTAGGACATGGCTTTGTGAGATGGGGTACAATCAAAAGGTGTCAAAACAGCCATTTCTCGCTGATACAGTATGATATTGGTCCACAAAACACTCATTTGACATGAAATCATCACAACATCTCTCCTCATCTGAGAGGCTTTGTCTCGGTAGAAGTAGCGCCAGGGCGGATGTTCTCGAGCAATGCAGGGGTGCATAGTCTGGAGAATGTTGACCATGCCATTGAGAGAAGTAGCAGTGTTGATGTTGATTCATAAGCTTGTTCAACTGTAACACATTGAACTCTGAGGGTAATGTCTGAATAATCTTGGTAATCTTCTTTAATGTCTCCTGTGGAGGCGCAGCCACTGAAAGCTTCACCAGAGCATTCTTGAAAGACGAGACTCCAGGGGTTATATTCCTCTGAATGGGAGAGCGATTGGCTGGGGGCTTTGGCCCAGGTGTTTTTGTCTCCTGAATTCTCTGCAGGTCATCAGCAGTGACATAGGGTTGCAAGTCTCGAGGCGCGCCATACAGGGCCGAGCATGACGCACCTACACTAAGAAACTGCCTGGAAGGCGTCTTCGACATCACCACAGCAATATTTCCTATAAGACACGCCTCCTAGGTCCGGCAGAGGCCTACTACTCATGTCTTCCTATGTGTGAATAGTCAGATCTTCCTAGATTTTGACCCCAACTTGAACCGTCCATCATATGATACCCACCAGAATTATTGCTACAGAGCTATATATTTATTAATACGATGAATGAATTTTATTGCCAAATTTTTGTACTAAACACAGTATGCCTGAGCGACACGATCCTTCTCTCTCTCCAAAAACTGCTCGAAGGTCCCCAAAGGAATCCCCCAAGCCCGCACTTCGTCCATATCCACAAACTGAACCATGTCCCTTGCAAACTGTTGTCCAGCAAGAAATGGATTTGTCGCTTTCTGACGGTCGACTTCATCCTCCGCCAGGTAGTTCACCTTCAGGTGACGACCGGTAGCTCTAGAGAGCGACTTCACCAGATCATCCATCCCTAATAACTCCGAAGCGATCTCAAACTCCTTCTCGTGAAACCTATCCGGATCCCCAAACGCGGCTGCTCCAAATTTCCCAATATCATTCGTATCGATCATGGGAAGAACAGTCTCGGGAGTCAGAGCTGTTGCAAATTCGCCCTTATCCACCAACCCAGCGTACATCATGTGCACATGTGGCGGAAGCATATTGGCCATGAAGCTTCCAGGACGAATGATTGTCCAAGTTTTGAATCCAGCGCTGCGTACCTCCGCTTCAACGGCTTGCTTGCTTAAAAGGATATTCGCGACAAAGCTATTGGGATCCCAGTAACGGAGGCGCTGGGGTTCGGGAACGGCAAATCCGCTCGAGTAGACAACCTGTTGGATGCCGACTTCTTTGGCGACGGAGAGAATTCGCTTTGCTTGAACAAGCTCCCGCGATATGTCGGTAAGGTCGGGCTTGAGGTTGAGGAACAGGCCGGTGCATCCTTTCATACCTTGGCGAAGAGAGTCTTCGTCGTCAAAGTCACCTTTGAAGAGGGTGGCACCGGCTGATTGGAGAGCTTGGCTCGCTTTGGATGAAGGATCACGGGCGATAGCTTGTGCTTTCATGTTGGATTTAAGGAGGTTGTTGACCATGGCACCTCCTTGGGCACCTGTAGCGCCGCAGACAAAGATGGTAGGCATGGTGGGCATGGTAGACAGTATTGAAAGGAATTGCGGTGGAAGGAGATATGAATCTTGATGGTAGAATAGATGTCTTTGCAGCTCCGAATGCCGGGCTTATATAGTAGAGACATCTAGGTAGTATCCGTATACAATCGATGGTGAACTTGCAGTACCCTATACTTCGTAGCATGCGGACTTCCTCTCCTCCACTCCATCTTCATTGGTTCTTTGAGATATTCTCTCTGCCTTTAGCGTGCGGAACTCCGCTGCCAGTCCCACCTCTCTAGCTCCATCCACCATTTTTCTTTCGTCTCTGGGATAGGCCATTTCTCCTGCCCGCTGCACATTAACGATCTCGAGCATTGAAAGAAAATGAGTACGTCAAGAGAACGGGATATCCCCCCGCCACGACGGAAATCTTGCGAGGCCTGTAGAGCAGCGAAGCGGCGCTGTGATCTAGCTCTTCCCACCTGTTTCCGATGCGCGCAGCGAAATCTCGCTTGTGTATACCCAGGCCTACCCGCGCCAGACTCGATTCCCGATATGTTAGCGTTCACATATTGTATGACCGACTTTAATTTTACTCCCACTCCCGTTTTGGATGGGGACATGTCCACCAACTGGTCTATACCTGCTCCAGCCCCGGTAGACTTAATACCTGGGGACCTTATTCAACAAAACCTTCAACTTATGTCGGCTAAAACCAAATCCTCTCTTGATCTTTCCGTCCTTCTGGCATCCCGATTTCAGTACGCCATTGACACCCTGCAAGAGGTGCCTCGTATGATGGTCACTGAGAACCGGACCCCCTGGTGCCATCCAGAACTCTACAAAGACGGAATGCCTAAGGTTATGCAAGGTACATCTCACCACCAGAGTTGTGACATCAGCTCCGTTTTTGATATCTCGAATCCTAATGAAGATAGTAGATGCCTACGCCTGCTGTGCTCTCTACATCACAAAGAACCCTATCAACGGCCCGCTAATCACCACACACATCCAGTCCCGACACCAGGAGCTCATTCTCTCCTCTCTCCCAACCTCGCCACCTGAAGTACTCGCACACACTCAAGCCCTGCTCCTCTACCAAATCATGTACCTTTTCGACCCAACCCTCAACAGCAATACCGCCATTGAAACCCTAAGCCTCTCCGCTCTCGAATCCGCAGCATTCTTCCTCTTCAGCAGCACGCACTTCCCACCAGCACCGCAAGAAACAGCCCCCGGCATGGCCCCATCCACATCACTAACCTCACTGCTCCCCAACACCCTCCAATCCACAATCCAATTCTGGAAGCTTTGGGTTTTTGGGGAATCCGCGCGCCGCACGATTCTGTTCACGTTCTACTTCATCCAAATCTTCCGCCTACTCCATGGAGACCGAGATCTGAAATGCGATGGGAAACTAGGCATCTTGCACTCATGGTATTCCTCTGCGCATCTATGGAATGCACCTAATGCGTTGGAGTTTGCTGTTGCATGGGCAGAGAGAGAGCATTTTATCGTGCAAAATGTAAATTTCTCCAAGGTGTTGAACGAGGCCCAACCGAGTGATGTGGACCTCTTTGGGAGAATGCTGCTAGTTACTCTTCTGGGGATCGATCAAGTTCAGGCGTGGTTTTGCCGGAGGGGGGCTATATTATAATTTTTCTTTCTTCTTCTTTATTAATGAGCATCCGATAACTATCAAGGGATCCCAGCTTCCACAAGCTGAGAGTAATGACCCTGACTCGCGTCATTAGGTATAAAATACCAGATCTGTGCAAGCCGTATAAGGGGGCTTAAAACCAGGACCAGCTATGTAATATTTTCATGAACAAGTAAGCAAGCAACCTTTGAATATTTCAGAGTCTTTTCAATCATGTCCAAGGGAGGCTAGGAGGAATCGAGTACCTCCTGGATTCTATTGTAATGCCTCGTGTAGTTCATGTAAATGACGCAGAATAAGTCCTCTATCCCCTGTATATCCTTCTCATTCCTCGATTGCGTGGAACAAGGGAAGAGGGCGCAATGCCAGGGGAATTCTTAAAATATTACTTTGATAACCGAAATACTTCACCTATCCATACTTAGAACTGTAGTAACTTCTTCAAGTCACCTAACCCTATAACCAGGTTAGACTGAGTATTGTGTTATCCTAATAAACCCCTTGTTAAAGGGATACTGTAGAGTTGTTCTTTGTCCGCAAAGAGAAAAGTGTTGACATTATAAAGATGTCCATACCAAAATCACTAGATAGGAAATTGATAAATCACTGATAAATAAAAGTTTCATGTCTTAAACCTCTGAGCTGATCAGCCCTCGCTATCTCCAGGTTTACACACACCTATTGGCTTTGAGTTCGCATTCCACGTACTTTGATAGTAAGTAAGGGTCGCAAGACACGACCAGGTCAAGGAATGACAGGAGCGAGAACACAGTACGGAGTAATTAGACATATAGCGATCTCACTCAAAGCACTGGCATGCAAGGGTGGCTACCCTGGATAGGAATGTTTCCATAGTCAACATTGGCTTCAAAACAACAATCATCATCGAGCATTTATTGTCGTGCTTTGCCCTCGTTCTGTGCTCATCATCCATCCACCTGCTACACTCACACTGTCTCTTGTCTTCTCTGATACTTGAGAAACAAACAATCTTAAAAAAAAAAAAAATTTTTTTTTGAAAAGAATAAATTTGATCCCCCAACCATCACAATGAAGTTCTCGATTAGCGTCGCTGTCATCTCCTTCATCGCTGCTGCGACTACTGCTGCGGCTGCCCCTTACGAGCAGATCCGCTTCCCCGTGCCGAGTACCATGACTGTCGAAGAAGGAAGCACAAAATGCGGTGACCAGGCACAGCTTTCTTGCTGTAACAAGGCCAAATATGGCGGCGATACCACCGAGGTCGCCAAGGGAATTGGAGCTGGTCTGCTGAGCAACCTCATCGGATCTGGTTCTGCTGCAGAGGGACTCGGCCTGTTCGATCAGTGCTCGAAGGTGGATGCCCAGGGTAAGTTGGTCACATCATTCGACTTGGGAGTCGAGCCACGCATGAAGTGCTGACGGATATTCTAGTTGCCGTCCTTGTCGGAGTGCAGGACATCCTCAACCAGAAGTGCAAGCAGAACATTGCGTGCTGCGCAAAGTCTCCAAGCGGTGCAGTAAGTTTTCCACCTTCATTTAGTTACCAATAAACTCAAGCTTACAAAAAACAGACCAACGATCTCATTGGTGCTGGCCTCCCCTGTGTTGCCTTGGGCTCTATTCTGTAGTGAAGTTACGGGGTTTTGCCGAGGGAAGCAAGGGTGTTATTGGGTCCATTAATGTATAATTTAGGAGGCATCATCAATCATAATATTTACCGTCCCTTTTCTTCGGAGACCGGATCATACCATACATCTAAACAATTAGTATCTGGCCGTGGAGTAGGAAAAGAAAAAGAAAAAAAGAAAACCAGGAGAGGAGGAAAAGAAGGAAAAATACATACCGTACAGATGTCTTTGCCATCTACGCACTCGATCTCACTCACCAACTCAAAGCCCAGCTTCTCATAGATAAGTAGATTAGGGACTCCTTTGGAACTTTCTAGGTAACATGGTACCCCCTCTGCATCTGCTCTTTGCGTAACAGCCTCTACGAGTTTGCGTCCGACCCCCTTGCCCCGTGTCTCTGCTCGCACGGCGATAACATTACAGAAGTAGTACCCCTGGGGACTAGACCAAGTCTCGGCCTGGCTTTCGGCCTGGAGCTCTTTCCATTGTAGGTAGCGGTCGACGCGGAGTCCGCCACGGCCAGCGTAGCGAATATTGGCGAGCAGTTGGCGGAAGGAGAGGATCCAGTCGTGCACCCTCTCGGAGAGGGATGGTGGCGATGATGCCGGACGAGGTGATATCCACCAGCAGACCCCAACGACTCGATTTTGGTATTTTGCGACATAGATAGGGGCATTGCAGCCGAGGCCGTGGAGGAAGTGAGCGGACAGTGACGCGGTATTCCGGGCGCGATTATACTACATGGCAAATTAACATTCCTAGAGAGAGAGAGAGAGAGAGAGAGAGAGAGAGAACATACGGTTGAAGGGTTAAACAAGTACAGGAAGTACGGATCGTCCACGAAGACGGTCTGGATGCATTCTACGGCCTGCGGAATGTCCAATTGGGTCAGAGGGAGGATTTGGATATCCATGATGGTAGTAGAGGGCTTAATTGAAGGTATTTTCAAGATTCCAACAATGCGTCCGTTTCCTCCCGCAAATCCCGAGTGCACCTCTATAAAAAAAATCATGTCACACAGTGGGATACCAGTATGTAGTTATATATATAATTTCGATTCAACAGGGAGCCCTAACCAGTCCTGGCAGTTGTAGGCGGAATGCTCTTACTGTACAACATGGGATGGCATCACCACCACTCAGCGGCTTCCTCCCCCACACACCGATCGTCGATAGTTCAGCTTCACGTTAGACCGTATTTGGCAGGTGGTGCCGGAGCCCGCTTTCATATTACGGATACTCCTGCACGCGCCTCACTTTCTCATTCGAATCGGGTCGGGGTCCGAGTCTGACTGGTCTCAGGAACTGGAAGGGATTTTGTGTTGTCGATTCCGCCTCCATTTTCTGGTACAGCGGGAATCCCGCCGTTGTCTCTTCCACGTAGATCCGCTTCTGTTTCTGCTCGCTCCATTCTCCAGCGTAACAATGTGCTTCCAACCCCTTTGCCCTGGGCTGTGGGTGAAATCCAACACTCCGCCACAGGAGCTCTGCATTCCACCATCAAAAAGAAAACATCCTCCCCGCCCAGGCCAAGAAACAAGAAAAAGGAAAGAAAAGAAAGGGGGGGGGGGAATAGATACCTTTGTCATCATCCCGTAACATCCCTGTCCTTTCGCCTTGAGATTATTCAAGAAGCCATGGTAAATCTCCATCCGCGTTCCCTCAGGATACTGAACCTCCGCCGCCGCTGTCCCGGACAAGACTCGTTAGTCCTACAGCTCACGAGGGACCATATGAAAGGAAGCCAACTGGTTTCAAGACAACTGGGATTAACATCAGTGGAACGAGCTATTGCCAGTGAATGCTTTAAGAAGGTACAAGGGGAGATCCCTCACTCGAGACCCCCGTATACGTACTGTACTGGATGTCAAAGGCGAGTTCGAAACATACGTGCGGGAGAGAAAAGTTGTTTCAAATACAGATTAAATAAGAATTCATATACATTTCCAGCGCGACCCCGCAATCAACATGAAGAAGCCCGGTATCCCTAGGGCTTGCAATCCCACGGAAGAAGCAAAAGCTAAGCCCACTTTCCTAGCAATCCCATCAAAGCCATTCCAGCAATTAATGAGATCCCACCGACGAGAACACGTCTAATTGGAGCATTCATAAGATCTCCTCCCTCGATCACCCAATCGCGGGCCCACATGTCCACTACACCCACCCACACCAGGATACCTGCGGAAAGGGCATTTAGCGTGCCCAACGCAAGAAGGGTACTCCTTTCGTTGCCGTTAAATGAGTGCAACGCCCCAAGTCCGATGGCCATACCGATGGGTGTAATCCCCGCAAAGACCCCGGCCATGAAGACTTTGTTTGGGAACAAACGACCTGGAAGGAGCGCAATCCTGGCACCAAGCGCCAGACCTTCGAAGAACTGGTGGAAAATGATGACTACTAAGAGGGTGCGATAGAGAGAATCTCCGGCCACGACCAGGGTAAGTCCGATCAGAATACTATGGAAAATGACTCCGGCTTCCATGACAATCACAGGGAGTTTGGTATTCGGGTTTGTTGGATCCAAGGGACTCCCGTGGTGGTGGCCTAGCTGGACGAGGGTTGCGTGTTCCTGCACTCGTGGCTGCTCTGGAGAAGCCGCTTTGGATACCTCTGATACAGTTTCGGTTGGTTGCGGCGACGATCTGGAAGAGGAACGAGCGAAAATGATGCGATGCCCGATATACTCTGTCAGGAAGGAGAGGAAAACGCCAGCCATGACAATGGCAGAGGTTGTGGCTTCGTATTCCAATTCCCCGAGGCAGTCGTTGGTGAACATAAGGTTGGCATGCGTGTAGAGCTGACTTGGTTAGTCTTTCAAGTTTCCAGCGGGTGGATGTCTCTCTACGTGGGAACCATCCTGCTTGAACATACATGAATAAATGCAGTGGCAAGAATGACACCCGTGCCGAGCTGCTTGATCACAATGCTGATCCAAGTATTGAGAGACGCAGATGGTAGCTTCGCCAGTATAAGGGGAATGAAGACGCCAATACCACTGGTGACAAGGACAACAAATAAAGTTCCTATTCGCAAAGGCACATCATAATCGCGAGTCTGGATCCCACAGGTGGCAGCACTGCTTCCACTTTCTTCCGATTCAACCCCCACACAGTGTCTTTCTGGTCAGCACGTTTACCCACAGTTGAAAGGTGGGGGAATCAGGATACATACTCCACGCCCGCGTGAAAATGACAATCCAACTCTTGCCCGTTTTCTTCTTCCTCCGACGCGGATGATTCACTGCCGTGGTCGTCGTCGTCGTCGGCGGCATGGGTTGATTCTCCCACTTCCAGGATCTGGACGTCGTTTCCGTCAGGGTCAACACAGTATCTGTCTTTTATTAGCTAAACATTAGAGACTCAGAGCAACCATCTCTTTACCTTTCCTCCCCGTAAGAATGGCAGCCAGTATACTGAGCGGGCAACGCTCCTGTCGGAGTGGCTGTTAAGATTACCTGGACTTCGTCCCCATCTTGGTCGATGCAGTATACGTTTTCTCCGTGCGTGTGGCAATCAGTGACAGCAGCTGCACAAACGACGCTGGAGAAAAAAAGAAGTGATAGAATCTTCATGGTCTATACAATGGACGTGACAAGATATTGAAAGTCAAAAAGATAGCCTCGCGGTATGGTTGCTTGTCTAATGAGTAGTGAGAGGGGGGGGGGTTGAGGATATTTAATGTCCCTACTCGCAAGATCTCGTCCTCGATATAATGCCTCTTCTTCTATCATTCTCCGTGTCGGGTGGGAGGAGAGAAGTTTCAGCTTGTCCACTACCAAGGTACATCCGCCAAGTTGGAGGCCAAGAAGATCCTCCGAGACAAAGTCAGGCTCGCTGCTCCCAGAGTCCTTCCCAAGGCTGGGCTGCTTGGCAGGCTTAGTATAGAGATGAAGCTATACAGGACATGAAAACTTGTTGTATATCCCAAGGTCCTTCTCGAGAAGTTATAAATCCCATATCCTCCGGTGGGGGGTAATCATCAGAGCGCAATCTACCGCAAATATTTCAGAGACCGGCCCTCCATCACCGCAATCGGAGCCTACGATATCATTCTCCATGGAAACAAGAATAACGTTCTGTTCCGCTGTGATAACCCTGACGGAAACTGTGCTCTTGAAGGTACCTCCTCCCCTCCATGTACATCTAATCGTGGGTGGGTGGGTGGGTAAATAGTTAATGACTGGAATATTATAGGGTGGGGTTGGCCACGGGCGCGGGGGAAATGCGTCCGATGAAACTGTCATCTGTGAACTCAGCTACCAAACTCGTCGATCGCTAAGCACGATGTGTGCACTTACTTGGCTATACGGTGTCCGAATTCGAGACGTCCACCTTCTGGGCCGGTGATCTGCTCCACCGTCTGTATCATATATGCCTGCCATGGGGCAGGGATTCGTGGAACATTTCGCGGACGGGTACGAGGCAGTCCTGGAGCTTGCTGGGAGTAACAAATCGGGTTTCAACGAGAGACTCGGAGAACGCTCCAGGATTTTGCTCTGGAGAGTTACGCGTACGATGTGGCTGTTCCTGGGGTTGGGTGTGTGGGTGATGACCACCACCACCAGCCTTTGGAGCAGGAGTCTGGTGAAGCCCATAGCCATGGCCATGACCATGACGATGAGAACGACGAGGAAGACGATCTACCCCAGGCAAGTCAATTCTTTTCTGTATTGTACTGTTGGCCAGGCCTTACTGACCACGGTTAGAACTGCCATACGGCATGATGGAGGCGAGATTCATTGCACTTAATCAGGAGAACAGGTTCGATTTCAGTGGATTGTCCGTACATCTGCCTCGGGACTATAATCGGAGCTTGGAGACAACGAATCCGGTCTGCATCAACCCATGGGTATCGATAAAGATGGAGAAAGATCAGCTAATGAAGATATCTACATTTCCCTATTCCCTATTCTCGTTTCCATGCACCTTGTTGTATTTCCGCGCAATCAATGTGGAATACATCTTCTTAGCCTCCGTCTTTGTTGTATATCGATGTACAAAAGCCCACAGGACAGGAGTCCAAAGCACAAGCATAATCATACTTCAACCCAAGTTAGCGTGTGTTCGCAGCGCAAAGCAAAGGGATGAGGAAAGCCTACAAAGTCAATACTCCGAAACAGCCGCAGGCAATCGCAATGGCTCTTGTTGAGACAGGGCCATGGCTTCGGTAATAACGGCGCTTCGTGCGCTTTGAGGTCGGATCGGAATCATGATCGTAGTCATTGCAATAAACAAACATGAGCGCAAACGCGGCACCCCAGGCAAGCGTTTTGAACCCGATGAGGATCAACGACCCTATAGATGGCCGAGGGTCGCTCAACGATCTTGGTCTAGGAAGCCGTATATCGAAACCAAGGATGCAAGTTATTTGAAGTGCGCCCTTTTGACACCCATTCGTCAGCTTCTTGACCAACAGAGAACTAAAATAATAGTAATAATAAGCCCGGAGAGCCCCTTACCAGTGCTAGATTATATATCGCGGCCGGTCTTAAACTACCGGTGGAAATCCTGGAGATGATGATAGCAGACAAGGCGAGGACCAGGGCTCCGAATGCCCAGGACAAAAACGTACATATTCTCTGCGCTTTATATTCGGGAGGTATGTGCTGTTCCTCGTCTCCTTTTTCGTAGTCAGTCATTTCAAGGTCCCTATCTTGAAGAGTTGTGAGGGACTGGTCCCGAACGTTTAGGCCCATCAGATTTCTAGATAGATTGTACATATTCTTGGAGGATCCGGTCCCTTATATATGTAAACGTTTCTACTGTTCCACATATCTGGACAAGGCGTATATAAGTCCGTTATTTTCTATTGGTCTGCATACGCCTTTATTTGTTATATTTATAGATCTTTGTGTTGTCTACGGGTCTTTGTGTTGATTAGGTACATATTAAACACTGCCGGAATAGGAATGGTTTTGGGCCGCTGGGGATAAGGCTTGTTGTACCAGGAAGCAGCAAAGCATCAAGAGAGGTCAATAGAAGCAAATTGAAGGAGACAATCAGAAAAAAAAGCCTAGGCGCTTTTATCTCCGCGGCCTTGTTTGATGAGTCTGGTTGTGGCTGTGCTACTACACGCAATCTCTCGTTGATGTATATGGACGGATGCGATTTTAGCCCTACAAAGAAAGAAGAGTCTTTCAATTTACCTATTCCAATCCTTCAGAAGAAATACCGCCAGCACACGCTTTTTGTGAGTACCGGCGAGGCTTCGTCCACGCCCGGGATCAGCCTTGACTCCCTAGTAGTAGTAACTAGTTAGTTCTCGTGTCTGGAATGATGACTTTTCGTGTTGCTTGGGATTGCCCGCCGAGGCTGAACCTCGTTATTTTGGACACTTGAAACCCGGGGCTGAAACTTTGACTCCGTCGACAATTGGAACCAGCATTATTATATCCGTAATTTATTGCCTCTGGTCTATTTCTAATACGATATGAGGTGAATTTGTTATTCTCTTGTTGTATTTAATTCGTTTAATATTTGAGAATTCAACGCAGAGGCACACACGTCCCGCTCTTCTCAGCCGCGACAAGCGAGTCCCGAGCAAGAGCAAGAAGGGATAATTCGGGTTAACTCCGTAGATAGAGAAAATTAGATGGTAAAATCATCTAGATAAAAATAGGGGTCTGTGTGGACATTCCATCTGATAAAGAATCGAGGAGCGCTAAGTGAAGTTGATATAGCTGGCTGGAGATAGTGAGCTATACGACGCCGCGTCCGATCACTGAAATATATATTTTGTCAAGTCGGTCAGAGAATCTGAAGGATGGGGTCAATAATACCCATTCGGATGATATCTAAGGAGAGGAAAACATGAACCCTACAGACATCGCGCAACTCTTCGATATCTCGCCTATTGCACAGTATATCTCTGAACCCAATCTCAGGAGACCATCTCTACTCTAACTCTGTGTTTATTCCTCCTACAATAGGAATTCAACCTCTCTTGTACGGAGTATTCCCGAAAGCCAGGAAGAGCCCTAGGTATTCCCGCGTCCCGGTCTGTTTACACACGTGTGCTGAATGCTGACGCGAAATCGCAGAACTTTACCAGTGTCTTCACGAATTATGGAGTAGCTGTTGGCGAATGCGCTCCGTCGCTCTGGACCGCGGGGAGAGCCGTGTCACGTCATTTCTAGCACAGCCCTATTATTGAAACGTCTACAGGGATCGAACAAGGGACACGTTGCACTACCTGCACCAGAGATCTCAGAGAATATCGAGGCGATGATGTTGACTAATTGCACGATGTGTATATTGGATAAATCAACATAGAAAGGAAGTGCTGAGCTGCACACATGTCTCATGAGGTCCCCGAGCTTAGGATTCCATCAGACGCCAAAAAGATTACATTATCTTGAAATATACCAACTATCCTGTGGAGGTGGAGAGAGAATGCCGTGCAGGCGAACCCTAAAGTGGGTAACCCAAGGCCCTTGCAATCCACATCACAAGGCGCGGTTCTGTTCTCTCTCCTGTCCTCCCTCCGGAAAGTGATTTTTTTTTTTTCCAGATACATATATGGACTGCAGATATTCAGCCTCTAGCTCGCCCCAAGCAGTCAAGTCAGGAATCAAGGGGTCAAGGTCAGGTTTGATCGTGTTACATCAAAACAAGACACTTTCATCCCTTCTTACAAGGGAATGTAGGGTTTATTTTGACTGGTGCAAAAAAGAACCCAATAACTAAATGGATCCAATCTCAGTCTCGCCCCGCACCGGCCCTGTCTGTGGCGGTTGCTGTTTTTGAAAGGCTCGAAGGGCGGAATGAAAGGAGGCATTTCGACTCAGTCTCGCAGTCAATATGGGGTGATTAGTCTGGATCAGGCCGCAGCAATGGGCTAGACTCTCGGAATAATTGTGTTGGTATAGTTATGGCTAATCAGGTACGGAGTTGACAAGCTGTTGGATATCCGGTAGCAACATGCTGGGCATAATAATGTGTAGGAAGAAATTATGGTGGGAGAGACCAAAACCAACCTGGATATATGTAGATTATTGATTTGCCAATTCAGGTATTGAATCAATGTTACCCATGAATTAAATAGCAGAATTTTTAGATTTGTTTCAACCGGGTTGTGGGATTTCTGTTGGGTGAATCTCCACAAATATATATCTAGGTCTAATATACTCCGGAACTATATAAACGTAGTTATATTAAGCTCTGTCGAGGTAATTCATCCACATCCTTCCCCTGAACGGTACTTTTTTTCAGACAACCGGAAATTAAGACCTTCACTGGAGGGTTAATATATGATGATGCCACGTACGAGTCTTGTAGGTAGAATGGCCTGCGAATTCAAGAGGATAATCAGAATAGTTATAAAAGTGGTGATCCAGGCCAGTGAAACCAGGCGAAACCCAGGTACCTAAAAGTAGAATGACAGTTGCCTTCGGGATCGTATAGCGATCATTGCCGTGCCAACAACCCGGAATGCATGTCAAACCCCTGCAGCGAGACATCTTAAAAATTTCAGGGTGAAAATCCATCACAGAGGGAAGCGGCAATCTCAAGACCTTCCTGGCATGACTGGAGTTTGGTGACAATTTATGACAGCTCCCACGCCTGCTACTCCTGAGCTCATACTCCGATATTTTCGTTGCTCCCCTATTGTCCATAATTATAGCACCCCGTTTCCCAGGGCAAGGAGGGAACCTTCACAAGACGATGGTGCCATCCATTCTCACAAGCCCAACGTCCAGAAAATCAGAAGATGAGACCAAACTTGCACCTTCATCACCGCAGTCGATCAGAGAAATCGAAACCAAGACCGCCGCCCTCCCTTTTGTCCCTGAAACAGAGCCCATCCGCTCTCCTATCCGCTCTCCCATCCGGCAAGACGATGACTACGACCCATTTGCCGGGGCAAAGCCGTGCTCTCCATTCTATCGCCATGCTACGTTGTTACATAAAGTTGACCGACTGACAATCCAACCGAAACGGTCGCGGAGCGTGGAGGAAAACCCGACCGACAACGAGGAGAGTCGGGTGCTATGGCGGCGCCTGGATGACGATGAAGCACCGGACCAGCGAGGGCGAGGGCCAAAACTTTGGGTTCAGGAGAAGAGGCGATGCGACTGCATGCAGGGCCTCACCAAGAAACAACGACTACTAGTCAAGGTGGCCGTGGCCGTGATTACTGTAGGAAGCATGGTGGCTATTGCAGTAGGGATTACCGCAGCCGTGGGAGGGGGCGTGTGGAAACCTGATCACCAGCAAAAGGCTTTTGGAGGATAGACTACGGTGAGCCAGAGGCTTTTGAATGGGCGATTTTTTCTTCTTCTCTAACGCCCGTGAAGGTGACCAGGCTTCGACAGTCATGCATAGAAGATACAGCTGGGCGAAGTGTGGCGGTTTTGTATGTATTTTGGATTCTTGTCGACCATATTGTATAATAGGATTTGGTGTTTATCAGGCAGGGAGGCACTCGTGTTTTTTTTTTTTTTTTTTTTTTTTTGAGGCGCAGGTATTTTATTTGATTTGATTTTATATTTTTAGCAAGGGAAAATTACAGAGCGGACAAAATGAAATGAAGAAGTTGCGATGGTGTTCATGTGGATACCTTGGCGCCTGAGTACCTTAGTGCCTTGCTGCCTGGCGTGGGGAGGAATATCGGGCCGTGCACGTGACCCACAGCAGAATAAAAAGCGCAAAAATTTTGGGCGCCTCTGTTTTTCTTTTTCCTTTTTTTTCCTCACATCGAAAAAGCTTAACAGAACATGCCACGACCATCGTCCCGAACATCTCACGGCGATGTGTTGCCTTCGATCCTCGGATCGTTCGGTTCTGGAGAACAATGCTTTCCTTGATAGGAAGTTTCCCTCTCGTTGTGTCCTCTTAAGTGAGGGCGATGAGGGGGGAATGTCGATGACGGGATACATCATGTACGTGCAAAATAAATGTGTAAATGAGTAAGATGAGTGACATCAGATCCGTAGATCCGCTGTAACTGAGAGAGACAAAATGTCAACAACACCGGCATTCTGCAATGCCAGCTGGGGTTAAGCCCCGGCGGTGTCGGTCTCGCATTGGCCTGCGTGCTGGCTCGACGACGAGAGACGCAAAACTGAAAGCCTGTAGAAGCTGCGAGAGAACTTGAAGCGACGAGGAAGAGAGCACGAGCTCTGTGAGGGCGAACGAGGGCGAGACCTGAATTTGTGTGGCGCTCGTTTGTGCGAAGGGGGTGAAAGACACATACTCATCCCTTGGGGGCGGCGTGAGCAGGGAATGGGAATGCTCACATATACTGCTCGTGCTAGAATGGAAGTAGTCTCCAGGCCTGTTGTCCGGGCGCTTTGGCCGGGTCTCACTCCATTCCTGAACACATTCCACTGGCCCAAGTGCATGCCTGGTGGTAATTGTTTACCAGGGGTTGCCTGGGAGCTCACGTAGGGGACAACATGTGGGAGAGAAGGGGGACCGATAAAAGGTCCAGGAGAGGCCACTGGACTCGAAGAAGGATGTGATTGTCAGAGACGGAGTCCAGAGTCGACATAGGTTATTTGTTAGGTTTTGTTCTTTTTTTTTTTTTTTTCACTTTCATTCATTCAACTGACCCATTGGCCTGCTGGCCGAAGTCGCTCATTTATCTTAACAACATAGTCGAAACGCCACACGGAAGTTTAGTTTGAAAACGCCTAGGACAGGATGAAGAACTTGTGCGTTGGGATCCCGCTGGCTGTGCTGGCCAGTGTTGCTACAGCGCAGGTTATTGGAGGACCTGGCGGGGTTGACGTTGGCAATGATGCGTCTATCCCGACCAGCAACAGCTTTACCAGCTCGGTCACGGATGACTGGGTTGATGACCATTCTTTTGAGGTGAAACATGATGTCCATGTATACCCCCCTCATGAGCATGCCGAGGGCGCGGGCTGCGAAACCTGTGGCCACAAGAAGCGTGGTGAGCCTTGGGCTGCGACTGTGATTGGCGGCCCTGGTGGTATTGACACTGGAAACGACGCGACAATTCCAGTCACCAATGACTTCTCGTCCAGTGTGACAGACGACTACACGGACGATCATTCCGTGGATATCGACGAGACATTTGCCATCGGAGGATGGCCTCACGAACACGGCTTTAGACCCGGTATGCCGGGGTTTGAACGGCGTAGCAAAGGTCAATTCGCTGAGGGACCCGGAGAGGCCACTGTGATTGGGGGTCCATCAGGAGTTGATGTCGGGAACGGCGCGGATATCCCGACTGACAACTCGTTTACCTCCAGTGTTACGGATACCTACACTGATGATCACTCGGTGGACATCAACGATAAGACCACAATCTGGGCACCGGAGCACCCTGCGCATGGTTATCACCATCCCATGCATATTGCCAGACATTCTGGCAAGGGCCCTACGGTTATTGGTGGACCTTCAGCAGTGGACGTTGGAAATTCTGCAGACATCCCGACCACGAATTCCTTCTCAAGCAGTGTGGACGACACTTACACCGATGACCATTCTTTCTCCTGGGAGAGTGATTTTGTCGCGGGCCGGCCTCACCTGCGCCGTGCGCTTAGACAAGGTCCAACTGTTATCGGGGGTTCCAGTGGTTTCGACAGCGGAAACACTGCAGTTATTCCCAGCACTAACAGCTTTGACAGCGAGACCACGTCGACTCACAACGATAACCACGCAGTCAAAATCAATACTGAGGAATATATAAAAGGTGGTTATGAAGCTGAGCCTCATGTGATCCCTCACCCGCACTATAACCCGGTGCCAGGCCCACAGCCACCCGCGCCAGAGCAACCTGTGCCATATGCCGAGCCTAAGCCCAGCTGCACTGAGGTCACCGGCGTGGTGGAGACTGTGACCAGCACTGCTTATACGACCGAGACTGTTCCTGTCCATGCTCCCCACCCAGAGCCCGCACAACCGCAGACTGGCAATCCCGAGCCCGAGTATCCTGCGCAGCCAAGCTTTGAGCCTCACCCCGGGTCCGAACCCAGTGACCCTCAGCCAGAACAGGAGCCCGCCCCCACGCACGCCGAGACGGAATCCGAACCCGAGCCTACTTATCCTACTCCGGAGTCGTCTGAGCCTGAAGGCCAGAGCGAAAACAGCCATCCCGCACCAGAGGCCCCGCAGCAGGAACTTGCGCCGGAGCCGGAATCTGCCGGCTCTGAACCCCAGTTTCCCGCTCCTGAGAATGAGGACGAGGACGGCTCTATGTCTCCCGTTCCAGTTTATCCTGACGCTGACGCTCAGCATGGCAGCCTGGCCAGCCCTGCGCCAGCCGCCACGCCCGTGGAAATGCCCGCATATCACCCCTCCGGAGCAGCCACTGAGCCAACTTCTGTGCTCGTCGTCTTTGCGCCCATGAGCTCAAGCATGCCTAGCGCGCAGGTTTCGTCCTACTCCGTGATCCCCGTTTACGTCCCCACCGCGAGCAGGACCCCGATTGCTCCCGGCGCTTACGACATGGATGCCAGCACCCCTTCTGACAGTGCTAGCTTCGTTGCACGTCCTAGCGGTGCGTCGGCTGAGGAATTCAATGGCCCAAGCGAGCCATCTCCATCCTCGCACAGCACCTTGTTCACCGGCTCCGCAGCGAACATTGCGCCAGGTGCGGGCATTATCTCCATCTTCTGTGGTGTCTTCGGCTTGTTGGCCTTTGTGTTGTAACATGTTTGTTTTGTTTTCGTTTCGTGACGTTCTCTTTGCAGCAGTCCACGCTGCGCTTCTAGAACGTCTGCGTCTACTTCTTTTAGCATGGCCCAAGTCTGCCTGATGTCGGGTAACTTTACATTAGTTGCCTGTAGGGCTTCGGCCGGTGAATTTCCATCTCGTTGTATACTGAGCCACCTTTCTTGCTTTGCCCCCGTAGCCAGTGTGGTGTTGTATAAGGTTGTACTTTATCATTGTTCTCACCCCATCTTGATCCGTAGCCGGTATACCACACACAGTGTTCCTGTATCGGTACAAATTAGCGTAGGACGCGATTGTCCTACCCCATGACGAAGCGCAGTCATCTCCCTTCTGCTTACCCTATACTGAACCGTAAGCTCACAGCCTCTCACTCCCTTGAAAATTTCCATTCGAAGACCCTATTCATCAATCACAAGTCCTTTCCCTTCCAGTACCTAGTACATAGAAAAAGATAGCTCACCAGATTAAAAAAAAAAAAACAATTACAAACGTAAACTACATACGAGACCGTGGCCCGCGATAGGCACTCCACGGATGAGATCCCCAAGTAGGAGCCATAACAATCTGGGGAAGAGTTTGCCCTACAGCCCTGGGCGAGACCTTTCGCTGGGACCACCACATCAACAACTGGTGAAGGTGCTTTCTTCGCAACGGTTTCAGCAAAATATCATCCATCCCTCGGGCCAGATAGCTTTCGCGGGCTTCTCTGCAATTGGTAGCGCACATCCCGATAATGGGAGCCATGCATATTCTAGGGTCCGTGGTAAATGGCGGCTGTGTCCGAATCATTCGGGTAGCCTCGAAGCCGTCCATGACCGGCATTGAGATCTTGTAGAGGTCAATTTTATTAAAAACAAACGAGGTTATTTCCAAAAAAAAGAAAATTTCAGAAAGGGAATGTTTATACATACATCCATCAGAATAATATCAGGCCGTGGACATGTTACTGGATCGGCTGCGAGGTAGTCGAGCGCTTGTTGGCCATTGTCCACCACTGCAAGAGTGCAGCCTAGCCGCGTCAAGACGATTGTTGCGAGCTTTTGATTAATGGAACTGGGAGTAGACATTAGCGACTTTTCAGTGATCCCCAGAAACAGACCAAGAGACAAGGGCTCACTTGTCTTCAGCAATAAGAACATGCATTTTGTGATGACTTGACGGGGGGTTGGAGTGGAACAGAAATATACGGAGTATTCGGGGGCTAAAAAGAGGGGAAATTCGCTCTATTATAAAGACTCTCTCTCCCCTACCTAGGTAGCCTCTATCTGATTCCATATATCTCTCTTCCCTCTTTCCAATCTCCTATATGCCATAATATAAAGGAGCGTATATGGGGATTCCGCTGCTATTTGCTGTCAAAAGACATAATAACATCCCTCTTTTATCCTCGCTGAATCTGACCTTCTCGATATAATAATAACGTTATTATCCCCACCTCGACTAGTTATTAGTTTATTACCACTATAAGATAAATCATAGGATGCCCAAGTTTTTTATATTGCCCCTGAACAAGCGCAAACCTCTAGATGGTTTCTAGCCTACTTTACTTGCTATGCAGTTGCCTAGATAGGCATTTACTGCCCTTCTTAATACCTGTTGCGGTTGCTTGAGATAGTTTTAGCGCTTGCATCATAACCACGAGCACATTGAAATTGTAATGTTAAGAAGGTGAATAAAGCCCGCACTGGTATTTATCTAGTAATTAGTGAATATGTCAAGCTTTTAAATAGCTTAAAAAAGAAAAAAAAAACGACCAAGACGTGACTCGAACACGCAACCTTTCGCGGTCTGTAACCCGGAAGCGAACGCCCTACCATTGGGCTACTCGGCCGATATTTCCGCATTTTAGTCGGATTTTGCAAGGCGAACTTGAAGAATAAACATATCAGTAACAGTGACCAATGCAAATACTCTTCTATACACGAGCTGCATCACACCCACAATTCAATGGAGCACACATTCATTCTCCCCTCCTCCCCCAGTGTACGAAGGGAAGATAGATTCTGCCTGCTCGACTCTGATGAGTATGATGTCCCATTCTGGGACCTTCTCACGGCTGTTCTGAGAAGCGAGTCCTCCCCGATAGTCGATGTTTCCTCACTCATCGAAGCTCTCGAGACTATTGCTCTTATTTTAAGGGGAACTACCTCTGGGGTGGACTATGGATTACTGCGCGAGTTCATGGCGCAGCATTTCGCCGAGGAATCCGACTCTATACGGTTCTTTACCAGAACCTGGCCTATGCTGGTCGACCTGGCGCTCGAAATGCCCAGTCTCTTTGTTCACGGAACACTGCCATCATTTGCTCCTGTCTTCGCGGAAGGGATCTCGCGGGTATCCTTCTCACGTAGACAAATAGTGTGTTTAGTGGTTCATCAATTTTTATGCTCCCTTCCACCGCATCCGTGGCAGACAGAATCGTTTGTTGACCTGCACCCTTGGTACACCTTGACCAGCACTATTCACCGTGGTGCAGTAGACGCCTACCTCACAGCTCTGTTTACTTATTTTGACCGGCTTCATCCCTCTGCTGAGAACCCACGATCGATTCTCGACCTCTCCGTGGAAGAGTGGCCTGTAGTTTTCGAGTTGCGGACAATTACAGACCAACATGCTGACCGGATTTTATGTGAGAAGGCCCCAGACGCTGTCTTGCGTTCGACCCGTCTCGAGGTCCTTTCCCTCCCAGAGTCTGAAACTAGCCCGCAGCTTTCCGGACTTCCGAACGGAGCATGTGTTATTTCAGCGAACAAATGCATCGGACACGGTCCGTCGGGTACCCAGGAAGAGTTACAGGTGGGGACCTCGCCGGAGGCCTACCCGGCTACTCTCCTGGCACCACCGCTATCGGACCATCAGGTGTTAGTTTGCAGAGGGGCCGAAGCCATGGTCTCGATACACGGTTATGGCCGGGATGCGCGCCTGGGACAAGTGCCGAGGCAGCCCCATTACGGCGCAGACGACTTCTGGAGATGGAAGAGTCGGACAATGTTGTTTATGGACGCGCTCGAGCTTGATGTCCTCCCTGTTGAAGGACATTCCCTCATTGCGGATATCTACCCTCCCTCCCGGCTATCTAGAGACATGGTCTTGAAGGCATATAACGCTTTTAGATATGGCAAGTACAGCCAGGTGATTACAGGCTTATGGGGCTGTGGCACGTTTGGTGGAAATCGGTATGTCAAATGCATTCTGCAATGGTGTGCAGCTGCACTGGAAGGGGTTCCGGTGTTGAAGGTTGTCCTTGCTACAAGGGACCAGCAGCTGTTCGGAGAAGAGCTTGTTCAATTCGCAGAAGAGGTTGAACGGCATCGTCTAACAGTAGCGCAAATGATTGAGCTACTGATTGACCCGAGGGCGTCTATTCATTCGTTCGGACCGACTGGGATTTTCACTTCTATCACGAGCCAGTTATCGTGTCAGTAATTCGTACACCAACAGCATCCTGGATGGCTGATGGCGACGACATGCGTTAACCCTTGATTTTCCAACCATATCAAGACTAGGGTCCCGCACTGTATAACTATACAAACTACAATGGCCAAGTCCACTGGGCGTAATCAAAGACCAAGTCCAGAACACAATTCCTTCATTAGAGTTTTCTGGGTATAGTTGCATTAGCCTGAATACGAATATACCAGACTTGGTCATAGGAGGCGCTTTTAGGAATCGCTTTTACCACCAATCAGCTTTATTAACCCTACACGAGAGACGGGGCGCTGGGGATTTCCAATAAATACTTCCAACAGACTGACTGGTTTTCGTGACGAATTTGGGCCCATTAACCGCGGTAGAATTCAGTAGTAGTTCTAGGAGAGATTCCTCCCGCAGGAAGATTCAGGTGTTGCCTGCGTGACTACAGAGTATAGGTATTAGGTAGGTATGGTAAACCTTTACCGACTATGCTAGCTTCTGCAACAGATATAGTGCTCGATAGATCCATTAGAAGAGACCTCATACTTAGGGCATCTAATTATGATGATTATGAGGGCTTACAGCTCGGCGTGGGTAGAACCCCGGAATGGATTAACTCTCGGCGTGGGTAGAGATTCTACCCACGCCGAGCTGTATCCCCGTATCTGTATCCCCTTCCCTTCCATTTCCATTCTTGGCTTTCTGTTCTGGAGCTTCCAGCGTTTGAACGTTTCCAAGTGCACTTCTGGAAAGCACGCCTCCTTTTTCTACTGAAAATGTAGAAGAGATATCTTATAATGATACTCTCTTCCATTAAGGTTCCCTAGGTATACTAGAATCATGTCTTACGGGAAATCTCTTGCTTTGAGCAAGGCCACATTCATCACGCCTCCAGAACCCAACCAAAAAAAGAAGGACTGCAATGGCCCCAAGAAGCAGCAACGGAGGAAGCGCAGGCGAAAAGGAACTATCTATGATGCCGTTGCTGGTTAGTCCTGCTCCCTTCCGAGTGCCATACCAGCCGCAATGCTGATCAAGTCTACCCCCCGCAGGCCGGATGAATTCACACGGCTTTATCCCGTCGAAACCCTACGCTTCTAAATACCGCGACACGGCATCCTCGAGTAGCCGCCCGGTGCCTCCCGACGAAGCTCTATACCGCCGAAAGGGCATGCCCGACCTGTACGAGGAGACCGACCGGATGCGGCTAGCTCCTGACATCCCCCTTCCGGACTCTGCATTGCTAGAGGCTATTCATGCCTATACGGCGGATTTTTACGAGCAGACCACCAAGAGCCATGGCCGTGGTTACTCTTATAGCATGACAGGGACGGCATTGCTTGGGATGGGTGTCCTGCTAGAGGAACTGGCGAAAGAATCTTTGGGTGAGACTGGAGACCTGGTGCTCGTTGAGGGAGAGCCTGTTGGGCGTAAAAGGGCAAATAGTCTGAGTGGGACTCAGGTGAGCTCAGGTGACGATCTGGATAAGATAGTGAAGAGACAGAAGAGAACCAAGAAGCGCAGGCTGGCCCGTCAGACCATAACCACGGACATGGATACCAAGGTCGAGAACTGAAGCCCGACGGACAGCACGGGGCGAAATCGGCTGGAACGCCACCTACGAGACTACGGAAATCCTTTAATATTTAGCCTGGACAACTGTTCCCAGTTGTGAATTTACTGATCCGAGTCACGGATGTCTGTCTTTATTCTCAACTTGTCAATGCTGGATTTATATATCTATTTACGAATTTAGATCTACCATCTTGGGGGGGTAAATTCATTTGATTGAATACCGAGATGTTGGGTTCCACGACAGTAGACAAGGCATATGCTTACCTGTATTAAGCCCTGTTCTGAGCAAGTGCTGAATGGGATTTCCGGTCCCGTGCGAGGCGGAAAAGATGCACTACACGAACTAGACTGGAAATTGAGGGACACAGCCGGGATTGTTTTTATCTAAATCTTTGCATAGATCCCCCCCGGTAAAATTCTGGGGTAGAGCGCGATTCCACCTCGTTTTTTGGCACGAGACTGGAGAAAATTCCCAGTCGAACCCCGAGATTTCTCAGCGGATGAGACCAATCGTAAGAGGAGCCTTGGTCATGGAGACTGGTTCGCCTCTGGGAGAACAGAAGCGAGCCCCCCGCGTTATACCAGATCCATCCTAATCCCCGGAGTCCCCCATCGTCCGCTGTTCTCATCCCCAGGTCTTTTTGCCGGTCTGCACCCCAGTGTGCCAATTAGCCTGAAGTCAAGGTAACTGCTTCCGTATGCCCAAATACTCCCAGCCTTGGTAGTTCGAACCACCCCAGCCGGAGCGAGTCATGTTCCGCGTCAGATGTTCTTCCCCCAGCTGGGCATGCCGTTCTCTTGATCGTACAGAGTAGATTCCCTAGCAAAGACCAGGCTGTAGGCCTATTTATCCTGCACCCCGCGGGGGAATGGGGACTCCGCTTCAACTAAGGTCACCGTTCTGACGGGCTACTCTTTGTTTCAACCTACGGTTTAGCCGTAAAAAGCCCTGCAGGCATTTGATAGATGGAGAAATTAGCCGATAAAATAATAATAAAAAACATATAGGTCCAGAGGATTACTTCTTAAGCTGCAGATGTCCCGCTCATATAGAGTCGAATACTTTCTTGATGTTGCTGGGGCTTTGAGCTGCATCTGAACCATTATTGATCTTCCCCAGACTCAACCACAGTGCGCGCTGTTGCTTCACTATGGGGTCTGACACTTTCGAGCTTGCCGGAAGGCAATTCCCCAGGGTGACCTGGTACAAAAACCCTGGAATGAGGAGGACCTACATCTGCCTCATGTTTGTCGTTCTGACGTCTGTATGTTCAATCTCCTGAAAGCAATGTCTTTTTGAGCTCGTCTAACCGGAGAGGCACTTCTGAGTAGGCTACGAACGGTTACGACGGTTCTATGATGAACGGCCTGCAGACCCTAGAACCCTGGCAGGAGTATTTTAATTACCCCAAGGGCTCGCTCCTGGGGATTCTCAGTGCGATTATGTCTCTGGGCTCTCTCGCAGCTCTCCCTGTTGTGCCCTATGCCGCTGATTATCTGGGACGCCGTATGGGCATCTTGATGGGTTGCTTGATTATGTATGGTATCCCCTTGCGACAGTTTACTTACCCAGGCTGATACCATCACAAACTGCAGGATCCTTGGAGTCATCCTCCAAAGTATCAGTGCTAACTACGGCATGTTCCTGGCTGCGCGATTCTTGGTCGGATTTGGTGTTGCTATTGCGCATGGATCCTCGCCTTTGTTGGTCGCTGAGTTGGTGCATACCCAGCACCGTGCTATCTTCACCACGATTTATAACAGTATGTATAGTGTTTTCCTTTCCCTTTCCTTTTCCTTTTCCTTTTCAATGGCTAAATCTAGTAGCAACCTGGTACCTTGGGGCTATTATTGCCGCCTGGCTCACATTCGGTACCAATAACATCCCCAACAACTGGTCTTGGAGAGCCCCTACGATTGTGCAGGCCGTACCCTCTGTCCTTCAGATATTTTTCATCTGGTTTGTCCCAGAGTCGCCCCGTTTCCTCATCTACAAGGGCCAGCATGAGAAGGCCCTCAAGGTCTTGGCCGACTGCCACGCCAACGGGGACCAGGAGGACGAAGTTGTGCAGCTGGAAATGAACGAGATCAAGGAAACCATCAAACTCGAGAAGGAGTTTGAGAGCAGCAGCTGGATGGAGCTGGTGCGCACAAAGGGAAACCGGCACCGTATGGTCATTCTTATTTCCGCGGGTCTATTCTCTCAGTGGTCCGGCAACGGCCTCGTCTCTTACTACATCTCCAAGATCCTGGATCGGATTGGATACACGGGCTCTGTGGAACAAAACTTAATCAACGGCTGTCTCCAGATCATGAACTTCATTGTGGCCATCACAATGTGCTTCTTCGTGGATAAGATTGGCCGGCGCAAGCTGTTCCTTGTCTCCACCGCTGGGATGATGGTTACATTCATTGTTTGGACGATCTGCTCGGCGCGATATGCCATTGTGGGCAACAAGGAGGCAGCAAATGCCGTGGTGGCGATGATTTACGTCTATTACCTATTCTACAACATTGCTTGGTCGGGTCTCTTGGTCGGATACACCGTGGAGATTCTTCCCTACAGTCTTCGCGCCAAGGGCATGACGGTGGTGTGGCTCTGTGTTGATATAGCACGTAAGTTGCCTTCTCTTCTCAGGTTCCCTTCAGGCCCAAGCTAATCCATCAATTAGTCTTCTTCAACCAGTACGTCAACCCGATTGCCTTGGATAACATCGATTGGAAATACTACATCTTCTACTGTGTCTGGCTTGGCTTTGAGCTCACGGTGGTGTGGTTTTTCTACATTGAGACACGCAATACTCCGCTGGAGGAAATCGCCAAGTATTTTGATGGCGACTCTGCGGTTGTCGGGGGTGCTGCAGGGACTGAAAAGGCTCGCGATTTGGCGTCTGCGATGCACGTCGAGGAGACTACTTCAGAGGCAGCGGTTTCCAAATCTTGAGGAGTCAACTGTAGCTTGTATTGTTATTCTTAACGAGTTTTATTCATATTATTTATTATGATACTTTCAGCATAATATTAGAGACCCAGTCGAGTAAAATGGTGCTAACTATAACTCAGGTCAACCTCCACCATGTACTTACTCGCTCCATCGCCCACAACCTACAACACAAAAACAATATCACCATCACCTACCTAAGGTATCATCAACTTTTTTTTTTTTTTCTTCTTCTTCTTTTCTTCCACAGTAAATTATTTATCTTTGCAAACTTGCGCAAACTTGCTCCATCACTCCCATGTCCGAAAATCAATGCCGCACTCCGCATCCATTTGACTAAAAATACATTTTTTTTTTTTTTTTTCCTTCAGGTGGTCCCACAATGGTACGTACGTCTGTCTCTCGCTCCCCCAGTCATAATGAATCTGGCCGCCACTTTTCCGTTCTGACCCAGTCCCCCCTCTTCCCCAACCAGTCCCAAAAGACTGACAGACTACCGTATTCGTACTAATTACCCCATTCTGAACTCTGCCAGCCTCCGAAACTCTCGAAAAGTGCCAAACAAGCTTTGATAGTCTCTCACCTTCGCGCCACGCGCACATGCCACACGCTCAAGGACTTGGAGAAGACGCTCCCGTCCGTGGCCTCCATCAACGGGATGCAGGTGAAAGAGTACATCCAGGAGCTAACGGACGAGGGCCAGATCTGCGTGGAGAAGATCGGCAGTGGGAATTGGTACTGGAGTTTCGGTGGAGATGAGACCCGAGCGCGGGAAGCGCAGCTGGGTCTCCTGTTGAAGGAGGTGGAGCGGGCCAGGGGGGGTTGTGTGCAGGTGGAAGGGGAGTTGAGGCGACGCAGAGAGGAGAAGGAGAGGCTGCCAGAGGGCCATGAGGAAGCGGAAGCCGACGAAAGGAAAGGATTGGTGACGCGGAAGAGGGAACTGGCGCTGCAGCGAGATCGCTTGCAGGGGCAGTGGACTGCGGCCTTTACGACTGGGGAGGGGAAAGGGATCGGCCGGATGAGGCAGGAAGCGGTGGATTCCCGGGAAAAGACGCTGGCGTGGACTGACAATATCTACGTGTTGGAGGAGTATGTGAGGAAGCTGGCTGGGGGGGATCGAGAGGTGGTTGAGGCGGTGCAGAGAGAATGCTATGGGGAGGAGTATGTGGAAGGAGAAGGCTTGAGGGAGTTGGAATGAAAAGTTGACGGTCAAAGAAAAGAGTCCAACTCCACTCCACACGACAATGAAAAAAATATCTCTCTGTTTGTACGGAGTACTTGCACTAGTTGACGCCTAGTCGAATCTTACTCTCTTAGTTCAGCATTTGAAATCGCGAGAGGGTTGAAAAATTCGTCATGAGACAATTAATTCGGGAACGAGATGGATGAGCAGGTTCTGAATGGTCTTGTTTTTAACGAATACAGCTCAAGATAGAAGAATTAAAAGACAGATCAGAAGTGCACAAGTTAACAGAGAGCGACCTGAATATTAAAGTAGCCAAATACTCCAGAGTGGAGGCGCCCAGCCACGAACTATCCTCGCCCCAAGAGAAGCTTGACTTCCAACACGCGAAATTCGTTGGCTTTTCCCTTTTCTCCGCCTGCTTATCGCAACACTCTCTTTCTCGGATTCTCCTCTCTTTCAACATCTTTCGCTTCTGCTTCTCTGCAACGCTCGCGATTCCCCCTGTCACCGACCTTTATACGCCTCATTCTGGTCCCTCCCCTCCCTATTCTCTCTCTCCGTGCTGCTTCTCGACGCCTCGATTTCTCTCCAGTCACCCTCCCCTGCTCTCCGCACCGTCCCTCGTCTGACTCTCTTCACACCAGGATCCTCTTAGACTAGACCCTCTTATGCTCTAGACTGAGGTTATTTGCGATCTTTTCCCACCTTCTCTCTGGTCGGACCACCCGAGTAATAATGCCGACCTGACGCCTCCTGTTTTCTTGATTCCATAACGCCATCTTCTTCTGTCCTCCTGTCCTCCTGTCTTCTTGTCCTCGTGCCCTCTATACGCCGCGGGAACTCTTTTTCACACATTGGACTAGACAACACCCGATACTACGCTGGAGGAGAAAAAAGTGATAGAGCACAATCTCGTGGCTTGGTGTCCCTCTCCCCCCCCCCCCCCAGTAGTACGACTGGTGGTTTGCGCCCGACGGTGAGATCGGGCCTGTCTGTCGGTGGATTGTTAGAACGGAGAATTTCAAGCTGCTTCTTGTTCATTCCTCTCCCTCCTAAGCCCCCCTTGCTTTGTGGTTTGGTCTGGAGTTGTATTCACTTGCTTTAACCTACCTGAGTTTTGTGTGTGTCGAGAGGGACTTCCCTGTTTCCTCCTCCGTTGAGGTCGCCTCTTCCCCGCCTTCTTTCCTCTTTTTCTCCTGTTATCTTTCCCTCTGTCTTGTGTATACCTCTTGTGTGTTTCCCCCACCCGGGCTCTTCGCTCGTTTATGGACTGGGAGAGGTGTTAGTGTCATGTCCGTCAACTCTCTTCCCTCCCCGTCCTCTTCGTCCCCGCTCGGTCGGAATCGCTCCTCCATCCTATCCAAATTTCGCTCACAGTTGGGTCAACGGAACCGTAGCATCACCGACTTCTATATCGAACCCGACGATCCATGGCGCTCTTATTTTCCCGGCGACGTGATTAAAGGCACCGTCGTGTTGACGGTTGTCCGACCCGTTCGAATAACGCATATGGTGGTGTGTTTGTATGGGGTTGTCAAGGTTTTCAAAAATAACGCCCCGGCCGGCGAAGCGCTTCCGGACCTGGGGTTTCTAGGCCCTGGACGCGGGCGTCGCGGTGCGGAGTATTTGGGTAATGGTGTCGCGACCTTGTTCGAAGATGAGGTTGTTCTTTGCGGCGAAGGACGTCTCAAGGAGGGAGTTTACAAATTTCGCTTTGAGATGTCATTCCCTCCGTATGCTTTGCCCAGCAGCATCAGCGTGAGTTTTTTTTTTTTTTTTTTTTTTTTTTTCCCTCTCCCCAACTTAGCTTTGATTTGCTCATCCCGTTTATTTGTCTCGGTGCTAACAAATCCATTTTGCATAGTTCGAACGAGGAACTATCTCTTACTTGCTTTCATCCACTCTAACAAAACCCACAACGATAAACCCTACACTGTCCTGCCGAAGACGCATTAATTTACTAGAAAATATTGATATCGCTCCTTTCCCGGCGCCCAAAGCCCGGGTAGTCACACTCGAGCCTGTTTCGAGGCGCTCAAAATCCAAAGCAAAGGCCAAATCAGCCGGATCAGACGCGCCGGACTCGGGATCGCTTGAGCCACCAGCAAATGGCGGGGCTGCTGGCACAGACCACCGTCCTCCTTTAAGCCCAGCACCCAGCAATGTCAGCTCTTCAAGTCGGCTCAGTAATAGTAGCCAGAGTTTCCAAATCGTCACCGATCCGGGTTCGGCTGCGAGTAACGGCGTCCGTAACAGCGAGGCCCGGAGCACCACCCCTTCCGCTTCTGACAAAATCATCACAGCTAAGGCTGAAGTCCTGCGCGCTGGCGTGCTTCCTGGTGATACATTACCCATAAAGATTACTATTAATCATTGCAAACAAGTGCGCAGTGCGCATGGAATCATCATTACCCTTTACAGACAAGGGCGTATTGACCTTCACCCGGCCATCCCGATTGGAAATCAGACCGATGGCAAAAAGCTAGTCTATGAAGATTGTTATCCGCGGTCTCGGACAGGTCTAGGGGGCCTTTCTATTGGCACTAGTCGCACCAGTAGTGTTTTTCGAAAGGACTTGACACAAACATTTGCGCCACTGGTTGTCGATCCTACAACGTTGACCGCTGTTGTTAAGACATCGATCCGCATACCTGAGGATGCATTCCCCACTATTACACGCACCCCTGGCAGCATGATCAACTTCCGATACTACGTGGAGGTGGTTGTTGATCTCCGTGGCAAACTGACTTCACCAGAGCGATTCCTGCCACGCTTCAATCTGGTCACCTCCGGAGGCAATTACTCTTCAAGTGGGCAAGTGCTCAATCCATCCGATAGCGGTGGGAGTGCAATTACAGCCAACTGGGGAGGAAATATTCTGGATACGGACCAGATCCGCCGCGAGAAGGGAGTTGTTGCTATAGCATTTGAGGTTGTTATCGGAACCAGGGACTCTCATCGACGAAAGAGTGAAGTCAGGCGTACATCGTCTGCTGCAGACGGCTCCGATTTCCAGCCGTCAGTGGGCAATTCTACAGACAGGGAATTCTGGTCCCCTGATCAAGGCCCCGCCTCTCCCCCCGGACCCGAGTCCTTTGAGTATCCTCCGCACGAGGACCATCCCGGATTTGGGCCAGAATATTTTCCTTGGTCGGAGTATCCGGAAGACCATCAGCACCCACAGCCTTACCCACTCCAAGGGGACATATTCCCCAGCCCACAGTCCGAGGAACCAGTCGACGAGAAGACGCGATTACGACGCGCTGAACAGACGCTCTTGCCTAGTCAGCCACCGACCGATCCTGAGGCTGGACCATCTTCTGCAGCGGAGATGTCGGTCCCTACTGCGCCTGTGCTTCCAGACGATGATCATATCCACGACTATCATCACCTGTCCTCACCCCCTGCCGGTGGGGTGAGCGGGATGTCCTCAGCATTCATGTCTGCGGAGTCCGTCCAAACCGTAGTTGCAGGTAGCAGCTCTGCGCCACTCCATGAGCCCTCAGCCGTGGAGGATAAGTTGGAGCTGGAGCGACAGCGGTTGCTGATGGAAGCGAGTGCCCCGGATGACCCAGATGGTCATGGCCAGCATGCGGATGATGGACCGAGTGCGCCAGTTTTCCATGATGATGATGATGATGATGATGATGATGATCACCAGCTGGTTGGAGGAGCGGCAAATGGAGACGAGCTGTTACCTCGATATCAACGGTGATAAAAGTGATTTCCCCGTGATTTTGACTGGGCTGATTTAGTTTATTATATTTGCATTGCGTTTGGGATAACTGGGAGATACCACATTGTTTGTTCTACAGTGAATTATAATTTATATTAAATATTTGTTCCATATCACGAAACAGGGCATGTATGGATTGCCGCTGTACAGAAAATGCAACCATAAGAAATTACTCCAATCTAATGCATGAGATTAATCTCTTATCATTGCTTACTCCTCCCAATAGCCGAACAGCAGTAAGACGAAATGCGCGAAAGATACAGAGCAGCACTAGGGGTTATTCTCCTCCATACAAACGCGATGCTATCATAATCGGGCTGGATGTGGTTCCGACGTGGTGGCCTTGGCGGGCAACCAGGCACGCAGCGACGACGACAACTTTTGCATCTTTCCTCACATCCTCTCTCCCCTCCACCTTCCTCTCCCCTCCTCTCCTCTCCTCTCTCCTTTACGTCAAGTTTCCCTCCTCCTGGCTCAACGAGAGAAGCGAACAGCGAATTATCCCCGGTTCTCACCATGACGCTCCGCTACGGTTCCTTTGCGACCTTTCTAATCGTATGCCGTACGTGACCCCAATCGTTACCATTGGACAAGAGACCCTACACTATCCCAATCCCTCTGAATTCAATAGAAGAGAGAGAAAGAAAGAAAAAACAAAAAAAAAAAAAGAGAGAGAGAGAGAGAGAGAGAGAAATCGTCACAAGCTAACCAAAATCCAAACCCAACCAAAAGCAATCAGCTTCTTCCTCGGTATCGTCTTCTCCCTCTTCCCCTACGACTATCCAATTCTGTGGTCCACCTCGCCCACCCTCCCCAGCCACTATGACAGTCTCGAAACCCACCTGAGATTCCTGCACGCCTCGCCCCCGCTGATCCCACGCATCCTGCACATCGTGATCTTCCTCGGGCTCGCGGGCCTCCTGATGAAACTGTGGCGCGCCAGCGAATCCAACATGCTCTTCGACGGCGCGTCGCTGGTGCTCTACGTCTGCGGAATCACCGTGTACGTCGCGAACATCGTCAAGGGCCTCCGCCTGGCCTCGGGCGGTGTCTACGGCGCCGACCTCGCCTCGACCGACGAAGAACGCGAGCAGATCCTGGGCCGCGAAGACTCCCTGAAGGTTTTGGCCGCGAGTAATACCATTCTGGCCCTGGTGTTGGTTGGCGTTTTGGTCTTGCAGGCTGGTCAGTGGTATGCGGAGCGGAAGGATGCTCAGGAGGATGAGTCGTTTGCTGCTGGGAAGGGGAAGGGGGATGTCACTGCTGCTGCTGCTGCGGCGGCGGCGGCGGCGGCGGGGAAGCAGGGGGCTGCGGGTAAAAAGAAGAGTAATTGAATTTTGGGGGGGGGGGAAGGGGGGGAATTGGTTGTTAGACGACGTGGATGGTATGGCATGGCATGGGACGTATGGTGTTCTGGACTCCTATTATTACGACCAGCGTGAGCAGGGCTAGGATGTTTGATTATTTGTTGGGCTGCATGCTTCGAGGGCCGGGAAGGGGGGCCAGGCCAAAAGCGATGCTGGAGTATGATATGATATCTACTTGATTGATTCTATGTACATGAGATTTCAACTCAATGATATTTATTTAGTGAACATGGCGTGGTTGTGTCAAATGCTGTTGGGGGAATCATGCAGTATAGTATGTAAAACAGGATGGATGGAACAGAGACAAAAAAAAAAAAAAAAAAAAAAAAATAAGGGGGGAAAAGATATGGGGAAAGAAATGGGAACCCGGTAGGACGTGTGAAATTTGGTCTCAGTTGTGGTCGTAGTCGTGGTCGTGGTCTGTCATGGTCACATATGCAATGTTTCGGGGCTGAATGAAAATGGACTGCGCGGGAGATCGGGCGATCTGGGGCTCAATGCTTTAGCAAAGAGGTCCTCGCCCGCCTCGGAGTTGGAATTGTGTGTGGTCGAGCCCATGGATGCAAAGCCAGTGTTGAACCCTGTGGTTTGCTGAGCTTGGATCGACCGTGGTGGATAGTGCGCTACCGTCTTTACTGTGTCGGCAGCCTGCGACTCCCGGAGGTTGGACGGTTGAGGAGGAGGAGGAGGAGGAGGAGGTCGGATGTTGTGGAAGGAGGTGAATGACGAAACGGCAACATCAGGGGATTGCGGCGAGAGTAGATGGTTTAATCCTATGTTGAGTCAGTGCTGCTGTTCCACAAGGGGGGCCCAGAATAAATGTAGATAATCCAGTACCTTCTCCCTTTGCAGCCAGCTCGCGCTCGCCCGTTTGGAGCCTCAGTCCCTTCAACTTCTCCACCAGTTTGCCTCCGCCGCTGGGAGATACGGGCGTGGTAGGACCCATTGGATATTGCGGATCTTGGGTTTGAATGGACTGCTTAAGCGCGTCGGCTCCTGGACCAATGCCGAAATTACTCTCGATCCATTCTTTCTCCTGAAGCGCCATGTGGAATGCGATTCCTTCTACATTGGTCAAAGACTCCTCGTGGATCTCCTTGTCCAGCACCTGTAGTCGTTTCTTTGCCCATATCGTGTGAAGAACACCCTTTTTACCGGCCGATCGACCGTCCGCCCCGAGCTCTGGTGGGAAGATAGCGGGGAGCGGGTTGAGCTGTATCGCATTCGGTTTGTCCGTCGGGTTCGTGGTCGGCGCAGAAGAAGAAGAAGAAGAAGAAGAAGAAGAAGAAGCCGGCGGGAGGTACGAAAGAGAGATCACAGGCGGAATTGTAACATGCGGCGGAAGTAGAAAATACAGTCGACGGGTGTTTTTGCTGGTCTTTTCATCGGCAGGGAGAACAGCCTTCTTGCCCTCCCACTCTACATGCCAGGATCCACCAGGTTGCAAGGAGGACCGACTCAGCTCATCATCGTCTTCCCACTCGATCATGAGGATCTTGGTTCCATCGTTCCCTTTGCCAGCTTCGAATTCAAACCGAGCCAGAGCTGTGATAGACAGACTACCACTCCCACCGCGGGGGGTCTCGAGCGCAGCGAATTCACTATCGGGGGTGAAAGGGGTTGGGAGGGAATGAGCCATGGCTGGACGAGCTCAAGAGGTGGTTGACTTCGAGGGGAGCGGGAGAGAAGAATAAAAAAGCAAAAAGGGCAAAAAAAAACAAAACGAAGCTTTTCTAGAATAGGAAAGACGAAAAAGGAGGGGCAAAGTACTCAGACGGAGAGCCAGACTGCGCAGATGAAGGATACTGCATCTGAAGGTATTGCGAGTGGGAAAAAAAGGGCTTCCAGGAGGGAGGCGATCACGGGACAGGGGCGGAGGGGGAAGAGAAGAGCGGGATCAGCATATGAACAAGGGAAAATCCAGGGTTGCAGCTGTCTTCTTTTGCTTCTACGAGTTAGTGTTGTGCCGGAAGATGAGTTTTATTCGTCCTGTTGGTTATTTATGGATATCGGGTTCGTGTGGGTTCTAAATATAGCGCAGAAAAGTAACCCGAATACGCAGTACAAATAGTATCAACTCGGCACCTCCGTCTTTGAACCTCGAAGAAACAGAGTCAGAGTATCACGGTTTCTTTATGTGATCAGGACAAAGAATCATCTTCATGTGAAACCGCCGCCGCGGGCAACAATGCAGTTCGGTTTGAACCAGACTCACGAGAGATCTATTCCAATAGCCTGAAGCAGCCCATTGGTCCCGGGCACAGGGCTCAATATCACAATCCAACTCCAGACCAACTCCTACGGCGCTGAGAAACTGCACTGATATCGCGCTGATCTTTTTGGTCATCCTACCGCATGCCACCAGTGGAGCCTTTGTTTGCGAAGATACTACGGAGTACTCCGTACTCCGTCTTGTTGCTGCCTGTTGTTTCGATCCCTCTTCCAGTCCGGCTTTGGAGGATGACGGTCTACAAGCTAAACCCATGCCAGCTGAATGCAGCGGTCTTTATAGAGAACAAAGGATTCCTTCACGACAACTCGATTCAATACCTTATCAGGCTTGTCCCGCGGATCAGCCCTAGGAAACAACAGTTTGCCGAACCAGATTTTGCAGGAGATGTGTGATTGGCTATTGGCCAGGGAAATGTCCCAATTGCTGGATACGGGAACCAGTAATAATAGGATATCCTACTGTCTCGTGTGATGGCTGGTTGAGTGGCGTACCGAGGTGAAGAAAGCCACAACAATGGCCTTCAAAACAGCCAAGATGGGATGACGCAAAGATCATCATGACAAGGCTTCCAACTTGGGGGGCATTACGGTCTTCACTTGGAAAACGCAGTGGAGAACACGGCATTACACCACGTTATGACAGATGACGGTCCCATCCTATCCATGTTACTCTTGTGTCATGGATGGTAATCATCTACTCGACAAGGGACGACTTGCTGACCCTATTCACACAAAATTACACCATTTCCCCGCTCTCGCTCTGGGGCCGGGGTACTCAGGATATGAATCCTCTCCAAAACATCCATACACCCCCATTCTCTAAGAGCTAGCGGGCATACCTTCCCAAGTCTCTCCGGAGTAATGGGGTCACTGGCTAGTCACTGCACGAATCCGACGGAGCCCGCTGCCTGGTGAAATCCATTCCCAAATCCAAGCTAAATGGATTGGGAAGGATATACATCGCTGAAGGTTTTGTGGAGGGGCCTGGCTCTGAGGGCGAGATCACGGCGCCAAAAAGCAGCTGGATGAGTGTGATGAGATGCGTCTGCATAAAACCTTGTTGAATCCTTTGAATCTGAGATGTGAATTGTCTCAACCAGGCGGCTGTTTTGCGAGTCGATTCTCCCACTTCTCTACAGAAACATCAATTACCCAATTACATTTTTTTTCTTTTTCATTTTTCACTTGGTATTCAATCGAGAAAACGGAGTAAGAAAAAAAAATAAAATAATACGACGAGACCATCCCCCGAGTCAAGTCAAGATCGCTAAGATCACTAATAGTTATTAATTGAGGATCCTGATTCCTTTGGCGCTGGACTGAATCCACTCTCCAAACGTCACCCAATCTCCACACATCCCTCCCAACCCTAACCCAATCACATCTCCTCGGTTGGCCCCAGAAGCAATAGAAAGTTAGCAAGAGAGTGGCACTTCCCCATCGATATCCCAGGGAGGAATAGCGCCGGCGCTTAACTGCAGCTTCCACGATGCTCCAGCGCCCTGGATATCGCCGTTGATCCCGCCTATTGGCTCATCTGCACTCTTCCTTGGCCACATTTTGGTCCAGAGTGCATAGTAATGGAGGGGAAAGGGAAAGGGAGGTGGGGGAAGAGAGAGAGAGAGAGAGAGAGAGAGTGATGAACGGATTATCAGCAGGACCTACTTAGTACGTACTCGGTCACCCTCCAACTGCACGGAATCCTCGGTCAGGTAAAGGGCAAAGTGTAATAATGCCCGGGAGGATTCTAGACATTGCCAGTGGAGAGGAAGAAAAGTTATTTTTGGATCTGTACACTTCGTACTCCGTACTTACAGGTCTCCTAGGCTCTAGCAAGGTAGTTTCGAGTCTGGAGATGAAACACCCCACGTACCCCTATCACATCTGTTCGGAATCACACTAGATCAACCACGCCTGCGCATTCCCATGTATCAGGAGGGTTTTAAAATAGAAATCGAAGAACTGCCAGTGGCTCCGCGAACATTGTGGAATTCGTCACAGAAACTTGAAACATCCAGCGCGCCTTCGCTGCCAATCATCTCGGTTTACTCGTCCCTTGACTTGGGAGTTGCTCTGGATTTCCCGGACTAGTTAGGGAAGATCAACTAATAAAAAGGAATATATCCTATACATAATCTATAGTGTGCGATGACTCGTAGGAGTACTAGTTAATAGTAGGTAACTAGTTACCAACACGAAGGAAAGTTCAGGGTTGAAGGTTCTGTAAATTACGTGTCTGTAATATTACGCCGTACGATGGTATTGGACAGTACGTATGTAAATATGTATTATTATTATTATTCCTTTGACGCTCTCCGGACCGAGTGATCAGGAGAAAGCAAACTGAACTCGACATGGAGGGCATATTTCAAGAATTTTGACCTAGTTAGTAGTTGACCTTGCTATGATTTCTTATCCGGGTTTCTCTCTCAAGGACCCAACCGAAGACAAAGAACAGAACAAGTCGTGTAGCAACCCTCATTCAAAAAACTACAAAATTCGATCATGTGGATCGGATCAGATATCCAAGTCAGAGTTCCGAGCATCGCGCCTGTAGTAAGGTTACATATCAAGTTCCAAGGTTTGTTGTTCCATTCTTGCCGCGACCCCGAGCTCTTCTACACTCACTATACGAGCCCTAAAGGTCCAATAGCCGTTGCTACCGGATTCCCGGGAATCGGTTGACAACTACATTTTCACCTATCTTCTTCCTCTTCCTCTTTTGTTCGCGATGACCTTCCTGTGCGACGCTGTAACCAAGATCAAAGAATTAAAAATAATCTTTCTCCTTCTCAGGTTGTGCACCAGCATAGCTTTTTTTTTTTTCTTCCTTGTCCTTTGCATTCATTCTTACGCTTACTCCGGTATACGTGGCGCCACGAAAGACTGTCGACTGACACCTAGGCATCCACCATTGAGGCTGAAAAGGTGCAATGGGGATTCGTGGTGGTTGGCCTCATCGCATCTAGCATTGCATGTGACAAGCAAGTAACAAGACAGGAAGAACGAATGAAATACTGTCTTTGGTTCTTTGTCCAAGAGCTATGCGGGTATCATCGTATTGGTTGGAGAAGAACTCTACTACTATACGAGTATAACCCTAATTTGCTTCAAATCCAGTACATACGACCATAGGAAGTGGAAAATAGGGCTTCCCGTCCGCTCAGCCGTACTCAAGCCACTTGCCGGTCAGTTAGTAGTATGGTGGGTGACCACATGCGAATCCTGACTGTTGTATGTGTTTTTTTTTTTTCATAGCATACTTATTACTTACTTTCTGTATAGATCCAGTTCGCAAACAAATTCTTCTCCCTAAAGAGTGTCTCGATTTTACCAGGATCAGGAATTTTGGTCTGGAGTGCTTGGATCCAACAAACGGATGAGATTAAAAGATAGTATATTGATTTATAGCGCCTCGACGCTAACATAAATTTCTAGATTATTATTCGCATAAGAGCCAAATCAGATGTTCACAAAAGAAAAAGGAAGAAAGAAAGGATTGGATATTGTAGTTCCTGCGCTGAATATACACAATATCCCATGAAAACTCCAGACACCCAGCCTAACACTTAAAACCCCAGGCCAAACCCTAAGAAGCAAACCCCAGAAAAAAAAAAAAAAATCAATTTGACTCGTTGTTTTCGTGATTCTGCTTTCTCCGCTTTCCCTTTGGTGGGGCATCAAGCTCTGTTGTTTTGTACGTGATGGTGTGGGTAATGACATGTCGCACACTCATTTTATTGCCTGAGCTTCGAGGGTTTGCACTGCGTGGGCCTTCATAGTAGCGTAGCCTCCAATCTGAAGGAGAATATGGAGATCTAACGCTCGTTGCGCTCCTTGGAGGCTCTGCGGATGTTGGCGAATATCTAATCGACGGCGGAATGCGTAATCGGCGCAAGTTGCTCATCTCTCGGCGGGGATAAGGATGTGAAAAGGGAGTAGGAGGAAGAGAGGCAGTAGCTGATCTTGCTGGCTCGTTGAAGTTGAAGGAGCCGCTGACTGCGCTTGCAGGCTGTGACCTGGGCGAATAGGTGCTGGGTCTATCGAATGTATACTTGGAGAAATCTACTCCTCCTGCACTAGAAGGGCTAGAGAAGATGGGGGTGAACGCCTTGAGGAATTCGGTGTAGGCCGCAGGTGGTGTAATTGGGGTCGATATGCCATCTCCATTCCTTCCAGAGCCAACGCTGGAGTCTGTGTGAAGTTCGGAGGGGAACGTAATAGTGCCGGGCGTCTTGAGAGGATGGAGAATAGGCTTGATGGAAGGCATCTTGAATGATAAAGGCCGCGACCAAAGGCAAACAGGCGCTTTGTAACAAAGATAAGATCCCAAAGAGTAGTCGTGCAGAGAAAACAGCAGCGACAGCAATCCAGACTCCCAAGTTGGGTCTGGCTTGTAGGTATATACCGTGCGTGGCAGTAGATAGAAAAGAAGAGTATAGAGAGGTATAGACCAGACAAGAGGGGGGATCAGACCAAGGGAGAGATGGAGGGGGAAGAAGACGAGGAAGAGGGGTCCCAGAAGCAAATCTAGGATCAGGCAGTCTCTCTGTTGAACTTCTCACCAGTCGGAGGAAAAGGCAGGGAAGAGAGGGCGCGAAGGCGAGGAAGAGGTGGGAGATTTATTTATCTACCAAGAAGTTGTCGGAGGGTGACGGCGGAGGGTTGGTTTTGGGACGGTAACGCTGTTTTGTACGGTACGGAGACAAGACAAATACCGATCTTTGCAATGTTTCCCGTGCCAGACACTTGCTAATCCATTTCAGGTTAGCGCCATCACCCTTAGCTCGAAAGTGCGCGGCTACAAGTCTTGGAAGTCCTGCAAAGTCCAGCGACTCCAACCGAAGCCATTGCGAGGGAGTGAAACTCACCAGACTGCAGGGTGGATAATAGTTGCTGTCCTGTCTAAAATCCAGAGCAACTGAAGCTGAGGGGTGGAGAGAAGAGGAGAGAGAGAAAGAGAGGAGATTGATCGTGTGGGTAACAATGAGGGGTAAGGCAGGTTGCTGTTGATTATCCAATTTTCCAATCACAGCCCAGACAGAATCAATCTTCAAGCCTCTATTGCCGCTTCTGCTGCTGCTGCTGCTGCTGCTGCTGCTGCGGAGAGAATGGACAGAGGAAATAACCTCGAACCTCGCTCTCTACGACTCTTTTATATCTTTTTCTCATTGCCTCTCTCTTTTATTCCAACTGGAATCCTGGAGATCCAACCATTCCAACAAGCTGAGAACTACATCTTCCGAGAACCAACCGCTGTCATAGGGTCGCTCTGCTCCTGTTCCCACGGATTTGAAAGTCATCACGAATTGGAGACGCTAAAGCCATTCCTTCCCCTCAGCCACTCCAAGTCCATAACAGACACCGACACTCGTGGTTCGATCACTATTAACGCGCACGGCCTCCTTACTGGCCTAGTTGCGGTGCTTGCTGCAGGACTCTAACTCAATAGCAGCAAAGCTTCGGACTGGGGACGTGGAACAAGGGTTCTTGCCCTGTTGTTGGATCCTTCCATTCCATACTTTTTCTAGCCCGGCGGTTGTGGTCTTCAAGCATTCTGCTTGGTCTGCCACCTAGAGTTGCGCTAGGTAGTGCTTTGTAAATTGACCGGGCGGTTACAATCTCTCTCGGCGCTTACAACCTGCCTTTGCTGATTCGTGACACCTGAATGGCCGGTATGGAAAGCTGTTGGAAACTAACCCCCGCTAATATAGTCTTTGTTGCATCGAGGGTCATTCTGCAGCGCTTTTCTCCCTTTTATCTATCCTATCACGGCGCGCTCACAGTTCCCGCCTGTCCTTGGTACTACCCTATCCAAGGCACGTCCTCTATGCTGTCTAGTGGATCCGGACATGATTGTCTTTTGGTTGATCATTGTCTTTTAGTTTGACATGCGGTCTCATGTTTCCCATCTGGCTTGGAGTGCAGGAGTGGCGACGAGCCGACACATGATTATCTAGTAAACGCCCGCGAGCCCCCATATTTTGGGATCGTCCTAGCTTTGGTTGACCACGGATAAAGCTACCCACGTATAGTATCAACCCAACAAACAAAGTGTGACTAGAAGCCCGAGTACTGCGGGATTTATAGCTGGTTACCCTTTCGCAACGCTTCTTGCCACGAAAAGCAGCTCTCTGAGATGAACTTCTGGATATCTGCTTTCGAGCGATCTGCTCAAACTCCTCTCTGTCTCAGTAGAATGCTGATTCCCCTTTACTGAGTGGAAATAATGCTTCCCAGAGCCTTGTGAATCCTTCGACTTACATACTAACCAGGTGGCTGCCTGCATGGGGCCACAGAGTTTCTTAGTTGCTTCGACTGATTTATTGAATCAGTCGGATGTTGGTTATGCATGGGTCAGAGTCGGTGAATAACCAACACAACGCAAGCCAGTGCATTCGACCACATCGGGCCTTTCCAGTCGACGCCGAGAACGATTCAAATATTGAGATATTACCGCGTACAGACCGGTACTCGAGCATTCAGCGATGCATACTAGTTCATACAAGAGTTTGGATTCTGGTCCTGCCTTTACCTTTGAAAGATACCTTTTTCATGCCAAAATGCCATCCTATCTGGGAGCGTTAGGTGCTTTGGCGAGGCATTTTCTCCATAACGGTAACATTTCAACTCGATTGGCAGTTGTTCAAGACTAGGATATTCATCGAGTTTGATAAATATGCTTCGCAGCACTACCGTGCAACCAGCAAAATATACGACCAATACTGCAAGTTTGCCAAAGCAGGAGAGCCACTCACGTCAGTTCATGCATCCCATTTCGGCCTATAAACCTACTTATATATCTTTTTCTTCAAAAAACCCACCACACATGTTATTCCTTTGTCGTACTCATTGCATACCCGTATGCTTCCTGAAAATACCAGTGGCAGGGACAATTCAAAACATAGCCTTTCATCCAGAAAACCACGCAAGGTGTCGCGCTGCAAATGGTTATTGGCCGCGCTAGGTTCCCACCCAGCTTTTCTGAGTCAGACCTGGACGATAGGTTCGTCTACCATCCGAACTCGGAGAGGAAATGCAAAGATGCAGTGGCTATGTGCTGTTCCTGCTAGACCGGCCATGTCCCTCTGTATGTATGTATGTATGCATGCATGTATGCCCGGCCTTGTCTCGAATGGTGGTATATCTCCATGATTATAGCTGTATATCTAGGTAGTCAACTACCACAGGAAGAAATTCGGCTTCTGTGCCAAATGCCGTGGGTGGGGATCTAGGCTGCTTAATTATCGATCACGTTGTGTGTCTTGCTGGAGTGTCTTGGCCAAAGTCCCTGACGATCCAACCACGGACATCTAGACGAGGTTATTTCCTGTTTCAGTCGTATTGCTATTGTGCGAAGCAAAAGGAGGTGAAGAACCTCCTCTACCTGTCTTGACATCCTTCTTTCTTTCGCGTGTGGGATGATGCGTTGCGTAAACAAAGCTACAGTATACATTCACTCAATAGCCACATTTGACTCTCTATCAGGCTGTAAACTGTTTCCATTATTTTCTCTCAGTTGTATTATTTCTGCCTTTGACCTCCCCCCAGATGCAAATAGGTTGAGATCTGTATTCATGTGCACACATAGGAAAGATATTTTCAGAAATTGGACTACAGGATATTCTAAGTTATACTTGGTGAGATTGGCAGACATACATACATATATCATATCCTCTGCCTAGAAGTGCCTCTAAATACTCAGGGTTATATTACTCTAGCAGAGCCCACTACAAACAAGCTACGGATCGTAGCACCTGAAGGGGGAAAAAAAAAAAAAAAAGAACGCAAGCTCGTGATATTTCGCCGAGAGGCTCATCCGTCTACCCAGTTAAATACTCCATTCGCCTTTCTGATTCCAAAAAAAAAAAAAAAAAAAAAAAAATTTGGAATTACAACACGCAGTCTAGCGAGCGTAAGAGGTCGAATAATAACCAGCCTTCAACGAGAGAAAGAAAACACACGCACTCCAAATCGCATCACAGACATAGATAGACACAGACACAGACACATACAGCCCTAGGGACTGGAGATAGGGTTTCATAATATACTCTGTAGCTGTAGAGCGGAAACGAACCAAAACAAGAAGCGGGGGGAAAGACAATCACTAAGAACCAGTAACGCCGTCGGACTCCGTCTCTGTTTTGCTATCTATGCTTGCAGCTGTACACTAAGTCAGCGGCAGACAGGTATAGATAGCAGAGCAGAGAGATGAGTGGATGCGTCTCGAAAGTATCCCGTAGTCGCCTCGACATGAGGCAAAACGCAATGTATCCCTGTCCGGCAGTGAAATACGGGGGGAAAAGGGGGAAGAAGAAGAAGAAGAAGAATTAACGAATGGGTATATAAAGAATGCTAGATAGAATAGAATAGAAGAGAGCAAAGCCACAACAGAATCAAGCCAGCTTGTTAGGAGATGGGGGGGGGGGGGGTTTCCCATCAAGGGACCGACACCATCCCAGTGTGACAGCTGAGATGCAATCTCAGTGAGAAGTGAATGTAACTGCTGCTGCTGTTGTTCTTTTTTTTTTTTTTTTTGTTTTTGTTTTTTTTTTGTCCTTTTTTTGTGCTTGTTTTTTTTTTGGGGGGGGGGGGGGGGGGTTTCATTTACAGGATGAGATAGTTCCAGCCGTTCTGCTGCATTACATCCCGCCAGTTCAGTTTCTTGACGTCTTTCTCGGGCCAGGCGAGTTCCTGCTCCCTGGGAGAGCTGGGGGGTTCGGCCTTGATGGGGCTAGTTACGTTCGAAGGGCTCGACGAACTTTCTTCCAGGTTGTAGAAGTGCTCAACTGGGTCGTCGGTGATTTTCCATACTTCTTGCAGGACTCGATACATCCGGCCGAAGCTGCCCAGATCGGCGTGGTCTCCTAATGCAGCGGCGCGGTCGGCCAGCACAGTGCGGAACTGGCTGTTGGGCGTGGAGTACACGCCTGCCATGAATAGCGGCCAGACAAGCGAGCGGTCGAATCCGTTCGGCCCAGAGGGGATGAACTGCAGTGTGTTGGTGAGCGCTTGCACCAGGTTGAGGTTGCTGGGCTGCGACGGCTCAAACCCGGGCACAAGACTGCACAGGTAGATTCTTGCAACGATGCGGTAGACGGCAGTCATATTCTTGGTGAGGACCTCTGGACGGAGAATACCGGTGGTGGGCGAAAAGGGGCTTTCCAGGGCTTGGTCGGCGGGCTCAGTAAATTCCAGCTGGCGCCCGAGAGCCGACACATGAGAGCAAACTTGCATCTCGTCCACTCGTCTGCAACCTTTGAGCGCATCCAGGCAGGCGATTTCCGAAATGAGATACATCACGCGGTCATCGCAGCCCATCAGCTCGCGCAGTCCCAAGGATGCACCTCCCAGATGCTTGGAGCGGTAGGTGTGTGCAAATTCGGGGGTCCTCCGGTGCATGGTGGAACCGAGGATGTCGATCCAGGCAGTCATAGTCATACTGAACGGGGGCAGCATGTATGGGTTTCCGCCGGGCATGGCTGCTGGAAGGCCGAGTCGGTTCACCAGGTTGGCGGCGGCCTGGAAGTGGTCTAACCAGGGAATATCCGGAAGATAGTCATCTGCGGGGGCAACGGAGCAGTGGAAGAAAATCATCGCCAAGGTGGCATCGAGAATCTCTTGATGATTCGTGTCCTCTCCAAGGGCCTGGCACAGCTGTGAAATTGCCTCAAATCGGTTGCGCATGATATCATGGTCGATTTGCTCACCGGTGATTCCCTCTGTTGTCTTGAGGTGGATCGCCGCAACACTCAAACAGCAATGCAGGTAGGTCTTATTGGTCTCCAGGGCTTGAAGGATAGCCTGCGCTCGAAGATGTCCGCGCTGGTGGGCCTCCAGGACAGGGAAGATCATCCGCAGAACATTGTGGATAAAGTGGTCGAGAAGCGGGCGGTCGTGATCACTGACCGGGATATTAGACTGCAGCATGCTGTAGGACTGTCCTGGGCTCTGTTCAGAGAGAACCGGGTCGATTCCTGGGAGAGCTGGAGCACGGAAGTACTCATCGTGGAACCAGTCGTCGTCGCTTGGGAAAGTCGGGAGAGGCGCATTCAGCTGCGGAGGGGCAAACGTGCTGAACGTGGACGAGGCAGAGTCATGGCGCAGTTGAATGTCGTTGACGAATGTCTGTCGCTCGGTCTTGACATCTACCTCGTAGGGCAACGAGGGGGGTCCATATATGGGTTGGCCCAAGGCTGGCGTTGGCAAATGGGATGCGAACATATCATATGAGGGCTCGGGGAATGGACGACCGAATTCATATTCAGGCGACGTGGGTGAATTGGCCGCCATACTGCGAGCCCGAACCGAAGGATCTAGGATCAGATACTAGTTAGAGCGGGCTGGGGGGGGGGGGGGGGAAGAAGGCATACAACAGGGACATATAGAAAGCCTAAGCTTACCCAAGGTTAAGGATCCATTGCGCTCGTTCATCTTGGTCTGCTTGATTTTGTTCTTTATACGCTCCTTGTGGATCTTTCGCTGCTCTGCATTCCCCCACCAGACAGGGCGCTTGTATTCGCATTTGACGCAGAGGTTGATACAGGCCCCGCAGGAGGGATGCTTTTCGTCACACTTCTTCCGACGTAGACGACATGTGAAACATCCTACATTCAACACCGGGATTGTTAAGAATTGCTGCGGACTAACCCTAAAGAGCGGCGTACCTGAGCGAGATCGTTTGTGCAACTTAGCAGCCCCCTCCGAGGGCTTGGTCGACGGACTCTCACTACCCGAGGAGGATTGGGACTCGTTAGTCCTTTTGGGGGCGACGGACTTCTTCTTCGAGGCTGCCGGCATATCGATGGGAAGTACTATTTCAAGTCGAGTCGAAACCGTTCAAGGACAGGACTGGTACAGGTCGTCTGGCGAGCTGTTGTCTGAGAGAAAGGATCGGGGGGGGGGGGGCACTGTATAGTGGAGGGTATTATTAAGTTGCAAAGCTGGACCAGCAGCCTTTGCTATCTAATTAGATAACTATTAAGAGAACGAAAGGCGCGGTTGCCAAAGGACGAGGCGACTAGGGATGACGCTTGGGAAACGGAGAGACGCAAAGGAAGCATGATCGTGGGATCGAGGAACCTTTAAAGCCCCGACTCTCCATGGCAGGGTCTGTTTCTATTTTGGACATCCAGATACTTTACTTGTTAGCCGAAGGGGAAAATTGCGGTATTGGGAGGGGGAAGGATTGGAGGATCGTCGACTGGCACTAGCGTTGCGCAATCATGCATCCAGCAAGAGACGAAGCCAAAGGAACCGGTGAGTTTAGTTTAGTTCGTTTAGTTCCAACACTGCAGGGCTAATTTTGGATCATTTTAGCATTTGGTCTTTGGCGCCCATGCACCCTGGGGGAGGTTGGATAATGATTGGATTTGGATGGATTGTAAATCTCGAGCGTCCGGATGATTGCCGCTGCTTCAGTGCAGAGCAGTACACTACGGAGTAGAGAATCACTATGTATGCCCAAATCCTGTGAACTCTTCGAAAATGATCATGACAAGTTCGGCCGAAAACACCACGCCAATACCACGGACTTGCAGCGCTCAACACTAGAGAGGGCTATCCCCTAATATTACCAGATTTGGGAACTGCAACAGACCCCAAGAGCAAAGTTCACAAGCACGCGGGGAGGGGAAAGGGAAACCACACCTCGAGAGAGGATGTAAATGCCGCCGTGAGCTACGAGGGTCTCCCAAGACGAACCAATCGTGAAGCAGAAACAGGTGCCATTGTGTGAGGGCGTGCAGAGGCTTTACGGGGGTCTTATCGAATAACAATGGGAATCTTTGTGATGAAGTGCAGAAGGCTTGCCGCCGACTTTAGGGCTAAATTAGTTCGAAGTGAGCCAAAGCTTGCATTCCCGGGTCTTCATTGGATATAGACAGGAGATTGTAGTGCAGAACGGGAAGCCCGCAGCCAACCGTGCCAATGTGGGCCAGTCTGGATACTTTGGCTAAGATGTGATGAGATGCCACTAAAATCCCAATGTGACTCCGGGTAGTTAGTTGTAAAGACCTTAATTAGTAAATAATTGGCGCCAGGGTTGCGTGCAAATTGCCGATGAATACGGTCCAACTGGGCGTTTATAGGGTTATTCTTAGATCTCTCTCTCTATAACTACTCCGTACAGAGTACTCCGTACTTCCCCTCTTTTGCTAATAATATCAATTCCCTCCAATCCCTGCCAAATTTACACTATTATTCCTTTTCCATGTTAATTAATGTCACCCCGATATCCACTCCAAGGCAGGCGTCGTGACTCCACCTGGGGTGATTCTGCACCTCAACCCTCATGTCACACTTCTTGTCGCCTGCCTCCAACAAAGCTGACTCAAGATTCGCAATTTAATCTGCATTTACGGACAGACAGATCAGATTCTCTTTTTTTTTTTTTTTTTTTTTTTGCGCTATTATTATCCACCCTAATTGCGCCGGAGTCCTGGCGGTGGGCAAGCCGATGTCTCTCTTATCATGATCTGACCTGCAGAGTCTATACAAGCCAAAATATCAGTACATATCCCTATATTAGTGCCGGATTAGCGGCAAATCTCCTCGACAAATCAAATCCGTGCCACAACAGTCCCTGCAAGGTTGCGAGCACTTGCGGTACATCCCACGTTCACGGAGACTTTGTACGCCTTGCCTTGTCGCTTGGAATGTCAGGGGCCGACTCGTGCCAGCAACTTCACGGGGTACAGCTTAATATATGCAAACATCATGTTGTTTTGCTCTTATACAATGCCAGTACGACTTGAATACTCGTTTAATTTCCTTTATTCTGGAATGTACAAGGCTTTTTGTTCGTATTCGATCCCCGCAATATGTAGAGGGCAAGCTTGTAGCATGGACCAGATGGAAAATGCCGCCCGATCAATATACAGCTTCATAGGTTCTTGTTCAATATTATCCATCCTAGATCATGTTTGTCCTCTGCTATTTTAAGGCCATTTCTTTTCTAACCGAGTCAAAAATAGAAGTCGGCGCTTAAAATCCATCGATTGGGTTCCTTCTTTAACTCGATATTCTTGGTAAAGGACAAGCAAATCCCGGCGGCTATTGACTGGTAAATAGACTATCAACATAAATATAGAAGCATAAAGCCACTACCAGGTTCACGGCGCTTGCAGGATGATAAATCTGGAAACAACCAGGCTACAGCGATGTCTTGTCATGCGAGTCTTGACTCTTGAGAATGAAACGGCGGTTCTAGAAATGATCTCAGTTCTAGCCTACGGATCTATTATTGGTGGTATTGTGTTCTAAATTTACTCATGATCATGACTTGTTGCCAGATTTTCAGTCGTTTATTTTGATAAACATCTAGGGGGTTGTTGTCGCTAGAAACACGCTTCGATGAGGGTTGGAACTAGACAGAATATATGTTTCCACCTTCAGGGTATTAGGGTACCACGGACAAGTAATGACTGAGTATACAGCAAGGCTAAGATAGTTAAACGATACCTTGTTCTTCCAGATCTTATTTTCTCTAAAGTATCCATGGATTACCCTCATTGTGACGCTGGCGGGAGAGCGGAGAGCTGACAGCTCCAACATCCGCGGCGGAACTTCTCCTCTCCCAAATCTCCATCTCGCATTACTTCAACCAGTTCTCGATTCTGGAAGAGGCTCTCTTCCCCTTGCGAAAAGCAGTCCCTGACCTAATATTCCTGTGACCCTGTATGATGTAGATATTTTTATGATGTTTCGCATACCGATAACACGTGCGTTCCGCGCATCCGCTCCGCACCCTTCGACTCGATCATTCCCCAGTACTCGCATTCAATCACCTCAATCCTCCTTACACTCCTTAGTTTCACGATCGTTCTCGATATCTGCTTCCCTACCCCGAGGCGCGGGCCCGTCGGCAACCCCTCTTCGCACCCTCCCACCATCATCCCGTTATGTTCCCCGCCGACCGTTCTCCGGGTCCAGCCATCGCGATAACAATTATAGATATAGACGGTTTGACGGACCGAGACGCGAGCCCAGAGTGCTGCGCATGTTGAGAGATGCAAAGCCACAACATTTCGTAATTGTCGGGGGGTTGATCGGCGGGTTCTATGTTTATAATACCGAAACCGTCGAGGTGCGTCTTCGCTCCCTAGAGTTATACGCCGTTATGTGGTCAAGTACTGATGCGGCTTGGCCCAGATGACCGGCCGACGACGATTCAACTGCGTCTCACCTCGCCAGGAGCTCAAAATGGGCGAACAGAGCTACCATGAGGTGCTGGAACAGGCTCGCGGACAAATTCTTCCCGAACATCATCCGCTTACGATGATGGTGAATCGTGTGCTCCATCGTCTGATCCCTCAGGCACCCATAGAGGGTGCGGATTGGAAGGTTCATGTGATCAAGGACGATAATATGATGAATGCCTTCGTTCTTCCCGGGTAGGCTTCAATGTGCTGCGTGCCACTTGCTTTGGTTTACTGATGTAGAAAAGGGGCAAAGTGTTTGTATACACGGGTATTTTACCAATTTGCCAGGATGAGGATGGGCTAGCCGCTGTCTTGGGCCATGAGATTGCTCATGTGGTAGCTCACCATCCCGCAGAACGGATGAGCAACAGCTTCGTCACTTTGGGGGTGATTTTCCTCGTGTCGTTCCTGTTCGATATCTCAGGACAGATCCCGTCTCTGGTTTTGAACCTTATGTATAGCTTGCCGAACTCTCGAACTCAGGAGGTAGGGTACTATTATTCACTATAGCCCATGTTAGGACAAGCACTAATTTTGAACAGGCCGAGGCAGATAATATCGGATTGAGTATGTCTATTTATAGTTGATTCCCAGTGCACCACTGACATTCTGTTCTAGTGATGATGTCCAAAGCCTGTTTTAACCCTGAAGCCGCCGTCGGACTGTACGTATTGCGGCTATTTCTCTACTTGATGCTTGCCTCCGGATTTTAGATCTGTCTGAACAACTTTGCTAATTTCTTCTCTAGCTGGGCTCGTATGCAAAAGGCAGAGAAGGAAACGCCCCCTCAGTTCATGTCAACTCACCCCTCGGTAAGTGACCCTTGACCCGGCGCTGCTTCGAAATATGCTAACTGCCGAACAGAGCTACAATCGCATGGAAGCGATCCGAGGATGGTAAGCGTCCATGGAATTTGTGTTGTAATCAACCCAACTAACCATTCATAGGCTGGACAGGGCTGAGGCAGCGTACGAAGAGAGTGGATGTTACACCACTGGAAGCTACTGTAGACAACCCCTTCCCCCTTTCCAACATCCTTGTTAGTCTTGTTAGGATCGAGAACCAGGCTGATTGATACTTCTCAATGTAGTACCAGGATTCCGACAAGCACGTAACGACTTTGTCTGGTGATGGACGGGCATTTTCAGCACAACTGCCGATTCAGAACTACTCTACGCCTGTAATATAGGATGATAATGAATATGCTCTCCTAGTAATAATAATACTTTTTTTCTTTCTTTCTTTCTTTCTTTTTTTTTTTTTTCCATCTTTGGCGGAGTGAAGGATAACCCGAAAAAGGAAATGCCCTAGCCCCTCGGGGTGCAAACCAAACAAACACCCGCCGCCAGACCGTCTCGAAGCTCCATCAAAAAATCCCCGGTGCTGCGGCCAGCTTCAGGACAGTATTGTGGTCGACTCCCTCCCCGTCCATTCGTCTTCCTCATCTAGCGACCCGTCTAATTCGAGAGGAATTGTTCCTTTCATCATGTCATTGTCTCTTCCCGGACCTTCCCAGGCCGGTCTTTTCAAGCCTGGGTACCAAAGGTAAGCGACGCCCACTGTCCCTCCCCCCTCCCCCCCGCCAGATCTTCCAAAATCAAAAAGGGGAAAAAAAGGAACCCTTTGAGCCTAGCAGGGAAGAATATTTCCAGCTGACAATGAATTTTGTATAGTCATGACGCAGAAGATGGTGCTGTCATCCGTAACATCGAAGCCTGCCAGGCTATCTCCCAGACCGTCCAAACATCGCTTGGTCCATATGGCCGCAACAAGATCGTCATCAACCACCTGCAGAAGATGATTCTCACCTCAGATGCGGCTGTAATCCTGCGGGAGCTGGATGTGGTCCACCCTGCAGCTAAGCTGCTGGTGATGGCGAGTCAACAGCAGGACGCGGAGATGGGTGACGGAACTAATCTCGTTATCGTTTTGGCGGGAGAACTGCTGAAGAAGGCGGAAGAATTGCTACGACTAGGTTTGAAGACGAGCGATATTACTCAGGGTTATGAGAAGGCACAGAACTTTGCTCTTAAAGTACTAGAAGGTGAGTGGATTTACTTTGGAGGAGGAGGAGGAGGCGGAGAAGAAACTCGCTTGTCACGAGATACTTCATTCTTATTTACGGCGTGCTAACGGTACATGGCAAATTCTAGATCTCGAGGTGGATCGCTTGAAGGACCTGCGCTCCCAGACCGAACTCACCAAGGCCCTTCGCACAGTCGTCGCCAGTAAGCAGTCTGGAACCGAGGAGCTCCTGGCTTCCCTCGTCGCAGAGGCGGTTCTCGCCGTCCTGCCCAAGAACCCTGTCAACTTCAACGTCGACAATGTCCGCGTAGTAAAGATTATGGGAGGCAGTCTGGAACAATCACGCGTGGTGAAAGGAATGGTCTTCGGCCGTGAACCCGAAGGTACAGTGAAGAAAGCCCACAAGGCCAAGGTCGGTGTCTTCAGCTGCCCCATCGACATCTCCCAAACCGAAACCAAGGGCACCGTGCTCCTCAAGAACGCACAGGAGATGCTCGACTTCACTAAGGGCGAAGAAGATCGTCTCGAATCCACCATCAAGGAACTCTACGACTCCGGTCTCCGCGTTGTCGTCGCCGGCGCTGCCGTCGGTGACCTCGCCCTGCACTACCTCAACCGCTTCAATATCCTTGTGATCAAGATTCTCTCCAAGTACGAGCTTCGGCGACTGTGTCGCGTTGTTGGCGCCACCCCTCTCGCCCGCCTAGGCGCCCCCATGCCCGACGAAATGGGTTCCGTTGACATTGTTGAGACAACTGAGATCGGCGGCGACCGTGTCACCGTCTTCCGCCAGGAAGATTCCACCGCTGTCACCCGCACCTCCACCATCGTCCTCCGCGGCGCCACCCAGAATCATCTCGATGACGTTGAGCGCGCCATTGATGACGGTGTCAACGCTGTCAAGGCCATTACCAAGGACGCGCGTCTCGTGCCCGGCGCTGGAGCTACGGAAGTCCAGCTTGTCGAGCGCATCTCCGCCTTCGCCGACCGAACCCCCGGTCTCCCGCAACATGCTATCCGCAAGTACGCCGAAGCCTTCGAGGTGATCCCTCGCACGCTCGCCGAATCCGCCGGTTTAGATGCCACAGAGGTTCTCTCGCGCCTATACACCGCTCACCACCGCACCACCAAGAACGCCGCCGCCACTGCCACCACTGCCGACGACGCCGAATCTTCCTCCGATGAAGATGAAGAGGAAGATGAGGAAGAGGAGGAGGATGGACAGGAAGAGGAAGAGGGCAGCTCCGAAGCTGATGAAGAACCCTACTGGACTACCGGTGTTGATCTCGAGGCGACCTCGTCCGCTGGTACCCTCGACGCCGTGGAAGAAGGTATCCTTGACCTGCTTGCCTCCAAGAGCTGGGCTATTCGTCTAGCCAGTGAGGCTGCCCGGACCGTTCTCAGTGTGGATCAGATCATCGTTGCTCGACAGGCTGGTGGGCCCAAGCCCCCTGGTCCTAACCCCAACTGGGATGAGGATTAGTTCTTTACACCATAATTTATCACTACTACTACTACTACTACTACTACTACTTTTACTACTTCTACCTCTTCTTCCTCCTCCTCTTTCTTCTTTCGTTGGAAAAAAAAAATAATCAAAACCCTAGCATATTCTTTTTATCTTTTCCGCTCCGTGTTGGGGTGAAGCAGTGGAGCGGTCTAAAATGTGAGCCTGTGATAGAAAGAAAGATACGAGATCATGAAAAGTCTATTATCGACCGCAGTGGATGTGTATAAAGCCTAAGGTGTACTCAGGTAGTGGTAATATTCGCTTATATATTCAGACAACGTCCCTAAAGAATTTTCCCAAGTGTTTTGATAATGGTTGCTGTGGAACCGTCCTCTACTAGAAGTACCAGAAGTATCAGAGTATCGCGCGCACGTATAACCCCTACAACCTACAGTTTATAACCAGTTCAGGTCCAAATCAAATCGATTTTTCTAAGAAACAGAGCGATGGGATAACAATATACGACATAACAGTAGTAATTCAACGATACCATTCTTCCTCCGGATCACCAAGACATTCTCCCACCGTCACAGCTAGTAATCTGTTAGTGCCGACAACAAAGCGAAGTAAGAGGCCGGGAGTTGAAAAAGAATACACATACGCTGCAATCCCCGTTCGAAGATCTCATCCAACATGATATGCGCCAGCGTTTGCACCGTCTGCTGGTGAATATCATGAGCCAGGACGATAGTGCCACCCTGATCAAGGTCTTTATTGAACTTCGCCACGCTGCGCCCAACCAAATCTGGATGGTCGTTCTCGTAGTCCTTAGTGTCTACGCTGGCTCCGATAACATGGTATCCGAGATCCGCCATCACAGCCAAGGTAAGGTCATTAACAGCGAGATACGGCGGCCGCATATAGGTAGGCACGACTCCGACGGCGTCTGCAAAAGCGGACTCTAGCATGGTCATTTGCTCGACTATACCAGCGTAGTCGAGGACAGGGAGATTGGCATGGCTAAAGCTGGATAGTTGGTAGGTCAATGAGTTAGTCTGTAGAGCTTTGGTCTAGAGAGAAGGGGCAGATGGTGGGGAGTTACGTATGCGACGCTAACTGATGTCCTTCATTTACAATGCGCTGGATGACCCCGATATTATTGTTGAGATTGTGACCGTTCACAAAAAAGGTGGATCGTGCGCCATGAGACGAAAGCAGCTCAAGAAGCTCGGGGGTGTAGATGTATGGTCCATCATCAAAGGTGAGGGCGACCGTGCCGGGGACGGAGCAGTGATGGATGTAGATACCGTATGGGACTTGGATGTGCCGGCTTGTTAGGTTCAATAGCGAGGAGTGAGGATTGTGAAGGAGTGTGGCAGAGGTGAGGGCAAAGAGAGTGGTCAAAGCTGGTAAACAAGGAAATACCATGATGATATTCAGGATTGGTATAAATGATGAGAATTATAAATAGAGTCGTGAGCCACGTAGGAGGTCGTTCAGAGAAGGGAATCCATATTCAAAGAGAGAACGGTAGACATTGAAGAATTTTGAGATGTAAGATGTAGACAACTTTGGAAAGAGCGCCTCCATAGCCATAGAAGGTGCAATCGGCCATGGAAAGAAGGCACGGAAAATGCTCGAGAACGGAAAGAGCTCTATAGGGGCAATCTAGGCTATCTCTATCGGATGTACAGTTCTAGTGATGGTATACAGTACAGTTTATCGGGTCAAGTATGTACCTACCTACAACTTCCCATAGATCTTGACTCGGTCTTCGAGTGGCTTCTGAGCCTTCTCGCCGGGGCCTCCTTCAGGACTTCCAAACACCAACTGTGCAACAAGTCTCCATTCATTCGGAACGTCCCACTGTTTAGCAATAGGAGCATCAATGAGGGGGTTATAGTGCTGGAGGTTCGCACCAAACCCGAGGGACTCGAGTCCAGCCCAGACTGCAAGAAAAAGTCAACAACGGCTTGAATCCAGTCAAAAGGGGGCAAGGATAGGCAACATACGGAAATATTGGTGCATGGCATTAGAATGATCCGCCCAAGGCTGGAAGTGGTCTTTGTAAAGAGCGAATTTCTCCGAAAAAGGCTTGATATGCGCAGGATCTTCATAGAAGAGAATCTATCGGGCCTTTCCAATTACGTTCACGCCTCCCGAGAGATATATTTTCCTAGGGAAATTGGAACACGACGTACCGTCCCCACAGCCCCTCTCATGCCTTGTAGCTTAGGCAGAGTCTGGTTCTTCCAGGTCTGCTCTGGCACGGTGCCAGCCTTGACGAGGCCCTCGAAGGTTTCGATCACGATATCCCAGAGACGTTCATGTTCGCGGTGGAGTAGGACGATTAGCCGGGTGGATTGGGTATTGAATGAGCTAGGAACATTGAGAACAGCTGCATTCACAAGATCCTCGATTTTGGAGTCAGGAACAGGGCTACTTTTGCCTAGTTTGTAGATGGTACGACGAGCTTTGGCCAATTCGATGAGAGTGTCGGTTTTGGAGCTTGAGCTCGCTGCTTGATCCCCCGCGGAGAAGGATAACGAAAATGGCCGCGAGATCATTGCGGTTGTGAGGGGGGAGGACCTTGTAATGTTGCACAGGGACGAGGAAGATCGAAAAGGAGAAGGAAATCGGGGGATGAGGCGTGGCAATGCCATGGTAGAATTTGGCGAGATAATTACTAGGTTGATTGAAATGAGAGAAGTCAATAACGGTCCCCCTGGAAGGCGGAGTACATAAACATACTCCTTATACATAATAATGCCCAGCTAAGGCACGCACATTCTCCAAATCAACAACAGCAACAGTTCAATGCATAAATTCAATCAGGGATTTGACCGAGATAAAGAAATATAACTAGGTAAACAGAGCAGATAAATCCCGGAACAGTAGTGGTCAAATTCGAGAGTCCAGAAGCACAAGCTCTGAATCTATCGCGTGAAACAGGACATGACTATAGTATGTGGAAAGGGAAAGAATAAAGAATAAATAAACAAATTTCCACCCAGATGATGATAATTATAATATTGATACCGAATAAAAACCATATCAAAATAACAGGGTATAAATCTTGAAAGCTCCGACAGAACCAACTATAATGGAAAGCCAAATACTGTACATGCAAGGAGAAAAACCAAATTAACTGAAACTAGCTGAAGCTAAGAGGAGAGCGTAATGATGCGACCGCCAGAGCATTTGGGTAAGGAACCGGAAAGCGAAACGAAACGAAGCTGAGGGAGCCAGATGCAGAACAAATGCCGAAAAATGCGCGTTCATCTCTATCGTGATTAAGTAACTTTCGTAGCATGAAGACTGAATGTAGTAACTCCAGCACATATGCTGTTGTTCCCATTAGATTGCTGATCAAGGTGACCATGAAGAAAAGATGTAGGATGAAGAAATAAAGAGCCATAAGTCTCACATGCAAGGTGGTGACTGCCCCCGTGGGCCTTGGAGGGCACAGTCGCATGGGTGGGAGTTGGTTCTAGCACCAGTGTACCAACCCTCGTTGATCAACCGACTCTCAAGGTCAAGCCAGTATTGTGCTTTGCCCCCAGTTCCGGTTTTGAGATCCAAGTCACCAAGTCTAATCTCAACCAGACCCCTGTCATTGCGAGACATCTAGGCTTGGTTAGCATAGAACCATTCACAGGTAAAAAAAAAAAAAAGAAAGAAAGAAAGAAAAGGTAGAAACGAAATGTCGTTGGACAGAAAGGGAAATGGTGGAGGGGAGAGAGTGAGCGGGTCGCGCGGTACCTTGATAAACATCGTACAGTCTCTTAGTGTCATTGCTAGGGATTTGTCTCGGGAATGCGGCGGGGGTCCAAGAAGCCCAACATCTTTCAGGTTCTTCTGGTGTGCTAGTAGTTTTAGTAGCGTACTGTTTCGATAAAGTGTCCTGGCCAGCCGGACGTGGTCTTTATACCCCTTAACGAACTTAGTGGCACGGAGGACATTCTCAAACTTGTCAGAAACCAAATCTAGGGGGCAAAAGGACCGCTCCTCGAACGCACCCACCCTCCGAGATTCCTGGTTCTTCATATCTCGTAGGGCGCAGGTGCGGCATTTTCGAGCCCCAGCGGGAGCAGATGGCGACTGGAAGAGCCATTTTGGTTTCAATTCAGCAACATCGGTTGCGGGATTAGAAAACGACGTCATGTCAGTGATGAGAAGTCCAAACGGTTCCGTGACGGAGAGGAATACCCCGCATCTCTTCTTCGGGCGCCTCCCAGCGAGCTCGGCTGCCCGCAGCTGCTCGTTGCATCGTTGAGCTAGTCCATTTGGCAGGTAGACGAGTTCCTGATCCACCAGTTCTTCTGGTCTAAATAGAGGACGAATAGTCTTGTCAAAGTTCCGGGCGATCTCTTGGTAAGATACCCCAGCGGCCGTGTCTTTGCGGAGTCGAAGCAGCTTTCCCTTGAACGCTGCAGGCACAGATAGATTATCACTTGAAACAGCTAGTGGAGGGCTATTTTTGGACCCTCGGCTGGGAGTTGCAGGTGACACAATCCGATAAATAATGTTAGCACCACCCTCAGCGATGTAGATAAGCTGAGCCCCCATGGGGAGCTCTAACAACCGGGGCTTCGTCATTCGTTAAGTCGCCAAATGGTGAGTTGTACTGGATTTATCTTGTTCCGACACGACCATGGCAGCTATCCGCTTCGCACAAACACCTACAGAACCCAAGTGCCTATTCCGATAAGACAGTGGGTTAAAAAAAGTTGAGGGATTATGAGCCAAGTATAGATTCCTAGGTGCCACAGTGGTCGTGATTAAATAGCCGGAAATCTCAGGCAACAGTATAGGACTTGGGGGAAAAGCCCAAAAAAAAAAAAGGGTTCTTGCGCACAGATGAAATTTTAGCTTGAAATAGAAAAGAAAGGGTTTGCAAGAAATGTATAAGCCTTGTTCACAAGAGTGAACCGTATCACTTGTGTGGTCACACTGTGTTTTGCTTTTTTCTTTTTTTTCTTTTTTTTCTTTCTTTTTTTTACTCTTTTCAGGCAGCTGAGCCTCGTCGCAGTCGACCAATTGAGCTGAGATGATGGAAAATAAGCTCGTTAGAGTCTATTTATTTACGGCGTGACCTTACTCAGCTGAGATATCGTCCGAAATCCGCTTGACCGGTTCGAGCTGGCGAGGAATGGCGCCCCGGGAGATAATTAATGAAGCACAGAACCCGATTGCGTTTAGTGTAAAGGGTCTTCGACCCAGGTATTGAGCCTGGTGCAGGATTTAGAGCGTATCAGCAGGTGTGGCGCCTCACCTAGCAGGTCTTAGGCGAATCCTATGTTAATAAACTCGCGATCGCTAGGATAGACTAGAAAGGGTGGGAAACCAGAAGAATCCCGTCGGATTTTGCTGGAACAGAGCAAGACCCAGAATGTGTACGATGAGGGTCAAGATCGGAAGAAATAGAAAAGCAGACGAGAGTGGAATGACGAAGCGAGTGTCGGACGAAAGTACGGCGTCATACCAGAGCAGCTGAGCACTGGATTGCAGAGCGTTGGGCACGGACACCTCTGGGGTACTGTCGTGGCGGCGCTGACTGGATACTAAGTTAGCAGCGGTCAGGTCGCCAGAAACAAGATGGAACCAGTGAGGGCTGGGGGAAAAGGAGATATTTGTCAAAGAACTGCAAGAAAGCATACAAATGAAAGTACTGGGAGGGGACGCTGAGACTTCCAGGTATATGGTTTGCTACAGCAGGGATGTTGATTTCCTTTGGGCTTCTATGCAAGGAAGAGAGAAGAGTAACATCTACCTGGAGTAGTAGAGATGGGAAAGAGATGCAGTGGAGGAAGAAGAAGAAGAAGAAAAAGAAAAGAGAGAGAGAGAGAGAGAGAGAGTTATAAGAAGTTCTATGATAGCAAATCTAACGAGTCAATAAATTATTGCCTCTATAATAGCCTGAACCAGAGTTCGATGATTTTCTTAGCTGGTTTTTTAGTTGTCCAGAAATGGCGCCGCACTTTAGTTTCTTCTGCAGAGTACGTAGTTCTTTCTGAAGAGTAAAAGAAAAATGATTTAAGTATATTCTTATACTTATTGATTTCATTTTGCTGTATGTATACCCCAGCTTAATCCTCTTCAGGACATTTTATCCCCCGCTTTTTCACCAGTCTCTCTCTTGCTGCCTCCTCTCTTGTACAATATATCCGTACTACACTGCATATGGATACAGGGACCAAGACAAGGCCACTCTGTACGACTGGTGAGCGATAACAGGTGTCAGAAACAGGGAGAGAGAGGTTCCCCTCACTAGACTTAGGATTGTTTTCGGATTCAGATCCAAAGACCAAAAAAGAACCCCAAAAAAAATAAGAAGAGGCTATTGGAGTGGAAGATTAATTGGATTATCTTGTGCCGTGCATTTTCTTCCCTGCTAATCATACTAGAACCCAACAGGAAAGGCACCAGAAAATAGAAGCACAAACTGACGGTGCAGGTAGGCCGATCCCGGTCGCTAACTATCAGAAACTGTGCTCATGCGAAGAAAGTGATTGATCAACAGGGGTCGCTAAGATGGAATGTTGGGTCTTTTGGATGACTATAGGAATGATCGCGGTGGATTCCCGGTTTCAATGCTAATGGGTGTAGTCAGTATGTGGCTTTGGATGGGTGTAGTATTGTATAGACGTACAGAGTACTATCTATAAGTAGACCAGATGTATTCCCACTGATTCTCTGAAGAAATGTGTTAGAGGACTCTTGATGGTTTATGGAGAAAGAGAAAGAGAGAGAGAGAGAGAGAGAGAGAGAGAGAAGAGGGGCAATGAATAGTAATGTTTTAATTCGTCACCAGATTCTCTCCAGCCTGTCTTCCTCTCCAACCCCGTCTCTTCTCTCATCTTGCATCGCATCAATAGTTCCTCTGGTAAATTAATCAGATTCAGAATCAGGAAGCAATAAAAACAACTACAGAGTACACTCCTCTCCTGCTCTAGAAATGGCCACCAGCAGTGACATGTCTCTCGCTTCCATCCCAACTCCTCCTCATTGCACCGCGGATTTCTGCTTGATTCCTGTGCGTTCCTTCTGCTTCAACTTCTTCCCTTCTCCTCCTCCGTACTGAAATATGCATCCGGTTCTCTCCGGGTTGCTGACCTCGCTGTATCGCCGCCTGATGCTGTCTACTCTGTTCTCTCTTTTTCTCTGTCTCTTCCCCACCACAAGACCATATGCACTTACTAACCAACCAACCACTGCAATGCAATAATAATAATAGATTGGCACTTCCTCTCCGTCAGTATCGGCCCAAATTGCAGATGTCCAACGCCTCGTTGAACAATGCGGCTTGAAGTACGTCATGCATTCGGCCGGGACAACTCTCGGTATGTATTTTGTTGATGGTCGCAATCCTATCCTCACCCTGCATCCCCAGCAGTCATTGTTGAATGTTGAATAAAGCCCTTTGAGGCTGTGCTCTGTCTGTACTGCTACTCTGTGTGTACTGCTGCACACACTCATCCTCAACTCGAATTCCTTGCAGATCTGTTTTGTTGATGCCGTGTAACTCATTGCTATTGATCACTGCCTAATGGCTGACTGTCCCGCTTCATACAAATAGAAGGGCCCTGGGACAAAGTACATCAGGTCATTGGTCAGGCGCACACTCTCCTACACCAGCAGGGAATCGTGAGGATCCAGACTGATATCCGGGTTGGTTCGAGGTGCGTATTTTTGTTCTCTGCCTGCCTTCTCCCCCTACTTCCCTTTATTTATTATTATTATTTATTTATTTTAATCACGACTGTGCTTGTCTCTATTTTTCGGATTTTGCATTCCTCGCGGCAAAGAGGCTACCGAAAATACTTCCCTGGCTGACTGGCTGACTGGCTGGATTTCATCTCTGTAGAACCGACAAGGTCCAGTCCTTCGAAGACAAGGTTAACAAGGTCCGCGAGTTGCTGGGGAAGTAAATGGTTGGAAACTCTTCCGTGGTCACAGCTGAGCTATAAATGGCAGTTTTTTACGGAATAGATACTCGACACAAAAAAGCTGATCTTATATATTCTACCCACTAGATTAAAAGTCACTGATGGACACAAAACAGTCAGATGTCGTCTCTGCTGAAACGACTCAATTTCTGGCCAGGACAGATTGCCAAAACGCCGATCCTATGCACTATATAACACGTCGACCTGATTATGTATAACTATCCAAACACTGCGGTGACTGAGATCCGTAACAGCCTTGAGAATCCTGCATATGTCCAACCAGACTATAAATATTACAAAAGAAAGGATGACGAAAGCTAAACATAGCTAAAAGGAGAAAAAGAAGAGAAAGGAAGGCAAGACAATGGAATCATGCTTATAAAGTGATACCTCCACCGAGTAGGCTTCCCCAGTCGCCACCAGCCCAGATCCATTCACCCATACTTGGGTTCGCTCCGGCTTGGGCCTTCTGAACGAGATCCACCAGACCCTTGAAAACATTCGAGTAAGTCGAGGCTGCGCTCTCCTGTGCCTGGGTCACAGATGTAACGTTTGTGCGGCCGACAGCATCGGTGATGCCATTGAGACTATCCACGGTCTTGATGGCCGGGCCCTGGTCAAAGAAATCGACCAGGATGAAAGCTGGTTGACGGCCGTAGGCAGTCGTGCAATTGGACGCTGCGGTGCCAAGGTTGCCGACCCCTCCGGACGCAGCGTTCGTCGTGGATACGTAGCTGGCATTAGGGGCCTGCACGTTCAGAAGTATGGTCTCGTAGAGAAAGTGGTTCATCAGCGGGAGCATGTTGTCCGAGAGTGCCGCGGAAATATCGTTCTTGACGCTGGAGGGCCGTTGGGGCTGGCAGGAGAAATTTGACGGCGACGCGACATCGTATGGGTTTTCGAAGACGTATGTAAACTCGTCCATGAGATACGGCGCTACTGTATTGCTGGAGGCGTCTAACGAGGCCACAAAGGTCACCAGTCTCGTTCCATTGTTGATGAGTTCTTGCAGGGTGGGCCAGGAGCTCGGCGCGGAGGTCTGTGACGTTGGTGTGTACGCGTAGTCTGTGATATTCGCTGTCTCAAACTCGGAATTGAGGTCGGAGGCTGTAGCGTCATCCGAATTCACCAGGAGGACAGTAACGACTGTGCAAGTGAAATCGTAGTTAGCATCAGATCAGAGTATCCCATGCAACCAACCAACAGCAGCAGCAGCAGCAACCATGCATGCCAGAACTCACCGTCGTTGGGGTTAGAATCCAGCCAAGTCTTAATCTCCGCCAACCACGTACTCAACTTCCCAGCATCCAAATAACTACAGCCCGAGTGACACAGATGCCATTCGGAATCGCTCTTATGCACCTGGGCTGTTACTAACCGGACGCCAGCACTGAGTTGAACAGTAGTGTTGTAGTACCTAAACACGAAAAAAAAAAAAAAAAAAGGATCCACAAGTCAGCGACGACTATATTTCCCCGTAGTTAAGCACTTTGCCAACTCACTGATTCCCAAACATCGAATTCGACGTCGACGAATCCCGCAAAAACGGGCTGTCGTGCGCCCCTAGGTGCGTAATGTCGCCATAGGACTTGGAGCACAGACTCGGCGAGTTATTGCATGCAGTTTGTCGGGGGAGAAGTGAGGACGCCGCTGCCAACGGGAGGAGAGCCAGAATTCCTGCTCCCAGCATTTCTCTTTAGTGGTGCTATATACACAGTGCGATAAGGCAGCAGCAGCAGACAGATAGTAGGTGAGGTCAGGTAAGATCGCGATAAGTGGAGGGGTGTCTGGTCTGGAGTCCAAGGGGCGAAGGTCGATGTGAGAGGTGTCAGGTTGAGGACCGATCGAGATGAAATGGAGGATCGAGTAAGGGTACTTTTAAAAATAAGAATGAATTTCAGAGAAGTCGAGTGAGCAAAGAATAAAAGGACGTCAATAATCCGAAACATCCCAAGGCAACAACACTGGGCTCACTCCACCCCGACCCTATTTTCATTCTTTATGGCCCAGACAAAAAAGGCTGTCGATTTGAGAGCAAATGTGGAGCCAGAGCCGTCTCCTGAACTTTGGCAAGCAATCAAATCAATCGATTGCCAGGACGATGATGGCGATGTCTGGGCTCTACGCTATTCTTAGGCGCAAATCGCTTGTCAGCGCTGACGATTAGGACGCGCCAGCCTGTTGTGGCGGAGCCGAACATAGCCATTCTCAGTAATTTTCCATCTTGTCACTATAGTTAACTAGGTTATATATTATTCTAAAATCATATCTACTACTGTACAGTGCTTGGGCCAAGGCGAGCCCGAGGCCGTGGTCGATAGCTAGGCGTATACATCGCTCGGTCTAAGCGGTTGCGTTCCTGATCGCTAAAGAGTGGCTCTCCCCATGCTCGGTTGATATCCGCAATTACCTGCTCGGCCACGTAAGGATTCTCTCGCCGCAACGCCCGGTTTTTCGGTCGGTTGGAGAATATCGGCCGACCGTAGAGAATAGTAAACCGTTGACGGCACGTGCGAGGGATACGCCGCAGCTGAAGATGAACCCCTATCTGTTTAAGTTCGCGCAGGAGGACTATACCACGCACAAACGGGACGAGTTTGTCCCCCTTCACGCCGGTCGCCAGGTAGGTCCTAACCCTGCTAGGAGGTTGGATGGTGAACCCCCAGGCGATAATAGCATCCTGCAGCTGACGGGTGAAAATTCTTCGGAGAATTTGGTGGTTGTGGGCGCGGGGGAGTATAGGGGTAATGGACTGTGCGCTCTCAGAAGATTTAGGGGTCGCGAGGGTATGGTGAGGAGAATAGTGGCGAGCTAGCCAGAGACAACATGATCTTAACTCGTCCCAGTTATCGGTCATTCCAAACCGCTTGATCAATTCGATCCAAAGTCTTGGAGATACCTCTGCGCCGGCTTGGACGATACGTTGTAAGACACGAAAGACAAACGTTACTTCCTGCGTAGGACAAACGTTTGGTTGCTGGACTGGCCCGACTCCCGGTTTGCGCAGGCTCAAAGCTTGTTTGACCATGAACGTGATAGTCTCGCTAGATGGGATAGCACTCTGGGCGAGCATCTCATCAACTACTTTGGACGTCATGGCCCATTCACCCGCCGCGATGTGTTTCCGAATATGCACATCAAATAACTTCGGTCCTTCTCCAAGCAGCTCCCTCAGGACTGCTAGGGTTAAATTATACTGTCGCCAATCACGCACAGTGTAGTAGCCCACCAGTAATGATTCCTGCGTCTCTGCGTCTTCAAGCATGTCCGGATGCTGGTCACTGCCAATGAGATCGGAAAGGACAATTTCGCGATTTTCTATCGCTAGCCTGCGCAATAGTCTCGAAAAGACGCTATTTCCAATCGAAATGCCTCCTTCTTCCAGCTGCCCGAGTTTTTTCAGTATATCTTGGCTCCCCCGAGCTCTTGTAGCCATCTCTCGCAACGATTGGGGTCCAATGGCAGGCACGCCAAACATCTTCAGTCCGGAAAGGATCATTTCAAAGTTAAGAGCTTTTGTCGCGAATATTCGGGCTCCAAAATCATCTTTAAACTGCTTTTCCTCCATCCACTCTCCGGGATTGGACTTCGAGGATTCGTCCGTGGGAGTATCTAAATCCACAGCTTCGGTCTGCTTGTGTTGCTTGAAAAACCGGCGCTTTGCATATTGACGGAGTTGGTTGTAGGTGCTGATGGAACCGTGCCCCTTTGTGTATTGAAGCAGCGACCGGAGGTCATCGTAGGATCGCGGATGGTCACCCCGCTGAACCAGGAAATGATGCATCTGGAGTGCTTCTTTAAGACTACCTTCTTCTAATAAGGCGGAGAGAACCAAGCCGTACACACGGTGGCCTTTTGTGTATTTGCAGATCGTCCGCAATGCGGATAGTCTCGAAGCCAATGTCCATTCTTGTGGCCTCGCGAAACCAGCCGGGTGTCTCACCGGATTGGTAGAGAAGGATGCTATCGGTTTAAAGCACTGGAATATATCATTTGGCCTTGATAAATGAGGGTGCTGAAGACGTTTGTGCCAGTTCACAGCCTGATGCGTCATTCCACGCTGAATAAACTCGCCCACGATGCTTTGATAAAGCCGGGGCCACCGTTTCCCCGTTTTGTTCCACAGGACTAGAGAGTAATCGGCCAGCTCGTTCAAAATACCCTGCCGCTTAAATCCCAAGTCCACAAAGCTTTGCCAGAGGACATCCGAAGTTTCTCCTTCCACTGGTAGGTGTAGTCCGCCAACTCGCGTCATCAATCCCTCCCAGATATCCAATGTTCCGTTATCTCCATAGCGTCGTTGTCGATATCGAAGCAATTCAAGCCAAAGAGAGAAATCGGTTTGATGGGATGGGTCATCGACTAAACGTGTCCCGATGTCGCGTGTATGGCCCACATCAGACTCGAGTTCGAGTCGTTCGGGATCTAACCCCAATTGTTTCCAGCTCACAGGTGAATCTCCGTTGGATATGGATCTCCCAGACTCGCTATTTATGCCTGAATTTGTCGGCAGAGTTCGAATTTCATGTACGCGAAATCCGGAGGCGTGTCTTGTGGCACGGCTCGGGAGCTCGTTGTGAGCTGGTTTACCCGGTTTAATACGCGAAGCGCGGTTTTGAAAGCGTGGGTTCAGCGTTTCGCAACGACAGCAGATATGTCTAAGTCCATTCTCCAACTGTTCAATCCCAAGGGGTGAGGATATTAAGGAATCAATGACTGAGAGCGCTGATGGCCTCCTCAGCAGTCGGAGAAGAGCCGGGCGCATGAGGCTTAAAGGGAGGTCGATAGGGGATAATCGAAAGGAACCTAACCATCCTGCCTTCTGCAATTAAAAGAGACAGGCTGCATTCGGCGTTGAATATAAAAACAGGCGCTCATCAGTTCCCCAACCTCCGCACGGTGAGCTTTCCAGAACACTTTTTAGGATCCCGGAGGCACCCAAAAACCATCTTTCCCGAATGAGGTTAGCCGGTTGCTGACGTGAAGCATATGAAGATCTCCTCCGGGTGCGGGTTATAGTTAATCCGCAGGTCACGTGATGTTAAAAAGGGGCTAAACAGATTAGAGAGCCAATCAACATATTGCGATTTTGATATCACGTGATATTAATAAGCTCTCACATCTGGAAGGCGGAAGATCGAGGGAAGTCACGTGCTCATCGAGTTGCATCCGGATCCACACTCCAGAACATCAACTGATCGTTACTTGCTCGACTTCATCGGTGCTGTTTCTCTCCCCTCACCACCTCTCTCATCGCATTCGAACACCGTCAACATGTTCAACCGCACAGTTCCTCGCATGGCCGGGTAGGTCTTCCGTCAATGCACCGTTCACTATCCCAGCCCGCACAGCCCGTTAATTGACTCGGAATTCGACTTTGAAATCCGCACACCTTGATTGATCGAGATCCGCCCCCCTCAGCCACATTGCAATTGTGCCTCAGCCCTTGCTAATTATTGTTCTTCCTCCATTACAGATTCGTCTTCCGTGAGAACCGCGTCCCCTACTACCAGCGTCTCTTCCAGCAGCACGACGGCAAGCGCCAATGGTGGAAGGTTAGTTGATTCCCACATCAGCCCATACACGTCCCGCGATACACCCAACAGCAGCGATCTGGTATTGACGAGGGTTTTCAATTCTGCAGACCTCCCGTAGCGGTTACGTTATGTACCCCTACCTCCTCTCTGTCTACGGCCTGGGCCTCGGTGAGTTATTCATAGACGTTCTTTTTTTGGGAGCCAGACCTGGCTAACTCGAATCTAGCCACTACCTACGGCATGTGCCGTATGGTCTTCGTAAGTGCTCCTTCACATTTGCCTATGAATCCTGCTGGATACACCGGATCTTGAAAGACCTTTGCGGAGTTTTCAGATGAGATGCTAACATTGCGATAACAGGGCCACAAGACCTGGTTCGGCAAGGCATAAATAATTCCCCGCCATGCTGATTCCGTGTTGCCTAACTCAAACCAGTGCTCCCTGAGCTAACTGGCGGTGTATCTCTATTTTTGTGAGGGGTTGGTTGAGTGAAAGATCTTTTTGACGTTGTATATAAGCTAGGGTGCCAATGTGTGAATCCTTTCCTCAGCTTAATACTCTCCTGTGTGTGGATGTTTAGAATCTGAATTCAAAGTTTCATTAAAGATCTGCTGGCTTGCTCTATATTACTGAGGTCTTGAACTAACAGGCATTCTTACAGAGTATAATATTGAATTAGTATTACTAACTTCAGGAGATTTTTTCTTACTTTTCTTGTATTTTATTGTTAGACGCTAACTTTATAAAACATCAAAGGATAATCAGAGAAGAAAAACCATTAACTATCCAAGGCAGCCTTGAACTGCTGTACAAATGTCCACACCTCTGCGAATGTGTTATACAAAGGGGCAGGCGCAACACGTACAACACCAGGCTCTCTCTTATCGCAAATAATCGCCGCATCCTGCAATCTGCTAGCGACGTTTTGCAGCAGACCAGGTCTTAGCAGCAAACTAAGTTGAGCCCCTCTTGCGTCAGGATTTGTCGGGGTGATGATGCGGAATGGCCGTGACTCATCGGTTGTGTCCTTGAGCAGCAGATACTCAAGGTATGCTGTCAACAGGATGGATTTCTTGCGCAGCTCAGTCATTGACGTCTCGTCAAAGATGGAAAGGGAAGCGCAAAGGGCAGCAAGGTCGATGGCCGACGGATTTGAAAGTTGGAAGCCACCCGCTCCTGGAATTGGTTTGAACTCTGCCGGCAGTCATGTTAGCGTTCACTCTTCGGATAGCTACGAATGCTAACGAGAGATAGATACTTACTGTTGTCCATCTTGAATCTCACAGACATATCGCCTCCATACCAACCAGTTAGTCTGTGTCGAAACTTGGGGGCATCTTCTCCTTCGCTGTAGTCGACGGCACCGTGGCGTTGGTGAACGAAGAGCCCGCCCATAGCTCCCGGCCCAGCATTGCCATATTTATAGGTGCACCACACCGCGAAATCTACGTTCCAATCATGTAGCTTTAGCTCCGCATTACCATACGCATGCGCCAGGTCCCATCCGACCACAAGTCCTTTTGATTGGGCATAGGCTGTGATCTTCTGGATATCAAAGAGCTGTCCGGTGTAGTACTGAATACCCGGAAGGAGAATGAGAGCTGCTTCATCCGCATGCTCATCAATAGAGGAGAGAATTTTCTCCGTGGGGATCTCGTATTCGTTTTCGTTGGGGCCAATGAGTACCATTGACGTTTGGGGATCTAGGCCATGCCATGCAAGATGGGACTCGATAGCGTACTAATATCACTCTTAGCATCCCAGTGAACAATATGGAGGACACAGCGCCAGCGTTGTGAATGGCTTGGTGGAACCTACATGATCGCTTGGGAAGGCCTTCCAGTCCATGAGGATTTTGTGTTTGGGAGAAGTTGGCTTGTAGAAGCTTGCCAGCAACAGGTGTAGGTTCGCCGTCAGCGTTCCCATCGCCGCAACTTCGTCTGGCAATGCTCCCACAATTTTACACATCGAGCCAGCGGCTTGTTCGGCCAGCAGTTGCCATGATTTAAGAGGGGAATCTTCGAGGTTGGTAAAGTGACCGTTGACCCCAATTGACGACCAAGTGTCTAACTGAGCCTCTAGGTACTTTGCAGTAGCCTTGGGCTGAACACCCAAGGAGTTACCACAGAAGTAGATACATGGCTCCGATGAGAGGTCTGAAGCATATTGTATCAGTGACAAAATTCACATCCACGAGATTCTGTTGTAGCACCTACTTGGCTTTGCAAGCTTCTTGCAGGCAATGTTAGCTTTTGAGGGGAGAATGAATTTCTCGCGAAATACTGCTAGAGGATCTGCCGCATCCAAGGAAGTAGCATAATCCTTAGACGCTGCATCTTCCGGGAATACGGGCTTTGAATGATCGAAGTGGTAGGACATGATGGGATGCGAGCTGGACCAGCAGAAATGAGTGTTGTAGTAGAGGAGAACAGATCAAAATTCACAAAGCACCTGGGACAAACATCATTCTCCCCCTTGGAGCCTTGGTCTTAGCAACCGCTTTATAGCTAGGCAGGATTGATCGAGAGGGGGGATTAGTGGCGCTCGTTGCTTCTTCTTCTTCTTCTTCCTGCAGGGTTAAGTTCCTATAGATTGGGAACCCGGATGATGTTCCGCCCCCCACTCCGGGCCATTTCTTGGTGCATCATTTCTAACCCGGACCAGCTTCCGTTCCCACTATGTACTTCTTATTCCTCCAAAACAGTGTGCAAATGAATAAATACCTCAAATATACTTACCATGTATAGGCTAGTTGCAAGATTCAGATAAAGAAATAACAAATCTTTCAGCCTATCCTGCTTACTTTGTTAGAGATGTTTCACAAATGACTCGTCTAGATTTGTATTCAGTGTATATTCACTGCTGCAAACCAGATCCAGGCACACCTTGTCCGGCTCTTTCCGTCATTGCCCGTAGCATGATGACATTTCTTTCTATGTATATAAACAGATCTATATCTATCATTGGTATTATCATTATTATCAGCGTCTCCCGGTCTGGCCCTCACATAGACAGTTCTGTGGCTAGCAATTCTTGCCCTATTCAGTTCTATCATAATGGTACACGACTCTACAGGATTCTCACTCGACCAGTACGAGGTTTCTCGTCAAAATGGCTTTCTTCCGGATGCACCTCCCTTACAATCGTTAGAGGATCCTTACTACTCGCCGTGGGAGGATATCATCCGGAACTTGCCCATGCGTATCTCGACCCGCACGATCAGACAAGCCGTGGACAGTCTTCCTCTTCTCTCCACCTCAAGGTTACAAAGAGAACCTGAATGGAGGAGAGCCTATGTCGTACTCGCTTATCTCACTCACGCCTATGTCTGGGGAGGGGACAAACCCAAGGACGTATGTACTTGCTGTTCCTGAAATTGCGCTTCTGCTACCCTCGATGAACTCTTAACACTCTCATCCTAGATTTTACCCCCTACTGTGTCCGTGCCGTTTTTGGAGATATCAAACCACCTAGAGCTCCCTCCGTGCGCTACCTATGCCGCCCTGAACCTGTGGAACTTCGCTGTGTCATCCCCTAATGTAGACCTTACCTGTGCTGATAACCTGTCCGTGACGGCGTCGTTCACTGGAACAAAGGACGAAGAATGGTTTTTCATGGTATCGGTCGCTATCGAAGCCAGGGGTGCGCAGCTGATCCAGTTAATGTTCGACACAAGCCATGCTGTCACGCTTGATGATACACCCGGGGTAGCCATCTCCCTACACCAGCTGGGTGATGGGTTGCACGAGCTAGGCCGGATACTGGAGCGAATGTATGAGAAATGCCGTCCCTCTTTCTTCTTTCATGTATTGCGTCCGTTTCTAGCAGGGAGCAAGAACATGGTCTCAGCTGGCCTACCCAGTGGATTGTTCTATGACCTCGGCGAAGGAAAAGGAGAGTGGCGCCAATACAGCGGCGGCAGCAACGCCCAAAGCTCTCTAATTCAGACATTCGACATCTTTCTGGGCATCGAGCACTCCGCTACAGGAAACATAAACCCAGAACATAAACCCCAGCCGTCAAATAAAGGCGGATACCTGCAGGTATGTACAAAACTGCCTTTGCGGGGATTTACTTGCAATCTTCCATTGTACAGAGGATAATTCGATGCTGATATCTCCGGGAAACAGGACATGCGGAACTATATGCCAGGACCTCACCGCCGCTTCCTCGAGATGCTGGGTGGGATATCCAATGTGCGTGCGTACGCCATGAGTTGCAAGCCAGACTCCGCCGTGAGAGACGCATACAACGCCGCCGTCATGTCGTTAGGGTCCTTCCGCGATATCCACATTCAAATGGTTACTCGGTATATTATCATGGCGGCAAGGACTCCTCCGCCGGAACAAGTCATGGCGGATTTGAACCTGGCTACCGCAACATCTTCGAAAATGAAGAACTCGAATGTGGATGTTAAGGGGGGGTTGAATGGCACTGGAGGCACAGACCTAATACCTTTTCTGAAGCAAACTCGAGATGCTACGAAGGCCACGGCTAATTACGTTGATTAAACGCTGTTTCGCGCGTGGAGTGGGGATGAGTTGGCGTTCCTTTTCCCCCCTTTTGTGTATAGATATCCTTAAACCTCTGTATTAACAAGAAGCCAGTCATTGTTTCATGTATCTATACGGAGTACATTAGATTAGGTCTAAACCGATTATCTGTAGATATACTCCTAGGAGGAAATATTCCTGAAACTAGACTAACAAGCCTGAATATGTGTTTTGTTCAATTTAAGATGCAGTTCTTGCTCAATCATAAAAAAGTCCCGCTATTCCTAATTTAGTTTATCCATTTCATAACATCATGCGTAGAGCCTTGCTAAGGCAGGTCACGCTCAGTAGCAGCAGACGTCCAGTGAATCTTGGTATCATCCAGACGCAGAACTCCCCACAGGGAGGGGCAGCGGCCGGAAAAGGAAGCACGGCGCTTATTGTATTCAACATTTCCCTGGGCATCAGTGGGAGCCGATTAAAGTTGTCTTCCGAGAGGCGAAGGAAGATACATTCCTGGTAACCATGAAAAGCTCCAGATTCCGCTATAAATCCAGGCCCAGCCGGAAAGGACGCGCGGATTAGACGCCGGTCGTTCTATAAATCTGAACCGACCCCTGTCGTCTATCGTTTTTTCGTACTTGACGGAACGCCTTCGCTCTCTCGTAGCTCGGATAGTCTTTTCTCGCGTTCGATAAGTCGTTCCTTCTCGTCCTTGATCATTTGCTCCACAGTTTTATTGGCTTCCGCCAGCCGATCCAGCTCCTTGTTTTCAGCCGTCTTACTATAAGGGTTCTCCGGTGTCTCACTGTAGGGAATTTCGGCCGTTCTCCCGCCGCGGTGCCCCTGCCCCTGTTTTGTATTCTTTCCGCTCTTCCCTTTCTGTGGCTGTGGTGTCGCTGAGCCCCCGGTAAGATATTCATAAAATTGCTCAACGGGTTCATTGAACACGACTTCCTCGTAGTTCTGACTGACGACCACCTCTCTCCGCTCCTTCTTCCCTTCTGCGTCGGGGCCATATGGGTGCAGTTTCAGACTGTGCCAAAGGGTCTGCGGCTTCTCTGTAGACTCCGGGACAAAGTACAATTTAATCTGGATCTCAAATTCACCCCATCCGGTCTCGGTTACTTCGAAGGGCGGCTGTTCGATTGTGCGTACGTTCTGCGCGTACGTCTCATGAAGCTTGAATTGGACCTTTTTGAGCCAGTAGGAGATATCTTCGCCGTTGATACCCTTAACAAATACGCGCCACTGGTGGGTATGGTCTGCTGGTACGTTGGCTGGTTTTTTAGCTGGATCAAAGGGTTGCGCTTCGCTGCCGAAAACTACACCAGTTCTGGTCAGTCTTTTTTGTCAGTTTTTTTTTTTGATCGGCGATATAAACAGTAAATCGACCGTTAAGAAAAAGCATTAGCATACCAAAGGGTCTGAATATCGAGACTCCCTATTTATTCAAGAGTTAGCTTGTCACCTCCTTGTAGTCGGCTTTCGGGTTTCGAAACTCACCCTAACACGTTTTGTACCTGTTGCAGAAGGCATTTTGGCGGGTTTGTGACACAGAATCGCTGTTTTATTCCAAATGAATAAAGATGATGTGGAATTCCGTAGTTCAGGTAGAAGAATAAGTGATGGCGATCATCATAAGCCCGTTCGCCTTTTCCTCTTCCCGATGAGGCATTCCAACCTGATCTCCACCTTCCGCGGACTAACTATAGTCCGGATGTCACGTGCAACATTTGCGAAAGCGGTGGCGCCCGGAATTAGGAAGCTAGACTTGTTCCGCGGTGGCTCTAGATCAGGGAAACAGGTACATCATGAGATACCTGCCATCGCCGCGGTTGCTCAACTTTTTCCGACCAGATTAATACAGTCCGTTCAAAATGGCCTCAAAGAAGCTTGTTGTTGCTGGAGGCAGTGGATTCTTGGGTTTGTCGCAGCTTTTTTTTTGTTTTTGTTTTCCAGTGGTAGGACATTTCCATACTAATCCGCTTTCTGATGTTGTAGGTTCAAGAATCTGCAAATCAGCTGTTGCTAGGGGTTGGTCTGTCACATCTCTTAGGTATGGCATTCAATTATACGACATACAATATTGTACCGTTTATTCATTCACACGTTCAATAGTCGCTCCGGAGAACCGCGGTGGGATACAATTACGAGCTCAAGCCAGTGTCCGGGATGGGCTAGGTCCGTAGAATGGGCTAAGGCCGATATTCTGAAGCCGGATTCGTACAAGTCTTTCTTGCAGGGAGCAGCGGCAGTTGTTCACAGCATGGGCATCCTCCTCGAGGCCGATTACAAGGGCGTGGTTCAAGGCCGGGAGCCAATTATTTCGGGATTACAGAGAGCTTTCAAGTCGTCAAAGCTTGGGAGTCAGGATCCCCTAAAAAGGCGGGAGGGAGAAGCACTCGAGCCACAAGAAAAAGATGGACAATTTACTTATGAACTAATGAACAGAGACTCTGGTTCGTAAACACATTGTCATTGTAAAGGGCGAGACTGACACTTTATTCGAAATAGTTATTGCTCTAGCGAAAGAGTCCGTAAACGAGCACGTCCCAACATTCGTCTTCATTTCCGCCTCTGGAGGCGCTCCAATCCTTCCGAGCAGATACGTCAGCACTAAAAGAGAAGCGGAGACGACAATATCGTCGCAGCTCCCAGAACTGCGGAGTATATTCATACGGCCCCCTTTCATGTACGACTCGAGCAGGAAAATCACAATGCCCATAGCGCTTGGTGGCTTTGTTGGGTCGCAGGTCAATGCTCTTTTGGGCAATAGACTGAACTTTCTTGGCGCAATGGTGGACAAGCCGTTCCAAGTGGATACGGTAGGCGAAGCCGTAGTCGAAGCGATGGATGATCCATCAATCAGTGGTCCGGTGGGACCGAAGAAAATAGAAACCTTGGCCACCAAGGCGTGGAGAAAAAACATGCTTTGAATGATTTCAAGTAACTCCTCGACAGCGTCATTTCGGCGTGATGTCCAAGGATGTCCAAGGATAGCCAAGTTCGAATTTCAGGCCCGGCAAAGCTCGAGATGAGGCTATTTCAAGGTGTGTTATGAAACCTCGTACTGTACAACAAATGTATTTTATATCATGGTTCCACGTTCAAAACTGTCCCGAATTTCCGTAGTGTACTAGAAGATAGTCAATTAATCTGCAAATCGAGCGAGAAACGGATGTACGAACCTTATTGTAAAACCGAGCCAACTTCTGGTTGAACTGCTTGTTCTTCTCGTTAATATAAGTGACATCGGCATCGTCGTCGCCACGGCGTTCCTTGCGTTTCTTGAGTCGGACCTCCTCTGCCTTCCTCAGATCGGCAACAAGTTTATCGACAGCAGCACGGTCAGGCTTGTTCTCGGTGAATCCAACGGTATCAGCAGTAGAATAAAAACTACCGTTTTTATCAACCGCAATCATCTCTCCGTCTTCTGTTTCCACAATCTCAAGATCACCATTCGCGGCAGCCTTTTCAATAGCCGCCAGCTTGTCCCTCTCATATCCTTCTAAATTGGGCTGCATCTCTCGCATCTGCCGCTTGTATACTTTTCGCGCATCTTGGGTATAATCCTGAAACGCAACATCATCGCGGTGTCGCTGCTTCTTCTCCATCCGTCTATCCCATTTCTCAGACTCATCGACTGTCCAGTCCCAGGCGCGCTTGCGCTCAAAATCCTCGCCAGCAGCTTCCGTATCCGCTTTTAGTAGGTTGTGTGAGGCGAAAGCGTGTTTGCGTGATAACGAAGACAAGAGCGCTGGATCAGTTGCTAGTCGCTGTGTCTCTGCAACTGTCTCTTTCAAGTTACGCTCTGTGGCAGATTTCTGTGGTAAATTTAGCTGATATTCAAGGTATATTGAGGTTGTGCTTAGAGCACTCACTGCGCGTGCTTGAAGGGCCTTGAATCTTTCCTGCCTTTGGCGGGCCCTGGAGGCCGCACTGTCATCTTTATCCTCTGCCTCTGTATTCTTCACGGAATCACCCTGAGACTTCGACCCATCGGTTTCTGGTTGTACTGCTGAGGATCCCTCAGGGGCATTGTCAAGGTGATGGGGATCCGACTCATCTATCTTTCGCTGGTCAGACATGGTTCTGCAGGCTTTTCGGACGAAGATCTGGACGAAGAACGGGATGCGAGAAGGCTTCTTAATTAAGTGAGTTGTGCTAAGTCTCAAAGACGCTGCTGATAGATCGACTGTTGCTGATGCGAGTTCCTCCTCGATTATTGGAAAAAGCAGGTGGTCGGTTTAAAGCTTTGACCGCTGTGCTCACCGCCTACCACGCTCGTATGTTTCGATGTCGCATACGGTGTACTCAATCACAGTTATGAATAGAGATGGATTATTATCACGATCGTTGATTCTATTGCGGTCCCTGTGCAGTGGCAATGGCTGGGTATTTATACTCCCGTGCTTGGGAATTACCCAGGCGACAAATCCCTGCAGCACGCCGGGGCTGGTCCCCGTTATGCCGCCACATCACAGGAATATCCCAAACATCTCCTTCACAGTCCCAGCTCCTCAGATTCGCTTTGCTCCCTGACGCACCGTTGGATCAGCGTGAGGGTGTAAGTGCAGCTGCGGATAGATATCTCAGACAGATTTTCTTGCAAAAATGGCCCTCCGATTCTCCGCCTCCTCCGGTGTGGGTATCGAGCTCCCGCTTACCCAAAAGGGGGGCGGCATCCATCCGGACTATGATAAGGGACATCCAAAACGCTCGAACCATCCGAGAATTACAAATCTGTGTCGAAAAATATCTGATTGCGGGGACGGAGAGAGTCATTCCACAACGAGAGCTATGTGATGCCATAAAACAGGCTTTGGCCCTCTGCGAGCAGAACAGTTCTTATGGAGAGATTCTTTCTACATTCAATGGAATCGTTACGAGGCTTGAGCAGTTGTATACCAAAATACCCAGTGGTTTATGTACCCTGGGGATGTGCTATGCTTCTTTTGCTTTTTCCAAATTCGCTCTTGAACGGTATTTGCGGAGTTACCTCGCTGTGAGCCCAAGGCCATTGAGCCTCGACTCGAGTCTGTCAATAGTGAACGCTCTCTTGTCGTCTCTCCGGGCGTCCTCTTTTCAACCCCTAGAACATAGCGCAGAAAATTTACTAGAGTTGACAGCCGGAGGTGGCTGTAACTCATCGAATTTACATAGTGTACTATACTGGACCCAGCCCCAAGCTCCAACGGATGCAATCGGCGAGTATTTATCGTTGCTTTTGAAGCTTGGGGATGATTCCATCCTCCACGAATTATGGAACCGGCACCTAGAAAATACATCGCCTAGTTCTTCTTTCCAGCATTTCCAATCAGCTTATGTCTATGCCTTGGCTTTGGTGGAGACTGGCTGTTCGCAAAAGGCTCTCGCTGCGTTGACACAGATATCGGAACGTGCAGATGATGCTCTACCAGGCATTTCAAAATTTGAAGACTTAAGTAATCTTCTAACAGATAAAGCTATCAGCCAATCGCTATACCAGATTGCTGGGGAGGGGGAATATGTGATGATCCTTGACACCCAACTCGACCAAGTGGAAAGAAGACTTGGAATCCGCTGGCAGCCCGATATAGCGCAGCATACAAGCGTCCTAGATTCTCTTGACATTCCTACCGAAAGTTCCCTCCTAGCCGTCGATGGGAACAATTCTGGGTATATAAGCAGTGAACAACTGATGGCTGAGATCCGTGCTCTTAAATGCTCCAAATCCATAACAGATCTCGGTTGGTTAGCGAGTTTGCTGGAAGATCATGAAGGACACCTAGTTCCTGTGGCAATACCATCCTGCAAAGTCTCAGATTCAGAGTTTTATTGGGCACTTCAGCGCTCCCCAGTTGAACTCTCAGAAGGGCAATCCATGACAGATGGCAATTCTGAAACATGGTCGCCTTCCAATTTAGGGATGATCAAGGTTGTTTCTGACATCAAGACAATTCCGTGGACGCTCGAACGCTCTCTAAATCTGATTCAGCTTGGCTACCTCCTTAGAAGGAAGACACCATCTCATCAGGACGGATCAGGCATTTCACCTCAATTAGAAGAATCTGGTCATATTGTCGCCTGGAATCGCCCTTCCAACCAACTTCTGATCGTCTTTATTGGAACTGGGCAAGAAACGATAACTCCGCATGTTCCGATACCATCTGTTCCCAAATCAAGCGACCTCGATGCAATAGCAGAAATCATACCTCTTGAAGCCGGTCGCGTGGTATCACAGGGAGATTTTGGTGCTCCGTTGGGAATCAACACTTTCAAATACCATATTGAGACGGACCCGTGTTCTGATGTGATACACTAAAATCCCCAGTTTTCGGTTAATGATGGACTTACTATGATATTCACAGTAGCTCGACTCGACAGCTCACACTGCCTTAATCAGTCTAGCAATTACTTGTACGCCACAAAAGACGCAAGGTTTCGATTTTTCTAAACTCCGGCCGATTAGCCAATGATGCCATTTACAGATGGTATGAAGTATCTACTACGAAAATTCTCTCGTTCTCAAAAAATTTCTTAATTCAAGTGCCTATCTGCCATTATAATGGCCTTGCTATTCACCCCCTTTCTTACCAGGTTTCAGTCACTATTTTTGCTCTCCTCAGCCCAGGACAATACGTGGCTACATGCTTCATTGGGATTCCTCTTGTAACTCAAGAGGAATCCCTGGACTTCAGCCGCACTAAACTTTTTCTCTGGTACCTTTCCAACGAACTCATTTGCCAGATTTTCCAGATCCGCGTGTGTCATATCCCCCTGGTGACCAACATCACTGTACATGCTCAAGAATAGGCCCCGAAGCTCCTCATGCCCGGGGAGTTCAAATTCAATCCGCATATCTACGCGCCCTGGCCGAATCAGTGCCGCATCTAAGTTCTCCGGGGCATTGGTTGTCATAATTAATATTCGGCCTTCGTGTGATGATACGCCATCAATAGCGTTCAAGAGACTGGAAAGAGAGACCCCTGTATTTGCCGGGCTCGCATATTTTCCTGGCCCCTCCGGTTTAACCGGTGGTGGATTCTCTGGTCTGTCAAGGCCCGCGACGTCGATATCCTCTATCGGGACCTCGGAAAATAGGCGAACAAACTGTGATTCAGTTAAGGTCGGATCTAGAAGACTCAAGACATAAATATCCAAGCCAAATACTCCGGCCACTGCTGATGCGAGACTTGTCTTCGCGGTTCCTGGAGGCCCTGTAAACAAGTACCCCCGCCGATACGGTATGCCATGGTTTGCATACCAGCGTCTTGTCTGTGGGTGAAGATACTCATTGATGTCTTTTAAAATGGAATCCTTCTTTTCCTTGTTGAAAATGACGGTTGAAATATCCCTAGATGGGCGCGAGGTGATGCTCGACCAGCGAGAATACTCACGAAACTCTGTAAGAGCACGGAAAATGGCGGTGCTTGATACGGATGCCTGTGGTCTATATAATTGGGCTGTCTCAATAAACATTCTGAAAGGCTCAAGCGAAAAGCTAAGGAAATGGGGTCAAGACCGCGACGAGGACCAAGACCAAGTTGATGATCACGGACGAGTCAAATTTGAATCTCCATCGAAGGGACTTGAGCAGCTGTCGCAGGATTCTGGTATATGGTACGGCTAGTGCGGGCGATTTTGAAGCCATGGCGGAGTGATCCCCCAGGGTAGAAAGCCCTCTGTGGGTCTGTCGCCGTGGTCAGTCAGAGAGAAATCTCCAAAGATGATCGTGGCTTGCTGGGGTTGTGACTTCAGGGTGTTTGTTTCTTCAGGTTCTATAGAGTATGTCAAATTAGACTATCCCTAATGAGGAAAGATATACTTATGTACCGACTGTATACGAAGTAGTTTTTCCTTCAATCCAATACTCCGTAAAATGATGGACGTCGTCAAATCGATGACCTCAAAATCTATGGAAAGAGATGCTTGAAGGAAACATGAAGCTCTAGAGCAAAACGATGATCTAAATACTGCCTCTATGACTATGTGTCGCTAAGCCTTTCTTTGTGGTGATGGTGGAAGTGAATGAAATCTGCTTCCAGAAGGTTCCAACATCCCAACATAAAATATGAGAGTATCCAGGGGTCCTGACTTCTATCCACATACATTGGGGTGTCATCACGAAGTCTGGTGGTGATAAAATTTTCGACCAAGAGAGATATACTGATATAGTGGGGGAGGTTGAGACTATCGGCCACGGCTTCTCTTTTTCGCCAACGAGCATGTCGATCGTACAACCCCAGCGAATACGACCCGAAGCTAAAAGCACAAGAAAGAAGCCTTTACTGCATCGCACCCCCAACCCATTAAGCATGAACATGAACGGGATTTGGTACTTGGTAAGTTAGCCCCATGCAATGTGATTATTAGTTTTCCTCATGATTCAGTAGTCAAATCGGTCCCCAGCCATCCTCGGTTGCCTTGAATCTTAAGGCGAACTTCCCACAACCGCAGAGGGGGTTCTGAGATTCCTGATTTGACGAAACGGAGCGAGGCTGGTTCATTCCTGTACAATCCAACCCTTATCCTGAATCCTTCGGCGTTGCTTTGAAAGTAAATGAAACACCTCAGGTGCGCCATCGCGGGTGACACTGAAAATCCTTCGATATGATCGTCACCGGGTTATTCCCCGATTGCGCCTCCCAATGACTGCAATAATATGGTTATCAAAAAGCTGCTACAAACATCCTGTGGCTGTCTGGAGCACAAGGCTAGAAGGTTGGCGTCGCAGCGCGCAGGGTTCATGCGCCACAAACGCAAATTCCAGGAATCCAAGGTAATCTATACTCCGTAGGTTCTTTTTCCTTTGTCCCCAGAATCAATCTGACTATCTATCAGTTTTTTGGCATTGAAGCTTCACGATAAGTTAGGAGGAGCCACTCAGCCGTTGAATTGAATTTCGAGACCCAAGCCCTTTCGGTGCCTAAGGTGATGCATCAACCTCCTGTTGGCTGTTGCTAACAAGGCAACCTCACATGCAGTAGTCTCCTCACTAGGGAAGGAAACGCGACGACCTGTGACGGTGCTAATGCACAATGAGCGCCCTTATTACCAGCCAAGGATCCGATAATGCCACACATCTCGTCTTGTAACTGAAAGCTGGTGCTAAGCAAGCCCACTCACATGATACCGAGAATACTTTCATGGAGCGGTGACCACGCCTCCAATGGGGACTTGGGCACACCCTGGGGCACCATTAGCCACAATCACCTCCCAAAAGGATCAATAGTACATATGTACGCCGAACGGTGCCATCTGGCATCACATAGAGCAACAAGGTTCAAGGATCACATTTCATCAAATCCTAGATCAATCTAGGTTGCCAATCGGTGCTTATTTCCATAAATCTCGCTGGCTTGTACTATTCCGGGATTTACTTCGCGTGACCCATAGCGGACGATGGGCTTCGTGCATGCCAGTCAAAGAAAACAGAGATGGCCAGTGCGACACTGTCCTCGATCCGTCATAATAACCGGCTACATACTTAAGAGCTACTCTGATGACGTTCTCGGATTTCCGATGCATCGTCGGAGATCTAGTTCTTTTGTATTCTACACAGTGCATATAATTTGGTGCCGAGGATGAGGATATACCCGAGGAGGCATACGGACCCCTACGGATTGAATGAGATGGAATTTCACCAAACAACAGGAAACGCGTCTTCGTAGACAGTCAATGTGTGGGTTTATTGCTGCAGTCAAAAACTCTATGCGCCATCAGAATTCACTACAGAACCTGGCTTGCCATTTCTGTCTAGTCTCAGCCCTGGCGGTCTGATTTGTTCATAACAGATACGATGAATCCTGGAATTCCTACGAAGTAGATGTGCGATGCCCTTTTTGTCAAGTTTCTTTACAGATCCAAAGCATCTTCCTCTCTTTGGTCTTCCGCTTCATTGATTCCGCAGGATGCGTGTACACAGGATCCGCTGTTGGGCCACCGAAACCAAGCCTGGGCTTCCTTGCACCGATCATTCTTAGAAAGCGCAAGACTCTGCATGATGCGAACTGAGGAACTGTGCTGGACGATCGATCCCCAGGTGTTGATCTAGGGCGATATCGACCAATCCCTAGCCCACACACGTCTTCTCGGCCAATCGCTAGGGCTATCATCCACAGTGCTTGATCTGCACCAAGTAGTTTCCCCCTACTGCTTAACCTTTGCCTCTCTCCATTTCTTTTTCTCGGACAGCCCAGGAGTTCAACCCCTGCTTACAACCCCTCGCCTAGTTGCGTCAATCTCTCGACTCTTGATCGCCTGCGCATGGAAGACACTAGTACGGGCAGCCTAGCATACCGAGTTTTTGCGTGAGTGCGCACGGAGTATGACTGTGCAGGAGAGACTCTTTGGGAAACCATTCTGCCAATCTGGTCATCAAGGGCTTTAGGCTTATGCCTTGGATTGGCTGTCAAGGTCTCGATACTAACCTGTTGGGATTCGGCGTCCAAATTCCCTGGGGAACAAATTTGGAATTTATCATACCAGCTGAAAACCAGGATCAGTTCAGTGAACGTAAACGACGCCATTGCCCGACAGCATTCAGCAATGCCCCAGTTAAGAACTATCAGAGGATGTAATCGCCATCAAAGATGTTGTACTGCTTTCGTCTGTTGTTTTTCCTTTTCAAAAAAGTATACTAAGGTCTAATTTCGACCTTAACATTATCCCTTTCCCCAATGGCTTAAATTTGTTTTTTTTTTTTCTCTTTGATTCCTAGAGACCGGTTCTCAAGACCGCAGAAGGTGTGAGAAGAAAACATCGAGGACTCGGGGATATAGTTGATAGGATTTCTGTCAGGGACGAGGTGATACAGATTACTGCATGTCAGGTTTTTTTTTTTCCCCCTCGTCAATGCCACACACATACACAGTGGACACGCACACCTGCTCACAAAAAGCATCACTCAGCCCATTTCCCCAGATCCGCTGCTTCTATTTTTTTGCACGGCCACAGGAAAGTCACAGAAAGCGCTAAGTGTGGTAGTGGGACACGATAGACTGGTGCAGACCATCATCCATCTATCCCGTTCACCTTCTTCCCTTACAACTGATCTGGACTCCAGACCCTCCCTTTGGACCTCATCCCCCATGCGTTTATTATAATCACAATCCTTGGTGTTTTTGCCTTCGTGAGTTATACTGTTTATTTGGATGATGGCCGCCGCATTTCTTTTCTGATTCCTTCTATCCGGACTATTACTCTGTGGTCGCTGGTTCTGCCCTCAATACCATTAGGAGCAACTAACATATGCATGTCACTCCATCCAGCTACCCTGGGAGGTTGAAAGATAAGATTTCCCCGCGGTGGATACTGTTTTCTTGAGTCCTCGGGGTTTCAGGACAAGGTGCAACTGTCTACGCATGTTATCACCCGGCCACGCCTCTGCTGCAATCCACCATAAAGCACCTGTTTGTGTGAAGACTTTTGTTTTCAGTCTTCGTTAGCTATCCGGGGTGTCTTGCTCATCTTACGTCCCTCTCTCTCCTTAATTTTCTGTTGCCTTCAACCTCAGCTACACAGGCGTTTGAGCACCCTCCAGCTTCGTTCTCTCCGGTAGATACTTGGGGGACTGGGGACGCGACAGAAGAATAATTAGGAGTGTTACCTTCGACGCTGGTCTTCCCAGATGTCGAGAACGCCACCTCAACAATGGATTCAATCCTCAGATGGCCGATATATCAGTGCACGGACTTATACTTCCGATGACGAGTCTCAGGGGCTGACGGCAATTTCATCCCATCCGTACTCCACACAGGAACCCCCGCGTTTTTTGCTTCCCGACAATCAGAGTTATGATGCAACCATGGTTCAGGTCGCGACCGTTTCGAGGCCCACTTTGCAGGGGCGGGGATGGGATGGCGGAAACGACGCAAAGTACAACTTTTCGCCGGCGAGTACAGGCTCTCTTGCACAGTACAGCATACAGCGGTCAAGTGTGTCAAGGACTGTGGAACATGCAGGGCCTTCCAGCTCCTATTATGATGCTTCGAACCGTAGTCGTGGGTCTATTGGCTCTATCGGTCGGATAAATGATGTGGATTCGCAGTAACTACCCTTTTCCTTCATTCAGATCTATAACCGGCACTTGCCATTGGATGTCACGCAGATATCCTTATATTCTTCAAATATTCCCATTTTCTTCCTCTCCTGGTGCTAGGTACCCATCGAAAGTTCTCAACTCCACTTTTAGGGTGCGGTGTTTCTAATGCAGCGTGTTCAGATATAGTAGTAGCTCTACGACCTTCCCGAGTCCAGTGCACTCCGAGAAAAGCCCTGCGATGTTTACTCCTAGTGTTCCTCCGTCAAGCTACCAGCTGCAGCAACGACCTAGTCCAGCCGGTATGCCATCAGGATTTGAGAATATCCTTCACCATTCTCCCGCTCCTACACCTCCGCCCCGACGGGCGTCGACTGCTTCAAGATACCATCTCTTTATCAGACAACAGCCCATAGCTGCGCGCGCCTGTGGAGCTGGTGATAGGGACCGGCGACCTGTGGATCCACCTCCTATAGTTCAGATGCTTTTAACGGACTTCGATCCCAGCTCCGAGGATGACAAAAACATTCTTCAGGACATCAGATTTACCGTTGGCTGTCTGCTTTGTCCCGTGTCGGAATCATCGTGGTCGTCCTCTTTAGATACGGATAGAGAGGGGGCGAATCGGAACGAAGGGGATGCATCAGGTCAATTGACCCCTTTGCTGTCGGGAAAGGCATTCGTGTCGCCATTCCACGTCGAGGAAGAACCAGACCCGGATACTGCTCCGCCACATCCATCTAGTGACGAATACATGACCGATACGCGACCCATTAGAGGATCACAGTTCAGGAGTCCATCGTCCGCAAAACCCCCAGCATCCTTCTTCATTTTTTCAGACTTGTCTGTCCGCACAGCTGGACTGTACAGACTTCAGTTTCGTCTTATGAATTGGGGCACAGTCGCGGATACGGGCCAGTCCGTGCCTATCCTTGCTGAGGCCTGGTCCGAGCCATTCCGCGTTTACCCAGCCAAAGACTTCCCTGGGATGCGGGACTCCTCGCTTCTAACCGAAAGGCTGAAGGAGCTTGGATTCGTCGAGCTAAAGACACGAGGAAAAAACAAGGGAAAGGGACGCAGGGTGACGAAGGGCCAGCAGCAGGACTAAATAGGCACAGTTGCATAGCGGTCTCTTTTCTTTTCTTTCCTTTCCTTCCAATTCTCCCTCTTTTTTTTTTTTTTTTTTTTTTTTTTTTTTGCTTTCTTGTTCTTTTTCCTTTTCCCATTTACTCTCTATTCTTTCTTCCTGCTTTGCTTTGATTTCCCCTTCTTCCTTTTGGCAGGAAGATCCAGGGATTCCATAAAACAACAGCATCTCAACTCCGCTTTGTATATCTTTGGTTCTTAGCTACTCTCAAGCATACTCGCAATTACGACGAAATGTGTAAATAGTCAAGGCGTTATTGGGACTTAAACTTGTATAGTTTCTCATTTCAACCAGCATCCCAGGTATACGATTGGGGATACTGGTTTAAAATACTCACTGTGCTTACATATTCATCGACATCTGAACTATACCCACTAGATTGCAGATTTGAAGAAGTCTTATCATTCTATATATATATACTCTCTTTGTTTATTTGCATAAATTAAAATCTAAGATGCGATGAGGCGCGATATATATGCTGGGGTATTTGATTTTATACAGGTACATAAATCTATATATTTATACATGGGGTGTGTGCCTGGGTATCAACAGCATGAAGAATATGAATGGGGAAAGAAGGGAGAAGGCATCCCCCCCCCCCCCCCCCCCTTCTTCTTCCCCCTCTTTCCCAAGGGGGTAGAGCAAAAACGGGGTAGCATTCATCAAACATCCAACAGCTTCTCTGGCACCTCGAACCTAGACTCCTTATCTTCCCAGTGAACCCTCATGTGCTGGACTAGGGAAAGCATCTCCCGCGACCCTGTTACCAGCGGAATCACCTTATCTAATGTCGAATCATCCACTCCATCCTCCCGGAAGAGGATACTAAGAATAATCCCAGCCTTGGGACACCCATGGGCAAGTCCAAGTCTGTACCATTCCAGCGCGAGAGCACGGTACTCGGGTAGCGGTCTGGGTCCGAAAACGGCAGAGAGACGAGTGAAGAAGTTAGACGTTGCTTGGGGGTTGCCGGTATTGGTACCTGGTGGTGTATCTGGCTCGGCTGGGACTTGTTTGCCGTTCTTCAGGAGACGCGGATACCGTCGGAGAAAGGTTAGGTAGTAGAAGTTGCCTAGTTTGCGGCATGCATCTGGGTTTCCTGCTGTAGCTGCTTTGCCCATGCACTCTTCGTACATGGTCAGGTCGCCGCGTTGCATCATCAGATCTGCGTAGCGGAGTAAAGCGGTGGGGTCCTGGTATTCTACCGCCGCTACACGAATGATCTCTTCCTCTGTTTCCTTTCCCTTCTCCTGGTCTTTCTCCTTGCTCGCATCCCTACCCTTGTTGTTCTTGTTGGCGTTTTGTTGGGCCCGCTTCAACCATAGATATACCTGCCAAGGAGGCTCGATTTTCCATATACCTAGGTTATCTTCGAGTGCAGGGGGCAATTTACTCGGTTCGATCATGCGCATCAAGTCCTCTGTAAGAGCGAGAGCTTCGGTGTATTCACCCTGCAACCCAAGGACCTTGGCGTGGATGAGCATAGCGCGAGGGTCACGCTCAGCTTGCTTAGCGAGGGTCTCGATTTGGGCGAGGACTGGACCACTGCGAGGATCTGAGGAGACGGAGCCACCAATGCCACTGCCGCTGCTACCACTGCTGTCGGCTCTGTTTATGTAGCGGTTTGCGGTGATGAAGAGGGGGATTCGGGCGCCGGCGAGCGTACAGGAGGATAGAATCCACTCGCGGAATCTGGGATTTGCAGCGGAGGTAACATAACCGATTTTGAAGATTAGATTTGGGTCTGCATTGTTTTCTAGGTGCGTGCTTGGGTTAGAAAGGGATTGCTATGCCGAGAGTTTGGGGTGGCAGAGAGGTGAGGTAGGCAAACCTGCAGAGAGAGTTTGAATAGCCGACGCAGACGGAGGATGGTTGAACGCGCTTTCTAGGAGGCCCTTGGCAATATGCATGAATGACTGCTCAGTAATGGAGTCGAGCACGCCGTCCCTTAATAACTCTCTCATCATCCTGGGTCCGTTCTTATCGAGCGCTTTCAGCTGGGCGGGGAGATCTCCTTGCGCTGGGGTATTGGGCTGAGTGGTATGCGAGGAGACAGGCTTGCCTCTTCGTGATACATCTTGAGACCGACTGGCGGCAGGGGATCGAGCTGGTGCTTTTTTGGCACATGGTGTGGTGGAGTGGAAGTTTCGGGCTTCGTTGTTCGGAGCCCTCTGATGCTGTCGGCGGGGAGGATGATCATTTGGACGAACGTAGCTAAGAGCGGACGGTTTGGCGAAAAGTATATGCGGACACGGTATCGAGCTCCATTTTCGAAGAGAACACGAGGATCGTGGCAGGGACATGGTGGTTGTAGGAGTGATTGATCAAGATAAGAGGGAATGAATGTCGAGAAGCCGGGAAAAGTTGGAGTTGCGGCGGAGAGAAAAATTGGAGAGAGGCTCCGTGGCTCCGTCCAGGCAGCCTTCGAGCTACATATTTTACCCCCTTCATCGCCGTTTACGGGAGACATACATAAAATAGCAATAGGAAGCCCTACGCAAGTGTATGAGTACAAGAGTCGAGTGTTGGCTGTCCATAGTAAAACAATTGAGAACAGATCTATCGGCGAGACCACCAAAACGAAGCCTAGAACCTCCTTGAACAAGCACAGAAAAGTTAAATAGAAACAGATTTTTCTTCCGTCCTGGATCGAAATAGTCCAAAAAAAGAAGAGGATAATATACATTTGCCGCCTCTCCCTCCTGCTTCCCGGTTATCAGAAAAACACCTTCAGAAAAGAGATATATCACGGGAGAGAATGAAAACACATCGAAGCTAGAAAGCAGGAGAGAAAATAAAGCAAGCAGTGAGAGACAAAACTCCAGCTAGATGATGCAGGCCCTATCACAACGTCCAGATCGTAATCATCCAGATTTCCTTTCTAGCCATTTCACTCAGTGGGAGGGAAACAGAACAAAAAAAAAAAAAAAAAGGGTGACCAGGTATCATTATAACAATTCGCCTGAAGCATATAAGAGACACAACCCCCTCACCCGAATTCGTTTACTCCATGATAGCCTTGGCGCCGACAGCCTTGAGGGTTTCAATGATCTTCTCAGCCTCCTCCTTGGGCACAGACTCCTTGAGGACCTTAGGTACGGACTCGACGAACTTCTTGCTGTCAACCAGGGACAGGCCAAGGAGAGTCTTAACCTCCTTGATAACCTTAGCCTTGGAAGCAGCATCAACAGCCTCCAGCTTCAGGTTGAAAAGAGTCTTCTCCTGGGCAGGAGGGGCGGCCTCTTCTTCTTCGACAGGAGCAGCGGCGGCACCACCGGCACCAGCGCCGGGGGCCATAGCGAAACCGCCAACAGGGAGGTCAGGGATGTTCAGGCGCGACTGCAGAGAGAATAATAGTTATTGTTAGTATCGAATTGGCATGATCACGATGGAATTGCGTGCGAGGGACAACGCGCTGGGACTGATGATGCATCATCCATCGGCTTTGCGATGCCACATCCAAACGGACAGAGAACCACGTACCTTCAGGCTGGCAACAAGATCGGCAGTTTCTAGGAGGTTCAATTGGCTGATCTGGTCGACAATCTGGGTAATCTTAGGATTGACAGGAGCAGCAGCCTCCGTAGACTGCCATCTCCGGCTGAATGTCTGCTGATATGAAGCGGAAAGGCGAAAAGAGGTGGATGGGCGGATGAGCTGTCGGCAGCATCGAGCTGCGGCCTGAGAAGAAATTGACATGGTGAATGTGTTCTAAAGTGAGACCGAAGAGGATGGAGGAGCGGAAGAAGGGACAGCCGGCGGTGGTGATGCTCTTTTGTCTCTGGAGTCCGAATCAACAATCCTTTAGAAAAGCCGCAACTGAAAAAGAAAGTCGATTTTCGGTCCGGAAAATCCAGTGCCGGCACGTGACACCACCCTCCAAATTCAGGCTCCCAGAACCAGTACTCCTACAATTATCGATTTGGGAGGGGGAAAGAAGGGTGCTGGAAATACTTCTGTTTGAATCGGGTTGCGTTTTTAAAAGGCCAGAAATATATTGAATTATAATAAACACACCAGCGAATAGTGACTCTTGGAAGAAATCTCAAAATCAATGCACACAAGAAAGACACTTAATAGTGGCTTCAGATAAGAAGCTTTCTTCTCCCCTTTCCCTCAAATAAAAGACCAATACATTATACATGAAGGTATGGAACACATTAAAAAGCTTATAACACTTTTCTCCAGTCCCTATCCGCCGTCCTCGCGATGATGGCGCTCTTCTCGGAGTAGCCTACGCCCGTTTGGTATATCTCTTCATGGAACGTCTCTGCTCCTTGTCGCGCTCGCGGTCAAGGAACTTGCGCTGCTCATCTGCAGTCATGCCACGGAGTGTTCGTTCTCTCTCTTCCTTCTTCAACTTCTCAGCAGTCAGCTTGCGCTCCTCGGCCTTCTCCTGTTCATCGACCCGGCGGAGCTTCTTAATCTCCTCCTCGCGAGCGTTGCGCACCTTGCGCATAACCTCGGGGCGGAAATGGGCCTGAGAAACGAGCCTATCGGGTAAGCGCAGGAACTGAGTGAACAGGGGCAAGGTGGCGGTGTAGCCAGACGCCGATGATGCCAGATGCATACAAAGCTGAATACGCTTGCGGGGGGCAGTTTCCTCGATCCTAAACGAAATCAGGGATTAGAGCATGGATACAAAGTTGAGGCTTTGTAAGATCGACTTACTTGAGGGGCTTATCGACTGGCTGGTCAGTGATAATCAGGTATTTGAACTTGCTGCCAGCCCGCTCAACGGCCTGGATAAGCTCCGGGGTGACGAGGGTATCGGTGATCTCGGCGCTTTCTGTCATGACGGTCACCCAATTGGGAAGCTTCGGGTTATCCTTGGTGAAAGTCATGGAGGCATCATATCGGTCCTGACGGAAATTACGCATGTGGTTCTTGTGAACAACAGCCCAGATAAAGCCATCGTAAGCCGAGTTGTTCACCTTCAGGGGAGAAGCATTCTTGGCGGGAACAGGAACCACATCCTTCTCCTTGCCATCAAAGGTGTACGCAGTAGCCTCGAAGGTCTCCTCAGGAGCAGGCCAGCTATCAAATAGGAAAGCGAAAGCCTTGTCCATCCAGTAAGTGATTGGGTTTGCGCGCTTGGGCATCTTAAGGGCAATGTCGACGAATGCGACGTTCTGACGACCAGTGGCGTAGGCTGTGAACTCCTGAGCAGACTTCTCCTTTAGGATGGAGTCTGGGAAGGATAGCTCCAGGTTAATAGACTTCTCAGTCCTCTGAATGCCATCAAACCCAACCACTGCGAACTCGCTTTGCAGAGTAGAGGCATGAGCCTGGGCCCAATCTCGCGCCTTCCGTCGATTTTTCCGTGTTCCCCAGACATGGAACAGAAGAATCAAAAGGATGATTGGCATGACCATCGCCTCCTGCATGAAGTCCTTGGGGGATGTGCGCTCCCAGACCCGGTACCATTTCGTATAAACGACGGCGTTGGCATCCTGGCCACCTAATGCAGCTGTCGAGGATGATCCATCTACGATAGGTGCCAGAGAAGGGTCGGCTGCTTTAACAAAGTCGGCGAAATCTAGAGAGTCAAGGGAAAGGTCAGTCGATAAGATTCAGCCGATACCAGGGGGTAACTTGATGCGAGTCGGGCGAGAAGTGCGGGACTTACCACCCTCGTGTGTGGCAGAACTGGATGGCTGGGAGCTGCCAAACATGTTCCTGAGCACGCCCGCCATAGCGAGGACAGGGCTGAGGGGAAGAGAAGGGAGAGAAGGGAGAGAAGGAGATGGTGGCCGTCAAAGAGGGAGGGACTAGCGACGTGGTCTAGAGAAAGAGGAGAGAGAGAGGGAAGCTGGGGATGGGGGAGTGTTGGTTTGGTGGAATTGACGTTCGCCGCAAACCAAATCGGAGAAGGGCTAGTTCTGTGGAGCCCCAGGCTCCCTTTGGACCATTGACAACTTCGCCAAGCCCGCCAGCCGAGATAACCTATCAATACGCCGTAACTACTGTGTCTGGATGGCTTCATGCGCGCCAAAAACAGTAGCACTTGATGTGATCTGCTTGAAATAGTGAATTCTTGCTTGATTTAACCCTAACCCTTCCATTTTTAATCCATCGTCGCGATGCTTATATACCACATCGATCCCATCCTAACCCAGCCAAAAGAGAACGGCGAAAAAAAGAAAGAGAAGTGACTCGCAAATGAGTGAGCGAAGTGGTATCCTACATAGAAAGAAACAAGACAATGGAGTAAACGCCGGACAAGTTTTTTTTTTAACAATACATCCCAATCCTCGCAAATTCTAAAACTCGCTTCAAACAGGTCAAACAGGTCAAATCGCAATAATTAAATGCAATAATATCGTCTCGGTCATTAAATACTCCAGGCTAGCTGGAGATAAGAAGCCTTGGGAGGCAGAAGGGGGAATGAGTGAGCGGATGGCAGCTCCGAGCTGCCCCAGCGCCGTCAAGCGCTCTGCAAGCTTACAAACAACAACAAAGGAAATCAATGTCCATAGGCTGGTGGTGGAGTTTCCTCGTGGCCCAGCCGGTCCCAAAATGTACTGCAGGGGCTAGGTGTGGACAGCTTGTCGTCTCGCATCCGGCGCGCAATTTCACCGGCCAGTCTCTCGACCAAGGCCTGATCAACAAGGCCGGAAGTCGACTTCTCGTTGCTAAAGGGAAGAATTGTGGAAGGAAATTGTCTGGGAATTTCAGATTCGGGCTTCTCGCTGTCATGTCGATGGCCACCCTGGGGACGCAAAGTGCCTCTTGGAGTCGCATCAATATCCACGGCCTCCGATGTCCGGATCGGCTCAGAAGCGCATGACGGTTCCCCAGGCTCGAAAAAGGGTTCGGATCCGCGGCGAGCCACTCTGGAGATGCTCAAGCGGTGTCGTTCGGGGATGACTGGGAGATGCAGACCACTGTCCGGAGATAATGGCGGTGTCACTGGATCATCTGACTGCTCCCTCACAATAGGAAGCGGGGCAGAGTATACAGATGCTGCACTGGTGGACTCGGTGAATGCACTCTCATCGCTTACGCTCGCGGCATCATCCGTAGTTTTCGGTCGTCGCAAATCCACCACCCGCTTCTTCCGCTTTCTCGAATGTGCCTTGGAATGACGGCCGGCCCCCAAACTCAAACCGTAGCTACTGAACGTATGTGTGGACGCTGAAGATCGGGTCTGTGACGATACCATGCTGGCAGTGTCGTGGAATGACGAGGGCATATTTCCACTTTGAGAGTGGGTCCGGGAAAGTCCAGGACTTGTTGATGACATGACACTAACAGAAGCATCGCCCGAGTCGGATGGTGACGTCCAGGCACGATACACAACTTCTTGAATAGAGGGAGTAAATAGTGATAGGGTTCGCTGGGAATCTGTGAGTGCGCCAAGTCGAAGAAGGTTCTTTTGAGAGAATAAAGAGTGAGTTTCGACCGAGGAATCCAGCGAAAGCGAGGCGATTTCTGATTCATTCAAAGCATTGCCCAAGGCATCGACTGGGTCCTGGGGAGGGCTTGCCAAAGGGTCTTGACCGGGACCTTCCCCCGGAACCGACTCGGGGCGGTTTTCCATTTCCTCTCCAGCTCGGTACTCAGGAACCCAGAGTCTTAGAGATAGGCGATGGATAATGGCAGGCAGTTCGTCCATGAACAAAATTCGGAGCTGGGCTTCGATTTCCTTTTGCAGAAAGTCGCGCACAAACGGGATGGAATCGAATGTCGAAGAAACCTTGAGCGACTCCAGCGGATCATTTCGGAACACGACAGTAATGCCCTTCTGCTTTGAAAATACCAATATGACGAACCCGGAGAGTTTGAAGTCGGAGAGCGTGATTTGAAGGGGGATGGTAAGCGGAGTCCTAAAATTCAAACCCAGTCAGGAAGGATGCCCGAGAGATGTAAGGGAGAAGTCAAGTCACTACTCACGCTGCAGCTAGCGGCAACGGCGATGCAAAAGACGGTCGTGTAAGGAGATACGTGTTGAGGGGATTCGCTTGGACGCGAGTCTTGAGGGTCAGGAAGGCGTCGCCTAGATAGGACATCTTGAAGATGCCTCGAAATCTATCCTCCGCCAAATCCCCGATTTCTAAAATTTCCAGCTCGGGCGGGATGGATCCCAAGTTGAGTTCTGTAACGATAATATCATCGACAATAATAGGAGGTTTTGGCGATTTATTGAGAGCAGCCGTGAGCAGATCCTGGGCGCGAGTATAAAAGCTCGCGTCCGCCATCAACGGCGACCAGTTGAAGTTGAACGCCATTGCAGGTCATTGAGAGGAAGGCTCTCAACGGACGACGGCATCAAAAAAAGAAAGAGGGAAAGGGAAAGTAAGGGAGATGGAGGAAGGTAAAAGAGGAGAATGGGGATGAAGGAAGTGAAGTTCTGGTTGTGGAGGGAGGGATGCGATGATAAGCCGGAAAGTTCGAGGGTAAGAAAGATAGGAAAAAAAAAAAAAAAAAAAAAAAAAGGCCGGCGAAAACGGGAAGTAAGAAAGGAAACGAGGATTCCCGAGGTCAGAGGCGGCTGGCTGGTCGGACATTTTGGAGACTCGCGTGATCGACACAACATTCGATAGTCAAGTATTTGAGGATATATAATTCTTTTTCTTTTATTCTGGAGGTATACTGGTTTTTAATCCATTTATTTTCAAGTGGATTTAATCACAAATACTGTGGTGTCGCTCATATATTTCAGGACCATCCCCGTCCTTTTTCGCCTGTCGACAGCCTCCCATACACGAGAGACGGGAAAATAACGTCACTGCGCAGAGCTTTTTATGGAGACACCACACTAGAGTCTCTTCTAGCAGCAAATGAGCAGGTCAACAAGAGAGGAGTCTGGTTTTCTAGACTTGGAGACTTATTATGTTCCCCCTCATGCAATAGATCACCACTAGAATATGTATGGCCTTGGTTGTTCGCTGTGGGCTGAGGTTCTATGACCTCTACGCTCCGGCCTACTCCGAACAAGGAATATACTGCCCCGGACCTGACCTTGTACAAGACCTCATCCTCTTAGAACTAACTGTACGGAGTACACCATGGCATAACTAACTATTTGTCCTGTCTTATTCCCTTTAGCACTCCAAAGTAAGGAGCTATCATTCCTGGTTCTGGACCTGTCCGTAATGATGGCTTCGTTTCTGGCCCGGTACTAATCCGAGGACGGCAAATCCGCGGTGATCTCCCCCCTGAAATAACGCTCTTTGAGCCCCTCAAATTAAAATTCAGTCTGGACTCTGGAGTCTTATTGCTCTTTTTTGATTTCACGGGGGCAGATGCTTTTATATCATTCATCATGCACTCGAATCTGGGATTGGACTGGGGTAATGTTGATAGCCAGCTCATTAGATCGCTTCGATGCAAGTCACGCAATTTTCTGCGAATACCTGCAGTCAGCTGAAACAGCCTAAAATATTGTCATCCACGTCATATATGATAGACATTCAATACCTACCCAGGCACTCCATCCTTGCTTTATTTTGAAGACTTACGTGCATCATGGATGATGCTGTACACTTCTTGCGCCACGTCTGATTGGCTATGAAGAATTACATAACCAAACTCCCCCTAGCAACACACGCACTAATCCCGTAAGGGAAAGGTATCAATACTGTGATTCAATTTCGTAGCTTCAAGTCGAACGGGAGCTCTTTTCAAGCTCAAGACTCAGTTCATTCCGTATTCAATATTTCCAAGTATAAGGGGTTTGAGGGCGAGGGTCCGGTGCCTCCATCATTATTCAAGCATGATGACATTATCGCCTCAGACGCTCTCCTGTGATACTAACCCACGCCGACATACTGCTGGACGAGCAGCCAGCACAAACACCGCAGGAAAGAGAAAGGTATACGGGAAACGAAAAGCCGATGCACCAAAGGCGGTATTTGAGCAAAATAGTCCACGAAAGTCTGGGGAGAAGACCGGCAGCGCTGCGATTCAAGATGCTGTGGATGTCATCCAGGCCAAGTTGGCCGACGTCCAAATAGACGAAACACCTACAACTGAGCTAGCAAGGGCCGATATCAAGGAAACTAGCAAGGCCGCAAACCAAATAAACACTATCGAAAAGACACCTTCGTCAGATCCAAAGCCACCGAAAGCCTCCGAGCCGACGGAAATATCACCCCCTACGCACACCCCGGTCGTTGAGAGAAGGTATCAAACAATGGTGGAAGTTCGGATAGCGCCAAGGGATATCACACAAAGCCCACAAGTACAGCAAAAGGAATCTACAAACCCAGAGAGTGTCAAACGAGCAGGAAGGAAAAAGAAGCCTATTCAGAGGCTTTCGTCTGGATGTGTATCAGACGACATAGCAAATGCCTACGTCCGCCCTATTCTGAATGGAGCCCTCGCGCCGTCAGCAGCGCAAAGCATCCAAAAATTCGACTCATGGGCTGCTCGTGCGGGTACAATGTTCGAGGTAGTCAAACTTGCAGAAGGTTCTTATGGAGAGGTTTACAAACTCCGATTGCGTGAAGATATATGCCAGAGTGAAATGTCCAAGTCCAAACTTGCTCGTCTGAGGGCGTACGGTGATGGTGTCTTCAAGGTCGTTCCGCTGAGAGCCCAGAAGGGAGCCGGCTCGAAGAAGTTTACCAGCATCGAGGAACTCGTGGCGGAAGTCAAGATGTTAAAATATCTCGATCCTATCCCGGGCTTTGCCCGCTTCCGGGATATTCACGTCGTCCAAGGTCGTTTTCCTGAGTCTTTCCAAAAAGCGTGGGAGCACTACAGAAAAACAAAGGACGACTGTCTAAACCCAAACCCTTCAAGTAAAAGAGCTTATCCTGACACACAAATCTGGGCAATCGTGGAGATGGACGATGCCGGATGCGAACTAGAAAAGTTCTCTTGGTCATCCATTTTTCAAGTTTATGATATATTTTGGGGGGTTGCCATGGCTCTTGCTCGTGCCGAAGAATATGCTTTATTTGAGGTATTAACCCACCCCATACCACCTGACAAACTAGAGAAGGACATGCCTGACTCTATTTCAGCACCGAGATCTTCATCTGGGGAATGTGTGTATCAAAAGCACAAGGCCTGACGGTCGCATGGATCCTCCAACCGACCTTGAAACCACGAGTCAATCATCCCAAAGTGGCTTCGGGCTCAGCACATTGGAGACTACCATTATTGATTACTCACTTTCCCGTGCAGAGCTAATAGTGGACGAAGCCTCAACCCTTACGGAGGTCACGTCGTCAGACCTAGATAAGAAGCAGATCTTCGATGCAGTCGGCCAAGACGAAGACGAAATTCTATTAAGAGACACATATCGCCAGTAAGCACATTCTCCCCTACCACGGATACTAAAGAAGAGTCTCACCAAGCCGCTAATCACCTCCTTAGCATGCGTGCGCAAGTCTATAAAGGCAGTCCCGTGGATACTGAAAAAACACCAGATATCCCAGGAATCTGGTCTGAATACGCGCCCCGAACGAACCTTATATGGCTGCGATTCCTCCTAAAAAACCTACTGAAGAACAAAAAGCCTGAGAGTCTATCACGCCCGCCTCTTGCTCCCTGCTCACCGAATAAAGAAATCAACAAGCAGGCAAGCAAGTCAGGGAAAAGGGGCGAGACAACCAAGGGCCCACTTAGCCCGGGGGCTCAGGCTAGAGTTTCTCAGCTAAAGCATACGCTAGAGGAAAGACTAAACGCTACTCTTGAACTCCTTGATCTCGAACACGGGCATGAAGATATGTGCTGTGCGGCAGATTTGGTTGCCTTCGCGATTGATGCGCAGTGGCTGGATGAGAAAGACTTCTTCTGAAACGATGGAAATATTGCATTTTACAGTACATGGACTTGGGAGGTTTTGCATGTGTTTTTGTATACACAAAGTAGCGTGGTTTTGGGTTGCATTGCGATGCATTCTGCATGGTTTTATATATTTTGGTTTTACCTGGGGGCGCAATACGGGATAAAGTTTGCAAGACTTGCATATTTAAGAATAATGAGATACTATCCTTAATGCCATATTCTCAATTGAAGCGTATTTATACTCTAGGTAGTTTTGATCTGGGATACAACTTTCCCGCATCCACGTATATAAGAAAACATAGGAACCCCCCCCTCCCCCCCCCCCAAAAAAATAATAAAAAGGTAACAAACATTCATAGCTCGTGAATATATGAGGTCAACAAATTATACAAACATATCTCTATCTTAATACTACCTGACTATGTGTGTTCTCTATACATTTGCCGCAAAGAAACTTAACAAGCTTCCTGCCGCCAACCCACCTACGAGCATAAGGGTCATGAAGCCGCCAGCAGGCTCGCGTTCCTCTGCAGAGATCCAAGAGCCGAAACCCATCATGCAGCAGCTAGCTAGGTATCCGTTTGTGGCGCCGAAAATACCCTGAATGATAAAAAGATAGAAGAAATCGCTCTGCACAACGGCGCCTTCGCCCCGGATATTGCAGAGGAAATAGAGGGGGATGAAACCTGCGCGGGCAATGGCGAAGATTACGAGTGCCCAGGGACGATGTGCCAGCGAGAATCGCGGAATCAAAACCAATATCCTACCCACCATATCGCCTGTATTCCAGACGAGGAAGGCTAGTGGGATGAAGACGGCCGGTTGGAAGAACCGGGATCCATTGGGGCTGTTGTGGACGGATTCAATCTTGGAGGTAAAAACGGGGAACATCATGGTCACGACGAAACAGAGGAAGATTGACAGGGCTGTGAGCCGGAGCTTTGAGAAAAGAACCCATAGGCTGACACTCTTGTTGGATGTGCCCTCTGAGTTAATCGACTCGGAGCGATCATCATCATCATCCGATAGATGCTGTGACTGCCGCTTTGCCAGCCAGAGGAAAGCAACCAGGGTCAATGCTGACACGGCGGTTGCTGTAATGAAATACCCAAAGGCCGATTTCCACGACTCTTCCGATGTGCTTTGTTTGCCTTTTGTTTCGGGGACAGCCAGAACAGAAATAATCTGCGCCAAACTAGGCAGCACGCCTGCCACTCCTTGGCCGCTCATGATGGCCTGGGTATATTCTTCCCTCCCGAATCCCGAGACGTAGGCGAATACACCATTCTGGTTGATTCCGGTCGCCAAGGCAGACCCAGACACCATAATCATCAAGAATCCAAAATATACCGGTATTGAGGCATGTTTGAGGATGATGGTGGAAAATGCTAGCAATGTGAAAACAACGATATTGATCAATAAGGATACTGCGATCCGTCTCGGGTATGACGCGCCATTCTGTATCTTGGCGAGTGCAAACACCGACGCCAGGTTGGTAACCGTTGAGACCGTTAATATCGAGGATTGGTAATGACTACTTGCCCACTGATCGGATTGAAATCGGTGGTGAAAGTACGGCGCTGCGGCAAGGAACATGTTCCTATCAAAGCCCAAGTGAGTTAGACGCTATCCGAAACGATGATGCTGATTAAATGACGTACCATGCCCATAGCATAGACACTCCCAAAACAAAGAACACGGCATATATAACCCTAGAGAACGGTGGACTTGGTTGTGTTTCTGGGGCTAATCTGCTGTCCTCGTCGCCGTCGGCTTGCTCGTGAATCGGCTCGTACGCCGTCGTTGGAGCGAACCATTCCCGGATGCGGTCCATCGCGACGCAGACTTGTTTAAGCGAAAGAGAGAAATAGTGAGAACTTGAGATTATGCCATCCTCAGACAAGAAAACTGTGTATTGAAAGTTGAAAGCTCTCTCCAACACCTTCAGGTGGACGATGGAAGATGAGGTCAGCGCCAAGACAAGCTTTCATCGCTCTACCGGTCACGTTCCTGTCTCGATGGGGGAGAGAAATGTGATGTTGATGTATACAAGACAACAGATTCCTCGTTTATTTAGATAAATATGGGTTCAGTGGAGAGAGGTGTCTTTCTATTATTTCTATTATGACTATCACAGAAACGCATACCCAAGAATCAAAGCAAATATCCAAACACTCCAAATGTGCAGATCCAGTCATATCTAGATACATCATCACAGCGTCAGCCTCGACTAGATGAGAGGGGGACGAAGTACTCTACACTGCTAAAATAGATGCAAGAAGCGAAGAGAAGGACAAAAACAAGATAAAGAAAACCGTATAGGGTATATGCGACCCAGCTCTAAGGACAATGCTCTATTTCTGCTCTGGCTTGTTGTTTACTTCAGGGGTTCCAACATTTCCCTCTGGTTGCAGCTCCCAGGATTTCTCCTCCACCACTGAGTTGACAGAGGGACTGACTGGTGGCTGCGACTCACCACCGTTCAATTGCCACTCCATTAGCTTGGTGAAAGCTCCGTCTGGACGAGCGCTGAGTTCTTCATATGTGCCTTGCTCGGCAACCTTTCCGTCAGGGCCAAGAACGATAATTGAATCAGATCGCTTAATAGTGGAGAGTCGGTGGGCAATGCTGATCGTCGTATTGTTGCCCCGGAGAAGTGCGGCAAGAGCACTGTTGACTAGTGTCTCCGATTCCGCGTCCAGGGCAGAGGTGGCTTCATCTAGGATCAGGATATCAGGGTTTTTGATGAGTGCTCGAGCAATTGCAATTCGTTGCTTTTGCCCCCCGGAGAGTTGGGCTCCGCGAGCTCCCACTTGAGTGTCAAGACCATCAGGCTAGGAAAACTGTTAGAGATTATGTATGACCATCGAGAAGAAAGCATAGCGCCTAGACTCACAAAGTCGCTGATGAACTGGCAATTGGCCTTCCTTGCAGCTGCAATAATCTCTGACCGAGTTGAATGAGGGGTTCCGTATGAAATATTCTCAGCAATCGTCCCCGAAAAGAGAACGGGCTCCTGGGCAACGACGCCAATTTTCCTGCGAAGAGATTTCGCATTCATCGCGCCGATATCGTTGCCATTAACCAAAACACGCCCGTGGGTAGGATTGTAAAAGCGGAGAAGAATCGAAGCGATAGTGGATTTCCCGCCTCCCGAAGGGCCAACGATTGCGACATTAGTGCCTTGGGGAATTTCGAAATTTAAATCTGTAAAGATGGGAACAGCAGGCCTGGTAGGGTAGCTGAATGAAACGTTCTCGAAGCGAATAGGGCCACGAGCAGAGACGACCTTATTACCTTTAGTTGGAGAAATGGTGGGCTTGCGGTCTTGGAGTTCAAAGAGCCGACTTGCTGCTCCAACACCCTTCATCAGCTCGGAGTAGAAACTAGAAAGTCCAAACATGCTAGATCCCGCATAGGCAGTGTACATCAGGAAAGATGTAAGCTCTCCAACGCTGATGGCTCCAGATTTGACCATACCACCTCCAACATAGAGAAGTGCCAAAACGGTCATGTTGCCCATGAGTCCGGTCTGGAAACCTTGTTAGAACATATGCCTATGGCAAGAGGGGCGAACACGTACAGAACTGAAGAAAGTTGCACTAATCAAAGACTCCTGTTTTCCGAGTTCGAATATCTTCCTGACTTGGTTATTATATCTGTTAACCTCGAGCACTTCGCCAGCGAAAGATTGACTAGTTTTCACGTTGCCGAGGCGCTCCTCCGCGATCTTGGTCAGGGTTCCCAGGTTTCTTTGGATCCTGCGGCTGAGGTTTCGGATCGCTCGCCCGTAAAAGAATGCACCAAGGCCAATGGGCGGAAGCAATAGCGCCAGAATACTAGACAGCTTGAGACTGACATATGCCATCATGCCGAAGCCAGCCGCACCACTAACACCAGCCCTCAGTCCATCTGACAGATTTTGGGTAATACTTTTGCCAACGATAATGGTGTCGGAGCTCAGACGGGAAATTAGATCACCGACTCGATTGGCGTCAAAGAATTCTGCATCCTGGATGAAGGTCTGGCGGAATAATTTTGAACGAAGTCTGGCAACGATGCGCTCACCCACAATTCTCAAGATAATAATACGACCGTAGTTTGCAGCCGCGCCTAATGCGAGAACGCTGGCTAAACCGCCGTAAAACACCGCAGGGCTCAAGCCGAAGAGCTGATCGCTACCCGCTTCAGTGGATTTTGTAGCCGCATCCATGATCTTTCCAATTGAAAAGGGCAGTGACATTGTGATCGAAGAAGAGACTAACAAGAAGAAGAAGGCGAATGTGAGCTTCCTTGCTTCTGGACGCGCAATGCGCAAGAGCCTCCATATCTCTCTAAAGCCGGATTTCTTGCCGCTAGCACCGTCCTTGGCCAGTTTTGCGCTAAGATTCACCTGCGCCGCTTGAGCCGCTCTTTCAGAGAGCTCGAATCCTTGATCGGTCTCCTCGTCTTCCTTGTCCGACGTTGTCTCCTCGTTGGTGCGCGAAGCCTTCGTTGATTGAGTATTCGGTTTGGCCCCCAAAGATCGAGGGTTGGAGGACAAGAGTCGAGTTTGTGCAATCCCTCGGAACCTTAGAGTAGGTATCCGTATATTCTGGGCATGGAGAGCAATTGTTGGTTTGAAATTCCGGTCGATGCGAGGCGCTCCGCCGCTGCGAATGGCGCCGGAGACTCCCGAGAAAGGTCGGGCGAGGCGATTGTAGACTCCATGGTTGGGTTTGTTTGAATGAAACCCAGGGTATAGGTCCTTCAGAACGCATCCCTTAGAGGGAGTTGTATTTCCTATATGCGCCCCTGGGGACCAGGAGGGACGCAACCTGAAACCGCGCATTTCGGATATAAAAATGAAGCGCGGTAAGAATGGCCGGTTAATATGATGTAGCAGGGAGGGAACCAGATGCCATATCTTATTGGAGTAGAGAGCTTGTTCTCGAGGGACTCATGACAGGAGAGGAATCGATCACCGATTTAGAATCGACAAGGGCACTCGAAGGTGTTTTATCAGATGCGAGCCTCCTCAACCAAAATGGCGATGGTTGGCCGGGTCGTCGGAACAGGATCGGAGCTGTTCTGCCGCTGTACACCGCCTATCACAAGCCCTCGAGCGCAATCGAGAGCTTTCGATGGGGCGGGTTGGGCGAGCTGGACAAAGCCTTATTTTACACCCCTTCTTTGTTTTCTTCTTTGATATTGAGTCTAACCAGGGCCAAAAGAAATATGACAGGACAATATTGAGCTATTTGTCCATTAAAATCCGATTCCTCTTTGCGCCCTTTTGGATCGCAATCCTACCTGCAACTATTTTGGTTTCTACCCCACTTTCCACCCCTCTTTGTCAGAGCTATAGCTCTCGTTTTCAAAATGGTGCTGGACTACAGCAAGTGGGAAGCTCTTGAGTTATCGGACGATTCGGATATTGAAGTCCATCCGAATGTCGATAAAAGGTCCTTTATCCGGGCCAAACAGGCCCAGATTCATCAACAGCGTATGCAGCGCCGTCACGAAATCCAAACATTGAAGTATGAACGAGTTGTCAACGATGGCCTTCTCTCGCGCATCGACAAGCTCCTTACCTCTCTGAAGGAGCAAGATAGCTCGTCATCGGGTCCGGAAGACGTGGTATTTCAGGTGCTTATGGAATATGCAAGCAACCCCGCCGAGGATCAGCCTCCTTCGGCCCCCGAGGGTGTCCACACGCATGAAAAAGAACAACCCAGATACTCCCAGATGATGAGTGCCTTGGTGGATCAGGTCAAGAAAGAGATTGACGACTCTGGGGCCGGAAATTCTTTTGAAGCCTACGTGAAAGGCGTGCAGGGACACAAAGATAAGGTGCAGGACTTACAAAAGGAGTTGCTGGCAAGGCTGGCTCAGCTTGAGAAGGAAGAGAGTAGCAAAATTACAAGTGAATCGATTCATACCGGATTTGATACTTCCCATGTATCTAAAGCAGACAAGTCCGGTGCCCAACCGACCGCAGCGCAAAAAACGAGCTCTGTCGAATTACTGAACCCCGGTGTGGCAAACAGCATATCTTCTCAGGAACCTGGCAATGACGATGATGATGCAATCGAGGACCCTGATAGTGTGCAAGCTAGTGACCTAGCAAAGAAATTTGCAAAAATCAGTTCAAGTGACTATCGAACCCTGCATCAATTCATATCCTCGCACCCGCAAATTGTCGCTGAGAAAGAAACCGATGGCCTTTTAGTTGAAGCCTTTAATAGCCAAATGGAAGGAAAAGAGGACTACGCCCGTCAATGTGTCCACCAAGGGTTGCTACTGCAATATTGCCGATCTTTAGGTCGTGATGGAACCTCGCTTTTCTTTAAGCGGTACGCACATCAAATTTATCAAGCCGTTGAAAGATCTATATTGAAACTAACCTTTCACTTCTAGTATTACAACTAAAGAACACCAAGCAGGAACTCTTTTCCGCAACGATGTCAATGAAACCTATCACAAAATCAAAACCCGTGCCGCAGAACTAGCCAAGGACAGCTCTGCGTCTAACGACCCCGCTGGAGTCGAGCAAATTCAGCTTCATGCCGTCGACCCGAACACAAAAATTACAATTAATATCCCTCCGAGTCAGAGCAGCGACCCAGTCGAGATCGAAGCGCGAAAGGTCTACGAGTCCTTCTCCAAGGAAATGCAAAAGGCATTGGCCTCCGAGTCATTGGACGAGGTTAACAAGGTGCTTGGGAACCTAAGTGTTGAGGATGCTGAGGATGTTGTAGAAAAGCTCGGACAAACCGGTATGTTAAGCCTTGAAGAAGGTATTGTGGACGCTACAACGGAAGAGGGCCGCAAGAAGCTTGAGGAGATTGAGGCTGAAGGTAAAAGAGAAAGGCAAGTAGAAGAGATTGGAGAACCCGGGGGGGACATTACAGAATTGGACTGAAAGTGTATAAAATTGTTTGATGAACGGTATGCATGCATGTAAGCCTTAGCTTCATGCTATTCAATATGTTATCTTTTTAAGTTTATAACAAGTGCCTATGACGTACAATGAAAAATTCACAAAAGCGTTTCACCACCTCTACTTTCTGAAGATACTGGTGCCATTCTCAAGTATCATTAACTATGACTACTATTGACGTGGAGATGAATATAGTGGTGGTAATACAGAGTTTAAAGTGAAATGCGTTATTTACCTCCGTAAGGTCAAGAAGAAGGGAATGAAAAATAGGAAAGCAAAGCTTAGAAGACATGGGTGTAAAAAAAAAAAAAGGGAAACAGGGTAAAATAGCACAGCCATAACGTGAGACAAAGAACCGTGTGTGTAAAATTATATGTAAGAAAGCCGGATTGCCACCTGGGAACAATGTAAAACCGTCTAGATTCCACTGACGCCGGGGGCGCTCTGGTCCTTCTTCAGATCAAGCAGTATCTCTCTGAAACGTTCCTTGCCGGATCCAGTAGCGCCGCCCTTTGTACCCTTTCCGGACACATCAACCAGCTTTGCGATACGTTCCCAGCTCGTGCCTCCAGACGATGTATCCTCACGGTTTGCAAGGAATTGCTCAGCTTCAGCTCGGGTTTGAGCACGAAGCTTGTCGGTCTTATTGTTGTAAGAAACGTAGAAGTCATCAACGTCCTCCTGGGATTTCTTGATAGTGGACTCCTTTTTCTCATTTGAGATCTCTGCACGACGGGCGATGTCCGCATCTCGCTTCTGACGCCATTCCCTGGAAGGTGCGATATGTCAGTGATTACCATATTGAACCGGATAGATAATGCAAAGGTGAAGGGCAAGCGACTGTTTTGAAAGAGTTGGGCTTTAGCGCATACCTAACGGGCTCTGATTCTTCTTCGGGCGCCTGGTAGGGGGAATAGCCAGTTGGCGGGAAGGGTGCGCCTGATCCAGTGATGGTTCCGCCAGGAGCAACTTGCTGCAAGATACCGGGTATGTGAGTTGTTTGGTATTATGCCACACAGGATTGAATTGTCTTCATACCTCATTCTGTGTATCTATGGCTGGGAATGAGGACTCGAATCCCGAGATCTCCGGGATAGCACCGGCCTGGATCTCCTCCGCACCCCCTAATAGCTCGTTGTCCATAACATCTGCAACATGATCCTGTGCCGTGGCAAACTGATCAGCATCGTCCCCTAGTGCAGCCCGTTCGCGAGCCAGGAAGTCGCTCTCCTCTGTGCCGTTCGTTTCGATAGCTTCGGTTTGCCCTGGAGTGCGTATTTAGACTGGGGAACACTGGGGGTACTTTGGGTGATAAATGCGGGCTACTAACCGGCGGAGAAGTCCTCCAGTGAAGGGAATCGGTCCGCCATTATGGTAGCTCTATGTTTATTAAAAACACTTTTTTTTGGACCACAGATTGATTTTGGACAATAGGTCGATCAATGCAAAGTGATGGGAAAGTTGATGCTCCAGCTGGCTTCTGAGAAGCCTCAGGGCGGGTTGGGCCTGGCCTGGGGATTCTGCCACAAATGCGGTGAGGAGGCTTGGGCTTAGAGCAGTAATAGACGACGAGCTTCACCTCTCCTCCTGAAGGCAACACCTCGAAGCCTCAAAATTGATTGATCTCTGAGACTTCCCGAGGCAAATTCTTCTACTCAGTCTGTGTGATTGATTTACCTTCTTCTATTGTCGAGAATTGCCTCCATCTTTACCCCAGTGACGAACAGAGTGTCCCTTTACGAGCAACCCGCTGAAGCAGTCATTAAAAACACACTCGTTGCTTTCTCTAACCAATATTACTGCCATCTAAATTTGTATGAGTCATCGATCATGGCGTACACCGATGATGCAGTTAAAGCGAAGCTCTCGGCGCTGAACGAGACCCAGGAGGGAATTGTGACCGTCGCGCAATGGGTCATGTTCCATAGGTATTGATGACCAGCTTGCTTTGACTAAGTATTCACTAATAAAATAATTTTGAATATTAGACGCCATGCCGAACGGACTGCCCAACTGTGGTTACAAAAACTTCGAGACTCTCCCGCCTCAAAGCGGCTGAATTTGATATACCTCGCAAACGGTATGGTCTGAAGTGGTAGCAAGACATGGTCCCGAACTGATAAAGGAACTAGAGGTCGCGCAGCAGTCAAGAGCGCGAAGGAAAGAAGATTTTCTCATTGCATTTTCTCCTGTTAGTTCCATAGCATCAGATGTTTGTCACTGTTTTTGAGACTAACATCTGGCAGGTGATCGCTGAAGCCACGGCAATTGCGTATAAAGGTGCTTCGAATGACATCCAGCAAAAGATTAGACGCGTAGTTGAGGTTTGGAGACAGCGATCTATCTTCGAACTTCCAATTCAGGAGGCCGTTGAAGCTCGAGTGGATGGTAAGCCAGACCACTACTTCATTTAGTCACTCACTCACACCCGTATTAACAGAAATCGATAAAACACGATCAACTGGCAAAAAGCCTCTGCTAGGTGGATCGCTGTTTTCAGGTCCCTCCGGATCAACACCCTCCGAACTTCAACCGTTAGTTCCCCTCCAGGTGGCCCTTTCTAAAGCAGCTGTGGCCTCAGGGACCTCTGCCACATCTGCAAACACAGAATATGATAAGCTTCACGACCCGAATGCACCGCTGCCAACGCCTCCTGTCTATGCTGCACGCCTGAGTCAGCTCCTGAAAGCTCTTGCGAATGCAGAAAGTTCCGTCTCAGAGGTCATTAAGTCCCGGCTTGCTCTAATCGACGGCCTTGAAAAGCTTCTTGAGACAAACCGCGCGGCTTTATCGAAGGAACAAACTCTAGCTGCTCAACTGCAAGATAGGAAATTAGACACTGAGACAAAGAAGCGCGACGTTGAAGATGGAATCATGAGAGGGCTTTCCACTGACAATTCCCCGGTGGTCAACTTCCCAAACCTTGGAGCTGGTGGAGAAACTATCTCTCGTCCAGAAGTTGAAGCTCTAACCCCTCCTCCCGTGGAGGCCATTACACCAGATGGCTCTCCGAAGCAGAGACATGACGATCTGGAAAATGGATCTCAGATGACAGGAGATTTCGCTCTTTCACGACCTGAACACCCTGTTGAAGCTTCCCTGCCTGGCCTAGGCCAGTCTTCCACCACTGCGTTTGGCGATCTCCAACAGGAGTCTATGAATGGATTCCATGCCAAAAAGCGGAAAGTCGCCCATGAAGATGAGGACTACGCTAAGTTCGCAGGCGGGGATCTAGATGCAGATGTTGCAGAGCTTCTGAAGCAGGAGAACAACCTGTAGTGCTGAACCATGTTGCTTCGCGTATAATTTCGGAGTATCTTTTTGACTGGCACCGATGATGGCTGGTTTCCCCCTCCCCCCCTACCTTTGTGTTCAATAGTATCTTCTTTCGCGCATGAACATTTTGATACCTAATCTGCTTTGTCAGACTTGTAATATCGTTTCTATTTTTTTTTTTATTATAGACGTACCAAGGTTCTCCTTGTAATTTGTCTGATCATGAATACTGTCCTCAACCCTTGGTGATTACCCAGATGGTTCAAAAACTCGTCTGAGGATTTGAATATACACTAAAGTGTGCATAGTATATGTTCGTAAACATGGGTATAATCATAGGCAAGATTCTAGGAAAGTAGGGGATTCAACAACATTGAAGTATGAACATTATTGTCACAGCTATTACCATGGTATCTCTAGAAGAAGAAAAAAAAAAGACAAAACAAAAAGCTATCGATATATATCAGGACCAACATATTTCCTGCTCGCGACTGGAGCCAATGACGGTGGTCTACTTCGGCGGAAGACGGTGTCAAACATGCGCGGGTTGATGGTGGGTGGTTGATTTTCTTGTTGTGAAGGAGGTGAAGGAGGTGAAGGGGCGGTAGGTTCTGGAGAAGGATGCCTTTTTGGCTTGACAAGTAACAAAATGATCATTCCTGCGACTAGGAGGATCAAAAGCATAATAATCTTGCGTTTCGTGGTGCGCCGCTGGTAGTTGGTTGCCTGTAGATTACATATTTAGTCAGGGGCCTTGGTTTGGAGCCAGATTTAAGGCTAGGTGTGTTCAAGGGCACATACCACTTTTAGCTCTTTTTCAGCAGCTTGAACATCCGTTCCCATTCGCTCTACGTTGTAGTCTATTCGATCGAGCATAGTACCCTGATCGATGACCATTGTCTGTAACTCGCGGAAGATATCGGACAACTCAATGATTCCTTTGGCAATGTCGTTAATTTCTCGCTCACGCTGTAAGATGGCGGCATCGTTTTGCCCGATCATTCGCTGAGAGGTTTGCATCAGGGTGGATTGCGAAAACGATTTGTCCGCATCAGACTCCATTAGCGAGGGGTCTGTATAGGGATTTTGCACCGGTGTAGGGGAGCGATCGAATTGCGACGCTGAGTCCTCTAGACCTCGTAGTTCTGTGTAGTAGTGTTGGGTGGTAAGTCAGATGGTCACAGATACGCAAAGAAGGCCGGACTGTCTTACTTTTAAGATATATGCTTTGCTTCTTCCTAAAACGGGCACTAGCCTCTTGTACTCTCGATGCCAGAGATATTTGGATATTTTTCGCCATGGTTTCGTCGCCACTGCTTACACCCCCCTGTTGTTTCGCCTCGCGAACCATTAACTCGATCTTCTGGACAAGTTTCTGACAATCATGAAAGGCGCGAGTAATCTCCTGTGTGAAGCGCTCTATTACACGTTCATCTTGTTTCCTTATGTCCTCATCTCCGAATCCTGGTAGAAGGTGCTTATGATGTAGCTTATCGAGATGGGCAGACTTCTGAGCAATATCCGCGAGCAACTCCGTTACTTCTTCTTGCACATCAACCCATCGCGGCGGGAGCACGTCCATCTCGATAATTGCATCGCCATCGTCGTCGATCCCAGAAGACTCTGAGATTAGCCTCCGGCTTTCCTCAGACTGTGATGGGATATCGGAGAAGCCATTAACGGCCCCGAGATAACGCGGTTTCTTCGCTGGATGGTGCGTGAACGACTGGCGGTAGGAGATATAACTGCGGGAGAGATACGGTTAGCGCTGCTCAACGATACGGTATGGACGATGTGAAGGGGTTGTCAGGTACAGATTCGTTCGATCCCGCCACATGTTGAAGGGTAGGAGAGTGTGGATATCCTCCGGTTATAGCTTTGTTGAGTGTCCTTTAGGCTATACTGAACATCATTGGCTGGAGAATACTGTTAGAGATAGCGAGGGATGATGACGGTTTATTGGACCGGAGTGAAATAGGGAAAGGCGGCTTGATAGACCGACAAAAAGAGAATATAGCTGTCTCGAGTCGCGGAAACCAGTTCAACGTAACAATGACCGACTGGGCGAAGCAATAGGCCCTCCGCGGCTTGATCTCATTGCTGCCCACGTGAGGGAAAAGGTGCTAGTCCTATTCCGGAAAAGACGTATTTAAGTACTGGTACTGGGCTATACAGAAGTTTACTTTGACAACTTCACACCTCTGACAAGTTACCGCTGGAGATTGCTATCGCATGGGATACCGATTATTTATTCAGAACTAGGCCTAATGACTTCCTGGAAACTCACGACGGTTCGTACCGGTCGCTGCGGCAAGCAAGTCGAAAGGAAATGGTTATTGGCTGAGGAAAGAGGAAGACAGGGGTTGACCAACCGAAGATCCCCAAGGCTGTCTTGAGAGTGGACCAACATCATAGGGCTACTTGGGCGTAAAGAATCGAAGAGAATGCATGCCAATGCTGCCCGTCAGTGCCAAAAAAAGGGTTCTAAATTAGACGATTCTCGATTCGCATTTGAGTTCCGGAGTCTGGACGAGATTTCATAGGCGTTCCTGAGTCCCACCGCCGTATAAGCAATGGAGCATAACAACTTTTGTTTAGTTTAGGGATAACGTCAACGTCAACGTCAACTTCAACTTGGGAACAGAGAATTATCCGGAGGAGAAGAATTCTCACGATCATGCAACAATCCCAAGCAGGCGACGGCTGGACTTTAGGATTCAGCCTTTTGTGGCTGCTCGGGGCAGGAAGTGGCCAGAGCGGGTCACGTTTCAAGCCTAAGTGACCGCCTTGCCAGGTATTATTATTATTATGGTGATGATATGATAATTATTGCGGCAACTTAAGGCTCCCCTTAAACAACGCTTCTCTCTCTGTTTCTCCCTCTCTCTCCCTCCTCCCCCACTACACACCTCTGATCTCCTTTTTTATTTTCTACCTTCTCTCCCCCCCAATTCTATTTCATCACCAGTCTCCTTTCCACCCACAACTGTCACCATGGTACGCTTTTCTTTTCTCCCCAACCCTGATCTTGTGTTGTAACAGAACCCCCCACTTTGCGGGGCACATCTGTTCGTTACCTGCACAGAAGAGCTGACAACCCCCCCTCGCAGGCCGACTCTTTGACCGAAGAACAGGTTTCCGAGTACAAGGAAGCCTTCTCTCTGTTTGTAAGTTCGTCCTTTGATTTTCTTGATACCTATGACTGGGTATTTTAAAAGGGGATACATATTTACATACTGTTTTTCTCTTGACAGGACAAGGATGGCGATGGTTAGTGCAGTCTACCCCGATCCCGCTCTTGCATCCGACAAGCACCGACTAGCATGACCTTTTTTTTGAGCTATACAGCCTGAATTATCGCCCATGTTAACAAGAATGTGATATTTAGGCCAGATCACCACCAAGGAACTCGGCACTGTGATGCGCTCGCTTGGCCAGAACCCCTCCGAGTCTGAACTGCAGGACATGATCAACGAGGTTGACGCCGATAACAATGGCACCATCGACTTCCCTGGTACGTGATATACCTGCTGGTCTTACCGGGTTATCGGAATTGGAATGATCGTTGACCCCGCGACAGAGTTCCTCACAATGATGGCAAGAAAGATGAAGGATACCGACTCCGAGGAGGAAATCCGGGAAGCCTTCAAGGTTTTCGATCGCGATAACAATGGTTTCATCTCCGCTGCGGAATTGCGCCACGTCATGACTTCCATCGGTGAGAAGCTCACCGACGACGAAGTCGATGAGATGATCCGCGAGGCGGACCAGGATGGTGATGGCCGAATTGACTGTATGTTGGCACAAGTGCTCCAAGAAAAAATAACCAAACGCGGCAGAATACTGACCTGTATCTAGATAACGAGTTCGTCCAACTCATGATGCAAAAATAAACACGGCCTTATCTATGATGTCTGTCGTTAGCGAAGAAGGTGGAGGCGCTTTTCAGAATGTCCCATCTTAGTCCTTATACCATTAAATGTAGCCTATGCCGTACGGGTACAGCTCTTGGTGCTTGTAACGGCTATGCCTTTACCGTATGAATGTCGCTTCTTCTTTTCTTTCTATTTCTGGTTTTAGTATCCTTCTTGTGTGAAGGCGTAGAGTTGAATAGGATTAGGGCGAACGTTGGAAACTGTGTGCTTAATGGAATAGTTTGCGCATCTGAATCGTACTTTCAACCCATTTTTCCTCTTCCAGTCCTCTCTTGACATCCATTGCCTTGATAGTCTATATCTTTGTTGTCTCTCGTGACTTGTGATTGTTTACTGATTGTCTATACTCCGGTCGACTTTTCATCACACCCAGTGTTTTATTCTTCCCCCCCCCTTAATATTGTGCAGAGTACAGAAAATTCATATACATTTTCCATTTTCCGGATCTTGATTTTTTATTCAATTGGGTTCTTTTTTGTACCACGTAGCACCCTCGACCTTTGAATCAGCCCTCGAAGTTGTAGATATAGCTATGAACGATTCTAAGATAAAAAAAAAAAAGAAATTAACGATTAAACCTAAAAATCTCCATAAACTGCCTGGCAACATCTACCCCAGCAGTCGGATCCGGGTCTTCATCCACCTGCCCACTCCCTCCATCATTCCAACCCCGCTCAACCGGCTGTTTCTCCTGCTGCTTCAACCTGTGCAACTGCTCTTTAACCTCCTTCCCTAGACCCGGAACGAGGATAGCCTCCCTCGCGCCCTCAATGCCCAGACGGGCCCAGAACTCGCGAATCAGCACCGCACTCGCCGCATACTCGCCATCGATATCAGCGTCGTCGATACCTTCGGGAAACGCCAGGTCGATCCCGGAGTCATTGTCGTCATTATCGCCATCTTTAATGTCATGGTGTGGTAGGAGTTGGGCGGTGCGATCCGTCGCGCTTCCCTCTGCATTCTTCCTCCCTTTCCTCGAGTGAGATTGATAGAGCGAGGAAATAGTATTGACTAGTGACGGGCCGCGCCACTCGATTTCCACGACTGTGCCCCGGACCCGTGCGGCTGGCTGAGTCTGTCGCACGTCTCCGAGCCGTACTCGGAAGTCGCCTACGTCGTAGACCATGCCGCCTCCTACGGCGACCGTGTGTCGGGGGCACCAGAAGGGTTGGCACGCGTAGACGAAGTGTTGGTAGAGTGCGCTGCAGGAGGGGAGCGGGACGGTTGTCATGACCATTGACGAGGCTGTTCCTGGTTGTGTACCGCCCGCAGCAGCGGCGGCAGCTGCAGCAGCCGAATTAGGTGGTGCTGCAGCGACGGGCATGGCTGGGTGGTGGAGATGAGTCTGTGTCTCGAGTGGCTGGGAAGTATAGATGAAACCATGATTGGGGTAGGATGTGAGTGAGAGGAACTGCATGTATTTCGGCACCAAGGGTCGCTGGGTTGTTGAGGGAGGCAAGCATGACGGTGTGTCACGCATCAGCTTGTGCTCTAGAGCCCAGCGGCCCACGTGGGTTGGTTCCTCGGCGAGAACGGAGTGCAGACGCTCCGATACTGTAGAGAGCACTGTTGAGGCATTGGGATTTGAGGGGATAAAGAAGACCCTGGCGATGTAGTTAGCTGGGGGCTTTAGCTAACGGGGGATACGGGATTGGGTAGTACCCTGTGATAGGCATTTCAGGTGTTTCTTTCTGTTTGTAGGGAGTGGGTAGCTGTTGGTAGTTTTGGATTCTCTTTTTCTTTCTGTCCTTGCGTATTCAGGGAATCGATTATCTATATTGTATAGAGTACTTTTTAGAGACCCGCAAGTGGTGAAATCGCCGAATGGGTATCAAGAAAGCAAGTTAAAAAAAAAAAAAAGGACTGCGAGAACAAATCCAACTAGGAATCTATTCGACGGTCAACGCAGAATGATCCGAGTCAATAATATATAACTGAATAGAGCTACTATACACTACTGTCAGCGGATGATCAATAGGGCAAAAGTGAGTCTAAATGTCGTGTTGAGACGAATTCAGCAACTGACCTCGGGAGATAAGAATTCGACTACAGAGGAGAACATATGTATACAATTAACGCACAAGATCCAGTCGCTTGTCTAAGCAGTCAATAATCAGAAATAGAAAAGTCAAGGATGGTCTTCGTCTCTCCTGTGGCGGTGGCATTATTGAAGTCTGGATTCTAAGAAGAGATTGGAGACCGGTGCAAACCAGACAAACATTCCTCAGGCATCAAACACCGAGTCGTGTGCCCTTCATTGCTGTTAATTCAGGAGCGCTCGTCCCTGGTATCGACCGATCCTCCAGTCCATGATGATTGTCCCTTTTCCAGACTCCAAAAATAAACCACCCTTGACCAAGTTCAGGATGATGTTGATCCCTTTCTTTTAATTGCTAAGACGCGGGACGATGGGGGGGACTCCAAGGGGTCAGAGTCCCAGATTCAAGAATAGAAGCTTTTATCCACTACACCCCGGGGCTAAAAAAGTCTCGGTCCCTCTAGACTGCCGGAGCTCACCACCACAATCCACTACACAGGGTTTCAGGGACCACAGGCTTACGCAATGGACAGATCGATTCATTGTACGAAGTACGGACTACGGAGTACTCTGGTATATGTGCCTTTTCAGGTGAATTTCTCTGCTATTGCTGGCTAGACCTCGCTGTCACGCCCCACTAGTTATTATGGCACAGACAGCCACCGCGGCATGCCAATAATATTCCTTGGAATTTTTGAAATCTTGAATCAGGGAGGGCTAGCAGAAGAATCCTGGCCCATCCTTGTCTATTCCATGCCTTAACTTCCAATTGTCGGATATGTAGGGGGGGGGGGGTTGAATTCAAGGACGATCACTGGGGCAGTTCGCTGGGTACTTTTGACCATCTTCCCTTCTTTCTCCACCCCCTTGATGATACTTGTTATGTTCATTTATTTCTCCATCTTGCCATTGGCATCAAATGTTACGAAGCAGCGAGCAGCGAGCATTGAGCATGCTGCATCTACACTCGTTAATGTTGTCTTTCACTTGCTAATATTACCTGAAGCTCTATTGGCTGTCCCTTCATTCTGTACTTTTCTTGGCTTGAATCTTTTGATGAGCGTATATACCTTGGATTTGACGTCGCTATCAGAATCATGATTCTGGTACGAAGGAGTTATGCTCTTCCAACAGTCTTTATCATCTGCTTGACCTACTTTCTTTTCGCTACACTTCCGCCTGGTGCGGAGGTCTCCGATATCCACCACCAATCTCCCAAGAATGCCCCCAAAAAGCCATCACAAGATGAAGAGCACATCCACTGGGGCAAGCATGAAGAGAAATATCCAGTTTCCGATTATATTCGTCTACCAACTACGCCCCCGTCCTCCATACCGAAAATCCAGTACGATTTCCCCTCCGAATCGTGGTTTGGCCGAATCTCCAGAAAGAGGAAGCAGAATGCAGTGAAGGAAGCTTTCAAGCATGCATGGAAAGGCTATAAGGAAAATGCTTGGTTACAGGATGAACTCTCTCCTTTGAGTGGGGGGTATAGAAACACGTTTGCTGGCTGGGCAGCCACGCTCGTTGATTCCCTCGATTCCCTTATTATCATGGGATTGAATGATGAGTTCGAGGATGCACTCGAAGCTTTGGAGCAAATTGACTTCACAACTACCAGTGCCCTTCAAATCAACATATTTGAAACCAACATTCGGTACCTTGGAGGTCTGCTTGGCGCTCATGACCTAACGAATGGGAAATATCCAATTCTTCTTCGGAAAGCGGTTGAGATCGCTGATATGCTCTATGGATCTTTCGATACTCGTAACAGAATGCCCCAATCCCGATGGGAATGGACAAGGTGAGAAGAGCACCATAAATCAATTCCCATCACAGCTTTCTCGAGCAATGAAAACTTCACGAGCTTACAGCGCGACGTAAACATCATTAACCCTCTTTAGATCTGCTACTGGTTTAACCATTCGCCCAAGTGGAAATACTATCCTTGCCGAGCTTGGCTCGCTAAATCTAGAATTCACGCGAATGACCCAATTAACCGGCGACCCTAAGTATTTTGATGCTATCCAGCGCATCACAGATAACCTCGAATCCGCCCAGAAACGCACAAAAGTTCCTGGTCTATGGCCCATGATGGTTGATGCTAATAGCCTGCAATTTAATGACCCTCGATTTACTATTGGTGGAATGGCCGATTCAACCTATGAATATCTCCCTAAGGAGCATATGTTGTTGGAAGGTCGAACACAACAATATCAAAAGATGTACGAGGATGCGATTATGCCAATCAAAGAGCGATTGCTGTTCCGGCCAATGACCAAAGATGGGCAAGACATTCTATTTTCAGGGAACATCAACACAGCATCCGTCAGTGGCCAGAAAAAAATCGACCCGCAAGCCGAGCATCTCAAGTGCTTCCTTGGAGGCACTGTAGGCATCAGTGCCAAGGTGTTCAATCGACCTGAGGAACTTTCCATTGCAAGAAAATTGACAGATGGTTGCATTTGGGCTTACGATATTATGGCGACCGGAATCATGCCAGAGACCTTGTACCTTAGTCCTTGCGAAAACCAGGATGACTGCCCATGGGATGAGCAAAAGTGGCACAAGGATGTGCGAAGCCGTATACCTCAGAGAGCACAGATCGAGGAGACCGACTCAGCCATCCTAGAATTTATCCAAAAGACTGGACTTCCTCCTGGTGTGACTGAAATTACCGACGGACGCTATATGTTGAGGTAGGTGGCCACGATTTCCGTCTTTGTCGGCGATTTTATTGATAGTTCTCTTCTAGACCTGAGGCTATTGAGTCCGTGTTTGTTATGTATCGCATCACAGGGGACAAGAAGCTACAGGATGCTGCGTGGCGGATGTTCAAGAACATCGACAAGGTTACTCGAACCAAGTACGCGCATGCCGCCATTGGGGATGTGCGCAACCCTAAGCCAGTCCAATTGGACTATATGGAGAGTTTCTGGCTCGCGGAGACTTTGAAATACTTTTATCTCATTTTTTCGGGGCCGGATGTTATTAGTCTGGATGAATATGTCCTGTAAGTTTACTTCCATCCCCAGCGATCAAGACCTTGCAGTGTTATTGACCGCAGCTATGCAGCAATACCGAGGCGCATCCATTCAGACGTCCATCGAACCCGTCATGAGCGTTGGTGTTTTATTTAAAATCTATTGTTCGGTTCGACTCGGCGAATGGCGTTTATAGACAGGTTCTCACTATAAATATACTAGTAATATAAAGTTAGAGGGGGTTAATTTTTATAGAACCATGCGAAGCCAATATATACCTTCATATTATCAAGTACATTCATGATAGATGATCGTGTTAGTAGTAGAGTATAATCTATTTATATATATGGGTATATAGTACAAACAAAATGAATCATCGCGGCATCTCAAGATACTGATCCCAATACCCCGTCTCGCTACCACTACGCACTTCCACACCATCACTTCTTGACCCATTATACTCCACAGAATACTGAACATCCTTGCGAATAATCATCTTCGCACTTGCCTTACTACCAGTTCCACTCGCCCCCCTCCCTCGACCCACCAGCTCAATCGATCGCGCAGCCCTATTAGTCGCATCCAAACCATATCCCCCATGCGCACGACCCTCCTTTATGGAACCAGGTGCAGATCCCGGTGATCTATTGCTAAGAAAATGCGGGCGGAGTGCCTCCAACGTCCGTTTATCGTTCTCGTTCTTGTTCACATTCTCCTGCTCGTATTCGAGGACAGACATTGCTCCTGTTCTTGAACCAGGCCCCGGCCCCGACTCAGTCCCAGACTTGGGATTCGAATTCGAATTCGAGTTCGAGATATTATGTCGTGAGGCATCACGGCTGCTTTCTAATGTTGAGTCGCCGGCTGTGCCGTAGCCCGTGCTTACGGCTGCCATGAACGGCCGCAGACAGAACACGCTGCATGCGATGAGGGCGTAGTGGAGTTCAACCTGGGACCAGATAATGGGTTGGACTGCGGCGAGGGTAGGGTCGAGAGAGTGGTTGCTTATTTGGAGGGTGTAAATGTGGAAGATGGCGAAGATTATTGTCCTGGGGGGAATTCTTGAGTTAGTATTGCTTTCTTGTAGCTTCTTGTAGCTCTTTGGGGCTGCTGCTGCTTTCTTAAGTACGGCTTGTTTTTTTTTTTTTTTCCCCCTGGGGGCGGAGTTGGAGGGAAGCTCACGGGAGACGGAATATAAAAGCAGAGGCGATGGTCAGTTTGCGTTTTACGGGCATGAAAAGCCCCGCGAGCAAGGTGACGGCTAGACTGAAGAGGATGAGTTCGGTTGCGATGTCGAGGGCGACGATGAATTGCCATCGTGCTAGCTGCATGGGTGATGTATTTGTTAGCTGATTGGGGTCTTTCCAGAAAAGAGATATATGCTCACAAGGCTCCCGCATCGTCCTCCTGTGCCGCGCCAGGGGCGTTCCAGCTCACAGTTTATGGTGATAATAAGGATTGCTGGGATTAACCATAGGGTGCATAGAATAAGAGCGGCCCAGGATGCCCGATTGTGTAGTTTTTGAGGAGTGAGGCGGAGATAGATTCCCACGACACAGCATTTCGTAGTGTAAAGAGTGATAAGGTAGAGAACGTCACTGATGACGATTAACTATGAGCAACATCATTAGACAGTTACGAGCTGGGATGGATGCATTGCCGGCAGTGTCAACTTACAGTCTGAATGGTGTTCACCTGATCATCTTCGAGCAGATTGATCGAAGTCCCGAATCCTTGCGACGAAGCCTCGAACAATAAAGACGCCTGAATCACGGCTATAATCTGGCAATTTGATAACGGTCACTTCTGTGTTTTCCCCTCTCTGGTTGTGACTGGAATGCTAACCGTTGCTCCTAGCAGAACGAAATCATCATATGCAAATGGCGGGTGAAGCGCAAGTCGCACATATAGTCGAATCAAGAAGCTCACTAACGAGAAAACCAAGCCTAACCCGACCGTAATAATCACCCAGGCTCCATGATGGAGGTTATCTACCACCTGAAAGGGCGGCAATTGTCCTGGGGGAACGTAGAGGCCCATGACAGCTGCGAAGAGAAGGGGGGGAAATGGAAACAAAGAGCTGCTGCAACGGCACTCCGGGGGTTATATCTCTCCCCCCCATGTATGTGGAGTCAAATGAGGTGAGAGCATTCTGCTGGATCTCTTTTTTCTTTACTCACTACGTACTTCCATTTCAGTTCATTTTTAGAAAGCGAACTGAGTATGTGATTACAAGTACGTGATGCACGACAGAGAATGGTTCCTCATGACTGACGCCAACTGCTTTCTCCAGAACTCCTCACAATGCTCATGATTAGTTTTTTTCGCTATTTGTTAATCAGAACGAGGAGGTGAAAGCCAAAAAAAGCAAAACAGGTTCAATCAATGTATTATTTGGTATAGCAAGAGCTAATTCTCAAATGATCACCAAGGTAGATCAGCCCGGCCGCTGCCTCTTCGGAAGAACGCCGCGAAGATTTCAGTTCCAACCTCGATGCGAGGAGAATGAGACATATAAGGACTCTGATTTCATTGGCGCGTCAAACACGCATCTATGGCCTTGTTCAGTGAACCTCACCTTGTTGTCCGAACCAGACCGATTCCGAGCTTAATCAAGGGGCCGCCGCATGTCTTCGATCGAAACTATTGTTATTGGGCAGGCAATCAACACGGAGCTGGCGATCCCCTCAAGACACTGTCTTCAACTTGTGAGGATCGAAAAAGCCCAACTTGATTTCTGGCAGTGAGCGAGTGGGTTACACAGCAGTTTATAAAGCCGCCGAATACAAATATCGTAATTCTGAAATGTGCCAGCGTTTTTGGGGGGGGAAGAGGGGGGGGATACTGGAATGCCTCCCTAGAATAGGGTCACTTTCTCTCGTGCTCCAACAGTTCCCCTCATGGCGATCTGTCTGGGGCAGTAAAGGGGGATGATCCATAAAGTCCAATGGGAACGAGTTGTCCGTTTTCTGAGCTTACTGCTTTTGACGACTATTGCTGTGCTGGCACAACCTCTCGCTCCTCATGCAAGGTGTGACCGCGAAAAAGAAAACAGTCAACTCAAATGCCATTGCCGGCCATTATCGCCATTCCGCGCTGAGCTTCAATGGGGTTTTCACTCGGCTGGTGTAGGGACTTGGGTTGATTCTCCTTGAGTGAACCCATGTTTTTCAAAACTGCATTCCCACATGGGTTCCATTCCTTGCTTTCTTGCGTCAAAAGCCTGAGCATCATTAACACCATTTCTGTTAAATGGATTTGGGGGGGGGGGGGGCTATTAGTCCGGATCGGAATTTAACTTGACTCTGACTTATCAACAAGTGTATCCTCTCTCTTTTCAGAGATTACCTCCTTTCTGTACGTTCCGGATCTCTATGACATTATGAAAAGTTGTCTAACTGTCCAGTAGCCAGCCCCTTGGCTCTTTCATTCACCATGAAACTAAACGAGATGCCTCATGGTGACATGAAAGATGTGGGCTCTATCGATGCCGATGATGCCGGCCATGCGGAGTTTGCTTCTAAGGGGCCTGTGGCCCCAAAGTACATGGGTACGGTAGCTGATCGGCGTGATATGAATGCTATGGGCCGAGAACAAGTCCTGCGGGTGAGCATGTTGATGTTCATGAGTGCTCTTTGTGTACTGACGACTGTTGAACTAGAGAAATTTCCGGTTCATTTCAATTCTTGGATTTGGATGTACCCTAATTAGCACGTGGGAAGTGGTATTGACGTATGCAGCCCTTAGCCATGTGGCACGGATGATTTGACTGAACATCCATAGACTGCTTAGTTGTGCGTTGACGGATGGGGGTACTGCGGGCCTCATATGGGGATTCATGATTGTCACTGCAGGATTTTCCCTCGTTTTTGCCAGTATCGCTGAACTGGCTTCCATGTGAGGCTCTCTTCTATTTCTTAATTCTTTTTCAATGGCATGTTCTAATAAGAGGATAGGTCCCCAACGTCAGGAGGCCAATATCATTGGGTATCTGAGTTTGCTCCTCGTCGCTACCAGAGATTCTTGAGCTATATTACTGGTATGTTTTTTTTTAAAACAGAACCAAGCCGCTGCCACAGAACATAGTTGACCGGAATAGGATGGCTTTGTGCCATTGGATGGCAATGTGCTATCGTGTCAATTGCCTTTCTTGCGGGTACAATAATACAAGGGTTGATTGTTCTTAATGACCCCAGCTATAACTTCGAGCGATGGCACGGCACTTTACTCGTCATTGCCATAACTACATTCTCTATCCTATTCAACACGTTCCTAGCTAAGAACCTCCCCATGGTGGAAGCCTTGATCTTGATTATTCATGTTGTTGGACTTTTCGCTATCATAATTCCCCTCTGGGTTCTTTCTCCTCGAAACACCCCAAAGGCTGTCTTCACCGAATTCAACAATGGAGGTGGATGGGACAGTGTAGGAACTGCGACACTTGTTGGACTCTCAACCACTATCACATCGATGATCGGTTACGATTGCTCCGTCCATATGTGTGAGTACAGCTGTTGTGGCAGTTGTTGCGGTTCATGCCAATTTCTAACCGACGTGGCTCGATAGGCGAAGAAATTAAGGATGCCTCCGAAACCCTTCCCAAGGCTATTATGGCATCAGTTGGAGTCAATGCGGTTCTTGGTTTTATCATGATCATCACACTTTGTTTCACTCTAGGTGACGTCGACGGTATCCTCAGCAGCACAACTAGATTCCCATTTATCCAGATTTTCTATAACACAACCCAAAGCTATGCTGCTACAAACACCATGACGGCTATCTTGGTCATCACCTTGACAGCCAGCACTATCACCGAAGTAGCAACAGCATCTCGGCAACTGTGGTCTTTTGCTCGAGACAAGGGGCTTCCGTTCTCGTCCTTCTTCGCTTATGTAGGTCCCGTTCCTGCCTATCTTTCGAATGCTACATTCTCACCGTGTCCCAGGTAACTCCCGGATGGAATATCCCCCTTAACGCCGTCATGGTTTCCCTCGTCGCGACGATTCTTCTCTCTCTCATCAACATCATCTCCTACGTGGCCCTTTCAGCAATAGTATCGTTGACAATCACATCCCTAATATCGGCTTACATCGTTTCCATCGGATGCATTCTCCTAAAACGTCTTCGAGGCGAGCCCCTCCCATATCGGCGCTGGTCACTCGGCCGTTTCGGAATGGCTATTAACATTGCCGCTATGGCGTTTCTGTTGCCTATCTTCGTGTTTGCGTTTTTCCCGGTGACCTCCAGTGTGGACGGGCAGACTATGAACTGGAGCGTTGTTATGTACGTGGGGTTGATTGCGTTTGCGTCGATTTACTATGTGCTTCGAGGACGATATCAATTTATTGCGCCTGTGGCATTGGTAAAGAGGGATGGGGTTTATGTGGCCAGTGGTGCGAGGTTCTAAGTTGTGAGGGAATGGAGTGGTGGTAAATGAATGATTTGATTTGGTTTGGTTCGGGTTGGCTTTATTTGTCTTGTTGTACATTAGTCTCACGGGGGAACGAAGGGAGTTCAAGGGCTGGGGCTATATATATAAAGGTTAGATTTTGAACAGAGAAGAATGATTTCCTGATTTCGTTGATGTAGATTAGGTATGTATTGTATATATATATTTCATAGAGAGACAACCAGTAAGGAAGGATATGTAAGATGTTTTGACTACTTCCACGGGCCTGACCCTTTTAACCGCCTATATATAGTCAATATATCTCTCTCCATTTCAGTGGAAATCTCACATTTATTGTGATGATAATGACCAGGACAAACTTCTTGTAATCAGATCCAGTATTGAAGACCAAGCTTTAAACAACCAACTATAACATCAGTACATACTTTGCACTACCCTAGGGCACTAGTTATTCTACACCTGCTGAGGATTGCTAAGTCACTGTTCGTTCTAGGTCGGGTAGCTAGTTAATCGGGGGAAAAAGTTGATTAATGCTTTTTGATCCACTTTGTCTGTTTGTCAAATGTGTCCCTGTCCTTCCCTACCGTAGCTTTCAGGCCAATGTCTCGTAGCTCTGCAAAGAGAGAAATGGCATCACCGTATAGATGATGCGGAGTCCAGCCATCTCTCGAGACTATATTCGCAACAGAGTTCCAAAATCCCTGCACATCATTCCACCCGTCGCTTTCCTCTTCGTGGACGCGGAGATCATCCTCCGTGAAATGAATAGGACACGGAAAGTCGAATCCGATTTCATTCCAGCACCTGGGGTCTAATCAGCGCAACACAATACAAGATGGACTGAGACTGAGACTGAGACTTGCTTACCTCTCAAGCCTGATCAGAGATTCCCGTAGGGGTAGAAGTTCGTCATCCCACGTGTCGCCCACGAACGAAATTGGGTCGCATCTTGTCCTGCCGTGCTCGAATCGGAGGACTTGATCAAGCAGGGGAATCTCTTTAGCAATTTGCTTTTCGTAGAGGTAGAGCAGTATCGAGCTACTCATAAGGCCTCTGATCCGAATCTTTTCGGCTGGGTCGAGATTTTTGAAGTTTGCGGGCGCTTGCAGAATGACTTCCCCGGTATAGTCAATCAGCCTTGGATGGCGTGCTTGAAGGATCAACGGTGCTGCCCAAAGCCCCTGCCAGTCTATGACACTCGAAATTCTACCATTCTGGACAAAGATGTTTCCAGAATGGAGATCAGTATGCCGAATATAAGGTGCAACTGCCACAGGATCGTTTGGGAGGAGATAAGGGGCAACGTTGAGATATTTGTGTAGCAAGGATATATGGCTGTGGGGGGAGTTCTGCGTTGCTGAGGTCACTAGCGGGTCGTCTTCGGATTTTGGAGTTGCGTATTGCTGAATCCATGCCTCTTCTCGGTGAGCTAGAGAGCGCACATAGTCCTGGGGTTGTTTCCCTTCGAGGTGTTATTTAAGATGACACAAAAGGAGATGGATAGAGAACAAATATGGTCCATGGTCCAAGGTCATCTCTGCGCGTTCTTTGGACCAGTAGTGTCTTTCTGCGACTGGGCCGATAACAAAACGATGGCGTATCTTGTCGTTGAGCTCAGAAGATACTTCTGCACATATCTCAGCTGGCACGACATCTCTGATGTTAGCACTGGCATAGTACAAACTCCCAAAACTAAGTCATTGTTAGCAATATAATAGATCAGGATGGGCTGCGAACATAATACTGATTCAGTGGCGCTTGAAGCATTTTTTTCTCTAGTTGGACGAGATCCTTCATGACCTCTATCTTCTTTTCCAGAGAAAGATCATCCCATATATCTTCCAGCGTTGTACCGGGGGCTTCCTCCATTATAATATACTCGGAACCAACAGAATTGTCGAGGTCTGCATTCCAAGCATATACTTGGGGGGTTGGTATTTCGAGGATTGTGCGGGCCTGGGTTGCCTATTAGGAATATTATTACACCGATACAACATGTGCAATTCTTACAAATTCCATCGTTGCGACTTCAGATGCTGTAGCGTAGTACCTAGGCCCGGCAATAGGATGGGGTATTCTTGCGATCACAGAGAATCCATTATCCATCTCAAGCCTGAATGTTTTGTTGAATGATCCTTCTGCCAGTTTTGCGATTGCAGTGCATGTGTCCGCTCCAACGCTACGCGCTGCCATTCTCTGTAATTCCGCCACATTGAAAGGCGAAAATCGGTCCCGAAGTTGCTGCTCTTCGTCCCATAGCCAACGACCACTGGTGTATCGGAAGAGATCCGTGTCAGGCTGTGGAATGCTGGCAGAGCTCATGAAACGCAGAAATCGGCGGGACCTGTTAAAGAGACGGGGAAGGGAGCTGAGTGCATGGCGAGGGAAATAAGACAGAACCCGGAGTCCGCTGGTGCAGTCCATGTTGACAACTTCATTTTCATCTTCAAGAGCACAAATCCGTGTTGCGTGAGAAGGAGGAGTATTTCACAAGTTCCTTCAAAGTTCATCGCAGGATCTCCATTATTAATGGTCATATTACATATAGGGAGCCCGGGCCACACAACACAACCTTCTGTTCCATACACATCGACTAATTAATTACTCTTCCTCTGGTACACCCGCGAAATCCACAAAAGCTTTGACAGTCTTGAACTAGTGGGTACACCCAAAGGACACTTTGGATTGAAACAAATGATGAGATTCGAGTGGTTGAAACAGGACAATCGAGGATGACAATTCGCCAAAGAAAATGCTGAAGCCATGCCAGCAGCTTGAGACCCCGGAGACCAGTGTTTATCCCTGAAGTGCCCTGCAGCTAATCATGGCTGCGATAACACGGAGGCGTTTTTTCGGCAAAGTGGAGTAATTTTCGTACTGACGCTAGGGATGCAATCTATATGTCGGAATACAATAGTTTTACATGTCTATTCCTAACAACCCAGAGACATTGGTGGATCGCTTGATGTCCAGTCCTCTAGTCTCCTGTAGGCGCATCCACATCGCGGGTCAGCCACATGTGGGGAGTAAAGGGAGCAGGAATCGATTACCCCTACGGCAACATAGTATTTCGGACAAAAAAAGAAAAAGAAAAAGGCAATTTGGGGTTGGCTTGTATGAGATGAATGATCATCCTTCACGTCGCAGACACATTACTTCCGCCCCATGGCTTTCCCCCGCATCTCACCCCTGAACACTTCATGCGATCCTGGCTGAAGAAAACTAGAGGCTGATTCTTGAGTCAGATGGACCATCAGGCGCGCTCACGGTCCAACTGATACACGTACAGCTGGCCAGGGGCGGAGAATCACAGGAGATTCATCGCAAGTCATACATCATCGAGGCTAGAAAGAAAGATACAAATATCCCATCGTTTTAGGGGAGCTGAGGCATACTTCAGTCGATTGCTAAAGCAGGTAATCTAGCAGACAGGCAGTCTTGCCCATCGTGAAGAAGAATGAGGCCAGCTATTCTCCTTTCTGTGGCTACGGCGGCGCTCGCGGCTACGCCAGCACAATGGCGGTCACAGTCTATCTACTTTTTGCTTACAGACCGGTTTGCTCGAACCGACAATTCGACTACTGCTGCATGTGATACTAGTGATAGGGTTTGTGTGCTTCGTTGGGTTATTGTGTAGCTTTACGCTGACGGGGGGTAGGTGTATTGCGGAGGATCATGGCAGGGCATCATCAACCAGGTGAGGTCACTTGTCATTTGCTCTAACTAAGCAGACCCTGACGAGAATAGCTCGACTACATCCAAGGAATGGGCTTCACCGCTATCTGGATCACTCCAGTGACGGGGCAGCTTCCTCAGGACACTGCGTATGGAGAAGCCTACCACGGCTACTGGCAGCAGGATGTGTGAGCTTTCCCAAAAGTTCCGCTCGTATGAAGCTCATTCGTGTTAGAGATGTCCTCAACTCGCACTATGGAACAGCGGATGACCTCAAGGCTCTCGCCGATGCGTTGCACGAGCGACGTATGTACCTGATGGTTGATGTAGTTGCCAACCATATGGTTCGTGCTCTATCCCCATCGGGTGTTGCAAACACTAATCGAGATTTAGGGCTACGACGGTGCCGGTGACTCTGTTAATTATAGTGTTTTCAAACCATTCAACTCCCAGGACCACTTTCATCCGTTTTGCCTCATTAAGGACTATTCCAACCAGACCCAAGTGGAGGACTGCTGGCTGGGCGACAATACAGTCTCCCTGCCTGATCTCGACACCACCCAGACCGATGTCCAAACCATGTGGTACGAGTGGATCAACTCACTCGTATCAAACTACTCGGGTAAGCCCATGCATCGAATGCTGGATACCATGCTCATGCAATCCAGTTGACGGTCTGCGCATCGACACCGTCAAACACGTCCAGAAGAGCTTCTGGCCCGGCTATAACGACGCTGCCGGTGTCTACTGTGTTGGAGAGGTATTTGACGGCGATCCAGACTATACCTGCCCTTACCAGGACTGTCTCGACGGGGTTCTCAACTATCCAATGTGAGTTTCTTTTCTCTTCCTATGGTATCTTTCTCCCTAACCTGCAAAGCTATTACCCTCTTCTTGATGCTTTCAAATCCACTTCGGGTAGTATCGGCGATCTTTACAATATGATCAACACGGTGAGGTCAACCTGCAAAGACTCCACTCTCCTAGGTAACTTTATTGAGAACCACGATAACCCGCGATTCGCCTAGTATGTTTTCCCCCGCCATCACATGAAGCAAGGCTAATGGAATAGTTACACGGATGACATGTCACAGGCCAAGAACGTGGCCGGTTTTGTCCTGCTCTCCGATGGAATTCCCATCATCTACGCGGGCCAGGAGCAGCATTACAGCGGTGGCAACGACCCGGCCAATCGAGAAGCTACTTGGCTTTCTGGGTATTCTACCACGAGCGAATTGTACACGTTCATTGCCTCCACCAACGCAATCCGGAGTCATGCCATTCGCAAAGATGACAACTACCTCACATATAAGGTGTGTCAGTCCCCTTGGTTAACTAGTTAATTTGCAGAGAGAGTAGCTGACTAAACCGAACTGTGCAGAACTACCCAATCTACCAGGATACTTCGACACTTGCCATGCGCAAGGGCACGAACGGCTCGCAGGTTGTCACTGTCCTCTCGAATCAGGGTGCCTCTGGCTCTTCGTATACTCTCTCGCTCACGGGAGCCCAGTATGACGCGGGGCTCGAGCTGGTGGAGATCTATACTTGCGCGTCGGTGACGGTTAGATCAGACGGGACAGTACCTGTTCCAATGAAGAGTGGATTGCCACGGGTTTTGTACCCGAGATCGCTACTCAGTGGCAGTAGTATTTGCAGGTAGCAGGCTGGGGCAAGAGACAATTGGATAATTAATGATGTATATCTACATATATAAGAAATAAATCATTGGATTTGAAATCAGAGTCTAGCATTATGTTGTAACAACTCCAGTACTAGCGAAAGCAAATGCAGCATCCCAATGCAGTACTACCGTTTCAACCGCAACCGTGACTGTAACACTGCAGATGTCGCTAGTGCAGATCGCTGCGAACTGACACTGACTTTACCGCATGATGCTATGCAGCTGCCGATAGAATACGAGGCCAGGATATAAGCAGGAGCCGGACCAACTCTAGCTCTGTGTTTCATCGACGGTTGTTCATGATTTCTTTCTTTTTTTTTTTTTTTTTTTTTTTTTTTTTTTTGCGGTAGGGTTCTTTAGCTAGGTACTATCTATACGGAGTCCCTTGGTGTCTACCGAGGTAGATAGATAGGTATTGTTTTGCACTCAGTGTTGTACCTTAGTTATTCAGATAATACTCTATTAGTCGTAAATAGTGTGTCTACATGAAACATCAATTACCAAAGATGACAACCACCCAACAGAATGTAAAATAAAATAAAATAAAATAAAATAAAATCAAGTGAATTCTCCGCCACACCACCACCTTGCTTCTCCAAGACCAGCAACCAAGTATTAACCTTTCTCAGCGGACATACATACTCGGCGCTCACACGAATACCACCCACCCAACCTACCTTTCTAAGAATACGATACTCCTTGGAACCTCCGCAATGGGATCGATCACCAGTTACAACCTCCGGACTTCTAGATAGTCAGGCAGACCACCTTTCATAACCTTTCATATATGTAGAAGAGCCGAGTATTGCCGCCGATCAATCAGTGGCGGTGCTGGCTGGCTGGATATTCAGCCCTGACTTGCGCAGCGATCTCTGGTAGCGGACAAGAATTTAGCGGTGCCATCGACCGGCCGGAATGGGGCGGAGTGAATGGGGTGCAGGTGCAGGTGCAGGTGCAGGTGCAGACGCAGAGGCATTTCCCGGTTTTGATGGTATGCACCTCCTCCCTTTGTCGATAGGGACAGGGACATGCAATGCAGACTGACTGACTAGTGAAATTCGAGTGGATGGCACTGGCACTGGTACTGAGTCAGTTGTGCTCAACTCAACAGGAAAAGGTGTGGAATGCGTGTCTTCAATCAGAGATCTGAATTCTCTACATACCGTTCGCCCGGGTGTCCCAGAAACTGTGTGCATACCCGTCCAATGGCGATTCGGGTGTATTCTGTCAAGTATATGCAATTATAGAACTCTTCTGCCTGGAGATCGCTATCCCTAGCTTCGAAGGAGGTGACATTGACTCTAGTTTATGTACATCGTAAGCCCAGTAGGCCACGAAAGAGATGGAAAGAAAGAAAGAAAGAAAGAAAGAAAGAAAGAAAGAAATCATCGGCTTGGAACCGCAACCGTGTACAATTTCACCGCCATGTGATAGATCGGATAGATCTCGATGCGCACCTTGCTCTCCGCACATTATTAGTGCATCTCCAGCCAGTGCAAGTCCAGTCAACATTCCAGTAGCTGCACTTCAATCGCTACCTGCCACTACCCCGTGCTTTGTGCAGACGGATCGATCTACTGTGCTGCCACCACACCACGGTCATCACGGGGGGACGCGGAAGCTATGTCTGGCTAGGTACTTTTTTTTTTCAATAGACAGGAATTCCTGCATGGGAGAGAGAGAGAGAGAGAGAGAGAGAGAGAGACTCCCTCCACCTGTTTCATTCCAAAAGTCCCTTCCTCGATTTCGGATCTGGTTCGGCGTTTTGTTTCTTTTTCTTTTTACAAGGTGCTAGATTAAGTCAGGTAGGGTTAAGCTGGGCTGTCCCATTCATTCTGCAGAGAAACACTTACATACATATACACAGCACTAGGCCCAGTGTGGTGAGCATTGCGAAAGGGGATCTAAAAAGTGGAAACCACCACATTTCCGTTTTGTTGGAGGTGGAGAGAGAATGAATATTGAGAGAATCGGCTGGCTGTCACTCCATATGTACTCCCTACACTATAGTGAGTGGTCTGAACGGTGAAGATTCCATCGCTGGTGGTCGACGTCAACTTTATCACTCAACTTTCAATTTCGGTCTGCACAAGGAGGTAATAACTCCAGTAAACAACCTAGGTAGATTCTGATCCGTGATTACTCTGTACTCCGGACATAAAGTAAGGAATTTTGTCCTGCGGATCGACGACCCAAGTACCAGGTCAAGCCCAAAATTTCGACATGACAAGACAGATGCGATGCCGACTGAACTGACAGCCACGTCTTGAGACTTGACTACTATAGCTAGGTAGTGTTTACCTCAACCACGGTTTCACCGCAATAGACTACAGTTGCAGTTTTGAGATCTGGAATCTGGCATCTTGAACGAGATTGGAGTGGCTGGACCATGGTTAATCCATGAATCCTTCTCCAATCTCCAACCCAGACTGTGCAATTCAGATGGTGAACCATTCACGCAATCTCTATTTTCGGTCTCATTTGTCTATATAAGGGAAGTCTAGACATGGTCACATAATCCATACTGATACTATACACGATGCTGTTGAGTCAAGAAAGAAAAGAAATTCCAAATCGGCAGTTATAGATAGAGAGGAAATCAATTAAAGAAATCAAAGAAACCGTTAGATATGATGTGATATGAAAGAAATCCCACAAAACACCGCAGATGCATCAGCAATTATCAATAAAAACCGCGGAAAATATAGAGAGAGAGAGAGATGTCCCTTCTCAGTAAATAGTAGTAGTAATGATGTGCTCCAAAAACACGTAACCCATTCCATGTTGATCCATGCAAAGCGCGTAAATCCGATTAGAAAAAATGACAAAGGGTATCAAGAGTGTGTTGGTCAACCTCACTCGCTTTGGTTGCTTGAAATCTTGGGCGATAAAATTGAAAAAAAAAAAAGAAGAAGAAGAAGAAAAGCGTCGAATGGAGAGAAAATCACATGTACGATCTCTCGTGGGTCTGTCTATCCAAGGCTCAATATGCTTGCCCCGTAACTCATGATGTAGTGCACCTCGCGGTGGTGGCTCTAAAAGAGAGAAAAAAAAAAAAAAAAAAAAGTAACAAATAAAGGCGAATCTGGCTATGATCATCTAAGGTTCGTCTAGCGTAGTAACTGCTGCTGCTCGTTCGTTCCGGTCGAAGGAGAGGCTTCAATGCTTCATTCGGTGGGGCGATGGCATAGTCTCGGAAGAGGTTTGCTCCAAATCGCTCAGGGGAGAATGTCGCTGGGAGTCGTGATCGTTTCCGCCGTTTCGCATCTGATTTCGAAGAGCGGGGAGTTGTCGCCTTCTCGCATTAATAAACCAATTACTGATCTTCCACTTTGTTAGCCCACCTCGAACAGACCAGAAAGGAGAATAGAAACACACCTGGCTGATTGTAAGCCCGGTACGCGTCATGAACATCTGCTTGTCCTCTTCGCTCGGGTAAGGATGGTCGAGATGCTCGTGAAACCAAGCCCGGAGAATGTCGGTCACCGGCTTGGGGAGGTTTCCGCGCCTGCGCTTGTTCTTGGGATCTATCGGGTCGCCTAGGATACCAAAGTTCGACTGTTGCGCATGCGCCAGGGCCTGCGGGGACGTCTGCTCGGAGTCGCTCTGGTAGGCCATCCCTGGATAAGGGTATGCAACCTGATTATGCATCACTGGCGGCACGTTACCGGTCATGTAAGCATCGGCGCTGCGTCTGTCGGCCAACGGAGCCGGTGGCATATTTGACGGCGGGGCCGGGAATCCACCATGAGTACCAACTGGCACATACTCTGGCCGCGAAATCCCCCTGGATTCCGGGAATACACTCGCACTCGAGGCACCGCCCCCCATCCCGCGTTCGGGAGGATATGACTGAAGATCACGGATTGGGGGTAGAATCGGACTGGGCCCACGAGAAGGATATCGGGGCGTGGTATTGGCCTGGGTGGAGGTTCCCGGTAACCGTCCAGGGACCTGTACATGGTCGCGGGGATGGGATTCGCCAGGTCTGGCTGCGGATGCGGCCACCGAATAATCTCGATGATGCTCGCCCATTTTCAAGGTGGCAGCATATGGAGGGCGAGGGTTGGATGTCACATCGTGTGCTGATGCCGGGCGTTCGCGCGATTGCTGACGGGAAGAGGTGTAGTATGAAGTCGACTCGATCTCCTCATGTAGGTGAGGCGGGAGTAGCTACAGGATCTGGCATCAGCAATGGTTTTTTTTTTTTTTTTTTTTGCTCCCACGCTGGTAATTGAATACCAGGACTGAAGGTCAGCGCTAAGACAGCGAAGTTTCACACTCTCACCTCACGAAATGAAGGAAGGGCTTGGCTGTGATCAGCCGGGAGACCACTTGCGTATGAGATGGCCATTTTTCTAGAACCCCCACTTAGGTCACGGTACTGTGACATAGACAAGAAAAACCGTAACAACGATTAAACCACCGACACGTTGCAGAACCTGGTCGAGAGATTGGAAGTCGAGTTGATATTCACAACGTTACAGCCGGCCGGCGGCTTGTACAAAAGATTCGGGCGCTCGTAGTGTAGTGAGATGATAAGATGATCAAGTCAGACCTGTGATAGTGTAGTGTGACGGAGTTTGGTATTGATGTATGGAAGGAGAGGAAGAGGAGGAGGAGGAGGAGGAGGAGGAGGTGGTGGTGGTGGTGGTGATAGTGGTGATAGTGGTGATGATGATGATGATGATGATGATAATGATATGTTGCAGTTGTTGGTTGGTTGGTTGGATGGTAGCGTGGGAGGAGGATGCAGATTTAAAGAATCATGGATTGGCGAAGGGGCGAAAGACAAGATAAAAAAAAAAAAAAGAAATAAAAAAAAAAAAAGAAGAAGAGGGAGGTAGTATTAAGATCCCAAAGGGAGAGACTGGGGATGTACCTAGTGGAGGAAGTAGAGACATGAAGGACAAATAATATAGAGAAGTAGGAGCTGAGTTAAAAGTACCCTCCGTCTTCCTCCTACTACTACTTTACTTCTCTTCGACTTGACATTCATTGCCTCTCACACGATGAGCTGAACCAAGGTTATGCAAGGAAAAGAGTGAGGCAGCTCAACAATTGGATCTAGCCTGGGTGGACACCAGATCTCTTTCTGTTTCCTTTTTTCTTTTCTTTTTTTTACTTTCGTTTTTATTTTATTTTATTTTTCGCTTTTTCTTCTTCAAGATTATACCTAGGTAGCATAGGTTAGGTCACTATAGACTCCTCGGTTTGATCCAGTAAGACTGACTTGGAAGAAAGATGAAATATTCTTCAAATTATTTACTTTCTCTCCTTCGATTCCGTTCCCTATTCTGTCCTGATGAAAAATGAAGAAGAAAAATAAAATATATTAAAATAAATTGATTCAAATACAATCCAGAGAAATCAATCTGAATCTCTGGGACGCTAAACATTCCCTCCCTCAGCTGTTCCATCTTAGCTTCAACCTATCCCATGGAACATTGGAAATAGATTCGACGAAGAACTAGGGGGGGCGGAAAGGAAGCGAGAAGGAGGCGATCCAAAAAAAAAAAAAAAAAAAATAAAAATAAATAAATTAATTAAAAATAAAATAACATAAATGAAATAAATAAATAAATAAATAAATAGGAAAAAAAAGGGTGAAAATGTGGGTACGATAACTTGTAGCCACAAACTACAACTACCTAGGTAAAGGGACTTACTTACTACTTACTCCGTCTTGGTATGTACAGGTACAGACAGAGTATGTAGATTGCAGAGCAGGTGGATTAACATGAATGAAGCAACTAGAGATGCTTAAAATAACAAGTGAATAATCGATCCCTTCATCCGGGACTTGGAAGTTAGGGTTGTCTTGACAGGTGCTGCCAATGATCTGGAGGGGACTTGCTGATTCGGGTTTCTTCTAAGCCACCCAAGGTGACAGATTCAGAGTTTGTACATGTATGGATGGTAGATGTTTCTTCTTCCTTTCTATCCAAGAACTATAGCTGCCACATTCTATTCCTCGCGTTATCGTCCTGTATCTGGCCGTGAGGGGTTCCATTTTGGGTTTCCTGCATCGATTGCAGTGGCTATGACTCGGACTTTTCTTGCGAAGAGCTAATTGTTTTTTCTTTTTTTGGTTTTTTTTCTGGAGGAGAGCCCAATGTTCTTGTGGCCGTTGATTTTTCCTATCGACAATGCCAAAGGGGCATGAAGAGATGGCTATCCAGGGTCAAAACATAGGCTGAAACTCCCGCCATCACACCCAAAAGACCGTAACGAGTAAACTTCCAGAAGCGAGCTAATTTCCCTAGTCCCCTTAGGTTGGACAGACCTAGTAATTTTTTTTTTTTTTTTTTTTTTTTTCTTTTCTAGTTGGTTAGTAGTGTCTTTGGTGGATGTGGCATTTTAGATAGTAGTACTACCACGACCGGGGAAATAATTTACGCCGTATTCCGGAGGATCCTGTTTGATATCTTTCAAAACGTTCCTTATTTGCCTTCATTTGGGGGTGTGGCGGAAAAAAAAAAAAAAAAAAAAAAAAAAGATACCAGTTAGGCACCGCTGACTTGCAAATTTTGATCACAGACGCGGGCTGTTTCCCATAAATTACTTTATTAAGCACCGTCGAAGGGTGGGGTTACCTGAGTCAAGCAGATGAGGGATAATCTGGTCGGGTGTGGTCGCCCATCGAAGAAAGGAGAACCAGGGAATCCCCATAAATTATTGAAGAAAAACAAGAACACGTCGTCGTACAAGGTAGCAATAGAGGATCGGTGCCTATTGTAGTTCCGAGGTAGCTGGAGGCACCGTCACCACTGCGTTCAGGGCTCACCCCAGGCTGGCCCTATCACGCAACTGCATGGAGGGGGAAGAGAGGGTCAAAGCTGAGCCTGGAGCAAGGAAGCAAATCTTCGTACGGAGTAGAGGCAAAGCATAAGTAGGTAAGAGCCTAAGAGGTCGAATCTAGGTCAAAAGGAAGTTAGTAAAGAGCGGGGGCATTTTGGGAGAGAAGGGGAAAAAAAAAAAAAAAAGGAGCGAAGGAGAGAGCGATCTCAGACCGGGCTTTGGATCCACGACTCCACAGCGCTGGTCGTGTCAGAAGGGAAGGGCGCCGGAAGTCAGACAGACAGCAACTAGAGATCACAAATCCATAGCTTATCGTAGCTGGTGGGCATATTGGCGACCACTATCCCTATCCCAAGAGCAGAGATCGAGAGATGTAAGACTCTGTAGTCATCATGCAACACGATTAAAATTGAATTAGTCCTGTATAGTGTCCAGTACCTTTACGAGGAGGGAGGGCAATTTGCACCTGGACGATGACGGCAATGGCTTAAGGACCCGCGTCTTTCCCGCTGCAAGGTGACTCCTCCGATCGAGGAACAGGAGCGAGTCATCGAAATCGATCGTTCACAGACCGACCAAAAAGACAGGGGACTGAGCGAGAGAGGTCAATAATAATCATTTTTGCTCTCGTATTCTTCTCCAACCCCACTTACTTCCTAATGATTAGACTGAGAGAACTGTCGCTCCTGTACGGAGTACCTCAAACTAAGGTAACCCTGATTGGTGAGGATACCCATCTATCATGCAAGATCCATTGCCCCGTGCATATGACATCTCACTCTCAGGTCGTCAGCGAGGAGGTGTTGGCCGGGATCCTTTGTCGTCTATTCAATATTTAAGATCCCCTTCATTGACTTTGGGAAGCTTTTATAACTGAGGGACATCCCAAATCAACTTTCTCGGGGCAGCGGCTTTTAGGGTTGAATGTGGTTTAAGTGGGAAAAAAAAAAAAAAAAAAAGAAAACTTGATTAACCCTCTTGAATGCATGAGCAGGACACGGGGAAGTCGCTATCCCCAGTCCATGGATGATAGATTAAGTGGATCTGGCTGAACAGGGAGCTGAAAAATGGAACCGAAAATTGAGACGGTGGCTGCTGTCATGACTCGATTCGGGGGCGATGTCAAGATCCACCTGAGTGGGACGATCGAAAACCGGCGTCCATCATGAGAATCTGCGTCGGTTTCTCTCCGACCGAGAGAACTCCGTTGGAATCTGTATTCTGAGTCGATTGAGTCTGCAGTCTGTAAGTATAGGGGCGTTGAGAAGAAATCAGATCCACCAGAACTTATATTCCGGAAATCCGCAGCTCCGGATGGGAATAATCAAATCCAACCCCAAGTTTAGGGTTTGCTAGAAGACCCAGTGAGGATCTCGGCTCCCGGTAAGGTTGGACGGACAATAATAGTTTTCCGGGGGATTATCTCGAAACAGCATCGCCCACTTTCAGGAATCAAGATATCCGTTGCTTTGGGACAACCCAGCAAAGATCCGGTGGATGGAACCACACATGGCAGATAGAGGCAACTTTGTTGGCTCGAATCGTACTAAAGAATCCGAATACCTCCGTCCTCGTGGTGCCAGATCCACCAGTGTCATTGGGGACTCTGACAGCTCGTCACTCTTACTCGTACAGGATATAATTCTTGCCACTTAGGTACCCTAAGATTCCTCCTCTTTTTTTTTTTTTTTTTGAGGGGATTTATTCAGTTGTTTTTCTGGGGGTATATATGTATACCCTAACCCTAACCCTATCCAGATCGTATCGGGAGGTGCAGGGATGAAGCAAGGATGTCGATCCCAAACCCGGATTATGCAGAAATGAATAAATCTAGTCATCACACCCAAGTTCTAATCCCGAGAACGAGCATAATCATCATCATATCATGGTCTTTGTAGATCTCGGATGCCTCCGTAGCTGGTGAACTACTGCAGTCACCGCATCATCATCCCGAGTCAGGATGGCCGAATTGTAAATGATCATTTGCCATTCCGCTCAAAATCTCCACCGGCTTCGTTTCTCCAAAGTCTTCCCACGAGTCTATCCAGACTTCAGCCAATTCTCCGAGGTTTTGCCAATAAATCCTTCCTCCTCTTGCCCGATTGAGATTGGCTGATTCAATAGTCTGACGCTCTATTTCATGGTATCCCTAGTTTGAAATTCACTGATCCAAAAATAAAATACCTACCGAATACCCCCTTCTAGAATCCTCAATCTAGCCCTCGAGTTCGTCTCCTGCGTACGGATGATCGACGACCGATAATTGCCCTGCAGCAGTTCATTCCTCTCTCTTGGGCTCACCAGGATCTCCCTCCCTGTCCACTTTCCCGAAACAGCCCGATCGGGAAACAAGAACAGTAATTATAATAATTATAATCATTATAATCATAATCATAATACCAATGAATGCCTTTCCTGGAACCTGGCTGCATCCGGGTCCAATATCTGCAACGCTTTAGCCACGTTGATGATGCCATTCAAATCAAGAACCGTCTTCTCTCGGTGGCATGATCAGGTTCCCTGAAGAAGAAGCAGGCAGAAAATGACCCATCAGAAGAATCAATCATCAATACTGCCCAAACTAAGGCTGCAATCCTCCGAGAGACGTCCGTCCCCTTGACTACGTGGCGGGGTTCTTCTGGATTTTTATCGAGAAATCTTCATCTGATGCGTGGGGAAGCATCCGAATCAATCGACTGTTACTTTATTGCTCCCTTGGCTTTCCGTTCTGCCTCCGACCTCATCCGCAATGGTATCGAGGCAGGCTCCTCTCCTAGCCAAAGCAAGGCATACAGACTTATTGAAGGACCCCCTCCCTTCTGTGAAGAACTCCTTATCCATCCCTTTGCCAACGCACCACCGCAGTCTAGAGCTGCAAGTCCCTCTCTATGCCAATTGATGGGCCACACCACACACAAGCCGGATAACGGCAATTCGTAGATGCACATCTCGAATCCGACCTGGATATGGCGGGCAATATCCCCTCGCCTTGCTTGAACTCCTCCCGACTGCTTTGGATGGATTCTGCTAATAGCATCCTAGGTGGATCTGGCACCGTACACCACTTTGGGCTAGACAATATTGAATCAATATCTTTGGATCCTACCTACCAGGCCTTGAACGGAACTAACTCTATAGCATCTCATGTTCTCAAATTAGGTAAAATCCTGGGATACCAATTGCACTGGCCTAGGTCTATGCTACCTATAAATATATATATCTGGTGGCAAAGATGGTCAAAGATGTTAAAAAGATTACATGAAATGGGGTAAATACTTTGTGATTGATATCTTCTCTTGTTTGTACCTGGGTGGTGTCTTCTGTGTGATTTGGATATATTCGCTCTGTACAAAGTGATAACAATGAATAACATAACATAACAAGGAGAAAGACAATTATTACCCCAGGAACTAATTTGAGCTTCTCATAGGTATCAAGTCATTGGCTGGACTCGACAGCGATTAAACCAAACATAAAATAAACAATTTGGTATTGCTACCCCCAAATCTAACAACTATGCGACGTGATACAATATCCCAAACAAACTGAACCCCTGATCAAACAGATATATAGGTAGATATAAACAGAAAGCCGCCCCGCTAAAACACCGAGAAAGCAAACGAAACAGATCCCTGGTATCCAACCAGTGCAACAAGCAGATATGTACAGTACTTGGCTCCGACCAGTCAGATGTCAGGTAATTCCTCTTACACTGCAAGCCTTCGTCTCCCAAACATTTTACCATGTTTCCTAATTTTCGTCAGTGCATATCCGCAACATAAGTGGCTGGAAGATAAAACTTACTGCAATATATTGCCCCGCCTCCTTTTTGTTATCCCAGAACAACTTGGCCTCTTCTTGGTTCAGATTACCCTTGGCCATAGCAACCTCAACCAGTGCCTGTTCAACCCCCTCGCCCATTCCCTTGCCGCTTCCGCAGACGAACACACGTCCGTCCAAAGCGTTGATCACGAACCACACCAGATCCGCTTGGTTGCGGACCTCCTCCTGTACATACTTGCTCTCCCCACGACGACTTTGGACCACCGTGCGGACCTTGTCCTCATCCACACCCCACTCACCACGATAGAGCTCATCGAGCAGTGAGTCGCGAACACCCTGCAACACCCAAACCTTATTCGCACAGTTGGCAGACTGAAGACGTCGCTGGACAAATCCGCGGAACGGAGCGATGCCAACGCCAGCCCCGATAAGAAGCATAGGGCCGTCAGAAACAAATCTCTTGGCCAAGGGGTTGGCCATCAAGCCGCGGAACATGGGGATGTGAATGTCGAGAGTTGCAGGGTCGATGCCTTGCTTTTCGGCTTGGATGAGGCGCCTTGCTTGGCGTTCAAGGAATCCGGATCCTACCCCAGTTCGCAGGCCACCGTTCCAGGCGTCGGATTCTGCAACGGACACTGCGATTTCAACCAGACGGCGGGATTGGGTACCCTTTCGCTTGCAGGAGATGAGGGGGTCCTGCGACAAAGAATAGAAGCGAGGCATTAGGGTGTTGAGGACGGAAAGAAGGTGATCCAGAGGAGGTTGAGAAGAGGGGAAGGCGTGGAGTAACTGGGAGACGGTGATATGCGAGCTAGTGCGAAGATCGCAGAAGGCACCCTGACCTTGCGCGGACGACAAGAACATCAGGATCTTTTTCTCATCTTGGTTGCTGGAGTACTCAGCAAGCAATCGAAATAGACCCTTTGTGGGGGCATAACTCTGGATATCAGAGCACCAGGTCAAGAGCTCTCTGCGGGTCGTGATCAACTCCCTAGGTTGGTCGTCACCCCAGATCGTGGGCCACCTGCCTTGGGTGGTGCACACAGTGACTTTCTTGTCGCGAATTGATTTAGGGATACAGAGTCGGTTAAAAATATCCTCGACCTCTTCTCCCTTGTTCATAGGGCATACACCAATGGCACCACCCACAATGAAGTCAACGTTTCCACTTTCTGCGGGGTAGTCGGTTACATCGATGTCAAAGTGGTACGTTCTCTTCTCTGCCCCAGGCTTGGTGAGTTCTCGGGCATGGTATAACGGCGCGCGATAGACGTTGTATGGAGGGTGGGGTTGAACAAACGGTGGCGGATGACCTGAGGGACCCAGTTCCATATCCACAGCCGACGCTGGGATGCCTGCGAAAGACACAGTCTTCTCTGGGAGGGCAACAATACTAGTAAGTTCGCTTTCCAACCCGAGAAGTTCGACATTCAGCTTCAAGCTGTTGTAGGCTTGGTTGTCGGGAGGCGTGACAGGGTTGGTCACTGAAACTGGTCCAGAGATTCGGTTCAAGGGCTGGCTACGACAGCATCCACCGCCACAGCACATGGGCTGTAGTTTCTGTGTTCCGCCTGCTCCCACATTCTCCAGAACACGCCTCATATCCTCAGGACCCTGTGTGATGAGAACAGTCGAGGCCCGTCGTCGATGTCCGGTTCCATTTTCAGTCGACGACCCTTTGCGCGAAGAGTCTTCCAGATCGGAGTGCTCTGTTGGTGGGGTAGATGGGGACTCGGAATCTGTATTTTCGGTCTCTTGAGATCCAGTGAAGGTCATACTAGTGACCGACAACGAACGATCCCGAGGTTCTTCAGGGACTGGATTATCTGGATGAGAAGTGGACGATATGGGAATTGTTCCAAATTCTCCATGTGTGGCGTATGCTGGCCGCGAGGCCGAGGTCCGCGACGATAGCGCAGGTGGGGAGAAAACGGCGTGAACTGAGAGAGAGAGAGAGAGAGAGAATCGGATAAGTGTTTGATACTTACATAGCCTCCAACAAAGAGGAGACAGGGAAGTAGGCATTAGACTCACCCATTGTGACTGTGAGAGGGTAAGAAACCAAACAAAAAGATCCCTGGCAAGAGTGAACCCAGCAGTGAACCCAGCAGTGAGTCAGAAGAAGGAAAGCTGGCTTCTAGAAGAGGATTGAGAGAGGAATGACTGGGTTCAAAAGGATATGAAAAGGGATGGAGAAAAGGGGAGGGTCGAGAACGACGAAAGACTATCGAAATTGAAAAGCCAATTCTTCGGCTGGTGGACACCACAGTGATCGGTCGATATGCAAAATGAACGGGGAATTGGAGGAGTCGTTGGTCAGAAAAGGACGAAAGTCGTCACTACTGAGGGTGGGATGAGGCGGAAAGTCTTGTGAACTGGGGCAAATCAGTACCGGGATAGTGGTTCCGCGACGCTAGGTAATAGTGCGTAACATTCAAGACCCACTTGACCTTGAGAATTCTTTGCTTTTTCCTTAGGAGATAATTTAATTATCCTGTTAGAAGAGAATTCCAAGCAATAGGTAGTGATATTAGGGAATGATGGATGTGACACGGCAAGAAGAAGAAGAAGAAGAAGAAGAAGATAAAGAAGAAGATGACATGAGTCGAGAAGGAAAAAAAAAATCAGATAACGGGCCACCGTCAAATAGGCCGTCGCCACTTGCGGTCGGCAAACGTCAGTACCACTGCATACCGTCTGTAATTTTACCCATTTTCTGTGCGCATCCGAACCTCCGGCAGGAGTATGAAGATGAACTTTGTTGGAGGATTAATTTCAGATATCATTTTCCAATTGTCTTCGAGAAATTTAATCAAGGATATGATTCCGATGTAGGCATTGGTAGGAAGTAGCCTGGCCCCTGATTGGTGTCTAGCAGTGCTCGAGATTGATAGTTACATAGTAGAAAAGGATGGTTACCTACAATTTCTCAAGTCATTATTAGATATAAGCCCCGAATACGAATAAGAAGGGTTTCTCTTGTGTCTCATTCATTCGACGTGGCCTGACGTTAGAACAGCCGAATGTTACCGATCTAATCTGATCCGGGTTCGTCCATCCCTCGAAACTTGAAAATCCCTCTTCTGTCTTCCGAGGCATGAGCTAGTTCAATAATTAGCTCACTATCTTATATATTAACAAAGCTTGCTTTTTCCCCCGATAATTTGACCTGTAAGCTTAATGACTACTGGTAGTATTATTCTTCTTCTTCTTCTTCTTCTTCTTCTTCTTCTCCTTCTCCAGTATCCACTATCCCAGCGAGGAAAGCGCTTTTTTTAATTCGCAGGCATTCCGCGTACGGAGTAATTTCAGAGGTAACTTCCGGATCAGATAACCGATTTCGGTATCTGTAACTTACGGTAAGTTACTGACCGGCACGAACTCCGGCCCACGGTCCTCCTTGCCTCATCAACCCGAGTTAATCCCGATCTTTCACTCTGGGGGAAGAATTTGCTGGACTTGGTTGTCAAGTCCTTGTGTCTTGTTCTTCTTTCAGCAATACTGGAAAAGGTGCGTATTCGAGTGGGAAATGGTTTATTCAAGCACCCAAGTGGGGCAAGCCGATGTCCGTATCATATCAATCAGATACCAAATTAGGATATCCTTGGCGTTCCACTAGAATGTGCTCTGTGGCCTCTCTAGACTCTGAGTCTCTGGACACCGGAATTCTTCGTGCGTTAGTGTGAACTCACTCATCATGCAGTGCGAGTCGCGACTCTGGTTCTACTCCATACTCTGTACTGATAGGGATTTCCCCGCTACTCCAGGTGCGCATGCTAAATAAGGGTAAGCACTTTACTGCCACTTAGTTAACTATAGCCTAGCCTATACTCCGTAAAGATGGCTTTTACCCCTCTTAGAATGACTATTACTTAATACCATTTTTATGCCCTTTAATACCTTTGAAACTCTACGTGTATGCCCCACCCTGTGGTACGGCTTAGCCTGTGGAGATATCTAAAGGCCACGGGTTGGTAGATTGTAGTTTACCTTGTGGGCGGCGATGCTATCAGACTGGGTGTCTTGTGTTGTTTTCTGCCCAGAGACTGGAAAAGGTTGCGACCGCCACAAGCGACTTCAGGGCGAAGACAAGACATCAGTGCCGAGTCTGGACCTCTTTGTATGTGCAACGTGCATAAGGTGCTACGCCGACTGATGAGGGTAAATGAACGGGCACGTACATATCATGCCTAGAGCCTTAGATCCTTAGGGTTCATAACGGTCGTAGGGAAGCATTAGTCGTCTAACTGGTTTGCTGTAGATAGGTTAATAACAAGCTTATACTCATGAGTGCAGTTATTCTCATACACCCACAACCTATCAATATACAAACAAGCCTTAACCCTTACATTAAATCTACCAAGAAATGGAAATAATCTTTCAAATTGCATACTAGGATCTGAAAAGCACAACTCGAGGTTACGACTTGTTTTCCGCACACAGAGCCATCATAGAAAGCCATCACGCCTAGCTACTCTAACCCCAATTGCTCAGTTCGTCATCAGATAATGGTGTACAACAAGTATTGTTATCACTACAGTATCTAGGCTCATCAGGGTCGTTCTATCCGTTGTGAGCCTATGTTCAGCCGACGGCCTTGGCATCACTCTTCTTATTCTTCTTCTTCACCCTCCTCTTCTACATCGTCCTCTTCTTCGACTTCGTTTCTCCAACACAGGCCGGCACCCGCCGGTCTGTGGAAATCTGGGTCAAGATCCTCATCCGAAGCGTCGGCCGCCCCACTCATGGCAAGAACACGATGTAAAGTCCACTGGAGCTGGAGTAATTTGACCGATGGCAGAGGAAGTTTGACCGGATCAGTCGTATGGAAAGTGAGGATATCCCCAGACGGAATCTTTTCCTCGGTTGCTAGCTTGAATAACTTAGCAAAAGGTATACCGTCCTTGGTGCTCGAGATAAGATCGGGGGCAATAGGAGATGGAGCCCGGGTGATTGACTGGCTTTTCAGATAATCCATTGTAGGCAGCCAAAGGAATTTCACGGTCAGTGTTGTTAGGTCATCGCTTAGCTGACGTGGACATAGAGCAAAACGAGCCTTTTCCCACAATTTGTGGGCGATGTTACTGAAGCACATGAGATTGGCGCAATGCTCAGTTCCTTGAGGTCCTAGTATTTCGGCCTTCCAGGAATCCGTTTTCTCTGATGTCCAGAAGATGGACAGAATTTCCCAAAACTCCTCCTGTTCTGTCTTGCTCTATCTCTATGGGCTCTTTGAAACCGGTGATCAGGCAAGTAGAGTCGTCTCGTTTTTCGCACTAAGATAGATTAGTAGATCGTTTGGACATGTTATAAACAGTTTAAACTCACTAGGTTCCTGGCAGATTTCTTGCGAGCGGTACTAGTTTTGGTTGATGTCATGCTGGGCCTGACCGAAGAAGCGGCCGCCTTCTGGGGGCTTGGTCTATTGATTAACTTGGGGATCTTTGATGGAGACTATTTCCCCATGGTACGAGCTTTTCTCTTTCCGCTAGGTGTCTCATCATTGGAATCTTGGTCCGAGATCTGATTATCTTCCAAATCACTCTGGCTCCCAGCATCTTTTGGCTTCTTCTTTGGACGGGCGCACCCTGGTGTCGTCAGCTTAGCTTAAAGATGATATTAGTAAGTTCATAGTACTTACAGTCCCTCAGCATGTCCGAGATGTCCGGGGACCTAAGCATACTTTTGAAAACGCGGCGAAAAGCTTCATCCTCAATGACACGGGGTATCAGACTCTGAAGCATCTCGATATTGGCGAACCAGAGACACACCCATGCCGCGGAAGTCATTCTGCTTTTGCCGATAACATCTGCAAGCTGCTCCATCAACTCACGTCGCTGTTTATCGAGAAATTCATCAGCTGGGCCCACAGAGGCGTCCATACTGTCAGCTTTACCGTTCAGCTAAAAAAGGTGTCCAGACAGCCATTTCTAGCTAATACAGTATTATATTGGTCCACACATACTAAAGGGAGAAGCGAAGGTGAGCTAGATGCGTGAGGAGCAAGAAAATCGAAGGAATGTAGAGAGAAATCCGGAAGGATAAGAAGAAAACTGTGGACCAAAATAATACTGTATCAGCCAGAAATGGCTGTCTAGACACCTTTTTTAGCTGAACGGTAAAGCTGACAAAAACCTTATCGGACCTATGAAAACGTCATTCTTGCCTCAGAGAGAGACAAGAGAGGATGGAGGTGGCATAGAGGCAGGTAGAAAGAGAAGAGCAAAAGGAGGAAAAGGTGAGGAGTTTTCTTTTATAGGTATCGTAGGTAGATTAAACAAGGCCTCAAGGCAGCCGCTTGTGTTAGATCTGGCTGTAACACACCTTTTCGCGTTTGTATATAATTTTATTAGTGAGGATAAAGATACCTGGCTAGCACTAGTTATATCACATTCACTCTGTAATAATCAAATATATATATTTACAAGACTGGGCATATACCTATCAGACTACCTCGACACTTCGAACAAGATTATCTGATCTTACTAGCTGATACGGTGGCTGAGAACCTAACACAAGTGGCAGATTGTCACTTACCCACGGAGTACGTAGTACTGGTAGTACATTCCTGCAATCCACTCGGAGCTCTCCACTGAAGAACTCCAAGGCGGGCTGAAAGTTCCGTCGTGTACCCCGCCTTTCCTTTATTTTGAGGCTATTCCAAACAGTCAGTCTTCATCCTCCCTTTTGCTGACCCTTTGGTCTCCCTTGAACTTGGCGTGATTTCGCATGCATTCATACTTAGTCATGCCAGGGAATGGAATAACTAGTTATCACTCAAGTTCTTTCTTTGTAGTTTGTCGTGGGCAGTGTAAGTTCCAGGGTTATACAGTTGGCCGGGGTAGACATCCAGTTGCTACCCGCAGTCAAGACAGGATGAACTAAGACTCTTGCTTCCACGTTGTGGAAAATGACGCAGGGTCAGATGAGAATCGGACTCGAGTCTTCCTCGTGACGCCGTCATTCCTAGTCCAAAGATGGCGGGGGACAGTAGCTGTAAACTACCGCTAACATCAAACTGCATATGACATGCCGTGGAGAAATCAGCCTAACTAAAAGATATCAGGCATGTTGTTTTCCCCCACTACAGAGTACATACAGCCATTTTCTTTACGTCATGGGGGTTTCAATGCACTTCTATCGAGGTACCTGTTCTGCAACTCACGTCTATCTATTTCCACACCCTACGGGAACATACCAGGCTGCACTTTGACGTCAATATCCCCCCGCAGCAGGATTTATCACCAACCCGTTCGGTTGCTACTCGGAGGAACGGAAATACTGTTTCGATATAGAGTACTCCGTACTCTTGATTATATTATCTAGATCAGCTACGTTTCCTTGGCCAAGGAATTCCATCAACCAGCCGGTTACGGCTCAATCCCTAGGTTTTTTTTTTTTTTTTACCACTTGAAAGTCAACTCGCGCGCCCAGGCGCCAGTCTCCGTGAGTTTCTCCAATCCTGTTATGGAAAGAACTTGTGAGTTGGCGTCATATTCAACCGGCACTGACTTTCCGTTGAGGGTCACGGATGAAGGTTTCTTGGAAACACCCAAGACGGTTACATTTGCCAACGGGTTGGCTTCCCTCCATTCACCCCAGGATGAAACTCCTAGGGTAGAATGAGATGCGGTAAAATTGACGTCCAGAGTAGTGCTAGGGTAAATACTCTCGCCATCGTCAAGATAGAGCTGGCCTGAGGCAGTCCCATCCTTACCCAAGGCAGCCAGCAGAGACCAAGGTGACTGGCGGGCGTCTTTCGTGGTCAATGCTGGTTCCTGCATGGGAAGGATGCTCCCGCCGCGCACATATACAGGAATATGGCCCAATGGCGCCGCAATAGTTGTGTTGACGCCGGGTTTCGCATCAACGGCAGTTTGTGTGTACCAATCGTACCAGACCTCACCCTGTCCGACGCCTGGGAATACACCTTTGACAGTGTCGACCTGGGGCTCGAGAACCGGCACCACCATGATGGATGACCCAACGAGGAACTGGGTGTCGACAGCAGCTAGGGAGGGATCGTTGGGAAATTCCCAGGCTAGCGCCCGCAGCACAGTAGAACCTGTAGAGTGTGCATTCTGCATGAGAGTGTAAAAGTATGGTAGAAGGGAATAACGGATTTTCATCGCTGCTTTTGATGCATCAATTACGGAAGCCCATCGATAGGGTTCCTGAGAGATAGCTGAAATGACATTGTGGTTTCTATAAAACGGGAAAAAGGCTGACAACTGCATCCAGCGGTTGCACAGTTCTTCGTCAGTATTCCCGTTGAAGCCGCATGTATCAACTCCAAACATCGGAATACCAAAGAGAGAGAACTGCAGGCCCTGCGAGATTGAGAAATACATAGAGCCCCACTTTGAATAGTTGTCACCACCCCAGTGGCCTGCCCATTTTCCAGATCCAGAGAAGGTCGAGCGACCGATGATGAAGGGGCGCTTTCCGGAAAAGACTCTCAACAGGCCTTCGTAGGTCGCTTGGATACCCTGGTGACCAAAGAGACTGTGAACATCATATTCTTGTATACCATCTACGTGGGTTGAATTAGGCGAAATTGCATGAACGGCAAGATCATGGCCAGGCTGGACATGGTTAATCACATAAGGTGGGTAATTGACGTTGCGGACTCCAGGAGTAGGGGTAGTGCGCAAGTATGAGGTTGCGGTGGATGGGGTGGAACCTCCTCCATTAGCAGCTGCCTGGCTGGACGATGCAGCGGAGGCAGAAGCAGCCTCTGTGCGATTGGTGACATCAAAGTCTTCCGGGTAATCGTAAATAATATTTCCCGGCTCGCCAGAAAGTTGGAAGGGTGGATGAACAGGGTTCAAAGTCAGGTTCCCGGTTCCGCAGCTGCCAACACAGAAAGACGAAACTTCGGCCATATCGTACCATATACCGTCAAATTCCATCTTCTCATGCCAAATTACGATTTCGTTGGCCCAGAAATCAATCGCCTTAGGGTGGTACCAGTCAGGGAAGACGGTATACCCTGGCCAAACAGCTCCAATATAGAGACTCCCGTCCGGGTTTTTAATAAAGAGATCCTCTGCGGCGCCTCTAGTGTATGTGTCGTACCTAAAGCTAGAATAAGCCAGTACTAGAGCGCTTAGGGGGAAGAAACTTACGCATCAGAAGCATTCTCAGGATTCGGGATATAAAGAGCCCCATCCACAATGGGAACATAATGGCGCCCATTTGCGTGGAGCTTGTCGAGGAACTCCTTGGTATCGCTATCAGAAAACCGATGTTGATCCAAGGTAAAATCTCGGTAACCATGCATATAATCAATATCGGACCTACATGTCCATTAGCCTTAATATAAGCTCCACATCGATCAAATAAATATATACCAGATATATTCCAGAGGAATTGCGAACTTCTCGAAATTGGCAACAACGTCCGCAAGTTCAGACCAGTTGGTGTAGCCCCAGCGGCATTGATGGAAGCCGAGAGTGTTGTACTTTTGCATAGCAGGAAGTCCAATGGTGCTGAGTTGGTACTGTTTGGTGACATCTGCCGCACTCGGTCCCGAATACAAGGTGAGATCGATGCTTCCTCCGACGGTGCGCCACGTCAGGCCATGGGGGTTCAGGATCACCTCTTGGCCATGGGCGTTTCTCAGGAAAACACCATGCGAGTACGATACATATTCATGTGATGGATCGGACTCGCTGCTCTTCACGTATGTGTGCTCTTTAGTGTGTTCGTCAACGGAGTAATAGCGGCTGTCTAGATAAAACGCATGATGACCGTAGACATTGCTAGCGAAGAAATAGTGAGCCTCTGGTTGTAAAATCGAGGATAGATGGTACATACGCATCAATTGGGTCACCGATATCTGCTGCATACGTGGTAAGGGTGGCATTTCTCAAGAGCCGCAGTTGGTTAATCCGCTCTCCAAGCCCATATAAATTGTATTCTTCGGGAAGGCTCGTGACGAACTCAATGAACTGATTTTCAAAGACCAACACAGAGCCTGTAGTGTCGAAAATCACCTCTCTGGTTGCCTTCCGGGTCACCTGGAAGTTGAAGCTGGGCTCATTGGACCATGTAAGGGAGAGATCGCTATGCGAGGCAGAGGCACCAGGGGAGGCTTTGGGCCGGGGAACAATTTCTTCTGAAAGAGTAAACCAAGATGAATTCGAGGCATCCAAGTAGGTAGGTACGATCTGAATGTTCAGACGATTCATATCTTGAAATTCCACATTCAGTGTCAATAAATCGACATCCGTCCCATAAACATTACACGGGTCACCAGCCAGCTCCAGGCTGGCGCTGAAGCCATGACTAGTGTGGCGCACATTAGATGCTTTGTACCCGGGGCACACGGACTGTGCGTTAATAGCTTGTGGGTCGTCAATGTTGGCAATCAGTTGTGCACCAACATCAGCGGAGGCGGGGATAGTGAATTGGGTGTATTCAGCAGTCAAAGTCGCAGATGCGATCGGGTCGCGCTCGTGTACCCCAGCGTACGTGAGGCCGGCTGTAAGCCAAGTCCCTACCAGAAGATCCGCTACTTTGACCATCGCGTAAACACTAGCAGACTGTAGATCTGATCGTACGATGTTCTTCTTCTTCTCAGTCGTACGGGCCACGCTTTATATTTATTTGGCAGGATCCACACGCAATCCGCATGGAAGGCCTCAATAATGAGAAAGTCACCTGCATCCGGAGCTCTGCCGTGTTACCCCATCCGTGAAACACAAACCAAAAATGTTTTTCCGTTGGATTTTAGAAACGCAAGGGGACAGAGTGTTGACTGGCTCGAATATCCCTGGGTAGCTCGAGGTTGAGGGCGAAAGTGTGGGGGAGAAGAGGGGAGGAGAACGATCGGCCATTTATGTAGCAACGAACCAAATCGAGGACAATCAAGGAGGACGATCAAGGGCTTTTCCGTCGCCATGAATTGACAGACGTGGAGATAGTTGAGGAATCGAGGACTCTCTTTGAAGTTTGAGATCATCCAGTGAGTCTGGAGTGATTGGCCGCTGCTCCGACAAAAGACCGCTACATAGTGCTAATTTGATTAACAGATACCCTTAAGATCAAGGTAGCATTCAACCTTCCCCAGTCCAGGCGATGGCATGAGCATCCAAGGTAGCAAGAGAAGAGGATCACAATCCCCGCGAGTATCGCTGCGCGCCATTCAGAAATTACGTCAAGGGGGAATTTTCACGTTCTGAGTGCCGACTTGCTCGGGACTGGGATGAGATTGGATGGTGTTGGGTCGACGGCGAGAGACGAATTCACCCACAAGGAAGCAATGCAAGGCTTGGATTTAGATCTCTTCTAGAAATGTTCGATTCTCAGATCAACGGCTGTTCCCCCTGGACATACGAGGTGCCTTATCTACGTTTTCGCAACGTGTGGTTTGCGTTGACTCAACCAAGACTCCTGACGGCTGACAGAGGCATCCCAAGAAGCTCCAGGAATAAACATCGGTATAAAGATCACCAGAAAGGGCATTATGATGGCAATGACATCGACATTGCTAACACAGACAATGCCAGATTAATCCCGAAGATACAGGGATTCAAACCTAGCCATGAGTTGTGATGTGATGCCTTATTCCAGCCCACCATCTTCTCGGCTTCCCGAGGTAAGCTACCCTAAGCGAACCAGTCCTTGCAAAGCGTCATTAATATAATCAGGGTCATAGCCGTAATACTCCGGCTTCTTTAAGATCTCTGCCGAGCTAGCTGGCTAGTGGCCTGCACTAGTCACTAGCACATGTCAGGCATTTGCGTAGCCGACATTAAACGGCTCTCGGATGCCCCGAACGGAGCCCAAGGGAGGACCCCAGAAAATAACGCATCCTGCCCCAAAACATTACCCCGGAAAGGAAGATGCCCCGGGGTGCTATACGATTTCTTCCCCTCGACCCCTCGTATGCTCAAGCACAGGCGTTTGGAAGCGAATAGATGGATGTCGATATGGGAGGAACGGTGACATGTAGGATCCACCGCAAGACCTGATTTGCGAGTCAAGTCCATGTCTAGGACCAAACAGCGTTCGCGCGCACCTGCAGGTGCTGCAACAACGCATAAGAACACATACCAGAGTAATTTAAGAGTTATAGACTGGAGAGAAGTAACGCTGGGTCAGCTTGGGGACACTAGTTAAGACACGAAAGTCGTAAGGTCCAGCGGCGCAGACTCTCAGGCAGGGCCTCACTTCTAAGGCAGCTCTCCCTTGTCTTTCGCTCTCTTACTTCCCTCTTTTTTTTTCTCTCTCTCTCTCCTCCCCCGCTCTCCATCTTCCCCAGATTTCATCCCCCTTGCGACGCAAATTTTCTAGATCATTATATCTTTTCAATAGCTGCCGATCACATGTGGTCTATTCTGTCTCTGTCCACCTCTGACCTACCTAGGGTGTTACGATGAGCCCCCAAAACTACTGAGACTGGCCTTCCGATTGGTACCTAGTACTCCGCGCAACCTTCCGCAATCTAGCGCCCTCCCTCTTCCTTTGACCGTCTAGATCTTTTTGTCCCATTCTCTCCAGATATGGACTCCTGTTCCTCCTCTCCAAAGCCAAAATCTTTCAAACAAGCCTGTGATAATTGTCGCAGGCGCAAAATCAAATGTTCCCGAGAGCTGCCGTGCGACAAATGTCAGCGCCTTCTCCTCTCCTGCTCCTATAGTGACGTTCTCCGTCGCAAAGGCCCCAAGTTTCGGACGCTGTATCCTCTGGCGCCTATACATCCTCTGGTGTCAAGACAGCGGAATATTCTCCAATGCCATGGGCAGCAATACTCTGGAGACAAAGAATGGTTCCCCGATCCCATGGGCTACCCTATAAGTGGTTCCCCAGTGTCTCCTCCCCCTTTCGCACTGGAAGAACCTCAATATCCACCAACCGAACACACTGATTCGTTCAGTCGACTACCGCTTCCGGAGCTGGTCTCCTCCCCTGACTCGACGAATTCATTGACGGACTCTGCCGGGGGTGCAATATTCCCTTCCCCGCGAAACTTATCTCCAGCGATCCTTTTGGCTCATGTCAATGTCTATTTGAAATACATGTTTCCTATCATGCCGGTTGTGCGAAGGGAAACACTTCAGCAGGATTGTCATCATCCAGAGCGTCTCTCGCCCCAAAGATACGCCTTTCTGGCCTCATTGTGTGCCGCAACACATGTTCAACTGAAGCTAGACGGAGCAGCCCCGGTTGCAGACCCGTCGCAATTCCATTCTGGCGTTGATGGACGTTCTATGATGTCCGGGAAAGAGCTGCTCGCAGAAGCTGTGTGGGCCCGGAAGGAGTGTGACCTAGTAGAAGATATCGGCATTGAGAGTCTGCTGACCTCATTCTTTCTATTTGCGGCATACGGAAACCTGGATCGTCAGGAGCATGCGTGGTTTTATCTCTGCCAGACTACATCTATGGTATTTACTCTAGGCCTCCATCGTGAATCGACCTATGCCGAGCTAAGCGTCGAGGAGGCCGAAGAGAAACGACGGATTTTCTGGCTGGTATTCGTAACAGAGAGGTAAGCCGGGAAAACCTTGGATGTGATAAAAATCGAGCTCTAACCATTCTGTGATCTTTCAGAGGCTACGCCCTGCAGCAAGCAAAACCGGTTATGCTCCGAAACTCCATCCACAAGCCACAAGTCCTCTGTTCTGACGACCCTATCCTTGCTTACGGCTTTATCAACCTCATCGGAGTTTTTGAAAAACTCAGTGTCAACTTATATGACTGGGTTTGCGCCGGTGGGAGGGATGGGCCTGGGGAAATGCCCCCCACTTCTGCCATCCAGGCTAACCTCAGCAAGCCCATATCTCTCGAAGGAGTTTCGGAGATTCAAAGGGTTGACATTCTCGTCACGCAGCAGTGGCTGCAAGCCATGATGTGGAAGCTCTCCATGACCCGTCCTTCGCAACCAGGGTCGCGGAATGACGCAGTTCTTCCCTTCCATCTCCCTGTACTGGTAGGCAAAGATGTGATGTCGGTCATCGGAGCAGCCTCCCAAGGCGCTGTCGATGCCCACGGAATTGGAATGGTTAGTTCTCCCGAGCAGTAGACAGGCAGTCGACTGTTCTAATTAAAATTTCTTCCAGGAGCAAAAACTGTTTGACCTCGGTACATCTGTCGCGGACGTCTCACGATCGCTCTCGACAAAAGCCGCCCATAGCTTGGCAGAATCAGCAATCGATCCTCGCGAGTTACTTTGGGGCATGCTCTCTACACTCTCTCGGATCCGTGGCTCCCAGTCCTACCTTTTCCCTTCACTTCTTGAGCGATGCAAAGGTATCGTGGGCCTTGACTGCTCTTTTTCAATGAGCAACTTTCTCCCTCCTCTCCCGGCTTCTTCTTCCGGAACATTCGACCCCATCTCCTCATGGGCTGCTCATGAGAACAACCGCAGTAATACCAACACCGGTGCCTGGGAGATCATCTCCCTCCCAGATAAGCCTCATGATCAAAGCAATGACACCATGGAATCGGTCCCTAGAATACTTCCGCCAACCTCAGGCCCGGCCGAGATCCCGTTTCAACCGGGGACCTCCTCCCTCCTCGCCTAACACTATATACCCTTTTTCATAAACAACTTCCTCTTATTTATCTTCTTGATTAAGTGACTGGTTAATCCTTCTTGTTTGTCGGTCTCTACTCATTACCCCTCTGTATATCCATGTTTCTTTCCTTCATATATATATATATTTATATATGTACAAAACTACCACACGATGATGCATCATTCATGCCTAAAGATTTGAAATGAACGGCCATATAATGCCAAAGTGGTTGGTTGGACTGTTATTCAGAGATCCAGGAACGAACTCTACCCTATTTTGAGGGTTACGCACTTTCATCTCATTCTCGTTCTCATTCCCATTCTCATTCCCACTCCTTTTTATTATGGCTCAGTACATATCTACCTACTACGTTCTTGTGCTTACTTTATTTGGTACCCTTTTTTTCCTCGTTTTTCTTATCTAGTTCCAGGTTCAATCGCATGGATGGATGGATGGATGGATGGAGAGGTAAATACTCCCGTACAGAATCAGAATTAGACCCAGAGCCAGTAACCTACATATATATATATATATGTAGCTTTTGGATCATCCTCATCGAACAGTATGCAGGATTAAAAATAGTATACCTACTTAAATACGTGATTATGTATGTAACTCTGGAATGTAAAGCATGACAAACCAACTGGATGCCTCCTACGACCTACTTACCTGTGACTATAAGACTCAATGCAAAAAAAAAAAGGAAGTAATCGGATTCAATCTTTGTGATATTTAATATTAATTCCGATGAGGAGAGGAGGACTTTAGTCCAATCCGCCCACCAATTGCTGCCTATAATCCTGAACCTATGAAGCCCCCGACCCCAGCATCCCAATTATTGAACCCCAGTTCAGTAGTCGATCCCAACCAGATGGGCCATATACTAAATATACAGTGGAAGCGATGAAAAAAAAAAAAGGAAAAGACAAAGAAAAGTGGAGACATGAAGGAAAAGAAAATGTCACGCACAAGTGATATCATCCGGGCTAATCAATCAAAACTCATAATCTAGTAAGTACCATAACATTAATTATACCCGTATTATCGTGGGTGGCGTGGATGTGTAATCTATAGATAGTTGGTGGTGTGTATGCATGTATACGGCGAGGAGGAGTGGTGGTGGTGGTGGTGGTGGTGGTGTGGTTAGAGTGTGTCGATAAAATGTGCGCGCACCCTTCGATTTCATAATGTGTGATACGTAGTGGTGGTAGTAGTTGAGGAAGGAAGAGAAAAATAACACTCGTCAAGACAGAGCCGATTTATCGCATTAGCCAGACCAATTCCATGACCTGATCGCCGTTCTCAGGATCGCGATGAATGTACCACTGTCGAACTTGGTCCCCGTCAATGACGGAATCCTCCATCAGGTATGTGATCTTGCCCTCATCCTTGGGGCGCAGGGGGCCAAGCTCATGCATAAATGCCTCCATGGCGGCCCCGTGGTCGCCAATCCAGGTGAGTTCCATCGACTTGTCGTTGGGGGTAATCGCCTTGCTGTATTTGGAGATGGAGAAGCCATTTGTCAGGATCCAGCCGTCCGTAAATCGCCATTTGCGGAGAAGGCAGGTGTCCCCGCAGACTTCGCCCACTTTGCTCATCTTGGCCATATCAGCATGGAACCACGACTTCCAGTGGTGAACGGAGAGAGGCGGGGGTCTTGCAGCCTCAAAAAATCCAGTGACATCGCCGAGGACGTCTAGCTGTCGGAGGCGGTGGTCGATGGTGAGGTAGGTGTCCGTGTATTGGTAGATGCAGAGGGAAATCCTACGGTCGCCGGTAAAATCCATGTCACGGCAAACGTTGAAGATTTCGGGCTGACTCAGTTGATCAAGAAGAGGGCGAGAGAGGAAGACGCCAGCGCCTCCAAAACCCATCAACCCAAACAGTCCGATCTGCGCGATACTTTCTGACAGGCCACCGACATACATGGGCTTGGTGTCGTCGTATTGTTGAAAGGCATCCATCAGGGCCGCCATGGAGATGAAGAAAGTGTCGTCGTCCATAATGCAAGACCAGCGGGTCCCATCGCGGGCGTTCTCTGCTAAGTGGGAGACCAGGGAGAAGTACCGGCGGTTATACTCCTCATCCGACTCGGTCACATACAGGTTGATCCCCAGCGAATCCGCCTTCGCTAATACTTCGGGAACCCGGTCATCCGGCTCGATGAGGGCAAAAATGCGCGTCCGTGTGTAACCTGCCCAGTGCGAAAACGCATCCAGCGAATCGTTCAATCTATTGAGGGTGGTGGCTATCCCAAAGTCGAAGTGTGAGGCATCCACGGTCGGAGGAGGACGTGGAACGTGTAGCGAAACAGGTTTTCGAACGGAGCAGTCATTCTGCAATTGCTGCGCCGCCGCTGGGTCTTTGTCGCGATGCGACGACGCTTGTTCAAACAAGGGGATATCTAGAGTTTGGCTCAAGGGGAGTGCGTCGTTTGCGGACCGGACCGCCACTACCTCGCGGCGCACATACTGGGTGAGTTTCTGTACATGGAGACGCTTCAAAACCTCGAAATCGGGGTCGCAGCCGACATCAGCAGTGATGGTAATATTCGTTTCGGGAACGACTTCAACAATCTCAGATTCAAAGTGGTGTTTAGTGTAATCGATGCGCGGGGCGAATAAGACAAAAAAACTACCGATAAGACTTGCAGCGGCGAGAACGCGCGGCAGCTTCTTTTTCCACACCCAGGAGGAATTCCTTGACATCCGAGACCGCTCTCCGTATTTGGCCAACATTATTATATCAAGACAGGGAAACGAGCGACAGTGAATACGACACTAAAGGCACATCCGCATTTCGTTCCTCCAACACTGTAGCTGTTTCTAGTATCAGTGAGGGAGAGCTCAAAGGCAATTGGGGGAAGGAGTGAGTGAGAAGAAACGAGAGTCCAAGGTTAGAGATAAAAGGAGAGAGAAAGAAGATGGAAAGGGAAATAAAAAAAAATAGAGAGAATAGTCAATAGAGAAATTTTAATAATAGGAATTAATTAACCAATCCACAGTATACCAAGTAATTAAAAGGGAGATTGGAAACTGGATCCGAATTGTTCTTTATCCAGGAAAGTACCAACACCGGTTCGGTTCGAACGGACGACAAAGCAGAGTCCAGACTCCAGGAGTCCAGACTACTCCGTACGCACTTGCAGTTCTTTTGAATCGACTAGAAAGACAGCCGATCAAAGGAGAAATGGAGTAGGGGTGGTGGAGGAGGGGACGAGTTGGACGGCAACTTGAGCAGCCATCGACGCCTCCACGATCCACTTTTTGCCCTTCTTTCCTTTCTTTCCTTTCGTGTTTCTTCCTGTTCCGGTCCAGGAGCATATTGGGGTCAGATTCTTATTCCACTTTGGCTGCTTTGGCAAGGGTTGGTCCCTGCGTCCCTGAGTCCGTAGTGCTGCTCCTGACTACGACACACTGCTGTCACAGCAGTGTGTCAAAAATAACCCAAGAGCAACCACGGGTCTGGCCAGGGGCATTTGATTTGAATTTTGGATCAGCCACCATGGAACCAATAAGTGGGAATGTCGACTTACCTGCAGAGGGGGATTGAAGGCATCTGCCCATATCCCAAAGCCGCAAGACTCCTCCTCACCATTACGAATACTGATAATCATCGGTTCAAGTTGAGGAGAAAGTCGTCACCCGCCTTACCCCTCCCACCAAGGCTGGATCCATGATTCCATTATCGTTGCCAAGTTGGTGTAAAAAACCAAGATATTTGACTGGGAACGATGACGCGTATTTTAGCGGTGATCGGGTGAAAATCCTGGTCACTTGGTGACGACCACCATTCTTGGCGCGTATAACAACCATCCTATCCGCCAGGAGTTGAGTTTGGACTGCGACAAAAAAAGATTTACCCACCATGCTGACAAGGACAGGTACAGTTCCAGAGAGGCAACTGATCATGCCCATCTGGTGACGTTGGGACATGGGCAAGATCAGTCTTATGCAAGACAAAAATAACTAGCTATGAAGTGATGACGCCTCCCAACGGCTTACAGAGTACATCAACTTCAAAGTTCAAGGAATAAAATCAAGTACTTACTGATTCCCCGCACGATGGAGCCAAGCTCTTTGTTTTCTTTAATTTTAATCCTTGAATCAGGCCAGGCGCGTCTTCTGTGGACGTCTTTGGCTGACATGACGAAATCATCAAATTATAGACCCATCAGTCTCAGAATGATCTGATGGTCGGTTTCACAACCTACGAGTTGATGCAGCCAGCCCTATTCACCATCAGTTTCCCAAAGTCCTATACAAAAATCCTGTAATTAATCTGAGTAAAAACACAGCGGGATTAAGTTTGTAATGAGAGACTAGCTTTGCATGCCTCGCCTACGGAGGGGGTGACCCCCAGGCACCAAGGCATCGACATAATTCCGTACCTTCCTATTGCGGAATGATGATGACTGTATTCTGACTAAGCAATGGACACGGGACTCGGCGTATGCCAACAATGCAAAATTCCCGAATGGGGAAATATCGATTCCGCACAGTGTTGTCGAGATCAGGCCAGCGAGCAGCGTTTGGGCAACTCGACAGGACAGGCTATCACCAAATTGAAAAATCGCTACATCAGATTGTCGCAACACTCCAACGACACTTTCCTAGCCCGTCCATTAGGGCGACCAGCTCCGTCTGTCCCTTATTCTCCACCGCCGCAATACCTGTCCAGACGCACGGAACCAGCATGGCTACCCAGTCCTTGAGCTCGCTGCTTCAGAGAGCAACCATTGACGACCACGAAGAAGTCCTCCGCTCTTCGGATGCCGTGCTAGCGAAGTCTAAAACTAACGCCCATGCGCAACACGTCAAGGTGGTCGCTCTGCTGAAACTCGACCGCTACGAAGACTGTCTCCGAGTGTTCGAAGAATGCGGTGATCGCCTCAAACAGAAGGCTGCTCTGGAATACGGCTATGCTTTATATAAATGCGGCCAGCCTGATGCAGCTATCGGGGTCGTTTCGGGGTTAGTTGGTGACCGGGGGGCACGCCATTTGGAAGCTCAGGCTGTAGGTTCCCTAGATGTCATGTCCCATCTGCGATGTATCTAAAGTGTCTAATTATTTCTTCTCGCAGAGCTACCGGGCTGAGAAATTCCGTCGTACGGCGGAAGTATATGAAGAGCTTGCTCGCGATCTTCCTTCCCTGGATAACGAAGAACACGACCTCCGGATCAATGCGTGGGCTGCGGATGCCCAGTTGCAGTGGAAAGGATACCCCGAGTCTGTTCGCCATGCTAGACCCACAAGAGATGATCTAGAAGCCTTTGAGACAGTATATAATGCCGCCTGTTTAAGCATTGCCAAAGGCGAATTTGATCAGGCGGTGATGCTTCTAAAGCGGGCTAAGGGTTGGTCGCTTTGTCGTTAGAGGAGGGACGGTAGCTAACTTCCTGTACAGAACTATGCCGCACTTCGGAGGACCTTACCCCGGAGGATAGAGCTGCGGAATTGCTTCCAATTGCCGTTCAGCAGCTGTATGTCCTGATTTGCCAGGGCAAATCCGAGGAGGCGGAGTCCGTTCTGGAAGAGATTTCCGTCAAAGAGTAGGCCCACGATCTCGGGTATTTCCCATGAATCCCAGCTTACCCACCCACAGAATACCTGAATTATCTACGAGAAGAATCGCTCAGAACAATGTTACGCTGGCGCGGGGAGCTACGGCCAACCCTTATCTTCTATACAAGGCTCTGCACGAAACAAGCATATCTTCAGATAGCGACAAACTCTTCGACAACCAAGACAATATAATGACAGGCAACCTCCATGCGGCCGATCTTCTTGTCCAAAAATACGACGGTGTTATCAGATCTACATCCAAGGCTCTCTCCCGGGCGCCGTACCCTTCAGCAGATGCCAGCACAAATCTCCTCTCGGTGTACAATGCTGCGGCGCACACACGAGGTCAGACCGGGCTTCCAGCTCTCAAAGCAGTACTGTCGGCGCTCGAGAAACGTCCCAAAGACCTTGGCGTGTTGCTCACCGCCGTCCAACTCTACGTGGTTGCTGGCAATACAACAGGCGCCATCGCGACCCTGGAGAAATCCCTGCAACATCTCGAGGAATCGATCTCCGAGCAAGATAAGGAAATCCGGTTCAACCCCGGTCTTCTCAGCGTCCTCATCTCTCTTTATAAGCAGGAAGGCAGGAAAATGCAGATTAGAAGCGAACTGGCCAAGGCGGCAACCTTCTGGAAAGAGCAGGCTGTGCCGCCAACTCCATTACTTCGAGCGGCAGGCGCCTCTTTACTCCATTCCTCACTTCGCTCGGATCTAACCCAGGCAGCGGAGCTGTTTGAATCCATGTACAAAAAGGATTCAAACGACGTCTTTGCCGTCGCCGGCTACGTCGCATCTCACGCAACCACCGATTACGCACACGTTGCAGCACAGGCCCAGACTCTCCCATCAATCGCAGACCTAATTGCTGACGTCGACGTTGCTTCTCTCGAAGCCGCAGGCGTTTTCCCGTCCTCTGCCACCACAGCTGCTGCGGCGGCCGCCGCTATCGCAGGCGCCAGGAAGAGACCAGCAGGGAACAAGGACCGCGTGACGAAGCGGGTCCGCAAGTCCCGGCTTCCAAAGGACTACGACCCTAGCAAGACTGCCGACCCTGAGCGATGGCTTCCACTTCGGGATCGGTCGACGTACCGACCTCGGGGCCGCAAGGGCAAGCAACGCGCGGCGGAACGAACGCAGGGAGGAGTGGTGAGCGAGAAGTCTGAGGAGACTGCGTCTGCTGCAGGCCAGGCTCAACAGAAGCCTCCGGGGGGGGGCGGTGCTAGCTCGAAGAAAAAGAAGAAGGCCAAGCGGTAGTACCTAGACTCCAGTTAGGGTATTAATGTTCATTTCCATGTCTCGCCTTGCATGGGGTGGCAGGGGTAAAAAGTCTTCCTCCTTTTATGTGATGAGCATGTAGAGCTGTTACCTAGTCTGGCTTTTAGATGATGCGGAACGGCCTAGTTCATATTGCAAATATTTTCTTTTTGCCCGATTGCATGTCGAGAGCTTGTATCATATTTGAGTGCTGTCCTTGGCGCATACTGCCAACGATCTAAAACGACCCCGGGAGGGAATACAGCTAGTAAATACATCTAGAACCAAAACATGCATAGTCATTCGCAATATCACACCCCCAAGACCGGAATGTTTCTTGCTCTCCTTCCATATTGGAAGAGGGGGTAGCCCTTTAACCAAGGGGAGAACGAATCGTCCCACATTGCCGATCATACTGCTCGAATATGGTCTGGAACAGCTTCAAATCCTGCAACGCATCTCGCGCCGTCGTCTTGGCCGGCTTCCCTTCCACCAGGTAAGCATACAGCGCCCTCAGTTCCTCCTGATATGCTTCTTCCCACGTACTCACTGTCTCTGTCTGCGTCAACGCCCCCCGCTCATCCGCCGTCTCAACCACTACGCGCAGAGGCTGCCCCCGCGCATACGGCAGGTCATAGTGAATCGTCACGGTTTTTGAATGCCCATACACAGCTAGTTGCGCATCACACCGCGGGACACCGTCCGTCCCGGTCTCGTACATCAATGTAAACGGGTACTCGCCCGCGGCGCCACCAGCAGTGTAATGGAACAACGCGGAGTAAAATGGCTCGTTCACAGAGATGTTTGAAATCGCATCAGGATAGCCCAAGGTATCCCGCATGAGCCCGAGATCATGGCATCCCAGCGAAGACAGAAACCGGCTTAGAGCTATGCGCTCTTGACTTGGCGGTTCGCCTTCCCCGAATACTTCCCGCAGGAGACTTTGGAGAAGTCTCTTGCCGCTTTCGAGTCCTCCTTCGTCGGGCTTGTTCTCGTTTTGCAGTCTCCGACTAGCCCCACCGTCACTGCGGCCGTTAAGGTGGTCGTTGCTATGACTGTGATTGTGGTTGTTCGCTCCCAGTGCTGTCGCTGAATGCGCCTGATGCGGCCCTGCAATCATTCTACACCGCGCATAGTGTATCCTCCCCAACCCTTTCACCTCGCGCTTGAACACCTCCTCAAAGCAAGGCGCGTACCTCCGCGCAGAAGCAACAAACACTTTGGCTCCGTTGGGTGCTTCTCTTTCGGTCTCGATAATGCGTCGTGCCGAGGGGATGCTCAGACTGATGGGGGTCTCGACCATCACGTGTTTCCCGGCGCGCAGGGCAGCGATCGTATACGTTTCGTGGTATTCATTTGGCATGAAGTTGAGGATTAGATCGATGGTTGGGTCGGCGATGATTGAGGAGGGGGCTCTTGGGTTTATACTTGGGTTTGGGTCGTTGTCGTCATTATCATCGGCTTTTAGGGTAGGCGATTCTAGGGATGGTTGCGATGCATCGTAGATGGCGGCTATTGTGTAGAGGTTATTGAGGGCGCGGAGGGTAGGGAGGTAGATGGTTTGGATGGGATGGGTTCCTGTGGTGAGAAGACCAACTCGGAGTATTTTTGGGGTCATTTTTGTTTCTTTCTTCATTTCTTTCCTTCCTTTTCCTTCTTTTTTTGGTTAGATAGTTGTGGTGTACAGTATATAGTTCTGCAGTTGTGTATATAATCCGTAGGGGTCTTCGGTAGGCAGGTATGGAGTACTGGCTGGGGATCGGTCCAGAGCAGAGATGTCCTGCTATGAGAACAGAAATAAATGCAAGCTGGTATTTATTATCCCAAGAGGAATCAACAAGGAGGTAAGGTCGGTAGGTTAGGCAGGTACTACTACGGAGTACTAGTACTGTAGGTAGTCGTTGGTATGTTGGCGCAAGGGATTTGGAACATTTCGTTATGGCGTTCTTGGACTTTTTTTTTTTAATTTTTTTTAATTTTTTTATGCGACTTCATTCTTTGGGTTATTTTCTCCGCCGTGACATCAAACGTCATTGGGCCATATACGGAGTATTTATCAATGTCTCTACTACTCTGTAGTATATCTTGCAAATTATACGTGGGACGGAGAGAATGCGGAGGGATCGACGGTACTTCTGCTGTGCAGCAATGGGCTCAGTCACTGCTGCAAGCCTAGGCATCTGGTTTATGCTACTTGACTTCATATTGTATATCTCAAGTCATCTAGGGCAAGATTGCGACCTTACTAGGTATCAGAGATTCCTTTGATACTACTGCAGTACTGTAGGTAGTAAGTAACCAATGCGTTGTATCTGAGGACAGCTCTGGATCCGCCGCTGGAAGTCTTCCCATACATACTGTACTCCTTTATTAACCCTCCGCTTCTCCTTCATCGTCACCACCATCCGCTCATTCTTTTCTTCTCTTCCCATCTCAAACCAAAGAAAATCAAAGTTCTCGGCCACAGTCATGGGCGTAAGTTGTTTCGATTCTACTCCTTTCCTCCTTCTCCTCCTCCTTCGTCTTTTCTCCTTTTATACACACGAGTCGCTGCCCCGCGCCTTGACCCCGCCTACCTGTCCTCTCTCTCTCCCAGCTTTTCTGGCGCTTCTTACAGATCAAAAAGAAAAAGAAACTAACCGCCACATTTTTGGATCATCTTCTCTAGTTTGCGTCTAAGATCTCTAACGCTCAAATGAACAATCCTGGTGTGTACGGGGGAGCTCCTCCGACCGGCTACACGGGCGGCCCTCCTCCTGCTGGTGGATATGTAAGTCCTAGAAGAGAGAAGGAAGCCAAAAAGCATTCAATTCGTACTTGCAGTACCTTCTTGATGCCTTATCACTTTCTTGCCCCTCTTTTTTACCCTCAAATTCTCAGTTGAGTTGACATGTTTTTTGTTGGCTGACTGTCCCCACCAAAAACAGCAGCAACAGCAACAGCAACAGCAGCCTCAGCAATCCCAGCAATATCAGGCTTATCCTGGTAGTTCGGTAAGCTTGATTTCTTTCTGTCGGTTGCTTTCTGATCTTGGACTCGCATTTGAATTTCGTCATTTCCTTGTTTTCGAGTTGTTTTATTTGTCACGTTGTTCCCCTTTTGTAATTTTTCTTTTCATCTACCTGGCCCATATTATTTTGTCTTTCCCTCCTATTCTTCCCCCCACTCCCGTCGAATGACGACGCTTCCATTGCCCCTCCCCTCCCTTTTCGCTCCTCCAACCGTTGCCTAAAATTGTTGTCTTCCTCCGTGCAATCCTTCTTTCAACCGTGAACTGGTCATCGCACTGCAACTATGTCCGGATATCCCGATCAGAGAGGATATCCTCCCCCGCCTTCTCAGCTGCGGGCCGGACAACCTCAGTCGCCTTATCCCACATCATCATCGCAACAGTACCAGGCGTACCCCCCGATCCCTCCAAACAAGCCGGCGCCACCGCCATCCTACTCGGCTGCTCCTCCTCAAGGATATGCTCCTGCTCCTTATACCTCTCACTCACCACAATCACCACAGGGTTATTCCCAAGCCCCTCCCTACGGCGCGGCTGCGGTTTATAGACAAGCCCCTCCGCAAGGCTATACGCAGACCCCGCCTCCTGGCCAACCATATGGAGCGCCGGGGCCGCAATATCCCCCGCAGCCACCGCCTCAAGTACACCTATCCCGGATATTTTTGCTTTGCATTGTTTAGTTGTTTATTGCTTCATGAATGCTTTATCTTTGATTGTCAAAATATATGGACTGATTGGTTTTGTTTTTAGAGCCCCGGCTATCCTCCTCAGAATGCACCTTACCCTGGTGGACCTGTACGCGCTCCTCAGCAGGCAGCACCAGGAGCTGCCTATGGTGCTCCAGGCGCTCCCCCAGCCGGCGCTGCTGGACCTGCAACTCCCCAGCAAACCGAATCTTATCGTCAGCTCTTGATCGCTACAATTCAGGAAAAGAACCTCCAGCAATTTTACCCCCAGGATAGATTAAATGCTTTGGTTCAAGGACTTTCCAGGGATGGCCCTGCTAAGATCAACAGGATCATGAATGAGTGGTCTATGCCTCTGGAAATCGCCATGGATATTATTAAGCTTTCTCTGTACGACGTCGTCCTCTATGTTGATGACAGTGGATCGATTGAGTTCGAGGAAAAGGGTCTGAGAAAGGAACAGTTGAAGCAGATTCTCGGCATCGTCGCGACTGCTGCATCCACCTTCGATCAGGATGGAATTTCTGTGCGGTTTATGAACTCTGATCTGGCGGCAGATGGAATCCGCAACGTTCAAGATGTCGATCAGCTCTTCGCGCGTGCTCGATTCTCAGGCATGACACCCTTGGGTACAAACCTGCGACACAAGGTGCTTGAGCCATTAGTTATTGGGCCCGCAAGAGCGAACCGCCTGCAAAAGCCGGTCCTTGTCATCACCATTACCGATGGACAGCCCGCTGGAGAGCCATTGGATAGCGTGGCTAATGGAATCCGTCACACCGTTGACGAACTTGCAAGAACCCCATACGGACGAGGTGGTGTCGCCTTCCAGTTTTCACAGGTTGGAAATGATATCAAGGCCCGCGACTTCCTCCAGAGCCTGGATATTGATCCTACTATCGGATCATTGGTTGACTGCACATCCAGTAAGCCTTCACCACCATACTCAGTGGAGGGAGTGATGTATTAATGAATCCGATAGACTTTGAAGTTGAGCAGGATGAAATGTCACGCGCCAGCCCACCAGTTCACCTGACCCGCGAGCTTTGGGTAAGTATTGTTGACACTCGGATCTTTGTCCAATTCGAAGAGTTGCTAACGGTCGAAGTGCGCTAAATTGATGCTGGGATCTATTGATTCGTCATACGATACCAAGGATGAGAAGAGTAGCGGCCGCGGCGGTGCGGTCGGGGGACCCCCTCCTCCTGGGCAATATGGTGGCTACAGCCAGCCCGGCCAATACAATCAAGCTCCAGCTCCCAGCTACGGCTCTCCCGCTCCATACCCAGGACAGCAGTCATACAGCCCAGCCCCTTATTCTCCAAGCAGCCAACCGTCTTATGGTCAGCAACAGTATGGACAACCACAGTACGGCCAACAGCCGCAGTATGGACAGCAGCCCCAGTATAGTCAGCAACCGCAGTATGGACAGCAATCGCAATACGGTCAGCAACCCCAATACGGTCAGCAACAGTACGGAGGTTACCAGCAGCAGCAGCAGCAGCAGCAGCCTCCCCCGGGAGCTCGCTCAGGATACCCTCCCCAGCAGCCACATTATGGACAGGGTCCACCTAGATACTGAGCGTGAAGCTAGGGTGAAAAATATGATGTAGACACGGAACTGACTAAAGGGGGACGAGGAGGGGAAGATCGCGATGAGCTTCTTTATATCTATGGGGGCGTACCTTTTTTTTTTTTTTTTTTTTTTTTTTTTTGTGTTGACATGGTTGTGAGTAAGTAGTGAGTATTTTCAAGAGTTCCATTTTATTTCCCAGCGGACTTTGATCGCAATGGATCCCCTCCTTTTTTTTTTTTTTTTTTTTTTTGAGAACCAACCACCTCGACTCCAAGTTCTAGAAGACTAACTAGGGAGGATAATAATACCTAGCAATAAGTGGCAATACACCACAATCCCCGCTTCACTTGCCACCACTTAAAGTACTTTACCTGGCACTCGATTCTACTAGGTATGTATATATCTGTAGAGATGCATGTATGTATGTATGTTGTACGTCCAGTTGTTCCGGAAGGGGCTGTGCAGGAAAGAAAAGAAAGATATCTCCACATTTCCAATTCCACCTGAATTCATTCATTCAATGTGCCTGGTTTGACTGCATCCAGTGGAGGAGGGAAAAAGTTAAAAAAAAATGTTGCCGCCTGCGGAACCTGAATCTTGAAAACAGACTTGATTTTGGGTCAGTGATTGTTGTTGACACTCGCTGGATTCTATCACCTCATCTCTCTCTCTTCTTGTATCTTCTTTCTCTTCTCTTGTCTTGCTCTACTCAGTATATAACAACCCCCACGGTGGTTTCCTGCTACCTGCCATCGCCGCAAAGAAATCCGCTATTATTGCCTGCGAAGAATTCCTCTCTTCCTTCTTTGCTGCTTCTTTTTGGGTTCACTCACTTTTCTTCCTTCCTTTCTCTGTTTATATTATTCCCTCGCTTTTATTTTCATCCTGAGCGCTGAAGGATGAGTCCTCCAGCTTCTTACCCAACGTCATAACCCCACTGCGACGATCAGCGCCCTGTGCGACCGACTAACGTGTTTACCTTGAGATTTGGAGTGGAGGGCAAATCAAAGTTATATTCCTTGCAGTTTGTCCCCTTGGGGACGCCTTATTTACCTCGCCATGTCCCAGCCGAACGGGTTGCCTGACCCGAGTCAGAACCCTCACCCACCGTCCATGCCCGAAGACAATCCTACCTTTTCAGACGGAGCCTCGTCGCGAGATTCCTCACCACTACCACAGCCGTCCAGGAGCCAATCTCTACATGTAGGCGCCCACGGACGACCATCTCTCGCCCCGTCGCGAACCCTCTCGGATTCGGGACGGAGGGCCTCGCACCAGCACCATGTCCGTTTCTCGACCGACCTGGAGCGTACGTCTACGGATGAGGGAAGAGAAGAAGAAAAAAGAGAAGATGGTGGAAGACAGCGCTCGTGGGACCGACGTCCCGCCTCGCGAGGACTCACCCTTGATACAACAGGTCTTTCAATTCCTCAAGCTTCCGCTTCGGGCAGATCCCCTGGCGCCGACCGCGGTCCAACCTCCTCCCTTTCGCCGCGCTCACCACTCTCCCCGACTTCCCCCCCGAGTCCGGACTCGATCGGGCGTTCCCGATCCCGAAATCGCGGTTATTCGCTGCGTCGTACGATCTTCACGAAGAACATTGGGTCCGAATTGGGTCCTACGTCGCCAGTAGAGTTAGGACAAATCGCGAAACCGGAACCGGCGAAAGAGTCGCCGGCCCAGGATTCGGCGCCGGGTGCGCTCAACCCCAGTGAAAATGAGAAACAGGATGTGATTGTGGCGCAAAGATCGGCCTCAGAGTCGCTTCCCACGGATGATGGATTGACGACGTATTATTCGGACCAGACCGAGTGTCTAAAGGAGAGTAAGAAACTCTCTACAACCATTTCCTACGAGCGGTGGCTGCAACGGAGAGCAGCCGTTGCTACTCTAAGACTGCGCATTGAGAGCGTGCTGGAGAGCATGCGCAAGACTATTCTTCGAATTCATGATATCCCACCAAGCAAGGATGGCCGCCAGATCGATCTCAACCCAACCCGAACGGAAGACCTGGTCGATGAGAGAACAGGCAAGGTATATGTGGGCAATTGGATCCGCTCGAGTCGTTACAGTTTGTGGAGCTTCTTCCCCCGTCAGCTATTTGCGCAATTCACCAAGCTAGCAAACTTTTACTTCTTGGTGGTGGCAATCCTGCAGATGATACCGGGCTTGAGTACCACGGGAACCTTTACCACTTTGGTCCCGCTCTTGATTTTCGTCGGTATCTCTATGGGTAAGGAAGGGTTCGATGACTGGCGTCGCTACCGCTTGGACAAGGAAGAGAACAACCGCTCTGCGTCGGTACTCCGGCCCGGGGCTGGTCTACTATCACGGGCCGTCACCGGTGACAGTGCATCGATCTCGAGCGGGACTCAGGATTGGGATTCCATTAAATGGAGCGACATCAAGGTCGGAGACGTCATTAGACTGGAACGCGATCAACCAGTGCCCGCAGACATGGTTTTATTACATGCAAACGGCCCTAATTGTATGGCATACATTGAAACGATGGCGCTAGATGGCGAGACGAATCTCAAAACCAAGCAACCGTGTCAACCCCTGGCAAAAATCTGTGGAACTATCGAAGGCATCGGCAATAGCTCGATCCACTTTGCCGTGGAAGATCCCAACCTTGATCTATACAAGTTCGAGGGAAATGTGAGAGTTGCCGGTGGAGAGAAGGCCCCCCTGACGAACAACGAGGTCATGTACCGCGGTAGTATCCTTCGCAATACCGAACAAGCAGTCGGAATGGTGATCTATACCGGTGAAGAATGCAAGATCCGCATGAATGCAAACAAAAATCCTCGCATCAAATCCCCTTCCCTGCAAGCCAAGGTAAACCGTGTGGTGATGCTAATTGTGCTTTTGGTCGTGATTTTGGCTGGTGCCTGTACTATTGCGTACAAGTACTGGTCTGCGGATGTCGAGAGTCATGCCTGGTACCTCGCGGAGGCCAACGTGAGCTACGGTCCCATTTTCACCTCGTTTTTGATCATGTTCAATACCATGATCCCAATCTCACTTTACGTGAGTATGGAAATTGTGAAAGTGGTCCAGGTGCTTATGTTGAACGGCGATATCGATATGTACGACCCGGAGTCCGACACTCCAATTGAAGCCCGAACATCCACTATCAACGAGGAATTAGGACAAGTCAGCTATATCTTTTCCGACAAAACCGGTACCTTGACGAACAATTCCATGCGGTTCCGTAAGATGAGTGTTGCGGGGACTGCGTGGTTCCACGACTTTGATCTCCTGGAAGAGGCTGCTCAAGAAGGCGATCGGGAGAAGCTCATTCACAAGAAAAGGAGTATCAAGGGCAAGAAGCCAGTGAACCGTCAGTCCAACATCTCAGAAACTCGGAGATCTCTTACAAGACCTTCGATGACAATGTCGTTGATGGAGGGAGCGCGAAAGGATCCCGCCTCTGGGCGTCATAACCGAACTACTGATATGCTCAAGTACATCCAGCGCAAGCCGTATACTGTGTTTGCGCGGAAAGCGAAGATGTTCATTTTGGCTATGGCCCTCTGCCATACCTGCATCCCTGAAGATGATGGATTCGGACACACGACATTCCAGGCTGCATCCCCAGACGAGCTTGCATTGGTTACGGCTGCGCAAGAGCTGGGATACCTTGTCCATGATCGTGAACCGAACACCCTGACGATTCGAACATACCCGAATGGGCCTGGGGAAGCACCCTGCGATGAGACTTACGAAATTATGGACATTATTGAATTTTCGAGTGCTAGAAAGCGCATGTCAGTCGTGGTCCGGATGCCTGATCAACGCATCTGCCTGTTCTGCAAGGGTGCCGATAGTGTGTTGATGCGCCTACTTAAGAAGGCCGCCCTCGCACAGGAGAAGGTGGTGGAGATTGAGAGACGGGCAAGCAAGCGGAAAGCGGCAGAAGCAAATCAAGTTATGAGGCGGAATAGCGAGTATCACCGCCGCAGGGATAGTGGTGGAATCCGAACCAGCTTCAGTCGCGCCAGCATGTCACACCGACGTTCTAGTGTTTCCGGAAGACACATGTCAACCATCAGAAATAGCATCGATACCTGGCTTCGCGATCGAGAGACGGATGGTGGGCTCTTGAACAGACGAGAGAGTGAGGCTGACTACTACAGTCCTCGCCCTTCCGCTCAGATTGGGCGGCATTCGACAGCTCTCTCGGATTCGGGTAGCTCCGTTCACGACGACGACGACGACGACGACGACGAGATGGTGGAGGAGGCCCTGGTGGTCAACGAAGCCGCTATCTTTGAGCGTTGCTTCCAGCATCTGAATGATTTCGCTACAGAGGGGTTGCGTACCCTTCTATATGCCCACCGTTTTCTGGACGATGCCACCTACAGGGAATGGAAAACTGCCTACCAAGACGCCTGCACCAGTCTTGTTGATCGACAAGAACGAATTGAGGAGGTCGGAGAGCAAATCGAGGAGCAACTCGAACTCACCGGCGCCACAGCCATCGAGGATAAGCTGCAGAAGGGCGTTCCAGAGGCGATCGACAAGCTAAGACGCGCAAACATCAAGTTATGGATGCTGACTGGTGACAAACGTGAGACCGCGATCAATGTTGGCCACTCCTGCCGCCTGGTCAAGGACTACTCAACCCTCGTGATTCTTGACCAGGAGACGGGCGATGTGGAGGAGTCAATTGCGAAACTGACCGCGGATATCATGAATAAGCTGGTGGCGCATTCTGTGGTCGTGGTTGACGGACAGACCTTGTCAATGATTGAAGCTGATGAACCTCTATGCGCGCGGTTCTTCAACCTCGCCATCCTGGTTGATTCTGTTGTCTGCTGCCGTGCCAGTCCCAAGCAAAAGGCATTCCTGGTCAAGTCAATTCGCCAGCAGGTCAAGGACTCGGTTACTTTGGCAATTGGTGATGGTGCCAACGACATTGCTATGATCCAAGAAGCTCATGTTGGTATTGGTATCACCGGAAAGGAAGGTCTCCAGGCTGCGCGAATTTCGGACTACTCGATCGCCCAGTTTAGGTTCTTGTTGAAGCTGCTTCTTGTTCACGGACGCTGGAATTATATTCGCGTGTGCAAGTACACGCTGGGAACGTTCTGGAAGGAAATGCTGTTCTACCTCACTCAGGCTCTTTACCAACGATGGAATGGGTACACGGGAACTAGTTTGTACGAGTCCTGGGGCCTGAGCATGTTCAATACCCTGTTCACTTCCCTGGCCGTTATTTTCTTGGGCATCTTCACCAAGGATCTTTCCGCCTCTACGCTTTTGGCTGTGCCCGAGCTCTATACCAAAGGACAGCAACACGGTGGCTTCAACCTCCGGTTATACCTTGGCTGGGCATTTATGGCTACCTGCGAAGCAATGCTCGTATTTTTTGTCATGTACGCTCTCTTCGAAAATGTGTTGTTCACCAGCACAGGAAGCGATATTTTCTCCGCCGGTCTTGTCACGTATACAGCTTGCGTTGTCATCATCAACACCAAACTCCAGGCTTTGGAAGTCCACAATAAAACCTACTTGTCTGCGGTTGTGTTCGCCATCTCAGTCGGCGGCTGGTTCTGCTGGAACTTGATTCTATCAAAACAGTACAACCTCAAGTCCGGAAAGGGAGTCTACTACGTCCCCTCGAACTTTATCTCCCACTCTGGCCGCGACCTCGCCTTCTGGGCTGTTCTCTTTGTCACGGTAGTCGCCGCAATCGTCTTCGAGGTCACGGTTAGCGCCATCCGAGCCAGTCTGTTCCCCACCGACGTAGACATCTTCCAGGAATACGAGCAGGACCTCGAGATTCGCAAGCGGTTTGAAGAAGCGGCTGCCTCGGAACTCCAACAGGGCTGGGATCACGGCAAGAAGAAATCCAGCTTCGAGATTGCGCGTGAGGAAGCGGAGATGGAAGCCCGTGAGAGACAAGTGCAGGAACTCCTTTCCCGGCCCCGCGTTATGGATACCAAGATGGATTCAGAGTACACCGAGTCCGCAATTGGAGAACCAAGCAGTCATCATCGTCATTATCTCCAAGTGACTGAGGTGACTGACGACGACGACGAAACGACAAATAACAACGCCACCCTGCGACGATCCGTGGATATGCATGAATTATTTACGAAGGGATTTGGAGCGGTCCGAAAGGGACGATTACGATGATTGATTGACCCGCGTTTGCTTTTCCTTTCTTTTTTTTTTTTTCATTGCCTCTTTCTCTCTCTCTCCCCCCCCCCCCCCCCCTTTAAAAGGGTATGTTTTATCTGCTCTGGATTGGTTGCTTTGGCGTTTGTACCTAGTAGAAGTATACCCCCTTTCTGTTGGAATGTGTCACTCCTTTTTTTCGTCACTGGTTTTGTGATTTGATAACCTTGTTTTGAAGTTGTGTTTGACGTGTACAGTGATTGATTGATTGATTATACCCTGGACAGTGTATATGTATATATCCCAGGATGTATTATAACGCAATCAGTTTTGGTTTTAATTATATAAATTATGAAATATCCTTTAAAAAAAAAAAGGTCATCATGAGATATCACTGTACTTTTGACATATTTCCTCGCTGCCTACCTGTACATAATATAATAATAATTATCTGGCTTCTCCAACCTGGGGGAAATATCATTCCTTGAATCCTTCCCCTGCATCATCCCCCAGACTACCAAAGTCCCCGGGGGGGAGCCGGGGGGGGGGGGGGGGGGATTCCTCGGATCGAAGCTATAATATAGTTAGTTAATATACTACATGTATGTCTGTAAGCACACACAGTAGGTAACTAGATACATAGTTAGGATTTCTTTTCCACATTGCAGGGTAGCCACGACACTAGTGCGATGTAATAATGGTGCCATATACACTTCCTGGCAACACTAGTTACCTGGTTGATACTATCTAATCCGTAATGCGCGTGATACCAGTCATGGTATTTTGTAGAAATATTCCCCTAGGTCATGTAGCATAGTAGGAGAGGACGTGGCTAGTATCTTTCTTTCTTCTACCTACTACGTAACGTAGGCAGGGTAGGCAGTGAATAGTTATTTCCATGAATGTGTTTTTTTTTTTTTTTTTCCCAGCTAGAAAGAAAAGAAAAAGAACCTTTGAATAGGTAACTAACTAACAAGTTGGTAGTGCTCTTGATGGTTCTCTGGGTACGTAGCTAGATAGATAGATAGTTAGCTAGTTATGTAGTTATTTGTATACTCTACTATACTATACTATACTCTACTATAGGTACTACTAAGCAGCCACTTCGGCCCTGAGGTCGATAGGGAGTACATATGGTATGGAACTATAGATAATGACTACATCAAGAAAGAACCAATCAGATGAAATGAAGTTAAACACCGTTCGTAACTAGTTCCTGGCAGCAGGGATGAGCGTGAGGCTTAAGAATGGTGCTGACTATACGCAACTTGGCAGTTTTATGTTGATTGCGCCGACAAGCAACCGCCTCGGACCTCCTACGGGATCGCTGTCTGTGCTCCACTGGGGCCGTTCCAGCAGATTAATATTTAATATTCTAGAGGAAGGACATACTCCGTAGCTAGTTACTAGGTGGTGATAGTCTATGCTTGAGTTCGTTAGGTTCTGGAGCATCTGGTACGTGCGGACCGTGTGGAGGATAGCGCCTGGGAGGCTGGATTCTTAGGTCTCTACGATGGAGTAAGCGGATATTATTCTCGATTCAATTCGTACGCTTTCCCAAGTGTCTCGTCCCCTGTCCGTCGTAGCATTTACCGCTGTAGTTATCTGAGGAGGATCGGATACCTCGTTATTCATCTTGCGGAAGAGTCGGATACACATGCAGGAGACGACCATACGATGTAATAGAGCCAATGGTGCTGGTTCCGTACTATCTGCCCAGGATGGAACTATTTCCCAACTGGGACACGTTGGGGGTCGCTAACTAGTTAATGCTTCCTCCATTACTCAGCTTGCGAGGGCTGGGCAGGGGAGTGTGAGAGCTTTGAACCTTGATCCTTGAGTCTGATGCCAGGAACAGAGCAGAAGGACAAGAATGGGGGCTGAGCTAATTGGAGACGGCTAAAATGTGCACGGATAATCAGTGGCCGAGCAAGTTCTTTGTTTCCGAGCTCCTTCCTCCATACACGGCTGCTGAGGCTTCGTATTACCTGTGGTACTTGCTAGTAAGGATATTTCAAGCACGTAAGGACTGCATTGTTTTCCATAGTCTTGATGCCAAAGGAATTATGTTGGTCTGTACGCATTGTGTGCGAGCATCTCAGCAGGGAGTGGACGGCGTTCCTGGCTAACCACACCACTATCGCAACTAGTGGCAGGAGTAGGTAGCACGAGTGCCGCAACGCTTCTCCACCCCCCCCGGGGCGCTGTCATATTCCCAAACTCTCCAATCGCCACGGCCAATAATGAACGACTTGAAGTGGGTACCGGAGTTAGAATAATTGGAAAAGCCACCGGCACGAGCGGAGGGCTGGAAGGGAAAAAAAAAATATTAATAGAACAACCGACTAGTCGCGACCGTCGCAGTTCTATGGGAGTGTGGCTCCTCCCTCACAGTCACCCCTGGATTTGCCTCTCGCTTCGCACAGCACTTTTTTCCTCCCTGCGTGTAGTCTACTTCGTAGAGCTGGTTCCTTGCTGGAGTTTGAACCAGACTAGACTAGACTTCTTTAGGAGAGGCTGGTTCGGGGAGCCACCACAGAAGGTGGCATGGCAGCTTCTGGGTCCCTGGCGTCCCAAAGTCCCAGCCTTTTGAAGAATTTTTTTCTTTCGTACGGAGTACCTCGCATCGCTTGCTTAGTTCCTCACATTTTGCCTTCCTCCATCAGCAAAGGGGGAAAAAAAAAGTTTGCGGATGTGTAACCGGTCCACTACCTGAAACCCCCTTTGGAACGAGTCTAGGTTACGTTTCCTGGGTTCCTGGTTGGCTGCAGGAGGAACTCTGTGCAGTCCATATGTAGGTAGTCTTTGGTAGTGGGTGGATAGTATTAGGTAGACCTGACTGCTGGATCTGGGAAGTTCGAGCAGATACGTACTCCGTAAGTAACCTGAACAGGAGAGATGAGGGTCGAATCGAGTGGTGAGGTGCGCGCGCGTCGACCGTTGAAACGAAGTCAGGATTCGTCTGTGCACCTGAGCGAGCCACAAATGATAATGGGAGTATCCAGCATCCAGTGTCCAGTGTCCAATGTCCAACTCCAACTGTAAGGATGATTTAGGAGTGTTATTGTTTCCAGATCGTTCCCCTGAGAGACGTGGGAGGCCAAGGTCCTGGCTCGTGCAGGCTAAATGGACTAGCGGCATCTGAATCATTGGATGAATTTTTGGGATCCTTACGGACCTGGTCAGTATCGGGCAGCATAAGCCATAATAAGGAGATGCAGTCGCGATGCAGAGACGCAGTAGGATGCAGGGGCTGGAACATTGTTAGTACTACTAGTGTATACCACACCTTGCACCCCAACCACGCAACCTCATCTCTTCTTCGGAAGCAGGACTCCAACCCCTACTCGTATTAGTAGGTATTCCTAGGCTATCTTGATTCTTGATGTCTCTCCCAAGCAAAACGGGCTCACGGCGGAGTCTTTGAAGTCAGGAACCGAACAACCCACTTTGGCTTTAGTTTGTTACCATACATTACTTGATTACCGCACGTCTTCCACCTTACTTTATCCAGACTAGTGTGGGGTGTCTAACGGCCTTTAGAGGATCCACTAAGCCACTCCCAGACTAGTGCAGGATCTTCACCAGTCAATCATCTCTGGACTAACCTGTTTAGGACAATACATGTCCTGACTTGTTCTTTTTCTCTGTCTCAATACAAAGAAAGCCGCAAGTTCTTTTCTGTACCTGACCTGACAGCCAACTCTCTCTCTCTCTCTCTCTCTCTTCCTTTCTTCTTCTTTCCTTTCCCTCCTCTTTCTCCCCCCAATCAACCATCTTTTCTGTTGTTGTTTCCCTCTTCCTTTCCTTCATATTCATTCTTTTCTTCATTCATTCATTCATTCATTCATTCATTACTTTTTTTTTTTTCTTTCCTCATTCACTTGCTCAAGTCGATCGTTTCACTCCTTCACGATCAAATCCCCCCCCCCCCCCCTCATCTTTTCGTGTACCCCCCAGGACGGTGTGATCGCTTTCTCTTGCATCTTGAAAGATCCTCAAGACTCTTGTTCTCTCCGTCTCGCTCTTTCAGCTGGATATTTCTCTCAATTCGATGCTCCTTTGATCTCATCGCTATCTCCATTCCTGTCCCGGTCGCCGAAAGAACCCCAATTCTCTTCGTCCCAAAAGCTGCCTTGGTCAGCTGGCTCTTTTTCGCACTTTATATTCTTGGATCCCTAGTGATTAACTCCCCTTCGACGCGCTCCTATCGGTCTGAGCTTGGTGTCGGGACAATCCTAGTATCCCACTACAAGTCTTTCCATTCATTTGATTGCATCTTTGTGCTCTGGCGCTTGACGCTGCTGGAGACATTCCGACAATCCCTCCCCAGTTGACTGTTGGCCGGATCGTCATTGAACCTCGCTCCCTCCTTCGACTACGTCCCAAATCGTGGTCGTATCTCCTTTGCTACCTCGTTTTTACCCTTCGCTCAATCCCTGCAAACCATGTCTTCGACAGACATCCCTGACCCGTCGACTATGTCGGCCTCCATCGCGACCATCCAAAACACCGCCTCCCCTTCACCGGTCGCCTCTACCCCATCTCCCTCTATCTCCAGTGCCACCACCGCTCCCTCATCCGCCACTCGTCGACCACCCCGCAAGAGCACCCTGACGCAGCAGCAGAAGAATAACAAGCGCCAACGCGCAACCCAGGATCAACTGGTTACCCTGGAGGTGGAATTTAACAAAAACCCCACTCCCACTGCCACTACTCGCGAACGAATTGCCCAAGAGATCAACATGACTGAGCGGTCGGTGCAGATTTGGTTTCAGAACAGGTACATTTTTTTTTTTTTTTTTCCTTTTTTTCCTTTTGGCATCTATTCTTGCGGCTGTAACCCGGAGCTAACCATCGAACAGACGCGCAAAAATCAAGATGCTGGCAAAGAAGAGCATCGAAACTGGCGAGGGCTGTGATTCGATCCCAGAATCAATGCGTCAGTACCTTGCTATGCAGTTCGACCCCAGCAAACCGGGCGCGCGGGATCCTTTTGGTCGCACCGGTGGATATGGGCCGAATGGCGCTTACCCCAATGAATCTACGCCCTCTGGCAAAGTTGGTATGTTTCTATTGACCCCATGATCCCCAAATCGAGCACATCTAACAAACCAAAGTGATTCATCACTTTACTTGTCGATCCTTGACTGTCGGAAGCTGGAGACGCATTGGACAGAATGCTATGGATCTGGTTGTGTTCTACTCCCCTGAAAAGGCCTGCATGACCTACTACATCAACAACGATTCCGCCGGATACAAGATCGAGTACCCGTTCGCATACATCAAGAACATTACCCTGGAATCTGGTGACCAAGACCCTCAGGCGAATGGGGCTCCCGCAAGACCCGCTGGTCTGATAGTCGAATTGAATCGCCCACCCCTCTTCTATATGGACTCTTCAAACTCGGGCGGATTCTACCAGTGCGGCGATTTCACGGAGGACCAGCAGGCTAGTCAGATCCTAGTACACCACCTTGGCGGACATCCCAAGGTGCTCAGTGTGCAGCTGGCAAAGTTGGTCTCGCTGGAGTCGTTTCAGAATCGCATGGCATATGGAAACTTTGCGGCCAATGGCCCGATGTCGCCGCATTTCATCCAACGTCCTGCGTCCCAACCGAACCATTTCGCTCCTGCGTTTATGGGTATGTATGCTGAGAATCCCGTGGTTATGAACCTGCAGGCGGGTCGAGGGCACAGACGTCAACGCAGTCGATCCGTTCCGGCGGCTGTGGATTTCGCTGCCATGGGAGCGCCGATGACTACCTTCAATATGTCGCAAGGACACTTCGGCCAGCCAGATTCGAGCATCTACGCGCCCATCCCACAACCAGCGCACCCACTGGCCGCGAGTCTGCGCATTGATACCTCGTCAGGCTATGGGTTTGACCCGCGCGCGCATCCCATGTCTGCCACCACCACCGCCTCTCCGTCCGAGTTCGCCAGCCCCTCGCTCTTTACGACGGGACCCCCGGGTGATTCAACTCCAGTTGCAGCGACCATGGGGGCCCAATTCACGCTTCCTTTTGTCTCCCCGGCGGTTGATCATTCTGGTGTAACCACACAAGCGATGTCTCCATATTCTAATGTGAGCCACGTCGATCCAATGATTGCGAACCACTCTCCTCCATTGACGACCATGTCGCATGCGTCCCAAGAGATGTACGGCATGGGAAATGAACACCAGTCGACCTTTGCAGAGGATAGTATGCCCATGAATGGAATGTTCACGAAGCACATGAACTTTACCGTTCCAACCTCGCTGGGTATCGAGAGCAACACCTTTGACATGCCAATGCAAACTCTGTCCGGGCACACTTCGCCAGGCCTCCAAGCCGACTATCAAAGTATGACATTGGAAAATGTCGACCCAAGCGCCTTGGCTCCCGGTTCTTGAATCACCGGCCGGATCCTTTCCAGTTAACCTTGGAATGGTTTTTAGTCTTCATTTCTTTCGCCTGCCATTTACATATTATTTGGCTTCTTTTGGGCTCACACAATATGGTTGATCGAACAATGGAATGCAGTCCAGGTCCCAAATCTGTGGGCTGTCCATCAGGGCCGATGATGTTCGCTTCAACCACAGCTCACCCACCACATCTTTTTTGAACGCCCTTCGTGAGAGAGGGGTGGTGGAAATATCCTCGGTTATTCCCTGAAGCTTCGTCATCTTTGACGAGCAGGAGTATATCTTTCTGTTCTTGATATATGTTCTCAGCGTCTTCTCCTCCTCCTCCTCTTCTTCTTCTGTTCTTTTTTTCTTTTTTTTCTTGTTGTATTAATACCCTTCTACCACGCGGCTGGGCCTGAGCGATTTTCTCCCATGTTGACTTAGTGGTCGGCACTTTTATTCTTCCGTTTCTTCTTCTTTACCCTTGGCATCTCTACTTCTTTTACAGCTTCTTTTTTATTTTTATTTCCATTTGTTCTATATACCTGGCCGGGGCCATTTTTAACGCGATTATGCCAGAAAGTCAAACTAAGACGGTGATTTGGATGGAATTCCCTTTTGCTTGGTTTAGGGCCGGCGGGTTAGGAATTTGTTTGCATATTCCCTTTGTGATGGTTATTGAATCCTTTCTCTTCTTTTTAGCGTGGTCTTTGCCAGTGTGCAGCCGTTTTTGACTTGGTCCTACAGAGTTGAAAGATTCTCTCGAGGTACCACTGAGATCAGCTAGAAATAGATTTGAATCACGGATTCATGCAGTCTTTCTCTATTGTAGATTTCTAAGTAATTGCGTGGTGGTACATGGTATGTACGCTATCTATGTGGATGCATGGTATGCTATTTACATGGGGGTTATCCACCTATCTAAGTTGCTGAACTCCAGCGAACTACTTGTCTTCCGGGTGGAGTGGAGGAGGAGCCTTCATCCCCTTGGACTCCCTCAAATACCTCTCGACCCAAAGCTCCATCTTCTCCAAGACATTCCTCTTGCCCCCCGTAATTTCCTCGCCAACCCCATCCCGACACCAAACACTCCACGCGCCCATCTCCGCGGCCATCAACACATCCGTCCCCAGCCTATCCCCAACCACGGCAATCTCATCCGCCCGCTCCACCACCCCTCGCTCGCGAAACCAATCCAGCACTTCCTTCCCACAGAACGGCTTCTTCTTTGCACTCTCCGTCGCCGTCGCCGTCGCCGTCGCTTGCTGCGGCAGTCGAAACACGGGAATCCGAAGCGCCGAAAGCCGGTCTTCAATCTCCAGGGCCTCGGGCTCGTAGCGCGGACTGCTCCCTGCGCGGTTCGACACGATGAGAATCGAGTTCGGGGCGGTCGATTGGTTGAAGGGCGACGTGGGCGAGGTCCGCAGGGAGAGCAGTTTCGCGTAGATTGGCGCGGGGAAGGCGGTGGTTTTGGCGGGGCACAGCGTGTTGTCTTTGTCTAGGACCAAGGCGCGGATTTGGATTGCGGAAGGGTCGGGTTGTTTTGCTTTCTCGGTTGGGGATGATGATGATGATGATGATGATGATGATGCATGTGGATGTGCATGTGCATGTGGCGGGGACGGGGTGTAGTTGGGATATTGCGCTTGTAGGACTGGGCCTAGGTGTTCTGGGAGGTGCGTGAAGGTGGGGATTGTGAGGTGGGGGAGGAATTGCGAGGGGTTCGTGAGGAGGGTTTGTACGGCGAGGTTGAAGGCGCGGAGGTTGCTGTTTGGGGGGTTCATTTTTTTGTATTTTTTTTTTATTTTTTTATCTGATGATTCTCTGGTGTACTTTTGAGGTTGGTTGGTTGGTTTAGGGGGGACTTGCGGCGCTGGGCTGGAGGGGGTTTCGGTTAGGTATGGTGGGTGGAATTGGGTTCTGTTGGTGTATGACGTACAGAGTATTTAAGTAGGATGCCGTATAAAGCTGTAGGTATATATTGGTGCTATTGAAGCAATTACGGCGTGGTGGAATTCTAAGCCGTGGTGGGTATATCAAGTATGTGAGAAGAGGAGGTTTGATTCCAAGGCCCTTCCCCGTCTTGGCAAAAACTCCAAACTGCGCGGACCAAACCAAATCCTCCCAGCCAGTTCATTAATCAATTGCTTCAGCTTCGACAACACCACCTCGGTTTCGCTCAGGCGGTAAATTATTGACGATATCCTAGCTCCCCTTTTCTTGAGCTCTCTTTCTCTTTGCTCTTTTCCGAAACTCAACCCCCCCCCCCCCCCCCCCGTCCCCCTTTCACATCCCACACAATGGGCAAGTTAACCAGCACAATCGGTATTCCGATCAAGCTTCTGAATGAAGCCCAGGTAAGGACCTGACCCCGATGAGAAATCCCCAGGCTAACGTGTGACAGGGCCACGTTGTTACCCTCGAAATCACCTCTGGAGTCGTGTACCGCGGAAAACTCCTCGAAGGTGCGTCACGTCGTCTCCCTTCCTGCGATTCTGTCTCTCTCTCTCTCTCTCTCTCTCTCTCTTCCCTCTTAACATTCGCACGACCCTTAGATAGAATCTGGAAAGCTATAAAGAAAAAAACAAAAAAAAAAAAAAAAAAAAAAACTGACCAATGATTGTTATCAGCCGAGGACAACATGAACGTGCAACTCAAGGACATCACCGTCACAGCCAGAGACGGCCGCGTGTCGCATCTCGACCAGGTTTATATCCGGGGCAGCCATGTGCGGTTCTTCATTGTGCCTGATATGCTGCGGTACGTGGGCCCCCTTATCTCACGCTCTGAATTGCTTTCTGGAGTCCAATTACAAGAAGCTGACTGATAATGATGGATGCAGGAATGCTCCTATGTTCCGCTCACGAGGCCAGCGCGGACGAGGTGTCGGTCTTGCCCGTGGCAAGGCGACTGTGCAGCGGGCACGGGGCCAGAGACGCGGTTGAGCTTGGTTTGTGGCGTTCAAGAGGGTTTCGTTTTACTTCTTCTGCTTTTACTTTACGGGGTGCTCTAATGTTGGAAATAAAAGAACGAATCGGGCGGCATGGGTCTAAGCCGGGTACTGGGCCTGGGTGCGTAAATGGTTGATGTGTTTGTGTGAATGCGAAGACATTAAAAAAAAAAAACTGATCTGATCTGATCTGATCTGATATCCTTGGTTTAGCTATCAACTCTTGTTGTGAGGCTGGATATGTGCACGCGCGCGAGAGAGAGAGAGATACCCAGCGAGAAAACGACTCGGACCGTCGATTAAACAAGACTCTACGGATAGATCAGTCGGTCAGTAACTAGTATTATGAGGGCTGGTTTAGTCTCAATCAATGTCAATATCTTATTCTTCTTCGTCTTTCAGACTATACAAGCCATCCTTGGTAGTCGAAAACTCAGACTCTAATACTCAAAATGTACAGAGTAAAAGGAGAAAGCTGAAGAAGCTACCGATAGTTATAAAGAGATTAATTAAGCTCCTTCTGTCGCCAAGTCTTTTTTCTCCGACCTCCGCATCGTTAAATAAACCACAAAATTCCCCTCACTGAGTTCCTTCTTCCCCTCTTCCATCTCCCACACAACCCAAGGAAGACCGCGAGAGTCCCTATTAAAAAGAAAAGAAGAAGAAGGAAAAAAAAAAAAAAAAAAAAAGAAGGGGGGGGGGGTCAACATGGCAAACAAAACCCAAATCCGAAATCCGCGCCGCCTCCTCATTCTCTCCCCGGCCTCACATTCCCTCTCCCTCATCCCGTCCCTCCTCCACACATTAACCGGCCATCCCATTGAAACCCCGCCAGTGACCCCAACCCAAACATTCGCAGGGTACACGACGCATCCGCCGCTCCGGATCGAGAACAAGTACTACACAGCTGAGGTGCCGATTTGGGTTGATGAGATTCCGTTGTCTTCTACGACTGGAGATACGGGCCTGCAGTCGAAGGGAAAGAGCCTAGAAGAGGGAGAGAAAGCAGAAAAGGAGGAGAATGAGAATGAGAAGAAGAATGGTGAAGACAAAGAAGCAGCAGCCACAGCCTCACAATGGGAGAAAGAGTTCTCCAGTTCCGAGGCGCAGGTCGTTCGTGATGCTATCGGTGCCGTGATCATATGTATCCGTAATCCGGAGGACTTGAGAGCACCAGTTCCTCTAGATTCGGGCCCTGAAATAAAACAAGCAGACGACCGCCAGGACGTCCGAGAGCTGAAGGGCTTTATTCGCGCGATTGGGAGCGTGCGGGCGTTGATTGAGGAGGAACGTGGGCAGGTCGGTGATGTGCCGGGGTTGCTTGTTTTGGGCGTTAGGGGGGAGAACAGCCAGAAGAGTTTGGAGAGTGAATCGCGCGGGGTGGTGGATGAAAAGGGGGGTGATGGGTTTGCGGAATTGAGTGGTGAGGAAGGCCTGGATGATCCGTTTTCCATCGGGTGGTGGGAGGACCAGTTGTTTGAGATGGGGTTGATGGGGTTTGAGGTGGTGAGGTGGGATTTTACGGACAAGGAGAAGGGGGAGGAGGATATGCGGAGAAATCAGTATGGGGGTATGTATTTTGGTCTTTATTCCTTGCTTGTTTGTTTCGGGTCATCGTGTGCTGTGACGGACTGACTGACGTGATTAGAACTCCAAGGAATGCGGCGGGTAAAGGAGGTCTTGGAGACGCATGAGTGGACTGGCGACGACGGAGCGGATACGAGTATGCCCGAAGACGATGATCTGGAGCGGGAGCTGCTAGGCCTAGATGATGAGGAAGGGGATGGGTTTGCTTTGGAAGTTAACGAGCTGGAGCGCGAGATGGTGGGATTGCGCATGTCGATTGAACGAGGAGGAGACATGGAGGATGACGAGGGAGACGAGGAGCTCCAAGTCGATGCAGTCGAAGCGTTGATGATGCGCATGCGAGCTATCAAAGGTAACCCCCCCCCCCTTTCTTTTTAACCTGCATCATATGCTCTCTTCCGTCCTCGAGCTAACAGGACAGATATGAGTGACGAACTCCCAGCAAACGAGCGAAAACGATTCGCAGCCAAAGCTGTACGGGATATCATGGAGGAGATCTAGCCAACACTAGCGAGGAATCTGTGACGTCCATATCTAATAATGTTTTAATGAAAAGACGCCGCACAGGATGCGTGTATCAATTTTCCCAGCCGCCTATTTCGATTCACATCCAACATATAGTACATATATTATCTTAATATCCTAAACCCTCGTATACCATCGCAGTATTTACTGCTGCTTCTTGTTGGACTTCCGCTTCTGCTTCATCATATGCGTATACATGACATAGGACCCTACAATGGTTAGCCCCGGATCAGAGAATCACCACTCCATCAAACGTACCAGGAACATAGATGGCCAGAACCGCAATAATAAACGCCCAGTACAAGGGGTGCAACGCGGCCGCATTAGGCAGCGCCACAAGCGCCAAAGTACACTCACTGGCGATTCCAATAGGATAGAGAACATAAAAGGTGTTATATCTGTTGTTGTTGTCAAGTTAGCTTAAACTTCATCTTGATTACTCGAAAGCCACGAAAAACAAAATAAAGAAAGAAAGGAAAAAAAAAAAGAAAAAAAGAAAAAGAAAAAAAAAAAAATACCTCAACCAATTCCACCAAGCCGGCACTCCACTCCCCCAAACCTGCAGGACAAAAAACCCATAGCGAATCATCTCCGTCACACCCCAAGCAGCCAAACAACCCAGGAACGCATAGTCGCCGAATTTTGCGTCGCTAGTAGGACCTCCCACAACACCACGGCCATCGCCTTGCTCATGGAACAGGAACAGAACGCCCCACACAACAAAAAGCCGGCTTGCGACCTGCATTGCGGTGGTGAGGAAAGGGGCGCGCACGATGCCGAGGAGACTGTGCAGGATTTCGAGGGCCGCGAGACTCTGCGTGGTGATCAGGAGGGGGGAGAAGACCTCATTGAAGACAGAGGGCAGGTTGAGCGTGCCAGGGGAGGTTACGGCTTGGGCTAGGACGAGACGGAAACCGGTGACGGTGCAGGTTGTCCAAAGGGCGAAGTTGAGGGCATTGTAGGCGAGGAGGTAGAGGCGGGTGAGGCCTGCGGGAGAGGAGGGTTTTGAGGACATTGTTGTTGTTCTTGTTGCGCTGGGTTTGGTTTGGTAGATTGTGTTATTTGGGGGATGTTAAAAAGGGGAGGTCGCCTCACTCCATGAATTGCAATGAAGCTAAGGGACGAAGACGAAGACGAAGAAGAGGTGGTGGTGATGTCGCAGACCTAGGGAAATTGTTGGGAGGAGTGTTGACCTGTCATGGAGCATTTAGTCACGCTAAGGAGTTGTTTTTAGCGTGGTCTTGCAGAGCTTGTGAAGAACCCTATTTATATCAAACCAGAATTTTCAACCCCCATAGTGTTAGTTGGACTGTAATTTCATGTTTCCTGTATAATCGTGATAGAATAGTGTCTGTTCAACTCCGCACTTGTCAAATTCAATACCTCGAATGCTCGGTGCAAGCCAAATATAACTCGATGCCAAGCAATTCTATAGACCTCGGTATCCGTGACTGCTATTCGTCTAATTTTCCGGTCAAGTCCATTCCAAGAAATCTTTGGGGGGTTTAATTCTAGATGGAACTGGTTTTAAAGGGCCGTATGGTCTACGGATATCATACCTGGTCTGAATTCCTTAGGAAATAGCGGTTTTTAGATGATTGGAGACCGACCGTCGGGGCAGTATATCTGGTCAGATTCTGAACATCAGTCGGGTATGCCGGCAGATTGATGGTGTCGATAACGGTACCTATCTTGAGGTCAGTAACGGTCTGGACACCTGGTCCACTTTATTCTTTCCCAGTCTTTGATTGGTCGGATTGAAAATCCGCCATGATGTCACTCTCGATGTGACGATCTCTGATAGGGCAACCTGGAAAGTGACTTGTTGGACCCAATGGATCCATGGATGGAAGGAGGGGCTGCCCTCCAGTTCATGGTAGGTATCGTTTTCATTCCAACCCCACGAGAGATTCAGGAGACAAAGTTCTAATCACGATCAGGATAAATAATAAATTGCGCACAAGACGGGAATGGCAGCCGCCTTGGATGGAATTGCAAGGTGGTTGGCTGTGTTGGGTTGCGTTGGGTTTCCTACTTTGGAATCACTAAATTTGGATGGTCCCTGGGAAGAATGGACAGTCTGACAGGGTTTAGAATTAGCTTAGACGCGATGATTTTTTTCTGGTGGCTGGGCTGTGTACCTCTCTGCATATCCCGAATCTAGAACTGGGATACGTCTTTCATTCATTCATTTTTTTTTCCCGCCTTTTCTTTCTTCTTCTTAATTTATAAGAAATTATCCAAGCCAAACCCTGGTACGATGGAAAAAAAAAAAAAAAAAAAAGAGGGAAAAAAAAAAGGAATGCTCCCACGTGTACCGGCCATAGGGAAGTCCGTAAGTTTGTATGTATTTTTGTAGTGGTATAGTGGAGATCTCCTCCTACGTCAGCCGTGGTCCGATGATTTCAACGTGCATCCCGTAGATTCTCGAGGGTCACTGCATTTAGTTTTCTTGTTTTGTGTGGTAAAAGGTAACATAGGATCTTGAAACAATCATTCTTATAATACCACGTAATTAATATAGTTGACTGGGGGAGATTTTAGGATTAATATTCATATTCTAGTCGATGTGATGGGAGTTGGCGTGGAAGCCATACATACCTAGTAAGATCCGATGACGACAGAGGCTGTTTTTTGCTTTAAACTCGACCCGCTTCTCTTTCTTTTAGCCAAAGGAAAAAAAAAAATTTATATGGTTAGTTTCACAAGATATTCTCGCTTGTGCCCTCAAAGGACTCGAGGTATATATCCAGAATTATTGGTACTGGATGTAGATATACTTCGGCCTTTTAGTCCAGAGAATGGATCGGATCGTGTTCCCTCAGTAGTTAAAATTGTGTTTTATCTTCTTCCAGACAATAATTTGGGGGGATTCCCTTGTCGATGTTCAACCTCCAGAATAGCATCACTACACATCAGAATAGATTGATTAATTAGTCCAAACGGTGTGATCTCGAATGTCTGTTTATCGGCTGTCCACCAGCCCACTTCGTTCCTCCTTTTCTCCTCTCCTCCCCCTCCATGATTTTCTGGTTCGCCTCCGAACACAAACGAAAGAAAAAGAAAAGGGAAAAAAAGAACTACTTTCTGCCCACTCTTTCTCTTCCTCTTCCTCTCTCTCTCTCTCTCTCTCTCTCTCTCTCTAGGTAGACTTCTTTCTATCTTCACCATCTCATCCCTTCTTCCTCCTCTCCATCATCAAGCTTGGATCTTTTCTTATTAATCTCTTTCTCCTTCTTTTTCATTTTTTATCCTTGTCCAGTTATCGGATCTTTAATCTTAATTTCTTGTATTTTTGCTTTCCACTATCAGATTGCACAATATACCCAGCAGATCAGCCAATTTTTGTTGGAGCGCACTGATTCAAGGCTCAATTAAAAGTTACAGGTGGGAGATCCTCTGATGATTTATTGTTGATTACATTATTATAGCTCTCTGTCTCTTCTTTCTTCTACCCCTCTTCCTCCTCCCATCCTCCCTCATAATTCAGACAGTTGTTCCTCTGCTACTCTTTCCCTGTGGACCTCGTTTCTTCCTGCCTGCCTCCTCCACCTACTTACTCTACCTGTCTGATTCATACCTACGCTGCCTGACTGTTTCCCTCCCCTCTTTGTGTGTGCTCTTCTCTTTTTCTTCTCCACCCGCCCCTCCCTCCTTTTGTCTTTCCTCTTCCTCAATTCACCTATCGTCTGCTTTTGATACTTCTACCCTCTTCCCCCAAGAAGCACCGTTCAAAACAGAACCAAAAAAACACACACACACACATAACTAAAAGCATACAAGCTTTTATGTCTACCCTCCCTACTTGATTTTTCCGTTGGTTGCCCCTCTCTCGAACCATAATATCCAGAGGTGAATGCTTTTCCATCCGATCAACCCACTACCAACTTTGTATAAGCTGCTCGTTATCTTCGGACACCCTTACTTCTCCCTCTCCCTCCTCTTGTTGTCGTCACTTCCCTCGTAATAGCCTTATTGCGTAGGGCAGGCAATGTGTATAACGCCGTCGATTTGAGCTACTGTAATGTCGCCGTGAAGTTCGTGTATCAACCACTGACATCCATTTGATCCAGAAGATTCACTCGTGTAATTTCCATCTCCCGTGTCCAGCTGGGATAAGTTAACCTATTACCGTCGCGTGTCAACCACATTCATAAGTTTTGGGAGATCCCAACTTCTCGCCTGGTGGTCTTCAGATCAGCAAACTCGGTCTCAAAAAGAAAATACTCGTCCTATAATATCGCAAACATGGCATCGACTACCACCACCAAGACCAAGGCCGTGGAGGAACCCGTACGTGCCCGTGTTCTGTTCTTCTGGAGTGAAGGACACTGAGCTGATGTTCAATAGCCCAACCCGAGAACTTTGGCCGATATGGCAGATACCATCGACCAATCCACATTCGAACAGATTCTGGAGATGGACGACGAAGGCGAAAATGATTTCAGCAAGGGTATTGTGTATGGTTTCTTTGACCAGGCAGAGGTCACTTTCAAGAAGATGGAAACAGCCATGTAAGCATACCCCTTTTATTTTTTGCCAAACACTGTTAACAATCTCTGGTCTGTATGTAGAAAGGAAGAGAGCCTCGTCGAGCTCTCCTCATTGGGTCACTTTCTCAAAGGTTCGTCAGCCACCATCGGCCTCACTAAAGTTAAGGATGCGTGTGAGAAGATCCAGAACTATGGGGCAAAGAAGGATGAGACTGGCAGCAACGATCAGCCTGATGAGAAGGTCGCCCTACAGAGTATTGAAAAGACCTTGACCACTCTCAAGAAGGACTACAAGGAGGCGGAGAACTTCCTGAGGGAGTACTTTGGTGAATCGGAACCGGCCTCATCCTAAGGCCAGGAATGGGCGCGTATGGACACGGTAGAGGGCGATTCATACTGTCTGTTAACTGGATACCACGAGAGGGTGACGCCACACCCACATACACGCATTTGCCTTTCCCTCCCCCCCCTCCCCCCCATCAACGAGACAATGAAATTTCGAACCACGAGAGAAATGTTCTCAGAAAGCAAGAGCCAGGAATCGACAGGACGGATTTGAAGACTGCCGCTACTTAAGTATGTCTCCTCACTGGACGGGTTCACCCCAGTGTTTGCTCATTAGATTTGTATGAACCAAGGAGTTTACCATGATACTGCGGTAGATGATATTGCCTTGTCTTTCCTTTTCGTCTGTGTCAGGCCGCCTATGAATGGCGATAGTCTCATGCACCTTGCCTTGAGGCATAACGTGGGTAAAGCATCAGGTCCAGAGGCCGGGAAGTTAGTAGTTGTCACGGAGGTATAGTCGTGAGAGAGGTTTGCTTATCTTCGATATGAACGATCCACCTGTCATGAGTCGACATTTCGTTTCATTTTTTCTCTTTTTTGAGGAGGGGGAGGTGTAAACGGAAAATAAGGCCTGATTATGATCTAGTCTCGCTGGATCAAGCGAGGACGTATGGATTATCTTATTAAAGCTGTTCCCGTGAGGTTGAGAGAACGTGCAAAGAAAAAACAAGTTGGTTAAGCCTCAAATCTGCGCTTGCCGCTTCTTGACTTCTCACTACTACCCCCGAATGATCATAGTCAGGATGAGGAGGATGATCGTGCGGTTTCCTGGTGGGACGGAAGGGAAGGGGGCCGGGCCTATGGAGGAGGAGGATGTCTAGAGTGCCAATTACCTACCTTAGCTAATTAATGGACTATCCATGTACAACTCTCACCTCATCTCCTCGTACTCCCGTAAACCTGGATTGGATGTCTTCGCTCCCTTTCTTCTTCCCTATTTATTCTCCCTCAGAGACAAACGAGTTCTCGCAGGGATCTGACAGTGATATACCACTCGCTTGCTGCCCATAAAACGACTTGACCAGCGCATTCCATCGATGATAAAACATATTTCGACCTCGACTACAGTGTTTGTTCCTCATCCGATAGAAAGCATGAGACCGACAGCCCGATGGACAGAGGCCTCTCTGGGTTAAAAGAGCAGTCTGTGCGAGACCCTGAGGGGTTACACAACAGCGGGTATGGCGGGAGAGATCAGCAGGGAGTTCTCCTGGTGGTGAGCAGCCCGTGGAGGCTAGGATTCTATGGAATAAACAGCTCACAAGGCACAGTCAATGGAGAAGATGAATGAGGGACTTGGGTCGGTTCCTAATGACAGTGATGGGACGCGGTGGGAATCTCTCTCTCTAAAATGTGCGTTCTCTCTTCACTTCCACGGTCGAGTCCATTCTAGCGATCTCCTCTTTTTGTCTTCCTGGAAGACGGACGGAGTTTCGGCTACATACAGACTGTTAACAGGTTCTTCCCTCGAACCCGGCTAATCATGCTTCTTTCCAGGTCATAATACTCTTTCATTTCCTTTTTTCCACCCTTCCTCACCACCCATAGTCCTGACCAGCCCTACATAGACCCGCAACCATGATATTTGATGGTCAGCTTCATGTCCATGGAAGGACAACAACGGCACTACATGCACCCCAGTCACAAACGCAATAAAAGTCACTTCCCCTATCCCTCTTTCATCCTCAATGTGAATCGATCATGTTGCACATACGCCAATCAATCCAGACACCTTAATGCCACTACAATACGCAAAACTCTGATCCCGCAATGGGAGGGGGTGGAAAGCAAATCAGTCCACTCATACAACCCAATCAACCCCCATTCTCGCGTTCTTCGCTGTTTACTGCAGTTCGAGGCCGTTTGTACGACCTACCTTGGCCCATTTAGGAAGTAGACACTATCGAAAACCTAGGCTCAGGCTGGTTGTGTGTCCTTGCCCTTCACCTGGTGTGGTATTTAAGTTTGGTTCTGGGCTTCTTTCTCTCTCTGCCCTATGTCGGCATTCGGGTATCCCTCTCGATATCTTGGACTCCTTGCTCCAAGTGACAGACAAAGTTTATAGCACAGATCTTGGACCGGGGGTAAAACCAAGTGGGAAAAGAAAGGAGATCAAAAATAAAACTCCCCTTGGGGCTCAAAGTATTTTCCTCGAAATGTCTCCAGTAGGTCCTCGCGCCTCAAAAGAGGAGTTCATGCAGGCGCTCGGGCTGAGCTCACACGATGCCCAGCATGAACAATTTTATAGAGCAATGCGAGTATGCACATCCATCCACCTTTCTCTCTCTCTCTCTCCATTCCATTCCCCAAACAATCCAATCCATCTACATCTAAAGATACCGAGATTTCTCATACGTTCTTCTTCTTTCCCTCCTCCCTAACACAGGACGAAACTATTTTAATATACAACCGCCTAAACGAAGACCCGGCCAATCTTCTTGACAGCATCGCAAACGACCCGTCGACTAAACCCCCGTTCTTTTGGCACCACATCCGTCCCGAGCGCCAACGATGGGCAATCCAGGAGATTGCACGGAACGCGGGCCCGCATACACAGCCATTTTTCACGCGAGGAGACACGACTGGCGAGTACGGCCCGAACTGGGTGGCTGGCTGGTTACTCTATAGTGTGTTTCGGTCGCGAGACGTGCGCAATAATCGGAATCGGCGGAAGGGAGAAGATCATCAAGGTGTGTTTTGTTTTGTTTTTCTTTTTGCCTAGTTTGATTTGATTGTAAAAGGCACACGCATGTAAGAGAGAAGGGGGGGAGCGGGAGCGGGAGCGGGTTCTTTATGAGAGACCCCCAGTCTTGCATTTGGTATTGTTATTGCCTTTTATCTAACTTGAGGGTATCCAAAATCCACCTTGCCAGGGCAATCTCCGAAACAGCCGAAACAAGCGGACACCGGACCTCCAAAGAAGGAGTATTACGATCCTGTGCGGAATGAATGAAGGAAGGAAAGAAGAAACGGAAACAGCTTGCTTTGCTTCATTTTAGGGATTGAGTTTGGAATGGCAGTTTATGGCTCGGAAGCATCGCATAGTATAGCATAGCATAGTATAGCATAGCATAGCATAGCATGGCTTGGATATGTAGCTTGTCCCTCTCAGAGTTCTGTCTGAACCAACCTACGCGTATTCTTCACAGTATAGAATCTGTTTCATAAACCATCTATCTGAGATAGTCTTCTAGAGAAAAGATTCTAGGCTCTGTTCGTCTCTCATGCATTTCAACTGAATTAATTATATGAATGTGATGTGGTTACGTTACTGGACTGGCCTTCTGGAACAGTAAAGACCAGACGAGGTAATTCTTCTCCGATGGAACCTCCTGAAGTACCTTTTTTTTTTTTATCAGTCAGTTAGTATGTGGGCAATTCTTAACCCCAGGCAAACTTCAAGCCTCTGAGAAAATAAGGGTTTAAGCACTGTATCTTATATATATTGTATATCCTAAAATATAGGTATTCAGGTCAAATCCACTTCTGTATGCAATCGCACACAATTCCACACAAGATATAAAGAGTATTAAGTATCAGATCTTTTCCCTTCCTCTTGCTTGCTATCATCCTTCTTCTGTTTCCTTTCCTGCCTCAGTGCTTCAGTGACACGCTCGTCACGCTCATCCAGCTTCTCATTCCATTCCGTTTCGTAATCAGCTGCAATGGTCTTGATTTCCCTGCGGAGCGCATTGCCCTCGTCAATGAGGCTCTCCCAAAGCTGTAGATCTAAACCCTTCTGCTGATACAGCTTCTTCTGGCGGGCATTAATCGTGAAATCCATTGCTGAGCGATATGATATCTCGCGATTGTGGTAAAGAAACCACAAGTATCCCCCCATGAGTGTGGACAAACTAGCTAGGTATGTGACGGGCTCCATCGTATCCCAGCCTAGATCTGTCTCGAATGTTAGTCTATACACGAGATACCACCACGAAGCAAGTATGCCGAATCCCCCGATAGCCACGCGCTGTGCACCCCGGTGTGCTAATATGTCACACTCATGCTTGATCTCTGCAAGTTTCTGGATTCGACCGGCGATTTTCCTCAACCGCATCCGGAGGAAATATGTTCGCTCCTCGAAGGAAGGGACTGTCACTTTGATTTGACTCAGTCCTGCTGGTTCCCCCTCGATGGCAATAATGAACTCTCCAGCACGAACAGCGTCACGAATGAAATCTCCGATCTCCGTCGCGTGCGACCACCGCACATACCGCTCGTCTGCACTCTCTGGGTCAGGTTTTCCCCGTCGCAAGTTGCTACATGTGCCAAGCTCCTTGCTAGGCGATTTCAACTCTGTTGGCTCTGGGCCAACAGCTAGAGCTATTTCTTCCACCTCTCCCATGGAGCGCGCAGAAAATTTGGCGTCTTCATGCGTGGCGGATCGTGGGCGGATCGAATCGCCTTCAAACTGAAGAACGATAAAGGATATGGCCGGTGGTCTTTTCTGTCCGTCTCGTCCTTTGACCAGAGGAACTTCCGCTTGGATCAGTCGCTCTAAATATGAGAGTGGTTGCTGAGAGTGAACTAGTATCGCAATGGCTTCGACATCTAGCCAAAAATTAATTCGTGGGCCACCAAACCGAACGGGGACGAAAAAGGAAAAGCAAATACCTTTCTGATGATTAGTCGGCAACGGAATAAGAAGCTTGAACAATCTTGATGGTGTCGTTAAAAGCTTGCCTGTTCTCAACGTCAGCAAAGCCATTATCCAAGACCACCATTCTCAACATAAACCAACAGAGTTCGCCTAGACCAACAGTACCTACCTACCCTTTGTCCCTGCGTGCGCAAGCTTATCATTTGGCCCAAAACCATTTCGACGCTTATTCTCCTCCTTTCCAGCTCCATCCCCATCCATTGACCCATCAGCCTCGTTACAGAACTTGTCCCCCCTTATTTCCCTCCCCCTCATGCTCGCCGGCTTCTCCGCCCGTGTTCTTTGCTTATACAGCCTACGACCTGGGACGGAGTAAAAGTGACGCTGTTCCCGTCCGTTCTCAAGCACGCCCGTTCCATGTCCATGTTTCAACAAGCCCACTCCCACACTAGAGAACACACGTTGTCGCCTAGCTTGAGGCTTAAATTGCGCATATGACCATCGCGATCCCACTGAGTCCTTCCTCCATGATGCAATTCTCAATGTCCGATGCCCAGCCAGAGCAGATCGCATCTCTTAGACTTTGACGTGACCTCGACGCGACGCGACGCGACGCACCTCGAATCGAACCGACCCAGAGAGATCTCAGCAGAAGCTCGACCCAGACTGGATCTGGAGATAGAGAATGTGTGCGTAAGAGTAAAAGGAAGAGCCGGGGGTCGCAGTAGCCACTCGCTTGTAGCTAGTTATATCTGGTGATGACGTCGTTGTTTCTGTCAATGCATATGCATGGATAACATGCGAAATCAAAGCCCCGATGATCTGATCTGACATCTAGGCTCTTGGTTCTTTCATTTCCCATTGTTTGATGTTCTTTGCGTTGCCTAGCTTTATTTGCGTGATGTCATGCCAGATGTTCTGATGACGATTAATGTAATTCCTAGGTCATCCAGCCACCACAAGTCATCCAGCCACCCACCAAATTTTCACGCGTTTAATTACACGTCACTATTCAAACCATCACCATGCCACCAAAAGCGCGTTAATCAACTCGAAACTTGGTAGAGTAAGAGGGTAGGATCTAGCTTGCTATCTAAGCCTTTAAAAATAGCAAAATTCCAAGTATTTATTATGCAGCTATTATTTATAATGTACCTTGATCTACCTTAACTAATTACTTATATAGTTACTAATATCAAGCAGAACTCTATAACTATAATCTCTGGCTATCTAAAATCCAGAAGGATACTCTATTAAAATAGATTATATTTAGAGATAAGTATGGAGTTGCTCCTAGATCAATATATATGGTAGAAATAGCTTATATCTGTCACAGTGTAGCTGTGTACCTATCTGGTTAGATTCTGCCCTAACTGTCCGCCTCTACTCCTGTATTTAAGCCACATTACCCCTGATCCTGTTGTAGCTCTTTGAGCTATGTCCTTATCCTGACCTGACCCCTACCTATTGTACCTGTACGTAGATAGCCTGAATATACACCCTACTATTAGCTATACCTACTACTTACCTGCTCCCCATGATATTATATAGCTCCTACCCTAGGTATAGCTATTACTAGCATGTTAAAATAACCTAAATTACTCTTAATTATAGATTTAGTCAAGGAGTTTATAAGCTATATTATTAATAATCTTATTACTTAGATTATTTATCTTAAATCTTATAATAAATATACTAATTTTCTAAAAAAGAAGATTTATACCCTCTAAAACTAAGTTAATAAAGCTAGCCTGGAGCTAGTTAAGAAGAAGGGAGTAATATTATATTAAAAGAAAAAATTAAAAATAATTTAATAAAAGTTAATTAAGTTTAAGTATATATTTATTATATTATAGGTTACTATTATTTTTATTATACTTACTCCTATTATTATCCCTACCTCTACTAAATATACTCCCCTTACTAAAGTTATAGTAACTAATATAATAAAAATATCTATATTTATTTCTACTAGCCCTTTCCCTAATACTTATCTTAGTAAGAAACTCCCTAATTTATAAGAATTTAATAGTACTTATTTTAATCTCTACTACTTTATATAATAGATTTATAATAAAATAGATATTAATTTAGATTATTTTCTAGCTACTAAAGTTTAATTAACCTATATAGTAAGATATCTAATTAAAAAGGCTTATAAATTAATCTTACTTAAAATAAGACTTAATATTCTCTAGTTCTTAGACTATTCTAACCTACTTAATTATCTAGAAATAATATTTAAAGACCTTAATTAAGTTTAAAATATTTAGAACTACCTCTATAGTTAGAAATAAAGGAACTTAGATTTTAGTACTTACTTTATAGAGTTCTATTACCTTATTTTAGAAGAAAAAATACTTAATAACTCTTTAATATTCTTCCTAACCTAAAATATCTTAATTAAATTCTAAAATATATTATTTTATAACCTTATCCTATCTTAAGATTTTCAAGAATATACTAATTATCTCTAATTATTAGAAAACTATTACTACTAATACTAGCTATAAATATCCTATTCTTGCCTAATATCTAGTTCCTACTATTCTAGCCTAGTAGTACTAAAAAATCTCCTTAATTCTATTTTATCTAGTTATCTAGTTATATCCCCTATGCCTAGAAAAGATTTAAATATTATAGATCTATTTTATGCCTGCTATATACTATACTCCCCCAGGGGAGAATAATATAAGTATAAGAAATATTTTTACTATAGAGATAGAATATACTATATAAAGGATTATCTCTTACCTAATTAATACCCTATATAAATCTAAAAGTAGATAAATATACTAATATATTATTCTAGCTTAATCTTTACTATAGTATTATTTATTCTCTATATTATAATATAGAATAACTATCTTACTACTCTAGAGAAACTTAATTAATTATACTTTCTTAATACCCTGCCTAATTTAGAAAATAGAGTTTACCTAGCTATAGTTACTATCTAGTACTAGAATATATATAGAAGCCCTTATTACTAGATATATTATTCTATCTATTCTATACTATTACTAAATTAACTAACTCTTCTAATCCTTATTATATACGTGCTAACCTAATAATATAGTAAATATAATTATACTAAGAAAATTTAAAAATACTAACTTATACTATAATTAATTCTAGAGCTAAAGAAGTTAGCTTTATAAATTACTAATAGATAGAAATATATAAATTAAAGACTATTCTACTTCCCTATCTAATATCTCTATCCAGCTTCTATAGTAAGGAGATAAAAGAAGATATAATAACTTATTATATAAAGACTAATTTATTATTAAATAATTATTATAATTAAAAATTTATTTTCTATATTACTTATCTTTTTTATTACCTAATTATCTTAGAACTAGCCTAGTTTACTATATATAATCTAAAAATATATTTCTCTAATTAAATAGCTATATTTAATAATTAATACTACTATAAATATTATAATATATCTCTCAAGCTTATAAGAGTAAGGGCCTTAATAGATATTCTCTAGAAAGATTAACCTAAGTAACTAAATTAATAAAAAGAATTACTAGAATTAAAATCTCCTATATCTATAGAAATATACTAAATATCCTTAAAAGTACTAGTTATATATACCTGCTATCTAGTATAGAAACTATATTAAATCTTATTAAATAAAATTAATAAAGAACTAAAATATAGAGATATTAATTTTAAATTATTACTTATATTTTTTCTAGAACTATAAGATTTCTAAAATATATTTAATCCCTAAGAAGTAGAGAAGCTACTACTATATTAATTATATAATTATAATATTAAGATTTAAGAAGAAAAATAACCCCTATTTAATAAATTATATCTAATATTATAAGTATAATTAATTATTTTAAAGAAATAGTTAGAAAAGAATCTAAAAAAAAATTTTATATATTCTAGCTTATCTCTAGCTATCTTTTCTATTTTATTTATTAATAAACCTAGAGGTAGCCTCTGCCTATATATAGATTATTAAGGATTAAATATTATATTAGTTAAGGACTATTATCTATTATCCCTAATTAAAGAAATCCTAAATAATCTATAGGAAATATAGTATTTTTCTAAGATTAATTTAGTAACTACCTTTAATAATATTTATATTAAGAAGGGATTAGAATATCTAATTACTTTTTAAATCTATTTTAGGTTATATAAGTCTCTAATTATATTATTTAGCTTAACTAGTACCCTAGCTATCTTCTAATATTTTATAAATAATATTCTATAATAATATATAAATATATTCTATAATATATTTCTAGATAATATCCTAATTTATAATTATATAAGAAAAGAATATATTAAATACTTAAGATAAATATTATAAATCTTGAGAGATAATAATCTATATATAAAGATATTTAAGTATAAATTCTACTAGCTAGAAATTAAGTTCCTGGGTATTATTATTAAAAAAGAAGGTACCTATATAGATCCTGAGAAGATTAAGACTATAATAGATTAGAAGCTACTTAAGATAGTTACTAATATTAAGAGTTTTATAGGATTTACTAGATTCTACTAATACTTTATTAAAAGATTCTTGTAGATCCTTATATTTATTATTATCTTAGAGAAGAAAGGAACTCTATTCTTATAAATATTAACTTACTAGACTACTTTTAAAATACTAAAAGTAAAATTTATTAAGGAACTAATACTAAGATTCTTTAATTAGGATTAACTAGCTATTTTAGAAATTAATATCTTAGACTTTATATTTATTAGAGTATTATTATAATATAATAATAATAAAATTTTATACCTAATAAGATTTTACTTAAAGAAAATAACTTTAATTAAGTATAATTATAAGATATATAATAAGGAATTACTAATAATTATTTATTACTTAAAAAAATAGATTTTAAAATTAGAAAGATACTAGTATCTAATTAAGATTATAATTAACTATAAAAATCTAGAGTATTTTATAATAATTAAAATATTAAATTAATAATAAACCTAATAATCTAAATTTCTATCCTACTTTAATTTTATAATTAATTATTACCCAGGTAAGTATAGAATAAAACTAGATAATTTAACTAGAAGATTATAGGATCTCTTTAAGGAGAGGAATAAATACTTACTATACTAGAATTAAATAATATTAAAAAAAGAAAATTTAGCAAGCTTCCTATTTAAATACTTAGAGAAATTATAGAGCTAGTAAATATTATAATTAATCTAGCTTTAAACTACTACTAGAAGGAAGTTAGTATATTTCTAGCTACTTAAGCTTGAAGAAGAAGAGACTATCTAGCTCCTTAAATAGTTAAGAAAGTACCTAGATAGGGATTATAAATAAGATCTAGCCCCTAATAATATTCTAGAAAGTCTAGAAAAGAACTATAACTATTATTTATTAATTATATTATTTAAGTATACTTACTATTCTAGACTCCTATTTTATTATAATTAACTATATATCCCTAATATAGAAGAATTAAAAATAGAACTAATATATAAATATTATAAAAATATAGTTACTAGCTATTAAAATAGATTAAAAATTTATAAATTACTATTATAATTATATTACTAGCCTAGAATATTAT